TGTGTTTAATACAGGTATTATTATTCCTAGAACTAGTATAATAAAGGGTTGTAGACTATGGTTTCCAGCAAGCAAGTTAGGCAAGTCTGATTCTATAATTAATAATACAACTTTTTATAGTTCTGTAAAGTTATATATATATATTAGATATTAAGAGTAATAAAGTAGAATAAAAATAAGATAAATATAGTATTTAGTTTTCTATATAAAACTACTAAAATATTTTTTATATACTTATTTATTTTATTAAAATACTATATACGTCTCTAACTTTGCAATTTTTATTATTAACTAGATAATGCAGAGCGTCTAGGTGTGAATATTTTTTTATTATTCTAGTAGTATAATTGTGTATTGTAAAAGGCTTTGCTGGCTAGTAAATACTTTAAGGGAATATTATACCCTCGTGAGAGCTGGCTTGTATTTGTTAAAATAGTGGTAACTATTATTTGGCTTTAAATTGCACGGACAAGGCCTTTGTATAGTATAATTATGTCTTTAAATATTACCTACGCAATATTTATCTGTTTTAAAGGCTTTGGTTGGTTTAGTTTAATCAAATCCCTGAACCTTTTTAGTTATTTGGAAGAATAAAGGTATTTTTTTATTATTTTTTTTTTTTTTTCCAATTAGCTTATCCATAATTCTGCAAAATTCGGTGAAATAATTAAAGTAGCTTTAATAAAATTATATAAAGGTCTTGCACTTTGCTAAATTTTACCTATATTTAGCTCTACTGCTTTAGTATAGATATTTTCCTATTAGGAAATCTATAATTTAATAAAGCTAACTAAGGGTTTTAAATTATATAATATTTTTAAATAATATATCTTTTTCGGGATTTATTAAAAGGTGCTATTTCAGATTTTAATATTAATAATATATTTAAGGCTGAATTATTTCCTATAATAGCTTGCTTATTATTATAGGATATTAATTTATATACTATTAATTATTTAATTATATTCCTAGATTTTATATTATATTCACAAATAGTATCACGCTATAGGTCACGCTTTTTAGTATTAAGGTCCAGTATTAAACTAGCCCTTTTATTAATATTTAAAATATTAGGGTACTAAGGCTTTCTTAGTATATTTGGTTTAATACCTATATCAGGATCTATATAATCCTAAACACCCTTATTTTAAGTAATAATCCTGATATTATTAAACAATAATAGCTAGTTATTTTAGCTTGATAAAATTGTTGACACCGTTAAATTTATATAGTATTAATATTAACCTGCTTGATATTAATACTAATAAGTATAATAAGGTTTGCACTAAACCTTATAAGGTAAAACCTATGCCTAACTAATTATAGCTTTAACCTTAATTAGAATAAGGTTTGTCCTATATATAGAACACCTAATATTAGTAATATCTTTAATAGTCTATTCTTATATTCTTATAATAATAATATAAAGAATAAAATTGCTTGTTTTATTATTACAAAAATTGCTTGCGAGGACCTGCTTTTATATTCGCATTTTAGTTTCCTTTTTAGGTAATTAAATCTGTATTAAAGTTTAGGTAAGACTTGCTTTAAAATTAACAGAGTTATATAGCTAATTAATTTCTCATAGAATCTCGTAGAAATAGATTAAATATTTTATAGTTTTCTGTGACTCATAAATTATGACTCATAATTTTTCCATGGTTTTGCTGATATTTTGCAGTAGTAATTGGTGCCTGATATATTGGGCTCCTATTTCCAACACATAGCTATAAAATATTTAGGATATATAATCTTTAATAATTTAAATTTATTTAAATTAATATTTATACTTGCTAGTAATGCTTGTACATATAAATAACAAAAAATAAAAAGCCTTAAAAGGCTACTATACCTATTATTTCATAGGCTAATTAATTAAGCAGCTAAAAAATTAAACTTTTATAAATTCTTGTGATTTTAATAACAGCTTGGTTAAACTGTCTATAGGTATTTTAATTTAGCATCTATTTATAATATTAAATACTTAAATTTTTTATGGCCAATAGTTTCGGATATTAATATACTTTATTCTTGTTTTAAATATTAATTTTTTTGCTAAGACTAATTATTTAATAATTATTATATGGAATTTAAAATTGTTGATTTAAATTAAATTCTAGTAATTTAAATAGTTATTTCCACTAGTATAATTTACATTTCAGTATTCAAAATAACTAATAATTTTGCTCTAGTTTTGATAAATCTACTTGGCCGGTAGGTCAACCAGTCAGGCTAAGACAGTAGAAAAAATCACTATATCTTATATCAAGATATACTAAAAACTAATCCTTGACCTCTTCTCCTTCGAATAGATTAAAATAATATATAGAGCGCCCATAGATAAGATAACAACAATACAGTTAATAAGATTATGACAATATATTAACGCGTTATTAAATACTACCATAGCTTTGCGTCACTGTATGCTTAGCTTATTAATAAGGATTCAAGACCTAAGCTTGGCTAATTCTCGACCTACCCTTCACACTGGTAATAAAAATAATAATAGCTTTTTAACATGTAAAATATTTTAAAAATTACTAATAAAAAAAGCTTATTTAATATACCTACTTATCAGCTGTATTTGATATATCTACTAAATATCAAAAGCTACGGGGGGTATATTAAAATAGGTGCCTAGTATATTATCCATTTACAATGTCTATAAAATATTACCAAACTATATGAAATTATAAGCCATAGGACATAAACCTACAAAAACCTTTAAAAATATTTTGATCTATATTTTATATAAAATTAGGTATAAAATAATTAACAAACCGTATTAATTCTAAAGATATTACTAATATTCACTACACCTTACTGCCCCTACCGTCTTTCTCCGATGATTGTTGTGGGATACTGAGGTAACGTTAGAAAGTGCCTTTTCATATGCGATACAAGGGGGCCGACTAGACTCGTTTACCTGCTACTTAGCCAAGTATTCAACTACTGAGCCGCAGCCTCTCTTGAATATAAAATAGTACTTTCTACTACCTCAAAATCTCAACAAATACAGGCATGCATGTCAAGGGCTAAACCTCTATAACCTAATAACTAGGGTGGATACAAAAGGAATCGTCGAAGAGGAAAGAGAAGAGGAAACAGCGATGAGACGATTGCGAAATAAGGGGGGGAAGAAGTCACATGATAGAGTGTACTAATCAATATACTAATCATGTGGCAGGCGAGGAAACACGAGGGCTAAGGGCCCGAGTAGGCTGAGGGGCTCTAGCCCCTTACAATGCACTCTATACTTTGATTGCTAACTTTATATAAATTTAAGAAGTATAACTAATTATATTTTTAAATCCCCCCCCGGCATAAGTATACAACAATATCAAAAAAATATAAAAATACCACCGTAATAGCGTAATACAGAGATCTAGCCAGGTTAAGGAGCTGAAAGTACAATATACAAATATTCCTATAATACTACAGCAATATATATAATCTAGCCTCTCTTGGTGCTCTGTTATTGAGATGTGGATGTTGTAAAAAGGATTATTTTATATGCTATCAGAGGTGGCAGCTCGGTGGTTGGAATTGAATACGTTATCCTCCCAACACTTAAGTTAGTAATTTCAGGAGTCAACATGACTCCCGGCCCCGGAACAATGGTGTTCCATGCCAGAGTGGGATCTAGGATGTAACATTGACATACGATCTAGTCACGTGCAAACAGCCACTACACTTTACAACTAGTCCAGATTAGGTAGTGGCAAACAATGTGGCTCAAGCAGTTCCCGTGTACTAGACAAAATTCTGAAGTCATAACACAAGAGTTATTTGAGTAATTTTATATAGATAATAAAAATAGCTATCTAATTTAGGTCCTACAACTGGCTAATTCCTATAATGGTTGATGATAGTGGGTTTTACTCCACAGAATATACAGAGGAGTATCTAAAAATAGTGATTGTTATACTAAAACGGTCCGTACTCCATAGCAACGTGGCCTCTTTGAGTGTACTAGATATCTCTTACATGGTTGTGTCCAGTAGTATGATAGCACCCTTTCCCCATTAATTACAACTACAGATACCAGCTTTCTCAAGATCACTACGGACTGGAGTGTATTATTAACTGTTCCAATGCGCAGTTCCTCACGTTTTAAGACTGTGTAAAAATCAGCTGGCCTACACATTCAGAGCATATCATGGTATGACGGAGTTGCTTCTACTTCCACAATTGAACTGTTTCACAGTTGCTAGGACGATGGGCTCTAATATAAAACTTTAGGCACAAACCCCACAGCAACGAAGAGCGAACGACAAGTATGCAAAAAATGAGGCTGCCAAACGTGGGAAAGGAACAGCGACGGTGAGGCAAAAGCAGAACGCGAAGTCCCCGGTGTCTACTGGCTGGGTTGGTATGTTAATCATGGCTTACATTACAATAAACATGGCTAAAAAATTAGTAGTTATCCTTGCCTTTGTTATTTGTGGTGGGCTTGCTTTTGAGCTCCTGAGGATTATCCCAGAACTATGGTCAGCTGCTGTTGCAATGCTCAATCGCATGTCTCTATAGAACTACCGACTACACATTTCCTATCAATGGAGACGTGTTATTGCGCTGAGCAATACTGTATATCCTGAGTTAAATTGATGCCATTGGCATATGGCTTTGCGGAAACGTGTTCTAATCGCTGTGTCAAGCTAAAGCCGCGATTAGAGCTTTTGAACTTCGTACTATTAGGAAGCTGGAATTCTGTCCATGCCTTTGTTAAGTACTATTGGATTGGCAGCTATTTGGACCTCTCATCAATATCTGTAATTTAGTCGGGCGTTGCGTGTAACTCCAGTAAGGCTAGTTCAGTCTTAATGCCACTTTCTACTACCCAACCGAAAATGCGATCCGGGGATAGTGTTCAAATCACGCTTTGAGTTTCGTACTATACACTGAGTTCGCACCAAGGAAGGCTGCGGGAAGTTTGCACACCCCGAAACGCGCAAGGATGACTCCAAGTCAGCTCCAAGGAATTAATGAATGGATTAAAACTAACGCTCGGGCTGTACCGATGTCGACCGCTTCCTCAGCCTTTTTTTCTTAGTCATTGCTGCAGGCGCTTTTTGGTTGGCACAATCGCCTTCCACGATATCTTCACGGTATAATGGATCAACACCCCTATGAAGCCCACTAACCCTAGACTTTTTCACTTTCCTTTTCTTCTTTACCAATGTTCCCTCAGCTGGGTGCTCATGTGCACGAACTCGCTCAGAAGCCCTTTGCATCTCTAAACGCAACCTCTCAACCTTCTGCATTGCTACAGCCATTTCAGCATCATGCCCAGGCAGTCCAGGGGTTTTTCGGTTGCTTGGGTACACGCCTTCTCCCTCCAATGAAAGGTGTTTAAGACCACTGGAGTCAACCTGGAGGGGAGACCGCTTGACCATATTTAATTCGTCAAAACTCCCTGCATCCGATAAATCATCACGTCCAATTGTCTCATCAGAGGCAATATGATGTTTCTTAGGGTGTGACCCAAGCGGCCTTCGATGATCACGAGAAATGGAACCTGTGTGATGGATTCTCCCATCATCTAGTTTGAGATCAATTATAGGAATAGAGTCAATATCAAGCTCATCACCATGTGACCTGTTGAACGGTTGGTAAAAGTGGTTGGGAGTACTAGGTGATCTATCATCAGCGCCAATGTAAAATGGGTCATCTTGATTTCTTTCTCTGCGCTCCACGTTTCGCTTTATCACATCAGTCCCTTCATCCACAAGACTGGCAAAGGAGTCCTGATAAGAGTCGAAAGTCGTATCAGATGATGTGAATCGATCAAATGGTCTGCTAAGTACCGACGGACTATTAATATAGTAGAAATCCTGAGTGGGTAGTTGGGTGCCAAGCCTAAAACACTCCTCTGGTCTGTTGCGGAATAGTCCGTAAAGATTGTTGTTAAATGTTTGATTTAGTAAAAGGCGGTCCGGCAATGGAACCTTCCTCTGGGCATTAGTTGCCACCGGGTTTAGTTCAAGGCCACGAAACAAGCTCGGAATAATGGAAGACAATAAAAAGGGTTCATCGCCCAGTTCGCAGTTGCCTGGTTGGATTGCATCTGTTGCTAAACGCACGACCTCCAGAAATTCGATGGCCCTCTCTTGCACATCTAAATCTGGATGAGTAGATAGAGTTTCGAGAAATACCTGCACTTGAGCAAGTAAGAGAGACGTTTCATATAGCCGCTTCGCATGCCAAGTTTCACTGTCATTCTGTATGAGGCTGACGATAACTTTAGGAATAGCTTGTATGTATAGAGAAAGAGTCCTTGCTGGCAATGATATACTTGACATATCTACCAATGACTGTAAAGTCTGTATAGGGGACGAGAGGTGCGTCGCATATTCACCGACTACCCAAGCGAGAGGTCCCAGAATGCCATCGACTGCATCGGATAACACGAAAAATAGGGATTGTCTCTTGTCAGTTAGGAGCAGGGATTCGGCAGCTATAGTGGCTTCCCTGCGAACATCCATAACTCGAACAGCAACATTGCGTATTTCAGATCCGATCCGGAGGGCGATGTTTTTCCTGGTGACACTTGTAACATCCTGGTGTGTCATAAATTCGGAAAAGGGCCCTTCGCTGGCTGGAGGTATCAACGTCACTAATTGCCCTAGGATTTCCACATACCACACGAAGTCGGGCAGGTCTGAGTAATTGTTATGCGAGCACATGTCCAAGATCCGATGGAGGACTTCAACAATGTAATCAGCCGGTAAAGCAAACGATACACTGTGTGATTCCTGCTCCTGCAACCCTGTGTCCTCCCATCCGCTATGCATACTTTTTCGAACATCTGTATGACCGCCCTTGATCTGGCGTGCATCAATGAGCTGACCAGTAAGTCGATTCACCATTTGTTGTAGAGTATCACTACTGATCATTCGTGCTGCAAGCTCAAGGGCTTGCAGCCGGATCGAAATATCTGGATCTTCCAGACAGCTCATGATGACATCTTGATGAGTCGAAACTAAGGTAGGGTATGAAGTCACGATTCTATTATAAGAGAGAAGCGCAACGTACTTGACTTTGCTATAACGTCAATGCCATTCCACACGATAAAGCAAAGGGAGCTCACGGTTAGGATCAGAATCCGTCACTATCATGCCTCGAAGCTTCCCAACGCAGAGGCTTACGATCTCTTCGTTCTCATCAAGTCCCTCATTACCATTCAATATGCCTCCTTGTATTATACCATTGATGCATTCGTAAAGTAACGACATGGCGGTGGTTGTTTCAATTATATTCATCAGTGGCCGGAGAAGCTTTCGTATCAGCCGTGGTTCCAAAGGAGTCAAGGTCGCGAACTAAGTTTATTAGCAGCGAACAAACCCACTGTACTGAAATGAAACCCTACAAGTTTTATTATCTTTATTGCCATCCAATTGTTGCCTCCATCTACTAACAAATCGAAGAGCCTTGGCGCAAGGGGTAGGAAGTCGTGTGGTCTTCTCCATCCCAACTCGCACACAACATTGATAACTGCTGTAGTAACGCTGCTATCTTCTTCATCATCCATGAGACGGTCCTTGATTTTGGGCCATGCTAGCTTCAATGCTTCTGGGTAGACCAAAGCAAGTCTATAAAGACACACGACTGCCTTTTTGCGAACCACAGCATAAGAGTGAGACAGTCGCGATAAGACCTCCGGAAGTAGAGATATGGCGAGAGAAGGGGTAATGATGTTGGGCAGTGTTATTAAAGGCAGCGCCATGTTTGAGATATTTGATGATATTAGGTCCTATTGCGTGACTTCATTAGACCAGAAGAAAAAAAAAAAAGGACAGATATAGATCATATTAATCCAAACCTTTTTCAATAAGTTTGTGGCTAGCATCAACACTTCAGTATCTGGTCTGAAGCTCTGAACAGCGGCTAGGTAGCCTGCCCGTTTTTGTAGGTACTTAGTGCAGGACATGACTTCTAGGACATGAAACGAAGCCCAAGACATATCATAACCAAACATCTCCAGGTATATCAATTTCAATAGCGCAGTAGCTTTCTTGTCTATGCACGTCAGTTCTGATAAGGGCTATTACGCCGCAATGCACATACCCATGTCCTGTGACTTGATCTCAGCCTTACATTCTCGAAGACTATCCTGCACATAGTCCTCCTCTGACCCCTTATGGTTTCTTAGACCTTTGATGAGGTCAAAAAGAGACTTCTCAAACCTGGTAACCAGCGGTGTTTAGCAACTGTAGCCATGTAACTAAGGAGAAATACTGACATTGTAACTCAGTCTGCTGAATTACGTTGCTTTCATTCCACAAGAGCAACTGGAGTCATATCAGAGAAAGAGAGGGGTGAGCTGATAGTAGTTCTTGAGGATGATTATGTATTTGTAATTCAAAGATATTATTGTTATAGTAGGAGGCGTACTAGGTACATATTGCTGCAAAAAAGTGAGTAGCCTGTGTTTAAAATAATTAACTACACATGGTCCTTGGCTTAAGGTTCCAATTCTTATTGTATTTGATTACATGACCTTTGCCGGATTCACCAGATTTACCTACAGATTACGTAGTACATAGTTACATACTGTAACTAAACGGGTACGGAGTACCTAAGGTACCTAGTCTGGCAGATAACCGCTTCCACATCGGGTTAGATCAGATACTAGCAGGTACTCGTCTATGTGCTGGTTGACAATCGGAGTACTGTATGCTATTAGCATCATAATACGGAATATGGAGTACGAGTGCTCAAATATCCATTCCTTTGATTTTTGAAACTTATCTTTGCCAACTGCTGCGTATATTGTGCACATCCAGAACGAGCATAATGGCCCATGTTACTCCTGAACCCCCAACTATCCACAGTTCAAGTCCACCCGCAGCTCTTCATTTCTCGCAGCAAGCCCCTGTAATTCTAAGTCAGCAACTTGGCTTGGAGAGCAACCCAATCTATTCTCTGATATGCAATAAAGAGAATCCTGATAAATATGGCATAATCCAGCAGCTTTTCTTTTCTTGCCTGCAATCCGGTAATGATCAATCGGCTTTGTTATGTCTTGATCAGTTAACGCTACGGTTTGGCCCATCAAATGAGAAAATAATGAGTCTACGGGGTTTGTATGAGGAGGCGGTTGCAGAAAACCAGTCTGATCTTGAAGAATGTCTTCGAAGATATGACGTATCGCTCTCAGAGAACCCAGTGAATTTGGTCTGTAATGATAAATTCAGTGGTGGTTCTACTGCTGACGTTCTCCAACAGCCCATATTAAAGCGCCGTGTTGCGTTGTTGCGAACAATAGGGAAGCCAGAGCTGGCGATTAGCAGCTTAGTGGATTTCCTGAATGCTGTCCCGACCGATGCAGAGGCCTGGTGTGAACTCGCAGAATTATACTATGCACAAGGGATGAGTTCACAAGCAATATTCAGTCTCGAGGAAGCTCTCTTAATAGCACCTAGTGCCTGGAATGTATGTTTCGGTACTAGCTGGCGTATTTTGCATCGAGAAAATAATTGACCCTATTCTTTAGATTCATGCTCGATTAGGTGAACTCTTATATATCTCCGCGTGTTTTTTGAGCATGGAAGCCTCTAGCCAATACCTAGAGCGCTCCATACAATATTTTTGCAGGAGTGTCGAGCTTTGTGAAGATTATTTGAGGGGTTTCTACGGTTTGGCTTTGGTATGTTACTGTCATCAATACCAATTCCCTCACCTGTAATAGTCGTCACTTTATGACTTCCCCCCCCCCAATTTTTCGTCTTTTTGCCTATCGAGCGCTGTTGGTTTCAAGTTAAAATCATAGGATGCTTATCAATGTCCCAGTTGCACTGAGGTTACCTTTCCTATGAATGTTGTATGATAGCTGACTCACCCTTTTTATATATCTCGTTTTAGGCTACTTCCACGTTTTCAGCTATAAAACACCGAAAAGGTCATCTGCAAGCTTCATTGCCGACAGTGGAAACACTTTCCAATATTGAAAGATTGAATACTTTTGCAAAACATGGTCTGGAGGCTATTGTGAAACGGCGATCCCTGAACCGTCAACTTCGGGACTATGCGCAAGGTGAGCTCATGGCAGCGAAGGAGCTGCTAGGTCACATGCAGCAATAAAACTAAGGAAACTGGCCGATATAAACCTGTCTGTTTTCAATCGGAAGTTACCAAAGAGAATAAATGTCCAGACTGTATTTGGTTGAGACAGTTGACGGAACAAAAGAAAAAAGGACAGGCAGAGCGTTTACAATGCATGAAATGGCTCAAAATGCTAAGAGCACTTCAAAGAACACCCACCCCAAGAATTGTGACTGCTGGTGATATTTATAACAGGTCTTACAATGCTTGACACCAGGGCTTTATGTGAAACAGAATAGGGAAGAATTCTCAGCTAGACTGTTTGTTGTACTATTCCATCAGGATTATGTAGCATACCTACTTACTAGCTGTCCTAAATACTTAACTACAGTAAAACACAGATATAAGCAACACCTAATACAAGAAAATTTCCAATATATGCAACGGGACATGGTGTCCAAATTGATTTTACATATAAAATTTGCTTAATACTCCAATATTAGATCGTTGCTTAATTTTTCTTTATCTCCTATACAAATTTGCTTATATTAGAGTCACAAAATTGCTTATTCAGACCCCCCGCATTCCACTTCAAAATGGTCGAGGTCGCAACGTGCTATTTTAAAGCACAGAAGGCTGCCCTTCGAGCTCAATACAATCTAAAGCCTTATCTCTCACTAGCGGAGCTTTCTAGGTGGTTTCAAGGACATATAACCAGCCGATTGACCGCTCCTCGATTAGCCGAATCCTTTCCTCCCGGTTTGCCTTGACGATATTAAAGCGCATCAAGCAGAAGATAAGCAACGCCGTACAGAATCCTGGCCAGAGCTGGAAAAGGCATTGTTTGACTGGATAAAACGGGCTGAGGGAAAGATAATAATATCTCAGGAGGTTATTCGTCGAAAAGGGAGGGAGTTCTGGTCGGAGGTCTATCCGGAAAAAAAGATGCCCCAGTTTAGCAATGGCTGGCTTCGTGGCTTCCAATCACGCAGGAATATTAAGCAGAGAAGTCTATTTGGTGAAGCTGGAAGTCTATCTGAAGATGCAGCTAGTGAAATGGTCTTAATCCGGCGCGTCCTTAATACATACGCGCCTCAAGATATCTTTAACTGCGATGAGACAGGTCAATATTAGAAAATGATCCCAGACCGGAGTTTATCTACATGCTCAATTCCTGGCCGCAAGAGAGAAAAGGCCCGAATAACTGCACATTTTTGTTGCAATTCAGATGCTTCAGAACTCCTTCCCATCTGGTTTATTGGAACAGCTAAACGGCCAAAAGCCTTTGCTGCAGCTGGTATAAATATTGAGAGTCTTGGCTGCTATTGGCGCCATAATAAGAAGGCGTGGATGACTGGTGATATATTTAAGGAATGGCTTCTTTGGTTTGATAAGAAGATGCAAGGCCGAAAATTTGCTCTTTTAATAGACAATTTTTCTGCTCATGAGGCTGCATTTGAGGAAATAAACCAACAATTACAGAATACGGTAGTTATATGGCTTCCAGCCTGGTCAACATCAAGATATCAGCTGCTTGACCAAGGGATTATCCGTACATGGAAGGCATATTGGAAAAAGCAATGGGTTTTATATTTGATGACTCAATATAACCGTGGTTTTGATCCACTGTCTACTATGACTGTTTTGCAAGCAATTCGATGGGCAATTTCTGCCTGGGAACTTGATCTATCTAAAGATACAGTCAGAAACTGCTTTAAAAAGACTCTTTCTGTTGAAGATAGTAATGAGCTTATTGATGAGCAACTTATAAACATAAATGAGATAAAGCAAGGACTTCAAAATCTAAAGCTCTCAAATAGTATCCGTGATATTATGGATATTAATCAGTTTTTGAATCCTGCAGACGAGCAGGTTGATGATAGTCTTATGGACATTGATTCTGCAGTTTTAAGTCAGTTTGCACCAGCCGAAGCTGTGGATAGTGATGAGGATGGGGATATACAGCCTCTACCAAATAATTACAGCTACAGAGGCATTAGAGGGCTAGTATACATTGGTCCTTTATCAGGAACAGCAAATTGATGGAGATATGGACCTTATCCGGCTTCTTATACGCCAGGAAAGGCTCCTTCTACAGATAAAAGCTCAAGCACAGCGCCAGGCTGATATCCAGTCATTCTTTACCTGACCATGCAGTATATGCCTTGTATCTAATAAAATAATTATATTGATCAATATAAGCGTTCTTCTATTCAGTATGGTGCAGTAGAGTAATATGGTGCTATCTATCTATATATATATATATATCCACTTTTCCAATTTAAGCAAAATCCTAATATAAGCAAATTTAGAGCCGAGCCACTTTCGTTGCTTATATCCGTGTTTTACTGTACAAGGGACCTGATGATCAGCAGAGGCGTGCGGAGCAAGTGACCCCATAACCAGCCTAACTGAATAGGTAGGAAAAATGACAAGAATGATACCGTTGGTCATTCAAATTCAGTAGATTGGGCCCTAGCGCCAAAGCACGTCTATTGGTATGTATATATGCTATGTGCCAGTAAAATAAATGCTCGACCAGGACACATGGCAGATATCGGATCTGATCCTTTAATGCACATTAATCTTAAGCTTGAACATTATGTGAACAAGGATGTAAGTAGTATTTGAATAAATATCCGCAGCTGAAATACAGCTGCTGGTTTATGGAATAGCTCTGCTATGAAACTTGGATTGTTGTATGTAGATTCAATTACTACCCTGGCCCGGCACTTTCTGTACTCTGTACTTTGCAATCATGTTTCTTAGGCATGTTAAGGTATTCTTCTTGTTTCTTTCAAGCTTACAGCTGGTCATTGAGAAGGTAATAACAATCATAATGATTATATATAGGGTAAAGTTGAATTGTATATAAGCTGTGGGATTCTTCCATACATGCGGAGTACTATTGTACGATTTGGACTCCACGTGGAGCAAAGTCTTCTAAATATTCTCTTCCTTCATGTGTGTGGGTGGTTTATAGATTGATTGGGCACTTGCCGTTTGGGCAGCAGTCCAGAGGTACTAAATAGGTAGTAGAATGTACCACTAAGCTATTGGCGAAAAGATGCATGCCAGCTCAGTGCCTTATCCCCAACGAGGAATGGAGTGTCGGAATGAGCGCTCCGTACATATTGTCAAAAAAAAAAAAAAAAAAAGAAAGATCTGAACCGAACGCAATGCAAAGAACGCGGGAAAAAAAAAAGGGAGGATTGACACAATACTGATACTTTTATTGCTCGGCCTGCCATGCCCAAATTCTGCCATCAGGCCCAAAATGACACTGTTTGGTCAGGTATTCAATTAATGCCCCTCTCCTTCCCTTAGTTTATTCCTTTCATTTCTGTTTCCCCTGGTTCTTTTGTATTTCCCACATTTTTAAAATATTCGTTGCCTCTTAATAGGTACTGTCTTCCCTTGATGGGACTGATTTTGTGCTTGACGGACTTTGCTCTATTTTAACATATTTTGATTCCGTCTCTTGTCCATTGACCTTAGCACTGATTTTACTATATGGCTTGAGGCATCAAACCCTCCTGTTCAATTCAGCAATTCTCAACATAGATACTTAAGGGTGGTGGGATCTATTTTCATGGCCTCAAGTTCAATTTATAGACCATTCCTTCTCTCTAGCAACAACTTTTAGTTTTCATGGGGTTTTTTTACTCCACCCCTATTTGATCCAGCGAAGCGCGCTGTGCTATGACGAGGACCGGAACGCTAAGAATAGTTATTGAGATCATTCTCATTTAAATTGACCTGGAGAATTCAATAGCTGGGAGTCTTTCGACCCAGTGACATCCATGACGTGAGCCAGTGTATTGTAACATCAAGATCGGCTGATTTTAACTACCTACCAGGTTTAATATCACGATTGGTCCTAGTCCGCATGGCTCGGACCATTCTTCGTTTTCTGATGAAGAGGATTCTTCTGGTGTTCAAGTCTCCCCGCCGTCTGACTCGGGGAGTCATGAATACCAGGATCCGTACGATGAATGGGCCCATCTACCTTATCCGGACGAGTTGAAACCATCTGATTCCGCTTCTCGACCCAGAACATCACACCGAACTCGTAGCCGCAACCCCATCCATGGCTCCTCCTCAGGCCGCCGCCAATCCGTCGCGAGACGCCATATTATGCAGGAACGAGAGCAATTTTCCCGCCATCCCCGTCGCCGCCCTTCACCCGATTCCCCAGAGAGTGTTGACTCGGCTGATGAATATGGCGGTGCTTATGGACGAACATCACATGACAGAAGGCTTTGGCCTCCTATGGCTCAAGGCTCAAGCTACGCCCATAGTTCCTCTCCCGGGCCATCATATGTCTATCCTAATGGTGCCCTACCGCACGGCCCATTGGCACAGTCAAGCAATTTCCACCCTCCTTCCGACCAGCTCATAAGGCTAAATCATCATGCGCAAGGCAGCCAACCAACTCCATACAATAATTCCGTTTATCCATATAGTGCTCAACTGCAGCAGCACCATGGCCCTTCTATACCGCCATTCTTCATGGATCATCATCCCGGGCACCGCACTTCAGCATCTCCTCATAACCGAGACGATGGACATAATGCACCCCAGCACCAGATACCGCACCCTTTCCAGTCACACGGCCAATCGCCGTATGGTGGCTCTCCAGTGAATCCTCATGATATGATTCCTTACGGACCAGGGGGTTACTACCCTTTCAGAGACCCTTATACCATGGTCCCAGGAATGATTCCACGCTATTTCAGTTCGTATCCTCGCGTGCCGTCTCCGAGTCACGTCCAATCGAGTGGGTCCCCTGGACCTATGGCAGCAGACGCAGCAAAAGACGAGGCCATTGCAAGGCTAGAAAAGCTAATCTTGGAAGAAAGAATGGAGCGGGAGGCGCGGGAAGCGCGTGAGGCTGCCAGGCAAGCTGTGATTGAACAGGAAGCCGCGGAGCAAGCTGCCAGGGAAGAGCGAGCGGCGCACGAGAAGAAGATAGTGGAGGAAGCTGCTTCTAAAGCTAGAGCGGAGGCCGAGCAAAAAGCTGCTGAGGAAGCAGCAAAAGCAAAAATGGAGGCAGAAGAAGCAGCGGCGGCGGCGGCAGCGGCAGCGGCAGAGGCAGCTACTGAGGCAGCCAATGCGGCGGCAGCGGAAGCAGTTGCGGCAGCGACAGCTGCGGCGTCAAATAAACCACCCCCAGAGAAGAAAAAGCCTATAAAATTTAAGGACGCTGTTGGGAGAAAGTTCAGTTTCCCTTTTGACTTGTGCTGTACTTGGCAGGTAAGGCTCGACCCTTCGCTGGCATAGCATTGTGTTTGACTGTGTTCCCAATCTAGGGCATGGAGGAGCTTATACGACAAGCGTTTCTTCATATAGAGATTATTGGCCCTCACGTAGCTGAGGGACATTATGACTTAGTGGGTCCTAATGGTGATATTATATTGCCGCAAGTTTGGGAGACTGTTATAGAGCCCGACTGGACTATAACAATGCACATGTGGCCTATTACAGAGAAGCCAAAAACGCCCGAACCAGTTCCGCCACCGGAACCTCCGGTCTCGGAAGAACAGACTACTATTGATGCTTCTACAGTACCCGAAAATGCAGCCATCGCTGTTGTTCCTGAGGAGTCAAAGAAGAAGCCCGAGTCAGCAGGTATGTATAACGGTCTGCCTTTTGTTATTTATATTTATCTTGATTTCGGATGTTTTCATGTTCTTTTCAATGGACTTATGCCTGTTTCTGCTCTACTTGCAGCTTGTCTAACTTGCTTATATAGGTACAAAAAAGCCGCGGACGAAGGCCCCGGATCCTGGCGCTTTTGCTATGTGGATGGTGGGCAGTAATCGCCTGAGATCAAACAAGTCTTTAAAAGTGGGAAAAAAGCCTAGAGTAATACAACACGGGAACTCTTGCCGTGTTATGTGATAGAGTTGGAGCCTCAGCCTCTAGCAATTGCTTTAGCTTTGTGCACCTCATATAGATGTGGTGATTGCGAGCCACATAGCTTGTAGGCTTTGTCGCCTATCTATTCCACCACGTCATTGAACATGACTCTGCTGAGCAGAAAATGACAATGCAAATGTGAGGCTTGGATGGAAGAAGTCCCTTGTAATTGGAACATTGGGTACACATTCCACAAGCACTTGGAGGCAATTGAGACTAAGGGCTGAAATTTCCAAATTTACTCTATCTCGAGTTGCTCTAGGGGGCATGGCTTTTCCTCTCGCATGTCGGGATTGGTTTCTCATGCCTCAAAGTATAACAAGTTTCTTTCTAATTCAGCTTTATATTTGGTACCCTTAATTTTTCCGAGCAATGAGCGTTATTGGCCCTCGCGACTATTAAAATCTCCAGGAACGGGAGCTACTGAGTATGAAATGAATACTGTAAGTATTGTGAATTCTCATCATGCCAACGATGTTAAGTAACGACTCTACTTTTTGGTCATAAACATATACGACGTGATGGAGGCCGGGTAATATTTATAGAACTTTCTGGGTCTGTACGTCTACGATACCTTAATAGCCACTTTTTTAAACGTAATTTATATGAGCCGTCCATTGCAATCTATTAAAAATCTAAATACATATCGCTAGCTCCATAACCCCACTATGGGACAAGGGGCTTCCAGTCAAGTTCTTGATTACCAATTGTGTCGTCTATAAGGGTCTCAGACATAGTACTTATTTCTTTCGTAGAAATATGACCACAGGGATCAGTGTCAGCGTTGCATCGAGGTTGTACTTTTTGTGCGGCGGTGAGTAGGATAGGTTTTCGTGGAATTGGTGGCGCTACTTTTCTGTGTGGTAGATTTGTGTGCAAAGGGGCAGGAATCCCAGTCTTTGTCGTAGTCAAGTGTGGGATTGCCTGGCGTTCAGTGCTTGACCGAATTGGAGAATCCGAGACATTGGCCCTTGGAGGAGGCGGAGGGTTCAGTGCAGCTCTATTTTCTCTATCTGAGTTTGCCCTGGCATGAGCAGGACCGAAAGCAAGGATCCAGTCAGAGTTGCTACTGGGAGAGAAGGGATTCGAGCTGCGGTCCAAGTTTAAAATGTATCCGTTGCCAGGAGGTTTCACAGTTGATTTCACAGGGGCTCCTTGTATATTATTCGTTAGAAACAAGGACATATGACAGACACTTGGCTGAATGTTCCAATGCTTTTTATTTGGATTCAAAAGTAGTGAGCATACCGTTTTCTAGCCACCATTTACGGTGATCTGAACTGGCTGGCGGAAATCTAGGTGTCTTAGATTTGAATTCTATGGGCTCCTTGTCACTCCGGATTGAACCTTTTTCAGTACCTAGGATTGAATCATTTGGGTTAGTCAGTCTTCGAGTATAAAGACTCCGCCTAAGTTCGTTCTTCAGAGTTTCATCAATGATACTGATTTCACACAGAAAGGTGGCCCAAACTGGGCGGTGATCTGAAAAATGCAAATTTGCAGTGTTGTAGTTCAGTTGATGAAGGTTTATACCCTTCCACAGTATTCTGTCACACCAGGCAGGAATGCGTGCTTTCTCTCTGCATTAATTAGCCTTGTTGTTGATCAGGTGACAGGACCACAAAGCTCACGAAGTGTCATATTCGCTACTGTAAATATCGTATTTGTAAGTAGGAGGAAACGAAATTGACCCCTCAGTGTAGAATTGAAAAGCTTGTCCTGCTAGCATCTGCAAATTCAACTATATGTCCATTTGGTTAGCAGGGGCTACAATACACATCATAGCCTATAAAAGGCGCAAAATACCTGGTCATTGTCGTAAAGTTTTTGATAGTCTTTTTGTAGCACGAGTTCTCTGACATTGTAATTGCTGAGGCCGATTCGATAATTGAAATCACCGAGCCATAAGATAGTGTCATGGTCTTCAATTGATCTGTTCTTTTGGAACCTTAATCCGTGGCATATAGTCTGATAGTCCCTGTTCCTTTCGTCGTAGTTTGCAAATCCGGCAGCAAGGTGTGCCGTAACAAAACAGATACGGGTGTTGGAATACTCCAAACGAATGGCACAACCCCCTTTGTTGCCAGCAATACCGGAAAGACCTGTCTATAAAGGAGGAAATGAGACATGTACTGGCGGATTAATAGATATTTTACATACCTTCTTAACATTTCCCTCTACATTTTTTATGTCCTTCAAAGCATCTTCTCTAACATATATCATAAGAGCAGCACCAACAAGTTGACCACTCCGCAAAAGAACGTACTTCGGAGCTCCCCTAAACTTCGCCGAGGTATTCAAGCAGTTCCCAACGGCAGCTTCCCAAACTTTACGAGTAGTTGGATTAGTAGACATTATCTGCTGGGGACTTAACGTGACTATCTCCTGTAATCCAACAGCAAATATAGTAGGACCTTCGTCTTCAATATCAGGCAGCAACCATGGCGCTAGGTCGACATCCGCTCCATAGTGACGTCCATTCACATTAAATGTCCCCGTCCAGATTTTGACAGTCTTGGTAAAAGAATACTCCGACATTCGCTGGACCAACTCTGCTGAGACCAAGTCGTTAATCGGATCATAGAGATGTACGGCTGTTTGATCCGTCAATCGCCCTAGTAAGAGATCTATCGTCTTCTGGCGAGCCTTGTCGGAAAAGTTATTGACATATAGTCGAGTTGCGGTCTTACGCGCATCTGCTAGCGCCCCAGCGATAGACATTTTTCCATGTCGCGTGAAGGAACTTTTTAAGGCACCCGTACCAGCATATATCTTAGACAGGGCATCTCCGTTATCCGCCCAAAGAGTTGAGTGTCTGAGTTGAACATCAGAATTCAATATCCCTCCTTGTTGGAGTAGGAATGATTCAAGAGCCATCGAACTGATGATATTTTGCACATGATTAGTCCTGTCTAGACAGTCTAAGCAGTTTGTCCGGAAAACACCCTCTTGTAAGAGGATAGTGGAGGAACTCATTGGCAATTTCTTATTTTCGTTCAAGGAATTAATGACCGCGATGTTTTCAGATAAGAAGAAGGCAAAGCCGCTCAGAGAATGTGAGATTTCATGTTTGATGTGATTGCTAGCCGCATACCCTAAGGGACCTCGGGTTTCTGCGTGGAAATCAAATTCTGTAGTTCGTAGTAGCGTATGGTCTGACAATATATCGGACCCCATCTTTTGTTTTAATATACTTTCCCTGATATGCTCTCGGAATTTTGCTGACAGCTCAGCCTCTCCAGGCTTTAGTTCACTGAGTAGGTTGACCACATGTATCGCACCATACTCTAGCTCAAGGCTCTCAAAATGTTTGTTAAATGCATGCTGCGTTGCTTCACTGGATCGTGTCACATCAATTTTTTGTTGGCCTGGAAGAAACCCCGTCGCTTGCTCCCAGAAGATTGGCACTGAGCCACGAACTTGGACATAAGAAAAGGTAATCCCCGGTGGAATCCAGAGAACCGTTTCCGTTTCTACAAAATTCGCGACATTGCCGTCATCATCAATGCCACGGGAATTGAACCTCGTGCCCGCACGTCGAGATGATTGTCGGGATATTACTGTTAATGTTGAAGGGAAGTTTGTTTGCAATTGAGGCAGGATAGAAACAGAAGCTGGGATTGTAAGGGTATTAGAAAATCCCCGTATAACACATGTCAGGATCTGACAAGAGTCTAAATACTGCCTTTCAAGAGGCGACAGATGACTCCTGAAAAGAAGAAGAGGGTGAATCATGTACGAGTTCCACAGCATGTCTCGATCTAGAGACTCAATATCGAAAGTCGCCGATTTGTCCGAGCTGCCGGCATGTCAGCTCAGTTTGACCTCATCACTCACCTCTAAAAACAGCAACAGCAGCAGTAACACAACAAAACAAAACGAATAAGCTCACCGGTCCTGTAGCCTGTCTGTGAGATTAAAGTCAAGGCTATAGTAGAAACTGCCATCACCAAGGAGCTTTTTTAAAGACAAGAATGGATGCTCAGAAACGAGCTCTCTGTTCTCGGTGCCGTGGGTGAACTCTTCGGTGGCCAAAGATGAAGGGGACTCATAATCAAGGCCATTCTCATACTCTGAATGACTGAGACAAACTGCCCCTATTAGAGCAGAATATATAAGGGCACCAATATGGAAGCCTTACAGAAATCCACATTCTCAATTCGTGAAATGTTCTCCCCAGGCCTGACAGTTGCAGCTTTTGAGTAGCCAGTGACAACGGAGAGAAATACCTCCTCGCCTAAAGTTATCAATCCAAGTGTACCATATCCATCTCCTAGTTTGCGATAGCTGCTCAATTCTACGTCCTGTAATTTAGAAAACTCCACTAGACAGCGTGTCCTGTCATTACTGCGTCGCTGGTGGCTGACCTCCGGCTCTATAGAGCTATGTTGGAAAATCAAAATATAGTCGCTGGTGGCCAAAGCTAGTGATCGCTGAGGATGGTCCTTAGCTAGGACTCGCAAGCTAGGCATTGTTTGGGCATAACTGAATGATCATAGTGATGCCATATGAGCCCATGGAACTGTAAACCCCATAGGATAGGTGCCGCCCTGCAGGATGGAGTACACATGGTGGGTGTCGGCTTTTTGGATTTAGTCACCCAGATAGTCCTGGCTAAAATGGGCAGGCGGTCTGCTTAGTCCCCCGATTGTATTGGCTGTGGATAATGGTACCAGTAGCCTCCAATTTTCATATCTAGTTAAAAACTTGGCTGGTTATTGGTCTTAGTATTCAGAATTTTACTTCTATTATTTATTTTATGTGCCGTTACCTATTTGTTTCAGTTATAGCATTGTGTCTGAAGTATATTACTGCTCATAGAGTATTTATTAATACAGATGGGTTTAGCAGCGCCTCGAAAGTATGTGGACTTCCCTTTCGCTATTGTGTAAATAGGTATCTAATTTCGAAATGGGTTTAGAAAAACAAAGATTTCCCATGACCCCAACAACACGAATTGGACCCGATCGACCAGTGGTTTTGGACATAAAATTCTCAGCGCCCACGGCTGGACTCCAGGCAGTTTTCTAGGTGCACGTAATGCCGCACACGCTCATCTGTTCACCGCCGCAAGTGCATCCCATATACGAGTCGCGCTAAAGGATGATACACTTGGCCTTGGAGCAAGGCCTAGAAGAGATCCTCTAGATGAACCCACCGGTCTTGATGCCTTTAAGGGGCTTCTAGGCCGCCTTAATGGAAAATCAGATGCGGATTTAGCAGCTGATCAGCGAAAGAGCGACGATGCCAAGCTAGCCCGGTATGCTGTCACGAAGTGGAAAAATGTCCAGTTTATTAGCGGTGGCTTGCTATCACAAGAGAAGAACGATGATTTCGTTGTTCCAGAGCTGCAGCCAACGCAGACAGATCCTCAAGTGACCGGTTTGAATACTGGCACACGAAAAGTATCAATAGATAGGAATTGTTCTGAAAGCGGTATCAAAATGCAGAATACAGAGCGGAAGGACACACAAGATCTTAATTCCGATCGAAACTCCCCTCTACCCGAGAACCAGCAATGCAAGAAGGACAAAAAGGACAAGAAGGACAAGAAGGACAAGAAAGATCAGAAAGGCCAGAAAGACCGAAAGGTCAAAAAGGATAAGAAAAGGAAACGCAAGGAACAGGATAGGGGTGATGATGATTCCGAAACTGGTTGCCAAAACAGAACCAATCCCGACCTGGTGGCTACAAATGATGGTAGCGACACGCTCCTACGAAGTGCCAAATCATCAAGAGAGCGTCGTCCAATGGGCCGGCATATGTTTAGAGCTCGACACATTGAGCAAAAGAAGAAAGCCCTGATGGATGATAGATCTCTAAATGAGGTAATTTATGCCTCCCCTTTCTGTTGACTTTGTATCACCAACTGGAATACTAACTTTGTCCAGATATTTATGGTTAAATCGTAAATTCCCCTGAACTTAGTGTTAATTTTTATTTATGGAAGTGACGGAGTGAATATTTATGTTTCTGGGGACCAGAGGACCCGTTTAGACCTGCTTGCGTTTTGGTCATAGCTGGCAATAGAGAAGTATATATCTTGGCCTTTAAGCCATTTGTTTAAAAATTGGGATTGTGTGATGGGATGGGATTTTCTGATATAGCTAGACTACCTTCGAAGATAGGCAAGTAACTGTTAAAGGGATTTACCTGCTCCGGAGTATATTAATTATTTGGAAATTCCATTATACTGCATTCTGTATCGGAACCAGCCCATAAGACTTTGACTTATAGTATAATGTATTTAAGAAAAATATCAAGGTAATCATGACCGACTACACGGCTCTATGACTCTGAATAAATTACCTCAGTAAGCTAACTAACTGGAGCAAAGGACGAGTATTCTCCGTGATGCCTGTAAAATTCTCGATAGGGTGCCCGTGGACACACCGTCTCAGCGGGTTCATCGTACCTAACCCAACACAGAATAGTACATACAGAGAGTATACTCCATAAGTTACAGGGTATTTACTCCGGAGTACTCTGTCGTTACCTAAGAGCCAACGACACAAACAGGCAACATAACCTATTCTTACCACCTGCAATTCTAAAAGCTATTGGAAAACAAAAAACTGACGCCCGAGCACCTGGACTGTTTGTCACATCGCAAAATAAAAAAGGGGTTGCAGCACCATTCTACGCGACAAAGGAAGAAGACTGCATGTGCTACTGGGTGAACGGCTGGACTCTACAGATCGCAACCGAAGTTGTCAATATCCTCATCATCACAAGCATTGGGTCTAGCCATCAAGCGCACTTCTGACAGGGATAAGAAACGCCTGAACGAAAAGGGAAGATTTCGACCTAGTAATGATAGTACAGCTTCTTTAGAGATACAGCCTTTTTCGGCAACGGGGCAAGCTCATCGGGATGTCGTCGTATGATCTCCGGTCATGGACTGAAGCTGAGAACAGCAAACTTGACAGTTTCCCTGAATCTGGAAAGGGGAGAAAAGGGTAAGCTATTTACATTCCTACTTGTTTGAATCAATAAAGGTACAAATAAAGACAGCAGAGAAAGAGGAGAGGCCAAGCAAGGCTTTTAGTTCAAATTGTCTGACCATTACATTCCAGGATTCGTTGGGCGCCGCTTAATATAGGCTTTGAACGACGTCTGCAGACGTTCATTGTTCTCTGCCATACTCTAACAATCGCTATATTTCTTACTAGCTTCTTTTTCACATGTGCCTTGCCATTGTCCTGGCCATTGCTCGTACCATACCTGGTATATATCTCTTTATTCTCGACTGCTGCTACGTCGGGAACGTTGAGTGGTAGAAGCGATTTTCTGCGCTCGCTTAGAGTATGGTCAATTTACGCTTCTTATTTCCCTGCTCGCCTCCACCGGTCAGAGGCCCTTTTGCCGACACGAAAATATATATTCGGATACCATCCACATGGGATAATCTCACATGGTGCTTTCGCGGCATTTGCAACAGAAGCTCTTGGCTTCTCGTCTCTTTTTCCGGGAATCACCAACACTCTCCTTACCCTTGATTCCAATTTTCGGATTCCATTTTACAGAGAATACGCTCTTGCAATGGGCATTGCCAGTGTCTCACGCGAGTCCTGTGAGAACTTACTCACCAAAGGTGGCGCTGATGGCGAAGGAATGGGTCGTGCTATCACGATTGTCATCGGTGGTGCTCGCGAATCCCTCCACGCCTTACCATACTCGCTTCGCCTCGTTCTTAAACGGCGAAAGGGCTTTATCAAACTAGCTATTCGCACTGGGGCTGATCTTGTACCTGTGCTAGCATTTGGTGAAAATGATCTCTATGAACAAGTACGGCCAGACCAGCATCCTTTCATACACAAGCTTCAGATGCTAGTAAAACAGACGATGGGGTTTACTATCCCACTCTTCCATGCTCGGGGTGTTTTTAATTACGATGTGGGTTTAATGCCATATCGTCGTCCACTAAACATAATTGTAGGGAGCCCCATTCAGGTAGTGCAAGAGCGTGACAGAAGCAAGATCGATGATGAATATATCAACCATCTTCATGAGAAGTATGTGCTAGAACTGGAAAGATTGTGGGAGCAGTGGAAGGATGTGTATGCTAAAAATAGAACATCGGAACTGGAGATAATTGCATGATGTGGTCATGGGAGTTATTCTAGGAGCTTCTATGTCTGCCAAAAGGTTGTGTGATCATCAGGAATGGACCAGGGGGTCTATTCTGAGACTTCTAATCATTCCTCGGCTCCCAAGGCACCTGCCAGTCTCTTTCATTTAATAGTACCTCGAAGATTCGCCACATAGCTGAGACCTGGGTAGATTTTTGTGCACGCATCCGATGTATCCCCTACATAAAAACAAATCCTGCCGAGGATAACTGAAAGGCTTCAAAGTGCCGGGTAATAACAGACAGCTGTTTCGAGGATAGTAGTAGTCCATTAAGGATTTCGCTTCGGACTTGGAGGTCATTCCTTTGACTCCTGTCGTTTATATACTTACGCCGGGAAAAATATAGGATGAGTCCTACCTAGAGCTAATAATACCAGTGTTGACGCGGGTCTGATTAAGGTTGCCTGCTGACTGTACCGCTTTCAGCAAGTTGAAGTTATTTGAAGTACCTGTATTGATTTTTTTTCCCGTAATTGGATTGCAGCTGATAAGACAAGAGTGCAATGTAAACAATAAGCTGGGTATCTATAAAGCAAAAGACAACAAACTTCACAAGCGGGAGGAATCTTATCCAGTTACTCCGTATGATCGTACCAGTATACTAATAATATCATGGAACAGGAAAGTACATAAGCAAGCGGGCGACCTCAGGTCGGATATGACTCTTTAACAGCATTTCCAGCAGTTGTATGCCCTGAATTCAAGCCCGGAACGCCAGTCATTAAATTAGACGCGCGCCGAGACTCTGCAGCAACTCTTACACTCCCATGAGAGCCCTTGACCAATTGACCGCTTTCAACCCGGTCTTGGATCATTTCGTCCAGAATTCGAGACACTTCATCCATGCTTTTTCGCCGGTCATGAGTTTCACCGCCTTGTGCCGGCGAAAAAACCTCAGGGGGAGAGTCAATGGCTGATGAACTAGTGCAATCACGGGGGTCCATGTAACCAGCCTTATCTCTTCCATCGACAGAATTTGGATCTGGTGTGAGATGGGCAAGATCTCGGTGCCGTGCGGCAGACCGAAGCGCGGCAAGCATTCTGTCCTTGTCATCCAATTGTTGACGGAGCTCGTTTATTTCCATATCTTTCTCACGGAGCAGAGCCATCGTGTCAACGCTCTCGGATGTGGAAGTTCCGGGTTTGATTCCAATTGATATCCGTGAATGACTTGAGCGCCGGGCCTGTAATAGACGTCTTTCTAAGGTAGAAATATAACGATTTTTATCTCCCAGATCAGCTTGAAGAGCGGCGATTTGTCTCTGTGCGCTTGCCTTCCCATCTGCAAACTCGCCCATGGTGTCCTCCTCATCCTCGTTACCAAAGGAGCCGCTCGAGAATGGGAGGTTTGGTGAGAGCTCATTACTGTTGACAGAAAGAAAAGAAATAGGTCGAATAGAGGAATGTCCATATGCGCTCAAAGTAGACTGGCTAGCCGAGGAACGCAGAGATCGAGAGCTTGATTCATTGACCGACATTCGAGAGAGTCGACCAAGAGCAGACGAGCTATTCTGACTGTTCACCCCAGTGGACTTTGAGCAGAGTATCAGACGGTTGAGATGCTCTATTCGTTCTTTCAAAGCCGTCCGAGCCAATTGCATTTCAAGCATTTGCTCCTCGTGTCGCGCCTGCGCTTCTTTTTCTAATTGTTGCTTTTCTAACTTCAACTCTTTCTCAGTTTGGGCCTTTGTCTGACTCTCGAGTTGGCCACGAAGGGCTTGGATCTCCATACGGTAACGCTCCAAAAGGACTCGGCTACCTGCATCACTGCCACCGCTACCGAACGCCTCTTCTGCTCTTCTAGCATGACTCACTATATTGTTCTTGGCCCGAGCAGCAAATTTTAGAGTATTGAGAGTTTCGGCTGCTTGAGAATTGGCAGTTCCACATAGCTGAATGGTACATAGGATACTAACAAGAGAATTTCCCGATAAAGCCGGTTGTAGCAATCTCGTAAGTTTGCTGTCTCGATAGGGTAGATGTCTCCCTTCTCGATCAGTTGAATTAATGGGCTTATCCTTGTCATCCGAAAGTCTTGATATAATAGTGCCGAGGGTGAGCAAGCTTTTATTTATATGAGCACCTTCAGTGCGCCGTTCCTTGTCTTCAGCAGCCCGCTCTGATCCGGCCAAGTCTATCAAGCTTAGGGTTGACACCCTGACACCGCCTGGTGCCAAGCCTGATCGTCTATCCTGGGAGGCGACGGCCGGCACGCGCTCCCTGCTTTCGACAACAATTTGAACGACTGCGTGGCTCCGGGAACTGCGCGCATTAAATTGCGTACTGCCGGTCCGCCTTGAGTGGTCGCCCCTCGCGATCACGCGGAGAAGTTGAGTTGGGCTTTGCACTATTTCCTCTTTTAAAGGAGTAGCATACACGCCTCGTTTGCTATCTTCACGCAATTTGATTTCTTCCTGCTGGGAGGCTGCAACCCCACCTGAACCCGAGGCGGAAAGTAGGTCATAGATTTTTTCGTTGTATATTTCCAAATAACTGACACGAAGCAAAAATTCTCGATGCGGCGTTTCCCTAATGAAGGAAAATATATCTGTTATTGCCAGCGGTATCACTCCTGGAGACGTAGCGATGCCTTGCATTGAAAAAGTCTTTCCCGTTCCGGTCATGCCGTATGCAAAAACAGTACCATGATAACCCTCCATTACTCTTCTCACAAGGCGTTTTGCCGCAGCATCGTAAACTCTAGCGTTATTCTCGTGAGGAGTGAAGACGTTATCTATACGTATTAAAATAGAAAGTCAGCCGAAGAACTTCGAGGGGTTGAATCGCTCTATGAACAGCCTTACCATAATAATAATCGCCCCCTTCTTTCCCACTATAGGAAATAAGGCCTCTCCGTGAATCTATTATCCAATCCCCACTGGTCTTTGATAAATCACCCTCATTGACATCTGGACGGAGACGCACGCTCACAATGACGTTGCCTTTAACTTCCTTCGACTTTGAGCCTGAGCTGGCCATGCCAATCGTGTCATCAGTATCTTCGAAAGTGGTTGCGCTTGTCGAATATGATCCTTGCGCGGAAGAACACCTGCTCTGAGATGGAGAGGCTTCTGAATCCCGAAGTTCGGTACCAATAATAGGTCTCCCATCACCCCCGCCGCTCAATAAAGAAGGGACCTTTGAGCTTCGATGGCTACTCGTGGTCCCGACACTTAATCTCGGGCCTTTTTTTACCTTCACGCTTCCAGACGAACGCACACTTTGGAATCCCGTAACAGACGATGAAGTAGAAGGGCGGCTTGCTGCTCCTGGAGGTTGAGGGAAGGCTGCAATGCTGATCGTTCTACGCAGCGTCTTTTCGGGACTGCTGGGGGTGCGCGTTCCAGAAAATGACCTGGGAGCGCTGGCGTTAGAGCTTGAATGGCACAGAGGTGACTTGCTGAGCGTTGGTCTTGGACTAGAGGGGGCTCGCAATTTAGAAGATATCTGATATGGGCTTTGCGCTCTTGTAGTATCAGAAGAACTAGGTGAAGTCTTTCGTGATTTCGGGGCTGAAATAAGGGATGGAGGCCCAGCCGCGGGAGCGGCAGGATGTGAAGGTTGAGGCAATGTGGACATGGGGACGTGGTGATATATGTATGCTTTTTGGCTACCTGTGATTGCGAAGCTCGGGAAGCGGAGTAAAACGGTATGAAATTAATATCAGATTCGGGCCTGTCGGCCATACGCAACTGAGCCGATGATGTGAACTGGGGACGTTAAGCCCCCAGTCGAGGTTTGAGCTATGTAAAAGTAAGATAAACTTTCCATGCAATGTCGTGCGAGAAAGACAAGTGTGATAGTGAGATACGAGGAGATTGGGGCTAACCACGAAACTTCGGCACCAGGCACAGAGTAGAGCCAAGATAGAAGAGAATGGAGGAATCATTGTAAACTGTATACTTACAATAGTTGACCGTCAAGTCCTATGATACCGTGACTGGCTAAGGACCTGCAGACTGCCCTTGGTCACTTCTAGAGGAAGCCTGAGCTCCTATTCCTGTACGAGCCCGTCTTTTCCAGCCTAGTACTCAAACACCTGGCTGGCTATAATGCTAGCAGCAATCAGAGTCCACCAGTAGCAGAGAGAGGGTCAAAAAAAAAAAAAAAAGGAAGGACGTAAGAAGCCAAGAAAAGGAACGAGACAAAGAGTGAGTGAATGATAGAGAGTTATGGAAAGAGATGGTGATAGGGGATGGAGGAGGGGTGGAATGCTAAGAAGTTAGAGGCTGGCAGATATACGAAGAAATTGTGGTGTGATGAAAGAACAATAGGCAGCCAAACGACTCGGGAAACCCGCCAGAGCAGAGCTCTGGATGATCGCAATGGCAGACTGTTGGCACGGTGAAAGAAAGGATGGGAGGAGTAAGTACCTAGAGGTGGCGCAAAAGGACTCTTTTAGTCCTTCAGTCGCGTCTTGAAGGAGCGGGACGCATGGTGCCTAGTGACCCCTGTTGTAGGAAAACAGACAGATTCCCCTGCGAAACAACACTGCATCAAATGGTCAGATTGTTTTCATTTGTCGGGAATTATTCCAGGACTCTGTTATCAATAATTCATAAGGATTTGACAAAATTATTAACAGAGATAGCTAAGAGGGTTTGTTGATCGTGCATAATTTTTTTAATAGAAAAGCAATGGAAGTACTTCCATACTCCGTACGTACTAAAACTAGAACTATATTGATTTAAAAATTTAAGATACCCAGGTACCTAGACTCCAGAGCATGTATATATTACACTATAGAATACTCTGTATAGTGTTCCATAGAATAGCAATACACAAGACCATTATCCCAAGGAGTGTAAAGTACCTGATATGGACTAGATACTGTGGATGCCCCTCTCCCTTTGGAGAACTTTATGTACTTGTTATTTATTAGGAGCAAGGGAACAATTAGTCCTCTGTACGGATTACTTTGAGTAGAAATGTTAGATATTTATTATAAAGCGACTTGGTATTTTCGGTATTTTGTTCAACCCCTTGTTTGCCTTAAGCAACATCCTTACTTAGTTACCTCTGTACCTAACTAGATCTTCACTTACAATTACTACCTAAGGTACTCCGTACATATGTGACTTGCATCAGTGGTATATTAAATACAGAGTATATATGCTCTTCAAAGTTTGCTTCCATAGAAGAATAGGAGGTTTTATAATAGTTGCGTTATTAGTACAGAGCATATTCATTGTGAATATGGGAGCAATACAGAGTAATAACCCAATAAAAATAGCCAGCCACAATGGTTTGTTTCATTGTGGGCGGCATATTGTATTGTACTCGCCTACTAGGTAGCTGCTAGCCTCCGCAGCGCTTTTGGGTCGGCTCGGCATAAATTCCACTCCACACTCGTACTATATGGAACTTTAAGTACTGGTTAATTTTAGTAGGTTCTGTAGGTTTCTTGATCATCTACTTACCTAGGTACCTATGGATACAGTCTACCCAGTGTATCAGCTTGGAGAGTGGGTATATGTATACGTACGCATGGAGTATTTGGTTATGGATACTACAGTGACTATGCAAGAAGACCCAGACATCATGGAGTATAAGGCCCCGTACTCCGTACAGACTACAGAGTAAGGGAGATGTGGAAAGGGGGCCAATAGCAACTTGAGGGCTTTCTGTTAAAATATAAGACCCCAATCCTATGGAGAATCTCCAACTAAAATGGGTCACTACCAAGACGCTAGATTCGCTAGGCTCATTAGTCACTACTCTGTACATATTTCTAAACTTACTCAAGGCTCCATTTGCCTACTCCATAAGCCAATCCCTTACCTAGATGGGATCTAGTAGGTGGTAATCTTATGGCAGCTTGGATGTTGGTTGAAACATGGGGTAGACTCTTTAATTTGTATGAAGACCACAGCTTAATGTGCACATTTTGCCAGAAAATCGGAGTGGAAGCTACTGGTTTATTGCACTAAAATCCAACTGCCGAGCCGTATTCTTAAATGGGGTATTGTCGACCTCACCAGCTCTTCTTGTCAAGTCATTGCCCATTTTCTTTGGGCCGCCAGACTTCTTTGGTAAATCTGCCTTATCTGTCGGTCTCGGTTCGGTTGTCCACCAATTGTGCTGTAAGACCCGGCATGCCGTGTTACGCTTTCTCGGATCAAGAGTACACATTGACATTAGTAAGTCGGCACCAACAAAACCAGCAGTTGGGAACTGCCGCAGGAAGAACTCCCGGCCTTGTAACGGCACGGTGCGGGCAGGATCTGAGGGTATGTAGTTGGGTAAGCGGGTAACTCCTGGCCAATGTTCTTCGGTTGGGGTACCAAATGCTTCACAAATCTTAGAGATTTGGTCAAGATCAGAATTCCCAGCGACAAACGGAACTCGCAAAAGAAGCTCCGCGAATACCATTCCCATGGACCAGATATCCACAGCGCCCGAATATTGTCGTGCACCGTAGAGTAGCTCGGGCGGTCGATACCATCGTGTGATAACCTGGTGCGTCATGTTCAGGTAGGGGTCGGCAAACGATCTCGCAAGGCCAAAATCCGCCAGCTTAACCTCCCCGTCGGAGGCAATAAGAAGGTTGTTTGGTTTAATGTCTCGATGCAGCACAAAACTCTCGTGACAGAACCAGACCCCTCTGGCAAGCATACCCATCCAAGCCTTTACGTCAGCCACGCCATAATGTACATCCACATCTTTAATGAGCATCTCAAGATCACCACGCGGTAAATACTCCAAAACTAAATTAAGATTTTGGTCTTTGGAAGAGAATACGTCGTGAAGTGCGATAATATTCGGGTGCGACAATTCCTGTAGGTACTTGACTTCGCGAATGGCATCCATTGAGAGCCCATCCTTGTACTCAGTATTGACTTTGATTTTTTTTATAGCAACAAACGATGATGAATCGGTTCGGTGGTGACCAAGATATACTACAGCGTAGGTACCTTCGCCAAGTTTCTTATCTGTAGCGTTGCTCATTAGTGTTCAATGCACGAGATATAGGAAAAGGGCGAGAGGAAATGAAGAAATGGGGATATTTTCACCTTTAATGTATTTATGCCTAATATCATCATTTAATTGTTCAGTGAGCTCACGATCTGTATACTGCATAACCTGGGGTGATGGCATATTTCCCTGTCCACTGGGAGAGCCCCGAGCAGCGCCATTTCTCAAAGCCACTGTAGTATTAGATGATAATATAACAGCAGAAGGAGTGTTAGAGACTAAAGGTGACATCGCCATTTCTTAGAGCTGGATATGCAAATTGTACTAATGCAAATCGGTTCTTGTTGTTGCTTGCGTGGCAAAGCACTATTCTGACCAGATCCTGCAGTGGCTGAGCAGCTTGAATGATCTCACTCTATAGCAGTCATTAAACATATTCCACTAGCGATCTGTAGTGCTGGCGAAATTCTTAGTAAAAGTAAGTATCTTGCAGATTGCAAATGTTACAACTACTAGATGTTTGTATGGAACTTGAATCCCGGAGTTTTGTTGATCCTGCTGCGCGCCAAAATTTCTCTAGCAGCTTCGTGACACCCAGGTAACACAACCGCCGTATGAACAATTGAAGACCTCTAATACCAGCACATATTGCTTTCTTTTTACTTCTCCTCCCCCAAGGTCTTATGGGTCTTTTATGGCCTTTATTACTTGAATGATTCTGGACACACAAAGCATTGCAGAGAACCCAGACGCTACTTGACCAACCATGGCAATATACTGCTCTCTTTTTTCATCTCCCCGATTTATTAGACCCTGGGCTATTGGGAAAATATACGTTCGATACTTTCATAAGCACACGCCTCCTCCATTCATACCCTCGCCAACGCCATTTGTCCCCGATGTCCACACTTTTCTTAAGTTGATTGGCCGTGGCATGTCTAAACATGCGAGCAAATTTTCTTCCTGGGACAAATTATTTGCTCTCAGTTCATCTGAGCTTCGTGGTTTGGGTATCGAACCAGCTCGCCAGAGGCGTTATTTGCTCCAGAAGAGAGAAAAGTTTAGGCAGGGGGTTTACGGGCCTGGTGGTGATCTGGACCACGTTGTTGACGGTGCTGCACAGCTGAGAGTTGTCGACGTTCCTTCGGATACCAGTGGTTTGTCAAAAAGCGCTTTCTCCGCAAATACCTTTGGCTCTTCAGCTACCTTGTCTCCGGGGATGAGGAAAGCTATTGTGAACATCGATCCCGATGCTACCGAATACATACATGATCCGTCCAAACCACTCAGGAGATTTGCGTATATGAAAATCCACAGAGGCTCTATGGTTCGCGGGCCATTTTTGCAACCTATCAAAGGGACAAATGGTTGTGCGTCTTTAATACGAGCCGAGGAGGGTATGTGGGAAGATAAATTAGGACACAAAGTAGATGGCGGTGAGAGAAGGCGTGCTGAAGTCAGAGCTAAGAAGAAGAGTGAGGAAAGGAGGAAAGGAACAGCATGAAACTCGGGTTTAGCAGTTTGCTGTAGTATGTATCATTACCTAGTCTGATGTATTTGTTATTATTGAAATGTAGCGGCCCTTTTAGGTGACCGTCACCCTAGTAGCAATACACAAGAAAGAAAAAAGAAAAAAAGAAAAATCGAGAAGAGAAGGGGTGAGAGACTGAACACATGAAATGCCAATTCTTGGAAAAAGCGGTAATTTACAACACTGGAGGTGAGATGATAACCGCAGTATGGCCATATGTATATACCACATGCTGGCACGGCTAGATGGCCAATGTGATGTGTAGCAATTCCCAGGTCGGCTCTTTCTTTCGCAGTCTTCGAAGTCATGCCACGGTCCTCGTACGATACATAACCTAGATCGAATAATCGAAAGGAATATGAATGGGAACAGTGTGACCATCATGATTTCGGGGCTTGTCGTTTCTCGAACTGCACGAAAGATTTACCTAAGGGTTTTGAGAAGAGGCTCTGTGGAAAATTTTAGCTACGACGGTCTAAGGCCAGATTGATAAGATGGAAATGCTTACCGAGTAGTCCGTTTCCGGCAATTTTTCAACTCCTGGTAGATTGTGAAATTTGAAAAGCCGTACCAAAGCTGCAGTTATTGCTCCCAACTGAATATAAGCGAACTGCTCGCCGATGCACCTATGTCTTCCGGCGCCGAATGGGAGATATGGGCTGTTGGTGCCTTTGGTAACTAATCCGTAACCATAGTCAACTTTCTCTTCATCATCGGTGTCGACTGTGATGGTTTCATCCCAACGGTGAGGGTTCCATTTGAGAGGGCTAGGGAAATGTTCCTCCGATCTTGCAGTAACACCAGGCGAAGAAAGGACGTTATGTGTGGTGGGAATTATATAAGGTGTACCCTCCACAGGCATTGGATTTTTGACTGCTCGGATGATAGAATGGATAGGAGCATGGATGCGCAAGGTTTCTTTGATAATCTTGGCATGTAAATCCAATTTCTGTAGATTTTCGTAAGTGAGCGCAGGCAAATCGGGACCAAGAACACGAAGCTGTTCTTGGTAGAGCTCCTCCATAACATCAGGAGATGCGGCGAGGTGCAAAACAATCCACGCGGCAGTAGATGACGAAGAATGCTGACCGGCCATAAGTAGGGCGATCATCATATGTGCAATTTCCTCATCAGGGACTTGGGTGCCATCCTTGTACACACAGGACATAAGATTCCAAACCATGTCTTCAGAATCCTTCTTACCACCAGCTTGACGCCGTTGTTTGATAATTTCCATATAAGTTTCTGTCATCTTTTTCTGGGCTGCGTCACGTTTCCGATTATGGGGAAGGGGTGCCCAGGGTAACATGAAATTGATAGGGGCAAAACCCATATCAAGGTTATGATATAATTCTGCAAACGTGGAATCAAACTTGCTCCGAACTTCCTTCCCTTGAAGAGATCGCGACGCCGTGTATATGGTGATTTCAGCAATTGTTTTGGATACGTCGAAGACCCCATTTTTGCCTTGAAAAGCCGAAGAGTTTTGAACGAAGTCCTCCACCTCTTCCGTGATTAGGCGAACATAAGAACGAAGGGCGTCAGATGTAAGTCCAAATTTAACAAACTATGGTCATCAACAAATTAATTCCAATTTTGTCTTGCAATTCTCGCTTACTTTTTTCTGTTCCATGAGTTTGGAATTGGGACAGTCGTACACCACATTGCGCCCAAACACAGGTGTTGTAAGTGGTGAGTAAACCTCCTCGGCGCAGACATCCCTGAGCTTTCCATTCAAAATGAAGTCATTTCCTTTGGTGCCCAGATATACTGTTGTTTTCTTTCCGAGAAGAATAAAAGTGAAGATGTCGCCGTACTATGGAAAGGAGGGGAATAGTAAGCAAGGAGAACTGGGTATGATCCAGGATTTAGAACACAAGGTACCTACCTTAGCGCGACAATTGAAAAAAAATCTGTACGGGTCCATGCCATAGCTAATGGTGCTACCAATAAAGGGAAACCAGTGAAAGACCACGGGGGGTTCTTGGGGGGTTTTAAATAGGAGCTGTCGCAAGACATTGACAATGACTGACAAAGTGAGCAAGGAAAGCAACACCAATCCAGAAAGAACTCCAATGGGCAGACTTGAGCAATGCTCGCAGAGGGTATCGAGAAAGACCGACAGGAGGCCCATGGTTGTGCAGGGCCAGTAATGGTGGAAGGTAAGTTAGTTGTTAGATAATGGCATGAAAAATGAGTGTCGTGTGTAGTGGTACCCTCCTTGTCTTTCAAGGAGTCTGTGAAACAAGTAACCCCCTTTGGCAAGGTATTCCAAATGAGGGAGTTGGGGCCCGAGGAAATCGAAGTAACTTAGGAGTGAGTGGGAAAAGAGGGCAACGGAGCCTCCCGTTGTGGGCTATGGGCGATACTAAGCCGCCTATAGTCGCTATTAAGCCGCCCATAGTCATACCTACTCCGTATACATTAACTACTTGCTCGGTACGAAGTACCTTACCTAGAGACTTATATAGCGCCAGGGGTTGTATTTAAGTCGGTAGCCGTTCTTCATATCTTAAGTGAAGTCTGCTGCGAGCAACAAATGGCACTGCGAACCACGCCATTTCGTTGCCTGTGTGCCGGAAAGTTTGGAACATAAACACTCAATACGGTACATACCTTGTATTTAGTATCTATTCATCCAAAAAGCTGCCACCCTTGGGTGATGCGACTGTCACGTACTATTTACTTCCAATCTATATCTAACTCTTCCAGTTCAGAGAATATACCCTTTCTCTCATCTGATACATCTTTGAATAATTATTATTAGGTCCGCTGAGCATGATTACTTTGACATATGCCTAACCCACTGAATCTCTGTCGTACTGTACATATATACGCACACATCAAACGAAGATGTGGTAATATCTTACCAATGAATCAATAAAACAAAATCGAAGAATTGGTCGATGTAGCTAGATAACTACTACAGACCGACCAGGCAAGTCAGAAGATAATATCGCCGCCCTAATCCCAATACGTTTCCCTCAGAATCATGGCTCCATGTAACACCCCTACAAAAGCCACAGAGAGTGGTGGTACTCAGCAACTAAAAAGACTTCACTGGTAATCACTTGTCGGATCATCCTCGAACAGAACAGGGTCACCTCGCTCACCAAGATTGGCGAAGTCGTTAGGGGCGCTATTCTCTTCAGGAGAAGCTTCGTCATGAACTTGACCAACTTTTGCAGGGCGATTATGCACACGTTTGCCTGCGCTGTTCTTATAGAAGACCTTCACTGGCGTGCCAGACCCCTCCTTGCATTCACTGAATTGGACATCATTGACATTGCTGAGCAACGTTCGCTCACGCATTACTTTCCGTTTTTGAAAATCCAGCTTCCCCAGGGCTCCGGTCAGCCCGTCTGTGCTATCAGAAATGCTCGGATAGTTTCCGGTAACCCATGGATGTTCTAAACATTCTTCGACTGTTATCCTTTTATCCACTTCGACTGTGAGCATCCTGTCTATCAGGTCCAAAGCTATGTCGCCCACAGAGTCCCAATATGGGGATGGATAGTCAAAACGACCCATTTTGATCTGCTGCGCAAGTGTATAGGGGTTTTCACGAGTGTAAAGTTCGTCAGAGAACGGAGGAAACCCACAAAGGCATATGTAGAGTACAACGCCAAGTGACCAGACGTCTACAGCCTTTGTGTATTTGCGGCGGCGCGACTCTTGCAATATCTCTGGTGCCACATCTACAGAATGAGTATGTATGGCTTGTGATGTATATACCAGATAACTTACAGCTTGGAGTCCCACACCTGTGTGTTGAAGCATGGCAATTAGTAGCTTAAACGATGAACACATGGATTGGCATGGATAATTACATACAGAGTCGTCGTGAACGAGTCTTCTCCGATGATTTTGGCGAGTCCGAAGTCACCAAGTTTTACGGTCAATTTTTTGTCAGCAACTAAGACATTCTCGGGCTTAATGTCTCGATGAACTATCCCACGATCATGCTACTCCGCTTATTTTAGCATCACTGCCGCTAGTTTCAGGAAAAGGGGTTTTGATCCTACCAAATACTTAAGCCCCTCAAATAATTGAATAAAGATATGACGTGTCTCATTTTCCGAGAATTTTTGTTTGCTGACTATTAGGTTGAAAAGCTCACCTTCTGGAGCAAGCTCCAAAACAAGATACACACCATCATTCTCATCGAAGGTGTCCTTTAGGCAGAGTAAATTAGGATGGCTGACACCCATCAAAAGGCCTACTTCTTGTTGCAAAGAATCCGTTTGCGACTTTTGCGAATCACCAGGGCGTTTTTCAAACACCTTCACAGCAAACCGAGCTCCCGTAGACCGCTCTATGCAAAGGTAAACAGTCGCAAAGTGACCTTTACCAAGTTGCTGCAGGATTCTGTACTGTTGCCGGAAACCGTTCGCCTCCCTTGTCCGAGGGTATCTGAAGACAAAACGAGCCTCATCTAGAATTGTGACTTCGTCGCCATCCTCAAGTTCACGATGTTTGTTTCTCCCAACAATAGCATCGTTGATGAACGTACCATTGCTAGACAGATCTTCTATAATTGCGATAGAACCCCCCTTTCTATTCTCAGAAAATATTAAAAAATGTCGATTGGATACCGTAGGTATGTTGATGACCAAATCTATATACTGTCAGGTACTTGTATATTCATGTAGGTATCACATCGGCTGCCTACCACATTCGGGGTGACGACCAACCAAGTAGCCCCCGGGCGATTGTGCCCGCTTGCCTGATAGATTCTTCTTTTGGCGCCAGGAGTCTTTGTCAGACTTGCTCTTGGAGCTTCCGTTTCTTTGCTCGCAACTGTGCCGCTTTCTGAGAACGAGAGCATCTCGGAAATTGTCATCGAGAGGGATTAGATAGCCCCAAACCCCTTCAGCAGCCTCGTCTTCAACTTCATCCACAAATGCTCTGGGTGGATAAACAAATTGTGACAGCGCCTGAGTATCCCCAGGAGGGGAGGACCATGGATGAATTGGTTCGGAATTAGATGGAGTTTGTTCGCTAGCCTGGTTGGAGGCGTCCGGTGGAGTAGATGAGACGTCCGTTTTGATATCCGTTGCTGTTGAATTTTGTTGAGTCAAGGGAGTAGGCAGGTAAGAGGTGTTGATAGGAGTTTTCGAAGACTGGCTATGGGACGAAATTCTTTGTGACCGTCGCAGTTTTTTCATATCTTGTGAATCAACATCTGCACTGATCTTTTTTATACCAGGATTGTTAGCAATCTGCAATGGAATTAAATTAATCAAACATACTCTACTGCGTTTGAGGGAACTTTTCTCATTTTTGGGAGCCATTATTATTTAATTTTTCATTATCCTCCCATGCATCGAAAATTAAATAACTTAGATTTGATGGACAGGACGAGGGGCGATGTAGCCTGGAGAAATGTAAGTTGGATAACTGAAACTTTCCCTTGTTGTGATAATATTAATTCATTCTTGACTGGGCACACAGTGACCTTTTTAAGTTATAGGACTTAATACAAAACAAGAAGGGAAGTGGATCTGGGGCAAAAAAAGAAAACAAAGGCCTTGAGTATAATGAAGCTCGGTTTGGTGTGCCTTGATGTACCCTATGAAATAGCGACTAGTGAAGTAGTTACTTCACTTAGGACTTAGGTGGTGGGTAAGGCGATTAGATCGAGGGGACTCGGTTTACTCCGTACCCAGGTACATACATGTACACAGTACTAAGTTCTCGGTACTCATACATGTATGATGTTCTGGGGTAAGGAAGGTACGCGTATCCAACACTAACTGCTACTCAGTATTAAGTCCTAGGCTACCCTAATAAGTACCGAAAACCACGGGATCGGCCAAACCAAGACCCCCGACCACTATCGTTCAGGGGTACTGACGGAACTCAAGCGTACATGAGCCGAGGGGTACACAGAAACCTGTCAAACAACATTGATTAATGGTGCTTGTTAATTATGGATGAGTGAGATGGTCCTGTTTGCATTCTTTCGAATTTATTATTAATTGAATATATAGCTTCTCTGTAAACATAAGATTCTCTGCCTTCAAGAAGCTTGCAACGCTAGCTGTTCAAACCCCTGCAAACGGTGACGACTCAGATGTTACGCGTCTATCTCGACATTATCGGCAGTCGACACCCTCGAATGGCTTAAATGCGATTTTGCAAACTCAAGCCCCTACGTCAAGGGTGGCTATGGTTTGTCTTCTCAGCGGTAGTTTACGTGCTGCAAGTCAAGTAAACTAATGTTTGTAGGGCATTCGGGAGTTAGATGTTCTTGTTGCATTATGCAAAGCATCTTCTTCAGTCAGTAAGATCGAACATGCTTCAAAATTGCTTTCACAGTTGTCCCAGTGTCTCCCTGAGTCCCACAGCCAGCTTTTTCGTCCGTCGCCCTTTCTGCAAAATGTCACGCCATCCCCTTGGGAGATCCTTACCTATAATATTACTTTTGCGCTCCTTTCGCTTGGCTTGAAATATCCAGTGCTACGTGAGAAGGTCGTCGGTGCCATCAATGAATATTTATGCAATTGTTCAGATGCTGTAAGCGTTGCGGTGCCCTTTTCCGGATACAAACCTGGCATGGATAAACATAGCGTCATTCATGAATCTGTTCGGGTACTTTCGATCACTGTCTCTCTTGTTGGTTTTTTGGAAGCCTCGGCAATGTTTCCCTCGTTCTGGCCGGCTACTGAGCAACAACGCATACTCGAGCAAGTGCGATCGATCTTATCCGAAGGTTTCATGGTTGCAGTTGAGACTGCCTCCTCTACAGTACGTAGCGCGGTAACACCAGACTACGGACTCAGAGATTGGAGGAGATATGCTCGCCGCTATGCAGCTGACGGCCGCCCTCTAGGGGCTATGCTCCTACAGGAAGCATTTATGCGGTTTGTCAAAGTGTGTGCCACGTCCCTTGTTGGTGCACAGAACTTCACAGATGATGAGCTTCTGGATGATTACATGAATGGAGTTGGCATTGCTAGGAGTCATGATGAAGCTGAAATAACCCTTGTTAATTGTATAACAGAAATTATTGCTGACCAAATCCAACTCTTGGAGGACGGTTCCGATTATTTGCAGCTTGGCTCCCCTTTGCAGCAAAAGCTTAATTTTTCTGTAAAGGCATATGCTTTAATTGGCTATCTTCAATGTGTTACCTTGAGTGGTAGTGCGGCAAATAGCGAGGACTTTCTTGGTTGGCTGGAGGATACATTGATGGACCAGAATCAAATGTCGTGTCTGAAACTGGCAACAGCTACTCTGAAGAGCATAGCAATTGTTGCGAGGATGTCTCTAAACGGTGCCTCCTCCGGAAGTCGCTCTCTCTTAAGATATATTATAGAAGGTGGTTTGCCAACCCGACCTTCTAGCTCCATTGCTGCAAGGTGCCTTGCCCAGGTCCTAGGTGTCCTCTCACAGGACGCTATTATTACCACATTATATTCTCTAGGCAATGTTTTGAGTCCCGGATCGGGTAGCGAGAACATATACAACAGCCAGCTTGTGGCAGAGTCTTTTGGACATGGAAATGTTGTTGCTACTTTCTCACAAAGGAGAAATGATAGTGTAACGTCCCTTTCAGTGGACAGCGAGGAGGGCAATGTTCCCTACAGGAGCGTTATACAGGCCATTGTCACAATTGCGACCAATAGCCATGATGAAAAGATAAGTGCCTTGGCGCAGTCTATGCTGCTACAAAAGATAGGCAAGGTTGGCGTTGCAGTTGACGCGTATATCATCAAGGAGACTGCTGCATTATCTTTAAGCACTGGGCAGACCGAATTCCAGCTTTTGCTCAAGTTCTATGACCGTATCTACTGGGATGGAATTATCAATGGGCATAGCAATATTACAAATGCGGTACAAAGTGCTATGACATATCTTTCTGTCACTCTGACAAGGGATTCTCCGCTCCACAGAACATACCTGGTCCATTTACTGGAAAGCATTGTCAATAAAGGTGACGCTACTGATTTTGATTCTGAACGGCAAAAAGATATGGTTTTTGCACCTAATGACATCGTACCTTTGCTTAAACCGTTGGCATTACTTGTTTCTTCTGAGAGACCAACCGCTGAAGGCTGTGAAGGGGTTGCTGGTTATGATCAAGTACTGTCCTTGCTATTCCGCGACGCTTGGTTCAACCTTGCTGTTCATGGGATATCTTTCAGCTCAGACGTTGCTCAAAAGTACCACAAGGAGCTGTGTTCACTTGCAACTCACTCACCACCACTTGTCTCTGAAGATCGTATGGAGATGCTGGAAAGCGATGTTGAGCTCAATACAATCCTTAGACGGGGAATGGGTGCACAACGGCTTATAGAGCAAAAGAAGATGCTGATTGCAGAAATACCTATTCGCGAATCTGAAATCAAACGCCTCAATTATCCCAAAGCAGTTTTTCTCAACGCTGCCTTATTAGTTGAGTGTCTTCGTGTATCATCTGGGAACTGCACGAAAATTCTCAATTATTTCCGTGACCCGGCCCTAGCCACTGCTGAAATGGCTGGCTGCATGAGTGCGATTGCAGAAAAGATTGTCTCCGATTATCTTTCCCTGACTCTATCTGGAAAGCGTGAGCTATTTTCTGTTCCGTTCCTGTCAAAGGAACTGGCATCTTTCTTTGTGGCATGTTGCCATCGCATAGAGAGGGTGCAGAATGTTGCAGTGCTTTGTGCAAACAAAATTATAAAAGAGTGTCCGTCAGCCTTGTGCGCAAAGCACTCCCTTTTTGCTTTACTTGAACTCCTAACTGTCATGTGGAGTTCTTGCCTCGAAGAAGAACTGGATGAATTTGAGTGGAAATCCTCTTTTACCTCCCCTATGGCAATTGCCAAGGTGGACCTGCCTGACAATTACAGTTTTAGAAAGAAAACGTTGGATAACTTGCTTGAACGAGCTACAGCATGGGTAACAACGGTGATGAACATTGCACCCTTAGATATTAAAGGTCTACTTCAGGTATGTTCCCATCTGATCATATGGAAATTGGGGTCTCACTAGCAATTAGACATATTTGTCTATGCCTGATGACAATATCGGTTTCGGTCATGTTTCTGTAGGCCGTTCGTTTGCTCTTGAAATGGGCGCATTTATCCCTAAAAGTGACCATCGACTGGGTGTGTTACATCGTTATTTTTGCTATAAGAACCTTCTCTCTGACCCCCAACGCATTTTAGGGTCTATTGAAAGTCATGGCGGAAGTTTAATTAACATCGCATCTGATTTTATTAGCCAGTACTCTACACGTCAGAAATATCGACATCAGATGCACTTTCAGTCAACAGGCTGAGCATGAGATTAGCTGGAAAGAATGGTCCGTATTATATACGTCTAGGCTATAAGGCGACTACTGACTCGATCTTTTGCCAGGATCGTCTGAAGACATAGAAAAGGTACTATCTAATCTTTCTGATGAGATTAGGTTGGGACATGACGTGCCTCTTGAAGAGATTCGTGACGCACTACGTCGTGCCGCTTCCATATTGTGCAGCAGTAGTGATGCCCACCCTGCTATTTCTCACTATTTAGTCTTTTTGCCATTTGAAATATTCACTGAGGAGTCAATAAATATGGGTATATCTCTTTGGTTGGGAACAATCCACGAAAACCCAAGGGCAGAGCCAAGGATATTGGTGGAAGTCTTAAACGCATGGGAAAGAACAATTCAACGTAGAAGAGGACTCTTTGACCCATTGTTTGAGTAAGTACCGAAGTTTTTATGTTACCTATGGGTCAACATTAACATGATGAATTAGCTACATAGATCCATTTTATGCGAAGGTCGAACTTTTGCCAACTAATAAAGCCTTAATGCTTAGCCAACAGCAAAAATTTCGGCATACACTTGCTCCCCATTTACATGTCCTTCATTTCTTCGAGAGCCATTTCAATGCTATCCGACTAGGTAACCCGCAATATCAGCGATCATTTTGTCGCCTCATTGATAGGACAACTATGGGTCTTGCACAAACAAATGGCCACCCCTTGGCCAGGGAGCTACACTTCCGTATTATACTGTTCGGCTTAAAAGTTTTGAAGCACTCTGGCTCAGATATTGTCTCTTTGTGGAAGCTTAAAGATAAAATCCTGACTGCCGCCCTAAGTTGGTTTAAGCACGCTCCCAGGTATGTGCACCCCGCTCAGATATATTAAAGCTATTTCTCTGAGATCTGGGTAGATGGTCTTTTGGAGGTAATCGATTACAAGTGAAGACTGAGGATAAGATAATTGGAGACGTTATGTCTGCTTTGGAAAATGTTGCTAGCATTGCGTGTCATTCACACGGCCCATACAAGTCTCTACAGGCAAAGCAAGACCTCCTCCATATCCTCCTGGAGAACGAAAGATCACGCCTCAAAGTCTGGCTTTATCCACTGGACCCAGATCGTAAACATTACATATCTCAATCTACTGGAAACAGGAACCTTACTGAGGTTTGTACCTCGCACTCCACCTCCCCATCTTTACAGACATGATTTTGTTCATTTAGCTTCAAGCGAGAGGATCGCTCTAACATTGCTCCAGGAGGCAAAGTCTTTGCTACGACTTGCTTGGACTGAGGACACGGGGTTAGCTATCCAACTCGCTTCACGCTTTCCATCAGCGAAGCTGAGGAACGAGATTCGCTGGTTACTACTCAACTTTCCTGACAAGGTCATCGGCGAACCGAGTAGCCTAGAAATCATGTTCGGTGCAGCGCTTCCTGCGGACATCTCGTTTCAATTGAAGGTATCGTCTCCCGGATAGTCACATTTCCCTTGCCCTTCGGGTTCAGTTTCGTTTTATCCCAGGTATAATCTAATGCTGACCCACATAGTATCTGCTATATTGGGCGCCTGTCAACCCAACTGAAGCTCTGACATACTTTCTGCCAGCGTACGGCAATCATCCATACATTTTGCAGTACGCGATGAAAGCCCTGGAAAGCCACTCTATTGATGTTCGTTTCTACTTTGTTCCACAGCTAGTCCAGGCTCTTAGATACGACACACTGGGCTATGTAGAGCGCTATATTCTGGAGACAGCTAAGCTGTCCCAGTTGTTTGCACATCAGGTGATTTGGAACATGAAAGCTAACTCTTACAAAGATGAGGATTCCCAGATAGTAAGTGAACACAACCGACTTACATGAACCCATTGGATTGGAATTGACAATATATATATTAGCCGGATCCACTGAAACCAACACTGGACGGCTTTATGGAAACATTGATAACAAGCTTTACCAGCGAAGAGAGAAGCTTTTATGAACGTGAATTCTCTTTCTTCAACGATATCACTGGGATTTCTGGGAAACTTAGACCGTATATCAAAAAGAGTAAGCCCGAGAAGAAGGAGAAGATTGAAGAAGAGCTCCGTAAGATCAAGGTGGAGGTTGGTGTGTATCTCCCCAGCAATCCAGATGGCGTAGTTGTTGGAATTGATCGCAAATCTGGAAAGCCCCTTCAAAGCCATGCAAAAGCACCTTACATGGCAACTTTCCGGATTCGAAAGACCAGGGCTCGTGTGGATCCAGACTATGCTCCACACCAGAAGCTGGGAACGAGTTCTCCAGATACCTCAGCGTCCGACGTGCATCACGAACCTTACGAAGTTTGGCAATCAGCTATTTTCAAAGTCGGTGATGACTGCCGTCAAGACATGCTGGCTCTGCAAATGATTGCGGCGTTTCGAAGTATTTTTGCTAACATTGGTCTTGATGTTTGGGTATTTCCTTACCGAGTTACCTCGACAGCTCCTGGGTGCGGTGTAATTGATGTCCTTCCTAATTCTATTTCTCGGGACATGTTGGGCCGTGAGGCCGTGAATGGCCTTTACGATTATTTCATATCAAAGTATGGAGGAGAAGATTCAATACGGTTCCAGGAAGCACGCACCAATTTTGTTAAGAGTATGGCTGCTTATTCTGTCATCTCTTATCTCTTGCAGTTCAAGGACCGACATAACGGGAACATCATGGTTGACGATGCGGGCCACATTATACATATTGATTTCGGGTTTTGTTTTGACATTGCGCCCGGAGGTGTGCGTTTTGAACGCGCTCCTTTCAAGCTGACCTCGGAAATGGTTGCTGTAATGAGCGGCACCCACCATGTTCATGCCAATGGTCCTGGCAGCTCAGGCGGCGCATTCAGTCTGCCTGGGGGTGGATCTTACAGTCCTACAACTACTCAACCATACCGCTGGTTTGAATCGCTAGTTGTAAAGGCGTTTCTCGCATCGCGTCCGTACAGCACAAAGCTGTCCCACATCGTCTCATTGATGCTTGACAGCGGTCTACCATGCTTTAAGCCTGACACGCTGAAAAACTTCCGCGACCGCTTTGTCCTCGAGAAGAGCGAAAGAGAAGCAGCCGAGTACATGCGCGAACTTGTCCGTAAATCTTATATGAGCGTTTCCACCAAAGGATATGATCAATTCCAGCTGTTGACAAATGGCATTCCGTACTAGTCGGCTACATCTGTCTTCAGTCTTTTATCTCTTTTTTCCTTTCATGTCCTTAGGTCCTAGGTACGATAGCTTTGAAGCAAGTGAAATTTATCCGGCCATCTTTTCCCGGGTTTACTGCTTTCCAAATTTAAGAGACCGGCAAGGTTTATGGCCAAGGGGATTTCTCATGGTCTAGAATCGGACTGGCGTCGTCATATATAGCGGGGCCTCTGAAGCGATCCCAATAACACATAATAAATCCTCTGTCGGTCACGGGTATGAAGCTCCCTTCGTGGATCCCTCGGAATCAGTTCGAGGGCATTTCTTATCGTTTTAGCCAGCCATCGGACCAAACAGATCATGAGAAAGCGCCGGGCGAAGCGCTTGAAACGCCTTTACCTTTCGTGACCTGGAGGTCCTTGCTCCTGGGCACATTTGTCTCCATAGGGAGAATGATTTTCGGTTACGGCACTGGCCAGATTTCTGGCTTTCTGGAAATGGACAATTTCAGGAGACGATTTGGCCAGGTGCAGCCCGATGGAACGTACGGGTTCAGTAATGTCCGGTCCGGTCTGATTGTTTCCATGGTATGTTATGTGAAAAGCTCCAGAGTGAGAGATTGCCCATGTCTAATCGGTTCCTCTACTAGCTGTCCATCGCACCTTGTTGGGTGCCTTGGCAACCAGTCCATTGGCTGATCGCATAGGCCGTAAATGCTCAATTGCCTTCTGGTGCATTATTCTCCACGTAGGCGTTATCATACAGATCTCGTCGTCTACCCCTAAATGGTACCAAGTGATGATGGGCCGTTTTGTTACGGGCTTTGACGTGGGATCATGCGCCTTACTTGTCCCCATGTATCAAGGCGAGAGCGCTCCCCGACAAGTTCGTGGGGCCATGATCTGGTAAGGCTGTCGACCCAGTTGTCCCTATTTCTTCTGCTGATGACCGTCCCTCGAGTAGCTCCTACCAATTATTCGTCATCCTGGGCATTTTGGTCGCCTACTGCATCAACTACGGCACCGAGAGCATCAGCAACTCCTGGCGCATTCCGCTCGGTATCACTTTCCTCTGGGGCCTGCTCCTTGGGATAGGCATCATATTGTTTCCGGAAAGCCCTCGCTATGATTATCGCCATGGACGCATTGACCAAGCGAAGAAGACCATGTCTAGGCTTTATGGGGTCCCCGAACATCACCGAGCAAATGTGGGCGAACTTGCCGAAATCAAAGAGCAACTTGAAGCAGAGACTGCCTCCAAAGGTGGATGGTGTGGCTGGCTCAAATGTTCCAGGGCCCTCGAATGCCCTATCGTATCGCCCTTGGAGTCGCATTGCAAGCCTTTCAACAGCTGACGGGTGCCAATTACTTTTTCTACTATGGAACCGTTGTGTTCAACGGAGCTGGCATAAGTAATACATATGTCACACAAATGATCCTGGGTGGCGTCAATTTCGGCACTACGTTTGGTGGGTTCTACGTCATTGAACATTCTGGACGGCGCAAGTCACTTATTACTGGCGGGATGTGGATGTTTGTCTGCTTCATGGTTTTTGCCTCTGTTGGGCACTTTTCCTTGGACGTTAAGAATCCTCCCGCAACCCCGGGTGCGGGAAAGACAATGGTAGTCTCTGCCTTCCTGTTCATTACCGGTATGTTTCACAGCGATCTATTATATGATATCTCACTCAAATGGTCCTCTGTCGGTGCTAACCGCGTCACAACCATTGTAGGCTTTGCGTGCACCTGGGGCCCACAGGTGTGGGCGATAGTCGCGGAGCTGTATCCATCCCGCTACCGTGCTCGGGCAATGGCAATGGACACGGCTTCAAACTGGCTGTGGAACTTCTTGATTGGCTTCTTCACCCCGTTCATCACGGGCGACATTGACTTTGCCTATGGGTATGTCTTTGCTGGGTGTCTGTTTGTCGCGGTCCTGGTCGTCTACTTCTTCGTCTTGGAAGGCAAGGGAAAAATGTTGGAGGAAATGGACATGATGTACGTTATGCGCGTACCTCTCTGGAAAAGCAGCAAATGGGTGCCTCCACCCCCGGAACAGCGCATTACGACCGGACATGTACTTGACCAGAGAATGGCTCAGAGTTACGCGGATGAGGGTGATGAAGCCGTCAAGGCGGAAGCTGGAGGGGGTGCTGAGCATCAGCATAGTGACAACAATGCTCCCGGGCAGTCGGCCACCTAAATATATGTAGCATTTAAGTGGAACATTAATCATGCTTCTGGACACATCCCATGTTGATGTATGCACGCACATGTACTTATGGTAACATGGCGGATGCATCGAGTTTGTTGAGAAACCCCATTTTCATTAGCATGTAATAGGTCTGATGCCATAAAGCTGGAGTTGAGGTGCTCAAAAGTCATAATATAATGCAATTTGGAGCTATCACATTCTGCCATTTCCCAGTAAAGCCGGTGGAGATTCCCTGAGCATTGAAGGCGCAAAAAGGCAAAGAGATAACTCGAATCCGCTCATCCATCACCATAACGCCTGCAAAACAGTCTGATTGCACGATATGTCCATGACAACATATAGACTGAACAGTATGTCCCTCGATGGGGTACAAAGTGAAACGAGACAACTCCCCCCCCCCGGCTACCGCCATTGGTAGAACCGTTTTGAAATGAATAGGTGAAACACATCGCTGAGAAATATAAAAATAATAAAAATGGCAATAAGGCAAGGGACAAAATGAAAAATGAAAAACAAAAGCAAAGGTCCGGTTTGGATCCATCATGTTTTCTTTCTTATATCTGATAGAATATTCTTCACATGTAGCAGTTGCAGGACAAACACCGTGTAATCAATCCTACAATTCAATTATCCATTTGTGAATTTCCCTTCTGAGTTCTTGGAAGGGGATCGAATTATTACTTAATCCATGAAGTCTCCTCTCAGGATCTTTTCCTGGAAAAAATCCGGCTTATTCTGCCGGGGCTGTTTCGGCATTTCCCGAGCCGGTTGCTCCATGGAGGCAATTGACGCCGCGCGCTGGTGGTGGCCAGACTGTCCAAAGCCGGCCGAATGCTGCTGGTTCGAAGGCGCAGTGGGGGACACGGCCCCAAAGGACGGGGCACGTTCTGCGCGGGTCCTAAGAGCTTCGGACCAGTTGAAGCCTTCGCCTAATTGCCGCCAAGACATGTTAGACCTTTCGTTCTGGGGAGAAACTGTATCTGTACTTGCAGCAAGTGACCCGGTGGACACTTTCATGATACTGTTTCTGCTGGCCGATGACGCAGGAGGGGGGTATCTACCATTGCCAATACTTCCTGCACGGACGTCCCGCAGGGCCTGTGCACCAAAGGACACCCGCCGCGCGAACGGCGAGCTCGGAGCAGCACTAGGAGGTCCATTTTCGCTATCCTCCATCACCGCATCCTCAAACACGGCCGAATTGGACCCCGCGGAACTAGATACACTGCCTTGCCGAGGGTTCCTGCCCCCCAATGATGAACCCTGAGTGGGAGAACCCGAGAGCCCCAGTGTCGTAATGGATAGCCTTCGTCCTTGGTTTGACTGCGCGTTGGCTACCGCGCTGGCCATGGGGCTGGTTGGGGGGCCTGAGGTGGAATTCCCCGACTTGGAAAGATAATCCGTGAAAGAAAGGCCGGATGCTAAGGAAGCCCGGCGCTGGTGCCTCGATGAAGGCGGTACGGATATAGGCGATGCCGAGCGGTCGTTCGACATAATACCGAGACGGTGGAGAGTATGGAGCGGGAGGACAGGTAAAATTTGTTGAGCGGTGTAAGAGGAAAGAAGAAAAGAAGAGGGTGAGGGGGAAAAGTAAATATGGACAGCACTGAAATTCTAGAAGATTTGCGTGTTGGGCGGATAAACCGCCCTTCCAAACGAAACTGGAAATAAAATGATACAGATGAAGATTGACGAGGAGTGGATGATGACCTCCGAGCTTAAACGATGTCCACCACCACCACCACCATAACACTAAGAGAAAGTGGGGGGGGGGGGAGGAAGCGAGACACTGCACGTCGAGTCAATAGATTGACCAGGTACTGTCACTGACTTAAGGCAAGGTACACCGTAATCAGGCGACGGTGGCAAGGATGATCGCAACTGTAGAGTGGGGATGCAAGAAGCGACGATAAATTTCAATGGATAACGATGGGATACTGAAATAAGAACACAGACAGACAGGATTGAGATGCGAAGATATGAGATGGATAGGAATGAGGATCGAGGCAAATGATGCGGGGAGGCGACAGGTCGAAGCACTAAGTACTCCGTAGCCGTGGAATGAATAATGGAAGTGGGGATGGGGTGATTAGTCCACGTACGGCCGCACCAAGGGAGTTTGGAGAGCTCCGATCAAGACTGTTTGTCGACCTGATTTTGTAATGGGTTGACGATGTTGATGGCTATCATTTCTGATTTCCTGGAGGAGAAGGAAGGAAACATGAGAGAGAGAAAACAAGATGAGAATCTGAGAGGACCCCACAAGCGGCAAGGGGACTAACCCTTCTTTGGAATGGATCTGGGGTCGATGATTCATCACACTTACTTAGTTTAACTTAATTACTTAGTTAATTTATAGTTATCTAGTTCACTATGGGTACGGGATAATATTGATATTGATAACTTAGTATAGAGAGGCAATCGATGGAAACTATATCAAATCAGGGATGTCTTCTTCTACCCAACCTTGAATAGCTGCACGAGCCGTGCCCCACGGTCGGTTCGATCTCCGTCCCATCCCGAGCAATTTTAACTTCTCAATTGGAATCCCAAGGATTCTGTATGCCTATTGTGCGGTGAAATGGATCTCACTCCGTCGGCAGCCATTGAATCCGGAATGGTTTGCTGCTAGATTGGAACCTCGGTTCTGCCATCTGCTCTCCGACCCCCTCACCGGCACTGCGCTCCCTTATAACATCATCTTCTTTATCCTCCGATGTCTCGGCTTCCCAGAATAGTCCCGTGCGCTCCATCAGCGATGATCCATCCATTGGAAGCCGTGGAGGCCGCGAGAGTCGACGTCACTTCGAGATCCTGTGACTCCGGATGAACGTGGTCAGGACGAGATGGCATCACCAGGATCAGGTCGTCGTCGTCTTGTATCGGAGATATCATCCGAGCATACCCGTAGTATTTACCGGACTTGTTAACCGAGAAAATCAGACACACATTATCTGCCGTCTGGATCAGTGGTCGTCAGCGGTGTTCCTTTCGCCAGAGTGGGGGGTACATCTCACCTCGTGAGCATGGTTCAAGCTGTCCTCGTTATGATTTTTGTCGCCCAGATACCGCTTTGTCGGCTAAACTCAAGGTCGTCCACAGTGAAGCTCTTGAGGACAAAATACCTTTTAGGTATCCATGACTTTGCATGCCGAATCTCCGCCTCTCCGCCACTCCCCTCTCAGAGAAACCCCTATCCTCCTCCTCCTCCTCCTCCTCCTCCTCTTCATCATCATCATCAACAACACTCATGCCATCTTTAAAGGCGGCCAAGGGTGGGGAACCAAAAGCATCTGAGTTGGAGGCAGAAGTCATTAAACCCCTGCGCAGCCGGCAAACCAGACGTGCTCGATGACATCTGGAGTCGTGAAACCTTGCCAGGGCTGCATCACAAGCCGCTTCCGTCTTATAGTTGACAAATGCACAATTACTCCTCGAGATGAGAAATACACTCTCTACATCCTTGGTAGCCCTCGAGAGACATAGTCCTTGAGATCAACGTTATTCGCCCCCTGAGAAAGGGTCTCAACCCACAGAGCATGGCCAGACTGTTTGGGCTTCCTTAGTGGGCCTCTGGGTGTCACCGCTATGGTCTGGTTTGACCGAAGAGGGGTAGCACCTAATATGTAGAGCATTTGACGTCACTAGTGCTTAGCACGGCTCACACTTACCCATAGATGAGGAGTTTGCGCCGGTGCTAACTTCATGGGGGTCGACCTATCCACAATTGGGCTCAGGTCCCTTGGTTTGGCTTCTTTTGACGGTCGGATTGGAGCATTGGCAGAAGGATATCAAGTGTCGGATCAAGTGTGGGAGCGCGCATGTACTGATACATTCGAGGTCCCTCGATCATGCCAAGACGCTGGCACTTGTGCCTGCTGCTGTTGACAGTAATAATTGTACCCATACCTTGTGCCCTGGTTGGCCACTGGAACCGACAGATGGGCCGACGAGCTTGGAGCCAGTGGTTGATTCGAGAGGATTGCGGAATGGGGGAGTTCTGATGCTGTGTATGTATATAGGGCGAATACGTCTAAGAAAAACGGGCTCCATGGAACAGTGACAATGGGTGCGAAGAGTATAGGACGCCGTGAGGATAAGACGGAGCGACAAAATGCTGTACATAGGGAGGTTGTCAAACATATATAGAGGCGGCTCTGTGTAGCGATAGTAATATCCGGTCGAGATTGAGCCTCATGCAACAGTTCCATAGCTGGATAGAAAGCAAGCTTCAGTTCCGGGTTACCACCCTTGCCTCAGTATTGCATACTTACCGGAAGGCTGGCGGACTGTTTCTAAGGCAATTTTTCTGCCTGACTCCGTTACCCTCAGTCCATCTGATGTACTCAGTTTTGAACTTGGCTGGCCTGCGTGAACGTTGTCCACTGAGTCCGTCACGATATTGTGAAGTTAATATCCAGATACTAGTATATAGAGATGTCCGCAGAGCCGTTAGTGAGGTTGTTGCTGTGGATAATGACTCATGAGCAACCCGGCAACCATAAGGCACACCTCTGCAGGCCCCTTTTGCAATTATAATGGGCAGCAAGTGGCACCAAATGAAGGGTAGCAACTATAGAAATGCCAACACGATGTCAGAATATCTGAAGGAAGAATGAAAGAAAGGTCATTACTAATGAGAAATAGTTTCAGTGCCTAGAAACATAGGACGATGACAAGGACACTGCTGGAGTGGCCGAAGGTGTGGGAATATAAAGAAAACTAACGTAGTATCGGAGTATATAACAGGAAATTGGAGGGAGACAGAAAGGTCTAGCCCAGTCAGTATCCAGCCTTGAAAGTCTCAAGTCATAAATAAGAGGGGTGTGTAGACGGAGAAATACTCAGTGAATATACAGTGTAAAAGCTACACACGCATACACATGCACTGGCTCTTTCACATGCACTGTGGAACCTAATATTAACTCCACACATGACCCTGTAGAGTCGTAAAGGGGATGTGAGGGGTGCAAGAGACAAAGAACGGAAGAGGGATGCATGAATGGGGTGGACCAGCAGAAAAGACCTGAAATGTGGGGATTAAGAAGGACAATAAAAAGGATGCTTGTGCATTTAGAGGGCTAGACTCAAGTGGAAGAAACAAAGTGTATTAAAAACAAAGGTCCTTCTGTGGTTCTGGTTAGTGAAAGAGGAAAGTAGAAACATGAGATAGGGCAGAACCGGCGTGGACGATGCCTAGCGGCCTTTGCATAAAATCCCCGGGCATTAAGACCGGAGAGCTTAAGAAAGGTAGTGCTTTTTTATATGTATGTATGTATGTATATGTGTGTGTGTGTGTGTGTGTGTGTGTGTTTGATTCATGTACCCTGCAGGCTGTCTAGCAGCATGGGAGACGTATGGCAGCTAAGAAATGGAAGAAAGAAACACAGAAAAGAATGGGAGTGGAAGATAGAAGAAGGCTATTAAAAGGATGACTTGAGATCCAAACTTACCTCCTAGTAGGAATAAAGAGGATGATGCAAAAATATCTAGGAATGGCTTTCCCCTGCCCTTATTGTCTGTATCACGAGTAGACAACGAACGGAGCCAACAATGGGAATGGCAACAAATGGCCCCCCTCCCCAAAAAAAGGCCGCGAGAATGGAAAATGGAACGAGATAGGGAAAGAAGGTATGGAGCTTTCCAGATAATGTTTTGCTAAACCCACTTTTAGAGCTGTGGTTGCTTTGGCTTGTTCTGGGCGACGCACACCACTAGGACTGAAGCAGCGTTGATGAAGAATCAACAAGGACCCAATAGACTCGCAGAAGTCCTAGCAGCCGGTGGTGTACAGTTGTTCTAGGTGTGGCAGCCCGTATAATAATAATAAGAATAATAACCGAAATAGATAATTAGGACCGTGTTCGACGGCAGCAACAACTTGGTCGGTGTACTGGATTCATGGTCAGCCAACTGTACAGCTAAGTATGAAGCAGTAACTATATAGGTAAATGTCGTTTCCTTTCCATCCTGCGCTTCGCATGGATACAATGTTGATTTCTTTTTCTTTTCCTCTCCCCTTTGCTTTGTTCCTGTCTCTCACTATCTTTTGCTCCATCCAAATCTACGCCAATTTGGCCCCTCATTCCTTTTTGAGGAAAGAGGAAAAGAACGGAAGAGAGGCCTTGTTTCACTGGCTTCAGAGATCCATATGCAAATAGACCAAGTTTATTGGTAGCATGTGATTCCAGAAAATATATAGATAATCAGTGAGGCCAATACCACACGTAAGCTTCGACCTTCCATGGAGTCATGGTGCATGAAAGAGGCAACAGTCATATAGGAGAGAGGGGTAGAGAAGATTAAGAACATAGGAAAGCAGCCATTGTCATGCGCTAGGAAACAATACGTCAAAGATATGATCATGAGGATAAGAGGAACGATCAAAACGAAAACTGGGGGCAGGGGTACATTCCCGCTAGGGTCTAATCTCTCTCTCCTTTCCACTTCACTCCGGTACAAATGTCCCCCTCCCCCGAATGACAGCAACAAAGGCTAAGAAAACAAAATCCCACCGAAGTGGTCATCGTTGAACCTTTTCTCCTCGATGGACAGCGTCAACAGCCTACCATTCTTTCTCTAGCATCCTTGCTTGAGTCCCTGGTTCCACCTATCTGCCTCGGCTTTTAAGACCGATCTTCCTAGACATTCTTAGGGCATCCATCAGTTAAGCTAACAAATACGGAGTATTGTGCACGATGGGGTACTGAATGCTATAGAGCAGCTATATAAGTACTAGACCAACAGTAGCCAGTACCCTACCGACTTATATTAATCTCTATGTATAGAAGGAACCCCAGCAGTGGATTCTTCAACCACTTCTCCAGGAAGCCGAAAGAGAGGCACTTTACACATAGTTAGGATGTATAAAAATACATATTTACTGCTGCATAGCCACCATCATTACTCCTACGCCGCTATCCAGAGTAGTTCTACTAACTGGGGGTAGTCGACCAATTAATTGCTGCATGGAGTATACGACTCCATCATCACTGTCAATATGACGTCGCCACCAACGATGGTTCGATGACGTCATCGGAGGAGCTGCTCGTCCTTGCTATATGCACTGCACCATTCTGTCCCTTCAAGTTTTATTCTTCCTCACTACGTACGGATGGGGCACGATCTCCTCAGTTCTCTCGGGATTCACGTTTTTATTCATTGAGTTTGAGTAACTCCTGTTGTCGGTAGTATACATGGTACCCCGTACGTATGTGCCTTAAGGGGCCACACCTCCAAGAAGGTCCTGATCAGCAAGAACCAACAGAATATATCCCGGGGAAATAATGGTTATCATATGTATTATTGACTCCTGATCAGACGGTGACAAAATTAGGTCTTGGAGAGAAAGGCAGAAAGGGGAACACGTCATAACTAAATAATATGCAGGTCCCCACAACTATAATTATATTTATTCCCATATTGCACTACAACAGACAACGGCCAGTAGCAGTCTTACTATCTCTGGGTGTATTTTCCCAGACCGCAGCTTTATGTGTATATTCTTCATTATACAAATAGCCAGAGCCAAATCCATTCTTATTATAGATAGTACCTCAGTTCACCATTCTAAGCAAACAGAGCAAATATATCTACAAGCTAGAATCAAACTGATAAATTTGACCCATATTAATAAGTAGGATCGCTGTTCCCTGCACAACTCCAAATAAGCACTACTGTACATGCCATGATGTCGAGATAAAAACTGGGAGACCATTGTTAACAGTTCGCCAGATCTGCCAGACATCCTGGCTGTAGGACCTTCCACCTGCACACGTTATTTTGCGATAAATACAGTGTTGGTACAGTTTCATGAACATGGCTAGGCTATTCTGACATGTTTCCTGGTAAAGTTGGATGTAAAATGTATTAGGGCTGGGGGAATAATCCAAGACTTCCGTATGGCACCCAGGCACCGGGTTTGCACTCAAGCTTATCAAAGACATGTAAGACCATATTGGCCTGGGGAGGAAACAAGAAGTACAAGAAACAAAAGGGCTGGGGTGAGACACCCTCGAAAAATACCACGTGTTCGAAAGAGAAAGGAACTATTCACAATACACAGAACATACTAAGAGACAGTAGAAAATGCAAGTTCTTATATGCAGAAGCCATTTGACATCAATCCACCCTCATTAGAAACGTAAACCTATTTGAACAAGTACCAGCATCACATCATGTCCACTTGAGCCTCATGAACTATAATTATCATTATCAACCAAATCGCTGGGTTGGAGAGGAAGGGAAAAGAGAGCAAGGATCATTAAAATTAAAGGGGCTGCTGTCATATAAAGAGAGGGAGCGAAAGAAGGGGGAGAGGGGAAGCGGGGGAGAACGTAGACGCAGCCAAAACTATATAAGAGGTCGACATTATCGATCGATACCCAAAGAGGCGACCTTGCCAGCAAACCTGGCGCCCGCGCTGCCCCTTTTATGCAACTTCTCACGCTCTTTGCTGTCCAATGAACTCGGTCCTTGCGATGGTGGCATTGAACTATCACCCACCCCTCCCCGAAGACTCGGCAGGGTCCCCAGGGTATCGCCAGTGAGTTTTCCAGCGGCCGGTGTGGCCGGCGGAATGCCAAATGCAGACACTCGTGCAGTCCGCTGATTCAGGTACAATTGAGCTGCAGAGGAAAGAGGGATTGGAGGAGGTTGAGATGGTATCTCGGCTCCATTTTGGACGAGAAGTTCGGCAATTGGGAAAGGAATAACCTTCACGGCGGCGGCAGTACTGGGCCTAGGCGGAAGACTTGATGAGGTTGCTCCAGGGGATGCAGGATCCGCAGCAGCCAGAGCAAGGAAAACCGCATGGGTATTCCGGGAGCGATCCGTGATATTCACATTGGCACGCAGAGCGATCCCGTAAAGGACACCCTGGATATCATTTCTCTTGATCGAAGCAAGCAGCGTTTCATCCGGTGTCGCGAAGTGTGATAGTGGGGAAGGTAGTTGTTGGATATAAGCTCGTTCGCTATACTTGGCAGTGATAAATTTTAGCCGCTGTTCTCGGGTTGATGCTGCTATCGGCTTCTGAGACTGATCAAGAGTTGCCTCCCAGACCATGTTACTGACACGGTTACCAATCTGCAGAAGGATCTCCACAATGTCATTGGAAAAAGAATTCACGTCCAGTGTAAGGGACCGAATTTTAGAAATATGCGTTCCAAGGGACCTGTGGATGCCACTACATTCGATGCATAAAACAATTCCTAGGTTGATAGACACCCATTCAACCTTGGACGCAGATCCACAATCTGCACACCAGTTATTGCCCTGGTCGGCCTCACGAACTGTCTGGAGCAGCCTGGACGGGTTTTCTTCGAAACTGTGACCATCACGTACGTAGCTCGGCCGAGCACCAACAGTGGTGCGGCGAGTCACGTTGTTATTAGAACCAGTTGAGTTGGAATGCTGTCCCAGATACGAGGAGCTTTTGCCAGTTAAGACGGAGCCGATGTCACGACCAACCAATGAACCATCCTTGTCAGACGAAAGGGGATGTGAAGACATGCCCCGACCTTCAACAGCGCTCTGCAAGGCATTGTTAATCGCCCTGATCCAGTTGCTCATATCATCCTCGGAAGTTGCTTGGTAAATGCGTTTGTACTGGGGTGTAATAACTTCAAAACAGAACCGTCGCTCCGCATTCCGAGCCTCGCGCACGGAAGCCATCCGGAGATCAATGGGATCCATATGTAAATCCAGCTTCTGTTTCCAATTGCTGTATTCAGAGAGCTTCCCCTGGTCCAGTACGATCCAGAATCTATTCCAAGACATTAGAGATACCCTAGAAGATACCATGTCCATCAACTTACTTGTGCCATGCTTGTTTGTTTATGCCTTTGGGGTCGATGTGGGACCCTGGTCGGGATAATGCCCAGAGGAGGCCTTCCTTTCTTTGCTGACCTGTCGCATTGTCAATATCTGGGCAAATCTGGTTCTCTGAACCCTAGGAAGCTTGGATGGACTTCTAAAGAGACGTACCGTTTGTACCGGTGGATGGAGCGGTTGGAGCCCCAACCGCAGAATTTATACCAGCTGGATTGGCCTGTGCTGAGAGTGAGGGCGTATTGCTGATCACACTCCGCAGCTGAGATCCTGTGCTATCTGCGCGTCCCAGCTCGCTATCTGACTTCTGATTCCCATTCCCATTGCTCGGTAAAGTTGGTAGCGCGCTTGACGAGGCTAAAGAATCAGGCTCGAGATATGTGTTGCTGCTCTTTTCCAGGGCTCGCCGCTTCTCCTCCCTCTCTGTTCTCTGAAATTGGAACTCTTTGTCCGCCTGGTTGACTTCGTGGATTAGCGCATCTAATTGCGGGGTCATGTCATCAATCTTTTTGGCAGCTGCAAGGAAGCTCTTTGCCTGCGTGTCGGCGAACTTAGTGAGATGCGAGAGAACCTCCTGCTCTTTACGGCCACCATGGAGATCCTGCATGAACGAGGAGTAATCGAAACGCTTGAGCTCGAAGTTCCGTCTTTTCGCCTGGTACTTGGAATCACTTTCGGCTCGCTTTTTCTCCTTCAAAGAATCCTGCCGTTGTCCAAGATAACGGCTAACATAGGCATAATAATCCCTACTTTCTTCTTCGAACTCCTTCTTTTTCGCTTCAGCCTGTTTAATGTCATTATTGTAAAGTTTCACCAATGGTTCTATGACCAGCCTTTGAAGCTGGATGGTGTTCAGACGCTCATAATTAAGGATCTGCCGCGCGATCTTTTCAAAATAGTGGTCAAGCGCAGGCTGAATCGCATTGGCGTTGGAGGTCGACGCATCATTCAAGGCAGAGATAAAGGCCTCCACAGCTTCATTGCACGTAGTTTGGGCCTGGTGAGCTGCCTCTGCCTTTTTGAGCACTTTCTTAATTTTTGCGCGCATATTCCCCGTTTTCTGTTCTAATGCTTTCATTGTAGCCCGAAACAACGGGCCATCTTCGACCACGCTCATGTCTTCACCGGGGCGCGAATGGGGAAGATCGACTTTAACGGGAGGTGGAGGCGCGGAAGCCTGAGGTGGAGGGGGCACAACATCATTGATCTCCGGGGGCGTACTTGGGGGGATATGAGGATTGGCTACCACATCCACGTCGCTGGAATGAGTGAGAACAGAGTGGGAGGAAGGTAGACGGTTGCGGGGCGGAACAATAAGTTCAAAGTTGGGTGACGGAATCTGCGGACTCGGTAGCGCACGCATCGAGTTCTGGACCCAGAATGAGAAATGAGCGAGGGTATTTAACCGGTTAGCTCTTTGATCATAATCTAGAAAACTGCAACTATTTCTCCATCCACCCCCTTTGTCCTCCACGGCTTTAGGGGGTTTCCATTTCCAGGACCAATCGAATTGGACGGAAGGGTTGCCCCCGGTCGAGTAATCCCCGACAAACTGCACGTTGGAATTATTCTGTAAGTTCGGGTTGGCGTGAAATTCCCGAGTAATCAAGTTGTCCAACTCCTTCGAATTTGGCGCATGTGCAAATGTAAGCCCAGTTAGCACAGTATCGGCCACTTCTGGCAAAGAAGTTGAAACGCCATTAACCGTGGAACTTGGGACATTGCCAGTTTGAGTTTGCCTTAGTATGAAGGTAAATCTGAAGTTCAATTCGTCCTCGTTCGATAGGCGTAAAAGAAACGTAGGTGACGAAGCGGACGAGGAAATGTCGGGGTCCTATATGGGCAAGCAGGAAGTGAGCCTGTGTTTTGCCAAGAGGAAGAATGCATAGCAATAAGAGAGTAAAAAATAATGGATCCTACCTGTATGTATTCGATCGGACTGTCATCACCAGTATCACGTTTGGCAGCGTATCGAGAGGCTGGGTATGAATTGGGAATTAGACTCAACAGAACTCGGTGCTTCGAATTGGTTATCGTCACCGACGCGACCGTAACTGACGCAAATCCGATCAATCAGCAATTCTAATAATAGTAATATTTCTTCCCCCCTCCAAAAAAAAAAACCAAAAAAAAAAATAAGAGCAGTTAAATTAGAACCGCGCGAAGGTTTGGACATACACCTGGTCTGGTCCTTGAAATACAACGCCCCGGGCTCATCCAGACGGCTTCCGACGTTTCCCATGATGAGAAAGATCGGTTTATCGAGCTACCGCTCGAGGGAAATGGGTCCAGAAGGAAAACCGGAAAATATAAGGGTGAGCATCGACGGTCTGCGCGCCCAGAATTAGATAGAAGGGTGGTCGTCAAAGTAAGCAAGCAGATGAGCCGTCATCCAGACTGGAATGGAATGGTCTTCAGATGCGTCCCGTCCAGCGAGTCGTTAACGGGTCGAGGTCCAGCAGATCGGGATCCGGCAGGTAGAGAGGTTGGTAAACCGGAGGGAATTCCGTACACGAGAGGCTTGGATATAATCAAGGGATGATATACGTGAGAGGATCCAGAGTATAGGGGGCGAGATGACTTCTTTTGTTTCCCTGACCGACTAGACAAGGTGCAGTCCTTGCGGGTGAAATACTCCGTAGATGTCCAAGGCCCGTTCTCCCACTCGGAGCCAGAACGCTAGAAAAAGAGAATGGGGAGAAAAGCGGGGAGGCGAGGAGGGAGAGGGGGGTGGTGGAAATGGAGAAAGGAAGACAGGACACATAAGACCAGAGAAGGAGAAAGGGCGGAAGAGTGGAGGGGAACGGATGATGGATGATCGCCTGGATGGGGCTTAGACTTGGTGGTGTTGTGCCTGAGGATAATTGCTTGTCGTCCGCTCGCGCTAGGCTTATATATCATTGCTACTACCTAACTATTGTGCTCAATGATATCAAATACATTTTACCATGTCTGTCTTTCTACATATATACGGAGTACATACAGACCCCCCTTATTAGTCGGCCCATCATGCACCCGCATTTCCTCGGCCTCTAGTATTGATATTAGATTCAGTACTGCATAACGTCCCCAATACCGCGTAAATCTCATGGGAATCCATCCAAACTGATCAAATCATGTGACCTGGCTGGCATTCATTCGAATACGCCGATAACCTCTCCCTAAGGTACTTCATTGTTCCACCCCCGCCTATTCTCACCCCTTCGGAATTTACTACCTCCTGAGAGCAATCCTCAAGTCCAGTGAGTTTACGTATTGACAATGCCGTAGGGATAGAGTTTAGCCTGTCAATTCAAGATCCTTTCACAGCGTCTCACAACAATTCACGAGATGCCACTGAAAAAAAAAAAAAAAAAAAATGTATAAAAATAAAATAAAAATAAAAATAGCAATAAATAAAAATGAAGCCATTAAAAGAGTATAATACAAGACGTTTCCCGGAAGTGAAAAGGATACAGTCAGGGCTGGAAAGTAGCCTTTCAGCCATGCATGGAGATAAAAATATAGACAGGATGTAGTATTTAGCGTGGACGGAGAAAACAGCGGGAGGGATGGATAGAGAGACCTGATAACAAGAGACATTGAACTCGGTTGGACGGAGCAGATGGAGAATACTCGTTAACGGTGGACCATAGCATGGGGTGATGATCATGTCAGGGTCACGGTCATCAACTCTTCGAGGCGCCGGAGGTTTGCCGATTCATGGTAGCTTCTTCGGCAGTCAGTAGGGGGGGATCTGCAGATGTAGATTTGGATGCGTGGATGCCTGAATCACTCATATACGTATGGCTGTCTGCTTGTGCCCACTTCATGACTTGACCCTTCACATCACGCATGTTGTGTACCTTCTGGGATAGTTCTCTGCGTCTCTTGTGCCGTGTGCCACTGCGTTCCTCGAGCTCCTCTTCGTCTGAACTGGAGATGGAGAGTGATGAAGAGCTGCTTTGCTGAAGGAAGGTCATCTGGCCACCCTCTCTCTTGAACTCTCTTTGCTCATTCTTCAATGATGCCATCTGCTCGGCATCTTCCCTGCAGGCCAAGGTGGTGACATTGAGCCCGGGGAAATTCCGGGAGATGAACTCTTTTAGTAAAGGAAGATACTCGCCATTAGGGCGATAGGTTCCGCTTTCATTATCGATGAAAAGTTCGTAGTCCGCCGGGTCGGTGGAAATCTCCGATTCTGCTGACGGCTGATCTTCCACGGGCATCTCAGTTTCTGAAGCATGCGATATATGTGAGTGGCGCCGCCGCCGCTGCATGCGACGACGCACGAAAAACTCGCCTGAATAGGCTATGTATATGGATACATTGCTATGCATTGTGTGCTTGCTGAGCATGTCGATTCCGAATTCTTTCCCAGTCTCCGTAAAGCGGAATTGCCCGTCGAGGGTGAGGACGTAGGTGAAGATTCGTCCGCCTTGGGCATAGTGGACAAACTCGAGAAATTTCTGCGTCAGAGCGATACAGGGCGACTCAAACTGGCCATTGAGAGTCGTTCGATCAAAGTTGTAGATCCGCTGATGCTGGTGATGCAAAGCTCGATTAAGAATCCATCCGCGCAGGCTCTGGGCATTGAACATCCCCGCGACAAAAGGTTTGAACTCGACGTAGCGATGATAAAGCTCCACCGGCACCGGGCCCTTGAGCTGGATCTGGATGGCCTGAAAACTAATATATCGGAGGTGATGAGTGCCAGGCTCCCATTTGGAGGAATATCAGGTCAAAAGGAGGTAGGGGTGGGGGAATATGTACTTGTACCGGGAAACCGCCTTTCTACCGTCCTGTGTTTGGACTTCGTCCTTGGTACCCGCCAATATTCCAATCAGAGGCGAAAAGTGTTTGAACCAGTAGTTTGGCCCAACCGTGTGCACCTGTGCCCCCTCATTATCCGGCGTCCTGCCTAGAAATTGCACGCTGATCACCAAATGTGAGCCGGTATCCAAACGTCCCGAGGCCAACGCCGCAATGTTGCCAAACAAATAGACCCGTTTGCTGCCCGTGCGTTTCTTGACCTTAAAACTCTGCTCCTTGATACTAGCCCAGTCATCGTGGATCGAGCCGACCTCGACGTATGCATTTCCCAGCTTGTCATCATGATCCGCTGTATCTTCATCGTAGACGATACATTTGAGGGTAAACCCGGACGCCGGAATGTTGGCCACGATCCACTCGCTGTCCCAGACCGGATCACGATTTTTGCGGACCGTCGGGGTTCGGAACACTAAGCCGGGATCTTGCTTGTGCCGCTGCGGGAGGTCGACGTTCAGCTGAGCGACAACATATGGGTCAGAAGAGAAGGAGCCGAAATCGGCGCAGGGGAGGTTGATGCCACGATGGAAGGTGAATTTTAGGGTGTAACCCGGGGGTGCATAGGGGAACGGGGTGGTATCGAATCCTCCAGCGGGCTCTTTGTGGGCCGGTTTGCTATTGGGAGATGCCTTCATCATGACGGCCCGGTTCTGAAATTGGCCTGTACTATTGATGAGTTTTTGGCCCCTATGCATTCAGCCGGGTACCGGGACTGCACCTGAGGATGGATGTCTCTCATCTGCCCGTTGTGCCGTTTAGGGATTTTGTTGCTGCCTACAAATATTCGGGCGATTAGCGGAAAAATGCGGGTCGGCTGCTGAAAACATAGAGGTGGAGACGAAGCGAACCAAGTCAATGCGCTACCGCTGGGTAATAATTGGGATTGACGGATTTGGCGGGTGGTAAGTGTGGACCATGTCGACCGTGCTGCGGTAATGTCGCGAGCAGCAGTAACGGAGGGATGAAAAGGGAGAAAGGCAGGCAGGCACTTACCCGGGAAGATGCAAGAGAGGTGGTTCCGAGGGTGAAATTTAAGGAAGGCTAAGCTTTGTAGATCCGGCTCTTCCTCGGGTTGAGATGGTTTTTTTTTTTTTTTTTTAAGGGCGATTGGTATTCAGCGAGGTGAAATGGATGGCGACGGCGCATTTTCCAGCCCATTTGATTTGTGGGTGATGATGGCATTGCTGCTGTGTTGATCGATGGAGCTGACAACATCACTATAGAGCTGATACAAGAAATGCGTCCATTGACTCCGACAAGAAAACAAAGATTTATTTGCTAATGAAAGGATTTGTGGCTCATCGCACTTGTTGATCCCTCATGTTTCGTCCGGAGTATATATATAGCACGAACACCGCCACAATGTGGGGAAGGGATTGGTGAGAATTTCTCAGTCACAGCAAGAAGGTCCAGCATTTGTCCTGCTTCCACCATATACACACACTTTCTCTCTCTCTCTTAACTCTTGATTTCAGAAGGCTGACAGCGGATATATATGATGGCTGGTTTAAAATGCCAAGGATGATCCTCCACGGTTAAAGCGGCATTAAGGCGGCAACACCCTCGAGGAACATCCGAGGTACTTGTTTGCTCTGTCTCCGCCAAGTATCCACGGTTATATTCAGGAACAAGACAGCGCACAAGATTCCGGACTGCCACGACCTGCATTGAAAAAGAAGACAAGTTATCGGGATAGCGCCTAGATACCCACAACATAATGTCGGACCATTCGGCTACTTCTTCTCTTCCCTCTTCCATTATGCTGGATCCTCTCCCTGAGGACTCCCCATCTCTTCGTCCGTTCCGCGCCTATGCCTACAGTAATCACCTCCTTCAGAACCCCGATTACTACCCCATAGGAACCTGGTCACGCCTGCTCAAACCAACGGGCGAAGATGGCCTCTTTGCCGGCACTTTGGCCACTGCCACTACTATCCCGCACTGTCTGACGCTGCGTCTCCGGCAGCTTCCCACCCTTCCCGCCATCGCTCCAACCTGGCCTGCTCCTACGGCCAACCCGACATCCGCCCCATCCTCCACGCCCCCAGATGTCTTTATGCTGTTGGCTCTGGCGGCTACGGGTATCTGTGGCCATCCGTCTACCGTCCATGGTGGCATTGTGGCCACCTGTATCGACGAGGCGATGTCACTGGCGGTGACTCTGTATGCACCTCCGCCCGAATTGGATCCCCAGTCCCAGTCCCCACGGGGGAAACTGTTCACGTCCCAGTTAGATGTGCGATACAAGAGACCTGTATCGGCTCCCGGCCTGCTGGCCGTGCGGGCCAAGGTGGTTGCCCGGGTCGGTCGGAAGTTCTGGGTCCGCGCCCAGGTTCTCCAGGAGGATGAGGAGAACCCCTCCCAGATGGTTGTCACGACGGACGCCATGGCGTTCTGGTTGCAGACCACGGCGAACCTATGATCCCCGGTTATGTCAAACGCTGTAAATAGATTCGACCGATCGGCCGATGGTCCATGTTTATAGATCTCTGTATCTTATGTATAGATGTCTTTCTCTTATGTATAGATGTCTTTCTCTATATATGTACAAGTACGCGTATGTCTTTCGCCCATTCAGGGGCCTCACAGTCTCAACCGCTGTCCCACATTGCGACTGCTACTCAGAACCAATCCAACTTGGGTACTAAGTGCCACCACATCCCCTTGTACGTCTAGCACCACCACCTCCAGATCCGTCCGGCCATCCTGTATCACTTTGGTTTGGACTCGGCTGTAAAGCCACTCAACACCCTGGGGAGGCAACCGCTTCTTCAGGTCGATGTTCAACGTGACCGTTGGATACCAGTATTTCGCCGTGGACGAGGCGTTATGCCCCCGGGACGACGCCGATGCTACTGCGTCGAACCCATCTAGTGCCATAGGAAACATATCCGTCAGATACGCCACGGCCTCGTTCGTCCACCGCGCCTCGGGATCCCCGTTGGGTCGGAACCGCGCCCATTGGTCGACCACCTTGGGCCTCCCCAGCTTCGGATCCGGCCCGAAGAGTTCGATCTGTTGTGCCGCACGCCGGAACTTGGGAAATGGCACCTCCAGGCGCATCCAATCGCCATCGTGGCCGGTTTTCTTCAGGGTCGACAGGTCCACGCGACCATCTGGTCCAGTTCCGCGCAGTGGCGGGGGGAGTAATTCCCAGCTGGTGTTTGCGGAGAGGCCTACTTCGGCGGAGGACGGGCTGACGGTGATGTAGCCGGCTACCTTGACCTCCAAGCCATCATCCCCATCTTCTGTCGCTCCCCGCTTTTTTTTCGCTAGGCTGCGACAACGTGACGTGAATCGTACTAGTGCGCGCCCCCAACTTCATATCTTGCACGCTCAACACGGCGGATCCGGCAGCCGTGCGGCGCAAGAACGTCAGCTGGATCGAGATCGGAGTTGCCGGCTCATTGTATAGGGACGGATGCTCATGAGCAAAATGGATAGTGGCTAAACGGTAGAGGACGGCGGTGGTATATCCTCCATGCGGAACTAGGGGTGACAGGTTAATATGCTTCTACTGTGACACCATGTCAAAGAGTAGGTGCACATAGCAGCCATACCTGTTCCAATACACCATTCATCCCGAAGAGAAGCGGAATAGCGGTTGGAGTGAAGTGGTGTCACTTCAATTGCTTCCTCCCATGTTGGTAGGGTGTTGACCTGAGAAGTTGCCATCTCCTATAGATCGTGCGTGGGCTTTCAATATGGTCGTAGCTGAAAGGGTCACCAGCTATCTATAGATGACAGACGCAGAAAAATCTGTTTGCCCTGGAGACAAGATACGAGATGCCTTCATTAGTATTAACGAACAGCCTGTGAGCAACCGAACTCTACGTGTAAATCCTCCACTGACCTCGGTTGATGCCACCAAGACACAACCCGAGTGCTGACTAACACCCATACCCCAGGTGCTGCTCTGTTCTGTACCATACAATACTGTACAGTATTGAATACCGTCGCGCCGATCTATAATATCATGTATGCCTTCATCCTACTATTATATGCCGTTTAGTTTACCAAATGATCATATCTTCGTGACTGATAAGAAAAGGAATAAAAAATAGACTCTTTTTTACGCTCCACTGGATGTAGTGGCCAACTTTTCCAGGCAGGAAAGCACGCCTACAGCGAGATCCAGTTAGTTCACAGATATCCTCAGGAAAATGAATAAACCTACCAATCACTCCCTGTGTTAATGTTGCCTTGGCCTCCGTACTCCGAGATCCCAAGGTGACTGTCATGGCATATTTCACCGCATTGGCGCTTTCGAGTTTATTAGCCCACCGGAACACAGGCTCGTCATCTCGGCCATCCCCAATGGCAAGGAGGAAGTCTGGTCGCTCGATCGTCGTCTCCTGTTCACTCCGCTCCAAGTAGTGTCGCCAGGCCATGGCTGCTGCCGAGGCCTTATTTGTATCAGCCGGTTCCACCACTAGCGCTCCGTTGACCAGGACAGCATGAGCCCCTTGACTGGCGCAAGAGTCATTGATGTGACCAGCACAGTCTGATGCCAGCCGGGAAGCAGCTATCTGGTCTTCTGCCGAACCATAGTGGAACATAAGGGAACAGTGGCGCTGCTCGATCCAACTGCCCTCCGCTCGTTCCTGGTAGTAGCCAAGGATCTGATGGACCGCCTCCTTCCACGCATCGGTCCGTGCCTTGTTAGTTAACTTGAACCATTCCTCTGTCCCCGGCTCACGCACAAAGCAGCCATTCTCGGCGATGAGACCGAGGCCCGCAACCATCCGAAACAGCCGCTCCATCTCCTCCGGCATCCTGGAGCTCATGACGAAAACCACATTCTTGGGGTCGTCGGTCAGATCCGTCAGTGTGGTAATTGCCCGCTGGGGTGTGGTAACGATGATGCTTTTCGGGGAACCCCAAGAAGCCAGAGTACCTTCGTAATCCACAATGATAAGCCGACGCGAGGACAGCCGATATGCCTCTTCAAGCTTATTAATTGAGAGCCGTGGAACGGCCATGATTTCGCGGGACGACTGCTCATTCCAGACACGGTTCAAAGTCTCGCTGAAAGATTTAACCCAGTTCGCTGTAGAATTTTCCAGCACTGCCCGGTGTACCTGCATCCACACCTGCTGCCGCTCTTCTTCACTCCTGGAGAGAGCTATGTGAATCGCTTCAGCACACTGTCTATAATTCCAGGGGTTGACCAGAAGAGCGTGATTGCCGAACACTGATGCGCTGCCCGTGAACTCACTTAGAATTAGAGAACCGTATTTCTTTGTACCATACTTGCCATCCTGGCAGTAAACAAACTCATGACTCGTTAGGTTCATGCCCTCACGCAGGCTTGTAATCATGAGTGCATCTGCAACAGAGATCAACGCAAGATACTGCGGGAAGGCTAGGTCTTGCTTTAGGAAGACAAGAGGCTGGTGAGCAAGCGTTGAGTGGGTGGAATTGATTCGCATGGCAATTTCTGAAATAGTTGCTTCTAGCTCTGGCTGCTCGGTTGTACTGGTGGCCACCTGAATCAATACGACCTGCCGAGGAGAGAACAGATCAAAAAGTCAGTCATTTTGTGCCATGGGGCTACTTTTGCAATAGACAAATTGGCTGGGTCACATACCTGGTCCCTCCACTCGGGATATGAATTAAGAAAGAGCTCGTAACTTAAAAGTTTTTGCCGGATCCCCCGGACTTGGTCAATCTTGTCGCGAGATACGATGAGCCGTTTCCCCTCATATCGTTCCGAGATGGTTTTGATCCAATGTTCAACATCGGTAGCTTGACGGCGCCTATCCCAAGATGTTGGATCAATACCGATAGGGAATTTGTTCACATTGACAAATCTGTCCTCCAACTGGACACCGTCATTGGTGGCTTCCACACAGAGAATGCGACTACATGTTTGGAGGAAATGGCGGCAATACTCGTCCGTCTGGAAGCCCACTAGATTTGCGCCCAGTATACCCTCCAGGAGTTCCTTGCGGGGCGCCAGGCATCGGAACACTTCCGACGACGGAAAGGCAATGTGAAGAAAGAAGCCGATCTGGGCATCTGGAAGTAGTTTCCGCAGCATGGCAGGAACCAACAGTAAGTGGTAGTCCTGGACCCATATTGAGTCCCCACGCTTCCAGTTCCGTGCGATCTGCTCGGCAAATGCCTGGTTGGTTTTCACGTAGTAGATCCAGGAATGATCCTCATATGCCTTGCTCTTGGGATTATCAGGAATTTGGTAGTGGAATACCGGCCAGAGAATGGTTTTGCAAAAATGGGTGTAATGGCCATCAAAGTCACCGTCGCTAACGAAGACGGTCAACGATCCATATTGGTCTTCCAGCGTCTTGGCGATTGCTGCTTTTGTGTAGTGGGTTAATGCATCGGTAGGCATGCCCAGCGTGCCTACCCAAACTTGGTCCTCTAGCTGTCCGGCATCCGTCGCCGAGCGTACTGCATTGCGCAATCCGCCATTGCCCTGCTCGGCCGTTTCAATGGTCCAGCGTGCACCGGAAAAGGAATGCTTCTGGACCGATTCTCTGCATTGTCTAGGGGTGTCGATGGGATGAGGAGTTGGCGGGTGTAGTTCGTTGGGGGTCCTCTCGCGGGGGAGTTCCGCCAGCGGAATGATAGGCTCCTGGTGTTTGAGAATTGACGGTGATGGCGGACTTACGGCTCGCGGCCTGGGCTGATTTAGAGACAATGTTGAGCCCCACGCAGGCGAGTGGGCTTCACTCTCCGTCAGAAGATTTGTATCCTCTACCTGTGACGGAAACAGGGACCCGGTATGCTCCTGTTCGACCTGAATGAGATTCGACGAAAAGATGCGTTCGTGCTCGGTTGTAGCTCCGGGGGTGAGGCCAATTTTCCGGGAATTATTTTGTTGTTCAAACAAGCTGATGGCCGCATTGGGGGTTGCAGATACGGTATCCACGGGGGCCTTGGAAGATGCAGAACCTGTGGTACGGAGTGGGGGATCTTGCGACTCCTGGAGATGAAAATTGACGGTGTACGGGAGAAATCTAGATACTTTGGTAAATAGACCGTTCAACGAATGTAGGACTGAAAATATCCACATACAGTGAGGCGATATATATCGTCATTGTTTGCAGCAGTTAATAGCAGCGCAATAGAGGGGGAAGTAAGTGTTTGAAGAAAAAAAGAGAGGAAAAAAACGGAAGCGAAAAAAAAACGTCAATCAAGGGGTAGAGAGATGGAAAGGACCCTCGTGTTCTCCACTGGGATTATATATCGATCTTCCTCCCGACTCAATCGCACTGGCATAGAAATAGATATACAGGAACTTCTAAAGAGCAGGTTGGACAGACGGCCAGAATTGCCCTCATCAATACGTCATGTGAAGACCCACTGCTAGGCGCAGGTTTGCTCTTTCGACTCCACTATAAGGTAAGGGAAAGAAAACTCACCTCTATCTACTTTTCTAATATTCGCAATAGAAATGTTGCAACCGATGTATATAATCCTCCTACCTGTGTATTTTTACACCTCCTGTCCTGCATCCTAGAGAGGGAGATGCATTTAGGTACCCACTGCACTACACTATACCTGATAATCGGTGCTGCTACGTAGTACCAAGCTGATCCCATCCCACGTATGTATATATAGGACCGTTTTCAACGTAAATAGCTTAGTCATTGGGATGATTGCTGGCTATTCAATAATGCTCACCATAAAATCCTAACTTCTGTGGAATCCAGCAAAGCAGAATATACGAGACCGTAGTATACATAGTTCACGCCACAGCTGTACTTTCTTCGCATCATCTGAGTCCTGACAGTCAAGTCCTCTTTAAAATAACTTTCATTTTATCTGTTTGTCTGTAAGTTTGGGGGTAATCTGTAGACAAGAACTTAATTAAAAAATGATTGTACTTGAAAAAGCACTGGATTTGTTACACGTGATGATATCCCATTCTACTTTATGCCTGAGGAAAATATAATCTTATCCCGCCCGTCCTCTTTTGTTCTCTTCAACCTTCCCCTGGTCATGCCCCTGCGAATCACTTCTGCCCCAATCTCTGGAGTGAAAAAGAGAAAATCTCCAGCGAGTTCAAGGCTTCGTGCCTCTCCGTTTTCCAGCCATGCTCGCCGCAAGGCTACCACCCTAGGTTCTCAATCTACTACTGCATCCGGTGACGCATGCCCAGAAGACCACGATCATGGGCCACTTCCAGATCTTGGCTTGTCACGATACATTCCGGAGACTGCGCTGGTGGAAAATGTAGTTCAAGCTCTTTGCTACGTGCGTGACCACATGTTTGAGAATCTCCCCGCCCGAGCTGGCATGAGCAGTACTCGCAGCGCAGAAGTGCTTAATTTTCGTCGCTCGTTGCCTCCTCTCGTCTCTGTGGCACATGTTCATACCTTATTGGATGCACCTACGAAAGTGGAAAAGGAGATTATGGAGTTGGTGAACAGTGGTCGCATTCGTCGCTTGGTCGTCCCAGGAAGAGGGAATGATGCAGCGGGGTTAGGCGACTGCCTGGTCCTTTCGGAAGATTGGGAAAGGCTTGTGCGACAGAACAATGATTTAGAGCCATTTATAAAGGGTATGACATCGCAGGGAGAGAATGATAATTCGATCTGTTGACGAATCTGTAGACAAGTTACTTAGGGTGCTTAATCGGATTGGTAACAGGTCCACCGTTCCCGGTGCAGCCTTCACCGCGTCAGAGTATATGGCCTTGGTTCGCGCGGGATTCCTTGTCTCCTCGTCCTTTCCAGCGCAGGGGTCCTTAAGTATCGCATCTCTCCCTAGCCTTCCATCGCCTTCAGTAGCAGAAAATCCGGCTAGTCGAAGTGATAGCGCTGCTCAACCCACTCAAATGGAAGCGATCAATCGTTCCCAGCTCCATTCGGCAACTTTGTTTCTTTCCCTCCCGAATACCGGGCCTTATCTTCGTCTTCTTGCTGCAGGTCGTGCTCATCTCCTCTCACTTTTGAAGAAATCCCCCGAAATCCCTCTTGATCTCCTTCGAGACCGCTGGGATGGTGCGGTCGAAAGCGAGAAAAGCTTCAGTGTCGCAAAGCGAGCACGAGGAGAATTCGCGGGAGTTTTGCCGGGAAGAACAAAAAAGTGGAAAGAGCTTTACGGAATGAATTTCCGGTGGGTTTTAGAGGAGGCCATTGGAGCAGGGCTAGTTGAGATTTTCGATACGGGAAGTGTTGGACCGGGGATACGCTGTCTGTGATTTGATGGATGGGGACATTACAGGGCTGATACATAGTGAAGAATAGAGTCAGTTGTACTTGTGCCTCGATCAAATTAAAGCTCTCAAATCTATTATGTTCCCGGTAGCCATATTTACCTGCAGTATTAATAGTTGTCGCTAGCGTAGGGTCAGGTGCTCTCAGTCGGAACTGGGAATATCTGTCTCTCAGTATCCTCTCTTTCTCTTTACCTCTGCGACACGACGTCCAAACATAATGTCACCATATCCTTCTCTCCTTCATCTCACTCCCATCCCTTTTCCATCCTTCCCTTGATGAGACTTCTCCACCCCGTACTATCAGACGCCATAGCTTCCACAGCTCTATTCCCGAGACATTCCAAACGCAGCGAGAACAAGTGCATCACCACCCGCCTCCACACCAGTTCAGTTCTCCTCTCGCGCCATACGGGTTTCTCCGACGGGGAGCGGAGAAAGCCACAAGGAGATTTGGTACTGTCGGAAAAGCATCCAAGCCAATACGCCGGTGTATGGATCAGCGTTGTGGAAGGAATTCCAGGATGGACTGAAAGCGAATCATGCCGAGAACGAGATGGCCTACACGCCGAGTGTGACGGCGGTGGAGAGGGTGCTGGAGTGAGCCATCGGAAAGGGAGATTCAAGGCCGGTGGATGGACGTGGATATGCAGGGTGCGTGCCTTGGGGATAATTCATTCCCTACGTACTCACTGATATGGCATGGCAGTCAACTGATCACTCACACCTTTCGTCCCGCTGCCTTGATTTCCTCCCGTTCCTTCATCTCCCTCTCTATTTCCGCCCATCTCCCCGTTCAGATCGCCAGGGGCTTTGTGACCGTTCAGATCCCTCTCTCGCACAAATCGGATTCCATCCTTAATGCACTGTCCGCCAGGATTACAGCGGAGGCGCCCCGAAACAACATCAATGCAGCATACGTCAGTGTGGAGCAGTTGGTGTCTGTTCCAAATCAACTGGAATGGTCCATTGGCCACTGCCTCGGACGCCCGGCAGGGCGATCCCTCAGTGGGTACAGCGCAGTTAGTCGATGGGAGTCCCAAAAGCCATTGTGGCGGACGTGGGGCTGTTCATCCAATGGACGGGTCAAAAAAGAAAAGCTCGCCGCTGAGCTAAACAACTGGACTTGTCCTACAGAGCTGGGCGAGCCTTGGGGAATGGCTCTTTGTATATTGGTTATAGCGGGCACGTTCCTAAACGTTACTGGTTGAAAATCCCTATTGCTCATACCAAAAATACATTCATTCCATGTTGCTAGATTCCCTTCAGAGGCAGAAACAAGCAATCATTGCACCCAGATAAATTCCAATGCACTAGTCCGCCGTACTTGGATTACACACAACAATGATTTGCTTCCATACTCCGTGCTCCTCTTAACACTTTCAAAAACAAACAAACAGAAAAAAAATGCCGGGATGCTAATGCCATCCATGACGTGCAAACAATGCTAAGACGAATAGTCGAGTACATATTAGAAAAGGAAAATTGACACTGTACCCTATACTCCGCAATGAGGAAACACCACAATAGTTACGTATTTATAAGTGGAGTGAGGAGGCAACGACCAAAGGTAGGACGAAGAAAGAAGAAATAAATATCCAAATAATAAAGACAAGCGTGAAGGATAAAATGACATGAAAAATTCGCAGCGGGTTTCTCGTAGGGTTTATGTCGTTAATGGCATGAGCGATTCGGTGATAAGGAAAGAAGAAACATACAAGCCAAGTGCTGTACGAGGTAAGAAAGGGTATTATTAAGACACAATCATTCATCGTTGTCCATTGCTGGCAGAGCCCGCCTCGAATTGGTTTTGTGTGACGCCCGTACTGGATGTGGTGGCTAATGTGTTGACACTTGAGGATGAAATCTGGGCCCTCAGTGCAGCCACCTCGGTCTTCAGCCCGGCTAGTTCCTCGTGGACAGAACGAACATACGCCCAAAGCTTATCTTCGCGTTCGCGGCTTTGATCGTTATAACCTGGGTCATGAGGCCCCAGAAGAGGACCGCCAATATTGGCAGCCGCTTCGGGTCCTGATTTAGACGTCAATAGCCCATTATGATTGCTAGAGTGGCTGTGTGATGAACTGTGTTTCGTGGCCGGTGGCTGCGTAGACCCTTGGGAGTGAAGCGGGAAGCGGGAATCAGATGAATTCATGCCAGGCGGAGGAGGCAGCTGGGGTGCACCAGGTTGAGGCGGCGGCAGACCTAAATTGGACGTGGAGTGGTTGGTGACGGACCCTTGGGAGGGTCCTGCCCTACCGTATGGCTGCTGCTGGAAAGACTGGGCTACACCAGGAGAATGAGAACGGTGTAGCTGGACGCTCTCGGCGCCGTGACTTAACTGATGAGAGGGCAAAGCGTTCGGCGAAAGTGATTTTGGGCTCTCTGTAATATTGGTATGCTGAAATACCGAGGTCCCAGATGGTTGTCCTGGAGGTGGAAATGTCATGTTTCCAGACTGGGAGATTGGGGACGTTGATGAACTAGAGCCGCCATGGCTGGCTGAAGGAGGGAAAAGACCTCCAGGGGACGGTCTGCCTGCAGCAATAGGGGGGTATGTACTTGGTGTCCGGGATTGGTAGGTAGTTGCAGTGTTTGACCCGGGAACGGGCTCTGCAGACACATCAGGCTTCTTTATGCTGGGCATGCTAATTCGTCGTTCGTCTTCCTCATCCATGCGCTCTGGCTCTGCATATACAAGGCCATCCATGGTATCCTCAGCTCCTCCGGGGCCCGTTGTGTCGCCATATTCGTCTTCGGCAACATAGCTGCCCATACTCGCTCGGCGTCCAGCGCACCCCCCTTGTCCCTTGTTGTGGCGAGCTAGAGCATCGCCACGAGCAAATCGACGCCCACATTTCGGACAGATATGGGGGCGCTCGCCGGTATGGAGCTTCGTGTGTCGTTTCAGATCATGAAGCCTGCGGAACCGCGATTGGCACGTCTGGCAAACGTACGGCTTCTCCTGACTATGCGTGAGGAGGTGACTCTTTAGGTTGTGATGTCTTGTGAATTCCGTCGCACAATAAGGACAACGATGCTTTTTAGTTGGCGAGCGTTGTCCCCCCTTGTGGAACCCCGAACCGGGCAAACTGAGGCCGCGACGTGGGTCACCAAGGCTTCCAGTCGGCATAGGGTAAGAAAAGGACTTGTTGCTTGCATCTTGTTGGATCTCAATCTCGTCCCGATGGCGTGGACGATCCCCATCTTGAGAAGCCGAGTCTTCTATTGGGCCAGGGCTAGCGACAGTGGATGTGTTGATGAGCGGTGAGGTATTCTCGGCTGCCCCAAAAGTATCTGCGGCATTCCCCGAGGGTGGATGGGGATCGACCTGCATTTGATCGGATGATATTTGCATGGGATCGTTTACCGAATTTGCCTGTTGTTTCTCGCTGGCGCCTAGCGCCTCCCTTGCCACTTGCGAGCTATTCTGCTCCGTCTCCTTTTCTTGCTCGAGAACCCGATCCATTGAGCCAGTCGCTGGTGCTGTTATCATGGGTGGCAATGAGTCTCTTGACCGCGAGACGTTTAGTCCGGCGGTAGCAATAGAGGTCAGGTTTGAATCTGCTTTCGTCTGTTTCAGAAAGGCGATAGATTCCGAGGGGCCTGATACGATGGAGGTGGAGGTTCCGGATAATGAGTTCGGGATAGTAACAGGTTCGTTGTTTGATTGCATCAATGCAGCCATGGATAATGGATGTTTCACGCCAGCCGAGAATGGTTGGCGAAAGAATGGGGAGGCTATTTCGACGGAGCCCATGTCAGTGAATCACGGCTCTGGTTGAAGCCTCTGAGTAACAGGATGATGACAACTAATGAAGGCCACAGCCAAAAAAAAAAAAAAAAAAAGAGGGGGAAAAAGGAAAGGAAATGGGAGAAAATTCAATGGGCATAACTCAAGAAAATTAAGGAAAAGGATGAGAGCTATTAGAGGTGGGCGCTCACCTAGAACCGAGTGTGGCGCAAGCTGATGGCGAGGTTCAGCTTTCGCGACTTCCTGTCAGACGACCAGGTCCCACAGGTATACAACAATGGGACCTTGCAGAGAGACAAAAATAGAAGCAGGTTCGGCAGGCTCAACAGTATCTGCTTAGGGTCGATCAAATTTGAGGTCAACCCATCAGGCGGGACTGTAGCGGATGTGCGGCGAAATGGAGATGCTTAATTAGGCCACAGAAGACGCCAGAACTAAGGCTTATGACCAAATCCGAAAAAGAAATGAGGCTATGCAACACTAAACTATCTGGCAAGCCGTCAATGTATAGTCGACGAGGTCAGTCGGATCATAGAGGATGAAGGAAGACAGGGGGGGGAAGGAGAAGACGGGGGATGCAGAGAAGGAATGGATACAGTGTGTCCAAGCCTCAATCACCGGAGCAGGCTGACATAAAAAATTAATTTTTTAAAAAAACAGTAAGGCGTAGAGCGTTATTGGACACGGAGATATAAATGTAAAGAAAAGATTGCGGGAGAGAAAGGTAGAGAAGAGTAACAAAAATAAAACAGAATAAAATAAAATAAAAATCAAAAAAGATAGAGGAGAGAGATCAATGTAATTTAGAAAAGAGATATTGTTGGTGAGTATGGATGAACTGATACAGGAGGTGATGATGATGCAGTGGCCAGGCAGACCTTAGTTCAGAGGATTGTTATGTTTGGGTTGATTGGTACTTGGGGGAGGGGACAGTGGAGGCGGCGGTGGTGGCCTTGTTTGTTCAACCAAGCGGAACAAGAGGAGGGGGAGCAAATCAAATCCAACAGGCTGCCAAAAAGAACTGGCGAGGCGCAGGGGAAAAAAGATGAGAGGCAGAGCGGATACCAGCAAGCAACAAAAGAGAAGGGAAGAAAGAGGCCGAGAGCAAAGAGAGAGGAAGTTGGAGAAGGGAATCCTTAATCCCAATACGAGAAGAAAGTGGCTGGAGCAACTTGGGCCGTACCAGCCGTGACCAGGCTCCACGCGGCTCTGCCTGACCGGACACGGATATTTTTCGGAACTACAGAAAGTCCGATAGTATTATGGTATTGAAGCGGTATTAAAGAGGCCTTGTGTTCGCTAAAGTACAGCTAACGGTAAAAGGTTAGTGGGATACTTTTTTAGTACTGGACCTGCGAGGCGCAGCAGGAGTTGCTCAAAAGAGATGTGGGTGTTAGATAGCATGTCGATGAAGGACATACATCCTGAATTTCGGCATGGATAGTCAATATGTACGACAACTACGGAGTAATTATCACCAAAAAAAAAAAAAAAAATCACCTAAGTAAGTAAAGCACATCTTCTTGTATAAATTTGTGACCTGGATGTTGTTCCATGAAAATCCGAGGCCGTGGCGTGGGCTTCCGGCTTTCTAGAACCTAGTGGGAAGGAGTGGCTGTACCATCTCACCGCCTGCCGGGCATGAAATGACCCTGAAAGCCTTGTCTTCCTGGTCAATATAAGCTGAGGCTTGGTGGAGATGCACAGATCGAGGGTGCGAATCAAGTCCTATACGATGTTCCTCAGTACGTATAGTGCTGCGTAGGTAGGGGGCGGATAATTTCAACATGCTCTCCTCCTTTAGGAGTCGATGTTTGAAGGTTATCGTAACAATCTAATACTACGGGGAAATACAAGCACTTATCTTGATCTTACATACTTGCTGATATGTAGTATGTAACAGCAAATGGCCAGATGAGGGTATATTATTCACCGTTGGCCATGAAGTACAGTGGCTTGACAATTAAATACCTACCTTTGAACTGTATCGTGGTGAATACTAGTTATACACCACTAAGCGTGGAAGTCTCATTGGTATGGTACCTCGATTGCTGGTATATAGACTGAGTGATGTCTCTTTGAGGAGGGAGAGGAGGAGGAGGAAGATAAGTTAACTTCCTATCCTCATGAATGACAGGACGGAGTAGGTGCCGCAGTGCAAACTGCGGGATTTTCAAGAAGGCGGTTATTTTGCTTGTGGGATTGGCGAATACCATGAGACCATCCTTAGTCATCGGCGAGAGGTGTGACCGAAGTTGCAGGCGCTTAGTAGTAGATACTGATTAGGACTTTAAGAGATGGGGAAAGTCTTGTAGAGACAAGTCCTACTTACTTCCTTCAGTAAGTTAACCTCCGTCAACTCCAGCGGTTCTGCAACGCCCGTGGTTGGCTCCGTTGAGAGACGATCAACACTGGCGCCGGGAAGACGAGCCAAATGACGAGCTCATTCGCTCTGGGAGTGATCAGACTTGCATAGGAAGTAGCTGTATCTGTATAGTGATGTCGATGCGCTCTTCCCCACTGTGATAAGTCAGGGTGATTGCTCTAGTGATGCATTCCCCCATCCAGTCATCGTGTTCGTTGGCCCTGTCCCTTCCTATCGTCACGTTGAGAGCGCGTCCGTACAGTTTTCACCCTCCTTGGTCTCCCCAATCATCTTTCCAGTCGTGGTCGCTCTGCATGCTCTCCGGCGCTTACCTTGCCCTTCACGTAGCCTTTGTGAGTCCGACCCCGCCGCCAGATCGATAGGATGGCCAGGCCAGCGCCCTTCATAGATATTCGGGAGGTGGCCACGCCATTCAGAAGTGGTCTGTCATCAGTCTGATTCCTCTGTTCTCTCTCTTTCCCCCTGAACCCACACACTATCGCACTCTTACTCTGGGTCTATCCCCTGGATTGTTTCTTGGTCGAAGCAGCGCAGGTTTCGCAGAGCATTTCCAAGAGACAAAAACGGTTGAGAGAAAAGTCGACCGATTGAGCCAACCAATAACTGGACTTCGGTAAGTACACTCACTCTCCTTGGATTCCTAATGCTATCAAGCACGCCATAGAAAATTAACGCCCCTTTCTCAATATTAGTTCAAATCATTTCAGAAGCCCTTTTGCTTCTCTAGAAAAAGGTGTGCTACCTTGTATGAGTCGCCTTTCAGACGACGTGACTAACGGACTTGGGTTAAGTGTATGGAGCTGAGCTGCGACAATAGCCCGCTGCGCATTTTCTAGACAGCACATTGGTTTCCAAAAGCCTCCAATCAGAACCCAGTAACAAGAACGGGCACTCGAGAGCTGGTTCTCTCCGTCCATATCTATACATCACGAGGCCATCTCCAAACCGTGATCTTGGTTCTATCTTCTCGATGTCTGTATCTGGAGATAGCCAAAAGAGCTTCACTCACACTTACGAAGCAGTTACTCCCATGGATATCGTTCGCGGTCATAATTACAGAGAAATGGCACCTGCACTGCAGCCCACCGTCGAACACAGGGATTCTTCGGATACGTCATCCTCATCTCTGAAGAGTCCCCGGACAGCTCGCTTTGCGGAAGCAACGACGATACATTCTCCGACTGGTCCTGCAGATACGGGGAGGTCACCATTTGCAGATCCTTCCAGCCAGTCTCAGACCCCTCCCGATGTGTCTGATGTGGGTTTTGGATACGTCAAGGCAAACGACCCAGCGCAACATGCCTCTCATCAACTCCCGCCGTCATCGCCCCTCAAAAGTGCTTTGAAGGTCCCCGGAACTCCTGGACGCACATTAAACCCCCTCAGTCCAACTTTCCGAGAGGAGTTTTATGTGGAGAAGCAAGAAAAGGTGGCGGAGAAGGAGAACGCCAGAGACCTGGTGAGTGAGCAACCCGAGACTATGGCACTCTACATAGATGCTTACGCGTTTCAATCTACAGCGTATTAAACTCCGTGTTCGCGTTGCTAAGATATTCCTTCGTTTTGTGAATTTTGGCTGCAGTTTAATCGTTCTTTCAATTCTGGGAACGACTTTGACCATATTCCATGCAACCAAGTCGTTACCGTCCCGCAGCGGTTTCCCCGCCTGGGCCAATGGTACAAATCCATGGACGCAGTATCTACTTCTATCGGTCTCTTGTATATCATTACTGGCCTGCCTGGTCGTATTTTGGGGCTATTGGAAGGGTGGTCATAAGCGTGCTGAAAAAGTCGCTGTCTATTACTCGGTCTTCTCCGTCTGCTTTTTCACATTCAGTCTTATTATGTGGGTTGTTGCAGCTGCCCTCTACCAGAATGACAAGGCCACTGGAAACGGCAAGGACCTCTGGGGTTGGTCCTGTAAGAAAAACACGAGAGAAGAATTGTTTCACAGTGATATTGATTATGCCCTTCTTTGTCGTCTGCAGGTATGTCAAAATCGGGCCGCTGTGGCCTCTCGACTGTTGTACATGCCTAACCTTGAATATATAGGACTGGGGGTTGGTATGCGCTATCATCGAAATAGTCATTGAGGTCTTAGTTATTCTCATTTATGCGGTGGTCTTCTATCGATTCTGGACCAAAAGACGGCTCGCAAAGTCAATGGATCATCGCGATAAAGCCAGATCTGATTTGTACCTGGCCCAGCTTCGCCTCCAGTCTGCGCCAAACACACCGGGGTTCCCTCACAGCGCAAAAATTCCCGTTGTATCCAGCTCCATTCCCCAGGACGCTTACTCTGCTGCGGAAAATGGAGAGTCATGCTCCACGCAATTTGCTACTCCTAAATCTCCTACCAGGCCCCAGCCCACGTTCCAGCTACAACCACCTCCAATTCGTGTGCAGCATGCAACACCCAAGCCTATGCAGGAAGGATTTCCCACACCGACACCCGCAGCTGCACCTATGCAGGGTGGGCCTCAACATATGGGTGCTGCTCCCGGCGAGCGGACTTACGAAGCTGTCCCCATCCCAGTTGCTTATGCGAGTCCAATGAGCCCTAACTTTCCGCATGGAGCACAACATTGAGACTTATGCCATCATCCCAAGTCAGAGTTTGAATGGTAGATAGCAGATTATTTGATGCGCTTACATTATATGTTTGGATATTTGAAATGAAACGACTAAATTCGATCGAATATTGCAACATGCTAGTCCACCTATTTTCGCATGCCAGAGCTATGATCGTCTCGTTATAAATAATTAAGTCTCTTTTGCGACGACTGGTGTCCATATAATATCTGGTATTTACATTATACGCTTCATTTCTCTCATTATGAAGTTTTATTATATTGTTCCGTTATACCACTGCAACTCTTTCCTTCCTTTCCTTCCTTTTCTTTCTTTTCTTTCCTTTTTTTGGCCCTCTGGTGGTGATTTATGGACTCAAGCATTTGGTATAGCTGTCGATTCTGTTGTTCAGATGAATATTCTTGATATTGTGGGCTTTGTTGGACTATGTATTCTTGTCCTGGTTTGGATTGGTTAAGAAATAGTCGATGAACAGAAATATCCTCTATTTATTTACGGCCCCCGAGGCTGAATGTTAAATATAGGAATTGAAGAGTAGCAGCACCCATTTAATCCAGAATACCTTCCACTTCTTCAAATTAAAAGAGAACAAGAAAAAAAAAAATAAAGCCCTAATTTAAGAAAAGCCTGTCAGATCCCATCTCAAATAAAATCCGCGAACTCCACCAGGGATTAACTCCAAACCATACTACGTTCCTCATAGCGTGCCATCACCGTCAAAGCCAGGACGACAATACCTCCATCAGAACAAATACACTGTGTTACATTGCTTCTTCGATGACAGCGTTGACATCCTTAACAACGAAGATTTCTTCGAGCTTGGCTTCGCCATCATTATTGGAACGATTGTCATTCTGCAAGACCAGTCCTTGTTCATTGGCTAAATGAAGCAGACAAATAAACCCATACGAGGTGCTGATGTCACGCAGTGTTTCCCGAGGGTAGACTGATTTGAGTGAATTCATGATCTGAGTGAAACGCAGCCCATTGGTTCCACTATCGGGAACTTGATCTGAGTTGTTGCTTAATGGCGTGGGTGTTAGCGGTTCCTGTTCGACGGCGGGACTGTTGATAGTCTCTGCTTGCGTGGGCTCGAAGTGTGTCGAGGTCACCAATTGTTCTCCCATGCCCTTCCACATTTCCAGTTTGAGCCGCCGCACGTCCACCTTTTTGGCGACCCGTGCATACGCAACATAGTCTGGGCGTGCTCTTCGGCCGCCCTGCGTTACAAGCTGTGACCCGAATCCTCCAGCACCACTCTGTAAAGCAGTGCCAGGAGCTGCACCAACCGCATTCAGCAGTGCCGCGAGACCTGAGGTTCCGCCTGCTTCTCCAGCCGAGGAGCCTGCAGGTCCATCAGATGGGGGAGACAGCATCTCTCTTGCATCTGCGAATGGGAGGTTATCGTCATCGTCGTCATCTAATCCGATGCCATTCGGGAATGCAAGGCCATCATCGTCCGCAAAGAAGTTGGCATCATATACCCTAGGAGCGCCTTCTTCCCCAGCTGCTCCGGTATCAGCTTCTGATTTGTGATTTGCCCAGAAGGCCTCGTCCATGTCCCCATTGCCTGATGTTTGTTCCTGCCGTCGAAGATTGAAGGGACGGGATCCCACCAGTTTCTTGGAGCCTATCCTTGCTTTTGGCTTGAGGAATAGACGAAGCAACTGTCGCGAGTTGAAGTGTTTGTCATCTGGGAGAAGATTACGGCCTTTAGTTTTCCACTGTGTTTTTGGCAGGGAAATCATGGAGTTAGAGCTAGCAGGAGTGTACATCAACTCCGCCACAGACGGATCCAGAGGGGCAGTGAAGTCGATTTCAAAGGGTTCTTTCTCCTTTCGCTGTTTCGGCGCTGCAGTTGCGGTGTTAGCAGCTGCATGCTCTTTAATTTTTCGGATTTTCCAGTGTTCTGGTCCTGCCCAATTTTTCTGCAGTGCGTTGTCAAAATAGCTGAGGATGGTTTCATGGTCTCGGCTGTTGGGATGGTGGCTAAGAGATATTGCATATACATCGTCATTGTCAAGTTCTTCGCCATCCCGATTCTCATCGCCTTCCAGGTCCACACGGTGAACCTTGAGCATTGGCTCTAAAGCAGCTTCACGGGCCCATGCCTCACCGCCATCCCCGAAGCCAGCATCCCCGGTAAGGTCAAAGCTAGCCAGCGTAGCATCGTCATCGTCGTCGAATCCCACAGCATTGTCATCATCGAGCATGATGCCAGACGCGTCGTTTGCGCTTCGTCCTTGTTCGTGGCTCTTCTCATTTCGCCAGTCATCTGATGCCTTGAGGAAAGGGATATCCAAAGATCCGCTTGGATCGCCAAGATCAAAGTTCTTCAGCGACGGGCAAATATCCTGCTCGTCCAGCTGATCCAGGTCGGGGAAAAATTGAGTGGCCAATGGGATTATATCGATATCCATACTGTCCTCGAACACATCACCTGGGGATTGACCTGAGGTAGATGAGGGAGAACCTGGTCGTCCCAGATCTTCTGCATCTTGATCGGCACCATCTATCTCTTTTGAGCCTTCTTCAGCAGCGTCATCGCTGCTATCAAATACGATTCGCCCTTGGCTGTCAATCGCCAGATGGTTAAGAAGTAAACCTTTGGCACCCCCTTCATCAAAATCCGCCGACGCTTTTTTAAATAGTGGATCGACCGCGAACTCAAGTTCAAACTTTTTAAGTTGGAGAGCAGCGAATGACGGGGCTAGAGTCGATTCGTGCGAGCGTTGCTTGAGTTAAATAGTCAGCCGACAGAATGCATGGCTGGATGGGGTACGCTGCTATACCTTTCGCCGCGTCTTTCTGGTCGTCCCGTCCTCCCCTTCCTCATCCTCGTCCTCGGCCTCTTCCCCGTCTGCACCGGCCTCACGAGTCTTCTTATCGCGACTATCGGCTAAGCCGCTGAGAAGTTTTCCAGTCTCCGTAGCAACGCTGTCGACTCTGCTCGTATAAATCTTGACACAGCCGTCCAGCGTGCAGCTTGCCTTTTGGAAGTTCACCCCATCGCCTTCCTTCAGCAAGGACATGTCATGGAAATAATCGATGAGGGCGAAGTTCCATGAATTGTTCGCATTGATCTTGTTGTCAGTCGCCATCTTCATCCACTCTTCAAAGTTTGCTAGTATGGGAACACGTTTCATCGGGGTCACGGCTCTCCGGCCATCTGGGTCACTCTCGCGTCCTCGGTGTCCTGAGCCGCGCGGGGTGGCGGGACTTAGGCTGGAAGGGCGATCATAGCCGGTATACCGGCGAGGGGGCATAGGGGTCTTAACAGCGGCCTTGATCTGTCCATCTGTCGATCTTGGCGGGCTTGACGTGCTTCCATGCGTGCCGCTTTCTCACCCAAGTCATCATTAAGTGGGATCCTAATATAATCAGTTTTAGTATTTCTGAGGAAGCTCCGGAATTTAGCAAAATCCATACTTCAAAGGCGAATTTTTGTGTGGAGTAGAGGCACCGCCAGAACGGCGGTGCTTTGCAACGCGGGGCATTGTGGATGAATACCCTTAGTAATAAGGGCTATTTTGGCCACACACAGCTCTCTGTCCGTCTCTCCCTTCGAGAAAACAATATTAAAACACAAGATACAGATTCAAGATGTGCCGAGGAGGATTCTCATCTCGTGGGAAGAAGCAAGCGCGGTGGAATTTGATGGCCGCTTTTGCGGATGTTTCGGTTTCCTTTGAAGGAAATCAACAACAAAAACATACGCCATCCCAGAGCAACCACACATGCAGCGTTTATCCGCATATGGTATAGCGTTATACGTGAGCACTAGACCCCGATCAGGCAAGTTGCCAAGCATGTGACACCTGGTTTAGTTAATACATAAATGGAAGACGGAACAAGTTCTTTGAATAAATGGAAAAGACCATTAGTCATCAGGAATGCGGCACACGACCAAAAAAACAGGGCATCCCCATCTGCAACCACGTTCTTTGTTTTACTCTTTTTATCGTTCATCCTACTGGACGTCGAGAAATCGAAAGATCATGCACTCGTTGATCAACAGTTGATGAACTCATTTATCCTCCAAGAGAGTACGTCTCTGGTCTCCACACTACTCCGTATTATTACTCCGTACTACCGCCTGCGCTCCAGTTATTTAGATGAGCAGCACCGCCTCACTCTGGGCTCCAATGGGCCAACACAAGCCACCATCCAGACCCACACTTTTGACATCAGTGGCTAGTATAGTAGGCTGAGTGTATCCCGTCTGTCTCGTCTCTCCTTCTCCTAACGCATGCAATAAGAACCAACTCACTCCCTCACCGCAATCCGCACAGCAATCTATCTATTTGCTGCTACCTGTTTATTTTCTATTCCTTACTGCTACCTCAGCCCTTCCCTTTTGGGGCCCTCTTAGCCGGTGACCCTCTCTACTGCTCATGATGCTTCTGCCGTGGCTACAACTCCCATTATGTCCAGAATACTGAGGCCTTCCCGGTACCAGTCTTTGGCTCGTCCGAAGCGTCAATATTCTGCTCGTCCATTTTACTGGACTCTCCTTGTATTAGCAGTCCTTACAATTCTCAAGTGGGTTGACCACTGGGGAGATGGTCGGTATGCACAGCTCACGCCAGACAATCCACAATTGATGGAATCCAATCTCCATCAGATTATTGGGCGTAGCAATGATGTTGAGGTACATCCCCTTCCAAATATTATTTCCGGGGCCTTATATATCTATTCGTATTGGTAATAATTGCTCAAGACCCGTACTGACCGATCCAGTGCCGTTTGGTCCGTAATGCGAAGGACCAATGCTCCTTCGTACAGCTAAATTGTCCAGATAATGAGGATGGTCTTTTTTCATACCTTCAATTCTATTATTGCGCTTTAGCAGATGCGAAACCACTTGCGTTCGTTATGATTATCTTATGGTTATCTCTGCTCTTCAGCACTATTGGGATCGCTGCGAGCGACTTCCTATGCATTAACTTGAGCACCTTGGCCAGCGTTCTCGGACTGAGCGAAAGCTTGACTGGTGTCACCTTCCTTGCATTTGGGAATGGCAGCCCAGATGTTTTCTCTACGTTTGCCGCCATGAAGTCCAACAGCGGTAGTTTGGCCATAGGTGAGCTGCTTGGAGCTGCTGGCTTTATCACATCCGTTGTTGCCGGCTCGATGGCGTTGGTTCGCCCATTCAAGGTCGCTCGGAGAAGCTTTGTCCGCGATGTTGGGTTCTTTATTGTGGCGGTGAGTTGCAGCATGTTGCTTCTGGCAGATGGTCGCCTGCGTATCTGGAAGTCCGCCACAATGGTCGGGCTGTATTGCTTCTATGTGGCTCTAGTTGTTACCTGGCATTGGTATATCGTACGGCAACGACGAGTGTATGAGAGGAATTTGGCGGCACGGTCGCATTTCCATATCCCGGAAAACCAAGAATTGGAGATCGAGGAGGTGGAAGAGGATGACCCAGGTGTGGCGTCTGAGTCAACCAGTCTTCTTCGCGGGGTGTCGGCCGATTTCGATTCCCTGGAGAGGTCCGGGAATGCTCCTTGGCGGGACGGGGATGAGGATGATGAAACCCGTAACCGCTACCTGGCTGAAATACGGGACAACATGCACGTATACCGTCCGTCTGCGCGTAGACGCAACACGTTGAATCCAATCAGACCAAGTCTCGTTGGCGCGCTGGAGTTCCAGTCGGTGCTATCGTCGCTGCAGCGATCGAGAAGTATCCATCAAAACATTCCAATTCCAATCAACCTGGAAAGGCATTCGGATGGTCAGGATCGTGGCGCCGCAGCAGCTTCATCGTCATCAGCACAGGCACAAGATAACGTCTCAGTTGCTTCCCATCCATGGATTAGCAGGCCCCCCGCGGCGGACCATCTTTCACCTTACAGCGGAGCTGCTTCTGGCCGTGCTCGGGCTGTGTCCGCCAACAATGCAGCTGGGCTAAAGTTGGATACCAGCATGCTTGTCTCTACCGTAGCACAGCCCCGTGTTACTATCAGACGACCCTCGGATAGTTCGGACTCCAATACACCAGGTGTTCATAAAGCCCATCAGCGCGCAGAGCTCAAGTTGTCACCACAACCATCCAACCATTCATCGCCGCATCTGAGTCCAGAGGCAGATACCCAACCCCGTACTCCTACGTTACTTGCACCACCGGATACTTTCCATTCCCCTAATTACCAGATTGAAATGTCTCATTCACGATCACCACTTCCCGTGTCCCCGCATGGGACATCATACGCTTTGAATGATGTTGCGGTCGGCAGTCCTAATAGTCCATTTCCTACCTTTGATGCGTATAGCTCGGCGTCTTCTGGACCCCCCAGCATACGTTTGCCCGCTCCTTCTAGCCCTACGGAGCTGTTGCAAATCCATGATAGCGTCTTTGACGGGGAAGCCCCTCTTTCTAGTACTCAAACAAAACGCAGGTCTTGTTTCTCGTTCTTGCCTCTCCGGTCCATTTTCCCAACCCTGTTTCCCACTCTAGATGGGTGGAATTCGAAGTCACTTTGGGAGCGACTCTTGGGAGTTGCCGCAGCTCCTAGCGTATTGTTACTGACTATAACTATACCTGTTGTTGAACCAACACATCCCCAGGCTGTGGAAGACCCCGTTACCGTTGTTGTAACTTCGGCGGACAGCGAAGATTCGGTAACGCCTCCTGTGATACTGCCAGGCGATAGTCCACTTATTCGTGCAATTGATCGTGGCCCCGTGGCAGATGAGACAACCAACCAGAGCCCCAAAAAGCAATCTACACATGGACGGCGCCGCTGGGACTCTGAACTGCCTGCTATTCCGCGGCCTTCGGATCCATCCCCAGCTCCTACAAAAGAGTGGTGTTCATGGCTCGTACGGGTACAGCTCTTCACGGGCCCATTTTTTGTTATCTTGATCTCCTGGACGGCTATGGATCCCGAGCTCAACCATCGCAATCTCCTGCTGTTGTCTTTGTGCGCACTCCTATTTTCCCTCGTGTGCTTTACCTGTCTCCTTGTGGTTACGCGACACAGAAAACAATTGCAGCATCCGAGTTTGTGGCGCCCTTTCTTGGCCTTATTAGGCTTTGTTGTTGCGATATTTTGGGTTGCCACGATAGCTACGGAGGTTGTCAGCCTGCTGAAGACAGTGGGTGTAATTTTGAACATCAGCGATTCCCTTCTTGGATTGACTGTATTTGCTGTCGGGAATTCGCTGGGCGATCTAGTTGCAAACATTACTGTGGCACGTCTGGGTTATCCTGTCATGGCCCTGAGTGCCTGCTTCGGTGGACCGATGCTAAACATCCTCCTAGGGATCGGACTGGGTGGTTTATACATGACTATAAATGCAGACCCCAAATCAAGCATTGGGACTGGGGGTTCCTACGAGATCGCCATCTCAAATGTCCTCGCAATTAGTGCCGCAACGCTCCTGGTTACTCTCGTTGGGCTATTAATCGTCATCCCACTGAATAAGTGGAGGATGGATCAAAAAATCGGCTGGGGTCTAGTGGCTTTATGGTGTTTTACCACCTTGGCCAATGTGATTGCCGAGGTTATCACTTGAGCTTCGTTCGATTGAGTGCATTGCCACTCTCGTCCTCATTCTTCCTCTCAAGGCGCCATCCATGTCAAAGGGGTTCTCTACGATCCATCCTCCTCGTAACATATAACAAAGATATATATACAAGTATAGGAACCTAGATAACGAATGTATAGAATTATGTAAATGCTCCATACATCCTGCAAATGGCCATTTCAATTTCAATGGTCCTGCCTACATAAATACGGAAGCCGGTGTAAAAGCGAATAGGACAGCAACGCAAAGCAGCCGCAGATTTAGTGGGGAGAATTGGTAAAAGTATACTGGGCTCTGTTCACTTCACTCTACACACTAACACCCATTCGACCGAAATTGGTAGTCATGCATTCCACGTAACAGTCCACAATAGTATTTGTTCAATTCAACACCCGGCCTGCCGTAGAGCTAGAGCTCCGGTCGTTTGTCTGGACCTTCTTTAGCCCCTTGCCTGCTTGAATCGAAGCTAGCAAGGCGCCACGATTTCCTGAACCGGCCGGAGCGGACGGAGGAGCAGGAGCAGGAGGAATTCCGGGAGGTGGAGGTGGAGCGGGAGGAGCACCAGCGGGCGGCGGCGGTGGGGGAGCGGCGCCAGCAATGCCGGGAGCGGGCGCGGGTGGAGGTGGTGGCGGCGGAGGGGCAGCGGCAGGAATAGAAGGCGTGCTGTCTATGTCAGGCAGCGGGGGAGGAATTGCGGAGCTCTCCTGCACTGGAGTAGACGATTTCGACGGGGATTTGTCGTCCATGGCAGACAGAGGCCGCGGGGGCGCCATCGTACCGAATAGAATACTTGCAAGTTGCTTCGCACTGCCACCGCCAGCTCGCTCGTCCTCGTCATCTGACGAATCGAATTCCGAGCCTGCCGCAGACCAGTCATCGTCGTCTGCCTCTGGACGTGCGCGGGATTTGCGCTCTAATGGACCCGACGCGGTAAATGCGGGTCTCGTAGTCTCTTGATGCTGGGTCAGGCGATGGAAAGGATTCGTGGACGACGTGTCAGCCTTGGGGGAGACAACGGTGGCCTGGGGTGTGGGTGGAGTGACGTAATTGTCTGTAAACTGGCTAATATTCTTGAAATACGGGTTCTTGGACTCGGCCTCTGGGTTCAGGCTCGCTGCTGGTCCAGCGCGACCACTGACCAGTGAGTCGGCAGGGTTGATTGTTGCCTCCGGAGGTGCTTGCTCAGGAGTTGGAGGAGCCGGAGGGGAGGCGGTATTTGCAGTGGATAGGACCTGGCTCTGCGTCGGCGTGCTATCCTGAGGGGTGACGTTTGCTGGGCTTTCGTCATCCGAAGAACTATCCTCCATGGCTTCCAATTCCAATTGAAGTTGTCGCTCTCGCTCTCTGGCTGTCTCGAGTTCAGCCCGTTGAGCAGCAAGCCTTGCTTCCTGTTCTTTGGCCATACGCTGCGCCTCCTCTTTTCGACGTTTCTCTTCTTGCTTTTTGATCTTACCCTGTGCCACTTGCTCCTGCAGGGCACGCAAACGAGCTTCTTGCGCCGCCTTTTCTTTCTGCAACTCTTCTTCTCGTTGCCTGGCCTCGACTCTAGGTAAAAGACGCAGAGTAAGTACGAGTCAATCCGATCTGTTAGGATGTAGGGGTTTATGTAGGGCTCAATCACATACTCCAGTTGTTTTCTCTCCTCCTGTTGCGCCTGCTGTTCCTCCTTGAGAACCCGTTCGCGGATGGCGTGGTCCGTTTTATCTACCTCCTCTGGTTGTCTCTTGGCATCACCCTGGCCTGTACTATCCGTTCGTACCCTCCGTGAAGGTGGTGCTGGCGGAGGCTTCTTGCCAGCTGGTTTAGAGGATTGTGGTGTAGAACCACCTTGTTCTTCGGCCAAGCGACGTTGCCGCTCCTGCTCTCGTTTCGCATCCTCTTCTTCTGCTCGTTTCACCCGCTCTTCGCGCTCTTTCTTTTCCCGCTCTTGACGTTGAAGGAGGCTCTCTGCTGAATCATTCTGGGGTTTCAGGCCAGCGGCCGCCATCCGTTCGGCAATGCGCTTTTGTGCGCGTTCCCTGGCGGCAGCGACACGGTCCTCATGAGTAGAGCCGGGCAATGACCCGGTAGATCCTGTGGATGGTGGCGGGGGAGGACGAACCGCAGACGTATCACTGACGGGCGATACATTGAAACGGTGCGGCTGTTCCTGAACAGACAGTGATTTCGACGCTCTACAGGGTATTATTAGTATCCATACGAGGAGAGGCAGGGGAGGGGTAGTCTCTGCAACAGGATACAGGGGGAACTTACTCCTCCTTACGGACATGTGCGGTCCGGCCACCGCGCTTCAAGTCGTAGATGAAGTCTCGAATAATGTCTTCAACACCCAAGGCATCCTCCCATCGACGCTTTTCGTGTTCACGGGTTGAGTTTTCGCCTTCGTCTTTGAGACTATCCTCAAGACCTCGAGCGAAATCTTTCACGCTCTCCTCCACGTCACGCGTCATAGCATCGTTCTTCTCTCTGGCCGCCTTGATGTTCGCACTCTCAGCTTCGAGACGTCGAGCCGCAGCCCCATCATCGTCCTGCGACGCAGATGCAGGCCTTCCGGCAAGCTCAGCGGCGCGAGCTTGCATTCTGGCACGAGCACGAGCTTTGATGCGGTCTGCCTCCGTCACTGCGCCACCGGGGCCAGTACCAACAATGTTGGAAGCACTGTTGGGGTGCGCCTTGGCGTCCTGCAGGCGGAACAGCTCAAGCTTGGCCTCGGCGATCTCTCGTTCCACCCGACGGACATCCGAAGCAACTTGGGGAACCTGATCTTCATAGGCCTGTAGCTGGCGGCGTAAGGCCCGCCGTTCAGCCCCATTGTCAATGTTGCGGAATGACGAATTTGGATGGGTATCAATGTCGTCCTGGACACGTCGGACTCTGTCCATGAGGCTCTCGGCTTCGCGACGATCTCTGCGATCCATGGCATCGTCCTCCTCGGCACGATTTTCATCCTGAAAATCCACTGCATCAAGCATAATCTGGGCCTCCCGGATTTTCTTCTTCAGCTGCTCGGACGACAGCTCTTCCTCCGATGCCTGGGACGAGGCAGCAGGTGATGGAGTGCGACCATTGTTTCCAACACGGCGACGGGCGCTAGAACGATAGCCAGCAGCGGCGTCGTCATTGTTCTTAAATAGGGTAGCATCTTTGCGACCAATACCAGGGGAGACCGCGCCGCCACGGAAAGAGTGTTCCTTGAGGTAGCTGACACCTGTCTTTTGCGGCTGCAAGAACGCACCCGACGCTTTTCGGGTCTCTGCATCTTGCGACAGCATCGACTTGATCGTCCCTATCGAGTCGTTCAAGTTCCTCGTGGAGGGAGGGACAAGTTCGGGGGGGAGACGGCTTGGGACAGGATATCCATTGAGCTTCCGGTAGATCAGATGCATGGCCACGGCAAACTCATCCATGTTAAGTCGACCCCTGTTATGGGGATCCGCCAAGGTCCAAATACGCTCCAGATCTTGGCGATCCAGGCCACTCTGTCCCATAATTTCGATCGCAGTGCCACCACCAATGAACCCTTTATGGAAGCCATCCCAAGCTCGGAAGAGATCATCATAGATTTTCTTCTCTTCCTTCGTAATCGCCCAAGGTATGTTGGCATTTCCCGAGAGGCCAACAGCAGAAAAGCCACCTTCGCGACCTGGTTGAGGCATAAGTTGCTGCTTGAGAGCCTCAATGTTGGGTAGCCCGGACGAAGGCGCATTGACAAATCCCCATTGACCTGGAACGCCGGTAGGCTGAGCAACAAGACCATGCGCATTCCCGGTCTGTGCCGGGTTCAGACCAGACCCAAAGCCCGCTGGAATTGGCGGAACAGGGGGACGAGGACCAGAGTAGCCAGTCGGCTGAGGGTTATTCAGAAGTCCCGTCGGCTGCGGTTGGAGAGTCTGCTGATGGTTTTGCCCAGGAAACCCTGTCGCTTGTGGGGTGAGAGCTGAGCCTTGGCCTGAGAAAGAGGGCTGATTTGGTAAAAGGCTATTCGGCTGGGGGAACCCCGTGGGCTGCGCCGTGAGTTGGGTCAAAAGTTGCGAATTGGTTGGCTGTTGCGGTTGTGGTTGCTGAGGAGCCGGAGGGGCAGATTTGTTCTCTAGCAATGGAGTGTCGAAGTTCGGGACATTCGTCCGGACGACGGGCTCCGGTTGCGTATCGGGGACCGTGAACGAGATAATATCCACCATGCTGGACACCTCATTCTTAACTTTCTCCGGGAGGATGTCGGGCAGGTCCCGGCCCGTAATCCGTAGGTTGCACAAGTACATAGCCAATGCAAACTCCGGGAAGAGCAGCTGGCCCGACTTGGTAGAATCTGACAAGACCCTATGACAGTAAGCATCGTATTGTACCGCATCGGATACTCCCCGGTGACCCACCATATTTTAGATAGATCACTGCCCGAAAGTCTCGATCGCAGAAGTAGCTCCTTGGCCTTGTCCCCTGCGATGCAATTGAATGTCAGCACACCTCCGAGTAGTCAGCGGACCGGGGAAGGCGGAACAACTCCTACTAACCGCTCATGGTCTGACTGTCTCCCACCGCAGACTTGAAAAGTTGCTCGAATTTCGCCTGATCCTGGGCGGTGATAAACGATAGACGGATATTGGGGATTTTGTTTCCCAATGACTTAGGGGGCGGAGGAGGAGCCGCACCGCTCACATCTCGAAAGGAGTCTGCTATTTCGGAGGAAGTCTGGACAGCTGATCGAACGGGAAGCCCCGTGCTCGATGGGACCTGAAGCTGCGGGGGCTGCGACTGGGGAGGATAGCCGGTAAATTGGGGTTGTTGCTGCGGAACAGGGGGTTGGAGTCCCTGCTGGGGGGGGCCACCAGGGAAGCCGGTGAATTGCGGTTGCAGCTGTCCCGTGGGGAATCCGGTCGGTTGATGTTGGAGTTGGGAGCCGCCAAACCCCGACATTGGAGGGCCATAGCCGGTAGTCTGGGGAGCAAAACCGGGCTGCTGCTGCTGGCCGGGCGGGAATTGCGAATACTGCTGTTGCTGCTGCATTAAAGGTGGCTGCTGTCCGGGGCGAGCGCTGCTGGCGCCGCCCAGGAAGGAATTTGACGAAGAGTACATTACCACAGTCCCGCTGGCATCAAATCAAGGGGACACAGCATGGATAGACAAGAAACCAGAGACAGAAAGCAGGTGTTTAGATGGACAGGCAGCAAGACGTTCTCCTGAGCAGCACATGACTGGACGTTCAGGCACGCGGGCGCTAAGCTGGATGGGGCAGCAGACATGCTGAGTCATAGGGTACCTCAGGCAGCGACTGAAGTATTATACTTAATTTGGTAGTATCGAGTATCGAATATGGAATTAGTATATTCTACACTTTTGAACCTTGCAAACATACAGAAAAATTCAGTACAACCTCGTTATTTCATACGTAGGAAGGAGAGCCAGCTCATGTCCATCATGGCATGACATTAAAAGGGGGTATGCATGGGGAAAAATAAAAAGACCAAAAAAAAAAAAAAAAAACTAAGAGAAAGAAAAAGAGAAAGATAAAAAAGAATCAAGAAAGAAGGAAAGACCGAGAGCAGATTACGCCATGCCCAGCGCGCCAAATGTGAAGGGAAGAAGACCACACATCTCTTATCAACAATGTACTTGTCACCTCTAGGGTCCGTCCTGAGCACCGTTCTGCTGCTGCTGCTGAGTAGCGCCCACCATCTTGCGCAGCTCATACTCCTTGGTGAACTCACGAGACAGGATCCCCAAGTCCCGGACTAGTTCATGGCACGCGGCCACAACAGCATCCTTGGGAGTAACCTCGCCGTCGGTCTGAACTCGAAGTTCGAACTTGGGCACCAGAGGATGAGGAACCTAGATACCACGCATCAGCTATCGAGGAGTAACAGTAAGGGAGGCTCATCAGGAATCGAACCACCCACGGCATGACATACCTTGTAGGCCGCAAAGAGAACATGCGAACTCTGCAGCAGGCGGGAACGGATCAGGTTTCCAAGAGTATGATCTTCTTTGTTGAAGGTGAAAATAGCAGAAGATGGGATCCCTGCAAGAACAGTTTAGCCGTCGCAGACAGACAAGAGGAGTGGGATATGGAGACATACGAGTATCAATCTCCATCTCTACCTTATTCTCGCCGTTGGCGAGCACAAAGGACTCGTAACTACACTCGGAGGCTGGTTAGTGTTGTGATACCCCAAGACAAACTATGTGGACGAGAGAAGGAGCAACAAAGTCGCAAAGATGTTAGAACGACATAACCCGACCTCGGTTGCTGGTCATGCGAAACTCTGACAGTAGACTGGCAGCCTTTGCGAGAACTGCCATTGGCGTTCTTCCAACGGGCGTAGGCCATCTCGGGTGGCAGGAGAGGTTCTTTCCGTGGGCTCATTCCGGCGGAAGAAGTGAATGGGCAAGAGATTTTGTAGTATGGGGGAACTGGTGGGAAGAGTGAAGAGACATGCTGGGGTAGGGAATGAACTGGGAATAGGCATTTTGGGGGAGGGGGGCATAAAAAGGACGGCAACCAATGGCCTGCTTGCATTGAAGAAACAGAAGGAGTCCCAGGAGTCCTTTCCAACATGACATCAGGTCTCTCCATTACCTAGCTTCAATCTAGGTACCTAGAGCTAAACTTCCTCCCAGATTAGGGAGGAAAGAGGAGAGTTTGGAAGGAAGACATGTATTGACAGATATCGCCCTCACCAAAAATAAAGAAAAAAAAAAGGGAGGGGAGCTGAGAGATAATTGGGAAGTCACTGATCTTACCGGTCTGGCGCGTTCATTTTGCCTCAGAGATAAAAATAACTGAGCTGACTCTTAACCAAGCTGACTATCACTTTTCTTCCTCAGATATCCAAGAAACCAGCCCAAGCAACAGCAAAAGCTGCAGGAAATATCAAAGCCAAGAGATCTCACTGCCTCTCCAAGGAACCATAAAGCAGCCAGTTGCTTTGGGAAGGATCTATATATCCAAAAAAGACCAGAATAGGCGAGAATATTCTGAGGCAAATGAGATAAAGATATTAGGGATAGTAAGAATGGTGTTCTGAGCAGCAAGGAAGACAGCAGATCATGCAGAGACAGATTAACTGAGAGGGAGGATAGGCGAGGTCTACTACGTTCAAATGTTTTCTGTTGTTTCAATATCTCATGGTGATGCTGAGGATCTTTCCGCCCGTGCAATCCCGTGACTGTGAAGTGATGCACGTGACATCACGCATCTGCTTCAGATCGTTCCGCGCCAAAAGTGAGACCAGCATTGGGATGGACCAAGACCCATGGATAAAGTGGAGTTGGATGGAGTAAAGATGGGGCTTTAAGTAGTTTGAAGTAGTTTACTTTAAGAGTAAAAGCAGTCATCCATAGGGTCTATCTCGCAATAATATCCCATCGTCCTAGTTGCACCAGATAGGGACATGTCTCATCCAGCTTCCGCCTTACAATCTAGCTACCCTTGGACAAGGACTCCCCTCGTAAAATCGGCTCCAATGCTCGGCATAGCGATGCCTTCTCTTGCCGTATCCATCTCATCTGCAGGAGGTCTGGGGTTCCTCGCAGCTGAATACGATGTCTCGAACCTGCAGCGCAATCTGGAGGAGGCGGTCCAACTTGTAGGTTGATCGGACTCTTCGTTACGACGGATTTTCCGTGATACCGATTCTCCGCCCATAGGGGTCTGTTTCCTCAACTGGGGTGCCGATCTTGAGCAATCCGTGGCCACCATCGGGCTATACAGACCATGGTCTGGTTCTTTGGTCCCAGGACTCAGCCCGAGAACCTGAGACCCTGGGTAGACTGAGGGCGGGCGACGAGTTCCGGAAGGAACATCAAGGTTTGGATCCAGGTCCGTTCTCTGGAACGGTCGCTGTAGGCTGAGGTTCTCCGACCGGACGTGCTGGTCGTTCAGGGATCGGATGCAGGTGGTCACGGTTTGGCTCGCTCGGCTTCCATTGTCGCTCTGATCCCTGAGGTCTACGACGCGCTCCGAGAACGCCAGAAGAGCGTGGTCACCATCCTGGCGGGGCGGAACCGTCAATGGGCGAGGAACAGCCGCTGCTCTGGTCCTGGAACCATCGGAGCCGTCCTGGGGGCGCGCTTCCTGTCCTCCATCGAGGCCAATATCGCACGCGGTTACCAGGACGAGATACTGCGTGTCTCCGATGGCGGCGTCGACACCGTCCATTCCATCGTATATGACCGGGTGAGAGGGATAAAATACTGGCCCAGCCGATACGATGGACGGGGAGTGGTAACTAGGAACTAGGGATGGGGTCTGCAGGGTCGGCTGACCACATATGCTGGCACCGGAGTTGGGGTCGTGAAGGAGACACTACCAGCTGCACACATCTTCGGCAAAATAAGACTAAGAACGAGGGACGCCTTTTGACAGCTTGCGCGGCTATGACCGGCGTGACAGAAGATAGAATGATCAAGGTTCCAGTTTTTTGATTGCAATTATTGAGCTCATCTATGGCCCCAAAAGGCTTGTCCGTATATTATACTTTTATCTCATATACTTACCCAATACAACATGAAAAGAGACGGAAAAGAAACAATATACACTCGCTAAAAGTCTTCAATGCTGCCAAATGAAACAGCTTTGTTCAGAGAAAGGGAAACGGGAGGGAAAAAAAACGAAAAAACCAAAAAGAAAAAAAAAAAAAAAAAAAAAAAAAAGCGCCAGCCTTAAACAACTCCATATCTGACCCAGGATGGGGATAGGGAAATGAACAGAAACCAGTGTAGTTTTCATAACGCAATTGAACAGATAACGTTCCAATGAAAGAGACATAGAGAGAAGGCCAATACAGTGTCGACCATGTTCCTAAAAAAAGAAGAAACTATGAGAAACGTGCGTGCGATACCAAAGCGCCTGGCTAATAGAGGGGAATGGATTGTCCTGTTAATGTACCACATTCAACAGGTCCCCAAAACTGGATGTCTCTTTCTTTATTTTCCAGTTACTTCGCTTATTTTCTCGTTTCTTCATCATCTGAGCCCAGCCTTCATCATCGTCTTCATCTTCTGGTTGGGTATTGTTGCCAGCTCTACCGGCCATGGCTGGGTTTCCGCCATTCGAAATAGGTCGGACAGTCGGCTTGGTCATTTGTGAAGCAGCCGGGGAAGCAACGGAGACGGAAGACCTCACGTTTTCATCATTCCACGGTTTTGAAGAGAGAGGATAGGCCCCCGAGCTTGTCTCTGGTTGCATCGTCGATACAGGGCGATATCGAGGCGCCAACCCTATATTGCTACGTTCTGACGGCGCAATTGACGGCGCATAGCCTTGTCCTGCTGGGGTGCTTGGCCGGTTCGGTCCCGAAGAGTATGGCATCATCGGGACATTCAGCTGAGAAGAGTTAGGGTCAAGCAGGCTAAGCGTTCTTTGATCAGCCCCATATCCAGAGGGCACCGGCGCCGCTGAGGGCATGGAAGACGGCCTCATAGCTGTATTGGCCAAAGGAAACCCGCCCGGTGGCATTGGTTGTTGTACTTGAGGGGAACCTTGCCCGCCCTGCAGACTGATCATTTGCTGCATCCACTGCATCTGCATCTGCATCATATTCGACATTTGCTGGGAAAGTTGTATCTGGGCTTGCTCCGTAGCGGTGACCCCCTGCTGGGGGCCAGAAAGACTTGGTGGGTTCATGCTCATCATTGTATAGGGTCTAGGAATTCCATTGAGATGGGTAGGGACTGACGGTACCCCGGCCTGAAAGTCGTACATAGCCTGGGTATTGGGGCTTCCTCTCCTCATTGCTCTCGCCCGTTCCTCAGTAGCGATCACGCCAATTAACCCTCCAGGGGGTAGCCCAGGCGAAGGGCCTGGGGCAGCGGAAGGTCCTCCGTAAACAGATGTGCCTCCTCCAAGAGCCAACGACTCTCTGTTAGAAGGGTTCACTAAGCCTGCCCCGTAGTAAGGATCTCGTGGTAGGTTCCTGGCAAAAACAGGCAAACTTCCACGATTTCCAGCGTCGTTCCCACCAACCGAACCTGTGGACGAGATATGAGGTTGGTGGAAGGATGCCCGCAGGTTTGGAATAGAGCTCGACGGAGCAAGACGACTTGGGGGGCGGTTCCTATTCGGAAACCCATGCGCAGCTAAGATCCCGAGAGGGATTTCGTCGTCGTCATCACCTTCGCTGCTTTTCCCACTTGATGACCTATTAGGCTGGCCAAAGAGATGAACTGTAAGGTTCGGCGCGCTATTGCTAGCCTGATCAATCTCTGGACGGAGAGAAGGTGTTGGAGCTTGCTGGCCAGTCACTTTCATCATTTGTTGCCGATAAACGGATAGGTGGGCTTCTTGCTTCCGTCGCTGCTTTTCTGCCTCACGATTCTTCTCGGCCTCGTCCTCTTCGTCAAAATCGCTGCCCGCGGAGTCTTCGCTCTTTGATGCATCACTATTCGACCTCCTCAGCTCTTGCTGTTGCCGGTAATGCTCAAATTGGGAGGGCGTCATGACTTTATTTGTTGACGACACTGGTGCCGATTGTTTCTTTTCGAACTGCACAGCCAATTGCGCATGGGCTACGATAGAAGGGTCGAGGCGATCATCATTGAAGCCAGTGGGTTTATGTGGTTGCGTATGCAGCGGAGGTGAGGTGTGATACCCTGGCTGCTTCGTAACCACTGTGCTTTCTTTCGCAAAAAGAGGGATGTCGATCTCCGCGTCCGAGTCGTCGTGGTCGGATGTGAGTGGTACATTCGAGGCCCGTTTGTTCGAATAGAGAGACTCCATGATCAGTTTAGCGTCCTCGTCTTCCACTGGCGTTGAGCCCCGCTTGCTAGGGTATAAAACGCTTCTCCGTAACCCTTTATCTGTAGTGCCTTGCGGTCTTTCCAAAGAACGATGGGCAGTGGTGGGAAGAGGCACGGCACTGGACAGAGGTAGCGATTTTCGTCGCCCGTCATGAAATAAGAGATTTGAATGTTGAAGCTCGGGTCGGGCTGCCGTCGATTCTTCCCGAGGAGAATCGAGTGCTGCTAGGAGGCCTTCTTCTGACGGGCGGCTACCCCATGAGTAGGGCGAGGGTTCAGGTTCTTTCGACCGATCCGTATTGATATTCATAGAGCCGGGCAAATTTTCCTCCTTACGGGAGGGGGTCTCTGAAGGGGAAGAGGAGTACTAAACACCAATGTCAGACCATATTGTTCCCCTAAAAGCCTACTCAGGAGTTCCTTACCGAGTCTACCGAGGGATTTCGAGTTGTTTCCCGGACGCCATCCCCTCGCTTCCCAAGGCCATCGAACATATTCTGGAAGTCATCCCCCAGTTGGCCAATTCGCAGCTCTGTATCCGGGAGTTTGGGAGGGGTGGCAGTGCTGTTTGTGCTGGTTGTCATAGCCCTACTTCTAGGGGGGGACTGTTGCGGTGGAGGCACCGAAGATCTTGAGAATCTTCCGCCGAAAGAAAAGGTTCGACCGGCTGCTCGCAATGCACCAGACAACGGGGGTATCGGTATATCGTATAGGTTTCGAGAGTGCGGTGACGAAGCGTCCGATGTAACTGGTCCGTCCGTGGAACGGCGTGTTGGGAGAGATCGGCTGGAGTTCTCGTTCAAACCTCTGCTGTCGCAAATATAATCAGCTGTGCCCCTCGGAGAAACCATGCTAGAGAGGGAAAGGTGGTTGTACAAGTCTCTCTGAGGGCGGTCGTTAGTTCCTGCAAAGATGTTGTCGTGGTCTTCCGTTGGTGAATCTAGAGGATGTGCTGAGCTGAGCCTTTTTGAGAGAAGATTGCCATCACTCAAGGAATTTTTGTCCACTGAAGGGCGTTCGAAAACTCGAAAGGATGGTTGCGGAGGCGTTTCCACCTCTTCTAGGGTATTGCCAGACGATTTCCGTCGGGCAAAGCTTTTAGGGAGCTTGATGGGCATCGCTGTTCAGATTGAGGGTTGCAACCACTAGCGAAGCCGGAACCACTTTTAGAGACGAGATTAGCGAGCTATACCAGCCAGCTCCTTGGCCTGACTGTAGTCAGAGGGAGACGATTAAAAAATTAATAAATTCTTTTAAAAAAAAGGTAAAAAAAAAAAGAAAAATCAAAAAAAAAAATAAAATAAAATAAAATAAAATAATTCCCCTTCGTCTGTGCGCCACTTGTCTGAGTCGTCTCCCATAAACAAGGCTGCGGATGATGGAGGGGCGTGTATGTTTGGGTCTTTGGGATGGGTTCTGGGCCAGCCTTCGGAAAACAAGTCGAATCAGTCAGGACCTGAGTGGGGCTGTTGTCAAAAGAACGCCCGGGAATGAAGCAAATCTCACGGAGGTAGGGGGAGGAAATAGTAAGGTACCTGGTATCAGAGTAGTACGGAGTAGAGGTTGGCTGTGGGTTCCTCTTCATTAAGGAGTCTGAGGGAGAACTGGGGGGTAGGTAGCAATGAGAGGTGGCCAGAAGCTTCTGGCTCTCCGTCTTCTGTACTTTTATGTATGGAGTATAGTATAAAACTAATCAATCAATAAATCAATAATAGCGGCAGGTGGAAGACCCTCCTCACATAGCACCAGCGGGGCTTGGGAGGTGAGTTATTCTTAGTATGGATGTCTTGTTGTTGAACGTTGGTGGAAAGGGAAAAAGTAAAACAAAGCTATGACTAAGAGAGAGGAGAGGGGGGGGGGTTGTTGAAGGAAACTAAAGAAGGATGAAATAGTCAAAGATACAGAAGAATGACCAGAAAGGAATAACCCTAGAACTACCTCACTACGGAATGCCATAAGACTAAGTACCTACTAAGGACTGAGACTGATAAAACAGAACAGAAAAAACCATCCACTTCACCCAAAACACAAGGCCATTTGGCTGGGAATTGTGGAGCTACTCCAAATATAGCAGACCGCCTGCGACGGAGCATAATTATAACAGCCCACAGGAGGAAACGGTGGGAGGGGAGGAAAAAAAAAAAAAAAAAACCGGAGGATATTGGAATGCTCGGTGAACAAAGGAAGAGAACTCTTTGTGGTGTGAAGGGAAAGAAGAGAAATAAAATGATGGTAATTAAGCCAGGTGAAAAAGGAGAGAGCCGCTAGAGTCAAGAAATGTAGCAGAACTTAGAAGATAGGGGTTACGGATGGCGATCGTACTTACTGTTAGCTCGGTACCTTAGCAGTGCCACATTACCTGTCAAAAACCACTAAGACTGAAACTAATTCCGTGAATGTTTTTGCCATGTGGATAATGTTCTTCATATTCTCAGCATTCTCTCTGGTAATGGAACCTATAAAATTACAAAAGGATCAGAGTCATACAATGGAGGCAAAATGGGGATTTGTAGGACAGGAAAAGAACAAAAAAGAAAAAAAAAACCTCAACAACCAAACTACTGAGCGAACTAGTATCGTGATCATTTTGCATCAATACTCGCGCCACCTATCATGTGACAGGTCAGGGATGCGGAATAGGTACACCATGTTCTTTGGGGGATTAGTCGATGTGCGTTGTCAAGGCAAATCGATCGTATTTAAGCAAATCTTTTGAGGGACCCATAGAGATTCTACTGACTCAAGACACTTACAGTTATTCCCAACAAAACCCGACCGGGGAGTACCTATGAAGACAGACGAAATACATTCCATAGTCTACCTGGGAAGACGGCTGAACTCGCTAGTATAATTGGCCAACTTAGGTAGGATCTTCCGATTGTGAGACAGACTGCCATTGGATTCTCAAGAGGATCCATTCAACGCTGACCTTGTAGGGCGTTGATCCCTTTCCCCATCTGAGGAAGATGCGAAAGGAGGTGATAGATTGAAGTTTTCTCTGTATTCAATGCCGCCAAAAGGTGATGTGCATGCGGAAATAATTACATAAGAATGAGATGCTTCCATCCTCCACCATGTACATTAGCTCTTCGCCAACCATCTGTCCCATAAATCACAGAGGATGCCTACGTAGACGTGCCTGCACTGCCTAGTCTAATCGGCCCTCGAATCGATAGAATCTTGGGCCCTCAACCCTCCAATCAAAGCAACCCCAAGAGGAACCTGAACATCTCGGATATTAAAACAGGCAAATGCCACCACCTTTTTGATCGCGGGACAGCATCGGAAAATCCGGCCAACCAGGTAATCGTCCATCGTCGTATGGAAGGAAACATCCAGTTCCTGTAAGTTGGGATATCTTTTGTCCTCCGAAAACACTTCTTCGAAGGCGGAACGTGACACATGACGGCACGAGGCTATGTTCAACTTCTGAACCATGGCCCCGGAGTGCTTCATGAGAGCAGCAAATCCCTGAGACGCAAGCCCGATGGCCTCGGTGGGATCATCCAAGTTTGTATTGTCCATATCTCGTGTGGAGGACAGATCCACGAACTCCAATGGAGGGTTTGACCAGTTCGTAAACAAATTGGCAAATCCTTGGTCGGTGCACACGGAGTTATCCGAGAAGCGAAGCTTCGTAAGCAGGCGGCACTTCTCGTGAATGGTTTTAAGAAGGCGGTCATCCGCGTTAGCAAAACCTTCCAACGATAAAGTCCGTAAATGAGAAGCTGCCCCAGAAACAGCCTCAAGAAGGTTCTCAGGTTCGATCGCTTGCACAAAGCCAAGTGACAAGTGCTCCAATGATGGTAGAGTTGAAATGGCCCGAAGGGAGCCGTCGCTCATCTTCCAGCATTGTTTCAATTTCAAGCAGCGAAGTGCTCTGCAGGATTTGCACATCGCCTCGACCGTCTCGTCATCGAGAGCAAAGTCAAGGTTTGACAACTTCAGGCTCTCTAACTGTGGGCCCAAGATGTGGAATACCCGTCGCCAGTATGCGTCCGAGACAAGATTGGCAGCGTCTAACTGCAAATGCTTGACTTGGAGATTTTTATCAAGCATATATTCAAGGACCCGGTCTTTTAATTGTCCGGCAAAGCGAAGATTGACATGCGTTAGAGCTGGAATGAATGTAAAGATTTTCTGAAAATCGTCTGTTTCGAGCTTAGCTGAGTCGTAGATATCGATGGAGTCCAAGTCTGAACGAAGGAATAGATTTAAAGTCCTTGGTGTCAAAGCCCGCCTTTTAGACAGTATCCGGCTGAGACGACTCAAGAGCTGTGACGGTAAGTCTCCGAACTCATCGATATCATTAATGTTATCAGCAACTTTCTGGGGGAAGAACAAAAACAAGAGTGTCAGCAACTTGGCTTATTAGTGTGGAACGATGGATGGGTGTAGGTACCTTTGTACACATTTCAACCAAGCTTAGGGCTCCCTGCTGGACAATTCCATCAAGTAAATTGCTCTGGTTCTGACGACGACTGCTCCTTGGTCCGCTCCTTCTTGCTTTAGACTTTTTCTCATCATCTGCCAGATCCTGGGAGCACTTCTTGCAGAGAAGACCTCCATTAGGGCCGGTTTTGCTATAGGCAGTAACAGTGAAGCGCTTGCTGCAGATTTCACAATTCTCCAGTTGCCCTGGTAGCGGCCGGGATTTTTCATACATCAACTCCCTTGCAATAATATCATCATCACCATCAGGCTCGTCGGTCCGGCGAGCCTTGCGACGGGCAAATTCCTTACTCTGTTTGATCTTCTGCAAGGTAGCTGACTCCTTCCGCTTGCGCTTCGTCCTCTGCTCTGGAGACTCGACAGTGCGTTCTTCTGCATTGTGAGTTTCAGTTGCATCTGAGGGGCTTTCCGCGGCGGCTTGCTGCTCTGCCTCTCTTAGACGCCTTTGGTGGTCTTGATGGATCTGGGCAGCGGATATATTGTTGGACTGAACCAAAATATATCAGCAAAGACTATCACAATGAGAATAAAAATTGGGGTATCGGGGGTTACATACTGCAAGAAAATCCGTAAGCGCCGAGTGCCTGTGTATCCTGTTAATAAACGTTATAGAGCAAACTGTAAGGAGACCGAGAACCTACGGGCCCCTGATGCTGTTCCTAGTTTGTCTTCTCTGCGCCCTATAAGAGTAGTCAATAATCAAGCTCGAAGCATAAATTCCATTGTACATACATATTTTCGAAGAGGCGTCACTCAGGTGAGAGTAGAGTGAGAAAACATGGAGGTAGATGAGTATGGGGATAGAGTGAAGTCACAGGACCCGCGCCACTTTCGCGTTCCACTTTACGCGAGATCCTGCAGACGGCTTATCGTATCGTGTTCTGAACAGCAGCAGCAACAGCGGTGGTGTTACTGGACTGACTTGAGAGTGGAACCAAAAGGCAGAAGGGGAGGTGCTCAGTGAGACCGATTTTCTTGTTCCTTCGCAAAACGAAGGTTATGGTCGAGTCCAGTTGAAAAGTTTTTCGTTCCCGTTTTCCAAACTCTCATACTGTTGTTCCCCCTGCCAATTCCCGCTGGTTGCCTGCTAGGCAGGAACAGTAGCAGCCTTAGGTTGCCACCTGCAGGCCTCTCTCTGTCTAACTCTATCTGCCGATACGAACCAACTGACGAATCATCAAATTCCATTAACTTCGGCCTGAGGTCCTGTTTCTTTTCGTCTCCCCTCTTCCCTTCCCAACGCTGCTGGAATTGCTTCGACGTACTGTGAAAATCATTCGCAGTGACGTCCAGGTCTTTCTGTGTAGTAGATAAGCCTCAGTCCAGTAGGTTAGCTTCTCTCTCTCTTTCTCCCCCACGCCCTCCCTCCTCCCCTTTTCTCTCTTTTATTTTTCTTTTTTGTTAAGTAAGCTAATCATCCAAAGAAATGGCACCAAACTCTTCGACCTCGTTACCTAGACGCACCTCACTGCGATTGGCTCAGTCTTCGTCCATTTCTACTCCGGCCAAGAAAGTTGATCAAACTTCCACAAATGAAGACTCGTCCGCATCGATTGGGACTGTTGGATCCCATCAAGGCAATCATAGGTCCGCGTCCCTTGAGGTTGCCATTCCATTGAAGAAACACACGCCTCATCGTTCCCCTTCGGCATCCACCTCTACTGAGGGTACGTCTAGAGATGGCACCAATGAATACAATACCCCAGCGACTAGTGTTGCTATGACTCCAACAGAGTCAAATATTCCGGGGCCAAAGAAAAGGGTCAGCGCTTCCGCTCGTGCCAGGGAACTTCGTTCAAGCACCATGTCTCTCAACCCGCAAAGGAGACGCAAAACAGCTCTAACAGTTAATACCGCCAGTGACTCTGCTTCCGAGGCTTCCGATGCAGCTCTAGCAAGGGCTCTTCAGATTGAAGAATATCAGTCACTACCTTCTAAACGGCGAAAGGTTTCTGAGGGTATCAAATCGGAAATCAAAGACTCTGATGATGACAGTATTCTGACGGAGCTTGAGAGTGATGATAACATGGGTCAAGGCGACTTTAAACAATGGCAGCCACCACGCAAGTCTAGAACTTCTCTCCGATCCGCGAGGAAACCTATGGTTGCAAATAGCGAAGATAGCACGTTTAGTGCCGAAGACATGTCTGAAGAAGATGACAGTTCCTCAAGTGATTTTGGGTCAAACGATCAAACGTCATCAAATGAGGGAATGCCTTCAGTCATCCAAAGGGGATCCAGAAACCGAAATGCGACCAACACAAGGCGTCGTGCACGAAATCGGAGACAAACCACTAGAGGTTCTGTAGTAGTGACAACTCCGGCACACCCATGGATGACCTACCGTGTAAGTTATATTTGCCATGTCAAATCATAAGATCTGTTATTAATTGTATCTGTAGGCGTTAAAGGAGCGAAAGAAGCTCGAAAAACAACATCCATACGTCACGAAGATGTGGGAAGATTTAAAAAACGCACCACCTATAACACCAGTGGCAGCAGCGCAACCTTCGAGCATATCAAGAACACTTAAATCATTCCAGCTTGAAGGTTTGTACTGGATGATGCAACAAGAAAAGTCACAATATAAAGGTGGCCTCCTGGGGGATGAAATGGGCATGGGAAAGACCATCCAGGCGGTTTCCCTACTTATGTCCGACTACCCCATTGGCAAGCCATCACTTGTCGTTGTCCCACCTGTCGCTCTCATGCAATGGCAATCAGAGATCAAGGTATATCGGATCCATAAAGAGAAGTTGTTGTTGAACTAATTCTTTATTTTTATTTTGTTGTTTTTAGGAATACACAAATGGCCAATTGAAAGTTTTGGTGTATCACAATTCTAATTCTAAGGTCAAAGGCCTCTCCAAGAAAGACCTTCAAGCCTATGATGTTATCATGATATCTTGTATGAACCTGCCCTTGGAAAGCAGGCTGCAAAATCAAAGTGCAAATGTCTGACGATAAATATAGATTCCGGTCTTGAGTCCATCCACCGTAAAGAATGGAAGGGGTGGAATCGCAACGACGGGATTGTTAAGGAAGACAGTCAGTAGCTATGCTCTTTCTTAGATTCGAGCTACTGACATGTTACAGGTGTGATCCACTCCATTCATTACCATCGGCTCATTCTCGATGAAGCCCATAGTATCAAGGTATGACGCTATGTCTATAAATTTACTTCCTTACTGAGCCCCTTTAGCAACGCACCACAAGTGTTGCTCGTGCGTGCTTTGCATTAAAGGCCAACTACAAATGGTGCCTTTCTGGTACTCCTGTTCAGAATCGAATTGGAGAATTTTTTTCTCTTTTACGCTTTCTGGAAGTCCGCCCTTTTGCCTGCTATTTCTGTAAACAATGCAAGTGCCAGCAACTTCATTGGTCTCAAGATGCTGAGAAGCGGTGCACTGAGTGTAGGCACAGGTACGGTGCACCTAAGCTATTTAATGTCTGCGAATTGCCTTTTTATTGACAACCTCTCCAGTGGGTTTAGTCATGTCTCGATCTTTAACCAGGAGATTTTGAATCCTAGTAAGTGCCTACCCAAGCTTTGCAGCGCCTCGTCTAACCTGTGATAGTCACCGAGAGAGACCATCCAGAAGCACGAAAAGAGGCCTTGTCTAAATTACGGCTTATCACCGACAGGATTATGCTAAGGCGTGTCAAGAAAGACCACACCGCGTCAATGGAACTTCCACCAAAACGGTTGGTGCAGATACTTGAATATAGGGGTAACTGGTTCACTAATATGGTGTTTAGAGTGGTTCTTCACAACGAGTTTTTTGGTGAGATTGAACGTGATTTCTCTCGAAGCATCATGACCAATTCCTCCAGGCAGTTTGATACATATGTGAGCCGAGGAGGTATGTTGATACCTTTCGCCCTGTTCCGCGCCCATTTTGCTTATACGTCTGACAACCATAGTGATGCTAAACAATTATGCCAACATTTTCGGCCTGATCATGCAAATGCGGCAAGTTGCCAACCACCCCGACCTGATTTTGAAAAAGCATGCCGAGAGTGGGCAAAACGTGCTGGTCTGCAGTATCTGTGACGAACCTGCGGAGGAAGCCATTCGGTCGCGTTGTCACCATGAATTTTGTCGCCGATGTGCCAAAGATTACATACAGTCGTTTGATGCGGATACGGTTGTCGATTGTCCCCGATGCCATATTCCTTTGTCCATCGACTTTGAGCAGCCAGATATCGAGCAGGAAGAAGAATATATCAAGAAGAACTCGATCATCAATCGCATCCGCATGGACGATTGGACGTCGTCGACGAAAATCGAGATGCTTGTCTATGATCTCTATAAACTCCGAAGCAAGAAACAGACGCACAAATCCATCGTGTTCTCTCAGTTTACGTCGATGCTACAGCTCGTCGAATGGCGCCTACGTCGAGCTGGTTTCAATACGGTCATGCTGGACGGAACCATGACCCCGGCGCAACGGCAGAGATCTATCGACTACTTCATGAACAACGTGGACGTTGAAGTATTCCTTGTCTCCCTCAAAGCCGGTGGCGTGGCGTTGAATCTAACGGAGGCATCGAGGGTGTTCATTGTCGACCCGTAAGTATCTCGTCAGGCCCGGTGACTGAACCCAGAAAGACTTATCTGACCCATTCTATAGGTGGTGGAACCCAGCTGCTGAATGGCAGAGCGCTGATCGATGCCATCGTATTGGTCAACGCCGACCTTGCGTTATTACTCGACTGTGCATTGAGGACTCGGTGGAGTCACGAATTGTTCTCTTGCAGGAGAAGAAGGCGAACATGATCAGGGGCACCATCAACAAGGACCAAGGGGAGGCACTGGAGAAGCTAACCCCCGAGGACATGCAGTTTTTGTTTCGAGGGTCCTGATACGAAGACTTTGCGTGGCGGACGGTTCGATGTGGAGATGAGCTCCGATAGGGGAAATGTCTGAGAGGCAATGATGAAAATAATGGGAGTCTACCCTTTACCTTTGCCTGTGCGGTTATTGCAGTCATGCCTCCCCAGGGGATTCAATTAGTACCTTGGTTAGGAGGATATGGATTGGGCAGGGGAGACGATGCTAGATCAGGTGACGCAAGTGGCACTTGGTTACATGGTCCTTCAGTAGTACCTTACGGAGTAGTGTCTATAATTTCCGACCTGACCTGGCGCTCCAATCACTTTGTTTCCCTTTTATTTGTTTGTTTATTATTTTCTCTCTCTCTTTTTTTTTTTTTTTTTTTTTTTTTCCTGGAGAAAAAGCCCATTACAAAGGGCAGCCAAACGGTGACACAATAGCATCAAGAGGACTGTCTTCACTCGTGCTCTTTATTAATTTGAAACCTTGCTAAGCAAGGTTTATCCGGGGGTTCCTTAATTTGTGTTCCGTAACTTTCTTTTTTCCACTCATTTGGACGCGAGAGACCATGGTTCAGGTACTCGGCCGGAGCTTTTGGATGGATAGCCAGAGGTAAGGTACGGTGGGAAATGTATGGATGATACAACGTATGGTACGGTACGAATCTAGTCTATGGCACTAAACCGCATTGGGAGGAGAGAAGTGGAAAGAGCGAACTCAATTCCCGATGATAAGGTAAAGTTCACGATGAAGCTGAAGATGAACAAGAAGAGGTGTCACCATCATCAGCATCATCAGAATCCATTCTTCCCGTCAGCTTTCGGTAGCTGTAAGACAAGCCCACAGGACCAACCATCGTTGGGCATGTGGTGCGGTATGTTTGCCATGCCGGACGCGAACCTGCATACCCTCCTCCCAGTTAATCCCCTCCTCGGCATCTTCACTGTTCCTGCTCTAGTTAAGTCCTTGTAGTCTATAATAGCCCATGGACTAAACCGTCGTAGCACTGGATCTAGTTGTATCTTAGGTAGGTGCCTGGTTCGCTCGTTGTTGCCATCTCCTCATTGCTGAGGATGCACGGAATAAATAAATAAAATAAATCCCCCGGCATTCCTGGTTTTTGACTCGCAGCTTTCCGTGCCTTCTTCTTTTTTCCTCTCCCTCTCCCCTGCCTCCTCTTTAATTTCTTCTTCTCTTCATCTCCTCTCCTGTTTCCCTCACTCTCCAGTGCGCTTCCTTTGCATCCCTTACCATCTAGACCTTTGTCGTGGTATCCCATTTCTTCCTGCCATTTTATCTACTAGCCACCAATAACCACAAGCATCATCATCATCATCATCAGCAGCAGCAGCAGCAGCATGTTGCCCGTCGTTCTACTCTCCGCTCTTGTGGCCTCTGCCGCGGCCGCCAGCAACTACACGTTCCCCTCGGGCTTCGACCTGAACCAGGTGAACCCGACTACTAGAGGTAGGTCTTGGATATCCATCGTTGCTCCTCTTGGTTCGACATCTAAAACGTTAGATTAGCTTCCTGGTGTGTCGCGGAGCGGAACTCCTGCCCGAAGATCTGCGGCGGAGTCGCAAACGCCAACTCCTGTGATCCTGTAGGTCGATCTTTGGACCCTCCCTAACAACTGCCGAGAGAGAGAGAGCACATCGTATCTAACTGCCGCTGACGTAGCAAACCCTGGATTTCACCTGCACTTGCTCCAACGGCACTGACGCCGACGTCTCGCCCTATGAGCAGACTGTCCCTTATTTTGTTTGCCAGGAGAACTATGCTCAATGTATCCAGCGCTCCACGAGTCTGAATGATGAAGACAAGTGCAAGGACGATCGCAAGGAATGCGGTTCACTCAATGCTACGGAGGGCTCATCGTCCTCTTCGTCAACAACCATGTCCACGACTTCCTTGCCCACCTCGACCGGTTCCTCCGCCAGCAGTAATGGGCGCTCCACTGCGACGAGCACTAGCACCGGCGCGGCAGGTACCACGACCACCAATGCTGCCGTGCGCATGGCCCAGGAGCATGCGATGGGCTTAGTGGCGACGGTATTTTTCGTAGCCCTTAGTCTCAGCCTGTAGATGGAAGGGGAAATGGATGGGAGAACTCCGGAACCGAATCCCACCATTCATTGCCTCCCGTGTTCGGCGTCTGTTTTCTGCTTTTCCCTCTGTTTGTTTAGTTGATCACCTTTTGGGGATTGTATCTGCACCCCTATCTGTATTCGGGTGAGATGGTCTTTGAAGGAGGCTTGCAGTGATTTGCGTTGTCTGCTAAGTTTACTATGCATTGTACTATTCCCCCTGTTCTTGCGCCATGGGTTAATGAACGACATTGAATTATGTGTTTTTTCGATATGTTATTGAACGACACTCTTTAATACACTAATTAAATTATAATAATACTCCTAACAGTAATCGAGAAATCCAACCTCAACAAGGCCTTACAGCGACTTTCCCGAGGATCGCCTGCCAAGACTTTTTCCCACAACTGAAATTTCTCCACCGCCAACCAAATCCAAACTCAAAACGAACTCGACTCGCTTCTTCTCTCTCTTTCTTTCCTTCTTTCTCTCTCCATCTCTATCTCTATCCCCATCTCGCTTCTCGTCTTTTTCCTCGTACCGTTCACAATGCCGGCCCCCACTACTACCCTTCTGATCGAGGGCTCCTTCAGCGAACTCGCTGATGAGTTTGCCCAGTACATCGATGCTCTGCGCAAGGCCGAAGGCACCACTATCCAGGCCGAAATCTCCCCACTGCTGGAGCCCCTGCGTCAGCAGGAACAGACTGATGCTCAGCCCGATACCAAGCAGCGCGATGAGGTTCTCAAGAAACTGGTTTCGGCGGCGGTTGTATTGAACACAGCGCCTGAAAAGGGTGAGTGGGGTGTACAATGCCTCCCCTCCCCTCTATCCATATCCCAACCAGATAGACCATTGCGTTCCATTGTGGGATGGTGGTTGTTCTGAGCTGCTCTGACCCATCATTGACAGAAATTACGCCTTCGTACAATCTCCTCGTTCACCTCGTCCATCAGGCCTCTGAGCCGGACATGTTCCTCTCCCGCATTTGCTCCTATCTCGCCAAACCCATCACCTCCTCCGCCCAGTTTGGCCCCTCGCTTTCCATCTCGATCCTGTCTACCATCTTCAATACCCTCGCCCCTACCGACTCTAGCCGCTTTCACGTTCTCTTGGCCATCGTCGCCGTCATCCGTCAGTCCGGCTCCGCCATCGCCTTTGAAGCTCTGAAGCCCCAGTTGACAGCCCAGCTGCCGACCTGGCTATCTGCCTGGGAGTTGGATGAGGACGAGGCCCAGCGCCTGCATCTCGCCGTGGTCGATGCCGCCCAGGCCGCGGGAGACCCCGAGCTGGCTCAGAGGCACATCGTGCAGGCTCTGCAGACCATCCCTGCCGCGCAGGCCTCATCCAAGGAGGCCCGCGATTTGGCCGTCCGTGCTTTGACTTCCGCCCTCACTCACCCTGGTGTCTTCGATTTCACCCCCCTGACGGCCTCCGATGCGGTCCAAGCCCTTCGATCGAGTGACAGCACCCTGTTCGAGTTGTTGGAGATCTTCACCGCCGATACCCTCGATGCCTACGAGGCCTTCATTGCTACCACTCCTTTGTCCACTATCTCAGACGGTGTGCTGGCCGAGTCTGGCGAGGCCTTGCAGAACAAGATGCGTCTCCTGACCTTGGCCTCACTGGCTGCGTCGATCCCGTCGCGCTCTCTACCCTACTCGACCATCGCTACCGCCCTGCGGGTGCCCGCCGACGACGTTGAGAAGTGGGTCATTGATACCATCCGTGCCGGCTTGGTGGAAGGCAAACTATCTCAGCTGCGTTCCGAATTCCTAGTGCACCGTGCCACTTACCGAGTCTTTGGAGAGAAGCAATGGGCCGAGGTGCAGGGCCGCCTCATGGTCTGGCGCCGCAGTCTGGAACGCGTACTGGGAGTGGTGCACAGTGAGCGCGAGCGGTTTGTCCGGGAGGGACTACAGGCGGCTGCGGCTGCAGAGGAGGCTGCCCAGGGAAACAAGGGTGATAAAGGTGGCAAGTCCGGTGATCGACGACAGCGCCATGGAAACAGCCAACAATCTCAACAGCAGCAGCAGCAGCCGCCGCAATCTCAGCCTCAGCCTCCGGCAGAGCTGGTCGGCGCCGAGTAATTTTTTTTTTTTTTGGGTTTTATTCCACGGGACCGGCAGAGCTCAATGAACTATGAGTTAGAGAGTTTGACGTGGAAAAAGTTTCTGTGTGTAAAGGTCAGAACATGGTGTTTTCTCACTCTTACTTGTTGCCTTTTGTTTATTTTTCTTTTCTTGTACCTTTTTCCTTTCCTCTGATTGTTCATCCACGGGCGACATTGTTTATCGGTTCATGGTAGCTATTTATTTCTAGACAGGACCTACCTGGCATCTTTTTCCTTTTTTTTTTTTTTTTTTTTTTTTTTTTTTTTTTGTTGGGATTGGATTCGAATCAATCGACACGAGTCATGTCATACGAAATCTCCACGCGAATTCTACCCCCACTCATGGAATGGGATATGAGAATTAAACTGGTTAAAGAAATAAGGTCGATGAGGTATATTTTCTCTGTATAAATGACGATTGCTCCATACACTGTTACTTAGATACAATAATGATCGACGACTGTGGTTTCCTAATGAACGGATGCCCATCAAGCGCAAGACGAGAAGAGAGAGGGTCAACAGCATCCAATTATTGTGGATGAACTCCACGAGCCTTGAATCCTTCCTGGATGCGTGCATAAACATCGTCAACCGACCCCGTCGCCAACACCGAGACGACCTTGTTCTGATCCCGGAACGCTTGCACAACCGGCATACTGGTGTCGACAAAGGTGCGGAAACGCTTTCGGATCGACTCAGCATTATCATCGTCACGACCCGACGTTTCGCCGCGCTTGAGCAATCGCTCCTCCATGACATCTTCGGGACAATCCAAGAATAGGGTCAGCTCCGAGGGACAGACGGTGTCCTCGAAGAACACCGCCTGGTCAAGTTTCCGGGGGAACCCATCGATTAAGAACCGGGCCTTCCTGCCCTCACCCCCCCCGGCACCGGCCGCCAACGCATCCGCCATGGCATTAGACAACAATGCCACCGTAATCTCCATGGGCACGATCTTGCCCTCCCGGATATAGGTCCTAATCAGGTCACCATACTGGCTACCCTCACGGACCTGCTCGGCACGCAGGAGGTCACCCGCGGAGAGGTGGATGAAGCCGTAATCGCAAACCAGATTGGTGGATTGCGTCCCCTTACCGCTGCCAGGGCCACCCAGGATGAACACCACCGTGGCGTCGGAGGGGGAAAATCGAGGGGTCGATCGCTGAGTGTTGGCCATTGAATTCTTCCTTTCTTTCTTCGGACTTTCTTTCTAACAGATCCAAAATCCCGTAAAAACCGAATTGAGGAGTTCTGGAAACAAACAAGCAAGGGAAAAAAAAAAAAATAATAGACCTAGTTTATTGGTCAAAAGACTTCGACTCGGGCTGAGGTTTGCGGACACCGGTCCGGGATTTCACGAGGAAGACGTAGGAGCCTGTACCAAGACCAATAATGGCAATAATAGGGAGGACTTTAAATTGCGATCGATCGTAGTGGGAGGTATTCGAGGATGGAGGACGAGGAGGCGAAGAAGAATAGGGGCGGAGGTTTGGAACAACAAGTGGCTGTCGGAGACGGTGGGGTCGGCATGAAGCTCGGGCGGGAGCAGGGAGGGAGGCAAAGGGTCGGGATCGACTGGGAAGAGCTGATAAGCGGAGGACACCGGGATAGAGAGACATCGAGAGAAGACGAGGAGCAGGAAATGCGCCGAATCCTCTCATCTTCGAGCAGGGGAATGAGAGAGAAACCGAAAAGGAAACCGACGGAATTAATACCATCTGCAGGCCTGGTGAGGAATAGCTGTCTGTATGGTACAGTATTGAGTACAGTACAGTATGGTCCGTACAGAGTGAAATCACGTTGAGTCCCTCAATCTACTAACTATACAGAGTACCTTCCCATTGTTCCAGCAAATACTTTGGGCATTCGGCTCTCTAAGAGAGCCCTGTTGTTGGGGGTGCAAAATACTAATCCCACAGCATGTTAACTTGCTGTGCAGATGGCCACCTCACTGTGAGCTGCATTCTGTATTCTGATTCATAGTATCAGATGTCCAGTTTGTAGTTGACTGGGCCCAAGTGGTGAATGCGATAATCATCACAATGACTCTTCTGTGTCACCTGATCCTACTTGTAGAATAGGCAGGAGTGACTCACTTAGATATGTCTGAGCCAGCTACCTACTCACTAACCACCCTTCAACATACTCTTCTTCTACATCATTCGGTCGCAGATCTCTTGGCTTTGATAATGGCAGGCCCATCGAAACGTCTGAATCGAGGTTGCGGGAAGAATAAAGTGAGATTTCAGAAATACTCAGCTCACCCAAGCGGAAAAAGTGAGAGAGATCCTCGCAGCTCATATCGTGGAACAAGGAGGTCTCTGTCGAATGTCAGTCGTTCCATCGTTCCTCCTGCGCTATATGTGGTTTTACCCTGGACTCACTACGATTCAGGTCACACATAAAGGATTCAGTGGCAAGCCTCCTTTGATGAGACTCACGTCGGACGCAGTAGCCAATAGTCTTCGGCCTAACGTGGACTCACGACGCGCTGCAAAGGTCGCTACCACTGTAGGTCCAGGTCTGGAGCAGCCGAAACAAGTAACATCTTCAATCGTTACCTACCGAAATCATACCCATACTTCTCGCCCGTCAGCCGGACTCTCCCCATTCCAACGTCTCCCTCCGGAGATCCGTTGGCAGATCTATCAGGACCTTTTCTATCCGCATCGTGTGGAGATCCTCCGGTGCAAAGACAAGAGTCCCGACCCCTCGAGGCCAGCCCGCTACCGCCTGTACCATCGCCAACTGCAACCTCGTGATACTCAATCACAGGACATTCGACCGTCCACAGGGCGTCGTTCCTATCCACCACTCCCGCTGGCTCTCATTTTCACCTGTCGACTGATGTACTGCGAGACCATTCTCCTGTTCTACTCAACCATGCAGTTTGTCTTTATCTCCACTAAGTCTGCCGCACGGTTTCTGAAGATCACGGACAAGGATGCCCAGTCGGCCATCCGCCATGTCGAGCTGAATCACGTCATGTACAATGAGCCGCGTCTGACGGAGTTTCGGGTGTACAAATTCCGCAGCGACATGGCTTGGTATCTTGTCTGCGATGACATGGCACAGGCTTTAGTATCCTTAAGCGTGCTGCACGTCCACATGACAGTCTACGACTGGCCAATCCATCTGGAAGTTGGTGAACGCTGGTCATTTCCGCTACTGGTCTTCGGCCAGTACGGAGACCAGCTGGACTATGCCAAAATTCGTCTTCGCATGCCAAGATTTAGTGAGGAAAAGCTTCGGTTTGTGGCGCGTGACCTAGAGCAGAAGATCATGAAACCGCAACGTTTCCAGATTCGCGAGGATGAGAGATTGGCCAGGAAGCTCATGGGATCGGTCAAGGCGAAAAAAATATTAAAAGTGGTCTTCTAGATTCAGTTCCAATCCTTTCTCTATTAATTTTTCTTCTTCTCGTGTCTTTATATGACGACAGCTCCTATTACAGGCGAATGCTATCCTGAAATGAATGGAACTTGGACATGTACTTGAGTAGATACAGATGTAGAATATTGCGTTAATCGTAATGCTAGAGAAAAACGGCAAGACGGAAGACTTGCACCCGATTGACACCAGGAGCTTATAGACAACTTGGTCAAATAGAACTACATACGACGTCGACGATACCAGTCCATTTCCGTTAGGCCTCCCAAGGAGCATGCAGCCACAATAAAAATCACAAGAATCCCTCCATAATGGGCATTATCTCAAAGCCGAACACAGGACTCCCGTCTTGATTAGCTCGAGCGTAAAAATTCTAAAAGGCCACATCCGTGATGCCGTCCCAGCTAACATGGACGCAGTTACCCGGTCACGCTTCTCCGTCCCAAAAACGAATGCTACCATATCCGGAGGATTGCTAGGGAGGTTAGTGAAAGGGGAATAATATACTAAGCTAGTCAATGCAAAGCTAGCTTGCATCAGTACCTTTGATATCAGGGAAATGGTTACCTTGAAACCCCTGCTACAGTCCTCGATGTTGGCAACACGCTGATTCCTGGAGTGGGGACGAGACAAACTGATCAGGTGATATAATGGTATCCGAATCTCCAAAAGGATGAGTACCTAGATTAACTGTGACTGGTAACACATAGTGAAAGGGATATGGTATTATGTAGTATTAGAACTCATGTGACAAGCCCTCTCGTAAGCTTAAAGGCCCGTTGTAGCTGCAAATGCCTGTCCAATCTTCTTACTGAAAGTCGAGACTTATCCCGAAAGCTGCCCTACTCTGAATAACGCATGGACTGCAACACTGTCGAATAAAGATGAGATGTCACCAATTTCGAAGCTGACGGTGGTCTGCGTCTAGTGCTCTTAGGCGTCCATATGTCTTATACGGAAAAACTGGGCATGATGAAAGGTGACCTTCATTGCTCAAGCAAACTATTCGCACTGCCAACCTGGTACTCTCTTCTTCTTCTTCTTCTTCTTCTTCTTCTTCTTCTCCTTGTCCTTTCTTTTCTTTGTTTTGCGAACCGCCTTCTCTTACCATGTCAAAAGACCAAGCTAAACAAGGGGGCACCATGTCTTGATATGCTATAATATGATTTCGGAGACATGACTGAGTCTCATAACGAGTCATGTAACCCCAGCACCTCTGTCTATGGAGCAACTACAATAAATACGAGAGATCCGCGCCCCAAATGGTGAATTTCAAAGTAATATTTGTGGGGTCATTCGTGTAGTTGGTGTAGAAGCTATGGTGCGTCATCCCACATTGGCATCCAAGTCACATAAGTGCCTATGATATAGTCACTACTGGGCCAGCACATCTACCTTGTCCCAAAAGAGGAAAAGTGCTAAGTGCTTTTTTGCTTTCTGAATATCTATGGAAGACCTGCGACTGCCAAGAATCGGCGATTTCCCGGTCCTATGAGACTGATTGGCTTCTCATGTAGACTAGCAGTGATTCCCATCTGGATATACGCTATTGTTTCCAAAGGTGGATATCTCCACACCATGGTGGATCAGGATTGGCCTCTGTTATTACCGTGAATGTCACTTCGGATGGCCATCTTAAGGCAGATTCAGAGAGAGGGTGCGGGTGTAGAAATATATTGTCCGTATTCGTCGCTCATTAGTTCCCGGAAGACCTTGATCGTTCCCAATAATAGGGGGGGCTATCTCGGGTATACTCCATAGTTATTGAATATCTGTTAAATTGTGTTGCATGTGCACCCGTCGAGGCCGAGGAGGTTAGCATATCCCCTAGCGAAAGGATACCTAGGGTATAGTATGCCATATTTTGCCCGTGACCGATTGAGTACTTCTTTCCTCGGCCTATGATATGGCCATGGTGGACAACGTATGGAGTACAACCTACTTATTAGTCAGAGGAGATCATCTATACCCGAGAGAGAGCACGAGATCGAAGACAGCGGAAACGTTCAAGGTAGAGGAGATTGGGCTCCTCTCTCCCTTGAGAGAAGATGGTATGTCCATGAACCACCGAACAATGTTCCCCAGAATGCTAAGATGTACGAAGAGATTGACAACAGTGTCATGTTCATAACCAGGAGCAGAGAGACGCACCGAGGTAATATGGACAGATTCATGCTATGGGCTGGGTAGGATGAAGCAATCCCCCGAGTTGACCACAGAATTTAAGCCTAATTCGTTGACAAAGACGGCCCAGGACGGTTGTCTCACTACAGTTGCACCTTGCAAACCATGTGGTTGCAACGGGCTGTCGAAGCCTTGAAGGAAGCTGAAGAGGACTAAAGTCGATCAATGCAACAGTCCAAAACCATCCTAGATCTGTCTGTCTGTATGGACCAAAAAGAGAGAGATGTCTCACAATGGTAGTAAAGTAAAACATCTCGATATGATGCGATCGACTTTCCGAGTTTGCCTCATGAAACGAAATCTGGCGTCAGGCATCGGATCATTGTCACGGGGAGACGGCTTAAATGGGATGCTACTAAATGGCAGCTGTACATACAGGCAGGTAGGTAATAATGATAATAAAATGAATATAAAAAATAAAAAAGCGTATAAACTCAAACTACAATAGCCTTTGTGGTGGGTAGTAGATCGATTCCCCAGTTCCTTCCGCTTCCGAAGTCCCTACTACAAACAATGATTCTTCTTTGTGGCTGGAGAATATCCATGCCAATTACCTAAGTTCGCAAACAGATCAAGAAACCCTAATAATCCTCGTGTCTCGATATAAATCTAGACTGATGTACTCCGGGCTTAGCGCTGTATCAGTGATGCGCCTTCGATTCTGGACCTACGACTGTACTATTGTATTTACTTGGTGAGTACTTGGTATAAGTAGACTCGCATCCAGAAGTCTAGAGTGGCTAAAGACCACGCTATCTATGTAGGTACCTGGTACGGACTACCTGGCTTGACATTGATAGACCTCTTGGGAATGTAGGGGGCTAGTGCATTAGACGGGTCTCCGGCAGTTCGATCGATCTCTAGGTATCTATAGAGATATGGTAAGTTTAGAACCATGCAGTAATTACTAGGAATCACCATCAGTTTAAACCTACCACCAGTACATAGAGAAGAGAATGCAAGTCATCGCAGCGGATCAACAGGCTGGCACCCCTAAGACGGTTGGTACACGACGGCTGGATCTAGCCAGTGTAACAGTTCCCGCCATTCTAATTAGATCGACTACCACCGTTGCACCCATGAGTGTCATGTCCCACTCCACACGGGTTTTTTGAAGAAAAAACAACCACAACCTGGAAGCGAGATGTGTCAGAGGAAGGGAAAATAAAAACCATAAATAATTAATGAATAAACAAATAAATAATGGTCGGAAAATAAATACAGCAAGTTAGTCGGTTGGCCCTTCTTGATCTTCCGGTCCAGTGATGCACGAAAATTCCGCTCGGGGGAAAATTGCCACCACCAGGAATTCCACCCCATCTATTCCCAACGCCTAACATTCGTCATTGGAATTAAATAGTTATAGTAAGCCTCCGGTTACATGGATTAAACTACTCCGTACAGAATCGTAGATGCAGACCGGAGGGCGCTAGTGGGCGGCTATCCCTTAGGCTCGATAGACTGACACTGACTTGGTTAGATCCTTTGCATACTCTGTACTTCAGATAGGAAGGGCATCCGCCCCGCCACTGGTACCGTATCCTGATTCCCATACCATTGCCTGACCATACAGTTACCGGGGTCGTTGGATGTAACTCTGGCGATCACTAACATGTAGCCCCTGTCAGCTAGGCAGCTCACCCTTGTAGTATCTAACATAAAGTAGCTTGCTTCCCCTTTTGCCCACGTGAGAGTGAGAGACTTATGGAGTACGGAGTACTTAGTCTGTTCCCTGCTAGTCGGTGGTTTGGTAGGAGACACGGGACCTACAGTTTCTAGCCTTCGGGGTGATGATAATGGTGATGTGAATGAGACTGTTCCATTTCTCATATTCCATCGATTCTCGTGCCTCTTGTTTCTACGGAAGAGTTGGGCACAATGGGTCGATGTCTCAGTGTGTTGTGACAACCGAAGTTGATAGATATACCTAAGTACCTCGCAGGTACCACTACGTAAGCTCCCTTGGCCTTTTGAACGGATGGGAGGATGATGGTGACTCGTGCCCGAGATCCTACTAAGTACTACCAAGGCTACTAAGTACCTAAGTACGGTCAATACTCCGTCCATCTTTCAGGTATGTTGGCAACTCTGGGGCTTTTGTTTGAGGTTGACTGTCCCTCATGCAGCAAGGTAACAATCACTCCTCCCCACTTCTCGAGGTTCCAATCTTCTTATTGGCCACGGGGTACAGTGACAAGACCATCTGGGGTAAGTACCATACCTGACACAGCCCCGGAGAACCTAATCTAGCCTGGTAGGTAAGGTTCCGGCCGATGATTGTTGCTACATGAGTTAAGAATACCGAGCTTATGTTACGTCCTCGAACATTCCATCTGTCCCTGATTCATGACTCTCTTTCCTCCAGCCCATCGATGTTTTTTGTTCCTCGGAATCGATTCATTCTCCTGTAGAGCCCCTTTCTTAGGTCTTTCTATGCTTTCCGTTTTCATTCTGGGAAGACGTGGAGGAATGGACACGCGTTGACCCATGCTTTCAGTGTCTGTTGCCCCATCACTCTCCGACACTACTACCGCTACAACCAACGACCGCTACTACTCTTACACTGGTTGCTACCATTACTACCGCTACCACTTACACTACCACCACCACCACTCCTAATACTGCTACCTGCCTACGGAGGTGGATTGCTACCACTATTCCTACCAACCTACCACCATCACCTCAGGTTAAAGGACAGGAGACCGAAACAACGGCTTCAGCTTTCGTGCAACGACAACGTTCGGGCTTACTCTCTTATCCGCCTGCCCTTGTCACCAGTGGAGAGAGGGGGGGAGAGCTGAGAGAGACACTACCAACCTAAATAGGTTCTTGTCTATCAATCAGTTAGCCTGTTAGTCACCCCCATTTCTTGCTTTTTGGCACCACTACTCTTAATTAAAAGAAAAAAAAAAAAATTTTTTTTTTTTTTTTTTAAGAAACCTTTCCCCTCTTCCCTCTCTCCCATTTGGTCCCTCCCCCAAACCAGTCCCCACTGCAAGCTGAGCAAGGATTAGTGATTTTTCTGCCGGTGCTACCTTAAGTCTCATACATACTACTACTACTACTACTACTACTACTACTACTACTACTACTACCACTTGGCTCCATCGTTGGAATAGAGGCTTCTTTGCTCTTCTCGTCATCTTTCCCATACTTCTTTCTGGTCTGGGATCTCTATCCTTCCGTGCCGCGATCAACATTGTCTCACTATTAATTTAGCCTAATCCTTACCCATGGTCTCCTGTTTCTGCAGATGCGTACCCTCATGAACTCTCATCAAGTTTGTTCTTATTCTTATATCCAAACCCCGCACATTTCTTCTCGCCATCATTCACTCTAAACAAATCCGCCTTCACTGTCCCTTGTGAGACTGGTGGATTCCTTGCCCTCCCCGCGTTTATCCACCTATCACTAGACAATGTCGGCTCCTCTTTTCAAAGTCTTGCACAGGATGCAAGAGCTCTTTTCAAACATCGTTGCGGCACTAGAGGCCATGCTCCTCTTCCCCTCGTTGTTCCGTGGCTCCTCTCGTAAATGCCAGAAACCATTCCACAGAGCGTATTGGCGACCTCGCACTCTCAATGAGCTCGCAGACGAAGTCGACCAGCTATTCACGGCGCCGTTGTCCATACAGAACATGGTCACAATGTCGGAGAAGATCCGGGAGCAATTCAGGTCTTGTCTACAGTCCAGCCCGGTGTCCATGCTACCGTCTTACAACCATGCGCTGCCGTCGGGGACAGAGAAGGGGACATATCTGGCTCTTGATGTGGGAGGGTCCACTTTCCGGGTAGCTTTGATTGAGCTGCGTGGGAAAGGTGATATGCACATTGTCAAGGTCACCACGTCGCCCATAGATAACGACGTAAAATTGTTGGAGGGAACGCTGTTCTTCGACTGGATGGCAGAGAAGATCGATACTATGTTAAGCGAAGTCAGTGCTAATTACGGAAGGGGGTTGGTTCCACTGTCTATGGGCTTGTCGTGGTCATTTCCGATTGAGCAGACCTCGAACAGCAGTGGATTGGTGATTCACATGGGCAAAGGATTCCTGTGCTCCAATGGCACATTAGGGCAGGAACTGGGAGACCTCATTGTACAATCCTGTCGAAAGCGGAGCCTTAATGTACAGGTGGATGCTATTGTCAATGACAGTTCCGCTGCGCTCCTTTCCCGGGCCTACGTCAACCCCAGAACGCGCATGTCCCTTATCCTGGGAACTGGAACCAACGTGGCTATCCATTTCCCTGTACACCAAATAGGCTTGGCAAAGTTCGGTACTAGGCCGCTTGGTTGGTTTGACTATGCGAAATATGTCATTGTTAACAGTGAAATGAGTATGTTTGGTGGCGGAATTCTTCCTATGTCGCGATGGGATGACGTCCTTAACCGTACACACCTTCGACCAGACTACCAGCCTCTGGAATATATGATTACTGGACGCTATCTTGGGGAGATAGTCCGGCTCATCATCGTGGAAGCGGTGGAAACTGCTAACTTGTTTGGAGGCGAACTACCCCACTCTATGCGTGATGCCTATTCGTTCGACACAAGCATTGTTGCTGCTCTCGAGGCTGATATAACACCCTCGTTGACATCTTCGGCCACCCTTCTTCAAAAGGAACATTCTTTCAGCACCTCCCCATCCATAGACGACCTGCGTTTTCTACGGCGAGTCTGCCAAACTGTTTCGAAACGAGCAGCGGGATATCTGGCAACGGCAATCCACAGCATGTGGTGTTTGCGCAACGAGGCCGAGTTCTCCGACACCACCAATTCAACGACATCCTCCATCAAGGAGACTCAGGACGTCACTGTTGTCGAGACCGAGGGCCACCGTCAAAGTTTATCCATTGCGTGCGATGGCAGCGTCATAAACAAATATCCCGGATTTAGGGATCGTTGCCAGACATACATCTACCAGCTAATACAGGAGACCAACGCATCCCAAGGATCACTGAACGAGGCTTCAAACCCTTCCGTCAGCCTTGAACTCGCACCAGAATGTGCGATTCTGGGAGCTGCGGTTGCCGTCGCCGTCGCCGATACGAAACCTGAATGAGATTAAGGGGATTGAAAAATGGGTTGCTCAACCCCTTTCTCGATACGTATAACCTCGCAGTCGATGAGTTCTTCAACTTCTAGGGCTGCTCTCATGGCTTTTACTGATAGTTCCGATCAAGGCGTTAAATTCGGTTGCATTTGAAACGGTGTTTTTTATTGTGGCTGGCCTCCGCTTTCTTCCGTTATTACCCTCCCCTTACCGAATTTTTTTTTTTTTTTTTTTTTTGCCCTTTCCCTGTTACCATTGCGTTGCGTTTTCCGTCAAGTTGGGGATTTTTGGTTTTCGCACCAGCCTTGATATTTCTTTGTACGCTGGTTAGCATCTGTGTGAGGGGTGCATTTTGTTCTCAAGAGACCGGTTGTTCTAATTCATGAGCAACACGTGATTCTTAAGGCGAATGGATAGACGGTCTGGTAAGGGGCCCGGGATAGAAATACTCGGTGTACATAATAATACTCGCATCAAGTGCATGGAGCGGCTGTCCAACTACAAGAGTAGTATGTGAATTTTCATAGATGGTTCTGGATGCATTAGGTTGGCTCCACATGGCAGAGGCTAAGGGAGTCAACGTGCGAAATTGCTCCGGGTATTTGCATCGTCTCTCATCGTAGTCTTGTAGCTCTAACATTCCCTTTTAAGGACAGCCAAAGTACTACCTTGATGAGTATGTGCACGGAGCTCCCCAGAAGTTCTACTCCTTACAAAGATCCTGCAGCAATTCTAACATGCGACGCTGAAGAGCGGAGAGCTCATCTGGCGAGAGAGTCTCGCTTGATGGGGGGCTGGGATCGGAGTTCGAAGAGTCGGTGACCAGTGCCGGCTTGATGCTAAAGAAAGGGATTTGCAAACCCCGCAGTTCGGCCGCCATTGCCTCTGCCATCTGCTTCGATGCAGTGTATACTTTGGCATCGTACCTTTTCAACTCGGCTTCATCTTCTTCGACGGTCTGGTTGAAAACTGGTAGTTAGCTGGAGCAAGTCGGATTCCGTGCAGTCAACACATACCGAGATTTGTTTGGTAGAGTCGACGGGCGCTCCCACTGAGCGTCTGGGGAAAACATAAGTCAGAGGGAGTGAGAGAAGCTGGATCAAGAAGAATCCTTAGGAATACGTATTTAAATGACGCGAGCCCCAACCTATCCATCCGCCCCAAGGTTAGGGGAATAGGAATAGGTAGGATACCAAACACTTACAAAACCTCATCCATCTCCTTTTTCTTCTCGACACGAGCCTTCTGCTTCTTCACCAATGCCTCCCTTCCCCGCCACCATTGTTTCTCATGGTCATGCTGTCGTTGGATCAGCCAGCGAACCCGGCGCTGGACGTCTTCACTCTGTGACACGAGGCGCATGACATGTCGCAGTGCAGCGGGCCACGTGCTGACGGACGAGGTATCGACGACGGTCACCGTCGATGAGTCCGCATTTGCACGAGCCTTGTGGTGCAGAGTTGAGCGATTGGGGAAAGGCTCCGGTGGCCGTTGCGGTATGGTAGGCGATGATGATGATATAGAGAGCGAGTCGGATGGTTCGTACGGGTCATCGTCGGGGAGATCTGGTTGAGAGGGAATTGGATTGGACAATGCGGAGAGAGTTTGAAGAACAGAGGCCAAGTCCGTGGGATTGTAATGCTGGTGAGACATAATGGTGATAGAATCGAATCATTGATACGGAGTAGATCGAGTCAGTAGAGAGGTAGTACTCGGTAGTTATTACATGTGCGGGCCTGAGGGTGACTGTTGACGCCGCTCGCAGAAATTATTTCTGCCAGCCAATATTGCTTTATCCTTGAATGTCAGAAATAACCATTTCTACGATATTCTAGACAATTTAGTTTATATAATTAAATATAAAATAAATTACCTTCTCAATAACTTCAATATATATTAAATACTACTTAATTTCTATAGACTATAGGCGGTAGGAAGAAATATTAGTAAGGGAAGGCAGAATTTCTAAGGCGGTGATGTACTTTTAAAATAGTAAAATATAAGTAATACAGTTACACATAGACTATGAGGTGCAACGAGATCTAGCCTGTATATCTCTCTAATTTCTGTTGAGGAAGACCAATCATAAAAGTGGGTGATTAGTTTGACCGTGAAATCCTGAAGCCTTTTTAAGTTACTATCTTTAACATGCAACTACCTGCCAATTACAACCGGTCTCGGCTCAGTTTATATGACGTCGCATTTGCAGTAGTTGGTGCGGAAAGAGGCCAAGCAAGAATGTCCTGTAGGGATTTCAAATGAGTACTCTGTTTTATCTGACCCAAGAGACGTATGCCGTAGCACGCATCCTGATCTTGACCGAAATTGTGCCCCATTAGCGCCAGTCAGAGCGGAGCATAAATCTGTAATAGTGACTAAGTCCTTCTTTACATTATGTACATCTACTTCGCAAGTAGTTCTGGGAGTAATTGTCGCGAATTGAACCTTGCGTTCCCCATCTGAATTTGATGTTGAGCCTTATGGTGGGCAGAGACAGATTCTTCGACTGGTTTCGGCCGTAATTCAACCTCGTGCCATTCCTTTGAGATCGGGAAGGCTGGGAGTCAGTCGCTGATGAACAGAACTAGAAACCGCATCTTTTCCCCCAGATGTTCCGGTTTGCTTGAATAGTGGATGTCAGTCGTGCTAAGTTGAAGACAAACGGTATGCTTGTCTCCACAAGGGCATTTCAAATCTTGACCTTGTACGAGAATGTTGAAAAGAGCCTTAGCATGCCGTCGGCTGTCTCGATGGGACCTAAGACCTCTTTTCCACTTCGCTGACCCTCTTCTAGCCGGCTCCACTTGAAGTGACTGGTCGTTGAGTACCCTCAGAATCCGATTTGCATGGTCTATTTTATGAAGAATTCCTCGTAAACCGCCTTTAGGAATAACTTGCGGGATTTGATAGTACCCAGTGACATAATAGAGGCAGCTTGCCCAGATCCGACGAGTTTTCGTCAGTTGTTCGACCTCAGACTCTTTTGATATTGCTTAGTATCACTCACCTTTTAATAACGAGGCGCTTCGCGTTTCAGCTTATCAGAGAGTTCTTCCAGTAGACGACAGAGATTAGTCACCGTCTCAACGAAGGAGTTATAGTCGTGGCCCAGTTTCTGGGTTAGCCTCTGCCGAAAGTCCGCATCTTTCCACTTCGGCCGGCTCCTTGGAATCACGGATCAGCTATGATCACTTACCATGATCGTCGGCGACAACCTGAAAGAATATTTCCAGGGTATTGAGCAGAATCGCGCACTGGGCGCTTAAGGCGCTGGAATATCCCTCTAGCTCCCATTGATATCGCCTCAAGCCTTTGATTGTTTCCATTCCTCGCACATAATTATCCAGTTGATTGACCACTAAGGGCAGGACTGCGAAAACTAGACCGGCCGCTTCTATCCCGGATATTGTGGAGAATTTTGTGGAGGCTCACAAGAACTACCAAGGACTTGGAAAGAGCAAAGGCTCAGTTCCAATGAGATATAATCAGGCGAGCAATCAATGCCCCCGCAGTCAGCTTCAGCCTCGTGCCTTTTTTTACTAGTAGAGGTATTAGTGATCCTTCAGTCCTTTGCAGACAGCTTCTTTTGCACAAACCTATGTCCTACCCGCAATGGACAGTATATCAGGAGTGCTCAAAGAGGGCCTGAAAGACCTTACACAAGTAGCAAAGTCTGGCGCGCTTGCTGTGTATGAATGCGAAGTCTCCCGTCGTCGTTTGCTGGATGAGCTGGCTGGATAGCTGGGACGCCTCCGGGTCTGGTCCGGGAATATCGGCGCACATTGGGTCGGCCAATCGTCTTTAGACTATCGCTTTCGCTATACCTCGCATCTTAAGAACAAAACATTCAGGCTGTTAAATCGCTTGCTACATGTTCTGCAGAACCTGATAGAGGCCATAGTGGAGGATCAAAGCGCAGAAAATAGCGGCACCAACAGAGATGGTGACGAAAGCTGAAGAAAATAAGGTCACAGATACAACAGCTCTACCAGAGCTTGACTGGCACTATCCACCTTCAGTTCCAGATATCCATGGCTATCCGCAGTCCGGCCGGCCATGATTGCCTTATGAAGAATAAATGAAAGACGAATTGTTTTTCGAACCGTGGGCTCAGTAACATGTTTCGCACAGGTATCCAGATGCCGGCAAGGAGTTGATTCGCTGGCTAGGCGCAGGCGTGGCAAGACAGAAGCCATTCTGAAATATCGCGAACGGCATCGGGCAAAGCTTGAAAAGACCCTGTTGGACCAAATAGAATCAGACTGCGTACAGCTTTTCGAAACACTGGCTACTGAATTAGTCTCGGGAAACGGCGAGGTCCAGGTTAACCTCCTTGAAACAGCCACCTCATGTCTCTCCCAAACGTGCTACGCACCAAGCTTGATAGCGGCCGACAGCTCAGTCCAGATTCCCAGTCCCCTAAAGGATTCAGTAGATAGAAGGCCGTTCGAGTGTCCATATTGCTTCCATGTAATCAGTATCAAGCATAGAAAAGACTAGGCCCGTCACATCCTCAGGGACTTGCGGCTGAATTACCGCCAGAACTATGTTGACCAACAAGTTACTAGCATCCTGGAGCAGGAGCCGGTTCATCCCCCTCTAAAAGAGAATCATAGCCAACCTAAGCACTATGCCATCCCTGACATTCGTCCGTCCGGTGGAGCAAAGCTACTTACCGGGTCAGTTTCGTTCACATGGTTTGGACGAGCCCAGCTTCTTTAGCGAACGAAGCTTGTTCGTGCTGACAGATATCTGGACTAGCGGCCTTGCTTGGCACACCACTGGTGTAACATGCGTAAAGCGTTCGCAAAGGACAGTTGAAGACGCGATTTGTTTTCCCAGTTCATTTGCATCAACTCTATTTCACGGTGTCTTGGTCTTGATCAGCTCTACAGATCGTTGTAAAAGACAGGGATAAGAATCGTAGCCGCCGCTTTGGATACGTCAGCTTCGCCGTGGCAAAAGAGGCAGAAGCAACTACGAAATCTCTGAATAACCAGGAGTAAGACCTTTAGACACTTACCATATGTATCCACGCGGCTCTATTCTCACTTCCTACAGTTTTGATGGCCGCATTATCCGTGTTGACAAGGCGGCAGTGAGACCCGCAGAGAATACCTAATCAGCCCCATTACCAAGGCCGTGGTGGTGACTTCAGACACAAGAAGTTTAGCCAATATTACTATAGACAGTTGAAGCAGTAACAGATATGCTGTAAAGAAGAATGTGGGAAAGAGAATAACGAGAGAGTGTAACTATAGAAATCATGGCATGATGTGTAGTATATGTGCGGGCTCCGATTGGCTGCGGTGGGTCTTGGCGACGGCTTCTTCTTTCGACTTTGAAAATTTCCCAAGACTCCTCCTGGGTATCGTCATTAGCATCACCATCCTTATCGTCATCCTTACCACCACAACCACCATGTCCCGGTCCGCCGCGGATGCAACGAGGTTCACGGCCACTGGGCCGTATGCCAGCTCCAAATCCCGTACAACCCCGTATAAATTACCGGGCTTTATGTCCAACTCGGCGACGAGCTCCCAATCACAGGGACCGGCGAGGAGATCGGAAACTCCGAAGGAAAAGGTCGAGAGACTGCGAGCACAGGTCCGGGCGGCTCGTTTGGCCCAGTCAACCTCTCGTGTGGATCGCATGGTCGATGTTGGACGACGATTCGCCAACAAAGCGCACAAGGCCATGGTTTACTCACTAATTGCCGCATCGGGTATGTTGTTCTCACTTCCCATCACGTTACTTGCCTCTGAGAGCAAAAGCGAGAGAGAGAGATTCATACATGATGACTGATACGACTCGTCACTAGGGGTCTGCGGAGCGCTTACTGTTTACTCTATGGTCTCCCTAACATTATACAATCGTCGACAGAGGGCTTTGTGGTTAGAGAAGGAACTTCAAACGCTACAGGACGCGAAGATGGCATATGTCAGTGGATCGGCAACGGCGGAACAATTGGAACTCTTGAAGAACGAACAAATCGGAGAAATTATGAAGCAGAAGAAGGAAGAGGAGAAGGCACAACGTCCATGGAACAAGATGAAGCAACTCCTCTTTGGCCAACTCATCTTTCGCGGATTGAAGTCGGAAGAATCCCCCTCCGAAACTACCTCGAAGTCCGACGGTGAGCCGGACAGCAAGAAGCCTGGAGTTTTAGAAGCTCTCAACGCAAAGGCATTGGAAGATGCAAAGTCGAATCCATCCTCGGCGCCAGGACAGCTAGATACCCTCGCTGAGAATGCGGAAAATGCCGCTAAGCAGACAACACGAAGCTGGAAGGGTTGGTTCACGGGGAGATAGTGTCAACAGGGAAAGCAAAGGGGAAAAGAAAATCAAGACAGGGCTTGCAGATACAAACAGGGATGGGATGTGTCTTACCCCCCTGGTTTCCCTGAATATTTGTGTGTATATGTGTGTATGTGTGTGTGTGTGTGTGTGTGTGTGTGTGTGTGTTTATTTCTATGGGGTGTGCATGGCATATTGGTCGGCTGTTTTCTTTCTTCCATCCATCTCCCTTGTGCTCCACCAACTCGGGGTTGCGGCGTCAATTCGGGTGTCTATCTTTGAATCTGTGTAATATTTGTACATATACTTTCATTGGCTACAGCCTCCATACACGAATCAAACATTAGAGGAAAAATCAGGACCCCCTAAAAAGGAAGTGAGCGGCCCTGTCCGTCAACCGAAAGTGCATATCTAGATAAGAGATGGCGCTGAGAAAAAGAGGAAAGAACCGTTTAATAACATTCAGGATCGCCAATTTGTTCCGCATTTTGATCTACATCATTAGCCTCTTGAAGGTCGCATCTAAGTGCCAATTGTTCGTGAAAATAAAGAGCACGCCGGGAAATGGCCCTAGCAATGGTATCTGAAGCATGATCTTGAACAAATGAAATTGCGACCTCTTAGTGAGACACTCCATTGCTGCCATTCGCTTTATCAGACTTAGCGGCCCGTCTAACACGGACGGCATCAGCCAGATCCTCCAATACGCTGACGGTCGTCTCCCAGTCGATGCAAGCATCGGTGATGCTGACACCTTTGTGCAGGCCCGATGGACCCTCAGGAGGTACCTTCTGGTTGCCTTCGTTGATGTTGGACTCGATCATAACACCAACAATAGCATCCTGGCCCTCGCGGAGCTGATCGGCGATATCCTTCGCGACTACAGGCTGGTTGCGGTGGTTCTTGTTGGAATTGCCGTGCGAGCAGTCCACCATGATTACCTCGCGCTGCTTCTTAGAGCGTAACGCCTCCCGGGCACTCCGAATGCTCTCACGATCGTAGTTGGTACCCTTGCTACCACCACGCAGAATCACAAAGCCGTGCTCGTTGCCAGAAGTTTTGGTGATGGCAGCAAGACCCTGCTTGGTGACACCAAGGAAACGGTGGGGATGAGCCGCGGCTCCGATGGCGTCAATGGAAACGGTCAAGTTACCATCCGTACCGTTCTTGTAGCCGATGGGGAAACTCAGACCCGAAGCCAGCTCCCGATGTAATTGCGACTCGGTTGTGCGGGCGCCAATAGCACCAACCGAGATAAGATCCGCAAGGAACTGGGGGGAGATAGTATCCAGCATTTCACTTGCTATGGGCATTCCCATGCTGGTGAGATCGGCGTAGAGCCGACGGGAAACACGAAGACCCTTGTTGATATTGTAGGACTCGTCAATATCCGGGTCATTGATCAGCCCCTTCCACCCCACGGTGGTGCGGGGCTTTTCGAGGTAGGCGCGCATAATGACACAGAGTTCGGAGGAGAGTTTGTCTGCGAGCTCCTTTAAGCGAGTTGCGTACTCCAGGGCCGTCTCCGGGTCGTGGATGGAGCATGGGCCGACAACAACCAGCAGGCGGTCATCGCGTTGCTCGATGATCTCAATCGCCTGGTTGCGGCCGGATCGGACTGTGGCAATGGCATGGTCAGGCTACAGCCGAATTTCGTTAGCACTCAGAGTATTTGATTCCCGTCGGGCCCGGTCACTTCATATTGTAATGAAGAGAAACAGAGCCAATGTGTGTATATAGGCGTCCTGGAGCGGGACGGACTCCAAGGTAGGCGTGACTCACAGCTGGAATCTCGGATTGGAGGAACTGGGGGGACAGCAAGGGGTCATATCCCAGGACTGCGGTCGTATATTTGTTAGTCAAGAATGGGAGGTATGATCACGGAGAATATACTAACCGCGAGTGTCCTCGTTGATTTCCGTGGTCTTGATGAGGGGCATTATGCAAATCCAGGCACTGCAGAGATTATACTGAAGGAGGGGCGATCTAAAGGTATTGTTTGTATCGTTCACAAGTCACACTGAATCAAGGGAGACCCAGAGACTCGGGGGGGGGGTAGAGGTGATTTTTATACACGACTACTAAGAGATAAAAAGAAAATAAAAATAAAAAAATAAAAAATAAAAAAATAACAATCCCTAGCAGCGTGAGAGAAGGCAGGAAGAGGCGGGAAGGAGAGAAAGAATGAGAGCAAATAAATCACAGAATACAGTTTGGTACTGTCCAAACGGTGATCGACTGGTAAAATTGCATGTCATGTGGAGACCCGCAGAAAGATTCACAGCTTCACTCGCACACAAAAAAAATTTTAGGTTGGCCACTAGGCCCGGATTCTTCCACCAGCGTCTTGGGATGAGGTACCGTCCTGTATTTGGTATGGCTTGGTTTGGTATGGTATGTAAGTACGTGTCATGGGGCTTGTGGTACGCTCACCCTGTATAGCAGTAGCACGTAGGCATGTAGTATGTACGAGTAGCTAACTAGTTACTACTACTGGTACACCTCAAGAGGTACACACATGCCTTTTAGGTCCTACTTAAAGTCCGGGCTAGTGTACCCTCGGTTCGTACACTGTCACAGCTAAGACTGAGACAGGCCTGGATGAGGAGTCATATCGGGAATGGGTGGTGACATTTTCCACGCCGACTGACTCGGCAGCGTCGCATTGGTAGGCTAGACTCAACCAAGGAATTTGTACAGGACAATTGGGCCACCCTGCAGATTCCAAGGAATCATCCTACAACCTAGGGTCATGGAAATATGATCGAATGACTCTATTCGGAACGGAGAATTGGCTCGGGGATCTCACAAACGACACCCGTACTTTCAATGCATACCTCGGGGGTCCATGTGAATGCCAAACCTGAACATGCAGATGGAGGGCTATCGCTTACACCGCTCCTGTTTCCATTAGATACAACCAATGGTTTCTCATTGCAGCTGAGAATATGTACAGTAGGTATTAGGTGCATAGATATAGGTTGACTGCTCTAAGTTATTGGGTGCCTCACGTTAGGGAGTGGGAGGAACTGTCTAATCTGGCATGTACCCTGATGTTCGTGTGACCAATGTGATTAGTACACTGAAGTAGATTATGCAGAATTATCCAGAACACTATACCTTATTAAATGAATATACTCAGCTCGCGCCGGAGCCACGAGTGTAATGATGATTACTATAAAAACTCCACATGGTCGCCATGAACGCTAACCGCTTCCCACCTAGTCCAGTTTGGTTTGCTTGGCAGTCTGTCGTGCCTGCCCGCTAGTCCACAGTTGGAGATCTAAACCTCTGTAATGTATGGAGTACCTTATGTCCTAAGCTTCAACTTGTCATACTACCTCATTTCTACTTACAGAGTACCCTGTGCTACTTATTCAGTATTTAATTACTTCCTTCCTCCCATTCTGATAGAACGGTGGACCTGTTAAGCTGCCCCCTTCCACGTTTCTGACCAGCAGAAAGCGGTTTATTCAGCTCGTCACTACGGTGTACGCACTTCAGCCGCGGCTGACCACCGCACCATTAACTTCTGCTCTGCCACTACTCTTACCGCAATTGTCGTGGAACGCAAATACATGCATTGATAGCTCCGAGTCATTTAGCCTACCCCTCGAATTATAATCGCTACGCGTTGTGGATGTTTCTGGTCCGACAGCCAGCCATGTTTGGTTTCTCCTTCAAACGTCAGAGAGAGCCTGAGGAGTTGACTGATGTCGACAGCGGCGCAACCCACGAGAGTAAGGTCCGTTACTTGAGACTTCTCCCATCATGAAAGCTTGGTGTCCACGGCTGACTGCGAAGCTGTAGAAACTATGCCCTTTGTCCCTACGTACCGAACCGAACGCATCCCGGAAGTCTTCCTTCACCAAAGTCCACCGAAATTCCTCCCGATTTGGCTTGTCTAGTTTGACTCCCGTCGAGTCTTCAGATGACGACGACGACGGAGATGATGAACATACCACCCCTCACCCATTAAGCGCTTGTGAGCAGGGCTCGCACGACCATGCTCTGAGAACGGAAATGGACATTGATGACACATTTGTTTCTGCGCCCTCATCGCAGCCAATAGTTTCAGATCATGACGGCAACGTCCAACCGTCACCAATACCAAACAGTCTTATCAACCAGTCTCTTACCCTTAGTGAGCGACAGGAGCTTTGGGCTACCGTTGCCACAGGAACAGAGGATCAAGAGCCTGCATTCTCTGTATATAATGGGCAGGAGTCTGGGGAGATACACAATCATACATTGTGGTGTGATCAACGTCTCCCAAGTCCGATCAGTGATTGTGGCGATGTTTTCCGAAGCAGCAAAGAATCTGTGGGCGGTATTAGCATGATGCACGATAAATCTCATCCAACATCTTTCCTTCCATCCGATGAGTGCAACCCAACCAGCCAACAATATATACCATCTATTGAGACACCCACAGAGGCTCCTTCAACTCCAAAGTCGAACACCAACCCTAACAAGAAAATCATATTTTCCATGGGATTTCGGGCCGACTGCGATAAATGTCACCGTAAGGTCCCTGGACATTACAGTCATATTAACCGTCGTTAGATTACTCTAGCCCCTTTATATTCTTTTCCGCCTTTTCCTCCCCAACTTTTACTCGAAACGACATAGACATAGATAGTTGATACCCACGAGGAATTTCATTCTATTCATATACCTGTTAAAGGATCTTGCAGACAGAGGTGAATCCAGGTGTTTGGAAGATTGCTTTCCTTCCTTTCTTTTTCTTTTTGTCCCTGTCCCTTTTAGCTGTTAAGTTCTAGGGTTTGCTAGATAGTTCAAGTTGTATATATAATCACGATTCCCCATGGAGCCAACGTAGATATTTTTTTTTTTTTAAGATTGCAGTTCCTACTACAAAATATGCATCTTCCGACGACTCTTTCCGATGGAGCTGACATAAACACTCCGCCCCACATCCGATCTGTGTAGTGGAGGCTTGCGTTTTATGTCATTGAAGGCCTTTTCTATGGGTCTTTCAAACGAAGAAAAGGGTTGGTTTATATATATATGTTAGAGAATAATGTACAAGGTTGTGTGATAATGACAAAAAGTCTAATTATATAATAGCGACCTAAATAGTGTTCTCCACGTTCGAATCGCTTTCCTCGACCTCGATCTTCGGCGGCGGCAGAGCCCTTAGCCGATCTTTATTGCCGGCAGTTTGGATGGCAGCTTCAAGGCTCCTCCACCCTCGATGGATCCGGAGTCTCGGAATCCAATTTGTTGGCTTATCTTTTGCCCCCTTTGTTAGGGCGGATATATAAGGAACTGTACGCTGTTTCTCAGACGTACAGCTTTTCGTGTTGAAAACTATACGAACCGCCAAGATGGCCTCTCCAGTTCCCCGAGGCCTCCGCCAGGTCCTCCAGAAGTCTCCCTCGGACGTTGTAATCCTTTCTTCGCTCCGTACGCCTGTGACTCGTGCGAAGAAAGGCGGCTTCAAGGATGCATACCCGGAAGAGCTTCTCGCCAACGTGCTCCGCGCAACCCTCCAGGCAAACCCGAAACTTGACCCAGCCCTGATCGATGACGTCTGTATTGGCTCCGTACTGCAAGAGCTCGGCGGCGCGAAAGCAGGTCGGATGGCCCAGATCCATGCAGGCTTCCCTCATTCTGTCCCATTTCACACGATCAACAGGCAATGCTCCTCTGGTTTGGCGGCAATCACCAGCATCGCCAATGGAATCCGTGCCGGAGCAATTAATGTTGGCATTGGTGGAGGGATGGAGTCTATGACCCGGAATTACGAATCGCGTGCCATTCCCACCGTTCTCTGGCCTAGCCTGAAGGATTCTCCTTCTCAGGACTCCAGGGATTGCATCATGCCTATGGGCATCACCTCCGAGAATGTTGCCTCCCGATACGGCATCCTTCGGGCAGACCAGGATGCTTTAGCCGTTGAGTCACACAAAAAGGCTGCAGCTGCACAAAATGCTGGCCTATTCGATTCCGAAATCGTTCCAGTGAGAACCCTCACCTTCGATCCCGAGAACCCTGAAGCAGCCCCGAAAGAAATCACGGTCACAAAAGATGACGGCGTTCGTCACGATATCTCAGTTGAGAAGATGGCCAACTTGAAGCCGGCTTTCTCTGCGACAGGCTCAAGCACTGCAGGAAACAGCTCGCAAGTTAGCGATGGGGCTGCTGCTACTCTACTGATGCGTCGATCTACTGCCATAGAACTCGGGCTGACATCGTCTATCAAGGCTCGATGGGTTGGCACCGCGGTTGCTGGCTGTGCACCAGACGAGATGGGTGTTGGTCCCGCAGTCGCCATCCCTAAGCTCCTCCAGCTCCTGGATATGGATGTGTCCGATGTCGGAACCTGGGAGATCAATGAGGCTTTTGCATCTCAGGCTCTATACTGCACTCGTAAGCTAGGAATTGATGAAACCAAGGTTAACCCCAAGGGCGGCGCTATTGCCATCGGCCACCCGCTTGGTGCCACCGGTGCTAGACAGCTAGCAACACTGCTTCCTGAACTGGAGCGCACCGGCCAGGAAGTGGGCGTTGTGAGCATGTGCATTGGAACAGGCATGGGAATGGCTGGCATGTTTGTCCGCGAGTAGAGCATATTACTTGTGCATGGATTTAGTTTCTGATGGCCCGAGCCCATTATTTCATGATCTCAGCGTCGACGCATGTATATACATAATTGAGCATACTGTTTTTAAACCCTTGAGCGTGTTGCGTAGAATGCTGGTACTTGTTTACCTTTGAGTTGCCAAGCCGAGTGGTGCCTTGATCACGTGGACAACTCCCTGGAGGATCCACCGTCCAATCTTGAAACTTTTCGAAAACCGGCTGGAGTCTGCAATCCGGTACTGCAACACCGCAGCCATGCGTCCCTCGTTACGGCTGTTGAACTTGGATGTTTCATCCCTTCAAGGTTCTCGGGCTCAATATGTGTGCTCCATCTGCAGACAGGAAGCACGTCCACGCCCGTTGCTTGCCCGCCAATTCCTGCGCAATGCGTCGTCCAACACTACACCACTCACCGAACGAGTGCGTCGAAAGATCTGGGGCACGGACAATCCGCCAGGTCTGAAGGATCCCTATGGAGGAGAAGGAGCTCTAGAGCGGAAATTCAAAAAAGCCCAGTCTGAAGGACAGGGCGAAGCGGCCGAGGAATCAACTCAACCCATTGAGGTTCACCAGGAGGACATTGCCGGTGCGGATACATATGAGCCTGCGACAACATGGGAGGGAATCGACCGCATCGGACATTTGGGAAAGTGGTCGGATCTTCCTTCTTCGGAGGCTGATACATACAACGCGTAGGTTCTTTCTTATAATCGACCCGTTCCTTTTCGCTTCCTTTTGCACGATACTGGGGTGATCTTTCCACTGCCCCTCCTTCGGAATCAACTAATTCAGTATTTAGATTCATGGTGAAGAAAAAACTTACCAAGAATGGCCACCTTTTTCTGGCCGCTCACCAGACCGCAGTTGAACTGTCACTGATGCACGCTCTGAAGATGCCATTGACAAGCATTTGTAACGTTGTGGAGCATGACAAGGCTGTTTTCAAGTTGATTTTGAAGTGCAAGATTCAACCGGTTGCGGCGAATAATTCATGGGATGGGGCTTTAGTCTATCCCAACAAGGAGACACAGGATGCTCTCGTATATGTTTTTAAAGAGATTGGCAGCCAGAGTGTGGCTAAGGATCTGGAGGACTCTCAAAATGATGATCAGGGCATGCAAACGTCCGAGTTTGAATTTTCCTCCCAGGAGGCAACAAGCCAGAGCGTTCCTTTCTTTGGATACACTGATGTCCGTGACAAGGGTTTCTTGGCCCTGCCTTTGAATGACCCTGCTACCAAATTTGCTGTTAGTAATCTTCTCTATCCATTGCATGATTACTGGCCACTGACTCGTCCTCTATAGTTCTTGAAAAGATTCTCCCAGCTGAGCGGTCATTCCTTCCCAGACCCCGCCATCCCCTCAATCTCGACAGTCGAGCAAGTTGTGCGATATATTCAGACTGTCTTAAACCCGAAGCCCAAGAAACTGAGTGACCAGCTCGCGGCTAGTCAACGCCTTCAGAAACTACCAAATGTGAAGGTCTTCACAAAGAGGGTGAAACGATCAGACAGAGACGAGGAGCTGGGTCGGAAGAAGGTGATCGAGGCTGAGCTCCGTGCAAGAGGGCTCCTCGAATAGTCCTCCCATGACTGTCTGAAAAGATTTTGATGTTCTCATTAATAGTTCTTGTAGCATGTTTGAGAGATACATTTGTACTATAGAAATGAAAATTTGTCTGTGCACTTCATTCCATGTTGCTTCAAACATATCTGCTTCCACCTGCCGGTCCATTTCATCTATTCAGATGATACGATAGAACTTTCCGTGAATGAGATATCCTTCCCCGGCCCGAAAATTCAACCTATACGCCTGCAATGCATTACAACAGTAGTAATTTGTCACTTCCTACCCGCGGCAGGAAGACTATATCCTCTAGTCATAAAGTCCGTGTTATCTTTGGTTCCATCCCTGGAGTCTTTTGTGAAAAGACTGTCCAAATTCTCGTTCAAGCCCATCAGTTTTCTTCTCCTCTTCTTTGCGTTCTCTTCTTCTAGTACGCGAGCAGTCAGCATGGCTGTTGCCGCATGCTTAATCCCATTTGATGAACCAGGAGTGGGAGTTGAAGTGCTACTTCGCCTCGTCACTGTGCTATACTCTTTTTGCGCGCGACACAATGACGTGCCGTTGGACCCTTCGGCAGTGGCGGCAGGTTCAGCCGAATCACCATTGCCGTGCTTCTTGCGCTTCTTGGAGCCGGGAGCCTTCTTCAGGGAATGGGTAAGCCCTTGATCAGACAGCTTCTGCGACCGAGCTGTAAGCCGCTGCTTGTCAGAATCCCTTGTTGGCAGAATTGGGATGACGTTGTCCTCTGTGTAGGTCTCGTTACACTGGGGCACTGGATCAGCTATGAAACTACTCCAGCGGAAACAACAATGACACTGGATCAATCATACCTGTAAGCATTTATCATCCTTAATTTGGCGAATAGCTTCCTCGGAAAAAACATGCCCGCAAGGGACGAGGTAGACCGACTTGACACTCGCACCCAGCTGCTTGGCCGTAACCGGGCAAATCCACCCTTCCCGTTTCCCGTGCTTGGTGGATGGGTGTCCGCTGCGCTCTGTATCAATTTCGAAATGTAGCTCAACAACATCTCTGAGTCCCTTTACTCGACCGCCCAGAGTCTCCTCGCAGTCGACTTTCGAGCTGATACCATTGGTTTCGTCGCCCGGAAGGAGATATTTTAAGATTGCGTCTTTATTGTACAGATTGCCGCCGGAATCCGAAACGACAGGCCGCATCAACGGCTTATGCGACAGCGGACAAGTGGTCCAGAAATGTTCTTGAAGTTCGCGCTGAGCTTCCTTCACTTGCGTCGCACTAGGATTCCGCGCCGCTTCTCGGACCAGCTCGCGGCGAGTGGGAATACTGTCAAAGGATAGGAGATCTGTCAGCTAGAAGAGAAAGAGAGAGGGGGAAAAAAAAAGGAGGCTTATTTTCGATCATTACCTTCCACCATCATTACCCATCTTGGCTCTGAATTCTCACCGATACGATACCCCCTTTGGATTGTATTGAAGCTGTTCTGTTGCCACTTGAAGAACAGATGAAGGCACAGGCTGACTAAGCCACGCGATCGGCACTAACTAAATGGGTGGACTGGTGCCTTAGGACGTATCAACCAGCTGGCCAGAAGCTCTCGCCGCACTCACATTCCAGTTGCACGTCGGCGCTGGCATTGACTACCAAGCTCAATGCTGCCATCATGATACTTTATCGAGGATCGCTCTTCTTTGCGGGCCTAGCCGTATGCTCGACGGTTGTGGCTGCTACGGGCGATAGTTCGACGCGGCCTCGGGGAGTTGGCCCTGAATGTGAGTCTTTCTAGGAGCCCACCTATGCGCTTCGGCTTAATATAGTTACATGTTGTTCACATCGGGACCCTCTGTCCATGTTTTGATTTTGATTTTGTACGCATTTAGCTCTAGAGTCTGACAAACTAACGTGCTCTACCCTACGTTGATCCAGTCGCCAAGTTCTACAAGAACGCCACAACTTTCACTTGTATCTCCCACCCGGCCATTCAGATCCCCTTCTCTTCAGTGAATGATGACTTCTGTGACTGCCCTGATGGGAGTGATGAACCAGGGACCTCTGCCTGCTCTCACCTTTCTCGCAATTCCCCTTTGACGGTGGCTGATCGTCCGGGGAATAGTGAGCTCGAACTCGCATCATCGTTGCCCGGTTTCTACTGCAAAAACAAGGGCCATAAGCCATCTTATGTTCATTTCCAACGTGTCAATGATGGTATTTGTGACTATGAGTTGTGCTGCGATGGCAGCGACGAGTGGGCTCATGTGGGAGGCACCAAATGTGAAGATAGGTGCAAGGCGATAGGCAAGGAGTGGCGGAAGAAGGAGGAAAAGCGACAGAAATCTATGACCACGGCATTGAAGCGGAAAAGAGATCTGCTTGTGGATGCCAGCAGGCAGCAACAGGAGGTCGAGGATCATATCAAGAGAATTGAGGCTGAACTCCAGGGTGAAGAGATAAAAGCGAAACACCTAGAGGCTGACCTTGAAAGGATCGAGAAAGAGGAAAGGAGTAAAGTGGTCCGGGGCAAGAAGACAAGCAAAGTGAATGTCCTCGTAGAGTTGGCCAAAGGCCGAGTCGAGGAGCTCCGCAATGCACTGGGCCAGGTCCGCAAAGAGAGGGATGAGGTTCGTTCTCGAGTCAAGGAGCTGGAGGAAATTCTGTCCAAATTCAAAGTCGAATACAACCCCAACTTCAATGACGAGGGTGTCAAACGCGCCGTGCGTAGCTGGGAGGACTATGCGGTTCGCGGAACCACAGATAGTCTTGACAACAGTGCCCGTGACCAAGACCTGGATGAGCTCGTGAAACCCGACAACGACCAGACAGGCATCAATTGGGAACAATGGGGAAATGAAGATGATACGTGTGAAGCCGCTACAGGTAGGTACTTTCCGTTTGTGTGGATGAGCCTTGAGTAACGAGGGTTGCAGTCTATAAACTCGCGGCTTACCTCCCACCTTCTCTGGTCGCCTTCATTGAGGATAAAGCAGTGTCCATTCGAGGGTTCCTTGAAGACAACGGGATCCTAGCCAAGAGCACTGAGGGTTCTCACTCAGAGTCTAAAGCGGTGGCCGAGGCCCGCGATGTCTTCACCGCGGCTCAGAAAACGGTCGAGGACCTGCAGTCACAACTGAGGGATCACCAATCCGACCTCAAAACGGACTACGGTACAGCCTCGGTCTTCCGTGCGCTGAAGGGAGTCTGCATCTCTAAGGACGCGGGCGAGTACACGTATGAGCACTGCTTCCTGGACCAGACGAAGCAGAAGCAGAAAAAGGGCGGATCTTCCGTGCGCATGGGCTCGTTCACGCGCATCGGGACCATTACTGTCGACGAACTCACCGAGGCCGGCGAGATCATAGCGGTGCAAAGAACATCCCTGGAGTATGCCAATGGACAAACCTGCTGGAATGGCCCGGCCCGATCCACGACCGTAATCTTGGAATGTGGGGAGGAGAATGAGATTCTGAAGATCGCCGAAGACGAGAAATGTGTGTATTCCATGGTTGTGACCAGTCCGGCCGTGTGTCCCGGCGGCGAGGAAGAAGGTAATGGGGCGCCGCGAGGCAAGGACGAGCTGTGACGGTGAGCCTACCCACCTGTTATAGTACACAATCCATATAGCAAGGTCTTCTATTATATTGCATACACCAGCCTTTGGTTTTGTCCCTATTCTTGAATCAGTGTACATGTCCGGTTACACAGCTACACGTCATGTAAGTGACATGATGAACCCTACTTGCAGGAAGAAGAGAGGGGGGGAAAATAGTATTTAAATTGGCATTCCTGTGCCACGTCGTATCACCATACAAAGCACATTCCCAGTTCTGTATCCCAACCATTAATCAGAATAACTGCCATGCAAACAACACGTCATCTGGCCTATCCCCGCCGAAAGTAATAATAAAAACAAAACAAACAGCACCAAGTCTTTCTCAACAACAGGAAACTGGTTGGGTCACTCGAGAAGAGGAAGGTTTAGTGCTGGAGCCCGCGAGACAACAGTCAGTGTCATATTCATGAACGAACAACATTGTCGAAGTCTCATGGAGCTTTGGATTCGAGCTTACCTTGCAGCTGCTGCAGGAGCACGAGTTGCAGTCGCCGGAGCAGCAGTTGCACGAGCAGGGAGACATGATGATTGATGGGGAGGAAACTGCGTTCTTTGCGAAGTATATATATGTATATGTATATGTATGGTTGGTAGTCTATCTAGTAGATGGTCGACGGAGGAATCCGATTCTGAGGAGTAAAGGAGTCAAGCTACCAGATGGGGAGGAGGGGTTTTATAGAAAGAAACCTGAACTACTTTTCTGAGTCAGTCATTCGCAGCTGTCTGGTGATCAGCCCATGAAGACGTAGAGGGGGGGAAGAAGTGGGGAGATAGAAGAGAGAGAAAGATATGATTTGCTTTTGATTAGCCATTCAAACGGAAAGGCCTCTTCTCTCTCATCGTCCCACTCTCCTGATTCGTTTTTTCTTTCTTTGTTTTCCCGGATGCCGATCCAGTCTCCGTCCAATTTGGGGGATGTCTCCATTAAGGCACACCACGACGCCTGAAGATGGGACACAACACAACACGACACGTTGGAGGAGGAGTGGGGGGAAAGGTTGGAAGTGAGGCTGCCAGTAGATGATTGATTGATAGTGGCTGATGCGTTGGGTTCCGGCTCTTTCCTATTTCATTGCCCCTCTCTTTATCTCTCTCTATAGAGTATAGAGATCTTGTAAACAATGGATGGCATATGCCATTCTACCGGATGAACATGCAAGATGTCATCTTATCAATAGACTGGAATCCCGGTCGACAGTTTGCCCTTATTTTTATTCACAGTATTCGCGTTACCATTCTATGATTTCATTATTCGCAGAGTTACGCAACAGTCTCTCCCCACGGAAACTCAAAAACAACGAAAGCATTTGGCGACTCCCGATCCACCCGCGAATACCGCAAAAAAAAAAAAAAAAAAAAAAAAAAAAAAAAAAAAAAGAGAGAGAGTTTCGGCCCAAGTGGAACTATGGAAACAAAGTTTATGTCTTCTCTCGTGGATGTCCCTCCTTCCTGCCCATCGTACGATCCACGCGGAGAGGAAATGCGATGGAACTCGATTCTACTTCGGAGTATTCACCCGGAGATGTCTACAGGCTTTACTGGCTTTGTAACCCTGTATGGTCCTACACTATATCCTGTAGAAAGGGAAGATACTCTCTAGGATCTACCCGAGTCAGGGAAATAGAGAGATGGATTCAAAAGTGCTATTTGGTCATAGATTTATGGGAAAGAAATAGTCTCGCCACGTCCCCCTCTCATAGGCATAGTATTGCACCGACATTATTTCTAACACAGTTAGTGGACATGCACAAGAGAAAAGAGAGAGGTGGGGAAGAAACGCAGATACGTACAGGGCACTTGCATTGTCCGGCAGGGCACTGGCAAGAGGCGCCACAGCTACAACTGTGGTCGGAACCTGAGAAAAGACGTCAATGCGATTGATTGATGGATGGATGGATGCTGACCAGTCGAGGTTGGCGATGAGAAACCCCGCCATAACCCCGCCTTAGGGTCTCTCTAGGGGGGAAGGGGGTAAACAATGCATAAACAGAGCCATTGAATCGGAGAGAGGTGAGGGGATCACTTACCCATGATGATGAGTGTGGAAGGACTTGAAGAGTCGATGGGAAATTAAATCAAATCGTGGAGTGTTTTGAGGATGATAATTGACAAGCAATCGAGAGTGTGAGGGAGAAGAAGAATCGAAATGGTGGGGGAAGAGATCGATGGAAGCCGTATTTATATCAGGCGCTAGTAGTCTCTCAGCCCCGATGATTAAGTGGAATTCTTGTCATTCTACCGTTTCTCATCTTTTCTTATTCTTCTTCCTTTCTTTTACTTTTTGTCCCGTTAACTTTCGGAACCCCATTAGCTAACGGCGGTAAATGTTTTCATTCAATTGATGATTTCAGCATTGTCGAACAGCCAACACCTCTTGTCTCTCCGTTGCTTTCCTGGCCTCTTTTCTTGCCATTTTTTATTTATTACCATGAGTGAGATATATTCTCCTTGGATTTCACCCCATTCCTACCAAGTAGTCTGACTATGGCTTGGGTCGACACCTGTACAACTACCCCGCGTAGAATCCCTGCGTCTCTACAAACCCGCTCATTGCCACGGGGCGTAATACCAACACCATTGGCGAATACTTAGACCCCCCGGAAGACGGGGGTTGAGGTCACAAGAGGGTTAGGAGATGGCTCGTCGCATCGCCTGCCTATGTAGGGAGGTCGTGCAGGAGGTCGATTTGGGTCCATCCAACAAACTGTCAACTCTCCATCTGTGTCACTGCACCGCGTGTCGTGTCATCTCGGGGGAGCTGGCTTCCTCATATTATCCTCTGCGGACTCCACCCCAGGGTTGTGATGCCCTCCGCGAATACCACCATTCCCCCGTATATAAATCGCTACTTCTGCAAAAGGTGCGGGGCCCATGTCTTTGCTTGTCAAAAGCACTCAGAACAGTATTTCGTCGCCGCTGGCCTGTGGGAAGAAAACGCACCGCTCATCAAGACGATCCAGCATTCGCAGCCGCTCCAGACTCAAGATGGCCTGGCTCCCCTTCTGCCCGCTGAATCAGGAAAAGCGTCATCTCTATGCTACCTGCATGCCGGCCTGAGCGATGAACCGCCCTCTCCCGGCGAGGAGACGCGCGAGGAAGGGGTTATGAATGGCCGCGAATTACCGGCGCGATGCCATAGTGAATGGATTGAATTCTACGTCACGTTGCCGAATCCCAGCTCCACGGAGCCCTCTTCCCCGTGGCCAGGCCTGCTGGTACCCTACCATTCAAGCCCATCCGAGAACACGGCCGACGTGAAATGGTGGTTGCAAGATCAGAACACAAAGTATCTGGCTGGCGCCTGTGTCTGCCAATCATGTCGCCTGGGCAGTGGGTTCCCAATCCAATCCTGGGCATTTATCCCCAAGTCGAACCTGCTGAATGCGGACCCATCCCCTCTGGCGTTCGGCGCGGGCACAATACAGCAATATGAAAACCCACCGGGCGTTTACCGAGGGTTCTGCAACTGTGTGGTGCAACGGCTTTCTGGCATTGTGAAGCAAGGGCCCTCCTGATAGATGTAAGCGTGGGTCTATTTCGGGCCAAAAGCGGCGCTCAAGCGGAGGACTGGTTAGAATGGCATAAGGGACCGTAAGTTTCTCAGAGATGGCAACGGACTGGGAGTTCATCCAGCAGTTGGAAGCTGGGTTAGAAGCCTGTGGGAGTCGATCCCTGGGTAAACTTGTATGTTCGGACCCTACTGCTCCGAGCTAGTCCATTAGACCCTGCATGTTCTGAGTAAGTCTTACTGTCTATATCTATAAAGAAGAATTAGAAGATGTCAGAATATACGATACATATGATCCTACGAAGTTGGAACTTGCTAAACGATTTATGCACATTATTCGTATTAGTCATAATGTTCATATTCTTCGTATTGACAGAAGATGCCTGTATTTACCGCCTTCCGTAAACAGATACCCGCCAACAACAAAAAACGGGAGGAAAAAAAAGCATCGGGTATTCAATTTTGATTCTTTTTCTTCCAACCCGATGGTATAAACGCTAGTCACTCACATTTGTTCTTTACTTTGTTTTGCTGTGGCCCCTTGCAATGCCGCCGCCGGCCTTTGAATTTCAAGGCAATGACCGCCGGTCACATCACCACCACCACCACCACCACCACCCTAGACATGAATTCACCTTTCGTTATGCGCGACCCTCAACAGCGGATCGGCCGCTCTTGAGAAATAAGCGAGAGTCCACCCCAGAGCTGCTGATGGCCGAGGGCACGATCGAAGAAAAACCTACATTGAAGTTCGCATCCCTGGAAACCCTCAGCGACAGCGAAGAAGCCGATATGGATGTTTCGGATGATGGGGATGAGAATGGTGACCACGACGAAGCTTCCCACCCTCGGAAGAAGCGCGCGTTGGAAACCAACAACAGCAACGCGACCCGGACGCCTGCACCAGCACCTGTGCCAAAATGGTCAAACCCGGACCCATACACCGTCCTTCCACCCCCGGACGAGAGTCAGTCCAAGAGGGTGGACGTCGTGAAGTTGATTCGCAAGGCACGGATCGCTGCGAGTGCTTCTCAGCCCACGCAAGCGGATGCAGTGGCTACCAACGAAGACTTCATCTCGCTGGGTGACTTGGTTAACGAAGAACGGTATAAGCCTCCAGAAGATGCACCCGTGGGTCCGAGGCGCCATCTCCAAGGGGGAGACTCTGCCCTGGGAAACCGGAAGAGAACATACGATGATGAGTTGAAGGGAGTTTCTAAGAAGACCGGGAAGCCCCTAAGTAAATATTACGCGGATGGCTCCATTATTGACGAGTGGAGGAGACGTGCCAACGAGACGGGCACGCCATGGCTAAGTCAGATGGAGCCCTCACTGCATTTGGGAACAAGGTTAGTCTTCATGTAAATCTGAACAACTGAATAAGGCGATCATGTTCTGACTAGAAAACGGCAGGCTACATAATGAGATTTTGAGTTTCTACCACTGGGTTAAGCCGGTGCAGTATGAACAAATTGTTCGAGCGGACTTGGTATCGAGGCTTCAGTCTGCATTTCAAAACAGGTATTACGGCGTGCAGCTTCGTGCGTTCGGCTCATTTGCCTCGGGGCTATACCTGCCGACCGCAGATATAGACCTCGTCATGCTTTCCACGAATTTCATGCGCACCGGTATCAGAACGTTTGGCGAGAGGAAAGGCCAGATCTATGCCTTCGCTGCCTTCCTCAAGACACTCGACATCGCGGTCCCTAGTTCGATAGAGACCATTGCCCACGCCCGGGTCCCCATCCTGAAATTTGTGGATAAACTGACGGGACTGAGGGTAGATCTGTCATTCGACAACGACAGTGGACTCGTCGCCAACAACACTTTCCAGCAGTGGAAGTCCGAATACCCTGCCATGCCCGTCATTGTCGCGGTGGTTAAGCAATTCCTACTCCTGCGAGGCCTTAATGAGGTCCCAACGGGTGGACTGGGAGGGTTCTCTATTATCTGTCTCGTCGCGAGTCTTCTACAGCACTTGCCGCATGGCCACATGGCACCGAATTTGGGCAGTATCCTCATGGACTTCTTTGAATTCTACGGCAACAGATTTGATTATGAAAATGTCGGGATACGCATGGACCCGCCTGGATATTTCAACAAGGTGAGTTGGGACTCGTAGCTGTGAAGTCCATTGCATCGACTGACCGAGCATCCGACAGAGAGTTTATAAGGCCCACAAGGGGAAGAACGATGCTCGCCTATCTATTGAGGATCCTAACAACTCGGATAACGATATCTCTGGTGGGACTCGCGAGATTGCCCTGATCTTCCAGTCATTCTCGGACGCATATGAGCTTCTCAAGGAGCGCATGGTTGCCACCGCGCTGTCGGAGGAGAGCCGGGCGAGCATTCTAGAGACCATCATCGCGGCAAATTACGACGAGTATACCGAACAGCGGTGGCAGCTGCGCCAGGTGTTCGAACACCATCCACGATTTGCCGAATACCATCGGCCACCCACGCCTCCGCCTCCGCCGCCAAAAGCCTCTCCTCCAGGCGACCCTGTTCCTCCGCCGCCTCCTCTGCCGACCAACTCTCTGCCCTCGCAAGAACCAAAAGAGAAGTTAACAAAACTGCAAAGAAAGCAACAGGCGTCACGGGACCGTGCCTCCCGCCTGAGACGATTGCGACCCGACATACCCTCCGTTCCAGAGTGCATCAGCAATGCGCAGGCCTTGGAGCTTGGTAACTACAAAACTCAGTCCGAAATGGACAGAGATCTCACGATCAAGGAGAAAGAGTTGGACTCGACGAGCCAAGGTTAAACATTCTCAAGGAAGTCTAATCTCATAAAACCTCATCTCCTTTAAATCACCATGATATTTATGATCCTGGGAACAGAAAGAGTCTCCTTGTACCATATCGCTTATGTCTGTGTTTTCGATGTTTTTTATTTGGTCTTGCAGCAGATACCCATTGAGATTTTGTGGAGCGCATAGGGTGTTTTTTTTTGTTTTGTTATGGAGAAGCTGTTTACCTGTCAAGCATTTGGGCTGACTCGGCTGATTTGCGGATATGGTGTTCTATATGGCCTCTGTGGTTTATTTCGTGTCTTTCTTCCGATTTCTGCCATCACTGACAACAACACAGGGCTGAGTCGTCAAGTAGCGTCCGGAATACAGACGAGAGTTATAACTGGGTTTGTTCCTGTTTATGCTCGTCGACCGACTGACGTCCCAGGTACTCGGGCTGGGTCAAGCCCTTTCACGCAAGTAGCAGATAAGGCGAATAATCACAGACTCACCTTTGTTCATCTTATTAGCTGGCGGTCGCTAGTTGAAAGAATCAGACCATACAATTAGAAGCAAATCGAATGGCAAAGAAGATCTGGAGACAGTTGAGTTTCCATTTCGTTCCAGAACGTTTCCTTTCCACCTCTTTCTCACCAAGGAAGCGCTACATGCGATTGTTTGGAGAGGATGACTTCGGATTGGAATGCAAAGTGGGAGAGTTCTCATATCGTCACCAGGGTAGGTAGGGTAGGTAGCTCCTCACCCTCTTCTTTCTCCAGGTCCGCTAGCCTATATGTATGTACATAGGACATGAAATAAACAGTAGGAGCACCAACTCTAGAATGGGATCACATGCACGGTCTACCTATTTACAAAATTGGTTTATGTATGTCATAGAGTAAGGCCCGAAAAAAGAGGCCAACGCTTTCCAGTCGTATCGTCATCATAAATAATGAATCATCAGCGGGATACCAGAAACCAATCCGAATCTATAACGCGATCTCTGAGGGCTCTGTATCTGTCTCCCGGGGGATCTTCGTGTCCACGGCATCCAAGGGAGGAGTGATCATGGAGTCATTCTGAATATCCTGCTGCAATGCGGCCAGGTGGTCGGCGGGCAGAGCATTGACGAAATCTGGACCGGGACTGGGCCATGTATAATCCACCCATTGGGGGCCTAGGATGGACTGAATCTGCTGGGTGAGGGCGAGGATGTGACTCCGTCGATTCCGGGACCAGGCACGATCGGTGACAATGCCCTCGGAGGGCGTCAGCACAGCAGGCGGTGCATTTGCCGGGGGGGGCATCAAGGTGGATGGCTTCTCCTCTTCATCGTCATCGTCGTCATTGTTGTCGTCTTCGTCACAATTCTCCAGCCCATCGAGGATACTGTGCCACACGCGCAGGGATTCATTCAGTTCGTCGACGTTGCTAACGCCCATGACGCTAACACCCAGCCGGTGCCCGGTGCCCAAGTTCAGGACGGAGAGGAACCCGGGGTCAACGTCCGGGGAACGGGCAAGAGGCGGACCCAGAGCGCCGACTGGGGCGCCATCACGGAGCCAGGACTCGAGGGCGAAACGGATAGCCACGACCTCGAGCTTCTCGCCCTGGGTATCGGTCCAGTCACTGGCACGGCGGATAGCCTCGCGCAGGGCATCGGGAGCAGGGTGGAAATCGCCCATGCTACCAATGGGGACGCCCTTGCGACGCAGTAGACCCATTCCTAGCGGCGAGGCATTAGGGACGACGTCGACGCCGGCGGCGCGCAGACGCGGCAGGGCGTGGGACCTCAGCCGGGTGTTCTGCAGGGTGAAGTTGGCGTAGGACATGACGATGTCGAGAGGTTCGCCCGTCTCGCGCAGGATCAGCTCCGCCAGGTCGCACAGCACATGGACAGGGTATCCAGAGATTCCCACGTAACGCACGCAGCCGTCGGAGTCGCGGAGACGGCGCAGTTCGCGCACGGCGGCCAATACCTCGGCGGGTGTCACGAACTCGACATCGTGACAGTAGACAACGTCCAGATAGTCGGTGTGCAGACGACGGAGACTGCGTCGCACGCTCTGTCTCACCCATTGCGGTGTGTAGTCGAAGGCACCGGCGGCGATGCGACCGACCTTGGTGAGCAGTTGGTAGGAGTGGCGGGGGTATCGCGACCGCACGAACTCGGTGTTCAGCGCGCGACCCAGGAGTTCTTCAGCTGGGCCATAGTAGGGAGAAGTGTCGAAGGCGCGAATGCCATAGGAAAGGGCACGGTGGACGAGCTCGGTGGTGGGCAGGACATAGGGATCGGGGTTGTACTGCGAGTTGAAGGTGGCGGTGCCCAAGATAAGAGGCGGCAGCGTGGCCGACAGCGGAGACATTGTATTTATCTATATTATAGATATATATATAGATATACATAAATATATAAATATATGGATATATGAATGTAGGTACTCTGTAATATTGAGATAGATATTGGATGTGAAAATTCTAAGCGAAAGTTCCGCTCGGATAACGGAACTAACCGCGGCCGGTTTACAACTTGATTGAACATCTATATTTATTGTACATGGAATAATACAGCCAACCTTATATCTTTAATATGCAGGAGCGGAGAATCAGTCCGGGAGTACAGTCTCTCCCATCGTATACACAAGGCCAACGACTGGAACATTCGAAGGAAACGAAGAAGGGATCCACCAGCGATGAGAATAACAAAAAGAAATCTAGGTTCTCCCCCAAATCTGGATATTAGAATCACCAGTAACGCCATGCTATGCTGTCGAAAAAAAAATAAAAAATAAATAAAAACGACACGAAGTGGTCGGGGTCAAATGGGATCCTGAAGTCGATAGACATCGGTCGGATGGGTGTCTCTTCACCCCTGGGAGAAAGTCATGTCGACATCGACGCGGACATATAGACGAGGAGAACATTCGATATATTCGATCGATCACCGGTCCTTGTACACCTTCGGCTTCCAACCCTCCTGTAATTCCTTGTCCTGAGCAGCCTTTCGCTCGGCTTGCCGGATTTCCATCTCTATCCGTTCGCGGGCCCGAAGAATCTTGCTTTGAAGGTAGAAGCTCCCTCCCTTTGTAGGATCGTTGAGATCAAACAGCTTTTTGAACCGTTCCATTACCAGCTCCACATTGGTCTCCCCACCCTGGGGCGGTTTCACGTTGAGAATCTTGCATGCCTCGTCTAGGGTCAATCCCGACGATGTAAAGGTCCCCGACGTTCCATTGCCCTTGGACCCTTTATGCTTGGAGGCTACAGATGCCTGTTTGTAGGCCTCTGCAAATGCTCGACCGAAGACTCGGGCACCCGTAATGACAACTTGAGTGACGATGCGATGGGCCTGTGAGGAGTTTTCAGTCAATATTTGTCCGAGACTACTTGGTTTTTTTCATTTTTTCCTTCCAGGGTCATGGGAAAGAACGACTCGCACTTACCATATCGGCGAAAATTGTGAGCTCCAACAGGTGGTGATCGGAATGGGAAGCAAGCAAGCAAAAACAAGAACCTGAGGCAAGATCAAAACGGTTGGGGAGGAAAAATTTCGGTGGCATATTTAATCCGGTCCGATCAGTGCCTAGTACTGTACGTACCGTACGTACGTGTACTATACACAATGATAGTACCATACTTATCTACGGAGTACAGACAGTGTCACATGTCCCGAGCAAAAAGCTTCATCTCGTCCGCGGGTCTTTTGCTGCTTTTCTTCTCTCCCCGCAGACGATCGCTCTGGTTAGGTCCCGAAGTTGCATCTCGGCGCTTCCTATATCCTAGACTCTTTTTTTTTTTTAACCTTTTGCTTTCTTTTTTGTAACCATACTGAGTGTCCCTCTTTTCCCTTTTTCCTTCTCCTTTCCCCTCACCGCCCGCAATGACCCTGGGATTGGACGTTTATGACGCCTCTGTTGGATGGCAGCACTCGGTATGTCAACTCATCAAAACATTTCCCTCCCAATAAATCATTCTTAGAGAAAAAAGGTCCTGGGACCTTCTGTTTCCTCCCCCCTTCGATGCTGATGCTCTGATAGACGATATTCCGTGGATAGATTCCATGGCTGCTTCAACTTATTCGCAGGACCATGCTGATTCTCAGCCTCCGACGGTCGCTGCGTTTTCTCCCACCACCATCTCCGGCTCGTCCTTGACGTCCAAACAACGTTCCAGCATCATCGTCCACCGTAAATCTCCCTTGTTGGTGGCTACTCCCCCGCCCGTCACCCGAGCGTTGGCCTACTCTCATCCGTTCATCTTGCCGTTGAATAAACTGGTGGGCTTGTTGACATGGACCAGTGGTGATTCATGGCAGAGCTTCCTCCTCGTAGCAGGGTTCTGGGCACTCGTCTTGTATGGTGACGCCATCGTCCTCTGGGCAGGTCCGCCCCTGGTGGTGACAGCCCTGATCCTGGGCATGTACTGGAGACGCTACTCCCCCCTATCCACCAGAGCCTTCTCGGGGGAGAAACCGGGCCATCAAAGGGCCACATCTGATGGGTCCATCCACCATCACGACAGCCTCGACGAAATTGTCGAAACCATGCGGACCTTCACCACGCGGTGTAATATCCTGTTGGAACCCCTCGTGGAGCTTACTGATTTCCTGTCCACCCAACGGACGGCGACCTCGGCTACCACAAGACCGGCCCTTACCACTCTCTTCTTTCGCATCCTCTTTGTGACCCCCATCTGGGTGGCCTTGACGCTGCCTCCCTTATGTCTGATCACTACTCGCCGTGTCATCTTGATCCTTGGCACCGTCATCCTTACTTATCATTCCCGCCCAGCCAGGGTGTCGCGCGTCATTCTCTGGAGGTCATTGACGATCCGCCGTATATTTTCCATGATCACAGGCCTATCGTTTGCGCTGAATGTGAGTAAGGCGCCGGCGCCCCGGACGCAAAGTCATGGTCATACAGTGAACATCGCCACCCGGCGGCGAGGAGACGACTCTGGTGTCCGTTTTACCTTCATCATATACGAAAATCAACGCCGATGGCTGGGGATCGGTTGGACCTACTCCCTGTTTCCCTCCGAGCGCACTGCATGGACGGATGAACACCTGAACCAGGTTCCCCCAAGAGATGAGTTTGAGCTGCCGGAAGTACAAAGCGGCAGCGCCATGTGGCGCTGGGTGGATGGTAGTGAGTGGCGCATCGAAGGCGCCGACGATTCGAGCGGGAAAGCGGATGCCAAAGCCTCCGATGGTGGAGGCTGGATTTACTACGATAATAAGGTGAGCTATCAATATGGTTCAACAGGTCTACGAAGCGCTCGTTTGTAGTACTGTGGCCTAACTGCGGCAATGAAATCATAGTGGAACGATGGTCGCCGTGGCCAAGATGGATGGGACCGATATACTCGGCGGAGAAAGTGGTGCCGTGATGCCGAGCTGGTGGAACTCCCGTTAGCCTCGGCAGATCGGTCGGCAGGGGCAGCGTCCGGCTTAACACAAGCTTTGGAGCAGCAGAAACAAAAGGAATCAGGCGCAGTTGACGCTTCATCAGTCGATACCGATTCCCAGAGTCTCGCCCCGTCGAGTTCCTCAAAAGCACGGAGACGACGTTGGTTTGGGGGTCCGAAGAGTGTAAGCGACAAAGCCAGCAGCATCTCCACTGCACCAGCAGCCTCCAACAATAACTCCTCCGTAGATCTTGGAAAATTAGCGTCGTCCCCGAGTTACAACTCCCCCGGGAGAAGCACCTCCAAACCGATTAGCATTCCATCTTCTCAAAAACCGTCCAGCTACTCCCAGAGCTCTAGCACCAGCTATGGCCGAGACCGGAGCACGCACGGCAGTGCCGCACCGAGTGACAGTGCGAGCCTCCGAGACAAAGAAATTGCACATGCGCAAGATCACCTGGATCATTGGGGTGCTCGAGCCGCAGGAGGCACCGAACGAGCGGAGCGGGAAATGGGGTTAGGTGACGAGGTCAACATGGGATTAAGTTAATTTCTTCATAGGGAACCATAAGTCAATCATGAACCTTGATTGTTATTGTTATTTTTGTCTGCTTCCATCCCGACGGGGACAGACCGCCGTCTGCGTAGGACGACTACCACCCTGGCGATAACAAAAGCCAAACTTATATATGTACAGCAAATTATAAACATACAAACCGAACCTCTATGTATACAGTATCCCAGTAGTCACTTCGTCACTGCGAGCCAATTCTTAGGCTAGTATCAAACCCCAGTTTAATCGCTCCAATACATCCAGCCAATGCGTCTCCTCCCCCTCCCAGAGAATATGTAACAATTCTTTGGCTCGTTTAACATTCCCAATCCCGAAGTTCACTTCCAGTTTGGACAGTGATCTGATGACGAGATCCCTGGAAGCAGGACTACCAGTCTCACAGCCCGTGATGAAGAGAGGAAAGGTGAGAGCAGAGTATTCACAGTGTTGGTCAAGCGAGACGGATTTAATCCGCTCCAGTAAGCATTCCAGGGCATCCCCCTTCGACAGGGTAATCAAGGATGGCCAGAGTGAGGCCAGGTTCTGCGAAGTGAACTTTCGACTCATCTTGTCCAGAGTGGTGTGCAGAAAAATGTACGCAGCGTCACGGAAACACTCTGCCACTAAGCGGAGACGAAGCAGAGTAGACTCTGTTATCCCCTTTGGTGCGGCGTATTTTGTTACCGTAGGGGTCCAATCACGCAGAGACATATCTCTGACAGATGACATTTAGCTTTCCCACGCTGCTGGGGGATTTTTGTGTTCCAAGGGTTGTACTCACATGGCGTGAATCTCCAAACCCAGTGCAACTGGGTCACAGCTTAGAAGAGGTAGGTCTGCAATCCTGGCACACGTCTTAATAAGCTCTTCAGTATACCCGACGTAGGTGTCGAGCTTGGAGATATTGACGGTTTCGGCAGCAGAGATAGCGGTAAACTGCCGGCGACTGGTGATTTTGGCCATGTTATGCGCATACAAGAAACTATAGGGACCGACTGTCAGCTTTCATCCGAGCTCCGAAGGGGGTTCCAAGGGAATTTTTCGTACAGTCCCCAGAGAAACTCGGTCATGTCTTCGTCGAACGAGGCAAACCCGCCACGGGAGATTACCAGCCTCTCCAAGGCGTCCAGATGCATTTCCCACTGCTTCACGCTTCCACGCACAATTTCGTATTTGCAGAGCAAGGCTACAGCGAGGATGGTCTCTTCGGGGTAGCCTCTGCCGGAAGCTGCAGATAGTATTGAGCGCAGCCCGCTCATGGTTTGGATATAGTAATTGGTTGCAGCGGTTTGGGCATCTAAGCTATTGTGAGTACGGTTTGCGAGGTGGACCGCCGAGACAGCACACAGGGCATTCATCACAAGGGGAGAAGAACAGGCACGAGGGATAAGCAAAGACCGTAACGGGTTTTCATCACTCTCCAAATTCACCATAAGTTTCGAGCCTTGTACCATGTGGTATTGGAGATAGTGTGCTTCGAGATGGGACAGGTGAGTGATGTTGCTACTAGGCTTCAGAGGAACCACTTCCAGATGATCGATACGTGCAGCATCCGATCCATCGTTGGTCGTCCGACTCAAATTCCTGGTTTTAGCATCAAAGGGGCGATCCTCCTTGCCATCCGCATTCAATGACGACGAAGACGGAACACATGAAGGAGGATAACCAGAGAAGTCTGGACAGGGAGAAGTCCGGCCCGCTGGGGGCCCGGAAGAGCAAGGAGAGGCACTGAGCCTTTGCCGCTTTGGTGGCATAGATTGTTGGAAGACTTGTGCTGATGGGTTGAGAGGTTTTGCCCACATCGAGCCATAGCCTTCACAGGCCATTCCCAACCGCACACAGTTGCTGCAGCTACATCCGGAACAGTCAGAGGGCTTGGCAGGGGATCACCGGGGGGTAGGAAGTATATCATTTACCTGGGTTTCGTTTCATCGCATCGTTTTCGTCGTCTCTTGCAGGTGAGGCAGCCAGAGCGAGTCCATTTCGCACCCGCTCTTCTAGATCTTTTGGTGGTGACTTGGACCTGGCCTCCTTGAGAAGCATCAAAAGTAGTGGTCGTAGAAGTATAATGGGTCATGTTGAGGGAATATAAAAAGCATCTAAGACTAGAGGGACCATAGTACTATACTATACGAACTAGTAGTGGGGTATCGATAGTCCGTTGCGGGCGTTCTTCTCCGCTTATCTCTGTAGTAGTTAGTTCCTTTTGGGCAAGCGTAACCCGTAGGGCGCCGTCATGGAGGTTTAGGATGATTCATAGACCGGACAGAGTGGGGATTGAAGGAAATTAAACAAGTGCCAACCCTCTGTATGTAAATGAATCAATCAGAACACATTCCACCGCTTACCCTGGCAAGTCACGGGGCGCCGTGGGGCGAGAGGTGAGTGGCGCTATGCCGAACAAGGAATTGGCAGGAGATCGTGGCCGGTGCTCAGGTGACCTTGGCGTCGGATTACTTAATTGCCAAGACCAGGACAAGATTCCGGATGCCCCACTCGGTAAGACTAGTCCCAATAAGGCATGTCCAGCCTGATCATGTGGGGAACTATCTCCAATTCCATACTATCTCTCTCTCTAATACCCTTACTCCGGAATATCACCTTATCTTCAGCGGATCGAGATGGGATCAGCTCTCTATATAAAGGGCCCTCGGGCCGTCCTCCAGGATGGCCCTTCAATCTTTCTTCCCCTGGCCGCTTTTCAGTCTCTATCCTCGTCCCTTACAGCCCGATTGATTTCTATACTTCATTCTTTCTCACACCATGCCCCTCCACCCATTCGATCCCGTCACGCCAGACGAGATCAGGTTCGCGGCGCGGCTCCTAGGGGCGGCTTTCCCAGGGGTAGAACTGCGGTACAATAGAATTGATACCACTGAGCCCGTCAAGAATGAAGTACTACCATATATCGAGGCTGAACGGCTGAGAAAGCCTTTGCCTCCCAAACCAGCCCGTCTTCTGTATTCGTACTTCCACCGTCTTGACAATGGCGTTTGCTGCAAGGCATTGATCAATGCCGACAAGAAATCAATTATCTATGTGAAGGAATTGCCAGAAGGGGTGCAGGTGAGTATCTATGCCTTTTCATTTTCCCCTTTCCCGTCCGGTCCCACTCACCGTGAATCTTCTCCGTAGCCACCAATGGATGTCGATGAATTGGCCGAGATTGAACAGATCTGCATGGAGACCCCAGAAGTCCTAGCTGAGATTGAGAAACTCAATCTACCGCCTGGCATGTCTGTTTGTAATGACCCTTGGATGTACGGTACCGATGACCCCAGTGAGAAGCGCCGGCTCTTCCAGTGCTTCATGTACATGGTTGAGGTGGACCACCCGGAAAATAATCATTATTCGCTACCGTGCAAGTTTTGCCCGGTGTTCGACGGTGCCACAAAGAAGTTGGTCCGCATGGATTTTCTTCCAGGGGGTGCAGATACCGCTACCACCGAGACCCAGCCCTGGAAGCCTGTTAAAACAATCCAATACGCACATGATCTTCTGGACGAGCCACTCCGACAGGATTTGAAACCATACATTGTTCAACAACCGGAAGGCCCCTCGTTCTCCGTGGACGGCAACTCGATCTACTGGCAGAAGTGGCGATTCCGTGTCGGATTCAATAACCGCGAGGGTCTTGTCATCCACAACGTGACATATGACAATCGTAATGTTTTCTATCGCCTCTCGGTCTCGGAGATGACGGTTCCCTATGGAGGTATGTGCTTCACTACAGGGTGTGATGTATCCCATACTAATTTATGTCGTGGCTATAGACCCTCGAGCCCCTTATCACCGCAAACAGGCCTTTGACGTTGGGGATGTCGGTTTTGGCCTCAATGCCAACCAGCTGTCGTTGGGATGTGACTGCCTCGGTCACATCAAGTACTTCGATGGTTATAGGGCAGACGCCAAGGGAAACCCAGTCCTGTTGAAGAACGTTATTTGTGTGCACGAACAAGACAATGGCCTCCAATATAAGCATACAAATTATCGGACAGGAACTGCTAGCGTTTCTCGCAACCGGCAGCTCGTTCTTCAGATGATCTGCACAGTCGCCAACTACGAGTACATCTTTGCCTACATTTTTGACCAGGCAGCCAATATTGAACTTGAAGTCCGGGCGACTGGAATTCTATCAACAGTCCCCTTTGACAATGACAACGGAGAAAAAGTCCTCTGGGGTACCAATGTTGGCCCTGGAGTGATGGCGCCCTACCACCAGCATATGTTCTCCGTGCGGATCGACCCCGCCATTGATGGCTTCAAGAACACCATTTACTACGAGGATAGTGTGCCGCTTCCTGAGGATGAAAACAATCCCTACCTTGTCGGGTACACAACGGAGCAGACGGTCATTCGCAAGTCCGGTAGTGCAAACCTCGACGTAAACCGCCACCGTGTCTTCAAAATCCGCAATGACAATGTCATCAACCCCATCACATACAAGCCAATCTCATACAAACTTGTGGCGGTACCCAGCCAGATGCTCCTCCTGAGTAAGAATGCAATTGGTTACCGCCGGGCCGAGTTCGCCAGCAAACCTATTTGGGTGACCAAGTACCAGGACGATGAACTATTCGCCGCTGGCGAGTTTACAAACCAGAGCACGCGTGCCCATGGCGTTGAAACCTGGGTGCAAAGGAATGACCCTACGGAGAACGAAGATGTGGTCCTGTGGCACTGTGAGTATACCCCCCGAAACCATGAGAAATCCGCGACGAAACTAACGGATCCTACCAGCATTTGGCCTGACGCACAATCCCCGGATCGAGGATTTCCCTGTCATGCCGATGGAGAGGATTAGCCTCATGTTACGACCAGATGGCTTCTTCACAAAGAATCCGGCCCTGGATGTGCCTCCGTCGACACAGTCTTTCAACAAATCCACCCTGCACACAGAAGCCGCCAGCGCTGCCTCATGCTGCTCTAGCGCTGGGGGCAGCAAAGCCAAGCTCTACAAGCGCGTTGATTAGAGGCTATCTTACTGGATTGGCCGACGTATCGAAAATTTTGATGTTAAGCACATGTTACATACAGCATATCTTTCATTTATTGTATATATATAGTCTTGGTCCTGCATGTATCACAGGACCTCTAACAATTGGACTCGCAATCCTTGCCCGAGAATCTGAAAAACCGCCAGCCATAAGCTGCTATCAGATTGTCTATCTCTCATTAATACACGTCACCTGCTTAAGGTCACCGTCCCTGGTCCTAGATGAACAAGAGTGGTATATAAACCAGGAGCATTGAACATAAGCAATACCAAGGACTTGCTTCCGCTCTACCCTCTCATACTCCTCCCCAATAACTAAGATTGTTCTTGCCCCTTCCCCCGTTTTAACATTGCTTCCCCCATTCTCGTACATCGCTCGTGCGGTATCTAATGCAAGATCCATCAAAGCTCAAGCACCTGGCCAATCAAAATCGTTTCTTAATGGGCGATTGACCATACAGGACAATCCAATGGCCTAGCCATGCCCAGTATGGCTCTGTCGTGCTTGACTGGATGTCACATTTACGCCTTATTGGGAACATGGGCGCTAGGGCGGGTGCCATTGCCAACGTTCTCAGCAGCAGCCTGAATAGCTCCTTTGAGACCAAACTGGGTCTTAATGCCATCAACACGGTGGGTGGAGTTAATGTTCTTGACGAGAGTGAGCTGCCAGCAGGTTGCACCGCCCTGACGGGAGGTGATGGTCGAGGCGGCAAGGAAGTACTCCCAGATCTGCAGGAGCTGTCATTAGCCCAATCCAGACCATGGAATCAATCGGTAATCAACGCAGGATACTTACGCGGAACCATCTCTTTCCATACTTAGCCTCAACCTTCTCACGGTTACCCATCCAGTTGCGGTACCAGCGCCAAAGAGTAGCGGAGTAGTGGACACCGATGGTATCAACCGCCTTAATCTCAAAACCAGCGGCCTCGAGACGGTCGACAACAAACCCGAGAGGAGTGCTAGCGTCGGCACCGGGGAAGATATACTTATTCATGAACAGGCCCCAGATCAGGTCCTCGTATTGCCAAGATTTGCGGAGACCAGCAATTTGCAGGAAGAAGACACCATCATCGTCGAGCATGTCGTAGACTTGAGACAAAAAGGTGCTAAAATGACGCACACCAACGTGTTCAGCCATTTCCAGGCAAGTAATCTTCTTGTAGCCTCCGTCGACACGAGGAGTATCGCGGTAGTCTAAACACAGAATACGACTCTGAGAGTCGTCAATACCAGCTTTGCGAAGACCGTTGTTACCCCAAGCGGTTTGGTTGCGGCCAAGCGTGATACCGGTGACATGAGCGCCATAATGGACCGAGGCATATTTGGCCAGGGTACCCCAACCACAACCAAGGTCAAGGATGGTATCGCCGGGCTTCACGCCGATCTTTTCACAAACTGCAGCGAGCTTGTTATCCTGGAGCTCCTCCAGGGTTTCCTCCCTGTTGACGTCTCCGATCAAACCAGAAGTGTAGATCATCCGAGGACCCAAGAACCAGGCATAGAAGTCGTCACCCCGATCGTAGTGGTCACGCACCTGCTCCTCGTCTGAAAAGGGAGGGTTAGAGCATGGTAAAGATGGTAGTCATATGGTCCAAGAAAGAAGACTTACCCTGTGAACGAGAGTGGACCAGTAATTCGGGGATGAAGCCAAAGAGGAAGTGCTTGAAGAGACCCATGGTGAAGCGAAAATTGGCCCAGTCGTGTCTGAACTCAAGAGCCTCGAGAGCATCGCCCTTGAAGTCAACTTCGCCATTGAAGTATTTCTCGTAGAAAACCTCCATGGGAATCTTGCTCTTTCCGTGGTACGTGGCCCGATCATGCTCGCTATGGAAATCAAGATAGTACTCGACGGGGCGGCCCGCATACTTGACCTTTTCGTTCTTGCGGGGAGAAATGGACGAAGCCACCGACCAAAATACCATCAAGATGGGAACGGTGGTGAAGATGGCGAAGAAGATAGTGGTGTAAAAGCCGCCACCGATATGACGAGCTAGGTACCATGGGATGAGGAGAAGGAGCGAGAAGAGCAGGAGGTTGGAGAAGCTGTCACTGCCAGCGGAGTCGGCTGGGACGGGGGCATTTTTGATAGCGGGATACTGAATCATACCACCGAGATCGTTAGCCTGATCATTTCTGGATGCAAGATCATGGGATCATGACTGGAACTCGGCAAAAGCTTCGGGGGGAATTCCAATTGGAGCACCAGCAACGACCTACCGACGTTGTCCGCACACCACAGTCCTCCGCTGGAGTGGTGCAAGAAGCAGCCGGAGTCTCGATGAACTCAAAGTCCTCCGGGGACTCGGGATGAACGTTCGTCGTCATAGCTGAGACGAATTGAGGGAAGGGTTGAGGGGAATGAGGAATTCAAAGATAGAGGTGAAGAGGAGACGAAGGAGGGAAGAAAGAGTGTCCAAAGCTGAGCACCGGGCTTTTTTGGCCCTTCGTTTTAGGATCCGCCGAGGACTAGTTACGCACTTCGATATTGTACTCACCAAGGGAGAGATTGTGTGGGGGGGGGTCAATTTCTAATTCTCCCTCCTCTTTTTTTTATTATTTTATTTTTATTTACTACTTTACTATTATTGTTTACACTGAAGCGGTGAGGACAACTTAGGTACCTCCTTTCCAAGGAGCACCGAGGAGGTACCTCTGGACGAACTTGACGTCCTGCATGTCCTATTTGTCGAGGCTCGGTAATATGGAGATGTACCGTACCGTACCCAACATCCATGGAACGGGCGTCCTAGGTACGGGATAGTACAGTACAGAAGATGGAACCCCTTGAAGCAGGGATCCTTTCCCATACAAATTCATGATTTTTGGCCTTTACTTATGCCACCACCATTTATTTTGAAAAACTTCTATCTGGCCTGCAAGTCTATGTATTGGCGCTGATAATATTAAGATGTGAAAGATTTACTATACAGGGTAGTTAGATCGGCCTGTCAATTAGGTAAGGAAAAATAGTTCTAAGGGATCAAGTAGGTATAGGATTATTTCTAGACTAACCCTTGGGATTCCCAATGGAATCCCAAACGGATACCTAGCAAAGAGAGGTGCATTAGAATACATCATTCTACTGTAATCAATCACAGAAAGACCATACGGGTCAACTCATCGAAGTATCTAAGAATAAGTGGCTGGATACCTCCGGGATGATTTCCCGAAGGAGCGGTTGTCCCGTTCCGAGGTTGAAGCCCCATCGATCCCATAACAAAAAACTTTCATATAAATTTATATGATGTATTCTATTTACTGGTATTGATCACTTACTTTAAACCTAAATATTAAAGAAAGCTTGACTTTATGATATGTAGAGGCTTGGGATATATATTCTCTTTTAGATTTATATATTATTCTATGGAGGTTGTGATTTTTTATTAATTATATAGTATTCCATATAAAAGGGAACAGGTGTAAACATGTATATATATGTATAATTCTTTTTAATATTTAAAACACTATAAATAGATCTACAGACATGAAAAAAATTATTTCAAAAATTATCATAGATAGAAGTCTGTAGGCTTAATATAAATTAGAACTTCCATAAAATGTTACAATATAAATGGTGGTATAAGTAATGGCCAAAAATCCTGAATTTATATGGGAAAGCTTCGAGGTCTCCGCTTCAAAGGGCCAATCTTATCTTCTGATCTTATCGAGGGGAGAAGGTACTTCAGTCTACTTCGGAAGTACAGTACTTACCGCCGCACATGCTTCGTGTTGTAACCTGCCATGTTCCTAATCTCATACATTTAAAACAGAAGAGGCTGTGTCTTAAGAAATATATCCCTCCCGCGCACCCATGGCTAGAAACTCGTATCAAGCTGACAAGAGAGAAAAAAAAAAAAAAAAAGATAAAGTCATGCAAAGTAAACGCCCCATATCCTGCCATACTGTATCATACCACCGACCCAGACCGCGATGACCTCTCGTGCGCCAGATTGAATAAACCTAAGAGACAACTACAAGACCCTTAGAGAGTCAGCTGGAAATTCCGTGCTTCTTCGTCTTCTTCGTATGTTGGAAGCATACTCTCCATATCGATGGGCAGCTGGTCCTCTTCATGGTCAAGGTTTTCTGCACCCGGAAAGCGGTTTCCTGGTTCTCGTTCGAGAGTTGGGCCATTCGGCTCCATATAGGTCTCGGGAGATAAGATCCCTTTAGAGAGTGACTGTTTCGTAGAATTGGGCGACTTTCCTCTCAGTTTCGATGACACGTCCCGACCCTTGGCGTATCCCAGGGTGGTTCTAGAACTCGCAGTAGCCGCAGTATGACGCATGGACGATGGATTCGGAGGACTCCGGGGCTTTCTCGATGAAAACAAGGCTGAAGTAACTCTGGGCCTGGCTTTCGGTATTGCCACCTGTCTAGTTCGTGCGGAACGATCTGCACCGGAAAGTGCTGCAGCGGCATCACGAGCTCGAACGGTGGAGACATTGCTGGTGTACTTCACTCTACTCGTGGTCGCCTTCATCCGACGTGGCTTCGAGATGTCTCCCATAGACGGTCCATCGCGTTGTCTCGCTTCGCTGGCATCTTCAAAGCCGATACTCTCAATTTGCTTGAGGATCATCTCGTCCATCATTTTGTCGCATGCGACCGAGTCTTCTTGGAGTTTGCGCTCTCTCTTTGTAAGGCCATCGCTGCCGATCTCATTGTCTCCATATACGCTCTCCAGACCCAAAGCCAGATTCTTTGCTTGAAACTGGGGGAACGTAGTATCGTAGGTAATTTCGTCGGGAATATCTGAGAGTTCTGCAGTTCGTTAGCGGTGATGAACCGGGACATTGGGAGGAATGTCTCGTCAGTTCCCCACCTTTTGGCTTAGGCGGCATGTATTCAATATCGGGGACGTCATCCTGAGCTGGCTTTTCTTGAACTTTGGTCTGGCTCTGGTCAACCAATGGGGCGAATTTCTTGACTTTTTGTGTTGATCCTCTCTTGGTCGTTCTTTCCGGCTTCACGGTACCCGCGGGGGCTGCGGGAGTCTGTACTCCTTTGGCTTTGGCATTGGTCGTTTTCATGCCTAGGGGAGCCCGACTGCGAGGATTTGCTATATCATATTGTTAGCCACGCGATATAACTCCTGAGAGCTTCTTCGTTGCTCCTGTGTACTGTTGTCTGTCCCATGCATACCCAGTGGAGTAACAAAAGCATCTTTGGCGGAAGGCTTCACGTTCTCGTTCTGTTTACCGGTTGCTTTCAAAGTCTTCTTTCCAAAGGCCAAGGGGTCATTCTCATCGCTCAATGGGATTTTGAATGGGGTCTTCGGGGCACGAGCGCCTGGGGTCTTTGTCTGCAGTTGTTTCACGCCCTGGTTTAGAGGCTTGGACGCCGCCACAGTTTGGTGGGCGTGTACCAAGTTCTCCTGGTCCCGAAGAGCCAACATGGTGGCGGATCAGAGACAATTTTCTCATGCACCGTGAGCTCGATTCGCGTGGAGAAGGTGTCCTAGAGATGTCGACATAGGATGAGGATGAGGGTGGTGAGTTGTCCGTCGGATGGTTTCGTTTTTGTCCGTCTAGATGCGGTTGTCGGTGGTTGCCCGTGGAGACAGGGAGATCCCTCTGGGACATGTCGGGAGAGTATCCTTGGTACGATGCGGTAACTAACAGTTTTAACTTACAGGATATGCTGACTAACGGTATCTTATTCAGTGACTTGTGAGTACAAGACAGTCCGAAACGGCTAGCCAATACCGCCCGCTGACCGCCAGGCAGTCACTCTGGTCTCTTTCTCTCTCCACTTGGTCTCTCTCCTATTGTTTCTTCACATCCAATTTCCTTTGGTTTCTCGCTGGCGAAAGCCTTGTCAATACGTGTAACCTGTCTGCCTGGATTTCTTCTTCAATACACATTCATCCTTTCTGTTACATAGACCTCTTCCTGCTCACTGAAAATGGACAAAATTAAGGAGGTGAGTTTGTCTTACTCCCCTTGGTGGGGTAGCTTTGGAAGCTCCTGGAAATACACATGCACACCTCTCCTCCCCTTCCGTTATCCTTTAGTTCCTCTACTCTTTCATATACTCGACTGTACACCATGCCCCTCGCATCCTCATCAGCAGCAATGAAACCATCACGGCCCCGTTGAAAAGCCAGGAATATCTGATAGGATCGAACTGACAGATTATGCTATAGCGGATGAACACCCTCCGTCTGGAGGCCGATGACGCCCAGGCCAAGGTGGAGGAGTTGAAGACTAAGGTGAAGACGTTGGAGCAGGAGAACTTGGCCAAGGAACAGGAAATCACATCTCTCAACCACCGAAACCAGCTCCTGGAGGGTGAGGTGGAGAAACTCGAACTCACCCTCAAGGAGGCCAAGGACGCTGCCAACCAGAGTGCGCAGCACGACACCCAGAACGAAGCCCTCCAGAGACGCCTGCAGCTCCTGGAAGAGGAAGCTGAGGAGGCCGACCGGAATCTGCGCGAGACCAATGAGAAGTATGAGATCCTGAGCCAACTCCAGGAAGGGTCATGTGGGAGCCACGATGCTGACTATCCCGGTGTTGTAGACTCCGTCAAACCGACGTCAAGGCCGGCCACTACGAGCGTAAAGTGCAGGCTCTTGAAGCTACCCGTGACCAGTGGGAGACCAAGTATGAGGAGATGGCGAAGAAGCACGCTGAATTACAGAAGGATCTTCACGACCTCGAGGTTTCTATAAGCAATGTTTAGGTACGGGATTGGATATGGGCGTAGTGTTACCAGGGAATGTTCGATTCGGCCTTTGTTCCAAAGATACTTACCTTTTATTTGCCTGCGTATTGCAGTTTACTTTCCATATTATCATTCGTCGGCGGGGGTCAGCTTCCTTATTCTCTCCTGTCCCTTGGCTGGACCTATCATTCTGTTCCACCTGTCTCTGCTTGCTTGACCGTATTCTCATTTATCCCGAACTAAACATATACTTTCTCATTGAAAGGTACATAGAACATATTAATTAAAATGACCTCCCAGGTTATCCTTGTCATCGCTCACGTCGAGCCTGAGCTTTCCTGTGGTTCGACAGACGCTCCTTCGCCCGCAGAAGCTTGCGTTCTTCCTTGTTTTCATACCGAAACTTTTTCTTTTTCTTTTTGGGCTTGCTATCGGCTATCCTCTTCTTTGTTTTCCCGACGGACTGTTCTGTCTTCGGATCGGACTTCGATGTCGTCTGCGCATCTTCATCTGAGGCATCTTCTTGTGCCTCCATCAACCCTTCTTTCGAGGGATCCATCTCCTCTACTGTGACGGTCGTGTATTTATCCTCATCGATGTATTCTGCTTCGTAATCCACGGCCGGTGGCTCCGTAAATCCTTCCCACTCCTGATCCCCGCCCTCATCACTATCGCGCTCAGAATTAGACCCATCGCTGTCACTATTCTCCCCTTGAAGTCTTTTCAATTGTTTCCGGTGCTCTTCTAGCGCTCGCTGGAAATCTGCGGTTCGCTCTTGTCGGATCTGAAGGAGAGATTGCGTATTAGTTCCAAGGCCTGCTCTCTTCACCACAAAGAGGCAAGACAAACCCGTTTCTTTTCCTCACGTTTTGCTTCTCGATTTTTTTGCTCTGCCACTTCCTGTGCACGTTTAATTCGTTGTTGCTTTCGTTTGCGAAAGCCAGTGAGGAATTGATGCCGGTCATCGTGATCAAAATTGATCTCCTCGATCTTGGATACCTTGCGCTTTTTTGTCTGAGGTCCCATGGTTTTAGGTTGTAGAAAGGACCGAGTCTTAAATTATTAATAATAATATAATAATAAATATTTGAGGTGAATCTGTCAAGTAATCGTACTTGCAAACTGCAAGGTATTTTTTTACATATTTTTTTTTTTAAACCGGCAATCCTTAAGCCGCCTTGGCTCGACCGCCTCCCGAACTAATTAATGGACCAGGCTGGCTCTAACATCATCTCGCGCCCTTCAGACAGACCGCGCTTGTCTGGAAGCTATTGGGCATTTCCATATTCCGCCACAATGCATCTGAGCTGCTTCACGCTGCTCGCTGTTGGAGCTGCGACCGTTAATGCATTCCGGGATACATCGCCCTTTTTCCTTGCCTCCACTTCCGAGTACGTTTGAGACTCCCGTTGTGCTGTTACCGAACCCAGCTCCTCGACGTCCTCTCAATTAACATGCTTTGTCCTAAGGATCACACTCCCTTCGGAACAACTCAAGACCGCTACATCTTTGCTGGAGGAGCTCACTCTGAAGTTCAGCACTTGCCCCTCGGACTACTATGTGATTGTCTCTCAGCCCGGCGTGCATAGCACTGATTTCGCTACCCTTCGATCCGCTCCCCGCCTAGGGGCAAAGATGACGGGACAAGATAAGGGCATTCGATCGACCATGACAGTCCATGAAGTTGCCGGCGTGCTGGAAGCGAAGCAAATCCAGAACTTGCTCGAGCGAGACTGTGGGGCCCAAACTACTGTTGTCGATGGCGCCTGTGAGTTCTTCATTTTTGTGGGAGGGGCAAATGATAGTGACCCTGGTCTTATTAACGGAGCTGTCTAGCTGGCTCTTATCCTTCCGATTTTGGCGCCGCTCCTCATGTTATTTACATCGATTTTCCCGTGCTTCCTCTGGGGACCGAAAGGTCACAGCAACTTTCCGATAATGGTTCGTTGGACTGGTATTTTCCCTGGGATGTTTGCTGATCCTCTGTCTCAGATGGTCTTATTTCTGATATTATCGAGCGGCTTCCTGCTAAGAAGGAGTACTCTGTTCTATATACAACTTCGCCAAAGGAATTCGTCGGATCCGATTCCAGTGTCTACCAACCAAAGGGAGACCTCTACCAGGATACTATCCATATGGATCTTAAGCGTGACTATTCAGCGCAGCCTCGTCAGGATAATACTCCTTCTAACAACAAATCTCTATTCCAAGAGTACCAGTACTTCACACCGGGTATGCTCCCATTGGACCCGCCCCGCTTCCGTCCTAGACAGTTGTCCGATCCGCTGACCGTCAATAGGCCTCTTTATGGGGTTGATGGCCTCGTTTTTCTTTCTGATTATCTTGTATGTTGGTTTCAGTGCCCTGACCAGTTTAGAGGTCCCTTACGCGGCCTTTGAGAAGGATACCGCCTCAAGCGTACAGAAGAAGCAGCAGTGATTACAGTCGATGATACCGCAATGTTTCCTTTTTTTTTTTTCTTTTTTTTTTTAACCTATCATACAAATAATGTTCTTTATATAGCTGTATATCTATGTACTTGCATCTGTATTGCCAGTATTGGTTGTACTGTATCTAGAATAACGCATCTATATATACATCACGTGCCGCCCTCCACGGCCATTAGCGCCAGAGGCAGCTAGGGGCACGGGGGCAACCGAATCGAGATGGCTCGAACTCTCTGCGTCTTTCTGCGCACTGTCTGCGTTTTTCTTGCATTCGCCGTCCTGTCCCTCGCTTCCTCACTCACTTGGGCCCATGGTGTCAGCCCTTCTTCACTTCGCCATCTCCTCGGTTCTGGACGTTCGTTACCTCATATCGAGGGCTGTTGATTGTTGACATTGTCTCCTAGATTATTCCCTGGCCGTCGCATATTCAAACGCGGTCAACAGGCTCCTTTTCCTTGGGTGCTGTTGAATTCCGTACTTGTTATCTGCCTGTATAAACACTACCAACGTTGATGCACCGAACAAAGCACCGCAAATCGAGACTTCTTTGTCGGGAACGGACCACATTCAACTGTAGGTGAATAGAACCTACCATGATATTTTTACCCGTGAGCCTTCGCAAGGCCCGTCGGCCCTCTCTGGTATTTGTTGTACTACTCGCGATCATTCTTCTCGCTCAATTATCGGGGGCTCAGCCCGCCGATGAGAAGAATCCGGCCACTACGAACATTGATGCTGGCAAAACGACCGACACCGCGAAGACGACCGACACTGCGAAAAAGACTGATACCGACAAAAAGACTGAGACCGACAAGAAGACTGATACTACTTCAACTACAAGCAAGGATACTTCTACCAGTACATCAAAAACCGAATCATCGACAACAACCACAGAGCCTACGACTTCGGCTTCATCTCCTGCAAACAATTATCCCGTGGTGACGGTGCCACCGACAAGCGATGCGCCTTACATGCAGAAATCAGATACCCCTGAAGGGACACTGTTCATCGCCGTTGGATCAGTGCTGGGATTCATTGGTCTTTCTGTTCTGGCGTGGCGTGGTCTCGTCGCATGGTCAGTGAATCGTTCTGTTCGCCAGTCTGCCATGGTCCACTCGTCCGAAATGAAGGGGCTGCTTCGCAACAAGAAGAAACGGAGGTCGGCCATGCACTCTCATGGACCACCCGCGGTATCGCTCGAGAAAATCAGCAGTGTGAAGCACCATTCTAGTCGTTCCAATCGGCGGTCATCTAAAGTTCCCAGCACCAACAGTGGTTTATTCTTCTCGCCCACTGCCGGAATGCAAAGCAGTGGGAATAGAGCTTCGAACTATCTCCCCGCTGGATACTATGCTGCTGGAAGTGCTACCGCTGGTGGAAGCCAGAATACTCCGCTCTCGTCCTCTGACCTTCCAGGGCTAGGGCCACAGTCTCAAGGCTATGCTCCGACTAGATCAGGTCCCAGCCCACCTGGAACGCCGACCTATCCCTCAGGCGATGTTCGTGAAACTCAACGTCATTCTACCAGGCAGTCCTATCTGGGGCCTTCCACTAGCAGCGTAAACCTTTCCTCCCCTCCTCAAGGAAGAACACCAAGTGCGTACTTGGAGGACCTATTCGAGAACCATGCTCCTCAAGGACGGTCCTAGCTTTTTGAAGAGCGGCTATTTGACGAGGAACAATTAATTTTTACTGTATTTGGGTCTGTTTTTCTTTTCACTTCCTTCGATATGTGGTTGCTCTGGTTTCGTATCTATGTGCAAGTACTTTGTATATTCCTTGACATCACTGCCTATAATCACTTTTGTGAATCATGTATCGGCTTGTTTATCTTTGTGACTGATTCTGGCGATGGAGTTTATTGGATCAGCATATATCAATGATTACTTGAGATTTTGGATGGTGGATGGAAGCCTTGTTTTTTCTTTCTTTTTTTTGAAAGTTATTTTTCATATTGTAATTAGTGATTACAAATCCAACTTCTTTAAGAGGTTTCACGAAGAAAAAGAAAAGGGGATGGAAGGTATAAAGTATGCACAACACAGCTCCGTAATGCTCCTGCCCATATGATACAGACTCAAAAAAGATGAACTCATGGAAGCACCAACCAAGAGGCGGTTAGAACTGGTGATATATAGATAGTGAAGACCAAAATAAGAGAAGGGATAGTATAACAGGCTTTCATGGGCATAGCAAGAGAGCAGCGTGCGTAAGTCAGCAATAACACCACGTCCTGTCTACATCTAAATACAAGTCATAACGTTTATAAAGGGACAACTGTGTAAGCGTCCTCTAAAGTGTGGTCTGTGTGTCAATCGGCGTCTATTTTGCGGCTGAGCTCGCCGAGGAGGATGTCATCGGGGGCTGGACCACGGCTATTCCTGACTATAAGGAAAAGCAAATCAGCATCGTAGTCCGCGGGATGGGTGGGACGCGCAGCTTACTCCATTCGGTTTCCACTCGAAGAAATGTCCACATCCATCGGCGGGCGACTTCGAGAAACATCAGGACAAAAAGGCCGGCCTCCGTCTCACCGAGCCAGGCAAATGCAGGCACGAATCTAAGTAGCCACGTGAAGCGAATAATTAGGTCCATAGCGATGGCAAGATAATATTGCCGATCTGAGAAATAACGATGGCGACGTAATCCATATGGATACTCTGGATCGAGACGCGACGATGTGAATAGCGTCAGATCCCAGTCCTTGGTCACATCCCAATAAAATGAGTATGCCGAGTTGACAAACATGAAGAAGATCCTAAGGCGCCATTAACCATCAGGGGATTCTCGTCACGCATGCAGGAAAACCACCTACAGTACTCGAGAAAGACTTATCTCACTAAATCCGTACAGCTCAAGGGGGTTGTAATGCCTCAATTTGGCCGCTAGAACAATGACGGGAAAAGCGGTCGCATATTTTAAGGCGTTGGCTAGGTGCTGGAACCCCGTGGCCCCCTTCTGGGGCCCAGCCCGACGGACACGGAGATATTCAATTAAACATTGTCGAAGCCGGATAATGTTGGGGGTAGCAATGATGAGGGGGATCAGATAGTCATTGCCGCACTTGCGGTTAGGCTTGGATGTGCTAGAGGTATCTGGGTTGAAGAACATGCAAAAGGTAACAACGAAGTCTGCCAATACCTTGGCATAACTAGTCAGGGCATCAGCCAAGAGAATATCTCCAAATTTTCCATCCTGAGTCTCTGCCAGCCCACCAAGACTAATCCGTCGCAAGGTCAGGAGTAATCGATGTCGTCCGGATCGCGCAAGACGGTTGTAAGGTAGAATGAGGATGACTATGTAGATGGCGAGGTACGACTGTGGGATGTAATCTAGTGATTCCACCCGTTCCCTGGACCCGTGGGTGACGGCCCAAAATATTAAGAGCGAAAGCACGAGGGGAAGAGTCAGGAGGGTCGCCAAATGGTAGGTCGAGGTATGATGAGGTCGTTGGTGGGAAGAGTGACGAGCTGGATATCGAAGAAGGGCTGGAACATCCTGTAAATGACACTAATGAGCTGAAAATTCGTTGATCGGAGAAAGTGGGGGAAGTGGTGCACTCACAATATTTTTCTTCAGAAGATAATGGAGATTGACACTCCAACCCCAGAAACCTAATCACGGGGAATCAACATGGCGATCAAAAAGGATAGATGGAGAGAGTGGATTTCCTAAAAATGACAGGGAGCATACCAGCAACTAAGATCACCGCCACACGATAGGGGAATGGAAGGACAAGACTAAAGTCATCCAGTTGAGCATGCTGATCAGGACCCATATTCCATTGAAGCGACGCTAGGAAACTCAGCACCTGAACAAAGACAGATGGCAACGCAAGAAGAGACAGTTAGAAGAGAAACTGCCAGAGAAGGAAATGAAAATAGAAGGGTGAGGAGAAGAGAGAAGAAAGAAGAAAGAAAAACATAAAGGTAGTAAAATCCAACCAAATGAGTGACTAGGGGTGAGTTTGCGGTCTAGAATGCCATTCCATTCATTGAGCGGCCCAAAAAGTGAAGAAGCTCGAAGTCGGTTTCAGATAACTAATAAGAGTCCAGGAGGCTCCGCGCGGCCTTCCAATTCGGGTCTAGCGCTACACATCCAAAAATGGATATCGTAATACCACGTGATTTGATCACCTAATGTCACCTGATATCGCTCACGTGGGGACTGCCGAGGTTCCAAATCGCCTAGCCGCCCGCCTGGGGTAGACAGCAGCCCGTGTCGTTATGAATAACTTCTTGCGTTGTCAACTGACTCCATTGCTCGTGCTCCTCTCTATATCTAGCATATGAACATGGCGGATGAAGGCCTATCTCTAACCTCTATGTCACCGTCACTGTCGGTCCCTAGCCCCTCGACCCATTTCTATCCCTTTGCGACATCCCCGGATATCATCCGCTCTCATGAGAAAGACATTTTCCTGACATCAAACCTGGTGTACCAAGCTCAATCCATTGTTCGCTCACTGCGTGGAGCTCGGGTCGCACATACATACTCGGATGCCATCAAAAATCTTACCGAAATCCTATACTTTTCCTTGACGACCTTGATCGGGAATCGAACTCTCGGGGAGGAATACTGTGATCTTGTTCAATTGGAGGATGATACTCTTCGGCTCCCATCGATCTCGAGACGAGCTGGGTATATTATGAGCAGCGTCCTTGCTCCATGGATTCTTCAAAAAATTCTTCCCGTCTTCCGCCAGCGACTACGTGCCAAGTTAGAACGCAGCATTGCCCGACAACAGCTCAAGGCCCAGCAGACAAAAGAATCTGCAAGCAAAGTCAAGGGGAATTCCCCAAAGAAGGGTAACTTGTTTACAAAGCTGCGCATTCAGCGATATATCTTAGAGCATCTTGACTCGATCACATCACTTTCTCCCATTTACGCCCTCAGTATTGCAACCTTTTACTTTACAGGCTCCTACTACCATCTGTCGAAACGCTTCTGGGGCCTTCGCTATGTGTTCACAAAAAAGCTCGAAGAGAATGAACAGAGGGTGGGGTATGAGGTGTTAGGAGTTTTGCTAGTTCTTCAGATTGCGGTACAAAGCATACTGCACATTCAGAAGGTCGGCCTGTGTCTTCAACAAGAAGAACAAAGTATTCAATCCGGGTCGGCCGACCTCAAATCTCAAGATGGCTCCCTGATTCACTCGATTGATAACCCCTCCTCTCTTCCTCTACTGCCGGCTACCGATGCTCGGTATGATCTTACTGAAGACCCGAACGCCATTCCGTGGATACCCTCCGGCCAACAAAGCAAGTGCACCCTTTGTCTAGAACTCTTCAAGGATCCAAGTGTCACAACATGCGGTCATATATTTTGTTGGACGTGCGTCCGCGACTGGGTACGCGAGAAGCCCGAGTGTCCGCTTTGTCGGCAAGAAGTTCTCCTTTCGAAAGTACTGCCCTTGAGGGGGTAGTCTAGTTCTACACTCTAGAGCAAATACATACAGCACGCGCTTGCCATGTTTCAGTGTGTAGCCTTTTTTCCACTGCTCTGCCATTTGTATATACAAATTTTCATTACCGTGTCCTCAGATAATATACCCTCTATAATTGTAATCGCCTGTCAGGTCTCGAGAAATATTTTTGACAGTAGATCTAAGACAAATATATCAACATTATAAGGCGTGTATGTTTTAGTGTGCATAAATCTAGGTCTATAAAGTTTTGTGAGGTCATGGCAAGAGTTATAATCCATCCTAGTCACGCATCGATGAAAGGGGAAAGGTGTTCATGTAGTTTGTCTGGCAATAGTGCACTAAGGGCGTTTCTCGGCTGGCGCACTTCCCGTCTCGTTGACGATTTGGACATCCTCTGATTCGGTATGTTCACGAGATTTGCAAACTATTTGAATTGGTAGATCTAGCTCTGCATGTGCTGGCAAAGGCGGCACTGGGTTTAAAGCCTTTCTCTTGGAGTCCATCGTATCGAACAGGCAAAGGCAGGCATAAGGATCAGTTGCAGCATCTGTAAGGACAGCCAGCATCTTGTTAAAATGCTATCCAGGTTCCACATTATGGGGACTTACATTGAACTTGATGGTAATTTAGGGCAAATGTCCAATCACTGCAGCGCACGGAATCTTCTTTTACCAAGGGCAGCCCAAAATGCTCTTCAACCTGATCATTCAAACTGACAAGTCTTTTGTTTATTAGGCGCGGGTTCGAGTGGTAGTACTTGACTAATTTGTACAAATGACTGAGCTCAAAGATTGCACGCGCATCAATTCCCAGATATTTGCGCAGGCGGGTGCAGTCTGCTTTTACAGATACCCCGACTTTAGTAATATCGGGGGACTCAAGGATTTTCGCAAGAGAAGGAGCCACCAGATCTTCTACTCCCCGGACTGGCTTAAACAACGCAAGCTGGAATAATGCGATTCGGCTTTTGTTTGCAATCTGTATTAGCGAGACATTGTTTTGGATACAGTCTGACGCGGAGGCCTGAGCTTTCCACTCCAGATCAAATCCCAGCGTCTTGTCATCTAAGAAGTGCCTTGCTACCTCTTCGGTGCTTTTCAAAGTCTTGCAATAATGTACAATAATATCTTTTCCATCCGGGCCTTTATTGGAAGCGTGACTCCAGAATTTCGGCTTTGCAGAAGTTGGAGTTTTGTGAGGTATAGAGGTGCCATCAGTTGGCATTGCTTGAGAAGACTCCGTTACGGGTAGAGAGTCGGGCTCATGAGTATGTATGAATCTGTCAGGGCCATTTACATGACCAGATATTGACTGAGGGGAAATGTCAGTGCTGGAACATCTTGTTTCCCCGAGTCTATGAGACCTTTCCTTCGTGATATCTCTATTGCGTGGGTTAGGCGAGAGACGAGGAAACACAAGGCCTGGCTTCGCGGGCAGGTCTTGTCCAGAGTATGCCACAGGATTATGGAAGTAATTTTGCTTCTTTGAGAGAGTACAAAGCTTATATCCAATCAAAGTTAGATTGTGTTCCACTGTATTCCGACCCGTTGCTGTTTTCAGAGAAGTCGAGTCATCGGACAATCTCCAAGATCTTCGGGGTGCAGCTGCAGGAACTTTATTGTTACAATAAGAGACTGGTCTGTATATCGCGAAGCTTTTGTTATTATTTTTAGTGCGATGAGCTATGCCACAGAGTTTCAAGTCATCAACCACAGTTATAGTGCACCTAGAAGGTGGGGAAAGCAGTGCGCCAGAACCGAATGATCTTTTAGTATATGACCCGCACATTATTCTATTGAAGCTTCTATACCATGGTTAGAAATATCCTAGAATAAGGGGGCAAAACAAACTCAGTGCTCCGAAGGCCACAGTTAGTACATAGTCTATTCCCAGCGTAGCTCTCGGGCTTCATTCCTAACCACGATGGGTGCCACAAACCCTTGATACAAATGTGATAGACTTTCATTATTCCTGTCGCTTCTTATCCTTCGGTCCCAGAAACATGATTTATCGGATTACATGGGAAGTTTGAAACAGCTTTGGCGTTCAAGAAGCAGTCAGGCACGGGAGCAAGAAGCAGCAGTCGTAGATCTGATTGGCGCTAGGCGTCGGAGCGGATAAAAATAAGTCCCGACCGCCAAGATCGTCTGAATGGAATAATCGAATACCTACCCACTGTAACGTTTTCTATATTGATCCGAGCAAGGCAGTTTTTTCTCGGGGATAAAGCTTGCACTCTAGCGGGGCCATTTTGGAGTGGAGTATTAGGGCTTTTTATTTTGCCACGCATCTGAACAATAATGGCGTCACAGCTTCTTCCTTTAGGTAATCGTCGCCTGGTTTGCGTATACATCGCGTCTCCTCACTAACTAATTGATAGAATTGATCGATAAGTGCGTGGGGTCTAGGATATGGGTTATCATGAAAAATGATAAAGGTTTGTGTTCTTGAGCATAAAAGGCCTCTTTCTAACATCCGCACAGAATTCTCCGGCACCTTGCTTGGGTTCGATGACTATGTCAGTAAGTGTATTCTATCCCCGCTTTACACAACTTTTATATGCTGATCTGTTCTAGACATGGTTTTAGAAGATGTGACTGAATTGTGGGTGTCCATTTATTCCGTCCTTTCTGTCGACCTTCATTTCATCATTTAGTTTCTTGATTTATCCATTCCCTAGTTTTTTTTGAGGGGGGGGGGGGGGTTGGTTTTAACTTCCACTTTCCTTTGAGCTAACATGGTGACAGTGACTACACTGGAACTCAGATTAAACTTCAGAAGATATTACTCAACGGAAATAATGTCTGCATGGTAAGGGTTACTCTCTTCTCTCAGACTATCCTCTTCCTTCTCCCAAAGCAGTTACCTTAGGCGAAGGCTGACATTAGCCTCTAGTTGATTCCGGGTGGTGAAGGGCCAGTTGTTAGTGCATAAGTTCATGATATCTACGTCTATTTCTTTCTTTGACGAAAATTTCTATGAATGACTATCAACCGTATCATATAGAACCCTTATTAATAACAAGAGTTATCATTTCTGACCAACATCTTCCTTTGCCAACCCGCTTCTTATCTTTAACTTGCGAACCAGTTCCAAGGATTTCACCTAAAGACGTGGGAAAGTCCTGTCCATTTCTTTTCGTACTTTAAAGAGGATGTACTGTACTTCGGTCTAACCCCCCTTCCTAAAAGACATGTTACCAAGTGTTTTTTAACCATAAAGAATCAATTTGTATAAGAAAACAGTACAGCTGGAATATTCTCGGGTAATACTTAGAATTCGTGTACACTTATCCTAGAGGATCAGGAGTTGAAGAATTGGGCGTAGAAAGGGGACATGTGAGCAAATCGGAGTGTTTGAAAGACGGAAAGGGAGAAAGAGCTACGCTGTTAATTCATTGACTAATACAAGGAAGGGGTTGGAGTAAGAGAAATAAAAACCAGGTAATTCTAGAGAATCAGACACAACAGAAGAGCCGAGTCCGAATGGATTGAATGGGCGGAGGGATATTAATTATCCCTTTATTAGTTTTCAAATACCATGCAAAGTCTTTCAAAATCACTCAGCTTTCCTCATGCAGTTAAATTTAGAAGTTTACTAGCGAAAATACACAAAAAGACTTCTATTTGCGAGAGCAGTGACTAGACGTGAGTCTGGATGAAGAAAGATAGCCAAGGATCATCAGTTAGTTATTTAATAATGTGATTTGTGACAATATGCCAGTCTGTTTGTTGCTGCATTTTGTCGACACGTAAGCCCGCACTGATCGCTCTTACCCTGGGCCGGTTGCCGGGGATTTTGACATATAAACGGAACAGTATCAAGCTCCCTGGTAGAGGATTCCAGGTGGTGGTTTTACCCCAGATCTGGAGTGGAATCTGTTACGTAACAGGTTCCGCAGTTCCCCGTGTTACTAATGTAGACCCAATGGGGGATAACTCTAACTTTCATCCAACCACCACAGACGACGACGAACCTTTGTACCTCGTTGCTAGGTATCTATTCTGTCCCTACTCAGGTGGATCCATCCAGAATGTGGTTTTCCGTCATAGTTGGGGATTGCTACGGTTGGCGAGACAACCTTTCTCTTGGTACTGGCTGGCTAACTGCCGGTCGAAGGATTTAATGTCACAATAGGTACACACTTTGAACTGCTAGCTTCCTAGGTACTTACGGGGCATAGTTTGATTATTCCCGGGTTCCTATGTATAAGTAAAGGACTTAGATTATACTCGATATGGTTAATGCGACTATTGGCTAGTACTCAGAAGCCACGAGGCTCGCGACCAAGCCAGATTGGTTGTACTGTGTGACAACTGGCTGGGATTATCCAGCATCTTTTTAGTGCATTAGTTTCCCATGCATGACGCCAATTTGAGGGATAATTTCCCCACACGATGTTACCATACCCGGGCCAGGTCTCAGTTGGAGAGAAAACAGGTCAGTGCCTGGCAACATGCTACCCTCCCGCTAGGCCGGCTTCTTTTCATTTTGGTGGAACTGAAAAAGAAAATTCACCCTTCCTGAATCCCAAGAAAATTGTAGCAAGGATTCATCTCATAACTGGCATGTGAATAGTTTTCAGACTCCTTTCAATATATTGACCCAGGAAATGTGATTCAGCCAACTTTTAAAGGTGGAGCTATCGTAGTGCTGGTCCTCAAGATGATCCACAAGAATAATGGTGGTCATAATAATTACTTTGCGCCAAGAAGGCGAACAGAAGTGGGCATCTGATGGAACTCATGCTAGAAGAATAATTGAAGGGTGCTCAAATATTGCTTGCCATCATAGTGAGGCCTTTTTTTTTTTTTGAGGGGGGCTGGAGGTAACTTACCTCTTTGCCTCTTTTGCCCAGTATGAGGACGATCAGCATAGCGGAGATGTTAGACATTACCCCATAATTGTAATTTTCCGGTCGGAAATATATGGTTTCTCCCATGCTTCCATGCATGCATGGTGTTTCGCGTGAACGGACTATAGGAGTTGGATGGTCTGCGGTCTAGAAAAGAAACGAAAAGCGTTTGTTTCAAGCTTTCCCTCCCGCGCCCCTCTCCCCCCTCTAACAACACTAGCCAGTGGACTATCATAGGAAAATTAATGAAGACTTCTCCATACAGAGAAAAGCCATGCGGGTCTTGGATGATACATTATCAGCGCCAATTGTTGGCCGCGGCAGTCAGCTAGAGGGCCTGGAGGTTCAGTCATCGATAGAACACGCCTAGTGAAGGGGCCTATAGGACGATTACTACTCCGAAGACTGCCTGCTAATCTGGTAATCGCTTCCGTCCGAGAATGTGATGTTGGCTGTCCTTCCGCTAGTCTTGTTTTCTTATCTCGGCTCCATCCTGGGAGGAATTTGATTGGATCTGAAGACATTGCACGGAGTACGGTGGGGAGGATGGTTATCAGTACCTAATGCGTTAATAGGCTCTCGTGTCACTCCTTGGGCCTTTGTTCGACGCGTAGTCTCAAATAAGAACCAAACGATGACGGGTGGAAGGGGGGTATCCCCTGCAAAGATAGGCAGGCTCGTTGTATGAGGGTATTTCTCCGTATTCCGTCGTAGCCAGTACCTATCACATCCCGTATTTACGGGTAGAAAGGTAGAAAGTAATACACCAGCGTAGGATTCGCCTACCTAGACACGGCCATTTTTCTCGTCTGATGCTAATGTCCCGGGACAAGTTGAATGCATTCAATTACAGACATGATTATGTCTCTGAAAATGTCAGACTCCGATAAGCTGATAGAATCCATCTGTCTATTTGTATCTCCTACGGATAGTACTAGGCACTATGTAGCATATCTTAGGTGTATCTCCGGGATGTCTCCACTTTTGGGTGGATCCCGTCAGCTTGAAAGTCAAAGAGTCACGATCTGGTCGATGGAACAGGGGAGGGGAATACGACTTTGACATCAATGGAAATGCTAAAATCCATCACGCAATGGGAACCGTCCCAAGGTTCAAGTTGATGGCTCATAACTGATTATTCTCTGGGGATCTCAACCCAGCCTTTTGATTCTGCCAATGGAGAATTCCTTGGATTGTCCCAGACCATGGGTAGCGTGTAATCTTACTTCGCATGATGATGCTTCTCCTGCCCCGTTTAGCTCCGCCACATGTACTAGATAAGACTAGAATTCACCACCATCTTCCTTGGAGACTCCCTGATAGCTCCATCGATCTTCATCTTCACTCTCGGCGAATCCGGTGCGCGACTAAGCGTTTGCCATGCAAACAACGGTAATGCTTGCTCTTCCCTCGGCCACAGTATCGCAGGACTAGCTTCTTTCTCTGTTTCTTTCCGATTGATTGATTTATTTAAATAATATTATAATACCCAGCGCCTCCATCTCGACTTACTTACCCCTCCTAGTTTCTCCCTCCTTACTAGGGAACGAGGCCATTTGCTGAAAGCCGATCGTACATCGTACTCCTACTTACCTTGAGTACCTAGTGACACATATTCATCCACCCTTCCATCTAACCATCTTCCCAGCCATCTATCGTCGTTGTCTCCTGTTGACCTCCATATTGTATTTCTTTTGAATATTTATAGTGGAAAAGGAAGCGTGTGATTTAATCACGATACAGGTCGCTGCATCTGCTGAGAATGGAAAAAGATCCCATGGAGTCCAAGGCTCAGCCTTCGTTGTTTGCTGAGTCGCCGCCCCCACCAACCTACGGCGAAACAGAGATAACCCGTGGAAGTATAGGTCGACGGATATGGGACAGCTTCAAGAGAGACCCAAATGCCCATGTCACACATGGCTCGTCTGGGGCAGATGGGAAGTCCTTTGACATCGAACATGCAGCAGAGCAAACCGCTGCTTCCCCATTGCAGCGCCGTCTTAAATCGCGTCATCTACAGATGATTGCAATCGGTGGTTCTATTGGTAAGTGCAATCTACTGGGTTGGTTTAAAAACTATTCGCCACAGCGCTGATCTATTTCTTTCCTGCATGATAATAGGCACTGGTCTCTTTGTTGGTTCAGGAAAGGTGCTTGCCGATGGTGGCCCTGCATCTCTTCTTATTGCGTATGCTCTGGTCGGTTGCATGCTATATTGCACAGTGCATGCTCTGGGCGAGATGGCAGTCATGTTCCCCGTGGCGGGCTCTTTCGCTCACTTTTCAACTCGTTTTGTTGATCCTGCATGGGGCTTTGCCATGGGCTGGAATTACGCATTGCAATGGCTGGTGGTTCTACCCCTGGAAATTGTGGCCGCGTCAATCACAGTTGACTACTGGAAACCCGGTGTCTCAAATGCTGCCTGGGTTGCCATCTTTTGGGTTGTGATTGTGTCGATTAATCTGTTTGGCGTCAAAGGCTACGGTGAAGCAGAGTTTGTCTTTTCTCTTATCAAAGTTGTCGCAGTGATTGGCTTTATGTAAGTGACCCGACCGGGATCTATTCCCCGCATGAATTGAATAAGGGGGACTAAATGTGAGGCAGTATTCTCGGGATTATCCTCAACTGCGGTGGGGGCCCTAAAGGTGGATATATCGGTGGGAAATTTTGGCACAACCCTGGAGCCTTTAACCATGGGTTCAAAGGTCTTTGTAGTGTATTTGTCAACGCTGCATTCGCCTTTGCCGGCACTGAACTGGTTGGTCTGGCTGCAGCCGAGACTGCAAACCCTCGGAAGTCACTCCCGACCGCGACAAAGCAGGTGTTTTGGCGTATCACTCTCTTCTACATCGTTTCCCTGACTCTGATCGGCCTACTGGTTCCGTATGACAACGAACAACTCCTTAGCGCCACGTCCGACGCCGATGCCAAGGCGTCCCCATTTGTGATCGCCATCAAGAATGCTGGAATTTCCGTGCTTGATTCGATCATGAACGTCGTAATCATGATCGCAGTGTTATCTGTGGGCAATTCGTCGGTCTATGGCTCGTCTCGAACTCTCGCGGCTCTAGCTGAGCAAAGACAAGCGCCTCAGTTCCTGGCATATATCGATCGCAAGGGTCGCCCTCTCTGGGCCATTTGCATCGCCTCGGCGATTGGTCTACTTTGTTTCTTGGCAGCTTCCGATGCGCAGGAGACTGCATTCGAGTGGATGATGGCTATTTCGGGGCTCTCTTCCATCTTTACTTGGGGCTCGGTCTGTCTGTGCCACATTCGCTTCCGTCGTGCGTGGAAGGTTCAGGGTCACAGCTTGGATGAGATGGCTTTCCGCTCCCAGCCTGGCCTGATTGGATCTTGGGTTGGTTTCATCTTCAATTGTCTCGTACTTGTGACCCAGTTCTGGGTGGGCTTTTCACCAATTGGCTATGGCGAAATGACTTCAAGCGAGCTAGTCGAAAACTTCTTTTCCAAGTACTTAGCTGCGCCGGTCGTCCTCGCCTGTTATATACCGTACAAGATCTACTACCGGACACCTTTCATTCGCGCCAAGGATATGGACTTGCAGACCGGGCGACGGGATCTCGATATTCAATATCTGATCGAGCAGGAGCGTGCCGAACAAGCAGCGTGGCCGGCATGGAAGAAGCTCTACAAAATGTTTTGTTAGCCATCAAATGGCCTCATAGGCAGAGAGTGTCCTGTGAGATAGGGGGTTTCTCTTTTTCTACCTAATTCAGTAGTGTATGAGTATGATAGCGTTCCGGTTTTCCAGATCTTATGTCCTTCCAAATCAATTGCGGTAAAGCATGTGCTCTTGTTCGGTAGATGCAGTCAGCTCCATCGCTGTCATGGTCACTGATTTAGGAGAGGATTTGAAGTAAACAACCACCACATTAGCTTCTTTCTATCGAGTAGTTCTGTTGCTGTTGCTCTACTCCAGTCTTGGCATCTGGAGAACGGCCCGGACTGCGCTGAATACTCCGTACAGTAACGGCATTTGAGAAACAGGTGAGTCCAGTGGGTTATATTATTACATTACGGTACTAGCGCCAAATGGCTGGTACCACTTACAGTACCTACCTACCCACGGAGCACACACCAGGTACCTTGGCCATGGGTTTGGTACGGCTGAGCTGGCAGCAACTGGTAAATACGGTACGTTGGAAACCACCTGCACGGGAGAATGGTCCTACCAAACTTACCATGTATATATTCGAGATTAGCGCTGGACCGTAATATTTCACGCTGCGACCAAAAATAGCCATCAGGCAGAGAACACGTGAGGCTGAGTAGGGCTAGTTTCAGGACGGTAATTTACCGATGGAAGGATCCAAAGGACTGACCAAGAAGGCACTCATCTTCCTCAAAAGACCTCGCTCAACCAACACAAGCATCTGCTGTCATATATCCCGTCCTCCTAGGCCCCTTGACTTCATCTCCGACGGGCTCCTCTCGCTATAGTACCAATTCTCCCCGTTTTTCCTTAGCCTGGCGGCACCTAGTCTGGCGCTTTCTCATCCAGACTCCCGCCCTTAGGCGCCTCCGCATACTTTCTTTGGGGCCTATGGTGGTTCGTTGCCGATCCGTGTCACGATAGAACTCGCAAACGCTCGATTGAATCAGGCGCTGCCTTCTTCACAAGTTGTCCGCAGACTCCTCCTTGTTGTTCCTCTAGGACATCTAGTGGAAATATTGGGGTCTTCCTGGTGCCCTTTATTTGGCGACCGTTGTAATTTCTTTTTACTAGGCCCTCGCACAGAGTGATAAGTCAAATCAAGCCGTTTTGAGGCGATTCTACTTGTGATTTACCGACACAATGCCTGGATTTGCGGATTCCTTTTGGACACCCGACTACGCTACGGGTCTGGGTGTGCTCTATGGGAAACTGCAACAAGGCGTTGTTGAAAACAAACAGATCCTCACGATTGCCTCTATGCGTGCGGATGCGGAGGATCAATATGGTAGTAAGTTGGGAGATATCGCCCCGAGCGTGGATCGGATGACAATGGGGTTTGCAAAGGATGATGGAGCCAGCGTGAGAAAGGTAGGTAGTTTTCCATTGCATGCTCAGGGACCTCTTTTTTTTTTTTTTTTTTTTGTCTTCGTATACTTACCCTATTATCTTCCCTTGAAGGCCTACGAAGGGATCCGTACAGAAATGGTTGAGGCGTCTAAGAATCACCAGAAAATCTCATCCAATATACGCGAATTAGTCGTTTCGCCATTTCGACGCTGGTGCGACCAGCACGAAGCACGTATCCAGATATCCCATGATGACCTCCAGGCTCGTATCAAGGAGCATACCAAGCAAGTTGAGTTGGTGAAGAAGCTGCGGAGCCATTATTTCAACAAGTGCCGTGTGCTAGAAGATTTGGAGGAAGAGAACAAACTTGCCTTCCAGGCCCCTGAAACTAGCCCAAAGGCTAATTCAACCCCTAAGATTGTCCTTCCAGAGGAACAAGCACCCGAAGAAGAACCGATCGAAATAGGTGATCGCATCTACTCACCAGACGATATCAAAAATCTTTTGCTGCACATGCTTGATAACATTAAGTTGGGTGAGGTCAAGGTGCCTATCATCGGAACATACCAGAACACATCTACCGGCGCGGATATAGTGGAATACACCCAAAGGTATATGAATGCAACTACCATCACGTATGCGGAAAGGATAGGACAAGATCTTGTCGATGGCGGAATTCTCCGATTAGTCGGCAATATGGGCAGTAACTTCACCAATAGCTCCAAAATGCGATACCAATGGCGCCCTAAAGTATTTCAGATCACGGGTATCCCCGAAAAGAAAAAGCCATTGATGCGCGTGACCTCTATCGCGTCAAGTGAAGATGGCAGTGAATCTCCTATATCCTCTGTCTCCGAAATGCTCGCAGGATGGAACCCGCTCAACAACCCGTACCCGAACGAGACTCCAGCAGAGAAGCTGCGTAGAGAAGCACGCGAGGCTGACGAGCGATATAAGGCCGCTATACGGAAACTTGATCAAATTCGCTGCAAGCTTGAAGAAGAGATTGTAGAAAATCTTCGCTTCATGGAACAGTGCGAGCTAGACCGACTAAAAGCCATCAAGGCCGTTGTTCTTGATTTTTCTGGCGCGGTCAGCAATGTTATCCCAAACCTGCAAAGCACGGTGGACCATATGATGTTGTACCAGGAAACGATCCAGCCTCTTGGAGACCTCCGCTATCTCCTTGAGAACTACCGCACAGGAGGGTTTGTGCCCCGGGTCCAAGCCTATGAGAACTACTATGGCTCTGTGGAAGGTAGGTTGTTGGGTTGAATGATTTATGTACAGAGCTTTGTGATAAGCTAACCTAGCCAGATCAAAACTTCGGTGTGGACCTCGAGGCTAGAGCAAGAGCCGATCGCAAACGGGTCCCTATACTCGTGACTACGATTCTAACTTACCTGGATAACCGTAGGTTGACATTACCCCAAGGGATGAGAATTAAAAGTTAATGCTTCTCTCTACAGGGTACCCTGAGCTCGAGGGTGATGAGGCACGACGCGCCATCTGGCTTTATGATGTTCCCTTAGCAGCAACGCACCACCTCCGCAATGTCTTGAACAACAGCAAGGCGGATTATAAAGAGTTGCTACCAAAGTACGAGATACCTATTATTGCAAGCGTCCTGAAATTGTATCTTCTTGAACTGCCAGGTTAGTTTGGATTTCACGGAGCCCCTCTGCATAAGTGCTGATTGGTGGCCTAGACTCTCTTGTTTCTTCTCAAGTTTACGAAATTGTAAAGACAATCTATTCCACAACCGCCCATGAGACGACTGAAGAGGGACGAATCAAAGTTTTACAGAGCACGCTTGGGCAACTTCGTCTCAATAACATAGCCACGCTTGACGCCGTTATGACACATTTCACACGCCTGGTAGACCTCACGTCTGCTGACGAAGTATACGTTTCTGCACTTGCTTTGGCATTAGCACCTTGTATCCTCCGTCCACGTACGGAGAGCAGTCTTACGATGAATGAGCGGCACAGCTATCGTCTGCTTCGAGACCTGTTCTCTCACAAGGACGCCATTTTTGGCGAGTTGAAGAGGCAGTCAAGCGGGCTTGGAGCCGGGACTTCAAACAACCGTCCTCGTGCTATTAGCACTGACGAGAGCAATCGCCGCGCAGCCATGGAAGCCCGCAACCGTGCTATTGTAGATAGCACGCGCGCCAATAGCCCGGCACCTCCGCGGAAACATCGCCGTGACCGGTCCAGTGGTGCTTCGGAGGTTGGACGGTTCCCTGTCAAAGTCGCCAGCCCGACGGACAGAAGAAACATCGTCCGAAATAGCCTGGACGTTCCCAGCAGCAATAGCTCCCAGACGGGGCATGAGCAGTTGTCTACTGTGAACATACATGGCACGGAGCCGGTTACCAACGGTGCTTCGAGTGACTCTCAAGTTTCTGTCCCTGCAAGTGGAACCGCCTCCGGTACATCTAGCCCACCACTGCCAGCAGCTACGTCAGAGGATTCTCCTACACCAACGCCCACCCCAGCTCATGATGCCGAGGAACGCAATTCACACCGTTCCAGTGTCATGTCCACTCGCAAGCCTGGTCTAGGCAATAGGTCCAGTTTTCCCACTACTGTTAGTAGCGAATTGGGAACCGGTAGTGAGAAAAACAGTGTGGCTGAGGGCGAGCCAAAAGGTGTCACTCTAGAAGACAAGCCAATGGACGATTAGATGTGTCTATGTTGACGCTCTGATGTCTTGATTGAAGCAAGGGGAAGTTAACCAACCAAAACTATTTCCACGTGGATAGGACATTTGACAGTCGCCGCCCATGACTAGAAGCATCGCCATTTGGAACTATTTCCCCCTATCTAGGTTGGAATGGCGCTAAAATTTTCTCTCACTTTCAGCAGGCCTTGTTAGTTGAGAGAATGATGGCAGCTTCTTTTTCTTTCCTTTGTATTCGAGTATAAAGCCCATCGTTACATTTTACATACCCAATTCCCCTGTATGTTTATTTATATATTTTGCTTTATATGCATAAATGCTCCCTTTGTTCTTTTTTTTTTGGCTGTGGCTTGTGTCCCTCTGCTACAAATGACCTTGTGATATTGACTGTATAGCATCCAATTTTAAATAAACCATGCTTAAGAATGTAGAAATGTATTGTGAACTGCTTTTCCTGTTTGTTGATAATACTATGAATACCATAGTCATCACTCTCATTATTTGGCTATGCAACGCTATCCAATGCTATGGCTATAGTGTTCCTCAACGCAATGCTATGCGACATGACAAATAACATAACCACTTTAAGGTAAAAAATACAGGCAGAAATAGAGACAGATGTCTTGATGTCACAGACCTTGGCCCATGAGTAATCTTCTGAGAATACCCTCCCCTGGCCCAGCGATTTGACTCTCGATCTCTTTATAAGAAACGAAACAGACGAGACCCTGCTCGTCTAATGACTTGCTTGGTGTTAAGGGACCATTGCTAGATTTCGACGGAGTACGTCTTATGTCTGAGCCACCTGAAACTGTTCCGCCTCGACCTCGGCGCTGATATTCGCCAACCAGTCCTAGTGTTTCTAGGTTACTAATAACATCTTTGAATTCGGTAGCGGTAAGTGGATGGAGGATATTATCTTTGCGACACAATGTGCAATATGTGTCAAATATTTGCTTGATTGTGGGCGCTAACCTCCTTGATTTTGAGGGCGTACTTGGGTACTCCCCTTCACGTTTTTTCCGATCAAGCGCAATCAGAGCACAGATAGCTGCCTTTTGCTGAAGGTTAAGGTTCTTTAGCCGTTGGACAGTCCCCTGCCCGAAAGCAGATGAAGTGACGCGAGCGATGTGAGCGATGCTAGCCCGGGGCGCCGTGAAAACATTATACGTGGATGAAGAAGGTTGCTTGGCCCTAGCTGGAGATGAGAGATTGTTGTTTTCGACGAGAATAGTCTTAGAGGGATTCCCTTGGCTGGATTCCCTCTTTTCCAATTTCTCCATGGTTTCTTGTTCAACGATATCAATAGCACGCTTGACGAGCTCAAAGGCCTTGCGCAAATCCCCAGCCTGGGAAGCGACTTTCTTCGCGCACAGCATGATAGCTGCTGGCTGAGCAAAAGGAACGAAATTTGGGTCTTCGTTTTGATCCTGAGGTAGCAAGGACCGAAGACGGTTCGTTATTACATTGGCAATTTGACCGGCATTGTAGGGTAAAAAAGGAAGAAGGCGAGGTTTCAGGTTTTTTGCTTTCAGCTGCGGTAAGGATCGATCCGTTAGATCAAGTGCATTAGCAATCCCAATGAGCATAAGCTTGGATTTGCTGTGCAGGGACCACTCAAAGAGAGACTGAAGAACGCCAGTATCTGCGGTAAGAAGATGGTCTATCTCATCTAGCGTAACCAGGAACAGGTCATTTTGCTTCTTGTCAGGTATGAACAAGCTTTTCAGCCTGTCCGCCTCGCTTTTTTTAAAGACTTCATGGTCTTCGCAGAGATCCTCAATGAGTTTGCTGTAAACATCACGCGCACTCCGCATACTTGCGCAATTCAGATGTGCCACCTTTACGGACTTCGGATCCAATGCACGACACACCTCTTGAACCATGGCGCTTTTGCCAGTCCCTGGCGGGCCACTGACATATAAACAACCGCCTTTCCCTGATTCGACCCCATTTTGAATGAAAAACGATAACTTTCCCCGTTCGTCATCTCGGCCGACCAGTTGAGCCGAGTTTGCGCCTCGTGCAAATAATTGCCTGGCATTAGTGTAGACGGTTTGGGCAGTTGTTGGAGCGGATGTCGGTCGAGGTGTCCGTGGAGTCAACGATTTCCCCCCGACTTGGACTTTATGCTTTGGTGTAATGGGCGGAGATTCCAGAGCATTCCGATATCTAGATTTTGAGGGGGTCTTGAGTTGAACCGGTCTCGAGTTTTCATCTGGGTCCGTTAATAGGGTCTTGGTATAGGTCCACGCCGAAAACCTACCATTATCCAATCCCAAGCTGTTAAAGGCCCGATCTCTCTCTCTTCCCACATGACCCGATTGTTCACATAGAGTGAAAGAATCCTCGGTATTATTACCATTGTCATGTTGGAGAGCACCGGCCTTTCTTGTCTTTGACCGCAATTGACGAGCAGGCGATACTGACGGTTCGGTCCCCTCACGAAGGATATGGGGTGGTTGTGTCCGGCGCTTGCTCGCGCTACGCAATGGCAGTGATGGAACTAGGACAAACCAGTTAGCATAAACGAGGCTGTACTCTAGTGACCTCGAGGGTAGGTGCAATGATGAACCAAGCCAACGTACCTTCTGTCTCAATAGCACCCCGCTGGCGCTTGCCTAAAACCGAAGCCACCATGGTGAGGGGCGACAAGACTGTTGTAGCAAGAGCAAGCGTAAGTAATGCGAGTGAGGTAAGTATGGATAGATAAGAACTTAGGAAGGTGGAGGATGCAAATTGGGGGAGGAAGCTGTAGGTTGGGTAGGTGGGAAGGCTGCATACTTTCTCCCAGGGAGGCATAATTGGCCTGATCCACTTTCGGTCGACGCGTCGCACATTGCGTGTCTCGCGCCTCGCGTCTAGGCCTATCACGTGTATCTCACCGACCGGCACTGTTGGTCTGAACCTGCCGCTGTACAATACCTCCTTACCAGAAACAAAAGCTGTACCGATGATACCAACGTACCGCCATTTCCTGTACTCTGGAGGGTAGGTATCTATACCGTCGGTATCATCTCGCTGCTAAATGCGTCACTGGTGGATGATCACATACGGTTACCGGTCATCACTTACGATCATCTCAATCACTTTTCAGTTTTGAGTAGGGAGGAAAGTCTTGTACTGACTTGGCTCCCTCAAGTTATTCCTCTGTTTTCCTCATCTCCCCTCTGCGCCTGTGGCCTCTGTTTTGCCTAGGCTTCCTTTCACTTACGTCGTCCTTTCATCAACACCCAGTGGGCCATAATTCCAGTTTGCAGCTGTTTGCATCACAACCTGGCGAGACAATAAATCTTGCTGCACGCCCTGCCCCTTCACGAATAGTTGACAGACATCGCTCGCATCCTTCGTTTAATTTCCACTACCTTTCATTCCCATTCAGACTCAATCTACCCGCCATGGACGGCGACGTGGTGGCCCAGTTCACCGAGATCACCGGCTCGAACCCTCAGCTAGCGACTCAATACCTGCAGCTAACCGATTTCAACATTGAGCAGGCTATGCAACTTTACTTTGAAAATGGTGGTGCACCGTTAACCGAGGAACCTATACCCTCAACCTCTAGCCCTCATGCTGCTCCTCGCACGACTGGACGCCAAGATGAATCCGAGGTTATACATGTTGACTCTGACGACGATGTCGCAGTGGATGAAAACCGATCTACGCCGCGAAATGAGCCCTCGAGCGGCTCTACTTTTGATGACGACGCCGCTATGGCCCGTCGACTTCAGGAAGAGATGTACAGTGGAGATGATAGCATGGACGATGTGCGTGCCCCAATGGCTCGAACGACGGAAACATTAGTTGGTCCAGAGGCCGATTTTGACAGTGGTGACATGCACGCCAGTCTATTGGGTCAATTACGTGCTCGTCAACAAGGCAGTTAGTGCACCGAGAAATCTTCTACGTTTCGAGTGGCTGGTTTACTGATGACATTCCGCTCTAGGTCGGCCGGGTATATTCAATCAGAGAGACACAGTATGGTCGGGAGATGACGAGGCTTCCCATCGTGAAAGACTCGCAGTATCAACAGGTGGCGCTTCTGAGGCCTCGAGCAAATCAAATATGCTTGCTGAAATGTATCGCCCGCCTTTTGAGATCATGTCCAGGCTCCCATGGGACTTAGCCCGGCAAGAGGGGCGCGAGAATGAAAAGTGGTTGTTGGTCAACATCCAAGACCCCTCCATTTTCGACTGCCAGGTATTGAATAGGGATCTATGGAAAGACTCTGGCGTCAGAGACACGGTTAAGGAACATTTCATCTTCTTGCAATATTCCAAGGATGATCCCCGAGCAGCGCCGTACATACAGTATTACTTCCAGGGAAATGATGTTTCCGACAATTACCCTAACATTGCCGTCGTGGATCCGCGAACCGGTGAACAGATGAAGGTTTGGTCGGGCCCGCCTGTAATAAAGGCAGCCGACTTTTTGATGCAACTTCATGAGTTTCTAGACCGATACAGTCTAAAGCACAACGTTCGAAATCCCGTGGCGAAGAGAAAGCCCGAGCAAAAGGAAAAGAGCATCGACGCAATGACCGAGGAGGAGATGATGGAGATGGCTCTGAGAAATAGTCTTGGAGGAGCGGCGGCGCAGGCTCCGAAGATGGAGGACCCCGACGAACTGACCCGTAGTACTGAGGATGTCAAGGGCAAGGGCCGGGTTGCTGATGCTGAAGATATCCGCAAGGACAAGGCCGGCGAAACAGGTTATACAGAAGCTTCTCCATTTCGATCCATTCCCGACAACCGGCCACACACCGAACCTCCTGCCGATCCTGCCACCACCACACGCATTCAATTCCGACACCCATCGGGGAGGGTTATTCGACGATTTTCCTTGGCTGATCCCGTTCAGAGAATATACGAATGGCTTAAAGCCGAACCACCCTTAGCGGAGAAATCGGGCGTGGAGTTTGAACTCAATTCCATGGGTCGTAATTTGATCGATGCTCTTGGGATGTCAGTGGAAGATGCTGGATTGAAGAATGGCACCGTGATGATCGGATATCTTGAGGACTAGACATCTCCGGGGATATGAATGATGGTACGATAATTTTTTTTTTTTTTTTTTTTGGAGCTGTTCTTTGTCTTTCCCTCAACGGTGATCCCTTTGCGAGTTTCTTTTTTAGACCGGAATGGTTCCTTCTGGAGTCTTAATATATTCGGTTGCTTCAAGATGCGTCAGAGCATAGGTACGGAGTAATACATACACCGTTATATAACCATGGTATTGTATTATATTGTATGTATGTATGTAATACTTCACACCGCCCGAGAAATACTCTCATCCTTGACCGCCCGGCACAATTGACCCCGCGCCCGTCCCAATCAGGAAGGATTATTGCCCGCAGGAAAGTAAACTAAACAAACCGACGGGACCAGCAAGGCAGTGCAATCCTTCCATCCATCATTCCTCCCTTGTGATCGAAGCCACCCGGTAGAGTCGTCGGGCCCTTCGGACGTGGAAGCTCGTCTCAAGCAAGGTCGGAGACTAATCTAATCCATCCGCCTTGGGCCCAAGCTTCTATAGAGCCTGCGTCTCTGCTGCGCTGCATTATTATTTATTTATTTATTATTTGTATTATTTATTGATCTACTCATTGATGCCCTGCAGTCCGAGAGCCCATCGGGCAAGGGATCTCTATCTCTGTCCATCAAACAATAGTAAGTGGAGTAGCTGGATCGGCGTCAATCATCCTCAGGTCCATTTGGTAGTGGCTTTTCAATAGCATCATCCCTTGGGTTGGGTTTTCCATGTCTGATTCCTGTTTACCGTCTAGTTAGAAGCTCACCCTTCCCCCCTTCTCTCCCCTAGCCTGTTCTAGGCCTTTGCAGCAGGTGAGTTGTTAACTTGTTTGCTCTCCTTGGGTGTTCACTCGAATTACTGTCTCGTGGCTGCTGGTGGCTTTTACATTCAATGTTAAATATTTGCATTTTAAGTCCCCTTTGGCTCCTGTTCAATTTCCCTTTGGCTCTCAATCTACAGCCAGGCCGCACTCTCTTCCTGCCAAAACTGATGCGCAACTAAGTGCTTCAGGGCCACGTGAATAATTGTGAACCAGTTACCACAGGAACTTCGAACACCTCCAGCATGGAAGGATTAGTGGATCCAGAAACAATTTACATGAAGCAGAACTGCATTGGTTCGTATATGACTGCACTGGGAATGTGGCGTGGGCGTCTCTAATGTCGTACATAGGGGGCGGGAGTTTTGGACGTGTCTATAAAGGGTACTTTCTAAGAACACTGTTTCAATCGATTCCCTGTGAAATTCTAACATCACTCTTCCAATTCCAGTCTGGATAAACGTGACGGTACTTCAGTCGCAATCAAAATCATCGATGTGGAAAACGCCGAAGATGAAGTCGAAGATATCATCCAAGAAATTGCCATCCTGTCCGAACTAAACTCTCCTTACGTGACCCGATACCATGGCTCATTCCTGAAGGGGTCAAGCTTGTGGATCGTCATGGAGTTCTGCTCTGGAGGTAGTTGCTCCGATTTAATGCGTGCAGGAGGGTTATCTGAGGAATATATCTCCATTATCATTAAGGAGCTTCTTCGAGGGCTAGACTACTTGCACAGCGACAAGAAATTACATCGTGATATCAAAGGTACCATCCATTCCGTTTTTCTTCCTGTCCATCTGTCTGTGTGAACTCGTTTCACACTTCGACGTACAAGCAATGTGCTGATGGTATTGTTAGCTGCAAACATTCTTTTAACCTCAAACGGTCAAGTAAAACTGGCCGATTTTGGGGTCTCTAGCCAACTTTCGGCCACCATGACCAAAAAGAATACGTTTGTAGGTACTCCTTTTTGGATGGCGCCGGAGGTCATCAAACAGTCAGGCTATGACTATAAAGCCGACATTTGGTCACTAGGGATCACCGCAATTGAATTGGCAAAGGGGGAACCTCCATACTCGGACATTCATCCTATGAAGGTCCTATTCCTGATTCCTAAGAATCCTCCTCCTACGTTGCATGGCGACTACAGCAAAGCTTTCAAGAACTTTGTCGAGTTATGTTTGCGCCGCGACCCTAGGGAAAGACCGTCCGCAAAGGAATTGTTAGAACATCCGTTCATCAAAAAGGCCAGGAGGACAACCTATCTAACGGAGTTGATTGAACGACAAGAGCGTTGGTATATAGTTCAAGGAAATAAAAATACCGAGCCTGAGGAAGACATTTTACCGGAGCCTTCGTTGTACCCTGCAAGGACTGAGGAAGAAGATGATCTTTGGGACTTTGGTACCGTTCGCCCTGCTGGACGAGCACCGGGGCTGAAGCCGATGAAAGAAGCGGACATAAACACGCGAGATCATGAAGCAGCCGATTGGGACCTAAAAGATGAGCCTCAGAAAGCACCAGGCCACAATGTTCTACCAAGGACCGCTTACATGAACGGTATTCCAAGTACTGCATCACAGAAATCATCACCTACAAAAATTCCGTTACCACCGTCACCAATGAAACAAACACCGGCCGAGGGCATGCCGCAGACTCCCTCGCGTCTTCAAAAACCGCTCTCCCCACAAGCAAAGGAAAGCCCCAGTGACTATGACAAAGCTTTACAACGATCCCTGGTGCAGGATTTGTCATTCCTCCAACTTGATAGTTCACCAAATACCCCCACATCCTCAAACAATCGGAGTGCCATCCCAACTGCACCTGTCTCTGGAAAGTCCCCCCAGCCTCTCTCCACAGTAATGCCAACACAGCCAATTCGAAAACCTGCAGACCAGAGTGCAAAATCTTCCTTGGACTCACGTCCCCAACCTCAATTGTTTTCCCAACCACACTCTTGCCCTCCACCAACACCCCAGCACATATCACCTGAGCCACAATTGCAGCGACTCCAACAAGCACCAACACGTGATTCGCACCCTCCTGCTCCCAAATACAACTTTAATCAGCTTCACCGCACTATTGATGCCAGTTTACAGAATACGAATGGAATGCCAGCCTCGAATGAGGTCACGGCTCTAAATAGCGTTATTCTGCCTGCTCTTAAAGCATCTGTTCGTCGTCGTGCTCGTCGTCTAGAACTCTACGCGCGCAATATGGCTCCAAAGGATGGTGAAAACAGAACAGATACTTATGAACTACAGTCCCGTCGAGAATACGTCCACGAAATGATTGAATCAATGGTAAACGATCTGAGCGCCGTGTTCTCCAGAATCGAGCGTTGGGATAATGAAGCTCCAGTCGGGATGGGTGCACAAGTAAACTCGTTCTTGGAAGGGTTCCTTGAAGAGATACTGGTTCGGATCGAGCCGGCTGATGAAGAATCAAGTCGCTCGAGGCCGTAATGACGACTCACACCATGATACCGATGGTCCTTATGCATAGCTAAGTGCAATATTGTTTCCAGGTAAGGCAGTATGGAGACGGCATTATCGACTTCCAAGTTTTGCTACCCTGGGGGGTAAAAGTGGTACAGTTGTGTTGTTTGCATCATTGTCCTTGAAATGCGATATATTGCAGATGACAAAAGACATACTTTTCACTGAAGGGCTGGTTGAAAATGTCCATCATGATATGTGAAATCAATGCCTGTTTGTGTCAGTTTCTTTCTCTTACTACGTTTTCGGGCTGGTTCCTCGAAATTAGCGGCCAGATGCTATACACTTTCTTTCCCTCTCTTTTTTTTTTTTTTTTTTTTTCATCGAAGTGGGTTCGTGGCTACGCCTATGAATAAACAAGATGGCTAAAAGTAAGAGTATTCCAGTACTATGAAATTGTACATGGCTTTGTATTGGTACATTGTGTTTTGTTATTAAGAAACTCATAAGTGTATAGAGTAGAAAAGTAATGTAGTATGATATTCGCCATGTCATTCATTATATTATCCAAGCACATAGAAGACAGATCAATATGGAGGCGTAAGAAATTTTGGTTGAGATAGGTGATTTAATTTCCTCAACAAGAAAAAGGTTATCAAATGTAGATAGCTGTTCCTTATATTGTCCTTTATATGCCACCCAGAATAGCGTGTCCCCATCCGAACGTCGTACGGAGAGTTGTCATGCAAGCGAGTACTCCATTGGGGACGTAGCAAACCAAAATCAGGGCCTCAGAATGTTGCGCGGAACGGGAAGTACATTGACTCTGAATTCAACGTCCAAGGATATACAATTCCCTGGAATACCCCATTAGCTGTTATTAAAACTGGCGACCATCTTGCGCCAATAAAATTAGATAAATCACACAGTATCTCGGAGGGTGGCGCTGGCGGAGTGATCTATTATGCTCCAGGGCGAAAAAGCCAGTCTGTCTCAGGAGTGGGAATTAGATAGTTGGTGATATTGAATTCGTTCGCATTCGACAATGCCCCGTCGACAACATAGTTGTTGGCGTTGGACCTAGTCAAGCCATGGATTGACATCGGATCATTAACCGTGTCATTGACGTCAATGTCATTGAGATCGGGGGCCCGCTCAGCAGGCACACGTGGGACATTGAAGAAACCAAAGACATCTAAATACTCAAGTTCGTTAGGCGCTAAATTCCGTGGCTGCGTTGCTGGGGTTTGCGCTGCTGGGGTTTGCACTGCTGGGCGGCTCCCAACTGAAGTCGAACGTGGCTGTCGGGAGATAAGGAAGTCCAAATCAAAAGCGCAACGACGCATATCGGCGAGTATCTTAACAGTGGACGGCGTGACACGTTCACTGTCGTCGGCACCGGATTGCTGGTATTCACCATATTCGTCGAGGACACGCCGTAGAATTGAACTATAACGCTCCGCAACCTTCCAGTACTTCCCCATCCGAGTAAGTGTGTCCACGAAAAAGATGATATCCGGACTCACATTATGGGCAATAGTGGAGCCATGAACAAGTAATAATCGAGCAGAAACCCAAAGGGTAAAGGCAAATGGGGGTCCAAGCTTGTCGAGCATGTTACTGTTTACGACAAAACGGGTTACGGAAAGAATATTGTCGACCGCGAGTAAGCAACGTTGACTGGCACTGTATGAAGGCGTGAAAATTGGAGAGCGTGTGGTTGGATACGCAGCGGATGAATGAAGTCTAATGACGGCCCTACAACCGCGTTAGATAAGAGGTAGATTTGAAATAACCGGGGGAGTTCAATGGGACAGTGGATGAGCCATGTAAAGCATATTCTTACGTTTGATATGTGACATGGAGTTGAACCCAGTCACAGGGTGCGTTTTTGCTGTGCTTCAATCCGTTGAATAATCGGGAGGAGTTTTCGTACGCATATTCTGCAGGAAGGCTGAACTCCCAGGAAGTTAATTCACTGTCCAATCTGCGATATGTGGCCTGCCATTCTTCGACATCAGATAGCGACCCGATATCCACGGGTCGCTTCAGAAAGACATGGATGCGGGACAGAATTCCAAGAATCTCCATATAGAGGCCAAAGGACCCAACGGTATCAGCATGACTCAGGTAATCCGATCGGTCATTTGAATGGCGAAACCATCTGGTATCCACGGGCTGGTTTTTGGTAAAGAACTCTTCTTTACAGGGAAGTTTGCGGTCTATATCCTTATCATTCAAGGCAAAATCAAAAGCGGTTGCAATGGTGGAATATCGGTCCAGCAGATATACCATCCAGAAGAGTCTACGTCTACCCTCGTCTTCAATCCAAGAGTCCGATTCCGGGAGGATTACTGCCCTTAGGGTGTAGATAGATGGGTAAACCGGAGCGATGAGAGAGGATTTGGACTCGGCGGCCAAACCGAGCTGGACGACTGACCGCGTGATCAGAGCAAGTAGTTTCCATCCAGGAGGCCCATTAGAAGATCCAACTAGATCCAAAGCCAATATCACCAGAGCCTGAAGCGCCTTCACAGATGAGTTCTCCAAGCCGTAAAGGAGGACCTTTCGCTTCGACGAGTCATGATACCTACTACGGTTCGGCTCGGTAAGTCGGCTATCGTTTGAGTAGCGGAGGGTGATCGCCACAATTGCATAAAGGACAATCCGATCAGCTTCATCGAGCGGCGAAGGGCCGAAGAAGATATCCAGTGTAGTCCGACGATGAAGTATGGGACACCACGTATTGATGTGCTCAAAGTACAGATCCACCAGCGCATATAGCAGGTCATACGGCGGTAGATCCAGTTCCAGATCCGCAAGCGACTGTTCCTGACTCGAATATAGATTAACGGGCACCTTTAATGAGGATTCATTCCCCGTATAGTCATTTTGAGACGCGGCATTCGAAGCCTGGGGTACAGAGGCGGCTGGATGAATACCACCGGGGAGATGGGTTTGCATGGTATTCTTGACTGATATACCGGAAGAACTAGCGATGGGTGCTTCCGATTGACGTGGAGGCAGCTGCACAGACAACGGTTCTTGAAAGTACAATGCATTTCGGGGGTTAGGCCCGTGCATAGCAGAAGGCTCTAATGGAGAGCTGTAAGAAATTGGCGCAGGGTGATGGTGTTCGGGACTGAAATGCGGCCGACTCTGTATAATATGTGTTTCAATGAGACGAGCCTGTGTTTGGATGACCTCCTCCAGCCTGTCTATGCGCCGCATAAGTGACAGTCGCAGGTAGGAAAGACACACAAAAGAGAGTGGGAAAGCATACCAAGGCGTTGCTCTAATTCCTTACCATACCCTGCCCGGAGACCTGGTTTCTTTCGCTCCTTGTACTCGCATAACTGACCATTTCGAGCGCACCATCCACAGCTAGGCTGTGCTCGATCTAGCCGGGTCAGAAGGGCGGGGATAAAGATAGACATAGGGCAAATTTACTTACCACATTTGACTTTCCTCTGCTTGCACAACTCACACCTTCAGTCTGTCAGCTGGGGAAATTGCACGACGAACAGACAATCGGCACAGATATCTCCCATAGCATGAGAGGGATAAATTGAGGAGAGAACATACGACACGGTGAGAGGACGTTTCCGTTTCAATGCGTTCGGCACCGTTGATCCATTCGCAGGGAAGCGATCGATATCGCTCTCAGCCGCAGACCAGGATTCGTCTGCACTGTGGTCTCTGTCTCTAACCCTGTCCTTGTCCTGGGAGCCCGACAACCGAGTTGATGGTGGAGTCTGCAGAGCAGAAACAGCTGCGGCAGCGTTCGGCATTATACTCTAGCGAGATCGGGGGCTATAGCAACTCCATCTACAATGGCGTGCAAACCAACATCCTAGCCGGTTGGAGCAGGCGAATTCCGTCAGAGAAACGCCTAGCCCGATCGACGTAACCTGATCCCGCTATAGATCCCAAGTCCGAGGGGTTGAGGCTAGCAGAGGAGGGGAGCTGAGGGCAAGGAAAGAAGGGAAAGAGAAAAGCAGCGCCGATCGAGGAAACGGACCGTGGGCCTAAGGCACCCAGCCGCAGTTCAACCCCCACGAAGAGACGCTGACTAAGTCTGCGGAGAAGTGGAGAACGCTTAGTCAGGCATTCACCACCATGCCTCTCGGTGTAGCATTGCCCCGAGGCACGAGGGTTTCTCCAACGCAGCACTGGTCTCAAATATCGCCTTGCTCCCCAGCATGGAGTGGCTATCGTTGCTATCATTCGCGTTTCTTTTCTCTCAATGGTGTTGGCTTGCTCTCTTGCAATCCGTATATTCAGCGTCGTTCACCACACACCATGGGTTCTACATCGACCTTTCCCCGCATCAAAGAGATTCGCACTTTCATCATTGATGGAGTGGGATCCGGCGGTGATTACCACAATGTAGGTGTCTCCTTAGCCCCTATATATAGGAAAATTGCTTTCGACGCATATGCTGAGTGACGTGGCCAGGTCAAAGGAGGCCACTGGCTAGTTGACAGCAATATCTCCAACCCCATGACTAGGTGGGCACAGTATCGAGGCTCGCGTACATCGTGGGGGATCAATGTCCTTGGGTCGTTTTGTGTCGAAGTAGAGGCAACAGATGGAACTAAAGGTTTTGCGACGGGATTTGGCGGTCCCCCGGCCTGCTGGGTGGTGCAACATCACTTTGAGCGGTTCTTAGTTGGTGCAGGTGCTGGTCACCCAGGAAAGGAGAATTTGGACATGCCAGGCTAATGTGCCAGTGTTACTTTAGATCCTAGGGATGTGAGCGATCTCTTCGAGAAGATGTACCGGGCTTCGATGTTCTATGGGAGAAAGGGCCTTCCAGTTGCCGTCATCTCCGTGATTGACCTGGCTCTCTGGGATCTCGTGGGCAAGATCCGTAACGAGCCCGTCTACAAGCTTATCGGTGGGGCAACCCGATCGCGTCTGGATTTCTACTGCACTGGCCCTCAGCCGGCATCCGCCAAAGCGATGGGCTTTTCCGGAGCCAAGGTGGCCCTGCCCCATGGTCCAGATGAGGGAACGAAAGGACTCCTGGAGAACATCGCATACCTGCGCAAGCAGCGGGAGAGTGTCGGTCCTGGTTTCCCCTTGCGAGTTGACTGCTATATGTCATTGAATGTCTCCTACACCATCGAGCTGGTCAAACGTTGCGAGGCGGAAGGACTGAATATTGACTGGTGGGAAGAATGCCTCAGCCCCGACGACTTTGACGGTCACGCACTTCTTAAGAGAGCGCATCCCACTGTGAAGTTCACCACCGGAGAGCACGAATACTCCCGCTTTGGCTTCCGGAAACTCGTTGAGGGTCGCAATCTGGATATCCTCCAGCCTGACGTCATGTGGGTGGGTGGCTTAACAGAATTGCTCAAGGTCTCTGCGCTTGCTGCAGCGTACGATCTCCCTGTCGTTCCTCACGCGTCCGGGCCTTACTCGTACCATTTCGTGGTCTCCCAGCCCAATACCCCATTCCAGGAGTATTTGGCCAATTCGGCGGATGGAAAGACGGTGGAACCGGTCTTTGGAAACCTATTCCTGAACGAACCCATACCCACGCAAGGGTATCTCGATGTCGCCATCCTTGACAGGCCAGGATTTGGCTTGGATCTTAACCCAGCTGCTCCCTTGATCCCGGCTGCATCCATCCTTACTCCTGCTCCCCAGCGGAGCCTGGCTGCACCGGTAGAACAGGAACTGGGATCGAATGGGTTTACTTATTAAATAATGACAAGCGATAGAGGGATAATATTGCTCTTTGCCGAGATGACTTTACTTTCTTTCTGGCCCCCCTATATGTTTGTGATTCCATATGTAGGTAGATTATTGCATGGATAGACCGAAATGTGACGATTCTTTCGGAATAAAATACGTGCCTGAGATTGAGCGGGGCTGCGGGGATGACCTCGGGGGATCATTATCACGAATCACCAGACATCCGATCGTTTCTCTCTCTTGGAAGGAGGGAAAAGAAGCAAAATAAAGAAATATTAAAGGGACCGGTCAGATCGCCTAGCCCGGCCGGTTTTGTCTGCAATTGCACGGATCCCACACCTGAACAGGGAAACAGCCAAGCAGCGTAGAAAGAAAGCATGCCCCTCCCTCATCTTCTGGTCGGCAAGGTTGCTGCGATTACAGGAGGTGTCACGGGAATTGGTCGGGTATATATAATAAATCTATCTTCCCAAAGACTCATCAAGTCCATCTAATACAGTGCACCAGGCCATTGCCCTCGAATATCTCCGTCATGGAGCCAAGGTGGCTATCAATCATCTGGGGGGTCCGGAAGAAGATCCTCTGCTCGAAGATATGCGGAAGGAAGTCTCTGATATCGTCGGACCAGAGGGGAATCAATTCATCGCCGTGGCGGGCGATGTTACGCAACCAGAAACCGGCCGGGATTTTGTGACCAAGACAGTCGAGGCCTTTGGGCGACTGGATGTATTCGTGAGCAATGCCGGTGTGTGTAGGTTTGAGGAGTTCCTGGAGTGAGTTAGATCCCCATTTATCGTGCATGTCTCCATTCCTAACATTCTTCTTCTCTTCGACAGGGTCGATCCGCAGCTTCTCTGTCATACTGTGTCGACCAACCTCACTGGCGCTTTCTACGCGACGCAAGCTGCAGCACGACACATGGCACTGGGACAGTCGCCTCCCGGGGGCTCGATCATTGGCATCAGTTCGGTCTCTGCTCTGGTAGGCGGAGGGCAGCAGACCCATTACACGCCCACCAAAGCGGGAGTTCTCAGTTTGATGCAATCGTGCGCCGTTGCCTTGGGGAAATATGGGATCAGATGCAATGCTCTGCTACCGGGGACGATCCGGACACAGCTAAACGACGAGGATATGAGTGACCCGAGAAAGAGGAAATACATGGAAGGGAGGATCCCCTTGGGGCGGCTGGGTCACCCACCAGATCTCGCAGGACCCGCGGTATTCCTGGCGAGTGAGGAGCTGAGTGGATATGTTGTGAGTATCTCCTCTATTCGCAGTGGCTCTATGGATATTGCTGACTCGAAATCACTAGACGGGGGCTCAGATACTTGTGGATGGAGGACTCTTTGTGAATCTACAGTGACTGAATCAGTCGAATAGATTGAAGAAGGTGTTCATTGTATATACTGCACGCTTAGGCCGTTGAGATATCAATTCCATATGCATTCACAGCAACCTGGCCCCAGACTCCTCTCCTCTGCTCCTCATTCAATCCTCGCCTTTCCAAGACCTCCTCCACCACGCATTTCCAGCGCCTCCAGGCAGCTTCATTGCCACCCCCGCCCACGTTGCAGACAGGCCAATCGGATCCAAACATCACACGTTGAGGACCAAACGCATCGAAGATCACGTCCGTCCACGGGCGGAGCCGCTCGACCAGAGCCGGGATGTCAGGTTCGGAGGCCGAGGATAGATGGGGCAGCTCCGAGAAGCCACCAGAAAGCTTCATATATGTTGTGGGATACTGTGCCATAGTTGCAACTAGGGACTTCCATTCTACGAAATCGGGGTGTGTAGTCAGAGACTCCGATGAAGCAGAGTAAGGCAGGCGAAGGTTCGGTTTACACAGATGGTCTGGAGAGAGATTCATCAGCAAGAGACTCAGCCAGGAGGAATGACATTTTGTTGACGCCATACCGATAATGAAGATTATGTTGGATTCTTTCTCATTGTCAGTCCCTTCGTAAACCCTGCGCAACATGTCGACAGCTTCCCTCAATTGCCAGAGGCCTCCCTGTCGTGCATCAACCCCGAGATCAAATGTCAATCGCTGCCTTCCAAGCCATTTCAACCCCTCGATGAAATCCGACTGTAGCATGACCCCCGCCGGCTTATCCTGGACCAAATAACGAACCCCTCGAACCTTGTTCCATACTTCCTCCGTCCCGGTCCTCTCCTTCACCAGGGCAAGATATCTTTCCAGCGCAACCGGTCCCCCAGGCACTGGAGCCCACGGAACGAACCCTAGACAGAGCCGATGGTCATCCTCTCGGTGTCCTTCTCCAGGGATGGGCGTTCCGACAATGATCCTAGCCAACAGAGAGACCTCATCCAGCGCATGTGACCAGCACTTTCCGGATTCTTCATCCACCGCGGAAATACGGTCGGTTTCGAGGAATATGAAGCCCCGGAGATAAGTAGATTGTGATGAGTCTGGTGAGGGGCTACTCGATACTGTCGCAATGCGGTACTCGTCGATTGAATGTTGGGAGGCGAGGGGGCCGTCTGGATCATACCAAGCGAGCGTGGGGAGATGAGACTCCGGGAAAAGATGGATGTGAGAATCCACGATGGGAATCGCCATGGTGGGGGATGGAACCGGATTGAACAGACATGGATGGATGAATATTTGAATGAATGAATGAGGGGGTAGATGGATAAATAGGCCATGTCGGGGCCCATTCGACCGAGCCGGTGTGTCTTTCGCTCGGGCCTTCGATTCTATCTATAAAGACGTCATGCATCACCGTGTCGTGCATCCTCCGTGTTCCTGGGGTCAGAGAACCCCCGCAAATATCAGCGATTGAACCTCGGATAGAAAAAAGGCCTCTCCCTCGGAGCCGCTCATTCCGCAATCCCAGGCCCCCTCTTTCGCCACCAATCAGTAAGGTGGATGTATCTAAGAGCGATCATATGAGAGAAGTAGGGGATAAAAAGGACGCCCCGTCTGAGAGGCTTGCTTGATCTTCCTTATCTTTCCCATCACTCTGTGCTCCCATCCTCTACGCCTCTTTTAGTTTATTTTGATCGTACTGTCTCTGTACGGTAAAGATATACCCAACATGGCTGAAATCGAGATCCCAAAGAAACAAAAAGCCGTCATCTACGACAATCCTGGTACCATCTCTACCAGAGTGGTAGAGCTCGATGTCCCTGAACCCGGTGTGGGACAAGTGTTGATTAATCTGTATGTGAACATATACACTGGAGATTACTCTCAGATCTAACGAGAGTGAAAGGACCAACTCGGGAATATGCCACTCCGATTTTGGTATTATGACCAACACCGTAGGTGATGCAGAGACGCTCTCGATCTTTCCTTGTTCGGCGTTGGTTTGCTGATACGTCGCAGTGGAAGATTCTCCCATATCCCACTCAGCCTGGACAGGTGGGCGGCCACGAAGGAGTCGGCAAGGTCGTCAAGCTCGGTCCTGGTGCCGAGTCTTCTGGTCTGAAGATCGGTGACAGAGTCGGGGTCAAGTGGATTGCTAGTGCCTGTTTAAACTGCTGTATGTATTCCATTCCGTATCTCCACAGTGGTTGACAGAAGATGCAGTGCCATGCCAAGCGGGCTCAGATGGACTCTGCTTCTCCAAGAAGATCTCAGGATACTATACTCCCGGTACATTCCAGCAGTATACTTTAGGCCCAGCCAACTATGTGACACCGATCCCCGACGGGCTGGCGTCGGAGGAGGCAGCTCCCATGCTCTGCGCAGGGGTGACGGTCTACGCCGCTCTCAAGAGAAGCAAAGCGCAGCCTGGACAGTGGGTGATCATTTCTGGTGCCGGCGGTGGCTTAGGCCACATTGCCGTGCAACTTGCCGCCAAGGCAATGGGTCTCCGCGTGATTGGAATCGACCACGGCAGCAAAGAAGAGCTGGTCAAGGAGTCCGGCACAGAGCATTTTGTGGACATCACCAAGTTCCCCACCGATGACAAGGGGGAAGCCATTACGGCTCATGTCAAGTCCCTCACCGATGGGCTGGGAGCCCATGCTGCCCTGGTCTGCACGGCCTCCAATGCAGCGTATGCCCAGGCAATTGGGCTCCTCCGGTTCAACGGCACTCTCGTATGCGTGGGGATTCCCGAGAATGACCTCCAGCCTATTGCAACCGCGTTCCCCGGGGCGATGATCGCCAACCACATCACCATCACTGGATCCGCCGTGGGCACTCGGGCGGATGCCGTTGAGACGTTGGATTTTGCCGCACGGGGCATTATTAAGGCCCACGTCCGAACGGAGAAGATGGATGCCTTGACGAGTATCTTTGACGACATGCACCATGGTAAGCTACAGGGCAGAGTAGTTCTGGACCTGTCTTAGGTAGGAGTGGCGTATATTACTGTGTAGTTTGGGGTTTAAGTATATATGTGTGTATGTGCTAGTTGCAAGCAAGGTGTGTACAATCTGGGTGGATTATGTATCTAAACATTAATGTGAATGAATTGGAGGTTTAACGACTCAACCAATGTATGGAATATGATATAATTATATCCTTGAACCCAACAAGGCTAGAAACCCTGGTAAAGGACAAACTCCAAGTAAATAAATAAATAAAACGGGAGAGAATATACATAGTTACGTAGAATGAAGCAAGGGAAAAAGAATTGGCCGACGCAGAAATCACCCGCAATCTCGTGATTACATAAGTAAACACACTTGACGTCATTGCTTCGACTACGTAATCCATGAAAGACTAACTATTAACTGCTTCTCCGAAACTCTCACCACGGTACTCTGTCCTGAATCGAGGTTCTTGGACCAAAATCTGGACCCATGGTGCTAGTTCGTGACTAGTGTCATACCCAAAGTTCTATGGATAAAGTAGTGGCAAGTGCACGAAAGAAGAGAACCAGTCCAGCTGGAATTCGATGACTACATGGAGATATTGTATCCGTGGAAAACGGTTTAACCACCTGGGCAAACAAGAGAGAGATTCGCTTGATGTTGCCTTCCGATGTCGCCGTGGCTGGCCGTTACTCTCCCCCACCAGATTCGGCTCGACGTACCAGCATATTTAATTTGAGAATAAAGGCCCTGGGAGCTCGGTTCACTTCGTTCTTGTGTAGGATTGCTTGCAGTTTAGATCGGAATTGATGAAGATCGGCCCCCTGCAATTGCTCAAGAGTATCCAGAATAAAACACTCCCCCGTCTCATCAGTCCTACCGACAAGCTGATAGTACAGATTGCGTTGATCCTCGTCCTCTCCCTGCAGTGTCGCTTGTCCCCATAGATTGCCATCCAATGCATCCTTGTTGCGGATGCAGATATCTTCCAGCAACGTGACCAAGGCTTTCGCGGCCCCTTCCATGCCATGCGGTGCTCGCGCAGTAATATTCCATTGTATTTGGTCTACGTTATGCCGTAGCTCTCGGATGATGTTGGCGACGCTCACGCTCGTCCCACTGTCCGGCCTTTGTCCTGTTTGACAATAGATATCGAAGTCGGCCAACAATTTTCGTGACTTCTCCTGAATCTTGTCAAAGTAGATTGCCGCACAAGCCCCTGAAGGCATTGCTTTACATAGACTGGAATAGACCGCGTCGTCGTGCACAGCCAGACGAAAGACGGTGGCTTCGAAGTCCCCCTGCACCACACATTGCTCTGGGGTGCGTAATTGTGCCGTGTCATCCCTCAAATCGAGGCGAAAATCCTCCGGCAGTACAGCCGTGCTGAACGCAGAAAGAATATCTCGCACCTTCTGGGGGCGACTCATTCCTCCATCTGCCTCGGAGCGTACATACTGCCAACCCAGCTGATCCGCCACCCACTCGAGTTTACCATTGAGGAGTAGCTCGATGCGCGGAAAATTTATGATACAGCCGTCGCTAGCCAGCGGGATCGGGGAGGCACGAAGCTGAGGGAGAAGACAGCCATAGAGCCGATCAAGGAGCCACTTTCTGCATGTTAGCAAAAAAACACTAACAGAGGATAGTTTCTCTTCTTTTTTTTTCGACTTACAAAAATATGCTGGCAGGCCACACCGCGCTGATAGGAGAATGTTGAGCAAGTGCACGTAGAGGTATTCGAGCCAAGGTGAACTTGAGACCGCTCGGTCAACTGAAAGTCATATCCTGTTGGCGTTGAGCAGCAAGTGACGACATCGAACTGGGTGGAGAACCCGACAATGACCCTCGCCTCCGACTCAGGATCCAGACTGGCCAGGTCATATGTGATGCCTGACTTCCCTGTCATAGTCAAGGATCCAGCTAAGCCTTCTTCCGCTGCACTTTCTCCACTACCGCTTTCCATCTGATCACTGTAGATTCCGCTGTCTGTGTGCGGTGTTCTCTGCTTAGGCGGTCGTGTTCGAGGCAAGGAGTTACCGATGGAAAGCTTGCAGAGCTGCCTGGTAGGGGCGGACATGGAGAATAGTTATAGCACTAGAAGTAATAACAACCGTGGTATATACATGGACCAGGAGAACTGGAAACTCCGACGGACCATCTTGATTTATATAGAGTTTGTTCCGAGCCATGGATGGAAGCGGCTGCGGGCAACTTTGTCCCAGGCCCGGGGTTGGTATTTGCTTGAGCCGCGCCGTCAGTGATATTCTCCTTTGCCGCATGACGAAAGTGAAGTAGCTCCTAGCTGGGAAGATCACCGAACGAAAGTTGCGCAGAGGAGGAAAGGACGCTTCCCACCAGCCTTGACTCATTGGACTGGCGCAGGGATAAGAAAAAAGAACCACGGCGCTGGAAAGCATAGACAGCCTTCTGAAATCATAGGATGTAACTTTAACGTCCAACGGCGATGCAGCTAAGGGAATTGCGAGAGGATATTAGGTTTGCGGCGCAAACCTCGACAGGAGGAAGGCCCGGGACGAGAGCCACTGATTCGGACGGAAGGTGTAGGAGTTGGATTGGGCCTCGGACGATGCGGCGCAATCTTGATCTCTAGGGAAACCAACCGGCTCGGGATGTTTGTGGTGGTTGGATTTGGCGGCGCAGGTTCTCAGCTCCTCCGTGCATCCAGAGTGGCGCAGTCAATGTCGTGGTAGAATGTGATTGTGTGGCCTTGCCCCAGCTGAGTAGTTGGAGGCTCCTACCATTCAACCTGTCATAGTCAGTTTGCATCTACAATGCACGTTGGTATGAATCTCCCATGACTTGTTCTTGTCATAAGTACTAGATTTAGCAACAGTCACTGAAAGGAACTACCGCTGTCTACTTTAAGAGGGGCAAAGTAGGAAAGTCTTGAAATATGCCGTGTGCATAGTCATAGGAGAATTGCATAGTCAAAAGAGAGAACAAGGCCATGCAGCATGCATGACATGGTGGTGCACTGCTCCAGGGTATAGAACAAAGACCATACGTGTGGAGAGTCACAGTCACCTACAATGTAGAAACTATACACTATAAATCTGTGACACAAAAGAAGATAATACGTGGGAAGACGAAGACGGGTATTGAGAAGGAAATTCGTCAAGTCATGAATATGTACGGCCATTGTTGATCACCATGGAAATGGTCACAGTACAGCAGAGAAAAAAAGAGAAAGAGACGTAGAGATATTTGGCAGTGTGGATGATTAGGGGTTATTATTATGTCTGGCGGCATTTCTCTTCTTTGCGTCCTCCAGCGCCTTCCGAAGCCGCTCTTGATGCGCTACATCTTTGGATTTGCGAGGCTCGATTGTAGAGGGTGGGGGACCCGGCAATAGCGATTCAGCAGGATGGCTGGGAGGGGCGGTTTCTGGCGATGCGGGTTGCTCTACAACCGAAGCTTTATCGAGCGACTTGAGGAGCTCGTTTATCGTGGCGGTGATGTTGGCAGGGCCAGCACGGACACTCTCCAACTTGGACCGGAGATCGCTCTGGATTTTCGCATCTTCTTTGGCTTTCTCATTATCCAGCTGGCAGAATATATCTGCATCCGCGTTGGAATAGCGCGCTTCGGCGACCGACACGTGATAATCCGCATCGTTGAGCGTCGAATCGGCAATGCCAAAACTGTGCAGGATTGACTCAGAATCTTCACGCAGAGATTCCACCAACTTATAGACCGACTTCAACATCTGCTCAATCTCTGAGTCTACTAGGCCCGACGAGCGGATGGCTATAGCATCTATCCTCGACAATTTTGTGGACACCTCATCCAGCAGACTTTGATTTTCCCCCAGCCCATGCATGATTGCATCGTCAAACGAATCCATGAGTCGATTGGCCCGGTCGTCACGGTCTTTGGCCGCCTCGAGGATATTTCGCCGCTCCATTTGATCAAAATCACCGTCCAGGCGTTTCAGAGCCGGGGAATCACCCATGAACACCAGGGGTCGCCTCTCAGCCTTCTTGCGTCTGCGCTCGAGGTCCAAGGCAATTTCAAACCGCTTTTGGTAGCGCAACTCGAGTTTCTGGTAAACCTCATTTACAACCTTCATGGTATGGGATAGATTATACTTGTCTGTAACCGAGTCCTTGATCTGGCTGTTTTCGTGGTCGAGTTGACCAAGTGCCGAGTCGTAATGGGTCCGGAGGGCGCACAGTTCATCATCCAACCGCTTTTCCAGCGGATCGAAAACATTCGCCACAAAGTCGTCGAGCTCCCGCCTTTCCTCGTCCAGTTGGACTCGAGCCTCCGCTTGGCGAAACTCTTCTTCTAGGACATTGATGTCCGCATAACCTATCTCCTTACCATTGAATAAAGCATCAATGTGTTTCTCCGATTCCTCTTGCCGCCGTATACGTTCCTTGTCTAGCCCTTCCTTGCGAGGTTTATTCGCCATTTCCCAGGACTTGACCGTCTCCTCGATATAGCCAAAGTCGTCTGGATGTTTCTCTAGCTCCTCTCTGGTGGTCTTATGCCATGAGCTTTCTGATCGTTTCGCCAAGGGCGATGAAACCATAGAGCGCAGCTCATCGACTGCATGTGCCGGTCTCCCTTGCCTGAGAGATATTGGCAGGGGCGGCGGAGACGACGTTTTCCGGGTAGTCTTTGTGCGATAAGCCACACTTTTTTCCCGGATAAGGCCGATAAAAGTTTCATCATGTTGATTGGGTAGCGTCGATGACGCAGTTGGACTGTCCTTCTCCTGTGAAGACACGGGTGGAGCATTCGACATGACTCGGCCACTTTCTGCAGATGCCTGTCGCAAGGCGGAGTATGCCTGATAGGCGGGAAGATCGAACACCAGATGATCAGAGCCCCGTTGTGGACCTTCGGTGTAACGAAATGGAGTATAAATTGGCTGCGGGGGGTGGGTCGTCAAAGGCGACAGGCAGTGTTTATGTATCGAGTCATTAGTTGAAGGCGGAACTGACGTCGATCTCGAGAAGTGACCCTGCACCAAGCGTTCCGGGCCATACTTTGGACCGGCCGGGTTCGAAACGGACCGTTTTATACCTGCAAGACTAGGCGTATGGAGCCTGGGAAGTATGGGACGGCCCCCTGGACTATATCTCCCGTCCACAAAATCTTCCGCAATATCGTCCAAAACATCACAGTCCTCCTGTGATTCGATCGGTATTAGACCTGATTCTACTGACGGGGGGCCTTGACCGGATACTTGACCGGAGAGTTGCGGGCCCGTCGTTGGTTGTTGATCGGCATCTTTCTCCTCGTGCCCAATATTATACAAGATCTCGCGAAGCTTCGTCTCCTTGGCTACGAAGGCTGTGAAGATATTGAAACGTTCTGCGTCAGTGTCTGCCACCGCCTCTTTGCGTAGCATTGCCACATAGCGTTCCAACGAGGATTTGGACCAAGGGTCTAGGTCTTCATAAGGATCCAGTAGCTTGACTTGTGGTGACGAGGGTTGAGATTTCATGTCTTTCTCGTGCGAGGTACCACTAGACTGGGTTGGAACTTCCTTTCGAGGGATCGCAACATCTTTCTTCGACCTGGGAATTTCAAGGGGACTAAGTTTCGGAAGGGGGGATGACGGCACGTTTCCGGGATTGAAATGGGTGTCGCTCTGAATATTAGATGGGGTAGGCTCCGCTGAGACCGGTCGATTCCACGCCTCAATAACACCATCAATAATCTCGGAGGTCTCCGTTGCAGAGGCTGAACAGAAGATTGACTCATTCGTCTTCACTCCGGCCGGTGGAGGTGGTTCAGAGATACCCTGGTTGGTGCCTGGACTGATTGGTGAGACCTTGAACTGGTCTTGCATCGCTGTAGTGTCTTGGGCGTGTACAGACTGGATTGTTGGTGAAACGTTCGAAAAAGGTGTAGAAATTGCAGATTGCGCATATATATGGGGTACAGTTGCTGCATAGCTCGGTTGATATTCAGAAGCTGTTGTCGAGCTGGCAGTAGTGTCTTGTTTCGATTCAAACACTCTCTCATCATAAACATCCCCTGGGGGAGGTGACAGATGCTCCCAGTCCGAGGGTGTAAAAGTACCAAGCGAAGAACTCGTTGGAGCGATACTAGCACTGGCTTTCGGGGGAATTGGCGGTGCTGTCATCGGTACGGATCCATATGTTTCCATATTTCCAGTGGATACCGGGACATGCTCGGATGGTGGCACTTGAGGAAGTGGGCGTTCAGCGGGAGAGTACACATTGTGTTGTTGCGAGCTCGAATCTCTGTGTTGGCCGAAAGAGGTTGTGTATAATGAGGTAGATGGCTGTTGCGATGGCTTACTGTTCGGCTGCGATACCACACTCTGATAGGCGGGAGGAAGAGGTGGTGGCGGCGGTGGTGGTCCTGGCAATGAGCCCCCCCGAGGTGTGGGCGTGTATATGGTGCATTTGCTGGCAATGCTTGTTGATACTGCTCGGCTGTGGGAAGCTGTGGAGCAGCGGGTAGAGGTTTGTTAGCATCTGAAGAGCTCCATATTGGAGACTGTGGATTAGGAGCCTTTCCGGGAGTACTAGAAGGTCGGGGCTGTCCGATATTATTGGTTTAGTAGGATATCAGGAGCCATAAAAACATGGCAGGGACCACCTCTTACTTGACACTTACCGGCAGCGGTGGAGGTGTTTGAATATGATGTTGCCTATTATAACGTACTCCCCAGGAGGATGTGTCTACCGCAGTAGCCGGTGACGAATTTGTTTCGATGCTCGAAACAGGAGGTGAATTCGGATTATAGACGGAAGGATTAAGTGGAGGGCGAGGAGGTGGAGGAGGTTGCTGTTGCGCAGTTGAAGGCAGACGCCATTCTGGCTGAGGAGGACCCGGACTTTGTTGACCGGATGGAGTTGAAAAAGGGGGGCAATCCGTACATATCTAGAAAATTTCGGGGTCAGGGTAATGAAAGGACCGAGGCAATGAAAGGAAATCGAACTCACCGAAGCCGTGAAGATCAAAGAGCCCAAGAAGAAAAGAGTCTGGAGAAATGAAGCTGCGGTGGACTAAATTATTAAATCAAACGAGGTCTGCTGACTCGAGCCCCACGGAGGCCCCGATGACCGAGTTGGAGATTCACGAGAAGAGGCTTCGATTCGATGGGATGGGGTGGGATGGGATGACGCTGGCCATAGGGCCACTTGATGATGAATTTATAGCCATCACAACTGATCCATGTGGTGAAAGAAGAACAAAGCGTCTCCTGCATTGGCGGGCGCCCCGCATCGGCCCTAATCTATACTACCTAGAGGAAAAACCTGACAGCACGTTCGCTCGATTTGAAGACGAGAGGAGCAAAGTAGGATATATATAAATAATAATGCCATTTCGGATTCCATTATATGCATACACACAAACACAGATTAAGCCCAATAAAAATCAGTAGAATACACATCCCCTATCCAATAGCGCAGCCGAATGGACAAAATCTGGGATGACAACAGCGAGCACATGTAGAAATAACGCACGAATCGTATACAAAAAAAAAAAAAAAAAAAAAAAAAAAAAAAAAAAAAAAAAAAAAAAAAAAAAAAAAAGGACACTTCCAGGGGTGGAAGGATCCATGCTTTCCCAAGTAACGTCGGGACCGAAGACAAACCCACCATCGTAGTCACCATCTTACGAACTCACTCTCATGCGTCTGCCCAACTTTTCCAGTTCGCCGATCACGCCGCCGCCTGCCAAGCTCCACTTCTCACCAACCCATTCATCATTGATATTTGCCTGGAGAAGTCCGCTGCGGGCAAAGTACTCCAAATATCCCCGTGCCTCGCCCCGAGTGAGACCACCAAGGGTCTGGAGCTCCAGCATACCTTCCTTGGGGACGGTGGGCTTCGGAGAATTGAATGCGTCAAGAACGCGTTGGTCAGCCCGGCTATAAGGATCAGCTTGAGGGAATTCTGGAGCCGAGGGTTTAACACCAGCATGGCGAGCTTCCACCTGCTCCAAGGCGACTTCGAAGCTGTAGACAGTGGGGTTGTTGGAAGCCGACGTGGCGTACAAGAGCAGACCACCGTTGGGGAAAGTAGGCTTTTCCGACCCGGGCTTCATGAGGGACAGGAAATGACGCACAAACACGAGGTCATGAGCATGAATGGGTTCAAACTCAGCATTGCGGTACTCTGAGTTCTTCATCCAGTGGGCCAATCCATCCGCAGTAACAAGCATGGGGGGGCGCGGCTTGAAATTCTTTTCAAACCCAGGCGCCGCGGAGGTCGCGGTGAGCTCAGACCATAATGCCTGGAAAACGTTCCAGCCAATAGCAGGATCTTGGATCCCCAAACGCGCAAGTTGCTCCAGAGTCATGCCAGGTTTGGTGGCGGACTTGAGAGCAGGATGCTCCTGAGAGACATGAAGGCTTTTCAGAACCTCTTCATTGGCAGAAACCGTGCGGGACAGCAGAGCAGCAGTTGCTGCATTCTGAACATATAAATGTGGTGTCTCATCGGAAAGTGGAGCGTATCCAGTGCTCGCAGTGACCAGATCCTGGGCTAGAAATATCGTCAACACATGCATCGATTTCTTTGTTAAAGGAAATATAGAACCAGGTGATTTTGGCTTATACTTACGCTCAGGCACAGTCAAGACAATCCACTTCTTGGTAAAAGCCATCGCCATAGCCTGCAGCAGGTGAACAGTCTTTCCGGAGCCTCTCACGCCGGTGATGATCTTCTTGACCGACTTTCCTTTATCCTCACCCTCGCCAGAAATCTTGTCAAATAACCGGGCCAATTCTAGTGTCTCCCTCCTCACAACCGTGCCTGGACGACGGAATATCGACCAGCCCTGCTTAGGTTTGAAAGCCTCTGCCGCTCGCAATTGGGTGAGCATTGGTAGGGGAAGAGCAAGGACGGATCCGCGAAGTCGGGAATCCACCATTGTCTCCGCTGAAAGTTCCTGTATGTCCTCGACCTCAAGTGCATTCGGGTTGCTGAGAACAAGTCGCTTCCGCTGTGCTTTGCGTTCTCCAACCGGAGGCGGCCGCGGTCTGTCGGTTGGCTTCTTCTTTTTCATCCGGGCAGATTTGGCCTCACGGTACTTTGGAGGGCCCGCAATCGTATTTTTCTTCTTCAATACATTCGAATAGCGAACTGTGGATGTATGAAACGACGCAGCTCTGGGGGCTGCTATCGGGGGAGGCAGAAGAGCTTGACCTGTCGGACGAAGCCGTGTGAGGCAGCCCCAGCAAAAGGACGAAACCATTGTGCTAGAACACACTGGCACAATGGCCAGTGTCTTAACTGACAATGGGAATGATAAGGAGGTTAAAAGGGGTGGAGGGAGTGCAAGGCCTCTCGCAGACTAATGGTGTTAGATTGAAATTAAAGCACATTTTGGAACTCCAACTGAGGCTTCTCGATTACCAACCCTGGACTAGCTAACGCCGCTTTTAACATTGATGGCGGTGAGATCTACTCTTTAGGGCGGCCGTCCAAAATTTTGTCTCTGTGATGAGCTTATTTTTTTTTTACCCTTCCGCTTCGGCTTTTTGTACCAATTTGCATTCCACTCTGTTCTTCCATCATACTTTGTGCGCTTTCTGGCCAGGTCCTCGGAGTGATTTCAGCTGTGCTGTCGATCGCCATGTCTGAAATTGAAGCGGCCAATAAGGCCTCTGAGGCGGCTTCGTCCTCGAAGCCCAAGCCGGAGAGATTGTGAGTAGACGACCTATACATGCGCTCGTCCAAATATATATACCACGCATCCACACTAGATACTAACCTTTTGGCGTGAATAGGCCTGTCACTGTGTCTAAACCCACCCCGTACACTTTTGACCTGGGCCATCTCCTCGCAAATGATCCAAACCCTATTGAGACATCTCGCTTGGGCCCGCTGAACACGTCCTTGAAGGCCACAGCTCGCGATGGCGTGCAGTCTCTCCTAAATCAACTATTGACGACCTGCCCTATTACTTCTTCCCAACAAGGTGTTCTCCTAACGCTCCCTTCTCCTTCAACTATCCTTCCTCGTCATAAGCCGTTGCCGAAGCCCAAACAACCAACCAAGTGGGAGCTGTTCGCGCGCAAGAAGGGCATTGGAAAGTATAGTTCGAAACCTGGAGCTGCACAGGCAGACAAGGAGCGCCGAAAGAAGCTGGTATATGATGAAGAAAAGGGCGAATGGGTGCCACGTTGGGGCTATAAGGGAAACAACAAAGCCGACGATGATTGGCTGGTCGAGGTGAACGAGAAGGATTGGAAGAATGAGGAAGATGCTGCGGTTAAAGGAAGCTCGATCCGTGGTATGTCGCGCGCCGAGCGGAAGGACAGGATACGTCGGAACGAGAGAAAGATGCGAGCCAATGAGCGGAAGTCAAGGGGTGCTGGGAGCGGATGAGAGCATGGCGATATAGATTATGAATACTTTGACAGCCGAAGATTCTCTGTGAATCGGAGCTCGTTCTTAGTCTTTATTTGTCGATTGGGCTTGTCAAGGCGTTTGGCACTGGAGTCGTCGGTCATGGATGTCAATTTGCCCCTAGGGATGGACTAACATAATGCCTTGGGCTATAAAAAGTACTACAGTGTCTTTTTGGGCCAATGGTCAGAAATAGCATAGTTCATATGTCTTATACACGCCAAAATACGGTTAGTCTATTATCGTTCCAGAAACCTGCTTACTATTCTCATTCAAAATCAACCCTATTTCAACGTACGATCATTCACTTGCCTATGTTACATGTATGTACTGGTAGTGCATCCTAGAATGTTGAAAAGAAGCAAGAAAATTGAGTAAAAATGCCCGTAAACAAGCGCTGAAAGGAGGTCCAATGGGGAATCAGTGGTTGGCCATACTACTGTTGGAAAAACAGCAAAATTTCCATGCATGCGTATAAAGCTGAGCACAGTGCAATTCCAAAAAAAAAAAAAAAAAGCAAGCAATGCCAACTTCAATTTGTACAACTGTGGGAACAACTAGAACCTTGAAGAATGTCAACCGACTCCATAGGCGCCAGGTATGCACACTGTAATGGAAAAGTACCACCCACCCCCCAAAAAAAGGGGGCAAATGAGATGGTGGGTGTAGGTATAGAGTAGGTATAGAATAGGTATAGAAGGATGGGGGGATGTGGTTGAAGAGAGGGACCAAGGCGCTAGCCCATATTTTAAGTAACGAGTAAGTGTCTAGGCATATCTGATGCCAGCACATGGAACTGTGCTCCGCAGAGGATGTGTAAAATAAATTGCGAGAATTTCTGGTTCACGGCTTAATTCTGGTAATGATATTGAACCTGCGGATCCAGTCCGAGACTATCAATTTGACGCATTCTTTGCATGGCCCACTAAAAGAAGAATAATATAAAAGTAGGCCCGCCAGGTTTGGAAACCCACTACATGCAATCATGAAAGCAATAGATGTCGATGTGTCAGATAAAGTAGATGTTATGTTATGCCAATGTAGATGGTTTTGGCCCAAGCTCGGCAGATTCACACATGTAGAGCTTTTCTCATATCCGAATGGGCGAAAGTGGAGGTCCAAGTTCTGGAAGCTGAGAGACACTCCTAGTATGGGTTGTCTCAATGTTCTTGGGCTTTTGCTTCAAGGGCTTTGCGGTCTCGGTGCGAGGCGGTTCCTCTTCCACGGCAAGTTGGCTGCTACCCGACGAAGATATGGCTCTTTCATCCACGGTTGATGCTTGAGGAGATACTTGAGACAAATTCTCTCTTGATTGCGTTGCCTTCTCTTTGTCATCCATTTCTTTTTCTGCCTGGAGGTACTCTTTCTCAGTCCAGCAACCTTGCCAGCAGTTCTTCCAGTCACAGACAAGGAAATTGAAGCAGAACGCATCTATTTTCATGCAGGGCTGAAAGCATATGCAGAGGTTGCGATAGTCCATCTTGTTTTGTTCCACATATGAATGGAGAAGGTTCAGATGACAGGTAATGGCAAAGAGAAGGTAATAGTGGTACGGTGGCAATTTGGAGAGCTCATCCTTTAGCATCTGAGGAGCAGTAGTTGCCCCTTCGCATTTCTCTGCGATCATGGCTTGAATTTCCTTAGGGAAAAGCTCATCAGGCAGCTCTCGAAGCCAAGCCTTGAACATAGAGCCAATGGTGTTGATGTCATACAAATCCGGCACGTCAAAAAGATTGATATCATATTCTTGGCTAATGTTAGCCATTTACCACATCGAGGCTTGATGCTACTCACCTGTATCGAAACGTCGTTGCCAATGCTTTACTTCTTTCCCACTACCTGGGACTCGATAGAGTCCTTCCTCTTCGCATCCTTTAAAGTTTAGGTAGCTGATGTAACATTAGTAATTGTACTTATAAAAGAGGCAGCGCCTTACTCTATGCACCGATATGGTAGAGCCGGCATCCAGAACTCTGTTTTGTCTTTGCAGTCTTCGAGTCGCTTCGCTATGCGAGTTCGTCGCGCTTGTTCAATGAGCGGTAAATTGATCACAGAGCAGATATAGTTGTCATCGGTAATGAGATCCCGCTCATTCGTGCTACCGCTCCGAGTGATTTTGCCAAAAAAACCTTTGCCCGCCTTACCGATCCGATCTGCGGCGCCGCTCGAGGATTGCTTGATATTGTTGAAGAGTGCTGCTGAAGCACCAGACACTTGACTCAAGGAAGCGGACGGCACCATCGACCCTCCATGGTGTCTGTCCTTCCTGATAGGACCACCACTGATTTCCACAGAACGATCGGAGCCATGATTGCGATGTGCTGAATTCGCTGTGCTCTTGTTCCCCCGCTCTGGCCGTGTTGACGTTGTTTTTTGTGTCTCCTGCATCTCCCGTCTACCGTTTTCTTCGAGTCTCATGAGGCTGGTAGATGGACGGCGATTTGCTATTCTGTTTACAGTAGAGTCGTCTACCCTGATTGAGCGAGATCGGGAGAGAAGGTTGGCAAATCGTGGCTTATTTTTCCTAAGAGGCTGTCCGGTCTCAGTCTCAGTCCCCACTTTCTTGATGTCTGCTGGGTGGAAATATTTTTCTTCAGAGATGTTTCCGTCTATAGGGAAAACGTTAGCCTGTACAATGTGAAAATGCGATTTTGGCGTGCTTACTGGTCTCCTCCTGTGTGGCACGCTCGATAGCACTAGGAAGATCTGGTGTCGATTCGTATAGCTTGGATGAGATCTGTGTCTTGCGATCTCTCGAACTACCGCGACTCTTGGGCTTGTCCCCCGAATTTTCCGAACTGTCTGATACCTGGCCTTTATGCGAAGTCTTCGGTGCCTTGAGAGTTGCGAAGAAGGATCGCGAAGGATCGCGGCTGTGCTTTGGAGAGTCCTTGGGTGAGGGGGGGTACTGAGGAATAGCCGTGAAGCCCGGGGTAGGAGGTTCCGTAGCAAGACTTGGAGATACCGGGAAGGTAGGACTGCTCGACTTGCTATTGGACTCCTGGGCGACAGGTCGAATTGTGGCTCCTTTGAGGAAAGGTGAACTAGACGAAGACTTAGGAGAGCGCGGTGTCAAAGGACTCTGTCCGTCCGAGCTTTGGGCGCCGGGGGTTAGTGGAGACAAGATCTTCGCACTTGTCTGTAAGGTGGAAGAGCTGAGATCTAAATTGGGAACAATGGAGTTTCTTGACGGCATTTTAGACACTATCGGTGTCTTCGTTGGTGACCCGAAACAGGGACGGGTAATATTCAGGGGGCGGACAGAATAACTGATAAATCAAGCCGTTTCGACAGAAACCTAAAATCTATTCACTAAATTATTAATAACATTGAATGTAAAGCTTATAAGTGAATGCCGTTTTTCAGTATTTTTTTGTATCGCAACCACTGACAGCAGTTTCTCTAGACGGAGCTTACCTGGAAGTATTATTATGTCTCCTCAAATCCTTCAAGCATAGATATCCTAGCTTTGTTGTCCCTCCCCTAAAAGGTAACCAAGTCCGAAGGATGAATACCGTCAATTTATTATTTATGATAAAATGATTGGATAGAGCCAGCCTTGCCAATCTTTCTATGCGGGTTGGTTTCGTCAACGGTGTCTCACATGAAAAGGTAAAGGTCAATCTTGGATGAGAAAAATATCAGATCGTTCAGGTCTAAGTGATAGACATATATGCTGTCAGTACTTGTGGTCAGGAATGAAACAGATTGCCGGGACGAGAGACGGGAGAAGTGGGCGCAAAGCAGTGTAGACAAAAGTAGGGGTACATGGCATCAATGATTTGGAACTATCAGAAAGTTCTACACCATCATAAGTCACCTCTTGGTATGCGTCGAAAAATGAAAAGTAAGCCAAGAGAGACCGCTTTTTAACAATGGGATATTCATGAAGGCCTTGTCCTCAAAACAGAGTGATATTATCACGTACCAGGATGCGTGTCCCCTCATATTATCTAGGTCTTGAATGCTCTCCTCGGTTATTCCTCTTTCACTTCACTTGAGTATAGGATTGATGAACAACTTTGGTTATTTTTCTCGATAGATAAAGTCGACGTTTGCTTGGTTTATTTTGTACTTTTTTTTTTTTTTTTGCCGCCCTGTGTGTAGGTGTTGAGACGGCGGTCGGTAAGAGAGGGAGGCCGAACCAAGGAGGCTAAGAACTCCAGCGTTTAAACCTGTGGAGCGGAGGCGAAGAAATCAAAGTGAACGAAAGTAAAACAAAAGAAAATGAAGAAAATGAGAATGGGAAAGGATGTGGGACGACGTTGAAAAAAAAAAGAAAGAGAAAGAGGGAAAAAAAGGAAAAGGAAACCAAAGGGATCTTAATGGATTTCCAAAAGGAAATGTTGTGATTAAGAGAAAGAGGCACGAGAGAGCAATACAACACGGCTCTAAAAGTATTCAGACTCGAACGTCGCAGCGACGACACATTCCTCGACAACGTTATGCAAGCGCGGCTGTGTGTCAGACTAAGAAGCACCTGTCGTCTTTTTAAGGGGCGAACCGACGGTGGAGATGGCGTTGCGCAAGGATCCAGACTGGTTACTTTCGTGGCTTCAGAAGACTATGGATGTACAGAGTATGGAAAGCCTATCTGATTAGTGCCCTAGCCGGCGCCATTCCAAAAAGTATTGAAGTTTCTATGCTTTTACTCAATCGGACAGTTCGGGTTTACTAGATGGTCTCCATAGAGTTCACCAGATCTAGGTATTGTAATATCTCGATTAAAGATTAAAAAGGGGAGGGTGGAGGGGGAAAGAGTAGCAAAATAATTAGAATGCGAATCGGTGGCTTTGAGAGGAGGCGGATGACGTTGGGTCAACCCACAACTGATCAACGTACTCTGGAGTACCTGGTCAAGTGGGATCCTCAGGCACGAAGTACCAAACCAGACGAATCTACTTTGTGTTCTAAAGATAGTCTTCTGCCATGTGCGCAGCTTTGTTGTATCACAATTGTCTCCGAAGAGGAACACTCTTCAGCCCTAAATGTTTATGTCTCACCTATACGAATTGCTTTTTGTTGATGTTTTGATTTTGTTGCATCCTGCAGTTGGCACTTGGTACAAGGATGTACACCGAAAGATCGGGAAGGACCCATTGAAATGCTAGCGGTGACAACTACTGGCCAGAAAGATCGGGTCTGGCAGTTGGTGCCATGGGCGGTATGATGTACACCCCCGTCTGGGTATAGCTAAATCCCGGCTAAGATACTCTTGCACTGTCAACCACGGATTGGCCAACCAGTGTCGAGAAGAGCCCCATAACACAGCCGAATAAAATGATGTGCCTGACAAGGACGTTGAGTACTACTAGTGTACTAAGTGCCTACGTACTCGTACCTAGACTAGCGATTTTAGTTGTTCTTTTGTAGCTAACTAGCATTCATCATTGCATCGGGGGAACATAATTAATAAACAAAGCGCTTACTTCAACAAGTGTTTTATCTCTCTTTATTTCTCTTTCGTCCTTCTTGCTGTTTTCCCTACTGATATAGAAAAAATAAAAAATAAACCGCTCTCAGAATCATCCGATCCATGATCTTTAGAAAACCTCCATAATAAAACAAAGGCACTTAACCATGGCATTTGATGCAACCTAGTGGGGTTAATAAAACAGGTAATATGAACCACACGGGCCTTCCAAGGTATGGAGTAGTACATGCTCATATTCCGCCAAATAAATATACCTACGGAGGAGAAAGTAGCAACAACAGTAAGGCGAAGGGTGAGGAGAAAAAAAATAAGAAAGAAAAGAAGCAAGTGTGAACGGCAAAGTGACTATAAGTATTTTAATTTCATGACACAATATTTAGAGCAAAGGAAAAGCTCTCCACTGGTTTGGGTGCCAGCAGATGTCAAGGACATACTCCGGCATAGGCGAGAGTCGATTTGAAAGATAGCACCTAATATTACTCCGCAGATATTGGCTGGTTAGCAGAACTGCATACAATAATGTGGTGGGAAATTATAAAAGTGGAGAAACAAATGCTTACCGGTCGCCATGGTTGGATATGCAATATGCATGAGAATTCTCCAGGACATGCTTTTTGAATCTGAAATTAGAGGAGTACACGTGTGAAGAGGGGAATTTAATTGGAAAAATAAAATAAAATAATAATCAAGAAAGCGATTGCCACACCTATCTTTACCAAGGGATTGCACTGATGTTCCATAAAAATGGATCAGTGTTGTTCAGAAAGTCAGAATTCTATGTTAGACAGAATATTGAGACAGCCACCGAACCAAATGTTGCCACAGAGTATAATTTGGGATTCCTATTTCAGCACCCCAAAAAACTAAAAACAAAATAAATCACCGACACAAGCGTTCAGGGGTTTCACACCACTGTTCATCCACCATCCTGCCCTAATCGCCTGGCTGAAACATTGCCCCACTTCTTATTCCGAGACTTATTCTGTGGGCTCGGGTTTCTGCTTAGGTGGCAATTCATCACGTGACAGTCCAGCCCTCTCAGTCGGAAGCTTGGCACAATAATAATTATCCTTGGAAAAAAAGGTTTTCTCCCGCCCCCTCGTCTGCCGAGTCGGCTTGCACTCACCAGATACGACAGTGACTGTGCAGCAAATCGCCCATTTTGCTTCGCTTTATATCATGCCCTGCCCTTGTTAGCTTGCTAATCCTGTCACCCGAAAACGAATAGGCCATTCCTATGCTGAGTGGTTCAATATACCTACTTGGATCTGCCAGAGTGTCTGCATGATCTACTATTAAAGCTACCTGCTGAAAGCTATCCTCGAAGTGCTAACAGCCGCGACATTGACATCATATGAATTAGCCTTATTAAGCCTACCTTGAACCCAGCATGTCCCTAGCCTCAGGCCCCGGTAGAGCTGTTGGCAGCTCATCCGACCAGAAATTGTGCATCCAAAAACATGTGGACTACATCAAAAACCTGGACAGCGTGCGTCATTTATATCCCAACCATGGTTCTTCTCTTCATGGTGGGGAAGATGGTTGACAAGCGGTGCTAGAGGAGGGATGAGCTAGAATATTGGCTCACCGAGCATCTTCGACTTAATGGAGTTTACTGGGGCTTGACAGCCCTACACCTTCTTGGTTGCCCCGAGGGATTACCCCGTGAAGATACCGTACGCTTTGTTCTTTCGTGCCAGCAGGAGAGCGGCGGCTTTGGGGCTGCTCCCGGCCACGATGCGCACATGCTGTATACTGTCTCAGCAGTGCAAATACTCGTATTAATGGATGCAGTAGATGAGCTGGAAAAGCGTGGCTTAGGAGGTGCACGGAAAGTTGGCACTTGTATGACGTGACTATTTGCTGATCACATTCCCTTTTCTCCCGCGAGGCGTGCTAAATAGTTTTGTAGTTATCGCAGGATTACAGGACAAGGATACGGGCGCTTTCATGGGTGATGAGTGGGGTGAGATGGATACTCGCTTTCTATATGGCGCTTTTAACGCATTGTCACTCATGGGACTTCTTGATATGATTGATGTCCCTAAGTCTGTTGCGTATATCCAGAAATGTGAGAATCTGGATGGAGGCTATGGCATTCGCCCAGGCGCCGAGTCTCATGCCGGGCAGATATTCACCTGTGTCGGCGCTCTGGCAATAGCTGGGCGACTTGACCTGGTGAATAATGACCGCTTGGGTGGTTGGCTTAGTGAGCGGCAGGTGGAAAAGGGTGGGCTTAATGGACGTCCTGAGAAATTAGAAGACGTATGCTATAGCTGGTGGGTCGGGGCAAGTCTGGCTATCATTGACAGGCTTCATTGGATTGATGGTGAAAAGCTCGCTGCTTTCATACTGTGCTGTCAGGTTTGTCTCACTCCGTCACCTTGATCCGAATTTGTCTGACTCGAGCTAGGATCCGGAATCTGGTGGGATTTCTGACCGGCCAGGCCACATGGTTGATGTTTTTCATACCCATTTTGCTATTGCAGGCCTGAGCCTCCTTAAATATGATGGTGTTAAGGAAGTGGATCCTGTCTAGTAAGTAACAAGACACTTTGATTACTGTCTTGTATACTAATAATAATCTCTAGTTGTATGCCGAAAGAAATAGCATCCAAATATTTAACGAGGTAGCACTACGTCGGCCGTAGCGTCCATCTTCGTAGCTCCAACACCTCCTGCAATCTAATAACCCGTTATTCTTTATCTTCATGGATTATGGGATACAAGGCAGGAGAACAGTGAAGGCATTGCAACTTATTCCGCTTCAATCACCTTCACAATGACCTGTTAAAAGGTTGTTAAGATGCAATGGTACATTTCAACTGCATAAGACAATTGCTTCTATAGTTAGTTTTAATGTCAGTGAAAAAGAGCAAGAATTCCAACTGTTCTGTCACAGCAATGATTGCTGACATAGTAATATCTATTTATCCGAGGCTTCTTCTCACCCGCCCCATGTATGGATGGTAAAACCGGCGGTCTACCCTACCTACCCCGGTACCTCCTACTGCCTATTGTTTAGTACCTGGTCACTGGTACCAGGTACTGGAGAAGTACTTGCTTATCGATTCCCCTATCGTTCCTGCCTCACCCAAAGTAGGCGGGCAGCTCCTTCTCCAATTGACACCACCTGCCAGCCCGGATGGGCAACAATGCAAAACTTCTGATCCTCCTCTTACTTGCCCTGGTGGCAGTAGCATCTCCAGGGCTGGTCCTCGAACATATCTGCTTCGGGTTTCGAAGGGGATTTTTATTTCATTACCCCAGGGCCCGTCCTTCTATCTTTGTCTCCAGGTTGTTCGCTCTTTCACACAACGGCCTACACTTCTGTCCTACTTGCTCCCCTCCTCAAGGCTTGCCATAGTTAATCCTTTTATGTTTTTGGAAGGGTAACTCACAATGGATGCAGCTGCACTTTTATGCAACATTTGCCCCAAACGCCCCAGATTCAGCGATGTGTCTCACTTATTGACTCATGTTTCATCCAAGGCCCATCTATCCCATTATTTCAAACTCCAAGTACGCAGTCACCAGGAACCTCAAGCTGTGGCTTCACTCGATGAGTACGACCGATGGTACAAGTCCAATAATCTGGCAAAACTATTGTCTGATCGAATGTCCTCGAAAGAAGTTCGCAAGAAAAAGCCCCAGGGAAAAGCAACGACACATAAGGGGGCCTCTGCTGCAGGACGGAACAATGGATATAGAGTCCCACCTCCGAGCGTCTGTCCCTTGCCTAGCAGCTCTCTCCCTGATTATCTGGACCCACGGCTATCTGATTCTTCTCTGAAGGAAGATCCAGAGACCGCCAATGGATCTGTAATTGACTCCAGGTACATCTCCCCGGATGCCCATCCGGCCTCTGATTGTCAAGATCATGACGGAACTCAACTTCCTTCACTTTGCACTTTGCCGTCAAAGGACCCTGTCAATCCTATATTCAATCAGTGGAGACAAGAACATGGAACAAATGTTGAGGACGAGATGCAGAGTACACCCAGTTGGTCCGGGGCATTAGAGTTCATAGCAGATAAGGCCTCGCAATCCTTGGATACTCCCTTGAACTACGATCCATTCATCGATGATAACTATGGCGAGATGGATAAGGAGAGGGCAGAAGAAATTGCTAGACTGAAAGGCGTCTTATGGCCTGGGATGGATATTTTCGATTCTGCCACGGAGCAAATGAGACGCAAACGCAACCAGAAGAAAGATGAGAGCATCTTGAAAATGATGGAGAAAACCTCCATGTGTGTCGAGCCAACTGAACTAATCTTTTCACCTACTGGTGTTTTGCGAAAGCAACGTGTTATCTCTGGAAATGTCGAAGACAGCAGCCCCCTGAAAGGGGAGACTCCAGTCCCAAAACGGCGGGCAAATCATGCAAAGCGGGTTCTCTCTCAAACAGATTCTAACATCCATCGTGGTCAGGATAGGAAACGGAGCAAAAAATCAGCTAAACATGATTTAGGGAATTTTGAGGACTTAGATCAGCGAGGCTTGCATATTCCACGAAGTCCTTTTCAGCTGCCAGGACGTTTCGGCGGCCATTCTTCGCGTTGGGATGACACCGATGAACTTGTGTTATCGTTGAATCAGCATAGGAGCAAGTCTCGCAACGAGTTCAGTGTGTTCCGTGATGGGTCAAACCAGCGCAGGCCAGTCTTGAATGACCATTGTGGGGATGAGCTGGTCTCTGAATCTCCGTATCTTAGGCACGACTCATATAACGCGACTTTCCACTCAATGACCTCTAGCAGCTATGGCTCAGACTCAGCCAAATACACAGCGCCTTTTTCTCTTGACAAGGAAAACATCGAACCACTCTTCAGCATTGACGGCCGGATTGACCCTCTTGTGGGCTGGACTTCTCCAGCACCCAAACGACATATAGACAGTGGTGCAGCATATCCACCACAATATTTCTTTGGCGATGCCCAGTGTATTGGCCTAAGTCCTTTCGAAAGCCATGAGAGCAATACAGGATTCTCATATAACCCCCTGGCTGCTTCACTCTCGAAGCTGCCTATTGAGGAGAGTGTATACACTACCGACGCTGACCAAAGCTTCATAACTCAACCTGCGACACGCGCCACCTCGCCAGAGGCGACAATTTCAGATCTGGACGGGGATGATTTTGAGCGGCTTTATTTGGATGGAAGCTCTTGCTAGCCGTCGCAAATGGTCTTTGTTTGATTATTACCCTCTTGATTAATTATTTCGTATCGTCTTTTTCCTTGCTGTTCCTCTGAAACTACAGTCTTGACTTTGGACTGCAAACCAAATCCTACCACGAATTTGCTTGCACGGGTCATTTATATATTGACGTTTCCTCTATACAGATGGACACCGATCGCTATTGTGTGGGAGATCAGTGGGATCATAGCCAGTGTGTATTGATGTGTTAACTAGGCAGCATCCTGTTATTTCAGCTTATACTTATAGACTCATGAAACTCAGAACTATAATTTGCGTTGACAGGAACAATCCACAGAATTTAGAGGCTTAACCTAACTAACTGACCTAGCCCAAACTGGCTGCTTAGATAATCCACTTGAATGACCTTGAAACACGTTCTGGCGCGTTCACGCGTCAAGCTCCGCAAGATGCGATGGGATGGACTTTTGAACAGCTGATCGATTTTTATTATTATTGTTGTTGCTGAAATATTTGAGTGTGTCTAGAGCTGGTAGTTTCTTGCAGGCGAAAAATCAGACTACGGATCGTTAATGGGATTTTTCATACTTAATCAAGTCTTCCCCAGCACTTGAAGGCTCCAGGTATCCCGCCGCCACCTTGTTTCTATCAACTCACCCCATCTTTCCTGGATTTTCAGGCGAAAAACGTTGTCATTTACCGGGATATTTGGTATGGGGAAATAAACAATGCCTCTAAATTCATCTCAATCGTCATCTACTTCGCCTAATCTGAAGCGGAAACAGCCCACCATCGCCAGCTTTTTCACGAGGAAGCCACAATCTGTGCAGTCGAGCCAACAGGACGTTATTGGCAGCGAGCGAGGCATAGAAAATGGAGTGGATAAAGTCAGCACACAGGAGAAGAAGAATGGGAATGAGGGCCACATGATAGATGATGGTGATGACGAAGATATCGTGGCACCTGTGCCCAAGCGGACCAAAAGAAACGGTATCCATTCACAAAGCGATACAAAAATTGTGGACCGTGAAAAGCTTCAGAAAGAGCAAGCTCCATTGTTAAACAGTAGCCAACGAACAGAGCTCTTTCGATTCAATAGCTCGCCCGCTGCCCATGCGGAGAGGGGTGATGCACAGATAAATGAGGAAGAAGCGAAAGAACGACGGAAGGAAAGAGAAAGGCTACGCAAAATGTTTGTTCGGAAGTTAGGTGGACCGGACTGCGCCATTGGAATCGGCCGACGTGCTATTAGTGAGAGTACACCCGCAGCAGAAGAGGCTGCAGAAGGCGATGAAGAGGAAGAAACCACCACAGTCCCTCCGGCCAAGGGGAGGGCTGTGGCAAAGAAAGGCGGAAGCAAACTAACCCCGATGGAGAAACAAGTCATTGAGATCAAGCGCAAACACATGGATACGATTTTGGTAGTTGAAGTTGGCTACAAGTTCCGGTTTTTCGGAGAGGATGCGAGGGTGGCTGCAAAGGAGTTGAATATTATCTGTATCCCTGGGAAATTTCGTTTTGACGAACGTAAGTGCAGAATTTACTTTGAACTGTCATCGACCCTTCCATCCCTCCCAAACCTTTTTTTGGTTGAAAGCACTCTTAGAATTATCCAGATCCTTCAGAAGCACATCTCGACCGATTTGCGTCCGCCAGCATCCCGGTGCATAGACTGCATGTTCATGTGAAACGACTGGTCTCTGCTGGACACAAGGTTGGAGTAGTTCGGCAGATAGAGACCGCCGCTCTCAAGGCTGCTGGCGATAACCGTAACGCCCCTTTCGGTCGCAAGCTCACCAATCTATATACGAAGGCGACTTACATTGACGATGTGGATCGATTGGAAGGGCCTACACATGCGAGTTCGACTGGAGCTTCATTGGCAACTGGATATATGCTTTGTATCACAGAGACAAATGCCAGAGGATGGGGAAACGATGAGAAGATGCATGTGGGAATCGTGGCCGTACAACCAGCTACGGGAGATATAATCTATGATGATTTTGAGGATGGCTTCATGAGAAGTGAGATTGAGACACGGCTACTTCATATCGCTCCCTGTGAGCTTCTTATCCTTGGGGAGTTATCAAAGGCAACAGAGAAAATTGTCCAACATCTTTCTGGCAGCAAAACAAATGTCTTTGGTGATAGCATTCGTGTTGAGCGAGCGACAAAATCGAAAACTGCGGCCGCTGAATGCCATAGCCATGTCTCCAGTTTTTACGCCGAGAAGATGAAGGCACTTAATGCTGCAGATGACGGGCTGTCGAGCGCTCTACTCCAGAAGGTGCTCAACCTACCTGAGCAGGTAACGATATGCCTTTCAGCGATGATCGAACATTTGACAGAATATGGTTTGGAGCATGTTTTCCAGCTCACAAAGTATTTCCAACACTTTTCCTCCCGATCACACATGCTTCTCAATGGGAACACTTTAGTGAGTCTCGAGATCTATCAAAACCAAACAGACCAATCCGCCAAAGGTAGTCTTTTTTGGACATTGGATCGAACGCAAACTCGGTTTGGGCAGAGACTGCTCCGAAAATGGGTGGGGCGCCCTCTGCTAAACAAGCAAAGCCTGGAAGAAAGAATCAACGCCGTTGAAGAGCTGAAGAGCCTCGAAAAGACTTCTCTGGTCGAGCGGATTAAAGGGTTGCTTGGCAAAGTGAAGAGTGATCTGGAGAAGGGCTTGATAAGAATATACTATGGGAAGGTACATACTTACGGCCTTCTGAATTGAGTTCCTCCGATAGTAAAGTGCAAGCTGACAGTATGACCTAGTGCACACGCCCAGAGCTTGTTACTGTCTTACAGACTTTGCAAATGATTGCCCAGGAGTTTGCAGAGTTTAAATCCCCAGCGGATACTGGATTTCTGTCCTCTGTTGTTAGTGATGCTATTGTGTCCCTCCCTACAATCCTGAAAGAGGTCTTGTTCTTTCTGGACAAGATTAATATGCATGCCGCTAAAAGTGACGACAAATATGCGTTCTTTCGAGAGTCGGAAGAGACAGAAGAGATAAGTGAGCATAAACTTGGGATCGGCAGCGTTGAGCATGAGTTGCAGGAACATCTCTCTGTCGCTAGCGAAACCCTCAAGAGGAAAGAAGTGCGGTATACCACTGTTGCGGGCATTGAATATTTGATCGAAGTTGAGAATAGCTCGGCCAATATTAAAAGGGTGCCTGCATCATGGATGAAGATAAGCGGCACTAAGAAAGTCTCAAGATTTCACACGCCTGAAGTTATTCAGCTGCTACGACAGAGAGACCAACACAAAGAAGCGTTGGCAGCGGCTTGTGATAAGGCATACATAGGTCTCTTAGCTGATATATCAGCCAATTATCAGTCTTTCCGGGATTGTGTGCAATCCCTTGCGATTCTTGACTGTTTAATCTCGCTTTCCATTATCGCCAACCAGCCTGGATATGTGAAGCCTGAATATACTGATAATACACGTATCCATGTGAGTCAAGGGCGTCATCCAATGGTCGAGCAACTTCTGCTGGATAGCTATGTTCCCAATGATATCAATTTAGACAGCGACAAAACCCGTGCTCTCCTTGTCACGGGTCCCAACATGGGTGGTAAATCCAGCTATGTACGACAAATAGCCCTCATTTCCATTATGGGCCAGATTGGCTCTTACGTTCCTGCCCAGTCAGCTCAGCTTGGTATGCTCGATGCGGTGTTCACCCGTATGGGCGCTTTTGATAATATGTTGGCTGGCGAATCTACTTTCATGGTCGAACTTTCCGAGACGGCAGACATCCTCAAGCAAGCAACACCTCGTTCACTGGTCATTTTGGACGAACTGGGCCGAGGCACATCTACTCATGATGGCGTCGCAATCGCACAGGCGGTTCTTGATTATGTTGTCAGGTCATTACGAAGTCTCACCCTCTTCATAACGCATTATCAGCATCTTGCCTCAGTGGTACATTCTTTCCGCGACGATGAGCTTCGAAATGTGCACATGCGGTTTACGGAATCAGGATCCGGCAAGAATGAAGAGATCACCTTCCTCTACGAGGTTGGAGAGGGTGTGGCTCATCGCAGTTATGGACTCAATGTAGCGCGTTTGGCAAATTTGCCAGTGCCCCTGCTTGAGGTTGCTAAAGAAAAAAGCGCTGAATTAGAAGACAAAATCCAGCGCCGGAGAGTTACTGGAATTGTCACTGCAATTGGCAATATTATGGGAAATTCACCCAAAGGAGGTGAAGATGAAGCGCTGATTGAACGGTTAATCAGCAGCGCAGAGCAATTGTAATTTATATCAGATAGAGCAGGAATTTCCTTTGCCCAATTCTTTTTTCTCCCTTCTGAGTGCATGTCCAGAGCTCCTTTTGTATGAGTTGATATATGAATTCCTACCTTATATATCTTATTTGGCTACAATGGATCGATGACCCAGCGCTGATTTCGAAAGTGGGAACTGAGGTCAACAAGGCAAGGAACCGGAAGAGTTTCAAGATTATGGATATCTTCTATTTTGTTCGATAATTCCAACCCGACTCCGTCATCCGTCCTGGTACGAAGAAATGTAGGAAAGGCCTCATGATGCAGAAACCAACTTCGGAGGTGCTCTGAAGGGACTCATACACTCATGGGCCACAACTCTTCAAGAGACTAGAACGCGACATGGTCTCGTAACAGCATGAAATCACTCGAACCCGTCAATTTCAAATTTTTTTCTTGTTTCATTTCAGGTTGATCGTTCTTTTCACTCTTTTCTAATCTCCGGAACTTCGACACAGAATGATCAAGAAAACAAGGAAAAGAAACAGTCACAACCGGCATGTCGCATCTCAGTCCATGATAATTTTTTGCCTTCCCGACCTCCCAAAATCATTTCCAACGCACGCAAACGTACATAGCCTCGAGAGGGAAAAGATAAGTAGAACTCGGAGGGGTGAAAGAAATTAGCGGAGACGGCGGGCCTCACGTTCGGATTCGAGCAGGCACAGGATGTCATCGACCCGGACTGTTGGCAGCGGCGAAATGTGTTAGCCTATGCAACTTGCGCCGGTTCGCGTGTTCCCAGTCCACGAGGTCCCTGCGGCAAAAATGTTCCAAGTCCCGATGTTCATTCTGCAATTCGATCGTTGTCTCTTACTCCAACTAATTCCAGTTTCCGAAACTGTGGGACTTCTTGAAAGCCGTTCTATGCCGGGGATCGTTTCTCGGGACAAACGAACACAAGGGGATAGATTTTGGGATAATATAAAATATCAACACGGGGTCGCATACCTGGGCCCTTGACGTTACGGATGATGCTGCGAGAGGTATCGTCCATGAATTCGACGCGAACCTGGGTGACACCACCACGGGAGCCTATATCAAGAATCAGACTTCACACACGGGAATCTCTCATGCGCGCAAGATTTCGAGCCTCAAACTTACCGGTACGGCCAAGGACACGGGTGACCTTGACGAGCTTAGCGGGCTGCTTGCTGGCATCCATCTTGACGATAGGGCTTGACGACAGCGAGGATTGACGGGAAGGAGGTGTAGATGGCGAGGGCGGCAGAGGTGGAAGTTGAGGCCGGCGTGAAAATGGAATTGAGGATTTGCGGCTTGTGTGGGCTTGGGTTTCTGTTTTGGGCAAGACTTTACGCGAGGGTTCAGGGCTAATCGACACCTGAGCCGTTCGGCATTACTTTTTCTGCCATAAATAATAGGCACCAAGGCACCAAGTGCTCTTAGGCCATTTCCGACTCTCGCGATACATTCATTTTCCTCCAGCTTCACCCTTCTCTTATTGAGCCCCAATTGTCCCTCGTTCTGATTCGGAATCCCCCTGTCACCTCATTGCTACTTTCTTTTTCATCTCCCTTCCCCCCCTCCCCTTCTCCCATTGTATCTCTGGCCAGAATCCTTGCCATTACAAGTGCCCAGCGCATTGATCGTCAGTGAACATGGATCTCGTTAACCAGTGAGTCAATCAACTCCTTTGTTCCTTCCATATGATCTTCTTGAGTATCTGTGCCTTGTCCGTTTCAGTTCCCATCACTGACCATTACTCCCCATGTTAGCCTCGAGGGAAGACTTCTTTTCGCCGTCCCCAAAAGCAAGTGCCCCTCATGACTCACCGCTATTCCGCAATATGCCATCACCTCCAGGTGAACCGGGAAAGAACCAGCAGCTAACACGATGACCTCTTCCAACAGAGGGTCGACTTCAGCAAGCCACTTTAGACCTCCTGGCAGGGTGCGACATTCAGTTTCGTCGTGAGACCCGTCTGGATATTGCTCTGGTCAAGAACCTTCCCATTGCCCTAATCTTCCTCCCCGCCGCAGACATTCCGACGTTCGTTGGCGAGGGTCGCGTTGATCTGGGGATCACCGGCCGCGACCAGGTCGCCGAACATGACGCACAGCTGCCCTCGGATGAAGTATCCGTCGTGGAGGAGGTACTGGATCTAGGATTCGGGGGTTGTAAGCTGCAGGTGCAGGTACCCGAGAAGGGCAATATCACGGAGGCAAAGCAATTGGTTGGTCGAAATGTTGTCACCAGCTTCACGGCTCTGGCAGAGGCCTTCTTCGCCGGCCTTGAGAGCGAGGGTGATGTCAACAAGCTAGCACGTCCTGGCGGTGGATATAACCTACGCACTAAAATTAAGTATGTCGGTGGTAGTGTTGAGGCTGCTTGCGCTTTGGGTGTAGCTGATGGCATTGTCGACCTTGTCGGTTCGTTATACGAAATGACTAGATCATTGTGCGTGGGAGTGCTAGCTGACTCTTGATCACTGCTACAGAATCCGGTGAAACCATGAAGGCTGCTGGCCTTAAAGCCATCGATACAGTGGTTGAGAGTACCTCTGTTCTGGTCAAGTCCAAGAATACGCAGAATCCTCTTGTGGAACTCATCGCTTCCCGCATTCGTGGTGTCATTAGTATGATCCTGATCTCTGCATGTCTTTCTTGGACCCGCTAACGATGCTTTTTTCTTTTCTCTCTACAGCAGCGCAGAAGTACGTTCTCTGCCATTACAACATTCCTCGCTCCGAACTGTCGACTGCTTCTGCCGTTACCCCCGGAAAGCGCGCTCCTACGGTTACACCCCTCGAAGACGAGAACTGGGTGGCGGTCAGCTCAATGGTCGAGAAGAAAAAGATCGCCACAGTGATGGACGATTTGACCAAGGTGGGCGCGACAGATATTTTAGTTTTGACCATTGACAACTCTAGAACGGATTGAGATGTCTCCCATTCTCCTTTTTTCATACTTTTTTTTCTTACTTATGATGCTGGCATGTGGCGTGCTGCGTTTTCTTTGTATCGTTTCTGTCCTCGGATTTATTTGTTTCTTGGCATATGTGTTTGGAAATTCTGTTTAATCTTCTTTTTCTCTCCTTTTTCATGGATATTCTGGGACAAGCGGTATAGATTAACTGTTTGCAAGAGATGAAATTATACAGGACGGTGGTCTAGAATAGGAATGAATGTAGATTCAATCCGTATATATTTCTCTATTTAATGTGTGTTGGTTATACATGTGCACCGTAATAATATACAAGGTCCATGGCAAATGCGTATGATTTTTCTATATAGACCAATATGTGTTGAAGCCGTCGGTATTTCTCGTGAACCGTACTATCATCATCATAACAAGTTGACAGAGTAGGGTAGGGGTATCGCCTCCAGAAAACCAAGAGGAAAAAAAAGGAGAGGGAAAATTTCGAACAAGGAAGTGAATAAAAAATGAAACAAACGCTTAGGAAAGGTCGCCAAGTCCCACTCTCTCTCGTCGCCCACGAAGCAGAGCTTGGAGACATTGACCAACCCCCTCTAAATCCCCTAACAGACCAACATGGCCGCGATCACTCTTTACTAGACCACCTTTGATGATCCGGTATCCAGGCGGCAGCATGGCGGCCGACGCAAGACAGACACCGTCACCGGCCGCAAAGGCGAGATCATCGTAGGTGTCCTGATGCTTGATTTGTTCGCGCGACCAAACCCGAGCGCCGTACACCGTGGGGACGGACTTGCCGTACAGGACGGCGAAGGGCGGGTAGCTGTTGCTGGAATGGTGGGAGGGGTTGAAAGCGAGTTCCTGCTTGAAGCGAAGGACCTCGGCAAGGGTGCGCTCAAGATAGGAGAAAGCTGCAGCGCGGGGGATGGTGATGGCTGTAGTGGCCTTCACATTGGATGAGCCCCGCATATGGGATGTCGGTCCCACGACGCCGTCGATGTTTGGGGCTATAGTTGAGACCCTTTCGGCAATGTCGGATGTCGGACCCAGGAAATTGTGGGTGGTTTTCTGGCCGGGAGTCTGCTCGCCCTCACTGGCTCCACCGGACCGGGGTGATGCCGGATCAGCTGCGGTGTCATCGGATGACAGGCTCTCCTTGCTGCTAAGGACGGTGGAGAAGCGTTTACCGAGACGAGGAATATTGTCCATAAGGGCCATGCCCTTCGGGGTCATCGGTGGAAACGCCGGACTGATACAGGGGGAGAGACGATATTCATCCCAGGCCTCGGCGGAGAAGAAGTCCACACGATATTCTTCTTTGGTACGTTTGTCGATGAAGCAATGGCCGTCTTCGGGGAGAAGGGCAAAGCTAGTCCGGAAGGTGAAATTCACCTGCGCCGTGAGGACCCGGGAACTGAGGAGCACGTCATCCCCGTTGCGGAGCGGACCTAGAATGTTCACACAGTGTTGAGGGACCCCGGCGTAGACGACCCCCGCGAAGAGTTCTGGCCGCTGGTTAACGGCGTGGCGCGTTATTAGGCCTCCCAGGCTATGGGCGATGACATACGCCCCTCGTTTCTCCGGTGGCACGTCGGATGCGTTACATGGCAAGCCCTCAAGGAATTTGATTAGCCTCCGCGAGAGAAGATGCGGGCTTAGGCGCCAATCGTAGCCGTAGTCCCAGACACGGAGATCCCCCTTAACCGCATTTTCACATTTTTGGAGACGCTTCAGCAACCGTCGACATATGTCGACTGGCCCAATATGGGAGAGTACGCCCGATGGAATAATAGTCTCCTCCATTCGTTCCTCATCCTCTGGGTTCAAGCCCACCTCAAGATCTACTCTGCGAAGATTGAGACCGACTTTCATTGGAACCCATAGTTGACGCTGAGGTGGTTTTGCGGAGCGTAGAACGGACCCCCGGTAACCCCCCATGACCACTACATCTCCAGTCAGTTCGGACATCGCCTCATTCAGGACTGGAAGCAGTGTGTTGGAATTGGAACGCGGGGAATGAGATCGAGTCTGAGTCGAGATTGGTTCCCGTAGCACTTTCCGATGGGATGGCGGATCCGTAGCGGTCTTGCGTTGGATGGATTCATTGAGGAACGGCCTAGAACCCCAGTCGTTCCGGAGTTCCTGCAGGTTAAAGCTAGGCATGCTAAGGAAGCGGCTGCTCGAATCCTGTAGACTGTCCTTGATTGCCTTGAACCGACTGTTGACTTGCGAATGCACGTTCTCATATCGGGGTCGCTGGTCGAGGGAGGACGCGGTGGATGTCGCTCTCAAATACAAGGACTGGTCCGACGACGATCTCCGTAGGTTGGGCGGACCCCCCGAAGCCGTTGCACTAAGCCGGCGGGAGTACGAGTGTTTTGCTCGAATTGGCCCACCGAGGGGATTTAAATCGGTGATAGGTTCGTCCACGATCACTGTATCGGCGTCCAGGTTGGTAGACGATCTCCGTCGTGGTGGTGTCTTGTATGGGTGTTCCTCCTTGTTCAGCGGCGGCGACCTGGGCGGAGAAGGCTTCGGAGATTGACTCGGGGTCGGACGTTGGGAATTGCTAGAAAGAAATGGAAGTGTTGGCCGTCTGGTTAGAGCCCCCAAGTCCGGGAGGAACTTCTTAAGACTACGGTTGGCTAAACTATCACCAGACCAGGCCCGCGGCCGTAGCGGTATGCCATTCTTCAAAATCGACCGGGTAAAACTAGATCGGTGGCCCACGTTCTTGGTTAGACCTGAATGCAGCCCATTCTCGTCAGCCCGCTGGCTAGTTTCTAGCAAGACCTCTTCTGGCTCAGCTGTGATTTCAGAGACAAAGAGGCCGTCCGAGTCACCAACGTCTGGGATGGGCTCGAAATAGCCACCGTTGCGTTCCATGATGCGGTTCTTCTCCTCAGCAGGCGTGAGACGGGCCTTCATGCGACTTTGCGCACGGCCGATACTGATCCCAACCATTTCGTCCGCCTCATCTTGCCGGGCAGCGTCCAGCCCTGGGAGGCCTTGCTCCTCGCTGTCAGAACTGGAGTTTCCGAGGGGAAAGGACTGGATGAGGGCCGGCGAGGGGCCCACGACGGCATTGACCAGATTATGGTCTTCTTCCGGTACTGCCGGGACAGCCATGGCTATGGGGTCAATGGAGAAGTGGATGATGATAACGAGTACGAGGTTTACACCATACAAGGAACAATGGGGAAGTCCAGGGGCCGGAAGAGTTGGAAATAACCCAACGGGGCCAAAGAAAAAAAGCAGGAAAGAGAAGAAACCAGAGTTAATCAAGAAGAAGAAGAAGAAATGGAAAATAACAATAAAATAAATTTTGAGAAGAATGAGAAATTTGGACTAGACCATGTCGTCACATGTGAAGACTGAAGACACACTAGAGTCGTATTCGTACGCCGTTATCCGCTGTGGTTCCCACTTGGATCGATCGATTAAGTGATAGACCATCGTTTGATTGATTCATTGATCATTCATGATTCCAAGCTACCCATCGTGCTGTTGCTGTGCGAAGAGAGAGAAGGGGAAAAAAAAAAAAAAAAAGGGCCGGTTCCACAGCACAGCCTTCGGGTAGTCCGGATAAAGCTTCCTGAGGGGAATTTTGAGTTGGGGCGAAGAGCTCTTCGTACTGAAAGTTATCCATGGTTGGACTCTTGGCAATATTTGCTCCAGATAGTCTTAGGATAGTCTTCTATCTGAAGGATTGATGATACATTGTTGATACAGAGAGGTGGATAATGGATGGACGTGAAGATCGATCGATGGAGATGAGGCGAAAGGTGGACGGGGCTGGTCCGTGATTGGCCCATACAAAAAGAAGAATTCATTAGGGAGAGACTTGTTTATATCCAACTTCTTGTTTGATATTCAACGTCTTGTTTTATTCCCAACTTCTTGTTTCATTTCAACTCCCTGGTTTGTTTCCAACTCCTTGTCTCAGCTCAAAATAAGCATCATATTGATATTGATATTGATATTACTCCGTACTAGGAAAAAAGTCATATTATACAATCCCCTGCAGTTCGTAACATCATGACTCGTTCTCATTCCCCACAAATCCTTCATCTAAACTGACCGGACCGCATCTCCTGCTCGCCTTTACTCGCAATCTCTGCATTCTTTGCCGCACCTTTTTCATCGCCAAACGCCTTATCTAGCGCTGCCATTAAACCCCCGCGTAGTAATTCTCCCGCCCCCTATATCAACCTATTAGCGCCTCTTCCATCCATCGTTCTATGGAAAAGGAAAACCCACATGAACCTCTGCGAAGAGGGATATGGCGCTGTGGCCGAGTTCTTCCCCTTTCCGAGCCAATTTGGACCCGGTCGCATGTGACTCCGTAGAAGCACCGTAGCCCCGTCCGGTGGCATCGCTTGGAGGGTTCGAAGTTCCGTAGGTATTGTTATTGTCGCTATAGGGCGGTGCTGGTTCTTGTCCAACACGGACTGTATCATATCCAGGTCCCGTCAAATTCCCTGAAAGGTTGGTGCCAGCCATACGGATGTCCACGCGGGAATCATGCTGGTAACTCATATTAAGTTGATGCGTGGATGGTGCCTGTCCAGTTCCCAGAGCATTGGAGCTAGGGCTGGGGACATGTCCAACCTGTGTTCTAATTGGGGTTGAAGAGCTATGATCCTGGCCGGACACACCAAAGGTGGAGGTGCGATATAGGGGTTGAGTGCTCATGATGGCGTAGTAGTAATTACAACAAAAGAAGAGAACGATACGCTCTGGACGAAATTGATTATGCTAAAGAGACGACGGGGATTGAATTGGAGTGAGTGACGTAGCTTGAGTATATAAAGGCTGTGATTGCCTGACGTCGTTGCCTAGGTCAGACTGCGGAACTGGCAACGTCTGAGGGAGACAAACCACTGGGTCAGATCAAACTCATAAAAAATAGCGAGCTCTTTCTGTGGTAATAAAAGCATTCATCTTATACTTTGTTATGAAGACCCCGACTCCATTGAATTGCCTGAACAGCCAAGAGTGACTCGCACAGCTCTTCCATGTCAGGTGATCATCTTATCGATAATGAGCGATTACATCATCTATGCATAATAGTGCATAGTTAGTCAGGTACTTGCATAATTTTAAGTTAACTATGACTCTGACTAACAAGTTAAGCAGTAACTATCTCCCCTTTCTGGAATTTCTTGCTTCTCAAGAGACGAAAACAAGAAAGACAGTCTTTGCAGGTTGGACCGTTCCTCATGAGTGGAGAAGAGCTATTCACTCTCTTCCTGTTTGAGCCATGAGTTGGCCCCCATGATCATAAATCATGAATGCCCGGCTAAAAGGTTAACATCCGAGGCTCTTTTCTGCCCCCATCTCTCATTTATTGCACTTGGTCTTCCCCACGGGGTCGTTGATTCCATCCATCAACTGAACTGAATCGACTCGATCCATTATGCCTATATTAAATAATCAGATCATCTACGCCAATACGCCCTCCCCGGCTATTGACCCTTCCTTATCGAACGGCACCTTCAAGCTGAACACCACCACCATTCCCGACTATGTCCCCGATGACAAAGTGCTGGTGCGCGTCCACTACCTTTCTCTCGACCCGGCCATGCGACAATGGCTCACCGCTAAGCGGTCCTACATTGCCCCCGTTGAACGGGGCAGCATCATGCGCGGCCAGAGTATCGCCCAGGTAATCGGCGTGGGCGGCGGGCTGAAGTCCCAATACCAGGTTGGAGACTGGGTGGTCGCATACTCCGGCTGGCAAGAGTATGCACTGCTGGGTCCCAAAGAGGTAGAGAAAATCACCATTCCGCCGGGATGCAGGCCCACCGACGCCATGTCAGTGTTCGGAGTGACCGGTTTGACTGCATACTTCGGGATGACCGAGGTTGGGCAACCCAAGGCTGGGGAGACGGTGGTCGTCTCCGGAGCGGCTGGCGCAACGGGCATGGTTGCCGGGCAGATTGCTAGGATTCTAGGTGCGAAGAGAGTTGTCGGGCTGGCCGGGAGTGCGGACAAGTGTGAGTTTCTACGTACGGAGCTGGGCTTCGATGCGGCCATCAATTACAAGGACAAGGACTGGAAGAAGCAGCTGAAGGATGCCACCCCGGAGTACATTGACGTCTTCTTCGACAATGTCGGGGGTGAGATCCTCGATGCATGTCTGGCTCGGGCCGCACGAGACTCTCGGTTTGTCATCTGCGGTGCTATCAGTCAGTACAACGCGGCCAAACCCCAGGGGCCGTCCAACTTCATGACCGTCATTGTAAGTCTTCCCTTGTCCCATTCATTCTTCTATCGTGCGAGAATCAACTCCTAACAATGGATGTGAGCAGTCACAACGGGTGACGGTGAAGGGCTTTATCGTTTTCGACTACGCGAAGAAGTATCCGGTCGCATTGAAGGACCTTGCCACGTGGTTGACGCAGGGCAAAATCAAACGCAAGGAGCACATCATCCCCGGCGGGCTGAAGTCGGCACCGCAGAGCTTGGTGAGCCTGTACCAAGGGGCCAATACGGGCAAAATGATGGTCGAGGTGGCTCCGGTGAGTGAGGCGATCGCAGCCAAGGCGAAACTATAGGCACTGGCCTGTTCCATGTATCTGGTAGCATGGTGTATTTAGCCTCTCACCAAGGGGGGCGATGAAACATATTATTATGTTCTAGAATAGCCTAGTTGATCAAGATGAAGCCTTGTTGACGCTATGCACCATCTCAAGCATATACAGCCAGGTTTGATCCTCCGGTAGGCAAAGCACGTTCTATCAATGTTCCAGCAGAGTGGTCTGCATATTCGCGCGAACAATATCACCACTAGTGTGTTGCCAGTGAGATGACAGCCGAAGAAGAGCGACGGAGCGCAGAAGAGTACCATCTCTAGGGAACGGCATGAACCAAAAGGCTACGGCTGGATGGCCGGGCAAAGACGTGTTGACTGCAGGCCTGACAGTAGATACATACTACAGTATATGCAGGTAGGTATCATCATAAGCGTATTTAATCTCTACCAACCATTCTCTCCTGCCTCACACACCTGCACGTCATACATCCATTCGGACCGGAGCACGTCGTTGATCTCGATCCGCCGGCTATGATCGGGATGTAGCATTGCATAGATAACATTACACCGGTGCTTCTAGAAAAGTGCGATTAGCAGGCGCGTCTTAAAAGCTCAGAGACGAGAGACAAGGACATACCTCCCCTAGCGCTTCGATCGGAGGATAACCATTACTTCGCTGACGTCCGCGAATATATGCCATATAGCCACCGTCTTCATCCTCACAAGCCATTCGCCAAAGTAAACGCCCACATCTCATTGCCATATACACCAGTCCCGCGGCCCAGACATCACCCGGCCTATGATCGTGTACATCGTCATCACCATCACCACCACCACCACCACCACCACCACCACTACTACTACTACCACCACCATCAGTGCTGCTGAATTCCTCCGGGGGAAGATAAGCGATGGAACCGAGCAACTTCCGCGGTGGTGCATATTGACCCGTATTGGCAAGTAGAGACCGACGTATCCAGTTGCCGTGGTTCTTTGCTGTCTTCTCATCGATTGGGGACCACTGTGCGCTGCCAAAGTCCGCCACTTTGACGGCACCGTTGACTGTGAGAAGGATATTCTCCGTCTTGATGTCGCAGTGCGCAATGCCATGGTCATGGAGATAGGATAGCGCGCGCATGATCTGCTTGAAGAAACAGTCCGCACTGCGAACGGGCAGATTCCGATCCGATGTGGCGATTAGGGTGTTGAGGTCTCCTCCGGCACACAGGTCCGTCACTAGACATAGTTCCCCGCGTTCATTGAGCGGGGCGTCGACGGCCTGGAGGAGGTTGGGATGAGAAACGGCCGAGGAGAGAGTCTGTTCGAATCGGTGGGCCTGGGTGATGGCGACGCAGGACGAACGACGGAAGACCTTGACCACATAGAGCCGTTGGTATGGACTGCAGGGAGGTGATTGCGCGTAGATCCTCACACAGCTGTGAGAACCGTAATGGAGGATTTTCCTGCATGTGCCGTACTTCTCGGAGAAGGACAATGGCGAATCCAGCAGGGTCTCTCGCTCGGAGACACTGCCATCGTCGTTGGGGGACCAACAGCATTTTAGAAATTGGGGAAATGAGATCCTGCCCAGCAGGGAAGATGGTGGTTTGGGTCCACGAGGCTCTATTTGGTGAGAGTGAAGGCAATCATCGTGTAGTTTGGCCATCTCCTGATGGTTTTGGATCCCTTAACGCAGATACCTAAAGAGAGAGGGAATAACCCCCTCCCACTCCCATATATATTAAACCGAGTCATCTGGTACCTGAATTGCAACGCCATTATTCTTGAGAGAGACACGAAGTGGTACGAAAGAAATGCCTCAGCGGCAGGATTGGGTGGGCAGATTAAAAGCCGCACGGAAAAGGAAAGGCACCACCCCCCTTCTCTTCCCCCGGCCTGTGCACCTGATCATTTCATCGTCTCTATTTCTCCTTGATCCAGATAGTTAACTACTAACTAGCTAAGCTACTTATTTAATGCTTCTGTCTTAGGCAAGGCTTGGAAAGGCTTGTACTCGGCTGTTCTTTCCATCTCCCTTCAGCCGGTGTTATCGATCTAATGCAACTCCAATCCAATTCGCCTCACGCCAATGCATGCTCTTCATTTGGAGGCGTTGTCGTCCCCCAGGGGCCTATAAGACAGCCCAAGCCTGATCTTTCTTTCCCACCATCAAGTAGGCTGAATGTTAGCGGTTGACAGCAAACGGCGTGATATTCAATGACGAGAATTGAAATGACTGGTTCCAGCGAACCCCAACGCTCTCTCGACTTGACCCTGGATGCTGCCTGCAAAGCCGCTGCGAGACCGAGTGGCATTCCCGGCTGCACGGTACAGTTTCTAGACGCGAGGAGGGAGGAAGATGTGCAGAATCTGGGGATTTCTCATGGCCCATGTCTTTCTAGAGCGTGAGCCAATCTTTCGTACACTCGCGACAACGACCAACCCCGAGCACCGAGAGAAGCTCCAATGGACGTGTCAACAAGAATTCGCCCGGCTGGCCGCTTCCAACATGACAATTATCACAAGGAAGGCTGACGGAACCATTATTGCGGCCGTGATGGCCGGCCCGTGACAGAAAAGAGACGGTCCCTACCCTTCACCTGCTGGTCTAGAATCCATGTATGAGCTCTTTGACCGTCTCGACGCGTCGTTTGCAAACCGGTCGGCACAGACCCAGAAACAGAAGGATAAGAAGAGGAAGGTCTTTGAGCTCTTGTTCGGGGGAGTAGACGGCGACTTCGAAAGCCGCGGTCTCGTGCCGGATCTGATATGGATTTCGCTCCTGTACGCCAATCACCAGGGCTACGAGGAGGTTATCGTCAAAGCCACCAGTCGATCCAGCAATTGCTCCCAAGAGGGGGCTTTGTGACACTCGCCGAGGTGCTCTATCGGGACTACGAGTATGGTGACTCTCGACCGTTTGCGCAGATTCAGTTTCCCACCTCAGCCAAACTCATGTGGACGAAGCCAGAGACTTTCTTTCGGCGATATCTCAATCCCCTGTCGCGGCGCGCACACCTATAAGTATCTTCTCTTGTCAACATCATACATACCCTCGTTGTGGAATTCTCCGTCAGTGGTGTCCCCCAAACTTTCTGTGTCTGCTCATCTTCATCTTCATTCCTCCAAATTGGAGTCATTGGCTGAAGTCATCAAATTCAATTGTCATGTTACCTACACCTGCGTACAAAACTCTTACAATCCAAGACCCAGAACGTACCACAAATATATATGCCCGTATTTGTATACTATAAGCATGCGTGTAAGCTACCCGACACGTACAGCCGTCCATGCATGCAGATACCAATAGAAGAGTCGTACAGGGGTACCGTTGGTAGAATCAGATGGAACATCCTTGAAGATCCTCGAAGCAAGAGGAGAAACTAGACCCAAAAGAACGTCCAGAGGATACATAAGACAAGCCAGGGATTGATAGAAGGCGACTAGGCATGTTCACTGATTATTTATAGCTAGGTGATTCAATCAATGCGCCACCCCTTCCTATCCTCGCACCTTGCCTGCCTCCCGAACTTCCGTCATGAACCCATCCTCATCGCCGGCACCCGTGAGTATCCAGTAGTCCCCAGTACCGGCATTGGCAAACTGGCCACCACCGAACCCAGTCGAAGAGGCTGTCGGAGCACTATGGCGCTCCTTCGGTTTCGTCCCGATATTCCGTGGGCCCCATCCCAGGATTTTTTGGACCGTGGTGCGGCCTTGGTCATCCGGGTTGATAAACCCAAACAATTGCGGCTGCAAGCAGCCAAGAATTGCGACTGCAGCGCGAATCAAAATCCGGTCTCCTTCAAACACCCAGCAGTCCCACACGCGACTAATGCGCTCCAAGTCGAGACCGTTCGTGAGAAGGGAGCGGAACATGGGCTCCCAAATTTCTTCGTCGGTGAGCTGAAGCGTCTCGTAGAGATGGGCGGCAAGACGAGGGAATTTATAGCGAAGCGTCGCAGACGCTAGGGAATAGGTACGGCTCATAGCCCCCCGATCGTATGTGAGGAAGGCCACAGGCAGTGGCCGGTTGAGGGCGTTGGCCATGGCAAGAAACGCCGACGCAGGAGTTGGGAATTGAAGGACAAGAAGGGCGGCGATGGTCTATAGATTCGTTAGGATCAAGGCATACATATCGCCCAGGAAGCCACTTACGTGAAGTCCACTGACGTAACCCACATCGCTCCGATACATAGAGTATGCTTCAAGCACGTCGATCAGTGTATCGCGTAGGGGACCCCTTTCTTGGAAGAGCTTTAAATCTGGAAATGCTTTGGACACATCTGCTTCGATGATTTCAAACCACTCTCGCATCCTTTTGTTGCTCTCCCCGGAATCTCCACCAGGCCTCGATTTCACATCTTTGGCTCGTAGTAACGCCTTTTTGAATGTTTCCTCGGACAGAGCCAGCTCATTGCCGATGGCACGTTGCCAGGTAGATCCTCGGGCTCGCGGGGGCACTCCGCGCCACCAAAGCTCTCGCGTACGGGTTTCGGTGACGGCATGATCCCAGTTCGGATACACGTACTCATCCCAAATACGTTGAAGGGCTTCCCGGGTGTTGTCTTTCTCGCACATCGCCGAGGCGGCCTTAGCAGCCTTGCGCTTATCTGCTACATATCAGTCTGCTTGGTTTCCCAAATGATTTGGGGTACGTCGAGAGTAAGCACCGACCTGCTTCCCGTGATTGCACCATCATCCTCTTGTATTCCTTCAAGTGCCTCCGCTCCTCCTTCTGGTCTTTAGGAGGAAGCCAGCTTGGCCGCGTTCGTGTTAGGACCTTCTCTTTTTCTTTGCTGATTGGCAAAGGGTCGATCATTATGTTGGACTTCTGCAGGGGAGGTAGCTCAATGCCCTTGGACCCTCGCTTGGAGTCCGTGCTTGATCGCTTCGAGGACAAGGCAATTTGTAGGCTCTCTCCTCGCTTGCGCTCGTGTTCGTCAGCATGGAACTCTAGAGCCTCCGTTATTATTTTCGCCTCCTCCGACAGATCAGACATCATGGTATTATACGAGTAAACACGTGGATTTCGTGGGGATATCTGGCCGCGTTCAGGGCCTGCAGAGGCCGATCGCGTACTCTGCCGGCTTGACCGAGATGCAGCTGGGGATTTGGCTGCTTGTGACGAAGGAACGGCTGTTTCTGAGACTGAATGTGACAAGGGCAAGGGCCGAGGGCCTGGGCTGCGGCCATCCGGACTAGCATCTCGGGACGGTGCACGATCCTGCACTGGCCGTGGAGATATGGGCACATTCCACAGACTTGCGTCCTCCGGAAGCTCTTCATCCGAATCATGATACTCCTCCTCTAGCTCCCTCAGAGACTTGCGATTCGGTTGCCAGGATTGTTTGCGGTTGAGAGGCGGTCGAGCATGGTCTGGTGACAAGGACGTAGATGGTGACGAGTCTAGGTTTGATGACAGCCGAAGTGGTGAGGTGGATCGTGATCGACGAGGTTTGGGAAGTTGCAACGGCGATGATGCGATGCCGCTAAGATCACGCTTGCCCCCAGTCTTTATTTTAGAGACCCCGCGAGCCTGGAGACCCAGCGTGTTGCCGGTCTGCTTTTGCAACGGCGGGTAGGGGCTTTTCATCTGTTTGGGGGCTGCTGTCAAGTCGCGTGTCGTGGCAACGGGAGACTTGGCCTGTAACCTGGCTGTTGAAGACCGTACGAATCCGCCGGGTCGCCCATATACAGGATTATCCTTAAAGGACAGGTCCGCATCATCGTCCAAGCCGATTTCTTCGAAGTTTGAGATATCAGTCAAGATGCCGTCGGTGCCTGACAGCTGCGATGAGGAGCGAAAGGAGGAGGATTTGGATGATTTGGACCCGGATAGCTCGGGCGGCGAATTGGGACTCGTGCAAAGGGTTGTCATCTCGCACCGCGAATGACGATTAGTTCGAATAGATCCTGAAACCCACGGCAGGGGAAGAGACACGTCCGACGCGAGCAAAGAGTCTGAAGGTCGAAATTAACTATTAAAATATAATCGGTCGCGCAGCGAGTAAAGAAAGTTGCTCAAGAAAAAGATGAATTCACAAAACGATAGACGAAAGGACGGCCTAGGCCGAAGTAGTAGAAAAGTAATATTTATTTCGCAGAGCACTGAGGCCCATCAACAACCCGTAGACAATTGGTTATCTACCCAATCCCTTCGAGGTAGAGCCCGTTGCAGGAGGATTCCAAAAGATGGGGAGCGAGAGAAAGTCCAGAAAGTCGGATCAGTAGTAACGAGGTAGTTGAGAGTGGTAAGGATCTGAGACGAAGAATGGACCAACCCAACAACAATAACAAAGGAAATCCAAAGCGAAAGGAGGGAGAAATGTTGGAGTAAGCGAAGGACAGGAACAGGAATGAGAAGAAGCGGAGTGAAGGATGGGGGCAGTGAAGGGGATGGGAGGTTTGGATCAAATGAAATCAACCGAAATGAAGCCGCAAGCGTGACCGGCGATGGCCTAAGGCTTACACTTCTGCTCTAGACTCTGGTCAATCCGGTACGTACCTAGGCTAGGTACTCTGGAGGTATTCTGGAGGCGCTGCAGGGGCCTCAACTGTGCATTGCGATACTCCAAAGATACTCGTGGGCTGGATGCGTCCAGACATACGCATACCTCTAAATACACATCTACCTAGGTACGGAATAGATAGTCCTTTATTCCACAGTTGCTGGCTTACAGTACTAAGACGCAACCGATCCGCCGATCACAACCCGTTTTAAACGTATTTTTACTCCCGCCTTGAAAGCCTGAGGTTGCGACCGTTTGCAGTGGCGGTGCTGCTGCTGCTGATGATGATGATGATGATTATTACGCAATATACTGCCAGGCAATCATGAAGAATCTGAATGCTTTTGATCGTAAATACATTTATTTGTTGACATTTTACCTTCAATGGGCTGAAAACAACAAATCCGATTTGCCTCCCCCTTTCTCCTTTTCCTCCCTTCTTTTCTCTCCCCCCTAATCCAGTCACATTCACGTCCGCTGGTAAGGGTTCCATGGTATGCCATCTTCATACCGTGGCGCACCTTCCACCATTTCTTCCCCTTAGCTAAGTACCCGGAAGAGTGTAATTATTTCCTACTTCCTTTTTTGATTTTTTTTTTTTTTTTAATCCTCCCCCCTCTTCGCTCTGATTCTAGGCACTACTCATCGCTGGTGGGGTTTTCCCTATTACCAGCACTACTATGGATCTGATTGTACTCCATACCCGTAATAGTTGTAGAAAGGAACACTAAATAAGCATGGACATCTACTGTAGGCCACAAATGTATTCAGGAATCCCATAAGGAGCTGTCATGGACTTTCTTGGATCAACAGTCTTGTCTTGTGGAAGTAGTGCACTGGAGAAGTTCTAGAGTGGCCAATCAATACCTCCAGCCTCCATATAACATATTGCCTTTCCGCACCACTTGCACCAAATGTGCCAGCTTGCCATTCGATTTCGGTCGTGCTTGTCGTTGAATCTGGTCGAGCCAGTGCAACACAGCGCCGTATCGTGTCTGTTTGCGACCCAATACATGGCGAAATGCAGCGGCCGCAAGATACTGTACCTGGAACCCATGTACCATGCTTGTGCTTGACGAGTTGGAGTCATCACCCTCGCCTACTTGCCGGCTCGGTGTGCGTTTGGCTTGGACAAATCGGTGAGATAACTGGATCAGGTCCCTAATGACTCGAATTACCACTGCTGGAGTAGGATGTCGTCGCCCAATCAACGCCCTCATATATCGATACATTCTCATGGCTGTCATCACGAAATTGGCATACAAGTTGGACAGCACCACAGGGAGTGAATTGTGGCTGGTGTCGAGGTACATGGGATGCATGAGTAGTTTGAATGATGCTAGTACTTTCCGGTGAAAAGAATGCCCCGGGGCTCGCGCCAGTTCGACGGTCAACGAATTTGATAAATTTTCCGCAGCAGAGTCGCCTCCTTCCAGGATCCTGTCATGATCTTTATGTACTTCCAGCGTGCGAGTGTCGATCAGGCTCCCACAGTACGGGAACAACGAACTATCGATAAGCCTTGGGATATGTGCTCCCTCGACGACAGCGCCAAAATTAACCAAGCTCTTCGCTGGGTTCACGGTGATCCCATACGCCGGCTGTCCTTTGACCATCACTTTCAAGAAGCGCATCGCAAGGGTGGGATTGGACGTTATTAGTAGAAAGTCGTCTACAAGACGAAGAAGCAAGGCCTCTTTGCAGCCAAGGAACCCCAACTTTTCTCGTTCCATTTCGGCGTAGAATAAATTGCAAAGAAGGCTGGACAACACAGAGCCCTGAGGAATACCATTGCGCTGCCGAAAAAACTTCTTTCCAAATTTAACGAGGTTGTTTCGGAGGTGCTCATTCAGGAGATCCAGTAGATCCTCGGTGTTGTAGTATTTCTGTGCTACTGTATCAACAAAGACTGTGTTTCTCCTGCGACTGACACCGCCACTCTCAATGGTCTCTGCTAGAGGTTGAGGTTTCATGGCAGGTGCTGCTCTACCCACAAATTTCCGCACGCCTTTGTTCTGCCGAGATCCTTGCGACGGCCATATGTTACTAAACTCATCTTGGACTCTCATTTCAACGTACTTCGTCACATGATACGCTTCTTCAGACACCAATTTTTCGACAAGGTGGATCAGCTTTTGCTGAGGGATGGTGTCAAAACAGGATTGGATATCAAGCTTAACGAAATAGAAAGGCAGCTGACGAGTATGGCCCGAAGATCCTTGTGACATCTGTTCTTTGAAGGCCTTGAGCCGAGAATGGATTTCGCCCACTGAATACAGGCATGAGCCAAGTTGAGCCGGGTTACGAGTTTTCTCGTAGTTCAATACGTTGAAAATGGGTGCCACCGTGGAATTAATGCTTGGACCCAAATATTGAACCCCCGTGGTCGTCCACTTGCTCTTCAACTGCATCCGCCGCCGAAGATTTACGATGGGCCGAATACCGGTCATTTTTGGAAGAAGTCGTAATGAGCCATATCCTAGAGATCTGCGGCCAAGTATATTGTTTGCTTTCTCCGGTTTCAGTTCTTCGAACATGGAGGATTTAAGATCAGCGAGTGGCTGTTGAGTCAACTGACGCCACACATCATGCTGAAAGAAGAATAGGCGGTTTCGATGGATTTGAGATTCAGTTACGTAGAAGTTAGACCGAACGAGAGGTATTAATATTGAGTCGAAGATGTAATATATTAGTTCGTGAAAGATTTCTGTGCGCTTGTGCATATCGGACAATGAAAGCTTGTTTTGAGACAACACCTGCTGCCTACCGACATCTGGAGGCTCTAGCCAAGGGATAGATGTGATCTGAAAAATTGTTAATACATGTATATTAGAGGCACTATTACCACTGGAAAAGTTGTATACTCCAACCTTTATGCCTTTGCAAATTTCATGAATACTTAAGTTTTCATAACGTCGCATGCACACAAATCGGTCAACATTCCTAAGGACAATATCCTGGTTGGCCTTCCCCTGCTGGCCAGTCCCATACCATTGCGGAGGAATCAACTTCCGAAGGGCTGCTCGACAGAAAGCCGATACCGAAGGAGCGGGAGTCGCATGGTCTGTTAAGCGGAGCTTTGGTCTAGAAATTATATTCTGGGGTGCCGGATTTTGTACATTCGAGGTGTCCAATTGCTGACCCTCTTGTAGCGTTTGGGATGTGTGTGTATGAGTGGGAACACGAAGCTGGGTGACAAAGTCTTCTGGTGCCGATGATTTGGATCCTGGAGTCCTCTCATTTTGAGAGTTGTCAACCCCGTATTTCCACGGTCCCGAGGACTGAAACGTCAGTAACATCTGTTTTGCGCATTATTGAATAATCACGTACGTCCAACGGGCAATAATATCGTAATAACTCTGCATACGAACAGCGTTTGTGGCGCTTCTGCAACTTTTGAACTAAATCTACAGCTCTTCGGAGCCTTCTGGGAATTCGATTAAATCCCCCCGACTCATTAGGAGTACCAGTTGAATGAGCTCCTGAGCGCTGAGCCTGAGACTGCCTTTGTTCGTTGGCTCTAGAAATTTCGACCTCGCGTGAGGAATAATCCTTATAAGGCTGGGCATTTTCGCTACTTTGTGTCGATGTGAACACATTATGCAAACCAAAGTGTTTTGGAAAAATATATTTCATGAGGTGTACAGACTGTGACATTGAGTCAGGTGAGCAACGACTGAGGACATCTATTTCATCTGTTAGGCTTAATCCACACAATATTAAGTCAGTCTTCAGCACTTACGGCGATTTGTTAACCCATACTCTATTTTCCCTTTTGAATTAAGTGTTGGAGGAGCATAGAGCATTCGTCGACGGGGAAATACAATGCTGTTGGGTTTGTAAGAAGGGCAATTGCGAAACACTGCACTATCTTTGGCGGAATCAGACTTTGAGACGGTCTCCATAGCCGTGGGAGATATAGGAACAGTCTTTTTGATAACAAGATCTTTTGGCTGTGGTCCCTTATGCACTGGCTCGAGCATAGATAATGGGAGCCCTAGGTAACATCTCAGAATCAGTAAGCCTTCTATCACGAGAAAGGTAAAGCCTACCACTAATCTGATAGTATACACCTTTTCGGTGATCTATAGCTGTGTAGATCCCGCAATCGAATAACAGTCTCAACATAATCTCATCTCCGTTGCATCCCAAGAGACCAAGGACACCAGTCCAAGGTTCTTGTTTGAGTGCCTGCGCATTTTTGTTGGGAAAGCGTGCCACAAGGCCGGGGATACTACATGCGAGTTCATCATTCTTCCGTGAAAGCTCGGGACCGCATATACGTTGAAATCCATGAGTTAACAAGTGATGCGGCCTTCGATGCGAGAAGCCACTGTGGTTAAACAAGGAAGAGATGACAAAGTTCACAATCTGTATAAATAATTCAATGTTAGCAAAACTATATCTCATATTAGAAAGTCTCAGCTATATGATATTAGAACCAAGTGTGCGACTCAAGGAACACGCCTACAATGGCAGCACATAGACTGGCTGCTGGTACTTTCTGGAACAGTAGCAAGTTCAATACACAGCCTCACCTCTGCTTGGGCACAAAGTGGCCCTGTATCTGTACCAGTAATCCGAGAAGTAGAATGTGATTGTATAAATCCAGCCAAATTTCGTCGACGTTCCAATGTGCACGTTGGAGGCGACTCTTTCAAGATTCCAACCAGCGTCGTATCCAGAAAAAGGGCGAGATTATGCGCCTGGCTTCCCGAATTGGTAGATGCAGAGCCATTGCGCACCGACGCAATTCTTCGACGGCGTGACTTAGATGAGGCCGGTATCTGCTGAAGAAGATATTGTCTCAACGTCACAACTTCACTGTAGTATAGAGAGATAACGGGATGGGAATATTCGGCAGCTTTTTGGGGAGACAAGGAATCGCCAGTCTTGAAACAGCTAGAACTATTTGAGCTTGTCTGCAACGGATTCTCGCATGTTTGACCGTTCTTGACGGGTCGCTTTCTTTTTTTGCCCATTGATGAGGCTCAACAATGAGACGTGACAGTAGTGCCAGTATAGGCACCAAGCGAGCTTCACTTTGCACTGAGTTAAGATTGACTAGGCAGGGGACATGTACATATAGAGTACTGCGAATCAGTAGTAGGAGCTGCATGTCATGAGATCCTTGGCGGCAAGACGCGTGACGCGTCTGGTCGCGCCGAGGCGTGCGATTAGGTTCTTACTATTTGGGTAATGACCGCACCCAGAATCCAAATCATCCCTATGGTAGATGGCTACATAGGCAGCGTCGATACAATTGCAGTTCTACATATCTAGCATGTACAAACTATGGATAGGGGCCCAATCCGTCATGGATCATCAATCGCTGGTCGTGTCACGTGCATCAAAATTCCTTCCCGACGATCGATGGAAACAACCCTTGCAAGCGAGAGTGAAAAATGGAGAGACCCGAGAGTCTGGTGTTTTGGAGTGAGACATATTCCCCCACTGCTCGATACACTATGAAGTAGGTTTACGGGCAATTGAAAAATCTGAAGTTGGCTCGCATTTGGGTATTATTGATACTTTGATGTAAAGGAGTACCTGCCATGATCCTACTACATACAAGCAGGTGTCAACATGAAAATATAGCGTTTGGGCATAAAAAGAATCATGGGACTGTGTGCGAGCTCTGATTTGGTATTGTCATGTATATATTTTTATTGACAGCAGGACGGGTGTTCCAATGGTCTCAATTACTTGGGATGTACTCCATATTATTCTCTCTATCAGTACAAAATAATCAAAAGGCTCTTATTACCAGGTGCAAATGTTACCTATAGATTGCCTGATATCTGTCAAAGTCACGAAGAGTACCATATTCTCTACCACTCAATGCTGTTTGAGGCACTTGATAGCCGGCCAAAGTATGTATAAGTCCATAGCTTCATAGCTTCAAACACCAATCCTTTCCCCCTTTCCCTCTATTTTTTAATTACACTGTGTACTATTTGATGACCCCTGCTTAACAGGTCGGTCATACAATAGATCGCCATTTCGTAGGGATTCCTTGTGATTGCAAAATACAGAGTAAATCATTTTATGGCTACCTACCCTTCGAGTATTGGAGATAAATGCTTGGCCCCAACACTTAATGGGCAGAGTTGGGCGGTGTTTTGTCAGAGGTAGGCGGACGCAAGAAGGCGAATTCCGACGGGCAGACGAGTGGATGATATTGTGGAGCTAAAAAGAATCACCCAATGCAGATAATTTGATTAACCCTTACAAAGCCTCACCAAGGTTGATCCTTGAACAATACCAATATCTACTCTGTACCGATACATAGATTTCCCACGGGTAGGGGTAGTGATTTTCAGGAATCCCACCCGTTTACGCTACCAATTTATGACGGAAGAAGGTCAAGCTTTTCCCCGTCCGCGCAAGAGGGGACAAGAGAGGGGCAAAAAAAAAAAAAAAAAAAAAAAAAAAAAAATGCTGGCACTGTCGCTGGGAAATTGAACAAAATAACCACAGAGTATTGAAATTTATTGAGACACCCATTGGTATTTCCGGGAGTGGACAGCATATTGTCGATCATAGGTTGTTCCTGGCGATATTGCCAAATTGACGAAGGCGTCCGTTTGGAAACGACAGGAACTAACATGGAGTCAGGCCAGACCCTTGAAACGAGGGTGGTCTAGAATGGCCATGACGCTAGTAACATTCCTGAGGAAGAACTGTTGGACCTTTTGCTCAGCCTGTCTTTGGTATGCTCCATCCGCCGCCCCTGCGGAGTCTGGGGGAGAGTTTTTGGATGCAGCGCCTAAAAGTTTGGAAATGTCATTTTATCCGGACCGATTCCTATTCTCTTTTATTTGGTTTTATTTATTTTTTTAAGATAACTCCCTTGTCTCCTGGTGGTTTTGTGATTCGAGAACAGGGGTAAATCTGGTACAGACGAACAAAAAAAAAAAAAAAAATCGACAAGCGGTGTACGGAGCAGTGATGAATATTTTGCTACGTATTCATAATAAATATTTAACCATAGTAAAAATGGCATTTAACCAGCGACTTTTCTACATGAATAATGACGGCAATGGGACCAATCCGGAGACATCATAAGCGAATCGACGGATAAGTTATTGATGCAGGCGATGAACAGATGCAACCCGCAAAGAATCAACTGATCGTGAACTATCAGAATCAATGCTGAAAAATAGATAGATTCTTAGAGATAAGCTTATAAATCATAATTACGGAGTAGATGCAAAGGATACATCTCTAATGCGATACGCTGGCATTGAATCCTCCGTTGGCAAAATAAGTACTAACATAGCAGACATCTAGAACAGTGGTGCAGGCCCTTGTAGATGTCAATCCTACTTAATGCACAGTATTTATCTTTTGCCCGCCAGGAGGTATTCAGTTGTTCTTTTTACCTACATTCTAGTACTGCCTTAAGATGCCCAATTATATCTGATAGCCTGTAGTCCTAGGTAGCTATAGTATATAGCAAGGCCAGAAAATAGACTGCTAAAGGGGAAAGGACGGGGTTCATGTTATAGCCCAGAACGCAGTACCTACTAAACTATAGCCTTATACGGTAAATAGTATTTCTGCACTCCGACAGGACACCAGAGCATATCTTCGTTTTACTTCCCTTGCTTCTAGAATTTCAGGGCCAAAATCGAGGGAGCAGAGAAAATCTAAGGGAGGGGGAAGGACGTTTAATGACATCAGCATATAGGGGTCGCCTTCTAATGGTCACGAGTAACTCCCGTTATAACAATCAACGAGACAGAGAAACCTAGCCAGTAGCCATCGCTGTCTTTTCCGTTTTTGATGAAGAAGGAGAGTTGCTATTAACACGACGTTCGTGGGACTACTCTGTAGGGAAGTCTGGCCTTAGTTTCTGACGTGATGTATTAATTACGGAGACAAGGTAACAGCTGAAGGAGCCTATTTTGTTACTTTTAATTGGCCGTTTGACCTCTTTAGGCTTTCTAACCATAGGTACAGAATAATAAACTTCTGTAGCCAAAAGCTATATACAGCATTTTCCTTAGTGTGTTCCGAACAAACTGTGAAAGTTTGGGACGGCGAACAAAAGGCTGTCAGTTCAGACTAAAATTAGGAAGCAGTGGGGCGCTAAATCGGCTCCATGGATATAATATTCTTTCTAACTTTTTCTCTTTCTTTCTTTTCCAGAAAAAATAAACAAAAAAAAAAAAATAAAAATTTAAAGTTATCCTCCTAATACGCTGATTCAGTAATCCTAATTAGTTAGGTCTACTTCCATCAACTGCAGACTTCGGGTGTTCGGCCGCTAAAAGAGAGATCCTAGTAGAATCGATCGTCAGAGAAGATCGAGTCAATCAACATATACTTCAACTGTGTTGTAAATAGGGAAGACGAAGGGTAAAGCGTGGAAGAAATATCACTGCTACATTTGATAGAAAATTAAGACTCTTTCTTTTGTTTCTTTCTCGCTTTTCCTCCCCCCCCACCCCTCTCCCTTCTTTCTTTGATGGTCAAAATTTCTTTTCTCACCCAAACACTGATCGCAAGGAACCGTTCCCCACAAGAAGTATTAACACCAATAATACCACCTGTCATCGACACTAATCATTTTCTGATCTTCTTGGACCAAAAAGGATGTCTTTATTAAGTCAAGTCTGGGAAAATACCTGAAGTATTAACTTGTATCAGGGATCGAGGCCCATCCTTGGGACCACGGAGAATTCATCATGTATTCATGTTCTTCAGTTTGTTATTGGCCATTTTTCCGGCGAATCGATATTTTCATACGAAACATCGTTTTTCGTCTCTGTAAAAAAAAAAAAAAAAAAAAAAAACCTAATGTTCCTCGGCCCTTCTTTTCCGCAGTCCATTCCAAAGGATGGGAGTGTCAAATTCATGTCCAATACACGCGAAATGTGTATGTACATAACTCCTTGACGTAATTATATGATTCTCAGGTAGAATCCATAGCAAGTACACACGAGATAGCCACTAGGTATGAAATAATGGTAACAATATCAATAAATATAACATCTACTAGGTAGCAATTACAACTGATCACATTCAAACAGGGCTAGTTGTTGGCCCACCTACAGCTCATCCCAGTTGGGATCACAGGATCGCTACCTATTCGGCCGTCATCGATGGTATTATTTGATGGATAGAAATTCTGTTCCTCTGGGCCTTGCCTGACTTGCAGTCATAGGTAACCCTGGTCACTTTGTTAATCTCTTGCTCTTTGCCTCCCTACTGGCCCTGCCACTTTGACCTCAACGACCCCTCTCGGCCCGCCTGTGACAACTTACGTCCCTTCCATTCCCCCCTTCCCCTGCTAGACGCTGTGCAAACGTTTCTTTCCCGCCCGTCTCATTTCACTACAGGTTGCTCTTGTTCGCCCACGCTTACGCTCTTTTCTCCCATCCTCTTTCCTTCTCTTCCTTTATCGTATCGTTCTGTCCCTCCATCCTTGATTGGTATCCGATATACTCGCAGCCTTTGAAACCATTCTCCTTACCTCGTCCAAGCACCAACAGTACCTTAACTTGATGGTCGAATCCCGGCGCCACCGCAATACGAACCGAGGATCACTCTACTGTTTTGGTGGTCTCATCTTGTCTCAAATATGACTCCGTACTTGGGTAGTGCTACCCGGCGATGATTGCTTTGTAGTTCTGGCCGGTCCATCTGCAACCTCATCTGTGGCCTACCAGCTGTGAACAACACATCGCAAGACTAGTCTCGTCCATCAGGAAGCATTACCGCCAACCAAACCGTTGGGAGAAAATTAAGGGCAACAAAAAAAAAAAAAAAAAAAAAAAAAAAAAAAAAAAAAAAAAGAGGAAAAGGAACAGCCCCTCCCAAGTTTGGAGCACAAATTCCCACTGACTGTCTGCCTGAAGAATGCAAGATGTCCGGCAGAGATGTCGAACACGTTTCTTGCTTTCTTAATGGCAACTCTCGTCAGCCTCCATCTTTTCCAGATACTGACGACTTATATCATGACGCCTCATCAAATATTAAAGCATCGCTAATCGCATCATCTTCGTCTCCCGATCCTTCCCTAGCGAGTACCACATACACCGAACAGCCGCGTCTCACAAGCACTCAGGCTTTCCGTGCACCTACGGGTCTATCCTCGAGCGGCAGCCCTGATATTTACGGCCCAGACGGCCGAACCTCTCCTGACCCTGACGACTTTTATCGGCCGCATCAATCCTTATTGGCTGCAAATGATGGTACCGAGGCTGACTCTGGCACTGGCTTGATGGTTGGGGTCAATAATAACGGTAACGCAGAGAATCGTCCCATTGTTTCTCAGCGCGTTTACTCCGTGCCAACCCGCTCTCCAGAGTTGACATCTGTGAGCCGAGCGCAATACCGTTCGACTTCAGATTCTTCATACAGGGGTTTTGGTTCGGACTCCACAAAAGGGTCATCTGCGAGGACGTCGACGGCCAGGTCAAGACAGACATCGTTCAAAGACCTGATAAACAAGTTCAACAACAACGTTGACCAGGTTCTTCCACTTCCAGTCACATCAACACCGATATCCCGCGAACCGTCAAGGGCCGCCAGCCCAGCCAGCCCTATCGATCACCAGCTGCGCTCCAGATCGTCGTCGCGTCCGTGCGATACGTCTGGCTCCCTAGAAAACAGAAAGGACGTGTCTGGACTGAACACAGCAACGGCACCTGGCCAATATAGTTTTGACCTTACCGTCCCTCAGTTGCGAAACCAATCAAATTGGTCGAGTTCATCTTCGACGTATCTAAATCCAAGTGACTCGCTTCCTCACCGGGCGCTTATCAGAGAATTGCTTTCCGTGGATACAGGCTTCCAGGACTCGGGATATGGACTTCCGTCGCATATGCGACGTCGAGGTTCTGAAGGGAGCATACCCAGTCCAAACCCCGCGTTTCTAGACCATCACGACCTATCACCCGGCTTCTCTCCACTGACACCTACTGCCTGGTATTTGGGGCATACACCCTCTCTTGAGGCTGTAAATACTGGTGCAAACCCCAGTAGTCATCGAAGGGTGAAAAGCGATTTCTCTGGAAACTGGCCTGGAGGTGCGTCCGCTCAGCCTTCCGATTCCCACATGGCGGTCCCGGCCCCCTTGCAGCCGAACTCTCGAACGTCCCTAGAAAGCCCACATTCCAAGTCACGCATTCCTGTCTCATCCCGGCGCCTCAATTCGGCTTCCGGCTCAGAAGTTTCTTCGCCCACGGCAACTGTCGATCCAACCTTCGGCAACCGGCCTACCGCACAAATTCCTCTGCCACCGAGAGGTATTAGCCGCCTCCCCAAACCGTCACCTAAGTCGCCTCGTGATATATCGGACGATTCGCAAATAGCGCTTGCGTTGTCACCACGTGGAAGGCGTGAAATGGTCCAGAATCGACCGCGTCATCAGCGTTCTGGAAAGGGCGCCCTCCTAGAGGCATACATAGCTGCTCCTCCTCCGAAGAAATCACCACCCCTACGAAGCTCCAGACCCCGTCAACCCGTGTCTCACACAGCGCCCACGTCACGATCGAAGGTAGTGGAAACTGTGTCGAACTTTCAAAGCCAAATTAATCGCGATCGAGAGTCGCGAAATTTCAGACAACGGGGGTTGCAAGTGCCCGAGCTGGGCCATGTCGATTTTGCGACTCGACGACAGAGAATCCAACAAGCCTTCAATCGCACTATTCAGGAGAATGAAAGGAAGGAAGAGAAAGCAGCCGAACTTCGTCGTCAAGTCAAACACCGAGAAGACAAACAGGAACCTCCTCGGGTTCCTTCTCCGCAAGTACCTCTACCTGAGAGGCCGCAGTCACATTCATCCCCTCAGCCCGAAGATACAGCAACCGTCATCGAGGAATCTGTGGAAACCTGTCATGAAGAAGAACCATCGGTATCCTCAACGGGGCACATACGAGCCACCCCCCACCTTCACGTTGATACAGACATTAGGATGCAAGAGCCTGAAGGAAGGCCTATTGAAGAAGCTCATCCAATGACAGTGGATTCGCCGACACTGGGGCACTCAACTCTCACTCTAAATGGGGAAGGGATGAATACAAAATCCTCTGGTCCCCCAACCTCTGCTATGACGTCGGGGTCTAACGAAACTCATGTTACTGCATTTGACCCAGAACCCCAGGCCGGACTGTCTCGGCAAAATGTGCATGCGTCTCACAGGACTCTTTTGAGCCAAATCATGCAAATCCGCGAGTCCAGTCCTAGTGGCTCCTCCTGCGATGAGCCAGATCTCAGTTTTTCCGAAAATGATGATAGGGAATCCATCCCAATTATGTTGAGAGATGCCCTGGGTCTGGAAGACTCTATGGATAGTAGTGATAACCAAGAGTCGTGTGATCTTTATATCAAACAAGCGCACACTACCGGTGAACCACCCCACAGATGGAGTATGAGCTCATGGTCTTCCTCGCTTCGAAATCAACATTTCACAGATGATCAATGCGAGGACAGTGGAGATGACCTCTCTCAGATACAGCATTCCGCTGATGATGGCGAAATAGCTACGACTCGTTCATGCTCCGCTGCCTCTAGTACTCCTCCATCGGTTACCGGGCGTCAACCGCCTTCAACATTGAATCATAATAATAGCACAACGCCCGAGTCGAAGCATGAAAACGGGCCAAATAGAAATATTCAAGGACACTCGAACGCACCTAACCTAGCCAGACTAGGCGGGTGGAACTCGAGACTTGTTACTCAACTTTATTTTAAAGAGCTCGCTCGTGGCAGGGGCCATAATCTTCCTATGCCAGCAATCCGTGCTTCTCCAGAACCACACTCTTCAGATATTAGTAAGAGGAATGTAACAGAGGAACCAGGTTTGGTATCACAGACAAATGATTTCCCCTCGGAGGAGCGAATAGGGCACACTGCAAGTCTCGTCTTGCCAGGCGACTGGGAACATGCGTCCCCATCTATAATGGATTGGATGCGGATTGCCGCCGATGACGGAACTGCGCCAAAAGACCAGGCAGACGATAGCTCTAAACATGACGGCGCCCCAACACCTCGGATTGTGACACCCAGTATACAAGCAGCGTACCCTGGGGAAGCTACACATAAAATTGTCGGTGTGGCCGTTGATGTTCAATCGTCTCTGAAAGCCGACTCACGGGATAGTCGCCCATCTCCCCTAGAGCAGTCTCAGCAACCACCTCCTCCAGTTGGAAGCGAGGAAATCAATGCGTCTCGGCAACCATTCCATTCCTCTTCTGCAGGGAATTTATCCCAGCCGCTATTGGGTGCCTTCGTGAACACCACTTTCGCCCCACTGGGCTCGGTCCAGAGCAATGGAAGTAGCGGAGACTCGTCACTTCGGCGCCTCGACCCTACACACTCACCGCAGGCTTTGGATTCATCAACGACTTCCTTGGTTCCTTCTACTTCGGAGCAGCCTCATCCAGGAAAAGCTTCCCCATCACCAGAGCAACGGCGTTTGAAGAAACGACGGCATGTTATCAAGGAATTAGTTGATACCGAATACACTTTTGGGAGAGATATGAAAGTTGTTGACGATATTTATAAGGGAACATCAAGCTCATGCTTGGATCTCTCATCGGAGGATGTTAAAATACTCTTTGCAAATTCCGACCAGGTTGTACGGTTTTCAATGTCCTTCCAGGATGCACTGAAGGAGGCAGCGAAGAGTGTCTATGTTATGCCTAAATCACAACGATGGAGCAGCAAGCGCGCCCGGAACAGCCACGCTTCCAAAGTCGATCCTGATACTTCGGTGGCAACAGGAATATCGGAGCTGGAGAATGACAATGCTACATTCATTGGTCAGGCGTTTATGACGAATATGGCATATATGGAGAAGATCTATGCGGATTACTTGAAAAATCATGATGCAGCCAATAAGAAGCTTCAAACCCTTCAACGGAATCCCAAAGTGGCTATCTGGCTAAAGGAATGTCGAGAGTGGGCATCGGATCTCACCACAGCGTGGGATTTGGATTCGCTACTTGTTAAACCAGTGCAGCGGATCTTAAAGTACCCTCTCCTGCTAACTGAGCTTCTTGATTCAACACCGAGTGACCATCCAGACCGTGCATCTCTCGTCAGTGCCCTAGAGGAGGTGACTAATATTTCGATCAGGATAAACGAAATGAAGAAGCGTGCCGATCTAGTGGGCCAAGTAGTTGGCCGAAAACGAAAGGAGTCCGATGTTAGAGCAGGCTTGTCGAAGGCTTTTGGGCGTCGCACGGAGAAACTGAGGCAGCAAGTAGGGCTTTCTGACATGGTTGAAGACAAAGACTACGATGCACTGTCCCAAAGATTTGGAGACAACTTCTTCCAGTTGCAAGTTGTCATGCGAGATGCCGAGACGTATACCCGCGAGGCTCAAAGCTCCATGGAACGCTTCGGCGAATTCGTTGCAGCGATCGAAGGGTTTATCGACGTTTCGCAGACCAACTATTCAGAGCTCGAGGGCAAATGGCGTGAATTAAAAATATGTGCTCATGAAATCATGACGGCCACATTTCCGGACCATGTAAGTGAGAAGGACCGACACCCCGTTGCACTCTGCAATGATTTTCTGACTAGGTGATTCTAGCTGTCTGTTGTTCGAAAGAATGTCATCGAGCCCATGGTCACACTGCTTAAGCTGCACGAAGGACCACAAAAAGTGATGAAGAAGCGTGATAAACGCCTGATGGACTATGCTCGCTTCAAAACCATCAAGGACAAAGGAGATAAGCCCGACAAAAAGACCACGGAACAAGGAGAGCAGTTCGTTGCTCTCAATGAGACACTTAAGGACGAGCTTCCTAAGCTATATTCCCTCACCGCTAAACTGATGGAAGCTTGCTTGAAAAACTTTATTCAGATTCAGACATCCTGGTTCAAACTTTTGCAGGAAAAGCTAGCACCCTTGGTTGACTCCTTTCCGGACGACATCCAGAAGATCGTCGGTGATTGGTCTGCAACCTTCACATTTTCCGAGGCCCAGTTGTTATCATTGGGTATCTGCAACGGATCGTTGCTTGCGGATGCTGTCAACCTTGTCAATTTCAATACACCCTCGACTGGGGCCACTATCAGTTCACCTCGACGCTCTTCAACCGTAAATAGCGCTAGCACTCGTGTTGGATCTACCATGGAAGAACCCTCACCCAAGGTTTCTTATGACTTCGGCAATGGTAACGCCCTTCCTTTCCGATCCCCAAGTATTGATGGCCAGTCGCAGTTGTCTTCTGGGCGTCTTCGGGCCGATTCATCTCTCTCTGACCGCGGTGCTGAGGCACCGGAGATCCCCCGAAGCCAGATGCTGCAGCAGATTACCGGCACATCATCAGGCTCTGTACCTCCTACGTCCGTTCCTCAGACTGAATCAATCCCAAGTCTTCCCAGGCTGAGTCTCGATTCACCGTTCCTTGTTGATGTCATGGGTCCTTCTGGTAGTGAAGCTAAAAACGATGAGGACCAACCGACGACGCCTGGTGGTCGGTATTCGGGGTTTTTTTCATCGGCAATGCCCATGTCGGATAATCCCCAAGATGAAGGTGCCCCTGCAGAAAACGACGCCCCTAAAGAACCTACGGTACTATTCCTTGCTGCCAGTATCTACGAGTTCAATATTGATCGTGCCCGGCGCGAGGCCGGATATCCCTACCTGACATATGTCGCTGGAGAAATATTCGACGTTATTGCCGAGAAAGGTGAGCTATGGCTGGCAAAGAATCAGGACGATCCTACCCGTCAGGTTGGCTGGATCTGGAATAAGCATTTCGCGAAACTTTCAAACTAAGCCCTATTATACTATGATCATGCCACGTGTTTCCATATTGTTGTATATGTTTTATGATTCTCAGTCTCATGTTTTGATTGTCAGTGGACCATTTGGCTTAATCTGGAAGCCGACAAACGGAAAAGTCGTTTATTTCGTCGATCATGATGCCTGCAGGGGTGGTCATTCCTTATCCTCACTCTCTGTTTTCTTTTTCCCTTTTCCTTTCTGTCTGTCTGTCTTTCTTTCTTTCTTTCTTTCTTTCTTTTTTTTTTTTTGTGTGCTTTGTTTATGCCTTTGATACCCAATGTGAAATGACTCGAGAGCCCTGTATGGCCTTTATCTGTTACTGAGGCGTTAAACTTGATTTGCTTTCCTTTAAATTTTTACCTTTTAACTTTTTGTCCCTTGCACCATTTCACAGTTATGCCTTCCAGATGCCCTCCCAGTTAGTTATGGGGTCGCAGGCAAGGAATTGAGGAGCTGTGCAGGTGTTTTGAATGTAGGGAAGGAAGCGATCGTGTGACTATTTCCACCATAGTGTGTGTGACATTGGCCGAGGCTTCTGGAAACTCTCCTGAAGCCACTGGAATGTAATCTTAGATACCCCTTTGACTATAGAGCTGAAACTGATCGATCTATGGAATGATCATTCAAGTAGTCTTGTTCACTTAATGCACAGGCACGTACATCACGTGCCCGGTGAGCCACCAGTGACGTCGGCGCTGGAAGTGGCTTTTCTCCGTAGATGATGTGCAAGGACACGGAGTACTGTCCATCTTATTCCCAATTGCCCTCCGTTGGGTAGAGCAGTCCGCATCGACTTTTGTCCTATCTTCCTCACCCACTGAGTGTGATCTTAAGCAGTCCCAGGGGCCTTGCGAAACCTCCGATCACCTTCCCCCTCCCTCCCCTCTTTCCGATCCCCCTTCCGCCGACGGAACTAGACTCGAGCTGTTGCTCATCCTTTCTGTCTTGGACAGTTGGGTTAGGTTATTGTCTATACACATATATATATGTCTTGAGGCATCGTGCACGAAGCGTCGGCCTTTCGTACTCGCTTGGTTCTTCGATCCTGTCCGGGCAGACACAACCCCTGCGGCCGACATTAGCTGTTTCTTTCTCCTGGGTAATTTCTGAGTAGATATTTAGGCAAAGAGTTAAAGATGCGCGACGGCGGGCTGGGAAGACTGCAGAAGAGAATGAGGCGATTCGGTGACACGGTAGGCTCAGTCGCGGCGTTCCGTTGGCTTCTTTGTGGTTTTTGCGCTGGTCTTCCCACTCCCAGGGCGCTAACCGCTCACAGTTGAACCCAGACGATGCGTATCTCAGCTGTTAGTGACTCATAATTGATCCCCTCTAGATTAGGAGTTCAAAGAGAGGAGATCTGACTAGCTCGGAGCGTACAGACCACGATGTTCGACGTACGTGACGCTGCCCCCGTGTATTTCGATGGGATTGAAACAGGCCTGACCTTCCTTGTAGTGACGAGAGAGGATATGCAGTCTCTCAAAAATGACTGGCTCACAGATAATGTGTGTTTAATCGCAATGTATGATAGACCTCCAGAGCTAACCTCATTGCAGGTTATCTCCTTTTGGGAGGAGTAAGTCCACAGACGCAGTATTCCATGCCCTTAAGTTGAAGCTGATTTCTCCAGATATCTAGAACGCGAATTCCTCGTACAGTATAAATCATCCAACATCGTTCTCTTGCGACCCAGCATGTCCTTTATGATCCTACAAACGCCGAATCCTCACTCGTTGCGCGAGGCTTTGCCGGACTTCTCGCGCACGACGCACGTCTTCCTTCCTATCAATGACTGTCGCAATGTGACCGAAGCGGAGGGCGGCACTCACTGGTCACTGTTACTCATTTCCATTGTGGACGGAATCGCCTTCCACTACGACTCACTTCCCCCCGGGAATGTGTGGGAGGCTCGAGAAGTGACCCAGAAATTCGGTGCCCTTCTGAACCGACCTATCCGGTTCATCCATCTGGATGATTCTCCTACCCAGGAGAATGGGAGCGACTGCGGCGTTTTCGTCTGTCTGAGCATGCGACATCTCTTACTCAAACGACTTCTGACAGCCAATGCCAGCGAAAAGATCAGTATGAGTCTCGGTGGGAAGAAAGTAGATGCCCGCGCGGGCAGGAAGGAAATAGCCAAGATTATCAATGGCTTCAGAAAAGAGGGAGAGCGGCGTAGATCGTATGTTAGCACAGTTTACCTCTTGTCTTCCGCATAATCAAGTCTACTAACAACTACGGTACGACAGAGCCAGTCTAAGTCCGTTAGGAAAGAAATCGCGAAGTCCCCCGCGGATTGATTAACTGTTCACGAAAACATACCAGGTCTGGATGATCCTGTCGTTTACATCTGGTGTACGGAGAGAGACCGCCGATGGATGCATACTCAAGAAAAGGTCGGTATTTAGGGGATATGACAGGATATGGATTTTTTTTGGACGCATGGAATCCTCTTCTGTCTACCATTTTTATGTGTCAGTCACCGATGGCGACGACTGCATGATTTGCATTTCTGTCCAAACAGCACGTGACCTTTGCATTTAGCATTGATAATCTCACTGTCGTATTCTTAGATTCTATAATTAGGGGGATCTTGATTAGGTGTTGATTTGCACATATTTGGAGGGTATCATGGGGACGTTGAATGATATACTATAATCTTGTGTTTGGAATTCTCCAGTCTTTACCGCAGCAGGCGAATTGATCGTAAGTATGGTAGTTTGCTAACTCGATACAGCTACATCCGGCCGTGATTATATATGCTTTCTGTTATTGGCGAGAGATATGCTACTAAAGGTTCGTGCTAAATAGCAAGTTGTCATAGGGATCATGTGGGAGGCGTGGAGTGCATGATTTATTCTGCAGGGACAAATGCCGAGCGGGAGCTAAAGTTAGTCTCCTGCTATAAATATCTTTTCCATATCGGTCCGATATCAAGTAGTGTTTCTGTTTTCAAGATGTTTCTTCTTCCTATCTTGCTTTGAGAGGCATGAGATGGTTACAGTTGGACAACTCTGTATATATAGATCATGTCCCTCCAGGTAGACAAACTATATATCTATAAAATACCAAGGCCAACTCGAGCCTTCTTTCAGTCAGTATTCACTACCATGTGCACGCATAAAAGTACTCTTCTTCGGTCCAGGGAAACAACTGGCTCGAGTCGAGCTGGCCAGTCGTTTCTCATGGCAGGTGCTAGTGACTCGCTGCTGGAGGTTACTGTAACAACGACCCAGTTGTATATACTTTTCTTTCTTTTCTTGTCCCTCTCTTCTTTTCTTCTCTTCAATACCGTTTGCTCATTTGATGCGAGTATCGTGACTTTCACGCATACGTTTTTCAAGCTCCTTTGGCGTTTAGCATTCCTACTGCTCCCCTACTGCTTCCCTGCTGCGTTCTTGCTGTCCCCTGTTTCTCTTCTTTCCGTATACCTCCATACCTCTTCTTTCCCGTCTCCTTTTTTGACCAGGATACCAGATGGCTCGTCTGTGTATTCTTGAGCCGCCTTTTATTGCGGGTCGGGCTGCCCTGTTCACGGCACAGCCTGTCTTTCGTTCCTTTCCCCGGCGTGTCGTGTACCGTGCGAACTCCACTTCGCGCCCTTTGTTTTTGCCAGTGTAGCCTCCGCGAGCTGGCGTTCGTTCCTTTGCTGAGTTGCGAAAGGCTCACGTCTCCCAACTCGGTCGGTAAGTTTGCCTTCCACTCGTTCTGCTGTTCCCCGGCCTGTCCCAACTAGCACTCGAACAGGTCCTCCACCCAAGGGCAACCTTTCCAGTCTTGAGATAAGAAGGGCAGCTCGACAGGTCCGCTCCCGACCTTGGGCGCAACCCAAGTCGACGAGTGCCAACGAGTCCCGCGTGGACCATCTGTCGGCACCCTGTACAGCCCTCCCCCCAAAGCGCATGGCGATTCCAGCTACGTTTCGTAGAGACCACGGTGGTCCGCGTATCACGCTGGATTGTGCGGCAAGAGTACGTCTTCAGAGGCGTGCCTTTATGGTTTGGACACCTCCAAGGATGGAGTGCCACACCCCTTCCCGAGCCGAACGAGGAGGACGAAGATCAGATGTTACTCATTGGGTTCCGACTCCTATATCATGCTTATTTCGACCCATGCCGAGGAGCCTTGTGCCGGTGACGATGGCTGTTCATGGAACACCCTGGCGTGCATCCAGGCACAGTTACTTGGTTCAGGCCTCCCATGGTCTTCAAGGCCAGGATCAAGCAACGTGAGATGATCACGGAACAGGGCAATTTCACTCTGTGAGATCGTCATTACTCCATTCCCTTTTCCTTCGTTGACCGTTGCCCACGCTCCTTATATTCACGTAGCCCGTTGACATTCATGTCTTCCACTCCTTTGCACACGTTCATTCTTTTTCTGTTTCTGTTTCTGGCTCTGGTCTTCATTGAAGGTCATCTAGGATCTGCTAATGGGCTTTAGATCGACCTGGCGTAATGTCCTGCTGTGGTATTGGTGGTACAGTTGTCCCAATAGAAAGGTACGGCTGGTAATATCTCGTTCGTTCCAATATATCAGTATTCTAAGAGTACACAGAGGGCATCCAGGTCTAGCAGTTCCCAAATACGGGGTAATGGACGCACACCTGTCCGCAGGAACTAAGTCGAAGTCCCTTGCCTGGAGCGCTGGAACCCGACGACACCGAACTGTTGGATCAACTGACAGAGATGGGGGTATGCTTCATTCTTTTTCTTTTTCTTTTCCTATTCTGGATCTAGATGCTAATGCTCATCAGATGGTGTGAGTCTGTCCTCCGAACGATGTTTGATGACGTTCGATTCCTCAATACCCTCGCAACGCCCTGATCACAGTTGTTCTCCCAGTCAGCCACGTTGGATCAACCGGACGGAGTTGGGGGTGAGTTTCTTAGATTCTTCCTGTTGGGTGATGTAAACACAACATTTACACAGACTGACACTGGCCAGATGGATGGTGGGCCCCTCCTAAATCACTCAGTGAGAGATGAAAACAATACAAACTAAAGAAGATAAGTCCTCCTAACGGCCGGAAACGATCTGGTTGGCCGTGAGCTAAGAACAGCGGTAGAAGTAGAAAGAATGAACTCGCAGGTCGAAGCCAAGAAACGGCGGTGGTCCGTGCCGGGCGTCGGTTCAGCCCTAATTGAGATCCAGAGCAGAGATATCAACAAGAGTCGGGACCTACAGGATAGAGGATTTGTCTAGTGTGTTGAGGAATCAGGGGTTGTGTGGGTTTTTAAGTTGGAGTTGGATTATGTCTGTCCCTTGTTTCGAGCAGTGCTGCTAAATATACTTATCCTTCAACTCAACCCCCCAGACTGGTCGCGCAATAACAAAACCACTAGCAGAAATCCCCTTTTTTATAGCAATCAAGATGGAATTGCTACCTTTCCAATCAGTCAGTATGATTGGGTGGTTACGATAGACTAGAATATCGTCCTATCCCTAATTCGATTTCAAGAACACCTATTTAGTTCATTTTATTATCTTTATTATTTATCCAGCACTAAAGGAGCATATATTGGTCTCACTATGTAATTAGCTACCATATACAGACGATGCAGTGGACCGCCGCTGTAGCGACTCAGTGCCAGCTTAAGAGGCCACAGAGCAATCCATGATAGAACAGGTTAGCCAACCGAACTTCTACTGATGGCGAGGTGTCGTTGGGCGCTGGAACCAGGGTCCTTGCACCCACCGGGTGGGAGTCGACAGAGGACAAAAAAGTCCGAGCGGTGAAGAGGAGTGGCGAGGAAAATATGTAAAAATGAAAATCGGTTGGGAATGGATTATAGAGAGATAAAACAAACCCAAGCTATAGATTAAAGGCAGCTTCGTATCATATAGCCCGGAAGCGAGGTAAAAAGGAAAGATGACGCCCACGAACACCAGCCATGTTGAAGACACAATATGCAAAGACAGCAGAACGGTGTTCAGACAGAGTAGTGGTTCCAGACTGAAAACTGCTAGCGACACCGAGAGGAAGAATGTCACATGAGATATACCAACACGCTGACAGCCAAAGAAGTCTATAAGTAGAGTAACAAATCTGCAAACCGAAGATGCGCAACAACTAAGTGGAACCAATTGCTGGATATATCAAGGAGGCCAGGCACGATACCGGCTGGAAAATCGGTCCAGGTCACTAACCACATATATTCGACGTAGAGCACCGGGCGATGCTCTCTTCTGGCCAAAGGCTATCACGGACCATAATGTAGTGGAGTCCAAGGAAAATTAAAAGACAAAATCGAGTCTGGGCCGACGCGAGGAAAGCTACGGCGGTGTTGGCGTTTGCTGAACTTCCGGTTGCTCGGGACGGCGTTTCTCATGCGTGCGCATATACATTCCGTCTGACTGAGTATGAGGCGAGAGGTCGATCGGGCGATTAGCCGCAGTCCGGGGCGCTTGCTGCTGTTGCTGTGCAACGATCTCTCGAGCGTAGAATTCCACCAGCATTGTTCCATACGCCTCCAGTTCCTCAACAGGAATGGATAAGCGGAAATCGTTCAACAACAGAAATTGGAGTTCAAGATGGTTGAGTTCAACCAATGGAAGCCCTCCAACCTACGAAACCGAATTAGCCAGGGGTGAGAAAGATTGCGAAACAGAACACGAGCGATGATAGGTTTACCTTTGCATATCGAGAATTGGTGTAAAAAACGTCAGAGAAAAATTTACTGGCACAAGTCACGCCTGCGATGACTAGCCTATGAATGTTAAAACTATCAACAACGAAAAAATGGGAGAGGTGATCATATTCTTCCTGGGGACGCAAGGACGGCGATATAGACGACGGAGATGTGGGATCCTGCGCTCGCATGCCAGTAGACGATGGAGGCGTCACTATAGGTGAAGCGTGCGGAGCTTGTGTCGCCGCGCCCTCAGACGATGTTGGCCTGGCGGTTGGATCGGATCGCACCGAAGCCGCCGGGTCCCAGCCACGTTCGAGGCTCTCCAGCTGACCCTGGTTGACAATTTCGGTCATGCGGTCGAAGTATACTAATAGACTGAGAAACACTTCATAGGTCGTAGGACAATACTTGTGGATTCGAGTTAAATAGCTAAGGATGCTGATACTGGGAACGTTTTTGCCATGGAATGCGAGCACGCTTGTGGCCTGCGGGCTCAGACTGGCGGTACCATCGGGCGGAGGGATATGGCGATGAACCTGTTCGTGATGCATATCATTTGTGGTGGTGATCTTGGTAAGAAGCCCAGCAACCATTTCGATGATATCCGTGACCGGCATGGAACTAATCTCGTACTGGCGCTCCTGAACCCATTGTCCCGGCACCCGACCCCCCTGCGACTGGGCTAAGAATTCTTCGCTGGCGAAGCTCTGGATATGGGACAGATCACGGACTTTGATACGACTCGGAGAGTTCGCCTCCGACCCGCCCAAAGAGCGCAGTGACTGGAAGGTCGGCCTCAACCGGGGAGAGGCGGGGGATGAGTGAGACTCTGGATGCGAACCGGAGATGGGCAAGGGAGCCGTTTGGCTGGTGTTTCCGACAAGCTGCGACGCATTGGAGGCGGACGATCTCATTGAGGGGGGCTGAGCCGATGTCGAGCCCGGAGTGGCAGAAGAGGCCCGAGTGGAAGACTGAGAGCTGAGATAAGAAGGTCGACTTACGTAGGATGGCACATCCTGCGGCAGGTGGGAGGGGAGGCGAGCGGACGTTGACGGCGGGGCTGTAGACGAAGTGGGGGTGGTAGTGGACGAGGCGGACCTTGAGCTGCCGGCTTCCAGGTTCGACGATGGACGAGGAGCGTGGCGAGAAGAAGGTCGATAGCCTGATTCCGAGGGAGTGATGGCGCCTCCCAACATGGTGTAGGAACTATCAAGATGATCCGATCGATTAAGGGCGACGGATCCCATGGCACGAGGGAGCCACGGAGAAACACGCGATGTTTGATCTAACGCCACAGAGTAGGGGAGGTACGTTAGCGATCACAGCGCCCGTTTCGTGGAGGCATGTGAGATGAGGGGTCATTGGAGATAATGAGAATCATCCAGGCAGACACAGGAAGGAGTGATAGAGATATAGGGAGGGGAGAATCCACGCGTGTCAATGAATAGAAAGGCAGAGCGACCGATCGTGACGGGGCAAAAAGAAGAAAAAATAAAAAAATTAAGACAAAGAAAACAAAACAAAAATGGGCGAGGAACGATACAATCAAATAAACAGTGGATCAATAACCCAACGAAGAAGCGAGTCTGGACCTACGATGATCGCGAGAGAGGCTGGAACGCTTTTGGGGGGGACACGCAGTGAACCCAACCCAGGCTGAAGTGGGAAGGGAATCACAGGTGATAAACAGGACCGGAAGGGTCCATTGCGTTGAATCGAAGGGAGGCGGAAGGAGGGGGAAATCAACAAGACGTCTAATTGTAGGACGTTGACAAAGCGTGGAGACGAGGTAGAGGATAGGAAGAGAGGCGAGATGATGATGATGATGACGGTGATGATGATGGAAGAGAAGGGCAGCAAAGAATCCAAAAATCTGGAAGTTCAAACCAAAGCATACATCGATTTCAATCGATTAATCGATCAAGCGGGAATGACCTCAGGATCCACCACGAGAGAGTCAACCCGTCAACTCGGCCTCGAAGACTCTTTTCATATGGATTTGGGTAGGTGATTATTTATTTATTCCTTTGTAGAGCTGTCTTATTTCATTTTATTTTAATATTATGTGTATGGTTATTTTTTATTGATTTTGTGTTGATGTTTGGGCGCCACGATAGATGATACAATTGATGCTGGAAGGGCGGTGCACCAATTTGCTTTCGGTGACCAACCTTAACCTACAGGAATTCAATTGTCCCTTCCATCTCAATCTTCCCCCGAAAGATTCCAAGCATTTGCTTCGCTATTCAATAATAAAATCCACCAGGGGGAACTAAGCCCAAGGAAATGGACGAATGGTGGCTCCCCAGCCACCCAGGTGTGTATGCCTGAAGCACCATTGGGTGGACGGTTACTCTCTGCATCTCAAATCAATTCAACTCATCCAAGATGGCTGAAAGAATGACCTACGACTACGGCCTGATAGCGACAGATACGTCTAGTCGACTGCTCCCGAAAGTAAAGAAAATGGCAAAAGAAAAGATGTATATACGTCTCTTTTCAGCTCGTATGATCTTTCCTCTTTCTCCACCTCTCAATCTCTTGTCCTAGATATATTTTTTGACAGAATCTTATGCTGTATGCCTGTGTACGGCGAATTTTACCGGGAGAGATAAGTCGCTAACCATCAATCCAGACGAGAATGAACAGCTCAAAGGAATCGGAAATTGAAAAAAAAAGAAAGACTAAGATCATCATCCCGTATGCCATACACAAATCATTTGGTCACCCCCGGGCCAGTGTAGTCTGTATCTGGCAGATAAAGGTGTCTCACCGCTCCCTTGGCTGTCAGCACTACCAGGCGGATTACACCTCCCGAGCTACCATCCCATTTGATCGCCTCCCGCAACGCTGCTCGGACAAAGTTGATCCCTTCTTCCTCCGTCATATTCTCCCTCCAATGCGCATCGCAGTAGCCGTAGATATAGGTCGAGCCTGACCCACCAATGGAATAAGCTTGTTTGTGTAGGGATCCGCCCAAAGGTATCGAGTACACTTGACCACCGTGTCGGGGGTCATATCCCGCAATGATGATTCCCGCGCTGCCATAAGTCGTGTTAGCTGGGATGTCCTTCGCCAGGGTGGTGGGGGGACCTACCTCAGCATATCCTTGTTTTCATAACACAGCTCCTGGAACAGTGACGCAGCAACTTGAGTGCTCGGAGCTTCGTTGTTGACAATAGAGTACATGTTGAGGTGGTAGGAGACGATGTCTGCTACGGCCTGAGTATCTGCAGCTGATCCGGACCGGCAGCACCAAATGGTATCATGTACCTGCGTCAGTTTGTCCGTAACTCGATTGGCAATATAAGCACCGGTCGTCGTTCGGCTGTCGGCGCCTAGAATAACGCCATCCTTGAAGTTGATTGCCATGCTGGGTTTCATCAACACAACTAAAATTGTTTCCACGGAGATCGAGCAACTCACATTGAGGTACCTAGGCTGTATGGATGGAGTGGTTAGTATATATGATCCTGACGTTCAGCGCAGCTCTGGGTCACAAAACTTACTTGACCTCACCGCTCTTGAGGTGGTTCATGTCCACATGAATGCCATCTATAGCCCGGGGGTCAGCCAGTTCACCGGTATATCAGTTAAGTTTTGACGAATAATTGCCTAACCTTCTCCGAGCATCCCTGTGACGCCGTGACCAACCATTGTGACTACTATGTAAGTGACTGGCTCGGAAGGAGGTGGACGATTTCGTTTTGCACCACGTGCTAGTTTTCACCGCAGAGAATAAAAATCTGATTCACCGAGAGGGACTTGAACCCGATAAAGTCGAGGTTGCAGCGGATTGAATGGGAACGTGACGAGCTTTGTGGGAGGGAGAGGTAGATTTCTGGATGATAGTACCTAATAATGTAGTTGTTTTGACGGAGCTCTCAAGGCAGGCCAACACGTTACGTTGACAGCTGGAACTGATTCCGTCGGGCGGTGAGGATACACCGCCGTCCCATTGGCCCAGCACCCCGCAAGAACAGGACCTGAACAACTTCCCGATCGCTGCGACAAGCCAGTCGAGGTATTAATGCTCTTGCGCTGTATCGATCTTCCTAGGCACCAGCTAGTACATATTCCCCTGCGTGGGAGTGACTGGCAACTGGCAAAGCTCTTCCTGGAGACTCTTTTTATCTTGTGTCTCTTAACGATTGCACCCCCCGGTTGATCCCAGACTTGAATTTCTCCCTTATTTCCCTCACTTATCAGCCCATACTATAGGCACTATACCGTCACTATAATGTCCGAGTCTCCGCCACCCCCACCGTCTTGGAGTATCACCAGCATGACCAACAATGCAGTTCAGTTCCTGCGACTGCCAGTATTGGCATCTTCTGGGTTAGCAGTAGTCGCGAGTGGACTGTTGTATTTCAAGCAAAAGTTAGTGTTCCCCCTACGAACAATGGAGATACCTACTGTCTTACCTACGTGATTCTCCTGAGACTGTACTGAGCACTGACCAAACCTCCAGTGAGCTGATCTATCCTCGCAACGTCCCTGTCGATGCACGCTCCAATGTTCCCAAGCCCCCCCAGTTCGGTATTACCGACTACGAGGATCTCCAGATCCCGACGCCAGACGGGGAGTCGTTACATGCCATCCTCCTCCACCCTCCAAACAAGCGCGCTGCCAGAAACATTACTGTGTTGATGTTCCACGGCAATGCAGGCAACATTGGTCACCGTCTTCCTATTGCCAAACTTATGCAGGACGTTCTGGGCTGCCATGTGTTAATGCTTGAGTACCGAGGCTACGGACTGTCCACCGGTACCCCGGACGAAGCAGGGTTGAAACTGGATGCGCAGACAGGACTTGACTATATTAGGCAGCGAGCAGAGACCCGTGACACCAAAATTGTTGTCTATGGCCAAAGTCTTGGAGGCGCCGTGGCGATCAATCTGGCCGCGGAGAACCAAGATACGGGCGATATTAAAGGTTTGATTCTCGAAAATACGTTCTTGAGCATTCGCAAGCTGATCCCTGCGTACGTACCCTTCTCTCTCTTTGGATATGCTGAGCCGCTGGGGCTATCATCCCATTTCGCATAGACTGATATCAGTCTAGGGTCTTCCCTCCTGCACGTTATCTTGCTCGCTTCTGTCACCAATACTGGATGAGTGAGGATATTTTGCCCAAGATAAACCGGATCCCGATCCTCTTTCTAAGTGGGCTCAAGGATGAAATAGTACCGTGAGTGTTCTTCTTGAAGCATTGCCAATATGGCCTATATTTCATGCTTGGCTTAACGTGTGAAATTTCATAGACCATCCAATATGACGCAGCTCTTTGCCATTTGCAACACTAGTCGCAAAGTTTGGCGAACTCTTCCCAACGGTGGGCATAATGATAGCGTTGCTGAGCCAGGCTACTTTGAGCACATCCACTCGTTCGTCATGGAGGAAGTTGTCGGAGAAGATTATTGAGTTCTTAGCCATAACTCTCTACGCAGGCTTGCACTTCCCGCACATTTGTGGAATTGATAGCCTTGTGTTTCCCAGCAACACCGGTTTTGGATGCCTCCGAGGTTCTCTACTATTTTTCCCAACAAAGAAGCTGTTTTCGCACAGCTAGACGCATGAAGATGGACTGCGTACTTGAAGCAGCCACAGCTTTCCAGCATTAATGCTCTATACGGGCTATGATTTACTTTTGTCATGTGCGCATATACCCTAATGCATGTGTTCTTCCTACCACCATCCTCCCCCTTTTTGATACGCTTTTCCCTTTGATCTACTCTGTATTCCAGGCAGACAGAAAAATGCTCTTGGATTTGCATTACTGTATCAATATTGGCCCTGGGTCAGTGACACATTTCTGACCTCTTCCCCAATATTTCTCTGGATGTTATTTTGTTTCTTCGTGGATATTTAACAGGTGATTTTCGCTGTGGTTATGAGCTGGCGTACAGCGGGGTCTTTCAAGTGCCCGAATTAAGTGCATTCATCTATGTTTCATTGGAGATGATCCGATCAAACTTTGGGTTGTTCATAAATAGCGGCTATACTGAGCAACGACTGGTCGCATACACATAATGATTCAAAGGTGATTTCGTTTAGAATTTTCATCTAAACAAGCCGTGCGCATAGATGCACTCATTGACCGCGAAAAAAATTGGATATCTACACTGAGTGTACTTGGGCCTCTCTGGCCAACATCCTAGTACGCTACTGTGCCTTCTGAAGGGCCGAAGGTAATCGTACCATCCAGCTGGTTCAAGCACGACCATTGTCGAGCCCCAAGTGTATAATTAAGCATTCGTAAACTATCTATTGGTACATGGAATCTTGCTTCTCCCTAGAACAGCATAAATTCAAAGAGTATTAACACACGAAGTATGACGACAACCGTACCAGGCTAGAGCTTCTCTGCTTCTCCTAGCAAGTCCTCGATTTTGAAGTTCTGCACATCTCCCTTTGTGAACATGCGTAGTAGTTCGCCCTTCCGTCCATTGGCTTGGCCGCCGAAATCGAAGAACCGCTGGACGCAACTAGCCAGCCAGGTAGCATCGGTGGTGGAGACGCCGGAGTCGGGCATCACCTGGCCAAGCATAAGCACGAGACCCTTTTCATCCGCGAGATCCAGATGGTGTGTGATAGTGGTGTGTGGTTGCGCATAGGCCCCGTGCAGCTGATAGGCAGCGAGGTGGGTGAAAATGATTGTCGAGGTGTGGGAGCTAGCCAACGGCCCCGAGGGGACTTCCGAAGAGGATGCAGACGCGGGAGGATGAAATCCCCATTGAAGGAAATGGATATCGGCGCCGGCATCATTGGCTTCGGTATTCGTTTCCGGCGATTGAGATTCAATCTGCGTGCGAGGCAGGGGGAGGACGAACTGGGGGTTCTGACGAGCGGCGGCAGCAATGCGCAGATATGTTTCTACGGGGATACAGGCGCAGATGGAGTTGGGGTTTGAAGCATGACGGAGGCGCCAGATGGCTTCGATTTCTTTTGGCGGGAGCGCGAGGGTCTTCTCCACATTGATATAAGAGCTGAGGGGTTTGATACCGGTGGAATTGGCGGTTCTGGCTGCGGCTTTAGCCTGCATCGATGGCGGCGGCGGGGGAGCAGGAGGAACTGCTGAACGTGCTGGAGAGGGCGACGATTCGGGTGTGATGGGGGTTGCTGCTTTGTGCCGGAGGTCGTCGATCTTTTCTTTGTAGGCTTCCTTCAGGGAATCGATATTCTCGTGGCCTTCCCTATATCAGCTGTGTTAGCAATCTGTTTATTTATCCAGCCATATTCAGTTAAAGTCACCATGGATACTTACTGCTGCGCTTTCTGGTTCAGCTTGGACCGATATCTATCCAATACTTGTTGGGAATCGTGGTGCGTGGCGAGGAAGCGCACATCGTGCACCTGGGCCCACCGTTTTTGTTGAGGCCGCACAGATGGGGTCCTCGTCCGGAGTAGAGACTGCAACGCTGACAGCCTCAAAGACGCCATTTTCGTAGCCAGGGGAAGAGTTGCAGAGAACTGATAGAGTGGAAGATCGAAGTCAAGAAAAGCGACTTGATAGGCCCGCGAGATTACATAATCTTATCTTAGTCAGCACCAGCTAGTCTGGTCTATTTTGATCTAATTTTACCATAATACTTTGTACTCTTCGTAGGCAAAAGATGACGGATTGTCGCAGGTAAGAAGCAGGAAGTGCTGATCTAAATTGTCTAAGCAGATCATCTTTGGATTTGCTCTTTTGTCAGTGCATGTCTTCTGGCCTTTACTATATTTATTTCAGTGAAAGATAGAGAGCAACATGGAGTTATACTACATAGACAAAAAGGGTGATTCCTTGATTTGGGCAAACACAGAAGGATGTTTCAGCGATTAACTTATTTCTATTTATAAAGGTTGGATCCACAAGAACTAAGAGAAAGAGTGCAGCATCTAGACTCTTATCGAGGACTCGAAACACTAGCCTTGTGCTAACTACATTTGGACAAGTTATGCCTTTGAGGTATACTTGAGCCAAGAAGTACACAGTACAAGGGACCCGATAATGGAATATTGCATAGGTAGGAAATGCTTAGTACATGTCCTGCATTTCTCCTTTTAATAAGCAAAAATATTAGAGAATGAAGTGTAGATTTCACAACTACTAGCCAACTAACTAGGAATGCATAAATGACTAAGCATGTTTTATGCTCTCCTTGTGGGCCGATCCCAAAAACAAGAACGGTATCATGCAAGGTGTTGTTCATGTTGTTCCCTGGGCTTTGAGGTTGGCACTCTCCTCCATCGGACCATCATTTTTCTATTGCTTCTCTGTAAATAACACGACACTTTATTCCCATAAGCAATTCCTTTAATGTTTCTGGGTTGGCTCATATCGTTCACTTGACGACCTTCTGCAGTGGCTACTATCGAAATTGACGACAGAGCATTCCCCTATATTCCCACTCGCCATGGCGAATCGTCAGATTACCCGACGTATACTGATAGGCGCCGCCATTGCGACAGTCCTCCTTGTCTTCTTCCATATTCGGCCTCAGGCTCCTTCGAGTCGCATTGTCCGCGCTCCGAGTCATTTACAGACTCCAACTGATGTTACGCAAGGAGAGGTCATTATGCCACGACTAGGAAATGATACCGCAAAGTATGCTAGAATTCACCCTAATGGCCTCTCTGCTTTATCCTTTACTAGTTCTGACTCCTGGTTGTTTTTAGAGCAGAACTGGGTCGTGCGACTTGGAAGTACTTCCATACCATGCTGGCGCGGTATCCAGAAAAACCGACGAAAGAACAGCAGGAAACTTTGCGTACATACATCTACCTATTTGCCCAACTATACCCATGGTATATCTTCGTTATGCTTGACATTTCACATCTCCCGAAAGTTGGCTAACCCTGTTCTAGTGGCGAATGCGCAACGCACTTCCAAGGACACCTAGCCAAATATCCACCGCAAGTCTCGTCTAGGAATGCAGCTGCTGGCTGGGGTTGTTTTATGCATAACGAGGTAAATGCAATGCTCGAGAAGCCCGAGTTTGACTGCAATAAGATCGGCGATTTTTACGACTGTGGCTGCGCAGATGACGGGACACCAGGCAATGGGAAGGATGGCCTCCGGAGTGGGAATCAAGACACCTCTCGAGAAATTGCTGATGTCAATGATGTTGTTCTGCCTGTCTAGCTAGATATTCCAGGTGCCGTCAGTTACCCCCCTTGCATCGCCCCGCACTTCATTATCTTGTAATCCTGTACTGGGATACTACCAGATGATTTAGAAGCACACGGCATTGAATATACTTTTTGTCCATTTCCCGATTTTGACCTATGCAGCTATTCTGGGCCTTTTTTTTTTTATTTTTTTTATTTTTTTTTAAAAAAACCCCCTCCCTATTATACCCTAATTATTGTTTACCAGCGCGGGCTCGCTAAGTTCTCTACCGGAGCGGGATTTTGTACATTAGCATGTGCTTGCATATGTCTCCTGCCACTTGGACTTTATATCAATGGCAATCATTTAATCCATGCTCTGTACCTAAATGACGGGAACAAACACTTCTTCGTCCTACAAATAGTTCCTGGGAAGACATGAAAAGCCCTTCCTTGTTGACGTACAAGACGAGCGTTGTGTGGTGGGACCTAGAAGCTTTCGGCTATTTCTTGACCATCTGATGGGAGGGAAGGTCTGATGGCTGCACCCGATATGCAGTTGCGCGCATGACTGCATGGAGCACCTTTCTGTGACTGGAGCGGCTGACCAGCAGTCAAGGTGGGTTGTGTCTTTCCCGCCACTGATGAAAGACATCTTCCTACCAACATTTACCCTCATACATTGTGATCGTGTTTTGGTATGTATACAGGCCTGGTCGTTAGGTAAGCCCAGATAGTAAGCAAGCTGCTAGAAGCCCCCAGGAGCATTGGATTCTGAAATCATCCCGCATCATAGATGAAACATCCCGAAACTCCTCGTATACTAGAGGCCAACCCTGAGAAGAGGAGCCGCTGAGGTTTCGCCTATGCGCAATAATTGCGATCTATGGAAAAAAGATTAATAACTACTAGGCGCCCAACGAGTCCATATACGCACCGAGCGGTACAGTGCAGTTATTAATATCTTCCTGGCGCCTCAACTCGTGTCCAAAAAAAGTGCGTTATCGTCAATCAGATCGCATCGCCCCCTCCACAAGCGCTACACTAACCGAAACACTGGGGAATGCTGGTTGGTTGATTGAATGCTCGCCATCCTCTTTGGCTGAACGGCGGGGAGTCTCCTGACGAGGCCCTGCTGACTGTTTCGGAGGATAGGCGCCACAACCTCCCTTAGAACTTCAAGATCAACAGATCATCCTTGTCTGATGCATGGACTTCCCGGTTCTCCCTGACCGCAATGTTTGTTTCGGAGGTGCTCAGGCCGATTACCTAGGAGGCGAGCCGTCCTGGGGAAAAGTGAAACTAGGCATTTTGGGAAAGGGAGAGGGATTACTTCATGTATATACAGACAGGGCCCTGTGGGGGTCTTCGCATCGAATGTGGGATGTTTTCCTTTGTCGTCTTGCGGTGATAAAAACAAACCATTCTGTTATTGTTTGACATTGGATTCTTTATCTTTGCGGGGGTGTTTGGATGCCTGATAAGCGAGGCACTCAGGTCATCTTTGTCCAAAAGAGGAATAGTACATCCTCTGTTGTTGCTTAATTTTTTTTTTTTTTTGTTAATTTTTTGAAAGAAAATCATTGAGTTTGGACGCGTCGGAAAATCTACCAGAGAAAGAACGCTGAGCAACATCAATAGCGACCAAAGCCAGGAGAAAAGCACTCGTTAAGTGCTGCCCCCCTAGACTGTCTCATTTTCGTGAGAACTCTCCTATTCGATCTTCTGTTGACTATCCTACTGTTTGTTTTGCGACTAAGAAGGGGTCCCGCTGCGACTTTGGTCCTAAGCTTTATTTTATCTATAACAAATAGTTTTGATAGACTGACTAAATCTGGGGATCTACTTTTTTTTATATAGTTTTGTTTTAAATTTGTTTGTTTATTCCCCCTCTTTACTATCGAGACAACCCCTCCGATAATCGCGCAGACTCCTGAGTTGATTGTATCGCGGGGTCAAGATGGTCTCGTTCTCATGCGAAGTGAGTCGGAACTGTCTTTTTATTGTTTTAGCCTGGAACCTATGGAGATCAAGATACGGCAGTACGGAAGACCGCTGACTAGCTTTTGATTTCTAGGCGTGTGGTGACATTCTCACCAAGAAGAAGCTCGATCCTCACCGTAACCAATGTCGCGGCGCATCCTTTACTTGCATTGATTGTATGGTGCACTTCCAAGGCACTCAATATAGATCGCACACGGTACGCTTATACTCTTCTACTGACTCATAATTCTATGTGTTTGGTGTCCGATCGCCTTCGCAGCGCAGTCAAGTGTTGTTTGTTCCCTCTGCGACAGTATACACGTTGAGCTACTATGTTAGCAATTTGCTCTATGAGGGTTTCCTGTACAGTAGAATGCGATTTATCTGAAATTTGCTCGAATCATTGGTGCTGACTCGATTCCTTCAGTCATGTATGACCGAGGCGCAAAAATACCAGGGCGCCCTTTATAAAGAAAAACCAAGCAAGAATCAGCGCAAGGGGAACCAGAAGCAGAACCAGAATCTGAACGCCAACAGTCACAGAGCTCCCTACGTTGAGGATGTGCCTGATGTCGATAATCCCAAAGCGAAAGCCAACGCCCCTCCCCCTGCTCCTACTCCTCCACCTGTCGGCGCTGTGAAGCCATCCAGTAATGCGACGAAGGTAAACAACGACAAACAGGTCAATGTCTTTGACTTCCTGGTTACTGAGAATACTCCAAATGCGTCTAAAGTCTCTATTGCTGCGCCCAAGGAACAGATGCAGATGGTGGAGCATGCGCCTTCCGTGTTTGAACCCAGCAAGGCGCTAGCTCACCTGGACACCGAGATTGAAGATGAGAACAAGTCCTACGATGTGGCGTACGAGGAGAATGGATTTTCGTATGGCACCGGACCGATTCCTCCATCCGTTTACCCGAACAAAGCACCCAATGTTTCCATGGAGTTCATGACACCGGCTCCCAAGAAGAAGAAGGATCGGTCGCGAGCTGCGAATGGACAGGGCAGCGCCACCACCAGTGACAAAAAGCGGAAGCGACGCACTGAGGATCACGATATGGAGGATGTGGATACCCCCATGATGGATGCTCCATCGAGTGTTGTCAATAACCCGCCTACACCGATGTTGAACCACTCTGGACTCACTGGTGGCCTGAATCGGATGCTTCGGTCTCCATCCCTGGATGAGGACTATGACCACACTCAACGGCGGTATCAAGATCCCTCATCTCCGATTAAGCGAACGCGTCGGGATGAGAAGGATGAGACCGGCCTTGGAATCTCCATCAAGAATCGCGCGGAACGCCTTGTTTCGTCCATGTTTGGCGGTTCTTCTGTTTCCGCAGGTAGTGGAAGTGGCCACGAGCCCTCCGCGAAGGCACTGGTTCGCACACATCGGCGTAGCTCCTCGGATGACGGAAATAACAACCAGCTGGATATCCGTCGTTCCAAGAAGACACATCGTGTCCGAGACCCTTCGACTGGCCAGGTCATTTCGTCTGACCCTCGCAAGACCAAGCGCAAAAGCAGTGCCCAAACTAACCCGGATCGGCCATCGCGACGCCTCAAACAGATCGATTACCCCAACCCCTCTCAGCCGCAGTCCCCTCGCGGCCACGATGGACAAGTGGTAGTTTACCAGCAGCCAAACGTCCCCGACGAGTTGCAGCGAGAGATGGCTGCCCATTTCTTGTCACTGGTGACTAAGGGGCCAGAGAGCGGACGAGGATTCTCGGTGAACAAGGTGCTGAAGCGGTTCCATCGCGACTTTACGGATGAGTTTGACGGAGATCGGGGTCGCGATCAAGGGCGGAGCCGTGCGGATCGCGAACGGAGAGGGGACGATGAGAAGGATCTCTGGCGGACATTGCGACTGAAGCAGAACGATCGGGGAGAGGTGGTGGTCTTCTTTTAGTTGCTGGATGGTTTTTTTGATTTCATTCATTCATTTTTTTTTGGTTTTGCATAGCGATGTGCTTTGGTATTTTTTCTTTTCCCCCCCTTCTATAATTTGATACAACGTAATGATCAGGTCGAGTCAACCACCATCATCAAAGACTCCACTATGAGTAAGTGGGATGACTCCCAGTGAGTCATCGTAATTATTTTCCATTTTGGGCGATCGCTGAAGCACCCGAGAGCAGCCAATGACGGAGCTTCCGCCACTCCAGGAACAAACCGTCATTTCCTCACTTTTCGGCCCTCATTGCCTCTGGTGCTTTTCTACTCCGTCGGTCTGTCTCTTAAGATCTTTGCACTTTCCGGTTGAGGAGGGTAGGATCGTTGTACTCTCATCTGAGCAAGGTGATCAGCATTAATTTTCCCACCCTCGAATCTCCGCCATAACGCCAGTGGTTGAACGATCGTATGTGCCTATAGTTCAGCGCATGAGTACACTCGACGACACTCATCTTCGGCCCTCGAAACCCCCCGAGATCATGTCGGATGTCCCCGCGACTGCGACTGCTGCCGAAAATGCCCCCCGTTCCAGAGCTGCGAGACGCAGAGGCAGGGGCGGTGGCACTCGTGCCCCCCATCGACGTCCTCAGACCCAGGCCCACACTTCCACACAGATTGAAGGACCATCACCTGACGCGCAACCGAATGGTGAATTGACACCAGATCTATCCCAAGGCCCGTTCCATCTGCCAAGAGGACCGAGGGGAGGTAGGAGAGGAGCCCGTGGTGGAAGTGCCCGTCCAGAGACGAGTCGTCAACGTCAACGTCAACCGGCAAGAGGAAGGGGAGATGATAAATCAGCATCAAACACTGGCCGACGATTCGAGGGACGATTGACAAAATCTGAACAGACTTCCGGGGATGATGTGCCCAGTGGTGTAGACCACACAAAGGATGCAGAGCTAAGGGCTGTTGCGCCCGAGTTCGTCCCGGGAGGACAACCGGTCGCAAATAGGACGGACGAGTACTCTCAGTCTACTTCTGCGACTGGGAAAGGGAGAACGAAAGCGAAAGTGAAGAACCCGCAGCCTCAAGCACCAAAGGTTACTACGAAATCGGTAGCCCCCGACATCGCTACTCGTATACATGAAGACATTGCTCATAACCTCTACGAGTGTCCTATTTGCACCAGTGAACTGGGCAAGAGATCGCGTGTGTGGTCGTGTGATCTGTGCTGGACCGTTTTTCATTTAAGTTGCGTCAAGAAATGGTCCAAGAATGAAGGGTCGGCGGCCCAGGATGCTGCCCGTCGACAGGATGGCGGAGAAGCCAATGCTCCTCGGGCCTGGCGTTGCCCTGGCTGTAACCTTGCCCAAGAAGTGTTTCCCTCGACTTACACCTGCTGGTGCGAGAAGGAGGTTGACCCGCGCCCTCTTCCCGGCCTCCCTCCACATTCGTGCGGACAAACATGCGCGCGGCCTCGTAAAGGCTGCCCACATCGTTGTGATTCGACCTGCCATGCTGGGCCTTGCTTCCCGTGTTCTGCCATGGGTCCGACACAGGATTGCTTCTGCGGTAGGAATTCGTCGACTAAGCGTTGTCAAGACACCGACTACGAGAATGGATGGAGTTGTGGCGAGATCTGTGGGGATTTGCTGCCTTGCGGTGAGCATACTTGTCCCCGTCCATGCCATGAAGGGCTCTGCGGCACTTGCGAGGTGAGAGTGGAGTCCCGTTGTTACTGTGGAAAGGTTCAGACAGAAATGCTGTGCAGCTCCAAGGAGGAGGAGATGGGAAGTCAGAAGCTTCAAGATGGGCCCGACGGACAAGTGGAGAAATGGACTGGATGTTTCAGCTGTCAAGTCGAGTGCAATCGTCCTTTTGACTGTGGTGTTCATTTTTGCCAGAAGAGATGCCATCCCCAAGACGCACATCCAGCTCACTGTCCGAGATCGCCCGACGTAGTGCGCCATTGCCCCTGTGGGAAGACGCCGTTGACCGAAATCTCTGGATACTCCCCGCGGACTTCTTGCGAAGATTCCATTCCAAACTGCCGGAAATCCTGTGGGAAGATACTTCCATGCGGACATGCATGCGACCAGATCTGTCACACTGGTCCCTGCGGCACTTGCTTGCGCAAGGTTCCTATCCAGTGCCGCTGCGGGCGCAACTCGTTTATGACGGTGTGTCATCAGGGTACAATGGAACCTCCTCAGTGTTTCCGTATCTGCAAGGCAGGGTTGCATTGTGGACGCCACTCCTGTGGGGAGCGATGCTGTCCTGGCGAGCAAAAGGCAATTGAGCGTCAGGCGCTGCGGCGGAAGCTCAAATCTCATCTCCGTCCAAGTGATGAAGATGTGGAGGCCGAACATATCTGTACGCGGGTTTGTGGTCGTATGCTGAAATGCGGACGGCACACTTGTCCGGAAATCTGCCACAAAGGGCCGTGCAATACCTGCAGGGAGGCGATTTTCGAGGAGATCTCGTGTGACTGCGGTCGATCTACCTTGCATCCGCCCTTACCCTGCGGCACACAACCGCCGCCCTGCTCAGCTCCCTGTGAGCGCCCCAAGCCGTGCGGCCATCCCCAGACCCCCCACAATTGCCACATGGATGGGGATGCTTGCCCCAAGTGTCCCTATCTGACGGAGAAGGTGTGTTTGTGTCGTAAGCAGGTGTTGAAGAATCAGCCCTGTTGGCTCTCCGATGCACGATGCGGCCGAGTTTGCGGCGAGTCGCTTAGATGCGGCTCCCACTCGTGCCAGAAGAATTGCCATCGACCTGGTGACTGCGAGGATGCCTCAAAGCCCTGCCAACAGACATGCGGGAAGACGAAGACATTATGTGGCCACCAGTGTACTGAGCTTTGCCATGCTCCCTACCCATGCGCCGAGAAGACTCCGTGCTCGTCTACAGTCACAGTAACATGTGGCTGTGGACGACTTCGACAGGAGCGTCGCTGCAATGCAGCAAAGGCCGTAGCTTCGAAGGGGCAATTGCAGCAACCCCAAAGATTGCCATCATCGACACCGTTAGCATGTGATGACGAATGTGCCCGACTCGAGCGCAATCGCTCACTGGCATCTGCCTTGGGAGTCGAAATTGATCAGTCGACAACCGTCGCCCAGAACCTGACATCCTCGAACCTGCCTTACTCATCTGAAACACTTGATATGTATCTCCAGCTCTCATCCACATCTACTCTATCCACCCTACAGACATATGAGACCACGCTCCAGTCCCTAGCGGCCAGCACAACCCAACGATCTGTCCGATTCCAACCTGCAAAACCATCTCTTCGAGCGTTTGCCCATTCGCTGGCGTCGGACTGGGGATTCTCCAGCGAAAGTTTCGATCCCGAACCCCACCGTCATGTGTTCGTCTTGAAGCCGACAGGGTGGAATCCCGCACTTTTGGGCATGGGCCAAGGCACGGCGATTGGCATCGGTGGCATGAGTATAGGCGAATGCGTCAAGTTGCGCGAACGCCAACGTCTCAAGGAGCGCGAAGCACAACGCCAGGCTGCAGCTGAGGTTAAGGCCCAACGAGAAGCGGCCAGGGTACAGACCAACGCGACGAACGAAGGTGGTTGGGCTCAGGTTGCTGCCTCAAGACGAAGCAATGGGATGAGTAGTGCAAAAAGCACAATACCTACCCAAAGCCCAGGTCCCTTCTCCGGATCGACCATGTATTCCGCCCTAGCGGGTGACGATGGCAGCACCTGGAGGAGAGCCGAGTCCTCTCCGAAGAAGGAAAAATTAGTTCTCCGATCCGGCGTAGGTGCAGGAAAACAACTACGGAGCCAACCCATCACCACTCAGGTGGCCGATAATTGGGAGGAGGAGGAAGAGAAAGAAGAGCAGGAAGAACGTGCACGCGAGCAGAAGAAAGATCAAGACGATGATGACCAGGAGGATCAGGAAAGTGGTCAAGGACACGACCAGCAGCAGGAAAATACAAATATGCAAAACGAGACCGAGGCCCCAAAGGAGAGTTCAAATGAGGCCAAAACAGCCAATGAAGGAGTGATTCCTACTTCCCATTTCCTCGATGGCAGCATGACGGCCTAAAAGTTGTGATTCAAGATTAATGGGATGAGGCCTATGATTAGTGGCATGGCTTAGCGTCTTTCATTTACTATCTATGGAGTACTTTTCTGAGTTCCTGATGCTAGTAAGAGTACCATGCACAAGGGGCGATTGGGATTAGCGAGCATGGGTTTGCATGACAGGCGTATTTTTATTAAAAGTTCGGATCTAAATATGGATGTCTCAAAACAAGACTTCGTTTTTCTCGCTCTCCTTCTCCTCCGCGGTAGTTATGAGGTTTTGGTTGGCATATGTATATGCTTCTTAAGTTGGGGCTGAGACGTGGGTAAGGACGTTCCGATAGAATTTCATAATGTTCAGCTCATACGTAGGAGTGCAAGAGAGAGCAAGCGAGTGCAAGCAGGACTTTACAGTAATTCTATATCCGATCACACTCCTTTCGGTGGTAGTATACAGAAGGAAAGCCAGCAAGGCGCAGGTTAATATGTAGGCCTGGAAATAACTTCGTCTATCTCAGATATACTGTATATACATAGCTAAACTCGCTAAGACCATGTTATACTTTCTCTGTGCACCGTGGAGCTCAAACTAGGAGGTAGATCATCCTTTCCACGACCCCAGTCACTCTCGGTATCACCCAAGGTTAATTCCAGCGTCATACCCTCGGTAAAGAACTCATGGCCAATCCAGTTTTTCGAGTAGGGCCGACCATTCAGCGTCGCACTCTGGATATAGATATTCCGATATGAGGGATCGAAGTTGACATTTCGGATCGTGGCAGCCTTCTTCGTCACCGGATGGGTGATACTCACAGCCTCGAAAAAAGGCGCGATAATAAGATATACGTTCTGCCCTGGGTTCGGGAAAAGACCCATCATGGAGAAGACAGCAAAGGCGCCCATGGCGCCGGAGTCATCGTTCCCGGGCAGACCCGAATGGGAAGAGTTGAACCGGGAGGGTATGTAGCTATGTGCGCGGTGAACCGATAGTGCGGGTCTCCCGGCATAGTGGTATTGGAAGACAGTGAGAAACACGGGCTCGTTGCCCATGTCTGCTAGACCAGAGGTATGGAAGAAGTCAAGGCGAGATACGAAAGTATCTGGGCCTCCGAGGAGGTCGATTAGGGCTGCCATGTCATGGGGGACGTAACTTGTTGTGTGATGTTAGGGTTTTGGTCGAGAAGGGTGGAATGAAGAGGGTGTGTACATACAATTGGTATTCCCAGACGCTGGACTCGAAAGTTTCTGAGGGATTACTTGTGAGCGAGCACCAAGATGCAAGGGCGCTGCAGGCAATTGGATCTTGGTATCCCCACGTTCCGTTCAAGTACTTTGGCTGGAAGAAGCCGACAAATCCAGTGTCGGTGCCATTGATGGAGGAGATCTGGTCGGTTTTGTAAATGTTCTGCCAGTTGTGGGCTCTGGCGAGATATTTGCTATAGTCATCTTTGTGAAGACTCTTTCCTACAGTCGATAGACAGAAATCATTGTACGAATACTCCAGCGTTCGCGAAATGCTACGCGAATTGGTGCCAAACCCCAGATAGTCGAAATCCAGGTATGGGATATAATTCAGGCGTTTCCAACTTTGTAGGCCACCTCTGCCCTCGTATGACCATTCCAGAGGCTCATTTTCGGCATCGTTGACCATAGCTTCGTACGCTAAGTTCCAGTCGATCCCAGTTAGGTTTTTAACGAATGCGTCGGCCAGGACGACATCTGCATTCGAGCCTCCCTGTGTCCACCCTTTGCAGAGACTCATACGGCAGTCTGGAAGCCAATTTTCATGCTTATACGTATCAAGCAAGCTGCGTACCATTCTGGACTGCGCTATGGGATCAATGATTGTAAGGAATGGGTGCTGGGCCCGGAAGGAGTCCCAGATACTTGAAAATGTAAGTGTGGAAACTTTAGCCAGACAACATGTATAGCAGTACGTACCAATAAAAGGAATCAAAATATGGCTCGTCGCTCTCCCATAGTGGATTTTCACCTGTTAGATCCTGCGGATCAAGCATGGTTCGGTACACGCCGCTCCAGAAACTAGTGAGCAGGTCGTTCTGCACACCTCCTTCCTTTATGGATATAGGACTGAGCTTTTCCCTCCAAGCAACTTCTGTGCCGCGCTGGATATCTTCAAAGTCATCAAGTGGATGAGGAATCTCCGTTTGAGCATTTTTACAGGCCTTATCTGTGCTAATAAAGCTCGCGCCGACTCGGACGTTGATGGTCCCATTCTCAGGCCGCTGGAATTGGACAAAACCACCAGCCTGAAGATAGAAGTTGTTGAACCCTCGAGTGACGTACAACTCAGTACGTTCAGTTCCTGCCCGGTTATTGACCCAGATCCCACCGTCATGAACCATTGCCCCAACGAAGTCTGCGCACACGTAGGATATGTAAGACCCGGCGCCGAAACTGGGTAAGAAAGTGCCATTTGCTTTAATTCGACTAGCCTCAACGTCTACACTGATTGACGCATTTTGTCGACTGTCCCAGAGGTCTGTCAAGTCCATAAGGATCAACGGACTTAGTTGACTGCCATTTGTCGCGGTAGCAACAGGGAAAGTGAACTTATAGAGTGCTGCGTGTTCTGTAGATGTCATTTCCGCCCGAATCCCATTTTCCAACGACAGGGCAAAGTACCCTGGTCGAGCCACAACCGAATCATTTATATAGTGAACCGCTCGTGTCGCCTTGGGAAACTTGCAGTTATTGATTTCATCTTCGGGACAGTATTGTGGGAAAAAGGGGAAGTTGCCCAGTGAGGGATTCCCGCCGGTGCCGGAGTCATGAAGCGTCGAAAATCCGGTGACCTTGCTTCCATCTGTGGAAAACCCACCTGTATTCTGCCCATCAACGTCGGCAACCGGTTTTGCCATCCCGTAAGGACGACTTGCGCCCGCAAAGACGTTGCCCCCACTGTTGGATCCGATAAGCGGATCGATGGATTGAAGGACATCGGGGACATGTGTTGAGAACGCCGTCGGCGAACTTCCCAGAACAAGCCCCGTCCACTGCATACAAATCAGGTGTTGGTATCTGTGTAATAAAATCATTGCCAATTTCGGTTGCTAAGGACATCGAACGTATCTAATTTGTATGCAGCATGCTAAGTAACAGAAGACGCGACTCTTGTGTCTGGGAGAGGCATGAATGTGGGGAAGAGCGAGTATGGGATAGAGATAGCGGAGCATTGGGGAGTCAACTAAGGGGAATTAATTAGTTAATAACGATTAACCCTCGATGGTGAGATCGACAGGAGCATGAGATTGGACTAATTTGGGAAATGCAAGGGAGGAAGGAGAAGGAGAGAGCATGTTGAAATGCGGGGTGTCAGCCTCTCTATGTTTGGTGATCCCAACACCTTCACTGGTACAGAGGATCTGTCTAGTGCAAGAAATCTCATAATGTTTCCAGAAAAAAGAAGTAGGTGAAAGGTCACAAATAAAATAAGAATAAAAATAAAAATAGAATTTTAATTCCTAAAGAAACTATTACACAGGTTGTTATTAAGTGCAATTTTGGTTGCAGCATCATCAGAACATATAAGTCCGACAACCATTCAACTCGGGGTATCTCGCTGTTCTCATTCATAACCAGAAAATAACAGGTTACAGTACCGTTCCCTTGTTCTGCTTCTTGTTGAGGCGGTAGTTATTCCAGACTGCAATGCAAGGGACGGAAAGTACCAGAATTGCAGTAGCAGCAATAGCCCCGTACTTTTGACTGTAGCCCCAGGCATAATTGACCGCGTTACGTTTGTCGGAGCCAAGAGGGTACAATTTCTGTACCAAATAGCCATCAAGAGAGATTTGCATGGCTTGGGCCTTCTCGCTTTCCGGCAGTGCTCTCTGCAGGGCCTCGACGAAGACATTGTTGTAGATAGCGGACTGCACAGCACTTCCCATAGCACCACCCAAGTTACTGAATAGGCCAAGGACAGACAGCATCATGGGCACACCTTCACGATCGGCAGAAGCCATGACGGCCATTTCACTGCCGATAACCATGGTGCCACCTCCGAAAGCGACGAAGATCTGGCACATTATCAAGTAGCCAATATCGTCTGTTCCACCGTCCCCGCGGAACTTGATCATCAAGCCAGCACCCAGAATCAGAATAGGAAGACCAAAGCACAGAGTAGTGTATTTGAACTCCTTGGTGAAGCGCATCCAGAGCCCGACGACCACACCCCAGAAGCAAGAGCCCACGTTGTAGATCTGCATCATGTAGCCCGCCATTCCCTGCTCGAGATTATACACAACGGTGCAGAAATTGAGAAAATACAAATCCCAGCTGTAGAAACTGAAATAGATCACTGCAAAGTTTATGCAGGCGCCCAAAACAGTGAACTTCTTGAGCAATTCATAGTTGATGAAACGCTCGCGTGCGACGAATTTCTCCCAGACAGCAAAAAGTAGCAAAGTGAAGAATCCGACTATAATCATGGCGATAAAGGTAGCACTACTGTATTCTGCTCGTCCAGCGCTGGTTAAACTGAAGGGCAGGAGAAGAAGGATCCAGCCAGCCATTAATAACAAGGCACCAACCACTGACCACATTAGTGTGAACCAACCCAAGGAGCGAAATACACCTACCATCAAACTGATGCCAGTAATGCACGATAGACTGTAAGAAGGACCGATTACTTTGGGGAGGATTGAACAGGCCCATTTTCCGTGCCTTCTTCTCGTAGTATTTAAAGACCACGGCCAGAGGAAGGAAGACAAACGGCATGATAATGCAAAAAGCGCCATACGCCCAGCGCCACCCACCAGTGTTGTCGATGAAATTTTGCCCCGCCAACGGGCCAGTGAAGGCAGTGCAGATGAAAGGGGTATTCGCAAAGGCAAAGGCAAAGGCACGGTTTCGCAGACCAGATGTATCGGCCAAGAAAACCTGCAAAATAAGATATATACAGTCATAGCCAATCCAGAAGATAACATAGCCTGCTGCGTACGACGAAGGGCCATTGCAAGCTGCCAGAATAATAATGCCTAGAATGTAGACCACAACGGAAGCACATAGCCCTTCAGCACGGCCCCAGAGATTCAGGGTTTTGGCGATAGGTAGCTTAAGTACACCACCGATGACGGTAGCCAGGATGTTGGCTGTGCTGACTGCAGGGGCATTTTGAAATTTGGCATAGGCCGTTTGTTGGGCGATGCTGCCGATGGAGGATTGAAATGCCAACATGAAGAAACATACCCAGATCCTATTTTCAAGCGCCAACAATAAGCATTGCTCTCTTGTGTTTGGAAGAAGGGCTTACCAAGCATAAGTACCAACGAGTGCTTTCTTGCTCCATACCAAGGCGGCGGCTTCAGCCCTCTGGATACCTAGATGGGCACCCGCAGTGACCTGGTTAGGGTGCAACTCGATTTCCTTTTCATTCTGCGCTTCTAGGCTCTTGCGGTCGGAGTCACTGCCAGAGTTCTCTGGGTTCTCCGGCGAGTTCTCCGGCGAGCTCTCCTTCGGTCTCTGCTCCTCCGTTCCTAGATCTGACAACATCGCAGTGTTGTCACGGCCTCGAACTATGTCGAGAACACCCATGACGACGACCCGAGTTTCGCTTCCCAGTCACGGAGCTGGTAGAGTTCCCGGGAAACTGGAAAGGGGAAATTAGGCAGTTTAAGGAGTTAAGGAAAGGAGAGGAGTAAAGACATGAAAGTTAGGGAGGTTTTTTTTTTTTCTCTATAAATGTCCCACATAACCCAGCCGAACGATGCCGGTGTGTTGCAGGTGGATCCTGGCTTTCAATTCTGGTGGTCGGATCAGATAACATTTTGGCCATTTTGGGAGCAACAGGATCAGATAACTTCCCTTCTGGGCCAATCGCAGCCACTCTCTGACGTGTTGAGTTTGTGAGCCAGGTATGATTGGCTTGGGTTCATCACACGGCTCCGTCCTATCTCCATCTGCATATATCTCCGACGAGTCAGCGGGGTACATACCATTGTGTATTTCCAGCTGACTCGCTCTATGAGCGATTTTGTGGGCGTACTTTTGCTATCCACGGTTCATGGGTGTTGTACATGTGAAGACCTATTTTCAACTTTTTTTTTTTTCTTCTTCCTGGCTTGTCCCTTAGAAAGGGAAGCTTACGATTAAAAATCGCTACTCCTCCCAAGACTGTACTCAATAAGGTAGTAACATGTTGGCTGGATCGTCCTTATGTTGCATGCGCATTCCTGGTAGATAAGCCAGCCAACCACTGTGTTCTCCACCAGAGGTTTGTGTAATGCTTACTCTTTACTCTGGTAACTATCCCGCGTGATGCTAAGGAGCGATTATCAGTCATAACAATTGTTCCAAAATTGAAAAAAAAAAAAAAAAGAAAAGAAAAGAAAAGAAAAACAAGAAAAAACAATTATGGGAGCCACAAGACTATACAAAGCACAGGACAAAAGAAACGTCATGAACACAAGAAACGGCTCCAATCAGGGGAACCAAGTTCGGTTTTTCTTGGCTCTCTAGAGCTATGTGGGGTGGGCTTCGGCAACTCGGCTAGTACTGACCTTGATAACTATTGAATAATAAATAACTATTGAATAACAAAATATGTCATAGGTATCAATACGTTCATGGCTGTATAGAATTCCACCCGATCCGGGGGAATGTGCGAATTGGTGATCCTCGTACGTATGGACGGAGCAGTGGAATAGTTGTTGGATGAATAGCACTTTCTTTCTTTCTTTTTTTTTTTCCGTATCTTCTCGCTTAAATTTCCAATTTATAACCCGGTAGCACTAGCGAGGATAGCTTGACCTAGCGAAGTTGGTATTTTTCCACAGAGCTGTCCCGTTGTTGGCTGTTTTCAAACAGGATCTGCTCAATCAAATCAATCTAATCTAATCTAATGGCCACATCAATATTTGGCTGACCATCAGAAATTCCAAGTCTAGAATCCTGACTCTGACATGCGCAATGGAGGATTTTGGGGGCTGGATTCCAAGTTAGAGTTTCTGCCATTCCTAGTTATTCTGGCTAGCATGCTTACTAGGGCAGTGTTATCTCAAGTTTCGTGGGGCTTCGGTCATATTTCTCACCATGACTATGACTAGTCACTTGGCCATAGTCGTCGGCTCGATTGATCTTACTATTTTCTCATGTCACACATCTACTCCCCGTTATAAGAGAAGTTACTGCTATAATTTTCCTTCTTGCCAATTGTATTATATCTAGAGAGCTTCTAGACTGAATATAACACAGCCAAAGGTGTATTTACATGTACCTTAAGTAGCAAGGGTTTACCACTAAAGTTTGTTGTAAATACTAGCTACCTATACTAGTTCTATACTAGTATCTATCCCATTCCTTTTCTCATTTACAGTTTTCTGATCTGTTTCCCTACGATCTTGACACTATGTTTCATTATTCTCAATATCTTCTTACCATGTGCCAGCATGCCCCACTCGGCGAAAATACTAACTGGTACTTGGTCTGGCTTGATATCTAACACCAGAAGCTTTGCTAGTGTCTTTAGTTCACTCACATAACTCCCGAATATCGAAACTCAGACCTGAATGTTGCTAAGCTCCGGAAGGATATATTGGAGATAGTTTATCCAGCATCCTTGTAAGGGGCCATCTTAGTAATAAGTGGAAATCGGAGCATATCATAAAATATTATCCAGTAAAAGAAGAGTGTAGAAAGTTTCTACTTCAATTGGGGATCTGATCTTTCATCTACGTGGATACTTACTAAGCTGTTAGTAAGAATCCCTACCTTTCAGGTGGATCCAGTCTACCAATCAGAAACCCCAGTTGTACCTGCGAATTGCACCAGTCCCTACAACAACTTCCGGCCTTACGTGTCACTGTTTGTCCGTCGCTCAACAGCACTATCAAGTATGCATGCTGTCCTTCTTATCCACTTTTCCACCTGTTTGGGACCCTGACCTTCCAATAATATTGCTCAGTTTTAACCATTTTTAAGCTTTAACTCAGTCAACCAGCAAGTTCGGAATATCTGTTTCTCACATACGTCATTCTTAATAGCTCCGCATCTTTAATTCTAAATGCCTTCACGTCGCAGCCATACAAAATCCCGAAACGGCTGTCTTCGATGCAAGCGAAGGCATGTCAAGGTCTGTTCTGTCGATTCCTACGTGATCCATCAACCATACTTCCGTTTTCTGTCTTCCCACATGCATGCTCTAAATTGATTATGTCTGCCTTGATGGTGCTGCTAACATCTTGCAGTGTGATGAAGGAACTCCTAAATGTAGCTTGTGCAGGAAGCGAAGACTAGAATGCATATACCCACCACCACCTGCTGATGCCGATGGCCAAGACCCATCTACACCAAATGATGGCGTGGAAGCGATAGCAAGCTCTGCAGAGTTACCACTACCAACACGGATGATTGAGATGAGACTTTTTCATCATTATCTTACTGTGTCCTACATCACCATGTGCCAAGGAAGTTTAGATGCTAATCATTTTCAATCCATTGTTCCGCGGATGGCCATGTCTCACCCATACCTCTTGGATAGCCTACTGGCATTTTCGTCGTTGCACCTAGCTTCGATTGAGGTCGATGATAAGTGTCAATGGCTGGAAGTCGCCCTCATGTATCAAAATCGAGCCTGCTCCACCCTGAGCCAGGTGCTAGCAGACTTCTCGCTGGAGAGTTGCGGTCCTGCCTTCGTCAGTTCTATCTTTATCATGCTGTGCGCAACTGCCTATCCTTGTATTTCTCAGGATAGTCGTGCGTTTGACCCACTCGCCCATGTTTTAGAAACTCGTCGGTTGATTGCCGGTTGCTCCTTTCTCTTTCAGCAGCTTGGCAAAATGGAACAACTTGGCGAGATGAAAGGATGGCTACAGTATAACGATCCAGACAAGCCGCAAGCGGCTGACGAACTAGAATCGTAAACTTCTCCCAAACTTTCCTAAAGCAAGAATAGAAAATAATATCTTTTCTTAGGAAGTCAGACCCAGAAATGGTGCGACTACGGAGGTAGGTCTTGGTCCATGTCCTTTGCGTGGGATATAGAAGAGGGAAACTGACCGAGTACAAGGGAACTTTTGGACTCCCTCGATCGACTCCGCGGAAACATCGATCACGTCGACGAGCCACATACTGCTGCCTATCTGAGTACCTGGGAGTTCCTTCAGGCGGCGGTCAAGCAGTGGCCATTCGGTGGTCCCAATGGTGGGATTCTCGCTTTCCCCATTAATATCAGCAAGGCCTACATTGAACTGCTGAAAGAAGGGGAGTGGATGGCTCGTATTCTATTTCTGCACCATGGAGTCAGTATGCACCTCATTTCGGATAAGTGGTTTGTTAGAGATTGGGGACGACGTCAGGTTGCGGCTATTCTACAATCTCTTGAAGAGGCTCCGCCTGAATGGACGGATACTCTTGCATGGTCAAGGCAAGCGGTGGGACTTGACAGGACGAGCTCAAATTAACGCCCGTAAATGAGGGGGAAGTCCCATGACTTCATGGAAAGAGCAAGTCCAAACCGCACTTAGCAAGTGGTTGTTGGCAAAGGATGAATCCTGATCCAATTACTACCAAGTACTTAATTAACAAATACGGATGCTGTTCTGAGAGTTCGGTTGTGTCGGCCAATCGCTGCGTGACTGTTCTTGGCTGCCGATCCTCCCGGAGCTTATCGATGTTAACACTCATCCCTATCTCTGCTGACCTATTTGCTTATCTCCCACATTTTCTCTTTTTCTCACGGTCGCTTTGATACCTTTACTGCCTCATTTGTGTGTTAATGATGATGACGCCCCTCACATGTTTAAACAAGCCGTGAGACGAGTGTCAATAGCCCTAGTATGATGGACTCGGACGGGCTAAGGTACCAGACGAGGCCAGGATTCCCTGCCCTCCGCCAAGATGTGGAGAAACAGGTAGATAACCAGGCCATACCCTTTTTGCGATGTCACGTCATTTAAGACAGCATTGTTCTGCCTTAGTGTCTGGTGCCTGACCGTCCTTCCTGCCAGTTATATTGCTCTTCCCCGGCCCCATCAAAGACAAGGGTGCCGTCAACCGCCTTCCGGGACGAAAGAATGTTTCGTGTTTTGAGGATCACTGCCGTCACCGCTCTACTACTAGTATTACTAGTGGTGCACTCACCGGGTGTGCTGGGTTCCCCGATTGACCTTGCATGGCGTCTAAAAGATGGCCAGATCAATGGTTTTCATAAAATCGAGGAAGGCAAACGGGGTGCAGTAGCCAGTGAGAGTGCCATATGTAGTCGTCAAGGAACAAAGATGCTGGAGCTGGGTGGAAATGCTGCTGATGCTGTAAGTAATGGACTTTGTTTTGACCAGTGATTTGTCACGGTGAAGACTGATGGATGCTTGCGGTAGATGGTTGCGACGGTTTTCTGTGTCGGGGTAATTGGTAAGTATCAATCTCAAGACCAAGAGTAACGCTAGCGTTAATGTTTTCTAGGTATGTACCATAGCGGAATTTCAGGAGGTGGTTTCATGTTGGTGAGAACCCCTGGTGGTGAGTTCGAGTCCATCGACTTTCGTGAAACTGCACCAGCCGCGGCATTCGAAGAGATGTTCCGCAATAACACTGGCGCTGCAACCACAGGTGGATTGGCCAGGTATGCCTCATCTTACCCACTCCCCGAAGGTAACGAGGAGCGAAGCTGATATAAATTTAAGTGGCGTGCCAGGTGAAATCCGAGGTTTGGAGCATCTTCATACAAAGTACGGCCTCCTACCATGGTCAACCGTCATGCAACCCGCGATACAAATTGCGCGCAACGGCTTCCCCGTTACTGAAGATCTAGTTCGTTATATGAAATTGGCCGTTGGTGATGGAGAGGACTTTCTGACTTCAGATCCGACGTGGGCCATTGACTTTGCCCCTAACGGGACACGTTTGGGTCTTGGAGACACTATCACTCGTAAACGCTATGCTGATACGCTTGAGACTATCGCCAAATATGGACCAGATTCCTTCTACTCTGGTCCCATAGCAGAGACAATGATACAGGCATTGCAAGCTGCCAATGGTACAATGACACTCGAAGATCTCCGCAATTACACCATTGCTATTCGAAACGTGTCAGAGATCGACTACCGAGGATATAAGATTACGAGCACAACCGCTCCGTCCAGTGGAACCGTCGCGATGAATATATTGAAGGTGCTGGGCACGTACGGCGATTTCTTCACACCGGATAACGTGAATCTAAGTACCCATCGATTGGACGAAGCCATGCGCTTTGGATACGGTCTGGTATGCATTTCTGCTTTTATTTTTATTTTTATTTTTATTTTTTTTTTTTTGAACTGGAGGGGCTTTTCATTGCTGATCCTTTTACCAGAGAGCCAACTTGGGCGATCCATCTTTCCTTGAAGGGATGGATGCATACCAGGAGGATATGTTGACGAAAGCAACAATAGACGAAATTCGTCAGAAGATATCCGATATCCGAACGCAGAATGTGTCAGTTTATGATCCGAGTGGTTATGAGAGTCTTGAAACGTAGGTCCTTTCCCTAGATAGGCCTGATTCAACTCATAACTTACCGATCCAGACCGGGAACGTCGCATATCGCCACAGCCGATCATTCTGGATTTGCTATTTCCACCATCACCACAATCAACCTGCTTTTTGGTAGTAAGGTCATGGTACCGGAAACGGGAATTATAATGAATAATGAGATGGATGGTATGCATGCACTGAATTAGTCTTGTCTGAGCTTGTTAGCTAAAGCTGTGTTTAGATTTCTCAGTTCCTGGCTCGTCAAACTCCTTCGGGTACATTCCCTCAAAGGCAAACTTTATTCGGCCTGGGAAACGCCCGCTGTCGTCCATCACTCCGGCCATTGTTACACGTCCTGATGGAACGGTGTTCTTTATTGCTGGATCTGCGGGTGGTAGTCGAATCATTACCGCGACTGTTCAGAACATCATCCATGCCGTTGACGAGGGATTGTCTGCAGCGGAGGCTTTGGCTAAACCACGTTTACACGATCAGCTCGTCCCCAACCAAAGCGTTTTTGAATATACTTATGACAACGCGACCGTTGCCTTTATGAAAGCCAAGGGTCACAATGTTACGTGGGTTGCTCCAGGCAGCAGCACTGCTCAAGCAATCCGAGTGCTTCCTAATGGAACCTTTGATGCTGCAGGAGAACCAAGACAGTTAAACTCTGGTGGATTTGCTGTTTAGAGAGGAACTAAAGTGGGATGGTGATAGGTTTGCAGCTTGATGATCTGTGGAGTATATGAAACTCATGTAACGTATATATGAAGATCTCTGATGGTGATGCTTTGATAAAGTTTTAGCATAGAGAGAATAGCATGAAACTGTTGTTTTCCAATGAATTACCTTGGGCCCATCTTCTGTGAAACAGTACTAGTAGCTTCTACATTTTGACAGGTGGAGTGATGCCTTGATGCCTTGAACCACTTCCGAAAGGGAGGGTCTGTGCACCTCGACCCTTCTCCGCGATTGCTCTCTCTAATTTTTATTTTTGTTAGATAAACCGCGTCTGTTTTCCTAGTACCCTATTGTCCTTGGACCTTTTGGATTGGTAGCTCCTTGGATTAACTGTATCTATTCTTTTGGCTCTTCTTCATTACAAAACACACAGTTGCGTTGCTCCAATTCACTTAAGAAATGGGGGAGCTTGAGCCAGCCCAACGCGTACCAGGAGAATTTGGATATGGCATCTGACTATTCTGGCTTATGAGTGAATATATTTTGCCCAGTCCTGTGGCAATTCTTTTGCTAATCTAAATCGCTCTTTTATTAGCTTCTTAAAATCCTCTTTTCTTTGGTTACTCACAGCTTTAGCTTTGCACAACCTAACTTTCTATACCGACGGACAATTTATCACATCATATAAGGGGCAGTCTACGCTGTTTTGACGAGTTTGAGATCTCAGAAACCCCCAAGGAAGGGAATATTATGGTAAAAGCAAAAAACATGAAGTCAGATACTGTATCCGTTGTTATATCCCCTCCTAGATTCGATTTGGAGTCTTATGGATCCCTCGACGAAGAATTACTTGAACGCACCTGGGATGGGATTCTTCCAGACGAAGCAAGCTTTGGTAGTAGCTTCGATCCATACTTAGAGGATGAGAAGATTGATCGGAGTCACGAGCGTGCAGAGGATATTCCAGATGTCGGTCGAGACCGACAAAGCCGGCTCAACACAAAATCCTCTTTTTTCCCACCATCAAAGTCCACCAAGAGACAAGTGAAGACGAAGAGACATATAAGGAGAGTCGATAGCGAGAGCGAGCATTGTGGTGATGATGTTGAGGAGGGTGATCCTGGGCAGCGTGATCTACAGGAGGCAAATTATCTGAAGACTCTGGCGTCGGCCCCTAGCAATGATGACAAGCATTCTGACCCCGAGAAAGACTACATCGAGTCCTTCGCAAACGATCTTGACTTAGAAGAAATGGAAGAGGACGCCTTCTCCTTGGTCGAGCCAAATGTGCGAGATGCGATGGTTTATTATATATCCCGGCACCCTTTCTTCGAGCACGACGAATATCCTGTGAAGCGATCAGAACGATGCCAGTTTAGCAAAGATATACGGGAAAAGGCATTGGCTGCAGGGATAAGTGAAGCCACTCAAGATAAAATAGTTGCTTACGTCAAGAAACTATATCTCTCTGCGAATGGAAGGGGCCATTTATATGAAGAGGGGTCAGAATTTGGCGAGGAGATCGATGATGTGCTTGAAGAACGCTTAAATCCGCCAGGAAACACAAGTAAAGATCGCAAAAGGAAGCGAGCGAGCCAAAATAAGTCCAAAAGGAGATCAAAAGAAAAAGCAAAAGCGCCTCCCAGTGCAACTAGCTCTCGAGATATGGGAGAACTTTACGAAGATACTGGAAATAAGGTGATGAACCTTGCCATCGAAGACACTGCAGAGCCTGTTTTGGATACGGATTTTACAAAAGCTCCAATGTTGGGAAAGTTGCCCGTATCACCTAGTGGGCAGCTAGAAGTTGTGCGCGTTGATTCAGCCGATAGTGAAGATCCCGCAGTGCTCGGGCCTTCCGCTCCGACAAACCAATATTCCAATGGAGCTGGCACGGACAAAGGCATTCATTCTCACCTGGTCCGGTCGAAGTTACAGGAAAGTCTGATTTCTCTCGATAGTAAAGAGGGACACCCATCTCCCACAGCGCATTTTTCAAACCAGAGTGCAATTAAGAATAATCCAGACTCACTTCTCTCTCAAGATCCCACTTTAGATGACTTGAGTTTGCCAAATTTCTGCCCTCCCAAGAAATCAAGAAATCACAGAAAGCGAAAGCTGCACAAGTCCAAAAAGACATCTAAATTTCGTGAGAGTTTGACGATATCAGAAGATGCACAGATTTCTAAAGTGGACGCCTACGAAACAAACCAAACTCTTGAGGGAGCGGCGAACAAGAAGCCCACGCCAGGTCCTACCGCGGCACGTACCAGTGCGGATGACCCATTTTGCTGGGACTTGGATTTTTAAAAACCAATGATTCGCGTGACTTGACTGCCCGCGTTGAGGTAGAGTCGAAGTATTTCACCCGCTACTCGAGAAAGAGAGTTAAGAAACACAAAGCTGTTCGCAGTCATACGATAAACTCTACAAACGATGCTAAAACTGCAATTCCCGAAGCCACTCGGCTTATCTTGCAAGACCTAGAACTGCCATCTGATTTTATCTCTTCTGATTCGACCTTAAGTGATGTACCAAGTGATTCCAGCTCCGGTGGGAACATTGCTTGTTGTTTGGAGCCAGCAAGTATATCATCCCTGGATGAGTCTGTGCAGTATCATGTGGAACCATTTGTTACACCCACTAAGGAAGTGAATTCTAAAAAGGATTCCAATACTGCGATGGTCAGACCGTCACGCCTCAGGCTCCCAAAGATCTCACCGTATTTCTTTAATCCAGGACTCGAACCCGATTCATGCCTTCCGTTCCCGCCTCTCGAGGCCCCCTCTTTCGGTCTGGTCCAAGAGCAATTGGCGCACGATCCATTTCGACTGCTCATTGCAACGATATTTCTTAACCGGACACGGGGTGGGGTTGCTCTTCCGATTCTGTTCCAAGTCTTTGACCACTTCCCGACTGTTGAGGCCATGGCTGCAGCAGACTTAACAAGCCTAGTATCTATGATCCATTGCCTTGGATTCCAAAACCAGCGGGCTAGGAAATTTATCCGTCTCGCTCAGACATGGCTAGCATGCCCGCCCGTCAAGGGGAAAAGATACCGCAAGCTTCACTACCCTCGCAGAATGGATGGACGAGATATTGGAAACGAAGAATGTGTCGATGATGATGATTCGCGAGTGGCTTGGGAAATTGCACATCTACCCGGAGTGGGGGCATATTCCCTTGATAGTTGGCGGATTTTCTGTCGAGATGAGCTGCGAGGGCTTGCCCAGGATTGGAAAGGTAGGGGTGCCCTGGAGCCTGGTTTCATTCCGGAATGGAAATCAGTCCTTCCTCAGGACAAGGAGCTGCGGGCGTATTTGACGTGGATGTGGCTCAAGGAAGGCTGGGTGTGGGATCGACAGACAGGGGAAAAGACCAGGGCGAGCGCAAAAGTGATGCGAACGGCACTTCGGGGAGGGATGGCTCATGAGGAGAATGGAAACTGGGTTCTCGAGACGTCACCTGTAAAGAAAATTGCCAATGGGCTAACGGATAGTATTCGAGAGCCAGGGCATTGATGAATGATTGACGGGAATACCTTGCGAATAACCATTACTGTGCAGTAGTTAGTAGTACTTCTACGCCAAGTTTGTCGGTTTCCGGGATCGAAACAATGGATCAGCTCAGACATGTGATTATGTATGCCTCAGGCACCCGTGTCCATGAAAACAATCAATTTATTCACTATTTCTTAGCAAGGAAGCTATTATGGTTTAAAGGCGTATAATTTGATCTATGCGACTGTGACAGTGCGAAGGCCAGGATTAAAAACCCCGCCAATAAGAAATCTCCCCTCATCAGGCTTCCATGCAGCGATTACCACGTCACTCGCTCGTTTTTCTTTCGGCCACTGCGGGGAATCCTATCTTGCTCTCGCGCTCACCGCAAATAGTCCTTCCAGCACCTTAGCCTCCTTCCATCGCTTTCCTTATGCACAGTGCCTGACTTTTCTTGATCTTCCCGCCATTCCCGTGTGACTTTTTGGACCTGTGGTAGTCTTTCATTTGGTTTCTTAATTTCACTTTTTATTATTTTTTTTTTTTTTGAATTCATCTGATTTAGCGTCCCTTACCTGCCACGGGATGTCGCATGCCTTTCAATCCCAGCAGATCTTCACGCTGGAATAACACAAGCGCCTTCTCAACCAGTGAGAGCAATCTGCACTCGAACGCTCGCTAAGCGCCAGACGAGTAGGCAACCGACTGGATTGATCTGATCTGATTATTCCCGACTGACTGACCGTTCGGGGTTTGGACATTCTATCTCCATCCGCCACCCACTTTCACGAGGCCCGAACTTCATACTTCTCTCCATTTTCTTTTACGAGGTAACTAGACGGACACACTTCAACGACCGGGGGGACGGACGGAAAGAAGGGGTACGCAAAAGGAACGACAGGACTTTTTGTCGTCTTCCCGACTTTCCATCCTCCGCGCCATTCGAGCTCACACTCTACGTCATGTTTCTACCCTTAAGACTAAATGACCGCGATCGCGATAGGGACCGTGAGAGAAAACCATCATCTTCGTCCATTTCATCCAAAAGCAAACACCGCCAGCAACGCTCCTACGGTCTGTCTAGCCGCCCCTCAACCAAGGAACGCGATCGTGACGCCCCGACGGCCCGCTCCTCAACCCCTTCCACCTCCGCTCCCACCTCTCGCAAAAAGCGTCGGTCCTCCATGCCGGGAGTCGATAGCGCCAGCCGTCCCGAAACGGCTTCTTTCCTCGAGTCGAGGACGAGCCTTCCGTACCCAAGCTTCTCCAAAGCTCACAGCAAAGAAGCGGTTGGGAAACCGGGCATCCCTACGCCTGATCCGACCGATTTGACCGAGCAAAACAAGGAGAATGCGAATGGAGACCACCATCGAGGTGACAATCATCAGGCTCCGCCAAGTCCACCGTTGACGAGTGTTGACCAGCAGTCTCGCAAAGGGAGCACGGTCGGTGAAAAGGAAGAGAAAGGCACGGAGGAGAAGCCAAAGGATAGGAAGACTAAGATTCGAATCAGAGCTGAGTCGACTAGGTCATCGTCAAGTTTGCGTTCGAAAAAGGATGACAGTACCAAGTCCAACAAGACTGTGCGACCGGACACCCCTTCCAAGCGTTCAAACCATGGCAAGGACATACTCTATCGAACATCCAGCCGGAATTCGTCGAAATCCAAAATCGTCGACGAAGTCGTACCACCCAAACGTCCCAATAGTCATGCCACTGTATCCCCTCCACGATCCCCAGCTACAGTGCGTGAAGTCGGTCTAGAATCTACAAATGGCTCCGATGCCACTATTGCGGCACATCAACAGTCAGTCGGTTCCCGGAAGTCAAAGAGCCCTGAAAAACCGCCATCACGAAACCAGACTCGCTCATCGATGTCTCACCGCCAGAGCGGTAGCCGTACACCAGTCGATGCTGCTATCGAATATGGATGGCCTTCCTCTACAAACTCCGGCTATGGCGCGCCCCCTCCACCCCCGCCCCCACCGGAAATGCCCGTTTCTATTCCACGGGTGGATTATCTACTTCATAATGGTGGGTTAGATCACAGGGTGCCTAAATCGTTATTGCTGGGGGCCGACTACCCCGACTCGGTACCTCCTCAACCGTTCCAACCTCGAGTTGCAGCAGCCAGGGTATTTGATCCGTTCAGTCGTCTCCTTGAAGACTATCACAGTGTTATGGCGAAAAATGGCTCTCTGGCTGTTGCCTCGGGATATCGGTCTGTGGCCCGTCGTCTGCTCGACCGCTTGGAGGCCGTTTTTGCCCGCGACATTTCCTCAGAGTCATGCCATTGCTTAATGTGTGACCATGAAGACGTGGAAGAGCGCCAACCAGGGGTGAGTTGGGGTGAAGTCCTTGAATTAGTCTCTGGTCGTCGGGAGTTGCCTAGTTGGCCACCTTTCATATTGACGGCGTCTGTCAGCAACGCGGAGGTGTCTGGAGATGAGTATATTCCAATGCAAAAGATGGACATAGATATTCCGGAAGAGTATCGTGAGCATTATATGCGACAGTCACGCAAGACGAAGGTCACCGTTGATAGATGGCTCAATGAACAAGATAGTCAGGCCACTAGCGCACCGGACGAGGTGGACGATGAGACTCTAACCTTTGCCATGCTGACACACCTTAGCTCTGAGGAGCGCCCTCTATTCTGTGCGTTGCTGGGAATAAATTCCACTTCCCCCACTCCCCAGCCAGAAGGTCAATCGCGGCCACGGCCGCCTGCACTCATGTCGTCGTCATTGGCCATCCAGCGTCTTTATCGGCTGCCATCGTCGCCCCGAGACCCTGAAGCTGCTATCTACATGTTGAATAACCCGGACATGCACCATGTACTGTCGACTCTTGCGGCTATCAGTGACGATGAGTGGGACATATTGATTTCGGGCCGCTTCGATGGCTTTCTACGAAGCGGTGCAGAGGATTCTTTCCCTTCCGCACAAGGAATTACCCCTCCCCGTTGGGGCAACAGCCGATCGAATACTCCTTTTACCACAGGGGGCATCTCTCGGGGTCCAACGCCTAATACTATGGATGGTAACTTACGTTCAGCCAGTCAACCCTATGGCAGGAATTCGCCTGCCTCCTTTGGTGGCCCCATTGCACTTGACGAAGAGATGGAGATCGCGGCATTGGCTGAAATCGAACGGGACATCTACCTGGGGATGGAAGCGCTCGAAGATGCATTTGAAGCACTGCACTGCAAGGCCGAGACGGTCCGCCGAGCTCTTCGAGAACGGGGAGCGGGCTTGTCCGTTGCGAATCAGAGTCGGCGCGGGTCACTGGTTGAAGCTCGCCTAGGCACACCGTCGTCGGCTCTGGGCCACGCATGGGAAAGCGGAGAGGACGATTTTCTCGATGATGACCGGTCTTTGGCGCCGGATGACTCGGCTAGCAATATTAGCTCTAATCGACGACGTCGACCCAAACGACGTACCGAACGACGGACGCCCGCTCCGGTTGAAGAGGAAGACGAGAACGATGAGGCTTTACATGATAGCCGGCGTGATTCTCGGAGTTCTCGGCGAAGGTGAATCGACAATGGATAGTTACGAAAGTAAAGTCCAAAGGAGAGAAGGGGGAAAGAAAAAATGACATAAAAAATAGCTGCCACATGCCGACACATAGTCAGAGTGGAATACTCATTATTATTTCTCTAATGATTGCTGGACATAGTGGTCGTTTGCATGGAGGACATGTCGATGCCTTTTTTTCTTCAGCTTTATTTTATTTTTATTTATTTTTCATATTTTTTTTATACACGGTTTTAACGACTCGGTGATGATTGAATATAGCCACGAATAGTACGAACGAAACGAAAGCAATCCAGAAGGCCGGAATCAATCCCAAATTGCAGCCCAATTCGGTGTTATGTACATGGAGCAGATTGAAGATTGAACATGACTGTATTTTAAGTGGTGTCTGTAGTTTTTACAGAGTACTGAGTATACACAAAGCAATTGTTATACTGAGCTACATGTACGGAGTACAATAGAAACCATAACTCCGCCAATTCGCCTTGGAATGCCCAAGTGAAGCTTGGGCATCTCTCCAACAGAGTACTCCGTACTTTTGTCTCCCTGCCGAGCAAACTAGTCTGGAGACATCTTGGGTACCCTCTGGGCACATAAACATAACTCCATTCTAGCCTCCATAGCGCATGCTAATCCCAATTAATGTCCCTGAGTCCCTACCACTAGAATCCAGCGAACAGACCACCCATTTCCCGCTCCAGATCCACTCCCCTTGCCACATCTTGCCTCCTTTCCCAGTCTGAATCTTCACCTGCATATGCATGTACACCGTAATATTCCAATATTTAGCAACCAACACCACCACGAGCGATAAGCAATAGTCGAAATCCTGAAGGATCGTCTTTTTTGATTATTCTTTTCTTTCTTTTTTTCCTGTTGCCCTCTTCGCTAATGCAAGAAATGTCTACTCCGTACTCCGTTTGATCGTCAAGATTTCCAAGATTCTTGGTGTGGTCCTTACGTATAGAGTACTAGATATGCGGCTCAGTATCCACGGACACTCGGTCAGTCTTACTACTGGTCGAAGCTGGTGGAATTCCTGAGAATAACAAAAGGCCAAGATTGCTTAGTGGGCTAAGGAAATATCTGGCTTTTTCTGGTGGAGTACGGAGAAATATAGGTACACTGTACCTAGAGAAAAGGAGACCCTCAGTGAAGGATAGGCTATAATGTAGCAATTACGAAGTGTCAGAAGGGTATTATGTATGCTTCTCCCTGTGCAAAAGAGAAAAAATTCGAAGAAATCTTTCAAAGATGCCAGTTTTTCCTCTTTCTTTATTTCATTCTTTCTTTCATTTTTTTTTTTTTTTTTTTTTCAGTACAGAAAGTAGGGGAGATTGCCCATATTGGCGGCTCAGGGCCAAGTGAACTACATCTTTTGAACCACTTGGCACTCATATATCTAGTTCACTGGGGATCCCACTTTGAATTCCCATAGCGGCGGCGATCTCAGAGCTTCCCCTTCGGTTGGACCTATGATTCCTTGTGCTCGGATAACGCCTGCGTTATTTAATCGTGAAGCTTACTCCGTATTTAGTCCCAATTGGATTGATTCCAAGTCCCTTCTCTTGCTTGGTGATGTCAGACTACGTTCGAGTTTGCTAGTGTGCGGACTGTGGAGAGGTCGTGCCCAATCTCATACGAGTAAATATGGGGTGCGTGCACCTTACACAGTACAGCAGTGACATCCCAGACCAAACCGCCGACTGAGTTATTTGAATTTTGTACATAGTGTATGGGGCACCTCCAGCGTCTGCAGGGTGCGTGAATCGCAGATCCGTTATTCTTCCTGACCATACTTCGGTAACGCCAGCGGGGATCCGATGCCTCGTGCCGATCCCCGGTGAAATCTATTGACAGAGTTTGAGCTCATCTAGTTTCGGAGACTTCGGTAACGGATACTTCGAACCTGAGGTGCGGAATTTTGTCTGGAAAGCCTTCTACTCTGCAGATCCACCGCTTTTACATTCTAGCACAATATCCTGGGCTTCAAACTCTTGGGACGATGTGACATAGATAATAACGTCCTAGATCCCAAGAGACTAAACTGGATGCACCCACGGGCAGTGGAGAGAGATCCTCATTTTGATGGCAAAGGCACAAGATCTTCAGCAGTATGTTGACTAGTATTCCGTAGAATATGATTAATATCCATATCGTCGAGGAGGAGGGAAGAGCAAATTTCCTTCTCGGAATTTCTAGAAATTGCACTATTCCTCTCGGTTAGTGTGGCCCGAGGACTAAAAGGAGAAGGTTTCGCTATCATGGGCCTGGCATAGAATCGAAATATGCTGCCTTGCCACTAGGAACAGGGCTAATGATGATCATCGTAGTCTTGCCTCACTGCAACGAACGCAACACACTATAGCCACAGTTGCGAGAGTAGTCGTCATTGCGCTGCCCTACAAGCATCGGTTGCGATCAATGGTATCACCGTTTCACTCTTCAAGACACTCTCATCCGGTTAACTTCTGATCACTAATAATTAATAATAACGGCCATGATCGTCAGAATCGAAGACCCCGTCCCTTTTTCTTTTCCTTTCTTGTGTTCTTCTCTTTAGTGCCAATAGCTACACTGCCGGATCGACGTTAGGCAGGATATCGGGTAATTCCAGCTGGCCCAGAGGCCCCGAAAGCCATATACGGCACGTCATAAGGATGTGATATGCTGTATTATGATCAATGGTTCAATAACACAAGGGAAATCTGTTTTCTGGCAGTGATTAATGCACATTCTTATTAAATATACCGCAATATAACAACAACTGGACAATCGTGGGCCAAAGCTCTAAGAATTTACGTTTTGATAGAAGAACTCGATTTAAGTTAGAGTCCAGAAGACTTCTGATCACTAGTAGCCCTCGGGTCCCTGTTTTCCTGGACTTTCGTATGCTTAGAAATTACAACTTTGCAGAATAAATGAGATCATGCACACTTGCAAACCAATCACCCAGGAGCGACTGAGGTTCGAAGGACACCAGCGGGGTAGTGTCGAGGCTATACTAACGGTGTTAAGGCAGATTTCCTACCCGATGTCAGGCATCTGTTTTCATAAACACACATTAGTAATAGGCTCATGGAAAAGACCACCGTGAATACAATTGTTGGGATGATTTGTTCGCCTATATTAATGATTTAATGGGATGTCCGAGCCATTACATGGAACTTCGGAGCTGCAAATGATTTGACAGAACTGTAAGTTAGTGTACTATAGCGCCACGTGAAGTTTAATAGTTTATCTCGCTTCCACGATCCGTACTGCCAGGTGGGAACAATAAAATTGGACAAGAGCATGACAGTGATTTTGAAATGGCGCTTCAATGATCCAATCGTTGCCTTCCAAGCCCCAAGGGCCAAGAACCAGGACGGAAGAAAACCTTAAACCCCGGAGCAACAAGCCAACCACCAGCAGACTGGGTGCAGCAGTAGGCCATGATGATTGAACACGACGGCTATTATGAGTAATAGGGGGGAAAAATTAATTGCGCACCTCGTGGTATGAGTCTTGCACATGCCAAGGCTCACACAAACTCTCTAGCCAAAGGATCTTCGTATATCGCCCCTAGGCAGCTACTATTGGTATTGAACATTGTACACAGTATGTGCCTGCTCCGTTGATAGCATCTACACTGGACATAATCACTTTGTTGACGGTGGGTAATGTCATTGTTTTGTTTTGAATTATCAGGGGGAAAACGGAGGTAGCATCCGGAGCTACCTATGGGTCCATATCGATGGCACTGGCAGGCAGGCACTGATGTTGAGTGGAGACATTTAGTTTTCTAGAGCAATGCATCATTAGCCAAAGTCCCGACATTTTTGAAAGCAATAATTGGGCCCTTAGTAATAGGAAATATCAGGCTTTCGTTATTATTTCAAGAAAAAGAAAAAATACGAAGCGGCCCCACGGAGGAATGGAGGCGGGCATTTGGGAAGATATCTGGGGTACATGGACAACACGTGCTCTGTAGTCATCTTCAAGGCGAAGATAGCCAGATTGGATATCACTGAGGATAAGAAAGACATGTGAGATAAACAATAGCGATAATGGTCAATGGATGAAGATCGTTCTTGGGAGAAGGAATGCAGAAATAACGAATGAAAGGGGAAGGAGATCCACCAGAGTATGTACTACCTAAGGGAAGGTAATCACATGTATGCGTATTTTACGCCAGGGGTGCATGCCTTAGGTTATTGTCTCGTGGTGACGGAAGATTCTCTACTCCGATCACTGCTCACTACGGGAGTATTCCCTGCTTTGTTATTCCCCTACAACCCTTTACTATATATGTGCTATCACCGGAGCTCCTAGATGTTTATACCTCATGGGCCACTTAGAATGCCCCACCGGGCTCTTTAACTGTCGGCAGGATTTAATGATGATGGGTGAGACTCCGATCTGGCTGTATCTACACCGTGTGCAAAATTGCTAATAATTCCATTTGTAGTAGTGCTCTCATAAATCGCACACCTAGAAAACCTTCTCGAAGCCTTTGTGGCACGGATATCGGCTGGCATGCATCCCGATACGGATCCCAGGAGCCGACCGAATATAAGGGTCCTTGTACTGCATAAGTCTGATCTAACATCCAGAAAATCTTTGTTCCTGTTCTTTATTCCATTTGGCCCTGCTGAATAATAATTATCAATGAAAACAGCTCTTAGAAAGCATGTGAAATGAACCGTACCATAGGAGATATGTTTGTTCTGGACCATGGTTGATTTCTCACGGAAGCTCACTCCGAGTAACTAACTAATATATGGATTTTTTACGGTATGCAGAATAACAGTCTGTTTTATTTTTTTGTTTTATTACATAGTTATAGGCAATTAGTCTAGACACACGGGATAACTCGGTATCTGATTTTGATTTAACAAGAACATTTCGTTTCAAGTGTTTTAAGTGGACCGCCTATGTCTATTGTGCCTATCCGATCGACGCTGCGGGTCTCGCTTGGAGTGTTTCTGGAATGGTGTCTGCTACGCTAACGCCTTTCTTCCTAGAACATTTTTTGGTCGTTCCACCCAAAATCTTGTTAGAAACCAAGAGGGGGAGAAAAGTCTTGCCTTGCAGCGACTTATGCGGGGGGCGGTTCTTGAGTACTACTATACAATTCTTCCTGGCCGGCGTCTGACTTATGTCCGTGTGTATAAGCCAGTACCGGGATGGTGACGAAATATCAATTTAAGTACTACCTATCTTACTCCACGGTGGTATCCCCGTTGTTGTTTGACTATTTCCCTGCACGGCGCCACCACATGGGCCTAATTCTGCAGCTGCGGTGAGGGACAGACGACCGCGGTTTAGTCTGGAACTTGCTCCCCCTTGTCAAGTGTCAATCCCTGGCTCAATAACAAGGTTATTGAAGTCTGTCCATATAAGTAGCCATTATGACCAAACTCAGCCAATTTGGACCAGGTCAATTGCCCACTAATATTATTATTGAACATTCTTTCATTGTTCTTGCCTTCTTGCTTGGCGTCTCGTGTCCAAAGTTTGAAATACACTCGGTCAAGATACCTATTGGCAACCTTTTTTTTTTTTTTTTTTTTGGATCACCCTGGGACTGCTCCTGTCTCGGCACCCTCTTTTCCCTAGCCCCTCGGGAGGGGTCATCCATGGAATCGACAATCTGGATATGCTGATCCGAGACGACTACTAGCTAGCTCTCTACCATACATTGTATCAAGGCTTCACAGGCTATACGGACATCAGCTCCACAGCATCCACTCTTAGATGCCGGTAGTTCAATTCCCTACCCAATTTATTTGGAATATAGTTTACCGTTGTGGCTTGAATTCTCTTCTTCCGCGGAATCTTCTTTCCCCTCCTTTCTTTTCTCTTTTCTGATAGTGGTGTTGAACGATCGTGACTACAAAAGAAGGTACAGAGCCTATCACTGACGCAGACTGATTTGAGTTTGTCTGCTTCCCAATAGTGCACCGTGGGCTATACAGAATAGACCTGGGGATTTGCTTATTAGATCGCCCGGAGCCTCCTTGGCCATCAGAAGGAGCTTCATTGTCAAGGAACTTGTCCTCCCTCAGGGCCTGGCTGTGATTTTTCGTTTCTTTCTGTAAAAAGAATGGTTGTGGGCTCCTGCGGGTTATTCTTACCGAAATTTATTCGACAATGAGCCTTGTTCGAGTTTTGAGCGCCCTGGGCGACAGCTCAGATGGGGGCCATACCCTCCTACCGCGCTTGGCCTATACAAACGGTGGTACGCCTATGGCGGACATTGACCCCCTTCCCAGTGCTCAACGGAAAGGTTTGATTGCAGTTTCGGTCATGGCCATCCTCTCCTTCATCGCCACTCTCTTTCTCCTCTTATTCATCACCTATCGATTCATTTTCTGGCGCTCTAACTATGCACGATACATTGGTTACAATCAATATGTCGTGTTGATTTACAACCTGGTTCTAGCCGATTTTCAACAATCCATTGCGTTTCTCTTATGTATCAAATGGATTGCAGAGGATAAAATCGAAGCATCCTCGGCAGCGTGCTTTCTGCAAGGATTCTGGCTACAGGTCGGAGACCCATCCAGTGGACTTTTCGTGCTGGCCATCGCGTTTCACACCTTTCTTCTGGTCACCATGGGGCATAAACTGAGCCACCGGGTTTTTGTCTCAGGAGTAGTTGGCCTTTGGTTGTTTGTCGCTTTGCTCGTGGTTATTCCTCTTGCCGCCCACGGACGAAACGTGTTTGTCCCGTCTGGCGCCTGGGTATGTGACAACCCCATCCTACGCATGAACATTTGGTGGCTAACTCTGTGTGCAGTGCTGGATCAGCGAAGATTACGAACCCTTGCGTTTGTGGACACACTACATTTGGATTTTCTTGGCCGAGTTTGGCACTGTATGCCTCTACGCTGTAATGTGGTTTCAGCTGCGTCGGCAGATAAAACAGTCGACTATCCTGGGGAGCAGTCATACGGAAAGTCTGAAGCGCCTCCGCCGTGTCATTGGGTACATGGTTATTTACCCGATTGCATATATTGTGCTTTCTCTTCCACTGGCCGCAGGAAGAATGGCAACTGCCCAAGGCCAAACGCCTAACGTAGCTTACTTTTGCGTTGCCGGTGCTTTAATTACGAGCTCTGGCGTGGTTGACGTCCTTCTGTATACGCTCACCAGACGAAACCTCATCCTGGAGTCGGAGCCGAGCCAGGATCGCAGCTATAACCGCTTCATGAGCAGCAAGAACCGGAAAACAGATCACTTAACAACCATCACAGCGGAACCAAAAAACCGAACCGATATCACTGCTCTGCGCACAATGAAGCACCGGAATGACGAAGAAGACCTGGAACATACTGTCCGGGATGGATCCACGGACAACATTGTGCAATCCGGAGTCGAGTTGACACCCATGGGGAAAGTGTATCAGCATACTACGATCGAGATCACCCATGAACCTGCCTTCCCATCCGAAGGCGAATCCAGTAACCGTTCCAGTGGGGACTCGGACAAGCGGGCTGCTCAATCATCCAGGATGTGGGGGAATAGGCGATAGCCACTGCCTTCTCTCAGAAAGGATAATAATACGCCTTTAATGTCACTCGGTTCACGTTGACGTTTTTAACGCTTTATTTCTCTTCCATATTCTCTTCTATGTATATTATTTTGGTTTATTTGATGTCTCCGCTCCTGGGGATTCCTTTCATATCCATTGATGACACCAACCGGGTACTTGGATTTCCTTCTACATCTCTCTCCGTGGGTTCCAAAGTGACCGAATCCTATGCCCTTCTTTATTGTCCGTGTACAACATGATGTACATAGATTTATTATTTCCTTACAATTTTCTTCCACCGCCACAAAGGATATATACCGCATCTCCGCAAGAGAAGGGGATGGGTTTTAATGAAAGATACTCATTAATGTCTAGAAATTTCGATCCTGTATACCATTGAATGATATTTTCCTGCTCGCACACAGATTTTCAATAGATTGTACAGATGTTCAAATGTCCTGACCCAGCAATGAAGTGTTCCATGCGCCAGATGAAGGTATAAAGGATTGAGGGCAATCTCCAAGATGGTTAGGAAGCGCCTACCCGAGTTTTTGTTTCCATGGAGTAATCCATTAGTATCATTTCATATTAACCATGCAGAGAGAGAGGGCCAAACCGATGGGGGCCATATCCAGGCGATTGAGACTGCTCATGTCAGGGTTTAAACTTAGTATGGTGCTCAGACTGAGGCGTTCACTTCTATATAGGGCGCTAGATGCGACTGATCGACAGATCAGTCGTCTTATACCTTTTAATATGGTCAAGTGGTTTTATCACTACTAGTGCAGAGACAATCAAACCATCACAGTTCGCCGTCATTATCGCTAACGCGCAACCGAGAGTATCATGATGATACACTCGGCGTATTCCGATACGACTGAGTTGCATCTCAAGCGTTGTCGATATCTTTCACCCACCACTGCTCCCCGGGGGAAATTTTAGTCATTTACCGACGGTCGGCCCAGATCTCTTGACAAGACTTGAATAACGCAGTGGGGACGGGGACTGAATGCGGATATCTTGGGTTATGAAACGTTCCGAAGATGACTGACGTATTCTAGTTAATTCCAAAAGATTGCTACTTAACGTCGTTGGCGAGGCCCCAGTTGGTGGTACCGGATAGAGAAAGTGAGAATGCATTATACCTTATTGCAGCTCCCCGTATGGGCTCTTCCAGGGTCGTCACCGGCCGAAGTGCACAGTGGTCAGTAAAGTATATCAAAAGTCCAATATTGACGACATAATCAAAGTTTACAATGAAGTTGTCTGCTTCCCACAATGTCCAGCAATGTCCCACAAGCAGCTGCTTTCCACCTAAAATAGCCTACAGAAATATGTCTTTCCGCTTATCCCACGACATGGCAGCCACACACTTCCAACACCCCCTAATGTCCTCCTTACTGACCCTCAGCTCCCGTCGACGTTTGGTGGCACGTAGAACGTTAAATTGGAGACGTGGGGCCTGATCGACGAGGCGCAGAGTGGGAAAATTTGGCAAATAATTAATCTGTAGATATTAGCAATCACAACCTCCCTGGCCCTTGTCACGGCCAGGGCCTTCGTTGACGGTAACTGAGGACTATAAAAAAGCTTAATTTATACCACTGTAGTTGTTGTCGCTGCTTGCAGGTTTTTCTGGCCTGGGCAAAGACAGAGGCATGGGTTTAGGCGCAGAACTAAGCACCAGTCGAAGAATTAGTATTTTTTTTTTTTTAAAGGGTTCCATTTATAATTATACTAGTGTTGTTGATATACTTCATATTACTTGTTATGTTAGAGTCACCCATGATGTCTGTATTGTAGAACCAGGTATATAATTAGGGATAGAGTGGACCCCTATAGAATCCCTGTAAATATTTTCTCCCACGGGATAGTATATTTTAAAGGTTCCTATGTGGTATAGTGGTCTTAAAGAAGGGATTCTATTTGCTAAATAGTTACCTTTATGATTTTATATTTGCGCAGGTTGTGCAGCACTCGAGCATGGGACATCTTGTTAACTACTCTATAGATAGTAAGGAAAAGGGCAAACACAACAAAGCCTTTTTTTTCATACTAGAATTTAGAATGTCCCACTAACCGTCTTGTTCAGTTGTTTAAGTATTACCTTGTGCACTGGGTACTTAACGACCTGTTTGGGGAGTTAGTTGGTAGCTACTTAATGCAGTTTGGCTATGTCCATGGCGTTCCAATTGCGTTTCGGTGGAGGGTTTTATTTTAGCAAGGTGTATGTTGAATTCGGTTTTAAGTGGTAGATAGTTGGAGATACTAGAAAGCTTATAGGTAACACAAATATACTGCAGTTGATTTTGCAGGTCCTAGATAATAGGCTAAGCCCCAGGGAGTTGCCTGGCATAGATTTTAACTATTACTTTTACTGTTACTTTTATTATTGTCCTTTTTACTAATCTATCATGGTCTGGTAATCAAGCTCCTGGGAGTAAGGAGTGTCAGGAGCCTCTGTTTAACAAGGATTTTAGGTCGTTGGCTCGCGTGCGGTTGGCTGGACTATAAAAGGTATATAAGATTAGCCCTTTCTATGCACCTTGCTCCATAGGGGGTTATAGGTATTAAAATCGCTCAGGGCAATGTGTTACTTTTTTCTGGGATAATGTCAGCGTATTAAAGGGCTGCATGCAGGGCACTAATCTCCTGATTAAGTATAATACCTAGGGGGTTATAAATATTACACACGAAGGTGTACAGACCGTATGGGCGCGTGATATATATTAGTAACACAAGTTGGTCGTAGAAGCCAAGGTGGGCACTTAGAGCTTTTTTAACGTATACAGACCCATGGCTCCTCGGGGCGTTTAACAGAGGGCCAGAGGAGGTTGAAGTGTTATTTAACTTCCGACAGGTAGGGTGTTGTGTTTGCAAACAAGTAAATCCAGGGCCTTTAAAGGGCGAGGACGCTGTATTCTAGTAGTTGTATATCCCGGAGAGTAGCCATAGCATAATCCACTAACCTTTCAACGTTGAACTGAAGCAGGCAGAATGGCTCCAGCGTCCTTTGGGGGGCACGGGATCTTGTGTGCTTGGGGCTTGCGGGAGGTTCTCTTTTCCAGGGGCAGTGCTTTGGGACGCTTTCTCTCGCGGGCATGTTGGGTGGGGACTGGATAGCACAACTACTATGCTGTTCTATGCACATTCAATGATCTCCTGGTGAAGAGCTGATATGGATATATACAGGGATGAGAAAGCTAGAAGAATCTATACGCATGTCCATCGAACTATTTCGTTGCTGTCAAGTCGGTGTTTGGTTTACTCCCATGTTACCGGTCAGTCGCTTTGGAGGCATGAGTGGTAAGGTCTCTGATTATAGTCATGACATAGATATTGGCTGCTTCAGGTAAGTTCGCTCTTGGATACATCGTCGAGTATGTATGATCTGTGTTTTACTCACTATATCAGTTGTTTGTTAGGTCAATTACCTCACCTCTCTGTGGGATCCAGGGACAATCTATACGAATGTAACTAGGCCCCCATTGAATATATCTATCTTCTCAGGGACTCGTATCTTTTTCATCAATCGTCTACACAAGAACTAGGTCCGATTGTTCGAATTGCACCGAATGTTAGTCTCTATCTCCTCGAACTGCGTGGTCTAGGAAAAGGTGCAGCTGCAATTTCTGGATTCGACAAGATCTGGCGGCGAACGCGAGATCAAATCTGCTGAGATGTGGGCTTTCTTGGCCACTGACGCTGATTTGAGCAGGCGATGTTTCGGAGTCTTTAAGTTGCCCGGCTCGGCAAGGTGAGTGGTGAAGAAGCGTCCTAAATGATGGTGTACATGTCTGGCTAATTGTTAAGAAAGACAAAGAAAATACATCTACATTCTGGATGGTGGGCTCTGAGATCAATTCAGAACTGTCTTTTGTCGCGTGGATAGGCCGCCATGTTCCTCTTAACAATTCCAGACCCGGTTCCGAGGCAGCGAATTTCTTTCTCAATATGGACAGTGTGCGGTCACTAACAGTCGAAACACCGACAAATCAAGGAGAAATATCTCTCTGCATCGCCGCGTGGATCCGGGAAAAACGATGGCACCATCATAGAGATGACGTGAGGGCTAAGGCTGCCAACCTCCGACACCAAGGAATTACTCTGGCGTACTCATGCGGGCTGTACTGTTGGCCATGAATTCTTCGGTCGATGGGACAAGAGATGTAGCGAAGTAGTTCTGCGTACAGGATATGATATATCCGACCAGCAAGGAGAATAGAATATTAACCTTCGGTTGATGCCGGATCTCCCAGGCATGACCGTTGCCAAGAGAAGCGTTCCATTGGGTTTTATCCGACTTGGCTTCCGCTCCATCAAACGCGGGCAACTGAATCATACGGCGGTTTTTCATCAAATCGGGATTCGCTTGACCCCTTCGGGATTTGGATTTTTTGGTAATCGGCAACCACAACCTGTTCATCTGCCAAGTGGCCCCTTTCTACGATATTTTTGGCACATGGCCAGCGTTCTCTTCTGCATCATCAGTATGCTCCGGTTTTTTGGGATCAACCATGAATCCCGGGGAGTTCAAGCGGCCAAGTCGTCGATTCAATGAGCCCCCCGTTAAGCTGGCTTGTCTTTCTTGGTGAATTTTATCTCCGGACCGCTGCAGTGATCTCGTCTTACTGAGTTTGTCTCTAGTCGTGCCCTGCGGATTCGCTGTGATGGCCAGGCGGAATGTGCCAACTGTATAGCCAAAGGGAGGTCATGCTGCTATGTCCCCAGCCGGCGAGGTGGTCCCCGAAATTGTCTAGCACGACGGAATAGAGGCACCGTCGCTGGTGGCGGTGCAACGGATCTGCCATCGACAGAGGAAATAAACCCTCTGGCAGGGTCACCCACTCCGATGGAGCCGGAGGCGAGATCGAACACTGGGGCAGACGGTATGCTTATGTTCGGCCAGTTTACTGGTGATATTGGGCACCGCTTCTGTGCTAATTCACGTTACTTGATTCGTTAGAATGGGTCAGTCAACTCAGTGGCCTGTGTGGTCCTGGAGCTGGACTGCGTAACGTGGAAATGCCCTTGGCGGAGATAGATTCCATCTTCGACTCTATCTTTACACCTTTAAGCAAGGATCCATCGGATTCGCAGACCTCCTCCGGGACCAACCGGATTCGTATCTATGACAGTAACGAGGACTTGTAAGCCAGAGGTCTCGAGGACGCACGTCGTTGATGTTGGCTGATCTTCAGAGCAGACTGGATGCGTATTATATCTTCATCCACCCATATTTCCCTATTCTCCCTCCGCTGGAACGCCTCCCTGTCACTACCAGTTCAATATCGGAAAAGGCACCGAGCTTTGAGCCGTCCAATCCCCTAGGGAGGGCCATCGCTGCCATACTGGTCCTCATTCCTCATCCAAACGAAAAGGAACCCTCGAGGCCGGCCTACGTAAAGATCCGTAGAGACTTTGCGCATTGCTTTGCTAAATCGGCCCTGGATGCGGTTGAAATGGATTATGAGCGGCTTCAATTCTGCAAGAACCCTCAGGATCACCACGCAGAAGGCGTGGAAGCGTTCCGCCGCGAACCATTTCACCCAAAACTACCAGTGTCTTTAGAAGGCGTGGTGGCTCTTGCCTTGCTAAGTGTCTACGAGTATGCGCAACAAGGGCACCTGGAACGGATGCTTCATCGGGCAAGTCAAGCGTTGGCGCTGGCGCTGAGTATGTCACTTCATGAGGCACTGGACGAAGACGTGTTCGCGGAAGCTCGACGTCGGACATGGTGGATGACGGTTGGTTTCCCGCTATATGTTATTCCGTTTCAATATTATTGGATCGTTAACGCTTTGGCAGTATATAGTAATATGCCAGGCATTGGCCGTGAACCATATGGTGTGTAGATACCACTCAAAACCCGGTGTGCACAAGGAGCTTACTTTCATAGCCACCAACGTTCGACTTGTATGACCCTTGGTTTGTGACTCCGTATCCAGAGGTAAATTCATCTTGATGTGTGGTGAAGCCACTGTCTTATTGTGTCATTCGTTTTAGGGGTGGAAGCTACTCGTCGAAGCCCAACAGACCCTTCTCGAATCGGCAACATTTACTCGCGATCTCGATCAGGCAATAAAGTCCGGTAGTGATGCATCATGGGTGCTCTCACGGATGGCCCAACTGGATAGCCAGATGGCTTCGCTCTTGCTTCTTTGTCGACATGCTCCTTCAGTGTCTGAAATGGTGCCTCCTTCAGATTCTCCGGACTTTATTGCATCGAAGGCAATGCGGGCATGTGCAGAGATCCGACTACATACGTATGTCTTCTATCCTGAGTCAACAGTCACACTGGGTCGCTGATTGTCCAGTGCACGTATCAAAATCCACCGACTTTGCGCTTTTCAAGACATCACAGCTATCTCAAAGCGAGCCGAGGACCTCGAAACCACGCCACTTGACCCGATCGACGGCTCACTTGAGCCAGGGAACAGTCCGATTTACATCCAAGACCCTCCGATTCCCTCTCATGCTCATAACCTCTCCTTCCCCTTCTCCTCGGACGAATCCTCTAAAATCTGCCTTCACGCCGCTTTCAATGTTGTCGTCTTGCTCGACAATCTTCCATACCCGAACCCCACGAACGAGATATGCGAGACGAGCGCATTTCTCTCCTTAGGATTGGAGACCGAGTTGCCTCGAGCCATGCCGACATTGGTATGCTGTGCAATGCAGGCTGGGTATGCACTGTTGATGCTATGCGTCAAAGCGCGCGCCCTTCAGCACACCGGCAGGGTTGGGTCCGGACAATTGGCTACCTCCTTGACTGGGTTTAGGGATGAGCTTTACCAGAGCTTGCAGCTGGTGATCAAGTGTCTCGGGAACTATTCGATTGCATATGAAGCATTACATGGCGTGAGAGGTACTGCGCCAACCTATCATTCCGCTTCACTTAATGGGATTTGCTAACTTTCATCAGATGAAATATCCCAGGCAATTGAGAGAGAATTCCGGTCTTAAATGCGGTAGTCATCTTCAATTAACAGGGAGTTAGACCTTGGAACTTCTCTCTATCTCTCTCCGTTTGTTTTCTTTTTTGTTAGTTGTTCTCATCCATCCAACTCAGGGCGCTGGAGCGATTGTCACGAAGCTAATGATGGATATGGACTCTCAATGAACAATCATCTCCGTCCAACTAAAATATTCTTGAGCGTGGGATTGGAGTAGCGTCCTAACTATGAAGTAGTTCAAGTCCTAGAGAATAACACTCTGTACGCCTGGGTACGCTGGACACCCATTTGATAGAATTCTCCCGAGTATATCAGGCGGAATGAATGTTGCTTTAATTGCTACTAATCGAAAACTGATTGGGCTATATATGACCAATCCAGGTATTCTGGTCCTCGGTACTGAACCTATCCTCTGCGTATTCACAGAATCGTAGCCTTGAGATCTGGATCCCTGCAAAGCTATGCTGGCAAGCAATCACATGAAGTGCCCAAAAAGGGAATAGAGCCCATTTCTTCCCACTTTGCTCACTGCAGCTCCTAGCCCTCATGAATGATCGAATGCAGAGATTCCAGACTGCACGCATCCACCGTTTTCCAACCTGATTCTGCTCCTCAGAGGGTTCGATGGCGGTAGGTAATGCCAGTGTATTTCGCCCATGTAAACAGATCCGGTGACGGCTTTAGAGATGACATGCGGCGATGGAGAAAAGATAGATAATCATCCTCAACGCAGTCCCACCTCCTGGTACATATCTACCATTTGCTGCCTCACGGTCCTGGCCAGCGGCCAGACTTTCCCCAGCACATTCAACCCACCAACTGCCAGCTGGATTCGCGCCTTGAGGCTCTCTCCCTTATGTGCGGTCGGTGTTGCCAAGCACGCCGCGGTATGGACCACGATGCACATGGCCAGACCGCACGTAAAGAAAGGAGTCCGGTATTTGATTGGGTTGGGTAGAGTGACCAGGTTGGATAATTGATCCGCTGCTCGGAGGAACTTCTGCGAGTGAAGGTCCAGAGCCGTGGAGACGGCGTTGGACTCGCGCTCTGCTCTCAGCCGAACGCATGAGGTCTGGCAATCGAAAGAGGCAAAACGCATGCTAGATCGTGGGTGATGAAGGTATATCATTCCTCTGGTCGTTGATTCGTTAGTGTCTCCAAATGCTATGCCGCAAGTTCCATGGATCATACTTACACATAGGTGATCATCTCCGCTTGAAATAATTGCTCGTCGAAATTGGAGCTGTCGTACCCTGACCCCTGTGACGAAGGCAGTCGCATCAGTGTAGATGCAAGTCTAGCATCAACGATTTGGACATGTTCTTCTAGGTCCATTTCTAATGAATGGTTCACATCTATGACCTTTCCTAGACTCCGGACGGCATGCACCCGATATGCAAATGAGGAAGGGCAGTTCTGCTGCCCAAGATTCCAGCTCCGCTCCAGCTCGTCCAGCGTCTGTTTGATGGGTACAACCTACCAATCTATTCAGCCACGTTCAGTTCATTCGAAGAGAAAAGCATACCGCACTACCAGAATTATAGATATCCTCCGGACAAGGCAACCTGACATCTGTCTTTTGACGATACAGACGGAATGAAATTCGGTTCCTCACGGTGGCTAATAAGCCATCGACGACGTAGAGCTCCCAGAATGTCCTGCACCAGCTCTCTTCCATCATGAAATTGCTTGCGGAGTTCTCGATAGCAAAGCTGCTGCGGTGAATGCCTAAGTCCAAAGCGAGGTTGATCGCAGTCTGCATCATTTGGTGGGCACTATCGTCTTGACCATGTGCATGCTCGACGATGGCTAGCAAAAGCATACCTTGGACTTTAAATCCGTCACTTATTGTGGAATCTGCTACCACCATGTAGGCTGACTGCCGAAACTCTTCCTTGAATGCTGGATCGGGGTAGTAGTGCGCGCCGATATAGCGCATGATGGACAAGATATAAACGGGAATCTTTTCGAGGAGAGGAGATGCGAGGGCCTTTCTCGGGACTAAGAGCGGATGCGACCGATGAAAGTTCTGATAATACAACTGAATCATGGGATCATAGGCCACATCCGGAGTGGAAAGCTGCTGTTCTGGTTCCCGCCAGATCATTGTGTCGTCTGAGAGACTGGGCACGTCCAGAGTTTGCGGCGTGCTGAGCGATTGGAACAATGCTTCACCTGCCTAGTATTGTTAGATATAAGTCTCTTTCAGAAAGGATGGCTCTATGAGACGGCATACATCTAGATCCGGGGGCAGGGGCGTGTTGCTGAGCCAGTTGGAAAAGGCATCCACATCGAACAAGGGCACAGCATGGCTGAATATGGGCGACGGGGGAGTGTCCTGCTTGCTGCGCATACCCCTCCGGGAGCGGACATAACGACATTCTATATCAGAAGCTTGACAACGACTGCAGACTGGCATAACCGAGTCGCACTTTAGGTGTCGCCGACGACAGGGCACGCATGCCAGTGGTGAGGGCTGGCGGGCTGGCGATTTGGATGGACCTTGCATAATTGAATTTGATATACAAGATCCCAGGGATATCGCACAGAAACCAACAAGAAATCCGTCATCTTATTAAGAGGAACCTTTTCAGGTTTGTGGCCATCGGTATCCATCATGCATCCCGACGGAACAACAGGACCATTAGTTTTGATCCCCATCGTTCCCGAGAAGCCCGAGTCGGCGACCAAGCCATTCGGGGACAGAAACGTCACCAACAAGGTCAGGACCCCGATAGGACCGCCTCAATTTCCCGGAGAATTTAATGGGCTACTCAGAGCAGGGCTTTCTGCTAAGCTATCTGGTCAGAATACGATAGATGCGCTACGATCTTCATAGCCACCCGGGGAAATGATGCTTAGTGCTTCTATGCCCAAGGATCTGCCGCACCTAGTTTACAAACCGCCCACCAACACCTCGGGGACTTGAACCACGAAGTCCAACAACACTTTTCCTGCATGAGTTTTCTTCGGCATTCTCCCACCGCGGACATTGACCTGCAACGCCTGATGCAGCAACCTTGGCTCTTTTAGTCCCTGGTCTCTCTCCGATCGCCACTGGACAAACTGCTCTTCCGAGTTGCCCTGTTTTACGTGTTTATTGCGCTCCTTCTGGTCCGCCACTGTCACGTAGGGCAAAGGGTCACGTTTTTCCTCGCCATCGATACTCGGGGGATAATCGTGCCCGGTATACAGCCTGTAAGAAGGTGGGAGTGACAGGAGTGTCTGCATCGAGCTATAGAGGGTGCGCGCGTCTCCCCCCGGGAAATCACAGCGCGCGCTCCCTACGTCGGGATTAAAGATGGAATCCCCCGTGAAGACGTTCATCCCAATGCGATACCCAATATGATCCGGGGTATGGCCTGGCAGGTAGAGGACGGAAGCCACTACGTCACCGATGGAAAACTCTTCTCCGTCTTCTAAGAGATGATCGAAGGCGGCATCCAGCTCCTCTGCGGGGATGCCATATTTCTGGCCAAAGGTCTTCTGCACGGTTCGAATGCGATGGCCGATGCAGATCGGAGGGCGTGGCTTGCTCGATAGAAGGAGTCGCTGCTGGAGATAGAAGGAGGCGGTGAGGTGATCTGCGTGGGCATGCGTTTCCAGCAGATATCGGATGGTGTAGCCTTTCCGAGTGACGAAATCAAACAAAGAATCGGCAGACGCAGTGCTGATTCTCAATGAAGCAGGGTCAAAGTCAAGCACCGGGTCAATGACGGCCGCATCTTTCGTCGAGGGGCAAGCGACAATGTACTGCCATGTGCCTGTCGTTGGTTCGTAAAAGGAGTGCACGACTGGCTCCATCTGCACCATGATGTTTTGTGTTTATCTGCGATGCCAGGTACCACTGGAAGAGAAAGGTGTATAGCAATGGTGCTAGCTCTGGATGATATTATCTATACATGCTCTGCATCAACCATACTGCATACTATTTATCCTCCTGCATACCCGATCAATTCATCAGGTGTCAGCGATCCAATCGGCGAGGTCCCCCGGACGCCGTCCAGGTCGGCGACTAATCTAGTCATGTTATGATTCCAGGCCTGACCAGAAGAGGCCCCGGAATTGGTCATTATGATCCCCATCGCATTTCTCTCTGCAGTGGGGAGCCAAGAGCCGGGCAATAGCCTCACTGGACGCAACAGGTCCCCGAGAAGCCCAATGGCGAATCATCGTCGGCTTCTAGTGTTGTCCATGGATCCACTAGGTCTGGCTGCTCTTGGCGGCTTCGGATTTCCGATGCTCATCGTACGAGAGAATCATCGCCCGAGAGATCGATGTTCAGGGGAAAAAAAAAAATTCTTCGAAATAGCTATCTGCTATACCTGCTATACAAACGCAATATCAACCAATCATATCACCATCCATACACCCGGTTTCAAGCATATCACCCGTGCGAATGTGACCTTAGATTGTACAAGTTTATCGACTAGATTATATATTTAGCTCGCATTGGGCGGTTGCATGAATTCCTCTTTCGAGATCTCTTCTCATTTCAGAATGAGCACTGGGAGAACGAACGCCAGAGTAATCACAGACACCGCTGTAATATTTAGTCCAGCTCCACTGGTGTACACGGAGCGAACTAGTACGCATATGCAAGGCATATCCGCACAATATTCTGGACTTGGGCGAGAAGAATAAAGAGAAAGAAATTCGGGTTACTGAGCACATTGTAAATAATCAGTTACTGACAAATGATCCCATTACAAAGGTAAGCAACAAAGACGGCCGATCAGTCCGTATTCCTGCGACGAACACCTGATGATTGAATTCTTTCAAGCGACAAACAAATAGCGCTATGGCTGTGACTGTGTCGCTTCAATACCCAGGGCCGGTACAGTGTCAAGAATGGGGGCATGGCGGAAGGATAGCTGCCTCCTGATTATTAGCCTGGCCGTAAATTCGGTGCAAATCATCCCATGGAGAAAGATGTTTCAAGCTCATCGCAATGGAGGTGACGGAAAAGTCTATGCAAGGTCGAAGATATGATATCTCAGACTGATACTAATTCGGCAAAAGATTAAAGGAAGGTGTTAATTATTGGCCCATCGTGCAGATCATGTGCGGATCATCGTGTGCAGAAAATCAATAGCGCTGATATATAGCTAGGCATAGAAGTCATACTTTTCGGTCGCTATTAGCTACATCGAGTACTCCATACTATCTAGGTATTCTAAGTATCCGTGGAACTGCTGGAATGCGCATCACAACCCCTAGCCTGTAGCAGAAATCAGACCAGCATAGACACCAAGGTGGCTGAAGGGTGCAGAGGAGGGTGATAGTATGGAGGAGAAAGAGAGGGAAGGAAATGATGATGTAGACAAGGATAACCTTCCCAAACAGCCATCTATGCCAGTGGACAGTCATAATTACCGTACTATATCAAAACATCCCTAATCTTACCAGCTGCCAGTTTCTGCCAATCAGATCTCGTCGTCGCCTGCGCGTACAAGAAATTGTAATACTGCCACGACACTCAGTACCAATTGAGTCACGCGTTCAGTCCAATGGCAGTGCGACAGCAATCTATTTTTGGATGTGACGACTTTCCGATATGAAAGATGACTGGCATTCGCCCTTCCAGAAGCATCTAATCATCCTGCCTCGATCCGACTGCATGGTCACAGCCGAGCGTGTACTCGGGCCTTCTACCTGTGAATGCTCGACTTGATATCAGATTAAAGGTAAGGATTGATTCAGTCTTGATCATCCAGAAACACACGCCATGCTAAAAATAATGCTCAGGGAAGATCGCGGCCCCTCCAGGTGCTCGTGTTTTACTTCTTGATGCGGATACGATCATCGCTGCGCTCAGTGCAGCTGAACCAACATTCGTCGGCCCCTGCAGACAGTTCAACGACAAGAAGCGGGATCGACCGTTCAGCTTCCCTGCCTCAGAGGCCCTGGTTTGCTCCATGTCGTCAATGAACTGAGACTGAGGCATGATATTCTGTCTTCATCGCTGCATTCATACGAGGGATGTGCGTACGTCTGAAGATGATGATCCTCGTATTCCACGAAACGACAACTATGTCTCGCTGCAGTATACAGAGGAACGAACACGACGTGACATAACCAACCTTATCAATGATACTATAATTAAGCCGGGATCGACAAGCGTTAATCTCGCTTGCGTTTCACATCCAGGCATAAATACCTCTCTCGACGTTGATATCGAGAAATCAATCAGAACATCTGACAACCCTCTCTGCACTTTGCCAACTTGCGAAGAAAACGTACAACATTTGCCATGAAACTCACCACCATTGCACTCCTCGGCAGTTTCGCCTCCAGCACCCTGGCCGCTCGCGGGTTCAGCTTCGTCCCTCGCAATGCCAGTAAACCCGACGTTGGCCAACAGGTCCTCGACAAGGCCATGACTGCAGCTGGAGTCCCGTACGCCTGGGGTGGCGGCTCCTGCGATGGGCCGTCCAAAGACCAGCCACCCTACCAGTACGGGGATGTCGGATACGATTGTTCTGGTCTGGTGTGCTGGGCCGTCTGCCAGGTCACTGGGCGCGATCTCTTCACCGAGGGGCTGCGCGTCACCTCCGACATGTACTGCGCTTCGGAGAAAAAGCTGGGTTACAAGTACGCCTTATGTCTAGATGCCCTGTGCTAGCATCCAAGGATACTGACTCTAGAAGGAAATACCCCTACGAGGAACGAAAGCCAGGTGATGCCATCTTCTTTGGAGGCGAGTGTGATTGCGGTGATAGCAGCAGCATTCATCACGTGGGATTGATGATGTACGTCTCATTTCTTACAGACGCTATGTCTCTGGCTAATCTTGATAGTGACTCGGGCGATCGTATGTGGAATGCTCCTAACGACCGCGTCAACCAGGTGCAGGAGAATAGCATCTCCAAATTTGGCGAGACCCCTTGCCCTTCTGTTATTCGGTTTACTTAAAACAGTGGTCGGCTAGGATATCTAGGGGTATGATATAGGGTAATTCTAAAAGAATGTGCCTCGTTATGATATTCATCATTATTTTTATTTCGTCCTTGTATTTTCAATTATCAGTGTTTGGTTTGAATATTATAGTTATTGGCAGATAATGCCAGTCTCCTTGAAGAACAGAATCAGTCCAGAAAATACACATTAGCCATATACACAGCACTCCCTAGCTTGTGGTTTAGAACAACGTCCACCATCAGATACATTCCACGCCGGTGAAGCTTCGGCTAGATTCATGAGATTCTCCGTATCGAGGCTGGAGCTGACAGTGTATCTACGCAGGACAACGATGGTCAGATGGACACGAAATAGATATCGAACACTTACATCTGCTGCTGCAAATAGCCATGATATGAGGTGCCATCACCTCTCTCCTCGTGAAACAGCTCTATTGCAAGAGCGATCCATATTACTGTGAATCCCATTCCCTGGATGTAATCAGGCTACAAAAATTTAGACCGGTCCAAGTCCAAGGAGAAAATCAAATGAGAACCTACGTGATTTATGATATCTTGCCGGCTACCAACGCAATATACCTATGGGCTTAGGTCAGAAGTGCTTTCCACCGAATACAGACACCTACTCGTTTGTTCACGTCACAAGGGGCTGCTGTAGAGTTGTCTGTCTGTCCAAGGAAAATAAGTGAATTGAGTCCACCATTCGGCAGGACTCCGGGAACAGGCCATCCCTGCTAGGCGAAGCAGTGCTGTCAGGAAATTGTGCATACACCTCATTGTAAACTTCAACAGATGAAGATAATTGAGAAATGAGAAACAGAGAGTACCAAGAACCTAGACACATATATTCTTTCTTCGCCCATCAAACCAAGAAAGTTGTACGAAAGGATAGAGATAGCGGCCTACTCCAATTAATCTGGGGGAGCCATCCGAGCAGGAAGATGACCTAACAGAGCCATGCACCCAGCGGGATGCCACATGGCTCTGGGATTTCAGCAGGTATCCTGTCTGTTTCCAGTCTCGTCAGGCCCTCCATCTGGCCACTTGGACTGGCGTTTTCAGGTCTTCTCTAATAATCAATCAGACTATGCCTATCAGGATATTGTACCAGATTCGGGGAATTGTAGGGCAAATGATTAGATGGAAACTTCCGTCTGACTCTCTAATAGGTATATGGCACCAACAGGATTCGACAATACTGCCTTCGTGGCAGGTGGCGCCTATCGTGCGTTTAGATTTGGCCGAACGCCGGCGCTACTTGATGGGATATTATTCCCTTTTCGTCTAGAAGTATACTGTTGGATGGCATCGCTTGGTGGTTTATCTTGCGAGTCCTGCCATGATCAAATTAAGAATATACAAGTATGGTGACAACGGAAAATATATATCAGAACCAAAGTCGTAGAAAGCCCCACAGCCAAGAGTAATATCAACAGTACTGTCGAGTAACACGATCCAATAGCCATGCAAAGAGTTTTTGGACAGAATACATGCCTCAGTTGGGTAAATATACGGAGTAAACAACATGAATGTTGGACTGGTATTATTTGCTTTTTTGGACATAATTTCATAAAATCGAGGATTTGACATAGCAAGTCCTCGATGGTCTAACGGTCATGATTTCCGCTTGTCACTCAATAGAGAACGAGCGCGGGAGACCTGGGTTCGACTCCCAGTCGGGGAGAATTTTTTCCCAGAAGTTTTATTCTGGTCATTGCGACGTCTTTTTTCTCTTTCGCTTTTTCGGCTTCTTTCTTTTTTACAAGCCTGGTATAAAGACCTTGCTTTCTATATGTTATACGATATACTATATTTAAATTTCTAAAATATACTGTTTCTAGACTGGCTTTCCCAACTCGGCTGAATTGGCGCGCACCCCCCTGTGACGAAGTCTCCCAGCAGCATCGTGCTCTGCATCCCAGCTCTCCAGATGATCATTGGGTACCTTGACCAATTTATGGGCCGTCGCACCTCCTTCCATTTTCAGAATCGTCTGTCGGAACTCATACCCTCCCATCTTGGGCAGGATCTTAATCCAGACATAATAGTATACACCACAAACGCCAATACTATGCTCCTGTTAATATACATCCATGAGATAAGACGTGCCCTGGATGACTTACATGGCAATTCCAACAACTAAGTACGTCCCATACCAGAAGCTGACATCTCCTCCGGTTGCGCCTCCTAATGGTGGATACCACGGAGCTACCAATAAGTACAAATTGGAGAGAATGGCGAAACAAACGGCGATATCCCAAGCACGATACCCAGACTTGGGGAAGTTTAGACGTTTGCGGTGGTAGCGCGTGAAGAGAAGTCCGATGGCAAGGAGGAAGTCAAATGCAGTCGCCGGGTACATACTTAGATCGACCACTGCGAAAGAACCGCTACGTCAGCTATGAGGGGCAAGTTCATGAATGGGCTGAGACAAACCGAAATTGAACGCATCCCCGGCCGGAGGAGCCAGGATCATTATCACCGTCAATGCCCACTTTAATGTGTATGGACCCAATGGTGTGCCGAAGGGACGCGTGGAGGTCCAGAATCCAGTAAATGGGAGTACTCCTTGTCTATTATATATTACACTGCGATGAGTATATGATTTCATGGAAAATGAGGGAGAAGACGAACCTGCCACATTCGCGAAGCACACGAGATTGCCCGATTAACACGGCAATCAGGTTGCCAAAAGCGCTGAGACAGATTAGGAAGTTGAGTGCGCGCGATGCGCCACTGGTTCCGAAGACCTTTTCAAAGAATAGGCTAGCCACTCCGATTTTGGATTTGAGGATCTCATCCTTTGATGCGGAGGTAAAGTAGGCGATATTAGCCAGCATGTAGAGGGTGGCTGTCAGGGTGAGGGAGACGGGGGCGCTCCATCGGAGGGTTTTGACAGGGTTCTAGCAGGGTTAGTGGCTGGGGATATGGGGAACGCATGGACAAGGAAGTCTGTACGTACTCGGACTTCGTTAACCACGTTGAAGGCATTTTCGTATCCCTTGTAGGAAAACATGACCTTGACCAGCGCATTGGTGGCTCCGTATACAGTCGCTGCTGAGGTGCCCTCGAAGGCATTTCGGAAGTTGATTTTGGAATCTGGAATGGCGGATACGTTGCCTCCAAGGACAACCAGGCCAGTGATGCCGATGCTGTTCACGGTTAGTATGTCACTGTTATCGGTGAGGTTGTGCAGAGGCAATGGGGATATACAAGATCAAGGTGATGAGCTTGACGAAGCCGATTGCGTTGGCCAGATGAAGCGACCATTTTGTATTGAAAACCAGCACTATCGCCGTTAATATATCGCGATACCTTTTCCTATGCCCGGAAGAAGACGAACCTAGGAAAGCAACGCTGTAGGAAGCAACAGCAACCCCCTTGAGCTGCCAGTCTGAGGCCTCGGACTCAGCGAGTTTGAAAAGGTACTGAGCCAACACTAGGGTCTTATCAGCATGTTGTTGTCCTGCGTAGCGCAACCAGAGCACTTCGCCATACCTACGGCATTGCTGCTACTAAATGAAAACAGCACCGTCTGCATTGCAAACACGGTCGGGAAGAAATATTTCGGTCGCGGGTAGGACTGTTCCAAATACACCACCTCTGATCCGGATCGACTGGGGAAGTAGGAGGCAAATTCAAGGTAGACAGACAACATACTCGAGGCAACCAGGTACCCGATGACCCAGTAGAATAGACTGAGACCCACGGAGCCAGCTCCGTTGAGAACGGTTGATGCTGAGGAATAGATGGGCTCGGATTAGCTGGACATCCACTGACAGTGCCAGCCAAATATCGTCATCTACTCACGCGTTGTGAAGACACCCGTGCCGATCATCTTGCTCAGGTTGAGAAACACCACAGTCACGTAGCCCACCGAGTATCCCAACGGCGAATTCACCTCGATCGGAGCCCCGCTGGCCTCTTGGTAGGTCAATTGAGTCGAGTTGGCTCCTCCTTCGGCCGTGAAATGCAAACTGCCATCATCGATGATGCTCACGTCGTCAGACCCCTCATCCTGTTTGGAGACTGTTGCCTTCGGCATGAAGGAGAACCCCATTTCCGTGAGCTGTCGATGGATTGAACCTCAGTGACAATGTGAAAAAAGCCGATCGCACTGGAGACATTTTATCGGTGGTGGGGTTTGTGGTGGTATATTTATCTGTAGGATATGACAGGCAAGGGCGATGGCAGAGACACGATGCTCATCATCAGATGCAATGACGTGATCTTTTTGGTCGCCTCATCTTGTCCAACCATATATAGAAGAATTCAACGACGGGGTGGAGGCAATCAGAAGTGTCAATGCGGCAGTGTAGTTACAGTGGCCAAGGCTTGTCGTCGGCGAAGATGACATATCGCAGCGTAGAAAAGTAGTGGAGGATTGACTTTTGGTTACATTGACAAGTTCTTGGAAGTTCAAGGGGATATAAGTAGTGTATTCCGAATCCAATGAAGTGGTTTGCACGTGGAAGACGTGGATGAGAAACAGTATAAGATCTTCATTTATCGCCAGAACTTATCCAGTTAAGAACGGGGGTAAAATAATATTAAAATATAATAAAAGATAAATTGCTAGGAATTCTTCCAAGAACCAGAACCATTTGGATGTCTATGCCATAAATCTGGACGTGAGATCGGGATTGCACGATCGCAGGGACCGATGACAGCATCGTTGTCGCCATTTCCCCCCATTGTTGGCCTTCAAGAGCGGAATCGCCTTCAGCCAGTAATCTCCCTGCCAATACTGTGCTTGGCGGCGTAAGCCTGTTTCTATGCCTATCTTGGGCTTTTTGTATTCCATTTAGAGTCTGTCTAAGTTGGACTAAACTGAGAAGAATTCTTTGCAGCCCGAGCCTCGAATTGTTGGTGAATAGGCGCAATATTGCCATGTCTCTATGGGCAAGAAGACTAAATGATTCAAAAAAAAAAAAAAAAAAAAAAAAAAAAAAAAAAAAAAAAAAGAATAAATAAAAATTTCCGGTCAATCCAATGATCTTAAACCCTTCAGACCACTCCTTTTGTATCCCCGTGAATAATGCAGCTAGCTCCACGAAACTTGGCAAAGATCTGCAGGAACTTGCCAGCCATGGAACTGACAAACTCTCACGTAGGCATCTACAGCCTCCCCCACGGAATAATCGGTTTTCTGAGATCGCTCGAGTCGTGCTGGCCGTGGATCTGTGCTCGTGATGGCTATCCGAACCTGCAGCAAGACTCTCTCAATGCTGGTTACCGGTGACCAGCCCGAGTTGGTGAGCAATTCCATGCAGACCGCTCCCCCGGCGGTAATATGCCCGCCACCTCCGTTGCTGAACAGGACAAATCGAGGACGAATAACCCGCACAAAGGGGGGAGACATGGGGAATTGGGGAGGGAAACGGATCTCGAGCACAACGCTTGTCATTTTGGCCTTTTTAAGGTCCCAGGCTAATGGGGAGTCCGAATCAAAGCTATGCATCTCGACAATCCATTGGTAGATATTGCTGATCAGATTCGGGTCAATATACCATCCAAGTTCATGCAGTGGCGCGTTGTTCTGGACTTTCAAGGTTGCCCGGAGATGCTGTTGAAGGGCCTTTGTAGCCTGTGTTGTGGCGTATTGCGGAGGCCCAAGAAGCTTTAGTGATGACTCTTGCAACTTCCCAGGACGATAGTCAGTTTGGGTCAAGTAGTCCGTACGCGCATGCCCTCCGATTCCTTTTGCGTCCAAACATCTTAGGTCTCCATCCTCACCGTCTGAGTTAAGCAGCATATCATCCTCCGCCAGTGTCGTAATGCTGTTGGCATCGTTGTCGCCACCGTCGTCAGACGTACAGATGGATTTGCTTTTTCTGTTGGTTTGCTGCTTGTGGGATTTGCTTGCAGTGCCCATTTCAGGGTTCTGCCCTCCACGACTGCTCAGGGCTGACAGTGGAATAACAATGGGTTTTTGGCTTGGTCCATAAGCTACATATCTCGGATCTTGGTGATAAATTGACGAGGGCTTGACGTTTGCCTGCTTCACCTTGGGGTCTTTGCATTGAATAAAAAGGTACCTTGGTTGAATCCATTCAAGCTGTTTAACGACATAACATGTCGAGGCCGTCACAAATTCTGCTGGTGCATTAACTACCTCGTTCAGCGAGATGGCTGAATGGATTGCCAGTTGGCTGTTAGGCCATATCTTATGGTTGCTGTATGCACTAGTATAGCTCATCGAAGTATTGAAATGGTTTGACATATACACACCGTCCCCACATGCACGACCATGTGCGACATACTTGAAGTGCAGGCCTTCTCGCAAAATGCTATGCCAATTATGCAGTGCACTACCATGCCAAGCAAAGAGAGTGGGATATTGGAGTTTAAGTCGGGAAGACGTGGACTTGACGGCTTGAACAAAACGCTGCTCTTTATCTGGGGCCCCCTGAGCCAACCTAAACTGCATGTACCCACCGACTCCCGCCACCTGGTGTTCGGGATTCTCGTCATACATAATGCACGACCGGTTCGATGCAACAATCCACCGAAGTACATACAGCGCAGCCGAGGAGATTTTCTCAGTCCACGTTGAGAGGGACCTCTCAGACCTGCCAGCCCACTGACTGGTCATGTATGAGCGCATGCAGTCTACATTTGGGAGGGTGTCTAGAAGCATTAGGATAGTAGCCCTTTTTTGTTTATCATCCAGGTTGTCAAAATCCGTGTTGTACACCGTGAATTGCACTTCTGGTGATCCTATCAATGGGTTGGCATTAGGACTCCCTATTGGGGTTGAAATCTGGTAGAATGGAGAGAAGACGTTGCTCATAACCCGACAGTGCCACTGAGCGTGACCTGATATTTCGCCAGTCTTTGTACGCTCGGTGAAAAGTATCCAATCGCCAGGTTTGAGACTCATTGGCCCTGTCACCTGAAGTTCCATCCGAGTTGTATTTAATTTAGCCGGATAAGCCTTTGCCTTTTCCTTACCAGTCCCGATGCTGGGGACCTGGAGTCCGAGCCCACTGGGGAAATCAGTGAGCTGCCCCGAACTCGCTCTTGCGTAGGCAAAGCTAATGAGCATGTCGACTACGTAAGGTTGTGATAAAATCTCCCACTCAAGGCTCGGGCCCATGCCCAGTCTCATATACTGGTACAGACATAGTCCCTTTGAGCAAACATACGGCTTCAGCGCCTCAAAGCCACTTTCGATCTTGCAGTAACAGTTGAGGCAGAACTCCACACACTTCACTAGGCGACGCAGAGTAAACTGCATTGCAAGCGGGGGAAATGATAGCCGAGAGGAGATCATGCCTGCATCAAAGAAATGATCAGCTTGGAGAAACGCCGGTGCGGAAGGATCCCAGTTGTCGGGTACCAGGTAAGCTGGCTCCTGGGACTCTTGCGCATCTGAAATCTTGCCTTGATTAGTGTTGAGGTATAGCTCCGCCCCTGTCCATGAATAACCGTGCTCGAGGCGGTATACCAGGAGTTGGGCGAAATGGTTATTGAGTAGGGAGCAAAGTGATTTGCTGATAAATAGAGGTCTGAGTTCCGGCCCTGCCGATCTGTGGGCAGTGTCTACAGTTGCTATATTTTGGGCCGTACTATCAAAAATCATCCAGGCGCAGTCAAGGCTTGGCTTGTAGGAATCACACACACCCACATGCATCTGAAACGGGGGGTTGACCCCTGACTTCACTTTCGAAATGATGCTGTCAAAGTGGGTATACCCTTGGGGGTAGCGAATGAGTAGCACTAGGTACTCCGAGGGACGAATATCCCATGCTTTCATAGCTTCGTAGGAAATGCCAAGTTTGCCGATTCGACAGGAAACTGCTAAAATAACAGCCTCTGATAGGTGGCCTAGATGGCCAACTTTGTAGCCGGCAGCTTTGACAGCACGCAGATCGACCCGCATTTCTGCCAGCATAGCCAGGTGGTCTTTGACAGGGCCGTATAGGTCGTCACCTTCTGATTCCCAGTCCATTCCATCATCAGACAGGAGAGGTGACGGGATATCCACATCGTCTTCAAGGTCCGTCGTGGAAGGTAGACCAAGAACGGCGTCGTCAAGGCAGCTGCTAATGTTCTCTAGGAAACCCTGAACGCTTGAGCAGATATCAGAAGGCTGGAAGCGCTCCAGGGCAGTTGACACCGCTTCTGGAATGGTATCTGTCGCTGCGAAGGCAAAGTACGTGTGATTTTTCGGATATTCTGAGGTATCTGACGGGGAATGTTAGATAGAACTGTATAGAAGGTTCCATTCTCGAAGTTACCTAGCACTGAGACTTGCAAATCGACCTTCTGGGCGCTGAACGGTAGGCTATAAGTAAAGTATATCGAACCATCTTCATCGCCCGGTCGGACGTCATTCAGATGTGCGAATAGGCCAGGCACCGAGGCTTGTGCAAGATCTCTCTGGAAATCTTTGCGGGGCATCCTGAGTTCAAAACGGACTGGCGGAGAGGAATGAGGAGAAGGGTCAGAAGTCTCAGCCTCAATAGGTGGGCGTTAAATGCACCTTATTAATCGTCCCTTAAGACGGCAACGGAAGAGTGGCTGATTTTGGTATTGCAACCTAGATGGAGGGGTGAGAGAACCATGAGGGAAGAAATGATAAATGCCCTTACATCTGGGGCCTGCGGGGAGAGTAAGGGAATTGCGAAAGAATGACAAACAACCGGACAAGTCGTGGATGATTCAGAAGAACGACCTTCAGCCTGGTGCCCAATGGGGTTAAGCGGCGGTCTAGGAACAGACCTGGACCTCTCAGAGGTGATACTTTGATACTTCTCTGTTTGACATTAGTTCTACTAGTATGTTGGGACAATCTTTGATTGTTGTGTGAACCTTATTTGTTTTGGTAAATATTTCCCTGGTTGCTCTTAAAGTTATACTACTTTATAACGGACGGCCGGAATAGAGTCCCCGTACCTGGACCGGATATGAACCTATTACTGGGTATAATAACATATTACCTAATTCCCGACGTCTAGACTTTAACTATTTCATTTCTTTTCATTTTTTTTTTTTTTTTAAAAAAAAGGCTACACGATATGGCCACTATACAAAATCAAGTCACAGACTATTTTGGTGGTATTTACTTGTACTCCATACATTGCGGGAAATATGGAATGGGACGAGACAGCTCCACCACAAATATCAGGTACATAAGCAAAGAAGAAGATAAAAAAAAATAGGTATGCCACCAGAAAAACAATCATGCACGTTGATCTCCTTGCATTGAGATCCTTTTGCAATAAACAGTACTGATAAATAGATTTCTAGATTGGTACTCCCTGTATATAGAGTGGAGACATAAGGGGCACTATAGTAAACTGATGATTCATCTACATCACCCATTCCTTTCTTATTAGGAACATTTCCCCGTTCCGTCCCGAGCAATCTCCGCGAGCTAAGTCCGACAGATTGTCCTATGCTGGATCACTTCATGTCAGAGCTCATAGGTATGAGCGATATTCAGCTTCATGGATCCTTGATCAAAATTGATTGACTATCTTGACTAATTTACATGAAGGTGCTTTCACCCTTGTGGGAGGTCGCTTACTACAGCGCTAAGCCTATTTGGTAAGCGGCAACCTCGACAACTTTATATGCTTGTCCACCGGATTGCCCCTCTAAGGCGTCAAGGGGACAGAGCTAAGCCCCTTAGTCTGCTCACTATCCCCCTATTCGATGCATCGCGTCAACAATCCTCCGACCATGTCTGTTGTAGAGCGACATCATCCGTTCAAGCACAAACGCTTTGTGACCTCTTGCTCCGAGAGTGCCACCGTAGGAAGCAGAAAGTACTATCCTAAGCTCCAATGGCCTTCGCACTTTCTTCGGGGTCTAGTTGACGTATCAATTATCCAGCGTGATCTCAAAAACCCTTGTAATAACTGCTTAGCCCGAAATGTTGGGGACAGGTGCTTTTATAACACATCACTAGTACTTACTGTAGGTGATTACATTTGTTTTGCTTAATTCTCGTCTCCTAATCTTTTAATGGTCGTTATAATAGGAGAAATAGTAATAGACTAGGTTCCCATGTTGGGGACGATGATCAAGAAAGGCCCAAACAGGGGTGGTCAACACTCACGCCTCGAGCGACCTGGGATACTACGTGGTCGCGGAAGTAACGTATTCGTCGGATTAAACCAGGTAGGTAATAGCGCAGAACCAATGGCATCAGTTTCATGCTAAATAACGATAGGTGCTGCAAAATGAGGACGAGTTTAAGGCCATTACTGCGACTTACAACCGGCCATTTCGATCTCCGTTGCTGAAGGCACATGCCCGTTTATTGACGGTGCAGTTGCCGCCCAAGGCTGTTTTTGAGGAGCTTATTTCTGTGTTTTTTTCTCCGTGTGAGCTGGCACTACTTTACTGTGGAAAAGTTTTACATCGACGATTTCTACTCCCATTGGCAATATGCCAGGAAAATAGGTGCCGTTGGTCTGTCCATGGAGCTACGGTATTTTCCCGCAGTGGTTTTCAAGTAATTGCCCTGTCACTTCAGTTTTTACCCCCGCTGCGTTGATGCTCAAGCAATCAACCTAGGGGTGAGCCTCTCCCCACAGGTACGCGATATGGGCGAAGAGCTGGCCTCGATCCTAGGCATGCCGGGAATGGCTGTCACCGCGGTCCAGGCATGCCTCTTGGGGGCAGCGTGGTTGAAGAACTAAAGCAAGGGAAACGACGCATGGCATAGTGTGGGAAATGCAATTAGGTTGGCTATGTCACCGCGCCAGTTTATATATCGGGCTATCATTTAACGTGTATGATGCAGACAAACCCAAGAGCTCGAGCTCACCGACATAAAACTATCCAACAGCAAGAGTCGAACAATCTTGGGTTTTGGCCACGTCTGTTCCCCGTCGATTGACCCATCGGTTTAGTCTTATGGCCATGATTTTGGGCCGACCTCGGACCATTCACCCTGACGATTGCGACGTGAAACTGCCAATTGACTGTAATATCCCAAACGGTCCATCCAAAATGCACCGATGACTGTTCAACCCGGCGAAACCCAGAATGGACCAACTACAATTCCAGCATCTTGATTCCGCTACGCACTGGCTGAAAAGGTTCCACGAAATGCGTCCGCTGAAGCACACAAACCTCATCCTATAGACTGCACCACCATCCAGTCTCTCCACGAGCAGGTCATTTCGCTGCTGGATAATTGGCCGCCGTTTCTCAGACCCAAGAATCCAGACACCTGTGATGCTGAACATCCCTCTTTGCTCAACAGCGGGAGGAGGTCCTGATTACGGCCAATCTATTTCTGGCGATCTTGCACTAACTCCACATCGTCACCAGTGCAGAGAGCCAAAAAACCACATTGCAGGCTACCCTGGCTACTCTTGAGTGGCAGCAGCGGTTCTTTGCACAGACTAATGAACACCAGTGCCCTCTTATTTGGTCTTGCCTTCTACACCATCGACGCAGGGATTTTGGTGTCCATTATTGTGGCGCCATATCCACCTCAGAACCCCGAAGCCAAGAAACATATTGACCTGGCCCTCCAACAAGTCATCGAGCGACAGTCTTTAGTCTTGTTCTCAGAGTACTCCGTACCTTACTCTCCCCCTAGACAGTACTCCGTTCAATCATCGAGTTTGTTCCATAGCTAACTTCCGAGCCTACAATTGGGGGATTGGCAGGCTAAAAATTATATACAGAGCCCTATTCTGATATCACTTTGAATTGAAATCATAGCTTGGGGTAAATAGAAGACTGGAATAGGCAATCGTGTCAGGAGTACGCTGGCTAGTATGTAAATAATAGCTCCGAATTGTAGAACATTAATAAACTACACGCCTTGGAGTTTCTTTCTGACACAGATAATCAAAGTAGGCAAATAAGAATTTTCTATTTAGTATAATTAATAATTGTCTTACAGCCCATCAACGTACTTCGATATTATATAATAAAGTAATAACAAACCGGTATTAAGCGATAGGGCCAAGTCTGCTCCGTTAGGCCATTTCATATAACTCCAAACCCATCGTAGAAGCGCAGTGAACGATACGATAGAAGGTAAGCTAAAGAGTTAGCTTTAGATATCCTAGTATTTTATTGAAAAGAACCCTACTTACGTCCACGGATTTCGTACGATCCTTTGAAGAATAGTAACACTTCGCGAAGGAATTGACAGAGAGGAGGAGTGAGGAATTGACGTAGTGGTTTTTTTTATTGATATCCATTTGATTGGATCTGACAGTAGAATAGATTATAATCGCTCGAAGAAAGGAAGAGAGAGGTTGTATGGAATAGTTCCCCCTAGGAATTAATGGTAGTTGAATAAAATAAAGACCGATCACACCATCTTCCTGGCCAAGCGAGGTATCTATGTAACCGATTCCTTAGACTATCGCTAACCGACCCATCCGCTAACAGTCCGAGGTTTCGTAGGCCAGTTATCCACTATCCACTGTTTGTGTGTTTTGAGGTTTCTGATTCTAAACTCCTTATGGAGACATGGATTTTACATAATAGGAAGCTCCAGTAGCTCAATAGCCCATCTTTTTGTGGGACTCATTATATTATTTTTTAAGTGCAAATTTTATATCCAAAATCTGGTAGTCTCTAACATCCCAGTCTAAACTCGAACGTACAGCTATAAATATTGAGGAGGGAAATGCAAAACAGCTAAACCCTTTAGTTGCAACAACTGCTCGAATATATCAGCATGAAGTTCTCAGTCTTCCTTTTCCCCCTCCTAGCCACAAGCTAAGTCGCTCTGGCGGCACCTACTGCTACAGTGGATGTTGCTGAGCTTCCTTCAGATACGACCCTTGAGATCCGTTCTCCCAATCCGGCTGCCGAGTCCCTGGCGATTCTGGAGCGGAGGGACACTAGGGTCTGTGAGATAATCAATCGAACGATTCGTTCTATTGGTACTAGCAAATTCACGTAAGGCGCATGCTGTCCTCTCGACCCCTAATAATATCAAGAAACTAATGATTTTCTAGGCTTGTCTATATCACAATGGGCACGGGTCTTGCTTGATCCATCTGTGAATACGCCGATGGTAGTAGATGTGCTGATCTATCGTACATTATTCAAGCCGGTCTAACCTTGGTCTATGTCGCTGCCGCCCACTACTCTGGATCCATTCCCGAAGGACTGCCGACCAAACGTCACGCCGATGTTTCCCAGGACTATTTCCGGCTATGGGAGACTATGTTGTCTAGCAGTGATGATATCTCGTACGACAGTCTCGCTCCTCTCTCGATTCCCTCAGATAGTGCTACCTTGACTAGACGACGCCAGGGCGAGCTTTCTCTTGTCCACGGATTCCAGATTATTGGTTTCGCCCTTGACAACTCTCCGAAGCACGATATCATCGCCAGCCACTATGAAAACGGCGACACTGTTCTTCAACTGCCACTTCCAGGACGGGGTTCTGGCGCGAATAGTACTGAGGGGTTCAATTTAAATAAGCGATTCGACAAACCTGGGTTTAAAATTTCGTTTGCTACCAGGGAGAGATTGAAACTCACCCAAGCTCATCAAAAGTCTATGGCACTGGCGGGGGCTGCGACGTGGGCTGTCTATGCGGACAACGTCAGCCACAAGATGAATAAGTTTATTGGTTTTGCTGAGACAGAACATGCAGCCAACTTTTACTACCGGATTATTTCAGAGATCAGAGGATTCGGAACTAATTACGAGACTGTTGATGTTTGCGGTGGAATGGCATCATACTTGTAAAAAGACTCGGTGTATGGTGGGGGCTATGTTACTCCCTTGACAGTTACTTCCAACCTTATCATGCTGAAGCCAGATGGGCACGAACTGATGTTCCTTGTTTATGCATCGATCACTCGCAACGATGACTAGCGAGCGAGTTTTTGTGAGCCGCCCGACTGATGGGCAAGGGTTGCTTTTGGTGATAAGGATACAATGATGTATGTCTTTGCATGTACTGTCAGAATTATTTTGCGCGGACTTTGCTTAAAAATACATTCATCGAGGCATCAAGTAGAATCAAACATCTTTTAGAGTTACATTCTGCTTCACGATCATCGACTCAAGTGATACGTGTATGTCTTGCCTGCCTAGTGCTGTTTGCTCTATCCATCTAAAGACGGGAGATAGCCACTTTCCTAAAGCCTACGCATTCAACAGACCTATCTGCGAAGACGGTGGCTTAAGCAGTAAGGGAAGATGATGGCCTACACAAACAATGGCCCTAGACATTGAACAGCCTAGGCTATCAGGGGAGACCAGATATCTCAGGTCCAAAGGACGGGTGGCGCAATGTGGTGGGCAAAGGTAGCAGCGATAGGAAGGGAAATAGTAGTCTAATTAAAACAGTAATTACCACATCACATATCTTCCAGAGCACGGTTGTCGCCAAAATAAGGCCGCAGACATGCGAAGGTCGCAGGAGGCCGCCGCCTAGAGAGGGTCAGGGCCCGAATAGGGCTGCTGCCTTAAAGATAGCTATATAAAAAATAACTGGTGTTCCAGGATGGCGACCAATCCGGACAAATCCACGGCACTGTGATAGAAGTATAAGGGAACCTACCTTCACTGTCTTAGAGGCTAAAACTGGTAGGACTGAAAAAAAGCTTACTGTCTGAGGCAAAACCCCTTTCACGAGGAACAGAAGATCCATGGTTTATAAATTATTTGGCTATACTTACAACATCAAGTCTCTCCTCCATCTTTCTTATTCTTCCTTGCCCCTTATCAATCTATCCCTTATCCACCATTATTACTTGTCACCTTCCACATCGTTTTCTTATAATCCTCTTGCTACCATGGAACTTGTTTATTTCCCAGAGAGTGCATGGATTGGGAAACTGATTTACTTTTTCGATATTGGTTATTTGTGGACTGATAATTATAAAACGACCGCTTGTGCTGGTACTACTTTCAAATGCCAGAAACTTGGGAACCCTGCCCAGGAGGCCCTTATGAAGGTCCTTATCGAAGTCCCCTACAGCGGCACAGAGTTCCACCCTTTAGGTGTTCGTGGCGCCTAAGCATCTGCTAACATTCCAAGAGACTAAATTTACCACTCTCCCAGCTATCCCGCATGGGACCAGAGAGTAGCTAATGCTCCTCGAGCCGTCCCTGACGGATAACCTTATATTCGTGATCAACCATGGCCTTTAAAAAGATCGACAGCCGGCACTCGAATACTCTGCTCCAATCCTCGAGACCGCCAGGCTAGTATTCAGGCTTCTTCGTGACCATCAATGCGACTGGGAACGGGGCTGAGACTGGCTAGGGGTTGGTGCGTGGAGCTCGGAAGGAACAGTATTGTCCGTTGTAACGGAGGATCTTTATATGTACTACACGAGTAGCAAGCCCTAGGGCACTTGGAGTGGGTGTTGTAATCTGGGCGTCATAATGCCGAATGTAGAAATATATGTTCGTGTGAATTATCTACACCAAGCACTGAGTAATATGCCAAATAACGCTTAGCCCATGTAGGGCGTGCCACTCCCTAAAAATAAACTTAGAACCTCTCAATGGTCTAAGCTCTGGCTAACAGCAGTTGCAACCGCAACAACACAGATGTTGCAAAAAAGAATAGCATGTAGCGAATGTGCCACCCTTCCACAACCATAAAAGCATAAACCGTTTTCCCATATGGGTTCGCAGCGTCCGAATACTTGTCAAATGCGAGAGATCTGTTACACCGTAGATTACTTTAGGGACATGAAATTTATGACAAACTTATACGTGGTAACAAATCTATTGATCCGTAAAAATTCGATAGCCTTAGTTTCAATACCGTTTTGCCAGTAGTACTCAAGAACTGATGGTAAGATTTTGTAATCTTCTCTGCGAGTTGATAACTCTCGGACATGCCGAACGATACAGTAGGGTATGTCAACTGCATTCTCTATAGTATTCGGGCAGTAGCTCCCGCTATCACACGAGGGTTGGCCCAGGACGTTTAGGCCACATGCAAACGGCTCTATAGGGCTCTCGAGGGCCGTTTTGATTGCTTCATTAAGGTTCTTTTGTAATCCATCATAATCGAAGTCTGTGACGACAACACAAATTTCATTCTTGGCTAGGTTATAGCTCATAAAGCGAATCTGCTTCTTGTTATCTTGAAGACTATATGAAATGCATGATTTTACCATAACTTCTTTTACTCCAACAGCAGAATAAAATGAATGCGGGTGAGGCAGGAATAATTGACACAGCTGTCAAACAGACTTGGTAGTACGGAGAGACTCAGTGGTGCAAACAGACTCAGTAGTGGGGGCAGACTCAGGGATAGACTCAGTAGTGGGGATAGACTCACTGGTGCGAAGAGACTCAGTGGTGCGGACGGACTCTGTAGGATCGCTGCCCTGCCGCAGGCGACAGAGTAACGGGTCAATGAGACCCTTTCTTTAACCGCAGCAAGAATGACTGCAGAAGCCACTGCTGCGCTAAGCTTCTCTAGCTTTTATAGCTGTGTCAAGTGTTCCTGCCTCACCCAATAGTTGACTAACTTTACCAGCCTGAGGCGCTAGGACTGCAGGCATAGAGGGGCATGGCTGAGCACACCTCAGCGCACCTCTGAGCCTCAGCGCACCCAACTCCCCACTACGGCCTACTTTCTCACTGCTATAATTGACAAATAAACTCCTGGTGATTAACGGGAGTACTGTGGCACTAAGCTCGTATTACAGACTATCTGCAAAGACTGCAGTGCAAGTGCTCCATGCACTGAGGGCAAAGCATTAATTTCACGAAAGACGAGGGATAAAAATGGATAAAAGACGACAGATCCAGCCGCCCACAATTGAACGGCGCAAGGGGTAATTATATGGCGGTCTTGTAAGAAGGGGGGGCATGTGCTTATAGTCTCATGATCGTCTTTTAGATATGCCAATATTCTTAGGTCTATTATAGTCTTAAGCCTTCCCCTGTAATAGGACAGCTGAGTCATGACAGTATTTGTCTCAAGACAGCAAACATGAGACAATAGAAGATCCATGACAGGAGGCACAGGCCAGTGGTTACAAGAGCCTTGGCTTGGGTAGCCTGGCTTAAACCAATCCAGCCATGACAATAGGCCCAAGACTGGATTCTTGGATCCACCTCTCTCTCGTAACTGATCTTGTCTTGAGACACTCGGTACAGGTTGTACATTGTCTTGTGCCTTCTATCTTGTTACACACTGTCTTGACTCCACCGTCTTAAGTGTGCCCGTGAGAGGGCGAACTGTACTCTTGGGAAATGCAACTATTCTAAAAACTCGGGTTGCTCTCCGCGGATTCAATTATTCAATACCCGCTGCTCTGGCTGAAACGTCATCGTGCCAAAACAATGTCAAATAAACCCGATAACGACAGATGAGTGGTAAGTCTATGGAGGAGAGATCTCCTGCAGCCAATTAAGATGAGAGACCTCGAGCATAGGCCTGACCCCTATTTAATAGAGAAGATTCAACAACTGCATGCTCTTGATAATAAGACTATGCGTGATTCGCTTGACGGCTCTAACTCGTAAAAGTATATTTATAATATTGGTAGATAGCCTGCTACTGTACTGTTTTGTTTTTTAATAATAAGATCTTAAATATAGCTGTATTTTGGGGGGAGGGAAAGCCCTTCGTCCGGTCCTTTTTCCAAAAGTTGTATTCTAAATAATTCCGATGTTTTAACGATCTAAATCATTGCGCTGCTCCAGCTCATCATCCTATATACACCGCGTACTTTTTCCAGTCTTTATCAACATTCAGCCGTTCCCAATCTTCATCTCTAAGGCAAAGTGCAACTGCCAGATCACCATTCGGTGACTTTGGCATAATATATATGAGACTCTCAACTGGAACACACCGCGGTCGGCGCACAACATCCGGCTTCCCAAGCCCAAGGTTGAAGTCGAGGTCGTAAAGGTTAACTTTGGCCCACGAACTAAGCAACATACCGGATGAGATGTCAACTGCTGCCGTGATAAGGATTTTGCTCTTGTCGGCGCAACGATTCAGAAACGTCGCGAGGGCCCGGGTGTCGTAGGCTAAGTCTCGGACTTTGGGGTCTAGCTGTCTGCGCAGCTGTGACGCAATAATTCCTAGAGGCTCTTGACTCAAATCTTGCAATGCGGATTTGCTGTACGCCATGTTCGATAACGTTCCAGGGTATGTGCTGGGGATGCCCAAGCACTGCCGGGCATCAAGTGCGCGCGCAAATGTCGACAGTGTCCCGGGTTCGAGTCGAGACTCACGGGCCCGGGATGTGCATTTCCAGATAAAAGCACAGAGGGCATCATCGGTCGAGATGAAGCCACAGTGAGGGTCTTTGGTTTGCGTCGCTAGAGACTTTAAGGCCTGCAACGAGGCCGCGGCAAATTCAACATAGCGCCAGGAGGAAATTGACGGGGCTTCTTCCAAGAGAGTTGTATTATTACTGGTAGATTTTGGTGAAAGATTCGCCATTTGAACATCTAGCTCAGGGCCCGGTTCCCACGAGTCATCTAGCAAGGGAACAGATTTGCTTTTATCCATATTCCCAATGAATAGCTCTTCATCAGAGAAGGCGAGATTATAGCAAGCTTTGGACAACCAGTTGATGATACTTGCCTGCCCGGCCATGTCCATAACGTTGTGTTGCCCAACAAAGGTGAGTACAAGACCCCCGGATATGAAGTTCACCTGTACGGCAAACACAGGTCCAGTCTCGGCCACCAGGCCGATGGAGCTTCCAGGTAGGTTAAGTGTCATGCAAGGTGCAATGACGCTCTCGTCGAACATGGTAAATGGAAATTTGGCTTCGCGCATGGAGTCTATTGTTGGCGCCGAAGGATCGGTTCGTAAATCTTTGATGACGAGCGGGATCTCAGCTGTTGGAGCGATCCGGAATGTACCAGTAACGCCTTCACTTGCTCCCTCGTTGATGACAATTCCGGCGAGCCATGGGAAGCTCTCCCCCAGTCTGTTCAGTCCATTTCTCAAGGTGCCGACAATATGGCCATGGGAAGATGGGTCAGGAATGGGATAGACGGAACAGATTTGGGTGTATAACTTGTGGAGGGTAGGTTGAGTACCCAAAATGTCCAGACGGTCATTTTCCAGCATTTTTAATCGCGATAAGACACTGGTTGGCTTTTGAACTCGTAAGGTTGAAAGTTGGGACTCGGAACGCGGAACGTGGAACGGAGGTTTATGTTTAATCTTAGACCTTCCGAGGATTGATCTTGGCTTACCGGAAATGGATTGGTCAACATGAGACATGACGAGTCATTTCAAGTCATTTCAAGGTAGGGAGTGCATCACCAAAAGGACCCGCAAGCCTACTCCTATTCTCTCGTTTTCAAAGGCAAAATTAATTGGCCTAAAATCATGTAATTGCTCTTCCTCTCGTCGTCATCCGCCATGGCAGTGTCCTCCAAGCCTCCAAAGCTATAATCTTCTGGCATTGCTATGCGCCCCACAGTTGCTTCTATAATGAAAGGCAATGACTATCGTGAGCTTTTTGCCTATATTTGTCTCCACTGTTTTCTACTGTCCATTGTCCGAGCCGCTCCCCAGAGAGAGGCTCCAATGCCCACAGTTACCTCCCAACTGAAAATTTCCAAAGACTTATCGATAAAAGTTGGGTCCGTCTATGAAGCAGAATACGGCTTCGATCCGCTTTTAGAACACCAGAATCACTGGCTACCATTTTATAGGGTTATACACGTAATTATATCTACCCCCTGATGGTGGTATACTCATTCCGTTCTTCAGTCCCGCAAGATCGTCTTTGGCAGACCTTGTGACGGCCAAGCAACTTGATGAAATTGGTGCTATCTAACGAAAATTTCAAACGTGCGGAGGAGAAGAAAGGTGGTGAGGGGACTATGCGGGGGTTGGTTAGTATAGAAAATCGGGCTTCATTGGCCCTTTATCACTGATGAAGTGGCCATCACTGCGGGGTTGGTACCCCAACCAACAATACTTTAGCTGGCCCTTGGTTTGGCCAAGGTTGACGGCCTTCTGTGGCACAGTTCTCAGGTCACAATTTTATACTGTAAAAAGTCCAGGAGAATTACTGGCTGCATTCCCCACTACATTTCAAGTTTATATTTCGGAGGTGCTGCGGTCTATTAGCCTGTCTTGTAATACTGGTGCCGCAGGGCAGCTCCATTGTCCAAACAGCTAGTAAGATATATTTGTGTTTTGGCCTAATTATCTACATTACGCTTTTTACTAACTCTGCAACGTTTCCCTCCGGTGAAATCCTAACTTCAATATATAATACAATGCATTAAATTCCTGAAATAATTTTTAATATATACTAATACTATATTTTATGGAAAACCAGCTCCACTGCTGCTTGCAATAATTAGAACAAACAAAACAGAGGTCCAGTCCCCATGTAAAACAAAGGAGTATGATAAAACTAATAAGCATGCTAAATTTTAAGGCCAATCTTAAATCCACGGACGATACTAAATAGTAGAGACTAATCAGGTCACAGTCGAATATATATTAATAGCGTGCTGTTAGAGGTGTATTTTGTAAAAAAACTATTTATTGTAAATATTACACCTTAGCGTTGAGATATGCTGAAGGTGTTTTTGTTAATATATTTTGTAATATCTTTATAGCTCGCGAATGTGTACATCCGCTTCTCAATGTGCAAGTCTTGTGATGGTTTGGTTGTCTCTGCGCTAGTAGAGATAAAACCACTTGACCATATAAAAAGGTACAAGACGACTGATCGAAGATCAGTCGCATCTAGCGCCCTATATAGGAGCGAAGGCCATGCCTGAGCAATACATTGGGTTCAACCCTTGACATTACTAGCCCAAATAAATAAAACAGAACAAGGGCCTCTTATCCTTCTTCTTGGATCTCTTGTTTTTTATAATTTCCTATCTTTTATCACAGATTAAAGAGCAGCTGCCAATCGGTCTTCCACAAGGGAATAAGTTTTAGTTACGTTTGTATCTTATATACTTTTATTCTTATTGGTCGCTTTCACAGCAATATTATCCTTGGAAGACTGTTTGTCCCGCGGAAGACGGTAAGTATTACCTTTTTTAAAAAGTAAGTAAGCAGTCACTGTGTTAATAGCTTTTACCTGTCTAGCTATCTCCTCCAATGTTGGTCGAGGCAAGGTGAGAAGGTCTTTGTTTTATCCAGTTTAACCCTAGACAGCTAGTATTGGATTTCTTATATTAGCTATTCCCGGTTGTACTTTGTTTAAATCTAAGAAAAAAGTGTTATCTTATACTCGCTGCTTAGCACTTGTTATTTTTTTATTTAGTTTTTAATACATCGCATACTTCTTTGTTTCTTGGTGCTTTGACAAATAGCACCCTATTTATTAGCCAAGCTTATCACGCCGGTGGACCAACTTAATAATTTCTGGCTGTTAATTGATACGTAAAGATTATGCGGTAGTTACTTCTTGGGGGTGATTTGGATTAATAGTTTGGCTTATCCAGCAAGTAGCCTGCATAATCTTGTCCTCTGGGTTAAGGCCACGGATAATCGCAGGAAGATTTTTGTTAATCCTCCTGCTAAGGTAGTACTTCAAAAAAGTGCATGTGTCAGCGTGATATGTAATAGGATTTTATAATAGGTTACTTACAGAGCCTTGGACATAATTAGTAACTTAGTTATCCACCTGTTTAGCCTTAGTTAGGGCTATATACTACTACTATCTAATGCCGTGCCAGCACCATATCGCAGGCTGTATGGACAGGTGATTTGCTAAATCCTGTAATAGCACTAATCTTCTTAACCCACGGCTCCAGGGTTGAATAGGGAAAAGGCTGATTTGGGGAGATACTAATTCCTTGTAGTGTTTGTTTTAAATTTGGAATACTAGGATATTATCTAATACTAGGTTAAAATAGAGCCGTGATTTATTGCATTTTCCCCGGATCCTTATTTAGGGGAGCTTGTTTGCAGAAGTTAGCACCTCTTTACTATCTACCCTGTTAAAGGCGCGGCTTATAAAAAAAGGGCCTAATAGGAACATATACAAACTAAGAACAAGTAAAGGGGTAAAAATAATTTCGGGAAGTATATACATGTTCCTGAAGAACAGGTTAGACCTAGCAGTATTTCTATTATTAACTTACACATCCTTAGCACCCAGTCAGTCCTTGGTAAATTTAAAGGTGAATTCGATGACAATGCGATATGGGCCTCCCTAAAGTTTTTAAAGCAAGCTAACTTAAATATGCCGGTATCGCAGATTTAAAATGGCTTGGGGACCGTTTGTTGCGAGACCGGCGAGCTGCAGGAAGAGTCCCAGTTCGATACGATGAGTCCAAATTTCTTTTTTGTTGTGCTTATGGTACCAATCCACCTATCGACCCATAACTCCCGCAGATCAATGGCACGGTGGTATCTGCAGATCGCCAGCGTGAGGGGAAATCGCGCGGTGCCTGACGATGAATGCAATGCATACCCCGCAATTGGCATATATAAGGTGGATTCAGAATGCCGAGGATCTGCACTGCACTGCCTTACTCTAATTCAATTCTATTGAAAAAATATTGCTACGATGAAGACACTTTTCAGAACCACGCTCGCCATAGCGACAACCATGATCCCACTACTAGCACACGCTTCCGTAGAAACACCAGGCCTCCTCCCCGCTCCCCCGATGGGATTCAACAACTGGGCACGGTTCATGTGTGACCTGAACGAGACACTATTCGTCGAGACAGCAGATCGAATGGTATCGAACGGGCTCCTCTCCGCAGGGTACGAATGGATCAACCTAGATGATTGCTGGATGACGCACGAACGGGCATCGAACGGTTCCCTGGAATGGAATTCGACCCTGTTCCCGCGGGGACTACCATGGCTGGGAGAATACGTCAAGGGCAAGGGATTCCGGTTCGGTATCTACGAGGATGCAGGCACGCAGACCTGCGGCGGATATCCCGGGTCATTGGGCCATGAGCAGCAAGATGCGGAGACATTTGCGTCATGGGGCGTGGAGTATCTCAAACTAGATGGATGTAATGTGTCCCCCCAGGGGGGACGGACATTGCAGGAGGAATACGAGCATCTGTATAGCATGTGGCATGGGATTCTCAGTGGGATGGAGAAACCGTTGGTGTTTTCCGAGTCGGCTCCAGCATATTTCGTGAATGAGAAGAGTCTTACCGATTGGTATAAAGTGATGGGATGGGTGCCCGGGTATGGGGAGTTGGCGAGACATTCGAACGATATCATCGTGTATGGAGGACAGGGCAGTGCGTGGGACAGCGTGATGCTGAACTATCATTACAACACGTTGGTTGCGCGGTACCAGCGTCCCGGGTACTATAACGATCCGGATTTTCTAATTGTCGACCATCCGGGACTGACGATGGATGAGAAACGGTCGCAGTTTGCGCTGTGGGCGTCGTTCTCTGCGCCGCTTATCATTAGCGCGTACATGCCCGACGTGACGGAGGAGGAGCTCGCGTTCCTGACCAACCGCGCCTTGATTGAGGTGGATCAGGATCCGAAAGCCCAGCAAGCGACTTTGGCGAGTCGCGACCAGAGCCTGGATGTGTTGACCCGCAGTCTGGCGAACGGGGATCGGCTCGTGACGGTGCTGAACCGTGGATCCGGGTCCACGAGCCATTCGGTGCCCGTGTCCTGGCTGGGGTTGTCGTCTGAATGTGCTTATGATGCGGAGAACTTGTGGGATGGTTCAAAGCAGAAGGTCGACGGACAGATCAAGGTCCAGCTGGCATCGCATGCGACCGGGGTGTATCGGCTTCATTTGCCGGAGGGATGCGAGACGGTGATCCCGACGGGTCTGGTTTTCAACACCAAGTCGGGAAATTGTCTCACGGAGGCCAATGGGTCCGTGAGATTTGAAGCGTGCAAGGGAGATGAGTCGCAGATCTGGCAGATGCGCTCCTCAGGGGAGTTGCGCCCGCTTTCTCAGACTGAGCGGTGTTTGACTGCCCGTGGCAAAGCCGTGTCTCTTGAGCCGTGCAAGGGAGACGCACAGAAATGGTCATACGGGCTATCGGGGAATCTTAAGAACGACAACACGGAGAGCTGTTTGACGGAGGGATTGGAGGTCTTGAGCAGCTGTGGCCAGGAGATGGACAGTCAGGTATTTGGATTGCCCAGTGGAGTGCATCTGTTTGAATGATGGGAATACGTCATGTTGAAGCGTGAGGAAATACAAGATTGTGGATAGCCCTAATTCGAACCCTGGAGTCAGCTGACTACCGCGACGTCCATTCAAGAACTGGAATTTTTACAGCATGTTCTATATATACGAACAGGAACCGAGTCGAGAATATATATAAATAAAATGATAGCAAGTTCTAGCCCTCGCCACGCCAAGAAGGACCGTGCCAATCAACAGACGCAGCCCAAGACATGTCTCACATTATTGATCCTGTCAGCCTCCTATTGGTGCTGTGTTAGCCCTATTTGCCGTAGTCTCTGTAACGTTTGATTCTCTTTTTTAAAAGAATACGACCTTGAAAAATTGTTTAAAATGATCTCTTAACCGTGATCTACACCATCTACCCACCCACTTACACCATCTCTACTCCATACTGTGTACATATCCTATCATCACAATGGCCCTCATCCTCGGCCTTCTCGCCCTGGCTACCACCACCACCCAATCTCCCCTCTATGCCCCGCTCCCTATGGATTGTCCCCGACCCACATGGCACGTCACCAATTTCCACTGGTACAACGGATCCCAGAGTCTCGACTGCGTCCACAACGAAGTCGACCGCCAAGCCCAAGGCTGTCTCTGCACAGGGGGATGGTGCAAGCCGGATCCCGCAACCTGCCCGGGGGTGATGGTTCCGCTCTGCGCCACGGGGATGCCCAACTACGAGCCATGGGGCTACGGTCCGAAACAGACGCTGGACATCAAGTTCAAGGAAGGCCCGACCTGTCACGACGAGTACATCGGATATCGCATCCACGATATCGGTAACGGACCGAGTAACTGCGGATATGCGGATCGGGGGGAGGGACGGATCATTTCGTTCTTCGGTACGACCAATCTCGATGAGTCGATGGGGCATCTGGAATACACCCTCGGACATGGATATGCGTTGCAGTGTGAGGATGGCAGGAAAATCACGTATTCGGGGAGGGTGGATTTTAAACTGAATTGTGTGCATGATGCATTTTTTAATGCTACTTGTACGGCGGAACCGTTTGACGTGCCTGTTTTGACGTTTGAATATGTCTGACACTGGATAATATAATATAATATAGTATTTTCTTCTGTTTCGTTTCGGATGAAGTTTTATCAAATTTTTTTTTCCTTTCATTTTTTTGAATGATATTTCCAGATTCGAGAACCAATCAGATAGGATCCGAATAACGCAGTCTGATTGGCAGCGCCGCATAGCACCAAAATGGGTTAGTGCAGATCTTATACAGCCTCATATCAGGTATATAAGGTATAAAGTCTGGAAAATCAATCCATCTCACCTTCAGACCACTAAAATGGAAACCACAGCGACTAACACCCTCCAAATCGACTTCTCATGGAAGAAGTTCCAAGTTCTAATCACCCGTCTCCATGATACTACTTCCGAACCTGTCTACATCCTAGACACGCAAACACTCAAAAAACCAACCTTGATCTTCCGACGAGCAAATTCCAACCCCGACCCCATCGGCACAGGAACCATGCACGTCTTCAACATCAACCCAGACTACACCCTCCACTCACACAAGGGGAAACTCACGGCGCAGAAACGCTGGCAGACAGAATACACGTACCGATCAGATGCATTTTCCAGCTCAGACAAGCCGACAACCATGACCTGGACCAGTACCAGCGGATTTAAGAACTGGGATTTTATCTGTCTAGATGAGAATATGTTGCCCGTGGCGCGGTTCTCGTCAAGTCTCTGGGCGGTGCGCAAATTGGGTCAGATTGATTTTTTGGGTGATAGAGCGGACGATGAGAATGCCAGGGAGGAAATCGTGGTGACGGGATTGACGCTGTATTTTTGTATGGTCTTGCGTACGACGAGTATTTTGCAGTTTTTTGGGGCGGTGTTTTACCGGGGGAAGTAATCCTTTTTATTATATGTTATATGTTATATATCTACGGGTCTACTAAGCATCTACCATCTAACGCGAAACTATTTAAAAAGAAGAAAAGATCCATCTCATATTACCTTACCTCCTGCTTGCTGGCAAATCTACTGTTCTCCCGAATCCACGCCCCATACCGAATAAACACAAATGGAATAACGGCCACCACTAGCGCAAAAAACCCCAGCAGGGAACTCGCCCACTGGATCCCCAGATTAGTATACATCGGAGTAGTCGCCAACGGCAAACAAACAGCGAAGATCGAACGCAGCGTACTAGCCGCAGCGGACGCCGAGGCTGAGTCCTGCTTATACGCATCGGTGAGGTAGTTGATCAGCGCCATGAAGATAAGCAGGTATCCGAAGCCGAAGAACACGCCGGACATCATGGGCAGCACCGGGTGGATGGTGGGTCGGGCGGACCAGCCGAGCCAGAACAGCGCGATTGGGATCGTCGGTGCGCCGATGCAGGCGAGTGGGAGACGACGCGACTCTTCCACTTGGGCCCATGGGAGGCTGGATTTCAGGGCCTTCGTGTGGTATGTGCTGTAGAGAACGAAGGTGGTGAAGGCGAGGATGGAACCGGGGAGGACTAGCATGGTAAGTTGTAGAAGTGTGCTACGAGAGGGTGAACGTACTAGGAAGGAATGCGAGACCGGTAATGCCCGGAGATAGACCATATAGTTCTGGAGATCAGTCAGCATCAATAAGTCTAGAAGCAGGAGGAGGACATACTATGGAAAACGATGGGATATGCCTGGAAGAAAAGGTAGAGGATCGAATAAATAAGAGCCAGATAGATCGAACAACAGAACACAATCGGCTCTTGAACAATCATTACGAACGGACGACTCAGCACGGATCCCATTCTATCAAAGAACTCGCGCATCTGCAGACGGAATTCCTCCCAGACTGACCGTTGCTCACTCGACAGAGCCCATTCATATCGCCGGACCAACACCGGCATGTAAGTCTCAGGCATGGTCAGAACGAGAGGATATCCCGCTACAGCGATGATCAGTCCCGCCCAGAAGGTCCATCTCCAGGAGACGACGGAGACGAATCCAGAGATAATCGGACCCAAAAGGGGAGGAAATATCGAAGCGAACATGAACCAACTCATTACCACTCCACGCTGGTGCGGATCATCGTAGATGTCCGAGTAAAGACCACCTAGCACGGCATTAGGCGCCGAACCTCCCAATCCGCATAGAAACCGAAAGACCAGAAGCGCAGGGAAGGTCGGAGCCAGGGCGCAGGCTAAGGTGAAAATGAGATACATGGTGAAGGTAGTGAGCAGAACCGGTCGACGACCGAAATATTCACTCATTGGGCCAAAGATGAGCGGTCCGACGACGTACCCCGCCATGTACAACGACGTCGGAAGGACCATTTTCAAGCTCTCCTGGGGAATAGCGAAGTAGTGGGCAATCGCATCATGGGCACCTGATGGTAGGGAAGATCCTAGTGAACTATTGAAGACAAAATGGATGCCAGCAATGACAATATGGATCTTCCGAACCTGATATTTTGATGCGCATATTAATAAACAGTACAGTCTATAAGCCCATAGTTGAAGTACAAGAGTTTGTGGTGGAAGAAGGACTCACTGTCGGCAGATTAGCCGGATTCGTTATTCCCTTTTCTGGCGAGAATGAGGGTCGACGTCTGCAGGATTTTGGCAGCTCAGAAACTGCCATATTGATTGCATCAACAGTGAATGACTGCTGTGACAGATCTGAAGATTTTTATTATTCCAAGGAACCTAGACTGAGACTCGGTGTTCATTCCGACGTTACTTCTCTGCTGCAAACGGTATGGAGATCATGGCCCACTCGGTAACCCAGCATAAAGAATTCAAGAATGACTCGATAAGACTATCTTCTTTCCGTCTATTGATAGGGTATTTTCTGACTTGTAAAATACTCTAGAGTATTATTCTAATTCCCGGACCTGCGCATTCGGACTACTGCTGAATTGTTATTGACGAAAAATTGCATTCTGACTCATGCTCCACTTTCGGCACAACGGAGGGTCTTGTCAAAAAAATTATTCACGCCCTTCCGGAGTTTATCCCGACGTGAATGAATCATCAGAATGGAAGATTAATCAGGAATATGCAGGATTTAAATGGAATTGTGATTGTAGATAATACGAATGACCGTTACATTTATGGCCAAGTTTCTCTCAGTGCACTGTTTGTCCTGTAGAGTATAATAAACACAAATAAAGGCATGGGATTGTATGCTATAGTCTACAAAATAATGGACCAAATAAATTATTTCTGACATTGCGAGTCGATTTGCAGTGCCTTTATGCCGGTCTGTATATTGTCGGATGATGGCCGATTAGGATACAAATGACGAAAGTCAAAAGGAGGGACAGTAATATCCATATAGCTTGTCTCAATTATTCCCACTACATAATTAAAAAAATTGCATTTTCATTATATTTTCATCTTTGAAGCTCTCCAGTTCCTTCGCTTCCAATGTCCATAATTGTGGGTTCTCCTGTCAACTCCCTTCATGAAACCCCGAAATCGTTGAAGACGCCCTCCTATGAATAGCAAATCCTGTAGAGAGCGCGACGACTCCCGCAGTTCCTTTCACTTTAATTGGGCTGATACTGAAGAGCTTGGGGCGCACCATGGTTAGCAGCCATCAGAAGGGAGAGTGTGGCGGATTATATCCGCTTGAAAATCCTTCCTTCAGTCAGTCAAAGCCGCTTCTATCCCACTCACCACTCACCACGTACTGGAAATGGATCCGGAAGTGGAGCTGGAACCCACCCAACCCTGACCCTAGAGTCGAGCATTTGAAGGAAGCAATCAAGGTGGATTGGTACCTATCTGAGCATCCTCGCGATCTACACATCCAGATTCCTACCCAGGAACCGAATGCTCTCACCCTCTCGTAGTCATCCGATGAAGGCGACAGCGGCAGTTCCTGGGTTTGGCACTTCAGGGCGTGGACCCGATACAAACTGATGCTGAATTTATTGGGGATATAATCACCATCATGCAGCGCTTTGTCTTTCACTTGAAAGTTAATGCTATGCTTTCTTGGGATGAGAAAGACATTACGACAAGGTCCTCATAGACAAGTTTCATCTTGCTATCGACGACGAAGGTAAGCTGAAGGTCGCTGACACTCCTTCTGACACCCCGCCGTCTACGTCTCTAGAACTCGACTTGGGGTGGCTTCTGAATTTCGAAGGCTTAGGTGCGCCTAATGGATACTTGAAGGAATCAGTGATCAAGTACGCCTGCAAGCATGCAAAATTGCAGACACAGGATTATGTTTTTCCCGGAGGGAGGGCTTTGTTTTCAGATAGGTTTGTTACGCAACATCACCTACGCCGATCTACAATAAGTCTCTCAAATTGGACTGGGGGTTTGCATGGTTTGGGGTTACCATCTGATATTCGTCTTTTCTTTTCCTTTCATAGCAATCTAGTCTGTAGCATGATGAAGTTTCAATGAAGAAGGACCTGGAAATGACAACAGCAAACTGTCGATTAGGAAACTTCGTCCAGAGGATTCTGATTATCATTGATCCCATTGTTGATGCCTGATTCGGACGTGGGATTCCCCTTTTAGGAAGAACCCGAGGGGCCAAATCAGGCAACTAACTGGTACCGCATCTGGTTAGTCCGATATCGAGTTAGTCACCAATGACATCACTTATCAAGGGTTGGTTTTTCAGATTATTCCGATTTCAAAGGACGTGTGCCTTCTGCCAAAAAAAGTTGTCTTGTAGGTGTCTACGAGAGATATAAATGAACCATGTCCGTCTCCTTGAGACATTCCAATCATCAATACAATCCACTGGATAAACACCAAAGACTTCAACGACTCAGATAAACCCTAACTGTTGCCATCCAACATTCTAAACATTTCGCTTAAACCATCAATCCCACAATGGCATCCTATCTCATCACTGGCAACTCATGAGGCATCGGCCTGTATATAACCAAGATCCTGGTGTCTAGGGCTGCCTCGGAGGTATCGGTCGTCTATGGAGCTGCTCGCCCTACGCCGACGCCCTGAACAACTGATCGCCCAATCTGCCGGCCGCGTTCAACTCGTCAAGGAAGATGCCACCTCGAAGGAGAGTATCACGGCAGCCGCAATCAAAGTTGACCAGCTCTCCGCGACAAGGCCCTGGATGTTCTGAGCAACAATGTCGGCATCATGACTTATACACCGGATGGCGTTGACCACATGTCAATGAACAGCATCGACAATCCCATGTTCTAGCATCAGTCTAGCAGGAACCAGGGATGATTTGGAGTCGAGCTTTATTACAAATACCACGAGCACGCACCTAGTGACGAGTCCCCTTCTACCCGTTTTGAACCGAGGAGATCGCAAGAAAGTGGTCCGCATGTAAGCTCACCCCTAAGAATCCCAGTTCTTAATACTAACTACTAATAGTACCACAACTGTGGGCTCCATCACAGTGGGGACCAAGGACAAAGTCTTCCCAGTACCCGCGCACAAAGTAAGCAAGGCGGCACAGAACATGTTGACGGTGCAATATGCGCAGTCGTTCGCAGACGAGGAGTGCACATTTGTGGCTGTCTCCGGTAAGTACCTGCTTAATGCCGGTGGTGGGTGGAACCAGGCTGACAGTTTCGCAGTGAGTGAAAACGGACCTGGGAGGCTCATCGGTGGATCTGGAGGTTGATGCCAGTGCCAATGCCGTTATGGAGATTGTATCAAGCGTCGGAATGGAGGAGAATGGCAAGTTATTTACTATCCGGATCCCTGGATGGGAGAATGCCGAAGGTTTAATAGATGGCCCAACCTCAACTGAGTATCCTGTTAAACTTTTATACATCAGGAAAGAATATAGGATGACATCATTCCAAGAACTGATAAACCATTTGCAATATCATACATCTACAGAGCCATTAGCCCCCCAGAGTCGATACACGGTAAGAGTGGATCACTTCCAATTCAGATCTGATGGAACTATCAGTAATATTTTTCTTGGACGTGAAAAGAGTATATAAATATACCATAAATAAAAAAGACTAATGGTAAACTAACAGAGTGCGAATAGTAGATTCTAATATTGTGTCGATGTTTAAATGATGATGTCTGGAAATATAACATCTAAAGTTTACATCTACTATGAAACTAACGGACAATTGGTAACCAAAGTTAATATAGAATGATGGACCGAATAATATGTACATCGGACACATGTCCTTTCATTTCATCATATAGATCATCGTAGAGGTAGACTGGTTTCCAGTACAGCTATATATCATACCGATAAATACTCGGCCATTTTCTTTCTGGCCTCCTCGGCATGTTCCTGTACATCTAAGTCCCAGAGCCAGCGGAGTCGCTTTTGGAAAGTATCCTTAAGCTTCTCCTCGTCGTCACCAACTCCATCTAAACATAGACACAGAAGATACGCATTCTCCTTACTACTGGTAACCACTCGCTGACTGCGGGGTCTCCGAACCTCGTCATATGCCTTAAACGCCGCTTCGACGTCCTTAACCTCAGTGACTCGGGAATCGCTGAGCAGCTCCGCTAGCACATGCGCGTCCTCAATAGCCTGACCGGCACCCGCGCCTTGATGAGGAGTGGAGGCATGCGCAGCATCTCCGAGGATAGCCACGCGGGATTTGCAGTAGGTGGAAATATGGGGATGTTCGAAGATGGCCCATTGGGACGGATCGGGCATGAACTGTGGCTTGTCAGTGGTCTTTAGGCTCATGTGGAAGGGAAGACTACGACTTACCTCGACGAGGGATTGTACATATCGCCCCATATGGCTGGCATCTTTTCGCATGTCGTCCTTATGCGCGGGACGAACCCAGTTCTCGTAATCCCAGTTATCCTTCAAGATGTAGAATCCCACATTGACCTTCTTGGCACGCATGATGGGATATGAAATACCGTATGCGCGGTGGCCAATGTACATCGTCGACACGCGAGCGCGTTGGTCACCCACTGCTTTGACCATGTCCTCCATATCCAGCACCGCGCGGTACGCATACATACCGCTGAACCGTGGTTTCTGCGCTTCATCCGGCAGAATCGACTCCTTCACCTTGGATTTGATGCCGTCGCAGCCGACCACCACGTCCGCAAGGACGGTTGTCCCGTCGTCGAACTGCAAGTTCACGCCTTCGGACGTCTCCCTCAGATGTTCCAATCGCTTCCCAAAATGCACAATATCCTTGGGGATCAGATTCACCAATGCTTCCAAGAAATCCGCCCTGCGGAGCGTCGTCTGTCCCGACGGTAGTGCCTTCAGATCCAACAGGGTCTCACCCTCCTTCGCACCGCTGGCCCAGACAACCTCAAACCAGGTCTGACGGAAGGCTTCGTACCCCGGACTATCGGCATGCGTCGTGACCAACGAGTCATATATTTCGCGGATCTGGGGATCGATTAGGGGCATGGCCCGATGTGCCGCGGGGCCAATGGACAACCCCAGACCGATCTCTGCAAAGGCCGACGCGGCCTCGTAGATCTGCACGGGGACATTGCGGCGCAAGAGACCGACAGCCAGATTGAGGCCGCCGATTCCGCCGCCCACGATGGTCACGGTGAAGTTCTTGGCCGGAGAGCTGCAGCCCATGGTCTTGGCACTCATCGATATACTTATGATTATAAATCTTTGATCTCTCTCTTTTCGGCTCTGCCCAGATATTTGGGTCAGGGTTTCGTGGCAGAGAATGCCTGTTGAGTGGAGATTACGATTGGATTTGCCTTGTTATAAATGTCAGAACTCAGAATCCACATCGACGATGTATTAGACTAATGAGAAGGTGATATGATGTAGGAACTTGGGATGATAGGAGTAGTATCCAGAGTTCAGACCCATACGGAATAATCGGAGTCAAGAATGTCAAGTCACTGGTATGGAGTGCTAAAATAAAAAAAAAAAATACCCATGTAACCTCATGTGTCTCAGAGAGATAGATATTTTCGCCGCGGGCGCCGGTGGACACGGCGAAACAGGGATTTATTGCATTAAATTAGTTGGTTAATAATGAGTTAATAAAGGCAACACGAGAACTGGAACATCCAACAGTCCATAACTGTGCATTAGCTGTGCAGCGGATCGATCGCAATGGCCAATGTGCGATCCGTCGCTGGCAGTGGGGCTTGTTTTCTCTCCACATTGAGGGGGACGAATTAATTAACTAGGATTCCAGCTGGTGGAGAACTCAGTCCAGCCAGTGCGTAGTCCCCTATTAGTGATCCATATTCCAACGGGTGGAGGAGAGTGGTCGACATTATGACACTAGTGGAGCATTAGCGAGTGGACAAGGAGCCCCTCCTGGGTGCGTGATTTGTCCTGGTAGGATAAATCATAAATCAGATCAAATTGCTGCACGGAAGTCCCTTATGGTCACATGACCAACATCCAACTGATAGTTTCCAAAGTTCTGTTAAATGTAACTAACTTTACCTGGGCGAGCGCTGCATCCTGTATTGCATATAAAGTAGCAATTTTTAACTACCAGAAACTCCACAAGTAATAGGTTTAAGTAAATACCAGCAAGTCTTTATATAGCTAATATATAATATAAAAATTACTTTTCTGGATTTTTAAATCTTTATTTTAGTCTATAATACTAGAAAGATAGTTTCAATACATAAATAAAATGATTAGTCATAGTCATGGAATAGCCAGGTATCCCAGTACAGTCTACTGTATAACCTGGATCCACTACCTGTACTCCATCTTGCACTGTCATTAGCAGCTAGATTCTAGAATAGAGTGTGTACCTCGGATGTTACGATTGCAGTACTGTATCATACCCCCGCTCAGAATGACAAAGGGAATCCTCCCCTCCAGGACCGAGGGATTATTTTTTTTTTTTTTTTTTTTTGGGGACAGCCTGAAGGAAGAGGAATTTCCTTATTGCCGCCGATATGCCACATTCCTCGTTAATAATTACTGCAGTTGACATTGATTGTTATCGCTGATGACACTACAGGGTGTGCGTAACATCAACCACGTGCTTCCGGTCTCTCACCCCCGTCCACTTCAGTCTCCACTCGATAATTCCCCGATCAGTTATTGGCTATCTATGTGACTAGGAGTATGTTACATCAAAGAAGAAGGTAAAGAAAAGAAAAGAAAACAAAGATTGTAACGTGCCATGCTGCAATGCTATCTGCGAAACTTGAGAAAGTAGCGCGCCTGGGACCCTGTGCCGACTGATGGATTGGTGAGGTACACTAGTGTGATCCATGGTACAAGGCTGAACCCCTATCTACATACTGCAGTACAGACAGCTGGATTCCATAGCTGTCGGAAACTCGGCCTTGTTCTCCCCTTCTGGCAATAAGGGATGCCGATAGCACCACTCTAACAAGTGACTAGCAGTATACTCTCTACGGGTTAAGGCAATGTCAATTTCTACTGGACGCGGTTCCGGCTTTTATTCCATCTTCGGAGGTCAGGAACCATTGCCACGGTGATCCATATTGGTGGTAGACGGTGTTTCCGATCCAGCTGTGGACTCTTTAAATTACCAATAACTATCAAGCATGTATCCGTGGATATAAATGGGTTCGTCGCACTAGCTCCGAGGCATTTTTTAATCACGCTGTAGTGAGTATTTAATACTTGTATTGGTGACTGAGCAACATTAGGTTATCTCTCTGCTTCGCTCCTAGAACTCAGGAAGTCCATGAAGGAAATAATAAAATGGGATACGAGACACTTGTATTCCTGGACAAGGTCTACCATCCATGGGCTTGAAGGAATGGTTCAAGTATTATTTAAGATTGCCATCGTCTCAGGCTCTCCTATGGCTGCCTAGAATGCGAAAACCTGTTAAGCTCTGCCACTTCTCTTAGCGACAGATTAGTGGAAACTTTAGGCCCCCAAGCTAGTGGAGTCAAAAGGTGGAGAGTGTTTCCACGGCTATCCCAAAAGGGACGGGAGAGCATCCGGGCCGTGCAGCAGAAAGTCTGATCCACCCAATCTCGGCCGAGGTGTTAGTGGTTTGAAGGATTTGGATGGAGTAGATTTACTGGGAACGGTAATACGGTTGCATTTTCTTTTCCTTTTTTGTTACTTTGTTATTTTTATTTTTGTTTCTCATTGCTCGCATTCGGTTGGATCTCCGGCGAAATTAATTGGTTGGTTACCGCCGGAGCTGAAGAGTGGCTATACCCACCAACCACCCACACCCTAGACTTGGCTGACATTTTCTATTTGTACTGTAGATATTATTTACATGCTGAGAGATGACATTCTCTAGATGTCTGGCACCACCAACCTCGCTATTGTCGCGACTCATGCCTCATGGCGTCCTCCACGCCGCCTCCTGACGATGTCTCGCGCGCCACGGTGGTCACGATCCCGACGATCATCACGACGGTGATTGCCCTGGTTCTGACGCTGTTGCGGCTATACGTGCGGCGGTACATGATTCGCATGGTTGACTGGGATGACCTGTTCAACGTGCTGGGTTTGGTAGGTTTGGTGTTCGGGGCTCTATACCGGACTGCTGACGAGCATAGTTGACCGTGTTGGTGGTCATGGGATTGGTTATTACCGCAACGTCTTACGGTCTCGGGCGCCATTTCGAATACGTTGACAAACAACGGGCAGCGTTCAGCGTGAAGCTGCTGCGAATCGCCGAGTTTCACCTGATCTTCTCGACCATCTTCGTCAAGATCTCGATCAGTCTTTTCCTGAAGCGGCTTTTGTAAGTATTATCCTATTATATTAGATTAGAGGGGGGAATAGATGAGGGCTAACAGTTCTTGCTACCCTCTAGTCTGACGAGCAACAGATGGAAGGTCTTCTTCTGGTGCTTCATCGCGTTCAATTCCATTACCAGCGCCCTAGATGCCGCAGTGATTTTTCCGCAATGTACGCCCGTGGAGTTTAATTGGGATAAATCGATCGAGGGGGGACACTGCTGGTCGAACGAAGCGATTGATGCGGTGGGAATCGCACAAGGAAGTAAGTGCTCCTCGAAAACAGGATCAAAATATGATTGATAGAGAGACAGTGAGCTGACGGTATTCGGGTGTGAAGCGATCGCCGCAGCGACCGATTTCGTGCTATCCCTTTTACCCATTCTATTCCTATGGAATGTGAAGCTGCCAAAACGAGTGAAGCTGGGAATTTGCGGCATCATGGCCTTGGGGTTTGCGTGAGTGAATACACGGTTGCATGAACCGTTGCGTGTTTACTACTGTGGATTGCTAAAAAACCGTTTTTAGGAGCGGTGGATTTGCCATTGCGCGCACCGTGCTGGTACCCGATCTGACCACAACGACCGATCCCACCTGTATGTAGATCTTCTGACCAACTGTGACGATCAACTGACATACATGATTTAGGGGACCTGGTTGACCTGTTCATGTGGGCCGTGTACGTTGAACCCTGTACCATGGATATAGCACCAACTAACAAGTAGCATACAGACTTGAGGCCACCTTCGGAGTCATAGCGGCCGCTGCACCGTCCGTACGACCGCTTATCGGCCATAATTCCATGACAACCGAGTCGTATAGTCGCTCCAAATCGCTGCAGCTGCGTAGCATGCACACCGGAAAGCACTCGCGTCGCGAGTGGGGACAGACCATTCTCGAAACGGTGGACGAGCCAGCAGACCGGATATCCAACGACGGGGATAGCCAATCGCATCTGTGGGGACAGGAGGATCGAGGTATTATCAAGACGATGTCCATTGAGGTGGTCACCACTCATCGACGAACGGAGAGCGAGAACCAAGAGGGGCTGTCGGAAAGGAGCTCTCACGAACGACGCACGGAGCCATAGATGAGATAGGCAATACTGTATGGTCGAAAAAGTATCTTTTGTCCACCCTCTGTCGTATAGTAGAATTAACAGACTCGAGAAGATGGAGCCCATCCCACTTGGCCAGTCAGCCATCCAGAGCAGCCCAGGGGCATCCAGTCATTGGCCCTTCGTGTTTCCCCCTGGCCCCTTTTGTTAGAACAATTCTTCTGCGGGACTTGCGTTAGTTTCCGGGTCCCAATCAAAATCCATTAATAATGGGAAAGGGGATTGATTACTATCGCGGAGCATCTAACTTTGGCCCTAAAGACGCTAATATCGGATCGTTTCCCTTGGCATTGGCCGTTCGATCAACCGTTCGATACGGTTGGGCGCAGCCACCACGAGCAAAATTAATTGCAGTCTGGCCTATTGATGTTGCATTGACTAGTTGCGGACCCTCCTTCTAGCTGGTCTGACGATCAGCAGTCGCAGCTCCTGTGCAGGAAAAAAATAATGCTAATTTAAAAGAAAAAAAAAATTTAAAAAGACTAATACCTGCCATAATATAACCCTCTCCCCCCAGCCAGCAAACACATGGCTCCAGGGTTTTCGTGAAGAACGAGTCTTTCTTCTGACCTGTTCTTTTCGTCTTCTTCTTTCTTGCATTACCGGACCGTTCAGCTGGTTTGGCCATGTCTGCTGCTGAACCGCTGGAAAAGGTGCCCTCGATGGAGGTGCGCAGGACAGGGACGAGCGATGGCTCGGAACATTCCAAGAAAAATGACAATGGAATTGTTCTCATCCCTCAGCCGAGTGATGATCCTGAGGATCCCCTCGTACGTGTTTATTTATTATTTTTTTTCCCCCTCGTCCATGGTGCATGTCTGACCCAACCCAGAACTGGCCCCTATGGAAGAAACTGCTCATCTTCGCCGCCATCTGTCTGGCGGGGTTTGCCGGCCAGATGTCGCCCAATTCCAACCAGCTCACCTTCGTATACCAAGTGCCAGCATACCACAAGACAGTCAAGGATCTGCTCAACACGGTAGCTGCGGGTCTGGCGGGATGGGTCGCGGGACCATTCTTTATGATTCCCCTGGTGGCCGTGATCGGACGCAGCTCGGTGGTGCTGTGGAGTTTGGTGGCCGTCTTCGCCTGTCAGATCTGGGCGGCCGAGATGACGGGTCCCAATGACTATATCTCCTTCACGATATCGCGGCTGTTCTGCGGCATGTTTGGTGGTGTCCCGGCTATCCTGGGTAGCGGGTACATTATGGACATGTTCTTCCTGCACCAACGAGGCAAGGCGTTTGCGATCTTCGAGGTGTTGATCATCTTCGCTGTCGTCGGTGGTGGCACACTGGGTGGCTTCATCGCCGAGCACAAGCCGTGGAACTATGTCTTCTGGTGGACGTTGGGACCTGTGGGCGCGGCTATTGTCGCCGTCTTCTGCGTCGTTGAGGATACTACTTACTCCCGCGATGGATCGATGCCTCAACGGGCGCCTCTGCCTAAGAGCTGGCTGGCAAACCGCATTGCGACTTTCCTACCGGGTTTGAAAACAACCCCCCCCAATAAGGGCCAGGATTTTGTACGTTATCCTTTCTCTTCTGCTTCCGTTATGCTTTTATGTATTGACTAGGTTAGGTCCGTCGAGCCATCGTGCCCTTCCAAGTGACCTTTGCACCCATCACACTGCTCACGGGGACGTATATCTTCATCGCACTTGGCCTCCCGATTATGCAGGCGTCAACGCTAGCAACGTTCCTGCAGCCACCGGAGGAAGCAGGCGGCTACGGGTTCTCGTCGCTACAGATGGCGTTCTTCACGATGACAGCGTGGGTGGGGATCATCGGGGCGCAGGTGTTCGGGTTCTTCTTCAACGACAAGATCCCACTGTGGCTGGCAAAACGCCGCGGCGGCACTTGGCACACGGAGTACCGACTGGCGAACACAATCCTGCCAAGCGTGATCCTGCCGATCGGGCTGGGGATCTACGGGGCGGGACTGGAGTATCATCTGCACTTCATGGTGCTGGCGCTGGGGTCGTTCCTGATCTGGTTCGGGGCGTTGTTGGCGTTGCCCGTGTGCTATAACTACATCATCGAGTGTTTCCTGAACAACCCCGTGGAGGCGTCAGTGTCGCTGAATGCGTACCGGATTTCGTTCGGCCTGATGTCAGTGTTTATCGTGACGCAGTGGCAGGAGGCGATGGGCGTGGGCTGGATGTGGGGACTGGGAGCATTCCTCATCGTGTTTGTGGATCTCATCATGGCCGTCATCATTTTCAAGGGACATCTGGTGCGTCAGTGGACGGCGACAGTGAGTCGGTCGATTGCCGTGACGGAGGATGGGGCGACCATCAGTGGGAAACGGGGAAGTGTATAATTAATAAGTAGCCAGCTGTAATAGATATTCAGGTTAGTGTAGTGAAAGTCGAACGACCTGTTTAACCATGTTTGTCTGTTTACCCCACACACCGACTAGCACTTGAAAGCCTTACGCTCATCACCTCTCCTCTCAAATCCCAGAGATCTCATACCCCTTTCTTCATCCTCATATATCCACCCCTCCCAAAAAGAACTATCATGGCAGCCGACGTCGAGAAGCCATTGCGTGAAAAACGAGTGTGACTGGCTGGACCGATGAAGACCATGGCCGAGAGTACTAGTAGCATAAGGGGCCGGGAACTTTTCACCTAGAGCTACGCCCACCGCTCCCGAGTTAAAGCACAGGTACGCAAGTATGTTGATCAAATTTCTCATCCAGGGGTGGAACTGATTGTACCAGATGCTGAGCGCCAGGATTGGCAGGGCCTGTCGGATACCGCCACTGTATAAGAGACTTAGTGTGAGCGTTGCGGCCAGAAAATTGACATGTTACGTTTGGCTTGGTGTGGTGTCAGACGTCTAGCCGGTATCGGCCGCCACGGCTTGATGATACTATTTTCGACTATGGCCAGCTGGCTGCGCTGATTGTTAATTGTGACACAGTAGACTGAGCCACACCCAGACTAAGACAACGGGGGCTCGTCGGATCACGGCGAGGAACTCATAATTATATTTAGATAGGAAGGGGGCTTGGAGACCCCGACGACTAGGGCGTTGCAGTACCAAAAATGAGGCTTGAGAAGAGAATACTCTGGATGTCGTAAACTGCGAAGAGTTATAGGGGGTTGGCATGCCTTGGGACTGTGTGCAATGCTCTCCTCATGCTCCGGGGATCACAGCTGTGTACTTGGGTAGACTGTGAGAAGAAGCAAAGTAAAATTAGACAAACCTATAGTTATTATCAATCAGATTTAGTACAAGTCGCTTTCCTTTATCTATACCTTAACCTCTGGTCAGAACTAATCCAGCTGGAGAATCCATAGTAGTATTCTGGCAGGGGAACGTTCACATATCACACTACATTAGTCCATTACTCTAGTGTAGTCACAAGTGTTATTTACTCACTGTCCTACACATCCCTCATGGGTTTAACCTATAAGAGAATTTAAATGGCTAGCTCCATCAGATGGAGTGTCACCAGCATGCATTAAAGCCCAGGTTATTGTCTGTCAGTCCCTAATAGCCCAAAGGTTACAGTGTAAAGGCAAGCTCTCCTAGGTCCCTGTCAACCGACTATAGCTATTAATGCATAGAATTTAGGCTGATTCTTGACTAAAATTGTGTCTCGAGTAGATATAACTCATGCACATACCTTTAGATTAGATGCAAATTTCCTATCCCTCGGAAGAGAACATGAGTGCTTCTTGTGATCAACCAGCCTTTAAAGGTAGTACATCATCCCGACATTGCATAGTTATGCACTTATGGCGTCCCTCTGCCCAGTTACTGTGTCTCTGGGAAATGCAGCATACGAGCCCTTCCATGTTGCTTTTGCCGAGTCTCTGATCGCCGCTCTTACTTCTTGCACCAATTTCTCACCAAGGCTCTTATTCCTAGTGAGAGATTTCAAAGTCAGAAGCCCACTTTCGAAGAGCTGTTGCCCTAGGTAGGGCGGCGTGACCCTCCGATCGACTTCAATATAGGCAGCTGGTCTCGATATCCGCCCCGCGAACCCAACGATGACCTGTCGCTCAGAGCTATATCCAGAGGCGAAGAGTTCTTGGAACTGGTGACGATTGCAGAACGGCGAATACAGGACTAGTTATCATTGAGCAAAATTGTACGCGGGATGGCCTTTCTGATGAACTACATTCTATCCCTCCGTGATAGAGACGAGGATTCTAAAATCTATTTACCAGATCATGAAGATGCCTTAGTAGACTTCTTTGGTTGTCTTGTGAGATACACGTGTATAAAGTTAACCGGTTGACTGGTTTATTACTACAGTGCTGAAAAGTGAAATAGGATGCTTCTTCAGGAGTCGAACCTGACCAAGCATGGAGAGCCAAAATAGGTGAGAGCTGATAATTAGTTGCTAGAGGGTGAGGATGATAACCACGGTGAGGTGAAGCTGTCGAGGGCAGAGGAATAGGGTAGGAAAGAGCGAGAACTTCATAATGTAATGTACGTATCTCTGTTAATGTATTTCAGTGATAATAGCAAGTAGAATGAACTAAGACGATCCGTGGTTTAACTACCCTCCATTCTTCGTCCACAGAAGTTCAATCTCGAATGTAACCAACAGTAGGTATGCTGGGATTGGAAATCTCCAGGTCAAAGGAATCATCAATGTACCAATTAGGTTATGTTCTTGTTGGTAACTATTATTAATGCTTAATAATAGTTATAAGAATAACTAATACATACAATAGTATTAAGATCTACTGAGGATGCAGTAATTGTCTATTAGACATAATCCAATCCTCTGCTATCTACCATATGCAAGTAGCATAGCTCTACAACGTGTCTAGTATCTATCATGAGATGTACTAAATCTAGGTACAGATATAATCTCTCGAAACCTATTGATAAACTTATATGCCAGTAAATACCACTACCACCCCCTAGAAGCCCCTTTCAACCCAACCACGCCTACGCGAAGAAAATCCACATTCTCCTCGATGCGCTTCCGGATCTCCCCTGGCGAATACTCGTCGATATCCCACGAGGCCCAGACGAACCGGCCGTGGAGGAATCGTGCCTCGAGGGTGGTGGCCCACACGGCGAAGGCACCAGGGAAGGCAGCTAAAATGGATAGTGGATTAGAATTCATTTAGATAGACATGCTCATGCAATCCTACGATCATCAAATGGGAGACCTGTCTCGGAGATGCCCATCTTCTCAAACTCTTGGTTATGGATGGACTCCGGATGGAAGCTGACGGTCTGCGTCTCGTCTGGACACATCCTTCGCCATCTGCTGCAGGAGCAAAGTGCCTGCATTCTTAGTCATGCTGTAAACAGGACGCAGGGAGGCGGCGACTAGCTGCGATTCGTAGAGCATATTAATGGCGCAGGTGGAAACATACACGATGGACTATTCCTTAGCTTCCTCTAAATCTGACTATAGCTAGGATAAAACTTACTCGATGTCCGAGGACTGCGCCAGGGCGGCGAATCGCGCGCAGCCGTCTCGCGGACCTCGCGACGACCGACGAGGATGGCACGGGCGACACCGGCGAGGATAAAGCTCTTGACGATATGAAAGCCGATGCTGGTGCCGCGGCCGGTGACGAGGACGATCTTGCCGGTCTGATGCAGTTCGGGACGAGAGAGAGAGAGAGGGTTGGATAGGGCTGGCTATGGATGGTAGAGGTGAGGTTGGAGTAAGTTGAGCGTCCATTGTTATTCTTGATCTTATTCTTTTGACCTATTCATTTATTCATCTGTTCATGTCTTCTTCTTATGTTTATATCTTCTGTATACTCTGTTAGTAATTTGTCAGCGGACAACTATATCAAGATGGCCTCCGCAATCCTTCATTTCTCATCTTGTCTTATTCCATAGTTCACCAAATGGATACTCAACGAGCCTGCACTCCCTGCAGAAAAGCCAAACGAAAGACCTCTCCTGTCGCCGCTGCCATGCCAAAGGTCTGCAATGCGTCTATCCAGCGGCACGACCCACATGCTTCATCTACGAGCCCGAGCACGGGACCCGATGGATTCCGCTCTCCTCGACGATATACTCGACATCAATCAGCTGGATCCTGTTAAGTCACTCATCTCTCCGCTGGCTCCGCACAATCCGCAGGTCTATCCACCGATCCGCCCGCAGAACCAGCAGGTTACCCCGCCCGTCCACCAGCCTTGGTTCCTGACGCCTGATTCATGGACATCCTGCCGATGGGGACGGTGCATCTAACACCCATAGGCAGCAGCTTCACATGTAATTACGTGAAGAAGGTGCGGACCTGGCTGGCAGACTGGCCCACTGGCCGTACCCCATTCATCCACGCCCGACTCTACCAGACGCACTGCCGTAGTGCATCCAGGACGCCTTCACGGCCCCTGGCGAGCTGCTCGGCGCGTACTCCCGCCTCCGAGGGCATTGTCTGCCGCATCCTGGAGACACGAGCGACAGCCCTGGTGAAGGACTATGGCCCCGAACAGGAGGGGGAGCTCACCTGCCTGGATCACGTCGGTCGCGTACAGGCTCTCCTGGTATACTCCACCATCCGACTATTCGACTATGACATCCGACAACGATGCCTGGCGGAGCAGCTCCCGACACTATATTCCTGGTCGCATGCGATGCTGGGCCGCGCGGCGTGACATCCTGACGAGTTTCTACACGCCGGACACGAGGTCGGATTACCCCCGAATGCACTGGAGACGATGCCCCTCACCACGCAGACCGAAGTGCTCTGGCACGCGTGGATCCTGGCGGAGAGCGTGCGGCGCACGTGGCTGGTGGCGCAGATGCTGCATGCCATCTACGTGACGATGCAGCATCCGGTGGCGGATTGTCCGGGGGGAATCACCTTCACGGTGCGGCGTGGGGCGTGGGAGGCGTCGTCGGCGTCGGGATGAGTCTCTATGCGAGTCAGCATGTAGGGTTTATGCAGAGCAATAATATGGATCTGATAGCTGAGTATGCACCGGACAAGAGGATAAGTTTGTACAGTCGATTATACGGTTGGATTTGGGGGAGAGGGTGGAGATGTGGCAGTCAATACATCCTCACACTCAATCAATTTGATTTATTCAGTAATCATATATAATATATAATATGTAATTATATACTAAATCAAGGTAGTCCTGGCGATATTTGACTCAAACTCCCCTCTCTCCGCCTGCTTCCCCTCCAGGGCGATCACCTCCTTCGCTGTCCCTGACCACACTCCATGCCATCTCCCTTTAGCCTGCACGGAGAACTCATGTCCAGACCGATCCTCATGTTTATTCCTATCCAGAGGCAAAGAGACAGTCGCCTCGACGGAACTCGCAGGCAGAATCTGCACGAAATCCACCTCGGAAGGCGGCCACTTTCGATTCATCTGGACGGTATCCAGTACGACGGGCTGATCGAGGGTCTCGTCGTGGATGTGAAAGATGCCCAGGAGATCGGCTCGGGGGTCCAACGGGGTTCCCCATCGTAGGAAGGTGATGGGCTGAGGGGTTGGATTGTGGATGGTGGCGATGACGGAGAGGGAGGAAGAGAGGGAAGAGGGAGAGGGAGAGAGGGAGAGGAGGATTTGGAGGGTGACTGGATTCATCTTCTTTGTCTCTTTTCCCTCTCTTTCTCTTTCTTTCTTTGGCTTGGTTATTTGATTATTGATTGTGGGTGTGGTTTTGTTTATCTGAGAACCATAAGATGAAGAAGTGCCAGAAGTGGAGAGAGGATGACTCGGAGATTGCAGGATTGCCGATCTGAGGGGAGGTTACATTGATCTACGCATATTATCTACTCTATGATTATATCTGTATGATCTTTTATATTACATCCTATATTCTATTTCATTCTATTCCATTCTACATATGTGCTTCATATCTGTCTTTATTATATCTGCATATCGATGCGTATAACTATCGATTCATTCTACACCTATCCATACATGCAACTGAGTATAACTTCAATATAATACAAGGCGTCAGCCAAGACGGCCGCCCGGCGGCTCTCGCAATAGTATCACCGGACACCGCCGGGCCAAGACATAAGACTCAATTGGCGAATGCTTTTCTCTACCTCGCTCTGATCGACACGGAAGGTTCGGGGACAGCTGATACAATGCTGAGGCAGGAATGAGAAACGAGAAAATGAAAGGAGAGAAGGAGATGAGAAAAAGATATAAAAGGGGACATCACCTCGCCAGTTTCCTCTGTTCATCACATCTCTCATCATCAGCTCATCTCTTCAGCTTAATATCAATATGCGTTTCTCATCTGTCGCTGCCCTCGCCGCGCTGGCCTCTACGGCCTCGGCTGCCCCTGTGAACGAGCCGTCGCTCAGTGTCAAGCTGAGCCAGATCGACAACTCTCGCGTCAAGGCTGTCATCACCAATGCCGGCAAAGAAGACGTCGAGTTCGTCCATCTGAACTTCTTCCGGGACCAGGCTCCCGTCAAGAAGGTGGCTGTCTACCGCGGCAGTACGTCCCTATCGCTCTGATCTTCAGACATGTCTAATCTTCGCAGAAAACGAGGTCCAATTCGAAGGAATCAAGCGTCGATTCCGCATGAACGGACTGACCAAGGAGGCTATCACTTCTCTGGCTGCCGGTTCCTCCATCGAGGATGAATTCGACATCGCTTCCACCAGCGATCTGGCCCAGGGCGGCACCATCACCATCAACAGTCACGGTCTGGTGCCGTTGGTCAAGGACAACAAGGTGACGGGATACATTCCCTACCAGTCCAACGACCTGCAGCTGGACATCGACGGCACCAAAGCCGCCAAGGTGACCAAGGCGATTCTGCACAACTTGCGTCGCACCACTCTGGCAGACTGCTCCGGCGAGACGCAGTCGGCACTGGAGAAGGCGCTGACCAATGCGGCAGACCTAGCCAACAAGGCCGCGGAAGCAGCCGAGTCCGGTGACGCCAGCAAGTTCCAAGAGTACTTCAAGGTGACGGACGATCAGACCCGCAAGACGGTGGCGGAGAGACTGCGCGCCGTCGCTAAGGAGGCTAGCTCCACCTCCGGCGGTGCTACCACCTACCACTGCAAGGATACCCAGGGATACTGCGAGCCTAACGTCCTGGCGTACACTCTGCCATCGCAGAATCTCATCGCTAACTGCGATATCTATTACTCTGAGTTGCCGCCGCTCGCGGATCAGTGCCATGCCCAGGACCAGGCGACCACCTCCCTGCATGAGTTCACTCATGCGCCGGGTGTGTACGAGCCCGGTACTGAGGATCTGGGATATGGGTATGATGCTGCCACTAAGTTGAGCGCTAAGGATGCCCTCAATAACGCAGATACTTATGCCCTGTATGCCAATGCTATTGCACTGAGCTGCTAAATTTATCCATGCTGGACATTGGAGGACGAATGATGTATTTAGTCAATGAAATGTGGTTTAACTCTGTTCTGGATTTAGCATAAGTACTCGTGGATTTTCGAAGTAGAGGAAGCCAGATAGTGGCTTTCAGCCTGCACATTCCTTCGATGATGAATCACTGAAAGCGATCAATTAATGTGTCAAGAATATTCAATCGTTCATGATGTCTTCATCCTCGCTGATCAGGTTCATAACAGGACAACCCTGCCTTGAGATAGATGGAGCAATAAGCTATCTACCCTGTGTCGCAGATCATATGGATTCAGACCCAGGAAGGTAAACACGGCCGTCAGCTCCGGATGATCAACACTGACTTCTCCATGCAGTGTCCTTCACAACCATGATCTAGTGCAGCTCGTGAACTCCGACGCACGGGGCTAGCAAAGGCAGCCAGCCGCACAGGAGTCTCCTTGCTTTTCCCGACCGTCGCATGGCTCAGCCTTGCTCAGAATATGACGAATTCACCGCCATGTTAGGCATACCGGCAATGGATGGGACCTCTTAAATAGACAACATAGCTGGCGATTGATCCCAGCTGTTCAGGATCATGGGTATGGTTCAAGATGGCATTCACAGTCACCGAACATGTCATTGGCACCCAGTCTATTCGAGAATATCCACGAAGTATCACACCGCGCAGGATAAATTCGTCGTTAATAAATACACTCCCAGCGATAACACCACTCCTCGACCCGGCGATGTGACCATTATTGCTGGTCCTGATGCTGGCTATTATTGATCAAGGGTGGTGTCAGATATATCACTAGACCACAAAAAAGCAGCGCTGTGTCAATTTGCACATAATAATGGTATATCTTCTATCTGACAGGTGGCAAGAATAGACGGCGGAACGCACCGGCACGGGCGTGGATGGCAGCGCGGTATGGCACAGAACAGGGTGAAACATATGACGGTACAGAATTGCTGACATTTGGCGCCGTTCGAGAAGGTGTCGGTGACGGGTTGGTCGACTATGGGTTCGGAATGGAGAATGGTGTTTGATGAATAGTATTCGAGATATTCCAGGGTGAAGGAGAGGTCCAAACTATAGGTTACTGATATAGATGCTCGCTGTTATATTTGTGCCAAATAACATTGAAAGGAACGAGAATAAGTTCCACGTGTATCACAGTCAAATTATACTGGTTGCTGGCCGCACTTGGTTCAACGAAGCTTGTAACTATGACTACCATGTGTGTAAGCATCGCTATCAGATATAGCGACAGGAACTGTCCAACGTGGATATGCACTCTTGCGCATCGTGAATTGGCTGTAGAAGTGAACATATATTATGAGCTTCGCGGTTGAAAATGTAGCTCCATCCCATCATCCTTGGTTTACCCGTCATACAACCCCTGCATATTGGTTGGATTTCTCAACAGCGATGTTCGATGGACTCTTTGCCATGTCTCATGATTGCTGCAGATGTCTTGTATATTGACACATGATCGCATACTGACCCACTTCAGAATACAAAGCCTTGCCAACGTAAACACCACAATGACTCACTGGGCTAGTAAAAATAATACCCAAGCAACAGTCCAACATCAGCCACAAACAAACTAAGGAAGAATCTTGTCAAGCAGAGGGGATAAGAATGTGTGTCAGAAACGAACGATGACTAATTCCAGCGCCGAGAATCGGGTAATATCTCCGACTCTCCGACCGGATTTACACTGCGCCGTTTCCGTGTCGACTCATCTCCTCTTCTTCCCCTTCTCCTCTACTTTCCGAAATCCGGTCGTATGCTTTCTAAAACCCGAACATGCAGAGCACCGCAAGAACTGCCCCGTATGGTCATGCGTGCGTGAATTGTGCCCGCGCTAAATGTAGATGCGTCACTAGTGGGGTTGCAGGCCGGGGATGCGAGAGGTAGGTGGACACTGCTAGTTAGGTACAGCCTGGGGATCGGGATTAACATCATCATACTGTATATGCAGATGTCACCGTCTGGGCAAGGAATGCCATTTGGCACCCAAGACGCGTCAACGGAAGGGTCCGTCGAGAACGGAGCTGCTGGAAAAGAAGGTAGACGACTTGATGGCGCTGTTGAAGAACAAGGAGCCTTCGCAAGGATTACCGATAGACCTGCCCAATCCATCACCCGTCGATTCAATGCCGCTCGCAGCCAGTCGAGCAGCAGAGGACCTAGCCATCTTAGATACGATAAGCCCTCCAACTCAGCCGTCGCTGCCGTCGACGGTTCCCGAGTTCTCTGCAGATGAACAGGAAGGCATTCTCACAGCCTTTCAGTCCGAGAAACTGCCATGGCTTCCATTCATGCATATCCCAGCCACGATGGGCGCCGCCGAGTTCCAAGAGCAGTCCCCTTTTACGTGGCTCTGTATCACCGCCGTCCAAAGCAAGTGTACCGAGCATACCGCTGTGCTCTGTGATCGCGCGCGCGAGGTAGCCGGCCGGAAATTTATGCTGAACTGCGAGAAAAGCATGGATCTCCTGCAGGGGGCGTTGGTCTATTTGGCCTGGTAAGTCTTCGACTGCGCTTGAGAGTTTTGTCTGACGAGTTAGGATCACCTTTTACTGTCCCTCCGAGAAGACCTCGCTCTGCAGCTACATACAAATGGCCATAGCGATGGTTTACAATCTGCGTCTTCACAAACCTCCGCCTCCAGACCCAATGATGGCAATTCCCGCCTGTAACGTGGTGGGCCACATGGCCTTACGGAAGCCGGCTTTTACATCCGTGCGCACCATGAATGAACGGCGAGCGGTGTTGGGCTGCTATCTTCTGAGTTCCTCGTAAGGCCCAAGATCTCTGCGTATTTGTGCGTTTTGTTGACCTGATGTAGCATCGCCCAGTTCGTTGGCGTAATGGAACCGCTGCAATGGACCTCGCATATGGCCGAGTGTCTCGAGGTGTTGGCGACCAGCAAAGAAACCCCGAACGATGCAATTTTGGTCCAGCTGGTTTCCATGCGCTTGATTGCCGACAAGATCGAACAAGGCACCGGGATCAATAGTGAGCCTACACCGATTACTCGGGCCCCGTATGCGTGGCATGTCACTGCCCTCGAATCACAACTGGCGGATCTGACAAATCGCATTCCATCCGACCTTCTCAGCAACCGTAAGTTCCTTTGGCAGGAGAACAATTGCTCGACAAGCTGATGTCCTTCAGAGTCTATCATGTTGTGTCTTTTAGATGTAAAGGTCAGCCTATATGAAACCGCCCTGGCGAACCCCCCGGACCGGCTCGCCAACGACGTAGATGTTCGACGGCTAGATCATCTCTACACCTGTTTAAGCGCCGTGAAAGAATTCACAGATATACTGCTCTCCTGCTCTCCAGCGTCTCTTTTCAATCTATCCATGAGCATGATAATGCAAATATCGCACTGTTTCATCGTCCTCTTCCGCCTCTCTGTTTTCGAATACCCCGGATGGGACCGAGCCGCGGTCCGTCGCGATGTCGACCTGATTTCCCTGACGACACAGTTGTCCGAGAAAATGGGCCAAATCGCATCGACGGTCGGCATTACCAACGACGGGCCCCTGGTTGACTCCGGCACCAGGTTTAGCCGGATCCTTCAGAGACTGGTCGTAGGTTGGGCCTCACGCATGTCAGATCCGACCGACGGAGATAGACCTCCAACGGCCGAGCCCGTACTGGCGACCGAGATGTGGTATCCCGATCTGTTCACGGACACTTCGTGGTTATCGGGGGCATTTATGTCGGGGGCGTTCTCTGACCTTAGTATACCCAATAGTTAGCCTTGCCGTGTAGGTAGTCATAAAATATCAAGGATATGGCAGTACATTCTAGGTTGTGATTGGACTGATGTTTCAGCAACGTATCTTAGCGCTGGCTAGTCTCGCACGAGCTTTTCTCGGGGAATAGGAGGATGAGGCCGATCTGGTCCCTTCGCACTTCGGGGGTGCTTATCCCCGACTCCGTGATACGATAGCATGTATCCACCAGATCGGAAGGACATCGGAATATGGAGGCAAGATCTGACTATTTATATACTCCGGTCGCCCAAAAGTCTTGTCATGTTTTTGTCGCGACATTTGAGTACCCTTGTGGTTCACACAAGTTGAAAAAAGAAAAGAAAGGAAAAGAAAGGGTTAAAGGTGTCGTCTATTACTACCTCCGACGATGACAGACCAACAACAACAACCCACAGAGCCCACGTCTCAGGAATCCAGCACCTGGAAAAACGAAGAAAAATCAGCGAACCCTCCATCCTCGTCGGACTCGACGTTGAAAGACCAAGAAAATACAGGCAGCAACAGCACTAACTCCAAATCGATCGATTCATCGAAGAATGCCGCCGACGAACACGAATGGATCGAGGGGATCCCCTTGCTTATGGTGCTGGTGGCGGTCACACTGGTAGTGTTCTTGATGCTGTTGGATATGGCGATTTTATCGACGGTAGGAGATACATTGTATTCTATGGGAGATGCGCCGGACTAATGTGTGCAGGCTATTCCCGAGATCACGAGTCAGTTCCATTCGTTAGATGATGTTGCCTGGTATGGCAGTGCGTACACAATATCAAGGTATGGATGGATGGTATTTGTGGATATATCATGTTGGGAGTTGCTGATATAGAGGGTAGCGCTTCCTTGACGCCATTGACAGGGAAATTCTACTCCAACTTCAAGTCCAAGTGGACATTCCTTGGCTTCTTTACCATTTTCGAACTCGGTTCTCTTCTCTGTGGAGTCGCCAATTCCTCCAAAATGCTGATCGTGGGGCGAGCTATCGGTGGTATGGGAGGATCGGGCATGGTCAACGGGGCTTTGAATATTGTCGCGGGCGCGGTCCCGATGCATAAACGTCCTCGTGAGTATATCCTTCTCTCTCTTTGTTGCTTAAGCTAATTATCGGTAGCTCTGATTGGGGTTATGATGGGATGTAAGTAGAATGCTCTGAAGACCTCAAATACCGTCTAATCTTTCTCAGTTGGGCAGCTGGGGCTTGTTCTGGGTCCTCTCATCGGCGGTGCCTTTACCACATACTCGACCTGGCGTTGGTGTAAGCAGTTTCTCTCATGCAAATACCACGACCACCGCTAATTATCTAGGCTTCTATATCAACCTCCCAATTGGCGGCCTTGTCGCTATTCTCCTCGTCTTTACCAAAATGCCCGAGCAAAAGCCCAAACGTCCCGCCATCGACGTTCTCCGAGACTCGTTCACAAGAAAGTTCGATCTGTTGGGATTCGCTCTATTCGCCCCGGCTGCCATTCAGCTGCTGTTGGCTCTACAATACGGTGGTCATCAGTATGCTTGGAAGAGTTCAACTGTCATCGGACTGTTCTGCGGCTCGGGAGCCACATTCATTGCGTTCTTCATCTGGGAGTGGCGGGTAGGCAACGATGCCATGATCCCACTGAGCATCGTGTGCAAACGCATCATCTGGTGCAGCTGCATTCTTTCAATGATGTTATTTGGTATCACAATGATTGTGGCCTACTACCTGCCTATTTACTTCCAGTCGGTGCGAGGGAAAACCGCGATTATCAGCGGTGTGGATCTGTTACCCAATATCCTGGGTCAGTTGTTCCTGGCGGTGGTATCGGGTGTTATGAGTATGTTATACCTCTGTTAGCCCCTGTCTAGACAGACAAATTCTAACTAAATCAGTGGGAAAACTCGGCTACTACCTGCCCTGGTCGATCTTCGGCTGCGTGCTAACCACCATCGGAAGTGGACTCCTCAGCACAATCTCCCCCACCACTTCGACAAAAGACTGGGTTGGATACCAACTGCTCATCGGACTGGGTCGAGGATGTTGCATGCAAGTTGTAAGTGTCACGTACTCCATCGTGGTTCTACAGGAAACTGACCAGCAAAGCCTATGGTCGCCGTGCAAAACGCCGTCGTCGCCGAAGACGTCTCCCCAGCAATGGCCATCCTCACCTTCAGCCAGACATTCGGCGGTGCCATTTTCCTGGCTATTGCTGAGGTCATCTTCGCTGAGGGTCTGAGAGAGAAGATCCCGAAGTATGCGCCCACCGCCGACACAGCGGAAGTCATTGCCGCAGGGGCTAGAAGATTCCGATCCATCTTGAACGAGGAGCAATTGGCCGGGGTGCTGAAGGCATATTCGAAGAGTATTGGTGAGATCTTCTACATGGCGATCGCCTTGGGAGGCATTGCGCTCCTGGTGACATTTGGTATTGGATGGAAGAATATCAAAAAGGGGGGAAACGATCAAGCCAAGGAGAACCGTGAGGACGGCGTATAGAAATTGGCTTATGGATTATGACAACCCTCTCTCATAAAAGTATATATAGACGAATTTAATCTCCGCTAATACATAATATCATACATTTCCCACTTTCTACACCCCGATATCAATATACTCCGTCTTTTCTACCAAAACCCTCCCAGGATGAAAAAGATGAAACACAGACTGCACGACAAACATCGGCAATGTATCAAACACATACATAAACACCTCATGTCCCATCAAATACCCATCATTACCCTCAACGAACTCCACGATCCTATACACACACCGCGCAATAATCAACGCAGCGACCCCCAACAACACAAACAACAGTCTGTCTACTTTCGAAACCAAGACCCTATCTTTGCCTCTATTTTTCAACCTCTTGACGAACACCAACGTCACCGTGAGAAAGAGCCCGAAGAACCCCAACTGAACAAACAATCCCACGATGGTAATCTTCTGTCCCATATCCGCCATGTCCTTGATCGCCATCATCCCGCCGCCAGACGACTGCGTCAGGAAGGCAATAGCATCCCCGATGACGAAGATCTTGGTGACTTTGTACGGCGAGATGGGGGAGAGTCGCGGTTCGCGCGTGAAGATGACGATGCGGCCGTAGATCATGTAGATTGTTGCTGCGTAGAGGGACGGTGGGAGGAGGATGCAGATGCTCTGCGCGATGTAGGGGGACATAGAGGTGGTGTCGTTTGCGGAGATGATTCGTGCTATGTATCCGATTGTCATCACTGCCTGTTGTCAGACTGGATTAGAGAGTTGGTAAGGGGGAAGGGACAGACTTGTGGCGCCGATGACGAAGGTTGTGAAGAAGTAGCATTTTAATTGGACGAGTTGGTAGACGTGGTAAATTGTGCTGATGCCGTAGCAGAGAATGGAGATGATGCAGGCTGGTTTGCTGGGGGAGAAGTGGTAGAAGACGTAGGTCATGATTGAGAATGAAGAAACAAATGAATGATATATAGCACTGAGTAAATTGTTGAATTGCAAGTTCTAAGGAATGACAGTAATAAAAAACGACCAGAATGAGCGATATTGAAGATATAAAATTACTGCTGCTGTAGGAAATTTATATTCTTATAGATATTATACACCACCCCTATTCCACTCTATCTACTCAAGCTAGAGGATCATGCAAATCCACGAAAATAAACTACAATATACCACAAAATGCATTAATCCTAATCGCGCCGTGTTCGTACTCGCAAATGTCCGATGATGGGTCCGGGCTGCCGGCTCTGCCGTTGGCATCAACGCTAGTCGGTCCATGTTTCAGATATCATACTGGCTGTCTAGGATGATAGCGCACTTTTAGTTAAGTTGTAATTTCCAAAGCTTAGTATGCTAAAGCTAAACGAATACGATGGGGCATTTTGTGCATACATCGAAAGTCTGACGGTCATGTGATATGACAGCCCTACACTCCTGAATCGGTGGCATTCCCTTTTCATGGAGGCTGTGCTCAGGTTTATTATCAATTTTGCTCATCATTTGATGTAAAATACGCAATTAGCCTTATGTTATTATGCTGTCGGTTTCACGTCTATCATGGAATGGCTTTTTCCGTCCCCCTGCAATCTGACAGTCCTTGGGCTAACAGTGGAAGCGCAGGCTAACCTGACACCTCGAGGACGGATATTACCATACAGCCCTAATTTGAGACACAAGGTGGATATTGAACCCTCATCTATATAACGATGGTATTCGGAGTTTGGTTTATACCAGGGAATGGGCAATCGGCTAACGACACGATCTCCGTCTTGACGCCGCACCAACCACAACGCAGCTTCAAACAAAGACATTGTTGGACTCTACATTGCTTTATGACTAGGTTACTTTATCAAATCCCACCTGTCACCGATACCCAATTCAACAGCGATGGTATATAACAGTGAGCCAGAAAACAGAGATCCAAACGCCAGAACCATCGTCAGCAACACTATCTCGATATGCCACCACCTCATCCAACGGCTTACCAGCCACTGACTTCGGCCTTCTCGGCATGACATGGCGCCCTCAAGCAACACCCGACAAACAAGCCTTTTCCACCATGAAAGCCGCCATTACTAATGGCGCAACTACATTTTCCCCCTCCTGGACCTACGATATGCCGCCAAAGGAGCCCACAGCAGGCCTATCACTGCTATAAAGACACTTCAATAAATACCTCGAAGACGCAGCAAAAGTAACCCGATTTATCCGTGCCTATCTAGACGCCAAGACCTTCTCCCCAACCAACACTCGCGAAGGGATACGCGCCAGCGTAGAAGAATGTGCCTGTATTCACGACGATGCGAACAAGATAAATATTTTCGGTCCGACGTGCATGGACTCCAATGTCCCTGTCGAAGAGACACTAGAAGCACTGAAAGAGCTCGTGAACGGACAGATTGTAGCAGTGGGGCTGTCGGAGATTGGAGCCGCCGCTATCAAGAGAGCGCATGCGGTTTGTCCACTGAGTGTTGTTGAGGCGGAGTTCTCGCTATGGACTACCAGCGGAGTTTCCGCGACCTGTAGAATCTGGGAGCTATATTTTGAGCTATGCGCCGCTGGGGTATGGGTTTTTGACAGGGCAGGTGACGAAATTGGAAGATATCCCTAAAGGTGATATCAGACAAATATGTTTAGTCGATTTCAACCCGAGGTAGGAAATAATCCTCATACTTGGTGAGGCCTGTGCTGATGTGGGATACAGATCTTCCCGAAAATCCTCGAGCTGGTCGACAAAGTCAACGAGTTTGCTATACGTCGAGGCGTCACCCAGGTGCAGCTTATGCTGGGGTGGATCCGCGCGCACTCGGATACCGGGGATTATATTGCGATTATTCCGACTCCTGTGTGGCTGCTCAGTGAGTTGAGGATAACTGTACAGTGGCTGGACTCACCATGGAGGATAAAAGGGAGCTCGATGATATCCTTGCGTTGTACTGGATAGTCGGGGAGAGACAGGTTCCTGGAATGGAGCCTCAGCTTTGGGGATAGATTGGCTTTAATCTCAGACTAGGTCAGTATGGATTCTTCATATACTGGAGTATGAATGAGATATGACGCATATTCGTAGACTTAGGTACATGTAGATGGGAAATTAGAATCCTTTAAGGGAACTTCGTCTATAGGACACTCCATCTGGGTGCTATCTATTACCTCAATCCTTGTCTACTTGCTTATCTTGGGATGTGGTATTCTACCGTATATATCCAAGCGTACTGAAGGATTCTTTTAAAGTGTATCGTCGACAGCTCTATATTAGTTACGATAGGCAAATAATGACATATGTACCTACCATAGGTCTAAATGCCTACAGGTACCGCCAGTGGACTACATAGATATGGATTTAAGTGAGAAATGATAAGCTGTATTGACTTCTAGTGATAAGGACAGGAGACAGAATACTTGGCTACCATATCTAGCAACCACTGCCTACCCAAAGTCTAGTGTCATTCAGCGAAGCACAATCCTCCATGAAGTCATGAATTCCCAATTATCCACAAATTACAATCTAGCTGAACTCTGCGATAGCATCCTCAAATGCACGATCAACCTGAACAACATATTCCTGTATGGCTTTGCTGTCCGCGTCATTGACCTTGTTCTGCAAAGCATCTGCAAGAGGGAAGCAGCGGCTCTGGAGATGAAAGAAATTCTGATGCATAAAGCCAATGAGGTTGGCCTCTCTGAAGGTGGATTTCTGTTATACAATTAGCCCCTTGTTCGTCCGGTAGTGAATGCTCAGAGGCATACCTTGGCCACAGCGTCATGAATGAAGTCCTCTATGGCTGGCTTGATCTGCATCGCGGCGTCGGTGACGGTCTTGCTGTCCTGGTCGTTGAAGGCCTGGTTGAGGACAGCTTCACGAGTAGCGCTGATCATATCATGTTCGATGGTGTGCTCAAGTTTCTCGATGGTGGCGCGGTCGACTCCAGGATTGTAGTTCTTGACAACATCGTTGAGAGCAGTCACACCGGCACCAACCTTGCGGAGATCATCAAGGATGGTAGAGATATCGCGATCTTGGAGTGGAGTTGCATTGACAATGTTGAGGAAGAAGGTAAGAAAGAGAGTAATAAATATGAAGAAGTTCATTTTGAATGATGTTGGAGGATTGAAAGTAGGAAAGAATAAAGGCTTCAAAAAGGTTTGAACTGGTAAGGAAGGCAAGATGTCAAGATGTAGAAGATGGCGAGAAGGTTTGAAGAGAGAAGACTGGGGGGTTGACCCTCCTTATATACTTCTCCAAAAGAGGAAGTGCGCAACATTTTCAGTGAATCCAAGTAGGGTGACGTCTCTCTGAGTGGGTCTATAGACGAGGAAAGATGGTCTATTCTACTATATGAGGTACCATTCACTTCTGATCCTAGGTGTTCCTGTGCGTACTTCCCTGCCCTGGCTATTTCTGGACCTTTCATGTCAAAGTGGCTTATTCTAGTAAAAAGTTCATCATAATAAGCCACTTAAATGTGAAGCTGTATATTAGATTAACATAGCTTAGGACTTGCTAGTAAATATTATATCCTTTCACTATGGTTAACTAATCATACCATAATATCTTTATATTATTATCTCTCAAGATTAAATCTAGTGAATATTAGGTAGTAGTCAATATATCTCTAGGACCAGGATATACCTCTAACCAGGCTAGAAAATTGTTCAATATATCTGGAGTATTATAAACACACCAGATTGCCTTTATATGGATTCCAGTACGTGCAACCAAAAAGACCACACATTGGACAACAACTTAATTGAAATTCCACAGATATCTACTAAGCGAACAGGACAGGTCGATGAAGCCAATTGCTGAGGATGCAATTGCAAGGGACTAGTGTCAAGATGGAAGACCAAGTACAGCTCCATTGCAGATGGTAGTTTCTAGAACTATGGCCTTTCACATATGGTAGATAAGAAACCTCTCATCTGCCATTGGGAAGAAAAAACAGGCAATGAGAGGGTACATATCTATAATATAGTACTATAGAGCCCCAGGCAATTTCATCAACACGTGACTGCCCAGAAGTAGAGAGTCAAGCGACGACTCCAGCTTCCTCATGTAACTTGAGAAGCCATCCCTTTCTTCCTTCCTATTGCAGTTTACCTATTCCCAACCTAAGCAGGTAGATCTGGATACAGAAAATATTGTACGAGGACGCAAGGCTCATATGTTCCAAGGTTTTGTTTCTACAGTGCATTCTTCACGGTTACTTTTGCTCCTCTCCTTACCGTATCTGTTCCAGTTTGTGTGTGAGATTTCTTACAAAACTTGACGACACTAAGATATTGAAGTAAGTACCAATTACACCCGTGTACCACATTGGAAATTCTTTTTAATGATAATGCCTAGCACGTCTGCGACATGGATACTCTGCAGGATAAGACGGACATCCTCAAAGAGCTACACCGAGACCTCGCAAGGAAGTACCAACTGCATAAGGTAGCAATCGAGGAAACATGGCGCTCTCTGGGAAGAAAAAAGCGGGAACAAGTTATCAAAGCCGGATGTGCTGAAGGCGTGGTTCTGAAGACCCCAATGGATCGATCGCTCGGCGTCGTCTGCCACATTATACCAGAGTGGAATCTGCGAGATCTGGCAGAACTAGGGTCAGATTATTTGCTGGATCATTTAAAGCATCGCGCAACCAACTCGCTCTGTGACCAGTATGCCAGTGGCGTGCACGGTGGTCCCGGGGATGCAGAATTCATTATCAATAGTATGAGGGTCAATCGGCTTCGACCTACCCACGCATACCCGTACTCATTCACGTATTTTGTGAATGAAGAAAGATATGGCCGAAGCTTTCGAGCATCAGACCCTGCATATTATCGAGAGATGATGGACAAACTATCAGTGGGTGTTGAAGCTGGAGTAATTGTACCCCAGTATACCGGCGAATTTATTATTGAAAGGCAGCTTAACATGCTACAATTGCTGAATATACTGGTAGGGGACATCCTTGAGCTGCGATCCAGCCTGAAAAAGAAACATACCCAGCAAGAGAAGGACGAGGACACAGCACGTATGGCTTTGAGATCCCTTTCCATAGACCCGAAGCCAGAAAAGCTGCCTTTGACTGAATTGGCTTCCCGCGCTCTGGATCACAAAACGTCCTTGGAGGAGTATGTGGATCTGTGCCGCACAGAGCCAACATGTCTTGCTCCCACAGTAAATCTCTGGTACTTTAGTCGACCTGAGCTTGTTCCCGATGAGAAAGGTCGGGTCCTTCCTGTTATCACAGACAAGTATATTAGCATAGCGATATTCGAAATGGTCCACAATGCTGTTATCGGTGCTGCTGTTTGGGATTACCTTCATCGTCTTCTTCAAACTCTTGTCGATAACAATAAGCAAAATGACCGTGCCTATCGTACCATTATTCTCCAGGAAATTGCGAACATCTCTCACTTTGAGTATCGCCGCGTCCAGAATTTGTTCAAGCGCTTCGTGCAAATGGGTACTGGCTCGAAACACTTCAAACGAGTCTTTGGCGCATACGACAATGGCCATTCGCGGGTCATTATGAAAGTCAAGCCGGACACCTTGACGAGAGTGGACCCTCAGCTTCATTATATACTCAGTCTTTGTAGAGTGGAAACAGACATCTCTCGGGCAATTGACTGGATTCAGAAATTGGATCAATTCCATCAGACCAGGCCGCTAGAAGAGGATAGAATGTGTTTAGGAGAATTCAACATCTTTGGGGAACTAGCCATCATCACCAGCTTCTTTTCTTCGTTGTCAAGGTCTCTTTCATTGCCCCCAATCAACTCTAAGAAAGGGCAAACGTACATCACCAGGCTGAAATCGTTGGGCAACGATATTGAATCGCTTAAAACAAAGGTTGACTTGTTGGAATTTGCCACCCCTATCAATAATCTTTTAGAGCCAGGGATGACGGAGGGAGCTATAAACGTGCTGGACCAATGTATTGTGGAAAATGCAGGAGCCGACTTGGCACTCCTCTATAAAGAATTGAATGAGGACTGCCTCTTGGATATGCAGGAAAGAAATGAGGAGCAAAAGGCAACTGCTGCACAGAATGCAAATACGGTGGTCGAACTCCGAAATAAAGAAAACATATGTCCAGCAGTGCAGGTTGAGCAGCGAAAGGAGAAACAGAAGACCCGTCCAGCACATTCATCTATTTACAGCAGCGTAGCCCCGGCTTCCCCAGCAAATTCGAGTATCAAACAGTTTGAGGAACATTCAGTGTTCAAGGTGAAGTCCGCAACGTTTGAGATATTCACAATATTGCTTTTCAAGCCAGAAACTAAGAAGTCAATCCACTGGTCTGCATTCGTAGCAGCTATGAGCGATATGAAGTTCTCCATTCTGCCAAAATTTGGATCGGTCTATACATTCCTTCCTCCACATGACTGCAATGTCCAGAAATCCTTCACGTTCCATCGGCCTCATGGCTCACGTATTGAGGGATTCGGACTTCTCTGGCTAGGACGCCGATTGAAAAGAGTATATGGGTGGGATGAGAGATCATTCAGCATTGCAAAAGACAACAAAGCATAAATTTCAAGAAGCACTGATGATACTCAGCAGGCATATGCTAGTTTTATGCATCGCTTTAGTATTCGGGCGATTTGATTTTCCATTGTTCCAAAATACCTGGCATTATAATGACCCAAATAGTTGTTTATGAGTGTGACATGGAGGAAAGTGAGTAAAATGTCTTTAAGCAGACTGCTTTTACCACCCTGTTTGTTTTATACTCATTCTATTATTATACCTGTATTCACTATCCAGATAGCAAATCCAATTCGTCGAGATGTTGAGAACTCTTGTTCCTCCAACAGGACTCATCACTGATATCCTGGCGGATCTCCATCAAGTAATCCTGTATCACATAGACTACAGCCATCTTGCTGTGGACGTCCCGATGGGCGCCGTCCTGCACACCATGAATAAAGGCGAGCAAAAAATCGTCCTTAAGAATCGAGTTTTTTCTAATGTGCTCCATCGTCTGTTTGGCGGCCATTTCGAGCTCCTCCCAACTGCTGTAATACGTCATTTTCGGGCCGCCCCCCGTTCCCGTGTCTCCTATTTAAATAGTACGATACTTCTGAATTGAATTGATCTTTGTTTTTCATAGCTCTATGGTTTTGTTAATGATTATAAGTGTCTCGGTTGTTTATGTCCAAGCTTTTAAGTTTGCCCCAAGCAACAGATATTATGCAATAGCAACGGCAGCTATGTACACATAACTTTGATTTCATCCCGAAAATAAAGGCATCTTGTTGTCTGCCAGCAGAATACTGTATATACTCCATGTTTAACAACTCCTGGTAAGAGGTCAGAATCTAAATATTTATCGCAGGCCTACATGCAGTCCTCACTTCCGCCCGCAACTTTCGTGCTTCTCTAGATCTGATTATGTGCCTTGCTGCGGTCCATCACCGCTCGCAGCTGTTGAGGATAACTCCGAACTCGGTTGCACATCACACGATGCTGGTAATTCCTGAGGTACGCCATGATTAAGCCATCTCTCAGACGATCCCGGCATTTCAAACACTCCAGCTGGCACTCCAAACGGATACGGAATTGGATCTCTATAATCGATGCCACTCTCAGAGATAGTATTCCTTTGCACATCAGCGTCAATTCGCGGTGACGGCAGGTATGCTGAGCTGGAAAATCGACTTGACATGGCGGAGATGCCGGCGCTTGTCTCATTCGCAGGATATTGATACGAAGCATGTCCATAGTGATCAATTGGATCTTCTGAGTATATATTCTCTTCCAGAACTGGAGTGCGCCATTTCTCTCGGTGTTGCGATTGATTCTGTGATCTGGAACGAGTGATCCTCCGGGAAAATTTGGGTATTGATGGTGATGCTACCGGACATATTCCGAGTCATTAACTCCAGCACACAAGGGAGATAGATACTGCACAAGAGGAAATGGAAGAATGAGTACATACCGGTCATATCTTCTTCCAGAAGGCATCTTGGGAATCCGCTGATTGGGTAGTATGTGGGTTCATTTCGATTTCCGTCGAGGCAGAGAAAAATCTCAGTCTCTGCCATTCTCTGCGTTAGACGCACCTCTATCTTGCCCATTGAAAATTGACAGTCACGGATCATTGAACGGATGGTTTGGTCCTCAATTACAATAAATTGCTCATCCCTTTCTCTGCGCCGCTCTCGGATCATAAAGAATGGCTGGTGTCCATCTGTTTGTGATCCAGAGCGACCCCGATTGAACGTGTTCTTTGACAGCTGATGGAATGATTCACCCAAACGACGAATTTGCTCCGAACCCCAGGCAAATCTACAAAGAATGTTGCCTTTTAGTGAGACAGAGCCATCGTCGTTCTCAATCATGTTGGGAGCTATAAGGGGTTCGAAATAAAAGGAAGACGCAATGAGACGATCGGCAATGGATCTGATGAAATCCCTGTCCTTTGTGAATCTGGATCGAGCCATGTCACTCAGTTGATCAATGGCCTTGACATCCTCTAGTTTGGGCGGGTCACTGTCTAGGGCTAGGTTTGCCCGGATGTACCTGTCGAACCTTGGTGGTGGGGGGTTTTTTTCGAAGTACGTTTTCCAGGTCCGCTCCGAGTTCAAGCTGCTATGAATATGATCAATGGCTATCTTAGCAAGTGATTTGAAGTGAGAAACCACCCCCCAGCTGGACGGCCTCGAAGGCAGATGAGGCTCCTGAGCTAGTGCTTTTGGCTTATAGCCAGTGCCCACCGAGAGGAAAACGTCGGGATGTTGATTCTCTAACGTATCCGGCCATAGTAACCTCCGCTCTCTAATGGCAATCTCCATGGGATTGTTGTAATATATGGCACCGTCTTGATAGCCCTGCCCGGATGGACTATGGAAAAACGGCTTGAAAATCGTCGGAGCAGCAGACGTCGCCCTGGCCGCTTCCCAAATCTTCATCTCATTCTCGGGCTTTTCGGACCGATAGAACCTATACGACAGTTCATCCACAGCACTGTGTCGGTTGTAGTTGGCAAGAACCGTGACGGAGCCTGCTGTGGTTGTTGTCGGCACCGCCACTTTCGTAAGTCGTCTCAAGCAAGCCGAGTTGATACCTTGTCGAGGTCCACCAAAGAGTCGATCCTCACCATAAAATGTTCTGAGCGCGTATTCCAGTGGCCTGGTTTCGAATTGACTATGCTTGGAGGCCGAGATGATCTGTCCAATTCCCGGAACTCCTATCCCCTTCCTCTTAGTAAATGCTTCGTGGCAGAGGGAACGGAAGGCCACGGTGCAATCCTGGACGGAATTTCCACAGGCTCCTAGTCCTAGAGCAATAATTCCACCCGTACTTGTTCCCACAATGAGATCAAAGAAGTCTTGGATATACAGCCCATGGCCCAGAGCGCGCTCAATCTGTTGCAGAATCGTCAGTTCTACAATCCCTCGTACACCTCCTCCGTCTAGAGTCAGAATCCGGGTTCCGGCTCGAGGGGGCTTAATTGATATTGGCCAAAATGGTGGACACTCGCCCTCACTGGGTATTGTAAGTTTGGTGATAACAAAAGGGGCTAAAGGCACAGATATAGTGCTATACTTACTTCTCAAGAAAATGCAAAGGACAGGATAAGATCTCAAAGTCATACTTCCCCTTCTTTGCCCCAAATATCTTAACACAGGGGGTGCATAGGACGTGGCCACAAGGCAATAGATGCTCCGGAGGTTCCACCAGACAGGCATAGCACGCTGTATGGCTCACAAATTCCTTTGGTCCCCCAAGATGATGATAGAAATTCTTCAGGACGGAGTCTCGGTGAATCAATGCTGCTTCTCTTAGTTCAAGTTCGGCGGAGCTTCCCATTGCATTTAGTAACTTCTGGCGTAGAAAGACCAGATTTGTGAAGATCATGGAGCGGAATGTTTGTCGAAACTCTCCAGCAGAAAACGACGATTGGTACTCTTGAACTGCCAGAACACGACCGTCTTTTAACTGGTGACCCTTTGCATGGTGGCCGCTTCGGACATTCACGCACCGTCCTTCGGTACTCACATACTCGCAAGGCCAGTGGCGGTCACAAAAGTCATCCAGAGCGTCGTCAAAGTGCTCGAGATACTCTGGGAATACACTCTCCGCAGGGCCTACAATTCTAATGAGTTAGTGGCGGTACAACAAGACCTATAAACTCAGCAAAGACATCTTTCTTACCTAAAGTCTTTCGCCGAGCTGAGTCCAGCATAACACAGGATGCAACGATATAGCTGAGCTCTTTGAATATAGCCGGGCCATCAAGCTTGTCTTTCCATACATCCAGGATATTTATCGCCAGCTTCAGAATATTTCCTCCGAAATCGGAGTGGATGGGACTATTGGCAAACGAGGCCTGGACGAAATCGAATGGCAGTTCCAAGTCGCATGTGAAATGGTCGAATGCCTGTTGCAAATAAGGCTGAAGTTCGTCCGAATTCAAAAGCATCCTGAGCTAGAGAGCGCGACTGGAGTCAGAAAGATACGAGGTAATAGCCCAAAAGGAGGGCGGAGAAGAAGAGAAAACGTACTTTACGTTTAGCTTCCAGTGACTCTAGGCATGCCCTGTTAATTTCCTGGTACAGACGCTCGATCTGCTCGTTGATCAATTTTGGTCGTCCTCTTTCTGGGATACGGACAACTCTGATCGTTGAGTAATAGGAGAGGAGAAGATCTCTAATGCAAGTAATTCGTCTCTGTCTAGGTGCCCAGAATGCCACTCGCTATATGAGCGGGGTCAGTATGGTCCATTCGCTATATTCGGAGTGATTCAAACATACAGCCCGAAGGTTGTGGTTTCTCTCAATTGCCTCGTTCATATTGTCCATGAGATGTTCCGTTGACTGATCAATATCCCATAAACGGGGATCTGTATTGTTCTCGGCTGCATTTAGGATGATGATGGCATGAGGAAGAACTGGTTGGTTGGAGGATTTCTCCAAGGCTGCCGATGCCCATTCTATTAGTTGGTCGACCACATTTTCAACAACCCTGATGCAGAAATAAATGCGCACATCAGCTTGGTTTCCCAGTGAAATAACCAATCCAGCACCTACCTAGGGTTCTTAGTCACAAAGACAATTGTGTCTGAGAAAGTGTATAGCAGACGAGGGTACAGATTACGAACTATATACTCGCGGCTTTTGGTTCTCTCAGTAGTCGCCCATATGATATCACGCTCGGATGGGCTGGAGCGTGTCCTGATTTCCTCAGGGACCTGATTTGCAGCTATTCTTCGCGCGGTCTTCATGAATTTTACACCCATCGGGGCTCTTTCGCCGCCATCCAGACCCTCGCAGTCTGCGTAGAGAATTGGATTTGCCGTATCTGCCGAAACTGGGTCGGAATAGAGGTGAACATCTCCCGATGTTGGGAGATCTTGATGCTTGATTGACCCCACAACAGGAACCTGTCTCTTCTGCTGAGAAGCTGATTGAAGCTGCGGGTGAATCAATGGGTGAGTTTGCATATGAGGAGAGGGGATCAACAGACCTCAATTAGAAGCTTTACCAAAGTGCTCTTCCCAGCCCCCGTCTGTCCAACGAAGGAAACCAAACTCGGGTATCGCAGTTGCTTCCTACGCGAAGACATCTCAGCCATCTCAGCCATTAAATTGGCATATCTTCCATGATCCTGGAAAATCATATCATCATCCTCGTCCCTGATAGTTCCGAACCACGAAGAATCCTCATCTTGCATATGCATCCAAGCTTGCGTTTTCTCATCCACTTCGATCTCCAGTGTCTGCTCAATAATTTTGGCAAGCTTGGGATCTGTCATTTCATGTGGTATACCTCCTTGAACACGCTGTCTTGTGTGTGGGGGGGACTTGATCCAGCAATTTGCACAAAATACATGACCGCAAGGGTAGCAAAAGAAGCATTTCCCATTATACGCAGGATATTTCCCACAATAGCACCTTTCCTCATCCTCTGACTCTCCATTTGGATTATCTGCGCATTCGGCTCTGTCCGCATAATTCGGCTCGTCGGTGGAAAGTGAGAGCAGAGGGCCTTGGGGCTCTACTCCCTGCGTTTTTGGCTTCATTACGCTGTCCATCTGATCACGAAACATCGGACTATGTGGGACCGTATAACATCAGCGACTTGTTATAATTACATCCAGGATTGGAAGAGAGTTGGACTACCTACGACACATCACTTAGATTGTCAATGTCTAGCAGACTATACTGTCGAGCAAGGCTCCGGGCTAGCTCTTCGTCGCTGGCATTACAGTTAGACAGTGAACGTCCTGACAAAGTACAGGGCACTTCGAACCTCTTCATGTAATGAACAGGCATCTGGGGTGGGCCTTTGACAAGACTCGGTCGCATGAAATGTGACTGAACATTGGCCGGTTTAAGTATATTTTGCATATCTTCTGATACTTCCGAGCATTGACTTGACCATACCGTTGGCGTTGTAGACTCGACAGGCGATAAATCAATTAATGATTCTTCTTGTGGATCTTCAAACACCGACAGTGCGTCAAACGCAGCGGACCCTGCTCTGCTTAATGCTTCTTCATGGGTGTTTATCCGAATATTGGGAGAGTCGCTCGGTCCGGGCAAATTCGTGGCCATTGAATATAATCCATAGCTTCTGCGAGTCCCAGGGTCTGGGACATGGGCCTCACTGGGATTCTGTGCAGAGTTCGCCCGCAGATGTTTCGGCTTGACAGGAGGTTTCGGAGGCATCTCTAGGATATCATGGTTGTTTGAAGAGGGATCTGTCGTAGAATTTTTTTTTTTCTTAGCTGTCTAGACACAATAATAGTAACGAGGGTAGAAGTAACAAGATTGATGCCTCGTAAGCAATCTCGAGGCGAGGCGGACGTTTTCTCTCACCTTTCAGCCGAGTCGCCTCACCAGCTCCCCTGTCGAGGCGGGGTAAAAGGTCATTTGCTGACAATATGCAGCTTATTTTAGTTCGTCATCCGAAGAATATGATTCAAGTGCCCATCCTATGAATAAAAATAAGTCTCTTAAGAAGAGTTGCAAGGTTGTTTAGGCTCGTATTTGTTAAATGTACTACGACGAGATTCGTTGGGCATTACAGAATATCGATATCTACTTCGTTGTTAACATCACAGCTAGCATAACAGCCAGACAGGCAGCAAGCAGGCTGCTCTGAATGTGTTTGGCCGAATTCTTCTCGGCGTTCTTATCATCGCCAGGATTCTTATCCGTTACTAACTTCAGGGAGAACGTCCGGTCCACAAGGCTGTTATTTCCCTTCCCCATGAATACAGTCAGCACTTTGGTAATCTTATACACCTCCTTGATAATGGTATCGGTAGTATATTCCTCTGCAGGATACGTATTTAGTCAGGGGACAGAAGAAAGGGAAAATGCATTATCTTCCACTCCGAGGCGTCCGAGGAGTTCAAGGATCGCTATAATCGGTGCGCGACTAGCGCAGCGAGGGAAGGAAAGCCTGCAGTTGAAGGTATGGCGTATAGCTGGTGTATAACTAGCGCCTTGGCAAGCATGTGGGGTTTAACCCCTGAAACTTCCCTTTTCCTGTAACTATTCCGGCAAGAGACTGCTCAATCTACGTCTTGTCTCCTTTCAAAGGCTATCTTTCCCTGAATCCATAACATCTAGTAAATAAGATTTCATTGGCCTGTCCTGGCACCTCTCACATATATATGATAGATTGCTATGTACCTAGTTTTAATACAGCGGGCAACCCGGGCGTCGGTGATGAACGGCCCCGTAGAAGACTGGAAGCACAGAGCTACAACTGAATCAGTGTAAATAATTTAAACCCCTACTACTATCCTCGGGGCCGTCCCGCCGTGCAACTGAATATTAGTGCTTACATTGATTACATAGATCGACCGGAATTCACCGGTAGCGTCTCGAATCTATCTGGCCTATTTAGACATCAAGATCGGGTGAAGCCACTGACTAAGTTATAAACCGCCATTCTTGCGTAGGTCGATTGATTTACCCTTATTGGCTTGTTATACCTTTCTCAGCTGCAATCAGCTCTACTCCTCTGTCACTAATGAGAAAAGTATCCGTTCACTGTACTGACAATCCCAGTCAATGATGACTGACAGGTCTAACTTGATTACACCCACTACAACCCAGATGGAGTAGTATGTCTCTTTACGGTCTTCATATGTATCAGCCAAAGCAATTACTTTAAACGGCGTGCTTGTGGTTATTTCATTTCAGTCGAGGGATTCCCCCTGGGTTTGCTAGCATCGATGCAACGACGGTCTTCATCACAGTTATATCGGTATTACCAGTGCTAAACTGGCATCGCAGACTAGTCCCATCCTCCTCCATAGAATATAAGAAGATATATAATTACTAAATATTAAGTTTAAACTAAAATATTAAATTGTTTTAAGGTCTCCCTAAAGATGTGATTGCAGTGTCACGGGCTAGATGGCAGTGCGTCCTGTCAAGCACGGTACGTACATAAAGAATCGTTGGGGAAGGAAAATAAGTAGGGGAGCCCTTCTCATGAATAGTTAAATTAACTCATTTGTCCTCGCTTCGGCGACCAATGATGGATTTTGTGATACGTCTCATCAGACCGATTCCAAGTCCGCGCGACGGCTGGTAGCCTGAGCCTCCTCCGGGTATCAGTCCCTCACATGCAGTTATTTAGAAGTGGCTAAAATAGATAACAAATTATCTATGCGAACCAGTTCATCTGAAAAACGCATAATTTTACTATCTTTTAGTGTAATTTAAATGCGCGTTATGGTGGTTGAAATAACAAAGTAGTCAATATTGACCATTACGTGACTCGCTCGCCCGACATTTATGTTACAAGAGATTTGTCAGGATTACATCCCGTTGTCAGGAGATCTCATCCCACTTATCTATAGGAGACATAGACATTATTTAAGAAACGCACTGAGTCATCATATATCTGATCCCTTAATTTGACGTCAATAAATATGGAAGGAACTGCAGCAGAGTTAGACTTTAAACACAAAAGAGGTAATAGAGGGATAGAGATCTTACGTTCGAGCCATCCATGGAGGCAATCGAAGAACATGCTGTCGATATAGTAAGATTCTTTAGCAGCCATGGGCCAGTCTTGCTTTGCAGACATTTCTAATGCCTGATCGGAGAGATTTCCTCGTGGTAAATTGCTTGAAAGTTTAATCCTGTGGTTAATTGCCGCAGCCTCCTTTTCTAATCTATCCACAAAGACTGTTTGCTCATGCAGAAGGATATCAATCTTCGCACCGACAAACAGCATATTTCGCGGCAGAGACTCAATATCTGCCAGAATGGGATGTAGCAATGGATTCTCTCGGTACTTCTCTCGCTCTGGACCCGCATACGCGTCCATCAATGGCAAGATAAAAGCTAGGGGATCCTTTTCTGGAAAATTGGCTGGCTTCGGCTTCTCCCACGGCGGTAACCGCAGATCGACCTAAACATATGCAATAAGACATTTACTCAAACACAAGTTAATAATAGGGCTTTGACTTACTGGTGCATAAAACGTCACCGACGCCTTGACACAAAATTCTGACTGAGCTAACCACTGCGCAACCCCTAATGCCAGGTTTCCACCAGCCGAAAACCCGCTTACGCTCATCAGTCTTGGATCCGCACCCCAAAGTCTCTCGGCATTCTGGATCAACCACTCTGCTACATCTTGGACGTCCTCATGCGCAGCCGGGAAGGTATACCGTGGTGCATAACGGTGTGATGTTGAAATCACCACTGCTCCAGTCTCTGTCGCCACTCTTCGACAAAACTGTGCATTCGCTTCCGGTAGACCACCTATAAATCCGCCGCCGTGGATGTTGAGATGAAGAGCCCTTCGTTTGCTCTGCATTCCTCCCTCTGGAGGATGATATAGGATAGCGCGAACGGAGTGGCCTGGTGCACGTTTTAGTGGAATCCAGATGACAGTATAATGGTCTTTAGAGAACAACGCGGCTCCTCGAAAAGTTTGGACAGCGTTTGTGAGGAAGACAATAGGTTGGAGGGCCACCAGACGCCAGCGAATGGTGAAAGGTAGTGATGGGCATAGGAAGGCATCGTATAGAGGGCCAAACCATCTGTAAAGGAGAGACATGGTAGGTTGATTAACTATAGAAGAGAGATGAGTGAACAAAGTGGAGTTGCCGATAATTCATAGCTAATATATAACGATGTTGAGAAAGAGGTGAGTTCGTATTCGGCCTCAGTAGTTTCCGTAACTACCCGGTTCTACGTGATTGGCCAGCCGAAGCCTTGCTCCATCTCCAGCATTCGAACAGGCTAAGCATTTGAATATCTTGGTTGTGATCAAAGAAGTCCTGTTCTTCTAATGTCTTTGGAGTCGGGCTTGCAATGTCTGCTATGGCCCGTTAGGACACTTGCCGGCGCTATGCATGATGATGGTCAGGTACACTCCTGGCGATGGATCAAGTCAGTCGTTGGTTGCTGTTCAGTAAGTGCTCTGTGTTGTAAGTCAGAGGAAGATTGTTGTTGTTATGCTTATCTGTAAATTTGAGGTTTATATACAAGATAAGCATCCGATTGATTTCCAATCAATCTGGTTCTATAGAATTTATTCCATATCATGATGTTCAACGGTAATGCTGATCCCATTCCGTTAGACCACTCACGTTCCACTTCGATGCAGCCAACATTTGATATTACGTATATTATCTTTTCGCATATATTTAGATGCGAACATGTCGTAGAAAGAACCCAGTCAGAGTAGGGCTGCTGTCAGAAGAGGACTGTAATCACGAAATGACCGTGGTCACAGAAGGACTGTTATTATAGAGGACTGTCGTCACAGAGCTTCATCGTCTATTGAGATCCATTGTCCGTCTGGACGTCTTTGCCAGTCTAAACCCCTCTGTCTGTTCGAATGTCTGCGGCCTAGCGGACAAAAATTTTCATTGAGGATATGTAGGCCGTTTTGTATGATTATCGTGAAATATACCTTCTAGAACAAGTATCTGATGCACTATCCAATCATAATCCATATGAATAGGGTCTGAAGTGACCGGTTTCGCCGGGCGCCACTGCAAGAGTTAGAATTACATTGTCGATGGCACAAACCCCCACAGCAGTTCACTGCGGTACCTAAATCAGGTTGGAGCAATTACAATAAACCAACGAAAGCCAGTTTCTGACTGCGGATATGTATGCTTGGCTAGCCTGCCCAGTGGTTATCACTAACTGCAAGGCGCTAATAGCGCCTTGCCAAATCTTACTGGAAATCTGTACACTCCTGGCTGTGGCGCTAAAAGGGGACCTTATTTCCCGTACCTGATTCCGTGTGGGCTCTCCAACGGTTCTGTCACGAGAGAACCAAGAAAGCTTGGTGCATTAATTTATAAAGTTAGCTACTTACACCAGTGCGATTAGACATGGCAATTAGTGAGTAAAAACAATGTAAACAAATCATTCAAGCCATTTGTTGAATTTCTGGATAGCTCTGTAATAACAGCCTAGAGCCTATAATATCTAATATAGGCATATTCTACATCCTCGACCTCAGTATTGAAGTCAGGGGAGCGTAGCCTAGGACCAGCCAAGTTGCCCTTATGTAAAATGAATCAAAATGAACCTACTCTCTGCTCAGCTTCTACGGCTCCACCGATAGCAATTCGTCCACTGGGATATACTTCGGACTGGTTGGATTTGCTCGCTTAATTTCTGAGTCCAAAGTGCCGGCTGAAGTCGAGTATGTCTATTCAGTCCTTTATTTTTTTTTTTTTTTTTTTTTTTTTTTTTTTTTTTTTTTTTTTTTTTTTTTACCTATAATCTTTAGCTACATCCGACTAGGTATACAGCGGAAGATCTTCTCAAGAAACTTGATTCTCGTAGAGAGCTATACAGTGAATTTATTTAATAAGTAACCAGGCCTCTGTACCAATTCAGCATAAAAGTACCAGCAGGACTCCTCCTATAATTAGCAGTTAGGAACCTAAGAAGAAGCGGGCCTATTCGTTCATATCACCTTCGATATACTCAGCGAATTCTTTAAATTGAGCATGGCTTAGATGAAGGTATTTTTGGAACCATTTTATATGGGAAGAGCACCTAGTCTTCCAACGCCAGCCGAAGTTCAACCCATCACAAGTCGGGAATATCCGCCCAGGCAATCCGAGAGTTGTGGTTATTGACTGCCAGATGCTTACTGTGTATATCTCTTTGTAACGCGCGACGGGGGGACTGAATCCCGAATACTTTGCTGATATGGAGGAAAAATGTAAAATTAGACTCACTCCGGACCCCCTTTAATAGAAGTGGCAACACAATCGGAAGTAAGAGAAATCAATTAATCTATCTTGCACTTTTATTTTCATATTCTTAGAACATTTATTTTAATGTCAGGATTTCATCTGTATACACGATGACTAAACTGCCCTTATCCACGCATCAAGTATCCTCAATAGAGTTCCAAATACCATAAACCAGTCCTACATGCTGGCAAGATACTGTGCAATTAGGGAATAATTGTCAATTATCTCATTTTATTGGTTTAACAAATGCATGACGTTCGTTGTCTCGCTCACCACCGCACGTCATGGAGACGTCATTGGCTTCAGATACCCGAGGGTACATGCCGGACACATCAGTGGGAATTATATCATCGACCACCAGACCTGTTTTTATTTAAGACATGAGGCTTATCGTCTATCGATTGAGTTATTAGCCCTTGGTCGATTTAATTCTAGATCTAGATCATATAGCCGCAGCATCTATCCCTTCATCAATATACATCGATGGCACCAAATACCGATCTCAACATCTCCGCCTACGGAGCCGCTCGCTCCACGGTAGAAGACACCCCCCTGAGCACCGAGGAAGTCCGCAAGACGAACGCCTACTTCCGCGCCAGCTTGTACCTCTGTCTGGGGATGTTGTACCTGCGCGACAATCCGCTTCTCCGGATCCCCTTGAAGCAAGAACACATCAAGACTCGTCTCCTGGGCCACTGGGGCTCCGACGCAGGCCAATCCTTCACCTGGATTCACATGAACCGACTAATCAAGAAATACAATCTGGACGTGCTTTTCGTTTCCGGTCCGGGACACGGCGCCCCGGGCATTCTCTCCCAGTCGTATCTAGAAGGCGTATATTCCGAAGTGTATCCGGATAAATCGGAGGATGAAAAGGGGATGCAGAAATTCTTTAAACAATTCTCCTTCCCGGGGGGAATAGGCAGTCATGCGACGCCGGAAACACCGGGGAGTATTCACGAGGGAGGGGAATTGGGGTATTCGATTTCACATTCCTTCGGGGCTGTATACGATCATCCGAACCTAATTACACTGACCATGGTAGGAGACGGGGAGGCAGAGACCGGTCCTCTAGCGACGAGCTGGCATAGTACCAAGTTTCTGAACCCTTGTACAGACGGCGCCGTCCTGCCGGTCCTCCATCTGAACGGATACAAGATCAATAACCCGACTGTGTTCGCGCGGATCAGCCATGAGGAACTATCTGCCTTGCTGGTGGGATACGGATGGACGCCGTATTTCGTGGAAGGCAGCGATCTAGATACCATGCATCAAGCGATGGCGGCGACGCTGGAACACTGCGTTCTGGAGATAAAGAAATTCCAAAAACAAGCCCGAGACTCCGGAAGGGCATTCCGTCCTCGCTGGCCGATGATCATTCTGAGGACCCCAAAAGGCTGGACAGCCCCTCGTCACGTCGACGGGAAACTCCTCGAGGGATTCTGGCGAGCGCATCAGATTCCCATCACTGACGTGAACACTAACCTGGAACATTTAAAGCTCCTCGAAAAATGGATGAAGAGCTACAAACCCGACGAAGTCTTCGATAAAACCGGTCGACTTATCCCAGAACTAAAGGCCCTGGCACCCACTGGAAACGCTCGCATGAGCGCAAATCCCGTCGGAAACGGCGGTATCATCCGTCGTCCTCTGGATATTCCTGATTTCAGGACCTACGCGCTCCGGGGCATCGATCCGGGGATCTCCGTCCGAGGAAGCATGGCCAATATGTCCATGTTCCTTCGTGACGTGATCGCTCAGAATATGAAGACCTTCAGACTGTTCGGACCGGATGAGACGGAGTCTAACAAACTTGCTGAAGTATACAAGGCGGGGAAGAAAGTCTGGATGGGGGAGTACTTCGAAGAAGACAAAGACGGGGGAAACCTCGCAATGGATGGTCGAGTCATGGAGATTCTCAGTGAACATACCTGCGAAGGATGGCTAGAGGGGTACATTCTCTCCGGCCGACACGGTCTACTAAACAGCTACGAGCCATTCATCCACATCATCGACTCAATGGTGAACCAGCACTGCAAATGGATCGAGAAGTGTCTAGAGGTGGAGTGGCGCGCGAAAGTCGCATCACTGAACATTCTCCTCACTGCAACAGTCTGGCGACAAGACCATAACGGATTCACCCATCAGGATCCGGGGTTCCTAGACGTGGTAGCGAATAAGAGTCCCGAGGTGGTGAGGATCTATCTCCCACCGGACGGAAACACCCTCCTATCCACCATAAACCACTGTCTCTCCAGCGTCAACTACGTCAACGTTATCGTCGCCGACAAACAGGAACACATCCAGTTCCTGAACATAGACGAGGCAATCGAGCACTGCACCAAGGGCGTCGGGATCTGGGACTGGGCCAGCAACGACCAGGGTCAGGAGCCGGACGTGATCATGGCGGCCTGCGGGGATGTTCCCACGCATGAATCGCTAGCTGCCACGGCGCTGCTGCGCGAATACCTTCCCCAGGTGAAGGTGCGGTTCGTGAACGTGTTGGACTTGTTCCGGTTGATATCCGGGGTAAATCATCCTCATGGGATGACGGATCGACAATGGAAGGCTGTGTTTACTGACAACACGCCCATTATATTCAATTTCCATTCGTATCCGTGGTTAGTCCATCGTTTGACGTACAAGCGACCCGGTCAGCATAATCTGCACGTCCGAGGGTACAAGGAGAAAGGGAATATCGATACGCCATTCCAGCTGGCTGTGCGGAACCAGACGGATCGATATCGTCTCGCTATTGACGCTATTGATCGTATCCCTTCCCTGGGGAACACGGCCGCCGGGGTTCGTGACCGGTTCATCAATCTGCAGCTGGCGGCCACGGCGGAAACTTTGGATAATGGCATTGATCCGGAATACATTCGTAATTGGAGGTGGCCCCACCGGGAGAAGAAGCGGAGGACGAGTGTATTGTATGAGGGCACCGATAAGCTCGTGTAGTGAAGTTACTAGGAGATTTCATGAATAATGTGCAGCAGTTAGTGATTTCAGGAAAGGAATGGGTTCTCAGATCTCACATTCCAATCTATGTAGGTAATTCTACGGTCATGCCATTCGGCAATACATCTTGCTATTACTATGTAAAATGCAGCTAAGCATAGAATATTAATCCACTGACAGTCAGTCGTAACATGGCTAGACATATAACTGTTATCTGACCACGCACCAGACGACCCATACATAACCCATGCATGTCCCATCCATTACATCTTCTCACCAGTCCCAGCAACCTTGATGTTCCCCTCGACAATCTCCTGCTCCAACTCTTCCAGTCGGCTGCGCTTGTTCAGCTTGCGCCAGGCCGGAATTCCGCTGTCAAAGACCTCGTCCATCTCCTCGAGGGTGTAGCCCTTGGTCTCGGGCGCTGTTAAGAACATGTGGACAAAAGCGGCTGTATTAAAGGCGGCGAACTAGACAAGGTTAGTTCTGTCCAAGTTCATAACCCCGGAGAAGAGGCTCACAATCATGTACATCTTCCAGTTAATTGACCACAAAAGAGGAGGCACAAAAAGCGCCAGCAAGCAGTTCCAGGTCCAGTTGGAGGCGGTGGCCAGCGACACGGCTTTGGCACGCACCTTGGCGGGATAGATCTCCGCCGGGTATGTCCACGAGGTCGGTCCAATGGTGGTGGCGAATGAACACACGAAGAGATATGACATGGCAATAATCGCCTTGCCGACGGCGGGATGGTCCGCCACTGTCCACGAGATAGCATCCAGTTTGGGATCCGTGCCTGGGTTCGGCTTTCCATAACCGGCCTGCAGGCCACCCTCGATGTAGAGGAACGCCGCCTGGCAGGCGAATCCAACGAGGATGGCGGGACGACGGCCGATCTTGTCGAGGAACAGAATCGCCGGCAGCGTGAGGGCGGTGTTCAGAATGTATTGGATGGATGCCGTCAGCAAGGGGGAGCCCGTGCCGGTACTTTGCATGATGTACACGATGTAGTACATCATGACGTTCATGCCACACAGCTGGGACCACATCTGCAGACTCATGCCCAGGACCACACGCTTAAGGATGCGCGGCTTCATCAGCTCCTGGTAGCTGGTGCGGGACTGCTCCTGCTCAAGGGCCAGAGCCTCCTGGATTTCGCGATACTGCGCCAGCACCTTAGGATGATTCACGTCGCCATTGCCGTGCAGGTTCGCCAGGACCTCCATGGCCTCCTCCCAACGATCCTTACTGGCCAACCAACGGGGCGACTTGGGGAAGAAGAACAGTCCGAAGAAGAGGATGAATCCAGGGACCATCTGGATACCCCAGGGGATCCGGAAGGCAGCGGTACTCTGGTTTGGGCTGTCGGGACCTCCGTCGACATTACTAGCACCATATTGCTGCGGGAGGCACGCGTGAGCCGACAGTCACCCGTGGATGAGGATAGGAGGCTTACGATAAAGTACTGGATGAGAATACCCCAAGTAATCGCCCACTGCTGGAAGGAAATGACGCGACCACGGATCTCCTTGGGTGCCACCTCGGCCTGGTAGACGGGCACCATGGCGGAGGCAATACCGACACAGAGACCAGCAATCACACGGCCCACAACCAGCAGAGCAATTCCATTCGAAGCACACATGAAGCTGATATAGCGTGTCAGCATGATGGGAGACGCGCAGAGAGAGTAGGAACCACCTACATCGAACCTAGGATCCATAAGATCGAGGAGAATTGGACGGCGGTGACACGGGAGTACTTATCGGCGATGAAACTCGAGCACAAGGCACCGACGAGAGAGCCAAAGGGCATGGCGCAAGTGATGGCACCCTGTCAGGATTAGACTCGAACCCTCCTGGTTCAACAACGCGACTCACCTGTTTATACTGGCCCGAGCCGACGCGGAAGTAGTTTGTGTACGCATTGGTCCCGAGAACCCCTGGAGAGTTAAATGAGAAGACAAAAGAGAATACAAGTTACTTACCACTCATGGAAGAGATATCGAAGCCAAAGAGACCACCACCGAGGGTGATGAAGCTGCAAAGGAAGTAGACATTGTAGAATTTCTTCATCTTGCCGACCTGTCAGGAGGCAGAATCCAGCCAGCGGGGATCTTAGAGGAAGACCACGAGGGAGGAGGCGTTTAAAAGCAAGAAAGGAAGAGGGAAGGAAGGATCAAGAGGGGCCAAGGGGTCCCAGCTCGAAGAACAAAGACCAGGCGACGAGTGAATCGCACGTCGCCTGATGCCGTGCGCAGTGAATGGCAAGTGGACAGACGCATTGGCGCAACGCCACCAAAACAGCCGGCGGCTTGGTGGTTGGCGATGATTTGGCCATCAGACTCGTGTTGTCGCTAGGTGAGAATTTTTTGGGATTTTTCCGCCTTTTTCGCATTTCCCACGCGGCTTGCTCCGTCTGGGGAATCCTCCTTGGCTTGCTTAAACTTGTGGAGAGATTTCAGTTGTGGAGAAGTTGGAGATACTGATCAGAGTGGATGCTTCTGATCCCTCGTGCCTTGGCGTCAGCAGAATAAAACAGGTCAGACTCCATGTTGAGGTCACTCGAGGTTACATCCCCTTTTCCCCGCCTTTCGCTAAGACTTAAGTTTTATCGCTTTTCGGGTCTGGATGGATTCTCTGGGTTGTACGTGGCACAGCGTCACATTCACGATCCTTCCATGAGTTGATTATTGGCTGTCAGCTTAAGTGATCAGGTCAGACTAACTAGCTACATGCTAGTTTATCGACTTTAATGTTCTGCATTATGATTGGCGTCTGTTTAGATATCTGTACAGTACCTCAGGATATGTTGTTGCACATGTTAGATGGAGTTCTCCTCTACAAAATAAAATCAATAGTAATTAATAATAAAGACAAACAATAAAAGAACAATGCTACCCATCTATGTATTCCTTTCTGCTCTCCATCAGTATCCTCTTTAAAAAAGACAAACCATTGTCTACGTCCAGACTTCCCATCATTCCGATATCACAGTCCAAAGCACAATCCTCAGCCTCATATTTCCCCTTAAAAAACAACAAAATGGAGGTCAACATGGACACCCACTGCTACATATGCGGGCTATCCAAAGCCCCAACGATAGACTCCCTCCCTGTGCCTCTGTCCGATGAACCATTACCGTCATCCCACTGGTCGAACTGGGATCCAGCCAAGCAGCGCATCCACGATCCCAAGATCGGCAGTACAGTGGCAGCGGATCCATTCTACCGCACCAGTCAGTCCGTCTCTTTTCTTCTCCTTTCTGTTGTCACTTACTTCCTATATACCAGATACTAAAATACTCAGTCATCAAGGACTTCACCAAACAACCCTCATTCTATGTGGCCGGCGCATTCCAGGATACCATCAAATGGATGACCGAATCAACTGTACCGATAGACAAACACACAACGAGGAAGAGAAACTCCACAGATCCCAAAACCCCCACGGTGGCATTCACCGTCGCGGATCCCCGACAGCGAGATAACTGGGTCTATCACGATCGACTAGGTTTCACGATCCACGAGCAGTGCTGGCGTCTGGTGGGGATTGTACTTGGGCATGCATCGGTGGAGCGAAACCTGGAGATCTTCATCGAGGGGTTGCAGACGGTATGGAACATTGCTTTGTCCTGCCAGGTGCATCGTCGACAGGCTCTGGATCCAAATCCGACAAGTTCAAGTTCCAACCACGGTTCGGGTCACCTCGTTGATCCTGTACATATTCCAGAGCTCCGGGGGGCAATTTCCATCGCGATGGAACGGGCATCAGGATCAGCGTCAGCACCTACGACAAAGACGGAGATCCCGTGTGCGATGTCTCTGCGACTGGGGAATATCCCGTTTGATATCCAGTACTTGATTCTGGAGACTCTAGAGGATCCGCGCGATAAGATCAACATGATGGATACATTTCAGTGGCGTTTTGCAGACGGGTTTTGGCATCGGCGGTTCCCCCGGTTTCTGGTCTTTGAGTACTACGATCTCAGGTCTAAGAATGTGGACTGGATGTTCTTGACTTTGATCATGGGGATAGTCTGGACGCAGTCTCCTGGTTTGCAGCATCGAGCCCAGATCATGAAGCTCTTGTTGTCCTGCAAGAATGCGTTCGACCAGTTGGTGCAGGAAAGAGATGAGACTAACGTGGTGCTGACCCGTGCTGGCTTGTGCATGCAAAATACATTTTAAAAGTTACGGTAATGGTTGATTTCGATAGATAGATCTAGACATAATGATTACCCCATCAAACATAGGTAACCATAGATAGTAGTGTTTGGGAAAATAGTAGTTTCCCAGTATTATCGGTTTCTCCTCCACATATTTCACTGTCCTTTGTAAACATCATATACGTTGGCAATTTCCTACTGGAATCGCAAACGTAGACTGCCATGAGGTATAGGAAAGTAGTTAAAATAGATGAAACCCAGTTGTTAGCCTGGCATTCCACGGGATAGATCTGATCACGCTCGAAAATAATATACTGGTGGAGAGCCTTCCGTATAAAACAAAGGGCTGCTCGGCGGGTCAGATGTCGAGGGCTCGCTCACAGCTATTTCATCGTTATCCACTTGGCTATCGTTATCAACTTGGCTATCGTTATCAACTTGGACATTGGTATCAACTTGGTCACTTGGCGTAACCCAGTGCACCACCTGTAGATTGATGGTGTGCGCATGACGACTGAACTTGCACGATTTAGTACCCCTACAGCCATCCTTCTGGCATATATGTCCAAGATAACATTTCACGGCCCGGCAGCGCCCGCCCTTGGGACATGGATGCTGTCGGAGAATATTTCTCATTACGTCAATGCAGTCACTCTCCACGGGACGGTGATCAAACTCGCAGTCCGGAGTATCACATTCGCCACGCAGCTGGTGCCTATTACACAGCTTATACTGCTTGGTCCGCCGGTTATAGGACTCCCATGCTTCTAGAGGTGGCTTTGGGCAGTAGCTGTCTATGCGCTCTCCAAGCACGTTAATTGGGATATAGTCCTTGCACTTGCCCGACACAGGGGGCAGCATTTTGGCATAGTATTCGTCATCTCTAACTCTACTAGACGAGTTCGCTGTTTCGAATGAATAGTCGTATTTTGCTTTAGAAAGCTGTTGATCGGGTCCTATATGAGTTTTCGTACACTCGTTCCCGTACCGGCAGAAACCCTGATCCTCTGTTAGCACAGGGTCGATTTTGCAACCTCATGGGCACGTACCTTTTGAAAATATTTGCAAATCGGTTTAGGTGGGGGGTGAGGGCGGCTGGTAGCATTACTACCAGCATGACCATTGACCAAATATTTGTTGGCCCCATGGTTACTGCCAACATGACCTCCACCCAGTGCACCAGTCATAAACACTGCAGGAAGCTCTCTCACAGGAAGATCGAGCTTGGCATACTCGGGGTGAAAAGACGCAGCTTTAAGCAGTGTGATCCGGTCGGCCTTGCCACGGTAGGGTGTTAGCAGGGAGAGGTATCCGGCATCATGGCAGCCTGCAAAGAATATATGTTTGCATTGATTGTGATCGACAAAAAGTTTGAACATTTCTTGTCACTGTAAGCTCGTGTATTTCAGACACCACACCATTAAGTTCCTACCTCTAATCTTATTATCTGCACCCTCCTTCTTGTCACCGGCGTCCACGTAGTCGAATAGATCCTGGGAACGTGTGAAACTAGCAGCGAACGGAGATAGAGACCGAGCTTCGTGTCCAACAAGGCCGAAGCGAGCTAGCGACTTTGACAACCCTAAGATGTTTGAATATATGCGGACCATAATACGACACTGATCTGCCTGGGGGCCGAGCTGGTCATGAAGGAGCTCTTTGATGGAATCGCTTAAAAGGGTAGCAGCGGTGATACCACCTTCGCTACCTGCCTTGAGGAGATGTTCTTTGAACTACAAACTTTGTTATCCCCCGTTCGATCCAAGAAGTGGAATCCAACTAACCAAGCAGCCATCCCCGTCAACTAGTACCAGAACAAACGGATTTCGATCCTGTGCAGTATTAGGCCCGTTCCAACCAATATAAGCTTTCAGAGCCAATGGAGGCATACTTGTCCGCGGACTAATTTCTTGTATTTCTCACGAGCCTCTTTTTCCTCCTCATAATCACTCTTGAGACGGTTATAATTATCGAGAAGGAGATGAAACCGCTGGAGTAGGTTCTGGACGTTTTCATGATGCCGTTCGTTGTCGCGGAGAACTGACCCTAGATGGTCATCTAGATCCTGAATATCAGACTCCCCAAGCATCGTAACGGATTGCTACTCTGTGTCGTTCTAGTTCTCATCTAGGCAGGCTCGATATCGAATAATGACGGATGCAGGTGATAAACAACCATATAGATCTGTTGAAGTGGCATACGGAGGTCCTTAGGGAGACTAACACACACGGAGGAAATGGATTAGATAGTATTTCTCTCAAAAAAGGCGATGGGACAAACCATAATTTCTGCCACGGTAGCCGAATGAGGCAAAACAGCAACAATGAAAAGTGCTTTGTGGAGATCGCTTAGTTAAAGCTTCGATACATCATTTTCTCGCATTCAGCAAGCGGTGAGTCTTCCACTTGTCACGTGGATGACAGATCATCTGGGAATCCTTGTCTTTCTGGTTTGTTTTTTTTTTTTTTTTGTTTGTTTGTTTTTGTTTTGTTGTTGTTTTTGTTTTTACTCCCTCCTTGAGGAAGATTTCCCTTGGCCATCTACTTCTTTTTGATTATACACATGCCTACATTGTATGTTTATAATCATATTTCGTTTCCCCAACGCTAGCTATATAATCCTTCTCGGTCTCCCAACGTAATCCCATGTTGGAGCAAGCGCTCGACACGATACCATGAAGCAGAGGTATAGCACCTACAGTATTTCCATTTAACAAAGATCTACTCTGTAGTATATCACTTCTGAAAACATCCATATCTTAGCTCGGTGATCCTCATATGGAAATATATGGACCCGAGCGCCTAGCGCCTGGGCATCCTGTGGGGTATTTCCCCTGAGGACTTGCCCCTATTCCTAGAGGAGAGTGTGCGTTCATCAAGTAGGGTTCGACGCAATATAGATTCTATCAATGCGGTCCTTAGTAGGCTATAGTGTTTTTCTGCCCCCTTTCCCCTGAATCATAGTGGTCGCATCGAGATCGTTTCATCCTCAAAGTACGCTCCGTTGGGGAGAATTCGCTACAAGCAGGGGCTCGAACCCAGGGTCTCCTTTCTCCATTGCGCGAAGATATGCGTCACGCCGACCAACACGCTGGAGATATGAAACAATATTCGGATACACATCAAAATTATACGGCGCGAACAACCTCCCAGTGGTCAGGGGAAATAGGAGCATGATGTCGGCTGCAGTAAACTGGTTCCCAGCAACGTATGAAAACCTGCCTAATTGCTTCTCCAGAGCAGACAAACTGCGATCAAATCGTTCCTGGTTGATATTGGGCCGTGAATCTTTCTGAGGCTTTTTAGAATACTGGCCCATCATGATCCCCATAAAAGCAGGCACGAGGCTTCCGTTGGTATGGTGCAGCCAGAAAATGTAGTCCGCGTAGTTTGGGTGGTTTGGCTGCAAGACCAATCGCCCATTGCCGTATTTGCTGAGAATATACTCGAAAATGGCATTCGACTCTGCGAGAATAACTGGCCCATCTTCAATTACCGGAGCGGTGCCTGCGGGATGGAGCTGTCGATACTCCTTGGGCGCGAGAAGGAAGGGAGGTTGTCGATTGTAGCTTTTCAGTTCATAGGGAAGGCCTAGTTCCTCACAGAGCCAGATTACTCGCTCGGATTGCGAGCGACGGAGATGGTGAATGATGATTTTGCTTGTCATATTTGCAATTGGTATGTTTCTGGTGCCAGAGCTATCAAATATACCTATATTCCGAAGAATCCGATTCTTAGTATGCAGTTGCACGATGAATGAGCTCCAGAGTCAGCAATGCGTTGAATGTGGATTTTATGAATTATGCACTAGTTCTGGCATGATGTCATTTCATAAATCTGCTACATTAACTGTGCACAATGCATTTGTGTTTGCCAAGATATAGAGATAAAAGTAGTTGTCTGTTCAAGCTCGGCAATTATGCTTACTTAGCATAGGCATGAACTAATATTACTTTATTTCCTCTTCGCTGCATATTATCAGTCCAGTTGAAAGAATAAGTGAATTACAGGGCCACATAAACAAAGCTATCATTGACCTAATATTTCCAGGCAGGGATCACTAGAGACAAATGAAAAATTACCGCTTTGGGCATTTACAGCAGTTGAAGGCTTTTCAGCATTTTACTTAAGAAACTACTGTACTATCGCTTTGCGCTTTTCTTGAAAGTGTTGTTGTGTGGCCATTCCGGGATGCACTTAAGTCTTGCCTGATTTGATAAACGATCTACATAGCAAAGAATACTGATTATAGGACCATGACTAATTAGTAGGGGATAAAGAAGGGTGAAAGGAACTAAAGTAACATATAGTGGAGATAGTACATTATTTGAGAGATTTAAAATCACTTAGAGACAAGCCGTAGTGAGGATAGCTATCTCCTAGTAGTTTGTTCTCAATGTACTGTCGGGTAGAATGCGTACATAAATGCTGGCTTCTGCTGAAAGAACCACATTCATCTGGTGTAAGCCATCCAGGTTCCTTGTACCTTTTCACTAGGTCCTTGAGGAGCTTATACCCTAGACCTCTATAAGGAGACATAGGCCTCGGTGACAGTGACCATGAATGCATGTGCTTCAGTAGAGTTCCTGCTTGCATTGAGCTGCATGCATTCCCGCATGCTTCTTTACCTTCAAGTAAGTTTTGAAGTCTATCATACAACGGAACTATAATACTCTCGATCAATTCCCGCCTTTTCTTGTTGATTGTATCTGTAAGTATAGTTAGCGATGCCTGTTGAGAAAGAAAAAGCTACAGAAAGTACTACCTAGTACTGTGGTAGGGATCGGAAGCCCCAGTGATATGAAAAGACAATCACCCTCCGATACTGCAGCCAATGTTGCTTGGGAGAATTTTGATTCTGCACCAAAAAACCATGACACCCATATCCATAAAGTCAAGGTACGAGCTCCGCGAAAGGGCTCTGTTAAGGCGTTCATCCACATCTCCACTATAATTCTATGGACTCAATGCATTGATAGTAATCCACTATGACAGAAATTTTGGCTAGAAGTTCGAGACTAACTTTTCGAGGGATCTCACGTTGCCGGCAGTGTAAGACATTTAGCAGGATCAAGAGTGCTTCGCTGTCCCATTTTTCGACTTGAATCTCAACTGATCCTTTGCTTTGGAGGGTATCAGTTTCTTTCCATCCACATGTGAGACTCTTTTTAAAAACGGGTGAGGCGACCATCAAGTGCTTCGCGGAAACCCGGTAACGTATCTCTTTATCTTTGGCAGAGTTGTATATTTCGTCGGCATCTGCGTTATCACTATTTGATCCCTCTTTTGCGACTCGCTCACTAGTACCGTTGGCTTGTGATGTTACAGAGGCTTCGTTTCCTTTGTGGCCTGTTGGTTCTTTATTCTCATCGTCCCAGACTGCAAATGGGGCGTCAGGGTTCTGGAGAATGATGGTCACCACTCCATCAGGATCGATCACATGTGTTGGTTCACTTATTGCTTTGGACATTGGGAGTACCAATACTGCCGCAATAATATCCAAATAATGAACTGCCGAAGCCAGGAAAGATACCATGAAGAGATCATACAGCTCTAGAAGATCAAAAAACCTTGAGGAGTTACCTTGAGGAGTTAGCTCGGGTCTACAGTCAAAAACCTTTTCAAGGTGGCTGTCAACAATTGATTATTCAGCATCTTAGTCAAATGTTATGGATGATACAAAAAACATCATCGGATCGAGTTTATTTCCCAGATTTAGTTAGCTTACATTGTTCCTTTATTTAATCACCCTGTGTCCTGTATAACGCGACGTTTGTTAGCTTTAGTTGAATCAGAGACCGTCCTGTAACGCTATTGAGGATCGATACTTGCGGATACGCGTATTAGTAGCCAATTCTACAATGTTAATGCTCCGCTTGCTAACGCCATAAATACATTGTTCCTAAGAGATTCTACTTACTTCTAATGTCCTGGCTTTCTTTCGTCTTAATAACTGAGACTAACTAGAGGTCTGGTGTACACAGTCAGGACACATATTATTGTCGCTCAGTCGTGCCTGATAAAGTGAGTGCACAGGTTGAGTCGTTGAGGTAGCACCGAGAAAATTAATGTCGGCCAGCTGAATACGCGTACCGATGCCAAGGCCATTGCTCCTTCTCGTTCTAGTAGGTGAGCAGTGCCTCCCTGAAGTCGTGCGAACTGGATGAGCAGATGAACAGTTGGGGGTGAGCGTCGCGCGACTGGCCCACTGGGTACCTGATTAGTAGGCAATATGAAAAAGCCCGGAAAAATTCGAGATTTAGGAATGGAAATAAATATTCATGGTACGGAGTAGAGCAGGAGAAAACTAAATCCAGAGAAGTTTATTCTGTTTTACCAAATTACATTTTAAAGTTGTCCTAATTAAACAATTTGGTTCTTCTGAAGAAATTCCGAGGAACTAAACAAGCGACAATCTTTTCCGAAGTCTTCGTTCCGTCACATTCTATCTCATTAAATCGCAAATATCCAGCTATCGCAGTGCCCATCGTAATCAATCAATTCGATGTTCATTTACGATGTCTTCTTCTGCTTCGACGCCTCCCTCTTCAACCCACCCAGCTCGTTGAACACTAGCTCGTCCCTCTCCCAAATCAACTCCACCGCTGTACCCACTGGGCCCGCAAACACGGTCAATAACGCCGTCTTCACGACCAGTCCAAACCACCCCACCTTTCCATACACACTCAGATGAGCCGACTTATATAGACTAATGGCCCAGACCAAAACTCCAGCTGACCCTATCAGATAGTCCCATCGCAGGAACGCGTGAACACCCTGCCCGACACTTTGGACCTGCAGGGCTGGGGAAGCCCACGGCAGAGGGATATCATATACATTGAGCGGATGGAGCGTGGTGCGGAACCGTTCCTCGAATAGGGCAGGGGCCGCGACCGTGGCGAGGGATACAATCCATGAGACAAGATGGGAGATGGCCGCGTTCGCGAACGCGAACGCGTAGACGCGACGGAGCGCGCGCAGAGTGGCGCGGCCACCTTCGATAGAATAATCGTTGCTGACGAATGGGCTAAAGAGGACATTCGCGATAGTTAAGAGAATCGCGACGTATGCGGGCCAGGGCTGCCAAATAGCAATGAAGATCTGCTTAAGGTCGGCAGTAACATGCTCTGATTCGGGGAGGATCATCAGCGTCGAGGGGACTATGTAGCCGATGATGAAGACAAAAGGGATCGCGTTGAGGACTGCGCGCGGGATACGGATATTATCGGGCGTGGGCTTGCGGACGCTGATGGAGGAGAGCAACTGCACGAAGCAGTAGAGCGGGGTTGCGAAAGCGAAGGTGAGGACTTGAGCTGTCAAGCCAAAGATCGCGGGACTGGTCAAATTATCATCAGTATTGGGAACGGATTCGGCAGGGACATATACATGATGGGAAGTGCTTACAAGGCGGGTAATGTCCAGATATTCCCCCGTCGCCAGGATTCCAAAGTTACCAGGACCCAGGCGGAACCAAATGTCCCTGAAAAGCCAAGGGAATGCAAAGTAAGAGCTTCATTGTTCCCATCCGTAGTAGGCCAGAAGAAGACCGTCAACGCAGTGAGCAGCTCATCCAGCTTCTCAACACCTGTGTAGGTCGTGCGAAGAGGCTGGTTGCTACCAGGGAGGGTTTTCGACTCAATGGACTGCAAAGCAAGGCGATGCAGGCCGTTGATCTCGCCAAAGTAAAAGATGGCGTAGAAGACTGAAAGGCAGAGAGCGGGGAGGACGAGTTTGGCGACCATGATTGCAGGATAGACTGAGGCTTAACTCCTCAGTAGGGTTGGGGATTGCATGCCAGCAAGACTTATATTTATTTATATTCCGGGGCAGCAGAACATTCCATCCGTTGATCCATGGACATCCGAACGATAATCATGATCGCCTGCCGGAAGGGGAAAGGGTTGCGAAGAAATGCGGAGGAATCGCAGTCGATCCCCCCGGTTCATGGGGATGCAGCCGAGGTAGGTATCTTGGACCTGGGAATGGGATATCCTTCACATGGATGTTTCTTTCTACTCTATATACTAATCATGCAGGCTGGTGTTTCCTGGATCATCCGCGCATCCTCAAACTTGTGATTCAATATTCTGTCGAGTTGCCGAAAGCTTGGCGGTCACATGGGATCTATTGTACTCTATACTCCGGTTCCAAACTGCAATGATGATCTCATTGATCTATAGGCTACATCTCTATCTAGATACAGTTACCTGAGTGGGCATGACGGATGTGGCTTCAGGATCCAGAAATATGGCATCCTAGCATGGCTAGCGGCATCGAGTTAACTTCGTCCTCCACCGGCACCAACAGTCCGCACTGCAATAAAACCACGACATCGGCCATCAATACTATCCAGAACTTATTCTGATTCCTCTTATCACTCGCATATTCACTCCAGATCTGTGCTTGATAACAGCAGCAAATGTAGAGCGACTTTTTCATCTTCTGGATGTAGGCTCTCCGTAGAATCAAATGAGCCCCGATATACTCCTGCTGCATTTTTGGAGGTGGTACATTGAAAACCATCCATCTGTCGAGATAGTGCAGTAGTGTTTCACCATGATATCGAGGACTTTACAGTGGGAGCACCAGGCTGAAGAAGGCAAATGTCACACAGCAAAGTGCAAACCTGTCTCACAACAGGGACAGATGTTTACGATGTGGAAGGACTAGGTGACGAAAGCATACCAACATTTTTCAAGGAAATTCTCACTATGAGGGCACATGTAATGAGGATCAATCATAGAGTGATGTACTCGTAAGTGTATTGACTATATACATTGGACATACCATGCCTATCTACAGCTTGGATTTATATTTATCATAAGCCGCATAAATCGCTCGCACATACTTGACTGTATTGGGGTTTCCCAGCGTGCCCATGACCATCTTATTCATGGCGTACGTGATCGTCATCTTACGATCCTGATCCATGATAGCAAACGAACCACCATAACCTCCCCAGTAACAGACGCGACCGTCTGGGATCCAGTCCATGGACTTATTTGCCTCTCCCGGAGGCAACCCAAATCCCATTCCAAACCGAACAAAGAACCCCAGAGCCAGATCTACCCCACTAATCTGTTCTTGGAAGATCAGATCGGTCGTCTCGGGCGACAAGAACCGGGTTCCATCCACAGCTCCATTCAAGGACACAATCGACAGGATGCGGTTGAACCCGCGAGCGTTAGAGAATCCCATCATGGAGCCCACACCTCCTCGTCGAAATTCCTGCGTTTCGCACTGCTCCGAGGACATGGCCTTCACATTCCGAAACGCGCGCAGCGCGATCGTGTCTCCCTCTGGGAGGTCAAATGGTGGAATGCAATCCATTTGACCGATGCGCGTCCACAGGTCCTCTGGCACGGGGAGATAGAAATCAGCGTCACGAGGACCAGCCAGTTCCTCTCGGATGAACTCGCCCAGGGACTGGCCCGTAACGCGACAGACTAGTTCCCCGAGGAGATAGCCCTGGCTTATGGCATGATATCCAGACGCAGTGCCGGGGGTCCACCAGGGCCGTTGCAGGGCGAGTTTCTTTGTCGCCTCGGGGATGTTATAGAGGGATTGAAGATCCTGAGGCGTATCCCAGGATGGTAGACCGGCGGTGTGACTAAGGAGGTGTCGAACTTGGATGTTCTCTTTACCGTTTACGGCAAATTCAGGCCAGTATTGGGCGACGGGCGCGTATAGATCGAGTACGCCGCGGTCTGCGAGTAATAATACTGCGACATATGTGATGGTCTTGGTGATGGACCATACCGGCACGATGGTGTCTTCCTTCCAGGGCTGAGTGCGGTCGCAGTCTGCGTGTCCTCCCCAGATATCGATCACGTTGCGTCCATCGATATTGACGCAGATGGAAGCTCCCAGCTCATCGCCCACATCGACCAGCTCCTTTAGGAGGTCGCTCACAGCGGAAAAGGCTGGATCACAGGTTCCCTGAATAGAAGTCATAGTGGCAGAGATCGCACAAGTAGGTATTTCCTAGAAAATGAGATGTCGCGAAGATCATCAAAGGAAGGACTTGATACTGATGATGGCAATAGAAGGCCACGTAATGAAATAATTGATGGCTATCTCTAAGCCCCCAGATGCTTCTGCTACCTTTATATCCTTGTATCAATTCAGGCAGCAGGGTCCGGTTTGTAAGCTCAACAGCCCCACAGCCTATCTCAATGATGACCAGTACTGAGTAGTAGTAAATCACTCGGTATGGGTAGTTTTTTCTTGGCACAATCTCAGACCCTTCATTGTCAAATAATATGGTTATACGAAGCAGGGATCATGTGATTAAGGAGGGGTCAAAAGGGCCCTCAACAAGCGAAAGAACAGGATAAGAACAACTATCATAAATTTAATCATCCATATAATCAAGAAGAGCCCAACCAGCTCAAATCATTCAAATGACCTTTTTACCAATCGTACTCTATTTCCTCTTCGGGACTAGCCGAATGTCTGGCATTAATTGACCTTCAGTCATTGGATGACTCATTGGTGTACTGTGTTTCATAACTAGCAAAAGTCGGGAGAAACTAGGTCGGTAGATCACGTCCCAAAATATAATGGATACAGGGGGCACAGGGAACTAACTCTATGCCAAAACATTTGTCGACTGCCCTGGGTGAAGGAAACCAGATATCGCTTTAAAGGAACTCCTGCGTCTGAGGCTCGAATCCAGCGCTCTGGACCAAAATTCTCAGAATTAGGAAAGAGTGTTTCGTTCATATGAACGAAGTAAGTGCCTATCCATCCAGATGTAATAATCGCTGCAGTTGCAGCCTAAGATCACAGTCGCGCAGAGGTATACGCCAAGAAACATAACATTCCTATCGTCCATTCCTCCTACAAAGGTAAGCAATATATGGCACCCTGATATAACTTCCCTTACAAGCAACATTTGCTTAACAACTACAGATCTTCTTAGCGACCCCTTGATTGATGCCATCTACATCGCCCTCCCCAACAGTCTCCACTTTAAATGGGCCCTGCACGCCATCCGCGCCGGCAAGCATGTCCTCCTGGAGAAGCTATCTTGTTTAAACAGTGAAGAAGCCTATGCACTATTTAACCACCCCTTAATCAAAGCGCTTGGTGCCCTTATTATCCTGGAAGTATTCCACTATCGCTTCCATCCTGCATGGCAGGTATTTCTGTCCTACATCCACGGTGATCCTACCGTGGGGCTAGTAAAACATGCTCTTGCACAGCAGTATCTTCCCAGGGGAATAGTCCCGATTACCGACATTCGCTGGCGGTATAATCTTTCCGGTGGCGCGATGACGGATTTTAGGACGTATTTTATAAACTGTCTATGTCAGATTCTGCGGGAGGAACCGAAAGAGGTGGTTAAGGCAGAAGGGAGGCGTGTGCCTTCCAGCTGTGGGCTGGACTATAATAAGTAAATTAACCAGGCAATAACGGCGACATACAGAACAGAGAGCGGTGCAACAGGAAAGCTGGTGGCTGATCTGGCTGTATCAGGAGGCTGGCCCTTACTTCCGGCTTCGTGGACGAAATGGCTACCCGGTTTCGGCTGGCCCAAGTGTGAGGCTGAGTTGGAAGAAAAGGAAGTAAAGGACCCGGAAGGTAAAATCTGCTCCGTCAAGCGGAAGGTAACTATCTGGAATCATCTCATGCCGAGTGTGTATCACCGTATTGATGTGGATAATATAATTATGATCCGGCGTACGGGGCTGGTTTGAGCACATGGAAGAGATCCAAATAACTTGTGTATAGTTGGCCATCTGATAATAAACAAGTGATTGTCGGGAAAGAGTGGTGGCCAAGCTATCTCTATTAACTGAATAAGTTTGTGAACAAGATCAAGGGGCGCAAGGGTTCGGGCGTCTGGGTTGATGGAGATGATAGCATCAGGCAGATGGAGGCTATTGATCGAACCTATGAAAAGGCTGGGATGAGACTACGACCAACAGCGAGTTTTGAGCTATAATGTATTAATAATATTTCTGGTCGTCGTGGTCGGACACGTGGGAGGCTTGCTCAGTATGCTGCGATTAATGGTCGAAGGACGAGATGCGGAAGTAGTTGTCTTTGGAGGAGAGATGTCTCCGGCCCTTTGTAGTCATGGTGCTGGACGCTTTTTAGTCGGAGATTCCTTGACATTATTCTTGTCCTTGGAAGCATCGGGGCAACTTACTGGAGTAGCAGCGGGTACATCTGATCCCACCACCCCTTCGGCTGGGGCAGGCTATTCATATTCCAAAAGCAAGGACTTCTTTGTCTTCTATGGCTTTCTGAACAAGATCTACTTCTTAAATTGGTAGGTTTTTATGGAAGTGCTTCAGAGTGGCACCGGTAATATATGTGCAGCTGGGAGGCAAACTATCCATGCTACTGGACGAGAAGTTCTCATGCAAATCCGTGATGTCAATTACTAATTACGTAACAGTGTTGAGAAGAGCAATAAAGCTATTTAAGGACGGGGCAGACTGACGGAGCACATGCCAATGCGAGAGGAAAAGAGTGCTAGTCGGCTGTTAAAACCGAAACTAAAACCAGCAGCCAGATGCACAGTTCTTACCTGATCGCAAGGGCAATAGCCTTCTAATAGCCGGCCTGGGCTCCCTGACATTGTTGCATCACCGCGGCGAGCAATGATTGAAGCATACGGTTTAGTTCGTAGTATATGGAATATACCTACTTGGATCACGTGTCATAGTCACATAACTTTAAGCTGAAGGTACAGCCACACAACTAGACCTAAGGCAACTCTATAACTAGACTCCATCAGGTAAACTATACCTATAGCTTTATATACGGAATTTATTCCGTAAACTCTTGCACCATGGCTGTTTCTCTCACAGCATTATTAACGGCGTACATAGTCTCCGCCATCTCTGCGCACATTTGCTCCAGTACATGACAGGAACTGCAGCATGAGGTTCGAGCTCTATTCACGATAGATAATTTCTTTGTTATAAGTCTGCATATAAAGAAATAAGCTCACTACTACAGAGCACGATTATAATACGGCTTCCAACCAACTCTACTACTTGAGGACTTGGAGATGGAATCTGGTTCGACAATCACACAAATTCTTTCAATCCAAGCGACGATAGCGAAGCAATTGCAAACCAGTCATCAAGCATACACCATCCAAGACCTGATCAGTTCTGTATCCATCGAGTCGACGGCAACACTAGCGCCCTTTTTACTACGGTCGAATACAAACCACCTCACAAACGTTCTGTTGAAAACCTATTAAATAGCAAGCCCACTAACGTTTCCAATATGCTTTCCATATGCGGATGATTTCTTGATTAAGTGGTTTCGCGGCTTTGATCCTGTGTCTACAATGACATTATGTATTACAAGTAATTAGATGAGCTAGTCCTGCCTGGCATTTTGACACCACTCCGGAACAATTAGAAATTCCTTTAAGAAAGCACTTTCTATTAAGGATAACAAAGAAATCAATAACCGCGAACTTCTTAAGGAGATTGAGGATGGTCTTCGAAAGCTTGAGCTTTTAAATTATATTCAAGATATCATGGATATAAACCAGTTCTTAAATCCCTTTAATAAGCAGGCTTCGGATAGCCTTATGGACATTGATAGCATTGTTTAAAGCCAAATTTATACTGCACCTGATGGCAATGGAGACAGTGATAATAATATACCTAAGCTTATTTCACCTTCTGAGGCTCTTGAGGGCTTCTACAAGCTCCGTCTCTTTGAATAGCAACAAGTTGATGCAGATAAAGGCTTTATTCTGCAACTTATACAAAATGAAAGGGACATTATTAAGAAGAGACATCAAGTCAGCAGCAGACTGATATCCGGTCATTTTTTGCATAAGAGATATGCGCATTTAGACAGCTTAAGTAGATAAAATTATATAAAAATGCATGTTTTAGTACTATTTTCAGTATACGCAATCCCCCGGTATAAGCAATTTCGGAGGCGTACCAAATTAATTACCTATATCGGGGGTTTACTTTAATATTGTATTCGTAATTCTGTACATACTTTAACGAATTCAATCTAACTGTGCTAAGGCTTTGCACAAATACCAATTTCTTAGCCCCACAGGCAAGATATCCTTTCACACTCACTCCTATCTTCTGAAATCGGATTCAAACTCGTTTATTGTTGTTCGAACTGGGCATGGATAACAGCTGGCCTATTTTTGTTTAGTGTATAGGAGCCTAGTATTGCGTACATAAGGTGTATCTTACCAAATGGGTGTCGAAACCGGACCAGAATCCCATAGAATCAGCCGGATATGTATAGACTCGGCCAGAATCCTTTAGTCGGATTTCCAAACGAACGTCAGCATCGCACATCTTGCTGTATTCGTACACTTTCCTCACGATGCTCGCCCTCTATCTATCTCTCCTCAGCCAGTAGGATTTCTTCGACGACCCTGAAGCCCTCTGTACCCTCCGTCTGTCAAAAGTTTCAGTACATTATCTTGAAGGGCTCAACCAAAAAGGACCAAAAAAGAACGGTATTTAAAAGATAATAGCATCCTACTTCCTAGGAAACAAAGTATGTATACTTGCTTTATAGATGGCATATTGATAAAATAGCAATTGATAGTTCTTGTTCAACTATAGTAATGAGTGCCCAGTAAAGTGAAGTGCATTTTAATGTCCAAAAACAAGGGTATGTTCATACATGCCTAGGCCAACTTTTACGTCCATCTTATTTTAGGATATCATAGAGTAGAGGGGGACTAAAGAAATAAACACTCAAAAAAGCATGTGGGTATTGATCGTTAATACTCTGGACCACATTGAAGTTTCTAAGGGATCAATGACGAAAACACTCGATGTTTAACACTGGCAGAATTTACATATCTAAGGGGGGGCACCGTGAGTTGGTTCGTGAATTAAACCTATCACTTTATATCTGTCCACAAATTATTATGGAGGGCAAGTCTTCCGAGGTCTACCAAATGAAGTTCAGGTATTTACACTCACCTCCAGTGCCGACAAATAGCCACAAAATGATCTAAACGTTCAACAGATGCCAAATATTTAGTTAAAAAATTACAAGGAAAATTTGTTCAGGCAACACTAGCAATTTGTGCTATGGCTTCTTCTTTCTTAACGTTCTTCCCCAAATCAACAATCGAGTCTGGACAGCCGAAGGAATCTGAAGAGCTCAAACGCCCACCTCGTATTCAGCTTGTACTGAACACTTATCTCTTATTTTAAACGCTACAATTAACCAGATCTGTTTTATTAACGTCTAATCTTACCTAGTCACAGGCACCTTAACTTCTCCCAACATGGTGAAAACTCGTCTGAGTAATCAATTTTCCTCCCTGGTATTATGTACACTTTTAATAGTAGGGAAGTGAAATGGAGATCCAAGAAAATAGAAATAATTTGAACGTGAACTAGATCTGGCCGAACGTTTATTGATGATATTAAAAATAATGGCGATAAGCCGGGGCCCTATCCTCTAATAAAACAGTATTTGGACGCTCGATCATATATTCTTTTACAAAGGGGATTAATTTAGGGACAAGAACTTCCTAACTAATAGAAAGTAGTTAGATAATATATAAACTGTTGGAAATCAGGATGCCTAAGGCACCTTCGTATATCCTAGTCCCGCAGCGATCTGATATATCACATTCAGGGGCTAAGGGACATGTAGACATGAGGAAGCGTTTGTCTACGCTCTCTCGTAGATAGATGAAGATACTCACCAAGTGATACTAGATTGCACAATAGTTTCAATATACTATCCAGTCACCGCTATCCTAGCACCTCAAAACATAGCTTCTTCCCCGAGATTTTCAACATAAACTTTATAAAAAAAGAAAACAAAATCTTATAATATCGAAACTAGTTAATTCCACCCTTCGAATCTCTCTCTAAGCGGCCATTTTTCTTCGTAAATCTCCATGCTGGCTTTCTACCTGGAGTTTTACCTTCACGAAGCTTTATTCAAGTTATTGGGTTAATAAGCTCCCATTCTTCTTGTTTTAAAGGTCTAACTCGTTATTTAAAGCTTTAATCTCCTTTGTTGCCTTTCTTTTTTGTTGTGCAGTTTCTGGTTTCTATATATAAATAGGGCCTTTTTTATTATAAGAAAAGCATCCCTATACTATAAAATCAGAGTTTCCTTTCCAACAGCGGCGTATACAAGATATATCACAAACTTTATTTTTTGTATGCCATATTCTTAAGCCTCCGCGTTGCTGACCAAGACAGATTTTGTTTGTAAAGATCACATTTTTCTATTCTTTAAGCGTCCAATTTTTATAGGCAAGGCAAAACTCTAAGCGCCTTTTTTTTTTGTTCGTCAGTAAGGCCAGGTTTGGTAGTAGGTTTAACAGAATAAAACCCAATCGGGTAAGAATACGCCAAACAGAAGAGGTAGAAATAGAGGCTTTAAATACAAGAATCTCACAAGATTTTTCACGTCTATTCCGGTCCTTCTTAACCGATTTAATAATAGATTTTTCAGTATCTTTAGCCACTAGGGGCTGTCCTGATCGCTGCTTATCTTCCACATATTCAAGAAGGATCCGGGGGTTAATATCTGGGTTGAATCCACGCTCTTTTGCCTTTCAATTCTAAAACTGGATAGCTTGACGGGAGATATTGCGTGTAGATTCCGAAAACACGGTTCAGCGCGTATGTGGAGATCTGATTAAAAACGTCACGGAATATGACATATGGCAGTAGTCTCTGAGGCCGCTTAACTAGCTCGTCTGCATATTCCTGCTGAATTCCTTCTACTAGGCGTGATACTCTCCCCTCAACTGAGGATAGTACTGATAAAGATCACCCCGAGAAAATGATAAATCAAGCTTTAATAAACAGTGAGCTGCTTCGACACGGGACGTGGCTGTCTGACCAAAGTGCTGGTGCGTATTTGTATAGCACTGTACGAAGCAGATTGCTATATTGTAATTTAGCTACTCCTTTTGGACATAATTGATGAGGTTCTGCCAGTAAGGTCCAATATACTTGGCTTGAAAACTCGCCCATTCAGTTTTATATTCAGATACTGTAGGTGCGCGTCCTACCTCAAGCCAACAGAGAAGGATCTTTTGCCAGTCCTTGTTAAGACGCTTTTTAAACGTCTCTGGGTCTGTATTTTCATCAAGATATTAAAGCAGGGCGCGGTGGAGCAAGGGCTTAGCCTTACTAAGTAGATTCTTATTAATATGCCAGATGCAGAGTAAGATCTTAGTATAAGGTATAGCTATTTTCAGAGCATTTATAAGAGCTTTACCTTTGTCAATTATCACAACTACGCTCACCCGACGTCAAACCCATGTAAAGTTCTCGCGGATCGAGTGGTTCCGCGTTACTCACGAATCCACCGTCCGATCGAAGACAGGTCCGGCTATACGGGAGCAATGACTACTGCTCGACGGAGCGAAAGACTATCTGCCGATACTCCCTGATCCAGATAAATAATTGTGGAATTCGACGGCGAGGATGATTCGATACGTCCGCATAACTGGTCGACGCGGACTAATTATGTGAGGACAGCATGATTATCCCAGACAGTGTCCCCTCATGCTAACCGTCATATCCTGCGTCCTGGCCTATGTCACGTTCACTTCCTCGTTCGCCAGTGCCATTTTTCATCAACCGTGGGAGCAACCAGTGTCCAGTTTGGGGTCAGCATGGAGGTTACGACATTAGGCGTCACATTGTACGTGCTGGGGTTCGCCACCGGACCGACCTTCTGGGCGCCAGCATCGGAGTTGTATGGTCGAGGATGGCCCATGTTCCTCGGCTCCTTCGGATATAGCATCTTTACCATTGGTAAGACCACGGCCAAGGACCTCCAGACCATTATGTTGAGACGATTCTTTGAGGGGTGTCTTCGCCAATATGTACAATAACCGCATGCGGGGCGTGGCCATCGCCATGTTCGCCATGTCAGTGTCCGCTGGCCCCTTTGCATCGCTGTTCACGGGCTATCATCACGAATTACATGGGTTGGTGCTGGACCATGTACATTGCCTCCATCATGGGATTTTTAGGCCCCGTGCTGCTGCTGTTATTCTTTTTCAACGAAACCTATCCACCGGTTTTGTTGATAGAGAAGGCTGCCACCTTGCGACGTCAGACTTGTAATTGGGGCGTCCACGCCAAACAGGACGAGATTGAATTAGGCCTTAAAAAATTGGGGACGGTAAAAATTGGCCGCCCGCTTCGTATGCTCTTCACCGATCCGATGCAATTTTGGTGACTTTATACATGTACGCAACCCGGCGACAGCCTCGTTCGCTTTATATGACGCTCACGTGGTTCCGGGTCCTTCATCAATGGGCTGATGTACGCTCTGCTCGCGGCGTACCCCGTGGTACTCCAGAAATCCGTGGGGTGAACTTGGGAGTTGGTAGTTTTCCCTTCATTGGACTCATCATCCGGGAGGGGAGTCCCTGGGGGCGCCTTCACCCTGACTTAGGGCTTGTATGTCAAGAAGTTGGTCGCTAATAACAACATTCCCGTTTCAGAGTGGCGACTCCCCTCGCAGGTCGTCGGCGGTGTCGTTTTCACAATGGGACTCATCTGGTACGTTATATCTAAGTTTACATCTTCATGGCATGTGAACTGATCGCGTCATGTTCGGCTGGACTGGGTGGATGAAGTGCATTCACTGGATGGCTACCACAGCGTCCGGGGTCTTCATCGTATTCGGTATCTATGTGATCTTCCTGCAAGGTTTTAACTACCTAGGTCGACACCTGTCTACAATTGTGAGTGACGCTATCAACATCTGAGGATCGATACTGACGATCGGACGGTGCTGTTTCGGTGTTCGCCGCTAATACAATCCTACGATCGGTGGTGGGCGCCTATTTCCCACTGTTCTTGCGACAGATGTTTAACAATCTGGGAGTGCAATGGACAGGCACATTGCTGGGATGTCTGTCGGCCACTACGATTCCGATCCCTCTCGTGTTTATCATGTGGGGGCAGTCGTTGCGCCAGAAGCGCAGGTTCGCACCCACGGCAGCGGTATTCGGGGAGAAGTCGGAGTAGATTAGGAAGAGATACTGCGCAGGGGCATGTTTTTCATTGGAAACCTTGCAGGATTGGGGGAAAATTGTGTATAGAGTAGTAGAATATGTCCTGACAAGGTGCAAACGAGCAAACGAAAAGATGCCAGTCATTCGCCAAGCAGGCCCTAACATCAACAGAGGATAGTGGCGTGGCGGCTTATCTCCTTAGTATCTCATTAGTAGAATCGATCCCCATCATCTGCAGCGAGATAAGCACCACCGGAGAGATACGCAACGTCGTTATTATGCATCGGCGAGATCCGCACTTGGCTGCTGGCCGGAATTGGCGGACGCCTCGGCTTCGACCCACGGGCAGTCCAGCACACGAACCGTGAGTCCACTTGTTTTTGCAGTGCTGGGACTGGCTCGTTCGGCCTCCTGCCAAGATGTCACCCAGAGGAGCCACTGATAAGAAGGAATTTTTTTTCATCGGTCGCGTGGGCGAATAAAACTCAGAGAATTCCAGCTTTCCTTGCAGGCTTTTTTTTCCGTCGTTGCCTCCGGTCGTGCCTGCAGGCTTGCCGCCTCGCTCTGTTCTTTTCTTTTCTCGTCTCTTTCTCGTGTCTTTTTGTTCCTCGATTTATCGTTCTTCGTTGAATAGAGTCATCATGGGCTTTGGAGACTGGGTGCATCGCACCAACTACTCAGTGGCGCGGTCCCCAGTAGGAAGATGGTTTCGTCTGGAGAATTCGGGCCATGTAAGGGAGCTGCGATGCTTCATGACATGATTTGAACCTCAAACCCTCTCCCTCTGTGGAGAGGGGTCACTGACTCCCACTGTCAACAGCCCCAGGAGCGAAAAGGCAGCTATTTCTTCACCGAGATCCGTGCTGGCCTGGCCACATTCTTTGCTATGGCATACATTATCAGTGTGAATGCCAACATCACCTCTGACTCGGGCGGCACCTGCGTGTGTCCTCCGGAGAGCCTGGCCGATACCTGCAACACCAATACCGAATACCTTCTTTGCGTACAGGAAGTTAGACGCGATATCGTTACGGCCACCGCCGCTATTGCCGCCATGGGCACCTTCTTCATGGGTTTGCTGGCTAATCTCCCCGTCGCCCTGGCCCCCGGTATGGGTTTGAACGCTTATTTCGCCTATACCGTCGTGGGTCATCATGGATCCGGTATGATCCCCTACCGGTTAGCGTTGACAGCCGTGTTCGTGGAGGGTTTTGTCTTCCTGGGCTTAACATTGCTGGGAATCCGACAGTGGTTAGCCCGAGCCTTACCGGCCTCGATCAAGCTGGCCACGGGTACCGGGATAGGTTTGTACCTCACACTCATCGGACTGAGTTACAGTGCCGGAATCGGTCTGATAACGGGGGCGACAAATTCCCCCGTGGAACTGGCCGGATGCTCGTCAGCCATGCGGGACCCCGTCACAGGCATGTGTCCATCGAGTGACAAGATGCGCAATCCGACCATGTGGGTCGGTATCTTCTGCGGTGGCGTGCTGACGGCTATGTTGATGCTCTACCGCGTCAAGGGAGCGGTGATTATTGGTATTCTGCTCGTGTCGATCATCTCGTGGCCCCGTCCTACCCCCGTCACGTATTTCCCGCACACGGAGCTAGGTGATAGCATGTTTGACTTCTTCAAGAAAGTCGTAACCTTCCATCCCATTAAGCACACGCTGGTCGCGCAGGATTGGAATATCGGGGAACATGGGTCACAGTTTGGCCTGGCGTTTATTACATTCCTGGTAGGATTTTTGTTTTACATCTTCCTGTGGTTATGTTACTAACTATGGTTAGTATGTCGATATTCTGGACACCACCGGTACGCTGTACTCAATGGCTCGCTTTGCCGGAGCTATTGATGAGCGCACGCAGGACTTCGAAGGCAGTGCCATGGCCTACGTATGTTTTCCCTTTCACTTGTTCCGATTGGCTCATACTGATAGTTCTCCCAGATGGTGGATGCTATTTGTGTTTCCATTGGCTCCCTCTTCGGCACACCCCCCGTCACAGCTTTCGTCGAGAGTGGTGCAGGAATCTCCGAAGGTGGCAAGACCGGCCTCACCTCGTGCGTGACCGGGTTTTGCTTCTTCATAGCCGTCTTCTTTGCGCCTATCTTCGCCTCCATCCCGCCTTGGGCCACGGGTTGCACGCTCGTGATTGTGGGTGCCCTGATGTGCAAGGCGGCTGCCGAGATCAACTGGCGTTATTATGGGGACGCTATCCCGGCGTTCCTGACCATTGCCATCATGCCTTTTACCTACAGTATTGCCTATGGACTCATCGCCGGTATCCTCAGCTATGTCACATTGAACGTGGCTGTGTGGCTTGTCGAGAAGGGCACGCGCGGTTACCTTGTGCCAGCCAACAAAGATGAGAAGGATCCCTGGACATGGAGGCTTCCTGGTGGATTCTTTCCCCCATGGGTGCGCCGTGTTGCTCGTGGCAAGAAGGACTTCTGGAGGGCGGATGAGAACGAGTCGGTGGATCTTGGTGTCAGACCAGACGAATCGGTATCCTCGCAGGAGCAATACGTCGAGAAGAATATGGGAGGGAAAGGGTTCGCTGCCTGACCTAATTTGTATAATAATCAGCACTGTAGATAGACTGAACCCGCCGAAGATAGATACCAACCTTACCGAATGGTTCTAATGGCATATCAGTTCAATTTTATACTCCCGTGACTCGACATTTTGGGACATCACTGGGTTGGAGATCACTTCCGTCTAGCCAATCAGGGCCGCTCAAATGTGGTCGCACGGCCGCATACCGTACTGTCAGATACCATGCCTAATGAGGCAGTACTCGACCACTGTTTGGCTGTGACGTGTCACAAACACTGGTATTGCGAGTACATCAAACATGCGGGGAAGTCGTGTGCAATTCCGGCAGCCAATCAGCGGGCCCATCGAGTCATGCCGGAATGGATAGATCTGCAAATGGCTTTCACTGTTGCTTTTTTTTTCCTTCTTTTTTCTCCCCTAGCATCGTCTACTGTCAACTTGCTCATCATGCTGTGAATGCTCGCCTTCGAGCGCATCCTCGCCATGCCGGATTCCAGACGCCCGTTGGCTCCTGCCCCGACTGGTGCGATCGCCGGAAATGGCATTCCGCAACGGAGGAAGAACGTCGGTACTGCGTGCTTGGCGTGTAAAGCGCGCAAGCTGAAGGTAGGGGGAGCTTTTACCGCGCCTCTACGATCTAGTGGAGTCCATGATTGGGTTCTAACTTTCCTGCCGCAGTGTACTGGAAATTCTCCCTGTGCGAACTGCATCAAGAATGGCCTCGAGTGCACCTTGAATCAAGCCGCCGACAAACGCCGTCGCGGCCATATGAAACGGAAGATCGATCTTCTGGAGGATAAGGAGGATCTCTTGATCGGGCTAGTCGGCGTTCTGCGTGAAACTGGCAACCGTCGCACCATCACCTTGTTGAATCTCATCCGCAGCAATGCTTCGCTGAGTGAGATCCGGAATTACATCGACCAGGAGCTGCCTGAAGCTGATCTCGAACGGACCCCGGAACTGGTCGAAGTGTGCCATAGGGTCCAGCGTCTACCACAGACCGAGTCGCGCTCCGTTCGCCGCATTCTCGATGCCAAACGACTGTCGGATATTCCACGATTCCGTGTCCCTGCGCAACCGTGGACTGCTGTTGACGATGACGATTTTGTCTCGCATCTTGTTTCCCTGTGGTTCACCTGGTGTCACCCGTTTTGCAACTGGATCGACCGCGAGCTCTTCATCCGGGACATGCAGACGGCGAATCCCCGTGCGTCGTACTGTTCCCCGTTCTTGGTAAATAGTATTCTTGCGGATGCATGTGTAGGTAGTGCCCCTAGTTCGTCGTGCAAGGGCTTCTAGTAACAGTGCAGGCCTACTCGGATTACCCCGAGGCATATGCGAAAGCGGGGGATGTCTCGAGTCGAGGATCGAATTTTTACGACGAGGCAAAACGCTTGCTGGATAAAGAAGAGGGGCGGATCTCCCTTCCGACTGTCCAAGGATTGGGGGTCCTGTGGTCGTGGTGAGTCAGTCCCGTCTCTCTGAATCAAGGAGCAAACAACTTATGGATAAAGTTCTTTGATGACTGGTCGCGACCGCCAAGGTTGGATCTTTCGCAGCCAGTTGGCGTACTCGGTACAGGAACTTGCTCAGAACGAGTCAGTTCAGGCACCGGAAGCAGACGAGAATGCGTTTCGAATGGCTGGAGTGATCAGTCATGCACACTGGGGTTTATTCAACATTGCCACGTAGGCACCCCGCTTCCCCCAGTGATAGACACGAAAGCTGGCATATCTTTTCACACCATGGTGGATAGCAGAATAACTGACCAACGGTAGGGTGCAAGCTTTGTTCCAGAAGAAAATGCCGCCGATCAAGCCGCCGGCACCAGTCTCACTGCCACCTGTCAGACATGAATACGAGCAGGACGACTGGCAACCTTATCCCACGTTCGCTGAGAGAATCCAGTCGCACACGGACTGCCTTTTCAACGCGCTCTGCAAACTGAACCTGATTACGTACGACCTGTGCCGGATTTTCTTCCGAGGTGACACCGAGCAGTCCCACGTCGAAATGCAGCGTCAGACTGAGGCGGTACACAGTCGATTGCGCCAATGGGCGGACCATCCCCCGGGGTGTCTTAAGGGGAGTGAAATCGAAGCGCCACATACCCTGTGCCTGCAGTCAGTTTGCATCATCCATTGCTTCTCTGTTTCACGGCTAACTCGTGCTAGCATGTACTACCATGTCATCATCATGACCATCTGCAGCCTTAGCAGGGCCGTTTTCGGAACGGACCATGCTTCCCAGGACGAGCTGCGCCTCTCCTCGGCACGCAACATCGCCCAGCTGCTACACATCCACCGCACCTCGTGGGGGGTGGACCGCATGCTGGTGCACAACATTCATTGGATCGCAACGGCATTATTCGCTCTGGTTGACCGACTGGACGATCCGAGCAACCGCAACGCGTTCATTAACATTTGTGTCACTGCCAAAGCCTTCTCGCGAAGATGGGAGTCGAGTAACACCATCCTTCGTTCGCTACAAGCTACGGCGCGGGAGAGGAATATTGTCCTGCCGACGGAGACCGATCCACTATTTGCAGAATTGGAGAAACACCGTCCGCATCGGTTGCACATCAAACATGATATATCGACTGATCCGGGGAGTAGCGATGTGTGATCATAGGATATATGGGTGAATCTGGAGCTATATACCTGTATCTCGGAGAGAAAAGAGAATATAATTAAATAGGACTCGAATACCCTTTATTTACTAATAATAATCAGTCTGAAGTAGTCTTCATCTATCATAGCTCGTATACCAGTATACCATCCGTCCATCCACCCATCCAAGAAATTCAAGAAGTCAATAATTAATCTCCCCCGTTCCCTGTCTCCGCAGGGCTCTCCACCCCTCACGACGCATCTTATATATCAACAGACGATAATGCCACAAGACCCAGACCAACACAGTCGCCAGCGTCAACGGAATCGTCACGGCCCAGTACATCCAGAAGGAATTGGCAGTGGAAAAGGGGCTTTTATCACCGGGGGAGAAGTCGAAAAAATTAGTTCCAAAGAGGCCCTACCATTATCATTAATATTGTCACTATAAAAAATATATGGATATGTATGCCTATAATACCGAAACAAAAGTCCCAGGAAGATAAACCAAGCTGACCACCCCGACCGTTTTCATCATCGCGCTATCGGATTGAGCGTCGCGGCCGTAGCGCTGGGAGACGAGATTAAATGCCTGAATATACCTTAGCATTTGCCTAGGGAGTGACTGTGGAACATTGAACCAAGGACCACATACCAGGTTAATTTCATTATGCAACCTCTCCGTCAATGATCTCGACCTAGTCTTCAACCCGTGCATTTCCTTCGCGAGAAAATGCAATCGCTGCTGAGTGGGCAGATACACACTGCGCAGGTTCGAGTGCGACTCGGGAAACTCGACGCGCCAGCGATTCTGCTCCGCGAGGAGATTCAATAGCGTGTTTTCTGCGACTTCCAACGTCTCGGTAGAATGGAAGATGTGGCGACCGATGTCGTGGAGATGAGGAAATTTTGGGGGGGGAGGATTTTCTTTATCTCTGGCCTTTATTCCTTAGATTATAGATATAAGGAGAGGTGGGGGTAGAGAGGACCTTTTCTATTCCTCGAACTAAATCTCTCAGCGACCAGATAGACTCGTCGTAGAGTCTGATCACGACCGAGGCGAATTCCATGTGCCAGGTGAAGGGGTTCAATCGGTTCATGTACTGCAATCGGCTCTGCAGGGCCAATTGCTGAGGTTCGGGCAGGTTGAGTACGAGGATGGTTCGCTGGTTGGTGGGCATCATCCAGTCGACCAGGAGGGTGGTTTGCACCCAGTCGTAGTCGTTGGGTTTGAGGACTTTTTTGATCTTGAAGCAGGTCCAAGATACTGCCCAATTAGTAGGTTATTATTCGTGTATTGTGGGGATAGACTCACCGTGGCGAGTGATTTGATCATCATCCGAGACGATATAGTCGCAGAAGAGAGACCCGTTGAGGTCGTTGTTAATAATAGGCCAGAATCCATCTGGAAAGGGGATTCTTATATGTCCTTTCAGAGATTCAGAGGAGGCGAATCTGGTATTAATTAGAGATTTATCGATTTGCGATCAATGGCATGTTACATTAGACGGGTCGAGGATTTTTGACCCCATTCCTGCATACTCAGCAGTGTTTGTATTATTGTCAGAACATCATACCATCAACTCATCATATATAACAGCCAGTCGCTGCGTCCACGCATCATTATCTACCGTACAATAGTTAGTTAGTTAGCCAGTCCATAAACCAAGGGTATATATACCGCACTGCTCGAATATGGTAACTCCGTCGACCGACCCCATGTCAGGCGATACTAGTGATCGCGAAATCTGGAGTAAACCAAGAAACCAGGCTGTCAGACGGATAAAAGAGCCGTGCGACCACTTATATACTGACAGGAGCAAGAAATGTCATAGCGATATGCAACACAGCCGCCGGCGTGAGAAGGCTGCCTATGAGATGTTATGGCTAACGGGCCGGGGCGAGACGGTCTATCGCCGATCCCCACTATATCATACTGGATCGGATGCATAATGTCAAACAGTACGCCTATTGTTATTATTACACGCCTAGATAGGCTTCAGGAGTTTCGCATTTGACAGGACCGTATGTACTGCCTATGGGACTTTGTAGCGTGTTGGCACATAGGCTGGCGTTGACCGCTGATTGCCCCCGGTCGGGTTGGGTACAACAAGGCGAACCTGTACCATCAGAAAATATGCAAAGGTCCGTATTGGTAGAGTATTACGATCATTGAAATAAGGCAGATTCTCTCGTAATTGAAGCTCTGTCTGCCTGTCATCAGTTCGAAAGGATGAGAGTAAATAGTGGCATATCCAGAAGACAATAGTAATGCTTGATTGAGAAATCCCATGGTAGTGTCCTCCCCCCATGGTATTTGTATCCCCATAAACAGAGCTCAACAGTAACATCTCCTAACTCGTCAGTCAAGCGATTCTGTACGATCGCGAAACTTCAGGCTGTATTCCGACCGTGCATGAGACGTCTTTCTTTAGCTCCTGCCGTGGTAGTCCATGCGTAGTGCTGCAGTCCCTGGTGAGCGTGCGACTAACGGAGGGACGATCAGGAGATGTATTATAATGATCAGACACTGAGTATATAATAGTGAGGATAGGAACGCTTGAAGCGACGACTGATTATTTTCGAGGGTACAATCCAGGATACTACCGACACAGTGGGTCCAAGTCTGTACAGGGACGGGACTTTGATTCCCTTGGCGAGGAGAGCTACCCATGTACAGAGGGTTACAGGCCATGTGAATTTTAGTTTAGTCTTTCCTAAAATAGTCTAGCTCAGTCATATACATTGAACCCAGTTAAATGCAACCGTTTCCTTAATTACAATACTCCACTAAACGCAAGCAATTATAGCGGCCAATTTGATTTTTTCCCATATAAAATTACTCAAAATTCCATTATCTACAAGATGCAATCGACCGTGATTTCTCCCATATAAACTTGCACCTAGGGAGATAAAAGCCCACTTTAAAATACACAGACCCACTTAATTGACCAATTATAATAGTCAAATAAATGACCCTTCAGCCTGCACAGAAAGCCGCTAAGCTGGAGCTGGCCTGAGGCAGATCGCATAAGTCACGTGATTTATTCTAAACTAGACTTGATTTGGATAGCCTAAATTAAAATAGGAAGAGAGGGTTGTGGCAGGAGCGGAGGGCGGTGTGGCAGTATCAACTCTCTTTACAGAGCACTCCGTATACTCCGTGGAGACGAAGAATTGAAGAGTTTTATTGAGACATTTAATCAGAACGGCAAAGACCAGGGTCTGACTGAAATTCGTTGAGTAGTCCATGGGCCCGACATCGACATAGATGTATTTCATGGAGATTCCCGAATCTCCACTAAACAAGCTAACTGCCCAGCTCGGTATAGCTGATGCTTGGCGATCTGTCCAGCCCCTCAGACGCATGAAAGTTCATTCGCGTAAACAACCAGAACTGGACCAGTCTGTCGGTTCTATTCGCAGAATCGACCGACGCTCCACGGCAGAGCTCGAAAGTTGTACAGCCGAGGTGTCTGCTTATCGAGGAAAGTACGCTAGAATAGACCATGCAGACACGAAGATCCCAGATCCGCAAGGACCTGCCGAATCGCGTAACTGTAACCATGGAGATAGATAGCTATTAGGTGGGCAGCTGCGGATATTTAACCTGCCGATCCTCCTGAGTTGATCCGTGGACGACGGTGTATATTTCATTCATCATGCATCTGTCGTTGCTGCTGCTAGGCGTCTGGGCCGTTCAGCCAGGTGCTGCGTATGTCGCCAAGTCGGCTCGGAATGAGGGGATCTGCAAGAAGGCCACCGTGGCTGTTCTGTATGTCTTATAGGATTATTTTTGCTTGTTGTGGCATACTGATGTCAACAGAGGAGGAGGGATTGCAGGCATCTCCGCCGCTGTAAGTGTCATGCATCATTATCCAGGTGTGCGAAGGCTGACCAATCCAGCAAACGCTATCTGACGCGTCGATTGACGATTTCCTGATACTGGAATATCGCGATCGCATTGGAGGCCGTGCCTGGCACGAGAACTTCGGCAAGAACAAAGATGGCAAGCCGTACGTGATCGAGATGGGTGCCAACTGGGTAGGTTATCTTTATTCTTCACTGGATGACAGGAACTTATACCGGACAGGTACAAGGACTGGGAGTCCCAGGAGGCCCAGAAAATCCCATCTGGACTCTGGCCAAGGAGTTCAACCTGGCCACCACGCCCTCCGATTACGACAATGTCTCCACCTACAACGAGCACGGATACAAAGACTACTCCCATCTGTTGGCCAAATATGACGAAGCTGCCGACGTCGCATGCCAGAAAGCCGGCGCCATCCTCAAAGATAACCTCCAGGACCAATCCGCCGAGGCCGGGTTGGCGCTCGCTGGGTGGAAGCCCAAATCCGACGATATGGAGGCGCAGGCGGTCGACTGGTGGAAATGGGGTAAGACCCCGTAGACAGAAAGATTGCAGACGTAAGCTGACTCGCTAGATTTCGAGGACGCCTTTTCGCCGTTGGAAAGCTCCCTGATGTATGGCTGTGCCAGCGATAACCTCACCTCGAATGGGTTCAGTGACCAGGACAACTTCGTCACGGACCAACGGGGATTCAACACCATCATCAAGGGCATGGCGTCGAAATTCCTCACTGAGAACGACCACCGGCTGAAGCTCAACACCCAGATTGCCAACATCGCTTACAGCCCGGACGGCGTTATTATTTCCAATCAAGACGGCAGCTGTGTGCAAGCGGCCTACGCCATCTGCACCTTTTCTCTCGGCGTGTTGCAGAACGACGTCGTCGCCTTCACTCCAGAATTGCCCGAGTGGAAGCAGACGGCCATCCAGATGTTCACCATGGGCACCTACACCAAGATCTTCATGCAGTTCAATGAGACTTTCTGGCCCACTGACACGCAGTATTTCCTGTATGCGGACCCGGAGTCGCGCGGCTGGTACCCGCTGTTCCAGTCGCTCTCGATGCCGGGATTCCACGAGGGATCCAACATCCTGTTCGTAACGGTAACGCACGAGATGGCATATCGAGCGGAGCGCCAGTCGGACGAGAAGACCAAATCGGAGATCCTGGACGTCCTGCGCAAGATGTTCCCGGACGTTGAGGTGCCTGAACCCACGGCGTTCCTATATCCGCGCTGGAGCACCGAGCCCTGGGCGTACGGCAGCTACTCCAACTGGCCAACGGGTACGACGCTGGAGATGCATCAAAACCTGCGGGCCAATACGGACAGACTGTGGTTTGCGGGTGAAGCCACCAGCCAGAGCTACTTTGGGTTCCTCCATGGCGCCTGGTTCGAGGGACAGCATGCGGGACGAGAAATTGCTAACCTGCTGACAGGATGTAAGGGCAACTCGACCTGCGGCCCTCGGAAGCATTATGAGAAGCTGCATGGAACTACAGGGTTTGAGGATTACTCAGAGGTGAATGGATGGTATGCCGACCCGTTTGTGGACAACAATATTTAGACTCGGTAGTGCCTATACTTATGCGTATAACTATGCGTATAACTATATATCAATAGAATGAATGCTAGTATGACTTTGGCAACCCCAACACCCGCTGCCCAATATAATTCAAAATCATCTCCCTACTAACTGGAGCTATCCGAGGAATCCACACTTCCCTCATATACCTCTCTACATGGTACTCCTTTGCATATCCCATTCCACCATGGGCGAGCACCGCTCTCTCACAAGCTTCAAACGCCGCCTCAGCCGCCAAAAACTTGCCTGCATTCGCATACTCTCCTTCAACATAACCTTGATCATACAGCCTCGCAGCGTGATAAATCATCAACCTGGCTGCCTCAAGCTTCATCCAGCTTTCTGCCAACGGATGCTGAATACCCTGATTCATCCCGATCGGACGTCCAAACACCCTTCTCTCACCGGCATACCGCGTCGCACGTCGCAGCGCCGCAAATCCCAATCCCAGCGCCTCTGCCCCGATCAGGATCCTCTCCGCATTCATCCCGCGCAGAATCAACTTGAACCCATCATTCTCCTCCCCGATCCGATCTGCGACAGGGACATGCCAGTCCTCGAAAAACAGCGCATTCGAATCGACCGCTGCGCGGCCCATTTTCGGAATCTCCGTCATCTGCACAACCTGGGGATCTAAATCCGTATAAAACAGGGATAACCCCTTCGACGGTTTATCCACCTCTTCTCTAGATGTCGTTCTGACCAGGATCAAAACCTTCTGCGCATTCTGCGCCGTAGAAATCCACACCTTTTGCCCAGACAAAACATACCCCTTCCCATCATTACTCCGTCTCGCAACGGACTGCAACCGCAACGTATCCAACCCGGTGTTTGGCTCCGTGACAGCAAAACAAGCCCTCTCCTGCCCATTAATCAATGGCCGCAGCCATCGTTCTTTCTGCTCCTCCGTGCCAAACTTCACCACGGGCTCGAGACCAAAGATATTCATATGTATAGCGGAAGCAGCTGACATTCCGCCGCCGCTTTCAGCGATGGTCTGCATCATGACAGCGGCCTCGGAGATCCCAAGTTCCGACCCGCCGTAGGACTCGGGCATACATATGCCTAGCCAGCCGTGGCGGGCTAGCGTGGCGTGAAAGTCGACGGGGAATTGGTTCTTTGTGTCTAGGGAGGCCCAGTATGAGTCTGGAAAGTCGAGGCAGATTTTACTGATGGCGGAGCGGACGGTGCGTTGCGTGGGGGTGTAGATTGATTCTTGACCTTGGTCGCTGTGGATCCATCGTTGTCTGGGGATTTGGAATCGGGGGATGAGTTTAGATCTGAGGGATCGGGTAAAGGGAGTGTAGATGGACATATTTAGCTGTGTCAATTAATGGGAATGTAGATGTAAATGTCCGTTCATGTTCATTTCTATCTGGAATGTATATGAGATAAAATGCCGACTGCCGAGACGGACCAAGGTAATGCGGGGTACCCCATGTTGATCTTATAAGCTATATGGGGAATATATCAGATCAGCAGTATCTTAATAATTCAATCATCGCGAATCCAAGCATGCCGTGGTATACAAAACAGATGCTGCTGAAACCTATGTATCAACATGTCATCAGATCTAAACGACTCATATCCACCACTACTACCACCGGACCTCTCCACGGCATCCGCATTCTCGACCTCACTCGCGTTCTCGCAGTACCGGGAGCCCTTATATCCCTACGAACAAAACCAATTTACTAATATATAATATAGGGCCCATTCTGCACCCAAATCCTAGGCGATTACGGCGCCGAGGTGATTAAATCGAGTATCCGCGAGGAGGGGTACGTCCTTCTAACAGTCATTCAACACACACTTCAATCCCCAACATACACATAATATATAATTTATATCTAATGTATGAAGGATGATACCCGCCTATGGCGCGAAAACAATGAATCGAAATTCTGGACTTCGACCACCTCCGCAAAGTCCATGTCTCTGTATTTCAACGCCGTGAATCGGAATAAACAGTCTGTCACGTTGAATATGAAACATCCTCGTGGACGGGGGATTATTCTGGACTTGGTGAGGGCGGTGGATGTTGTGTATTTCTCCCCGCCGAATCTATTTACTGAGTACTTAGTACTTAGAGTTCTATCTCAGTGTTCATCCAGTGTATGTATAGATGTGACTAATTGATTACCAGTGTGGATAATTTCATCCCCGGAAAATTGGAACAACTTCATCTCGGATACGAAGTATTCAAGAGAGAAAACCCAGCTATTATCCATGCCAGTCTTTCCGGTACCTACTTCTCCCATTTACATCCAGGATATATCTAATAAGAATAGGATACGGAAATACAGGTCCCTACTCCCACCGCGCCGGCTACGACGTAATCGCCGCCGCGGAAGCCGGACTCCTACACATAACCGGGGAAGCAGACGGCCCACCGACAAAACCTGGCGTGGGCCTAATGGATCTGTGCACGGGACTGTATCTCCACGGGGCGATCTGCGCCGCGTTGATATCACGGACCCGAACAGGACAGGGCCAGAAGATCGAAGCGTCACTATTCGAAACGAGTATCTCCATCCTGAATAATGTCGGCATGAGCTGGTTGAATATGCACCGCGAGGCGCAACGATGGGGCACAGAACATCCCACCATCGTGCCGTATGCGGCGTTCCCGACGAAGGATTCGAGGATCGTGTTGGGAGCTGTGAATAATCGACAGTTTGGGGTGCTTTGTGAACGGTTAGGTAGGAAGGAGTTGGCGCGGGATGAACGGTTCGTGGATAATGATGCGAGGGTTAGGAATCGGGTGGAGTTAAAGGGCGTTCTGGATGGGCTGTTTGTTAATAAGACGACGGAGGAATGGTTGGGTGTGTTGGATGGTAGTGGGATGCCTTATGGACCGGTGAATAATCTTGAACAGGCGTTTGGACATCCCCAGGTTCGGGAGAGATGTATGGTGCAGACGGTTCAGCAGCGGGAGTCGGCTTCTGGGAGTTTGGATCTTCTCGGTATGTTCTTTCTCTCTTATTTTATTATTACTCATTTGTTTATTTCTCATGAATAGGCATCCCCGTCAAATTCAGCAAAACGGAACCATCCATTAGACAGAGTCCGCCCTCGCTGGGACAAGATACGGACGATGTGCTTAGAAACATGGGCAAGTCGGAGCAGGAGATAGTACAGCTGCGCAAGGATGGGGTATTGTAGAGATCTATCCATATATTCAGAACGTATATATTAGATCTGTGCATCCAAGATATTAGAAATTCCACTGATTCAGCCAATTTGTCTCATACTGCGTGATTGCCCGGCAATGCTGCCATTGTGGCACTGGCCTCTTCGGTCCGCTGCGTACTGATAGCATAAAACACTTCTTTACCACGTTCCAGCCTGCGGTTGAAATCAAACAGTTTCAATGCGGGTTTCTCCCGCACGTCAGTCCCTGACTGGTTTCTTGTAGTCTCGGGTTCGGATCCAGTCATGGAATGGCTCACGATACCTCGTATTTATACTTGATCGCGGGCACCAACGCAGACGAGGAGTTTTTGCATGGGTTCACCGGATGGAAAACCGTCGTGCGATACCAGACCATATCCTTCCGACTCGTGTAGACTAACGCTAACATGATTGTAGCCAATGTGTCCTACAGGATCAGCCACTGTCTTCAATATACGAAGAAAGAACCTTCGATGTCGTATCCTCCCAGTCGGATCATTCCCGAGAGATTTGCACGTCTTCAAGAAGGACAGTATCGATTCCTCTGTTTTTGAATCTTTGTATCTGTCTTGCCTGTGCGTCGCATCGGTTGAAACAGTAGACTTTCGATATGGGTGTATCGCATAGCAGAGCGTGTAGCAGAGATGTGCCCAGCGAGCCTGTGGATCCAGTCAAAATAACGGTGGAGCGGTCGTGCAGAGCATTCTGTGGTAGGTTTCTTGTGTATTTCGGCAAGAGGTTGTTGATTCTCTGCGCGACGTACCGAATATGATATCCCGTTAATATACTCAATACAAACCGACCTAGTTGTATTACGGTTGAATGGACGTAGACATGCCGTGGTGTAATGGATTTACAATCCCCATCAGGCAACTCGAAAGACACAGCTTTCGCCAACATCATAGCCAGTTGAATCGTATGCGGCAAGTCAACCCAGCCACGTACAAATCTTCATCCACCGCGACACTCTCACGTTCAAGCAAAGAGCAGACAACGTGGGGGTACTCGGCCCGACGGGGGCCTTTTGGATGTTCGCGGAGACTACCCTGGTTGGTGGGATCTGAGTGCTCCAGACTACGCCGGACACAGTGGGATGGCCACTGAGACAATTGAAAGGGTATTCTCTGCCATAGTATAAGATTGCCTTGTACAGAAAGGCGACGCAGGTCTCATGGACCAAGAGTGCGACGTAAATGATAAAGGAAAAGTTGAGAACTAGGCCAGAGCAGGATAGAAATGTGCTTAAGCTGGTTGAGACTGTTTGGGCATTAACTTTTTGGTCTAAGAAGAAGTGTCTTTGAATAGGATTGGGATATCACTCGATCATTCCAGTGCGTCTTCATTCCCCATCACCAACAGGCAAATACGAGGAACCAGTGAGGGGATGCGGGGTCCATTCGGCAAGAAGGCCTGGATCGAGTTTAGTGCTGGCATTCCTTTGTTCAATAAATAAAAATTAGTATAGCCCTACGCTCTAGCGGAAATGCTGTTTGTCTTTCACACAACACGAAAATAGACCCAAACCTGAACCATCCAACATGGAACCAGCGAGACTGCTCCAACTTTCTGCAACGGAGATTCACGAATTAATCCGAACAGGAAATACCACCGTTGAGGAATATGCTCTGACTCTGATCCAGCGATGTGACCAGAGACAGCCTGAAGTACATGCATGGGTTCATTACAACAAAGAAGGCATCATAACTCAGGCTAGAGCACTCGACGCTCTTCCGACCAACAAACGAGGCCCCCTCCATGGAGTCGCAGTCGGGATTAAAGACATTTTTTTGACCAAGGGCATGCAATGTCTTCCATAGTCTGATCCAACAATCATAGTTAATTGACCGAGTCTAGATATGCCTACCCGATATGGCTCTGCTATCCACGAGAACGACGATAATGCTCCAGCAGACTCTGCGGCCGTAGCCATCCTTCGCGCCGCTGGTGCCCTTATCCTCGGCAAGACAGCTACAACTGAATTCGCAGCCACAGGTGTGGGCACGTCATGCACTAACCCACACAATCCTCGACACTCTCCTGGCGGATCTTCATCAGGTTCCGCAGCGGCAGTTGCGGATTTTCAGGTCCCTATCAGCATGGGGAGTCAAACGGGGGGGAGTATTATACGTCCTGGAGCGTATAATGGCATTTACGCTTTTAAGGTAGGCATATAATATAAACAGGCCTTCCATTTTCACTCGTCGCTAATAATTCAAGCAGCCCACGTGGGGACTCATATCAACAGAGGGGATGGGCCGATTTTCTACCACTTGCGATACAATTGGCTTCTTTGCGAATACTGTTCACGATTTGTATCTCCTAGCCAAGGTATTTCGGCTTGATTTTGACACAGTTCCAAACCCCCATCCATTTCAGATTAAGCAAGCAAGGATCGCCTTCGTTACAACGCACGTTTGGGATCATGCAGGTCCAGGAACTCACGCAGCATGGCAAAAGGCTCGCTCACTCCTGTCTGCGACAGGAGCTGTGTTGGAGGATGTCGACCTGCCTGAACCATTTGCACGGTGCTGCGATTGGCAAAAGGTTGTGATAGCAGGGGAAGGTCGGACAGCGTTTCTTTCTAGTAAGTGCTATCCTGTAGTATGAAGATACTATGGAACTTAGTATGGAGATGGGATATAACCTCACAGTCGAGAACAGTGTTGACAATAATTGGACAGAATATGTTGATTCCGTGAACAAATTACATCCGACATTAGCCAATTTCGTCGATAATCCTAATCCTCCAACTCGCAAGGAGCTGGTGCAAGCGTATGACAGTATTTCTGAGCTACGTCAACGGTGGGATCGGGTTGCCTGTCAATATGATGCCATTATCACACCTAGTGTAACGGATGAGGCGCCTGAAGGACTAGGAAGCACGGGTAGCTCGGTAAGCCGTACCACTTTCATATTGTATATTCACTACAATTCAGTCTCCGCTGTTTGAGTTCGTCAATTTGAAGACGTGAGCTGATAAAAATGTAGATATTCAATGCGATGTGGACTATACTCCATGCTCCGACTCTCAATATCCCCTGTTTCTTCGGATCACAAGGTCTTCCTGTTGGTCTGACAGTCGTTGGCGGTCGGTATACTGACATGGAAGTTCTTCAGGCGGGGGAAGCAATTGGGGCATTGTTTAAAGGGGAAACATAGATGTTACCAGGGTGCTGTAGGCACCACTCGATTATTTGATCTAGCATATTATGATCTGTAATGGAAGAGAACATCATACACTTTTTGCTAGGCTAAATATGATTATTATATTCATAAAGATTATACCAAGCATTGTTATACGTCTAGAAAAGCATGTAATACTTTCCAAATAGCTCAGGTGCATTGTATTCTTGGTAATTGAAATAGACTGAGGTGGGCATCTTCATCTAGGAACAGCAAAGAAGGCGGAATTGGCCAAATAACAATAGCGTCATCCGACAAGATCTATCCATACTTATAGGCTTGGGCTTTCTACAATCCTCAAAAACGTTTCCTATTAGTAAAGCTATGGTTGCATAGCGTGAGTTTTCATGCAGCTTTATAAACTTCAATCCCTACCACTGACAATTTCTTTTGTATTTGCTATAATACAGTAACTCTAGATGATAAAGATATCTCAGCCACTTAAACTTATTGTATGTGAAGATAACAGGAGCATGCTAGACTACTGCCTGCATGAAACCGTAACCGTCTTGGTACCTGTTAGTCATGATTCAAGAGGCCATGACCGCAACTGAGGGACATCTAACATCCAGAGAGACCTCTAAGGCCGAGGTGCAAGAGACTTTGGACATAGCTTCCATCCAGGAGTTTGATGAAGCGTCTGAATGACATTGATTCCATGGACAGTGAGCAGGTGGTTCCTTCCTGTTTAGGTAACATATGTCAAATGTAGACAAATCATTGCTGTACAATCTCTCTTCTCTGATCCCGATCACGCATCACTACTATACTCTATGCCATACTATCAGTATCCACTATGTCAGAGTACACCCCAGTCGACGTCCTTATCATCGGCGCTGGCCCTGCAGGACTATCCGCCGCCTTATCCCTCGCTGGACGACTACACACAGCTATTGTGTTCGATAATTGCACTTACCGCAACGCCAATGCGTTGCACATGCACCTGCTTCCTACCTGGGACCGCAGGAGTCCAACGCGATTTCGATCCCAGGCAAAGACAGAGATCGTCACTAATTATTCAACAGTCCGTATTGTAGAAGTCGAGGTGAAAAAAGCAGAGAAAATCAACGACTCCCTCTTCCAGCTGACGGATGGAAAGACTATCTGGCAAGGAAAGAAATTGATTCTCGCCACAGGCTTGGAGGACGTGTTTCCTCATGTACGAGGATATGCATATGTATGGAGGAAGGGAATGTATGATTCAAAGGCCCCTCTTTAAACGCATATATTGATATAGCCTAACTAAGTTCGTGAAATCAGTTTCCATTGTCGCTGCCAACGCTATGGAGACCGCAACACCAGCTCTGCTGGGGTTCTAGCCATCACTCCACAGGCCAATGTGCGCATGGCTATTCACCAAGCTGAGACCGCAGCCGAATTCTGCTCAACTGTAACGATCTACACGAATGGCGCAGGAGCCCTAGCCACTGAACTCTCTACAAAGCTACCCCATCGCCCAGATTCCAGTTTCAAAGTCGATAACCGGCTGATCGCCAATCTCTCTCTGGACTACGGGGCCTGGCCACAATCATCTCAGGTCCGCCTAGTGGGTGGGACAACATTTAACCACACTTTCCTTATGCACAGTCCCACTACTCGAATCAAGGGACCCTTCGTAGCACAATTGGGCATCGCTCTCGCCACGGAAACCATCACAGGGTCTGTTGATATTGCAGTTTCCCAACCGTTCCTGCAGACCAATGTAAGGGGCGTGTTTGCTGCGGGGGATTGTATGATGCCGCTCAAGTCGGTGGTGGGGGCCATGTCTAGTGGGGCTAGTGCTGCTTACGGTGCCTCTACTCAATTGAGGGCAGAAAATAATGGACGCACACCTCCATTTTAGGTATAATTCAGTTTGATTAGATTCAATTCAATGAAAAGCTCTATTACCCAGTTGTAGCCCAACTGTAAAATGTTTAGTTATGCAGGCGCTTCAGCGATGAAGCTAGAACTCCACCCAATATTCAAGAGAATGGTAAATAAATATAACACTTTTATACAATAGGTCCACGATATAGTATGCAGTCCTGCTACAGGAGACCTATATTGGGACTAATCTAGTCAGGATATGTAGTATAACACAGCTTTTATATTTCCCTAAACAAGCTGACAGCATGGTGCTTTTCCTTAAAAAAAGGCAGAAGAACATTATAAGTAAATAACGAGGACGTCATAGCTCAACGACTACATACACTATCTTCAATCTTCCTCAAACATTTTGTTAAAAGATTCTAGCAGCTGGGCCTTAAAGGTCAGAGCGTAGTAGTACCATGCCCTCTTTTGTTTATATACTCTTTTCTTTAGCTACTTGCACAACCCCAGTATAGTATATATTAAGATATATAAATGGACTGGGCCTGCTTTAGTACAGGTCTCTTTAAGATAATATTGGCTTTAGTAATATGATGTATGTATTGACTTTACTTTTATCCTTTAAGGAAAATCCCTGGTCCCGAACTGGCAGCAATTGCGAACCTCTATGAATCTACTATGATGTTATTCTAGGAGGGCGGTTTCTCTTTAAGATCCAGAAGCTACGTCGTGATGAGATTATCTTTACGGATTCTGGAACATTTAAGCCCAAACAATGAGCACAATGAGCTCCTAACGATATGTCTTGTTGTGTGGAATTCAGGGGAAGTGATGCGCAGGGAGCTCTAAATCTGCTACAGGCCAACTCCTTTGCCTAATTAGGAAGTAGATGTCGTCTATGGAAACACCGGAAATCACAGTATCTCAACCAACTAAGTCTCTTGCATTCCTACCTAGAGGTCTTCAGTGCTCAACCTGAAGGTGCTCAAATTTCTAAGGATTCAGGGGTAGAATAGGCCGTCAGATACTCCGCACCGCCAAGTCGGGATTATAGTGTTCCCGTAAGAAGCTTAAGCAATGAGCACAATAAGCTCCTAATAATACGTCTCTGATAAACCATCTGGTTGCATCCAACAAAGGTAGTAGGGTGTGTTGGTTTGTGGAGTACGTCCTTCATCGTCTCTGTTCCCTCTATCTTTGTCTGTTTTCTTTTCTTAGCCAGTACTAGTTGTTGAATAGTTTGGCCTACCTAAACCTGTACAAGAAGATTAAGTATCTTATACGACCAATAGAACCTGTCGGTCAGCTGAATACGCGTATGAGCTAGTATCACCAATCTTATGAATAATAATGGATCGGCATTGAAAAGTATAAGGTCTCTAGCTCCCTGAATCTATGTAGGTGAACTGAATAAAAGTTGAAAAATCGAATAAAGTCGGGCTGAGCGGATGCTGAATACTGCGTAATATTGATCCACTTTGGTCGACAGAACTTAAGCTGTTTGACAAAGTCCCGGAAGACACAGAAACTGTCATAGATATGGGATTTAGAGTATGAGACGTGGAGGATTGCAGGTATTTGCCAAGGCCAAAAAGATTATCACTGAGTGAGACTAGCAAGCGAGGCAAATGTTTTGACAAGTGCCCCAGGATATTTTGTATAGGAAAATGCATATTGGCACATACCACTAACATCCTATTAGTTTGTTGGACTAATTTGCTAGGGGCTATGGCGGTCTCTGTTGACCGAATACGTACGTTATGCTGCGGTCGGGCTTTAGCTAGGGCTTTACTCCAATGCATTAAATGTTTCGTCTAGTATTCTTGGTTGTGGATAACGGGGATTGGAGAAAATAAATAAGGCTAAACTAAAGGATCTGTCATGGACTGAGCACCAAACGACACGAACTGGTACGCTCAGTTTCCCTGGTAACAGATTACCCCCTGCCCCACAATCATCCAAGCTTCACCATGCTGTGGTCCAAGATACAATCACCACGCCAACATAGAATCATGGCTACTGATACCTCCAGTATTGATACCGTCGCCAGTCTCATAAAAAATTCCAAGCGCATCATCGTCCTCACGGGCGCTGGAATTTCCACATCAGCAGGCGTTCCTGATTTCCGATCCCCCACCACAGGCCTCTACGATAAACTAGCCCCGTTAAAGCTACCTCATCCTGAGGCCATATTCCACATCAATTATTTCAGTCATACGCCGGAGCCCTTCTACGCCATTGCTCAGGCTCGGAACCCCCGTGGTCTCAAGCCCACCGTCTCCCACGCCTTCGTCGCACTCCTAGCCAATAAGAACCAGCTTGAAATTCTCTTCACGCAGAACATCGACAGTCTGGAGCAAGATGCTGGGGTACCTGCGGACAAGGTTTTCCCCATGCATGGGAACTGGAAAAACCAACACTGTTGCAAATGCAAGTCGGCGTACCCGGATGACTTGATGAAACGGGCGATCGAGACAGGCGAGGTGCCATATTGTCTTGATACGGTATGCGGTGGTGCCGTGAAACCGGATGTAGTCTTTTTCGGCGAGTCTCTCCCTGCCGCATTTAACGAGGAGATCAAGAGAGTCTCCAATGCGGATCTGATGCTAATTATGGGGACGAGCTTGCAAGTCAATCCCGGGACGAGGCTCCCGCGAGAGGTTAAAGAGGGAGTGCCCCGCGTGTTGGTGAATATGGAGAAAGCTGGTGATATTGGGAGTCGGTCGGAGGATGTGTGCATCCTCGGATCATGTGATGATATCGTTCGCAAATTGGCTGACGCATTTGGTTGGACGGATGAGTTGGAGAAGATCCGCGCAGACGCGGTAGCGAAGAAGGAGAAAGAGCAACCGTATCATGGACCAAGTCTGGATGAATTAATTGAGAAACTGGCGGCGAAGAGAAGGGAGGATTCCAAGATCTCGGATGGCCATAGGAACATGTTGGAGGGGCATCTGGCACAGAAATTTTCCCAGTTGCTGCCAAAGGTGAGCCCGAAATGAATGTAATGAAGTATTGATTTATTCTTATGATTGTTATATGTTATGATATATTAATTGGTTTGTGTTTTTGAAATTTTAGCTTTATAAAATACTTTGGATGGGCGGACCGGGCCGGACACATATATATACCTCTTGTTCTTATCACTTAAATGCTAATACTTTCTATAAGATTTAACCACGCTCCTATTTAATATTACACATGGATGAAGCTCTCCTCAATTTATAATAAGCTCCGACAACTAAACAGCAAATAGCCCTAACTGATGACCATAAATCGTTCTGTCACTGCGGGGATGAAGGCCAGATCTTCTATGTGGCAAACATGTGGCCTGAGGTTGTCTCAGGTTGCCTGAGGCAAAGAAATCTGGCCAGGCAGCCATCACGTGCGGCGTTGGCGCCTGGACGAGACCCTGACCATCGGCCAATCACGGGGCTTGGGGGCCTGGTGTATAAGGCTGCCAGCTCCTGGGTTTCTGCCTCCACTAGTTATTTATAGACGAGCCTAGCTGCCAGAGCTTCTCGTATAGCTCTGGACCCCAATCCGTGCTCATTTATTTACCCATGTTCAATCCCAACTCTTAAATTAACTTTCACTCCTAGCTCACTACCATTATTAGCCACAATCACAAGTCCTCCTCTAGTTAACTCACCTCTTACTTGCTTCTTCTTAAATCCACGTCTTACGACAAAGTGAAAATGTCGCCAGTATCCTGGAAACACCTTGTCATCTCCCTCAGTGGAACATTTCCTGGTTATAAACAAGGTACGTACTCTTTATTTTGCTCATTTTGCAACAATGACTGACTCATGGTATATCCATCCGTAAAATAGCGAACCTCAAATCGATAATAGAAGGCCATGGGGCCACGTTTAGTCCAGGTGTTACAAAAGGGTGCACTCACCTGATCACAACACAGAGGGAAATCGACAATCGGAATACAAAATGTGAGTAGAATGCAACAATTCATGTGCCAGTTGCGATCTCTCCAATGACTCTGCTCTTGACTTATTTGAATTTTCGGGCTCACTTCTATCAAATAGATATCCAAGCAAGCAATGTCTTTAACTGTAACATAGTCTCAGTTGACTGGCTTATTGACTCGCACGATGCGAAGAAACTGCTTCCCGAGAAGGATTACCTCTTTCCGTCGACGAAGAGCGATTCCAAATCGGACGACGAGCAAAACGGCGACGAGCAAGACGGCGACGAGCAAAAACGCAACGATAAAAAGAAACGCACACTTGAAGAAGTGCTAGCAGTCGACGACGGGCCTGCTGCCAAAAAGCCCAAAGATGCTCAAAAGGCCAACTCTAAGGCCGTGAAGGTCCCTGTGGATGAGGCTTGTCATCTCTCAGGTAAACTTGAGGTCCCGTGCCTCCAGTATGATGCATTCGCTAATGGTTCTGGTTACAGGAACTCATTCTGTGCACATTGACGAAGCAGGGTTGATTTGGGACGCTGCCTTGAATCAAACCGTTTCTGGCAAAAACAGCAACAAATTCTACCGTATCCAACTTTTAGTCGACTCCACTGCGTCATCATATCTAACTTGGACTCGCTGGGGGCGAGTCGGCGAGCATGGCCAATCTTTTATCTTAGGAGACAACACACTGGAAGGGGCGGAAGCCGAATTCAAAAAGAAATTCAAAGACAAATCAGGACTTACTTGGGAGAACCGACTCGATCCTCCCAAAAAAGGTAAATACACATTTATTGAACGCAATTACGAGGAGGAAGACGATTCTGAAGGACAAGATGATGCTGAAAAAGCTGCTGTGAAAGAGAATAAACCGAAGGTTGAGAGTGCTCTGCCAGCCCCTGTCCAGGATGTCATTTCGTTTATTTTCAACCCAGCGCACTTTCAGTCAGCCATGGCGTCCATGTCCTATGACGCACAGAAACTGCCTCTGGGCAAACTCAGTAAACGTACTCTTCGCAACGGCTTCCAGATCCTGAAAGACCTCTCAGAGCTTATCTCCTCGCCGCGACTAGCAGCTAGCAAATACAGCACCAACTTCGCGGCGGCCACCGAGGACCTTAGTAACCAGTATTTTACAACGATCCCTCACGTCTTCGGTCGCCACAGGCCACCTGTGCTCACTTCGGATGCACAGATCAAGAAAGAAATCGAGCTACTCGAAGCATTGACTGATATGGAAGTCGCAAACGGTATCATGAAGGAATCGAGAGATGCCGAGACTGTCCACCAACTTGACCGCCAGTTCCAGAGCCTTGGATTACAAGAGATGACCCCATGTATGTTGTTAAGTCTGGCATTGAATGCCAAGCATTCTTTGAACAATACTGATCCTCTGCAGTGGATCGTAAATCTACCGAATTCGACGAACTTGCAAATTATCTCTCCAGATCGCGTGGGTCCACCCATCATCTGCACTATAATGTAAGAGCCTTCCCATTGTCCTGAAAAATGCATAAACCACTAACAAAACCCAGATAATCAACATATTCAGAATTGAGCGTGACGGCGAAAACAAGCGGTTCCAGTCATCCGAATATTCCAAACGCAAACCTAGCAACCGCCGCCTTTTATGGCACGGGTCTCGGAGTACCAATTATGGTGGAATCCTTAGCCAGGGTCTGCGCATCGCACCTCCAGAGGCACCTGTCAGTGGATACATGTTCGGAAAAGGTGTTTATTTTGCAGACATGTCCACCAAATCGGCCAACTATTGCTGGGCATCCAGCAGTGCAAATGTTGGACTCCTGTTGCTCTGCGATGTTGAATTGGGTGAACCCATGCAGGAGCTATACGATAGCGATTACAACGCCGGTGACAATGCAAAGGCAAAAGGCAAAATTGCAACGCTTGGTATGGGCAAGTCAATTCCGGGTGGATGGAAGGATGCTGGTTGTGTCCATCCCGATTTGAGCGGAGTACAAATGCCCGATGTCTCGGCAGGTTTCGAGTCAGCTCGGGCCCCGTACCTCATGTATAACGAGTATATCGTCTATGATGTTGCGCAGATCCGCCAGAAGTATCTGTTCCAGGTGCGCATGAAGTAGCTGGTCTGGTTGCCATCTACTATGTAATTGGCCTCCCTTTTCTGTTTTCTTTCTGGGCTGGGTATGAAAGAAATGCGGATTTTGGGCGTTGCCTATTCATTCCATCTACATACAGGCTTCACTCTGGTTTTGGATATGACGGGCTTAGAGTGTTCTTTCGGTTTGGCAACACTGAACTTCTCCACTGTACTTCTCCACTGTTTAATAAATATCCTACCCTTTTAATTTCTGTTTATATAGAATCAACGCTCTACGTACAATATTAACACCCATAAGATTCTATTTCTAGATACCGTAGCCAATTGTAAATACACCAAGCTCAGTTAACAGTTATGACATTAATGTAAAACCATCTAAGACATGTGCCTTTCACCAGAACTGTCTAAACCACAGGCAGCTTCACCTCCTGGTGGCTGAGGTCTTGACGATCCCTGAAGACTTGTGTGATGGGTTCAAGACAGCCAGCCGCGGCAGCGAAGAAACCAAGGAAGGTCTTGCTGGGCGCCAGTACACGGCTGAGATACTCGGGATGGAACTGTACTCCAACGAACCATTTGTGATCCTTCAATTCGATGATCTCCATTCTCTCACCGGCCTCGTCCTTACCGATGAACGATAGACCCGCGGTCTCTAACTTCTCAATAAGTGCCGGGTTGACCTCGTATCGGTGACGATGTCTCTCCCAGACTTCCTGCTTCTCGCCGTACAGATTTCGTAGACGGGACCATTCAGAGCCAGGCTGGAAGATGGTGGCGCGTTTGCCAAGACGCATCGTGCCGCCCAGTTTGCTCTTGTCGATTTCAGGCATGTATACGATCACGGGCTGTTCGCATTGCTCGTTGAACTCGGAGCTGCCGGCTTTGTCCATCCCGCATACGTTCCGGGCAAACTCGACAACGGCCAGTTGCATGCCCAGACAGATACCGAGGTAGGGGATGTTGTTTGATCGGGCCCATTGGGCACTCTTAATCATTCCTTCTGTGCCTCGTTCACCGAAGCCACCCTGTGAGGTGTTAGATGCGTGATGCGGAGATGGGGTAAATGGGGAGTGGCGACGTACCGGTACAAGGATTCCGTTGGCGGTTGTAATGTGATGCCATGCAGTGTAGTATTCGCCAGGTTTGCTGGTTCTATGTTCATCTTCTAAATGGGTCGATCAACCCAGATAAGTTGCAATTTCCGTCTGCAGTGCATAGCGGCCTAGGTTTGGGGAGCGGTCAGTTTCATGATACACGTTAAGCTTACTGGGTCTACTCACGTGTTCCAGCGCCTTGCTCACGCTCATGTAGGAATCATGCAGACTGGTGTACTTGCCGACCAGGGCGATCGTCACTGTCTCAAAGACATGATCTTGGCTGAGAGCCAGACCCTGCCATTCTTGCCAGATAACCGTGCCTTGGTCGACAAGCTTCTGGTCCTTCTTGATAGTATCGATCTGGAGAAGACTGCTGATGGTGTTCAGGAATCCTTGCTTCTCCAGGAGGATGGGAACTTGGTAAGTTGTGGGCACGTTGTGAACTCCAACGACCTGATCCCGCTCCACTTGGCAGGCGTTGGCGACTTTTTGAATCGTGGCCTCCTCGAGAGGAGTCTCACAACGACAGGCAATCAAGTCTGGTCTAAGACCAGCACTGCGGATGTCGCTAATGGCTCTTTGGGTGGGCTTGGTCTTTTGCTCCGAGCCGATCAATGGCACATAGCTGACTTGGATCACAAGGAAATTGCCCTTCCCTGCTCTTCGCTGAAGCTGCGACATGGCCTCGACGAAGGGTGCACTCTCGATGTCTCCAACGGTACCACCGAGCTGTAGTAGAGGTATTAGTTAATTATGCTGGTATGTTTTTGTGCAAACTCACTTCAACTACACAGAAACTGTTAGTCATTACACTTGATAGGAGGATTGAATGGAAACATACTAATGCAGACATCAGGCTCCCGTCCAGACTCATCCACCGCAATCTTAGCCACTCGTTCAACCCACTAACGTCCAATTAGCTTAGCTCAGAAGTATAGTATAGAATTCCGGGTCATAACTCACATTTTGAATCTCGTTGGTAAGATGAGGCACGATTTGGACTGACGGTGTTAATGAGGACGCGTAGAGTCAACAGATTGCAAACCAACCTGTTTTCCCCAGATAATCGCCACGACGTTCCTTGTTGATAACGTGGTGGTAAATCTTGCCAGTAGTAATGTTATTGTCTCCTCCGAGTGTCACTCCAAGATAGCGTTCATAGTTTCCAAGATCCAAGTCGGTTTCGGCACCATCGTCACAAACAAAAACTTCACCGTGTCTTTCACTCTGTCAATTGCAATTCGCACCAAAAAAGGGTAACTGGGGAGGGACCGGGGTAACGAACTCGAGAGGCTATATGGAATGAATTAGCAAAGAGTATACCATGAGATTGGAAACAAAACCTACGTTCATAAGACCAGCATCTATATTAAGGTAAGGATCAATCTTGATCGTGGAGACCGTCAACCCCGCCGTCTTAAAAAGCAAACCACAGCTCGAGGCAATAATGCCCTTTCCCACACCAGAGATCACACCTGCAGGATAGTCTTAGAGCCATTGAAGACAAAGAAATAGTAGAGATAAAAACTAACCGCCAGAAACCAGAACGTACTTCATTTTGGCAGGTGTGCTGAAGTGTTATTAAACGAATAAAGCTCAATGATAGCCCTCCTGGTGGAATACCAGGGAGGGGGGGAGAATGAAAGAGCGGATCGTGCTGGTGGAGTGAAGATAAAAAAAAAATTCCTTACATAATAGTCACGTGGACGGTGTTCATAAAATTAACTTCTGTGGGGTTGCCTGTTTTGGCTGGTCAGTAGCTAAATACGCTAACTATGTTTAGTAGGCGGTCACTGCGATGGTTTGCATGTGAAGCTACATGCCTATACACATATGCCCTCACAACCTTCCTGACACATAAGGGCTTCAATATATCCAGGCATGTATTGAACCATATCAGCTGACTGGACACGACCTCCGATCGTCGATAATAACTCTCTTGTTGAACAGTTGGCTGCCCTCCAAGCACTGCCGTACTGTCATCCATTTTATTACATATCATGTCAAGGGCTAAACCTCTATAACCTAATAACTAGGGTGGATACAAAAGGAATCGTCGAAGAGGAAAGAGAAGAGGAAACAGCGATGAGACGATTGCGAAGTAAGGGGGGGGAAGTCACATGATAGAGTGTACTAATCAATATACTAATCATGTGGCAGGCGAGGAGAAAGGAAACACGAGGGCTGAGGGCCCGAGTAGGCTGAGGGGCTCTAGCCCCTTACATATCATCACGGGAGCATGACAACTCCAGCTATATCAGTGTCGACCATAAAAAATACGTGTATTCGCAAGTATCGATCCTCCATAGAATTAGGTCTTTGATTTAACTAAACTACCAAAACATCTCACGTATATAAAGGCAAGATAAACAAACGAAGAATGTAAACTAGCTACTGTGAACTTAATCTGCGCAAATTTGGCTCTTAGTCTTTCCGTTTTCGGCCCGACATAGGGCCGCTTTTTGCTCCGGGATCGATCCGGGAGCATGGGGTGGGTACTCAAGTGCGTCTGAGCCGGCAACCCGGGCAACCTGGTAGCTAACTGTTGGAAGCGATTGCTTGTTCCATTGGGGCTGGTAGCTCGCGTGGTCTAAGCATTGAATGGGTGGCCGGGTGGCAGCTGCTAACGTATTTTATCACTGAGCGGTCAACCCCACGGAGCGGTCACCCTGCATACCTTCGATCATTTTCAACCACCAAAATGGCCTCTAAAACGCACATTTAAAATTGATCAAAAATATCAATAAAATTATGTGAATTTAGAAGGACATGATACCCGATTATGGCCCTGAATTCCGCATATGGTACACCGTGGTGGGGCCGTTTACATGGTTGCTCTGAATCCTTGTCTATCACCCTATTCAATTGAGCAGTTTCTTGACCACGCTTTTGACTTTTTTTTCTCCGTCCAAAATGCCTCCTAAACCTATGTAAGTTTTCAGGTTCCAGGCACAACACCATCTATAATATCTGGACTATTAGAAGCGCTGAACAATTCATCCTTGCTATCAAAGATAAACTCTGGATCCACGAAGCTGTGAAGGTGATTGGGATTAACATCCATAATAGCGTAGATTAGAAGTCGCTGATATGGGGCATCAGCAGCATCTTGACTGGCTAGATTTCCTTCGCTGAAAATCTGGTATACGAAGGAAGGGTCGCTGGAGCGAAGGATGAGCTAGTTAAGTGGAAACCTCTGACGATGAAGGTCTCGACACTGGAGAAAATAATTTTCCAAGGACATTACGAAGCTCGGAATAAGATTGATTTCGTTCTTCAAAGTAACGCCTTCGACAACTATTTCTTTTTGGGGAGGAGGGGGCTGGTATCTGGTTCTTATTCCGGAGGCAGCAGATATTCGAGGTGAACTAGGTCAGCCTTGCGAGGCCGAAAGGCTACTGCTGCAGGAGTTACACCGATGAGGGAAAAGGGCACCCAAGACATCGCCACAGGCCGACATCTGCAAATTTCATTGGCGGAGATATATAGTAGTAGTCTTGCGCGAGGTACAACGTGCATTTTCTTTCTCCGAGGACCCGAACTACAATTCGAAGTTCAATAACTTTTGCGTCTTGGCGGCACTCCCAAGGACGTTTCATAAGCAATCCATTGGGAGGAAGCCCCGTCACGCTGGGAGCATGCTTTATCCGCCTTGGGGAATTTTAAGCTGGATAGTAGCCTTAATACCGGTATTGTACGCTGTTCCCTCGCCCATGCGATGATTATGATAGGCCACAAAATAGAGTCTGCACATATACTGAAACAGGGAGAAGAAAATACTTCGACGGAAGCACGAGTGTTTTGGCTGCCCTTGTTGAATCCTCACTGGCACGATTTTAATATGCATCGTCTGCATGAAGCCAACGTGACTTAGAACGACGAAATGAAAGACCAATTAAACAATATAAGTGATGCAAGAGAATACACGGCACAAATCTACCCATCCTGTTGTAGTATGAAATAGCACTCTATCTAATGTGGTCTCGATGAGAACTTCCATGTCAAATATCAGAAGATTTACCTAGCCTATCTAGGGCCGGTACCCTTTTAGTGAGTAGAATATAATTGATGGAACTAAATATAGTCCAGATGACAAAGATACAGGAATGGACTCTGATAGTCGTGGGGAATTTTATTGATACTGGGAAACGTGCATATAGAAACAAGAATAAGGTAGTAGCTGTGCCTATACACTGCTATATCGACAGAAGATCAGGTCCCAAACGTGCCTGGGAGCCCACAACCTTTCTATCTAGTTCTCGCTTGCCAACATTCGGTAGAGTAACCGGTCCGACTGACCTTCGAGGTACTTGAAACTGAAAGTGTAGCTGGTTCCCATGAGGCCAAGTCCTTAATCTTCCGTCCTGTACTGCAGAACAAAGGAAGAGCCTGCGTCTGACGCCAAGATCGCGGCGGATATTAACGGATGGTTTGGGGATTCCTTCCCCGTGGATGCGGGCCAATCCGCCTACCCGTCAGACAGAATCCAACTGCTTGGCTTGTTTCATGCCCAATGCTGCGCTCAGCACTGTTCAGATATAGGTTGCATTTTCCATCCCCTGCAGCAGGCTAAGCACCAGCCAACAAAGACCGCTGATGGCCCCATTTTGGCTATGCTGAAAGGCTGCTTGGAAGGCGAACCACAGAGTAGTACACAGTAGATAGATGCAGGAACAAGAGTAGGAAGGATGGATGCAACACTCAGGACCATATTGTTGGTTATTATAGTATTTTCTTATTCAACAGCCTTTTCTGGAAATTTGGACGAGGAGATTTATTTCACTTATGCAGCAGTGATCCTGGCTTGGTTTATTCGTAGTCTGTCGTCCATCTTTCTGTTCTTTCTCGTTCCTTATATCCTTGATTGTTCACCTCATACGTGGCTGGCACCACTGAATTGTCTCTAAGTCTAGCAATCAATCCATTCCATACCCGACAAAATGCGCGTTAGTACCCTGAACAAAGCGCCACTGGGCTTGTTGGCCCTCTTCGCTACCTCGACGGACGCCTTCTGGCGCATGATGTGTCCTAGTCGACTCGTACAAGAACGGGCAGATCCTATTATAAACCCCGGTGCTGTCGCATCGCATGTGCATACGATCTCTGGAGGAAACGGGTTCGCTCTGTCGATGGACTACGATAAGGCCCGATCCTCGGATTGCTCGAGCTGCCCTATCAAGCAGGATCTTTCCAACTACTGGACACCGAAACTGTATTTCCACGCTGAGAATGGGAGCTTCATCAGCGTTCCCCAGGTGGGAGATCAAAATGGCAACCAGGGTGGAATGACGGTGTATTACTTGTTCGTGCCCCTTTCCCATACCAGCATTCTGCGCATGAGAACTGACAGACACCCAGCCAACGCGGTGGTCCCAACAACGACAAAATCAAAGCTTTCCCCAAGAACTTCCGCATGCTTGCCGGCGACCCGTACAAGCGTAACTTCAGCCATGATTTTGCGTCGCAGGCCGTGAGTTTCGTCTGTCTCGATTACAATGGACCTCCGAGACCGGAGACCAACGGATTCCCCAACTATAACTGTCCCAACGGCCTCCGCGTGCAGATCTTCTTCCCGTCGTGCTGGGATGGCAAGAACCTCGATTCAGATGATCACAGGTCTCATGTCGCGTATCCTGAGTCCGGGGCATACAACAACGGCGCCTGTCCTAAGAGTCATCCTGTTCATTTGGTTTCCATCTTCTTCGAGGTTATCTGGGATACAAACCAGTTCACGGGCCAATGGTACGGTGATTCGCAGCCTTTTGTGCTTGCGAATGGTGATCCAACTGGGTATGGAATGCACGGAGATTTCGTAAGCAAATTCATTCAGAAAGACAACTCCTGCCTGGTTGAACCTAACATGTTGTTGGCAGGTCAACGGATGGGACGTCGACGTGCTCCAAACTGCCGTGGACAACTGCTTGAATGACAGCGGTAATCTGGAGGACTGCGTCCACGAGGATGGAAGTCACGTCTTTAAGTTCTTCTCGGACGAGGAGTGTCAGAAGTGTAAGCTTGACTCTGTGATTGAAGAGGAGGTCGATGGTATCTTCGACCAGCTTCCTGGTTGCAACCCCTTGACTAGTGGGCCTGATGCCGCTCAGCCTGCTGAGAACTGTGAGAATCCTGCCATTAAGGGGGCGTCCGAGCAGATGGTTCGACGACACCTTGATATGCATAGACATGGTGCGCATCACAAAGCTGCACATTAAATGTACAGGTTATTGAGAGTGTAAAAGAGGGTTAGCTAAGTCATTATAGATTCACTTCATTACCCCCATATTGTATTTAGTTGTTGGCTAGTGACAAGGATAGTATGTACATATATGTACTCCTTTAGATTTCAATACATGTTCTTCGTTTCCACCACAGCATAATACAAGCAGGATCTGTTTCATCTGCTCTGATAGATTCACGATACTCTACAGTCCCAGATCTTATGGCAAAAAACCCCATCCACAAAGCCACCGCCCTATCCGAATAAGTGATACCTAACTAAACACCTTGATGGCTGCTGCAAACTTCTCCGCAATACCCTTATTAATCGTCGGCGCCAACGACGCATACGGTTCTCTGAGCTTCGCGGCGACAGCACTACCCAATTTCGCAGACAAATCCTTCTCCTCCTCTAGATTGTGCTTGACCAAGAACGACAGCGAGCCAATGCCGAGCAGTCCGTTATCGAATTGCGGTTTCTTCGAGACTATGTTATCCAGAGTTGAGTAAATCTGCGGCTGCAGGTCGAGGAAAGAAGTAGACACGCTCAAGGATTCCGTATCGGTGAAGTTCGGAGAGCTTTCTGTCGTGGATATGGCATTCTTGAGATCGTGACTAAGAGTGATACATTTGAACTCAATTTTCAATGCTGTCACGGTGCCTAGTAATCCACCATCATAGCTGGTGACTGTTGTATTCAGGGCTTTCATTTGGTCCGCGATCTTGTGGACGGCGTCGACTACGGCATTGGCTTCGCGCGTGACAAGGGTGCTGGTAGTCGGCAGTGCCGACACAAATGCCAGGAAGGTTGAGATGAAAATCGCTAGAAGAAGACGCATTCTGAAAGCGGGTGGAAGACACCGGTTAAAGAACAATGGAATATGAAATAAAACAAGACCCCTTTTCCTCGAAAAGAAAAGCGGGGGTTCTTCAGGGGTTATAAATATGAGGGCATCCGGGGTAACGAGACTATCGTATAACCCTGTACTTTTCCACCAAGTAAATTGCTGCCCGCATTATGGGCGGACTCCACCGCAATTTGTCTAACTTTTCAAAGTATTAAACACATGTCACTACTGGCATCCCGAGGTATTAGCATTCAAAGATACTGATCCTCAGGAAAAGTGTAGGATATATGGAGTATTGGGTACCTAAGGTGTACTACCTAAAAGCGGAAACATCTCCGCTGTTCTCACCGTGCTTAATGGTATTTGCCTCTGATTTCTTTTGAACGTTCATGCCAATTTCATGGTTAAGATGAAATTGTCACATTGGGTAATGCTTTAATAGTTTCAATGTTTTGAGGATGAATGTGGAAGATTCAATTGTATAGGGACATACAAGTAAGAATACGATATGCTCATCAGCACCCCTACATGGAAATCATACTATTAGGCCACGTACCTGGTCATGGTAATTAATTACGGGACTTTCTATGCGCACTACCCGGACTTCCAGTTGCACTACCAACTAAACTTAATTACACTGGGCTCTTATCTATGACGGACCCCATGCTCAGTCATAATTAGTACTAATTAGCATTTGCAGAATGTGACGATAACATTATTAGCTTAACCACCACTGTCAATAAAATCTCCGTGTTCAACGCCTGACTCGCGAGGTTGACCTCAGAAATACTACGTTCATGCTCGGCGCTGGGAATAGCTCTCCCACCACAAGTTGTGCTCTATTGCAAAGAGAGCTCTAATGGCTGTTTTAGCTGCTTTTCGCCAAGATGCAAGGATCCTGGATGGCAATATAAAATTACAAAGCCAGCTGTGAAGTTTTCATTCTTCTTTTTTGTCATTTATCTACCTGTTCATTGCAGGTACTGACCGATAGCTCGGCAACAAATGCCATACTTGCATCAGACCCTGTCCGCGTCAAATGTGTTTCAAAGGCCATTGGCAATAAATTAAAACGAGCAAAATGAGAATCCTGAAGTGTAAACCCAGATAATTCGTCCGTCAAGTAATACAACCGGCCTGGACCTGTAACCTCCTAATGGAAATTATCTACATGGCTTGTGATTATCTTCCATATTAGACAGTTGTCGACTTGGAGGAAGCTTTATGTCTTTATTTCAGTACCAAATTCTGGTACTGAGGATCTCTGCCAAGTTCTTTTACGAGATAAATGACGTCACATATAAGAAGCTGGATTGGGAGAGTCTCTCTCTAAACCTAGGGAGATCCCTTGAACGTTCTAAAGCATTGGCTACGCGCAGGCATATGTTGCAGTGTCTGGATGAAGCATTGAGTGTTGCGGAAATACTTATCGGCAGTTGAAGCTGGGGAATAAATTCTATTAGCTAATAGTTTTGCTTAGCTATGGGTTTATTATTTCCCTAGGGTAGCATTTAATGATAAATCCTGTTGGGTGTATTTCTGACACGTATACTGTTCTTGTTGGTACTATACTATAAGGGCTTGCAAGAAAACACTTAGCTTTCTTAAAATACTAAATAGCATACACCATCCAATTCCTGCGGCCTCTCTCTACCTTTCGTAACACGATTTAGTATGACGTGATATCCTTACAACCCTCTGTGGTATTTATTTATGGGAGCGTAAAATATATACTCTGCATTAATATCATTACTCCTAGTTACTCCCTGCCAAATACAAGTCCAAGTGTTCCCTCAGGTAGAATTGAGATCCTGCCAGGCAGGTATTCAGACTTATTTGGTATAAGTAAAGTAATGTCGAATAAATCATTCAAAATACGATTATAAATCAGTACTGTCTACTTCTAACCAAGGCTATTCCTATTGCTGATCTAGAACTGATATGCCTATTGCAGGTAAAGACGAGTAAGCAGCGTAATATTTTACCTGCATATTTATACCAATTAAGTTGACAGAATAAGAAAGTCTTGTATACAAACGCTATATAACTAGTCAACTAACTACTCCATGTCCGATTATGTAAAATTGCTGATAGGATTAGCCTGTTTAGTTGCATCGAGGGCAGCAGCTCCTTTCTCACGCTTTTCAGAATAACCAGCCTTTCTTTTTCAGGCTCCCATTTGGCAGCGTACCTCTAACATATCGCGCCTGAACCGTTCTTGCCAGTCGTGGTGACTGGCATCTTCTTGCGACTGACTTTACCTTTCATTCTCAAGCCGTTCTTTGATCGCTGATCGCTTCTGTGCTGGCGATGTAGGGCTCACAGAGTTCATCGGGCCTTGGCCCCAAAGCCACCTACTCCAGTAGGTACAGCCAGCGGAGTGTCATTGAATTCCCTCAATTCTGACTTTACAAAGGTTCCATACAAACACAAGCATCAATCACAGCAGCTTTTAAAGTTGCAGTGTTATAGATCTGCTCTGCAGGGAACATTGTCCACTCAATTCCTTTCCTTTTGAGGCATACAGTCGCCTGGGAAAACCTCTCCGTAGCCCTTTCCCGTAAGTATTTGGCTGGGCTTTGGGTGGATCAGGCAATGCTGTCTGGTAAAAGTGTATCCTTTAGACTACATCCTCAACAAAGTATAAATCACGAAGGCGTGCCAGTCAACGGCACATCTCTTTACCCAGAATATTTACCTGCTCCCCGCCTAGAACAATAATAGCCTCATCAGGCCGTCTAATGATTCTCCATACCAGGTTTTAGGTGAATTTATACAGCATTCAGCGATTCAACAGGAGCGAAAAATATGGCTTGAGAGAGATTAGAAATAATGTCCTCCAATAGAACCTGGACTTATTTAGCCCCTGAGAGTCTAATGATCACGATACATATCTACACTTAAAGTACGTTGGCCGATATACCCTATGGACCATAGCTCACATCTCCTGAGGTTATCTCAAGGATGAGACATCATAGGACGCTTGGTGCCGCTGTGTTGGTTTACTGATAGAACCGGACTAACTCGCCAATCGCGAGGATTTCCCAAAACCAGTTCCTGTGCTTGGCTGTCTCCCAGTTTCTGAAGGTCCATTCCGAGTTCCGAGTTCCTTTTCTAGTATCATTTGGCCTTTGTGTTATCAAGAAATGACGGTCTTGTCTTCCGGAACTCCTTGTCGACTTGACGCCTGTAATGTCGGCAGCTTTCCGGTCTATGACAATAACCATCGTCCACATTGAAGTGGTAATGCAAAATTAACATGAGCATTCCGCTTACGGTACTTGCAGAGCTATTTTCGTGGTTTACTGCCATGGTTCTTCGTCTAAGGCAAGACGCGTGGTGTACTATTATCAATAAAATTCCACAGGAATAAAAGGGTACCAAGGCTTTATATAGCCAGGTAAATCTCCTGAAATATTGGCAACGATTAATGCATCAAGTATTAGCATCCCTAGAACATTTATTGAACAGGGCAACATGCCAATGGAGCTGCTATTCTAGGCACTGGATGAGGAGAACAACAAACTATCAGGTGAGAGTAAGTATAGGAAAAGAAAGATGAAAAAATGGAAAAGGGGAAGACTGCCCAATTCGGAAAGAAGAAGGTAGGGTTCCTTCACTACTGAGCTGATATTTCTAAGGCAGTCACCTAGTCCTCAATCCACACAACGAAAGGGAAATTGTGAAGAAACTCCTTAACAGCTAGCTAAGCCCCTACAGCAGTAAATAAAATCAGTAACTGGCACACTTGGAATGCACGTTCTTAGTTCTAGAAAGCCCATTTGAGTCCACCTTGGAGTACTCTGGCCAAGCCACATATTGTCGTCGTGCTTTGGATAGGAAGCAATGGTTATACAATAACCAAAGTTCGATATAGTTGCATGAGAACTTTCTCTTTGCATATATATATAACCTGCGTATACATAGAATAAGATAGATGCATATGCATACAGTTTTGAAGCTAAACTAAGTAAATCGACACGAGTGGAAATAGTACATGGCTTTCCAGATTATAAGGCTGCCATTGTCGCCCGATTCTGCCCGATGAACATGTGTCGAACCAAGCGGTAAAACAAAACCACAGGAACTTTTCTTTGATCTACAACCAGGTTCAAGGGGCACTGTTCGAGGTCCGCAACGGTCCAGGGCACGAAAAATTGACGAAAGGTGGCACTTCTATCGAAAGAATAAATAAGTTATAGATAGATATGTTGTGGAGTACAGGGGAAGTGATGCGCAGGGAGCTATTCTATCAGCTACAGGCTAACTAGCCTAACTAGGAAGTAGACGTCATTCAGTGGAAACACCAGGAATCGCAGTATCTCAACCAGCTGAGCCTCTTGCATTTCTATCTGGGTGCTCAACCATCTAAAGGATTCCAGGGTTGAATCGATCGTTAGATACTCCGCACCGCCAAGTCGGGCGGATTATAGTGTTTCCGTAACAAGATATTCTGGAATAGGGCTGTTTACTGTGCGATATCGCCATGATTTTAGCAGATCGCGGATCGCACCGCGGATTATCGCCAAACAGTCAAAAGGTAATATCAACCCTTTTCCGTACAATTTTTTTTTCTCCATATTCATCCGTTAGCAACAGATATTTTCATAGATTTAATTATTATCTATCGTGACGTTCCCTAATAATGATAGAATGACACTGTAACACGTCATATACGATACGATTATCTGGATCTTAATGATCATTATGATAAAGACTACTTGCCCGCAGATCGAACACCAGGATTTCCAGACATTGAAATAAATTCATTGGCGCGAGGGTCAAACGGGCTCCAGCCATTTACAGTTGCTTAATTAAATATTCTAGAGTAATTAGCTAGTCCTTTGACGATTCGCGATACCGTCAGCGATCTGGAGATATAGTATTGTGTAAGGGGTGACGATAACTATCGCCAGGATCGTCAGGATCGGAAGATCGTGAACAGCGCTATTCTGGAATATACTTGACAACTGTCGGTCAGCTGAATACGTGTATGAGCTAGTATCACCGATTATATGATAATATGGATCTGCATTGAAAAGTATAAGGTCTCTAAGATCTCTGAATCTATCTGAATCTATCTGGAAGAACCGAATAAAAAAAATGTGAAAAAACAAAGGAACAAAGTCGGACCGAGCGAATGCTGAATAATGAGTAATATTGGCCCACTTTTGTCGACAAAAACTAATAGTAACAACAACTAGTTATTCTTATCCTTTTTACTAAGTGTGTTGACCCCTCCGCAGGATCACCAACTTTGCTTGGCTATTTCACATGATGTTCCAATATGGACTAGTTTATGTGGGGCACTGACCTATCGGAACGCACTACTAAGAACCCTATCCCATTTCTGGTAATTCACCGAGTACTCCGCAGTGCCAAGAAACTGACTTCCCGTCTTTGTCCCAATTGCACCCTTAACGTCCTGAGATTAGCGCCAGTACCTGCTTCTGTAAACACCCGTGATAATGCACATTAAGTTACTACTTGGCCTGGCAATTGCCAGCGTCACTGCAGCAAAAGACTCCGTCTCGTCCATGTTTGTCTATGGTGCTCGCCAGCAGTCCCTCGAAGCATCGATTATCGGCAACGTCAGTTCCCCACGGATCCGACCAGGCCGCAATTAGGGCCTTCCAGTATGGGCCGAGGGTGAACTCCACTAACCTCATATATAGGATGCCACTGTGACGAGCTATAACATCAATTGCCGTCCAGGCACAGATACCTCCGACTGCGACATGGGTGCGGGTCTCACCCTCCTGGCTGGTCCAGCAATGACAACTTATTTTATGGATAATCCGTCCAAAGATACGTGAGTCGACCTTCAATGTCCACTCTTGTTGCCGCCTGCTGGTCCCAATTGGTACTAATATGTCCGTTTAGTGAACTTACTGTCATCTGCTCTGTGGCGGAGAAAGAATCTTCAGCTGTTTGCTGGCAGACTGCGAGGGGAACGGGGACTCAATCTCCTGGCATCCACACCACCACTGTGCGCACCAGCTTTTCCCAGGTGCCGGTAACTATCACCGCTGGTGAGGTAACAAGTACTACTTCAACCACTACATCGACGTCTAGTGCGAGTACGACGGAGTCTGACTTGACTTCCTCCAGTAGTGGCGGCGTGGCGCGGATCACGGGCGATGCTGGAATGGTAGTTGGAGCTATTGTGGGGTTCGCTGCTTTACTGTAGTTGATTTGAGTATATAGGCGGGTGGTCTATAGAGATAGAGCTGTACATTACGCATGGATTATGAAAATATTATCCAGGAGATTTTTTTGGCTGTTATTTGTTTGGATACTATTCTGATAAGTTTCTATACCAGCTACTTAGTTTCTATTGCCTTCGGTATATTGCACATAACTGGATGCTGTAATGGTAGAAATATAGGAGATTTCCGCTATAAATGCCCTTCTCCGTTCCGTCGACCGAGTTCTCACCTGAGCGGTACGGCAGGTTCCTGAAGAATTTCAAGAACCGACTTGGTCTTGATCCATTGTCGCCGCATGGCTTGGTTGTTCTGCGCAGTGCGGTGATGAACCCATTTATGAACCAGAGCTGTGTTTTTGATAGTAGAATATCTACTTTCAGGGAGGTGGTAGAAGAGGAGACTGAGGTATCTACATTTTTCCTGGCTCCAATATACACAAACTAACATGGTCCACTCGACGCAGGTGTGCAGACAGAAAGATGTCCTCGTTCGTGCCATTGTCTCATTCCCTATGCAAGACGGCTAAGGGTTGATCTGCATGTGGGTTTTGGGATCGTTAATCAGAGTATCTGCCAAGATAGTGGATAGCATTAGATTAATTGGATGGATAATTCAGGTTGGGACAGATTAAAAATAGGTTGTGGTGCCATTTTTCGCAATTGGCTATTATATTCATATATGATAGACCTTGTAATCGTAAATATAGTGTGCAGGCTAGTATTCAATTTAATGCTTACTTAAAGGCACTTTATAGCACGGTTTCAGGGACAGCTGATAGAATTTTTAGCTTTCTTTTTTTCATTTTTTTCTTTTTCTAATAAATTGCATTAAACTTGTTAATAATTCTATCGTGTAGAAAACAATGCAAAATTCTAGTAATGGTGATAAGGGCATATTCCAGGCTTACTGGCGACTTCTGATTTTCCCAATAAAGAAGGCACACTGAACAGAAGTCAGAAATCTCGTCTTTCTATAATAATACGGAATTGCAGCTCACCTAGAACCCATGGTGCGTTGTAGCCGAATGATGTTATTCATGCTTGTTAATTTATTGTCCGCTTAGGTCTGATCTGATGGTTGTAAGGAGAGAGCATGTTGCAGGAAAGGGCACATGACACGTAGCTAGCTTATTCAATTCTAATGACTTTTACTCTAAATCGATATGTAGTTTTCGCAAACTCTGTATAAGTATGACTATAGAGCTCACATTTATTGATGCTTTAGTTCCTATCCATTCGTAATCCTTAGATAACGTATTGTCCCTCGAAAGAAAGAAAGCTGTGACATGATGTCTTTTAGAGGTGATGCACAGACAAAGTGTTAGGAATTGATCGTCAACTTTGGGAGGCGAAGTTCCATCGTTTGGGACGCACAGAAGGTTGATCAGCAGTTATTGAATAACCCACGGTCTATAAAGTGTATATCAACTACATTTACTATATAATGATGTAGATTGCACTTAGGACAAGAGAAACATTAATATAGGTACCTTACGCCAGAGAACTAGCGCTAAGAGTGGCCGAGTCTTCAGAAGCATCCATATGTTTATTCAGGCACGACAACATACAGAAAAGATTTGGTCTCTGCCAAGAGAACGTAAGCAACAATGGCCCTAGAAATAACAGAATAATAGCTAAGTTCCTCTCCTCCCTTCCCACATCATGAAAAATGCTGACAGTTGTTGACATGGGAAATAGAAAAACCGTCTCTCCAGGTGACACCCAGTCCTCATATGACAAGTCCCAGTGAGTAACGGGCATATTCATGACCCAGCAAAGACCGTGACAGCGGGGAGCGGGCACTTGTTTAAATCCGAGAGAAGAGTGAGTATATTTAAATCCTAGTAAAAGCAGGTGCCCTGGTCAATAGACCGGGTCTCCTGCAATGAGCTCGCACCCCAGCGGGCGCTGGAGTCCAGAATCTTCAAGGCGAAGCGAAGATGAGCTCATTTGAAGAATTTTGAGATTAACATTAAGCGCATAGGTTTTGTTTTCGTTTATCCCCCCTGTGATTAGTCAATCGCATGCTGGCCTACCATACTTATTAATAAACTAAGTCTTCAGTGAGTGCGTCCTTCTACCCTTCTTCTCGCGAGCTCTCGGTAGCAGAAAATTGAGTCGCATATGAAATCAATAGCTAGCAACAGGCATAAAATCCGCGTATCAATGACTGTACGAAAGTGGTTTTGGGTTTATATGGATCCTCAAGATGCAGATCACCTTGTAACTTCCGTTTCTTAGGTTGGCAAATATAATGAAAAAACTTGGGTTAAAGAAGGGGTGTCATAAATGCCCAGCGGACAGATATAACTATGGCAATTCTTTCCACGAAAGCAAGTATTGTGTTTTTTCTGAGGGCCATCACTTTGGTTCACGGTATGCTACCGTATAAATGAAATGAGCATTCGTACTTGAATTATCCCTCACTAACTCTAGAGATCTTAACAGTACTAGTTCCGTTAGTATTGTATACTCATTCTCATCTAAGCATCACAATTCCCTTGCTGTGACGTGACAAATATAAGAGGAACACTACTTCGGAGTAAGTGTGCGGTCTCACAGCGGCTGGACTTTGTTGATGTTCTGATAGTCTAGAGAGGTCAAATGTGGACTAGAGGGGGTCCCTTGGGTCTGTTCAAGGAGTGCCTGAATATCTTCCGGAAGGAGGTCTAAAAGAGAACCAGATCAACATCTCGACGAGTGAGACGGACAAAACAGGACACGATGAACAACCATGTAAAGAGAAAGATGACTGCATAAGAACCAGCGATCTGCTCCGATTGGACAGGATTCGCACCAACCCCCTCCCTCTATATCGGTGGCAACGACGCCATCTCATGAGTGTCTTCCAACATGACCATCCACAATTCCTCCCAAGAAACCCAAATTGAAACTTGTCTTGGCCAGTGCAACCCTGTCCTAAATCGCCGTCGGATGACCGTGAAATTGGCTTGCCCCAAGATACTGTCTTATCTTGCCAAGCGGCGCGAGGCTCTTGGCCCAGCTTTCATCATCGCGCCAAGCTCCTTCCAGCCCCGATCACAGGCAAGATGCTGTCCCCATGCGCGCGATAGCGCCCGCAAAGAATGCGGGGAGTGGCTCAAGGGGAAGCTACGATGCTGTCACCATAAAATGTGGTGCGGCTATAAATGCGCGAGATGCACCCACCATGGGACACTGAGGAATCATCCGGTGTCATCAATCGTTTATTTTGGACTTTATTCTTACCTTGATCTCTATGAAGTCCCTGTTGTTGGCCTCCTTGGTCTCTACGGCCCTGGCCAATGGTCAAGGGAAGCCGCTCGTTTCTCCAGTAAGTCCGCCTTTAGTATGAAGTTCTCAAGACCATTTCTGCTGACAACAGTCTCGATAGCAATCATTCCCCGAAGATGTTCAGCTCGAAGATCTCCTCGCTGGGTCACGAGTTTTGGAGGATTTCGCCTATTCCTACCCCGAAAAGAACCGTGTCTTTGGCGGTAAAGCCCATCAGGACACTGTTGAGTACCTGTTCAATGAGCTGAAAAAGACGGGCTACTACAATGTTTACAAGCAGCCACAGGTGCACCTGTGGACGAAGGCTGAGCAGTCCCTCACAGTGGATGGTGAGAAAATCGAGGCTCAGACCATGACCTATAGTCCCAGTGTCGATGTCTCTGGAAAACTGTCGGTCGTGTCCAACCTTGGTTGCGTAGCCTCCGACTACCCCAAGGACATCTCCGGCAAAATTGCTTTGGTACAGCGTGGAGAGTGCTCATTCGCTGACAAGTCAGTGCTTGCAGCCGCGGCTGATGCTGCTGCCACTATCGTTTATAACAATGTGGAGGGTCCTGTTGCAGGTACTCTGGGAGGGGCCACCAGCGACAAGGGCCCCTATTCGGCGATTGTTGGCATCACTAAGGCAGATGGTCAGACACTGTTAGAATTGATCAAAGCCGGGTCAGGAGACGTCGATCTGTGGGTGAACAGCCAGCTGGAGAACCGTACGACGTATAATGTCATTGCGCAGACCAAGGGGGGCGATCCCAACAACGTTATCAGTCTTGGCGGCCACACCGACTCCGTCGAGGCAGGCCCGGGGATCAACGATGATGGTTCCGGCATCATTAGCAACCTGGTCATCGCTAAGGCCCTGACAAAGTATTCGGTCAAGAATGCTGTGCGCTTCGGCTTCTGGACAGCGGAGGAGTTCGGCCTTCTGGGTAGCGACTTCTACGTAAACAGTCTGAACGCGACCGAGCTGGCTAAGTTGAGACTGTATCTTAACTTAGACATGATCGCCTCTCCAAACTACGGTCTAATGATCTATGATGGCGATGGCTCAGCTTTCAACCAATCCGGGCCACCAGGATCCGCTCAGATTGAGCACCTATTCGAGAAGTATTTTACCTCGCTGGATTTGTCGTATATCCCGACTGAGTTTGACGGGCGCTCTGACTACGAGGCCTTCATTTCGAGCGGCATCCCGGCCGGTGGGCTCTTCACAGGCGCTGAGGGTATCAAGACGGAGGAGCAGGCCAAGTTATTTGGTGGCGAGGCCGGCGTGGCGTACGATAAGAACTATCACGCTAAGGGCGACAACTTCGCAAACCTCAACCACGAGGCCTTCCTGATCAACTCCAAGGCCACAGCTTTCGCGGTGGCTACCTATGCCAACAGTCTGGCGACCATTCCTCCGCGAAACTCCACTGTCTCTATCGTCCAGCGTTCGACTGAACGGAAGCGCAGGGCGGCCATTCGCAAGAAAAGGCCCCAGAACCACTCGCATACCCATGGCACCGGATGTTTCCATGCCTTGGTGGAGGCTTAGGCACGCATATTGTTACAAACCACAAAAGAACGAGACAAAAACTCCATGTTCATGTCTATGTACATAGACCATAGCATCAATACGTCATTTATGTCACCTAAAATAGCCGCAGCGCCATCCTCTATTGTAATCCTAGGAAACCGTACAACCCTGTAGTCACGCCTTCTCCGCCTTAGGAGGATACATCTTCCCGTCTCTTTCCACTTGCGGCGTGCAATTGCAGCGTTCACTCTCGGGCACCGCATCCATCACGGAGGCGATGTGGTTGCCACAGCCCCACCAGGTTGTTTTGTCTAATTGAATAGATTAGTCAGACTCAAAAATCAGACAGGGTCGACCTACGACAAGTAGAACACGTAGCTTTCATACACATTGTGGATGGTATTTCAGGTAGAGTAATAGACAGTGGACGGGGAAATGAAACTGAGGAGCTTGAGAGCCTGCAAGGACGCTATTAAATAATTACTAGTTTGCCGTGGAAATAATCGCCGTCTGAGTCATCCATCGTCGCCGAAGTTGAAGTTGGATCCCGATAGGATTCCCGATACCATTTAAAAAAGGTTTAAAAAAATAGGGAAAACAAAAACAAGGAAATCAAATACATCATAGACGCGTGTCATTAATGCCTATCTAGTTAGTGATATAGCTATTTAGGTATGTACAATCACAACTTCACTGATCGATCACCACAGCACGCCGGATGCGAATGCAATGTCGACTGGTTGAAGGATTGAGTGGATGGGGGAACGTCCAGCGCAGGGTTCTTAGTGAAAAAGCCGTCGGGTCTGAGCGATACACTGACGCGCTCCATTGGCATGATGGGGAAGTCTTCGATGCGGGGGTTGTGGGTTAGGCCGAAGGCTTTTTCGTTTCGTTAGTTTTCTTATTTCTGACAACAGATATTTGTATTTTTGAAAAGGGAGAGAAAAGGAGCATGGAGAAAAGAAGGAGGACTTACTGTGCCAAAGAACCACATCCTCATTTTCAACCGAATCCTTCCGGTCCACCCATTTCTCTAACCCCTGACTCTCCTTGCTCTGATTCGTGAATTCACCAGCAGCAAAGAGCTCTCCGTCCTGGTACCGAGTGACCCAGATGGGCTTGGTAGCGAAGACGGCCCTTCTGGAGCCGTAGGACCGCGGACTCGCTAAGAGCATCTGACTGGGCGAGGTCTGCAGCTTGTATGCTATGGGTTTGTACGTGATGGGATTAATACAGGCGTCGTTGCGGATCTTGAACACGCGGTGGCGCTCGACGTTCGTGTTGGCGGTGCCGCTAGTTTTCAGGACCGTCTGCTCCGTGGTGTACCCCACACCATAGGGGTTTGATTCGTCTTCTGGTATAGGTACGCTATCTTCGTAATACACTGTGTTTTGGAAACCGTCTAGCGCAGGGTCGATTCGGAACGAAAACAGATGTTGGTGATATGGTGCCATCACGCCGGGTCCGACGTTGGTGCCCCAGGGTACGGTGGTGCCAAAAACATGGTTGTCAAATGGCACGGTGGAGAGAATACCGGTGGCCCGCACCTCCAGCTCGATATTGGCGGCTTGGTCGAAAATAAACGCGAAAATGTATTCGTAGTTGGCGACGGTGCAGATCATCTGTGCGACTAGCTGGCGATTGCGCACCACTGTTGCGGCGCCGGAGCGGTAATTAGTGTGTTTGTGCTGCAGACCGTTATCTTGCTCGTGTAGACAGATCACGTTCTTCAGCAGAACAGGGTTGCCTTTCGCATCGGCCCGGTAGCCGTCGAAATACTTGATATGGCCGAGACAGTCGCAGCCGAGAGAGAGCTGGTTTGCCGTGATACCGAAGCCGACGTCACCGACGTCGAATGCCTGCTTGCGGTGGAATGGTGCACGGGGGTCTGGGTTTGTGAGAAAGGACCATGGTGGGGGAGAGGACAATTCGCGACATACCACCATATGGCACCGTCATCTCTGACACGGACAGTCTGTAAAACACGTTTCGCCCATCGTACGTGAGATTATGGATGACAAGACCTTCCCGGCTGTTAAATCCCACGCGGAATCTCCATTTTTGCCAAGAAACCAGATTATCTTGGACTTTGAATGAAGGACCCTCTGGCTGCTGGACAAGGTATGGCTTGAGATCAGTCCGCAGCGGCTCCTGCAGAAGGTCATGCGCGTATTGGATGCTCTCCACTGGCTTCCATGGCTGAGTCTCAGTGGACTGCGCATCGGCTCCGCCGGGGAGATAGTCAATGCGGACCAGTTCGCGAGTGATGCCGTCAAATACGGGAGAGAATTTGCAGGGTAATGAATAATGATTGTTTTGGGGGTGGTCTGTGGCAACAATGTACATGTAACATTGAAACAAACGACGATTCTCCTTGGGATCATCAGTTCCGTAAATCCATGGATCGTTGCAGACAGTCATTCCCGCCGGGAGCTGCATCTTGGCTACTTCCTCCTGGACGACGGGGTGATTGAGACACAGCTGCTCGATCTCACCCATCTCGTCGATATCGACGGGGCCCTGCGTCCAGTCAGTGGTTTATTATGCGACTGTGATTCTCAGTATGATATGTACCTGAATTTCCTTTGGTAGCTCCTTCGCAGAGATGACAGATCGTGATCCAGCATTCAACAAAGCCCTGTAAAAGGCACCAGTGTCCAACCGGTGGAACATCACTTGAAGCAGACGTGCGGGTCGAGGTGGGAGGGGTTTCCCTAGTCTCTCTGCTTCAACGAAAGGAACAACATCTTTCTTCGGTGGCTCCTGGATATCAATTTTCTTGTATCGAAGATTCACTCTGGGGAATGCCGCCTGGAGGATCTTGGTAGCCAACTGGATCTCCGCAGGAGTGATGGGGTCAAAGGGATGAGGAAGTAGCCCGGTCATTGTGGATGACTATCTTGGTCTCCAAGTATGAGGGAAAGAGGATCGCGGGAAAGAATCCGGGGAGACACGAGTCATATATGTAGAATCGAGTGAAGTGGTGGCCTGGACCCTGGACCTTGGATATTCTGTACCTAGACAGGGCTCTCGGACCGTGCTTCCCGAGGATTTCCCCGTCCTGCGCTTTTATTGGTCAGCACTGAGCCCGGCGCATTTCCTTCCGCATTAAGTTTAGTGTGTCTCCAATTCGTGATTGATGTGGATCACGAGATGTCTTAGTGGACTACTCCATACCGATGGAATTCGACAATTCGTCAGTGTGGACGTGCTGTGTTATCATTCGGAACTTCCTGGTTCCTCTGCATTATTGGTGAGTAACCCCGACTATCAAGCTCAATGACCTTATGTTTGTTGCCAATTTGCTACGGCTTCCGAAGTTCATGTTGCTGGTGCCTTGACCAACTAGCCCCATAGGGTAGATAATCGGCATTGGATGATATCTGTGGAGTGCCGAGTTGAAACTTAGATAAGAATTTCTCCTCTGCGGCTCGTCTCCAATGCATGAAGGATGCTTTAGAGTAAAAGTAATTGGATGTTCGTGCTGCGCGTTCTGACTCGTAGAATGCACGCGATCTTTCGAGTGGCACTGGACAGGATGCGATGAATCAGGCACCAAGGCAACGCCCCCGTTCCTTATCTTATCTCCACGTGGGGGCCGATGACTCAGCGGTAACACCGCCAAGTCATCACGATGAATGAGATCCGCCATTTCCATCTCAATTGTGATGCCCGATGCCATACCTCGTGCAGGTCCTCGACCATGTAATATGGACCAGTCACAGCGTACCAAAAGAACCTCCAATGCGTATGCTTCAGATATCTTCCAAATGTTTATAAAATTTCTAACCAGTGTAGCTGTCAAAGATGTCGATCTCGAAAAGTCAAATGCTCCGGCACACAACCTTGCGACAAATGCAGCCAGCGCCGGCAGGAGTGTGTCTTTGAGGAGGACCGAAAGATCACGGTCTCCGAGGAGTAATTATTCCTATCTAGAGCTTCTATATTCTTGACATTGACATTGACACCCTCCAGACTCTTCTTATCTTTGCGGCGGAGGGTGGAAGAGCTCGAAGGCTCGTCGCCACAGCCGCCTAGAAAGCGGGCGCGTACATTGGGGAATAGCAGCCCTGATGCGCTCATACAACGTATGTCGATCTATTGCTTCGGAATTGCGAATGCGTATAGGCTTACAGCAACAGGACAACCATCAGAGGGTGCCAAAGAATCAATATTGGAACCTCCTGATGGAAGCCGGTATGATGACCGGTTTGCTTCCAACCCATTAGTCTCTCCATCTACCTATGTCAAGCATACTGGTCGGAGACAACGAATCTGGCGTAAGCTGTCTGGAGCTGTGTTTTGTGCAACGACTGACCTGAACAGTGTTCCTCGGTCCCACGTCGACTTGGTCATTCAGTCGTCGTGTCCTCAGCAACATCCAAACCCGCTTGAACCCAAACAACCCCAAGCCGATCCCTTTAGCTGTGGACGGTGACGCGTATCAAATCCACTGGCGTCGGGCCAGCTCGGATGAAGCGCCCGATATAAGCGGACTGCCTTCGTTGGAACATGCCCTGTATATCCACAACACGGTTCAGTTCCATTTCGGCCATCTGTACCAAATGTTCGATGAGAAGGAGTTCTTGCAACACCTCTATGGCTTCTACGAAAATGCCGCTGTCAAGGTCCAAGAAAATCGAATCTGGTACATCCAGTTTTTGATTGTGCTAGCCTTCGGGGACGCCTTCTTAGCCCCCGTACGAAAATCGCACAATACAGCAGGCTGGACCAAGTACTTCTCGCGAGCCATGTCACTCCTCCCTGATACTGGTGGGTTGTGGCACGATCCGACTCTGGCCATTGAGGTGCTTGCCCTAATTGCATTATATCTTCACTCGGTGGATATGAGAGACACTGCTTATTGCTACGTGAGTCATACTGCAGGAGTCTAGTGGTAAAAACTAATCCGATAGATCGGCCATGCAATGCGGATGTGCCTGGTGGAAGGGTTCCACCGTGCTTTGCCAGTTGAGCAGCTAGGACAGAAGCTAGTGGACCGATGTAGTAACATCTGGTGGACAGTCTATATATTAGACCGTAAATTTTCTTCTTTACAAGGGTCGCCTAATTCGGTAAATGATGAGGATATCACCACCGTCCTATGGGACCCGAGAACGAGTTCTCATAGGGAGGCTGCGTTGAGTCTTCATGTTAAAATTTCACAGGTTATTACCCGTGTCCTTAACAGTAGGGGATTCGTTTTCTTCTTTTTTCTCTTTTCCACTGCGTTCTTGTCTGACTTTACCAGCTGTTTATAGCCCGGATGGAAAACTAGGCGGCCGTTTCCTTCGCAAAGTCCGGTCTGTTTTGCACGAAATGACGGATCTTTCACGAGAATTAGAAAACGTGTTTGCACATCGCTTCTCCAATTCCGTGGATGCCCTATCGGGTGTCACAACACGATTGACCTTATCCTGTCATCTGGTACGTGAGTAGCACTAAGCAAATATGTATCTACCTAACTCTATCAGTGTATCATCGTTACTACTCGACCCCTTGTCCTGAGCCTCCTATGGGAGCGACTCAGCTGTTTCGAAGAGGGCGATGTTTTCCGCACCTTATCATCGCCTGTTCGAACCCTGCTGGAAGCATGCACTGATTCGGCAACCAAATCGTTGCGGATATTGTGTGCATTGCGTGACCAGAATATCCTCGGTGAGCACCACGAATCACTCTACAGACGATTCACACTAACAAATATCAGAAACATTCCTTCCCTTCGACCTGGAGAACCTATTCTCCTCCTTCTTTGTACTATCCCTAATCTCTGCCATACTCCCGGACACCCTCCCCGACCCCAACTACCGCGAAATCGGATTCAATCTACTAGACGATATGATCGCACGAGGGAATCGGGTCGCACAACTCCGCAAGTCGGAAATCGAGCTGTTAGAGGAGCTTGTGCAGCCATTGATTCGGTCTCAAGCACAGCCCCCACAGGGGGAGAATCCAAGATCGCATCTTGTGGCTCCGGTTGGTGAAAACCGTGTAGCCGGGCTGGAGAATGCTCTGCCTGCGTTATATGTCGGTAGCAGTACCCCTGCGTTACCTTCCAACGAGGAAGACTTACCTTTTGATTGGCGAGAACTTGGTCTTTCGATGGATCATATGCTGTCCGTGACGGATCAACTGGATGCGAATAATTTGATTCTCGATGCAGAGAGAGAGGGACTTCAGACGGATCTGTGGCTGTGGAGTGATGCATGATGTGATAATGATGATCTAACGGGGTATAAATTGATCAATATTGAAGCCCCAACTTGGAAATATGGAATCAAATATCTATTGTGGCGGCGTCTCCTACGGTAGCCTGCTATACATATCTCCTATTTCTTGTATCTACACCTATTGTTTCACCAGTTTTGTTCTTTGAATTCCCAAGAACAAAGCCATTACAATAGATTCTATAATTAAATTTTATCTTCAACTACAAATTTTCACGAACAGATAAAGACAGGTGCTCCCACCATCTCATAGACTACCTAGGCACTCCACCCACGATATCATCATCCTCGTCATCTTCACTCCACAAGCATCCCGAATAAAACTCTAGATCTATCCTCATGAGGGGTAAACAGTAAGAATATGTCCGTCTTGGCGCTACATTCTTCCACCAGTAACATCCACTCCATCGCCCAGATCAACACCACGCAGAAAGATATATGAACCCCCCCCCTCCAGAACAACAAGCCCAAGCAACACCACACCATGTCTCTAGTTACGCACGCACAAAACCTCTCCTCATCACTCCTAAAAGCTGGCCTAGTGCCGGGTTCCGCCCCACTGATCCCGGATGACTTCAAGCCCTTGACGGAGCTTTCCGTCCGATTTGGCGAGAGACAAGTCAATCTGGGGAACCTGTTCCGCGCAAGTGAATGTAAACAAGCACCGAGCGTTTCGTTTACCCCGGAGGTATGTACATCTTCCTCCTTGGTATACGCATACACTAAATTAACTGGTATAAAAGAACACGTGGTCATCAAAAACATACACACTTCTTCTTATAGATCCGGATGCACCGACACCGGATGATCCCAAGTTCGCGTACTGGCGACACTGGGTGTTGTCTGGATTGGTACCGGGTATGGATGACGGTGATGCATTGAATGTGCTAACGGAGTATCTTGGGCCCGGGCCAAAGGATGAGTACGCAATCGGATTGGATTGAACGTTGATTTGTACATCGTTGATCAGTTGGATAGGTCTAAACCACATCGGTATCTGTTTCTTTTGTTTCGAGAGCCAGATAGACTGGCGTTAACCAAGGCAGATGTGGGCGGAGACGAGTTTGTGCAGCGACGATCGTTCCAGGCGGCCGAATGGGTGCAACGGCATGGATTGGAGCTTGTTGGGATGAACTGGATGCTGGGGGTGGGGGATGGATGGGTCGAGTAGTGAATATAGATCGTATTGCAGTGGTTGTGATGATATACTGTTGATGAAAACCACGCACTTAGAGGAATGGATTGCATAACTTACTACTACGTAATCGGTTCACATATGTATTTGATTTTCTAGAGACATCTTTGTCTTTCCCTTTCCATTTTAGTGCTCATTTGGTGAGCCAAGCTAACCAGGGGCGGTCTTGGCAACAGACAAAAGAAACCCCGGGTTATTATGTTCTTTCGTCTCCAAGAACTGCCCTGGTTGACAGTCGCTAGCCCTACCTGGGTCACCAGTCCCTGACGCCGACTCGTAATGGCGCTGCTGCTCCTTCGTCGCACCACCCACTCCTGTTGCTCCTGAAAGGTGAGCCGGAGGGTGAGTTGTCTTGGGTTCTCCTTGCGACCACCTGGTTCTCCGCATCCCTATAAAGGCCATAGTAAATGCTATTTAGAATGGAGTGCCATAAAACACTGCACTATTATATCTCCAAACCAATCCAGTTTGGAGAAACTGGTTAAGCTCCCGCTGAGTTGGGGATTCATGAACCGAGGCAGCTTCGTTTATTGTCCCTCCAAGATCTGATCAGAATTCCGGCAAAGCCTTTGTGGCTTCCTATATTGTGCAGCGAGCTCATCCAGAGGCCCTTCCAGCGCGCTAATCAGACACCTCTCCTCATCTGGCATCTCATTGACTTCTTCTGGATCGATATTCCTAAAGTTATGGGAGCACTTATGAGTGATATCCAGCAGTCGGCAGGTGAGAAACAGTACGCCAGGCGCTAGCTGGTTATGGAAAGAACCTCAAGGCTTCAGTTCCAAAGAACTGGCTAAAACCTCTATCGTTACCGGAATTCTCTGAATGGGGCTTCTCTCCGTACCATGTCCAAGAAAGTACAGAGCCGGTGAACTTGATTTCATCCGATAAGCATCAGAGCCTTTCATAATCAGCCAGTATGCTATTTTCTATACGGGCACAGGACCATATCTGATCAAATCAGAATAATCCAGTTTCATCAGCCTGGTTGCTCCGCGATCGACGACGAACTGGAAACCGGCATGCCATAGCCGTCAGCGATGCTGAAATTGAGCGCTATGGTGACATAAACTGATCATTCATGCTCTTCTTCAATATAATCTACCTTGAGTTTCAGAAGATTGTAGGTTTTGGCAGCCTTGAAGTTGAGAAGACTGTTAGACCAGATCCATAGTTAAGCAAGTGCCTCGCGTCGCAAACAATCTACTGCAAGTCTCTGCAACCGTTTTCTGCGGCCAGATCATGCTTGGGTTATTAGCTGCACCATTTCTTGGTTATAATGCACGCTGGCAACTCTAAGCTCATCTGGTCACAATCGAAATTTCCGATTGTTGATCAAAATCCGGACGCTAGCTTTGCAATCCGCCATATACGCGTGTCTGAAAGAGTTCAGGCCAGAATTGTATCCAGCCTGCAGTAAAATAGAAAGTACAGCAGGGCATTGTGTGTAAGAGCATTGTTGCATGTTGGGCCATTTTTTAAGTAGCGGGTAAAGTTGATCCTTGAACCTAGTTATCAGAAGCACCAGCTCATCCGTAAGGTTTATGTCTGTAGAATACTGAGCCCCTTTCATGAGCTGCTCTTTCCTGCTCAGATAGGCTTACCTTGGAGCTCTTTGCTGTCCTTGAGTAACCAGACAAGACGGATAGGGTGATCCAGAAACAGGTGAAATGCACCCATATAATACAGTGGATTGGAAAAACCATCTTGCACGTAACAACTTTAGCTTATCTAATTGCCACTGGAATTTTACATTGCACCTTCTGCTCTATAAACAAAATCATATTCGTGGATTTCATCCTTATTACTAATTGAGTAAATTAGAGTATCATACTATACTTGCCAATGGGACGCTCCTTTATGGGAGGAATATCGCAGGTTCATCAGTGGACCTGGATACTAGTCTATCACCAAGTCGTATTGATTACTGGGGCACAACTGATTGCAGGTTGTTCGTTTCATGAAGAGGTTGATTGTCCACTTTCTTGGTTCATGGAATTAACAGCCGTCTTTATGGGATAGTGCATATTTCCCCTTAATATATGCTAAAACAGAGGGAATAGAATGACATGGTTAACAATTAATTTTATAATACTAAATAATAATATCTTCCCGCATACTGAGCACATCCAAGTCAGGATTCTGCTGTTACAGAGAAATATTTATTAAAAAGCCCTCGATTTCCCAGTACAGAACTGCCTTCTCAGTCAAGTTAATATAGTACAAAGAATATAGTAACACCTGATCTCTAGTATCTAAGAGTGGCGAAGCGTTCGAACGCTAGGAAATAATACGCTGGAAATAGCACCAGTTCGGTTCCCAAGTCAGGTACTAAACACCGCAACAATCTTGCTTTTCCCACCTTTCGTTCTGAATTCCTGGCCATGTTAATTAAAGATCGACTATAATTTTATTTTATCTATTTTAAGGTGCTTTATTACATTGGTTTCCACGTCTCTAAACACGAATACTGTACCTGCCTTAAGTAGTAGTCCTAATTCTAACACACGAATAGCAATAACAAGTGTGTAATACTTCTGCATTTCATACAACCTTCAAAGATAGTGTGGTTCTGACTTATAACAGTCCTTATTTACATAGAAAAGTTGGCTTTTCAATGGAGTTCTAAAACTCTTAGCTGTGGTTGTTATTTTAATATAGAACCTGTTCCGAGCCCAGATGGTATAATATTTAATTAACAAGACAAGGAAATGTCGGCCGTATTATAATAATAGGAAAATTATACATTTATGTCCAGGACATCACACCAATAAGACACCATCAACAATGAATCACAGGGTACGCAAATAGTGAAGTTTGGCCTGTGCACTGCCTGAGTATTTCGACGGTTCTCGCCCTCCCAGCAGCAAGCAGTAAAGCTATATAGCCTCGGCTCGCACTGCCAAGTTAATGTCTCTGTTGTATTCAAGAAGGGTCCTAATAATACTCGTGTCCTGCACGTGTAGCAAGCAGAAGAGCTGTATATAGTTACATCTGCCACCAAATTTCCGCTCCGTACTCAAAAGCATGTTAGTAATACTCGCTGTCCTCCTTCAGCAGCACATAGAAGAGCCGTGTAATTATTATCACTAACAAATTTATAGATCAATAATCTTCTTGAAACAATGACTGTACTGAACAGTATGGATCGAAGCATACCGCTTTGAAGGTTCAGACCGCAGTTCCACTATAGATCGGAGCAAATTCTCTGCCCAGACAGGCTCCAACAATGTCGACTATCTACGCTACGTTACCTTGTGAAAGCCCTGAACCTCTTTGCGAATTACTCGATACAATGATTGGTGGCAGTGGAATGTCCAGATCAGACGGTGGTTGGAATGCATCGTTGCGCGGCAGCAGGAGGTATGGCATGCTGGATATCAATAGTGGCCACGACCACACCAACTCCAGCAACTTGCTTTCTCAAACTCATAAATTATCCTGCTTTTGACAGCTATCCCATCGCACAAGACTAATTCACTCCTATCAAACGCAACGCAGTCGATGTCCATTGATAGCTCAGAATGGAGGGTCTGCGTTGCTTCTGACCATTCATCGTGTCTCCCTTTTTGATACGTCTCGTTGGACAGTCGCTCTTTCACTAGTACCATCACATTCATTTATTTCTGCAAGATTCCCACATTATCATGCAGTGGAAGTCTTTCTTTTTTATCTCCACTGCGCATCTAGCGCTGGCTCGCCATCGTCGTTATCCCCTGCATCCAGATGTGCATGTAAAGGCAGCCCACAAAGCTCGACAACTCATCGATCTTGACTCAGTCCACACCATTTTCGATATTGAAATCGTCACCATCACTGATCCCATCCCTCCAGCCCCAACTACCTTCCCTACCGTCGGCGAGACCGACGAAAAGAACACTTTGCCAATCATCGGCGCAAACCTTAAGGTCAATCTCGACCCAAATAACCTCAACATCCTTCCTCACGCTACCACCACCAGACAACCCCCCATCACGACCGACTCGCCTACCCCATGGACCGCCAAACCGTCCAATCAACAATTCTCCACACAAGGCTTCGGCGCCCGCTCCGATCCCTCCGGCACGGGGGTCCAATACGCCGGTAATGTCGGCGTCCCCTGGGGAAGCAATATAATGGAAGTGGACGTCTCCACAGCCTGGCAATACAAATACGTGGCTCAATTCCGCGGCAGCAACTCGCCTACCGCTGGGCCCTGGACGGTAGTTATCTGGAACAAAATCGGACGGGACGGTAAAATGACAGGCTGGTACGGCCACTCTGCCGTGAACTTCACGTTGGGACCGCGCGAGACGCGATACGTGGCATTCGATGGGAATTCACAGGGCGCCTGGGGCGCTGCGAAGGGGGACTCGTTGCCTCGCGACCAGTTCGGCGGGTACTCGTGCACATGGGGGGAGTTTGACTTCGGGGATGAGAAGAATGGTCTCTGGTCCGGGTGGGACGTCTCTGCGATCCAAGCGCAGAATGCAAGACAGACCGTGCAGGGGATGAGCATTTGTGCCCATGATGGGAGCAAGTGTTCGTCAATCACGACAGGGGCTGCCGTTGTGGAGAATGCGTATACCAGCTCTGAGGCGACGGTGGATGGGATTGGAGGGGCGGTGCCGGATGGACCGGTGAGATTGGTTGTGCAGGTTGATTATAATTGATCTATGTATTTATATGTGTGTATGTAGATGGAACCGGGCAGTATATATCATTGGTTTAGAAACGTTGATCGCCTTGGTCCACATATTTCCATCGTCGCTTGCTAAGTAACCTGGAAATTGTATTGTCGAAGCTCTCATTCGCACGCAAGAGTGATCTCAGTTTTAGTGTACTGGATGTGCGTTTCTGCTTTCTGGTTTGAGGCTAACTTGTAGATCTCGAAGTCATGTCATGGCGTGTTAAGAAAAACGATTTCCGTTTGACACATTGGTCGGCCCTCCGTGATCTCAAAACCAGCTTGATAATTTTCGTGCGGTATTTCGACAGCATTGACATTTGGATCTTTGCTGTACTAAAAATTCCTATACTAGACATTCGTACAGGTACGCCCACAATAGCGCTGAACGTTCCCCTAGCTAGCAGTAGCAGAGACTTCCAGATAGCGTTCGAGTCGATTTGCATCGACTGTAAATGGTTGGATGGCAGATTTAGAGATGGATATGTTACTAAGAGACGATAATTAGATGAAGTTTCGATGCATGAAGTTGCGACATCGAGGAATTAATGGACCGTCTAAACCTCGCACGTGCCTTGCCCATTGCAGCTAGAGTGCATTTCCCCTCGTGCCTTAATTTCTATATCTTTTGGCAGAAAGCATCAGGAACCTTTTCAAACCGAGTAGAAGTTAGACTATACGCAATTCTATTCTATAGTCTGGATACTAGCAACCCATGCATGCTTTGTCCCAGTGTAAAACTGGCCCCCCGCCCTACCGTACGAATGGACAAGTAGTCAGAGAAGCGCTGATGGATATGGGCGAGGAGAGTGGTGTTTCGGTATGCGATGTAGAATCTCGTCAACGGGGAGAGGTTTGTCATCTAGCATAGATATACATGCTAGTCCGATCGTGAAATGCCTGATGTTTCTATGGTTCTCTATTCCCTCATATGCAGGACAACGCCATTAGTCTATCTACATTTTTGCACGTCAACATCAATCCAATATCATACAGCCTCTCTCCCATTCTCCTCTCTCCCTGGTATGGTCTGCTTTTGCACTCCCCATTCCCCCTCTCCAATCCTCTGCCCGTAAAACTTGACTAACAACCCCACTGTCACAGGCCCAATGATTGTGTTCAGAAGAATCGCCCATACGCCTGTAATAAAGCCCTCTTCGCTTATATATGACGTCTGATTATATCCAATCTCGATAATCAGCAGTCCGATCTCCCCGCGGGCGACCATCGCTGACCCCAAGAGCAAGCCCGCTAGCCACGTTGGGTTGCGATCTTGCTTCTCGTCGGGCTTTTGATGAGCTTCCTTTTGAACTTTGGATGGCTTTTTTCTCGAGAACAACCTGGTGAGGAATTTCCATGATGGGACCCAAATTCCCACGACAAACTATACACAGTGAGTCATTCATATCCCTAAGGAGGAACTGGTGGCAGGAACATACTTTGGCAATAACCATAAGAAATGTGTACAATAAGCCTCTCCAGATCCTCTTCCCCGTCCACAGCTGCACAAACGGGATCGCAAATCCAATACTGGCGAAGAACAGCGGAGCCATGAGATACTCCTGCACATCGAGAAGGTACGCCTCGAAAGTATGCACAAACGTCGGGCTCTTATCGGCCTCTCTTTCGCCCTCTTCACGGCTCATCACGACAAACGGGCCTTCGGGTCGTTTACTCGGGATATATGTCAGGAATGTACCGGCGAGGAAAGCGCCGAAGAGAACTGATGTGCCGGCGTATGCCGCGATTGTTATGAACGCAGAGAGAACCAGCGTCATGAGAATGATATTCGAGACATGATCGTAGCGAGCAAAGCGACGTTCGACGGTTTTGCGGAAGATCGGTGCGAACACGAATTTGGTAAGGATGGGAGTGAGGGTAGCCATAGCTACAGAGGCTACGATCGGCCGGCCGATAAGCCAGCCTAGATTTACACTGTCGCCGGACGATACTTCTCCCAAGTCGCTAATTATACTATAGGCTATCAATAAAGCATCTCATCGAGGAGAGAGGAAGACGGACCTGGAGAGGACAAGGCCAACAACATCGTCAATGACGGCGGCACTAACGAGAATGGAGCCGACGCGAGTTTGCGAAAGGTCAACCGTCTTTGCGGCGGAGGAGATGACTGCGAATGTGGTACCTAGTCGCACTAGTTAGAGGCTGTCTCTCCAGGATATAGTGCAGTCCATTTACCTAACGAAGTCGCCGAGAGAGCGGCACCGATAATGAACGTCTCAACCGCTCCTAGTCCAATTAGCAGAAACCAACCTGATGCATTGACAGTCTCATACCATATCCATATCCGAGGTATAGCAGAAGATACGAAAACCCAATGGGGAAGCAGACGCCCGTCGCCGCACCCAACGTACTCAGCAACAAGTTCTTCTTCAAAAGGTCAATGCGAGCACCAAGACCGCCTATGTCGCGTCAGAACAGACAGAGAAAGCCAAGCGTAGTCAAGTCTCCGCCTAAAGCTTAGCAAGCCGCACCCACCTTCAAAAATGATCAAGATAAGGCCCACATATCCCAAGGCTAGGAATGTTTCCTGCCACTTCTTTTGCAGTATATTGGCTATCGGAACCCCGTATATGATGCCCACAGCGATTTGGCCGATTATACCGGCCCGAATGACTTTGGCTGATAGCCATTCGGCTAATGAAAGGAAGAAGAAAAAGGAGATAATAACCAGAATTTCCACAACTAGATACGGTCAGTTAGCGGAGCGCCTGGACTCAGAAGACAGCAAGGATAGGATACATACTGCCCGGTTCGTGGTAGGAGAGAAAGCCACCTGCCATCGTATCGCCAGGACTGACTGAGCATACTGGTTTCTGTTAACAACAACAGGATGAACGACAAAGAAAATCTCAAGCATGAGTATCAGGAAGGATCATCACATGTCGTGACGTGACTGCAGCTGAGCTGACCTGACCTGTGTGGCGACTGCACTGGGCTGATGATGTCTGCCAAGATCAAAACTAAGCATGACGGGTTTTGCCTTGTGGACCGGCTTCGGCAATGATTGGATTGCTGCCGAAGTCTAGATTCGAGTGGAGGGTCTTGGACGTACCTGAAACGATGGATAATGTGCTAATCTCGGTCGGCATAGGACACCAGAATCTTCAGGCATCCATCCAGCCTGCCGAATTTTCATTCAACAAAAGTAGCACGCGTGAAATAAATCCATGAACTGCAATCTGGCATATAGGACTCTACTGCTTCACGTGCAGCCCAACTAGTGATAATACACGTTGCCTAAGGATTCGATTAAAGATGAAGCATTCTCGACAATGTACTCAGCATGTCATATTGCCTTTTCCATGGAATTATCCATAACTTATGCATCTGAAGTCATGGTACAGTTGACCTCTTATGGTATTCGGTAAACTTAGTGACAGTAGCTGACCTTCCCAGCCTCCACCCAGGTCACCAGACCTAACACTGCCACCGATTGAAGCATAAACGACCGAGATAAGCCTCATACTTTCATTGTCCCTTTAAAACTACCTCAACCTGAACTATGGCCCACCAAAGCCACATCCAGCACCGTCGGCCTGTACCCTTGGATTCTACAGCAAACAACATCACCAATTAAACCCTCGGTCGAAGTCTCCGGGACAAATTCAATGACCAGACCTCATGAAAAATTCATCAGCATCTTCAGTGCCGAAGGCAACATATACTCAATCCCTCCGAATCAGCTGAGGCTAGCACTGGCCCTCCAAAATGTCATACCTCGTCGAACATATCACCAAACAAGATATCCCAGGGGTCATAAACGTCCTGTTCACAGTTATGGCACCAACCGGCTTCGGACGCACCACAGGAGAGGTTCCAAATTACAGTGTCACCTTGGATGAGTTCCTCTCCTCGCCGTATGGTACCAACATGGCTTATCGAATAGTCCATGAATTAGATACAGATCCGACACTACATTACCTGAAGGTAATGGATAGCCACTCGGGAGATATCATATCTATTGGCAAATGGCATATCTATCATGGAGAAGAAGGGCTCCGAGCATGGCGTGCCTCTGTGAGAACGGACGAAAAGATGCATATCCCGTTTGGCTTGAACGCGAAGGGGTATCGTATGGTGATGGGGAAATTGTTTGACAAGCGGAAGCACTTCTTTGGCGAAAATGGGAGGGACCATTGCTGTGGGTTTTTATTGCTTTACCCTCTGTGGTGGTTCCACATGTACTGATTTCAGTCAGTGTTTGAGCTCCTCGTGACACATCCTCGGTTCGAACGTCGGGGAGCAGGATCACTCATCACTCAATGGGGATGTGATGTGGGAGACAGACTGGGCCTGGACTGTTACCTTGAGTCGTCGGATCAGGGGTATCGCCTGTATAAGAGGAAGGGATTCAGAGAAATTTCGGCGGATCCGGAGGAGAATGTTATTGAGTTTACTGTCGATGAATTTACGGGGCGACAGGGATGTGCTGAAGACAAGTTGCATTTTACGTGCATGATTAGGAAGCCTGGAAAGCAGAACGGGTGAGAAACCAGTCAGTCCTTGAATTTTCTGGTCATGCATAGAATGCGATCTGCAAACAAGACGAATAAGCCAGGCAGGTAGTAAGAAGAGGCTCGGTCTCTCATATGTACATCTGCTGTAGCATTAGCTAGTATTGTATGATCAGAAATGAAATCTATACTGCAATCTCCAACTAAGTTATCGATGGACAAAAGAGCTCAGGGAATAGCTAGATTGTCTCAAAGAGTCAACGCAGGGACAGCAGTATTCAAATCTCCAGCAAGTCCAATCGCCAAGCCCTGCTCTTCAAGATCCCAAGGGACGCATGCAGAAGCTCCAATTGTAACTCGAATCAATCTAAAACTCCTGCTCGGGGATTTCAATGTTACTTCATTCGGTTGCGGCAAATGTTTTCGAACCCAAATCTAACACAAGAATCATTATTTGAGCTAAGCAACCCAACAATCACATCCGATGTGGTGTAATGGTTAACATCGCTGTCTCTCACACAGCAGCTCGGGGTTCGATTCCCCGCATCGGAATTATAAATTTCTTTTTTCCCTCTCCCACTTTTTTTCCACTTCCTGTGTCTCCACGAATTCGTGCCCAGAAATTTTCATACTCTTTTTTTGACCTCGCAAAGGTAGTTAGTTCATTGAAATAATCTCCATCGCGAACAGACTGCGTCAATTCCACCGCAGTGCTGATATCATGGGATCTTTGAACCGACCGTGAGCCTCTGAATAACAGGGTCAGTAAACGGCAGAGCATCCACAAAGGGATCAGAGAAGAAGATAGCATCCGGTCGGCATTTGGCAAATACTGCAGATATCGGTACTGGCCCTGTAGAGTGGATATGCGGTCGGTCGGAAATCCATTGGCGGCGAAGAGTCCGTGGTGCGTACAAAGTATTGAGACTCAAAACGGTTTGTCAGTTCTAGGAGACCTGCGTAGAGAGCTGATTGGGCCATGTTCGAACCATGTTTAGTTTCAGAATATGGTATCCCCATTTCTGCTCCATGTTGTCCCATCCCCAAAACCAAATTTGTCATCGAGCCGCCCTAGCCCAGTCGGAGGAAGGAAGGGAAATAGTTCTCAAAAAGGTTTCAAAGGTGTAATCAAGTCCAATGGCTGTGGACTGTCCAGCTCCAGCATTGATGATCAGATAGTCTGCTTTTCGCATCCATTCCCGGTCTTTCATCAATAGCAAAATGGCCATTGGCTTGAGAATCTTCTTCGGTACACTCAGTTTGAGGGCCAAGTTACCGGTTTCTAGGAGCAAACGCAGGTTTTCGTTTACCACACCCAGTCTTTGTCGAGAAATGTGTCGAAAATTATGTCGATCAGTGTTGTCCTGGGGTGACTCGAACACCACCCCACCCCAGCGTTTAGTAGTCTCCATGATAAATCCTAATATTCTACTGTTAATCCTTCCATTCGATCATTGTTGATTAAATATTTTAGAATGTACATGTGGTGTGTTTGGAATCAACGATTCAGTCAAATATATATTTGCAAACTTCACAGTACGACTTGTGGTACAAGTAGATCACACATGACGAGAGAAAAGGAGTACACATAACAAAATAAATCAATTTGTAGAAATACATAGGCAACATGATGACAAATTGGCTGGCATAAAGAAGTGATGTGTTTTATATAGTTCGGCAATGGCCACTCATAGTGCTGAGAGGGATGTACGCGTGTGTTTGCAGTGTTTGTCTTGAATTAAAGCAAACACATCTCAGCCAATCAGAAGTCATACAAATATCATGTTTTGGTTTGATTTATTTGTTCTGTTTGTCTGCTTTGCCAATATGACGTAATAGACTGTGAAGCAACCTACATTAAAGAAACCTATATTAAAGATGGGCCCTTATCCTTGGAGAGGTAAATATTGCAACACAATTTTCTGTACATTTCGCTGGCAGCCACTACGACATCAACATCAGCCATGAAACCAGTTGTAGCCATTGCTGGAGCGACTGGCCATCTCGGCAAGCACGTGGCGTCTGCCTTCCTATCTCCACCGCTATGCAGCCATTTCTCTGAGATAATCCTTCTCTCGCGACAAGACACATTATCTCCTCAGGTTCCGGACTCGAGGTGCGAAGTCAAGCTCACAACCCGCAAATATGACGAGAACAACCTGGCTGCTGCCCTCGAAGACGTCCAAATCCTCGTGAATACTGTTGGTGCGTCCGGTCACGAATTTAAAGAAAAGCTCCTGCGGGCATTGCCAGAGACAGAGGTGGAAGTGTACTTTCCTTCGGAATTCGGAGTGGACCATTATATCCATGACTTCCCTCATCTGGAATGGGATCAAAAGACGAAGCATTTTAACCTGGCGCGGCAGCTAACCCCGAAAGTCAAAGTATGCCGTGTTTTTTCTGGTCTATTCTTGGAAGATAGTATTGGCCCTTGGTTTGGGTTTGATACCAAGAATGGGAAGTATGAAAGTGTGGGATCACCGCACACTCCCATATCTTTTACTTCCCTGGATGATGTAGGGAGATCTGTCGCCGCCCTGTGTGCTCTGCCAAAGGAGAAGATTCCTGATGTGGCCCATCTGGCCGGTGACACGCAATCTATCTCTGAAATAGCGGGGATTATGAAGGATGCAGGAGCTGGTCAAATTGATGTGACGGAGATTTCGCTTCAAAAGTATAAAGATGCGACAACAGCGCAAACATCCTGGTATCCAGCTAGCTACCTGCGCTTTTTGATGGGAGAGAATCGGATTAACCATACTTCTACAGGCCTGGGAAATGTCAATGAGCTGGTTAATGCCGATCAAAAATTGTGGAAATGGGGGTCCTTGGCTGATTTGGCGAACCAGGAGAGGGGGACACCCTGGAAGGACTTTCCATGGCCACCTAAATAATCATATACTTTGGTTTAGGAGCGCAATGTTGTCGGAATATAACAACATTTTTATCTACATAATAGGTTCATTGCCCTATAAAATAGAGTAGTTTATATTACAAAGAACTCACGTGTAATGCTGTGCGACCGTTACACATAAAGCCACCAGTCTGCCCCAACAGCTCACACCGGTGGAATCTGCATGAGCTATACGCGGCGCGAATGACGTTATTGGTGGCAGCTCAGAAAACATTTCATCGACCACCCATATTTCAGGATACCGTGCCCAACAGACATACATAGACTTGCCTGGCGCTGGAATATTTAAATCAGCATTGCGGCCAAGTTCGATGTGGCCGAATTGCATCATCATCGTCACCATCATCATGGCGAGTGATCAAGATTCTCCCAAACTCAAAGTAGCAGTAATTGGAGCCGGCATAGCGGGACTTGGTGCAGCTATTGAATTTCAGAGACTGCCATTTGCCGATCTTCAATTGTACGAGCAAGCTCGCGAGCTATGTGAGGTCGGTGCTGGGATTAGTCTTCAGCGGAATACCTGGCATATGTTGGAAGCACTAGGGGTGTATGATAACATTGATCCACAGAATATTTTTTGTGTGGCTGATGGACATTTTACTCAGCGTCGGTATATTTTTTGGATGTCTTTTACGTATAAAAAATATACTAGGAATGGGAGAACAGGCGAGCTTCTTCTATCCAATGGGCAAAAAGTTGGTTTTGTGTTCATGTGCTGGTCATTAGGCCTTGACCTGGATAGATACACCCCAGCGCCATAGACACGCCCGAGCATTACGCTCGGTCTTGCAGCAGTATCTTCTTAAAGCGGTTGACCAATTGAAAATGAGACTATCAAGTCGACTTACCAAGATGGTTGAATTGGCCAACGGGAAACTGTCGTTCTGCTTCGAAGACGGCTACACAGACAACGTTGATCTGGCTGTGGGTGCCGATGGGGTTCGATCAGTGAGCGCTCTTCACCATATAGCTCTTAAACAAGCTAATAGACTTACGGTATAAAGGTCGTCCTCCATTTTGCATTCCCTGACCATAAGATCAGCTACACTGGAACAGCAGCGTACCGGGGCCTAATCAATACACAGGAAATCCTGAATATCCAAACTTTCTAGATACTATTACATTCTGGCATGGCCCTACAAGATGGGTATATACATGCAATCTTAATAACAACATCTATGAAGTGGCAGCGAGAACCGACCTACCAGACGACGGTACACCCGTGAGCTGGGGGCAGGAAGCAAGTATAGATGAGATTCGAGAACGATACAAGGTAAAGAATATATCATATCTCGGCTTGCCATTTTCTATACCAATACATGCTAGGAATTTTCACTGACAGTCCAGGAGGGACTAAATAAGGTGAAAGAAGTGAAGAAATTTGCTCTTTTTGCTGGACCACGGTTGGCGAAGGCAGTGTATGGTGGGGAATTGCATTAATCGGAGATGCATCTCATCGTGAGTGATTTCTTACTTTCATATGGTCATAGTTGATGCTAAACGACGGTCCAACCCTATCAGGAGTGTTTGGTAAGAATAAAACCCCCGCTTGGTACTCTCGCCTGATTGCGTCAAAGCGGTGGAGCAGGTTTTGCCCTGGAAGAAGTATACGTCCTATCATAAGCTGTCCACTCGGCCCATGATCGTCATCTCTCGGTGCGAGAAGGATTAGATCTGTATGACAGAGTCAGATCGCCGTATTACGACGACTTGGTATGTAGTACTGGGCTATAGTTGTCAAATACTGATCAACCATAGTACAAAAAACTCGATAGGTTCGCAGAATAAATAGCGCAATAGAGATGCTGCCTCGTTTGACGACGCAGAGACTATAGTGTTGCAAATAAATGGTCAGATCAGTACCACTGGCTCTACCATTACGATGTGAGCCAATTGTCTATGCTTCTATATGGCGTGACTCATAACGTTGCTAGGTACAGGAAATTTGGAGAAGAGCCTACCAAAAAGACGCTCTTCCAGCTGACAAAACAGCTATCAAGGGGTATGAAGTATCTTCACGCTTATAGGGAGAAATAATCTCCCCGTGCCAAAGTATGATAACGTGTGGGAACCATAAGTTATGAATTGGCTTCTATTACCTATTGGTACATATATAAACAAGAAGAGATGACAGTTCTCTCGCCTGGCATACTATATTCTAATTACATCTGCCTGTACCGAGCTACTAGAACAGCAGTTGTTTTTTAGTCAGGAAGGCTTTTGCCGCTCTTCACCCCATAAATACCTACCCAACTATTAAACCGCGAAATAAAACCACGACTAGGCAAGGAAAACTCAAAAGCCTCATGATATCACAATGGACCAACAGCGATTAGAGTTCTCCCCTACTATTCCTAGAAAAGGCCATTTCCAAGTTGACTGTATACATCCCGCATATGTCCTGGTTGGAGCTGCGGGTTTCATGGTTCCTCAAGCTCCGACAGCACAAGTACAAAGGGCCAGCTAGGAAATCTTCCGAAACCTCAAATAAATGCATTTTCACGTGATTGAAGACAGTATAGGACAGCCACAAAATATGTCGATATCCAAGTAATAGTCAATGAAGTTCAGCACATACATATAAAGCTTCTTTTCCATTCTGTGGCGGGAACACCAGTCGGGCACGCTGGCGACCTCTTATACCACCCCAGCTCTACCTAAGCTTGAAGCTGTATATTTAGCAGCATCCCCAACGTATATTGGAAAACATTCAGAGGCGACAAGGCCTGTATGTCCGAGGGACAACATCCTGTCGCACGAACTGCAGACTGAAAAACTAATGGAAAAGACTATGGACAGCGCTAGCAGAACTGGCTAAAGATACGGTGTCTTTCCTGGAGGACAACGCGATCGGAACGGAGGAGATTTATACCCCACCATATAAAGAAGACGAAAGTCACAAATACAAAGACACCAACACTTACAAAGCATTACGTCGAGAAAATACAAACCGGAAGACGGCCCCTACCTTATTTCTAGGCCAAACTTATCGATCAAAATTGAAGCTAAATGCAAAAGAATTAAGAGAGTACCTAAATAGGGGCTGATTGGTGCTACATAGTCCTTTGAGGTCTGTGGCAGGTGTTAGCGACGCATAGCACTAAAGATCCCTGCGGACTTTCGAACGATAGCAGTGGATTAAGAGCTGATCAAATGACGTATGTAAACCATCGGGGACAGTGAGTGGAGCATGTCTTCTTTGGTCTTGCGCGGTGGACAACAGACCGTTATCAAGGGAGTGAATCGTATGCACTATTGGACAGGTTAGACCATTCCCTAGTTATCTAGCAAAGACATCACTAACGTAATCGGTAAGCGAGCGTCATATGAAAGCGAGGGCCGCGCCTCTGTATTCCATAAAAAATGACACTTCTTGAGAGTCTAATATCTCAACAATAAAGCACCTAGAGAGCATAAAATTTAATACACAGTATAATATAATACTGTATATATGTATATTAAGCAGAGAAATTTCAGGAATGAATATTTCTCCAGATAAGATAAATTACAGCTGTATTTTTTATATATTTTGTTGTAGGGAGTATTTAAAGCTAAGAAAACTATTTAAAAACATGAAAATATAAAAACACAATTTTAGAGTCCATATATATGTTATTATCTTATCAAGATGTTTCTATATCTACTGGTGGTTGAGATATTAAGGTTTCAAAGGGTGCCATTTTATATGGAGTACCAAAGTGTGGTGCTCGCCTTCAATACGGCGCTCGCTTACCGATTACGGTAACGGTGAATCGCACCTTTTATGTAAGCACTGATCTTGGAGTGGAAATTGTCGGAATATCTGCAGCCCCGATTTGTTTTTTGCGATTGACTAACTATTGAAGTCTATTAGCAATCCGGGATCATTTCTAGCCATTTTCGTCGTCACGATGTACACAGCCCACTCGATCTTCCCCATCTTTGTTGCTCTAGAGCCCGAAAATTAGCATCTGTGGTGTAGCCTCAATGCACCCTCAAAAAAGAGCCATCGACTAAAATGTCTACTCCATACTATGAGTGTTTAGATTTTACTTAACTCACCCCAGCGCACATGACCACGGGGATACTACAGTATGTCGATGTCGTGTAAACTTGGAAATATTGGGATATTTTAAAGAATTGTGTTGGTTGGTAAATCCGGCTCCTGAACCATCGCGGAGTGAGCCTGCGGCTGTGCAAACTGCAAACTGGGTGCAGTGAATATTAAGGATGTATTTTCGGTCTTGGCTTTTATTAGCTGTCCAGTAGTTGCGCCCGATTATAAAGTGTGATGCAGACAATATGAGCTTGGAGTTGCTGCCTAACTAATTGAACCTATTAGGTTTCAATTTTCCGACGCTAAACTTCAGGGCGTAGAAAGTGGGGTGGAATCCTTTGCAATTCATCAGTGAAAAATAGGATCATGTTACTCCGTACTCCCTCCGTACTCCGTCCGTACTCCGTCCGTACAAGGCAGGACACAAGCCAGTCAAGTGGGAACAAATTGCTATCAACGGCCCTGATACGATGGATGTTCGATAGGTCCTTTCAAGATGATTTGTCGATAAATCTAATATGTACTACTCTGTATGATAGAGCTCAAAAAGAGCCTAAAGTGCTTTTACTTATGGTCGAACGGGATTTAGCATAGAAGGGTAATTTATATTTCAAAGCAGACTGGAGGACGTAGATGCGATAGCATAACACGGAAGAATAACGAACTCCGGTATACACAGAGTACTACAGGGTGAAACAGACGAAGCGAAGAAAAAAAAAGGCAGACGTATTTTCCAAGCCACTAGCGACGCATGGCTGACAGGCCAAACGCCATCGACTGCAGTTCTTGTCCTACTCGGCCACTACGCGATAAATGTTCAATATGGAGTGATTTAGTCGACAAGAGATTACAATGATGGATATATCTCTTCATCGACAGTGTCTATCACTTGATCTGCATTGCTTAAGTTAGCCGAGTATGATATCATCCATATGGGCTAGAACGAGAAAGAAGCTTTTTGTTGCATCCAATGGCTGGTGGATACCATGCTACTATTTTCAGGCACAGAGCTAGTAATTCAGCGCAACTGAGCCACAATAGAAAACAAAAAATCTTCCCCATGATAAGCCAATATTCCCTGCGTGATTTCTCTGTATTGCAGGCATACATATTACGTGCAATATATAAGCTGAATCCCATGGAAGCAACAAAGTTCTCACCTTTAATTTCATACGCTCTGTTGTCGCCCAAGAAATGAGGCCGGTCAGCCCTCTACGCTTCGCAATCCAGGCAAGCATCTGGCAGCTGGCACTTCTCTTTCTAGTCACTCTATCCGTGTCTGCGCCCTTAAACATATCCATCGACTCTGTTGAACACGGTAATGATGCTTCTATACTGGAGTCCCGTGACGTCAAGCCATTCCCCCTGCGTGTTCTGCCGTTGGGTGCGTCAATCACGGTAGGATTCAAATCCAGCGACGGGAATGGATATCGGAAATGGTTACGACAGCAACTCCGCTACGCTGGGTGGCAAGTCGATATGGTGGGAAACCTGAAAAATGGAACAATGCATAATAATGTTAAGAATCCCCTAAAGATATTCGTGGACCCGGTTGATCTAATATCCATTCAAGAACAATGATGGCTACAAAGGCTACAAAATTCACCGGATAGCAAAGGAAGCCGAGAAGACAATTCCCCAGCAGCCCAATGTCATTCTTATTAAGTGAATTTTCCCTCTGGAGCTGTCTTTTCTACTCTTTTCTTTATTTCCTATTTTCCCTACGACTAATCATTGTCTCCCAGTGCTGGTACGAACGATGCTGTCCGGAAGTACCACGTGGATACAGCGGGAAAACGAATGGATGCACTTCTGACGCGTTTATTCAACGCCATCCCGGGCACTACGATCGTCCTCTCAACGCTTCTTCCCAACAAACGGCAACCGAACCTGGTGGACCAAATAAATGCGCAATACCGAAACATTACCGCGCGACGACGAGAGAGAAACGAGCGGATCGTCTTAGCTGAAATGAACCATTTTATAACGGTGGACGAGTTGGTTGATGGGACCCATCCTAACGACTATGGATACAAGAAAATGGCTTCGGTTTGGTGGGCTGCTATTCAGGAGGCAGAGAAAGAAGGCCTGCTCCAGCAGTCGAAGAACACAGCCAGGGGCCATAGCAAAGCCCTTGGAATGCAGTCTGATGATGCTGCTGGTAATCCTCATCTGCCGGAGTATAAAGCGCCTAAGCAACCTGAAAATGATGGGGGACTCCGATTCCGACAGCCGTGTTCTTGGCAGGTGGTGCTCCAGATGGTTGCGAGTATGTCCATCTATTGTTCGCTGTGAATGATCAATGAGCTAACATACGTAGCAATTACTACCTTTTACATAATAATATGACGGCAATGGTTGTCAGCAACCATATATAAAGTTTGACAGCGGTCTTAATACCGAGGCGGTGTTTATGTGAGTACAACGTTTGTTTTTCTCGACTGTGATTGTGTTAAGCTGATTTAACTTAGTATACACCCATGGTCCTGGAAACCGAAACGGTCTCTGAGTGTACCTACAGTGAATGCAGAAGGCATGTTATTTCATCATGCGTCTGCCATTTTGTTCCAGACGCTAATTCCAAGTCACAAGACTTTAGGTCATTCCCAATTCAACCTCCTCCAGCCAGCTGGTGGTCAGATCGTATTATTTGGCATGCAAAGTGGGACCATATATCAGCTATGTGATATTCGCACTCTGCCGACAGGAGATTCTGCCCCGTAGACGCGGTATAAAAGGATTGATGGAAACAAATTGTATGTTTATGGATTCGTTCACTCATATCGCATGACTGACTGGGTTGTTATCAGATTGGTTTCCAAAGGTCTTGTTTTTGGCTAAGAATAATAAAAAGGGTGCTAGCGCAATGCAATCTGAACTTCTTGAAAGCCTTTCCTTTTGAGAAAACTCTGGTTCAATATCCTGAAAATTAACCAAAGAGCCTAAATCCAAGTATATTCATGACATACATGGATGAGAAAAAGAAAAGATCATCAATGGTGGTAGATTCCTATACTGGTTTGTGCAGCATCGCCAAGGCTCTATTGGATCTCTACGACTTGAGTCAGTGATAGACTAAAGAGTAGCGTACCGCCGCTAAGACGATCTAGGATGAACACCCTATCCATAATGGTCCTAGTCCAGGATTATAGGGGCGATAATTTGTTGGATTACTCATAAGTTCAATTTGCCTTTTTATTTTTTTTAACACAACAATGAAGTTGATATGAGTCACTGGGGATGCAATCTATAATCATTTTTAAGCTATGAGATTCCAAAAATTTCTTCCAAATTCAGCATAGTTTTTTTCTTTTCTCATCTCTCTTTTTCTTCCCCTATCGGCCCCTCTCTCTGAGCCACTATCAATTAGCCATGAATCACAACCCCCATAATAACGAACTCTACCTCCGTCTCCCCACCCCACATCAAAATATCATCGTCACTCCATTCCGACCTCACAACCGGGAAGATGAATCCGCCTTAGTGGCACACTTGAACGACATGCGCGTTGCTTCGTGGTTAATTGGTCCTCCATTCCCGTATAAACTCGAGGACGCGAAATTGTGGGTTGCCAGGTCCAGCGAGAAAAGTGACAAACAACTAGAAGAGGCCAAAGCGCAATCATTTGTGGGCGGGTGTCCATTTAGCTGCATCCGCGAGGTCCTAGCAGAGGATGATGACGGAATTACAAAGGATATTTTGATTGGAGGTATCGATGTTGAGCGGTATGAGTATATAGATTTCCCGGAGAACAGTGAAATGAGGCGCGGAGCTGCGGAGAAGAATCTAGCCCTACCATTGGGCAGTCCGGAGATTGAATGGTCAATTGGAGGTAAGACATCGATTGGAGCTTTTCCCTCTCTTTTATTTTCTTTTTATTTCCTTTTCCTTTCGTTTTCTTTTCGTCGCACTAATGTGGTCTCTAGACTGGCTGGCAGCGTCGCACCATGGCCGTGGCATAATGACGGCTGTCATGAAGACAGTCCTGTATGATTGGGCAATCCCTCGCATGAATGCTCGCCACTTCAAAGTGACTGCCTTCGCTGGGAACCATGGCAGTGTAAGGGTGTTTGAGAAGTTAGGGTTCCAGCCTTATAAAACCCTCGTCGACTGGATTTCTCTACCCGAGAGTCGTGGGGGTGGGGTTCGCTCCATAGAAGTCCTTTCATTGGATTTGGAATATTAAGGACGGTTAATTACGGATCGAATAGAGCGGCCATCTTAACGATTGGCGCGGGGTTCTCTTAATATTGCTGGCATCGGTCGAGTCGAAGCCAGGGTTGTTGGCGATGTCAGGGAGGAGTTACGGGAAAATAACGAATCTTCAACGAGAAATGTCAGATGAAATAAGTACAATCGAGAAACTAGCCCAGGAATGATCCGTATCTGATTCTCATTTGTGAGCTATCACTCGATCTTCATACGTCCATCGCCAAGTATGAGCGGGAAAGAGGATATGAGCGGGCTATACTGCCGTGCCAAGTCTTGCCTAGTATCCTTTTCATTTTCATTTTCTATTTCTATTCTATTTTTGTTTACTTTACCTAATATGTTGAGCAGCAAGGAGCACTGGTGATTCTTTCGTCCACTATAAGTCCCGATGAGATCCTTGTTTGACGTTGTTTAATTAGACGCGACGAAGGAACCTGTGGGTAATGCCGGATAAAATGCCGACAAACAGGAGAATTCTTGTCCATAACGTAAGAATGCAACGAGAAATCAACGCTGTGTGAATAACGCGTAGTCATGCCGATCGGAGTGATGGGGTGGGTCTTTTATAGTAGTCCGTGTTTGAGGTTCAGAAATGGTGCGACAGACGGGATGCAAGGATCTGAATAGTCCCTGAAGGACAATGAAACACGGGGGGTGGGATGTCATGGACCCTTGAGTTTTGCTAGTATGTCACACTCGATCAAAACACCGGTTGGCAGCTGGTCTGGGATGATATCTATCAGATTTCATGACTATATAGACGGAGGAACTGGGACGTAGAATAGAGCGTCCAGAAACCAGTTCATTTCTTTCTTGCCCTGGTGGCTTCTGTCTTTCATTCTTCATTTACCCCGGAATTATTTTATTTTCCCTCCACTCAGTCCACTCTTTTAGTCCCCTTGCTCATAATGCGTCCTACTCAGGTTATTCTGGCCATTGTGCTGGGCCTCTCTAGCTTTGTCACAGCGACACCACTCGACACTCGCGCCACGCTTGTGCACTGCACATCAGATCAACATCAAATGCTCCAGGATGCACTCTCCCAGTCATCCCGAATGGCCAAAGCAGGTGCTGACACCATTCGCTCCGGCTCCAACTACGGATCTGCCCTTTTCCAAAGCTTCTTCAAAACCAACGACGAGCGAGCTCGGTCCCGTGTCGCTAATATCCTGGACCAGATCTCCGAGGAGGCCTTGGCTCGCGGAGGAGGAAAAGTATCCTACTCCTGCTCGCCTGATGGGATTCGTTGCTCGAATCCTGGCGAGTCCTTTTTCATCACGGCCTATGGCGAAACCAACGGTTACTATGGCCGGATCAGGACCTGTCCTGCGTATTTCTCTCTGGTTCGGTTCTCGAATCAATGCGACCGGCTTGATCAGGCGACTTCCTCGACTCATGAGATGGCACATACGAAGGGTATTTATGGACCCGAGACGTATGGCTTCTATCAGGTTCATCAGCTGGATACCGCTACAGCTATGGAGAATGCGGAGAGTTATGCCTTTTTTGCTAAGTGTGAGTTTTCTTCACCTTGATTTGAATGGTAGACGTTTTCCTAACATTGATGCAGCGGCTTTCCTGAACTGCAGCGTACATTAGGTTGAGTTGGAGAAGGGAAGCATACTCTTTCATATGTAGATAGTCACCATGGTTGAAAGGGATCACTTCTCTTGGTATTTTCTTAGTACACATTGATCTTTTCGATCCATAATCTGTAATCCATGTGTTCAACAACCCACTTTGAATAACTCACAAGCTCTAAAACGAATCCAACCTCACTCAAATCATCTCCAGCCCACCACTAACACAAATTGTCTGGCCGGTCACCCATCCCGCATCCTCCCCAGCCAAGAAAACTGCCACGCGAGAAATCTCCTCAGGCGCGGCGCAACGATTCCCCAACGGCGTACTCATCTTCACATACTCCAGCACATCCGCAGGCATATCTCTCAACATCCGCGTCTCCACAGCACCAGGCTCAATCACATTAACCGTATGACCCTCCGGACCGAGCTCACATGCCAACGCTCTAGTGAACCCCTCCACCGCCGCCTTCGACGCACAGTAAATTGAATAACCCGTTGCGCCGCGACGGGCAGCAATCGAACCAATATTGATGATACGGCCCGGGCTACGCAGATGCGGGATCACAGCCTTGGTCATACGGATCGTGCCGTGGACGTTGACGTCGAACACGGAGGAGATTGTCTCGGGGCTGGTGTTGACTAGTGTCTCGTGATGGGGAACCCCTGCGTTGTTCACAAGAATATCAATCTTGTTGTCTGCTGTTGGGAAGGCTGGAAGCGCTGCGTATATGACCTTGTCCACGGCTTTGGGATCTTTCAGATCGGCGAGGACTTTTATCGCTGCGGATCCGTTGCATAGGGATGTAATTTTCGAGAGGACTTCGTCCACGTCGCTTTCGCTTTCAGGGCTGGAATAGGTTAAGGCGACCTATTTATTTAGCTGGAGACATTTTTTACAGGAATAAAGGAAAAAGGGGGTATACCTTTGCTCCTTGTCGTGCTAGTTCAATAGCTATGCTAGCCCCGATGCCGCGGGAGGCTCCGGTGACGATGGCAATTTTTCCAATGAGACTCATTCCGTACATACACATATTATGATCAGTGGAGTCGTTGCTGGAGATGAAGGGATGGAAGGGGCGAGTTGGGCCCTTTTATATGGATCTCTTGGCCTCGTATATTCACTGTCATAGGTGACAACATTATGCGGCATAACGTTATGCGTCAACATTCACTGAGGAGAAAATGGAAATTTCCGCAACAATATTTCTTCGAGCAATCCCTGACCTGTCAAAAATCCGCGGGTACCTGTCGCAGATCTGATCTTGCTATATAGTAAACTGAGCTCGATAACCAGATATCCGGCCATCGATTTGCGCCTTTTTGGCCGTAGTGTAGTAGTAAAGCCCAGCACCACCGCACAGCCGGACCTAGATCCTCTCAGTAAGTGGCAACCACCCGTTTTAACATATTATTAACTAATATGTATTTGGACCTGCTAAGATGCGATACTGCTGGTTTATTTAATAAATTACTGTTATTTACAGCCATGTTGGTATTCATTTCTATAAAGAAATGAGCCGCATCTAAAATTAATTCGAATATATTTTATGTGGCTCCGTAAGGTGGACAGAGAGGGAAACTAGAGTATGCAATAAAAATTCCCTACTCTCCCTACTGTCCGATGTCACTCTTGACTCTTTTCTCGAAATGGACTGGTTCATTCATACGGACGTTTAAATTCTTTAACCTCTCAATCCTCCTGCGCTCGACTCTTCTCTTGGACCTTCACTCCATTTGGACTCCTTAGGTAACATAGAGGACTAAATCTGTGCAGAGAAGCAGGTTCTTGTGGACTTGGAGGCCCCCACGGACAGTCTTTTGGTCCTTTAGAAGGGCATGGCTGCCTTCTCTCCGGTTGTTTTCTCCCCGGTTGCTTGACAGCTGGACTGCTTAGTGTAGTTTCTAGGAAAGCTGTAAACTATTAAAGAGCTGTAAGGAGCGTTTACATATTCATGGAGCCCTTATGTCGACGGTGGCGGCCATGTTTGCCTGTGTTGTTGAAAGGATGGAGACAACTACATTTTCGAAGCGTTTGGACCTTATGAAGCCGGGAATTGAAACACTCTGCGAACTAAGAAACAAATCCACACATCTCAGAAGAAACTGGATACAATAATCGAACTCTTCTGCTTCTGGGAGCGGAATATAATACTCACCGAGATGATGAGAATGATCCTCCGCAAAAATCTATCCCGCCAATCCCTAAATGACGACTTCACTATAGCCAGAAATATGATATCTTGACTGTAGAATGTCTGGGTAATAGACCCAAAGTAAAGTAAAGGATGCAAATGACTATAGAAGGGTTGGAAGGATGCAAAGAAAGATTAGCCAAGCAGATGCTGCCTCCAATTGGAAATAGTAGGATTATACATTGGGCCATATGACTCCTCGCAAACGTGGGAGCTGTTCAGAATGTTATCATGATGAATAAACTCGACCCCACACAGACATAGTAATCCAGTCATAAGTTTGTTGCAGACCTTGTTAACCTCCTTGTTCCACGAAAGAGACTTGGACACGAATGCCTGCGGTGGTGTCAATCGTGTAACAGCTGTCCCCCGACTGGACCAGATGGAAGGTCTTGCAGTTGGTCACGATGCTAGGTATCTGCGGCTGCGGGCCCTTGGGCATGGATGTGGGCGTTGATGGTGTATTCGTCACTCCAGGGACGTGAACGAACGCGGACGTAGTAGTCGAGCCTCTGGAGGTTGGTGCATTCTGTCACAAAGTGGCTCTACCAATTGCAGGGGTGGGACAATCGACACCGAGATTCAAAGCTGAAAGTTGGCAAGGGTAATGCCACAGCTCTTGGCAAAGGACTGGCATGTGTCTCGTTGCTGGCGGCCAAAGAGTAGCTGCAGGAAACAGTCTGCTGTAGCACACGCGCAGAGAGCAATAGTAGAAAAAAAAAATCCCGGGGCAAGAAAGGACTTGGGACATATTTTTGAATTTTTGATTTGGTTACAGATTGAGGATAAAAGGGGGAGAAGCTGATTTGTCAAAGCCACACCCACTAGGCTCCAAGTTGCATGGTTTTATAGGTATGCAGGATGTATATTTCTCTCCTTGGAACGGGGACCAATGTAACCTGAACATAGAACTACCTGGAATCGAGGATAACGCTTTTACATGCATACAAGCAACACATAAAACCTGACAATGGCATGATCAACAGTAGTGAAAACGAAGGCGAACTTGAAATAAGGAGAGTGGCATTATCCGATCTGGGCATTTCTGTGGAACTCGAAGGCGAAAAGCTCATTAATTCTAGAATAGGAAACGTCATATGGCGCAGTCCAAGGGTGCAATAGGGAGAGGTGTTGGCAGACATTCAGACGTATTTTCTTATGGACTTCTTGTAAGTTGGACTATTCTCTGTTAAAAATAGCACCTGCTTAATATTGCTCACAGTGCCTCTATGCCATAACAGGCATGGAAACCCTACATCTGGACTTAAAGAGCTAAGGGAAGCGGAGTTGAACCTGAGCTGAAGATTTTGAGCCAGTTAATAACGGTTTTCGGCCCTGTTCCTCCTGAGATAGTAGTACACGTTAGTAATGACAGATAGTGTAATATCTTAATGGATTACCAGACGCAACATCTAGCGATCCAAGCGTGCGACTGAACCAGTGGACGGAAGAGGTTTCCCCAAATCTTGACACTGAGACAAAGAGGGTGATACCTAAGATCAAAAAACTTAATCCTACAGAGAGAGCGTTACTATGTTCCAAATTATGAAGGAACCTTGGTGGAGTTCGCTCACTGGTGCCTAAATAATCTAAACAGTGCACTTGTAAGCGTCTTGACAATACAACGCTCTGGAGAAGAGGTAGTTGGGAAACATGGCCGCTTGCGTGAAAAGGTTAGCCTTGCACATTAAGATAAAGCATTTCGGTTCATGGTCGTGGTTAGGAGGATAAATTGTCGGTTGGCTTATCGTAATCACAACATTCTTCCTAGCCCGTTCCTCGTGAAGGTTAATCTACTCTATTCTTAAGGGTCGTACTCCAGTATACATGGATTGAACCCGGACTTCTGCCTGGATATTGGTCAGAGAATTATCTTATAACCTCCGACCATCATTATAGTGAGTCGTCTTCGTGCTCTTTTTCAGAGTACTCCTTTTAAAAAAGGCACCAGCGGCGTGAAAAAAGATCTTGATAATGCGCAGGAAGCTACATTAAAACACTGGATTGAATATTTCGACTGCCTTAATATTTACCTTGAACCCCCGATATTAATGAAATGGCAAATTTAATATTACTCCGACAGTTTGAATCAAACGCGTGTGGGGGTATTTATACCTATAACAATGATTATAATACTAACGCTCAAAACAACGCCCAAAACAACACCCAGCCACTCTTGGTTGGTAAAAAAAGGGTATATCGGTTTATTAAACGACTCCCTGAAGAGCTACAACCGCGGACTGAACAACTAATTGAGCCGGGACGGTGGTGTTGGGACGTTGGGGATAGTGTCTTACGAGTCCCTGTCCAATTCATTTGTTCAATCACTGTCATTAGGTGTAGTTTGCACGGTGTATGAATGAATTACTGACCTTGCGTGGCCCCTGTAACAAGAAAAAACCGTTGTCATCTTCAGGAACTACAAGCACATGCAAGCCTAGGTCTTGTTGATGAGAGTCGCTACTCATATATTCAGACGATTTGACGAGTCTTTGGACCTTTAATTTTCGTAAACCTGATGACACAGCCACATCATTTACGGCGACTAGCGTCGGGGAAAACGGATATATAGCGTCTCTGAAAAGTCTAGTGTATGCACTACTTTGATTCAGCGTATCTCCCCGTATCTCCCCGTCACTGCCGGGGTTCTCCGACGTCGATTGGCCCCAGCCTTCTCCAGTAGAAAGAAGAACCGTCAGGCTGAAGGTCGAACGAAGCCTTGCGGCATCTGTCTTTCTCGATCATTATTGCCCATAATATTGGCATAATATTTCCATTTACTATAACGAATTTACGACTACCAACTCTCGCTACACTTCCAGTAGGGCACCCGGGTATTCCCTAGGGCTCAGAAGGACAGAACCATGCAGATCGTAAGCCTTGTAAACAATGTAGTCGACAACTTTCGCCATATTGCGAACAATATTGCGCATTCCCGCTTGCTGCCAAAGGCTGGACCCTGTAGAACCTATAGGATAGGCTAATATGTACAAAAAGGAGTTGTTGAAAGAAACGAGAGAAAGGGAGGAGAGTCACGTGTTCTCGTCATCGAGGGACAATAGGGCCAATAGGCCCGAAAGGTCAAATGCGCTTCAGCCCTTTACCGTGTACCCTTATTTCTGAATCAAATTTGAAATTTCTTTGGATCTGACTTACTCTCAACGGGGCTCAAGTAGGATGATTTTGCGTTGGTGGCTTGGGTGAGGGCACCTGACTAACTCCACCTGCATCCTAGTGTCTAACATGTGTATGCTCACCAATGATGGCCGCTGTTGTGGGATTTAGTGGTAATCCAATTTGTCCTATGGCTCAGACCAAAGGGCCTGAGGGTAAAGAAGTGGTGGTGCCCGATGCAATCATTAGTTATAATGATAAATAGAACTGATAAAACCAATCTCACCCCAGTCCTTGCTTCTATTCTCATCCTTCTTTCATAAAAATAACTGTTCCTCTGGTCTCTACGCTATAAATAATTGGCATTGATTGTGTATTACTGTGTATTAGCGATGCTGTCTCTTTTCTACTCCCTAGTGGTTGTGGTCCTGGCCACCTCCATCTCGGCAGAAACCACAACGATCAAAGCCTTCAATGCCGGCTCAACCACATTGACTCTGCATAGCGCTCAAGCAAGTATAGTCAATGCCAATTCAGATGCCACCACCTACGCCATGGTCTGCCAGTCCGATGCCCCATATACAGTATGTGCACTGCGCTCGCCTGTCACTATTACCCAGGGTCCTTCCACCTACACCATGAGCGCTGTATACTCAACGAAGACGGCAGGCGTCAAAGCCAAATTCACCCTAGTCCAGGACTGCGATATCACCTCCTCCACACAGGGCGCCTCCTGCTCTGTCTCTCTCGGTATGGAGCTCACCCAGCGCGGTATATCCACGTCCTCCGCCACATCCGCTATTACTTCCTTCTCCTCGGATGATATCTATTATCAGCCTTTGACGGTCACTGCGGGTGTCAGTAAGCTTAATGCTCCGCAGGCGACAAAGACGCCAGATGTCGCGCCGCGTCATGCCGTGATAGGTGGTGCTGCTGCTGCCGCCGTTGCTGGCGCTGCTTTCAGGTTCTTGTAGTTAGAGTCTCTGTTAGGGAACGTTCAAAGTCAATGAAGTCTATTGGATTATTTACTCCCTGTTCATTTATGTCTGTAAAATCGTATGCCAGCTTGATGGGCGGTCCAGAAGCTGTAATGCTAAGTAATATAATTGACATATCTTGGGATGTATGTTCTACAGCGAGTTCTCACAAATGTATGATCTCTTTCCAGAATGACCCTCCACGAACCCTAAGTAGCCACTCTAGCCTCGTTTATAAGTTGTCCTGTTGATTGCTGGGTTGTTTACTGCCCGCAATCTCAGATCAGTCGAGGACTATCTGCATAACGCATGCGAAAAGTTAAGGTTTGTAGACTGTCCCGCGTCACGGCTGGGATGCTTGCCTGCGCAGCCTCAAACTTCCCCTCATCAAGAAAGGGAATACAAACCCGATTTTCACGAAATAGACCCTGCGACACACTCCACTTGGGCGAATTTCTTTCCCGGGTACTTCTGAGACCCATGAGCTGCAACAGCTGGAGGTCTAGGATATGGCATGAACTTTGCCTGCAAGTGATACAAGGGACAACTGTCTCCACTTCATGAAGACATAGATGTTTTATGGCTGTCAGTCATTTACATCTTTTCGAACTATGCCCTGAAGGTACACTTGTGTAAGACTATATCGCTGGGGCTGTTGTACACGTATTCTTGATGATCATATGAAGAAATTATTTCTGGTCTATCGAGGTTGTTAGTAACGTCACCGAAGCAATAACGGTCTCATGTGGTATGATCTTCGTTGAAAGTGCCAATCAGGGTAGTGTTTAGCGATGTAAAATATTAAGAGGTTATTTACAATTGCAGGGCTTGTCAATGTTCCGAGGTCCAAGGATTAATCCGAAGAATACCTCATCATAGTATCGAGGCAAAGGACGACCACTTATATTTCATGCCATTGAAATTTCTGGACGCTATCATAGAGCAAGAGAAACGTGGTCCTTTCACATGGAACGTTCGACTCTTCAGCGTCTTAGCCACACATACACACCCAAGTATTGGTTTGGCCGGACAAGCCGCTTTAGTGGCATTTGAAGCGCTGGATCTCTGGTACAACAGCATGAGACAACTTGGTCATGTCTAGAAAGTCTACACCCGGTCCAAAAGAGCGTGCTTTCCAGCTGCGGCGATAAGACTTTGCTTGAACTTTCAATATCTCGCGTCGCTATATCAACACCAAACAAAAATTAGAGCACCACAGAGGTTGGTAGTTAGTTATAGTAAATGGCTGACTAACTTAGGCTACAACAATGTCCAGCAAGAATGGCGGGAAGGCAATGGTTCATCAGAGAAAATTATGAGTTCGGGCTAACGGGTGGATCCTGATGGCTCACTAGCTTCGAGTACAGTAGTAATATCTAACTTAGGTTTCTCCCTCTTACTAGGTAGAAAAGCCGAGGTTATAATATAAAAGCCACTGCCTTTCTCTTATTCTCGCAAGTCCAAGTACTTATCCTTGGCGTTTGTCAGCATCATGGTCCTTTAAATGGAACCGAAAATCAACTGCGGATCCAGTGGTCAATCCACTCCTGTTCCCAACACGTACCCTGAGAAAAGGAAAAGAGAAACTGAGGATGACGGAGAGGCAGCACTCATTTTAGATTATTTGGAGTCCGGAAAGCGGGTGCTCTATCTCCAGGAAGTCCCCAGCAAGTCACTGCCGGTTTAGGAAATGCATGCCCAAGAGACGGACTCGCGAGCCGATCATTTGCTCCTACTATCGCTTTGCTTTGAGTGGCGGGACTAATCAATATGGCGGCGGTATCAAACCTTGCTATCCCGTAAGAAGAACCTATGATACTGACCATTATATCTATCGCAGAAAGCATTGCGTACTACCATCACCTGTTTTGAGCGTATTATCCCGGTTTGCAGAAGGCCTTCCACAGCGCTGACGAGGCCCAAAAATCTAGTGCAATGAGATAGTTGTTTTCTTCTTCACACTGAAGGCTGCGGAGTACCTTCGAAGCCCATTCCTCCCTGTAAGCCTATAACTAGGTATAGACTTTACAACGCCTACAGAATTAACAGACTAAGACAAACTATACTGCTCTGTAAGCCAAATACATGAAAAATATAGTTGAAAACTGTATAAATCATGCAAGCCATAAGATTTCTATGTTTGTCCTATTATTTAAGGACACATGAAAACCCAAAACCTCGCCCGGGGAGCTTAAGTCCTGCTTCAGAACGGCTACAACCAATAGTATTGTATAATACCCCAGATTAATAGCATAGATGGCCAGCTCTCTAAACTGTTTGTACATATATATTAAAATATAATTGAGCTCAGGCAGGCTCGGCCTAACTATGTATACTACCTAGGAGGTGCCTGATGGAGACGGGCTAATTCTGTAGCGATATGGCCGCCCACCACCACCTTAAAGTTTCAGTCTACCTAGATACCTATGATTTGATTCATAATGGATGTTATGTCTGGAATGGGGATTTCACGTATAGCGCCAGCGCTTCTGAGTAGTATACGGATGTGCAAGCAGAGACAACACACCACAAACAAAATAACTAACATATTTGAAGGTTATTCTCCTTCAAATATTCATCGAATCGATCAGGCAAACCGGATTCCTCCGCAACAGCCACATAAGTGTCAGGGCGCACCAGGTAAGCTGCTTTTTCCACCAGTCCCGCGGTCTGATGCTTCTCATTCCAAGGGAAGACATGCAAAGGGATACCTTTTGACTGACACCATTGAGATAATTTCCAACTCACATCGCCATATACATGGACCTGCCAGGTAATATCGCGAAGACTTTCGAAATTATCGACCTCTCCCGCAGGGACCCAAGGTAGACGATCACCACCCTGCACATACCCTGTACTTCCCGCAGAAAGCACACTACCCCGGTAGTTGACTAGCGTCTGAGAAATGCCGCGGAAGACTCTATGTCGCAATCTCTCAAACTGAATCATAAAAGGAGCCACAGAAGGGATAATCCACGAGCGGAAAAAGCGAACTAGATATCCGTTCCCAACAATCGAGTTGAATGCCCAATCTGTTGTGCGAACCAGGGTACTAGCGAACGCACGACGTTCCGCCTCGTAGCTATTCAAGAGCGCGTCATCCGCCTTGCCGTGTAAGACAGACGTTAGCTTCCAGGAAATATTAATTGCGTCCCCGATGCCAGTGTTCATACCCTGTCCACCCACAGGGCTGTGGATGTGTCCGGCATCGCCAACTAAGAATGCTCTCCCTTTGCGAAACGACTGCGCCAGCCGATGGTGAACTCGGTATGTCGTGAACCAATTGACCTTTTCGACTTGTAGTCGCATGGTTTTCGCCAATGCAGGCGCGATATCTTCGAATGTGATCTCCGAGATGTCCTTTGCTATGCTGCTTTCGTCGATTGCCCCAGTAACACGCGCTCGACTGACATCATCAAATGCGAAGAGTAAAAAGAAGTCCGCACTATTGAAAGAAACATGCGCCTGGCCGTTGATCGTGGGACCGCTCCCTTCGATATCCGCGACAAAGAAGAGCTGACTGTATGTATCGCCCTCGAATTCAATACCGCAGCAATGACGAACGGCTGAATGCGCTCCATCGCATCCTACGATAAATTTCGCCTGGCAGGTCCTGATTCCATCTTCCCCTGCGACTCTTGTATCTTGAAGACGAGCGGTGATGTGTGTGTCGTGTTCTGTAAAGTCAACCAGTTCGCGATTGCGATCGACGTATACTCCCATTGAATTCAACCGTTTCTCCAAAACGTGCTCGTGCGTGTCCTGAGAGATAACGTGAATGAATGGATAGGGCGTCAACCCAGTCCCAATGTCCCCGAAAGGCACACGTGCTCTGAGAGATCCTTCAGACCACAGGTTCGTCGCTCGCATTTTGTGACCATGCGCAATGATCTCCTCTGCAAGATCCAGTTGACGGTACAGTTCGAGTGTACGGGCATGCACGACTAAGGCCCGGGATGTTGATGCCTTGGTCTCTGTTTTGTCGATGATGCGCACCGTGACACCCTGATGGGTGAGCCAAAGGGCTAGAACAAGTCCTGTAGGGCCTGCTCCGACAATAAGGACATCTGTCCCATCCATCATCAGGTCAAAATGTTAATAGAGAATTAAAAGATGAACAATGATTTCTTTGAATCAATGTCTAGATTGAGAGACAGTGGATTGTTTGGAACTCTAATCTCCGCGTGGCATACTGCTAATTCGTATTTATATGAGTTGGATCCAGTATAAGGCGTCCCAGACATAGTACGAAGCATGGGGGCGATTAGGCCTCGTGATGAAGTCACATGATGAATCATCGCCATTACATTGACAGGTAGCTTCCCGAATAGGAAGCAACACGCCGCAATTGCCCGACACAAACGGACATTCCCGGGATACCGACGCCCGACTTCTCGGCGGATTTGAAAGCCGAGACCGACGCTTACTCAGGATAAACTAGTTCCATGGACAATTCATTCATTCAACCCAGTCTGACATTTGGACTATATTAAAGAGATGTCACAGTGTTGCCCTCACTATTCACCGTCCTCGCCAGTCAGTGTCCCGTGGTTTGGGCCGGTACAGCTGCCACTGCTACACGTTGATTTGTCTGGTTATCACCCCGAACGCAGTACGCATAACCAGTCAACAGATTGGTACATTCGTTATTAAGCTCTGGGTTCCAGTACTGCAGCTGGGCCATCGTCACTCCGTACTTGGATTGGATCCGGGCGCAATAGTCTCCCTGCTGGACAATATACCACTGACACACGGGTTAATACAAAAGTCCCCCTAATCGTCGTGAGGAGATGCGCATACCTCGTAGCACTTTGGGGTAGTTCCTATGGAAGTAGGACCCGGCGGAGAGACATAGCCTGAGGCCGAAGTGGTAGTTTTAAGGGTTGTCGGTGAGCTGTTCCAGTCCTTTGTGGGAAGAACGCAATAGTATAGACCGGGAATGAGATTGGAGCAGTCCGCATTGATATCTGGGTTTATAGCCTTGAAGAGCTCCATGCTAATGCCGGAGTTGCCAACAATTCGTTGGCAATAGTCCCCTTGTTGAACTTGGTAATACCTAATTAGAATGTGTTATTACAACCTCCTAAGCAATACACAGGGCAGGTTTCATACTTTCCACATCTAGGAGTCGTGCCTTGGGCGACTGGGCCTGGTGGTGCGACTGTAGCTGTAGCATAAGGACCTGTCATCGTCGCGGTGGGCTTTGTGGTAGTGGGATCGCCACCATTTGTATTAGGATCGCTCACACACAACTGATCACCGATGGTCAGGTTTGTGCATTCCGCATTGATGAATGTGTTCCATTCCCGCAATTGATCCAGAGTAACTTGGAATGTATTGGCAATCTTCCAGCATGTATCTCCAGATTGAATGGTGTATAACTGGCAAGATGGAGCGGAACGAACCAAATAGACAAAGCTAAATAGAGTAAGAAGGATGGACCTAATGTTCGCCATTTTTGACAGCTGATGTTGAGCCAGGTTGATAGGATGAGAAGACCATCAGAGATCATCCATGGGATTTAAATATTGCAGAACATATCTGTCCTTCTGTATACCCATTTATAGTAGCTTCATTTGATTCGACATGTTTTGAACTGCTCCTTTCCAAGGATTGGGTGGGCTTGTAAGACATCTCTTCCGTCTGTTCCGCGGCAGCCATCCGACTGTAGAATTACCTTACTTATCTTATCCAGATTCATTCCTGTTCACGGATTCCCAGGTCTTCCGTGATGAGACAGTGCATGGGCTGTGTCCGAATGGCTTGTGAAAGCTGGAGATTTGATATGTCAATGGCTCGTGCATATTGCTCTCTCATTCAGGGTCGGGTCGAGAGGGGAGCTGCATTTAGAAGTTGCAATGCTACTATACCTGTCTCACTTAATCCATGCAATTCCTCACACGTTGCAGTAATTGAAGTAGTACAATTAGGTAACAAGGTGCTATAATACGCTTCTTAGCTGCCGATCCTCAGTATTAACTGGAAGGCATGCTTATACTATAGCTGCGAGTCTCTGTGCCCATCTTTAGGGCACAAGTATATCTGCAAAATCAATAAAACATTTGTGGACGTACATCGGCTCTGCTGTTTTTCAAAATCATCAGTCAAACCTGTCCTATTACAACTGGCAAAGTTCAACTTCAGGTTGCATTGAGAACGATGCAACCCCCGCTATGTTCCCTTGAAAAGTGACACAAGGCCAACAGCAACAGGGGAGCTCTGGAGAAACCCCTCCAATTTGCATAATCGCACCCGCATCCTTTGCATCAATCACGGGCCCAGGGTTTGACAGGCTATTTTATCCGGGAACGAGGGATATGTACGTTCCCATCCGGAAATCGGGAATAGCCTACTGAATCTGTCACGCTAGCCTTGTTTAAGATAATTTTCTATGACAGCATTTGCCATCGCTTATGCTACCCTCCACATGATCTTATCGGTGACTCATTGCCCATTCTTTGAATTATCACAGAAGTCCTGGTGGTAGACTTAACCAAGAAAATGCTATCAACATTCTGACAATCTCAACCAAGTTAGCAATAGGGGTAGTTGCCTTGACCTGGAGGTTGTCTGTTAGATTTAAAGTTATCCTCATGATTAATTTTTTCCTTGGTTCGGTGAATGCCAAGCATTGGGGTCTCCATAGTTAATCAAATTATTGACTAGATTAGGCAACGTTATAAAAATAGCAATTAATGCCCAGCCAGTTCATCGTTTTACTTGTCATATTCGACTGTCCTTAACAGGAAAAGAAACCGTGGGGGTTCGGCATGGCTCGTATTGGCCTGCAGACGGCTAGGATCGGAAACCATGAAAGATGATCCACAATCATTGAGGCCATACCTAATATATTACGGCCAGTCTGTGTATTGCTTCTTGGAGATAATAAATTTAATCATCAAGACTGTTCCTATATTTCGTAACATTGGGGACCTGTTTTCTGTGGTCGTTTGAAATTTTTCCAGATTATTATTATTCTTCTTCATATTATAGAGCATTTTTCAGTTAGAGACTGCTTTCTCTGCGTGGTAGGATTTGAACTAACAGATACGTACATAATGGGTAAAATCAAAATTTGCTAGACAGTATAACATTCTAGGAGTGGAGGCGTCCCTGGAGAAGGGGTTGAAACATATTTCTCCAGATTGACAGGGGCAGTGCTTAAAGATTTCTACTTAACTTTTAATATATTGGACTAAATAAAATAGAGATGCCCTGTTACGCTAGAGCCCTAAATAAAATCCAATTACTGATTGAGCATTCTGCATATTGTGATGTATAGTACATTAGATTGACAGAGCATTAGGGTGTGGAAACAGACCATGCTTCCGGATTTGTCACCAGCCTGAGGCATACGTCAATGCATCTATTCAATATTTCCCACAAGTAATTATCCCCGACCTACCTACTGCCACTGCGCAAAAACATACAAGCACCCTGACACCTGTCTTCCTGGTTTTAGTAGGTAAGCAGTGCTGCCCTGAGCTCGTGCGACCTGGGTAATATGGCAAGTGTAAAAATGATGGTTACCCAAACGTTACACATCTAGCTAACTAATATTAGAACAGCTTTATCCTTTGCCTCTCGGCTATTCCACTTTACCCACCTGATGCCGATTAGACAGTTTTAATTGAACATGCACTATTACTTCACATCCGGGGTCTGAACTACCTGTAGTGTAGTATCTTATATAAAAATTGGATACTTCTAATTACAAATAATATATATATTTACATCTATACATTATCTGATAGCCTCAGGCCAAATATATACGTTGGTTACACCGGCAGTACTCATAACGGTGAATTTATATTTATTAAAGATATTGATCTTCCGATAGTTTCTCTACATTGGAATACTATTGAACAGTTAAAAGTAGTATATTTTCATTTATGCCCGAAGCCGCTTGGAATAGAATATTAAATACAAAAATCATGCCCCCACTTTTTATAATTTTATTCCTGAAATTTCGCTTAGCACAGTTCATTTCTCACGGGTCATATTTTTCGCTCTTTGCTTCCCTGCAATTCGCACTCCTACCTTTCCGTACAGTCATCCTGCACCTCCTTTCGTCATCTTGCATACAGTGTGGCATGCCTGGCCACCGCGAACGTCGGATCCGCGATGAAATCCGCACCGACAGCATCTGCAGATGATCTAGTATCTACTGGTTTCTTCGCCTGGAAGATCTTGCGGAGGATGGGATCCAGCTCGGCCAAAGCATCCGCCACAATCGTTTGGAAGTGGTCCTGAGTAGCATTCTCACCAGCAAGGACATGATCCATTGGCTGGGGGAAGAGCTAATATTTAGTAGTGGGCATGGCCCCAGAATTCCGATCTCGGCTGACCTCTTGTGGAAGATATTCTAGCCCTGCTGCAAAGTCTAGGACTTGGAATTTGTCCATGGTGAACTGTTCAAAGGCTGGACCGTAACCTGGCCGTATTGCTCGTATAAAGTAGATGGCGGCTGAAAGAGATAAAGAGGACATTGGGGGTGGGTATATACACAAACTCATCCCTGCAATCGAAAATACCAGTGTATTTGATACAGAGTCCAAGGCCATTTGCTGCTAGACCGCATCCGCCTCCATAATGCGATCAGGGTGCTCTTTTATCAAGAGGCTGGGACAATGCCTTGAGCTCCTGGATTAAGCCACTCAGGCTGGCAACTTCGAGGCTTGCAGAACGACCGAGTTTGTTGTTTAGCCAGCGATGTCATCGCTCCCACTGCGATTCACCCGTAACGGGCATCAGTCACCCGAGGTGCTTGGTCAGACGGCCAAAAAGGGATCCCGATGCATCTTCTCGACGAGGCGGTGGATTCGCCAGTCCTGCCATCAATTGCACATTCCATTCCCGTAAAATCGGGACAATTTTTTTTGAAAATTCCACGGGGTGAGAATCAAAACGCAATTCCCATGGGAGTATGGGACGGGACTGAAGCTCGTCCAGGATCCCGAATCCCGTCCCGACGGTCAGCCTAGCTCACCCGTAGGAGGCTTTCAAGTCGAAGCCTACTCTAGGTACACCATGGATGTGAGCTGGGAGACATGACTGGCACCGTGGGCGGGGCAATCATAAATTGCACAGACCTCGAAGATGCTCGGAAAGATGGGCCAGAGAATAACAGCAGAGACACGAAAATATTTTCATTACAGTCATTTGGGGTGCCGGGCCTCAGGACGAATGGACGAATTAATTGACATTGACTGGAAAGTTCATTTGGCTTGCGGCTTGGCATAAAGGCAGCCAATCGTCAAAATCTATTACAAGGGAAATAAGAAAGCAAATTCTAAACTAGAACAGCCCGGGGTGAGTTAGGACGAAATTTGCTTGTGACACTGACGTTTGCAAAGGCCCACTCCCTCTGAGGTAACGCTCGCACTTACAGAGCGCTTTAGGGGCTTATTTCCACGGCAAAACCCTCAAGGCAGGCACTCACCCTAGACCAGAGACTGCCGGTAGCCCAGAATCGCTTAGATCGGTGTTGGCACCCGCTGATTATTGCACCCAATTTCAACGTGAGAGGAACGACTTGCCCGGGGTAGACGTTCCAGTTGTACTGAAGGCAGTCTTAGTGTCTGGGTTGCTTTGCCTTAACAACGCTAGAAGTGGCATGGTACTTCGGGCACTGGGTTCTGGGTCTCTACCCTGTGTATGGGATGAGCAGCGAATGACAATGTGGTCGTTTAGGGCGATTAGATTATTCTCTTGTTGGTAGGCTACTTGAGTGTCTGACGGAAATATCTGGATAAAGAGAGATAACATGCCTTACGAGGTGAATTGCTCTGTTCCTTTGAGTATCAGCTTGGCAGCTGATTATGCACATGAACGGAAGGCCCAGGGGTCATGGGTTGAAAAGAGCATTTCAGTTCCATATCCAGTGAACGTGGAGTGGAGTACATGAATTGCTAATTGAAAACATAAACGTAGAAGATAAAGAATAGTAGACATGAAAGAAGCTTCGCAATCTACCGTCACTGGCTCTTTTTACCGCCTAGCGAATTCAATTCCTGCTCGATACCAGACCATGCACTCGTCCGCAATGTGCACGATAGCCACCAGTTCCCAGCTGCGTCCTTGCCAATGATAGGCCCAACATTCCGCAAAGCAAGACCACCCAAATGCTGGGTAGGAATCACACACGATGGTCTGCCAAGCGGATGCACACGGTCGTTGAGTGGAATGCCTGGGGTAATAACAGCTGACGAGAAGTCCACTTCAAAGAACCTACCTCTGTGCCAGTTGGTACAGCAGACGAGAAGGGAGGTCGGTTCGCCGAATACTGGCGGATGACTATTTTTCTCTGAGGTGGCCTTATGAAGAGCAAAGCAGGCTTCGATCTGTGGTAGTGTTCGTTGTTGGACAAGCGAGCGGCGGATATGGGAGGCCACGAAGCTGACCGGTTCGTGGAGGATCTGGTGGGTGCGTAGAAAAGTGATGGACACGAGGGCAGCGTTAGTTATGAAGGCTGTGTTTGTTGAGGGTGATTCCTGTAGGGCGGTCGAGCGGATGTCGAACACGTTCAAGATTGATATCATGCGACCGGGGGAGGGATTCAGTGCCCTGAGTAACGCTTTGAGCCACCATGCTAAGAGCACGTCACCTTCGCTAAGGAAGGGGGCAGGCTGCTCCTTGTTTTGCTCGGCTAGCTCGTTCAATGCCTGGTCCCGCATCTCGTCGACATATTGTCCTGGGATGCAGATTATGCGTTCATTATGACCACGGTGCCAGATGAGCTCGAAGATGTAGCAGAAGACGAAGACCAACAGACGTAGGCCCGTTAGCAGAAAGGTGCTGTTAACGTAGGCGTCGGCCGGGGTTCTGTCGGTGAACCGCGCCGCAGGATCCTCATCAATCTCCTGAAAGGTTGGGACCTGATCCTCTTGTCCATTCATGACAGCAGTCCACGCCTTGATGAAACTCGCAAGGCCCATAGCGTCCATGAGCGTGTGCAAGAAAGTTACAGTCAACAGTGTCGCGTCGCCGAAAGACACGACGTCAATGACGAGTTGCGGTCTATCCGAATAGAGCCAGTCCTCTATATGCTGGGGGCAATCAGGACACAGACATAGAGATAACAGATCTGCTGGGTTGCCGAGAAGTGATGGCTGCCCTGTTGCTTGAGGGAAACTGGCAGCTAAAGGATGTTCGTTGATGCCCATGGGGTATTTGACGACAGTGTAGTTGAAACCAGGCCGTTTTGCATCATACTGCGCTGGTATGTGGTATTCTAATTTTCCGTCATCCTAACGTGTGTTAGGTGCGAGCTGGACGCCATTCCATGGAACTGCCATAATTACTGATTTCAATCACATACTCTCTTTCGAAGTCGCGCTCCTAGTGTCCGCCAGCCATCAAACTGCAAGAGACGTTCCAGCGACCGGCGCAGTACCTCAGGGTCAAGGATATCGTCGAATCGATAAGTAACATGCAGGCAACATTCGCGCATGCGACGTTGGTCATCCCATGATGGCACGGGGAGTACGGTGTCTGTGCGAATCCTTTTTGGTGGAAGCGGACCCCTTTTCCAGAGAAAGCTCATTATGGCTCGAGCCTAACCAAGTCTTTACTGTACTATGTTGTTGCTTGATCGGTATGTGTGACAGGAATAAAAGGAGATGTTATCAGTTGGGATAAAATATGCGAGCAAGTTCTTGTCGTAGATTGAATTTTCCTTTTTAGGGTAAGCGCCTGTGGCCCTGGAAACCCTGATAGTTATCAATGAGAATATCGTAATGGGCAACGGAAGAGTGTTCTTTATACTTGACGAAAAATATATACAAAGAAAAGACTTGGGCGAAGAACCCTTAAAACGGGTCGGTCCTAGGTGAGGGCCAAAACCCGTCGCGGGTTTTAGGGTTAGGACCAAAACCCGCCAAGAACGGGATTTTCAGCAACCCGTCGCTGGTAACCCTCGGGTCCTGCGGGCCTACTCGATATTCAATCATCCAAAGAAGTTATGTCTTAGGGGAAGTATACGTAAATAAAACAATGCGTTTGTTTACCTGTAAATAGATAAAAGGACATTTGAAGTATGTCTTTGATTGGGGGAACTGCTACTGTGACAAGATTTGTACGAACGTTAGCGTGGACGAAGGGGGATAATATCACACACATCCAATATTTTAGCACTCTGTGATGCTCGTATGAGATAGGTTATTATGAATAGGTTTGTTTGGTAAGCACAGAATTATTAACTATTTAGCCTAGTTCGGGGTGCCTCCATACCCCCTGAATCCCGGTGTGACGGCCAAGCAATATGATGAAATTGGTGCTATCTCAACGATAATTTCATGCGTAGGGAGGAGGAAGAAAGGTGGTGAGGGGGCGGTGCGGAGAAGTAAATAAAACTAGATACAAACAATGCAAACAGACCATTGTGCACCGTCACACCCTGGACTCCTTTATGCTTCCAACAACTTGTTGGAAGCGATTGCTTGTTCTCTTGAAAGGGTGGCCGGGTGGCCGCTACTACTAGAAGCTAGCTTACATAAATGATGACTAAGCGAGGTCGAAACCGGGGGCAGGCGCCTATGCTTGGCAATATGCTCCAACACAACTGAGAGTCCACGTGATAACACTGAATACAGTAGGCCTCTTAACATAACGATTGTGATTTGAGCAAGTCAGCAGAGATAGTGTCCTGGGTTTCAATTAAATGGAAAACATTTCTTCATTTTAAAATGCACGCTATTGTTCTATTTATGCATTCGTTCTCCATAATGGCAACGCAAGTGGTTGAATTGACATTAGCAAGCCTATTCCTTGTGCTGTAAGTGAAGAAGATTAATGTCTGTTCAGTCGAATGTGACGCCTTCCTTATACGACCACATAACATGTGACTTTGTACAACTAGTGGAACGCCGTGATGGCTTCCCTATTGTTAATAACTTCCCCGACGGTTTCTGTCGCGCTCAAGCCCACGCAGCTCTCTTTTCGTTTTGAAGAGTCGAAGCAAAGCAATACTGAGCAGGGTCCTGGAAGGTGATGCTATTAACTATTTCTAGAGGCATCTTTTACTGTGGCAGTTCAAATAAAGCCCTTGCCATTCCTCTCTGTTGGTTACGAGATATGGCGATGACTTAACTTCATCGGCTGTTTCCCTATATTTTTGACAAAACCACTTCGTACTCCTGGGCTGATATTTGGAGAAAAGTAGGATGCTACTGCAACTGGGGGGATTGTGAGATCTGCTAATGTGTCTGATCCTACGGTTTCGAAAGGGAGATGCTAATATAATCAAATAAAGGAGTATAATAGGACATAGACTTCAAAAAAAAAAAAAAAAAAAGTATTAATCCAAGTCTTATTGTGATCGACAAATGACTGGCGAAAGAGCGAATTATTGATTATACATAAACGAGCGACAAGAATGAAATCCCAGCAAACAATAACCTAACAAAAGAGTCTAGCTCACACCAACACAGTTGGGACAAAATTAGAAAAGGAAGGAGACAAATAGCACCTCATTGAGGACGGCTTATTTCTCGTACTCGGAGACACTATCCATCTAGTAAGAGCCCTCCTACTCTTCGCAATCCTCGGGAGGCGGGTTTTCGCATTCCTCACACGGAGGTGGGTTTTCGCATTCCTCACATGGAGGGGATCCGCCGCCCGAAGACGAAGAGCTGCTCGAGGAAGAAGAAGACGAAGAACCACCAGAAGAAGCGGAAGAGGAGCTGGAAGAGGAGCTAGAAGAGCTACTGCCTCCCTTGTTTCCTCCCTTGTTTCCTCCGATGTGGATGCTAACATTACCACCAGTTTGTTTGTTAGTGTTGTTGATGCTAATGCCACCAGGAGTAGTATTACCGCCCGAAGGAGTACTACCAGTAGGAGGCTGGCACATTTCACCCTTATCGCAATCGGTAATGGGACCGCCAGGAGTAGTGGTGCTACCGCCGGGGGTGTTGGAGTCAGTGCTGCCGCCAGGAGTGGTGGTGCTACCGCCGGGGGTGTTCGAGTCAGTGCTGCCGCCAGGAGTAGTAGTGCTGCTGCCGGGAGTGTTGGACTCAGTGCTGCCACCAGGAGTAGTAGTGCTGCTGCCGGGAGTGTTGGACTCGGTGCTGCCGCCAGGAGTAGTGGTGCTGCTGCCGGGAGTCTCAGACTCGGTACTGCCGCCGGGAGTAGTGGTGCTGCTGCCGGGAGTGTTGGAGTCAGTGCTACCACCAGGAGTAGTGGTGCCGCCAGTTGGAGGCTGGCACATTTCACCCTTGTCGCAATCGGTAATAGGGCCCTCAGGAGTAGTAGAGCTGCCACCGGGAGTATCGGACTCAGTGCTGCCGCCAGGAGTAGTAGAGCTGCCACCGGGAGTGTCAGACTCAGTGCTGCCACCAGGAGTAGTAGAGCTGCCACCGGGAGTGTCAGACTCAGTGCTGCCACCAGGAGTAGTAGAGCTGCCACCGGGAGTGTCAGACTCAGTGCTGCCGCCGGGAGTAGTGGTGCTGCTGCCAGGAGTAGTAGAGCTGCCACCGGGAGTGTCAGACTCAGTGCTGCCGCCAGGAGTAGTGGTGCCGCCAGTGGGAGGTTGGCACATTTCACCCTTGTCACAATCGGTAATAGGGCCCTCGGGAGTGGTGGTGCTACCGCCAGTAGGAGGTTGGCACATTTCACCCTTGTCACAATCGGTAATAGGGCCCTCAGGAGTTGTGGTGCTACCACCAGGAGTGTCAGACTCGGTGCTTCCACCAGGAGTAGTGGTGCTGCCGCCAGGAGTGTTCGACTCGGTGCTACCGCCAGGAGTAGTAGTGCTGCTGCCGGGAGTGTTGGACTCGGTGCTGCCGCCAGGAGTAGTAGAGCTGCCACCGGGAGTGTCAGACTCAGTGCTGCCGCCAGGAGTAGTAGAGCTGCCACCGGGAGTTCGACTCAGTGCTGCCACCAGGAGTAGTAGAGCTGCCACCGGGAGTATCGGACTCAGTGCTGCCGCCGGGAGTAGTGGTGCTGCTGCCAGGAGTATCGGACTCAGTGCTGCCGCCGGGAGTAGTGGTGCTGCTGCCAGGAGTATCGGACTCAGTGCTGCCACCAGGAGTAGTGGTGCTGCTGCCGGGGGTGTCTGATTCAGTGCTGCCGCCAGGAGTAGTGGTGCTGCCGCCAGTGGGAGGTTGACACATTTCACCCTTGTCACAATCGGTAATAGGGCCACCAGGAGGAGTGGTGCTGCCGCCAGGAGGAGTCATACCACCAGGGGGGGTGCTGCTACCAGGAGGAGTGGTGCTGCCGCCAGGAGGAGTGGTGCTGCCGCCAGGAGGAGTCATACCACCAGGAGGGGTGCTGCTACCAGGAGGAGTGCTGCTGCCGCCAGGAGGAGTGTTGGTTCCTGTGTTGGTGGTACAGCCTTCTTCGGTTCCAGTTTTGCAGTCAACATTGACACTGACACCACCAGGAGGAGTGCCGCCACCATTGATGATGTTGGTATTGCTGTTGCTGTTGTTGTTGGTGTTCGTGTTTGTGTTGGTATTGGAATTGTTATTGGTATTGTTATTGGTGTTGTTATTGGTGTTGTTATTGGTGTCTTCATTTTCGTTGCTGCTATTCTCACATGGCTGGCAGATGCCAAGTTTGTTCAGCTTGTGCTCTAGCAAGCCCTTGATTAATCCAAGAGTACGAGGTTTTAGACCGCTTTTTTCTTCACATGTTTCGCAACATGAGGGGCATAGGCCACTAAGCATGGGACCAAAGGTGCGAGATTGCAGACGAGCATGGGCCTCAGCCGCCGGGGCAAGGGCAGGGGCGGGTCGGCCATGTGCTTATCGGTAGTCACAGACACCGGAACCGCAAGGGCCGAGGCCGACAAGGCAATAGTGCAAAGAGTGGAAGTCTTCATCTTTGCAAGGAAGAAGAAAAAGAAAAAGAAAAGAAAAAACGACCGAAAATTAGCATACAAGAAACTAAAGAGAGTGAACTAAATTGAATGCTGGGAATAAAAATAAGATGGTCTGGGAGTTCACTGGTCCTTATATAACTTTCATTCGCTTTATTTGGGCTCTCCTAGGGACCATGGAATGTCGACCGGGCTATCTGTCGGATTCATGCTGAAACCATGCTATTCAGGATATGGATAGGATTAGATGCCGATCCGGGTTTCAAACAGGAACACCCGCTTGGGAGTCGAGCTTGTTCCTGAAACGCATTTAATAATGGACAGCTGCTGTCGAACTTTGCACGCACATTCTGGGTGAGAGCATGTAATATTCTGCCATTTTTCTAAGACAGTATTATGTTCTAATATTAGATAACTTTTGAAGAGCTTTATGAGGCATCGGTATGTACTCTACGATTGAATAGATCTGGTATTAATGCTTGATAGGTGCAATACCTCGCAAAGTGTAGAGGGGCAGATCTAAAAGGACAAAAAAAAAAAAAAAAACCACGGCTTGGTAAGACGATCTTAACTGCATTGGTAATAAAAGGGGAGATTCTAGCCTCCATCTTTTCCACTTCAAAGGATAAATTGGCCTCTAGGCCATCATACGTTAATCGCTTTTCCTAGACAAATATAGAAACTAGTCCTCTCAAAGTCCAAATTTGATCCGATTAGAGTTCTCGCTGTGGAGAAGGATTGTCTTGTCCGGACCGACAGACCGAACTACGCCCTATCTGAAACCCTTAGCTCGTATCCACATAGCTCAAGCGAGAGTCGGACTGGGGACACGGGCATCATGGCTTCAACTGAACCTGGAGTATGCCCTTGAAGTACGACACTTTTCTATAAATATCGAAATTCCAAACGCACCATGGTTAGAAAATGTTCTTTCCAGGAACGGGTGCAACCTTGATCCCGGTTTTCGGAGTCAACCCCATCTCTGAAACCATATCCGATAGCATTCGCTCCTAGCCTGTTTACTCACTTTTCCCCTTCTTCCGGCACATGCATTATAGTATTGAATGTCTGGGATAGTTGTCCGGTTGTCCAAGAGGCCGTTGGTACGGTTGGAACCGCCCTGCGGAAGCTAACAATTAGGCCCGCCACCTGCAAAATGCAAACCCCCGAACGGCATGGAGCACTGATGGCCGGTTCCCCCAACCCGAAACTTGGTTCGCCACTAGCGAAAAACTTAGATTCCATTTCTGCTCTTTTCCTTTTTTGAAGTCATGAAACTCCCCATAAGGCGCGCTAACCCCAGGCTAAGATCTAAGCGGGCCTATCAGCATTTCCCCATCCCCCGCTAAAGTTCATCGAAACAAACCATCAACTCAAAATAGGTACCCCCACCAACCCGGGTCCTGAACCCCGGCTGTACGAGCTCCCAACCGGATGCGCTCGGGCGAGAGCCCCCGTGCAAGAACTGGCTGGCCACGGCGCAACGATCTGCCTATCCAGGTCCCGGGGATTCTTGATTGGGCAAGTCTCACCGTTGTAACGATAGCTTGTCACTCACCGTCGGACCAGAAGATGGGTTCCACCGATCCTGGTTTCAAGGGGACGTGGAAAAATCGGGACAGAGCCAGGTACCATGTGATGGACTGAATTTGCAGACAGATTCCTGGTTCTCTCCCCAGTACTGAGAACTTCTAGAATGGGCAATAAAAGTCGATATGAGCAAGACTGAGCATGATTTTCAGTTTAGTACTTCTTCATTTCTTTTATTTTCTTCTCATATTTGGGTGACTAATTCCCTCTATCGATCGCTTAGCAGGTTGTAGAGATAAGATCAGTAAATCTCCAGTTCCTGTTTATTGTAACCAGATGCTAACCATGACTAATGGCAAACAAACAAGGTTCCTGAAAAATTCACATCCCTTTTTATTCTAATTTTTTTTTTTTTTTTTTTTTTTTTTTTTTTTTTTTTTTTTTTCCCACAGGAATATACAAGCAACCTAGTTCCCCTTTAGAAATCGATATTACCTCAATGTATTCGGACATACCATAAGCAATTCTTTATGTTGATGTGATGCCACTATCATGTTAGCTGAACTGCCGATCAAATTATGGACAGGACTGTAGTAAATAAGCATCCCGGCCCCTTTTTGGTTGATTTGTCCTTTCATTTGTCGTGCTCAAATCATGCGGTCTAGAAATTCCCCTATCATAGGTTCTTTCTACCAAACTTGACACCAGTTTAAGGGGGATAACAAGGAGAAAGCCAAAGGAACAGCATTGTTGGATTCTTTTAGTCGATATACAATGACTTGCTGCTTTATGCTGAGACCATAGCATAGAAAGCAGCCAGAACTGAGAGTCAACAGGTTTCGGAAACTCTGACCATTTCCAGATTTTGAATTCCTCTAATTGCTGATGGCTGAAAAGTATAAGAACAGTCTCTGCTTTTGGAATATATACTAAAGCAAAAAGCGGTATGTACCGACAATGACATAAAAGAAATAAGGGACTTTATACATTCTCTCGCATGTCTCTTGGTAAATGGCAAATTGCGAACACATATACTCCCTTGTTATCAGTTATAACCATATAATTTATAGATCTTATAGCTTATCTCAGTTTTAGTGGGTAGTATTTCACCCACTTCCAGAATTTACACTGAAAATTCCTTTATACCACACCAATAGCAACGAATTCCTTTTACAGAACGGTGCAATCCTTAACAATACCTTTGCTAATAATACAAAAGTTAGGTTTTTGTCATCCTGTTACAGGGCATAAATACCTCCAATAAACCCGGCTGAATTAACATCTCTGCATCCTGTCTAGGATAACAATCTCGTTACCTAAATTTTTCTCCAACAGTACCGTCCCTAACGTACCAACAACATCGCTGAACTCCTTAGGATGTCCCACCACTGCACCTGTGCAAAAGCATCCCAACTCCAGGGGTGCTTCAAACAAACACAACCATCTATAAGAAATGCGACAAGCTATACTCTTGCAAATAAACGGAGTGTCCCCACTGCGTGAACGCAGCTGAGAAGCAGAAACACAGAGAGGAATTGGAGTAGTTCGATATGTTGAAGAAGAAGGGCAATCCAAGAAGGTGAACATAGCTCTTCCGAGTCGGCCAAAGAAACAGGGCTAGAGCAGAAGGAGAAGGAGAAGGAGGAGGATGGAAACACCCGGAAGTGAAAACCAGTAAGGGAATTTCCTTCTAGGTATCGCTTGGACCTAACTATCCATTGTTTTCCGTACTGAGGTTTTTCGTTCGTTAGGTCGTAACAAATACGTGGTTTTATGGATAGTTTGTTATGCAGAATTTGAAAGCAAATTTTTGTTTTAATGGTTTTTATTGTAGTCTTTGTATGCCTTTATGTCTTGTAGATTGTAGTCATAGGGCTTTGTGCATACTGCGTGTTACTATGGGCTTTATAGAAACGGCTGTGTTGATTGTTGAGGCTCCCTATGTCTGAACGACTCGACCAAAACTGCTATGCATAGGATTTAATGATCTTTCTTAGAACTATACTCAGCATCGATGAAGTAAATTCTTATAACGTGTAGAGAATGGCCATTCTACAGAACTGTACCAAGGCCTCCCATCGAGTTTGGTATTGATCTTTGTTTGTACCTATCTAGCTTGTAAATATATATCCTGACAATTTATATTGTTGCTTGCTTCCATAGGGTGTTGACCTGCCGGCATAATTCATTATACAGAGGAGTCCATTATACCTAAACATCTAAGTACAGATTCAACACATGTGCTAATCCATGATGTCAACGGCCTGTATGCACGGGTCACATGGAGTACGTCCGGATGGATGGAGTTGAAAATATTCCTATGTCGATGACAAATTATCCGTGTCGGATCCGGACAGATATTCGGATCCGACCGATCGGACTAGGTCCGGACAAACAATGTCAGTATACAGATGCATTTTGAAACTAGGATCTATGAGTATATATTCTATTGAAAGAGTTGTAGAAATCAAGATTCTTCCTTATGACCAGTATATAACCTACGAAACTAAGCTACAGTAAATATCAACCCCCCACGTTCTCTTCTACTTCCATCAATATCTCCGAAGATGCACGTCCTCGTAATCGGGGGCAGTGGGCGCACTGGCAAGCTCACAGTCAATGAGCTCCTTTGTCGACGTAAACTCCAGTTCCTGAACGCAAGAGCAACCCAAACTAATACCAACTAGGACATCAAGTTACCACTCTGGTTAGAAAGCCTGAAGCGATGGAAAATCTCCCTGGGTTAAAGGTAGTCAAAGGTAGGTGATATCTTCCCAATGGTCTGAACTGCGCTAAGAAAAGATAGGAACTCCCACTGAGATAGCGGACGTCAGAGCTGTGTTTAACAACAACATCCCCGACGTCGTGATTGTGACTCTCAATGCCCCCCGCGCAACTGACAGCCCATTTTCCGCCCCCATTTCGCCGCCACGACTGATGGCGGATTGCAACGCAAACGTCGCGACAGTGATGAAGGAGAATGGCGTGCAGAAGATGGTCATCCTGCAGGCCTTCGGTGCAGGAGAATCCTGGAATAACATGCACAGTATATTGCGTCTACTTATGAGCAAATCCAACATGATCTACCAGTACAACGACCACAACGACACAGAGCGGGAGATCAGGGCCACTGGTCTGACCTACGTTTTTGTCCGTCCCTCTCGGCTGGTAGAGACCCATGCCACCAACGTGAAAGTGTGGCCGAATCACGGCCGGGGGGTTCCCCTGATGGCGAGCACCAGCCGCGTTAGCGTGGCCCGCTGGCTGGTCGACGCGGCGGAAACAAATAAATGGGATAATACAGCCCCTGTGATCACTAATTAATCTGCGGCTGTTAGCGGCTATTAAAGAAGAATTAAAGCATGGGTGGAGTTTGGGTGAATCGGGGTTTTGAGGTTATGGAAATTAGTTGACCTCATTTTGTGTGTCTTATATGGTGATGTTGGCTAGTAGACAACCAGTCAGCCATTGTGTTGAATGAACTACCTTTGAAGTACTGACAGAATAAATCCGGAGTTCTGTCGGTGTGGCCGAAAAAAGTAACTAGACTCGAACACCACTGACTCAGCTACCATTGGTGGTCGGGACGCACAGCCCGTTGGACTGTTGGAGGCGATTGATTGTTCTATTGAATGGGTGGCCGGGTGGCCGCTACTAAGAGCTAGCTTACATAAATGAAATTGAAAACTATAGTTATCCCCACCGCCAAGTGACGTTAAATAATCAATCACTGTGATTCATTGAATCAAATGCATGTCCAGGAACGTTTACGTTAAGTGATGCCGCGCAACCCCGATGATCCAGAGGTGGCTTACAGAGGCCTACGCAGTACAACGTCGTCCCATCAGGGCCCCCCAACTCCAAACTTCGAGGACCGAGCCCCATGTTGGGAATGTTAATCATCAAGAGTAGCTTTCCGTTGGAAGATAGTTTTGCAATTTGTGCGTCGCCATTGCGCGTGACGTACAGATTCCCGTCCACATCTGTCCGCATGCCGTCAATATCGATTGAGGGGCTTTCGGCAAAGTCATAGAAGAGGGTTGGCACTCTGTCCAGGATGTGGCCTGAGACCGGGTCTAGGGCGAATCTGAAGATCCGATTGGATATGACAGAACCATTCACGTTCTGCGATGATGAGACATACAAGGACAACCCATCTGGAGAGACTTCGATGCCGTTAGTCCTGTGAATATTGGCGGCTGCCAGGACCCAAGGGCTGAATCGGATTGCTTTGCCTCGGTCGCAAGTCCACAGCTCTCCGGAGATCCCAGCTGTAGAGTCGGCCGTGTAGTTCATGCCAGACAGGAAGATCAAGTTATCTCGAAGGACCGAAATGGCAAGGTCGTTTGGTTGAATCATTATTTTGTCCTCACAGTATATGCCAAAGGACTTCGCTCGTGTGTCAAAGGCTAGCACCCGGTGGTTGACAGCATCTAGCAATACTTAGTCGGTTGCGCCAAGTGAGGCTAGGAGATGATGACATGGAATACCTGTTAGAAGAATTGTATTGCCGGCAGATATGAACCTCGAGCCGGCAAGAAGAGGTGCTCCTGTTGGCCCTTTAGGAGCCACAAAAACCCGGCTGTCGCTCGTAGTGCTGGCTCCCCCCGCTGCCCGAGACAGTATCCCATAAGAGGCAGCCGCAGTGGTATCGTTCGCCAAACTCTGGTAGCCAACAGCGTACACGTTCCCAATTTGATCGACGCCAACCCCCTCGATGGTTGTTCCAAAGGCAGATGTTGGTAAGCCGAGAGCTGTTGCAGTAGATGTGGGAACCTCTAGGGTTTTGGACAACACTCCGCTGCCAAGGAGACTACTCGCCCAAAGCAAGGCTGGGAAAATGGGTATAATCATAGCTGATGCTGCAAAAAAACCTCCTATGAAAATGACAGGCAGAGAGAAAATAATATAATCTCGAATGTCTGATCGCATAAGCTGGCCGATCAAGGTATTATAGAAAACTTTCTCGCAGGCTGGGAGCCAGACGAAAGCGCCAAGGGGTGCGGTAATTTTAAACAATTTGAAACAGATATTATATTCTCCTGCCTGTTAATACACGCTCTTACTCTTGTCTTGTGCCGTCCCTATCATTTCCCGGCTGGGATTTAATTTAAGTTAATTTGATTCCTCAGGCCTTTCGCAGGTCGTAGTACTCGGGGCGCGAGCGCCCCTAGGGTGGGTGCATGTAGCCCCCCATAGATGTATCTAGTTGACTTAAGAGAGGTAACAGAGCATGGGAACCCTGAAGCTTTGCACGTTCATGTCAAGGCATCGCGGAATGTAGTTAAACCGTCACCGATAGGTTTCGCTCGGATGATATCTGTTTTGGATTGCTGGTTCATTCTATTAGGAACAAATGAAACAACATTATTAACTCGCCTGTGCATGCATCAGAGCAGGTACGAAAAAGGAAAGAGTACTGTCTATTATGAATTGGGGTGGTGGTCCCGGCAACTACACTCGATGTCGTTCAGGATGAAGATTCACTTGATTTAATCCCTTAAAACAGCAGGGAAAATTCAGGTGCTTATCCCCTTGGCTGGCGATACGTGCCTTTTTAGCGGTAAATTATTGAAGCATTCTTATTGGTTTATATTATCACCGCCTGATGACATAAGAAGATTCTTAGTTATGAGTACGCACGTCCCTCAGCGCGTCACAAAGCATTTCACGCGTAGCCCCCTACATGGTCTGCTTCATCCTCTGGATTCCTTACATTCCTCCCTACTATGGACCAATGGGGTTATCCAATGAAAGAGGAGGCAGAGGAACCCTTATTGCATAGTTCTTCTATTGTTCCATCATCTGCATCACCTTCTCGTTCCCCTTCCCTACTCCTTTGCCTAAAAGGGAAGATGTGAAGCTAAATCTTGCTCAGATGCTTCATGAAATCCCTCCTTATACTGATGTTGAATTTGAACCGCTTAATATAGAAAAGCCTTTTTATGCTTCTGCACATATTCCACCAGATATTAATATCTCAAGTGCATACAGCTTATTCTCCCTCTTTACCTCAAAAGAGTCACTGGCGGTATTATCAACCAATACAAATATATATGCGCGGATAAAGGAAGCAGGAGAAACCGGGCGTACATGGCATGATACTACTCCTGCAGATATTATGATTTTTCTTGGCATTCTTGTTTATATGGGGGTTCATGTATCTCCTAGAGATGAGGATTACTGGCAGACTTCAGAGGAGCCTATTCATATGCCACGGCGATTTATGTCATTAAAGCGCTTTCAACAAATCAAGCGCTTTTTTCATGTTGCTGATCCCAATCCTGATGCAGCTGTGCAGGAGGCTATAAGGCTTGGTTTAAAGCCTCATCAAATGTGGTGGTATAAGCTAGAACCATTTGCTTCTAGTATACGTTCTGCCTGCCTACAATACTGGGAACCATCACATGCAGTCTCTGTGGATGAAGTTATGATCCGTGGCTTTGGGCGCTCTACACACACATTTAAAATGCCTGATAAGCCAATTAAGCAGGGGTTTAAGCTTTTTGCAATTGCAGACCAAGGTTATATCCTACACTGGATTTGGGCAAGCCGGCATAAATCAATGGTAGAGGTTAAAAAGCAGGAAGATCTTACTATGACTGGTTCAATGGTGCTTCAACTGGTCCAGGAAGGGTTACCAAAGAAAAAGCAAAATATACAGTTTATATGGACAATTACTTTACTTCAATACCGCTTTTCATCGCCTCCGAGAACTTGGCATTGGTGCATGTGGAACAACACGTCCAAAGGCTTCTAAACAACTATTCCCAAAGGTCCTTCGACTATTCAAAGAGTCCAAGAAATCTCAGCCATGGAATACATTATATGCCGTGCCTGCAGGTATTGAACCTGGGGTCCAGAATATTCTTTGTCTTGCATGGCAAGACAATAATATAGTTACTGGCATGACAACTACACATACTGTACACAGGCCATCTGATTGGATCCCTCGCCTTCGCAAACGACCAGCAAAGACATCTACTAGTGCAAAGATTGCCCGAGAGCCATTTAATGGAGAGCCAGTCAAGGAACTACCTATTCCCCGTGTGTTTAATAATTATAACTTCCATATAGGAGGTGTTGATCGTGCAAACCAACTCCGGGAAAGCTATGAGACTCATCAAAAAATGCTTCGCTCATGGTGGCCTATATTTTTTTTTTTGGTTACTAGATGTGGCGATTATTAATGCTTATCTTATAGGCAATATCATTCGCCAATCCTGGGAATAAAGACAGTTACTCATCTGGAGTTTCGGAAGGATCTTTACAAAGAACTATTCCAATTAGGCCTCCAGGAAGCGGTTACTGGGAAAAGAACTAGAGAGTTAGAGAGGATAAGTGAACTGGAGACAGGTGAAGCACATGAGGCTATTCGAATTCCATCTCAAAAGAGATGCTACTGGTGCAAGCAGAAGACTACATTTAGCTGTAAAATCTGTGGTGTGCCTTTATGTAGGAAGGATATACGGTCATGTTAGTTAGATTTCCATCATCATAAAGAGATAGTCAACAAGAATTAATGGTGTGCATAGGTTCATTGTGCGTGGTATTAGTATAGGTGGTCAATGCGAAGCGGCAGAAAACTGGCGCTAAAAAAGGCACGTATCGCCAGCCAAGGGGATAACTAACCAATAAAAATGCTATTATCTACAGACCAATGAAATATCTATACTAGGAGTTATGTGGGGACTCCGAAACTAGCTGAAACAGGAAGATCAACAGCGCCTTGGCTGATCACCCAGTTGCGCTACATCGGGCGACCGTCGCGACGATCACCCCTAGCGCTCATCCACTCACCGCCGGTTGCGTGACTTCAGGGCGGCACTGCTATGTATGGGGACAGTAACGAGCTGAATGGTGCGCTACAGTGCAAAAGGGAATGTCTATATGGGAGGAAAGATAGGACCACGTATATTGCAGAACTAATCGCTGACCTTCAAGAGTTCACGCCCGCGGGTGCGAATATAAACACTTCGCACCTGACTAAGCATCTTAGCTAAGGATCTAGCTATCGCGCTTCTGAGCGCTCCTAACACTTAATTCCTCAAGCTCTTCCATTCCTCAACCTCTTTGGCAAATTCCTTGTCTGTTTGTAGTAAATAATTAATAAATCTCCTAATTACAGCACGTTCCTTAAATCCTTTAGAGGCCTCTTAAAGGAAAAAATAGAAATAGCCTGTCAGATAAGGTCTACCGTTCCTTCCTAGGATCGAGTGATCTTAAGGTACTCTCTTAACAAAGGATATAAGAAAGGTAGCTTAGTGCTTCAGCGGTATTCTGAATGGTAGGCTATCTTTGTCTCCGACAGGCTTGTGTCAGAATAAACTAGTCCAGATTGGGACATCATGTGAAATATATACCCAATATCTCTCATACACGGGTTGGGCAGAAAATCCTTCTGAATACAATCACTTCAGACCCCCCCAGAAAATCCAACAGCTTGTCATCGATAATTTCTTGGCATTACAGTCAATGACTTCGATTATGTTGTGGAATTCAGGGGAAGTGATGCGCAGGGAGCTATTCTATCAGCTACAGGCCAACTAGCCTAACTAGGAAGTAGATGTCATTCAGTGGAAACACCAGGAATCGCAGTATGTCAACCATCTGAGCCTACTAAGCGGTTCCCTATATTCTCATTGAGGTGTTCAACTATCTAAAGGATTCAGGGGTTGAATCGGTCGTCAGATACTCCGCACCGCCAAGTCGGGCGGATTATACTATAGTCACATAGTGTTTCCGTAACAGATTATAACAAAATCCAATTTAACTAGTATCTCTCCTCTACAATCCCACTGTAAATGAATACATGACGTACTAATAGATTGATTTTATTATGTTTTATTAAAATATATATAAATATTTTAAATATCTAGAGGTCCTCCATTAGATTAGGCGCGGACGAGATGTCGATATTGTGACTCACGGGCTAGTAGCCGATTCAACCTATATAATAGATTTGGACTAAAAGAACTCGCTGAAGAGCTTCTATCTGCGGCCGCGGCCGAACAGGTAAATGTGTGTGCGAGGTAAACGATATCACGTGATCGGGAGAGTTCTACACGACCTCGCGAGTGCCCGGTATACGGGCTCGAGCACTTTGCAGGCCCTGCCCGCTACAGTGATGATCCTATACACCTTGGTAAAATGGATGGATTCTATCTAAGGTGGCGATCTAACGAAACATCAAACGTAGAGAAGGAAGGAAGGAAGAAAGGAAGAAAGGAAGAATTCTATTGTACAGGAAATGTGGGAAATCTCTACATTGTGGGATCACCAGTGAACAAAGCAGACTTGGTGCCTCAGGCAGGGTTTGACCTAGGCCCTGACAGCTATCAGCTCAGAATATTAAGAGGATAGAATGCCTAAAACACTGGCAAACAAGTGGTGTTTTAGAAAAAGTTTAATATTTTAGGTTGATTTGGCTTTATTTCTATCTCCGTTTCGTAGGTCATAGTTAAATACTTGCTATAACTTTGTATGACAGCGCCAAGAAATTATCGGCGATGATCGATAATCGGCTGTCCTGCTGTCAATAATCGATTATCGATCGGCGGCGATTCGATTAATCGTTGCCCGCCCTATTGTTGATACCAACTCTCTATATGGACCTTTCCTTTAAAAATAATACTTGGTGGTAAGGCCCAACCACTTCATTAATATATTTAATAGATGTAATTTATTCTCGATTGCTTGGCTGTATAAGAAATGGCTTTCCATACATATCAGCCCTAGTAACTCCTTTAGCAGTAGCTACCAGGCCCATTGCAAAGCCAGTTTCATCAAAATTGTAGATATCTTCTTGTGCAATTCCATGTTGCATTATAGTGATTTGTACGCGATCAAACCACTCCCTAAGAAGCTTAGGATCCTCTTCTCTTTCTTAGCTAAATCGTTTGAATTTGTACGCGCTTTTGGAGGCATGGTTAGTGATTGAATTACTTCAAATAATATGACGCGTAGAAATCCAGAGACGTGGCTCGCTCGGTTGTGAAATACGTTAACTAGTTAGTACTTGCCACCCATTCCATAGAACAAGCAATCGCTTCCAACAAGTCTCGTGTCTCCGATGCCGAAGTTGAAATGCGCCCGTGTAACGCAAGTGTATGAATTGCACGAAAGCTAGATGCCCTGCGGTCAAGCTTGGAAATCTCCGATGCTCCCCCAACGCCAAAGCGAATGCAGCTTACACTATCTAATGACGGTTATTGGCTTCCGGACCAACGTGCCAGCGCAGCGGGAAGAGCCACAGACAAAGGGATTATTGAGGATATGTAGCAGCCTGTAGCTTAGCTAGAAGAACAACTGTCCATCAGACTTCATTTTGTCGATCTCGATCCTATAAGAGATGTTTCGGTCCCTGATTCTGGGTGAGGAAATACACCATCGCCTAGCGGATGTCAGCTAATCATCGAAGAGCCTTGGGAACATCACCGCTCAATCTACAAAGGCGCCACTGTTTTTAGGAACACGTGCGGCCAAGGGGACCTGGTTCAGACATCGTGGCCGGAATAATAGGATTACCCTTTTAAATCAGGTACGACATCTTTGTTTGTCTTTGTTCATCAGTTGACAATGCAAAAGTTTTCTGAAGCCAAGGAATTCATCGGTCACTATACTAAATACTCTGCTATTGTAGGGTTGGCGAAGGAGGTACAGTTCCTACAGAGTAAATAGCAGGTACCGTTGGGTTCTCCCCAGAGTGTATCAGATACAGAAACTTCTTAAGAACTTCTACGGCTCCAATTATCACTGCCCTAGTGTGTGGTCAGTTACTGGGAATATATGTCTAGGACTTCGAGAAGACATTGCGGATTCTACATATACCATCATTTTCGCGTCACTTTACCTATTTTTGGTCCGATCCCAATAATGAGAGATACCGGTCGTGCACATTCCTCCCACAACTGACGGCAGTATTGATTGTACCTCGTTGGTTGACGCAAGTACAAAAGTGGGCAATCCATCGTCATGGGAGTATTTGACATTTACAGCTCTTCAGCTCATCCAAAATTGGTTGCAAAAGCGCAGCAGAAAGCAACAGACAGAATTCTCAACGTTGCACACCGAAACAGTCGTTTTGCTGATGCTCCTGTGCTTTACGCCCTTCGCATGTTATACAAAATCATGTTTCGCAGGCGGCAAGGCCGGATGATATGCGTTCCAGATTCGCGCGTCCGTAAAACGGCACGTAGCGGCCCGTGGTGCCGATTGCGGAGAAAGCAAAAAGATTATTCAGTCGACGACTTATCTGCGAAACGTGACCCTGATGCTGGTCCAGCAAGGAGCCTAAAAAATCATCAGAGGGGGGCAGGCGCGGTAAACGCTTACGCCCCTGGTTACAACACCAACCATTCTCCTCCGTAGATAGGAGGGTGGTTTCGTCTCCTTTTGGGCAGATCTTGGTTTCGTCAAGCAGCACCACACACCAATACTGCTTGACTACTCGCCAGTTTCCTCCTCGTTCACGGGCGAACGACCACTGGACGGTCCACGTCCGCTCCCTCTGCGTAAAACCGATCCAGCCCACAATTTCCATTGGTCCACCGGCTGCAGGTGGGTTGATGTGTTGCCCCGCGCACGGTCTGCGTTACCGTGCGATGCCACGCACCTGCTCACCACACAGCGGTTGGTGTGGTATCTACGGGGGATGGAGCCACACGGGGATGGAGTGCTGTGCTGGGAAGGGAGATCCCTGCTTCTACGCACTCTTTACCGGGGTGAGGGGGACGCCCTATCTGTATATACAAATGGGTCAACGGGGACAACGGGGATAACAGGGATAACAGGAACAAAAGGGTTAATGGGGTCATGTGGCGTCCGTCACAAGAATGTGCAACTTCAGTAACTAGCTCCGCGAGCTCAGCGGCGGCCGCAAGGTCGCCACCACCGCAACTCGTATTGCTCGGCTTCGCCTTAGCTGCAATCGGCACATATGGTTGGCCTGCTTACTGCAGTCACATGGCCCCTTTGTAGGATGAGAACACACTTCTTCCCCTTTTACTTTCTTCCTCCCAGCGATTCCTCTTTGTGTATATCTAGTCATTAGATAGCAAGGCATTTAGCTCCTTTACAGAGGAGCTTTGTAAACACGAAAGCTCAGAGGAAGAACATGGTCATTTCGTTAAGTAGTGTGAAGTTGAAGATTGAAGGTGGACGAGGTCAAACACTCGAAGTATGGACGAATGGACTAGGGCGAGCGCCGAGAACCACTTATGCAGTTCCGACCTGCATGAGTGTTCCGACCTGTAACTGCCAAGATATCTTTTGAAGCCAAGCCCGACCTACACTGAGACATACATAACTGGCCCTGGGCAGGTTGGATAATCATTAATCAACAGTGGTAATTAATGTTAGATAAAAGGATTTTTATACACGAAAGCTATTATATAATAAAAACAGGATACCTACAACTGCCAAGATATCTTTGGAGGCCAAGCCCGACCTACACTGAGACATAACTAATCGGTGTCAGGGAATAGGATTCAAGCTTAACATCACATAGCCTAGACTACGGAGTCATTCAAACTAGGCTGGTTTATAGTACTGTACATAACGGAGTATATCTATAGACATGTGACACCGGTAAAGGTCCCTGAGGTGGTTCATAAGGTATACCATGTCTCTGACCTTAATAAGCTTTCTACAGACATAAAAATAAAACTTGAAATTAGCCACCTCTGTTGGTCATCCGACCTGCCCAGTGCCCAGTCCTATCAAACATACCTCTGGTATAGCTTGACCTTAAGATAAAGTAATGATCTGCATATTATGTGACTGCCTAATGTGCGGGGTTCACACCCCCCAGTCCCCTACTTAACGCCTTTCCTGTATTCTAGAGAGCGAGAGTCAACCATCCAAGGAAGCATGGTAATTAGCTATCGTGGTCTAGGATATCAATGATATATCGTTCCCTATATTAGGCAACTGGTTGCGTGAAGCTGTTCAATGAGCTTACTGCCTTCTTCCCCCCCTGAGTCACATCACTTGCCAAGCAGGCTTTCTCCAACGATGAGATATTTTTTGCCTTCCATCCTGGTTACAAGACCAACAGGGGTGGCACCGCACGACTTGGCCAGACTAGATTCAAAACAACTGTAGCCGGGCCTTGGCATTCAAAGATGCCTTGGCACATAGGGTTTCTGTTTTCATTACAAAGTAGCTTCCCTGTAAATAGGAACTACTCCGTAGACCCTAATTGAGCTAGTCGGCGGCTAACAGGCATAGCTAACTTAAACAGGCCTTTCAACATGAGTCCAGTAATTGATTTTATGGAGCGACTTAATTTATCTCTGATTACTCCGTAGCGCGCTACCTGAATACAGAGTAAATGTAACCCTCAGTGGCGTGCCTCTCCACCAGCAATTAATTTATTGTCGCTTAGTTTTGCACCATGTTAGACCTGTGGCAAACTCTTTCATGTGTTTTTCTTCTGCTGATAAACACTTATTAACCTCTTAATAATTTCTTTTAGAGGGCCTTAATTACATAATATTTATTCCCTGCACCTCGACCGACCATCGGTAGGCTCTTATTCTCTCCTACTAGATACTCACTCCTACTTACATTCAAGCATAGAATATAGAATTCTATACTCACGCTTCCTGATACACAAACACACATATATATACATATTAATATAACATGGCATTAATTGGCCCCGCCCGCTGTGCAAACAACACCGGCCTCCCGGAGCTTCTCTACCCCAACACCTGCGGCTTACCAATCTACCAACGCTGGAACACCACACAAGACCCCTACACGACGTTAGGAGAATGCTGCCACGAAGTAAACGGTAGCATAGGCTACTTCGGCGAGGAGAGCTGTGCAGCGTATTGCAATGCCACGGAGAGTACCCACGGACAGTTAAAGGATTGCCTTTCGCACTCGCGGGAGATCAGCCAATTCGGGTGCTCTGGTGCTGCGGCAACGAAGACGAGTCTGTGGAGTGCTGTGGTGTTAATGGGATTAACTTTGTTGGTTTTTATGTATTAAGGTCTAGGGGAAGTTCTTGGTTTTAAATATTGTGATTTTGTCTACTTGTCTCTGAGATACCGCTAGGTCTTAGCTGTGGGTTTTCTATACTTTAACCGTCGTGTCAGGGCCTGGGCCGAACTCCAAGATGTTATTCACTGTTGATCCCACAACATGGAAATTTTCCCACATTTCCTGTACGATAGAATTCTTCCTTCCTTCCTTCCTTCCTTCTCTACGTTTGATGTTTCGTTAGATCGCCACCTTAGATATAATCTATCCATTTTACCAAGGTGTACAGAATCATCACACCGACCAGTACTCCATTGAGCCGATGCAAATCTGTCGCGATCCTATGATTGCTGGATCTAGTGAAGTGGTTGGTGGAGGAAGGCGCTAACCCACTGGTGAAGGATACGAACGGGCAAATGGCACTCCATTGGGTTGAGAATCGAGACCGTGAAGCAGTTGTCGGCTTCCTGCGGCCGCGATATATCTTCGTGTCTCCGCGGTGAAATGGTGACTGCCAAGTCGTCAATGGTCCCGGTCTTCGACGCAACAGGAAGAGAATATAAAAACAGAACAGAAGGCGTGGAACAACTGCGCACCGAGAACAAAGATTTTGCACACGGCGGGATCAGTCCGGCGGCAGTAACAGTTTACAGTAAGCACAGTGGGTTATTTTCTTGTTCCCATTTCCCTTTCTCTCTGGACATTCGAAAATCAATTGGACTCAATTTCTCGATGCTTTAAAGCAGACATGGACGACTCACAAGAGGCTATTAACAAGCTTATTAAGTCCATGCCGCGCAGGATTAAGGCTGTACACCCAATAAGGGGCTGGTATACCCAGTATTAGGCATCACTTCCCCTGAATTCCACAACAATCTGACAGATAACTATTACTCCGTAGATAGACAAGGCTGCGGAAGCTAACGAAAGCTTAGCGCCGCAGTGGCTCCTGCAGTCATTCTTTCTGCGGTTAAAAATGGGGTTTCATCGGCCCGTTACTCGGTGGCCTGGAAGCAGTGGGACTACCGCTGCGGCAGGGCAGGGATAAGTATTGGACGGAATTCGACTGTGCCCGATGAGCACTTCCGCGAGCACTTCCGCAGGCACAAATAGACATTTATTCCCTTTTTGTACAGATCATCTAGCGAAGTGGACCCACTATGGGTTTGGTCAGCTGCGGCCAATAAGACTCCTTACAAACGGGCTTTAGGAAATGCACGTTTCGCCGAACATGATCAGGGTGACGCTGCGTGACCGAGGGCATAATTCTAATTCTCGCAGTGGTGCCTAGTGAAACCGATGCCCTTAATGTATACCCATGCCTTATGACTGAATAGGGTATGAGACGACTGTTCTAGAAGGTATACCGCTCGATGAGCAGTTTCACATGATATATCCCCTCTCATCTTGCCTTTGCTTTTATAGTAACCCTCACGTGGCTAATTTCCTCACAAGGGAACTCTCACAAGAAGGCTTTCCTCTTAAGAGAGGCCCTCTAAGCCAAGCTTCCCATGTTGGTTTACTTTGGCTCCGATTCTTCCCGGTCCAGTACTTGAGAGACCAAGGACAGAAGCTGCCTGTCCTTGGTTAGTCGCCCTTTAACCGCGAGCCTCTGCTCTTCCCGCTCAGAAATCAAGAATATTGCATTATTGCCGTCGACAGTTGCCGCGCGAAAACATTGGGCAGGACTGAGGCTTTGCAGATTTTTATTATATAGTGAATAATTCTTCCACATATATTTCCTCGCAACTCGTTCCACCGGTGATGGATCCGAAGGATCTACTTGGAGACGGTCGGACTGCGTCCACTCTTCTCGATTAAAAGTCTAGAAGGAAATTTTAACAAGCCCTGACCCACCATTGTCTACTGGAGGACGGTGGCTATGGGGGTTGTTGGCATTATCTAGGGTATGTATCTTTTTCCCGCACTAATGGGCAGACACCTCTTCGTGGTGCTAAATCCGACGAAACCGTATGCGGATGTTTGATAATTGCGCCAGAAAAGCCCACGTCGAATAGCCTTGCTTGTGACCAATTTGAGCAAATTATTGTGTGCATCGTGCCATTACCGAGAAGAGGAGAGATACTAGCCCAAGATTGTTTCCACAATGCTGCGTAAGCCTCGACCTACTCCCGCGGGCGAGACTCTGTTATACATTGGCGGATTTGGGACGCCATGTAATAGAGACTTATCAAAAGCAGTTTTGAGGGGAAGTAAGACGTGAGCTTAGCCTACAGCATTGGAGATATATGGCTTCAGCTAATGTCGGCCGCCACTAGAGCTCGTTGACCAAGTGAACTAGCCTGGTAGAATCTCTTGACAAGGGTACAACATTAATTTGTGCCCACGATGCGCATAGAACATCGCCCTCGCTGAGAAACGGCATTGTGCCGTCTTGACTCTCGTCAGCCAGGACGCGCAGCGCTGTTTCTCGAAGTGCTTTCTTATATACAAAGTTGCTTCCGTGGTGTACCTACCTCCAACATACTAATTATTCTCGGTAAAACGCTTACGGAAATTATTGGCTGACCGGTCATATGGATAAACAACAATGCGCCAGAGTTGAAAAGATGATCTGAACTCGATAGGTGTGGTACGGCACCACAGTAACCATCTGCTAGCAGCCAGTAATATTGCCAACTATAGCCTTTCTTGCACGCTACAGTTTCTGGTTCGGGAATTCGATGGTGTTACGCGATTGGACATCCGTTGAAGAGAACCTAACTGGTTAGACCTCGCATTTGAATTCGAAAGAAGTTACTGTATCGGACAGCAAGCCAGAGTCAGCCACGTTAGGACGAAATAGTGATTTAAGATCGCCAGTGACGAATCCAAACACACTGGTAGGAACTCCATGCGACCCGTTTTTGTTTGACGATGAATCGTTTACCTGGAATATGTGAGACTGTACAGTCGGGTGAACAGCACAGGTTAGATACACCCCATCGTAACGTCACATATGCATGTCCGGATAGACTTCTGGATGCAGGTTTGGTCTGTCCGCGATAGTGCTCTTTCGCATGACCTGCTAGCTGAAACTATACTGCGATGACTGAACTGCCGCTATTGGGAATGCCAGGGACGCTTTATGATAAAAGCATATTGAGCTATCGAGCATGTTGTACAATCACTATCCATTCAGTGGCTAGCACAGAACCGCTTACAGCCAGTACTGATCGAGTGGATTGAACTGTCGGAAAAGTGTCCGGAGCGGGACTTCCGTTCGGATCCGAAGCCCCGGCTCCGGGAAAAGGGTAAGATATGGCAACAGTTTCACTGCTTTGGCCCCAATGATATGGTACCCACCTCTATGATGAACATAGAGGCGCTGATGAGAAACTGAAGAATGAATGCATCGAGAGATTAAGGGTGGGTTATAAGTGTCGACCAACCCATCTCATCGGCAATTCCACCGGAATCAAACCACTCAAACCTAGAACAAAGTCAACATATATTTGACATTTTACTCTAGTTATTTTAGTTTTCTGTCACTGTTCAACAGTTGCATCTTCAAAAGCATGTCCATTGAAAATGTCGCAATCATTGGTGCAGGCCTGTCCGGCCTCACATTGGCTCTTGCACTTCATCAGCAATCAATTCCATGCACTATATATGAGGCAATATCTGCACCTCTCGACATCGGCGGAGCCATCATGTTATCTCCCAACGCCCTCCGCATCCTAGATATCCTGGGCGTCTATGACCGCATTCGTACAGAAGGGTTTGACTTTGACTACTTGCACTTTCGCACTTCTGGTAACGAGCCCATCGACGTGTATGAATTCGGCAATAAAGAACGCTACGGGTACTGCGGCATGCGTATTTTCAGACATGTTCTCATCACTGCGCTATCTGGCCTTGCAAAGGAGCAGAATATCCCAATCCAGTATAACAAGAAATTCATGAACGTGATCGCCGAGACCACTACAGATGTGACTTATCAGTTTGAAGACGGCACCACGCAGAAAGCAACGTGTCTCGTCGGCGCAGACGGGATCCATTCTCGCGTGCGCAAATATCTCTATCCTTCCCTGGAGACGAAGTTCACAGGCGCCATGGGCGTGACTGCTGCCGTGCCGACAAAACAATTACAGGTCCCAGAGGGGTACCAATTACCTGTGACAATCATGAACAAGCAATACGGGGCATTTGTGATTGCACCGCAGCTGAGAGACGGCTCTGAGGTGTTAATCGGACGGCAGAAATCCGCCCCGGAGATGGACCGAGACGGCTGGAGCCGTCTCATGAGTGACAAAGATTGGTGTGTCAATTTCCTCCGCGAAGGAGCTGGTAGTTTTCCCGAGATTGTGCAACGGGCTGTATCAGAGATCTCCCCCGCGAAGATCAATCTCTGGCCGTTCTACGTGGTTCCGAAACTTGATCGCTGGAGCTCGGAGCACTCAAGAGTGGTTATTCTCGGGGATGCGGCGCATGCAATTCCCCCGACTGCGGGACAGGGCGTCAACCAGGCATTTGAAGACGTGTACACATATTCGTTGATTTTGGCAAAGACGAGCAATGCATGTCTTGAACGGGCGCTGAAGAAATGGCAGAGAGGACGGCAGGAGAGAGTTGATAAGGTGTTGGGGCTTAATGCGCAACTAAATAGGCGGAGGATGCCGAAGCTGGGGGAGGATGAAGAGGAGAGTAAGGAGTTTGATCTGGCGTGGTTATATAAGCCGGAGTTTGACCAGATGGTCGATGAGTGGCTTGTGGGCCTCTAGGTCGTATCTGCTACTTATTTCTTGGACATGATTCTTAAAAGCTCCAGCTTACCTATACCTTTATAGATTGTATCAATTGAAATAAATGTATATACCTACCCTCTTATATGAGACCTCCACGAAACACCCTTTGACTCATATCTCTAATCATGCTCCATCAATATGTGTGAATCCATCTGAAAGCAACTGTTCCCACTGCACCCATTCATCGAGATCCGTCTCGAAAGACAGCAGATCCGGAAAGTCATATGACTCCAAAGTCTCACAACCAGGAAGGTCCCTATGACAATGAGACTGAACAGTGCTGTGTCTCGGCTCACACCGCACAATCGGCTCAGAACCGGCCCCCTTCCGATCTTGGGCACTAGATGGCTGCATTTCCCGCCCCTGACAGCGACGGATGATATTAATGTACTCCGGCGTGTACAGCTCCCTCAGGTCATCTCCCTTCAACGCAGCAACATACTCATCCCACACCTCGAGGGTCCATTTCTCCAGCACAGCATACACAGCCCTTGAAGTTCTGTTCTTCTCCCGAAACTTCGGGTAATGGTACAGAGCGAAAACCCCCGCAAGCAATTCCCACGCTCTACCCACTTCGGTCCCTGTTTTCCGCCGCCGCATCTCGATAAGCAAATACAAAACTGCATTCCAGATGTAACTGGGCCCCATCTGCCAGGTGTAATTGTCAAGACCGTGACGCCCCTCCTGAACCATGATCACATACTCGAGCAGTTTCGTGGCGTTGGTGAATACAATGTCGCGGTCGTGAGTGGGTATGGGCTCCCCACGGGCGAGGAATTGGTGTGGTGAGTGTGTAAATAGCCGCATTTTGCAAATCGATGACCGTATGGCAATTGAGACGAATGTGTGAAGAGGATTGCTTGGGTCATAGTATCGGAGGTATTTTTGTTCCAGGTGATCTTCGAGTTGGGTGACGATAGCGTCTTTTTGGGAGAGCGGACTGGTCGAGCTGGAAAGGGACTCAAAGTGCATGTTACCGGAGAACTTTCGGAGTGTGAAGAGGATTTCGTGTCGAATCAGGCAGAAGGAGATGGAAGTGATGGAGTTTCGTTCGGGGGGTAAATTGATCATGCTAGGGCTGAGGTCGTCGTCGGTGACGTTCAGAGGTATCTTTGTATTACTAGAGGAAAGATCCAGAGACGGCCTAGTACCTAGAACCTCGGAGATGCGGAAGTCTACGTAAACGAGATGCCACCAGAGGCGTCTGCGCATTTCACTGTCGAATGGAGACAGGCCAAGCGGTGCTCCATCTTGGTGGAGGCCCATTTTGCGGGCAAGTCGGATGGAAATTCCGGATAGAATGAACAGGGTATCGCAGCGATAGAAGTTTCGCACGCACATCTTGTTCGTTAGTGTGGCAGATAATGTGTAAGAGGGCTGTGCATGTAGCATACCATGTATAAGGCATATGCTTGGAGGGTCAGTAGACTGGACGTGGATAGAAATCCGGCATTGACTAAGGCCTGACGAGTTGCTTGTCGATAGCGGGAATATAGGACAAATTTCCCTGTTTGAAATAGATTCTGGCACTCTTCGTCTTTCAGACTGCTAATTGTTGCAAGATAGAAAGCAAAAATGGTGGCTTCCAGGCTTCTGGAATGTTTTTCTTGTCGCCTGTTGATGAGCGCCATCCAGAACGTAGGAAGATGCAGGATTTTCATCAAAGGATCCACTCGATCGATGTATATTTCTTTTAATTTCAGCAATATCTGGGAGGAAGGGTGCAGGCCCTCATAAATATCCAATTTACTTTGTTCGGTTTCAAATAAGAGGTCGCTTTCATGGACACCTGACTGGTCTATGGCCTCACCCAGGCTGCCCAGTTCTGGATTTTGACACTAGAATAGTAAGCAAATATAGTCGCAGATAGGAAGTGAAGCGACTTACTTCGCCTATGTCGGACCACGGAGTGCTATACGACGTTAGAAGCTAGTATCGAGACCAACGTATCAGATATACCTATTAACGTATTGCGACGACTCTCCTACTGTCACAAGTTTGGATTTCGTCTCATTCAATCTTTGGGAGCTACTGTTGAGAGGATCTGCGTCCATTGCATCAGGCTGAGATGCCACTTCCGGGCAGTCAGAATCATCAGAGGGGTCAATCTTAGCACCGTATGACCTCAGTAGCTCTTCATATCGTTTCAATTTGGCATGTATACCCTCTTTCCGGGGGTTTGTTCTCTTGCGCTTGCCACGCACGGGCGGAACAAAGCTGCATTGCTGCTCGGCCTTAACACAATTGGAACACGGAGTATGCCGATCACATTTGATCTTGCGTTGCCGACAAGCTAAGCACGAGTAGTTTTTCAACTCCGATGTCCGGCAAGGAGGCATTGTGTAATTGATTGACCCTCCAGACTGTGGTTAGAGGAAAAGAAAAGGAGTGGCGGTTTAGTGTCCGGGGCTCGGAAAGGAAAAATTACTTTTTGGGCCCGAGAAGCGAGTCTCATCCACCCATACTGCAGTGCATTCCCATATCATTTAAATTCGCGACAAAGCTATGCCAAAGATTGAAATGGATCCCGCAAAAAGGACGACAGTCGAACATTATGTCTCGACCATCCGATGGCGACGAGTCAAGGGGCAAGAACCACAATGCTGTTGTCTACCCCTCGGGGCTGAAGCTTGCACTGTTGATGATCTCCATTTTTGTCGCCATGTTCCTCGTGTCTCTGGTATGGGTTCTTTCTTTCTTTCTTTCTTTTTTGATATTCATGAATAAGCATATTAAAGACTTAACGAACTCGAAGGACCGCCTCATCATTTCGACTACCATCCCCCAAATCACTGACAAGTTTAACTCGGCGGGCGATATTGGTTGGTACGGCACAGCGTACCTACTCACGAACTGCGCCTTCCAGCTAGCATTCGGCAAGATATACGCCCTCTTTAGTGTGAAACGTACCTTGCTCTCTTCCATCATCCTATTTGAAGCTGGATCTGCCCTCTGTGGCACGGCCCCGAGCTCCATTGCTTTCATCCTCGGCAGAAGCATCGCAGGTCTAGGGGCAGGAGGTATCCTTGCTGGTGTTGTATGTCCTAACCCTCTTGCCTCGTTGAACCTACTCCTCACACCCATTGCAGATGGTCGTCATGATTTATGCAGTTCCGCTGCACAAGCGCCCCAAGTACCAGGGGTTATTTGGTGCCGTGTTCGGCCTCTCATCTGTGACAGCCCCTCTGATCGGCGGAGCCTTCACTACGCACGTCTCATGGAGATGGTGTTTTTATATTAATCTTCCACTGGGAGGAGTGGTAATCGTGCTTGTGTTCTTATTGCTTCATGTCCCTCACCGTCCAGACTCAGACATTCCTATAGCGGAGAAGCTACTGAAGCTTAACATCCTGGGTCTACTAGTGCTAGTCCCGGGCGTGATCTGTCTGTGTTTGGCCTTACAATGGGGTGGCACAACGTATCCAGTAAGTTAGTCAGGGTTTTTTTTTTTTTTTTTAATGCATTTGTTTTTTTCTACCTCTGACTAGAGATGACCATTTCCAGTGGAGTGAAGGGCGGATGGTCGCATTGTTTGTGCTTGCCTTTATCCTCTTGATTATATTTGTAATTATACAGATCTGGAAGCCAGAGCAAGCGACATTGCCGCCGCGCATCTTTCTCCAGCGCAGTATTGCCTCTGGGTTCTGGATCAGTTCTTGCCTTGGTGCGCATATGATGGTGTTCGGTTAGTGCCCATCTCAGACTCAAGAACAGCAGTGTATGCTAATGTAAATGACTATTTGCCACATACCTAGTGTACTATCTCCCCATCTGGTTCCAGGCTATCGACGGTCTCTCTGCTGTCGACAGTGGCATTCACCTGCTTCCAATGGTTATTTCTCTCGTTGTATCGTCCATCGGAACGGGCCAGTTGATCTCACGCACCGGGTACTACACGCCATTCACAATCTTCGGGACATGTCTTGCTTCTGTGGGCGCCGGGCTGCTCACCACGTTGGAGATCAACACCCCCACAGGATATTGGATCGGATTCCAGATTCTGTACGGCTTTGGTCTCGGGTCGTGCTCACAGACGCCGAGTATGGCCGCACAGACGGTGCTGGCGCGGGAGGACATAGCAATTGGGGCGTCGCTTATGTTTTTTTTGGTCAACAGCTCTTCGGTGCCGTATTCACTACTGTGGGTCAGAATGTGCTGGATAATCAGCTGGACGAACGTCTTGGTGGGGCCCAGGGCATCACACATGGTCTTGTCCAGAGTACGGGCGCGAATAAGTTGCTGGATCTTGTGCCGGGCAAGGACCGTGTTGCGGCACTGGAAGCCTATAACGGTTCGTTGCGTAGGTGCTTCCAGATCGGGCTTATTATGGCCTGTCTGTCTGTTCTAGGGGCTTTTGGGATGGAGTGGCGAAGTGTGAAGAAGAATCTTCCTCCAAAGAGGCCTGATGGTGAGCGGGTAGCCGATGAGGTGAAGGGTGAGAACAGTGGAGGATAAACACCACGCTGGAATTCACGTGTCTACTGATGGACATGTTATGTCCATTTAGTTATAAACCCAATACACTTCATTATATCTTCAACTCGACCGATGACCAGCTCGACCTAATAGGAGCCACACATGCAGTATCAATGAACGACTCCATCATAAAAGAATAAGTACCATTCTGATATTCCCTGAACATAGCCACTAGACTGTTAGCCACATTGATCCCGATCCATGAGTATTACTAAAAAACCAGCCAAGGGCTAACGATTTCGAATGTAGAATCTGGAACTGCCAAAAATGCTGGGAGTCGACATCCCCCGTCTCGGCAAGACCGTCCATATTTGAAAGATTACGAGCAATCAGCTGTGCTAGTCGTTCGTGTGTCAACCAGATTGTCAGCATGGATTGCGAGTCCTGTGATCCATTTGCATCCTAGACGTCAATTTCATAGCCCGTTAGGCCCATTGCCCAGGTTAAGGTGCCACACCTGGTTCATATGATCATGAAGTCGATGGTAAATGTCTCACCCCATGCTTTGGGGGGATGGCATCAAAGAGCTATTCCAGGCTTAATGCCGTCAGGGTGGAATGCTTGGAAAAGAGAAGAGCATACGGAATATACATACATACATGCTACCCTATGGCATTTCTATAGGACAGAGCCTAGTAGTTGGATTATAGTGCCCTCACTGGCAATACTGCTTGTTTTAATACTAGTCCAGAGCAATCAAGCCAGACTCGGGTGCACGGAAGGTCTGCTACCCCGGCATGCTTTACTGATCAAGTGCTAAGAACAGGTCTTTTATGCAAATACATCATTTATTGCCCCTCGTTGGCAAGTTTAGAATATAGTATATGGCTATGTGGCAACCATAATATTTGCATGTCTAGCCTAGACCATGGACATATGCCGTAGAGTGTGCAATATTGCTGGCTGAAAATCCAGAGGAGCCCACTGATAACAGATAGTCGGGTCCCATGTAATTGTCAGTTGAAAACAGCGACCACGCATGTTTACCACCGCCTATGAATTAGTTAGGCCATGAAGGCTATGAATACCTATGTGGGAATACTCTACCCCTCATAGATCCGGTGGGTACCCTACACAGCCCATATCACGCTTGTTTCCGTGGTATGCGATTCCCCTCTTGGGATTTCGAAGCTCCACATCGGCAGTCAGTGTCGTGGACAGCAGCGTAATTGAATCCCAGATCTCTGCACACCATCAGACAGTGTCCTGCAGATTGGTAGGCGGATGTGTCGTAGATGCGCATGGCCGGGCCGGGATCGCCGTAGCAGCCATCCTGGTGATTCAGCGCCAGTCCGTATACAGCCAGGACAAGAGTGTTCGTCAACATCCTTAGATGAAATCCTACAGTTCTGAAAAGATACCATAGTGCTAGATAGCTTCTGTATTCCTCTGGAATATTGGGAATGTTGATATCTGAATAGAGAGCCCATATGAGTTTCCTCACTGTTGTTTATATGCCATATTGTGTCGGCGGATATTCTCGGGTCCTAGCTATCTGAAATCCGCTCGAATCTCAGGTAATGCTGACATCCGAGAATCCTACGCTTTTACTCGCGACCAACATACAAACAGGCCTTATTATTCACGCACCTCCGCCCCGCCCCCAGATCCCAGCATCGCAGTATTACGTCAACGATCTTAGCCTTGTGAATTCTAACCCCAACCCCCTTCACTCACTGTAAATATGGCTTGTGAGAAATCCGCAATCGTCATTGTCGTTCCATACTTGCTTGGGACTCAGACATGTGTAAGAGAACATCCCAATCTAGTATGTGTCAGATCCTTCTAAAAACCATTTGTCTACGAGGGCCTCCGGACTCGTCTTAAGAACGAGGCTCCCGTTATCCACCCATCCCTACCGAGCATTTCGGATGTGGATTGCGATGATTTTCCCACCCTCACCCTGACCGACGATGCCATTGCCGGGACGCAGGCTCTAGTTGAGGAAAGGAAGTCCATTGTCGTGGTAATGCATTCCTCTAGGGGAATTGTCGGCAGCGAAGCGATTACCCAGAGTCTCATCTCTGCAGCCTGCAAGATAAAGGGAGTGCTATTTCATCTCTTCTACTATTCAGCTTTTATTCATGGGAAGGGGAGCTCAGCCCTGGGAACTTTTGGAGAGTTTCCGAATAAAGATGTCAGGGTGCATGGCAGATCTGATCTGCGTTAGTAGGAGCATACTGACATGATATCCGGTGTAGGCCGACAGCCGGTTTAGTATCAAGAACGGGGCTAAGACTCTCTATAACGATCTGTCGGACAAGGAAGCAAAAATGTGTGAGTCCCGACTGATCCCCGGTCGTACCGTGTCCAGACGACGTCGGTCACGCGCGTCATGTACGAGTATATGTGGTCAACGTATCTTGTTTGAACGACCAGGCTGCTCCTCCTCAGTTTCAGGAAATGGTTGCTGGGATGGTGCTGGCTGAGATTCAACGCTGTACCGCAGGATACTCTCCCATGCTGAGCCAGGCCGATATGTAGGTAGGAAGAATTGCAGCAGTAGCTGACCAAGCTACGGCAGCCCTTGGATAGGGAGGTTAAACGGAGACACCTCAGTATCCCATAGTTTGTTTACTATAGCAGTGTGTTCAAGGTCTATAGCGTTATTTCTAGTAGCTAGGACTATCTAATCTGCAGTATATTATAGTTCTTCCAGACTGCCGGCGTATAAAATCGGCAACATCTACAGTTGCAAGGTTAGGATGCAAGGGTCGAAAATGGTAACGTTAATTCAATCCTATAGTACATGTTTTCCTGTACAAAGAGAAACTTTGAGAGGTTCCGCTGACTGCAGTGTTGAACTGGAGAGTTTACTATTCGACTGTAACCTGCTTTCTTGTCTATTTGCAGATTACGATTTTTGCTTCCTGCTCATCCGCATCTTTTGCTCTCTTTGTGTATGGCGAAAGCCTTGGCAAACTCCCCGTTTATTATGCCAACTGTAAATACAAGATTAATCTTGCGCATATCTCAATGAAATTGCTTCAATAGACTTACTTAAACAAAGTGTTACTGTAATGAGCAATCGGACCTCACCGAATGCAACCACAGCTGTCAGTTAGTCCTCTTTTTGTCTTGCAGTTAAGCCCCGCTGACAGTCAACTAAAATGATGACTTTCTTATTGCTAATCTGAATACCATTGATTCTGCAAATAAACAGTATTCCTTTAACGCCTCACTATTTGTCTCAGGGTTGTTGCTAAATCGAGACCACGAATAAATCTTGTCTGGTACGGAAACTTTTTGATGCTAGAAAACGAACCCGGGGAGTACACCTCTTTGTTTAACATTTAGCAGTCTTTCCAACCACAGTGGCTACTTCCTGCTGTGAAACACTACAGACTCTGGTAAAGACCTTATTACTATCATAACGTGGTTAGTCGTACTATACAACAATAATTCGGGCATGTCTAAATGCCCTTCTCCGGATGTTTGGCAATTCCCGTAAACCAGGGAACCATATAATTGATGCGATGAAATGTAATGAGTTTTATTTTGAAATGCTTCTAATGTAGGGAATCATAGGGGTAACAGGGGACGTACTGCGATGGGTATACTCGGAATACTCTAGATCGAATTTATTTGATGGATATATCGCCCAGAAATGCCCCTCTGCTGGGAGGTCCAGACTTCAATGGCGATAAAGAAAAACAATTAAAACACAATGAGCATGATATAGAGTTATAAGTGATAAAGCCAATATAATTGACCCACGTTGGTAATAGACTGGGCCATTCTTTTGGTGTTATATAGGTGTACTGCATGCAAATATACTGGAATGTATCTGGCATGTTGGAATGAAGCGCTGAGGGTTAAATGCATTCAACGCACGCAATATTAGGATTCCAATATCTAGTGTCTGGATATTACTACCGTATGGATGGGGAGCAGTCTGAGCCGGGCAAACGATACTCTTGTAGCGAAGAATCTGACTGTGGTATTATATCTTACCTAGTTAGATAGTAAAAATGCGTAGCTCTCTGGGCTATTCCCACCAATGTGCGGCTTTGCATTTAAATTTCAATATCCTTTGTATGCCGTGAATCTTCTATACCTGTACTGTTATAAAAACCTAAAGTAGGTTTCCGGTAATTTGGTATCACAAAGGGGATATTGCCACACTTTACATCCCCTAGTGTTAGACAAAGGCTACTATTTGGTTCAAGGCGCGCAGCCCTGTCTTAGGAGCTGTGATAATTGGATGTGACATTGCGGACAACAGCATACTAATAAGAATAAAATGTTATTAGCGTATTGTTTTTAACAGTCCCTGACATCACTTATGCAGGAAAATACCGCACAGCCCATGTCCGTAGACTTTCGAGTCACTAACCTAATGTCACAAAATGAAATGAACTGTCACTTCCAATATAAAGGTGGTATGGGACATCCAAAGCAGCACGAGCCGCCATTTCCATAGTTCTCCTTGACCACCATTCCAAATTCTGAGCTTAATACTCAATATTTTATATTAAGTTAGCCCGCAGTCATTGTATATTGTGCGTCAGGATACTGTGGAAATTATGGAACAGGCCTTCACCAATGTAATAGTTCACAATGATGAAAGGCCAAAGGTGGATCTCCCTAGTCAAGGGAGGCCTTCCGCCCAGACGAATGGGGTCGTGGCGGAGGGGCGTGATACCCACGGTTCTAATGCTGATCCAGTCCCATTTCCAATTGCTATAGTTGGTATGGGAATGAGACTTCCTGGAAACGTTAACTGCACAGAAGATTTTTGGGATTTTCTCATTAACAAACGTGATGGTCTTTGTCGAGTACCGGACTCAAGATATAACGTCGAAGCGTTCTACGATGAATCCAGACCGGGCGCAATACGGACGAAAAACGGCCATTTTCTGCATCAGGATATTTCCCAGCTGGATAACGTATTCTTTGGTATAGGGAAACCGGAAGCAGAAAAACTCGACCCCCAACAAAGGCTTCTGCTTGAAGTTGTTTGGGAGTGTATGGAAAATGCCGGCCAGGTTAATTGGCAAGGATCCAACATTGGCTGCTACGTGGGTGTCTTTGGAGAGGATTGGTTGGATATTTTGAGTAAAGACTCCTTGCAACATGACCGATTCCGTGTTATGAGTGCTGGGGACTTCGCTCTTTCGAATCGTGTCTCTTATATATACGATTTGCATGGACCCAGTGTCACTCTCCGAACAGGCTGTTCCTCGTCAATGGTGGGATTACACGATGCCTGTCAAGCTTTATACGCTGGTGATTGCTCTTCTGCCCTTGTCGCAGGAACCAACCTTATCATGGGGCCGACTATGACGACAACAATGTCCGAGAATATGGTCCTTTCAACCAGTGGCATTTGCAGAACATTTGACGCTGCAGCCGACGGATATGGTCGAGGTGAGGCCATCAATGTGATTTACATCAAGCCATTACATGATGCACTTCGAGAAGGCGACCCGATACGTGCGGTTATTCGTTCCACCGCGGTAAATTGTGACGGCAAGACGCCTACCATTTCAACACCAGGCTCCGAAGCCCAAGAGAGACTTATAAGGCACGCATACCAGAAAGCGAGAATTAAGGGCGAAGAGGTTTCAAAGACCGCGTTCTTTGAGTGCCACGGTACAGGCACGATTGTAGGAGACACGGTAGAAGCATCGGTTGTGGCCAACATCTTCGGCAATGAGGGAATTTACATTGGCGCGGTGAGCTTGGTCCAGCAGAGTATGGATTGGAGTTAAGGCAGCTGACCCCAACTAGGTTAAGCCCAACGTCGGCCACTCCGAGGGCGCCTCAGGCATTACAAGTATTATCAAATGCGTCTTGGCGCTTGAGCACAACACAATCCCTCCAAATGTCCATTTCCACACTCCGAATCCCAAGAGTAAGTGGTGTCGTTCTCTACTGCTTATCTTCGTTTCTGCTAATCTGTCAATCCAAGTCCCATTTGATAGCGCCAAACTCGATGTGCCGGTCTCCCCGTTATCGTGGCCAGCCGGCAAACGCGAGAGAGTGAGCGTCAACTCGTTTGGTATTGGAGGGACAAACGCGCATGTAGGTGCTCAAGTGGTTTGCTATTTTACTGGTTCTATTTCAATCCCACAAAGCCACGCAACTGCTCCTATTTGCTGCTTAAATTTCAGGCGGCCCTACCGCTAACTTTCGAAGACAATTTTGGATTCAGCCGCATCATGCTGCCCACCCGAAACCAGAAAACAGGGCCATTTCCCTCATTGTAATACACACTTGCTTGTTGTATCGGCGAAGTCCAAGTACTCTTTAGATCTACGCGTTGATTTAATTACAAAATATGCTCAAGCCAACCCCCTAGTGTCGAAAGACCTTGCTCACACCCTTGCACGGAGGCGCGTCCATCTCGGAAATAGGGCGTTTGCACTTTTGAGCGAAAATGGGCTCGTCTCCAAATTTGAGAAGTCACAATCTATTGCGCCACGTGTGGTCTTCGTATTCACTGGTCAAGGAGCGCAGTGGCCTAGAATGGGACGGGACCTAATGGCGCGGTTTGGCAAATTCCGGCAGGACATTCAGGCTCTTGATGGAGTCCTGCAAAGCCTGGAACCGGCTCCAGCATGGAGTATCCAAGGTACGTCAGTTTCTCAAGATTTGTTTTTGGCTTCTCTTCTCACTCAAGAATTTAGAGGAATTGTCAAGAGAAGAAGACACTAGCAGAGTTGGAGAAGCTGAGTTTGCGCAGCCTCTTTGCACTGCCATTCAGGTAGCTCTGGTGAATTTACTGCGCAGCTGGGATATCGTCCCTTCAGCTGTAGTGGGACACTCGAGCGGGGAAATCGCTGCCGCTTATGCGTCAGGGGCTATAACCGCAAGCCTTGCTATCATCCTGTCGTACTTCAGGGGTTATTCAGTAAAGGCAGTATCATCTATTCCCGGGGCAATGGCCGCAGTGGGGATGTCGCCGGAACAGGCCAGGCCTTATTTACGACCAGGTGTAACAATTGCTTGCGAAAATAGCCCGAAGAGTATCACCCTTTCCGGCGACAAGGAGGTATTGGATGGTATTCTATCCCAAATGCACCTCGAAGACAAAAACTTGTTTTCCAGGCGTCTGTTAGTGGACATTGCATATCACTCTCATCATATGACAGAGCCAGCAGAAGCGTATAGGGCACATATTTTGCCCCATATATCGCACAATGATTCTATGGTACCTCTTTACTCAACTGTTACCGGAAACATTATTTTCAATCCCTTGAGATTAAATGCAGAGTACTGGTGCCGGAACTTACAGTCTGCTGTTTTGTTCGGACCCGCGATCCGGCAGATCTTAAAGGACGATGTTTCAGCTCAACTGTTTTTAGAGATTGGACCTCACTCTGCATTGGCAGGACCTATACGGCAGTGCTTTCAGTATGAGTCTACCACGAAAAATGATAACTTTTACGTAGCTACACTGCGCAGAAACATTGGAGGGTGGGAGGCTCTCATGGAAACAGCTGGGCGTCTATTCTGCCACGGCGCTCCTATCAATCTTTCGCATGTGGTAGAAGAGGGTAAGGTGTTGACCAACCTTCCCCGCTACCCGTGGCAGCATGAAGGAAGGCTGTGGAGTGAAAGTCGGCTAGCTCATGACTGGAGGCTCCGGGAGGCTCCGTATCACGAACTCCTGGGTTGCCGCGGCCTTGAGTCGACCTGTGTGGAGCCGTCGTGGAGGAATCTCCTACAACCAGATCAGATCTCATGGCTTGGAGATCATAGGATTTGCAAGGAAGTAGTGTTTCCTTGCGCTGCCTATATTGGAATGGTGGGTGAAGCCATCCGTCAAATTACTGGCTCTCTGGACTTCACTGTAAAGAACTTATTTATGAAAACAGCGTTGACAATTGTACCATCTGACACTACTGAACTTGTCACAAGCATGCGACCAGGAAAACTAGCTGATGATGTTGATTCCGTTTGGTATGATTTTGCAATATTTGCCTACCAAAAGGACTCATGGAAGAGGTACTGCGTCGGGAAAGTAAGGCCGGGGCCAGACAAAGAATATCACGCCAGAAACATCCCCATCCATTCCAGACATGTTGAATCGGAAAAATGGTACAGTGCCCTAGAGGGACGCGGTTTGGAATACGGACCTCAATTTCGCCGACTTGAGTGTATATCTGCTTGTCCAACTGCGGCAAGAGCAACTGCTACTATAAGTAGTGATGATGCCTATGCTAGCTGTTATTCACTTCATCCCACTGTCATTGATCAAAGTCTACAGTTGCTCAGTGTAGCAGCGACTAATGGTATACCTCGGCGAATGACTAGACTATGCATCCCCATGGCCATTGAAGAACTTTATATTGGCCCAGGGAGTGGAAAAATGTCGCTTGCAGTATCCTGTGATGAATCGGGTGGTGCTTTACTTGGCAATGGCGTTGTTATGGCCGGAGAACAAGTCGTCCTTTCTCTATCTAAGGGATTGTTTTTTAATATTCAGGACCCTGATCTTGCCAGTCCTAAACTTCCCTTGGCATCGACATCACATTGGAAGCCTCACATTGATTTTATCCCTTGTGAAAGTTGGCTACCAGACTCAAGAATCGATATATGTCTTGGACAAAATCTCAGCAGACTTGCATATTTGTGCATCGCAGAGACATACCACCGGACAGTTTCATCGGTTCCTAAAGCCGTGCACTTGAAGAAATGGCACTCTTGGATACAGTCACAGTATGAAAACCTCTGTCGCGGTGGGCCAGATTTACTTTCTGAAGCAACGAATGTCGCCACCATGAATGACCATGAGCGCAGGATAGCGCTTGAGAGCTACCAATGTGTGTCGAAGGATTCAATGGAACTTCCAAGCTATCAGCTATGCTGCAGGTTGCTTCGGTCGATCAATGGTGTATTGGATGGCCAAGTGGAGCCTTTTAATCTCCTCATGGAAAATGGCACACTGAAATCATTCTATGAAAAAGCATCGGCTTCTACACAATGGAATGAATTCCTAACAGCGCTTGGACACTCTAATCCTTTACTTCGGGTCTTGGAAATAGGTGGTGGGACTGGAGGAGATGCGGCCATGGCTTTGAAAGGATTAACATTAGATCATGGCAATCGATTGTATTCCAAATACACATTTACTGATGTGTCTCCTGGATTCTTACCAGAGGCAAAGGAGCGATTCAAGTCATACCCGAGTATTGCATACGCTACTTTGGACATCAGTAACGACCCCATTGAACAAGGGTTTGAAGCGGAAAGCTATGACTTAATCATTGCGTCGAATGTTTTGCATGCCACACCAAATATTTCTAAATCCCTGGCACATACAAGACGACTACTCGCCCCCGGCGGTCACCTACTGCTCATTGAGCTGGTTCCTCAGATGCCACTTATTGACTACATTATGGGCCTACTTCCAGGGTGGTGGCTCGGGGAAGGCGATGAGCGTGCTGAGAAGCCGTATATATCCATTGATCAATGGCATAAAAGGCTAATTGATGCCAACTTCACTGGCGTGGATGCATTGTTACACGATAATCAAATGCCATACCAATTGACGGCACACATCGTGTCAAGACCTGTGCCAGTGAAACGACCTGTCAAAGAATCTGTTTGTCTCTACTATCGTGTAGCAATTACCCCTTGGGCGCTAGACCTGGAAAACCAACTTACTGAGGCCGGATATGCTGTCAGCTGGTATAGCCTACAGCACCCACCACCGCCCGGGTCAAACGTAATATCATTGATTGATCTTGATGGGCCCTTTTTCGACCAAATGACGGAAACTGAATTTAACATCTTACAATCTTTTATATCTAATATGAGCAATAACCACATATTATGGGTCACCAGATCTGTACAGATGGGATGCGAAGATCCTCGATTTGCGTTAACGCTGGGTGTCATAAGAACTTGTCGTCATGAAGTGACTCGGGACTTTGCGACTCTTGAAGTTGACCAGATCGATGATCGTGCCATACGACCAGTGGTTCAGGTATTTGAAAAGCTTCTAGCCCAGAGCGACAAGCCAATGATCTACCGGGACTTAGAATTTGCTCTCAAGGATAGCATTGTCTATGTGAATAGATTTCACTGGAGTTCCCTTGATGACCAGCTCACCGAAGTACCTGATCCTAAGAGCTCGCGAGTGTTAGATATTGGTGCATATGCAATTCTAGATTCATTAATGTGGTCGTGCACGGACTTAATGCCCGTTAAGCTAGGTGACGAGGATGTTGAAATAGACATCAAGTACGTTGGACTTAACTTTAGGGTGAGCAATCCATATGTATCCACATAGACTCTTTGCTAAATAGGACAGGACATGATGGAGGTTATGGGCTTCATAGGGAGCAAGGATGATATCGGTCTGGAAGCCAGTGGCATCGTTCGTCGAGTTGGCTCTGCCGTCAACACACTGTCTGTCGGAGACAGGGTAATGGTTTTAGGCAGAGGGCTGGCATGCACACGAAAGGTTGTTCACGCGGAACGTTGCCTGCCTATCCCAGACGAGCTGTCCCTCGAAGATGCTGCTGCCGTGAGCTGCGTCTATGCCACGGTAATATACGCACTTATCTATATTGGAAACCTCCAGAAAGGTCAATCAGTCTTAATCCATTCTGCGTGTGGAGGAGTAGGATTGGCGGCTATTCAAATTTGCCAAATGAAGGGTGCTGAGATCTACGCGTCGGTTGGAAGTGAAGCAAAAGTACAATTTCTCATTGAAACAGTGGGAATACCACGCGATCGAATATTTAACTCGCGCAATTCTTCATTTTTTCCTGGTGTTTTAGAGAAGACCCACGGCAGGGGTGTGGATCTTGTCCTAAACTCACTGTCGGGTGAGTTGCTACATGCATCATGGAAATGTGTTGCCAAGTCAGGAAAAATGCTGGAGCTGGGAAAACGCGACTTTATTGGCCATGGAAAATTAGACATGGATCTGTTCTCTGACAATCGCTCGTTCGTCGGCGTGGACCTACTCCAGCTACTTGATGATAGCCCGGCACTGCTACGTCAAATAACGAAGGATATGATTTCATACTTTGTAACAGGAAGTGCACAACCTATAAGACCAATCCATACATACAAAGCAGTCAATGTGCAAAAGGCTTTCAGATACATGCAAAGCGGACAGAACATGGGTAAAATTATTATACAGATGCCGGAAAACCCAGCAACTCTTCCTGTGTCGCGGTTGCACGAGTCAACTCCATATTTTAAATCTTCTGCTTCTTACCTGTTAGTCGGGGGCCTTGGTGGCCTTGGTCGGGCGATAGCAACGTGGATGGTAGAGAAAGGAGCTCGGCAACTAGTTTTTCTCTCACGGTCCGATTCAACATCAGCAAAGCGACAGGCATTCATTGAAGATCTGGAGAACCAAGGTTGTAAAGTAACCACGATAACAGGCAGTGTCGTGGATATGGAGGATGTCCGACGAGCAGTATCTTTGGCCCCAAAACCGATTGCAGGTGTTATTCAATTGTCCATGGTGTTGAAGGTATGTCGAATAAAGCTTTATCTACAATTGGCCCACGGCATCCAGCTTATCTCATCATAACAGGATCAAACACTAAACAAAATGTCATATGAGGAATGGATTACCGCCCTTGGTCCCAAGGTTCAAGGAACATGGAACCTCCATAATGCGTTAGAACACACGCCGTTGGACTTTTTTGTTCTCATGGGTTCGCTGGTAGGCATGTGTGGCTGGACTGGACAAGCAAACTACGGAGCGGCAAATGCTTTCCTCGATTCGTTCGTCCAGTATCGTCAGTCGAAGGGCTTGGTCGCCAGTGGTATTGATCTTGGTCTCATGAAGGATATTGGATACGTTTCAGAATCTTCGCTCCAGGGAACATTCTCAAGGGCGCGTGGAAGCTCTATTCTGATGCTGGAAGAGACGCATTTACTGCAGGCCATGGAGAAGGCAATATTTTCATCTCGTTTCAATACGCCAAGCCAGCTGCTCGTTGGGCTTGGGTCTAATAGCTTCATTTCCGACAATGAACTTCTGGTGATGTGGACTCAAGAAGCCCGGTGCAGTATCTGGAATAACATTTTAGCGGGTATAAATCAAACGTCGACCGGCTCCAAAGCAGATGAGTTAAGAGAATATATGAAAGCCATCAAGCAGAATCCTGACCTTCTAGACAAGCCGGCCACCGAGCAAAGGCTCACGGAAGAGTTGGGCAAATTGGTAGCTTCCTACACATCTCATCCGGATGGCATGACGCAAGAAGAGCTATCAAATATTGCCATAGACTCCATGATGACTTTCGAAATCCGGACTTGGTTCCGCCGTCATGCTGGGCTAGAGCTAACTCTGGTCGACGTTTCCAACGCAGCAACTGCAGGAGAGCTCAGTAAGGCCGCCCTTCAGAAGATGCGCGGCCTGTTAAACGAAGAAAAACCAGAAAATGAGCAGCTAGTAGTGGACTCTGCTATCGGAGAGAATTACGAGAAGGACATTAACTTAGGGGTCGATCTGCATCCCATCCCTGGCAAGGCCCCTGAGTGGACCTCTGAGTCGGAGGGTCGCATTTTCTTGACTGGGGCAACAGGATTCCTCGGAGCGTTCTTCCTGGAGCAACTTGTGCGCCTGCCACAGGTAAAGTCAGTTGCATGCTTAATTCGAGCCCGCAATCCTGAGTCGGGCAAAGGTCGCCTCGAGGACGCTTGTCGAAAGTTTGGAATATCCGCCGACCTTACGTCTAAGGTCATCATAGTCCCTGGAGATATCGGCGAAGAGAATTTGGGACTTAGTAGGCAAAGATATGATCAATTGGCGAAGTGGGCGAGTGTTATATTCCATTTCGGGGCCTACGCGAATTACACCTTGCCATATTCGGTTCATCGCACCGCCAACGTTCTGGGATTGCTAAAACTTATCCGGTTCGCCAATACTGGGCGTTTAAAGGCGATTCATCATTGCTCTAGCATTTCAGCATGCGCTATTCCTGCGTCTCTAAGTGAAGAGACACCTGAAGATCAAAGACCCCTTCTTGTATCGCAGAAGATCTCGCAAACCCTCGGATACTCACAGAGCAAATTTGTCTCGGAGAGTATTGCCTGGAATGCCATGGAAAATGGGTTCCCTATTGCAATCTACCGACCAGGAATTGTCACCGGGCATAGTGCCACGGGCATATGCAAGAAGGAAGACTTCTTCAACCGACTTTTGTCACACTGTATTCGGCTCGGCTGCTACCCTCGAGCACCTGATCAGCTTGCCCAATTTGTCCCTATTGATTTTGTCTGCTCCGCAATTCTTCGCATATCACTGAAAGATGATAGCATCGGTCATGCTTTCAATGTCGTTCTGCCGGATGAGGGACAGAAAATTACACTGAAAGATATATTTGACATTTTGAGTGATTGTGCCCCTACTCCCTTCCAGAGCATGCCATTTGTCGATTGGCTAGAACAGTATCTCAAAGCGGGAGATTCGAATATCAGGGTAGTTGAGTCGGTACTTGCCGATCGACTGGCCGGATATAGATTATGGTGGGAGGAAATGGACCGCATTGCTCCTTTTAGCACAGTGAATCTACGACGTGCCCTAGCCGATCATCCGGACATTCTACAAGTGAAGCCCATGCGAGATCTGCTCAAAACATATTACGAGTATTGGATACGCCATGATTAGTGAGGTTACTTCATTTCTCCGCCCCAAGTTCTGGTACATGGCGGGATTTGCTACATTGCATATCTTAATACGAGAGATTCCGTATGAACGGGGTGACTTTAGACGTGAGCATGTATTGTATTTTGTATGGGATAGGTTGAGGTCCAAGGGAATGTTTTGGAGGTTCTCAAGATTCTCATGTATGCCCAGATAATCTTCAGTTCAACAGGTCAGACTCCGCAGGGTTGTGACCCAGTCTGTTGACCGCAACGCCAATATTTGCTCTTCCGATGAGATTAAATACCCCGAGCCACTTCACAGTAGGAGTAGAATAGCATAGAAGATTCTAGGAAATAATAGACTCCATGATGGTCAAACTCCATAGCATTTATATAGACCCTCTAGCTTAGTTGTGTGTGTTTGTGCAATGTGCCAAAGAAACGGAGCCACACTGATCAAGAGCAAGCCAGTGTGGAATTTTTACCTACTTTGGTGACTGTGCGGGAGTCGCCTTGATTGAACTAGTCTCCTATCCTGATCTTCGGATTTATTCAAGGCCCTACTTCGACATTAGTTTCAGTTTTGACTCCCAAGTTAGTTACCTACTTCTTAGCATTCTCACGATACTGCAATTCTCTCGTGGCAATTGCCGCTGCAATCATAAGTGTCGATATCACTGACACAGCAATGAAACCCTTGCGGTACTGCGGTGCATCGACCTGCTGCCATACAACCTGCGGCAACCAGGCTTGGAACACGTATGCCATTTCATTCATACTTCCAACAACGAGGGCCCGTTCCTCGTTATCCTCTGAACAGATCTCATGTGCCCACCTGTCTCCTTAGCATCAAACCTATCTCCAGAGACAAAAAACTGGGGGCACCTACGCCATGCAAAGACCGCTTAATCCGAACCCAGCACCGCACAGGATATAACATGTCCATTTCCAGCCTATTGGGATATCCCATATTGCCAAAGAGACGTAGCATATTATATTGACAGTCTAAACGGGGGTCAGTAATTGGGTATGACGGAGGGAGTATAGGATTGGACGTACAGCGCCGAAAATAATCGGTGGCCAGCGTTTTCCGCCAAGGATAGAATCGGATGTCCCTTATTTTGTCAGTTCTATAGTATCGAGATGTGAAAAGAAGTAAGGACATACAGGCATATATCAATGTCGTAACAACCTGAACCGCACTAGTCGTGGTCGGGTATGCGTTGATCTGCGTAATGGTGTATTTCGGGTGCTTTGAAGATTTCAGAAATCTAGAATCAAATCGTTAGATCTAGATCTCACTCGGATAGATAGAATTATATCCATACTGTTGGAAGATGGGCTGGCTTCCTCCTCCTCCGTTATTGAATGTTCTTAATTCATTAGCGCTATGACCACCATTCATCGGTGTCTCTGAAGATGCACACATACATGTAAAGCAACGTGAGGAGATATATACGCCACGAAGTGAAAATCTTCTTCATCTTCGCCTTCGTATATGGCTGTCGAGTCTGTCGTCCTTCCAATTGCATTCTCTTCTGTGACAATGCAATCTCATCCTTGCTGAGATACCAAGGGTTTGAGATCTCGGGGACATCAGGCAGCACGAAGAACCCGCTCAGCGCAACGGGGATAGAAATAATCCCATCTACGATGAAAAGCCTGTGATTGCCATCAGTCATCCTCATCTTTACTAGAAGTTAAATACGATTGACCTGATCTCACCATTGCCACCCGCGGAATCCACCTCTTCCTTCGAGATTATACACCGCAGCCATCAAGTATCCCGAGAACATGCTGGCGATGCCACTACTCGTGTGGAATATACATGAGCGCTTCGCAAGCTCGTCTTTTCGATACCAGGATCCGATGATGTATTGCATTCCTGGGTAGAAGGTACTCTCCGCGAGGCCTGCAGTTATTAGTCTTCATCCTCGTCGGATCGAATCGATAGTATCCAGATATATAGAGATAGTAACACACCAACAAAGAACCTAAGAACGTAGAACTGCGTAGCAGTATTACACCTTGACATGGAAAAGGTAAGAATTGTCCATAGCAACTAATCGTGTCAGTATCGACACGTTCACCACATCCAAAAAGCGGTTACCTCCATGGCTGGAATCCAGTATCGTGGTCTCACGCGTGTGAGAAGCAAGTTACTTGGTATTTCACCAATCACGTAGCCGACCGTCCAGCATGTTTGCATGTAATTGAGTTGGTTACCGTATAAACTGAGGTCTTCTTTCCTGCGCGATGTTAAACAATCTGTTGGGTTTTCACAGCGGGAAGCTGGCGACATACATCCCCGATACGAAAGCGTTATTGATGTTGATTTGGTCCAGATATTTAATAAAATACCCTACCAACCGTCAGCCTTATATTTCTCAAAGATAGAAAGTGAAAGAAGAACACCATACCAAGAGAAGCAAAAGTCAGGATCGCCGAATCCAATTTAAACAGCAATTTTCGCTCCTCGGGCGACTTATCAAACGTATCCCAGATATAACTGACCCATTTCCGCTTGGGGCTAGTCTGAACCACATCGCTAGCAGAGTCCACTGCTCGTTCCTCCGCCGTGGCTGCTGATGGAGCCATACTCCTTACTCTGTATAGCAGATGGGCTTAGGGACTTTGAATCTAAGATTCGTAGGGGCAGTGTATAGAGGTGAGAATGCCAATAGCAAATTATATAAATTTATCAAAGCACTCAACAATGAACCATGTCACTTGTTATGGGGCAAGATAACGGCCATTGGATCCTAGGCGGGGGTAGCTTATTCCTCATCTTCGTAGAGTTCACGCCATCCTGCACATCCACGATTTAAAGTCAGACATGAGTTGGCAGAGGAAGGAGGACCACCACGGTGGGGGATTTCTTTGCCGTTGAGTCATGTTCCGGTATCGCACCGGAAAGATGCAAGAAGCAAGGGTTACGGACTACGTGGTAGTTAAATTGGAATGGAGCCAACGCGATGCCAACGCGATTCCATCCAATAGCACGAAGATAGAACACATCTTGATGTATTGTGTGAGAGCACTGTGGAGATGGAGCTCGTCATACAGAGGTTGGATGATGTGCGTCTACAGTCAATCCTCAAGCTTAGTTATGGCATTAGTGCTGATGCAGCATGCCTCCTGATTAAGAGATACGCTCGCCTGTATTCATTTCCTGCCCAATTGTTCTGGAAAACCACTCCAGTTGATGCAATGCTATTGGTCTTCTTGATATATGGCGTCCTCCGTCTCGACTATGGTGCTATCTACACTAAAAATGGAATGCAACTAGCCCAGCTCAGCTACAGACCTCAAGCGCTGGGACCTCTCCGACGCGACTATCTCCTATAGGAGGAGCTTGAAAATGATTCCTGATCCTTTCTCTCTGTTCCTCTTTGGCCTTGCGCCATGTCGGTGTGTGCCCTTCAACTGGAGATAGCCCGTGAACTGCCCTGTTGCTGTTGATCCAACCGAGAATATCCTCAACATACAGTTCCTCCACGTCCTTCAAGGAGTGAAACTTCTTCCCAGCCCCAACCCGCTGGACTTTTGCTTCATACTCAGCTCTCATATCGGCCTCCGTTGGCAATGAAGCGATACCAGAGAGTACTGCCGCCACCGCAATTGCCTGGAATTCAAACAAAGTGAACGTCGCCGTGTAGTACGGTATCCCAATAAATACCAAAGTCGGGTCAGGAATGTAGAAGATGTCTTTATGCAGGTTATGCACCTGCGTCCCATCAGACACCAGGATTTGGCTGTCAGCTTGCTGTGGGTGTATCTCATCATTGTGGTATTTAGGCAAAAAGGGAAGTGTGATGTGATAGCCGGTACAGACAATGATACCATGGATTCCACACAGCTTTTGGCCCGACTTCAGGTGTGCCACAATGGGAAGTGCCTCGTCGTTAGATACAACTCGCCCTGTATCTTGTACCTCGAAATGTGATACTTCGTTTATTCGCACGCCGTTTTCCGGGAGCATCGCCGGAGACAAATCAAAGTCACCATTTCGCGTGCTTTGATACACGGTCCTTGAAACTGGACCGATCTCTCGCGATATATCTACTGAGGATACGCCCCCACCAATAAGTAGAATGTTCTGCGTTAATATTAACGTTAGCCCCTCGATTCTGCTGCATTCGTGAGAGTATATAAGGCAGGGTACTACCCTCTCCTTGAATTCATCAGGCTTCCTATACCCCTTTGAATGCATGATTCGCGATGGCCACTTTGATTTCGCTTCCGATAGACCAGGGATATCTGGCACACGAGCGGCATGATAATGGCCTGAAGCAACGACTACCGCATCAAATGCCTATAAGCCCTTGAATATTAACATGAGCACAAAGTCCTCCCAAAGCGGGACTTACCGAAATCTGCTCTAGTTCTTCTACCGCCCCAGTCTTATCATCCTCACGCAGAGTTGACCAAGTAACATACCAGGTCTCTCCATCTTTGGAGACATCTTTGACTCGCGCCCCATAGAGAGTCGCATCATGAACCCCACTCTTTTCAGCCGTGTCCTGTATATATGCCTGAATGACCGTATGGCTGACAAAGTCGGGTGTTCCTTCCGGCCAAGCATTGAGCTTGGTCCGGATTAAAGGTGTGGGCACGTTATTCCTAAGTCCATCGTAGCATGGACTATGTTGATTAGTTACATGTTCTATTATACCGGTAGCGCCAGCCTACCCTGGAGGGGCATGCTCGAGAAAGGCCTTTTCCCGTGCATTCTTCGATATTTTTCCTGTTTTATCGGCCTCTGATGGCTTATCGGCAGGATATTCTGGCTCGAGTGGCCGCCGCTCATCATACAGCCTAGAAAGTTAGGTAGCTACCACATCGCGCAAAATTGAAACCACGTACCAAACACCACCTGGGGCTTTATTCCTCTCAAAAACGGTTACATCCAAACCAGCTGCTAGGAGATGACCAGCAGACACAACACCGCTAATGCCAGCGCCAATCACAGCAATACGATGGCTCTTGTTCCCAGCCATAATGTTCGCCCAGAATGTCTGACCCGTCCCGCATGGTGGAGTGGTCTGGCATAACCCATTTATGAAGGGGAATATATAGCGTGTTCCTTAACACCGCTGACTACTGCGCGTAGGAAGGCACGTTATGCAAGACTAAAGTGGTGTAATTTGCTCCCCAAAGTAGGGAATTGGTTGCAATATCCACATTGATCGCCAAACCAGCATCATTAGCCGAGGGGCCATGACGAATTGCCACTGCTGCTCCAAGACTCCAGATTATAAATCTTTCACTCAGAGACGCCATCACATCCCAGCATGATGATATCGGAAACGCACTCCCCCGACTCTACTCCGAGTACGATCCTGGAATCCATCACCAGACTGGATAGAGATAAGCTAAGGATTGCGGGGCTATCATGGATAATACAAATCAGGCCATCTGGTTCGGAATTTATCCAAGACAGAGTGTGGGAGTTGGAAGACGTAATAGGGAGCGGTGATGGTGTGATCGCATCCCACGTTCCGACAGACGCAAAGCATTAACAATCCACATAACAGTATGGAGTGAGTGGTCCATGCGGAGTGTGTTTAAAATAGGGATCACAACCAAGAAAGATTGATCAGATTGTGCACCACGACTAATCGGTAAACATACCAATATGGCACCGGCTCCCATTGATTCCCGAATTGTTGATGTTGCTCCACCACGAAAGGACACTCTAGCTTTGCCCCCAGCAGCGCGGGAACGCCTCGAAAAGGCGGGTGTGGATCTCTCTTCTGGCTATCCGTATCGTCCATCTCGTCCTCTCTATCTTGATGATGTCTATAATATCCGCAACTACCATCGCGAGCATGTCGACCCAGGTACCCGGGCTGATCCTGAGAAGAAGGCCTTGCTCACTGCTGCAAAGGAAGTTATTCACCTGACGAGACACATTGGAACGGAAATCATAGGTCTCCAATTAAAGGATCTCACCGACCAGCAAAAGGATGAGCTGGGATTACTTATCGCTGAACGAAGCGTGGTCTTCTTCCGGGATCAGGATATCACACCACAGCAGCAAAAGGAGCTAGGCGAATGGTTTGGAGAGATCGAGGTGCATGTAAGTGTATCGCCCTCCAGTATATATAGTTTTTAGCTTGACGTTCAATTTTCTAGCCTCAAGTCCCGCAAGTCCCTGGGATTCCCGGAGTCACGGTATTATGGCCTGCCTTACAGGCCACCGAAACCGCAGCACCTGGGTTCCGTCGCCCTGGAGGCGCTTCTCGCTGGCACACGGATCTGGTCCATGAGCGCCAGCCGGCTGGAGTAACCCATTTACACAATGACACCGTGCCCACTGTTGGCGGGGACACCCTTTGGGCCAGCGGATACGCGGCATACGAGAAACTCTCTCCTGCATTCCGAAAGATTATTGATGGAAGGACCGCAATCTATCGGTCCGCGCATCCCTATCTAGATCGCAAGAGCCCCGAGGAAGGACCCAAATACGTTGAGCGTGAGCATCCACTTGTCCGCGTCCATCCTGTCACCGGTTGGAAAGCACTCTGGGTCAACCGGGCCATGACAGATCGGATTGTCGGCCTGGATAAGGCAGAAAGTGATCTTATTCTGGGATATCTCTGTGATGTGTACGAAAAGAACATCGACATTCAAGTCCGCTTCAAATGGAGTCCGAGGACAAGCGCTCTCTGGGATAACAGGTTAGTAGGTTTTCTACGCTCCAATGGTAGCATCAGACTAAAGGCATAATATAGGATCACCATCCACAATGCTAGCTGGGATTACGAAGGTTCGCAGCCACGACACGGTACAAGAGTAACGGCGTTGGCCGAGAAGCCTTTCTTTGATCCAAAAGCACCGACGCGGCGAGAGGGCCTGGGCTTTCTGGGTAAAGACGAGATCGATGAATTGAATAATCATTGATGATTCTACGTGTTAAATGATTTATATGAACATGGAACCTAAAGATATTTCTTAGCTATAGCCTCATGAGCCCTAGGCTTCCAAGGCTCTTTCCAGCTAGTGCACCTAGATGAGTTGTGGCTAGAATGTACGACCTTATCATTGTGCATTAAATTTGCATAGACTGCCAAAGGTGACCACGCAGTGTAAGTTCCTGGCATTTTGTCTCTCGAGGAAGGCAGCCATAAGGATTCAACTCTAGATCATTATAATTAGATATGGTGAGCATCTCGTACGCCTTAATGGGTCGTATCCATTATTTCAATCTAGTGAGAGAGTCTATAATTGTCCTGAAATCGCATGATATGCAATATTGGGATCACAATACAATGTTGTGTGGGGATATTGGGTGTTCTTGGCAGCTCGCCAAAGAAACCCTCGACTCCAGACACTGCGAAAAAGATGGTACTGGCAGCACGCATTTCCAGTCCAGTCTGAAATTCAAAGATGTATTTCGGATATCCAGATCCTTTGGTCCGACCTATTCATGGATAATTAAGGGGTTATTTCACGTAAAATTAGGATTTACTTGCGACGTAATATGTAAATCCAGTGAAATACTTCCGGAGCATATGCAAAAGACGAGGTCTCGCCCTTGGGGGCCTTCACTGGCGTACGGGACACAAGTTCCCAATAACTCGCCAAAAACTCAAGGTTGTCGAACCGCGTAGCCGAATACGAAAGTGTCATCCACGTAGTACCTTGCCTTGTCAATGGGACCAGGTGCAGCCCCAACAGCTCTACCGGCGACAACGTTAACCCTCCCTGACGGTTAATAACTTCGCGTATTGTAGGACAAAGGCCAGACGAGGTAAAATCCGCCGGGAAGGAAATCAACTCGCCAGTCGCAATAGCATCACTGGTGCTTTTGTCTAGGATCATGTCAAACGGTGCGAACGAGAAAAGACCGATCATATTATCCCAGGATCGTAGGTCTACCTGTAGCCACTGCATGGCATGAGAGAGGTCCTCTGTGTTCTCTTGTTCTCGGCCCAAACGGACAGCTTCGGCGGAAAAGTCGGCATTCTGTGATACCCAGGAGAGTGAGTAATGAGTGAGGCTGCCTGAAGGAAAGAATGTACAAACCACTATGTAACTTCCCGTCCAATTTTGCTTCACAAAGGCATCGCGAAGTTTTGTTCCCAGCTTCGAAATGCCCGGTCCCAGATGTAACACGCGTGGAATCGCGTCAGATGCGGATAATGGTCGACCTTGTAAGTCGGACAGGGCCGCATCGATGAGCGCCTCGCCAGGATTCAGCCATTCACCGACATCCTGGCCGGTCGCAAACTTGTTATCCCAGTACGACGGGTCGTCATAGTCTGGCACGCCAGCTATTTTGGTGTGTTTTCTCCCATTTGGTGGGGTTGGCATTCTTTCGTGGTGTGGAGCGAAAAAGTCAACATTGTTGACGTCAGGTGATGTTTTTGTACAGTCATCTTCTGGTAGGTAACTAGTTAATGTAATTCCCCACCGAGATGCGCACCTCTGGCCTGGATTAGAAAAAATACGCTTTACACCCCGAAAAAATGCATTTTTATATAAAAATTAATAGAATATTGTAACACAGGTTGACCGACTGCCTGGTGGTATAGGTGTTTTAAGTCGTATATGAAGCTGCTTAAGTACACTCGCTGAATTGAATGGAATTAGGACAGTTGATAAAAAGTCATTTTTAATAATATTTAGCTTAAATGCTTCTAAATGGGCCTGTGGAATATGCTTAATATGAATATAGCCAAGCCGTGCCTTATTTTCAACTAAGCGCCCGTAGGCCCGCTTAAGTGGTGAAAAGCGTGCAATATCAAGGGTGCAAGAGGTTTGATGGGTATGCTGGCATGCAGGTTAGTATAATATCATTATATGCACATATCTGATTAAAATAAGTTAGACGGCCTCCATGGCCATCTAGAACAAGTAGGCGATATACCCGTTGCACGACTAGTTGCAGCAGAGAGCTTTTGAAGCCAGCATAATCCAACCTCAGTAGTCCGGCCATTTTAAATAACTTCAATCCTCCAATCAGGTGGTAGGGCTTTATCTTCATACCAACCCTTAATATGGACCTTTCCCTTGAAGAATTGTACAGGGCAGTAGAGCGCCCATGCTGTAGAATTCACACATTTAGTTAAAGTAAGCTATTCCCGGTTTTCAGGGTGTGAAGCTGACGCATGCCATATATATCATTCAATATATAAATGGAGGTCAGGATACATATATATAACAACAAATAGTGCGTATATAGTTAAATATTGTTTGAGTAATATAACTACAACTTTTTGCAGACCTCGCCTTGCCTACAGGAGCTTTACTAGTAATAGTATGCCACTATACTAGTAAAAAGTAAGGTGCAATATTGCCGGACGTGTTATAAAATTGATATTTCGAAAGAAGTTGTCAAGCTGGCAGCTAAGTGGGTAAGGAAAAGAATTGATTAATAAAGCAAAGACATACAAAAAATAGGCATAGCCAAAGGGACAGTAGCAAAAATATCTAGCTTTTTAAATTGCCATAGCTATTTTATTCAGCAGGGGTTAAATACAAAGCATACTAGAATACTCCTAGACTGCTGTTCAGTGTCTAAAGGATTCCAAGATCTGCCTAGATTAACATGCCAGAGGTGTTTTAAGCCTGTGTTGGGAAGACTGTTGACCAAGGTATGTAGTATGCATACCGAGGGATGAGTGAAAATCATGCATACTAAAGAGGTTTCGGGGTTAAAAGAAACCCTCCCTCCCCCCAAAGGTATTACAGCACTTGGAGTATAAAAGAAGCTGTAAAGGGCACCACCGGCCCCTTCTCATTGAGGCGTTTCGAAGACGCGAAGAAAAGGGGGGGGGGTGGTTAAAAGAATCCGAGGTGAGCGCTCAAAGTAGCGAAGGGAGGAGGTTTCCTACGTGACACATATACAATTGCTTCCATAAGATTTACGTAGTTGGAGCCTAACAACAAAATCTTGTTATAATTAGGCCATGGGAGTGAAATAAAAAACAATACTATAAAGAAATAATAAATGCTGACGCTATTGGGATAGTAAATATGTAGCTGCAATCCAGATTTAAGGAGAATTGTATCTTAAGATCAGCGTCCTTTGCTATTGACTTTGGGATTGAAAAGTAGTTTGAATACATGCTTGACCTAGCGCTAGAATTCAGAAAATTGTCCCTTCAATTTTCCTACCTAGATAAAAGCCACGAGAGCGTGAGTGATACATTACCACTATTCTGATAAAGCTCTCTCCTATCATGGGAACGAACTATATGATCGTAGAACACTTGCTAACCAGACAGGTAACTGGAGCAGATGAGATTGCAACACAGGGTCTATATCTCCGAGTACAAATAATGTATCAATTACTGCCCCCTGAAAATGACTTATTTGGTGTGAATTTAAACAGCTGACGACAGGATCAATATACGAGATGGGAATGGGCATAGAGCCCAACCTAGGTTTCGACAGCAAAGATAGTATTGTGGAAACTTCCCTACGATCAGATAAACCAAACCTTTTATGTATTTTGACAGAATAAAGCTCACAGCTAGTAGAGGGGTATTCATCTCAGGCAGGGCGTTTCCCCCCCGACCGATCCTCTCAGGCTGTGACTACCCTGTAACTAAGATTCAGGAGAAATAATAGGTAAGCAACGACAACGCCACCGCAAGATGATCAGTATAAGGTCCTCATCTGCTGGCCGTTTAATTAGTCGACCAGATTTTGAGAAGGGAGAAGTCTATTGGCAGGTGTCCATCCAATCACTACGGTCCATTTCCAGCTCGAGGCCTATTCTGCAGCAGAACCAGAAACCTCAACACGCCACTTCCAATAAAAATTACCGTGTCCAATCGAGCCAACCACCTCCCTGAAAAAGTCATCTCATTCATTCGTTACGTTACACCTGCTGTCTCGTGACTACCCCGCATCCGCATGGTATATATACCCTGACCATCTTATATCACCATCAACTTGATCCGATTCAACCTTCAGGAATATTTGTCTCGATCATTTCCATCGACTCATTTAGTCTACACAAATTCTTAATCTATTAGAAACCTTTGCAAAGATGTCAGCGCCTCAGGTCCTACAGAGTCTCTCCACTCTGGGGTCATCTGTAGGACAGTACTCGAGACAGCAACTCTCGACTCTGAGAAACCGTATCTTCAAGACAGGTAGGCCGCCAGTGATCCCGACGTGTCCTACTAGTCTTCTAACTGTCCAAAGACAAGTCTCGACGCAGGGCGCAGATCGTTCAGACCTCTTTCGCGGTGCATCGCCCCGTCTGGATCACTGCGGGAGGGGCGGCATACACCACTATGGGCGCTGTCTACCTTACACTACAATACATGCGTCGATTGAAGCGGTAGCTGTGTACTAAACAGGTCGGAAGGATGCTCCTTCACATACGATGAAGCAAATACAGCATAGGATAGATCCTAGACAGGATACTCGTATTTTCTTTTGTTAACTCCATATGATTTTCAACGGGAGGAATGGTTATTTCGGACGGATTATTCTTATTCAAATGCCACAGGATGGCCAGGAGAAATGGAGTTTTAGCATGTTCTGATCATTATTTGGCGAATCGCACTGTGGGATGGATGAATCAGGGATGAACGAAGAGGGGAACAGGGAGACAGGGGTCCATGTCAACTAGTGACCTCATTGATGTAAATTCAATACATATAAATAGGGATGACATGAAATCCAATTAACTTCAAAACTATCTACGTCCATCATGCCACATCTTCTGCACCGGTGGCATCACCGAGGCCATAGTAAGGGGTATTAAGGGCCAGGGTTGAATATACTGGAGGAGAGTTCTTGATGCTAGGCGGTCTGATATCACCACTCTCATCAACAATACGTGTCTATGAGTAATAACTGGCACATCGGTCCACTAGGAAGCTTCTTCTGGACAACCATGGCAGTACTTTCCCCCAGGTCCACCGTAGTTGACGACACCACTTCCCGAGTGGTACATACCCATCACCCATGATGGTGGGGGGCGATTGGCCGGGGACCGCCGGCACCAGCTTGGCTTGCAGATTGAGTTGCAACCCCGCTCCTTGGGGCCAATGGGCATTGGAAGCCAGGTTTCACTGCAGCATACCCCGGATGCTTGGCAACCCCGCACAATCCTGGGATGGGGCCAGAATCACAATAGGGGTAGAGAGAAGATAGGGGTTATTTATAGGTCAGAATGATTGGCTTCGGCACGTCTCAGAATTATGTGTAACTCTATGAGAGCTAGCATGTGCATTATGTTGTGTTGACCCCTGTCCTTCGGCATCAGCGTGACGTGTGGTTATTCACATGATGTCCAAATATGGACTAGCGGTATTCGGACAGCACGAGTGGTACGATAGTGCAAGAGAGATTGGAATTCAAGGTAGGTCGTTATTGACACTAACACTACAGAGTACAATGGAATGCAGAGTTACTAGGTGCCTTTAAGTGATCTCTGTTGTCAATATGCCTACTCAGACACCGGTGAGAGGATCGTTTCATTTGGTATAGGTCCAATTCCCAATAACGCTGAAATGATCCATCCAAGTTTCCCCTCGGAAGGACCAATTTCCAGGGGAACGTGGTCATTAGAATTGGCTCCGACATGCAAGAAATTAAGCTTTCTACTGGGTCTGACGACCAGATTTTCTTAATACTACAGAGTAGAGTAGGTGTAAAGAGAGCACGGTTGACGGTCGATCACACCTTCAATAGAAGAATCAGGTACCTGGGCTTCTTGTTTAGCCCCATTTCTTTTTCCACCATATCAAGGGTTGCAAGAATAGACGCGAAGAGGTTATCCAGAACATGCAGCGTATGTTCAAGACCACCTGTTTTCTTCATCTCCGAAAGAATGTACTGTTTGATTTCTTCGAAGATTTCACCTCTTGTCTCATCCTCGACCGGAACAAATACTTTTGGAAACTCTTTGTATCGCCACTATGCTGTAGCAGATGAATACGCGGAAAAGAGAACTTACCTTCGGAAAGATCGTCCAAAATCACTTTTTGACGGTATACTAGTTCATGTATCAGCGTGGGCTTTAAAATGTTGGACCAGTTTATCCTGAACATACCTCCAACTCCAAGTTCTAATAATCATCCCAAATTTGATAGTATCTCCCCACCAGAGTCATGAGATGAATAAGTTTAGGATTGAGCGGAGCGCCCGCTTCAACCTGCATCAATTGCAGGGCCAGCTGGAAGAACCCGCCAGTTCTGTGGTCCACCATCACCAGGTACTCGCTCACTGTGGGGCATTTTTGATGAAGGATCCAGTTGAGGTCCAGCCCCTGCAGGACCTTGCTGGAGGATATCAAGCTCTCTTTCACAATCAGGGTATAGCTACATATACATGGGTATAAACCTACCTAACATAACTCCCATACAACCGGGATGTAGATGCATGTTAACCAGGACCGTGGCTGTGCCATACGTATATGTGACCGAGTTGACTGTTTGGCTTAGCCCGTACTTGGCATGAGCAGCAGGCAACCCGCGCCGCAGTCGAGAGCCATCCCCAATATCATCGATCCTGCTCAGTCGCCAGTAAGCTGAATTTTATAGGTGCAAACGAACGTACATCAAAGACACAGTGAAAAGCTCCGTCATGACGTCCTTGATAACAGAGAGCGATTCAGCCGATGGCTTAAATCACGGACACAGGCACCAATTTGCTAAGAGTGTTTTTCCCGGAAAGGGACTTTGTATAGTTGAAGGGGTCTATGCAGATCTGGCAGTCATCAACTACGGAACGTGATGAACTGGTGGTCGTAAACCTTTTCAGCTTCTGCCTTCTGAAATGGGGCAAGTATATCATAAGAACTGGATAGAAAACCACCATTCCTTTGCTCATCACTCCCAGAATGCCAGTTAGTCTGCTCATATATGCCTTTAAACCCACCTTTTCTTCTCGTTGTCGGTTCATGACTCCTTTCATCTTGAATGGTGGTGGATAGCTCTCCGATCGCAAAAGCGTTGTATGATCCCGCGAGACAAGTTTGAGTTTGGTCTGCTTCTGTAGCAGACGATGGAACACAATACTGAGGATATTGTGACTGCCAAAAGTTACTTTTTCCAATAGCTAAGATGAAGAGGCCCATATAGACTCGGAGGTTGGCTGATTTATATTCGTCCGAAGCCTTCCATTTTCTATGCCCTTCCATGAGGCTATTCTCAGTAGATAGAACCTCACATTTGATGATGCCTTTCGCCTCTTCTTCACTATATCCATAATTCATCATCAATGACTACCACATTTTGCATTTCATCAATAGTTCCGCAAGAAAAATGCTTGTCGAACTGTGTCTTAAAAGTATAATAATGATTCGATAATGCAACGCCCAGATACCTGTACTGCCAGAGATCCGAGATGGAATTCTTCTCTTCAGATATATAGTAACCCTGCAGCTGCATGAACAAAGAGCTCTCTACTACCGGTCAGCATTATTCAAAAAAAAGAAAAAGAAAAAAAATATACGGGGCCAAAGATTGCCTGTATATACTTAGTCATGACAGCTGTAGCACTACCTACGCAAGTGTTTTTGAAAGATCTAAATATCATTCCATAATGCAAGTGTCGTGACTGGGCAGTGACTATACACAAAAGAGCTTTAATACATGTTCCTTTCACGTCAGGCCGGGTGCCAATAGTAAAATCTACCATTGCTTTGGCTAGTACGATATTGCCGTCACATGAAAGTTTCGGATAAGACCCCATTTCCAATAGGTAACGAGGAAATGCATAAGGCTTTTATAAACGCCTCTAGCTAGAGCAGTCGTTAGTATGCTGCAATAAGGTATGTTCTGGAACCTATATAGCCGAGACCAAGAGAATTAATCGCATCTAGATTTATAAATCACTTATGTACTTGATTTTACAGGGTTACAGGGCCATCCAAAATGTAGTATGATCTCTATTATAGCTGCTAGAATACGCATATCATAGGAGGAAGCCCCTGGTATGCTCCACTTAAATGCGTGGCCGCGCGGAGTACTGGCACCGCCTTTTAGAAGCTCGTCTGGTTCCCTATTCAGCAGCTTGGCAATTGTACTCGTCAGAGTACACTACATCACTGGCTTCACTGCTTATATTAGACTCCTGGTAGGGGAGAATATTAAAGAACCGGGGCCACTGGGCTTATTCGGATCTGGGGGACTCGAATGTTGTAATATTGTAATAGAAATCTTCAAGGACTAACATTGTACTTTGGAGCAAGAGTATGTTTGGAAAGATGTCGGAAGGTGGTGGAGGGGAAGGTGGTAGTGCTCTCCTGGAATGGGAATCGAGGCTTTATTTATGATATGTTATGGGACAGCTTGTAAATTTAACAACACTACATATAAGTCTGCCAAGATTATTCGGCAATGCAATGCTACTCGTCCAAGTGCACACCAGAGAAAAACTACTATCTCTGTTCTTGCACCTAGAATGTTCAACTTATCTATATACGCAACAGCATTGTAAACAGAATCGAACACATTTTTAACATCTTTGTTTTGTCAAACGACTATGCAATGGGGTTGGATGGATTCAGGGAGACACGCCCATCGCTTGGATATTTAACGATGCTAGGGACACTTGTAATCACAATGCTCAGTTTGGATAAAGCTACGGTATGTTATATCTGGTTATGGGCAATAAAAAGATTATAGACAACTTGGCCAGTTGGAATGGATGGGAACCAGATGCATCTTGTATGTGCTGCAAGGGTATACCAGACGCATTGGCAGCTGAAACCCTTAATTCACTCGATTCAGCGTTTTTTGATGGACTATCCCGGCAGCTACCTCTGCGCCCTATCCAATTCATAGTGGAACTGTAGTCCGGTGGGGCCTTTCCAATTATTCTTCAGAAAGGGTCCGTTGAGCAAGGTCAATCGTTGTAGTGGCTCGACCATAAGGACGGAGCTGATGTCTTATTTACAGGCGTGGCTCAACAAGACGGCATTAGAATCATCTCTTGAAGGCCAAAAAAGAAACGTATTTCGAAGCCGTGAGTATTCCTCAGCCTTGAGTCGAAAACCCGATTTCACTAAGTGACGGTTCAAATAGAGATTACCAAGAGAAGCGAAAACGATACGTGAAATGTATAAGGTACTCCTTTCACGGACTAACATGCCTGCAAATGCAGAATTGTCAGTAAGAATGAGAATTATATAATTTCGACCCTGTCCATGGTCAAAATCAGCAGAGAATCCGTGATGAATTCTCGCACCTGCGCCGTCTTACCGAGGGATTCTCGCAGGAAAAGCGACCCATGAGAGTACTAATAGATGCGGGGCACTTATAATAAGCGCACCCTCCTCCTTTTCAACACTGACCAAGCAAATTTATAAATTCCCTATCCCTTGCTCAATCAAGATGCTCAAGACACCGGCAATTATCATCACCCCAGGCGCATGGCACACCCCGCGACACTACCAGCGCCTCATCGACCGTCTCTCTCAACACAACTACCCCGCCATAGGCGTGAGACTCCCCTCCGTGAATTCGAGCCCTCCCCTCCACACTTGGGAGCAGGATGCGCAAGCCGTACGAGGAGCCATCATGGAGAAGCTCAATGGCGGACTGGATGTGGTCGCAGTTTCTCACTCCTTCGGCGGAATCATCATGTCTGAAGCGGTTAAGGGTCTGGGCAAGGCATCGCGTCAGAAGCAAGGATTCAGCACAGGTATTTTGAGATTGGTGTACATGTGCAGCATGGCGATACCGCAAGGCCAGACGCACGTCGGTCAGATGAAGGCTATAACGCCGGAGGAGGAAAAGCAGGAGAAAAGAAGGCGGCAGGAAGCGGACATATCTGGCGGGATGCGTTATACTAAGGTACTTATGCTGAACTCTAGGGTGTCCAACCGCTACTGACTGGTGCATCTAGGATGGAGCAATTATCATCTCCAGAGATGCCGCCCGTAAAGTCTTTTACAACCGGTGTGACCCCGCGGACGTGGAGGAGGCATTGGACATGCTGGGCTCGTTCCCGTCGGGCCCGTTAACTGTACCGGCTACGTATACGGCGTATCGCGAGATCCCTAGTACGTATATTGTCTGCGAGAATGACAATGCGTTGCCGCTTCCCTTCCAGGAGAGAATGATTGCCCAAGGGGGGGGTGTGTTTCATGTCGAGCGCTGCCAGGAGGGCCATTCGCCATTTCTGAGCAATCCGGAGTTTGTGGTGCAGTGTATTCAGAGAGCCGCTGGGGAGGACGTATAGTGTGCATTAAAGCCAGGGCAAGGGAATTTTCATGCGAGGTGAACTGACTTTGTTCATTCGGCCCCGCGGTTCCAATAGTGTAACCAGAATAGAGACTTTGTAACCCTGTAGGAACGAATTGATACTGTCACCGAGATACTCCCAAACACCATCCTGATCCACCATTTCGGCAAAAACGCGATCAAAAACGAATGGCTTGCAACCCTGGGGAACATCGACGGCTAGACTGGTTGGCGTGGTGACGTGGACCATCGAGCGCTGGAAACGTTGCGGAATTAACTCGTAGAAGTCGTTTGCGCTTCAGAGGGGGGTCGGACACGGACGGCTGGAGATACGTCAATATCAATTTACGATGATGAAGATGAAGATGATGATTTACCATTCTTTGTTCGGAGATGTGGCTCATTCCTCCCATATCTCCCCGGGCAGTTATATCATAATACAGGACATAATATATGTTGACCGTGTAATGTTAATCGTAATGCTCATCAGTCTTAATTGTAGCATGTTGGGCCAGAGATCTGTAATGCTAATAGAATGAGAACAGGCTTACCACTAATACGCCAATTGTAACAGAGGCAAATGTTCAACGATATACAACGTACTCAGACCTAGCCATCTCCGATCAACAGGCAATATGCACAAGACTTAGGAATAGATCCCCTTAATTCCCCTCTTCTACTGGTTGTGACTACGCGATAGACCAATCAGGCACATCGATTATTTCGATTGACTTCAATGTTTCAAAATATGAGCCCTTATATGTGCACTGTGGCAATTACCACAAGCTCGATACTTATAGCAATGCACCAGTCTCGGAGTGTCCAATAGTCTTCTTGTCAATGGTCTACGAAAATGTCAATACTGAACAAATTATCATATAATATGCTAGTACTTAATTAGACATGGCGATCTGTAGAAATTGACTGATTTCGTTCTGCAGATCCATCTTCCACCTATCCCATAATACCACTTACAATCCATATAATGTCAGAATCACCTTGTTAGAGCCCTCTTCCGGATTAACATCCCCAACATACACTAGGAACCCGCTACCGATCTTGGCTCCGACCACTGCCGTCTGCGACTCGTCGACTGAGGAAGGGCCAAAAACAAGAGACGCCACTTTAGCCTTAGGAACAGATACAAAAAATTTTTCGTTTGGCCGAGAATCCTTAATATGTAGGACCTTCATGCTATATGGGGATGGGTTGAATGTGAAGGTAGTTTGGTGATAACCTCCGTTCTTCCACGGAAGGCCAAAAGACTTTTTGAAGAGCTTGGTGAAGTCATTCATGGGAGTGAAATTGGGAAGTGGAGCCCAAATATGACGCGGCCACAGGAGCTTGCAGGTATGACAGCACTTTTAAAGGACGGGCGCAAATTCCTTTTCGTCAGTCCCTCGTCGGTGACAATGAAGGCTTTAGGAGTCTTGGACTCCAGACAATTTCTCACGCCTCCGGGGTTTTGGCGCGCACAATTTGGCTCTATCGGTGGGGTTGTCAAATAAGGACGAGTAGGTGTCATCGAGAAACTCGCGATAGGTGACTGAGGAGGATCTCAGGGCGTTCCGCCATTTTGCAGTTTGAGTATGGGTTGTCCTGTCAAGAGTTTGGAGAAAGAGAAAAGTTGAACCCATAAACAGGTGACTGGAAGGGCCAACCCACGTTCCTGCGTAAAAAATATATGCCCTTTAGTTACACCGCATTCATCGTAGTAATCAACACTAAAGAAAGTGGGTGGCCCGCCATCAAGTCCTCGTTAGTGCACTCCGTACTTTGTTTGTCTTGATTCCCCCCTTTCGTCGAGGTTGTTGCAAAAGGGTCATTTTATAGAAAATTGGACAGAGGATCTGCTACAGCCACATCGCGCTCGCTCCTGCCACACACCCGTTTATACCTATTTTAGTTCAGCCTATATTTCAAATACTAGTCCACTCAGTAATCCACAATGCCTGATCATCAGACGATCATCAGGCACTAAACCTAATTCTATGAATGACGTAATCCATAAGCGAGAGCCTCGAGCAACCCACCAACATGCCACGAGTCACTTTTTGCCTTCACAAACACGATTCCTTCACACTGGAGGAGAATACTACAGTAATGCCACTATATCTCCTACAGTATTATGGCTTTTCGGCTATTCTATCGTTTGTTCCATCGTACTCCCTATCCTGACCGCGAATCCCATCAACGACGGGAACCAGCAGGCCATCCACAACCAACAACGCCTTGCTCACCTTCGGCTCCGTTTCCGTTCAACAACGTTCCTAACTGGTCACGCGCTGTCTTGGAGTCGGTCGGAATCGATATCTCGACGTGCCAGGTTAACGGTGACCACAATAAAGCCCGCCAACTACCAATAGTTCCCCCGGACTATCGATGTTTGGCAGAGGATCAAGGTTATATAGGTTGTGAAATCAATCTGCAGCCTCAGAGTCTCCTCTTTTCGCGCCTGCCACTGGAAGTCCGTGATCTCATATATTTCTATGTGCTAGGGAACCGCCGCATTCATGTGGACTATGATTTCCATCCCCGAAAGGGACAATGGCGATGGTGGTACCGCATTTGTGACGATCCTCAGCACTGCCCTGATAAATCTGACCCATTTGTTTGCCCTGAGTATGCAGGAGCAGAGGAGGCAATGCTGGAACTCGGGTCGAATTCCTGGGTAAAACCAGGATTTGAATATAAATTGCATGCAGTGAGCTGGCTGACATGCTGCTCGAGAGCGTGAATACCAACCCTAAATTCCACTTCTTAAGACGGATTGTATCTTAGGCGATGCTAATCATGCCTGCTCAGCTACCAAGAATCCCTGGCGGTGCTATACCGCTCTAATTGCTTCGTCCTGACCCATGGCATTGATCAGCTATTTCGGTTTTCCCGTGTCATGCCCAAATTCCACCTGTCATTGATCACTTCAATGAGTATCGAAATAGACATCTATCGTGTCTCCAGGGGCCCGCCGAATATGGAGGACAGTTTCCAGGAATTTTACAATGCTTTCTTTGAGATACTAAAGTATACCTTACCTAGCATAAACCATTTGCGACTCTCTATCGTGGGCTTGCCCAACCGGGGCAACAGAGAAATACAATGGTTGGAGGATAGTGAGTGGAAGTGGATTGGGCCATGGGAGAGTCTGTGTGAAAGCCATGACTGGAAATTGTTGGAGATCGCTATTCCCAGGACGTGGTTCTCGGACTTCGAAGACGTGGTCCAGAGAAGAAGCAAACTAGCAGAAAATAAACGATACAGGCTTGTGATGGGGGTGGACCTTTATCCCAGGGGATGGTAAGACCACAGCAGAAGGACGATGAGTCTCAACATCAATCGTATCGGTTCCCGGAGTCATACCACTAGAGCATTGACGAATATTATACTCCAGTCCTACATCAGTATTTGTTCCCGGGAAGGTTATCATGTCGCGGATCAATCCCAGCGAGAAAGACCATTCAACATCACCGTCTGCTGCAGGCCACAGGCTATCATGCGGAAGACAGGGCAGACTACGTAACGTTTCCATTAGGGGATGGTCTGGTATTGCTGCGCTGATATCTGCTGGTGCACATTTGTCCAACAATCTTTGGCTTTTCACGTGCCGCCATGTGCAGACAATTTATGATGTATATCATATTGGTTAGATGTATAAAGATTTGCCGGTTGGCTGGAGATTCAGGAATATTCATAACCATTCTTTTGGGTGTCCCAAAGTTTCCATCAATAGGCGATTCTCGCGGTGGCAAGAGACAGGTGTTTCGCAGCTGCGATGTATCTGTTATTTCTTGGTATAGGTCCATTATTTCACGATCTGCAGGCAGGAATAGGATGTCAGCGGACTGGGTTCTGTATCCTGGCTAGCTCGTTCGTATATTCCTCTTGGCAGCGGAATGGCGCTGCATATGCTCAGTATAACAGGTGGAGAATAATCGCGGGGTGTCATCTCAGTCGGGTAATATGTCGCGCTCCAATGCTGCGCCCTGTAAAAGTTTCGTCACCATCATGTCAACATAAAATGTTGGCAGATGTTAGTAGCTCCGATAAGGCTAAATCTCGAAGATGATAAGGTATAAAATGGTGGGATTTCAATCAACATCTACAATCATTTGATTCAGTAAAGCGTCATCTTCTGAGTTCTACCAAGACAAATTGATTCATTATTTCTATCTTTCGGACAGACTGTTACAGTAAGTTCGTAGATTTCTATGGATGACTACCTATTAACTACAAACCTGCTTACTCATTATGACGTCCTGATAAGCAACACTCCACACAATATATCATACCCAACTTAAGGCATGTGCTTCGGATCCTACAAGGACAGCGACCCCTTATGGTGGGGGTACATCGATGATGGAAAGGGCTGGACAGCCCGTCGCAAATCGGAGTACATGAAAACACCCCTATACAACAAGGAGCTCCGACGCGGAATGCGCCAGCAGAGGAGGGCATATGAGATGGGAAATAATGGCCGCGTTCCTGTTCCTCAGTCCGCCTATAAGCACGACTAAATGCTATTGATAGAGCCGTCAAGCACATGGTCTATGCACTGGGCAGTTTTTAGCGAGTCATTTCTGGAGCTGGAATGAAATTACGATACTATGAATGAAAATGAGCAAGAGAGATTCAATATTCTTTGTTGTCTACCGTCTTGGGTTCCAGGTTTGATGTATGCTAAGGCTCATTTACAATTATTCTGATATTGAGACCAAATGAGCAACCAAGAAGCAGTCAAGAGGTAGGTGATGAGTTGTAGAGAGCAGCAGATATCAAGTTAAGGAAATTGCAACCTATATACCTATAAGTACTTTCCTATGTCCTAGATATTGGACTAGCTGCTATACCATGTTGAAAGATGTATACTCCCTTGGCCATATGCCCACGTCCTGCGTCGCACCAAGGCGGTGGCTAACGTCCTGAGCCAGGACGTACACCTGGGGTGACTGTCGTGGAGAGCTTGTCCACTTCCGAAACCCAGCTTATCAGCTGGGACAAGTTCTATGGGACAGCACCATCTCGCAGCCTAGAAGACGACCTGCAGACCAATTTGAAGCCAACCTGTCCTTGAATCTTCATCAGATCCACAATGTGGCAAAATATTATGCATTGGAGCATGCCACCAGGGACATCAGATGTGCATCATTTGTGTGTATGAGGTAGACCGTCAACGCCCCCTGTCCAGGGATGAGGCCAAGGGCCTGGAGTCTGGCTAGGAGTGGACTGTGCTCAAGAGGTCCTCCGCTGCTTGACAATCTATATGGGTTAGAGATAAGATTCCATGAGAAGATCACCATCGGCAATGTCATGATCATCAGACTGTACAAAGACCAGAGGAGCCTGGTTCGGGATGTCCTTAGAGAACATGGCGTCGGGTACTGCGACAATCTGACCGTTCACACTTCCCAAATCAACTAAGTCCCCACTGTAGTTTTAAAGCCCTCCCAGGACCCTAACATTGCTGGCTTCATTGGCGATATGAACCGGTTCAACGCGGTTCTCAGTCGGGCACAAAAGTTCTTGGTTATCCTCGGTAACCTAGACGCTTGGAATAGACGGGCCGTTGATGACCTGCATAAACGGGCTGGGATGAGGAATGGTTTTCTCATCCAACTGTTGCGCGATGTCACCGACAGGGGCCACACACTGACATGGGCTGGTGTCAGGACAGTGGCTGAGAGAGAACCCCCTGGGAACATACTCTACTTTGCTCACGACAGGAGCATCCCCCCGTCTGGCCGTTCGTAGGCCCGCAATCGTTCCGCCGTCCATGAGAGCTAACTTGGCTGCCGGACCCGACCCGGCACGGTCGCTCCTTGACCATTTATCCACAACGCATAGAAGCAAATGAAAGTGTTGCGGATAGCGAGGGTCCTGGATTTTATTGCGGTGGAAAACGCTCCGCGAACTCTACACCGGTTCCTCGCTCGTGGGGAGTTCAGCCTTCATGATGACCGGTGGTTCACAAAGCCATGGGGTGTGCAGGGTGGGAAGCCTGGAAGCCGGTCCCGAAAGTGCTGTATCAGTATTCTTGATCGTCGGATAATCCTCGCACAACTGTTCTACCATTCAAGTGCGATCATATTCGGGTTGATCCCGGCGATCTGCTCGAACAGGTGACATGGGGCGGAGGTGGGCTGGGAGATCTGTTAACGCGGCCGCTGAGAATGTATCATTGGAAGTTCATCTTGAGCTCGTCTCGATAGAGGGAGCTGGGTTTGGGTATGTAGTTGTTGTGAACCCTCACGACTTTAGTGTATGCCTGGAAGAGACCAGACAAGTCAGGGAGAAAGTACATTAGCCATGAGACTCATTGGGGTATCTTCCGGTCTATGATCGGGTGGAAGTTTGCAGAAGCTGCGAGAACATGTCTTCAAAAGACCGGTTTGCCTCCACCAACGCCCCAGCGGGACCTTGGCTCGTACAGACTCATGCTGGGCTGAAGTATGTGAGACTGGTATGCCGAGAGGCGGGTGCAAAAGTACTGGGACTCGGAATGAATGCGACCATGACGTTTCCTGATCCAATGTTAATCGGAGCTCGTGCTATGATTTGAACCATCTGCTTTGTAGGTGGACTTGGAGAATTAGATTAGAGAAGGACTGAAAATCGGATGGTGATGAGAATGGAGAGACTGTGGGCGACAATAGCACACGTGATCAGTCACCTCCTAATTTGAGTCTTCTACTCGTATTGCGAAATTTGAATAACGACGTAGGATCACTCCATAGATACTTTCTTGTACGTTGAACAAACCCTATCTCCCTCTATATCTGCGAATGACTGCTTCTTCCAGCAATGAATCAATCCTCTTTTTCCACTTTTCCCTGTGGTTCACTGATTAAAAGACTGACAAGGCTCGGCAGAAAAGAACTCAAATGCGAGTTAGCAATCCATGGGAATAGCTGATGCTAAAATATAGTCATTAAAAGTCCTTGTGCATTCACAAACTCACACAGGAGGAGTAGGGAATACTGCTCTTGTTTAATTTTACTTAGTTGATTGACGTCTAAAAATGACTATTAACCGTGCCATGGACTGCGGGCTGATATCCTGGCATGTCCGACGGCCCGGAGAGCGCGAGGCAAAAACAAGCCACTCTTGGCAGTTTTCTTCTGTGGCTTTGCCATATGCGAGCACATGTACCCCAGTGCAACTACGGAGAGATTAAATCTGCACCGAGTGACGTTGTCCTTAAAGTAGGGCCTTCTGCTTTCGATCAGATGATCGGCTAATTACCGGCTCAGCCACAACCTCGGTTCGGCATACCGAAGATGCCATGTGTTGGGCTCCTCATCGCTCGGTGAAGGTGAGTGTGGTTATGTGGTTGATTATGATCTAAAATATATAGCTGATAGTGAAATTATCTGTGCAAAATGTGCAGAGAATGGCAACATATAACCTTGCTAAAGTAAAGCGTTATTGCTGCTGTCCCGAGAGCTGCACAGTCGCAGGATTATCCACCTTTCTTGTGAGGTAGACGTCTAGATGCTTGTCAGTAATAGTTGGTAGCTCCAAGAGCTATCCACTAATCTATTAGGTATGGATGGTCGACAAAACTTCTATATTAAACTACTGTACGCTTGCACGCTATTTTCTAACCAAATATGCAACTTTGACATGACACACAGATGTTGTACATGATGACGAGATTGTAAGGCCACTCCTTAAAAGAACAAAAGAAGGGAAAGAAATAAAAGAAAGGAGAGGGTGAAAATATATGCAAGGCGAATACAAACCAAGGACAAAAGAAAAGAGAATGAGACAAAAGCGGTCATACTTCAGCAACTCTACATCCCGTTATATTCAACGTCCTAGTGCTGTCTCCAGACTCGTCCCGTTCACTCGTTTCCCCAAGCTCTTTATGCTGGTTAGCCTCTTCCAGGAGCAACCGCCGTTGTCGCCTATACATCCGCCAAAACACAACACTGCCATGTATCTGAGCGGCAGAAAAGGCTGCATGAAGCATTGGGGTGATAACTTTAAATGCGATCTGCCAACGCTGCCAGAGGCAGCCAAAAAGAAACATTATCACAACAGTTTCGCAAAGCGTGCCGAACGCGGTTGTTATACAGGATAAAAGGAAAACCCGACTCAGGAAGCGGTGCCGCTGCGGATATACCCGATAAAGAACGATCGCTACATGCGGGAAAAATTCAGAGATGATGTCGAACACTCCTGTTACAAACCAGGTCAGCTCATGCATTGCACAGAAACATATGTTGACCTACCCCAGATGGTACACAGCATAAATTCAATATCAGCATCGGGCTCACGGAGCGGCTCTAAGCTAATCGCAATAGCGGTCTGCCCGATGATGATTGTTCCAACGTGGTGCAATACAGCAACAGGTGACAGTTTTATTCGATACAGGAGCTCGAAGACATACATGCCAACGAGCATTTGCGCCGCCACGATGAAGATATCCCCCCATGGTCACTTGGGATCCAAGGTGATAGGGTGTGTGAAATGACGAGTTCCCGATGATGACCTTGACGAACGGGTATGCGGCCACAAACAGGATAAGAATCTTTGTTGCCCCAGCTATATGATGGTTGATGAATCCACGCTGGTTAACCGCACTCAAGTTGGTGTAGGTCGAGCCGTATAGGCGCCGGATTAGGAATGCTTCCAGTACATAGTAGCGCACCAGAAACAGGATCACAAGGATGACAGATATGATCAACGCAGAAAAAGGAGCGATCTTGGAGATGATTTCAGGGTGAGCAGCTACCGTGTCCGGATGACGATAGAAAGGTGTGATAGCCATCTCTAGGCATCAATGAAGAATATCGAAGAGGTCTTCAGCAGGTTAAGGGAATGGGAAATAGACAACTAATGATCGTCTTCTGAAACCCTATGAGCTTAATAACATAGCAATGATTAAAGATAAAGAACGTCGTACTAAATTATGAAGGGCGAACACCCTTACAAGGCAACAAGATAAGATCAGTGAGTGACAGTTGGATATAAGACATTTTGAGCTACGGTAGCCCTACTCCGTACATGTATAGGAAGCCCGACAGATTTCTACCTAGCGTCTATTGTGTGTCTGTCCATCCCGACCCTCTTCTTGCTCAATGAACCACTCAACGAATGCTAAAAATACTGTTCGAATATGGCAGCCTAGACGTGGCCCCTTCAAGAAGCCAACCACCCTACGCAGAGTGGGACATGCGCTAAGTTAAATAGGCCAAGCCTTCAGGAGAAAAAGCTTCGCCACTTAGAATGTCATTTTCTGTCCAATAACGAATAGTGCAATTTCCTTTAATTGGGTTTAGGTATGCAGCTAGCTTTAGGCTAACATATCAGGGGCTGCAATCCCTACCCTTTGTCAGAATGAAAAAAAAAAAAAAAAAAAGAAAGCAATCCGAGCAGGTGAAAAATATTTACATGACAGCACTAGCTTAGAGATATAGCAATGGATCCAATCTCCGCAATGTATCTCCAGCTTGACATAGACACGCCACGAACGCCAATGGAAGAGAGACGGAGATTATTCCCCTCCATGCCCCCGGAGCTCTGTGTCAGATCGCCTACGTAACTACGTGGGGCTTCCAAAAATTGTTGTTTGAGGCCTAAATCCTTGGTTCAGAGAAGCCACCGGGCAAGACCCTTGACAAGGATACGAGATGCGGGTTATAAAATAGCTCACTAGTCTGATTTCGTGGAAATTTACTGATTTAGCTATTGTGGATGTTTACACTTGCTGGCCCCGTGACTCGTCGCCATTGCTGTGGGGTTCAGCTTGCCACCACTTGTCAGTCTATTTCGTTGAGATAATTAACCTTGGCATGCCCTGAAAAGTTCTTGCCATGTTAATTTAGAAAAATTTCCCACACCACGGACACCAACAAGGCATATAAACGACTACTATAAAGCAAGAACGATTGGTGTGTTAGAAACAATCATCCAATTTTTTAAAGTTTGCGTATAGTGGGGTGTTGGACAGGAATCACCACTCAGCCTTTTTCCCAGATGAAGCTTGGCATCTAGGCACCAGTGTTAAGATAAAATGGATTGGTCACAGATAAACGGCGAGAGTGTAATTCTACGCTCTCCGCATGCGCTGATTGTTTAGGATAAAACAAACATGACATGGAAAATGATTTTGTTGAAAAAAGTGCACATCAATGTAGAGGTATAGCAGATGCACTCCAGAACCGACCTATAATAGTGCCATATCGAATCCGGAACTGGTATAGTGCAATTGCAATGACAAGCACAGAGTATCTTATCTTGAATTATAATATAAGCATCACCGTCAATTACCATTTATGCTCTTAAATAGACTGCTTTCGATTAAATATGTATCTTATCAGTGCTCTCTGACAGGTAATACTACGACGCAGATATACTAGGCTGCTAAATAGACAAAGAATATAGATACTATTATAGGATGTATATACCCCACAGCTCAGTGTTTAAGAATTAAATATTTAAAAAGTCCGGGCCGTACTATTAATTCTTTACAAATGCAAATATACCCCCATACAGTAAAAGCCGCCCGATGGAGATATTTCGACAGCTGTTTGTTTGGTAGTATAGGGTGTTTACCCCCGAAAACAACAATTATATACATGGACAAACGGCGAATTTCTCCATAAGATCATCCTTGCGTGGGCTTAAGCAATTATGGTAGTATATACTGGCTCTGACACTCACTAAGCGAGTTAGGAAATGCAGCTAAAATCGTCCGGTTGGGTTTCATGTGTATTTTAAAAACTATTTGATTACTTGTTTACTATGAGTTTCTCCATAACCATAGAAACTGGGACTGACCCTTAATAGGTCTAGTGATGGCAGAGATTACTTTTGTACGAGAGTGTTCTGTGCGTGTCACACTCAGTGTAGATGTCAGTGCAGATGTTTATTTTCATAAATCATAAGCGAAAATCGAACTAAATATGAGGTGGGAAAGGCTGCCAGCTGAAATTAAAACAATCATATTTGAGCTCCTTGCCGTGTTAAAAGATACCAGCAAGAAGTTGGACCTATTCAAGAGCAACTTCCATCACGAGGCCACTTCGGCCTGGTGTCAGAAGTACGCAAATGCTCTACTCGTCTCTCGTGAGCGGTTTTCTTCCGGAACTTTGTATACAGAACTAAAGACTCAACTGTAGGATCCTGGTCATCAAGTTTCCGAAAAGCTTACTTGAACGAACCATACTGATCCTCTTGAGGTACGCTAGCGAGCCGATAGCATTGGATGTTGTGCAACGTCTACTACCAAAGGGTATTCCCAAGATACGTGTGTAGGACTTTAATCTAATACTCATCAAAATGAGAGAGGGTGCTTGGATGAACGTTTGCTTCTTGAAACGTTGCGCAGTTTCGTCTCATGCATGAATGCCGAAGAGCATCATTAGCCGAGGGGCCATGGCGAACAGCCACTACTGCTCCAAGACTCCAGATTTTAAATCATTCCCTCCGAGACGCCATCACATCCCAGCACGATGATATCAGAAACGCATTCCCCCGACTCTACTCCAGAATACAATACGGGAATGGAACTCCTCTTTCACCTGGGTGTGAATGCAGACATCGGCATTCCTGGAAATCGCAGTACCCTCCTTTGTGCGGCGATTGGGGTAATTTCACCCCAGTGTTTGAAAAAATATTGGCTAAGAATGGTGCAGATTTGGAGCGAGTAGATGATGGCACTAACACACCCCTTGGGCTTGCAATATATCTCAGGGAATACGAGATTGTTGAGATACTTCTTAAAGCTGGAGCTGAAAAAAAAAAAAAAAATTCACCGCTACTGGTATCACGGTGATGATGATCTTATAGCATTCGCTAAAGAGATAGTAAAAGATAAGTCCCTGGGGTCGCTTCTTATTGCGCACGGTGTGACCAATAATGGCGGTGATGACTGAATCATCCCCAGCCAATATGTGAAATGGTGGTTTTCTAGAGACTGCTGCCTTTGTATTTTAGTTCCGAGACCTCAGTGCACATATTGGTTTATGCTGAAGTACCCTATGTCTATGCGCTCAGCCAAAGGCTATGCATACATTTGGCAGATCCTCCTTAGAATTACGAACGTCAACAATTTAGAGGAGCCATTACCTCTGTTAACTACTCGCTCTACTCGCTCTATGGCTCAGCTTGTAGTCAACTATAAGCTTCAGTTGATTAGAACGTGCTGTTAGCAAAGCGACGAGACTTTACTATCGTGGCTTTCACTGCTTATCTCTGATGCATCTTTGGGGTTCTATATATTGGTTCAACTTTTGTCTCTTAGTTAATTATTATAGTTCGTTAGACATGCTACTGGAAAATTAACTAATTAGGTGGACTTTCGGAGATTGGTTAGGTAGGTCGCGGTTCTTCAAAATATTTACCCGTTCGTCAAGGTAGACGAAAGCATGCTTCGAATTCTGCAACTTTTAAACAACAGAGTATATATGCAGAATAACAATCCAGAGCAACAACAACAACCCCCTTATATACAATATTGCGTACAACAAGGACTTAAGCCAACGGCTTCTTGAACTGCCTCTGCCTGGGCTCCACCTACTCGTAGATCACAGACGATTAGGTCTCAAATTCGGGTTGAAAAAGCCATCCAACGTCCATGACAAAAGTGGAAAAGCATATAGACGTAATGAAGGAAAGATGTCCTTGACCAGTTTAGAAGTGTTAGCCTGTCCAAGCACCATAGTGTAGTGTAGCCGCAGCTCCAATATTGGATGAGGCGCAAACGGTTGCAGTAATTATCATATGGTAGGGCGGTCGGGAGAGTGGCAGGAAATATCCCACCAATGAATGGAACAGGTGGATCCTGAGGCAAATAACGCCCCATGTAACCCCACACTCCGTAATAGAGAAAATATCGGGATTTGGGATCCGATAACCCCTAGCGCCTTGGCGAGAGCTCAGCGCCCCCTTAATTACTCTCCCATTCCTTTAGATAGTGGTCGCTGAGAGAGCACGTTGGCTAAGTAGTTGAATCAGTGGATTGCTGTTAATACCGTAATAAAGATCGTAAGTAGGCTACTGACGTGTAGCTGGTATAGTGTTCTTCTGCCCACCATTCCTTCCCCTCAGCGAATGATAATGAAATCCCCGGACGGTAGAAAATCTTACCCGCGGCTAAAAACTATTCCGGCCGCAGTTGCGCCTATCAATATCGCGTCGAATTCTGGAATCAATTCATAGAATCCAGGTGGCATGGTTGGCTAAATATGATTTGCCGTAACTCGGCTGCGTGGCCGACGTCAGAATAGACGAATAGATAGATCAGTCCATCATTCCACATCAACCTACTCTCTCTCGGCATGTAGCGACGGTTAGTTTTGGTGTTCACAATATTACATTCCCCTAGTAGTAACGGGTAGCCGAAAGATTTGCCGTCGCTGTACTTTTCCTTTAGAATGCGCCCCTCGCTCGTCCGTGGACGTGTATATAGACCCCGGAAATCTCCCTCTGTTTCCTGTCCTCTACAACTTCCCCAGAAAGTTATTTCCAAACCCTACTACACATTACCTCAAAATGTCTACGAGTCGCCAACTTGACCCCAACTTCACTTCCTACGTTATCAACGCCATGGGGCCCAAAACGCCCGAGCGCACCCGCGTTATCTTGGGTTCCCTGATCAGGCACATCCACGACTTTGCTCGCGAGGTCGAGCTCACCCCTGCTGAATGGATGCTTGGGGTGGAATTTATCAACTCCATCGGCAAGATCAGCACTCCTGTTCGCAATGAATGTCACCGCATCTGTGACGTCATCGGTCTTGAATCGTACGTCTGCAAGGATAAACACAATCCAAAAAAAGAAACAAAGAAAGATAGCTGACACATGACCAGTCTCGTCGACGATATCGCCAACAAAATCGTCACCGAACAGGGAGTATCTCCCACGTCTAACGTCATTCTTGGTCCCTTCTGGTCACCTAATGCTCCATTCCGTAACCTCGGCGACAGCATCATCCAAGACCCCAACCCCAACGGAAAGGTCACGTACATGCATGGTGTCCTCAGAGATATGGAGACCGGACAGCCCATTGTCGGCGCGGTTCTTGATATCTGGCAGGCCTCGGCCAACGGGCAGTACGACTTCCAAGATCCCAAACAGAGCGAGAACAACCTCCGCGGAAAGTTCCGGTCGAATGAGAAAGGGGAGTTCTTCTGGTACTGCTACCATCCGACTCCTTACTCGCTGCCCACCGACGGGCCGGCCGGTGTGCTGCTCAACCTCATGGATCGCTCCCCGATGCGCCCGGCCCATATCCATCTTATGATCACCCATCCCAACTACGCCACCGTCATCAATCAGATCTATCCTAGTGATGACCCCCATCTCGACATCGACTCGGTGTTTGCGGTCAAAGATGATCTGGTTGTTGATTTCAAGCCCAAGTCCGGCGATCCGAAGGCGCAACTAGACCTCGAATACAATGTCAACATGGCTCGTAAGGAGCACCATCCCAATCCGAACTCGGCGCCGCCTGTTTCTTCGTTTGAGCGGCATCACAAGATCAGTCAGAAGTTATAAACGGCCAGCCGGAACATATTTGAAAGATTGATGTTACGATGTGATGTACAGATACGCATACCTCTGGAATTTTCATTCTTAGCGCCCTGCGGATGGGACGACTGATGGATGATTTTCTTCAGCTGAGTTTCCTGATGTTTTTGATATTACGTACTATGGTGGATTCGCATTGCTAGGGAGGATTCATTACTCCATCGATAGCGTGGATTGACCGTTCTATGCAACACATTTCCAGTCGAATTGGTCTTGCTTATGATCACAGCGAAGGAGTTAGGGAATTGATATGCATGTCTTTCAGTCCGTCTACTGTTTCCGAGACTTGATTTGAGGGCATATGTGTCAGAATATTGCGCAATTCATTGGAGCCTTATTTTCTGGACAGCAATAAATCGATCAGAATTTTGACTGTGAATCTGAAATGGACGTCTGTACAGTTAGTTATTATATGTCAAATAAACACATGTTGTAGAATCAAGAGTCTATATTCCTACTTATCCTGTACAATCGGAGCCGCCCGCTACTGCTTGTTATCTATTATCTAATACTTTGAATTAATTTGCTAGCCATTCTGCAGTACTGACGAATATGGAATGAGCTGGTGTACCTACCGAGTACAGCCTCTTGCAATGCATTAACGGACGGCTGCAGCCAAGTAACTATTATTGTAGACAATAAAATTGCTCATTTTTAGTGGGGGTGGGGTCCTATCAGCAAATTACTCTTGATAGTAATCCTAAAACACGTTGCGACTAAGAGGTAATCGTGATTGCCATAAGTGTAGTGTATGCATCCTACAAAGTTGATACGGCAAACTTCCAAATAATTTCCCACAACGTGTGTATTATATAGCTGCCACGTTTGTTCAGTACTTTATAAGTAACAAATCGAAGCTAGCTAGTATTCTTATCGCCGGCGTGTAGCATAGACTATCCAGATCTTAACGCGGGAGGCCGATACAGAATTGCCTTTCAAGGTCACTATATCTTCAGTGCCGTATTAGAAAGGAAAAATGCTTGAACAACTAATTCTATTCTAAGTAATGTACACTCCAAAATAAAAGCAACGGCACGCTTAGGAGTCTCCTGCAAAAGTATACCGGCCAGGGCTGATGCCATACCATGACGTCAAGACTATGCCTCTTCAGTCATCTTGATTTCATGTCTCGACTTTCCAAACAATATCTGATATCCAGTCGGCAGAAAGACCGCTTACTTCTACAAACTACACGATTAAGTTTCAGGTACTGAATATACAGTGTACCTGACACCATGACTCCCCGCATCAGCGACACCATAAAAGAAGACCATCGCGAGATCGAAGCAACCTACGACCGCATCATCACCTCCTACGATCGCGACGAACAAATCCGATTCCAGAACCTATTCACCTGGGAACTGGCCCGTCACTTCGTCGGAGAAGAACTAATAATCTATCCAGCATTTGAGAAACACATTCCGGATGGCGCCTCCATCGCTGACAAGAACCGCAAGGTCCATCAACGAGTAAGCACCTAATACATACCACCATTGTAAATTTCTCAGACTCGGACTAATCGGACTAATACTAATCCACCGCAGGTCAAAGAACAGTTAAAAACCTTCCAGACAATGGACCCCACGAACCCGCGATATATTCCGACTATCAAGACCCTGATGGAGAATCTGGCACCACATATTCGGGAAGAAGAGGACAGTCAACTGGGGGCATTGGAAAATGCTCTCTCCAGTCATGATAGTGAGCATATGTCGAAATCGTTCAATAGGACGAAGATATTTGTTCCCTCGCGTGCGCATCCGGGAGCCCCAAGTAAACCGCCATTTGAGACTGTTGTTGGGCTTCTGACGGCGCCGGTGGATCAGTTGGCCGATCTGTTTCGGAAGTGGCCTCATTCCAAGGGCATGGAGACATAATGTGTATTCCTTGTATATGTTTCGCATTGAAGCTGTATAGCCGGGTTGGGTTCCAGAGTAATTGGTTAGGTCTAAATGCCACTCGCTTGCCAGTTACTTTAAATCACTGGAATCAACGTACTTAGCTATATGACAAAACAGGAAATGTCGACTACCTTGCTTATCGTATTAACTAGTACCCCATGAATGCTTGAATTGATTCTTCTAATCTAACAGGATATAGTGCATCTAGACCACGCTTGGTCTAACTGAGTTGTGAACTCGACGAGGAAGTCTTGGGAAAACCAAACTGGTTTTAGGACACAGGTCGGATGAACATGGATCTGCAAAGGATCGGAACAGGGACTGTTGTCTCAACTGGTTTCGGCGAAGCTACACCTGAGAAGGACGAGAGAGACGGCATTTCACCATTACTGAGTGGTTGTTTAACAATGTCGTTCAAAAAGTAGGAAAGCGGAACATGCTGGAGGAGAAGGGTGTTTTTCAGCATATTCCTGATGCTCGGATTACGAGGGTATATGATATTTAGTATTCGAGGCTATATTCATTCTTTGTGCAGCATATAGTTTTATTTTATTCGTAACCACGGATATCCACGAATTTCACAGCTATTCGCTCCTTGCATTCCTTCCAAATTGGGACGTCAATGACTTCGGGCTCCGTGTTGGGCACTGATTTGCCAGCAACTTTTTCTGATAACAGCCTTCCACCTGTCAAGACTACCCAAAAGTCTGCAATAATAGCTCTTAGGGATAGCCGTAGCACACTTTTAGGCGGCGTGGGTAGGCCCAATGTAGATATCAGCCTTCGAAGCTGCTTAAGGTTCCGAGGCGTTTTAGGTGCTGAACTAGTTGACCGATAATATTCTCGTATCCATTAGAACAGGCAGCCTGTGAGGCATGCTGTCCATCCTGCGTATTAGCATTTGCCCCATACTGTAACAGCATTCGCACAATCCTGGAGCGTCCTCCAGCGCATGGAGCGTGTAGAGCATTACCATAGAGTCCATTATGAGTATTGACATTTGCCCTGTGTCCTAACAGCGTCTTCACAATAATATCATGTCCTTTATACGCGGCAGCCTGTAGAGCACTGCCGTATAGTCTACCCGGAATATTGGCATTTGCTCCGTACCTTAACAGCATCTGCACGCCCTTTTTATGCCCTTGTATAGTACTAGCCATTAGGGCATTGCTATACCGACCCTCTGAGAGTTAATGTCCGCTCAATGTGTCAACAGCATCCGCACACTCTGGACGTGCGCTTTGGAACACACAGCTTGTAGAGCAGTTCCATACGATCGACTATGAGTATTAACATCTGCTTTGTGCTCTAACTGTGTCCTCACAGTATTATCATGTCCTCTATAAGAAGCATCCTGTAGGATACTTCCATATGGCCCACATTGAGCATGAACATCTGCCCTGTACTCTAACCGTATCTGCATAATGCCATTGTAGCTTTTGGAACAGTCAGCTTGTAGGGCATGGTTTCCAGCCTCAGTGCTAACATCTGCTCCATTGTCTAACAGCACCTGCACGGAATTATAATGCCTATTGGAACAGGCTTCCACTAGTGTATGCTGTCCATTCTGTGTATTAATATCTGCTCCGTGTTTCAATAACATCTGTACAATGCTGTCGTATCTTTTGGAACAAGCAGCCTGTAAGTCATGTTCTCCAACCCCGGTATTTGGGTCTGCTCCGCGCTTCAACAATAGCTGCACAATATTATCATATCCTTTGGAACATGCATCCCGTAAGGCATGCCCTCCTGCCTCGGTATTGACACCTACTCCTTGTTCCAGAAGCATCTGGAGAATGTCGCCATGTCTTTTGGAGCAGGCACCCTCTAGGGCGCTGCTACAAACTCCACCCAGAGCATTAGCGTCAGCTCCCTGCTGTAACAGCAATTCAGAAATAATGACCATTCAGAGACGCCCATATTAACGCATTACTCCGAGTGCCATCTACTTGATACATTCTTTCTCTATTACCCGCGATTAGACCTGTAGAATAGCCTTGTGTCCGTTAAAAGCTGCCAGGTTAATTGCATCCATTTTGGGATCTCTTCCAGAAGGCATTACTGCCTTCCAAAACATAGGAAACCAAAGTGCAAATCGGGAGGTAGCTGTGTCATATAAGCGAAACAATAGATCTGTCAAGCCGCTTTGTAGTAAAAATGGTAAATTCCAGACATGATCAGGCCAGTGCTGTGCTGAATATGGCAAGAGACTTCGAAAATCGTTTGTTTTGGGCTCTTTATAGTTCTTTAAATCATCCATCAACAAATATCGAATACAGATGTGTGCCAATATTCTGTCTGCCTCTCTTCCGTCACAGCAATATAATACATTGGGACTTGTAATCCCTTTCTTCAAGAGAAACTCTCTGGCTGTTCGATGAATAAGATATATTTTTGGATTGTTGATAAAGATAAAGAGCCCACGTAATCGGCGTATCTTGTTATCGAGTGCTATGGATCGAGCCCAGCCCCCGCTGCGGTTCTTGAATCAGGGCTAGTAGCCACACCCAAGGCCATAGCCATTTCCAGTATTATCAAGGGGCGCCATGCGCCCATAATAATTTGAAGAATTTTCTTTACTGTACCCTCTTCCGCATACGGAAGCCGAGCGAGGATCCTTCAAATGCCGCATTCACAGATGGAGGTACAAGCTGAATACATCCTTAGGTAGACGAAGGCTGCTCTGAAAAGTAGTACAGATGTCATTAATAGCCAGATATAACCAAAGATACGTGCGATGGTCCATTTAAGGAAGCTGTTTCTCAAGTTTCTGTACTACATAAGAGAGATATTTGATGTTTCGGCCAGCTCTTTTACCTTAATCTTGACAACAATATCAACCTCATTGTGAATTTGGTCATTCTCCTGCTCACGTTGGAGATGTATCTGGGGGAATAAACCTCTGATAACTTGGAAACAGTTCCGTATCTCATCATATGGACGGCTGGCTACTAAAAACTTTAACCAGCTCTTCTGGATTAATGAAAGGCTTATAAAAATTCGCGAGTCTATAAATAAGTTAAGTCTGGTCGTCGAGCACATCAAGCACAAAAATAGTTTTGGATGCTGTAAGATCTGACGTTGCTGCTCTAGAGATCCGCCAAAGCTCACTAACCTCTTGCTGAAGCTTGGTTCCGTTCCTTCTCCAAGAAGGCATTGCATGTTGTAAGAGACTCGGCTGTTGGCTAAAGGGATGATAAGTTATCGCACAAAGGGCTGTAGCGAGGTTATTTTGCTCCTCATTATCCTTTTTTTTTTAAAAAAAAAAAAAAAAAAAAAAAAAATGGAGCAAATTGAACCTGTTGGAATAGTTGCTTTAAATTCGTCAATAAGAAATTTGTCCAGGACAGATTTCCCACAACCAGGGTCGGCTGATATCCAGAGAATATCATTGCAGGAACTATTCCACCAGCGAAGATAACATGGATTCCGCAAAGCCCATTCGCATGTGTCTGGTGCTCGATCTGGATTAATATCCTTTTGCTGCTCATAGTTTGATATTTTAAATACTTGGTGACACTGTCGTTGCTGATTAGTCTCTAGCCTCTATTTCTTTGGACATTTATCAAACTTTTTGCTGTAGCCAAATGGTCATATTTAATTTGGAGTAATCGATCACTCTGTGGAATGGGTCGGCCGAAGGCTTTCTGTGTCCGTTCGGTTCTCCCGATAGCGCTTTGGAGATATTCCAGGTACCGGTGATTATCAGCTAATTCGGCAGCTCTCATCACATTAATTCCGTCAACAGCGATCTAGGAGGGCTGTTCAGGGACCTGGGTTGAGAAATAAACTGTTAACTCTAACCTTCCCCATATAGGAAGTACGCCTCCACATGTGCGTCCTGGACAGCTAGTCTTGCTTTTGTGCAAATATCCAGTAAATTCAAAATCTAGCGTCTGCAAAATCCCAACGTTGTACGGTGATATTCAAATATGTATCTGCATCTAATTCTTTTGGATTGATAATTTCCTTCCTCAGCGTGGCGATATGGATTATATTTCTGGCTATGTTGAGTAGCGAAATTTCGTACCTGGCACCATTAACAATGAAATATTTTTATATTATAACGACTACTGTATTTGTGGTTGTTGGCCTGGTGGGCCGTGCCGCGGATTGTGAGATATAAAAGGATACTGGTCGTGACAATTTACCATCCACCAAATGATAATCAAATTAATATAATCTTCATTTTTGTTGAATATTAGTAGTATCCATTCTACCGCTATTTATATATTCAAATCTATAATCTACTTTTAGCCAGCTTTAAAGATGCTATGACATCAGGTCGTCTATATGCAACGCTCAATAAAGCAACAAGCACGACATCATTCCAATCATGGATATATCCTGAATTACTCCCTCTTCAAACCAACCTTACCTGCCTTGCGCAATCCACAGAACCCAATAAGTGTACAGAGGACCATAAACCCAAACATAGTCCAGAAACTCGCGCGATATCCATCCATAAGGGCCTTCTTCTCCTCTCTATCCGACTTATCCGTGACAACTGTTGAGACGACCTGCAGCACGGCCAGTCCCAACGCGCTACCGAACTGAGCACAGGTATTGAAGACCGCACCCGCCAGAGCCTGCGTATGATCGGGAAACACATCCGTGATAACGATAAGTCCCACGGTGAAGAGAGCGTCGAAGCTAACTGGTTGCAGGAGCTGCGCGATAAATGCATTCCCCCAATACGGCCAGGAGGGCTGAATAACAGCCATGAGTAAGGGGGATCCTGCGCAGAGCAAGGAGGTGATAGTGACGATCCAGAACGCGGGGACCTTGTGTACGAAGATGCCGATGACTAGGTTGAGTAGCGCGCCGACTACGAGACTGGGTAGGATGCGGATGGATGCTTCCAGAGCGGATAGGGATTGGACTTCTTGGAAACTGGGACGGGTTAATAGAATACCGGGAGGAAGAGACGGGGATTGGGCTTACAATAAGCTGGCGAAGAGTTCCATGGAATTGAGGACGGCGTTGGATACGGCAACGGTGGCGCAGATGCTGGAGAAGGAGGTGTTCTTCCAGACGGAGTTGGGGATCAGGGCGGGTTTATTCCGCTTGACCTGGTAGTGAACCCAGGCAATGAAAGATGGGAGAGCAGTGGCAGCCAGACACAGGATGACAACGCACTCGGCAGATTTCATCCGGGAGGGGTCGGCGCTCACAATGCTGTTCTTGGGTTAATTCTGGAGAATGTTATGATACTTAGGATAGGGGTACGTACGCAAGGAGATAACACAGTAACGCCATGAATGCAGAAGCCAGAACAGCGCCGATCCAGTCGATCTTAGTCCGGATATTTTGGACGCGGTCTGCGTATCGATGAGCGTTGCTCTTGGGTAAAGACCATAGACCGATGACGGTGAAGAATAGAGTGATCCCTCCCGAGATGTACCATCCAGCTCGCCAACCGATGGTGTCGATTAAAATGCCACCTACCACCAGGCCGAGGGAGAAACCAAGAGGCTGACTGAGGCCGATGCAGGAGAAAGCAAAGTTCCGACCCCTACCATGAGGCAGCAGCTGCGTGATGATAGAGACTGAAGAAGCCAGATGCAATGCGAGACCGACCCCCTGGAGGGCTCGGAGGACAACCAGCTCTGAGCCATTGCGAGCCAGTCCTTGACCGATCATTAATGCACCGCTGGCGAGAGATCCGACCAGCTCCACCCATCGTGGGCCGACAGCATCGGCGATGGAACCAGCCAAGAGAAGCGTAGACGCAGTCGCGAGACTACCTACTGACGATGGCCAAAATGATAAAGACGGGGGCAATTGCAGATCCTTGGTGATGGTGGGCAGACCGACGACGACCAGACCGTTGATAACGCTAGCGGTGAGGGTGACGACGAAGAGCTGAATCACCACCACTATCTGCTGGAAACGGAATTTCCGAGATGTGGGCAGTCGCACATCTTCCGTGGAATTGGCCCGATTGTCCTGCAACAATAGCGAGTCGACATGCGTCGTAGTCGTGACCGTGGTAGTCGACATGTCACCGTCTTGCAGGGCAGAAAATCCTAGCGAAATGCTGGATTTCAGGGCTCCGTCGGCCTGAGGAAGGGATCTGAGGGCAACAACGCAGGCTTTTCTCTTTTCTTAACCGAGACGGTCGGATTTCTTAAGTAAAAAAAATGTCAATTACCGCGGGGCCTTAATTTTCTGCCCCACGTACCCAGAATGTGACTTTTCTACTGGCGCAGGCTCACAGGAAGCTTGGCTATCTCAATATCATGATGATACACCTACCAGGCAAGAAGCCTAACACTCGCAACTCTCCGACTACTGGTGCTTCTCGCAACACCATCGTCTCCACGCAGAGCAATCCCACCCACAAGTACCCACGATGAGGGCGTAGAGAGGCAATTCGCGGGTATAGCCGGGCCAGATCCACCTGGGATATTATGGCCATCCGAAACTCGGCCAAATTTGCCCCCACTCCGATTCGGACCCGGGATGGAGCACGTCGTCTCATTCCCGCGTGTTTTGGCATCATTCTCACCCAGTTGTTGGTAGTGAGACTCGTGTTATGAAGTTCACCATAGTGAGTAATTTGCAGCGAGGAAGACGCCGTTCCGTAAACGCCCCATGATTGCGGATCTGCGCAAGATATCAGGAATTATGTGATGCATTCAGTACGATGGTTCCATTAATGTTTGTTCTTGCTGACTAGCTCTAGGTACCTTGGTGGTTTCAAGCGTTTCCACAGCTGTCACGCACTGAGGATATGGTATGTCTGATTGCGACTCCAATCAAGCATCCCCGTTCCACCTTGCTGTATCAGTGAAAGCTGGGTTTGCATTATTTATTTCATCATGGCCTAAGCAAAGCCATTTGCCTTTTCTTGTCTGGATGTAGCTGATTCCACACTTCTACCCAAGCCAGCATAGAACCCCGCGATGTTGATTCCATGATATCTTCTACTAGAGGCTTCTTAGCTAGCTTACTAATGACTAGTTTGAGTACTGTTCTGACGTATCTGCTCTGTATCTCTTGCACTGCTTGTGTTGCTGTATTTTCTGCCTGTGCCGGTTTGTTCTCTATTCTTATCAAAGTACCTAGCGGGTTTATTTGAAGGATTTCCTGGACCTACCACCCCAGCTAGGGTTGCACATATTTAAAGCCTTGCAAAACGTGCAACCCAACTCTCTCCCACCTATGTATCTGTCTGGCTTGGAGCTTTGTAAGCCTCAGGGTTGCGGGGGTACACTTGAAAAAATTATAGCGTCCTTCAAAATTGAGATTATTTCGTATAGAAAAGATATCAAAATGCATGCATCCTCCATCCCTAGTAACACCTGGAATACCTCGTTCTGAAACTCACACACTGTCATAAAGTCGAGAACATAAATCACAACTATTCCATTGCAGACTAGAGCACTGATGATTAGTTCGAACTCCCCGCCAGGACCATTGCCGCCAAATTCAAGCTCTGAACCATAGCCAGCATCGCCAGCAAACTAATAACAATCTCGTCCTTGAACATCTCGTCAAGCTCTCCCACCAGCTCAAATGAACCAACCTCTTGATTAGAGAGCAGTTTATTTCTGAACCTGGCAATCACAGCATCATTTCCGCCCAGCAGGTTATAGTCTCCTGTCAGCGCGCCATCTGCCCTCCATGTCAGATTGGCATTTGCGGCGGAGCTGTTGAAGTTGTATGTTCGCATGATGGGACTTTCACATTGGAGGAGGACCTCAGTGCCATGGACATTGTCTCACTTGTAGACTGAGGATTTTGAATGCTGCAGTGCATATACCGGTGGGAGAATCGGTATTCAACTCTGCTTTTGCGGAGTACTGCGGTAGAGGGCTCCCTATCGTGCGAATCATCTCCATCTGCGGAGAGTGAGAGCTGATTTTGACTTGATAGAGAGGAGTGCGATCATCGGAGTCCAATAGACTGAGGAATTTTCCACTGTAGTGGATGTGGATCATCTGGATGGGCGTAGACATCCTAGTAAATGAGTAGAATGTCTGTCGGGGATTGAGAATGGAGATAGAAATGGATTTATTCGTCAAGCAGCACCTTGTATCTTATATACATTTGATCTCCAAGATCTTAGGGCTGCTGATCTGAGATTGGATTCGCCCGTTCGCTCACCCACCAATCAAAGAAATCTTTGCTTCGCCCCCAACTCCGACGTCTCCTGACGACGTTAGTTGCGCTCTGTTTTATCGGCTCTCATCCTCTTTCTCTGGAACGATGGATAATAGCCTACATCTGCCCCATGGCGAAACAATCACGTAGAGGCAGAACCGGCTGCATAACATGTCGGTAGGCACCTCCTATCCGAGTCAACGAGACCACTCACAGATAACAGCTCCAGGATTCGCAAAATCAAGTGTGACGAGGCTGGACCTGTCTGTAGAAAATGCTCCTCAACGGGCAGGAAATGTGACGGCTACGAGGTTTCCATTGGTCCTCTCGGCGAGCCCGCAAATAAGAGCAAGCAACCGCTTTTTGCTACCCAGGATGTCTCGTCCTCAAGCCATGCTAGCAGCATCAGTTTCCGCCCCAGTAGGAGCCTCTCTTACATTGGCAAATATTGAAGCCCAAAGCTTCATGTATTTCCGCGAGTACACGACGCGCGAAATCCCCTTCAACTCGCCCACCAGGAACACGCTATTCTCCATGCGGCAGTCGGTGTCGGGGCTATGCACCGCAGCGCAAGGGGCAAGAGTCCCTCGCTAGAGCTCTTCAGCCTCACCGAGGCGCATCATGTGTTTGCCCTGCGGCAATATGTGAAAGCGATGGGCCATCTGCGAACGCGACTGGCAGAGATCGGAGGGGGTAGACAGGCTGCTGAAATCGCGCTTGTTGCGTGTGTTCTATTCGTATGTCTTGAGATGCTTCAGGGGAACAGGGTCGGTGCGCTGGTGCATTTACGAAATGGTCTTAGCGTTCTCTCGGGCATGCCCAGCCAAGTACATCGTGGTCATAGCCGAGGATGCGACTATTTGGTTGTGAAGCAGGAGCGGCAGGCCTTGGTGGATCAGCTAACGGATATTTTTGCGCGTTTGGACATTGACACAATGTCGTTTGGCGAGCGTGCCCCCGTCTTTCGGATAGTATCTCCCGAGGATATCATTGGGATCGAACTGGTATTGCCGGCTGATTTTCAGAGTGTGGACCAGGCTCTTTATATCCTCGATCGCTTGAACAGTACGGTTCATCACGTTCGTGGAAGACTGTTAGAACTCAGTAGTCAATCATGTTCTTCCGAGAAGTTAAACTGGGCCGTCCGTTGCTGCCTGGAGTATGCCAGTATCAGAAAGGTCAATCCATCACAAGATCCTGCTGCATTTGCGCAATTAGCGATACTTCACACAAACCTAGCGCAATGGCTTCTGGCATTCCAACGCCTGACAGTCAAAAAAGGAGTATCTAGCGATAAGGGTGCCGCGGCAGCCATACTAGTTGAAATTCGCTATTTCTACATGTTTTTCCAAAGGTTCACCTGCCGCAACTATATAGAAACCTCCTACGACCAGTTCAACTCTATGTTCGAACGAATCGTCCTTCTGTGCCGCATGCTCGTAGACGGCATGTCTCCATCAAATACTACCCCATTAACAACTCCAGAAGTAACCTTTACCCTCGACTCGGGCGCAATCCCTTCCCTGTACCTGACAGCGATAAAATGTCGCGAGTCATCCATTAGACGGGAAGCCATATCCCTCCTTCATCGATATCCTTGTCAGGAGGGCATGTGGGAGCCAACCATGATCGCAAAGTATGTTGAAGAGATTGTTAATCTGGAAGAACGCGCTGCTGCATCTACTAAGAAAGACATATCCACGCCCCTCAAGTGTAAAGACGTGACTGAAGCGAGCCGCTTCAGTGACGTCATCCTGGCTGCGACTGAGAATCCACAGCTTGGGAGGCTAGTGTGTGCGCGTTTCCTGCAAGAAACGACAGGGGGCTTGCTATCATGGAGCATTTAATTAACTTGTAGTTTTATGGTCTGATCACAGTAATGCTACTGTGAGGTTAGTCAAGTGGGATAAGCCAGTCATAATGCAACTGAAGTGCTATAGTTACTATTACTTAGCTAGCACTATAGTCACAGGGGAATAAATAAATATTATTCAAGTAGTGTAAATTAAACCAAGTGCGTAGGCAACAAAGTTTAGTACCTTTACGTAAAGGGCAACAAGGCGGCCACAAACCGAATACTATAACCCCAAAGAGTATTCTGTCGCGAGACTACGCCGGAGTAGGAAACGATATTCGGCCTCATGGAGCCAAATCACAATCCTATTGGTGTTCTGGCTAACCGACCAATCATTTATACTCACTAGCTAGCAATTGTAAGAGCATCCACAGCCACAGTCCCCTCAGCTCTCATTGTGGCAATGATTGTAGATCAGAAGGGGATCTATTTATACCAAATGCCCTCTTGGATTTCTAGCTCTTGCTCAGTAAATTCATCGCAAGTGAAATGTCTAGAAAGAGCCAAAAGGCCCAGTTGGGCAGGCAATACAACCCACTCCAAGCAGGCCTATGTCCCAACCAGAACCCGGAAAATGGCACTACAGATTGTGATAGCAGTCTCCCAGCATACTCAGAACTCCCTGCGCCCATGAACTCGACACCTCCCACTCTATCCCCACAATCCTTAACTATCACGCCGGGCCTCCCTCCCATAAACTTATCTCAATATTTTATACCAGACGCCTCAGTTTCCAAGGACGAAACCACAATCACCATATCTTCTACGCACCTCTGCACCAATGAATCCGCCCTCACAGACTTCCTCACAACACAAGCGGCTCTTCCGCCACATCCACAGATCCATCTCACCGGCGTCCACGACGTCTACGGCGAGCGCGAAGTAGACTTCGACATCCACATCAGTCTGTTCCGATATTTGATTCCGTCAGAGAACCCCCCACTCAACTATATCAAAATTATCGGACCAGATGAGCTCGCATTCCGCGGCGACTCTACCAGGACCATACTCCCACATGTTGACGGCGGATTAAAAGAATGGGCACGGAGATTCTGCCACGACTCATCACCAAGTAAAGAGTGAGTTCAATATGAATTCAAATCTCCTCGGCCAATTAAACACCGACTCACTTACCATTCACAGATTCGTGCTAGAACGAGCAGTCCCAAACTGGAACACTCCCCTCCTAGAAGGCCTGATCCGCAACCTCCTCGCCTCACTAAAATACCAAGGCCGAGTGACTATCGAGTTTCCCATCACGCAGAGCAAAGTGGTAGTCACGACGCAGCCGCAGGACGGAAGCATCCTACCTCGTCTTCTGTCACTAGTTCGGGAAACCAAGCGCTACGCCGTGGTGCAGTCTGTATGGCCGTATGCGAACGTGGGGACTTCGTCGATGGAGAGGGACAGGCCGCGCAGAACATGCGTGGTGCAGAGTGAGGAGGACTGGTGGGATGTTTGGAGCGAGGGGTTGGCTGCGGCGATAGTGGAGAAGAGAAGGGGGAAGTTGACGCTGGAGGATGTGATGGATCGAGTAATGTTGGGGAGAGCGTCGGTTAAGATTAAGAAGGTGTGGGGGGAGAGTTCATAGTTAGTATACTAGGGTTTTAAAGGAGTAGTGGTATTGGGTTGTGTTAACAATTGGATATACATATTCAGCAAAATTCCACCTGGTTGTGGCGATCTTTGGATGTAATAATAGAGAGAGTAGAGACCAAAATTTGTATTCTTACTGTAATATTTACTTTGGATTTATCTTCCTGTTCAAACATAACTCCTTGGCAAAAATACAGCAGAACCTCGCCAAGCCGATACTTTTCTTCGGGATGAATTCCGACCCATATAATTCAACCTCGCCTCCCTACCTAACCATGATCCTCGATATATCGGAGACCATATCTAAAATGCTCATCCTAGTGGAAATATTATTATCTCTCCAATCAGAATGCCTCAACTGAAGAAGATTCCACACATTCAGCGGAAAGCTCTACGGGACTGGGTCAACAGCCAACCTCGCCATCCAACACAGAAGGGCTGTATTGCCTGGTTTTATTCTCAATATAATTATCGATTAAACCAGTCTACTGCGTCTGATATTTTAAGCTCACAGTATTAATATCTTGACTCCGTATCTAACCCCTTCCTCCGCAATCCGCAAAGGAGCCGGACATTAGCAAGATCTTAAGACAATTCTTTATGAATGGAAGTACGCACTCAGTATAAAGGGGGCCTATATCTCTGGAGATATTCTTATTAAAAAGCACGTGAAATTTAGAGCTCTTTGCCTCAGTATTCCGGTCAACCACCACCTTCCTTCAGCAACGGATGGCTACACCGCTCCAAGTAATGGTATACTATTAAGCAATGTAAGTATCACGGCGAGACAGGCTCTAGTCCAGAGGAAGCAAGAAAGAGATAAAGGCTATACAAACTATTGCAGACCAATGTAAAGAGGAGGATATCTATAATATCGATGAATCTGGGCTATTTTGGCATAAGCCTTCATCACAGAGCCTATCTCGAAATTAAGAAAGATAAGTCCCGGGTCTCTATAATATGTTGTGTCAACGCCTCTGGAACAGATTAATTACCAATATGGATTATTAGTAATGCACATGCACCACGGGCCCTTCGCAATATTAATATTTCTGCAACTGGAGCTGTATGGAAATGGAATAAGAAGGCCTGGATAATACAGATAATAATTTGCGAATAGCTATTAGCATTTTATAGCCATATTTGCTAGCGAACCGTGCTTCTTACTTTGGACAACTTCTCTGCGTATCTATCCGTGCTAGAATTAGCTCCACCACCACCATATATACGTATTTGCTAGCTTCCAAAAATTTCAACAAGTCAATATCAATCGCTGGATCAAGGTATTATCCAGAATCTAAAGGTACATTATCGAAAACGGTGGCTAAAGTATATTCTTTTCTACTGTAAAAGCGGGTAAGCCCACTGGAATTAGTAACACTTTTAGACTGCATTCGATGGCTTGTCCGGACTTAGAATCATGATATTCTAAAGACTATAGTTTTTACCTGCTTCTATAAAAGTACGGTAGTTTTTAATCCTGTACAGGTTCCAATAGAGGCGCCTAATTTAAAGTCACTTTATAATCAGGTGCAGCAGACAGGGCCGCTGTTAAACTGTATGGATATTTCATACCTTTTAAACCCTGCGGACGAAGCTTCAGAGCCTAATACTGAGATACCATCTGAATTATTGCTTGTTCAGCTAATTGCCGAGCTTCAGACACTTGAGGTATATTAGAGGATCAGGAAGATGATTCTCCAGAGCCACTACCACTTCCAAAGTCTCAAGAAGCTCTAGATGCTGTACGGCTTCGAGTATGCTATACAGATACATCTAATACACTAGTCCTTCGATCTCTGGGGCGGTATGAGCGAGATCTGGAAAGCGAGATTATTGCATCAAGGGCTCAGGGGACTCTCGATAGCTGTCTAGATAGTGCTTAGTAATTTCAAAAACTTCATCTTGGCGATAACCTCGGATAGGCGATATTTTTCGTAGGGATGGCTTCATATCGACTAAGCGGGGCCGCACTGAAATACACACTCAGAACGACTAACAGCATGTCCAGACCACAATCGAATTCATCGATCAGATAAGTTCGATTACATTCCAGTTCCACAGTGACGCTAGCACGACCCCAGTGGGGCCGTCCAGGCGCATTTTCTGGATCTTTCAAACAAACTTAAGTTTTTCTAGCGACAGACCGACTTTCTCAGCAGGAGGATTCTGCCCAGCCTGCCCAGCGGGAGGCCTGTATCCATCGTATTCCGGACACTTATTCCGTCCGAGCCGCTGACAGATACGAGGAAAGATCGGAGTATACTGCAATGTCCATCTCCTTGTCCTTGTCCTAGTATCTATGGATTAATCTAGGACAGGTGGGGATACGATATCCACTGTCTAGTTTTCCTGTCTTGATTCAAATCTCGTGATTGTAGGATGAATAATAATGATTATCTGTACCCAACCGGCAAACTTCAAATACAGGGGGAGTACCTAGTTAGCAAGTAGTTTTATGGAATCTAACAGACGGAGCTCGGTACTCAAACTAGAGTGTCAACGGTCGACCATGGGTGGTAATTACAATACGAAGTACAAAGTACCTATGTACTAATAAATACATACCGCCGGGATGAGTACTTAATCCAGTAAGTGTGTTTTGGATCATATGCCTGGTGGGTTCGAAAGTGGTCCGCTCCTGCATGCAAGGATAATTTTACCGGCAGATACCGATGCACGGCGTTGACGTAGTGTACTTTTGGCTGGCGTGAATCATAGCGCCTCTTCATCTGGCAACTGAGGATATGCATATGCCTTGCATTTTTGTCTCTGGGTCAACTGACGATGTGGCTGGATGTGGTCTCAGTGAAGTAAGGAATTATAATGAATTGATAATTGCTGGATGATATAGAAAGTACTAATATAGGGATATGGTGATGAAATACTGTAGTAAATATGGAGTAGGTAAGGTACATACTTCTGATCTCGGTATATTCACCTACACTACGGAGTGGTTCTATTATGCATCAGATTTATTTAGAAGCACAAGGCAAGGCATATTGCCAGCCTAGTCCATAATATCCACTAGTTACGCTAATTACAGATACGTACTACTATAGAGAAGTGCCTATGTCAGGCCTGACTAGTAGGCATGTTACAGCACTAGTGGAGTTGATGGGGCCGACAAGGATACCCATGCAAGGCTATATCTACGTCCTTGTTCCATAGACTCCAAGCTCCCAATTGCAGACAATGCGATTGAATCAGTCTGTAAGTCCATATCCATGGAATACCCGATCTAATCAGGAAGTACGGAAAGGTGCCTGAAATACAAGGCCGCATGTCCCACATAGCCCCACTGACGTTCATGTTTTGTGGTACTTTTGGAGTGAAAAAAAAAAAAAATAAAATAAAAAAATAAAAAAAAAATTGGAAAGTGAAAATTGAAAAGTTAAAGCTGAAAATAGAAATACTTCCGCTGCATTCCCAATCATTGATATCCGAAAAGAACTCGTTGCATGTATTCGAGAAGCAAACCCCCAAATATGGCACCACCAGCCCACCAAAACCCCTTGCTGAACCACCACCAGCAACTAGAACTGCAACTGAGGTCCACCCGTGAAATCATCACTGCTAGCGATACGGTGCCACCCCCAACGGCCAGCATATGATATACGAGACTGAAACCACTGAGCAGACCGCATTGTACCAGCAATGCAGCCAGGATCGCCAGCAACGGCCACAGTAACGCCTTGGTGCGAGCCTGGCAGAGCACCGCCAGACTCTTGATTCCCACCTGGAGATCAGCCTGCAGATCCTGGTGCGCGTAGACGGTGTCGTAGATGATTGTCCAGACCACGCAGGCCAAGAAGAGACATGCCACAGAGGCATCGAGTGTGGGGCCCGTTGCTGAAGAGTAGTGAAATGGTGGCGCACCCACCGCCAGCTCGCCCATAACGGTGCCCCAAGCAAGACAGAGACCCAGGACGACCTGCGGGAAGTATATGTGACGTTTGCTCCATGGGTAGTAAATAGTAGCGAGGATGTTAGGGAGGGCGTAGAGAGCAGCGCGGCCGAAACCTTGGGGCAGGTAGGCCAGGAACCAAGCAGCACCGAGGGCTTGGGTGGTAGCGAACACTAGAGCGGCAGACAAGGAGATAGCGCCCCGTGGAATAGGGCGACGGCTGGTCCGTTCAACCTGGGCGTCCAGACCGGCGTCAATTAAGTCGTTCCAGATGTGTGCGGCGTTGGAGAAGAAAAAACTGCCTCCAAAGAGGATGGCGCTGGCCTGCAGAACCACCAGCGGCGAAGCATCGCTGCGTATCGCTGCATGGAGAATACCAAATGCGTGCGGGAAGTAGATCAGGAACAGCCCGGCGGGAGGGAAAAGACGAGCGAGTTGTACATAGGGAATCCATGAACTGGGACACAGAGATAGGAAGCCTGATATATGGTTCCCGCCATACTGATAGGCGAGCGGATTAGACTCGCCCTGTTGGGGTTCGGTCTCAATGACGCGCACTGGGGGCATCCTGTGAAATCGCTGGAGCACGATCGGCGTGTGGAGCGTAGACGACGACATGCGTACAGTGAGAGAAGAGAACACAGGAAAGTATTAAGTGGGAGGGGAAGGATTAAAAAATGGAACAACTAAAAAAGAAGAAAAAAGAGGTAGAGATCTAGTCAATGTCACAACCGGGTGATAGGGTTATGTCCGTATCATCTACCGGCAAAATTGGCCATTTAAGTCGAGACGACGCAATGTCGGGCCCAAAATAAAGATTGGCGATGACTGCATCGGCTATCTCGGAGGCGCTAGCCTTCATGAAAAACGGTCTGGAAAGAGTGAGATCCGAAACTAGAGTAAAAATGAATAAAACAAATGAACGGATTTGGACAAGCAAGGAGGAAAGGGGAAAAAAAAAAAAGAAAAAGGAAAAAGATGACAGACAGGGATTCCTATAGAGTATGTGGGACTCGGGGAACCGATCCCAGGTTTGCATGGATGACCAGTGTCAATCGCCACGTTGGAGGTTATTAAAATTGCTGTTCGGGATAGAGGCAGACCAATCAATGCTTTTATGGAACGAAATCATCCGCCAGGAATGCCACGGACTTCGGGCGCAAGGGGTCCTAGCTCAGCGCTGCATAGGAATAATTTTATTCTCCGGCCCCGACAGAAAGGTTCCCTGGCTTCTAGCATCGCCCCAAGTGGGCCATGGTCCTTAAGTCACATTTATCTGCTTCCCATCTGCCGATTATTAATCCCCGCTCGGGAGGATTCGCTGCTTCTCCAATCCCTGCCCTGATGGGTCTTTTTTCTTCATCTTTCTCGACTTTCTCGCAAGTCCTGCATTCGATCCCTGTTGATCTGCAATGTCACACAGCCCACGTAACCTCCAGCCAACCACGTGGTCACCGTTCCCATGGTCGATCGTTGAGGTTGGTGGCCCTGCTGCCTCCCTGCGCACTGACATGACTTGCGTCACAAGTGCAACCAGTATATACTCGGAATGGCGTGGTGGTGGCCCAGTGCCTGCGAACATTACTGGCTTAAATACAATCACCCAACCCTTCATGACCGTCACCAGCTGGTTCTAAATGATCTTACTCCCATATGAAATACCGCGAGTCCCGAGCGGCCCGGGTCGGCCTCGATCCTTGCCTGTGTAGCCCTGGACCATACTATGAGCTAATCTGTGCGGGGTTGCTGTCTGATGCTGGGACATGAATCATCTGATAAAGTCGGTTTCACCAGTCCTCAGTCAAATTGGGGTATTACATGTTTATCCCTGTTGCATAGTAATGAGTACCGGTTGCACCACCCAGTTATGATGTAGAAAACATTGTCCTCCATCATTAGTCGGCGGATGAGGCGCTTAGCCTTGTTCCTGTTGACTGGATTGACTAGAATGTTAGGTACGGTTATAGGAAGGTAGTTTTATATCCCCTTATAGTGTTATATATTAGTATGTCTCGTGGCATGACCATTTTAATTAGATGAATAGTAATTTAATATTCGTCCTAACATGGATATTCCTGGAGATTGTTTACTCTCTTGTATCTGGTCTTTACCAGTCCCGTTTTATTTCGTTTTAGATTGTCGTATGTTCTATTATTTTCTTCAATAAACAGAACTATCCCTATAACCCCTGCTGACAGGTCTCCACATGCCAAGCCTATATAATCCTGTCTTGCGACCAGGCAACCATCGAAGGAATAAATAAATCCTCCAACCCCCACATACAGCGAACCACCCCTAGCAAGGATCAGGATTCCCCAACCAACGCTAGTCCACTATCGCTCAACAACAGTGCCGATAGGGCCGAAATGACGGCACACAACCATATCTTAGGTTCTTATCTCCAAATGCCAGCACGAACGCAAACGCCTGCAGGATATAGAAGGTCAGATTTTAGCTTCTCCATGGGCGTGCGAAACCCCATTTACCCCGCGCTGGGTGGAGGCTGTCATCTACTTTATTTTAATCTCCGTTCAGGTAGGTATGGATGATACTGAGTTTGGTGATTCTATCGTAATATATATCTCCCTAGGTGACAATATATATCGATCCTGCTCATGTTGGCATGTTCCTCAAGGTATTCAGCGGAATGTATCCTTTTCAAGATCTATCCTGATCTTGGTAATCCGTGAACTGTCATGCTTAGGATTGGGACGTCAAGCTTGTTGGTAAGTATGTAATGTATATTATTTTTAATACGATGTAAAGTACTGAACACAATTTACATTTGGGGGACGAAATATGTAGTAACTTGAATCAGAGTAAGGAATACAGTTCTTCGCCTTTCCGAGCTTTTTATTTATTTAGTTTTCTTAACATGTCAATCGATGAACTGATATAATCTGGGCGGTAATGGCGACCCCAAGATATAGCCGACCCCCACATGTAATGCACTAGTCCGTAAAAAGTATAGTGTAAATCCTACTTGACCTAAAAAATGGGCATCTGCAAGGCGGTGAAGTTCCATCTTAGGGCTAGTACAAAGGGCAAGGGCCAAATTTAGGGCAAATTGTAGATTGTAAAGGCTCCAGTGGAGCCTGTTTGACCTCTCGAGCCTATTGGCCCTCGATGACCCACAACACGTGACTCTCCTCCCTTTTTTCTCTCTCCTTCCTTCGATTCCTTTTTGGTATATTGTGTACTTATCCTATAGGTTCTACGGGTTCAGCCCCTCACATTATTGGAGACGGTAGCTCACCTACCTGCGAAACAGAGTGTGAGCAGTGGGCCTCTCTTTCGGCCTAGCGGTAAAACCAGTCAGCTGCCTTAGACCAAGAATACCTTGCCTTTTCCCACCTCTTCTCATCTCCTTCCCTTGAGTCTTTACTTTCGTGCTTCCAGTCCTTCAGGCACGCGCCTTCCCAAATTCCCACATTCCCACAATATGCCTTTCGCTTGGCCACCTGCACCACCCTCATGGGAGCTGTTCGCGAGGCACGATTCTCTTCAATTCAAGGGGCTCGGGCGAGCGGACTGATGGGTGACTAAGAGAGGCCACGTGACCATACTGAATACAGCAGGTCTCTAACAGAAGCTACATATTTTATAACCTTAAACGCCATCCGAACTGGGAATATGTTATCTATCGCACCACCTACTCCCCTCAATCTGACGTTCTATTCTCCGATGTCGTCAAGTATCTCGGGGCCTGCATCGAAAGAAATTTTTTCGGAGAATGTGCCTATCGTAATTAGACGTCGCCTTGGGTGAATCCCGCAATTTATCAGGAAATCCCGGCCAAACACAGTTCAACCATCATGGAAGATTCGGCGCAGTTCGACCGGGCATCAATTGAGTCAATCTGCGTTTATTTCGAGGCCTGGGTGGATGCGCAGGAACAGCGTGATTCGCTTAACAAATGTCGGATGTGCATAGTTATTGATGAAGAATCACTGCAAATGCTGCTGGGTACGTCGGCGGAGGCCTTGAAGAAGGAGGATCCGTATCATCCAGACGAAACATTGCGGTATGTGAAGGTCCTCGAAGCATGGCCGATTATCCACCACTTGACTCTTTCCCGGGTTCTATTGGATCTATGGCCGACAATGTGCGATGGTGACGAGATGAGGATGTCTTTTGAGAATATTGATTAGTTTGACCAGGGAGTGTATCGCGGATGAGTTGACCACTGCAGGTTAAATTTGGGACCCTACGATTCTACTTCACCTCTTATAATTGTCTTTCAACGCTGCTTGTTTAATCATGTCCCTGAATAGCATCGTTCCAGGCATCGTACACTCTGCCGCTCCGTTGACTCCCGTCCTGAAGTATGTCTTGCCGCTAGTTTTCGATTTCCCCTCACCGTCGAGTCATAGACATCCATTTTGGATTCCTCGGGGAAAAGCACTTTATAGAACAGTCTGGCTTTCGCCCCCGGGTTGTCAGTTAGCATTTCAGTATCGGGGGACTGTAGTGCCGCGGTTAATGTTGTTCGGGGTGTGTCCAGGTTGGGTGCCCCACAGTGCAAGTTTCAGAACCCGTCTATAAACGTGGTGGCCTCCTCTACCCTATCCCAGGGCAACGGCTAAGCGTGGCTGTCTTGCGCGTCAATTTGTGTCGTGCCTTGCGGAATTGTTCCCAATCTGCCTCTCGTGCAGTGCCTTTGGCCCTGAGTGGGCTCTGCGGGTTAGTTGCTTCAGTCTCTTCACCTGCGGCGTGTACCCGGGTCGTGTGTAGTGATTGAAGACCTTTTTCGGGGTAGCTGCGTTGGCTGCGGCTCTTGCTACGCGAGGCAGCGGTGGCTTTCTTGTTCAAGGTTGGTCGTGCGCGCCGCTTCTACGTGGGCGCGTGGCTGGAGACGTCCAGGCCATTTGGCTCGGGCTCGAGCTCCATGGGTGTCGGGATATCTGTGGCTGCGACTGTTATCCCAGACCATGGGGTCTCAGGGTCTCAGGATAGGCATGTGGCCTTCTTCTGACAGATCATTTCAATTCGTTAACGTTTGAAAGGGCATTTGCGGTCAAATGCAAAGTGTTTTCCTCCACAGAGAACGCAATGAGCACGTTGTCTGCGTGTGTTATCACCTGTATGTTTGCATTTTAGTGTCGAATACTCTTTGTCGCAGTACGCACAGACAGGTGCCATCCTGCAATCTTGGGCTATATGTCTGTGTTCTTGGCATCCAAAGCATTGCAGCAGCAGCTGCTCGCGGTTATAGACGCTGCCATCCTGCAGCGATCCGTTCAGGACAAGTCCCTGGCGGATGGCGACGTTGGCAGTTCAATCATTGTCGAATTTAACCACCAGCATGCCCGGGCGTCCCTCGCGCACCACCGTCTTCCGTGCCCAGTGGGAATTAAATTTTGATCACCATGCCGTGCCAAGCCTTTCGGGAAGGGATTACCATTATATGGGATTCGGGATGGGATATTCCTTTTCCCAAAAATTTTAAAATAAATCGTCCCGATTTTAAGGGAAGGGAATCCCATCCCGATTTCCCATGAGAAGTTCCCTTCCCAACGGTCAGCCTAGTTGAGAGGCATGGTACGTTACACCTGTTATGAGAGTCTTGCGTGGCTACGCCAGATGGACACTATTAGATGCATGCCAAGCAGGGAAGGTATGAGAATTTTTGCCTAGCTCAGTTGGTCGACAAGGGACGAACAATGAAATCGTGCTGACATGCTTCTGACCAGTGATCTCTATCATAGACCTGACCTCAGGGGTATTTAGCCAACTATATATAGGGGCTGTCGCGATCTCAAGTTGAGCGCAATCGGTTATCTCAATTCAATTCAATTCAATTCAATTCAATTCAATCAGTTATCAGTTATCAGTCCGTTCTCGAGCATTCCATCTTACTGAGCCTCCTTGAAAATGACCACCAAACCCATTATTGTTTTTGTCCACGGTCCTTGGCATACTCCACCATTGTACGCTCCGTTTCGAGCTGCTCTCCATGACCTAGGCTTTGAAGTCCATATTCCAACCCTCATGACCATGAATGGTGTCAGACCCCCAAACGCAGACCTGTACACAGATTCTACCCTTATCCGCGAGTACGTGAGCAGCCTGGTGGACGCCGGCCGCGAGGTGATGGTGCTTATGCATTCGTACGGTGGCCAAGTCGGCACTAAGTAATGCCTTGGTGGGCTTAGGCAAGCAGAGTCGCCAAAAGCAGGGCCTCTGCGGGGGGATCTCCCGCCTCGTATACTTGAGCGGATTTGCGGTTAGGGAGGGCGAATTCATGATAGATGTGGTGAGAGAACATGATCACATGTTTATGATCCCACCGGCATTTGACTTCGCAGATGACGACACCGTCGTCGATCGTGACCCGAAGACCCGGCTTATCGGTCATGGGATGGAGTCTGACCAGGAGAAGGCCTATCTAGAAGGGCTAAAGCGGTGGAATGGCAAGGGCATGTATCAGGAACTCCACCAAGTCGCATGGAGAGAGATTCCTGTATCATATGTTGTATATACCCTGGACATGGCTGTGCCAAAGGAGTATCAGATGTATATGATTGCCTTAATGGAGGCCAATGGTCGAGAGGTGGAGGTACTTGAGATGGAGACCAGCCATTGCGGCATGATTAGAATGCCCATGGAGACAGCAGATATCATAAATGAGATCGCTGAGAGGCAGCTGGCGAGGGCGTGAAATGGAGCTATGGATTGGTAAATTCGTCGGATTTTGTCTTGGCATTTTGCATGTACATATATTCCTTTGATATCAATGCAAATTGGACCTGAAAATTTATGGATCGGAGAGGAATCTTCTGTATGGTAAGTAATGTCTAAAACCATGGCAAATCTTCACTTGCGGTTTTCCTTCCACAGTTTTTCCATTTGCCTTCTCTACATCAATATTTTTAGACGTCGGACAGTAAACTGTTGTAGTGGTCGGCTAATAAATACTTAATAATTGTATGTTAAGTTTCTTAAATTATATCATACTCTTAGCCTATATATACTATTCTGCGGGCGTACACACCTATAACCCAAATACACACATCGCACTCTGCGCCAAAGACATTTAAGCTCTCATTAGAAGAGCATTAACTAGAGTCCTATAATATGGTGCCCTCGCAATATGCACCAAAACATAGCCAATTTCTCCGCTCATCATAAGGATAGCTTGTCTTTATTTATTATGACCCTTATTATAGATTTCATCCAATCCCATTACTGCAGGCACAAGAAAGGAAGCGATGTGTGTGTAAGAACCTAGCCTAGGCGGCGTGAGAAAATCCCTTGCTAACTATTATCCATAGATACATTCTGTGGCATAATACTTGCACTCCCTATACGGCTGCCGGATTCACGCACAAATTGTGGTTTCACGCTGTGCAAATGCCCTGCCACTGCACTTTCCATTCATGAAAGATTTCACGCTTGCATCTATAGTACATAGTAAAGTAGCACCAAAAGAATATATAGTATGTTACCAAATCGCAAGGCCTATTTTTTGACACTGAATGAAGGCAAAACAGTAACATCATTATTAAGGACATGACACTGAGGTGGCGAGAAACTCAGGGGAAGGCCAACACGCGAGCCACGAGGAGCTCTCTGCCACACATGTGCCCAGGTTTTAAAAGAAGGCTGATTGTAGACTAAGAATCATGTCTACAAGGGAAATGATATATCCCTGATTGTATCTGCTGACGAGATCAATCAGCAGTTGCCAGTGTATTCTCTATTATTGTGTTTTACTATAAGAGGAAATGTAACAGCAGGTGGTTCTAAAGAAGTACAGCAAGGGTTTTATAATCATACTCTGGACCACTATTTCGCAAAAGGCACGGAGCTTTTCATCGTGGCTGTTCAACATACACCGAAGAAATAAAATGAGGCCATTCCTGTTGAATATTCTGAGTAGGGGTCTGAACCAAACGGTTTCACTAAGTAGTTCCATATAACAGAGATAGTGCAGATATGTTACTATGTGCGCATCCTATACTATATCATTGATGCATCACATTCTACTCATAGTAACATAGGATTTACGAAACTGCGGAATGATCGATTAAACTGACGTGCCGAGCAGTCCCATCGAACCCTGAAGAGTTAACGCCGCACTAAAGTTATACCTTAAGGTGGGCAAACGAATAAGAAATTAAATGTAGCAAACAGCTATTCTGATTCTCGAGATTATGCTTAGCTCGGATATGAGTTCTAACTTCTGGCGTATATAGTCCAATCTACGTGTTGTGTTCGAGCATTCAGCATCCCGGCCACAACCCCGGTAAAATTACATAGCTGTTAAAATAACATAGCTGTCATCAAATTTTATAAATAAGCGGACAACGGATTCAGCCATATCCTATCTTGGTCTTCAAATGGGATTAACTGACAGATGAGTTAATCATCTAAATCACGTGAATATATATGGAAAATACCAAAATGTGACGAGAGGTGAAGTGATAATTCCGTAAACGGAAGGCAGCCTCCAGCCAATTGCTTCGCGAGCAACACAATGCTAATACTGACTCAGAATGCTTCTATTCCTCTTCAAACTTCTTACAAACCCATATCTTCATATCTTTGAATCTCCGAAATTAGCCACACCGCAGCTCCTCTCTGCATACATAAAACATTACTATCTCCTACTACAAGAATACACCCGCAATGTCTCCGTTTTTGCACAGAAGCGACATGAGCGATGATGAATTTACAGCCACATATCTTTTCAAAATTGAGGATTTGTCAGAGGAGCCCGTCATGACAGAATACCCCCCAGAGTCGTCCTCAAGTCCAGATAAAGAAGACGACAGTTCAATACAGCCTCTATCTAAGTCCGTGTCTCCGGCGGAGAATCAATCGGAACAATCAACCACCTCTCATTCATGCTCGACCTGTCGGTCATGCTCAACCTCAGAAGATTTGCCGAATACATCCAATCCAAGAAAGAGAAATTACGAAGATGATGAATGGGAGTATAAGAATGAGGAAGGGGAAGAAAGGCGCTCACAGATGCTGGAACGAAACAGGATTGCCGCCACCAAATGCCGACGGAAGAAGAAGGCCCGTTTGCAAGCCATCGAAGAGAGCATTGAAGATGAAGAACGGACCATTGAGCGTATGGAGCGGGAGCTTGCACTGCTAGAGCGTGAGAGCCAAATACTCGATGATGTGATTCGCAAGCACCTTAGCAGTGGCAAGTGTCGTTTTATGCCCAAGCATTAGTTAGCGATGGAACTGGATACTTTCTACTAGCGATTGTCTTTGTAGACTGCAGGATTGGCTAGCCATTGAACCGGGTTACTGTGTGTGCTAAGTAATTAACTACTTTATTACTATTGTGTATTCGGGGCTAGTATTTAATAAAACTTACGATGTAGGGTATAGTTAGTATCCAGGACATCTAATATGTCTGCCCCCTAAACTGAAATCAACGATGGTCCTGCGTTGATAGATGCAATACTAATTCGATATAGAATTTAGTTCAGTCGAAATTTTGTGGCCAAATTTCGAAGCCTCACTCCTATAAGTCTATTTGTCAATCCAACTAGTACGACCTACAATTCAAACATCTGGTATTAGTGCCATCACAGAAGTACAGCGAGGGGATTTGTTATCCATGGGATGAAATTCCAAGTATTTGTAGATCATACTTTCTTTCCAAGGGATAGACATTCCGAATAGATTGTTCCCTTGGTTGATCATGCTTTCCTTGTGTAGCCTCCAAGTGGCTTTTATTCACCGGTATTCTTGGATACTCTTAAATAATCTTTAGGCTGGTTGGAAAATACACCATTGTAAACTATGGAAATGGCCAGGAACCTTAGCCTTTTATTTGCAATCCGTCTCGACTCTCAAAGTAGCGCATTCTATCCAGAAGGAGAGCTATACTCTAACATAGTTCGCTCGAAATGGCCTGATTCTTGACCACCATACACTAATGCATTCATTTGTTTGGACAAGCCGTGGTAAATATAACCAATAGGAAACACAACTTCATTTTCATTTGATAGAGATGGCTGGAATTAATGCGTAGTTTTGTCAGCGTTCTGGTATCCTGGTAGTGCGCCACTGAAGACAGTATGACCATAAACCTAACATTCTTCAACGATAGACCAGCTTATTTTAGCAGATACACTTTTATAGCTTTCTCATCTCGATCAATCCGGCCCCAAAAGACGGATAAGCCTCAAACGTCACACGCAACCCTGCCAGTGCGGCCAGCTGATGCCACTCAGATGGAGTCCTGTGTCGTCCTCCAAAGAGTACAACCATTGTCGTGTGTAATTTTCCATTATTCACGTTTTTGGAGAATTCATGGATTAAAAGACGAGAGTAATTAGCCATGGCCTCAGATATCTTCTGTAATAGATTTACGGCCTCCAAATCCGGTAGGTTATGAACGACATGCCCTAGGTTGTAAATCAGGGCCCCTTTGATAGGCTGAGGGCTATTCCCCTTAAAGTCCCACGTAGCAAGTGTGATACCGGGAACATCCACAATAGCATCATTGAACTCTTGAACAACAAGCTCCGATGCTTTCAAATAAGGGAATGTCTCTTTAACTTCAAGAAGCAGTTCTCCACTACCCCCTCCAATGTCGACCATGGCAACGGACGTGGATACTTCGGGGTCGCTGAGAATATGCTGCAAGTCGTATCCCAGTTTCTTCACGCGCTCTGGCATAGTGCTGGTCTTCATGAACTTTCCGACCATGAACTTGTTGAAACTGGGCATGCGACCTTCTGCAGCCATAATAGAATAGGTATGTTGCTTTGATAACTCCTCCTGACCCATAAGTTTGTATGCATGTTGGATGGGAGTTTCTTGTTCTTTGAACGGGTACTCGAAATTATTAGCTTCGAGTTTTCGCATGACAAATGCAGCGCCCAAAAGTGCCTCCCTTGTACTATTGCTTGTTAGTATATTCAAGGGTTGAAATGGAGAAATCATACAAATGAAGACAGCCATGCAGCGCGGACGGAGTGGTCACCAAATGCCTCGTGATATCATTTGGACTGTAAAGCTCATCGCTACTGACATCGACAAATCCGAGGCAGGCCATAGCAAATAGAGTATCCTCTGCATAAGCATTAGCCTTTCTTTGTGATCTTTCTTCTAAGTATGACAGCATACGGAATAAAGGTAAATCTATGTATATTAACCAGAAGTCAGTATCATAGGGGCTACATCGCAGGGATATAACACAGACTTGGCTTGAATTCTTCATTTCCTTCACCCAGACTATTAATATAGGTATCCTGGACCTCCTCTGCTGTAGAAGGTCGGTTCAACTGCACCAGCCTGTCAAAGAGCTGGAAGTGGGCTGCCACAGGCACGAAACCTAGGGCCGGCGGCTGAGATCTCTTCTGTTAATATGTATAACTAAATAACTAATGTATGGCCACTAACCGAGCTAACAGTGTCTGCCACTGCCATGGCAGCAGGTGAAGAAGCCATAGTCTGCATGAAACAATAGGTACACCCATGGGTTCGTGGATTCGATTGCCAAATAGCTGGGGCCAGAGTAGGTTATATTAAACCCCTCACTAATGCTCAAGCGAACATTTGAGTTTCCTGTCCTATGTAAACAAAATATACCATATCTCGCAGGATTTGGCGCTGCAGAATCAAGCCCAAGTCAAGTAATGTAATGTACAATGTATGTACTTACCATATAGCCTATCTCTATAGGCTCAAAGAACAGGATGTATTTTCGGCCTACTTTTACAACAACCCCGCCTGTAATTTCATGGCTATGACATCAGACCTATATCATTATGAGGCAGTCTAGGCTGATTGTTGCATATGACCATGAACATATATATGATAGTTAGACATATTTTCAGCTAGACCTGTCGAGGATAGGGGCCCGAAACGGCCATGTTCGGTCCTGAATCTTTATCAGAAGCTGCGTACACGGTAACGCAAGGTAGTATATTAAGGACGCGTTGATGTATTGTCATGATCTCATAACTATATCGTATCGCTATCTTATCTATGGGCGTTCTAGTTATATTTTATCTTGATCTATTCAAAAAAGAACCGATCAGGGATTAGTTCTCAAATATCTTGATATAAGATACAGTGATATTTTCTTCTACCATCATACCTAGCTCACCGTCTACCCGGCCAAGTAGATTCATCACAATCATATCACTTGCATAGTACCCTTAAGGGTTTTTTTAATTTTTTTTATCTTCTTTTTTTCTTCTTCTTTCTCTTTCTTTGTTCCCATTATTGTTTCTCGCCAGTCAATACTCCACTCTATAGTATTAAATCAAATTACATCCTACACTCTAAGAGCCACTAGATTGGATCTAAAACATAATGGTTAGGTTGGAGAGTGAAAACTAACCTTTTCACACTCCGCCACTGATTCACAGTCTTTTATATAGGAAAAGGATCTAGGTGACACAGGATAAAAATTATTGAGGGTGAAACAGTACTCCTCATGACAGTGGCGGCGTCAACGGGATATAATGTACAGGAGATTAAGCAAAGAAGGGATAACTGTTCCAACAACTAACATATGAGGAACACACAAAGGGACGGCTTTTAGGGGAGCGAAAAAAAACACCGTCTGTACTACAGTATACTGCCTGGATGACACTACAGTAGGCCGCAGCGCGGGAGGACAGGCCCAAGCCAGCGAATGAGCACGAAGAGATGATGGATGGAGGCTAGACATCTTGGAGGAAGCGGAACGAGAGGGAGAAGGTTAAAGGTGGAGAGTGGTTCGTCTAACGAGTTGACACACTGCTGTACCGAAGCCAAGGAGGGCCAATGTGGTCCGAAAGCCGTAGGCAGCAACTCTGACCTGGGGCGAGGAAAAGGTCTAGAACGGTCATCAGATGTAGTAGGAAAGAGGGAAAGGCTATAGCCTATGACTCGCCGTCTTTCATGGCCGGGGCGGCTCGGTAAGGACGTTAAACTTGACGAAATAATAATAATAATAGTAGTACTGGGCGTTGAAGTCCCTTGAGAAAAGATCTCATGTAAGTTCACTTACGTCAAGCTGAGTCTTCTTGCAGGACTCGTCTTAGGCCTATCTGCCTCTTTGGAGCCTGAGTCAACGGCGGTTCGTATTAAGCGGCTTTAAAAAGGTTATAGCTCAATAAATATTGAAGGCTGTGTATTAATTTATGTATTAACAATGCTTAAAGCTATCTACTTTTTCTAGATGGACTAGATTACCGAATACTCTATCTATACGTATAGCTTAAGAAATAAATTCCAATGTAACATCCGTCTATCTTTTATGGAGTCAATTTGTATAGTTACTACTTTTCTTTGGCATATTTTTCGTTCTCGAAGTACGACATTCAATTAAGCTTACTTCTTAATACGTTCCGTCCATCTTTAATACAAGGCTGCAAGTTGGTTCTGGCATGTGCGATAAGCCAGACTATAGAGAGTTAATGTTCTAATCTATGTCTTAATATTATAGTTAAAGTTCCTGTTCAGATAATATATACTCCATTCCACCATTTAAGCTGCTAACTAGTTCTAGATTGTAGATTTATCAAGAACGTGGCTAGCACCCAGCTTGGGAATCTTAGAGCACAGGCAAAAGCTAACTTACTGTGTGTATAAATAAAGCTAAAAGAGGCAATATTCAATGCTGGTCGTGATCAATTTTTGGCTCGATAATTAACACCAAAGAAATTAAAATGCAGCTTGATCTGGGCGATTTACCCTCTTGGCATTCTGCATAATATAAATCAAAACAACCGTCACTTATTAAAGTCCACCAACAACTGCCAGCTAAGCCTTACCATCCTCATTTTCCTTCACTCCGTATCTGGCACGCAACGAGTCCGTTATTAGCGTCGCAATCGCTCCGACCTTCCTCGCCTCGGTTATGGCGCCAATCGAAAGCTCCACATCCGCATTGCGCCGAATCCAGTGCTTAATCTGAAGGCTCATCAAAGAATCTACCTCGAGATTAGGATATTGCGCCTCGTCAATTTCCCCTGATTGCCCGTTATGGTGCGAAATTTGTTTCCCAAGTGCTTCGATGATCCAATTCACAACTGTGCCGTCATTCAGAAGAGTTGGGTTGCTCTTGACCGAAGCAATTTTTCGCTGGAACTCCGCTTCGTCAATTCCTCCTGCGCTTAACTCGTCAGATTTGGATATAGAGAACGTGGTGAAGCGGGCATCCTGTTGCAACCACGGGTCGTTGGTGACAGCGGCCGGGGACAACCCCGCTATCATGGTTGCTGGACGACACGACGATAAGTCGTCTTTCGCGGAGACAACCGCAACTTGGAATGCCTTGAGAACGTCGCCTTCTCCCATCATATGATGAAATGTCTGGTGCGCTTTGGCCAGGAGCTCCGGCTGACGGGACATGAGACCCATTTCATCCACGGGACCCAGGCTAACCCCTGATGCTGGCAATCCTAGTCCTCGGCGATACTGCACAAATGAGTCCAAGAATGAATTTGCGGCGGCATAGTTGGCTTGACCTGCGTTCCCAACTAGGCTTACAGCGGAGCTGAATACAATGAAGAAGTCCAGAGGTTGGCTGAGCAGCGCATGATGGAGATTCCAGGTTCCCTGTACCTTGGCTGAAAGGGACTCTGTCCAGTCTTCATAGCTCATCTTATCGAAGAGTTGATCCTGACCAATGAATCAGCACCATAACAATTACAATCAATGAAGGCTGTCCAATAATACCTTTAAGATAGCTGACATTTGGATGATGCCAGCGATAGGGCGTGGGCTTTGACCTATGGCACGCTCGACGGTCTCTAGATCAGCAACGCTCCCGGCAATCATTTCCACTTGGCATCCCTGGATTTGGAGCTCTTGTGAGAACTTTTGATCTTCTTCATTACATCCAGCAGATCGGGATAGGAATACAAAATAGCGAGCGCCATATTCCACCATCCACCGGACAATCGCTCGGCCGATTCCTCTCTGTCCACCAACCAGCAGATATGAAGCATTAGACTGGAAACTGAATACTGGGGGGGCGGGCAATAAAGGAAGTCGACTGTCGTCTTCAGGCAACTCGATAATGAGCTTTCCAATGTTTTGGCCGTTTTGCATTTGCCGCATGGCAGTTTCTAGCTCTTCAACTTTGAAGACGGTGTGTGCAGGGCGATATTTGGAATCAAGGAAATACTTTATTCCTTTTTCTATAGCCCTGTGAGACAAGTTAGCTGAAAGGTATCTTACTGCTGCTAAAGCCAGACACGTGATGGAATACGGGAGGCCTACTCTCCGCTCCTACGCCAATCCTTGAATGCAACGGTATATAAGTCGAAGCCGCAGAAGGACCGACAGTTTTGGAACCCATGCAAATCAAGCAAGCCATGCCCCAGAATATCCCTTTTCCCAATCTCGAGCATCTTTCCAAAAGGCGCAACACATTGCCATGAGGCCCGCAGCAGGTCACCTGCAAGCGAGTTTAGCACTAAATCGACGCCCCTTCCGTTAGTTTGCTGCATGACCCCCGAGAGGAACGATGTACTGTGGGAGTCGAAGATGTGTGAGCGGGGAATGCCAAATGTCTCCATCAGATAATGTGCTTTTTCGTCACTACCGACCGAGGCAAAGATCTAGTTTATTGTCAGTTGGATTAGGTGATATTAATACGCATACTTGGACGACCATACTATTGCACCAATTGCATGGCAAATATGAACTGCTGCTAGTCCAACACCACCACATGCGGAATGGACCAGAACCGACTGACCCGTTTTCAACTGGCCGATTTGCAACAGCGTGAGAATGGAAGTAGCGTAAGCAGTGGGAATGGCAGCAGCCTCTGTCATTGTTAGTTTATCAGGAATCCGGCGGACGCGTTCAGCCGGAAACACCCCCTTGGTTGCTGTTGGTGAGGGATCAAATAAAACTACTTTGTCACCCACTTGCAGGTCGCTAACCTGGGATCCCACACTAGTGATAATACCACTAACTTCGAAGCTGAAGTCCATTGTTTTGGTTCTCTCCACAACCCCTAGCGACATCATGAGATCCTTAAAGTTCAATGCCATATAGCTAGCCTTGACTTCCACTTCGTGCGGCCCGGCCTCCCGACCCCGAATTGGTTTCCAGCCAAGTGTGCTCAGATCGCCCACTGTCCCGATGTCAAGCTGGTAGACATCAAACTGGTCTTTGGCCTCAAGCTGGTCTGCCACCTTGGTCAAAATTGCACGGCCAGTATGCACGGCGCCTTGGCTTAGGATGAACTCATACTCCCGAGCGTCCGATCCAGGAATGTCACTACCAAGCTGCTGGTATACCTGCATGACCGTGGAGATTGTGTCTTCATTGAATGAATCAACCTCAAAAGTCCCAAAGTCGATGTTCAGTTCGAGACGCAAGGTGCGAGCAAGGCCGAGGATCTGACCGAAACGGGGGTCCAGACATCTCATTTGAATCGAGTGCGTAACCCAAAGTATGCGCTTAACTGATGCAAGTATACTTTTTAGCTTATCGTAGGTTAACTGAGAAAGATTGTCCATGAAAGGTGTTTCAAGATCTAGCAAGGCAATAACGTCCTGTGTTTGAAGTTCCTCTCCAAACAAACACCACTGTACTGCATATTCATTGCAGGACAAATGGCTTGCAATTCCTTGTACCCACGGGTGATATCTGTCCTCAGGCCTGCAAAGTAAGCTAATCGGGGGTCGAGGGGGATCCACCACTGGGTTAGTCGACAGCATCACAGCTTGTGAATGAAGTGGGGAGGGTGCATTGTACGCGAAGACATCGACTCCTGAGAAGCCTGCTAGGCATAACTCCGTCTTCCAGCGATGCACTGAAACGTAAGGCTTTTCTAGATGGTCATTACCAACCCCCGACCACCATCCAGGGAGCAGGGCCATCAAAACATCAAAGTATGGTATATCTGAACATGGCTCGCATAGCAGCAATCGTCCTCCAGGGGCCAGTAAAGACCGTACATTCTTGAGTGGCTGAGAAAGAACCGGCGTCTGCCACAGGACATTACACACAACTACTAGGTCATAGCTAGCTTCGATAAGTCCCTGCTCCCTAGGATCCTTGGAGATATCTAATGATTTGTATTCCATTTTAGGCACAGCTTGGAAACGTTCTTTTAACGCATCGAGACATGCAGTGTCTGGGTCGGTCACCGTGAAGTTGTTGAAAAGCCTGTCTCCCTGTATTGTAGTTAGTGCATTTACGATGGTTGCCGTTGCAGACCCTGCATCAGCACCAACCTCCAGGATACGGAGGCGCGGGTTCGTATGTCCAAGGGGACCAAGGAAGTCGTTCCAGTTGTGAAGAGTGAGGCCCCACTCGAAAATGCTTTTCATTGAGCTCAGGAGCGAAGTGCTCCCGGTATCGTTTCCATCCGCAAAGTGATTGGAATACTCAGTTGCATATCTCCGAATGTCAACATAGAATTTGTCCACACGGGGGTCGGGGAATTCTGTGCGTAGAGTTTCAAATATCTTCTGGCGCTGTTTTTGGTTCATTTCCCTAATATGTTGCAACCCAGGTATATAATTGTATTGGCCTTCAGCCAGTCTGCGCGCTATGTTTAAGAGTACCTCTTTGTACCTGATGAAATATGGTGAAAGCACGGGTTGAGTACCCATGGCTTCGAGCATATCAAACATGGATACAAATGCCGCCTTTGCGCATCCGTGCATCATTGACTGGTCTAAGAATACTGGAGATGGTACCTGATGGCTTACGGTTAGAAACCTGATATCAGGTTTCCACTCGACATATGTCCCTAGCTTCGGCCCTTTGCCTTCGAAGCCTGTCTCCGGTATGGGCAAAAAGCGCATCCCAGCCATTTCCAAAACCAAGTCACCTGTCGTCTCGGATACTGCCCTGAAGCGCCCGATCAAGTTTTCCTCGACAGGGTTTGTGGTCGTAGCCTCGACCAGCATCGAGTCACCCCCAGGGGCCAAATAAACCCGATCGATGTAAAGTGGCATGCCAGCCTTGTCAGGATAATGAGATACCCCTTTGTCACTGGCAATAAGCGCTACTTGAAGACACTGGTCGACGATCGTTGGGTGAATGGCATAATAGCTGTGGTGAAGCTCGCGTTTGTCCTCGACTCTTCCACGAGCAGCGTTCCTTAGCGGATCGACCGTGATATCATGTAGGCCTTCAAAACGAGTACCATATTCCAGTCCCTTTTTTTGGGTCCTTCGGTACCAAGTTTGTGATGTAAGCTCCCGATCAAATGGCGCAGAAATTGTATTCGATGAAGGTGGCTGGTCGTTACCAGCTCTCGCTTGCCCCGAACAATGTTTGGTCCATCCATGGCCATTGTACGACCATATGATGAACTCGTACCAACTAGAATCCATAGTGGCGTTCAAAGTCATCTTGCGCAAACTCGTCATAATCTCAACGTCGCTTTCATCTCTCACCAGTGCCTCCATAAGCAGGAGATGTTGAATAGTACAGTCGCTCGAGCCGGTAACCTGCCGTATGGCTTCGGAAACGATAGATACATAACCCACGGCTGGAAATACAACAATGCCCATCATGCGATGCTCGTTAATCCAGGGCACCTCATCACCTCTGAGGACATTACGCCAGGTGGGTGCGAAATCGTTACTTTCCAGGCACCGGGCTCCCAGCAACTCGTGGCGAGGAAACTGGCGGAGGCGCCATTGTCTAGTCAGGCGCGATTCTGTCCACTCAGTGTCCTCTCGTTGCCAGGGGTAGGTAGGAAGGTCGGGGACTGTCTGTCCCTGATAGGCCCCGTTAATAGCGAGTAGGTCAACGGGCAGATGGCTCAGGTACGCTGTCCCGGCGACAGACATGATATTGAATATGTTATCCTCGTTGCGTTTCATGGTCGCGCAGTACGTGTAGCTGGTTGTGGTTTCAGACAGGATTTGCTGCATTGGTCCACGGAGCGCCGAATTCGACCCAATCTCTATTATGACTAGGTGCACCTTATCAGTCGTGGATATGGCTAGGTCACGAAAAGCCGTGGAGAATAGCACGGGAGATTCTAGGCTACGGCGCCAATATACAGCGTCAAGTTCACTGGGACAGGTGATTACCGTGCCCGATGCAGTGGAATACATTGGAATCATTGCGTCAGCATTCATAGCTATATGGGGACCGGTCATGTCTTCGTACTTGGCACCGACGGTTGCCATATGCGCTGCTTGATAGTCAGCAACAGTATCCAAGTAAAGGTGAAGACTCACGAGAATGATATGCACGCTCAACTGGTAGCAGCTTTAATAGGACGTCGGGCTCCTCATTCTTGAGATTAGTTGCCAGCCGCTCTAACCGACAACGGGGCCCAGCAAGAGTCACGCTCTTAGGGCTATTCTCGCATGCTACTACGATGTCATTGTCCAAATACCGAGACACACTGTCTCGACCAAGTGCCACAGCGAGCATGCCTCCGTCACTGGGTGCTATCGTGGCTACTACACCGCGAGTATAGGCCAATATAATTGCCGTATCTAGCGATATGGCATTGGCAGCATAGGCTGCTGCAAACTCCCCACTTGAATGGCCAATGACTGTAGAGGGAGTGATGCCCCAAGACTTGAGAAGATTGACTAAGCCAATTTGCACGGCAGTACATAGTGGCTGCGAGATTTCTGGCTGATCGATATTGCTTTCCTCTCCTGTTCTGACAAGCTCCTCTACAGTCCCCAAGGAACCCAAATCAGCCTGGCACTAAGCAACTCAAGATTAATTAAACTGTGACTTATCATACCGCAGATCCTCCATTCGGGTGCATTTGATAGGCCTTGGAGCACATTATCCATCCGATGCATGTCGTTCTTGAAGGACGTGAAATTCTCCATCAACTGAGCACCCATCCCACTCCACTGCACTCCTTGACCAGGAAATGCAAATGCTACTGTCTTTGCTCCATGATTAATATTATCAGCCCTAACAAAATTGGTTGACATCGTGGAGTTGCCCTTATGTTTTACCGCAAAGGCTCGATGCTGCAAATGTTCACGCCTCACACTGAGGGTGTACACTAGGTCATCCAGAGAACCAGCTTTTTGTGAAATATAATTTTCGATTTGTTCGATTCTTCGAGTAAGGGATTCTAAGTGACTAGCAGAAACTACTAGTAGCTGAGGGATACTTTTACTGCCCTCGCTGGTGTTGGTTCGAGGCTCCAGCACGGAGTCCGCTGAATCGACAATCACCTGCTGTTGTGAGCATCCGAAATCAGGAAGAGGAAGATGAAGACGTACATGTGCGTTTGTCCCACCGACTCCAAAACAGTTGACGCTCACACGCTCTTTACGATCCTGAGGCCAAGGGAGAGTTTCGACTGGTACTGTTAATCCCGCCTCTTTGAACAAGACTATTATAGGTTAGAACTCAGCCAAAGTCACTTGCAAATTGGGACAACTGTACTTTTTGGGTTGGGTGTTGCAAAGTGTATGTTTGGAGGAATCTGTTTATGTTCCAGGGCGAGAACTCCCTTGATCAGCCCTGCAAGCCCTGCTGCACCTTCGGTATGGCCAATGTTCGGTTTCACCTGTAAGAGAAACAGTTAGCATCATACTACTAACACAGAGATCGGTCTCTTACACCCCCTATTATCATAGACTGTCTTTCAAAAGCGTTGGCTATGGCAGTGGTCTCCACGACATCTCCAACTGGTGTAGCGGTGCCATGGCATTCCACGAACGCCGTCTCGCCCGGGTTGGCTATGTGTGCTTTGCGATAGGCCTTCCGGATCAGAGCCTCCTGGCCATCTGCTGACGGGACCATAATATGATTTGTCCGGCCATCAAAGTTTGTTGCCACTGCCCGAATTACTCCACGGACCGGATCATGGTCCCGGATCGCATCATCGAGTTTTTTGATATACAAAGCACAAATCCCCTCTCCACGGGTATATCCATTCGCATCTGCGTCAAACGTCTTGCAGATTCCATCTGGGGAGAGAGCGTTAGCCTGCGACATATTCGTCGTCATCGTCGGGGTGAAAATTAGACTTGTCCCGCCAACAATAGCTGACGGACAATCCCCAAGGGCGATGGCTTGACATGCCTCGTGGAGGGCCACGAGAGACGAGGAACAGGCTGTCCTGCAGGTCATACTGGGTCCTTTTAAATCATACTCGAATGACACTCTATTAGCAACTGCATAATCACCCGTCCCGATGACATGCAGAGGATTGAGATTCTGGGTGTCTTTGGCCGTAAGATCCAACCAGTCCTCGCCGAACGTTCCTACAAATGACCCAATCTCTGTTCCTCGCCAATTGACCTGACCAGCGCTTTCCATACACTCCCATACCACTTCCAAGAGAAGCATTTGTTGGGGGTCTTGAGCACCATGCTCGTATCGATTGGTTTGAAAGAACGATGAATCTGCCTTTCCTAGGTACTCATCATCGAGAAAGTATCCATTTCGTGATACCACAGATTGTGTGTCTTCTCCTGGGACCCCGTAGAAAGCGTCTATATTGTACCGGCTACCAGGAACCGGACCTGATGCACATCTCCGGTCAATCATCAGCTTCCAGAAATCCTCTGGAGAGGAGACACCTCCGGGGAGCCGCACTCCCATGCCAACAATGGCAATAAGAGGAGGGGCATCATGAGGCCAGGATGCATCGGCAGTAGTTTGGTATTCCTCCGCATCCACAGCCGTCCATCCCCGGGGGCTGCCTGAGCTGTCGGTGTCGCTGGAGGCCATGAGGGCACGTGACTGAGCGAAGAGGCAGCAAGGTAGAGCTAAAGTGGGAAAGATGATGGGGGAGTCTCAAACACACTGCCGCTTGCTTTTCACTTAAGATATCTCCCTATGTAATTTATGTCGGGCGACTCACCTCCGCCCTATGACGACACTTGTTTCAGCATCTTACTTTCTCGCCTTGTTTGGTGGCTCAGACAAATTTTTAATTGGATGTCATATGATCTAGAAAGCGATGCTAGGGTCCCTCAAGTGTGGTCTTTCAAATTCATTGATTTGTTCTCGCCTAATCTCAAACCAATTACTTCAAATTAAAATCTATCGGTAGGGGAAGATGTGTGCGTAGAGATGCATGCAGCACCGGAAAAACCGTACTGACACTCCTTTACCCTGAAGGAAGGTGCCTTGCCACTTGTTGTAATCCTCAGTCTCCCCCAGCAGGAGGTGGAGGGCAAGTGTTACAAGTATGCCTGAATATCAGACCGGCACGGTAAAGCAATATGATCAGAATGTAGATCACAACATTGTGCAAACAAAATCGGAATAGATGGTATACTAGCGGGACTCTGTGGTCCTGCATAAGGAGACATGCTGCGAAAATGAGTGAGGGATGTTCCGACCATGACCAACGGACCGAGGAGGGTGGCACCGCAGGACACGTAAAATTTATTGTCTGGTTGACTTTCCCACTTCCCAGTTTACATCCTTGCTGGAGTCATGCGGTGAATGGTGAAATCAGGGAAGTGAGTGACTCTTTTGAAGATTATTGAAGGCATATCGTGTGTGATGCTGGTAAACATATCCACTACAGCTTTGCAACCCCACTTTGGATATGTCTGACTATCTGCTTTCAGTAACAGTTGATTTTTGCCATGGACCTGTGTCATGTCACATATGTCTGGTATCTTTTGCTACATATTCAAATGGGCCTCCCTTGCAGGGAGTCCATGCCAGGATCCAATTTAGGTGAAGGAAAACCGGACACGACACCCCTTGGCCCGTACATGACACACCGCCAATACTGCATAGGGGAAATATACGTAACATCCAGTGCATGCAAATGAAAACGAGGGGGTTACAGAATAATCTAACAATCGTAAAAAAAGAAAGACTCTATCAGATACCCTTGTGTCACCTAAATTTCTAAACATTGTATTGCGGCACCCGCCACATCCCTTGAATATGGAGACTACAATCTGGATATTCGTTTGCACTGCAGGGCTTTCAATTTTGCTATACTTCGCTGGTATGGCCTTCTACAGGCTGTCTCTGAGTCCACTGGCCAAGTTCTCCAGCCCCCATCTGGTCACCATATCAGGGTTCTATGAAACGTATTTTGATGTAGTAAAAGCCGGCCGTTACCTGGCGGATCAAGATATTGCATCAAATCACGGGAGTTATAGGCGATATTGAATATACTATAGCTATGGATTATCTCACAATCTTTGTTATTTTAGTTTTGGTGTTATTTTTAGGAATCTATATAAAGCAGCTTGCAATAAATCTGGTGTTTTTTTAAGTCGTAATAAGAAAGAACTGATCATTATACTGTACTTATACTAAGATTTACATTCCACAGTGGTGTTATATACACATTCTCTGCTAATAGAGCAATTAACCTTTGTACAAGCAGTAGAGTACGACACATCTCTTAGTTGCCAGCACATAGACACCTCTAATGCATCGATTCCTGAGGCGCAAGCGCTCTGCATTCATATTTACCACGAATTCTTTTATAATCTTCCATCTTGGTCCAGGTAGCGCAGGTAATGTTTTTAGTGCTAATAACCTTAAAGCCGCCGTTAACGTTCTCCAACGAAGGTATAGAGAGACTAAAAATACCCATTAGCACCTGATATTTCCGGCCCCCAATATTATGGACCACATACTCGTTAAAACTGCCAGTTAGGTTGATACTACCCGCAACGAGTTTCAAGTCCGGGAAATTAATAGACGAAAGAGAATGGAGACCAGCGCCATTCACAGCCCCAGTAACGGTTTCCACTCCCGCAAGATTCAATGTGCCCACATACTCGGAGGAGATCTTGACGTCGCCGTTGACAGTGGAACAGGAGGCCTGTGTATCAATGTCCAATTGGCTTGTGAGGGTTAGGCTACCGCAGGCTAGTTTTAATACATATTAGCATTGTGCATTTAATATATTATGTCAGCTTACCGGCTGCCCACGACATGCTGGCCAAGGAGAGTACCAGGTTCGCGTATTTCATTGTGAAGGTGATGATGGATATGAGGAGTAGGTTAAGGAGTATTCTAACAGGATAGAGAAACATTTAAATATACCGGTGTTATTATTCTAGCAAAACTACCTGAGCAACAGCTCTCCTGGAGTGTCAGCAAGGTTTCAGCTTTGTTGGAGGTTCGGCAACTCAGGGGTTCTCACTGGGGCCATTTCGAAGGTCATCCAATGGGTGTGTCCATATGCGCTAACTGATTCTGTGGCTGGTGATATTGTGCAGCTACTTGGTCCTTAATATTTCACATTATTGCACCTCTTTCATGTGCCTACTACGAAACTGTTGGGAGATGTTGCGTGGGATAATCTCTGGATTTAATGACTAGTGGCATTATGCGTGACAGTGCTATGGGGCGATTTTTGCCAGGGGATATAACAGATCTCTTCTATCCCACCAAATATAGCTCTAGCGCAAGGGGAATGGGATCTGTATATGTCAAACCCGAAGTTCATGGTACTATTCATAAACCAGACCTCAACGATCTAGTAAGAATCATACGTCAGTCTATGCAACTGATAAACATTATAACACACATTAGCTGCCATTATAATCACGGCGGCAATAGTCTCTATACCAAATATCTTAATTATTAGCTGACAGGCATGAAATCTATCATTATGCTCACCAATAAACATGCTTTCAACCTCCAGTAGAAAATTTGGATTCAATAACACGATCTATGAGACGTGGAAAAACATAGAGATATTCTGGCTTCCATGGTTTATCCAAGACTTACATATGAAACTGTTCTTTAGGGAGATAAATAGCTTATTAGCGTACAGACAACTTTCCCAAGCCATCTGTCATTCTGCCAGTTTAGAGCCTATAGTGTATTTGTGATGGGGATGATTGGCACTTCTACTTCCATTACTAGATATAAGCATTAAAATTGACCTCAGTATACATTCTTAAAGCATTTGGACATATTCCTCAACATCCATGTCTGGATACAAACTACACACATTCCATTTACCAAACAAGATGAGTACCAACTATCTGTGTACACCTAATACATTGTTGTGAATATCTTAATTAGGTTCGTCTAATAGCTCTGCAACTGACACAGAGTAATATATCGGTTTTTAGGAAGTGGAACTTAAATGAAAGACAATAATGGCACATGACAGCCTCAATTAACACTTCTGCTAAATCTCTACGATCTAATATCCCACCGTGATGTCATCCAGCAGCTCTGGGGACTAGTGACGATCCCGATGATCAGAGACGGGAGATCGACACGGATATCTAAACTTGAGGTACGGAGTAGATACAAGTCGCATCTTATAAAGATGTTATTGAATAAAATTCTAGCATATATGCTAGAGTATTATGCATAATACTATTATCTGAAGATAGTTCCATACTCATACTGAATCATCTCCCAACCCTCACCATACACACCCATCTTCATAGGAAGCTTATTACAGGGCCACAGCACCGACCAAAGCGGCGAAAGCCACAACGCCGGCGATGTTGGCGCCAGACACGCTAGCAGCACCGGTGGCCAGGCCACCCGGGGCGGACGTGGTCTTCGAGCCCGATCCCGAGCCAGAGCCGGAGCCAGAGCCGGAGCCAGAGCCAGAGTCAGAGCCAGGGCCGGAAGAGACAGTGGTGGAACCCGAAGAAGCGGAAGAAGACTTGGCGGCGGAAGAGGAGGCGACAGGGGAGGACGAAGCGTGCTTGGAGTAGGTAGGCGCTGCGGTGATCAGGGTACTACCGTGCTTGGTCTTGGAGCTCTTCGCCTCGGTGGTGGCAGAGGAGGTGTCCGTAGCGGTGGTTTCGTCACCTGTTGCGGACGCAGTCGGGTCAGATGTGGCAACAGCCGTCTTGCCATTGGGACCCCATCCAGGGAGATAGCTGGGAGTAAGGGTCTCGGTGCCGGTGTACAGAGGACATCCGGGCTGGTTATACTTGGGGGGAGCACGTCCACCACCGCAGTCGGGGAAGGAGCAGATCTCGCCGGTCTCAGGGACGTACCAGATCATGCTGGCTTGATGCCACTGGTTGACGGTGGCAGAGGAGACGCAGCCTTCCAGGACGGTCCGAGCCGAAGCAATGCCAACGAGGCCGGTGGAGAGGAGAACAGGCAGAGTAAAGGCCTTCATTTTTGCGAGAATGAATGAATGACTGCGGATTGAATGGCAGAAATGAGCGTCACTGATTCGGGAATCAAGAAAAGAACGAACGACAGGAGCCAGTCAATGGATACCTGGGGAGCGGATGGGAGTCGAAATCTGACGAGAATATTATATATCTCAGGCACGGTGTGGTGCGAGCACTACAATATCACTAGCAGCCCAGGGTCCCAGGTATCTGCCTGTTTTAAGGGTAGGCTATTGGGGCTAAACCACGAAGCTAGGATCTAGCGTCTTTTTAGCTCCTCTTAGCTTACTTACCCTTTTCGCCCATGTAGAGCAAGTTTTTCCCTCCAGAGCAATTGGACCTGACGCTACCGTTGCGGCTAACCATGGATAGACTCAGGGCCGGGCTCGCCTGCCCCCACGTTCCATCTTTTTGGGCGCTATTGGTCTCGAGGTGGAAATTGTCCGTTGGGGCATCTCCGGGCACCTCCGGATGTTCCTGGTTTTCCTAATGCTCAATTTGCCTCATCTTTGATAGCCGGAAAAATTATCTCAGCGGCGTATTTGGTCAGTTGGGTTATTTTAATCCGAATCCAAAGTCAAATTTTCGTCTATCTAGTGCCTCTATGGTAATAGACAAAAAGTACGCAAAGGCTTGCGATTTAATTACGTTTCTGATGGCTGATAATTTAGCTCGTCCTCGTTTGGGCTAGACAGCAATAGTAGAATGGTAGCAGATGTACACTGTTTGGGGCCATTGACAAATTCTCTTTCGTGCACCAATTAGCTACAGCCTACTCCTTACATTTAGGAAGTTCTTCCTGCTGAAGGGAAATTTTTAGAATAAAATGTCATTCTCAGGAAAGAGCGTAGTTGCTGAATCTGTCCAGTGGATATCCAGAGGTAATTTGGAGCCAAAACTCTGCATTGCGAACGGATGGCCCACGCTGGACATGCATTTATTCAATCAATAAAGGCAGGCCTGGACCTCGAATACGAGGATAAGCGCTTCATACTAGGATATTCCCAAGTGGGTTAGTTCACTGTAGGAGAGGAAAAGAGTGTGAGTTTGCAGCATAATGTAGCGAGTTACAATTGTATTTACTCAACTGGATCCAGAGTAGCCTCCGCGTTAGATACTGGGGCTGTGGAAAATATATTTGCTTCTATAATATCGGTAGTCATTAAATAAGGCACAGATATTAGATCGCTTTGCCGTACATACACTGCCAGAGCATCTGTGAAACAGTGAATATATGCCCTTATTCTTACCAGATAAATTTCCACTATACAGACTATAGCAATACTACAGCACAAATTTTCAATAACCTTCCAGCTGCGCTAATTACTCGTCTAATTTTTAGGCTCTCTGACATAAATTATATTCAGCCCTCCTATATATATAGTGTTTTCCTAGTCGACAGGTAACAGGTACAGCATTTGGAATATAGGGGATGAGTGAAAGAGAATTCTACTTCCCTTGTAATACCATGATATAGCTAAGTATCTACCTCTTCTTCTGCTTTTTGTTTGTTTTGTTTTTCTAAACTGGGAGGAGTTGCATTACATACAGGTTCCATCCCCTACCAAACTGCAGTTATAGCAACCATATATCAGCTATAAATATCAACGCCCGACAGCACCATACCAACAAAGCCCCAATACCGCCCCAATAACAATGGCAAGAGCAGGCGGAACATGGAACCAGGCACTCTGAGCATACGTAAGAGCGGCAACCACAACCCACCACGGCTCCTTTGCCAGACTCTGCCCAGCACTTTCCCGTGGAGTAAGATAACCGATTTCCCAGAGTCGATATACGGCAGTAAAGACCAGCCCGACAGCCGTGGCATTGACGCCCCTGAGGAAATCAATCACCCACTTTCTCCGTCTCAGTACGCGCCAGAAACTCTGAATGGCTACCGCTAATGTAATTCCCGGAACGAATATCCCTAGTCCGCCGAGAAATGCGCCGAAAACTGTTGGTAATGGAGATTTCTGCAGTGTTAGAGCTCCGAGGAAAACGGCAAAGTTGAAGTTTGGCCCTGGGAGAGCCTGGATGATGGCCAGGCCAATGAGGAAATCACGGCTCGAAACCCATCCAGGGTCGACGACGTATGAGCGTAGAAGGGGAATTACCACGGGACCGCCACCAAAAATGACGGTTCCAGCAAGGTACATTTTGGCGAAAAGGTCGAAAGCTAAGGGAGGGGCATGGAGTAGTCCTCTGGTGACAAGAACGCTGATGAAGGAAGCTTCACATAAATTAGTGTCGACTAGATCTCACCGTTCAAGAGGCGTCTTACCGAAGAACAGAACGAAGAGAATAACTCCGACCCGGACGCGAATAATGTAGTCTTGGGAAGGAGCTTCTTCGGCATAGGGAGGAGTGTTGCTACTTAGTTGCTCCGTCGGGAGACCCGTCCTCCGCGACCGTAGCCGATTCTCGTCACGTCCTTGACGTTGCTCAGTCGCTTCCAAGGGTGTACTCTGAGCACTCTCTCCTTGATCGGCTTCGTCGCGACGAGCACCACGACTCCTCCACTTGACGGCTAGGTTTCGCAGCCGCTGGTTCATCCAACCGTCCCACACGACCGATGCAAGTCCGCCGATGACCATTAGCAAAGGGAAATACCAGAGCGTATTATAGCATACACCGGCACACGCCCCGAAGATCACCTGAATGCGTGTAAGCTTATCGCGAATCGCCTTTTCCGCAAGCTGCACAGCCGCGAGCGCAATTATGCCAACCGTTGCAGCATTGAGACCTGACAGAAGTGCATAGACAGGCAAGGGAAGGGTTTCACTAATCCTCTGCACACCAAGTGACAAAGCGTACATTGCGATGGCTCCTGGAAGACTACTTGGAGGTAAGTTTGGATGTCTAACCAAGCGGTCGCCAGGGCCAGGAATTACCTCCATACGAAGAACACGAGCAGCGCTGGAACGAAGCCCGCATGCAATAGAGCCAGACAGAAGATCATCTTCGTGCTTCCTGGGCCTGGGAGACCCTGACATATGGCGAACAGTTCCTGGTACTATCGTGTGCATAAACCAAGGCGGTTACAATGGAATTTGTACAAATCGGGGCCAACATGGACATTATCTACCGTCTGCTCGTCCACCCATTTCTCCTTTCCTCCTTTCCCCTCGACGAATCTCGCGTGCAGAATCTGAAAATGAACAGCAGGACCACCAAAGGCGGTGAATCCTAGATCCCAGGTACGTAGAAGCACGTCCACGAGACGTGTGGAAAGTGCCTTGTTTCCATCTCCGTTCGAACTTCTAGCCTCAAACGTGCTCCGCAGCCGGTTGAGCGACCGCAGACGAGCTGAATATCGTGATATTGGGACTGGGAGCAGCATACCGGGAATGTCGGTCGCCAGAAAATGATGGAATATGCCAGAGAAAGCGGAGAATGAAGCATTGAAGGAATGAGACGGGTTACCAATGAACGTCGTGACTGCCAAGAACTATGAAGTGTTCCAAAGCCTGGTTGAGCGAATGGAGTCTACTGCACAGAGCCACGCGGGTAGCGAACGACGATTATTGGTCATCTTCTCTATTATTGGGACGCCTTTTCTCGTATTCGAAAACTTAACAGTGAATGACACTCTTGGCGACCTATCTTGATGATTTGTGGTGTTTGCCATCAGTCTTAGGATGAAGTAACTGAGCAATAGTATAATATTAGCCTAGCTACGTAGTACAGAGAACTGGCAGTAGTTTACATTTATTAGTATGGAATGAATTATTCTCCTATGCTAAAATCGATAACCCATGTATTTGGTCAGGTAACACACTTCGATCTGGACTCCCATGTGGGACTGTCACACAGATTATGGATGGCAACGGTCAGAAAATGCATGTTTTAATTGCTGGGTGTAGTAGAGTTTTGTATCGATGACTTCGGATATACTACTGTCTCTGATGACAACTCCCAGGTAAATTAACCAAAATGCCATTGTTCGATGCACATATTCGATGGCATCTACAGACCGAACAAGTGCTGGACCATATTGGCATTCCAATTTATCTTGGTATGTACTCGACAGGATCGTTTTATGATGGACGGTCGCCGTTTGAAATACACTCGATAAGGCCCCAAAAAAATAAACTAAAATAAAATACCATGTAATTCGCATCCTATATTAAACCCTCAGACACAATCCTCTACAAACAGAAACAAGCCCGCGTGATTAATTATTCCCACAGGATCCCCACGCCATCGCCTGAGGAACCTGGAGAGACTTCTGATCCTCGCCATAGATCACAACAGATTCGCCGTCGGCGCCAGTAAGGGTACAAAATCCCCCGCCGGGTGAGGACACAGCGTAGACGACCATGGGATTTGCTGCGACGGGTAAGTATTATATGGTAAATACTTAGCAACAATAGCACTTACTTATTTTGACGTTAGTTCGGTCTGTAGGGAACAACATGGAGTAGGACTCCCCATTGGCACCATGGAAGCCGATGGAGACATCAAACCGTTTCTCCAGGGGGGTGGCGGTCGCCAGAGAAAGAGTTGCGAGGATAGTAGCGGTGATGGGGAGCTTCATGGTTTTAATAAATCTTTATTATGTCTTGGTCTTGGTAGAAATGTGTTTATGTTCGGAAAGTTGAATTTTAATGAATTTAGTTTTTCAAAGTTTCTGTCACAAAGCTTGATGGAAGGATATCTGGAAATGTTACTTGGGTTTTATACTATGGACATCAATACTAATCTTCTATCTGACATTATTTCTAATTTTATCAGAGTCTCGAAAATGGATAAATCCATGCATTACAGTCCAAAACATGGCGAATATAACTTGGTACTGTTGAGGGTCTAAGACATGGATGACATGGTCCAATCACTAGGTGATTAACATTGTTAGGCCAACCATAAAACCTGGGGTGTTGGCTCCATCTGATGCGTGGCAAGGCCCTCTACAACGAACCAGATGGAATGCCTGAAGCTAAACGCGGCGAACACGATCTGACGTTTGAGATGATCGACGATACCCAATTCTGGTGCTGTAGCTTCAGGCCTATCTGGTAGAGAATTAGGTACATATATTCATCATCTAAATCTTCGAATCGGGTGCGTTAGTGCTGAATAGATCAGGCTGCGTTGCTAATAATACCAAGGCACTTAGCCCATCAGCATAACAGCTTAGGTGAATAGCCGCCTAATGCATCTACCACCTGTCAGTGGTGCATTTACAAGTAAAGATGAGTGTGAAGAATCCAATGGGAGCCATATATTACAATTTTACCTTAGGTCAAATATCAATCATTATATCATAGGACTTTGTATGGAATGCTATATTTAGCTATTACGTCATGTACTGCCCGCTTACTTTATTTTCTATAGGAATTGCACATAATGCATAAAACCAGCAGATAACGATACACTGTTACAGTATGGATCAAGTATCTATCCAACCATATAGTGGCCATGCATTTAGAGCATCGTTGTGGTAGTCCTAAATATCGTCCATTATAGGCCGTTTCGTCTGCCTAGTGGGTACTTGGTTCGATGGATTTTGTGCTATGGAAATCTAGACGAAAATAGATTCTAGTTCAAGCATATATGTACATTTAATAAACGTTACCACGAGTATATCGCAGAATATAAGGAGTCCCAATCCATTAGTATTTGTCAGTTGTGTAGGAGCATATACAGCTCCGGTTATATTTTAAATAAATCACTACGGTTAGGCCATTAAAGCCATGATTTTAAAATACATCCAATCTGGAAGACAGTCCCACAATAGAATAATACCTAGATGTCTTAATTATTCATATACAGTCGTATATTTATAATTAAAAGAAAATTCGGTTCAACAACAACTGCGCCTTTCCATACCGAGTTATCCAGCATAATACAACTTCAATCCCCATGCCTTCGATGATCACTTCAAAACTAGAACTACGCCGCATATTCACATCTAAAACACCAACAATGCTGCTCTCCCGGTCATTGTTGCCAGGATCCCCGACGAAAGCGCAAACAAAAAAAACCGCCTCATCACATTGTTGGTAGTCACGTGCACCAAGCTATGCAGTATGCGGGCGCCCACATACGCCCACCCCAGATACACATCCAGCTTCTCATTCTTCCCGTGGCGTGCGAACGCCAGCACCAGAGAAATGGCGTAGAACTGAGTGGGCTGTTCAAAGAGATGGTTGAAGTTATCCACCTTCCAGCGTACCGAGGTCGGCGTCTTCGCGTCCAGCTGGCTCTTGGTGATGGTATTGTCGGCTGCGATGCGATGTTTCTCCAGGAATGGGATGCGCACGGCGTACATCCAGACCTCCATTGCGAAGGTCCATGCATTAAGGGCGACGACGGGGCCGAGAAGGCCGGAGATTTGTGGGGAAGACATTTGGGCTTGTAACCGGTGGTAGTGGACTGGGGTAGGAAGAGGAAAATTTACATAGGATCGGGTGGGATTTTATGTCGTTACGCGTTCTATCGGTGATACGAGCTTGCACTAGGTAGTAGCTGCTTCGTTTTGTGCCGTGATTCGTTGACTTTGAATTATTACGTCGGCCAAGACTGCTGTCATTCGGTTATCTGATATCTGGGGATCGGCTTGATGCTGTGGCATATTTCCTCAGTGAAGAGACACATATAATGCTGCAATTGGTAGTATGTAATTCCTAGGTTTCATGGTAACTTATTAAGGAATACCGAGATTGCTATTGTATAACATGAGAAGTAACGCCAATCAGATCAATAGCAGGTAAAAGTTTAATATTATGTGAAGTACATATTTCAAAAAGGCCTTCAACTAAGTATGCCCGCCCCCAAATATCGGGCTCTCACCAGGCTGACATTTGGGGGCGGGTACATAAGATTATCTTTGTTAGATCAAGTACCTGTAAAAGAATGTTTAATAATCAGTAAACCAAAAAAAATAAAATGAAAATAAAATGAAATAAAATTAAACTAAATCCCTGGACGGCATCAACCAGTACGTTTACCAAGGAAGAAAAGAAGGGCACTCCACAGGAATGCTGGTGATAGTTGCTTGAGTGGTTATTCAAAGAACTTCACCGTGGAGACTTGAAGGCCCGCACTGTCCCCACGTGGCCTCTGTAACTGAGGCCTGGGAAAGGAACTGTAGGTTGTGCAGAGATTAGAGCACTTGACTGCATATGCTTTGTAAGAGCTCACCCCGAACATGATCGAATGCATATAAAGGAGCATCCTCGACTTCTATTTTAGAAAACTATCACGCTGCTCGTTAAGTGACAAAAAGATGGTAGAAATTGCATCATGTGTGACCATTCATTTCATCTACCGCAATAAAAAGTTCAAAATACCGTACCAAATCTCTCACACCCCGATATCACTCAACGCCCAATTTTCCGGTCAACAAGGAGTGAATGTCAGGGGCTGAACCCGTAGAACCTATACGATAGGTTATGTACAAAAAGGAATCGTTGAAGAAGGGAAGAAAGGAGGAGGAAAATGAGCGTAAACAAACAGGGTGGAAAGTCACGTGACGGATCGAGGGCCGATGGGCCAAAGGTGCCAACAGGGCCAAAAGGAACAGTAGGGACAGTAGGGACAGTAGGGACAATAGGGACAATAGGGACAATAGGGATAATAGGGACATTGGCCCGAGAGGTCAAATGGGCTCCAGCCCTTTACAGTGTAGAAATGAAGCTATACTGCCACAACGAAATGATAAAATGATTATATATTTTGGTGGAGCAGAACATGATATATCAAGAAACTATATAGCTATTTTTTGGTGTTGCGGAACTGGTGGGGAAGCTGTATTTACCTTCCATGCCTATTTACAGTTAGTAGGTGTCTTTTCACTTTTATTTTTTTTTTATTAATATTTCCTTTTCCTTTGCCATAGCGGGCCCTGTAGCCTTCTTCTTATCTTTACTAATATTGGGTCCCACGGTCATTCATATCAAAAGTTAAAATTAGAAGACAAGCGTTTGTCTCTTTGTCAGGGATATTAAAACAATATCCTCATAAACCAATGATCACTCGCTCTTACACCTACGGCTGTTGGATGACGTCTAGTAGCCGAGCCCTTCGGTAGTTGCGGAGAGCCGATGCTACTACAATATTTAAAGTCCCTGATCCCTACTTGAAATGATAATCTAAGAATCCAGTCCTTCAATTTTCTTCGACTCATCCCATTATGTCCGGAACGATCATAATAACAGGCGCAACTGGCTCCCTAGCCGTGGAAACCGTGCGATATCTTATATCCTCTCATCCGTCCTTAACCGTCATCGGCACTGTTCGACATGTCCCGGAAAGCTCCAAAAGCCCTTACCTGCTCCAATTACAAGCCATCCCGCGAGAATTTCCCAAAGCTAAATTATTCATAAAGAGCATGGACCTCAATTCACTCACTGAGGTCCGGTCATTTGCCGACGACATCGCGAACCAAGTGGCAACAGGAGACCTTCCCCCGATTGCAGCTATTATCTGCAATGCATTTACCTGGTCATTATCTGGTGCCTTACAGTTCTCTCGGGATGGCTATGAATCGACATTCCAGGTGAATCATCTCTCGCACTTTCTTCTTGTGTTGAAACTTCTATCGCGCATGGATCGCCAATCGGGTCGAGTGGTCATGCTCAGCTCGGAGGTGCATGATCCTGAACATCGCAACCCACTCTCGAAATTAGGTGCTATGTTTCCGCAGGAAGATGACATGGAGCAATTGGTAAAGCCCGTTGCAGATTCCCCCGGGACAGAGCATGACATGGGCTGGAGAAGATATGCCACAAGTAAACTAGCAAATGTGATGTTCATGCACAGTTTGAATTATCAATTAGAACACGTACGTATCTAAATTTTCTTTATTTTTTATATCCAGAACATAGTTTTGTCTGACTCGCTTGCGAATAGAATCCATCCCTCGGAAAAATCACCGTGACTGCTATGGATCCCGGTGCGATCTTGGATTCTCGCGCACATAATGAGCAGCGTACGATTAATAGATTCATGTTCGGGATAATGAATCGATTGTTTCCTCTGTTGAAATTCTTCAGCTCTCGCTTTCGATCGACTGCAGACTCAGCTCGGGATCTCGTAGCACTAGCTATGGACTCGAAATATCACGGCGTGCGAGGGTACTTTGACGGTCAAAAGGCTATCTGTTCCGCTAGTGCAAGTCGGGACAAGGTGAGAATGAAGGCCCTTTGGATGGCGTGCTGGGAATGGGCGAATGTAGAGGAGGAAGAGACATGTGTGGGACAATGGCTGTCAGAATAGTAGGAGACAATAGCATGATGTTTCAACGAAGTGACTATGGAGGTTCTAATGTCACGATTTTACTGTGTTCCAACTCCATAAATTACTACTATCAATACTGTATCAAGGGATAAATCATGTCATGATTGGTGCAATACTATATTGAATCCTTGCTAGTTACACATACACGAAACAATATTTAACTAGCGTACCTGCTATTTGCACAAAAACTATGCATCTACTACTATTCATTTGGATATATTTAAATAACCTTACCCAAGGCATCTAGAAACAAACTACAGAGTGGACTACACCGGGAGTAAGGTAATAGATTCTGCTTTTCCCTATACTACCATAAGTACGGCTTGGTCATTTAAATGATATGAAATAGCATATGAAGAAGCTTTTCTGAGAAACAGAGTTATATATGTGCAGATTAAGATTCACATCTCATCAGCATAGATCTTACTTCATATACCTTGAAGTATTCGGCAATCTACACAAAATAAGTTTACTTGAAATTATCTTATACGTACTAGTAGCTAGCAAAGAAAACGGCCGGTGAAATGTTGCTGTACTTTTCTCTCCTAAGCAACATTGGGCAAATAGGCAGGCTCTAGGACTGTGCGCGGGCACCCAGTCTGGTTCGATTCCTCAAGGCAAAGATAAATCTAGAGGGCCATAAAAATACCCATTGTTGATGGGCAGCATGTGATATTGCACGTGCCCCCGCCTCACTTAAACACTCCTACCAATTCTTACTCTTGTGTAACCAACTTCTCTCATCTACTTGTGTTGAGTCCACCTCCTTTTTATCGATGTTTACCTAGTGTTGGAGTCTGTACGGATTCAAACGCGATTAATTCAACAAACGCGACAAAAGGTCGGTAACAATACCGCGCCTCTAAATCCCATATTAAAACACAAGCTTCCTAAGATAGTGATAAAAGATTCTGATGACTCATGCTTCAGCAGATGTTCTTGTCTTCTCTGGTTCCGCAGTTTCGACTACCGAACATGTACGTCATATCGAGTTGCACGAGCCAAGAACTGTTGTTTCGAGGCTAACAGTATGCACCTTAAACTTCTCCTTTCTGGAACCGCGCTCTTCTTACCGTTTATCTAGAAGTAACAGTTTTTATCTTACCCATGTCCAAAATCAAATTATAACCCTGGTGAGAGCAAGTCCATATGCTATGGGATGGCGACGGATAGTCTTGGGCTTCGGACCAGCGTATGGAAACTCGTTAAAATTATCTAGCCTGAAAGCTGTACAATGCTAACTGTCAGTATTTGCAGGTGGTTTTCGGTGACTATGGGCACGGGTATTGTGGCTATTCTTCTGTTTCAGATCCCCTTCCATGCGTCATGGCTATACTATCTTTCTATCGTCTTTTTTCTCCTTAATGTGGTGTTATTTACGTTTGGTATGGCGCTCACGGCCCTGCGATACATGCTATATCCCCGAATATGGACGAGAATGCTCCGTGATCCTGTGGACCCGTTATTTCTAGCTACTTGTCCCATCGGGTTCGCAACTCTAATTGAGATGTGGATATTTGTTTGTGTGCCGAAATGGGGATACTGGGCGACGACCGTGGCATGGGTAGCATGGATGATTGACACAGCATTTTCAGTTGTGATCACTTTATCGGTTGCATTTCTACTGTATGTCAGTTGCCCTTGACCGTCTTTGGGCCCATTCTCATCAGTTGTTCGTGTAGGCTTTGTCAGAACCATACGACTTCGTTGGATAAAGTGACAGCTGTCCAGCTAGTTCCTATTGCTACGACAATTGTTGCAGCAGGTGTCGCTGCAGAGGTATCTGCCGTTTTATCAGACCTTACATATATAAGAGGCACTGTGATAGTGGGCTACGTGCTTTGGAGTCTAAGCATGTCGATGGCCATGTCGGTTCTCGCTGCGTACTATCAGCGTCTGATTCTTCATAAGCTACCACCAACACAGCTAGCAATGAGCTGCTTCCTGACACTCGGCCCTGTGGGATTCGGTGGATTTGGGTACGTTGGAGATACCCTATACACGCTCTATGCTAATGTTGGTTTTGATGCTAGGATCATGTATCTAGGAAAGGTATCGTTAAATGCCTTTGGGGGCAACAATAGTTTTCATCCCTTGGCCGGGGATATTGCCTATATCTTAGGCATCATGGTGGCTCTTGCACTATGGGGCTTCAGTCTGCTATGGCTTACATTCGCGTTCAGCACTGTGATTCGTTGTTGGCCCATCCCTTTTAACATGAGCTGGTGGGCAACTACGTTTCCATTTGGCGTGTTCTGTGTCAACACAATTCAGATCGGCGTTGAGCTGTCGTCAATGTTCTTCAAGGTTATAGGCACGGTAAGTGGCTCGGTTTGGAGGATCTGCTTTGGTTAATACACTGACTATGCTCAGCTATTTAGTGTTGTCACTATATTTTTCTGGGTAGTTACTACAGTGGGAACAATTCGTGAGATTCGACGAGGTCATATATTCCATATCCCATACCTGGACGATTTCTTTGCAGACGAGGATAATGAAGTTGTGGATCTTGATACACTATCATGTTCTAATTCTACATGATGTTCAATGTTCTTCTGCCTTTGTTCGATATTGTTGGAAGAAGACCCTAGAAAATAATAAGGAGCGGAGTGACGGTAGAAGTATCATGTATGCCAGGGGAATTTCTCCTTCACAACAACTTACAATTCGCAGAATAAAAAAAATGCAAAACAAAATTTATTATCTGCCCTCTACACACTTCGAAATGTATATTCAATATCGTGTTTTATGCAGCAAGAATTTCCCAGATCGACCGAATAAGACTGGCACCTCATTCTGGCCCCCACCCAATTTCCCATGAAGCATGTGTAACCTTCCTGCTTCAGACTACCTAGGTTCTACTCTCTACTTGTACAGCAGCCATTGGCTAACGCATGGGCCTAAAACACAAGAATGGACCCAAGTGCAGACGCTATAGTTACGGAGCACCCTATTAGCCGAGAAGGGCCATATTCAGGTGTTCCGAATGTTACTCGGTCACGGAGCATATGTGAATAGCCGTGGTGGCTGGTATGCTTATCCACTGGGTTCTGCAATAGTTGGCAGAAATATACGTATTGTGGATCTTCTCCTCGACAGTGGCGCCAATGTCAATACCCTCGGTGGCCGTCACGGCTGTGCATTGATGGCAGCAGCATCTATGGGAATGCTCGATCTTATGCGATCGCTAGTTAGTCATGGAGCCAGGGTAAATAAATGATGAAAAGATCGAAGCCAGCACTAATCGTAGGGGTATCAAAATACTGGTTAATATTAGACTCAGCAACATTATACTGCGTAGGCTGAAAGGCCTCTAAAACCCGATATTTAAAGCTATTGTATTGTGTTTCGAAAAGTCTCTATATGCGTTCTTCAGGATTGCCCTAAATTCCGATATCATCTCTCCATCTGGTAGTGATTTAAGCCACTTGGTTTTGTTTCGAGGTTCAAGAACACCTGCGATATAGTATATATCATTCATTGCATTTAACACAGTCATGATACTTTTCTAGGAATGAGATTCTACCAGAAACAGAAACAGCTGTTGCTGCTGAGACTTTCATCTAGTCCCCTGGTCACTCGTTGATAGCGAGGAGTATAGAATGAAGCTCTTCAGACATACGCGTCACTATATAAATTAAAAGACTATCTCGAGACGTGCTCAGTATATTCGTGGAAGGGTGTCAGGATTTTCTTTGTCTCTGAGAGCTGTCTCCAGTCGTCCGGTGCAAAACGTAAGGCTTCAAAATCTGACTTATTGTTAACTGTATCTTCAAGCTGCTGACGAGACACTTCAGCTCTCTCAATCATAACAAAAGAAAGTTCCATCGAGCATTAATATCATGGTTAATAGTTTTGTACGCCAGGTCAGTTGTCCCACTTCTGTATCCGCTAAGGAGATCACGCAATCCAAAGGACAAGTAGCCGGAGCTTTTCAATAGATAAAGTAGGCGCCTTGATTCTCTTCAAGCTCTTCTTAGAAACATTATTAAGAAAATCACAGGCTTCCTTATGTGAGCTGGCGCGTAGAGAACCTAACATAGAGCTCATAACCAAGTTCAAGATGTGAGCAAAACAGCAGATTTGGGAGCTTTGAGTAAATTTCATCGTTCTTCTTAGATAATAGTCTCTGTTAGGTATTTATCTTACTTCTAAGACAGCATTTGGTATAGATACCGTACTGAGCGTCGTTATTAGATGCGTTGTCTGTTGTAATAGTCATAACTTTGTTAGATATATACTAGATGCACCTGAAAGAAAACTAAAGCTTGGCAAAATATATCTGGTTCGAGCAACGCACTTCAAAATATAAGGGTAGGTTGCTCAAACTTATAATCTGTCAGATTCTCGTCAAATACTGTACGTCTTGCATCTCTTTAAGCGATATATCCATACTTAGTCTCCTCCCTACACACTTTCCATAGGGTTTAACAAGTCTCTTAGGCATTTAAGCAGGCTCTAGAAAAATCATTGACTGGAAAAAAAGTGCCATACTAATGCTTCACTGACGACGAAGCGGCAACAGGGTGAAATCAATACCAAAACCGGCAGCTTTAGTCGAAAGCGGTCTCGTCACAAACGAAGGGATGAATAATATTGCCACTACTTTACAGGCATGCAAATTGGGAGGTTTCCTACTTGTATTTTTATTTCTAGTAGACAGTTGAATGCGTCGCAGGTGTTTGACGATAGCTGGTGCGTGCTACAGTATTAAATGAAGTGGAATAAATCACTGTTGGTAAGTAACCTTCGCTAGTGAGCGGTGACAATGGCACCAGAAGTAGAATATGTACTTCTTAACTGTTCGTCGTTTATATTTAAGATAACGCATGGCTACTTTGACTACCTTCCACTAAATTACTTATCAAAGGCCGCCTGTCATTATCACTGGGTCCCTTAACCACGGCAGCCTCCCAACATGGTAGCGTTACTCTGGTAGAGAGGTGGCCTTCCTTGATTTCCCAGTCCCACTAATCGGTTTTACCTCTCTGAACTGGCATCGGGGAATATCGCCGACCTCCCCATTATCAGGGATTTCGTCTTTGACCGTCGAGGTGGTCACCACATCTTGCCGGGGCGAAGACTTATAAAGTCTTAATGCTGGCCGGGAGAGACTTGTATATCGGGATCATCAAATATTCCAAAGCCGCCACAGCCACAAGAATCACACTCCTTCCACGAATCTTCACGCCAGCGGTAGAGCCCAGGAATCTCTTGAAGATGAACATGAAAAATGATAGGTCTAGACTCGCCAGAAAGGCCCGAGTAGTAGGTGGTGACAGTCGGTGGGCATTCAAGTTTCACGGTTAAAATTGCGGTATCTCATCTAGACATATGGTATCAGTGAAAGCCAGTGATTAAAGCAGGGTAGTTTCTCATCTGGAAGATGATATTTCCGTTGGCAAATCTGGAGCTAGAGGTGGCTGCTATCCTTCTTCTACAGTGAAAGACAAGCCAGGGTCACCTGGAAGAATAAGACGGGTGTCTTGTGTGCCAACTGTTCTGTAGAGATGATCCTTAGCTGAGCCCCAGTCCCATGTCCCAAACTTTCCACCTGGCCACAGCAAAGTACATCTCTTGCCCGGCTTCAAGCATGTTCGATAGAGATCCGAGAGCACATCCATCCACCCATGGACGCGACTGCAGACATGCTCAATAAAAGGAGATTGCGGAGTGCCCCTTAATCCGATTGGAGGCCACGAATTAACAGGAAGATCAGTCTTCTTTAGGCCCTGCAGGGAGTGATAAAGGAGAATGAAGCTGAAGGCAGTAAAGTCGTAATCATGAGGGTCCATGAGAATATGCACAGTTTATTTTCGTGATCGACGCGTTGTAAAGTCACTTCAAAAGATAGGGTGCTCTTTGCCAGAGCTTCCTTCCCATTCCCTCTCATCTCCAGTGAAATTGCCGGCGTACCAAGCCTAGCGAGAGTCAGCTGCAGCCCATTCTGACCGGAGAATGAAATCACACGCAATACTTCTCCGTCCACCAAAGGTACGGATCCAGGGAATCATCCGTTCTTCCACAGTCGCGGAGGAGCAGTAAGGGAGCCTCTGGAGGGTAACTTTTAAAAGACTTAACATTCCCCGTGTGGCAATTCTAGAGGATGACCTAGGATAATATTAACTTCTGGGAGAGAGCGGGAGGTTTTTCTACCTACGTTAAGATAATATGAGGAGAGCTAACTAGGGGACTGGGGTACTAATTTCAACGTAAAATCAACAAAAAATGGCGTTTTCGTTAGTCCTAACTACTCCGAGCAGTAACTTTTGTGTTGTCTCAATGATTATTAGTCGCTAACATCGAGGAATAAAGGTCGATTGCAGGAGGCTAGCTATAAAGCGTCTGTGCCCATGCCAGTGCATCACACTCCAAGATCAAAGCAACTAATATCATCGTTAGGTAGTCTTTAAGTAGCAAGAATGTGCGAATCCTTGTAAGGCACCGAGATTACTTCCGTTGCTGTATGGCAAGGTCTATGAGGCCTGAAAAAGGAATACTAGGACAAAGGTGGTACTTACATGCGCTGTACTGCCTAAGATACTCGAGGATTATAAACCTGCTCCTCATGATGTACTTGTTAGTAACAATAGAACTATCTATCATATGCAGGTTGTGACCCATAGAGTCTTAAAACACCTATTTTCGTTATTTGGCTTGCTTCTATATGAAGGAGAATCCAACACGCTTATCAAGTAAATGTTTACATTAGGTCCACAGAACGCCAGCCCTTCTAAATCGGAAATATCTCCGACGCATGATGTGCTACTTGTTATGATTTGATGAGCCAGAGAAGGATAGAAATTGCAAACGTGATCGAAGTTGACCACGGCAAGAAAATGCACCAGAGTATACAAACCACTGCGTCCAATACACGTAGTTCTAGTTTGGCAATATAGCACCCTGGAAATATTCGAATCCCGAATCCCAGTTGTACAGGATGCTTAGTTTCAAAATGGGTTCGCTCAGGGTGTTTATGCACCGGTGCCAAACTTGGCAACATATTCGTCGTTCAGCTTCTTTTGTCTGTCCCATTCCTTCTTCAATTTTTTAAGTTGGCTCTTGGGCACTTCGCTTCCATCAGCCAGTTTAGTCGGTAGGCCATCATTATCCCACTCCTGGTACTTCTTGTCCTCCCTGAACATAAGTTGTGGAGATAGTTTAGCCTTTTCCCACTTTTCTGCCTCGGCCTTTTCTCTTGCGAGTCGTGCTGTGTGAATAGTCAGCAATTGCACGTTGGAAGGGTGCAAAAAGAAAACTAAGAGATTATGAATACATACCTTTCTCTTTCTGGCTTGCCTTTTCTGCCGCCAATGCAGCCCGTTCATTACGTGCTGCAATTAGCTTGGCTGCTGGAACAAATTTGATTAAACTGGGCCTGTCGACCTGGTCGTCTAGCTGCACACCAATATCAGTCAGGTCATAGTCACGAATACGGTCAGCAAGCGCAATGATCGCTGACTTCGTCTTCGGCTCGAGGGATTCGGAAGGGATGAGACGACGCAACTCATCGCGTAGGCGTGATACGGCACGGACGTAGGGTAGTGCAAGCGTTTCTGGGTCCAGTTCTCCATTCTTTTCAAGCTCTGCGAAGGCAGTTTCCGGTGACTGGTTAAGAAGAGTCTGCACCGAATGCTCAGCCACACCGAGCGCCTGGACCTCTCCTACAATACGGGAGAAGACTGAGGCATAAGGTTGAACGGCGGTCCGAGGGTCGATGTCAATCCTCGAGGAGGCGGACGACCAGCCAAGTCCATCATACGGGGGCTGTGCCCCGGCATCAAGACCAAGGATGCCAACAATCTTAGTTACCCACCGGGCAACCAATTCCACTGTGCGCAAGTCACTTGTTTCGCCCATGTAAACATTTGCATCCCGAACAATCTTCGAGATGATCTGCATGCAGGCCGGGGTATCAAAAGAGTTGCGGAAAGCCGCGTCCAAGTCCTTCTTGGCTTGCTCCAATTTCTTCGCCAATTCATTATCGGGCTTCTCGTCTGTCAACGAGAGTGAGTTGACCCCGTCAGTTACTGCTCCGACATCTGCCAATCTGGCTTTAATGTTCATGAAAAGATTCTGTTTGATTAGCACGATATAAAACAAAACTGACTACGGCAACTTACATCAAGTGTAGCCTCCCAACCATCCGCGTGCTTCCGCATATCGGGGGAAATCTCAACACCATCATTCCAGCGACCTAGCAAGAACACAATTCTCATGTTACGGGGAGAATACGTTGTTGCGAGCGCATCACGAATTGACTGGAAGTTCTTAAGGGACTTGCTCATCTTTGCGCCAGAAACGCTCAAGTGTCCGATATGAAGGAAGTATTTCACCCACGAGTGCTCGCAGTCACCGCACCGGTGATATGCCTCGCTCTGAGCAAGCTCATTATCGTGGTGAGGGAATGCCAGATCAATACCACCGGAGTGAATGTCCATCTGCTCCCCAAGCTTGTCCGAAGCCATGACAGAGCACTCGATGTGCCAACCAGGTCTGCCGTTGCTCCATGGGCTCGGCCAGTACGGTTCACCAGGCTTGGACTTCTTCCACAGCGCAAAGTCCCCGGGACCCCTCTTGCCACCCAATGTCTTGGACAAAGAGCCCTCACCTTCCTCTTGCAAAGTTTTATCATTCTTGCTTTCGGGACGAAGTCGAGCATAGGTGTTGCCACGTTTTTCAAATGCCGCGATATCAAAATATACGGAACCATCCGCCTCGTATGCATATTCTTTCTGGACCAGTCGTTCGACGAAACTGACAATTTCGGGCAGATACTCCGTAACTCGCGTTAAGGTGTCCGGTCGAAGAACGTTCAAAGCATCCATGTCCGCCATGAACTCTCGTTCCATAGCTTGCGTTAGGTCCGTGAACATAGTCTGGTCGTTTATGTTGATGGTCTCTTTGTAAAGAGAGTCTAAGAATGGAAGAAGAATTTCCTCCGCACCTTCGAAAACTCTTCCATCTTTAAGCGCCTGCGCCGCGGAATCCATGTTTGTAATGTGCATTTTCAACTTTGCCTCCGCATCACCTGGCTTACCGTCGCCCGAAAGGGTGCCGCCTCCGAGGACTCGGCTGTAAGCCGCATCCCTACGCGCCTGGTAGTTGTTTTCATCCACTGGGTCGTTCGAGGGTTCTAGGAGGGGAAGATTACTCGTCGCGTATGCACGGAATGCATCCAGGCCAAGTTTATGACTCTCCTTGGTACCGTAGGGTTTCTTCTTTTCTAGGTCGAGCAATCGCTTTCTGCGGGCTTTAATGATAATCTACGAACGACAGAAGTCAGCCAGTGCTCAGCGAAGCGGGGTCCAAGGAACGCACCTTATCATCAATATCTGTAATATTCATGACGAAGTTGACCTTCAATCCGAAGTAGTGCATCATGATACGGCGGATAATATCTGTCGAGACATAGTTCCGCGCATGACCCAAATGGCCGATGTCATAGACGGTCGGCCCACAGGCATACCAAGAGACCTTTCCCTCCTCGATTGGCACAAAAGGCACTGGTGCACCGGGTTTGAGCGAATTATGGACCACAATGGATGCCATAATGGTCGAATGCGAAAAGCCTCGTGGAATCCCAAGTGAACGTGATTTCAATGGAAACAGTCGCACGTTTGCAAGAGGTCGCATTCAGTCGCACGGGGTGACCAGCGACCTTGAAACAGGAAAGGACGTAGTGGTAATGGTGAGTCAATAATGTACAAAGCGGGAATTTAATATTCCCTTCCGTTCTTGGGCAGGACAAGGAGGGGCAACGAAGCGATGGACTGTGCTGGAGTGACTGTACTTCTTTGCTGGATCGCTTCCGCGCATTATTTCCGCCTTCCTTATCGAGTAGTCAATGTTCCCCCGGCAGAAACACTGGAATTGGAAAGCGGTGGGAAGTTCGGATCATATCCCCTTTCTGCCTCAGCCTCAGCACGTCAAACAGGCAGAGGGCTAACAATCTCTTAGAATTATGTATATTTACTCTCAAATGTGTGATCATCCCTATGTTTATATGAGACATAGAATATAGGTGCGTTAACCGTATAAATTTTATGCCACTCTTGAGTTTACTTTCTCCTATTCGCAAGACGATATTTTTGCTGGTGAGTGAGTGATGACTGTCGTTATTGGAAAGCTATATATGGACAGAAGAAGATTTGGAAAAGATAGTTGATGATAATTTTCCGTACCAAAATAGGCTCGAATATTGTTTATCTCATGTAGATCTACTGACCTTTTATATGTTCACATATGATTGCAACCATTTGCCTTTACAATGTATTTTTTTTTTTTTTGTGGCAAGGGAAGCATCGGTCTATATATAGAGTAGAAAATAGATTCAATGGTACATTGAACAACAGTGCTAAATAATCCAGGTCAGATATCCTCATGAGCTTACTACAACCTGCGCCACTGTAGAATATCCATGGTCCCTTCCGTAGTATACTCAGCGTGATGACCACAACTAGCTGGTTTTTTAATCTCAGAGACCGGAGACACGACGTCAATGGAAGTTGTGTAAGGCTCAGGGAAATAAACATAAAAGCATGAAACAAAGCATAGTGATAAATAAAAATGCTGCTGGGAGATAAACAAATTGCAGTGTTAATATATGCTGGGATTCTGCGTGCTACGTGCTACTCCCAGGGAATGTGACGTATGGCGTGTGGAGATAAAGGACAGGAAGGGCAGCTCACTTCTACTGGTTTCCATCTGCTATATTTAACATGCTAGTATTTAAAAGAAATGAAATGTTCCGGCACTAGGCATGATGTTTTGTGTAAGCATTGTCGTCACGTCTCGATGGACTGCTCACTCCACTTGTAGGGTTGCATGGCTCCTTACTTGGCAACCCTGCCGGCAATTACTTGATATATGATTTAGCAAGAATACAAATGGAGATATGCAGAATCCTCGTCAGCGGAGATGGTGCCAATGTAAATCGATGACAGTATAATATCTGCTGACTGAATAAGCAAGTCGAGGCAAACCTTACGAAAGAGTATAACGTTATAGTAGTGGAATGGAAGTGCAGATCACCTACAGCCTTGATTATTCCCCCCAGGCCTAACTATGCATGGTGTCCGTGGAGAAAATGGCAGAGGGCAATTTTCAAGTAGTTCGCCATAAGTGTCTTAGGTAGATGCTGGGTTATCACCTCAGCTGGTCGAGATATTCTATACAGACACTATTTTCCTGTTTCTTTCCAATCGCGCATCAAAACAAGTTTTACCTATACACATAAGATCCAGGATGGTTCCAACAGCGGCGAAGGACTTCCTGGCGAAGTTGGGCTGTGGTCAAATATTATTGCGCCGACTAAGTTGAGTTGATGGTCACGAGATGCGTAGGTGGAAGGGAAATTGTGGCCCGACCCGATGCTGTCGTATGATTATGGCTGAACTGTAGTCGTTGACCACTATGAGCTATCTGTAGACCTACTATTGAAGTAGGAACTTGCTGTATACCTGCCTCCCCGACATAATCAGACATATTCAGTTCTGATATCACTGCACGCATTTGGCTTCACAGTTACTACTCTTCCATCATTACAGCTCCAATGCTGCATTACGACCCATTTTGACGTACTCCTTCCAGATCATGACAAGATAGCCAAGAAAAATTAGGATGGCATGTAGTCGAGCCCTTCTCTGGAATTTCTGCTACGTGGTTGGCCTTCGGTGGGAGAGATTTCTATTCTACAGAGAATATGACTATGCACCGTATTGACATTACTGTCGCTTACAGGATGTACTTGCAAACTCTTCCTAATCAGAGCAAGTGTAGCGTGAATTTTCTTGATTTTATGTCTAGTAATCCTGAATTCCTATTCTGCATGAGGTAATGTGTCATAGCCATGCTTAGGATCTTAACTATTCCACTGGACTAAAAGACCACTATATCATTCCTGAGTACCTTATATAGCAGCGCTCGGTAATGTTAGGTGACGCACCACACCTAACATAACGTCAGTGCAACGTCTACAGTGAAAAGGAAATCCCAGTGCCTATGAATTGATAGTTTCAAGGAAATAGGGGTTTCCAAAGTAGGCAATAAGGGGAAAGTACTAGGTACACGTGGGTGTGCCAGGAGAAGGACTATTTTTGGAAGCTTTATTCTGCATCACATGGAAGATAACACGGTAGGTTCAAGAGTAGGTCACTGGCCGTCCAGCTGCATATAAAACTCTCTCGTGTATTTGCGCCAGAGATAAGTAAAACAATCACATTTACATTCCATTATACCTGCTTCTCAATTAATTCCCCTCGTCAAAATGGTCCCTTCTTACCCCTGATGATGACTTCGAACAGAGACTACATCGCAGCACCGACAAATCCAGGATAGCATATAGCCCAGAGGTACACAATTCCCCTATCTACTAGTCCTCTCTCCCAAGTGGCCATCTCGCAGTAGTGGGCACCTGATTATAAGAGCTCTAACGGAGACTTCGAAAGCTTTACAATTGGCCCTATTATCAGTGCTACATTCCGACTTACTGTCGTTCGGCAGATATGCAATATAAGAGGTGAACACCACGGTAGCTGCATAGCAACGATATTAGATGTCTTGACCACTGTACTATTAACTGCTCTCAGCAAACCGGGTCTCTATACTATGTATGGAGTGAGTAGAACCTTGCACACAGTCTTCCTGCGGCCAGTGCCTATCGATAGTGAGGGTAGGGCAGTGTGCAAGTTTCAGCGTGCGGGGAATATCACAAAATTAACACAGATGCTTAGTACAAGGCAAATATCTAAAGGCTTTCAAGCAGTTTAGGAACTGAGAGTTTTGTATGTTACAATCAAGTTATTATTGGGACCATATACTGTGACTAGCTTGTATTTTTTTAAACTTCTGCTCCTTTTTATTGCTATTTGTTTGTATGGAAATTATTGTTATCTGTATATTTGAGAAGTGCCACATTGTCTTATTTTTCTAAGGTAAGTGTATGAATAGCGAATTACGCTCAATGTTCAAGTATAATGAAAATAGTTTCGGTACATTAATATAAAGCAGGTCATGGACAGTATACATGACAAGAGTAAACTACTCTATATAGAAATTGCCACTAGCCGTATTCCTTGACAGCCAAGTCCCCAAATCCAGAAATCCCAAGAGGACCGGGATTCTTGGACGTTGGATCTACAGCGGCTTTTGCAGTCAAGATGTCCAATCCAGGTAAGACTGCAAGGGCAGAACATTTATGTTGATGGGTGGGTATTATCAAATTATTATTAAAATACAGTGACTATAATCTGTGCATGCATAGCCCATCCAGTAAAATTAACGGACAGTTGAAGTCACCCATTCACGATTCCCTGGTTGTAGGCTCTGCTTAGGGATGGCAATTTACCGTATTTAATAAAAATTACGGAAAATAGGGCCTTGCAAGCCGTAAATTAAGAAAAGTAATTTACTAGTCAAGAAAGCTATACCATATTAGTCACACACTAAACCAAATTCAGAAGTCTATTTTAATTTGTCCATCGTGAGACTCCAACCCTCCAACGCGCTCCCACTCCAGTACGCACAGAATAGTTAAACAGGAAAATCTCGCGATCTACTCGGAGTTCGTGAATAGCGTTGCTTTGTGGGATAAAAAAAGTATGGCTGCTCCATCTTCGCGAAAATCTTTCTAATTTAACTACAGTGCAGACAGGCCCAGTGCCGCCACTATAACTGGCGATATGCCTTAAATGTATCCCGCATGGCAAGGCAAGTATCCTCCCTACCAGGCCCTTCTGGCTGCGAAAGTGCCAAATTCAGGTCAGAAGAAGCTCTTGTTCAAGCAACAACCCGTGAAGACTCGACAACTTTCCAAGGCAGAAGTAGATAAGCTGGAAAAAACTCGCCAGGTGTATCATCTACTGTGGAGCAAGGCCATGTTCAACATTTGATAAGATCTTTATAAAATCATTCCTTACAAGGCCGGAACCAGCCTTCGAGCTGCCTGATAGAAAAGTCTTTGCAGGAAGAATCGAGACATGCTACGACAAGGCTAGACGCCAGGTAGAAGAGATTCTGGGAGGGAGCCGAATTATTAATCTAATTATAAATAAGTCTTCGAATACCAGCCGAGATTGTATTATCAACTTCTGTATTAATACACCGCCTGGGCCCTTCTGCATTAAATATAAAGCAATACTGTTGGGAACATGGCCTGCCCAACGTCGAGCACACTCGTTGAATAATCGACTAGATGCTGTTGGACAATTAATTGGCCACAGGCTTCCGCCTGTTAATAGTGTAGAAACCGACACCTGTCTAACAATAAGATTCTTCTGGGAAGAGCTCCGTGGCTTTGCTAGGTTTCAAACCACGTTTTCTGTGCCATGTGATTCTCAAGGGCTACAGCTCCTAATTAAAGATAGTATTAATCTACATCCCTTTGATTAAACAATGAAGAGTGCTAATACTATTGTTACTTATTTCCATGGGGCTAATAAACAACTAGCTTTACTCCGCTACTACTACCAACGTGAGGTATACAGCCAGGAATATGCCCTTACCCTAGCCTGTGAGACACGGTGGGGTACACAGTGCAACATTCTCGCCCACCTTAAACGTTCCAAGGATGCGCTGAAAACATTTGCTTGAGATATTAGCAAGGAATGCGACCCAGCTATCTTGGAGCCGATAAATAAATACGCCTTCTGGGCCGAAGTAGACGAGTTGCTTGACATCCTTAAGCCGATTCATGAGGCACGGATCACTTCCGAAAGCTCCAGAGCTCATCTAGGGTATGTGAAGAATCGCTGGAGCCAGATTAAAAAGACTCTTAAATAGCACAATGCTTCGTATGATCTCCTTAGCATTTTTAAAGCAAGAAGAGCAGTCCAGCCAGTCCACCTTGTCGCCTTTCGTCTAGACCCAAGGAATGTCCACCAGGCATTTAACATGGGTGAATAAATAACAGTATTTAAATTTATTAAAATGCACACCTCTTCGGAGCAGCATCTCAGAACTCAGCGAGATTTCTTAAATTTCAAGAGGATGAGAGAAGGGTTTGAGAGCAGTAAACTTAAGGAACACGAAGTAGTCGATGATCCATATACCTTCTGGCAGTTAGCTTCGGAATAGTCTCTGGACCTAGCAGACCTTGCAATGCAAGTATTCAAGGCACCGGCGAATTCAGTGCCTTTAGAACAGGTATTTTCAACAATGAATCTTACACATACATGCTATAAAAACCGGTTGAGGGTTAAAAAGGTGGATAAGATTTGCTATATTCACATCAATCGTTGGATTCTAGACCGAACGAAGGAAGCTACGGAGAAGGTGAGGAAGCGAGTCGATGGGTTAAACAATAAGGAAGCTCTTAAGCTTGAAGAATCACTGCCGGAAATCATAGAGCCGGCAAATAGTGGTGACTTTATGGATAGAGAAACCCTAAAGAGAAAAAGAGATCTGTTAGATGTGTGAGTGAGGGCACTAGAGTTAGTGAGTGACCTGAAAGTATATATTTCTAGGCACCTGTAACTTGTAATTTAAATTATATTTGTAAACTTACATAAATTTGCACTGTCCATCCCTAATCGGAGGAAGTGGACGGAGAGACTTTTAGCTAGACAGCCATAATTGTGAAGGGTGCTAAGAGAAGTTGAGCAAACTAGTGTAGTGGAGGAATTCGGGGGATTGGCACGTGACATTTGTATGGATAGCTATTATCTTAAGTCCTCGTTCGAAGAGGTAATAGACAATCAACAACCTTCTCACAGACCACGGGACGCAGTTGCGTAAAGGGCATGTTGTCTTTTCTCCTGCCAGGAACTTGTGGGCTCGGGGCCCACAACTTCTGAACTGTCTAAGATTGTCTCCTTGACCTACTCCTTCGGAGTTCTACCATTTCCCTCTCATTCACTAGTAAAGTAGATGTCCTTATCTTATAATTTATTAGTAATATAGTATACTCTACCTAACATTTCCATCTGCTAAACGACTCCTTTTACGATACTATGTAAGCACGAAATCTGCACTACTGTGGTGTGTAGTAATATTCGTCACTAGATATCTGCTGCTGTGGGTGCAACTTCTACTGGAATTACGGACTGAAATTTGCTGCGACGCGGTTGATATTCTTCCTCCCGAAGATATTCAAGAATGGCTCGTCCCTGCGGAGATTGATTATTTTGTCGCGCATACAACATACGCCGAAAATCAATGCCCTAAATCTCAAGTGATAATTGTATAATAAAGTGTAAATAAAGTACGTGTTCAAGAATTGGTATCAACATGGGCTTAAACTTGGATTCGAAATTTCTTAACTCAGTACTCTGTAGCCAAGGTTAAGGGGCCAGCTCAGAAGCCACTTGAATGTTAGGGAACCGGTCCCTGATCAAATGAAACTTTTCTATCAGAATATTCTTGGACACTTGCTGTAAATTACGGAATGAAAAGATCACGTTTTTCACGAATACAATATCACCAATGCGACTGGTGGTCTCCTCGTCTGTAGCCTGAGGCAAATGGATCACGACGTCCGCAATCGTGTTGATAATTTCAAGCAATTTGCTGAGAATTGACGACCCATGTACTCTGATGGTATTTTGTGAGATCTTAGTGAGGAATTGTCTCAATTGGCTTGACAAACGCAAGGGGAGTTCTAGAGAAAGAGACGGACAGGAAGCATTAGAAGACAAGAGACAGTTGGACATGGCCATCTGCCATAGAAGAGTGCGCATCCATTGCCGTGTGATGACCAAGTCAGCCTGCTGCATCTCAGACAACATGGACACTTCGAGCTCCCATAGTGCGTCGTCCAGTTCACGATGTTTTTGCTCCACCCAGGTGGCAGTGACCTGACTGCGGTCACCAATCCAGAGATTAATAAACTTCGGCTCCAGCAGTAGAAATGTCTTGATCACCTGAGTCCAGCCCTGAGAGATACCGATTGGTAGGTCGGGATCGACGTCTGGAAAAGAAGCGTGAGGTGATAGCGTGGCAGGAGAGAAGTGAAAAATAGACATGAACCGCTCATGAATAAAGCACAGCCAGTATAGCCGTTGTCGCCGTGACCGCTCCGTGAGATCGAGACTTTCAAGGACAGCTTTGTCATCAACGCGCAGGATATGAATCATAGCGATGGCTTCACGCAGATAGAAGAAGCCTAGGTCATACTGGCCCAAACTCATGAAACACATCTGAATAAAAATACTTGTCATGGCCCTCCGGATGGAGGGACGAAAGCTGGGAAGTAACGGCTGTTGGACCTCAATTGATTTGCGAACGAGTTCGGAGATATGACTAGACGTATTATACGGGGATTCATTTGACCGTGTTAGATCTATTGTTCCAGCTGCAAATGCATATACAAAAGCTGCATGCTCCTTATTGGTTTCCATCTTCTCGATAGACCCCAGTACCTCCTGGTCCGTCAGAACGGGGAGAAAGGGGTACACAATCAACATGTAATCTGGAACCAGGCTGCGAAATGATACAGGAAGAGCTGGCGCAAGTGGCGTAGGTATTGAATCCGACTTGTGACGACCACTTCTGTACTCCGAGATGACATTTCCCCGGCGTTGTGCATGTTTCCTGGATCGAGCGGGTGGATTGTATGTGTATGTACAGCGCAAATCCAGATGTTCGCATTGCTGGCACCGCTGTTGGCCATTGCAGCGGACCTTGCGCCGACTACAGGGGTCGCAGGCTTTGGAGACGCGTTGCCCATGCATTTTGATGCTTCGTTATAAGACGGTGCGAGGGTCCCGAGTGTTACCCAGTATCCAGAATATGTAACTAGGTGACTGTAGAATCTGCTTATTCATCCTGCGTCTATGGTCTAATTGTATCCCCGTACATATTTTTCTTGGACCCGGCGGCCTCTACCAATGAGACAGCATATTGATTGATGATGATCCTTGGATTGTTCAAGCACAGAGTGAAGAGAATAACAAAACCACTCCAATCATAACCGTCTAATGTGAACCCTTATACCAGCGAATCTACACCAGAAATACCCTTCCCTCGAACGGCTGCAACTCATCCTCAAGACCGCCTTCAACATTGCTAATCAAGACCTTCAAATCCTTATCCACCATGACATTCGGCTTCTGGAATTTTTGGTTCGCCTCAGAAAAGTTCAGTACTATCAACACAGACTGTGTATGACCTTTCTTGAAGTATGTAAAGACGTTTTCATTTGCCTCGTCGACCAGCTCAAAATTTCCAGACACGAAAACATCGGCGTACTCTTTCCGCAGTCGCATCATTTGCTTCCAGAATGACAAAACCGAAAATGGATCTGACTCTTGGACTTGAACGTTCACCTCGGGATAATTATCGTGTACACGCATCCATGTCGTCGCTGAGTCGGATGGGGAGAAGCCGGCATTGGCTTCTGGGCTCCACTGCATGGGGAGACGGGCATGGTCTCGAGCCAAGCACTGCAATGACTCCATGGCATTTTGCAATTGCGTCGCATCGCCATTAGTATTTTCTCTGACCATCTGATAGTAATTTGAGCTGTCGACGTCCTTGTATTCGTCAATGGTCCAATGTTTGGGAGCATTCACCATGCCAATCTCCTGGCCCTGATAGACGAACTGTGTGCCCGACAAAGTGCATTGCATCATTGCCAGCATCTTACCCGACATAATACGTAACTCTGGGGTCTTGTCCGAGCCGAAGCGAGAGATAGAACGGCCCTGGTCATGGTTCTCCATGAACACAGTGGTCCATCCGTCGGTGCTGTTGATCATGTCCTGTGTCCCTTTAATTGCGGCTTTGAAATCGCGCAGTGTCCAGCCAGGCAGTGTCGTCAGGAATTTGTAGTCCTTTCCCATGCCGAGATCGACAACATCAAACTGAAAGACCATGTTCAGCTGGCTCCGCGAGGGGGACACATATGCCAAAACAGCGTCTAGAGTATGAGTATGAGCCAGCTCCCCGACGGTCATAGCACCATACTTGTTCAGCACATCGCTCATCTCACGTAGGTGCTCGTGGATCCGAGGGCCGTTGCAGAACAGCGAAGCTGCCATTTGCGTCTCGGACTTCGGATCGACAATTGGCGCGTCGGGGAAGGACGGGTGTTTACTATACATATTCACTGTGTCCACGCGAAATCCGTCAACTCCCTTTTGCAACCAAAACTCCATGGCGGAACTAAAGATTGCACGACGGGTATCGGGATTCTCCCAGTTGAGGTCAGGCTGTTCAACACAGAACAAATGCAGATAGTACTCTTCCGTCGCCTCGTCCCATTCCCAGGCACTCCCTCCAAAGATACTCCGCCAGTTATTGGGAGGCTTGCGGTTGCCGTTGGCGTCGTATTTTGCCGGTTTCCAGATGTACCAGTCCCGCTTCAGGTTTGTTTTCGACGATCGCGATTCCTTAAACCATTTGTGTTGATCCGAGGTGTGATTAACAACCAGATCTAGAATGATGCGCAATCCGCGACAGTGACAGGCACTAATGAGGACTTCCATGTCCTCAACTGTCCCGTATGGTGGGTACACTTTCTCATAATCGGCCACGTCGTACCCCATGTCGTGTTGAGGGCTATCGTACATGGGACTTAGCCATATCACGTCCACTCCGAGACTTTGGATGTAGTCAAGGGCGGAAATAATTCCGGGGATGTCGCCAATGCCGTCATTGTTTGAGTCTTTGAAGCTGGCGGGATATACTTGGTAGATTATGGCGTTTTTCCACCACTTTTCGCCGACAGGGATTGCTGGGGACATATTGCAACAGAGGAACTAAGAAAGAAAGGTAAGCCAGATGGTTTATGTAACATGAGCCTAACAGCGCGAGGTAGTTATGAACATGCCATCTTATAGTCCCAAGTAGGCTAACTGATCAACAACGCGCTTCCAGCTGTCTGTTTGTCCAAAAGCCATACTCTCCTCTAATTGCTCCCATGTCGGCCCGGCCAGCATCCAGCCCAGGATTCCCATGCGGAGTTGACACTTTTCTTGTTTCTTGCATTATGCAGACATTGGCAATGGTTCAACCCCATTACACCGGGAATTAGTCACTGCCATTGGTGGCTCTCTAACACCATCTCACCTGCATAACTGAGCTCCTGTGGCGTGCTGACCGGGAAATACTGGGGAGAACACGGGGTGAGCTAAACTAGAATCAGTTAGCGCTGCAAAGTATATTTAACCGGCCCGACATTCGACCAATTACAGTGCGGCAGGCACGGCTTGAGTTTAGCCGAGAGGGCGATATGGCCATATTCTGACACCGCAAACCTCTCCAGCCCTTGGCATTTGGCTGTGCCACCGGCCCGACCATCATCCAACCAATTCTGGGTGATGGCGTGACACTCACGGATTCTGGGGATAGCTAGGAATCCACGAGGAGAATCTGGGGAAACAAGTGAAGCTTCGGTTCTTGGCCTAAACTTTGTTCTCTTGGTCTGCCAATTGTTGCCTTTCCCAAGTGACCGAGTCTGGACAGGAGCAAACTCGGCCATCTGCAGTCCATTTTTTTATGATAGCATCTGCAATCCCCAAGGTTCGTATTTCGAGTCAAGTTCCAATGGCTATATAAATGAGTGGTATTCCTGTCATTTGAGTCATATCCAGGCCTTCATTTTTCTCGTTACATAGGACATTCATCCAGAACTTTTGCGGTGCATATAATTTCTTCCTCAGTCCCGCCATGGCATCTGACAAACAGGCCAACACTGAACACATCGAAGAGGAACGTACCTCAAAGGATCTAAATGACGACCTCTCTACCCAGTCTGACCTACCGGCCAGCAATGAAGTGCAGGCAGCTCTTGAAAAAGAGCACCAGATGTCACTCTGGCAAGCGCTGAGCATCTACCCCAAAGCTGTCGGCTGGTCCATCCTCCTGTCGTGCGCCATTATTATGGAAGGCTACGATGTTGTCCTCATCGGTTCTTTTTATGCGTTTCCTGCGTTCAATAAGAAGTACGGAGGTCTCATGTCCGATGGGTCATACGGTCTCTCTGCTTCCTGGCAGGCAGGATTGACGAATGCGATGAGCTGCGGCCAAATTGTCGGACTGTTTCTTAACGGAATAGTATCTGAGCGCTTTGGATATCGCAGAACGTTGATGGCCTGTCTTGCGTCAACGGTTGGCATCGTTTTCATTTTATTCTTCGCGCCGAATGTCCAAACCCTTGTTGCTGGCGAACTACTCATGGGCATCCCTTTGGGTGTGTACCAAACCCTTGTTGTTACTTATGCATCCGAGGTGTGTCCTGTCGCGTTGCGGGCATACCTGACTACCTACGTGAACCTGTGCTGGGTCCTTGGGCAGTTAACCGCCTCGGGCGTGTTAAAAGGCCTCGCTGATCGAACAGACCAGTGGGCCTACCGCGTACCATTTGCCATCCAGTGGGCTTGGCCAGTTCCTATCTTCATTGGAGTCTTTCTCGCTCCCGAGAGCCCTTGGTGGTTGATTCGAAAGGACCGACGGGAAGATGCTGTAAAGGCTCTGAAAAGACTGACAAGGACCGGGAGTCCAGGATTTGACGCAGAAGAGACTGTTTCTATGATCATCTACACCAATGCGCTGGAGAAGCGCGCCGAAACCGGTACTTCATACCTCGACTGTTTCAAAGGAGTCGACCTGCGACGAACAGAAATTTCTTGTTGCGCGTGGGCCGCACAAATTCTCTGCGGCGCTGGCCTGATGGGCTATTCCACTGTATTCTACCAGCGCGCTGGACTCGCCGTGTCTCAATCCTTCACTATGTCACTGGTGCAATATGCCATTGGCGTGGTAGGGACCGGGGTTTCATGGACTCTGATGATGTACCTCGGCCGTCGCACGCTCTACATCGGCGGACTGGCTGTTCTCGCTGTCGCGCTCCTTGTCATCGGATTCGTGTCCATCGCTCCGTCTACGTCCGCTATTTCCTGGGCGACTGGCTCGATGCTGCTAGTATACACATTTATCTATGATTCTACAGTTGGCCCGGTCTGTTACTCGCTTGTCTCTGAGATCCCATCCTCCCGGCTGCGGACTAAAACGGTAGTCCTCGCCCGAAACGTATACAATGTGCTGAACCTGGTAAGCGGGATCATCATCCCTTACATGTTGAATGTAGACGCGTGGAACTGGCGGGGAAAGTCCGGGTTTTTCTGGGGCGCGTTGTGCATTTTGTGTCTAGTTTGGTCGTTCTTTCGACTTCCCGAGCCAAAGGGCCGGTCTTACGCGGAGTTGGATATTCTATTTGAGCGGAGGGTTCGGACACGCGAATTCCGGACTGCGAAGACTGGATTAGTTGATGGAGGTGAGAACGAAAAGGTGACAAATGTTTGATTGAGTTCAGCGTGCTATTTTAGGATATATTCCAAGCCTCTGTATATAAATATTCAGTATTGTTTAGATGTAATCAAGAGTTTGCAAACCCGAAATTCGTAAGAGGTCCATATGCCTATTTTCATTAGAAGAGATTCGCCACTCATCCTAATTTAATTATGCTAATAATTACAATGACGAAACTGCCGTCACCATGACCATATCAACCCATCGATGCAGAAAACTCCTAACACATTTCTATTCTTTACAACTACCACTCCATCAGTGATAGATATACTACTGTTTTACAACTACCAAAATCACCAGCACGATATGTGTACCGATCTTCTTCGAAGATCCGGAGAAGCCTGAATGCGAGCATGAATTTAATCATGCCTGAAAAAATGGGAGAGAGAATATCGGCTGGAATTGGAGGAAGAGAATTGGAAAGAGGATATAGAGAAACGGGTCGACCCATAACTGAACCTAGAGTGTCTATGCCATGCTATCCTACAGCGTCGGAACTCGCTGATCGACTCAATGACGAGATATGGTAACGATGACTAGACACAAGTCATTCTATTGCTGATTATAGTTGTACACCAGTATGCTGAACATAGAGGAAGCGTCTTTGGATTTTAGTGCAGAAACGTGAATTCAGTACCAGAGAAACAGATAGAAGCCATTGAGAGCAAGAAGACAAAGAATCATTCAAAAAAAAAAAAAAAAAAATGAAGTCAGCAATCAAGTTAATGTTAATTCCCAGTCTGCCGTATATATTCCTTCACTCTTAACACATTACTATGTCCATCCCTAACTGCCTGTTCATATGCAATACGATAGCTTTTCACTCCCTGTGAGAACAACAACCGTCTATCCTTCCACCCTGTTTCCTGTCTCAATTTCTCACTGCTCACCCACTGTGAAAACCCCGTCAACATCCCAACCACATCAAAGCTGCCAAACCCCTCCTTTTTTGGTGGCTCATAAATCACCCCCTTGGTAATTCCATACTCCTTCACCAAAGCCTCCGCCACCTCATCCAGTGTCTCATACCGCCAGCCAGAAATGTTATAGCACTGACTAGCTACTGTCCTCCTATCAGCCTCTGCAATCCGCACATACCCGTCGGCACAATCATCCACATGAGTACCGTGGACAACACTCTTCGGATGTGCCGGTAACTTCAACGGCGCATCCTGTTCCCTCGCCAGCTGGGCCAGCTCCAGAAATGCTCCATAGTAACTACTACTCTTGCCATACACGGTCGTCGGCCTCACCACGACAGCATCAAACACATCACGGTGCTCAAACACTTTAATCGCATTCATCGCTCGAGGGATCAATACACTTGGGGGATTTAACGGCGACTCCTCCGTATGCGGCGACAAGGCCGACGAGTCCGCACGAGATGTCATACCGTAATCCTTGCATCCCGAAGTGAATACCAACAGTGGACGAACACCCGACGCATTGCTGGATTCAGCAATAGTGCGTGCTGTTGCAATAATGTCCTGGAAGTGTGGCTCGTAGTCGAAGACTTGTTCCGTCGTGGAAACAATCACGTCGAAGGTCCGTTGCTGCTCTAGCAAGGCTGGTAGGAAGGAACAATCCCCTGGAGATCCGAGAACTGGGATTATCTCTTCTCGTGCAAGAGAGGGCGTCGCGTCTACCTGTCGGACTAGTCCATAGACAGTCCATCCAGAGCGGATGAATGAAAGACACACGGCGTTACCTATGTAGCCGTTTGCGCCAGTGACGAGGACGGTTCGTGTCATCGTATATGGTGATTGTACGTTATGTTGCTTGTATGTCAGGGAATTTTTATGAGGATAAGCATGATGAAGGAACACGGACAGGTCTAATTTGTATATTTTCATTGATTACCATACTGGGTTAATTTGAAGTTGGAATAGCATCCGCTATAGATTATAAATCATGGGTTAGTTAGTTATCTGACTTATTAAGATTTAGTCAGCAAACAACAGAAGGATTGTACTATATGTTGGAACTCCACATAACTTGACTCACTATTGTGGCTCACTAAGAGCCCAGGGTTTTAGTTCGTTGAATGGTTTTTGATATTGTACTCTGTTTATTGCGGTTATTGCGGCAAGAATCATGCATAGTACCATGTACCGGATTTTCTGGACAGCTTAATGTATTTTCTTTTCCTTTTTGTTTTAGTACTTACCTCTTGACGTAATCGGAAAGCAACGTTCCACGAAAGCGAGAGTTCCAGTCCAATAGTCATAGCAAATACGTTGAATTCAATTTTATATCTCAAGTTTCCCAACAACCAGTTCAGAGACTAATAATCAGGAACTGTGGTGTTAAGATGTATCAAATCAGTAAGTTTGTTAAACCAGGTATCTACTTTGCACTTTTACGCCAATTGGTGTAGCAGTAAAAGGGTATTCCGGTGTCTTATAATGTGGAAAAACCACGCGCAGTTGCCGGTATAGTTGTCCTGGGAGCCCGTGTCCTCCATTTGGCTCTATTAGAATCAACAGAAGATAATCACTGTGCCTTCTTAAGAGTGGGTTATAATGGAGTAGTCGCCGCATTCTCTGGCAATTTTATAAAAATCCTCCTGCATTGGTTATCAATCCTTCAACGGCAACATTTCCGGAAATATCCAGAGTATTTATCTTCCGCTTTGGCGCCACTTCATTATGGTTTGTGTTATTGGATCCCGATCACTGCCTGTGGGATAGCTCACCCTTAGGATGTCCTTACAGTGCGGGATCTAGGAAAGATAAAGCGCCGTCCAAAAACCATATCCCACAAAAGGATCGGGATTATATTTATCATCCGCCTGAACTCCTCATCCTGCGACTAAAAGATCCCCAAGCTCTGCAGCAAAATCTGGGGGGGGGAGGTTACGACCCTCCAGCTGTGCAAAAAGCTGCATGGGACCAAATAAAGAAGTAGTATAAGAAGCTCGCAAGAAAAACATAAACGGCCAACAACCATTGGGTACATATCTAAATAGATGGGGACCTGAAGTGCCTCTTAGATTTCTAGGTGTACCGGCGTCGTCCTTTATTACAGTGGTGACCGATATTACCTTCCATGTCGCAAACATGGAGATGCTTTTTTAAACCCTAGTCAATGGTACTCTATATAGTATGAACAGCCGTAAATGACTTGTATTGTACCTACGAGTCAATAACAACTCTACATGTACGTACATGGATAGATATAGTTGTTGTAGCTTGCATATTGCTTCGGCGAGGGGTCAGGGTAAATGATTACACACACACACACACACACACACAGACACACACGAGTCAATAATACCAGACTATGTATAATACCAATATGAAAGATGAAAGTACAAAGGCCAAGGACTCAAAGGCTGAAAGACAAAAAGATTCCATGCAAACGTAGCAAACGGCACGACCGTCTGATTGGCAATCTATTAACAACTGCCCATTTGTTGACCATAAAAAATATGCATATTCGCAAGTATCGATATTAGGTCTCTGATTCAACCAAACTATCAAATATAGGAAATATAACCGATCCGATGATGTTGTATCATTGTATCATCGGATCATTTGACCGAGAAACGTACTGAATAATCAATATTACCATACGTGTCGATAGCTTTTATTATGATCATTCGCTCAGGGAGAGGAATGGGTGGCAGAAGAACACTATACCAGCTACACGCCGGTAGCATACTAGGGAGAATAAAGTAACAACTGTATTGACTGCGCAACCAACGCGCTCACCAACGTGCTCTCTCGCTCTTCTTCTCTGCTTAGCTACTATCTAAAGGAATGGAAGCGATTTAGGGGAATGACGCTGAGCGCTCGCCAAGGCGCTACGGTAGGAGTGAGTCATCGGATCCCCAATTCCGATGTTTCTTTATCATCTTTTAACGTCGTGGTCGCAAGTATTTTCGTTTACAGCGTTTCAGCGGACATATTTCGAATAACCCCTGTGCGTTAGGTGATAGGTATGCCAATTACTCGAATAAATATTCTATTTATCTAGTTTTAACACCCAGTTATTACTTTCTAGGACCATTCTTGTCAATTAAATCTTAAAATGAGTAAGGATTTCGATCTTTGCGAGCATATTACTCAGGCCATTCGTGGCCGGTGTGAGACGTGGAATTTTATTCGCAGTTTCACCTACCACTGGGTGACTCAGCTAGAGGAGGGTGATGGATATAGTGATGCGGATCTATCAACTGCGGAGGAGCGGTTAGGTATTTCGTTGCCTGCAGCATTTAAAGAGGCATATGCACTTTTTGGTCGCCGTTCAGATCTTACTCGCAACCAAGAATACTTGCTAGAACCAACGGATCTTTACCTTGATCATGGGGCCTTGATATTTCGACACGAGAATCAAGGCGGTGCACTCTGGGGAATTCTGGTGTCAGACCTCCAGCATCCTGATCCTCCTGTGTATTACTGTCCGATTATAGTGAATAACGTGGTGGGGGACTGGGAACTCTGGCTGGGACGATTCTCTCTTGCATGCGTCGATCTTATCCTGTTTGAATCATTGAATGACTCAAGCATGCCGATTGAATATCACTCTGGGGACGACAATGACCTTAAATTGATCGAGCAACTCTACACAGAGCTCCCCTCTCCAGAGGGACTTGACAGCTATACTCCTTTTAATGTGCGTTGGTTCACTGGGACTGATGTCCTTCTTTACTACACGGGCTTTGATCTCCACGTCCGAGCCCGTACCCGGGGAGCACTCTCTTCTGTTCGCGAAAACATCCCTGGAGATTGGTTGAATGAATGGTGAATGAATAAGGCGAATCACATAATTAAGTCGGTCTTCTAGATACCGAGAACTCGATATCTCTTTACGGAAATCTTCATGTATCAAGTTATACGATCATGGTAGAGACCTCTAGCAAGGAGCATTTAATATTTTCAGCATGACGTACACCTATCGCAATCTCTATGAATTTAGTGTCTGCCATCGCGGATTTGTTCCCTTCTTTCACGCTACAATTAATCCGTTGGCTTTTCACCCACAACTTGAAAGTTTCGTCACGGTAAATTTCACCTAAAGGTGATCCTGCTCGAGTACTTACCGAAGGCCGAAAGACCAAATTATATGAGTTATTCCGCAGATATCTTTTGGGCTATTTTGCGTTTGTAGCTGGTTGACAAAGCTCTGTGAAGAGAGCCAGCCGACATTGTGATCGCCACTGGAGGCGCGCTAACTACGATGTAGCCAAGCGCATGCAACACAATTGAATATTCTCTAAGAAAAGCTATACTTAAGCATATTCACAGTACAATCTGACGAACAGCCCAAATTCCTCCCTAGTGAAATCACAAGAGGTCGGATCTCGAGCGAGTGGTGATAGTCTCTACCAAACTACTCATTTCCTCTGCCGCACCGCCTTGCGATATCCTGGCCTGCACGAGTTCGTACATTGGATGGAGGGCATTGCTAGAAATACCGAGTTTCTCACTCGTTTGGATCAAGCATCCAAGCGTATCCTGAAGAACTGACAAGGGAGCCCCATCTGATGCCTGGCTAACGTAGTCTTTCTCATCAATCTGCCTAGCCAGTTCTCCATACAACCGTGAGTAGTCTTGCATGAATATTGGGAGCAATGTTTCTTTCAGGAGGCGCTGTGCGCCCCCCGGCATGTACATTTTAGTGGAATTATAAAACGCCATGGTCTGCAAAAAAGCCTGAGAGAAGCCAAAGAAGAAGATCCCAAGGGTGCATTCCTGAAGAGTAGCGAAAAGGACATCCTCTCCAAGGTACACAGCCATACCGAGGATCTTCAGAGTCTCTTCGATCGAGGCAAATATCTTTTGATCACCGCTATAGTAGAACAGGGACTCGGGCATGCCAACGTAGGCTGGGTAGGTTTCTATTGCGCCGCGAATGTACGTCGAGAAGGAGTGCTTCAAGGCTGTGGCTTGGGAGTTTGTTATGTCATCTGGACTTGCGGATGTATAGTCTATCAAGATGCGGCCGACGCCGGCACCTTGATCGGCCTTGTTTAGAACATCTTGAAAAGCTTCAACATTGAGCAGACAGGTAATAACCAGGGGGCTGGCACGAATGCATTCTGTCGCTGAGGCAACAGGGACAGCGGCATCGGCAACCAGGGCATGAGCCTTGGCTGGAGAACGATTCCAGACAATTGTTTTATATCCAGCCTTTGTATAAGCTCGTGCAATGGCTGAGCCCATTCCACCTAGGCCCAGAATTGAGATGGTCTTGTCGATGGCCATGATTGGGAGGTCTATTGTTTTCAAAGGTAGAAATTTTTAGGAGATCAGCGGCTCGAAACACTCTCGCTGAGAACTGTGTCCTTGTATTGCTGAGTTTGAAGAAGATACATTTGTCCATGTCTATACCACTTATATGCCCTCCCCCTCTCAGCGGAGAGGGGATCAATTTACCATGAAACTTGGAAGCTCTGGAGTGCTATGGCGGAGGCGATTTCGGTCCCGCGCGGTCCCGCGTTACCCAAATTCACTCTCTATCATCAACAACTGCCTACCGCGGTACGAAGGCGGGGCTTTTGCGAGGTCGGTAAACAAACAAAACCTCGAAATCCTACTAAGATGAGTTGTACTCGTCTGCAGTTTTCGGGGCCGCCTAATTCTGGTTTCTAGATAGGAGAGACATGTACTAAGTTGAGGAATAGTCGCTTAAAAAGCATCCAGTGAACTCGAAGCTAACATGGCAACAATCTATAGCAGAAGATTCTGCTGTCTTTCAGTAGTTACTGTCATCAGGCAACGTCGATAGCGCTTCTTAATACGTATAGTTGTAACGACCACGCATAATTTGTTTCATACTGTTGTAGGTTATATTCAAAGTTCCTACTTGCCTAGAAAAATCATTTTTCTAAATACCATTCGTTCTCAGTTTCCTTGAAATACATAGTAAATATGCACTTAAGTTATGGAAATAAAGGCTAAATATGAGTGGTCAAATCCTTAGTGCACTGGAAAGTGCTGCTTCCAGGCCCATGCGGGCCTCATCGGTCAGACGCTCTTCGGAGGGCAATAACATGTCCGGAAGCCACACTGGCTGCGGGTCCCCGAGGGCCATTCTTGCAAGGGCCTCACCAGTGGACAAACACTGCACCATGCCATATCCATTGTAGCCCGCTGCAATCCACTCACCTTCTCCCCTTCCGGTGATACTAGCCGGTAGGCTTCCAACCAGCGGAAGATGGTCCGGCGTAGCACCGATTATTCCACTCCATACTTTGTCGACCACTGAAGATTGCACCTCTCCGGTGGCCGGGTTATCCCACCTTCGGTTGAACAGCTTTGGCAGAAGGGTGGAAACTTGGGTGCCTTGGACTAAGCTGACAATACTATCGTCTGCGTTGATAATGTCTTCGATATGTGCCCTGTTGCCTCCAAAAAAAAGGTCGTGTGTCTCTCCATTTTGCTGCATGTAATATAGTCCTGTGTCGACAATTCCAGAGGCAGGGTCATAGCTAGGTAAGATGAACCACATCCAACACAGTTTATTGCCAAGTTTGGGAAATTTCGGACCAGGTCTTTGACAAGAATTGATATGACGTGTGGGTAGGATCTTTCCCCGTAAATTGGGCACCAGATGGCTACCCCACGCATTGGTACAATGAAGCACCTGCCCAGCACGGACAACACCACGAGGAGTGGTGAGTATGAATGGATATTTGTCATTTGTCGTGGGAGAGTAGGCAATTGATGTCACTGGCGTCTTGGTCTCGATCGAGAAACGACTAGAATAGCGACGAAGAAGGTCCGCAAAAATCCGTGTCACCAGACGGTAGGGCCATAGCACCTCTCCATCTGTAGCTAAGGCTCCAGCAAATCCCTTCACTTGATATACCTAATTTGATCGTCAGCTCCAATAGTGCCAGACATATGAGACCAGGTTTACCTTGTCGAGTGTTTCGGGAGTTATAGTAGAGAATGACCCTTTCTCCTCGGGAAATATCTCTTCATAAAGAGCGATTGATTCCAGGGCTGCCTTCATAACCTCTTTCTCGCTAAACGATAGAATCGCTCGGACAGGTCTCTTCTCGCTTGCTGCCAAAGTATCGGGCCCCAGGGATTCGGCCAGCTGTTTCATTCCCTTCACCGTTCTTTGGCAAAGCTTAGCGATCCCAATAGCGCTTTTGTTCCCGAATATCTCAACCATGTCCTTGAAATCACTAGGAATGTGGGAGAGCAAGAATCCAGCGTTGCGGCTTGTGGCGCCGCTTGTCAGAGTCCGTGCCTCAAAGACCGTCACCGATCGATTGGCAGATCGAGAGTCTTCGAGAAGATGTTTGGCAACACTGCATCCTGTGATTCCAGAGCCGATAATGGCAAAATCTATCGCCGGGGATAGATTGTCTGACTGAGTTTCGGCGAGGGGATGAGGTGGCTCTTGCCAAGTAGGCACGGTAGGGTTGCTTACAGGAACTTGGGGGTCCGAATAAACCTGCCCAATCAGTTTAGCCAGGACCTCACCGGGCAATTTGGTGATATTTGAAGCATGCGCCATATATCTGTGATTGTGGGATTAATCGCAATGCATTACTTGAGTATGGGCAGAATCGGCTTGCCCATCAGACTGTCTCTGCCTGTGGCAAATGCAGGCTTCTTTATACATGAGTAGGCAAGTAAGAGCTGCCTGTACTTGCTCGGCCCCCGCGGACTACCGCCTCGATTCTTGCAACCATCCAGGCCTATACAAAATCGTGGGGTTGATGGAACCGCGGTTCCGCGGCTCCACTGTCCCTGTACTCCCGCATGCGGAACCGCGGAACCTCCTGATCAGCACCATTATTAACCCTAAATATAACTAACCGCACAGCGTCCGATCCAAGATATGCCCGTATGAACTATTAAAATTGATGTAGCTACATCTAGATAGCTTACTATTGCTTTTGCAAAAATCTGGTACTGCGCTTTCCCTATTCAGAAGACACGGGCAATGGAGTGAAATGGCCCTCAGTCACGAAATCCGCGTCCATCAGGTTCCCCCAAATTGCACTCTGCTCCTGCGGAAAAGTCTTCCATTCCAAGATCCTATTTGGCCGGAGCTTGTTGTCTGCATTTCTCTGGTGGTCCCTTTGTCGATGATTCTTTGTCTTTCTGGATGGCTAGGCTGAGAAATAAATGCACATGGCAAGCGCCAAGGAACTCAGGAAGCGTAGCATGTTGGGTTTGGAGCCTTTGCTTGTTTAGTTGCTGCTCAGCTTCTTCATGTAGTCACTGTTCTTCATCCAGACATCCGCGCAACATGTTAATTTCCTGGAGGGATATTCTCGCCGCTCCAAAGCAAAGCACTAGGTAACTGGAATAAGTAGACCCACCATATTTTCTAAGGCCAATATCTTGTTTGTTGCCTCCCTTCCCAACCCGAACACATCCACTAATCGTTGACTTGTCATTAGAACACCGCTATACCCAAAATGGACAGCTTCATCTAACTATCAATTATTGGGGGGTGCGTTATGTGAGAATATTGATCTTGGACTGCTGAAGTGGCGTTTCTGATGCTAGCGTCCAGAGGCTCCACCTATGTAAAAAGCGCGACTTCTAACTGTAATGAATCACACTGAAATGGATAAACCGAGCCAAATTCATCGAGCTGGTTAGGTTATTGCCTATTGGCCATCAATAAGTGACAGGGATGGACAGCTCTCCACGGATTTTTTCCGGTGCGTCTTGAACGCTTACAGCAGTCCATTACATCGCCAGTCAAGGAGGGTCAATCTTCCTTCTCACTCATCCGAATACACATTGCTGACACCCATTAGCGCGATATGATCAGTTGGCTCCTAGCCTATCTCGCGTCGCGGATTCAGAGTAGCGGCATCTTCCCCTAAGGTTTCCGCTGCCAGGTAGTAGGTAGTTGAAACAAGTAGGCTTTACACACGACAGGTATAGTAGAGCCGACTGGCAGCACCTTATATCGGTTCTCCATTTCGCATACCTGGGCTTGTGAATCCTTTGGGGCCAACCCGATCGCTACAGAATATATCAAGCTCATCTCTATTGCATCGCTAAATGTGCTGCCCAGGGTTGCACACTGCAAAACCAGAGAGTATTATTAACCATTTGATTAGGAAGTGGTGTCAACTTGTTCTCTCCCAGCAGAGAATCGATTCAGAAATAATATAGTAGATCAGTATATATTTAATCTTCTATAATCTACCAGATGCCCTACAGGGGCTGACGGGCCGAAAGCAAGAGGGAATTCCAGTTTCAGTCCGCGAGTAGATATGATCTTGCCGCTGAGTGTAATTTATAATAATACGATTTTTGCCTTCCCGGAGTGCGTGTTATAGGTATAATGAGGTCGAACTTATAGATATATTGAAGTATAACACTTACATTTGTTAAATTAAAAGTAGACCCCATGTAGCGATTTCTGGGCGGGGCCTTTGTTGCGCAATGTCGGTCATACTCTGACTTGGGTCCATGGAGAACGTGTTAATGAGTGCGCGACATATCAAAGTAATCAAATAACCAGGAAGATCTGATTGTGTTCGAGAAATAGCTTTTATTTTGCGGCTGTGGTTATATTGTTCAAGTTTCTTGGCTTTTATACTCCATATAGCGGATTCAGAGACCTGTGCCGCTAATGAAATTATGTAAATGTTGGATAGGTATTTTGTCATGCTCCGCCATAACCTGAAGATCTGTGCTACTCCCAACTGCCTGGTGGTAGGTTCTTCACTCAACAGGTGATTTGATCCTGACTTAGCGTCTAAAAAAGAAGATATTGAATTATTAAGTAGTAGGATAAAATCAGCCCATAAAATAGCCCATAAAGTAAACAGCTGCTCAGCGCTTACCCCTATGGCTTGGCAATGTCAGCACAACTTCGTGCTATAATTAATACCAACGATATATAGAATACTATTTAGCACTTCTATTTTTTAAAAAATCAGGCGTCCTAAGAGTAGTATACTCTGGAGTAAGTATGTATTCATATCATCATTGACGGTGATGATCTACAAGATGTTGTTTAGTGCTTCTGCTTTTGGCGAGATCAGGCGTATTTCAGTCAACTAGTGCTGATGGCATGTAGGACGCCTAGCAAACCCAGGCTTACAATATTCTAGTGCTTAAATATGACCAGAATTGGAAAAAAAAAAAAAAAAAAAAAAAACTCTATAAGTAATCAGGTCTTGCCCCCGATGTTTGTAGTGCAAATCTTCATATATCAAATTATCCACTCTCTCTTTCTTTCAGCATTTCAATATGGCTTCAGTTCGCCTTCCTTTTACGATCCTTGCTCTTTTCATTGCCCTCATTCTCCCTCTTGCAGCTGCCGCCCCGTCTCCGGCCGTCAAGCCCGGTGTTAAACTCGACGGCAATCCCAGTGTTATGGGAAAGGGCAGTTACCCGCGCGCAACCTACATCAAAGATAAATCCTTGCTAGGATGCTTTAGAGCGCTCCACGACGACAAAGTCTCAATTGAGACGGTCAGGTCCACTGACAAGGGCAAGACCTGGATACCTGTGGGCACTGTTATCACCGAAGTTGAAAAGACACACGGGTTGAACAACTGCTATCTTCACCAACTGCCGAAATCAGACAGGATCCTGATGGCTTTCCGGAACCACGAGCGCGACCCGAAGACGGAGAAATATACTAAGTATATCATGTCAGTGTATTACTCGGACGACAGGGGAAAGAAATGGGAACCTCTCAGCACTGTTGCGACGACTGCGACCCGTGGGCTGGGCGTCTGGGAGCCGCTCATGATGGACGATCTCAACGGTGACTTAATGTTGTTTTTCTCGAGAGAAACTCGGAAGGATGGGAAGGACCAGAACAGTATCCTGGTTCGTTCCACTGACGGGGGCAAGACTTGGGGGAGGGAGGAGACCATTTCGGGCGGGGACATCCAGAAACGGGATGGAATGTTGGGCGTCACTCGTCTGGCACCTAATTCCAAAAAGATGATAGCCGTCTTCGAGAGCCTGACACCAAACACTGGCATCACTTCGATCACATCCTCTGATGATGGAAAGTCTTGGAGCAGAGACCGCAGGACTGTTTACAAGGGCACTAACGGACCTCCCAGCGAGTCAGCCCCTCAGGTTGTCCGCGTCGGCAAGACTCTTGTTGCCAGCTTCTCGACCTGGGAAGACGACCGGAAGGCTGGGAAGTCTAAGCCACCGAATGTTAAGATTGTCACCAGCACAGATGGAGGAGCTACCTGGGGCCAAAAGACACTGGTGCACAAGAACTGTCATTGGGCTGGAGAAGTAGCAATCGACGACAAGAGCCTTCTTGTTCTGTGTGACTACAATAACGGGGCGGCAATCGCACAACGCGTGAGCATATCTTGAGCGTCTTGGGCTGGGGCATGATGGGTAGGTAGATACTTTGCATGTTACTGGGACATTGTTGTTTGGCTAATCTGACTGCGACGGATACTTATTTCAATGCTCATAAGGGATGCCCGAAGAGAAACCACGCTCTTTCTCCGTGAACTGCACATACAGCTATCTAATCTCCATCGTAGACTGTGATGCCCGCTTTCTAAGCTGGGTCATCTTCGCTTTAAGCGGTTGCCCAGTATTATGAATATCAGAATATGGGATCGCCCGATGGATTGATTACCCGAAGGATCGGCGAAGTCCTCGCCTATATATCTCTTCCCACAGACAAATTCCTGTATAATAAGTTCGCTCATCCAATTCAATGGCTTAGTTCTCTCTATTCAATGGCAATTCCTCTGACCTACTGTAGATTCGGGATCCGATCACTCCTAGGCCTTGGCGAGCGCGCAGCGTCATCCCCCCTGAATCGTCTCCATTCCTGAAGATAGTAAAATTAAGCGTAAGGATAGTTGAGCAAGCAGTCAATACAGTTGATATTGTTATCCTCCAGATCCTCAGTGGGCTACCGGCGTGTAGCTGGTATAGTGTTATTCTGCCCCCCATTCCTTCCCCTGAGCGAATGATCATAACAAAACACAATGAAAACCCTGGTTATGTGACAGCTTATGTTATGTTAATGATCTCGTAGTACAAATTATCCTCTCATCCTCGGAAGCAAAATATAACCAACAAATCATATTTTATAGTCATGTATGTCATTTAATTCATAAATACTTATTGCTTCTCGATCCCACAAAATCAAATATACGAAATACAGATACCGTGGGAGCCTTATCGGAGATGCCAACGAGCTTTCTTTTGTGCTGTTGAGGCGGTGCGTCTAGTGGCTGTGCATGCATGGCTCGATAAGTGTTGGATTCTCTCGCCTCCTCTTCCTACCAAGTCTAAACATAGCTCAGCCGAAAATCGTTGCAATAATTGCCCTTCACCAGACAAATTTTCTACCGTTCGGCAATGCCCCTATCGATGTTTAACCGCCGAGCAAAGTCGTGTCTGTTAATTGTGGCCCGGTGCACATCTTGCCGAAATGGATGGGAGAAGTGTTTGGCACGAAGATGCTGAGACAAGCGTGTCTCTCCCTCCAAAGCGACAAAAGACTTTTCACTATGACAGTTCGCCCACACCACGACACGATCTTTACACTATTGCCTGGATCTGCGCGCTGCATATAGAGATGGCAGCAGCCAGGGCTATGCTCGATGAGATTCACGAGGCCCTGCCCACGTATGCAGACGACAGCAACACATATGTACTGGGAAGCATCAATCAGCACAATGTTGTTATTGCGTGCTTGCCAGAAGCCCAGTATGGAACGAACAACGCGGCGAACGTCATGACGAATATGAAGCGAACCTTCTCGGCGATCCGGGCGGGCTTGATAGTCGGGATTGGTGGTTGCGTGCCGAGTAAGGCTGATGTGCGTTTGGGTGACATCGTTGTCGGAACAAGAGTGATGCAGTATGATCTTGGGAAAGTCGTTGGAGACGGACAGCTCCAGCGAACAGCAATCCCTAGGATTCCTCACCATGTGCTCGGGACAGCCGTTTCCACGCTCCGTTCGAAACACGAGCTAGGGCCCAGTCGAGTCCCATCCATCCTGCGGCAGAAACTAGAAGGATACCCCGAGTATGGTCGCCCAAGGTCACCGGACCGCCTCTTTCACGCAACGTATGATCATGAATCCCCGACGGCTAACTGTGACGGATGCGACCAGTCAAGGTTGGTTCCACGAAGCAGACGGATGTCGGACGATATAATGATTCATTACGGGGCTATCGCCTCAGGGAACCAAGTCATGAGAAGCGGCACTACCCGGGACAATGTTGCTCGACAACTGGATGTCATATGTTTCGAAATGGAGGCTGCTGGTCTGATGGATATTCTCCCTTGTCTACCAATTCGGGGAATCTGCGACTACTCAGACTCTCACAAGAGCAAGGAATGGCAGAGGTATGCCGCAGCAACGGCGGCCGCATACGCTAGGGAATTGCTCGAGGAGCTACCGGTGGCTGAAGCTCATGCAAGAGTTGCCTACATGCCCAATCCTCGTAAGTTAGCTTAGTAGTCTTGGGAACAGCTTCGACTCACTGTTGCTCACACCCAGCGTGCAGATCAACGTTCATCACACGAACGTCGGCAGCGCTTGCTGGGGTTCCTTAAATTCAAGCAAATCGATTCTCGTAAATCAAGTATCGAAACCGAACTCGACAAAACATGTCAATGGTTTCTCAGCCACCCTGACTACCATGCATGGCTTGATCCCAGAAAATTGACACAACATCATGGCTTTTTGTGGATCAGTGGCAAGCCCGGTACTGGCAAGTCGACAATCATGAAGTTCGCATACTTGAAAATGAAGCGCAAAGCCCACCGTAAGCATGCTATCACTGCTTCTTTTTTCTTTAACGCTCGAGGCGAATATTTAGAAAAGTCGATCTTAGGGATGTACCGATCATTGCTGCTCCAGCTGCTTGAAGGGTACCCTGATCTTCAGACAGTTTTAGACGATCCCGATCTTATTTCCCAAAGTCAGAATGACTGCCCTTCCTTGAATGTTCTCAAGGACCTCTTTCGCAACGCAGTTTCTGCCCTCGGTCAACGCTCATTTACCTGCTTCGTCGATGCTCTCGATGAGTGTGACGAACAACAAGTTGTAGACATGGTCCAATACTTTGAAGAGCTGGCAGAACAATCCACGAATAAAGGCGTCCGGCTCCGAATCTGTTTTTCCAGTCGACATTATCCATACATCGTCATTAAGCGGGGAATACGACTTACACTGGAGGATCAGCCAGGTCATGCCGAAGATTTGGCAACCTACGTTGCAAGCCGCCTCCGAATCGAAGACCCTGCGCTCGTCGACGAGCTACGACCACAACTTCTCGGGAAAGCTGCTGGCGTTTTTATGTGGGTCAAATTAGTTGTCGACATTCTGAACAAAGAATGTCGACAAGGTGGACTTGCTCTGAGAAAGAGAATGGCAGAGATACCGAGTGATTTGAGCTTACTGTTCAAGGACATCCTGAGACGTGACAATGAGAATATGGAGGCTCTCCTGCTTTGCATCCTATGGATTCTCTACGCAAAGCGACCTTTGCAACCGAAGGAGTTCTACCATGCTCTCTGGTCTGGTTTGTCAGTGAAAGGTCTGGCCGATGCCCAAGGCCCAGATGTCACCGTCCCAGATGTGGATGACAAGGTTAACAGATGTGTTATCAGCTCCTCAAAAGGTCTTGCTGAAATCACGACATCTGAGCAGCCCACAGTTCAATTTATTCATGAATCCGTCCGAGACTTTCTTATCAAAGACGACGGTCTGCATGAATTGTGGCCTGATCTTGGATTTGACTGGAGGAGCCCAAGCCATGAGAAACTCAAACAATGTTGCAATTCATACATGAATTATACCTTGACACGTGCGTCTGTTATCAAACTGCTGGTAGAGCGAAAAGCCAACCGGCGGACAGTAATCTCAACAGAGTACCCTTTCTTGGAGTATGCCAGTCAGCATGTTCTCTATCATGCCAACGCTGCGGCGGAAGCGATTCCTCAAGACGAGTTTCTATCTCTTTTCCCCGTCTCCGAATGGATTACTATCAACAATCTTTTTGAAAAGTACAACATTCGTAAATACACCCAGCATGCAAGTCTCTTCTATATTCTCGCAGACAAAGGTTTCTCAGAGCTCATCCGCACAAAGTGCAAAGAGGATCCACATATTCATGTTCCTGGGGAGAGATACGGGTACCCGCTGTTTGCTGCTTTGGCCAACGCTAACAAAGACGCTGTTGCTGCTCTTCTGAACTCGCCTTCGAGCATGTGTAAAGAAGCCGACATTACAGAGGGTCTAAACTGCAGGAAAGACTTGAAAGAACACACAAATCGAACACCGCTATCCTGGGCTGCGCAGGATGGTCGGGCAGGCATAGTCAAGCTGCTTCTCCAAATGGAAACGACCGTCGATGACGTGGATTCGGAGGCCCGAACTCCACTTTCGCGGGCCTCAGAGAAGGGCCACGAGGCAGTGGCAAAGCTGCTTATTAACAAGGGAGCAGACGTCAACTCCAGAGATAATAATGGATCGACACCACTCTTGTGGGCATCAGATAATGGCCACGAGGCAGTGGCAAAGCTGCTTATTAACAAGGGAGCAGATGTCAACTCCAGAGATAATAATGGATCGACACCTCTCCTTTGGGCCTCAGAGAAGCACGAGGCAGTGGCAAAGCTGCTTATTATTAAGGGAGCAGATGTCAACTCCAGAGATAATAATGGATCGGCACCGCTCTTTTGGGCCTCAGGTAATGGCCAGGAGGCAACGGTAGAGCTGCTTATTAAAAATGGAGCAGATGTTAATACCAGTGACAATAAAGGAAGGACACCACTCTTTTGGGCCTCATGGAATGGACACGAGGCAGTGGCAAAGCTGCTTATTGACAAGGGAGCAGATGTCAACTCCAGAGATAATAATGGATCGACACCTCTCTTTTGGGCCTCAGAGAAGCACGAGGCAGTGGCAAAGCTGCTTATTATCAAGGGAGCAGATATTAACACCAGCGACAATGAAGGAATGACACCACTCTTAAAAGCCTCAGAGAGTGGCCAGGAGGCAACGGTAGAGCTGCTTATTAAAAATGGAGCAGATGTTAATACCAGTGACAATAAAGGAAGGACACCACTCTTTTGGGCCTCATGGAATAGCCACAAGGCAGTGGCAAAGCTGCTTATTATCAAGGGAGCAGATATTAACACCAGCGACAATGAAGGAATGACACCACTCTTAAAAGCCTCAGAGAGTGGCCAGGAGGCAGTGGCTAATCTGCTTATTGACAAAGGGGCAGATGTCAACACCAGTGACAACGAAGGAAGGACACCACTCTTTCAGGCCTCATGGTATGGCTATGAGGCAGTGGCAAGACTGCTTATTAACAAGGGAGCAGATGTCGACTCCAGAGATAATTATGGATGGACACCACTCTTTTGGGCTTCACGGAAAGGCGGCGACAAGGCAGTGGTAAAACTGCTTATTGACAAGGGGGCAGATGTCAACTCCAGAGATAATTATGGAAGGACACCACTTTTTTGGGCCTCATGGAAATTCGGCAACAAGGCAATGGTGAAACTGCTTATTGACAAGGGGGCAGATGTTAACATCAGTGACAACGAAGGAAGGACACCACTCTTTTGGGCCTCACGGAAAGGCGGCGACCAAACAGTGGCAAAACTGCTTCTGGACAAACTGGCAGACGTCAACACCAGATATAGCTATAGATAGATGTCACTCTTAAGAGCCTCAGAGAATGCAACGAGGCAATGATAAAGCTGCTTATTGACAAGGGAGCAGATGTCAACTCCTGCAATAAAGATGGATTGACTCCATTCCTATAAGCCTAAGAGACGTGCCACGAGGTTGTGACAAAGCATCTTACATCTTATTGACAGGGGATCAATTATCGATGCCAGCAACATACATGGATCAGCACCACTTACGCGCCTCAGAGAAGGGCCTACATCTCGGGCCTGCCTAGGGATCCACACACCCCAGATGCATGTATTTATTGCTGAGTCGAATGTAAAGAGCGGAGCAACAATACTTTATTCTGAGGGACTTGTCACGAAAGATCTATTTTCAGGAAACAAGTTAGTGTATCAGAAGGCACTTACTGGGATGCTACAAGGATTAATTGGTAGTTATAGTACCTCTTTCTTGCGAACACAGCCCAGTTTACTTTTCCTAGTAGAGTATTTAAGATACAGTACAGTATAAACCTGACATTCAGAGGTTTACCTTGAAAGTTAGTTGTCAGATGAGCTACAATAAGTGCTCTCATTTCTTTATTAGGACTCCAATTTTATGCTTTAGATTTATACACTGATGAATGGAAATGCCGTCTCACTAGTTAAGCGTCATCGACAGATTTATATAATCATATATTTCATATACATCATATAAGTTACCAACGAACTGAAGGAACAAAGGGTTACCTGAGATAAACAGGAAATTATAAACAATCACTAAAAACTTTCTCGGTTTAGAATCTATTATTATGACACGGCCCAGCTTGGTGTATTAATATTGCATTGCTTGCCTCTCCCGAGCACAACCTCACGCAATTGTTCCATGGCCCACCCTTTTACCACGCCGCAGAACACAATTACTACTTGATTGCGTTGATCCAGCGCTGATACTCCGCTGCAAGAGTGGTTATCATGGTATTAATCACTATCAGATTCTCCAGAGGCTTGAAGGATATGTGCTCTAAGGCCCCTATTACCTTGGTGTCTACCAGCTTCCCTGCCAACTTCCGTTTAACGTTAATCACGGGCTGCTTGTTTTTATACCGCTTTATGAATCTATTAGTTCTACTGTTATTGCTCTTGTTATGCAGTTCACAGACAGCTTGTTATACCTCCGCTTTGCTTCGGCTGTCTGATCGTGGAAAAGTGGCAGCTTCTCCCTCCGCTGACGCTGTTACTCGGAAAACGCTCCTTCAGTCAAGGTGGCCAAAGGCGGCTTGACAATCCAAATTGGTGCGTTCCAACTTGGCTTTACGATCTTCCCACTTCCGCTTGCGTTCGTGACTGTATCCTGCCGTGCACGTACCACCTGGAGTTCATTAAGGGGCTTGGATTCTTCGGTAGAGAGTTTATACGTTCCATCCGTGTCAATCAACGTACTAAAACAAACAAATCGCACCAACAGTGTTTGAGAACCTGTTTTGCGGATGATGCCCTGGACATCGACCTCGACATCCACTTGTAATGTCAGGTGAAGGTGCGGATATCTGTCCTGTAGCATGACGTTCTGGAGAGAGCCGGTAATCTCTTCTATCCAGTGGGTTAGCAATCCTGCCGGCCGGGGAACCGAGTAATGCTCACCACTGCCGTCAAAAGCCTCGGCCACAACATATCGAAGAAGGTACAGCTTGGTAATCTGTACGACGCCTGTGATCTCTCTCTCCCTCGAAATATCTAAGATCGTACTTTTAACGCCGTCAGCTGCTTGTCTAGGGTAATCTAATATTCCGCTGTTTTCCCGGACCGCCTAGCAAATTACTTAAATCTTGTGTTTTAATTTCAGCTCCTGCTGTCCAAGGCTGTTAAGTACCTGAAGGTTATAAAGATTGTTCCGGGCAGTCTAGCACCGGACCTGTTGTAGAAATCATCTTGAAGCCCTTGAAGAGCTTGTCCAGGTGACAACCATGCGGACTAAAGACCAGAGTTGGATTAAAGATGATTTCAGGGACTTTGAAGTGGCTCCTATCCAATCTAGCTAGCAGGCTAGCTCCCATGGAGGCACAGAATCAAGGACACTTATGGAGGCTTCTTGCCAAGAAATCTCGTAGTAAACTCCGGCTTTAGGAAAATAAACAGTCGCGCACATCCTCCTCCTGGATCTCGGGTCAATGTCAGCACAATGTCTTGATAGCGAAGGTCCAGGAGCGCCTTCAGACAGCTTGCAATGATAGCTGCTAGCTGGCAGAAGAAGAGCAATAACTAAATCCGCAGCCAGCCGCAGTCGAAGAACTCGGCCAGGTCTTCGATGTACATCTTCTTCGGCCAGCGCGTGAGTTCCAGACCTTTCTAATTCTCGGGCCGCTAATTTCAGGTGGTGTTTGTACTATTAGTGCTGTGGGATCTGGATCGAGGGCCAATAGGGACAATAGGCCTGAGAAGTCAAACTGGTCCCAGCCCTTTACAAAAGACCTACCCTGGAGACAGAGAGTTAGTGAATGCTACATTTAGTGGATCCATGCTTTCCTTATTCCAGAATATCCCTATAGGTATACCTCCAGACTTAACGGGGCACAATCCATTCTTATTCTGGCTTGAGAACCGGCCGTAAGAGCCAGCTTGGTCAAGCAAATACTATGTGAAGCTAGGTATACCGCTCTACTTTCTTGTACGTTTTATAGAGAGAATCGCTTTTCAAAGCCTAACCCCCTTATTTGTATCTTTTGCGATTATTTTGATGTCTTAATATTGTTTTACAGAGAGAACAATACTGGTTGGTATCCATCACGAACAGGTTCAATGACAGACCGCTTGCGTCTAGGCATGGACGTAAGTGCAAGCTATATGTATAGCAGAATATAAACGACAACCGATTCCATGTTTACGCCAGAAAGGCACAAGATGTAACCATGTATCGGGCCAAAAGATGGTCCTACTGGCCGTAGTTGAGAAGTGTAGGCTCCCTGGCCGTATTTCTGATTCCACCCGCACACATGTCACTGCGATGAGTCCATTGTGATTCTGAAATAATATAGCAGAAATAGTAGAGTACCGACTAAGGCAGGACATATGGTAGCAAGTCTGTTTAACACCTAACTCTTAACAAATTAAAAAAATATACAGTTAGGCAGAAAACTAAGCTTAGAGTGGAGCTCTGTTGACTAATTGAAGTATAATATAACATAACCGGAAAGCGAGAGTTCCACCTCTATACTCCATATAAAACAGTCTTTTTTGTAAGGGGGCTAAATGCCTTGCTATCTAGTGACCAGATATACACAAAGAGGAATCGCTGGGAAGAAGAAAGTAAAAAGGTGAAGAGGGAAGAGCTGTGCAGATTCTCAGACTGCGAGGGGTCATGTGATCGCAATAAGCGGACCAATAATATGCGCCGATTGCTGCGAAGGCGAAGCCGAGCAATACGAGTTGCACATTCTTGTGACGGACGCTACGTGATCCCCGTTGTCCCATTTGTATATACAGATAGGGCGTCCCCCTCCCCCGGTAAAAAGTGCGTAGAAGCAAGGATCTCCCTTCCCAGCACCGCACTCTATCTCCGTGTGGCTCCATCCCCGTAGATGCCACGCCAACCGCTGAGTGGTGAGCAGGTGCGTGGATCCAGTAACAGACCGTGCGCGGGAAACACATCACCCACTGAGCCGGTGGACGAATGGAACTTGTGGGCTGGATCGGTTTTACGCAGAGGGAGCGGACGTGGACCGTCCAGTGGTCGTTCGCCCGTGAACTCGCGAGAAAACTGGCGAGGACGTATGAGCGTGCGCGCAGAGAGTCATGTTATTGCAAACGTGCAGCCGAATCAGGGGGCGTGGATGGCGGTCACGGCCCGGGGTCACATGGGGGAGGACCTGTTCTATAGAGGTCCTACGTATCTTATCTTATACAGGCGCAGCTTGCGACAGGTCCTACGGGTTCAGCCCTTGACACTATGTCTAAGTTATTAATTTATAGTATAGCACAATACATATAACAAACTACGGTTTCTCTTGGTCTGTTGTTGCTGAGATATGTGGGGTGTAAAACTGGGCATTTTACATGGGATAGGTGGAACTCTCGCTTTCTGGTTACGCTAGTTACTATAGCTGCCAACCTAGGCAAGCTCCAACCGTGATCGTTTTAGGCTCTTAGAACCTTAGTACATGAGCTTGCAGTGGGGCCTAGATCCTAATAAATCGCTTTCATTCCTGTATATATTGTAGAAGTTCCCCTCTACTGCATGCCAAAGAACAACAGTCCACAGTAAAGTCTTATGTCAACCAAGAAAAATTACCGCACCATCCCTGAATTAGTCTCTGGACACTTTTTGAGTGCAATGGTCAATTCGACACGTTGGCTCATGACAGGGATTGACTTCGCCCGCTTTTAATAGTCACCTTGGCATGCGCTACTAGTTTCCATGATGTAACGTCAGGAGAATAGTACCTATGAGTTTGTTCAGCGTCATACCCCTGCCCAAGTATATGAAAAGCAACTATATCTTCCACTATGGTGAGATGCGAGGAGATTACAAGGGTCAAATTTACAGTGGCAAGGGTTTACGGCTTGTTCTTTATACTCCAGATGAACTCACTCACAGATTCACTATACACTTTTTTGTATTTATCTTTGTGCAAGGTCTGGAGGTGTATACCTATAGGGATATTCTGGAATAAGGAAAGCATGGATCCACTAATGTAGCATTCACCGACTCTCTGTCTCCAGGGGAGGCTGTCTTAATGGCATTACAGAGCAGCTAGTACATCTCCAGTGGAGTTAACTGAATTTAGTAAAGTAAAAAAAATCCCTCATATAGAGGAGACCTTGTTTCATTTAAGATCTCTGTCGCTCCACTAAAAATTCATTACCCTAGACAAACTATTGACGTCTGTCTATACAACAGATACATATTATCACAGAAAGAAGTGAAGGTTAGTATATTTTAGTTGTACTTAAAGTATAAATAAGACGCTGATTCCTAGATCCCACATCTTAGGAAACAGCAATTCGTCATGCCTACACAAGGAATTTCTCAATTTATTTTTCGATACTGTCCCTTATTTATTATATATACTTTAATCTTTTTCAACACCTACCAGTACTATATTGCCTATGAAGACTGCAGTCTCGGCAATCGCCTTATCTTTACCAATCTTAGCTGTTGGATCGCCATCGCTTATTTCTATCAATGGGCAGCCCCTACCGGGCCGATGGCACCAAATTAATTTTACTGATGAGAATGGTATTGAGTATCCTGAGTATGCTCAGTTATTTTGATGGATGTAACCAGCAATATTACCGATGTTGATCTTGAGAAGCGCCTCCCGGCTGATGTCTGCATGTACATTACGACTGCAAGTGCCTGTCTGAATATTAGAAGCTATGCAGTCAGTTGGGTGAAGCCAATGGGACAGATAATTAAAGATCTCTCGAACAACCACTATTGTGGTGTTATTAATGGCACTTATCGAGATATTAAATATGAGTTTTATGCTTCAGGCCGCAGCTGCGATAGCCAGCTGCTTTAGCAAGCTAAGAATAAGGCCTACAGAACTTTGCTTCTGCAGTCGCTGGATATCGCACTAGAGGTATGCAATACCAACTGCATTGCTCTCCTTGAGTGTATTCTAGAGATAGCGGATAACATTAAAATAGTCTTACCTGCGCCTGCTATACCTGGATAGAAAAGTGTGTGGCTTGGTTGTTTAAGCCAATGTTGAAACTTAGCCGAATTTATATTCCCCAGTCCCATTTGCAGATCTAGCAATAGTGTCATTCTGATATGCAGCATGATTTGCAGTTGTGCGCCAATTATCTCTCGGAACTCTCTCTGGTATTCGCGCTGGCTTTGCTTGCGAATAGTTGTACTCATTTCTTGAGCTATCTGCAGGACTCCTTGTACATCTTGCTGAACTTGAGGTTGTTAACATGAGTTTTGATTAAATACACTCAACCGATACCAGATTCACTACTAACCTGATGAAAGACTATCTCTAATCCTCTTCACATCTTCGAGGGGACCAACCTGACGTAGTAGATCCATCGTATATGCAGCTGCAGCCATTGCTGCATATCCTTGCCAGTCATCATTTTTATGGGAGTCTGCATAGTCACAAATTCCGCGGATTACCAAACAAGGAAGATTATTCATTAGCCCAGCGGCTTCCATCTCAAAGCATAACACATCCTTTTCCATACTCAGTATATCGCGAACCGAAGCATCTTTCATTAACTGGTTAGCAGATGCAATAAGGCCATAGTGAATCTTGGGATTATCCTCTTCTTCGGTGCGCACGTGTCTTGAGATGAGACGGGACTCATCATTACCACAATGCTCAGCACAGCTCACTTCGCAATTGTGAGGGTGGATAATGTCGCTTCGGTAAAGCCGATCATTGACCTCGTTAGGGCGACTAAACTTTTTCCGCAGTCGTGGCTTCTTTGCAAGAGCTTGAGTTATCAGGTCATTCAGAGAGTGGCCATCGCTTTCATACCGCGCCTTAAGTTCACCAACTGCTGAGCGAAGGACAGTGGGAGGCTGGTTCAGAAACCCAGTCCACTGAAATTTTTGGCCTTGTATTGTCTTGCCAAAATCGTACTGGAAAACACCGCCTTGTCCATTTTCCGGAACGCTCACAACAATATCACCTAGGCGAATATCGTGCTCTGGGCTGTACACGCCGCCACCAGTGCCAACCATGAGGCCAATCCGAATATTGGGAAAGCTGTGCGCCATATCTTCTGCTGCTCTAGCGGAGGACGCCGTGCCGTATTCTCCGATAGGTAGAAGAACAATAACCACATTATGATCTCCAATCCGGCCCACAGTAAATGCATTTCGAGAAGTCACCTTTGGCTTTTGGTATTCTTCATCGAGGAATACTCTGGCAGCAATATACTCAGTCTCGATAGCGCAAATCCAGCCAACAGTATAGTCATATGAGTTTGACATTGGGAAGGGAGAGAGTATGAATATTGTCTAATGAGTGCACGACGTGGCTTTCCTTGCTAATACACCTTGAAGAGCAACTTCAGTACCTATGGATAACTGGAGTAAGGGAGAAACCCGGGCTTTATACGTGGCCGTTTCAGCCTCGCGACAAGCATAAGAAATGGTCTTCGTTGGCGTAGTGGCTTTGGCTGACATGGGTGCTACTTCCCTGCTAGCAAATGACTGGCTGGTTTGCTTGCTGGGAGTATCTTTTTTCTTTAGATTTTTGGAAACGAGATATAGATCTCATTAAAAGGCCCACTCAAGCTGATATACCTACGGCAGTAAAGGTGCCACACAAGCTCAAAGAGGAGCCCATTACGAAAGGCAGCCCAGATGACTTTGGACACCACCACCCATAGGATGCGGAGAGTCTACAGGGCTGAATAAATAGAAGATCAGGATAGAAGCTTTAATATTATTATCTAATTGTGGTATTCAAACATGATATAATAATATTGTGAAGGGTATATTCGGTATCTGTTAGCCATCACCATTTCTGACCACTGCTGAGGGTCTGTCCAGGCAGCAATATTTTGCTGGCCACGCTGGGCTGCCAAGAGCGCCGGTGTTTGAAGTGATAGCTTGAGCCAATCTCTGATCCTGTACAGTAAGATAGCTGGTATTAAGATCTTCAGCTGGGTGACTAGTGAGCAAGTCGTGCGGCCTGGGTGAACCGGGGTGAGCTCACTCCATCTACAGTATAACCTCAATATAGCGAAATAAATAATACCGGTAAATATTCTCGTTATATCGAGGAATTCACTATATCAATTTTATATATAAAACACCATATATTTGGCCCAAAATGCATAAAACTAAGCACTAAAACATTGCCTGATATTAGGCTGAGCTTGGGAATCAATTATTCGAGCCTATAAAAAATCTTCATGATGATTTAGCTTATGTATCAGACTTTTTGATCCAACTACCTGCTGTTCTTTATATAACCGTAGCTTTTAAAGCGCTTCGAGCGCCTCATTTAAAGAAATAAGAGGTATCTCTTCCATTTCTTTATCAGAATCCTCATTATCTTCCTCTTTGGAGTCAAATTTTGCAAGAATTTAATCATCCAGATGATCTGCAGTGTCCTGTACCTGTTCGTGCTGGATAAAGAAATGCTTTGATGTCCATAAGATTTTTAATGGCGATACTATCTTTAAGCGTGCAAAAGAGGCTTCAATATCTGTTATAATACCAGGCTCAACTTACGTAGTATAAGCAGGCATAGAATCGATGCTTTTTTAAAGCAATTTTAAATCATTTGGCTTGTAATATTATACCGCCAGGCATGAAGATCGCACCGTATTGCTTTTAAATATCCATTAAATCAAGCGGATCTCTACCTTTATTATATTCTTTGACCATATATTGAATCCAGAATTGTCTCCAATATGTCTTCCAACAGTAGATTATGCCTTGATTAGACGGTTGAAATTTGCTTGTAGAGTTTGCAGGAAGCTATATAATAAGCTTATTTTAAAGCTTAAAGCCAGAGGAATTAACTGCTTCAACGGCTGATTTATGTGCAGAGGAATTATCCATTAAAAGAGTCGTATTTCGACCAGCCATTTGCTTATCAAACCACCAGAGCCACTAGTCTAAGGGGCCTATAAAATAGTGTGCTTTATTCTTAGGCGAACTTTATTAGTAAAAGTATCAAGACCTAGAAGATTGATTGAATATTGCTCCGTATAGCTTAGTCTGCATATATAGGTCTGGGTGTTCGTAAAAATTGTCGACTAGATAGCTTTGACGTACTCTGGCCTATTCCAGTGATTTTAATAGTAAGATCCACTATAATAACTGCCAGTTTATAGAATAACGAAAGGACTAGATAGACCAGAGTATATTTAACTACATAATTCAGAAAACCGACTCCACTGAGATTGTGAGAGAAAGAGAGACGAAGTAAGTTTGAGTGGGTCATCTTAGTAATTCTATAGTCATATAGCTAAATAACTTATCTACTGATGATATTCAAACTTCTGATATTGTACACTTTCGTATATTTTCTGTTTCCACACTAATCCCGAACCAAGACCCCCCGATAGCGCATCTTCCCATTTCTCAACGTCAACATCGCATTTTCAATTCCCGTCGCCGTCAACGGAAATGTCATCACTGTCGGCAGGACTTTCTTCCTGGCTGCAAACTCCAGCAATGTACGAATACTCTCTCTCGATGCCACCAACGATCCCTGTACCCGGATACCTTTCGCCACCAGATCGATCATGGGAACCTGAGCGGGCTCCGACGCCACCGTCAATGGATAGATACTCCCGCGGGAATCCACGAGAGGAATGAGACTTCACTTATCAGCTTACCATACCGTACCATATATACCATATATGATGTACTCACGAAGGATAATCCACCCCCGCATTCCCACATAGCAGCAGATGTTTCACCGGCCGAAAATTGCTCGGAGGTTCCTGTCCCGATCGCCAGACATGATACTCCGAGGCGCCGTAATCCATCGCCTCCTGTCTCTTGCCCTCGGAGCTAGACAGCACGACTACGTTGTATCCCATTGCGGCGGCCAGTTTGATCGCGATATGGCCCAGGCCACCAATACCCATGATTCCTACCCGCTCTGTTGATCGGATGCCGTACTCCGTCAGGACGGTCCATACAGTCGCGCCGGCGCACATCAAAGGCGCAGCGTCTACGGAGCTGAGACTCTCCGGAATGGGGAAGACACATTTTACGTCCCAGATGGCGCCTTGGCTGAATGTACCGTTGTTGAAGTCGTGGACGCCGTAACGTTTGCCCTCGCGGCAGTATTGATCCCATCCTGCGTCAGCAGTCAGTGAACAGGATTTTCAGATAGTTAACACTAGGGAATAAAGAGGGAGAAACCGGTAGAACAATTGTCGCATGCGGCGCAAATCTCGTGAAAAAACCCGAATCCTACACGATCTCCCACCTTCACAGAGGTGACGCCTGGTCCAATCGCTTTAACAATTCCGATTCCCTCATGGCCCAAAACCACGTTCGACTTCAGATAGTGCTCGTCGGTGCCGCAGAGTCCCGAGTGTGTGGTTTCAATGAAGACTTGCCCGTGGCCGAGCGAGGTGACTTGGACTTTGTCAGGGAGAATTTTGCCCTCGGGAGAGCCGCGGAAGACGTCGTATGTGATGCTCATTTTTGGTCTTGTATCTGTTGAGCAATTGCTAGTATTCAGAAAATCCTGAGAAATCTCGAGAATACCTTAAGCATCGTATATGCCGTTTATGTGTTAACTACTGAATGATTAGTTATCTTATTAGTCACAGTGCCATAACTGGCCAGGCCCATCCATGGAACAATCTGGATCCACATCTTGATCCAGAAAAATCGAATGTCTCGGAGATTGCCGAATAATTCAATCCGATTCAATTCCGTTGATAATCGAGTCTTATCCGAGTGACCCTGATCGGGAGTGACTCTCATCCGACGGAGACTTTTAACGGTACTGATTATTCTACAACCCTACCGGATTATCAATATCAGATTATCCTACTAGAGCTTTAGTCCGGCGAAATCCTACTGTTACGGATCAATATAATCCAAGATATATTACACTAATCATTAATCAATAAGTCATCCCAAATTCTGCATGTTCACCAACTCAAAGTACCTCCCCCTCTGACGCAATAACTCCTCATGCGTTCCATATTCTGTGACCTCCCCCTGATCTAACACGTAGATACAATCCGCCCGCTGGATCGTGCTCAGTCGATGCGCAACCGCAATGGTCGTACGTCCTCTCGCCGCGGTGTCCAGCGCCGCCTGCACGACCTTTTCCGACTCCGAGTCTAGCGCCGACGTCGCCTCGTCCAGTAGGAGGATCTTGGGATCGCGAATGAGGGCTCTTGCGATAGCAATGCGCTGTTTCTGGCCGCCGGAGAGCATACCTCCTTTACTTCCGACAATAGTGTTAAACCCGTCACTATCTCATCAGCATTGGTACCTTCACAGGGTAGGGATTTAATACATACGGAAGCGAAACGATGAAATCATAAATATTCGCATCCTGACACGCCTTGATCAACGCAGAATCTGAAATAAATCGATTCCCCGTCCCCAGGAGTATATTCTCCTTTATTGTACCCTGAAACAGCGCTGGTTCCTGACTAACCAGCGCCAGATAACTCCGATACGCAGAGATATCCAAAGTGAGAATATTTCGTCCGTCGACAAGGATACTTCCCCGTTGAGCCTCGTAGAACCGCTCCAGCAGCGCCACGATCGTGCTCTTCCCGCTTCCGCTGGCGCCGACCAAAGCCACGTACTGACCTGGATGTACGGTGATGTTCACATTCCGCAGAACAGGCTGTTCTTCGCGCGTGGGATAGCGGAAGCTCACTTCGCGGAGTTCTACTCTTCCTTCAATGTTTTCAACTGGTAGACCTCTCTGCATCAGAGAGGATAGGGGTCGAGAGTCAAAAAGGATTTTAAATTCCGTGGCGGCGTGTTTCGCCTTCCCCATGTCCGGCGCATGTGAGAAGATCGTCCCCGCGGCTTGCGCTCCGAAGATCACTTCGCTGAAACACACGTAGAATTGGAAAAGAGTGTACTCGCCGTGGCCGACCAGCGTGCCACCGTACCAGAAACCCAATGCCATGCAGAAGAACGGCAGGGCCTGAGAGCTCGCGTAGAGGAGAGAGGATTTGATAATGGGGAGGATGTCCCTACGTAGTCTGTCCTGCAGCTGTGTCTCGTACGATTGCAGGATTTCGTCCTCCATTGTTAAAGATGCCACCGTGCGGATGGAGGAGGCTGCTTCGCAGGCGGAACTGGCGGATTTCTGATACGCTTTTTTGGCGCGTCGTTGGAGACGATCGAGCATCCAGACGCGGATGAAGCCGCAGAGAAGGAGGACGGGGACGGCGGAGATGCAGACCAGACCGAGTTTCCAGCCCATGATTACAGCAACGGTTAGTGAGGCGACTAGGTTGACGGATACAATGAGGATGGTGCCGAGTGTGACGCCGCTGATTCCGGCTAATTGTTTGGTTTCCGCAGACAGAGTCGCCGTCAAGGCTCCGGTCGAGTGGTCTTCCCTGTCGAAGAAGGAGATTTCCTGGTGCAGCATGGCGCGGAAGGCCTGGCTGCGCGCGCGATAGATCATCTTTTCCGAGCCGTAGGCAAACGACGTGCCCTGTAGGGCGTACAGGAAGAAAGTAATGATGCCGATCATGAGGAACATAAGGGACCAGAAGTTGGCGTCGTGGCGCAGTTTGGGGTATTCCATCGGGGGGAGACTCAGCGTGCTGACGGCCTTTGCGAACAGCACGGCCTGCGATGGCTGGATGCCTCCTGCTAAGATGGATACGCTCAGTCCGACGAGGAGAACCGGCCATTCCGGACGGTTGAAACTGGAGATGAATTTAAACAACGCCCAGATGGAGTAGCTGGGGGGTTTCATCCCTGTTGGCATGAACATGGATCGTCGGGATTTGAATGGTCTGGCGTCCACTGGACCTGGCCATAACTCGATGTCTGAGTCGTAGTCCTCAAAAGGATTATACTCAGAGAGTTCTTTATCCTCGTGGTCCTCCAAGAAGAAACTCTTATATGGCATTATTGGAGACGGGGTCGTGTCATGCTTCTCCTGGATTTGTTGCGCCTGCACCATGTCGAAGTAGACGCCTCCTCGCTGCATCAGCTGCGCATGACGTCCTTGTTCCACGATACTACCGTTCACCAACACCACGATGTTATGCGCCTCCTTGATAGTGGATAGCCGATGAGCAATCACGATCGTCGTCCGACCCAGCGCGGCTTTCTCCAGCGCCGCCTGCACCAGTCCTTCGGATTTAGTATCCAGCGCAGACGTCGCCTCGTCCAGGAGCAGGATCTTGGGGTCCTTGACGATTGCTCTAGCAATGGCAATGCGTTGTTTCTGCCCTCCGGACAGCGAACAGCTGCCAATATTAGTATCGTACCCGTTAGGAAGCGCCTGGATGAAGTCATGCGCGTTGGCCATTCTCGCGGCGTCGCGAATCCGATTCATGATTCTCGACTCTGATTCGTATTCGAATTTGGATCCGATCAATCCGAACCGGATGTTCTGCGCCACGCTGGTGGCGAATAGTCGTGGTTCCTGCGATACCAGGGAGATCTGTTGGCGCAACCACCGTAGGTTGAAGGTTTGGATATCGTGTCTATCAAGGAAGATGGTTCCCGCAACGGGAGTGTAGAATCGTTCGAGGAGCGCGATGATGGTGCTTTTCCCTGATCCAGAGGGTCCAACGAACGCCGTCGTCTTCCCTGCTGGTATGTCGATGCTGAGATCGTGCGCGACAACCACGTCTGGTCGAGACGGATACACATGACGAATGTGCTTCAACACGATATTCCCCTGGACATGACCAAGTCGAATTCCCCGCTCAGACGACGGATCCAACGGCGACTCTCGATCAACAACGCTGTATAATTTCGAAGCAGCCGCCACAGCGTTCGACATGGCCTGTCCATTCGGAGCGATATTGCCCAGATTATACGACCCCAGGATGATGGCCATGAGAATCGTCAGCACATCTCCAGCCTGGATATGCGTTGTAGCATCCACCAGGAACCGTGATCCCATCCAGAACCCCAATCCATAGTTAAGATACATGACACACAGCAACGCACCCACCATGACAGCAAATGCCATCTGAGCCTTCATACCGGGTCTCTCCGCGTCTCGCAGATGCGTCTCATATTTCCTCGCCAATACCTCCTGCGCATCGAACGCCACCACCGTCCGGATCGAGTCCAGGATATCCTCTGCCAGACTGGCCCCTCGTCCTTGGAACTCGAGACCCTGTTTCGTGAAGACTACCGACACCGTGGAACAGACACCCATGATGAGCAGCACGGCGACCAGCGTCGCGCTGCATATTAGCGCCAGTTTCCAGTACTTGATATAGGCAATAACGAAGGCCGTCACGAACGTCGACAGCCCCGTGAATGTCAGTCCGACCTTCTCGGAGATCCCATCCTGGATGGTATTCGTGTCCGCCGTGATCCGAGTGGTCACCTCGCCGGCGCCGAGGGTGTCGAAGAAAGCGACGTTCTGACGGAGGATGGCGCGCAGATACGCCACGCGGATGCGCTGCACGACGTGGTCGCCCGTGTAGATGAATCCCACGGTGGCCAGGGCGATGGTGAAGAATTCAGCAATGGCCAGGTAGACGAAGTACAAGGCGTATTGAGAGAGTTTGTGCTGGAAATGGTCGAAAGTGATGGTGTGAGTGGTGATGTCGCGGAATGTGGATGTGAGGTTGCCAAATAGTAACTGTCCATATTAATCCTCTCTTCTGCTATGGATAAATCGAATACGTACTGTAAATAGAGGGAGAGCTGCACCACCTACTATCGCAAAGATAGCACTCCCCGCGAGAATCGCTCGATCCGTGCGACTCGCATCGCGGTATATACCCAGGAACCCGACCTGGAGGACGGGGACATGAATCTGTCTCTCAAGAATCCGTCTCTCCTCGTCCGAGAGTGTTGTGTCCGTGGGAGTCTGACTTGTTAGATTACTCTGAATTACTATATCCGGGGTGGAGAGTACCTTGGGGAGTTCCTTCAGCTGGATATCTTTTGTGTATTCCATACTGTCGCCATACCGTCTGTTGTCACCGATGATATTACTCTACAACTACAGAATACGAGGAGAACAAGAATAGTATCACTGATCAAACAACCGAGGAATGGTCCGGAAACCAAAACTTGAAACTCTATTAGCCGCAGACCCAATAATGGAGACGGCACGAACCATGGACCAATTTCCAGTCGTCGATTCAATTAATTAAGCATGATTTGGCTGAAAATTGGGCAATCCGCTTGAGCCCTGAGTGGCTGTCCGATCCCTGTTCCATCTATTTAAAACGGAGCGTATTAAGGGGGCTGATTTAGCTGCTCCTAATAGGGATACCCTAATATTGCCTGATCTAGGGATATCCCTAACTATGTTCTCTAACTATTATGACTAAAATGTATCAGTTAACTACTAGGAACCCTCTGAAGTTTCACCGTCAGATCAGGGACCTCCCAAAACGCATAACACCGGCTCTGACGCTGCCAGTCCTTCACTCCTCCCACGTACTGCGCATCAAAGTCCAGGAAAAACCCCGCAAGCGTCATCTGCATCATCTGTTTGGCAAAGTACTTGGCAATGCAGGATCGACTGCCCACCAGGAACGGCTGGACCGCTTCTTTTCTGTCTCTACCATTGTCTTCCGTCCATCGTTCCGGGATGAATTCGTCCGGGCATTGGAAATATTCGGGATTGCGGTGGAGGGCGAATAACGAGGTGCAGATTTCCGTCTATCCATCCATTAGAGGGAAAGCAAAAAATAAAAAAAGTACATAAAAAAAAATACATACCCCCTCCGGAATATACGTCCCCTCCACATAACCACCCTGAGAAACACGTGGTCCTCCTAGTGGTACAGGCGGATACAATCGGAGAGCTTCGACGATCACAGCGTTGAGATACGGCAGCTGCTGCACGCGTTCCCCTGAGAGGTCCTCGGCACTGGTAAACTGCGACCGTAGCTCCTGTACCAGTTTCACATGTGCCTCTTCGTGTGTCAATACGAAGTAGATTGCCGCGCACAAGGCGTTCTGCGTCGTGTGGAATCCTGCCAGCATTATGGCTGAGAAATTCTCCGCGATTTCTTCTTCCGGTAAGTCGCTGTCGCCGGCGCGTTCCATCACTTCGACCATCACGTCGCGACGGCTATGGGAGGCGCGAAGTTGTCTATACTAGTTAGTCTTGTTTTTTTTTTGATTCTAGTAAGATGAGGAAGGAAGAAGGGAGAATACTCGTGAATCAACCTCATTCTCGCCTCCTCACTCCTCAATCGAATTCCCTTCCGTAGAATCCGTCTCAACAACCACTTCATCACCGTCGGCACTCCTGACCCCTGAAACTGATCTCTCACCATCGCCCAGAAGAAAATCCGCGGCAGCTGCTCCGTCCAGAAATACGGCTTCCCCCGCTGCAAACAGCCCAACGGTTTCCCCAGAAGAACCTCCGAAACGGTATCCACCGAATGGCAATACAGCAGTCGATTCAATGTCAGAGTACCTGTCTCCGTCTCTGACTGCAGCTTCTCGACAATCACGCCATGTAGTCTCAGGACGCAGTCACGCACGACGCCAGCGTGTGCGCTCATACATCCGGGACTCAGCGAGGGACCGAACAGTTTCCGGACTCGCGCGTGGTAGTGCGGATCCGTCGCTGTGAAGAGATTCCGACGCGATATGCTCCGGTAGAATCCGGTTTTCAGGAAACTGGGACCTTTGCTAGATCCGCTGCCGTAGATGTTCCGTAGCGCTTTGATCGTGTTGGTCGTTGCTTGGCCGGGGGCGAAGCGGACAGTTTTTCCTGGATATTTTGTTAGTGTGATACGTATATACATGGGTGGTGTAGATGGCTACCGTAGGATTCGTGCAGGGATTGGAACTTGTAGGCGCTTCGGCCGGTCAGGAAGGCCCATTTTGTTCCAATCTATATTCAGTTATTAGAGTGAACTGAAATAAAGTGAAGGAGGAAGTGTACACCGTAGAAGAGGAGGTCGAGGCTGGATCCAGGAACCCCCGGAATAGTAGGACTTTTGCGCTGTAGTTGGATCAGGATGATGGCCACGCAGGGGATCTATGCAGTCAGTACGATTGATCTCTATCATGACTTTGTCACATACTAAGACCACCGCCAGCAGTGGAAAATAAATCGACGGGATGTCCATCTGGATCATGGCAGGAAAGTCCTTCGGTGCCATTGCTGAACGCTGATAGATGAAAGTCTGTCAGATTGTATTTTTTATAGCCGAAGCAATTCTAAATTCTTGACGTATTAACTAGGTCTATCTCCACTAAGACGAACCTCATTAATTCGTCTAACCCCGGACTGAATGCATTGATGCCGCAATCACTCAATTTTGAGCGATCGTCGCATCCCGAAACACAGACTCACACCAAACTAGTCAGACTCACACGAAACTAGTCAGACTCAACCCCCGAAACGAGGCACGAAGCCCAATTTGGATTCAGGGGTTCGGATCTTATCTAATGATTCCATTAATAGACGTTGTATATTTATCTCCTCACTTCGTGAGTTACAGTTACAGTCAGGTAGTATGTACCAAGGACTAAGCGTTCAGCATGGCACACAAAGTCCTATTCCTGGCCAACAGCGAGCATGGCCAAACCAACATCATCCTAGCCATTACCCATGAGCTGTTACTACGAGGCGATATCGATGTACATATTGCCTCTTTTCCGGCCCTCGAACGACGCGTTGAGAAATTACTGAGGGATCAGTCCGCCGCCTACGATGAAGACTTTCGCTCGCGCATCCATTTCCATGCCGTGCGAGGCCCGTCCAACACGGACGTCTTCATCCGTACAGGCAAACGAGGGGCTTTCCATCCCCCCGGCTATCATGGCGCCGTTCGCGGCTTCCAGTCCCTCTGCGAGGATATCTGGGGCTGGACAGAAGAAGAGTATGTCGACATCTACGAGAGCTGTCGGGACATTATCCGTCAGGTCTGTCCATCCGTCATCGCGGCCGATTTCTTCTTCCTGCAGGGTCGAGACGCGGCTTATAATGCTGGATACACGGCTATTCTCATCAATACCACCTCGCTCAGTCATATCGTGTTGGGACTGCAGCCGGGGTCGGAGCCGTTGTGGAAGTATCCTTTGTATGTCCTCTCCTCTGCTTGCCTGTCCATGCTAATATACATATACTAGACCCGGAACCGGATTCCCATACCCCCTCCCCTGGCACATCATCCCTCTGAATGCCCTGGCCGGCCTCAAAACCGCCCGCATGTATCACGGCAGCGGACGTCGTCGCGAGATCCGCGACTGGCGCATCCGACACAAAATCCACGGCCGATTCCCGTTCGCGGACGCCTGGCGTCCCGAACGAATCCATCTAACTCCTGCCCTGAAGGAGCTGGACTGGCCCTTTGACGTCGTCCCGGAGAATATACTCCCCTGTGGACCGATCCTGCTACCCACCGCGTCCGTGCAGCAGCAGGATCCAGAGCTTGCATCCTGGCTGTCTCAAGCTCCCACCGTCCTGGTGAATCTCGGTACGCTGTATGCGCCGGACCCGGACGTCGCGTGGGAGCTCGCCTCGGGGATCAAGATGTTTCTGGATGGATGGAAAGGGGGGTCTATGCAGGTTCTCTGGAAATTGCCGAAACATCCGCATGACGAGGACGATGTGTATTCTCGGTCGATTGAGCCGCTGCAAAGAGAGACGGAGAGTGGTGCGGTGCGTATTGCGCCGTGGTTTGAGGTCGAGCCTATGGCGATGTTGCAGACTGGTCAGGTCGTCTGCTCTGTGCATCATGGGGGGGCGAATTCGTGGTACGAGGCGATTCAGTGAGTCACCTCATTCTTTCTAGATACTTCATGTACGGGTTCTAATACGGTATCCTAGAAATGGCGTCCCCCATGTTATTCTTCCTGCGTGGCAGGATTGTTACGAGAACGCTGCCCGCGCCGAGTGGCTCGGTATCGGCGTCTATGGAAATAAGAGCTGCGCGCCGCATATCAGCGCAAAGGAGCTCAGTCAGGCACTCGCCACCGTCATGGGTAATGCGTCATATAAGGAGAAATCCATGCAGCTTTCTAAACTCTGCCACGTCAAAGAGGGCCGGGTGGCCGCGGCAGAGAAAATCGTGGAAGTCGCTCACAATCCGGACAAAATGGCACTCGCCATGCCGGAGATCAAGATCGATGATCCCCAGTGTACACTGTACGAGGTGAAGAATCGCTCGGGAATGGTTCTTCAGACGGCGCAGCAGCTCAAGACAGAGGGGAAGGGAACTTCCAGGTGAGTTTTTAATCATACTACGGTTTAGCTCCTGTGCATACCTAGTCTAATATGAGCAGATCCGGTATTCAGGACATCACCCAAAGCATACTGATCACCACGATGTGCAATACATGGTTCTTCCTCCCCATCCTTGGCTACTCACTCCTTCTCATCCCTCGTCTCCGTCTCACCGTCCTCGTCTACATCATTTATATCAAATTTCTCGCGAAATCCCACACATTAGGGACACTGCCCCTGCGAAACAACGTTTTCCGCAAATCCTGGATCTGGAACACTTTCGTCCGCTACTTCCCTATCACGCTCTACCGCAGCGCGGCGCTCTCCCCCCGCAAGAAATACATCTTCGGATACCATCCGCACGGGATCATCTTCCGTGGCGCGATGGGCGTCCTTGTCGCCGACGGGGAGGAGAGTTTCTCTCGTCTGTTCCCGGGAATCACGAATACTCTTCTCATGAAGGATTCATCCTTTCATCAGCCCCTGCTGCGCGAGTACCTCCTCTCCATGGGTCTAGCCAGCGTATCTCGGAAATCGTGCATTCGACATCTTACAAAAGGGGGACACGATGAACAGGGCATGGGTCGTGCGATCACTATCATTGTTGGTGGGAGTCGAGAGTATAATATTGCTAGGCCGGGGACGATGGAGGTGGTGGTTCGTGTGCGGAAGGGGTTTGTGCGCGTGGCGGTTGAGACGGGCGCCGAGTTGGTTCCTGTTGTTGCGTTCGGCGAGAATGACCTGTTTGAGAGGGTGGATGTGAAGAATTCTGGCTGGTTCGTCAGGTCTGTGGCCAAGGTGTGGGAGACGGTTGTTGGGCATAAGATCGCGTTTTCAACGGGGAGATTTGGGATCTTTTCTCCTTTTCAAAAACCGGTGAATGTCGTCGTGGGGGATCCCATCCCTGTGACACAGCAGCGGTGGGAGCCGGACCCGAAGTATATCGACGAACTGCAGGAACAGTATGTCGATGCGTTGAGGAGGTTGTTTGAGGATTGGAGGGATGTGTTTGGGGTGGACAAGTCGGTGAGATTCGAGGTGGTGGAGTGATCTCTACAGTAGTATCATAATCTATATCAGAGTTATGAGAAGAATAATCAAAGATCATAATAGCTTGATAAATATAAAATGAATACCATAGTCAGTTCAAATAACTCCCCCTCGTCTCCTCATGAATCACATCGAACAGCGGTTTCGCACTGAACCACCCAGCCACCGGAGTCCTCACGGTTTTATACGTAAACGCAGCATCTGCATCGTCAATCTTCACACTTGTTCCCCCCCGTCCTGCCGCCGCCGCATCGGCCAGCAACTGCGCATGGCAGCATTTCTCCAGACTCACGAACCAAAACACAGTTTCCTCGACGGTGCGACCCACCGTCAACAGACCATGATTCTGAAGCAAAGCCGCCTTCTTAGCACCCAACGTCGCGGCGATATTCTTCCCTTCTTCCTCGGCGAGGACGACACCGTTGAATTGTTTGTACAGGATGTGGTCCTGCCTAAGTCAGATACAATACATACATACTGGGTGGATGGTGGCATACATCGTAGAAAGCACAAGCATCCTGAGTGATGATATCCAACGGCCGACCGAGCGAGCAAAACGCCCGTCCATATAGACTATGACTGTGCGCCGCACATATCACGTCCGGTCGGGCCTCGTGGATCGCAGAATGGATCATGAACGCAGCGGCATTGAGCATCCGAACTGGGCCCCCGTCAATCACTTCCCCAGCGTGATTCACCTGGATCAGATCCGAGGCTTTGATCTGTGAAAATGCAACCCCGAATGGGTTCACCCAGAAGGTTTTGGGGTCTACTGGGTCGCGCAGCGTGATGTGTCCGGCTACTCCTGTACATCACATCAGTATGAGAATATATTGTATCAAAGTATTGTGATGTTAATGGATACCCTCGTCGTAGCCGTTCTTTCCAAAGATGCGAAACGCAGCAGCTAGTCGTCCCTTGAGGTATTCACGCTCTTTCAACTTATCCTCGAACACCGGGGGTCGGGGAGTTCCCATCTTCACTTTGGCTCTCTGCGAGGCTTCTTCCTGAGTGGACTGTCGGGCTGGGAAGGGCATTGATGCTGAGATGGTTTCTGTTGTTTGCGCCATTGTCATTGTTCTGTACTGTTTCTGGTGTTCCGATAGTGGATACAGAAGAAAAGGATATGTATAATACGCTCGGGCGGGGTGAAACTTTCTATTACCGACAATCATGGAACACCGAGGCTCAAATAGCCTGCGCCCTGTCTGACAATCTGACTCACATAATAAAACATAGCCCAAATTAGTTTACTATGTCATCGACCCCCTAATCCTCGGAATTCCCTCCTTTGATAAATCCCCCACCCAATTATCCTTCCGATGATACCAGATCTCCGCCTTGACTTCCCCGCACTGGTCGCGCGACTCATCGTCCAACGTCCCCGACTTCACCACAATGAACCGTCCTTCTGCGTCACGCGGCTCAGACGTCAATGGTGATCCGCAGTCACCGCAGAACTGTCGACGGACGAGTCCATTCTTCTCGGTCGGACTCATATACAGCTTCGGGCTGCCTGTCAGCCAGTGCAGATCGGCTAGCGGGACGACGATGTTGGATGAGAAGCCTGAGCCGGTGTATCGTTTGCAGCTTTTGCAGTGACATATCACTACCTGCGGTTGTTCCGCGTGTTAATTACTTGGAATTGTTTGGGGCTAGCTTAGAGTACGCACCTGGGGTGTGGGCTGGTCCGCGGGGAGATCAATCCGGTAGGTGATGTTCTTGCATAGGCAAGCCCCGGTTAAGGTTCTGGTCATGGTGTTTTCTCAATTCTTCCGTCACTTGAATATCTTATGTCGGCTGGTCAAATGAGACGTAGATAAGAGGACGAGGGGGCACAGCGTCGATTAAATACTTCGTGTTGTCACGTGATATAAATGCCAGCGAAGGTCCCGGATCAGTGACGTTGGTTTCTCTACGATTCAATGGCCCAGAAAATGTCCTATGAGACTGAGAGTGACATGAATTAAAGCTTATCTTACCCTATGTCTGTCCACACTCAACCTGCCGTCCAACAGTGGACATCTCCCAGCCAATCTATAAATGGATATCATGCCATGACTTAGTGTAGGTTCCTCGTATTTATAATCCAGAGTAGAATTGCGCAGTCCCACAACGGTGAGAATATGGCATAGCCGCTCATAATTATAGCAAATGGGTATGTCTTATCTGCAAATCATCCGCGCTATCTAAGCTAAATAAAGAATCAAGCTTGCCATGCATCAGAGAGACAAGCTAGGATGTAATTATTCAGATCCCTCATAGTGGAAACTGTCGGACCTGCATGACCCCATTCATCGTATTCCATAATCGATTGTCCTCCCCTCTCTGGGTTCCTGAGTCGCCGAGGAAGGGCGTCCAATCACCACGGCAGAGGGTATCCGATGCCGGTGTTTCACCGGTCTGGAAGTACTGGCGAATTATGTTGTTGACACATCCAGAAGGGGCGGATAAGGTGGAATGCTATCTGGATTAGTATCCAAGCATTAAAAGGTTATTATATGGACTCACTCCCTCTGAATCCTGTCGTAGTAGCGCTGAGCCCGGGAATTTTTTCTGCATATTTTCCGCACTACTGGAGTAAGCAACAACCATATCTGCTGGGCGGGACTATACCTTCGCAGTGGGGTCACGGGGTCAAGCATATTGTTCACGAAAAGAAGTGGATAAGAGGTGTTCGCTCCATAGGACACTAAACTCCATGTTACCAAGTGCATGCGTTACAAAATAAATGGAACACATACCTGGCACCTGCCATTTGGCCTTCACATTCCATCCCACACAGCCCAGTCGAACCTGTGCCCAGTAGTCACCTAGCATGTAACTGTCCTCTCGAAGAGTCCGCCAGATATCCTGAAATCTTTCTTCGTCTATATCTTGGAGATACTCTGCATCTGTACAGAGAATGGCCATGCTTGCATATACCTCGTTCGCGCCCGGCATCTGACAGGATGGGGACCATGGTCCATCTTGAACACATTGGGATGATGGGCAAGATGGTAAATGGAGTCTTTGTTTGAAATCCGCCATAGAAGATCCATTCCCTTCCAACAATTCTTTCGTGTATTGCGCCAAAAGGGGAAATCCAACCAGTGGTAGATACATTGCAATCCGAAGAATCAATCGGAGATCTGTCCAAGTAATCACTTCAGGGCCCCGTGTCTCCGACGCTGGAACGGACAAAGAGGCGTTGTAAAGTGCACTCTCCAAACTGAGATACGCGGATTTAATATCTGCCACCCCACCTACGCCATATAAAGGACACTTTCCAGCCTCAGCACTAATGCAGTGGGAAAGAAATCGATCAAATATTTTGTCTGCATCAATGACCGGGTTCTGGCCCTTATCCATATAATACTTGTCCATATCAACCACGCCGTCAAGCACAGCTCGTGCGACTCGGTCGGGATACATTGTCGCAAATGTCGATCCCAAGATCGTACCGTAGGAACGACCCCAGTAAAGGAGCTTTTCCTGATCCCGTTTCCATTTCGTCCGCACTCGAATCGATTGTTCGGGGTCGTAACCACGTGCGCGGTCGTATCGACGCTGTTCGGCTTGACCCTGCCTCTCACGCCACTCGGCATGCCGCTCGACAATTTCAAGCATATCACTAGCAACTGGTGGCGTATTTAGATTCTCTCCCAAGGCCTCCTGTCCTTCTTCAGGAGCTGTAGACAGCCTAGACGAACATCCCTTGTTCAGTGCTTTGGTGCGCTGCCAGTTTCTCATTAACGAATCCCTGGAGCTGCTAAGCATGCCATCCGCCTCAGCTTGTAGCTCCCATTTTTGCTGTGAAAATATGTCTGGGAAGCAGCTTAGGCCTGGGGTAGTATTATTCACCCCGCGAGGATCAAATCCGATGATGTCGAAATATAGACCAGGGGTCTCTTGCGCCACAAGCTCCGCCACTGGATCATCCGCCGCATCAACAACGGTTTGAAGAGTCTCACCAGTGTGAAGGGCCTGTGCGACTCCGGAGCCACCAGGGCCTCCTATTGTTCATGGGAATTAGACACTAACCGGGAAGCCTAGTTCAAGCCAAGTACCAGGATTAATTAGGATTGCACCTCCATATCGAGGGTCCGTCACCGGGACCTTGGCCGGTAGACGGGCAATAGCAATGGCAACGCGACGACCTTCTCCGTCGGGCCGGTTGTAGTCCATCGGGACTTCAAGACGAGCGCATTGAAAACCATCGAAGCAGGCATGATAGTGCAGTGATGGAGAAGGAGTAATCTATCGTCAAATGAATTGTTGACACCGGGACCGAGGATTGGGTCGTACGTACCTGGCTCCAGCTGAACTGTTCATCAACAAGGTCGCTGGCTGTTCGATAATCATGGATACGAAACGGAAGCATCCACTGTAGTATTAAAGCTAGCGCAGTTAGCGCCATCCTAACAAAACGAACCGCTTGGCTTGCTGGCGGTCGGAAAACGTTTCTAGTTTGGAGGTTTCTATATGTCACATCTAATGTCGTAGTCACGGACAGTCAGATGTGGAAACTCGGCCATGGCATGTCAAGAACAATGGGCCGCGGGGAAATATTAAATTCGAGGGGCCGGTGAGAACTAAGCTCCTTGACTTTTTGGAACACGAGAAGGAGCCATGTACTATCCAACATATCAATTCCTATTCACGAATCGAAGGAGAGGAATTTCGAATGAGCATAGCCTGGAGGGCAAATCGGGGTTGAAAATCGAGCAGGGATGAAGCGCGCGAATGCCGTGTGCTGGGATCGGTGACTCGGCTGCGACTGATCAGCATGGGGGAGAAGCTTGATTGGCCTCACCTGCATAGCTCGGGTACCCATCTGCCATGATAATGAACCTATACTATCAACCCTTCCAATCCCTCGCACTAGTCGACGCCACTTGCCAGCATGGAATGTTGAGTAGCGTGATGATGACACCGTGTTGACTCGTAAAAATAGAGTTTACAATGAAAATATACAACCAAGAAACGGAACAGAGAACAAAGAAAATTATGAACATGGTGGTCTAAATAGAATCATCATTCTGGCTCTTATACTTCGTTGCCAAGAAGCTGGACTCTCTCTGGAATTGCTGCTTCTGCCTTTGCGGTGCGACAACTAGGGCCGAATAGGTGGACACATTTTTGACTCTTGACAGATTTCCGCGAAAACGGATTCCTAAAGTTTTATTAACCGCTGCGCATCATTCAGGCATCTTGGTAGATCTACCTCCGGCATGCCCAAATAACTTGCAAAGTCACGGACAAACCGTTTCTTTCGCTGCTGAGCATTGGGATACATTGAATCGGTAACATCGAGACTAAATTTTACGGCAGGAACCCGCCGATGCAAAAAATACTGACGGTCCTGCCATGATCCGCATCCGATGGTCAACCACTGCCCTAAGAAATCGCCTGACCAATGACGCTGCGCTTCAAATACTTTTCGATCATCCTCGCTGAACCAACAACATGCGCTGCAAAATGATCCGTCAATTTCAGTAAGAATCGGTTAATATCTTTGCGAGAACCATCACCACTGTATCGCGCGGTGACAAGAAGACAAGCGTCTGGGGTAAAGCGAGCATCATCAATATTGAATTTAATTTCATCCATATCATCACATTGAGTGAACGACTATGATATTTTAATAGCGCAGGAATTCCCCGAGAGCGTTAAGGTTCTCGTCTGCCATCGGCTTCAAGGAAACTGCGGTCGCATCCAGCCTTGTTGGGTCTCCACCAACAAACGTTTCTCCCGTGCAAGTACATTTTGTAGTTGCAAAACAGCCCGTTGTTTTCACGCCAGCGACAGTTCATCCCGCAATCGCCGAAGTTCGGTATCAAGCTTGCCAGTGTTTAGCTGGGCTGTGGGAGTGCAATATTTGAGGCATGGGGCATGTGTCGGTGCCAGGATTGAGAATTGATCTATTCCCTTGCTTCGATGCCGTGACACGTCCCCGCGTCAGTCACGTGCCCAGTTCTTTGATCCGGATTAGGAAACGTATTGGCGGTTAGTCATCGGGCGTCATCTGATCACTTCTTGATCTCTCAGTCTCTGCTGCCCCAAGTACGCGGTGCTTAGTGGTACATGGCATTCAAATTGTCATAATGGAGGACCAAGTCCAAGGGATGTGGATTTCGTGTCTCAAAGATACCCTCTGTGAATATGAGAGTTCGTGTTGGTTGGGATCACTCTGTGGACAGAAGGTTGATGTAACCATAAAAGACTCCATCCATTGCGCTGACTTGGGAAAAAAAAAATTGCATCATTTTGTCACCACACAATCCCTTCCGACCTTCCTATTTACCTCATCCCACTGACTTTGCCGACATCTAGTGGTGACATTATTGTCGATCTCTGGCTGATCGGCGACATTAGTGGGCGAATATTATCGCTATCGGAGCTTGGCCAGAGAAAAATCCGCTCCAGTGATTGGCAGCCCCTCACTGCTGCGTTAGGGGGTAATCAGTACTCCGGCGGAAGTCTCCTCGTCACGTCGATCGCACCAAGTGACCAGCAATCCCTGCTTCGACTCTTCATTCATCATCCCAACGTGCCCACTTGCCATATGACCGTTAGGAGAATCATTGTCGGTTGATAAACCTCGAGCTGGGCGCACTGACCTCCATGGAACGGGGTTGGGCTGGTCTATATCGCCTTCACTAAGAGGTCAATACGAGGTACGTTCTTCATCCTTATTTCATCTGACTTGTCTGCCACCGAGCCATTTGTGGCATCTCTCGAATGTGTCTTAACAGAGGATGTTCAGTCGGTCAGGGGTCACCGTTACCGACTACGCCAGCATGATGGATGTATGGAAGAGCTGCTTTAGTCCCTCGGAGAAAGACGAAAGTATCTCTAGCCCTCAGCCCTCGTCGGTTTGTGATGAGAAGTATGCAGACTATGAGATCAACGTCCAAGAATCTGAACCAGCAGTGCCAGCCACGGGAGCTGCCAAAATTGAAGCTGTTGAGGCAGTGGGGGGCCGTAAAGGACGATACTTATTATACGCGGGGTATGTAAAGTCCGACGTCAGAACCCGTCATACTAATCGTCCCTTTCGCATAGATTGGCCATGATCATGACTATCTAGTAAGTTCTCATAGTTGCCACTGCTCGAGGCTACTTCTGATGATGCCAGTGAACTGGATACTTCTACTGTGGGCACGTATCGAAACTTTGCGACATCGGACTTTGACCAACTGTCTATGCTGGCTACGCTGAATACTGCGGCCAGCATCATTTCCGCTGTCTGCAAACCTCCCATTGCGAAGCTATCTGATGTACTCGGACGGGCAGAGGCGTACATTCTTACGCTGGCTTGCTATATCGTCTCCTACACCCTCTGTGCGTCGTCCAAAAATTTCGATACCTATGCCGGGGGCTATGTATTGTACTCCGTAGGTCAGGCAGGGACAGCCATTCTCAACGCTACCGTAATATCTGATATCTCGTCCATGCGGTGGAGAGGTTTCGTCTACAACATCCTCTATGTTCCTTTTCTAATCACACCCTGGGTATCAGCGTTCATTGTCGACAGTGTTGTCAGTGGGATTGGGTGGCGCTGGGGTATTGGCATGTTCGCTATCCTCATGCCATTTTGCGCCAGTTTCATTATTATCACCCTGCTAGTCTTCCAGCAACGAGCGAAATGCTCCGGACTCATCCTAACCGAGAGGCTGAACGTCTACGACTTTTGTTCCCGAATCGACCTTGGTGGCATCATCCTTCTTAGTGGTGGATTTACCCTGGTGCTGATCCCAATCACTCTGGCCGCCACCACAACCAGCCGCTGGCAGACCCCATGGGTGGATGTCCTCATCGCGCTGGGCGCCGTTGTTCTCGTATGCCTTTACCCGTATGAAAAGTACATTGCGCGGCACCCGGTAGTTCCCGTGCGCTATTTTCGCACCCTTTCGGTGGTCGTCTCGGTGGCTCTCGCTTGCATCGACAATATCGGTTTTGGCAGCACCCACACTTACCTGTATGTTTGGTCGATGGTTTCGCACAACTTTTCCCCTCGCGATGCCCAGTTCCTGAACTACACCAACTCGGTCATGCAGGCATTGGTTGGCATGGGCACCGGACTGTTGATGTATCGCATACGATCGTACAAGTGGATAGGAGTGATAGGTGCGGTGATCCGAATGGTTGGGTATGGGGCGATGGTCCGCCTGCGCACCAACGAGAGCTCTGTCGCGGAACTGTTTGTCGTTCAGGTCGTTCAAGGAGTGGGTAGTGGCATCATTGAGACTATTGTCGTCGTTGCAGCGCAAATCTCTGTGTCCCATGCGGAGCTGGCACAAGTCACCTCGCTGACTATGCTGGGGTCATTCCTAGGAAATGGCATTGGCTCGGCCATCGCGGGCGCCATTTATACGGGGAAACTGCGCCATCAATTGCGATTGCATTTGGGTCCTGGTGTGAGCATTGGCAATGTAGATGCCTTGTATAACTCCATTACTGGTACATTGCCGGTCTGGGGGTCGAGTGAGCGTAATGCTGTTAACCAAGCTGTGAGTTATCCTCCCTCTCTTTTCTATTTCCAAGATTTTTCGCTAACATGGATGCAGTATTCTGATGTGATGGGGTAGGTCTAGCGCACTCCCGGATTGATTCTCGCTAATGACTGAGTAGGTACATCACCATTGCAGCTCTGGCGTTTTCCGCCCCAGTGGTGGTTTTGGCTGTTATTCTACCCAACAAGAAGCTCGGGTACGTACATCCTAACCCATGTCTTAGCTTCAAACCAGGTTTCTAACGCAATGGGCCATTTCTTAGGGACGGTCATAATCTTGTGCAAGACAAGCAGCCCCCAAGGTCCTCCCAGGCAGAACTCGTCGACAAGGACCTTCGAGACTAGACTGAGGTATTCGCAATGATGCAGCGGCGATGATATTGACACGGATTAATTAACGTATTAATTATATACAATGATAGCCATGATGCAGATTAGTTTATACCCCGAAAGCATAAACCCACAATACAAGAATTATTTACACAGTTTTATTTCCCAGGGGATCCCAAGACACAGAAGAAGTGACGGTCCGGCATTCCATCCAGAGCATTCTTGACCAGGTTCCAGACATTCAAATCGTATGCCTCACCAATATGCCCCACGGGATCCAACTTACAGAAATCCTGAACCCAAACATTATGGACGCCATCCTCATGCACAAACGACGTCGACGTCGGCGTAACCATCTCATCCCACTTCGACGCAATAACAGTCAACGAGTTCCCCGGCTGCACGATCGGCTCGCCATCATTCAAACGATCCACCGCAGGGCCGTTGGGGCCCAGCTCATCGCACGCCGCGCAGCCCACGGCCCTCAATGCCTCCCCGACAGCCTCCCGCGACACATTCCCAAAGGCATACGCCAGGTTATAGATGCCTCCGAAATTGGTCCCGTGGGTCGGCGGCGCAATCGCCACTAGTTTGTCCAGTAATCCCGACACCCCGGCTTCGAACTTAGGGACGTACAGGGTCTGAAACGCCCCCTCCGAGTGTCCGACCAGGTCGACCTTGTCGGATTCCGTCTTCTCTGCTACTTCCCGGATGTAGGCTGCGATCTGTTTGGCCGAATCGGCGATCGGTTTCAATCCGCCCAGGAGCGGGAAGCCCTCATATTCACCGTAGGTTTGGGCATAGGTGCAGTACCCCTTGGATTGCAGCCAGTACTGTAGGAAATTCAAGTCTTCGTAGAAGGTAGCGCCCAGACCGTGGAGGAAAATGACCGGATTGGGATGCTCCTTGCTGCGGCAGAAGAAGTCATTGATCCCAAAGGCTGAGACGTAGGACGCCAGCGCGGAAACCAGCAAGAGAGGGCGGAAATGCATGGCGGTGGAGAGAAGAAAGTGGTTCAACAAACAGAGAAGCGACTGTCCGACTGCAAACAGAATAAAGAGGAAAACCTGACAAGGGGAGGAAATAGCTACATTTATGGCGCACATGCAGCCAGGGTGGCTGGCTATGGAGTGCGGAGTACAGGGAGTAGAGTTCAGCTTGGAAATGACACCAACATGGATGATGGAGGTCTGAGAGCTCTCGACCTGTAGTTAATCATCTTTTTACCGCTGATCGTTCAGGTACGGTCTTGGCTGGTTGGATTATTGGCTGCTGCAGTGGAGCTGAGAGAGAACTGTCTCCATTTATTGTTTCTTTCAGGCTAGATCGTGAGCTGGAAATGGCCCCGCTCTAACAGGAAATGTGGGCTCTATGGCTGTCAGGAATTGTCAATGCCACTGTACCATGTACTAAGTGGGTTTCCCATTTTTGGTCCTGATTTCACTTGGTGTATCGTCCTGTAGACTATAAATATGAGCGTATATAATATCTGTCAATCTGAAGTGTTAGACTTCCATGTCAAAGGCTTTCATCATCCGCTTATATATATTCTATAACTGTTCTATTGGAGGAAGCAGTTCGGTGTGCGTTTTAGGCAGCCAGAAGGTGGTATTGTAGAGCCGAGTTTTGATAACAAGGGCCATATCAAGCATTGTGCGATGGTTATCTTAGAAGATAGTTGGGGAACGAAGGCAAGGGTTGCATTGGATTCCTAAGATTTATTCTGACGTATATAAGTGAAAGATGGGGTCTACGCAGTGAATTTCTCTCATTCTAAAAACCCTAGTAGACCGTGTTGACGTACCCCTAAGTCTAGGCAACTTGGCCAAAAGGCTATGCTTACCTTGAACAGATCTTTCTTAGAATTATATATCTCAACAATCCATATCCCTAATGCCAGACCTGAATATATATAACTTCTATTCCAGACAATGGGAATTGTTCAACCAGACACACGCTTCAGACGGTCCTGAAACAGGTCCCCGGGGAGAATCTGGCAGCCTCGCTGTCAAGACTTCAAGCATCCGCAGTCTCAATGAGATATGTTCTGCCAAAAGTCAGCATTTCCAAAACATATCCACATAGTAGCTGAATACCAACGAACCAAATTGAGTTGTTCTCTTACCATCCAGAGTCACCGCCTTCTAGTTATCAGGCCACATATTGTCCCTTTACGTCTCCAAATGGCACCATCGGTTCAATCGTAAAGCACAGGCCTTCCTTTGCAGCGCAGACGGCTTTGTTGCCTGTATAATGCGGAACGTTGGGCAAGCAGTGGAACGCGGTGTTTATGCCATGGTCACAAGACGACCGGATCACAATGCAGTTTTACGACGCTGCATGCGTGTCTATGGCATCTACGTAGGCCCTGAAAAGAGCTCCCGATTTCACCAGTTCGATGGAGCTGTCGAGACATTCCCGTGTGGAGTCAACTGCTCGCACTGAATCCGCATCGGCCTTGGCCTTCTTGCCAATGTTCACGTTACCGTGATAGCCACCATGGTATAGTGTGACGTCTATATTGAGAATGTCACCCCATTGGAGGACAACCCTTTGATCCGATATATCATGACAGATACCTTCATCCAGTACGGTGCACACGAATTTCGGGAAGTGGTTATAATTCAACGGCGAGGGATAGGACTGCTCGCTGTCAGCAATACATACGAAAACCCAGGATAAATAACAATACATCATGCTTCAGACAAGCCTTGCGAACCCCTTCGTCGATAAAATCCGTGATAACGCCCGGTCTCGCCGCTGCCGCTGCAATATCCAGAACCTTTGGAAAGTATAATGAGGCGCGCCGCTACATCTTGCTCCTATGCTAGCAGAGGAGCTTCTGGCCAGTGAGTCCACTCTGTCCGAGATGATTTAACCCAGTTCAAATCAACTTGCGGAAAAAAGTCTCTTGCTCGTATCTATACGACATTACCGCAGATCGTGATAAACCAGGACGCAGCTATCTCATTCAACTGAGTATTCTTCGGCCTCCCAGACATGGAAGAGACATTTAATTCCGAGTCCGATAAGCATGAAGCGCAGTTGCTCCATTTCACAGACACGGGAGTCGAGAGACTTAATGTATATCGGGTCTTGATTGTCATTATTCCCATGGTGCTTGAAGTCTCGCATCACAAAACCGGTACCCAGATCGGCTGCTTGGCAGAGGTGGTAGTCGAAGATGCCGCGTGGGTAAATGATAATAAGCAGGAGTAATGAAATGATTGTCGTATTTCAGTTTTCATGTTGACTTTCTCTCGTGATTATTTGTTCACTCTCTCCCTCTCCTTTTTATTTCTTTATTTTGCTATTTTCCTATTTGTTTACAGTTTTCCTGCCTATAGTGAGCTTACAGGGACAATTTAATCCATGAGATAGATATCAAGGTTCGGGCCAGTCCCTAACTGCGGCTGCAGAGCTGGATATAAGCCAGTGCATCTGCCCATCCAATACGTACCACCAGTCAAACCGTTAATGCTCGTCCATAGCTGCTTTCCTATCCAAGGAGCCATTTGTATCATAGCCTAGCCATACTATACCCAGGGAACTCCATTTTTAGTTCAGGGCCATGTGTGGACGTCGTATGATAACTTCGACCATTTTCATTAACCCTGCAGGCACACGGTAAAATCAGGATAAGCTATTGAAATTAAGGGTTGAGATACCGTACATGTAGCATAGCAGTGACGTTTCTCATTCATGAAGGTGCTGATATGTCTCCAGATTAATTAAGCATCACTTGTGTCTGCAGTTAAGCCGCTGGCATAAATCGTTTCCTCATTCACTTGTGGCGTTCGTCCTGCGATTACCAATTATATTTCTCCCGATGTCAAAAATTTCTTTCAAATATAAATAGCCGAAACAACTGTTCCCAGGACTTAACCCGTTTTCGGTGGCGAACTGGCACGAGGAGAAAACTCAGGCATGGCACTACCCCAGAGTCCAAGCGCATGGCGCTTCTCCACCAGCTTCAACACCTCGTAAATAAACGTCCGCTCTGGCCCGCCATCGGGGAAAACCTCCCACGCAACTCGCACGGGAAACGCAAGCCGGTTAATCATGTTCCCCGGCGCAGTCAGGATATACCATTCTAGACTACGGCAGATGCCACATCCCAGCTCGTATTGCTCCGCTGGGCTCACATGATCCGGTCGAGTGTCAATGGAGGACAAGACAAGCCGTGAGGAATAGTAAAGGCACATCGTTTGGGCCAAGCGCAGGTTAGGATACACAAACCTTGGGGGGATTATAGTAGCACCGGTTTGCAGATCCCGACATCGGAAAATTGGGAATTGGTCACTCGGCTCAGCGTCAACTTCTCTCTGGGGTCCATCTTCATAATTATCGACCCATGCTTCTTTCCACTGTAGGAACCGGTGAGTCAAATCCGCAATGCAGTTCCAAAGCGTGGTCTGCTTGACCGCGGTTTCGTGGGCACTCATCAAAATTTTCGACTCTAACGCGGACTGGAGAGAGTCATGCTGTGATAGCACGGCCGGTATGTCAACCGCTAAATCCAGCAGATGATGGAGAATGTCTTTCTTGGTCGTATTAGCCGACCACGGTATTGTTTTCCATTCATCCTGAGCGAGAAAGGATGGAGTGCGGTTGACAATGGCAGCGCCAACCTAGGAGTCATTAGACACATTAGACATAGACACCAAGACAAGGGCAATGAGCAGGCACACCCAATATGGCCGCAGTTCAGCGAATAGCAGATGCTCTACTCCATATATGTGATTCTCGGCACCCCGATGTTCGATCAATCTCAGAGCGCCTTGAATGTGGGCCGACAGTGATCCTTGGGTTGTACGTTCGACACTCTATATACGATCAGAAGGCTAAGACCGATATAACGAAGGCAAACATACCTCAAAAGCCATTAGAAGAATGACTGTCACGAGTGTCGACTCAGCCTTGCTGCGCTCTGGATCCTGCAATGCCTCCTGAAGGCTTCGCAGGACGCGAGGATAGGTACAGAGGCCTGAAGCTTCAAGGCCTTTATCTTGGATAGATCGACCGAAGAATGCCACAGATACTGTTTCAAACGCATCCGTAAGAATAGGTGAAAACATACGGATTTCGGCGGCTCGTCGTAATGCCCCTGCCTGACCAGATTTCACATCAACCTCCGGGCTGAAGGCGTCTACGAAACGTTCGATAAAGATATCGAGCATCGGCCTAGTCGAGGTCAGGCATAGAATAGAGCTACCAGATGATGACTCGTCCGAAGAAACGGATGGACTCCGGTTGAAATCAAACTGATCAGAGCAAACATATGCACATCCATTGTCCTGCACCAGTTCATCAACGTAATTCTCGCATGAAGAGCGCGGAGCGAGGGCCCGATCATGTACTGCACAGGTCAGCCGGTTTTAGACACCCCGAGTGTACTCCACCGTCGCAAAATTCCGACATACCATCTACCCCTTCCCATGAACTACCGGAGACAGCAATTACCTCGCCTTTGGAGGTCCGAATATCCGAGACGATACGATCGACAACATCCAGCGGGGCGGAGCGGATTGATTCGAACAACTTCTTGAGTTCCACAAAACGCCGTTGAGTTCGGTTCCGGTGTTCTATGACACATAATGCCAAGTCAGTCTTTGCTTGACAGTTTAGACCATGAGAAAACACCCACCACGATTGTTTAGTCGAACTGTTAACTCACGGATCTCCGTCCGCAAATAGTCTATTTCCTCTGCCTGGCTGATAGGCCGAGGATCCTCATCAGACGTAGGCTCGTAGACACATTTGGAAGGGTACCCATGAGCGCAGCATGCATGACAGGGTTTGATACGATCACACTGCCGTCAATGGTTAATAGAAGCTTTTCCGTTAGTCTCCTGCAGATAAACCAATGGGGTTCTTTTTTTGTGGTTGTTGTTTTTGTTTATAGCCAAATATCCAATTTATTAAACCTTCTAGATTAAGTACTTCCATGTGCGACAAAATGCAACGAATGTTACAAAACAAGGAGGCCAAAATTAAGGAAGAAAGGCATAGTGATGGTGACCTCGGCAAGCTAAGTAAACAACAGCGGATCGGAACGTACCCTGACCTTGCGGGCCCGACAGACCTTGCATGACCGTGTTTGACGAGCGGTTCGATCGGAACCGACCACTGTCTCCTTCTCCCCAGATTCCTCGGGGAGCAGACCTCGCGAATCGAAATGAACCATGGGCAGAAAAGCGAGGATGTAAGAGGGTCCGATGCGAGGAATGAAGGATGGATTGGGAGGATGGCTGAGTGTGGATGGACCAACGGTACAGCTGGAAAGGAACAAGCGAGATCAGAACGAGCATGTCCGAGATCTCCCTTTCGCTTACAACAGCTAGGGGCCATCGAGGGCCAATGACAAGACGGCGCGAGTGGGTTCTGGGGGTCAAACCAAACCTTCAGTCAGACAACATGAGACAGGTAATGCCACATACCTAGCTAGGTTAATATATATTAAACTAGCAAACGTCTTCTTTCGGTACTGCTGTCGCGAGGACCGAAGATTATATATGACTCGTTTAAATCATTCGGAGGGCACTGAGCGAGAAATGTCAGTACATACATACTACGTGCTCTGTACGATATTGTTCCGCAGTATCACGAGGACAACAGTGCCGATAATAGTGCACTAACAATTTGGGGTTAGCGGTATTTGAGACCGTCAACGTTTCGGAAGAACAGTGACTCCATTCTCTCATAACATAACACCTGAGGTATCCAGCTATCATCAAACGCCCTCTCGTGAGTATAATAATTATAGGAAGCTTGGCTTTGAATCTACATGTCTTCTGTTACATGCACTGCGCACAAAAACAATGGATTAGGCGCTGCTGTTATGGTTTTCGAAGGATATGCGAATACACCTGGCAACACAATTAATATGTACACACTATCCCGTGGCACGTGTATGGGGTAGCATCCTAGACGGCGTCGTTGTTTGGGGGTAAGTTGTTTTCCCTGATACCTGTGGATAAGATCGGAGTGAATAGGTGACTAATCGATTTATATAGAATCACTATGCTAGGGTTTTATTTACTAAGATTATTACACCACTATCGTTAAGCCAGAATTCAGGCTGTAGGCTCTCCAGTGTACTTTTCATACCCTGATATCGATGGTCCTGATACCGATAAGCTGTTGAAGGAGCCAACTTGTTGTTACCCTAAACAGAACAAACTTTCTATGACGTATAGTACGGGCTAGGATGGTTGGTCCAATAGACCAGTTCCGACTAGATTTCCCCTCTAGATGAAGCATAAGATTCTGCCCAGGCATCAGTAGTAAAGGTGATCTTAACAAGTATATATTAGGAGCCGTTCGGTGTCTGGGGTGGCCTAATATTTGATTTCTCCATACAAGTATAATTTATATACCCATAGAGTTTATAGATAAAATTATAAGATACGTAACTTCCATTAATAGTCGACGGCTTTCCTTAGAATTCTTGTCCATACCATGATACTACCCCATCGAGGAACACCTCTGTCAAGAAAACCTCCCTTCGTATCTAGGCCAAGAGACACCAGTATTTAAGCTGCAGCCCCTAAGCGGTCTTAATGCGCCTCGCCCACTCTTGACTGACAGAGTATAGTCTAACATCCGTGGGCAGATGTCTTTTTAGTTTGTGTGATGATAATATCGGGACTATGTACCGAGAGGACAGATCGAGGAGGAATACGATTCTGCTAAGCATCGACTATGGACGATAATCTCCTATAGCGGTATGTGCCCTCTTTATAAAAGGACTGTGGGGAACACGATACTTCGGGTATGGAAGCAGCCGATGGGAGCGGTATGCCGAGGACCTTGGCACGTGGGGGTTTGGACGTGTGGATGAGGGACTGTAACTATAGGACATTTCAAGTATCTAGACTCGAGGGTAAAAGTAAATACTATATTTCAAAGAGTGCTCTACAGGAGACGACGACAGATGCCATCGGAGGCGGTGCGATCAAAGCATTCTGAATCAGCATGTACAAGGGGAAAGACATCCAGCAATACAGGCTAAATGTTGCATATTTACCCTCTTATTAAAAGCACAAACACGTCAAGACGCAGTTCCCCTCAGAGCCGGAGGAATTCTGGACAGGTTGCGTACTCTGTAAGGTTCAACAATCCACGGGCTCCCTTGCGCCGATCGTCGATCCTTTCCCCATGGACATACTCCGACATCAGAGAACATACGTACTTATGAAGAGGAGCCTGCATTGTCATGCCCAGCACAGACCTGGCCAGCCCGCGTGGGGGGATTGGACTGTCCCATATTGGTTGATGAGCTGTTCCATCACCGGCATTTCTCCGCACCCCACCCGTTGAGTCCCCAGATATCTCATCATATCGGACCCGTTGGGTTGGCTGGTTGGTGCCCCCCACGCTTCTGTGGATCCTTTCCCCAGATCCCAGAGTAAAGTTTACTTCACGATAAACTCTGTTGTCCATCGGTCAGCTGTGTGTGCAACACTTGGGGGATTTATATAAACCTACTCGTATGGTCTCCCTTGCTTTTTGATTCCTATATCCCCGGGAGTTCGGCCTTTCTGATACCCATCTTTATTCAATCTTCTGCGCCGCTGACTATGAGCGATAATGTCATTACCGACAGGGGGGTCTTTGGCGATAAAGCCAACATGACCCAAGAGGAGGTGGCACAGATCGCTCAGCTGACAGACGAGGAGAAGGTCGTCGAGAAGAAGCTGCGACATCGTATCGACAGTCTGATCATGCCCTTGGTTATCCTGGTGTATCTGATGAACTATATTGATCGGTACGTGATGGGGCGGATACCGTCCAGTCTCCTATGGCCTGCCAGGATATTAACTCTGGACAGAAACAACTATGCCGCGGCCAAACTGCAGGGCCTCGAGGACGACCTCTCGCTCAATGACCAGCAATACCAAACAGGCCTGTCAATCCTGTTCGTCGCCTACATTCTTATGCAGGTCCCGTCCAATCTGTTGCTCAATTACATAGGCCGTCCATCGCTCTACCTCGGCTTTTTCACCGCTGCTTGGGGTTTGGTGTCGGCCTTGACCAGTCAAGTGAAGGGATATGGCGGCATCGTCGCCTGTCGGTTTATCCTGGGCTTGGTGGAGGCTCCCTTTTTCGCGGGTGTGCTGTTTTACCTGTCCAAGTGGTACACCAAGAAAGAGTTGGCTCTGCGCATGAGTATCTTCTACTCCGGCTCGTTGATCAGCGGTGCTTTCGGCAACCTCATTGCTGCTGGCATCCTGAACGGACTGGATGGCCATCGAGGCCTTTCGGCCTGGCAGTGGCTGTATATCATCGAGGGGGCCATCACCATCGCCATCGGCTTGACCGTTATGGTCGTATTGCCCGACTTCCCCACCACCTGGCGGCTGTTATCACCGGAAATGAAGAACGTCGCCAACCGACGACTGGCCATCGAAGCGGCTGAGGCCGACGTCGACGAGGCCGGAAAGATGAGCCAGATTAAAGGCCTGAAATTGGCGTTTTCTGACATCAAGACGTACGCTCTTGCGATCGCCTACATGTCCATCACCGGCGCCAGTGGCTTTCAGAACTTCTTTCCAACCTTGACCAAGACCTTGGGCAAAGGTGAAATTATTTCTTTATTGCTGGTCGCCCCGCCATATGTCTTCATGGTCTTCTACAGTCTGGTCCATTCATACATGTCAGATCGTTTAGGCAACCGGTTCTGGTTTTTCGTCTATCCAATCCCCATCACCATTGTAGGGTTCATTATCTTCATGGTCACCGATGGCTTCGGGCCCCGCTACTTCTCCTTCTTCCTTATGATTTTTATCTTCGCTCAGATGGGAACCGTCTACTCATGGATTGCTAATGCTATCCCTCGACCGCCGGCGAAACGAGCTGCCGCTTATGCGTTCATCAATTCGGTTGGCAACTCCGCCAGTATCTGGACCCCTTTCACCTACCGCGAACAAGACAAGCCGCACTACCAGCCCGCGATGGGCGTTTGCATCGTGCTGCAGGCCCTGGGTGCTCTCATGGCTGTGTTCATGTTCTTCCATCTTCGCTCTCTGAACAAGAGGCTCGCCCGTCTCGAGGACGAGGATGCGGTTTTGACGGATCGGGAACTTGAACGGTTGCAGAGAACGGCGGACGTGGAGGGCATCGATATTGCGGCGGCGCGCCAATTGCAGAAGGGTTTTCGGTATATGATTTGATTTGATAGATACAGAAATATAGTTTATGAATTTGATTTTTTTTACCTACTATGATCTTAACTAATGACCTAGTCAAAACTCCTTTAAGCTAAGCGAAAGGAGCGAAATTAGTAATGATGGCCTTTAGATGAACTTGGTCCTAGTATTTCCGACCGGTATCAATATCCCAAGCTTTATCCCCATAGAAACGCTGTGTTTAACGATTCATTTGCCTAACTCATGGCTGTTTTAGTTATTCTTCTTCGTCAGCTTAGTGATATCTTGAAATGACTGTGATCTCACCCTCCAAGGACCATGCCTTCTCATGCTGACTGCCCGAATGCTTGATATATTACAATCATGGCATGATTAGTAATCTTTGGTACTATTTACACCTGCCGCCTGCGTGTCAGCCACAACCTTACTCGCCTGCAGTCCGTCCACCACGATTGGAGATAAGAACCAGTCCCTTAATAAATAATGGAAAAAAGGGGGCGGAAGGGTCTCTTTCAGGACATAGAACTCAGAAATAAAAAAGTAAAAAAATCATAGAGCAAGAGAAATGGTTAATCCAAGGATGCGATGAGAAAGTATACGTCACAAGGAACAAAACTGTCCTGTAGTACTGTCGCAATAGACATGTGAAACTGGGGCCGACTTCATTAAAAATCAGTATTTGCTTTCCACCCGAAGATGGAAGAGCCAAATATCCCGTTTTCCCAGAGCCCTCTAGCAATTATATTCAAGCATACCCCCTACATATTACTCCATCGATGACAGACAAGATTGGAGACGGTCGACAGGATGACAGGATGCGACATTTTAGGCCTGTACTCCGTACAGGAGGACGATGCACATCAATTCCAGCTGATGCGGGGAGCCGAACAGCTTGAATCCACAGTGGAGTCAGTGTGCCTAACTCGTTGTCTTTGGCATGATCCACCAATCTCCTAATCAATTCGAGGTATACACATAGTACGGAGTAGAGACTACTCACTACCGAGCAAGTGTTCCATCATGGCGACGCCCGTTGATGCCTCGAGACTATTGTGAAGTTCGACCAACGTAGTGCGACCTAAATATCGACCATGTTTAGAAATAAAGATATCTTCAACCACAGGAACAGCTGAGAGGCGGCATTCTGGTGCCCATGACATCATCCCACATGGTTGGGAGACGAGAAATATGACTCCCTTGCGTGATTCGACCCCTGTTGTGGCCACTGGTGTGCTGCTCCATGGCTGGGCTATCCGTCTTAATCGACACAGATGCGGAGAAGCAGAGCGGGAGGAGGCGGTCATGGATTGAGGGCTGCTGATTCGGCTGCCGATGCGGAGGACTCTGGTCCGTTTGAGGTGACGGCGATCTGTGTAAGTCGCATTGTCATCGCCGGATTGGGTGAGGGGTGGATCACGTGATTTATCATTGGCGTCTTGAACCCATGATATATAGTCGCCACGGTCCTGCTCGGCCATCTCCTGTCCCTCAGAAGCCTTAGCTGTTAAATATCAATATCTGTTCTTCAATTTTTCGGTGTATCTGTTTATTTAGCCCCGGTTATTGATGCCTCAGTGCATCTCACCTCGCCATGTCTTATCTCATTGAAGCATCTCGGCCTTTCACTCGTGTCCGGAGTAATTCCTCTCTAACCCGCCAGTTCTCAATCGCAGTCCCAGCTAGAAAGGCTGGTGAAATCGGATCGCCGAAGCCTCGTGGATTTCTTGCGGAGTATGATCACTGTCTTTCCTTTTTTCATTTGAACACCAATGACGTCATCGGACGACATGGATTCGCATTCCATTGTCAAAGATCGCGCTAACCGAGGCAATAGGAGGGATTCCTTCGCTCAACGTGAAGCTGCACAGGAGAACATGTACATCCGATCGCAAGAGGCAGATAAGTTGAGGATTCTGAAGCAAAAAATGGCAGAGCAACGTCGACATCTTGAAGAGCTGGATAGGCATCTGTAAGTTCAAGACTATTCCCAACCTTTGTCGTATGTATATACTGGCCGTGAATGAGGTGCTGACCAGTCTTGCTAGCCAAGAATTGTCTAGGGAACAAGCCTTTGCGAAGAATTAGGGCCGGTAGCCGCAGTTTCTTTTTGTCTTTTCAGCATCCGTTTTGTCAGGCTTTCGTCGCAAGATCCTCCTAGACCTTTGAGAGGCTATCCAAGAGAGTGATCAGATTCGGTCGGCCAGCACTTGATCTGGCTCACCACCTATTCCCTCTCCCGCCAGATTGTCAAGCGGGACCTGATAGTGGCTGGAAGGGGGTTTCATCTTCACTAGAAAGATTTACATATATACCCATGTACTGGGCACCGTGACATTGAATGGTACGCCATGCCTAGATTCGGATTCAATGAACTTTATAGCTTCTGGCATGGAAATGAGATTGATATCCAACTACCTCGATGATCACACGAGCCCTACGTAGCCTGGACTGGTAGTACTACCCAAGACGTATATATAAAACACATTGCCATACTGAGTACGTCCAATCTAGCACGGCTGGAGAGAATCCGGCGGGATTACGAGGGCATGTGAGATTCAATAAAATATGCTAGGCAGACTTCCAGGCATCCATTTACTGGTATTCCTAACCTACCTCGATCGTATGTATTGTCTTTGTAGGAGTATATCGTAATTATGGACTTATAGAGTATTGGACCTATACTAAATGAGGAGAACGAATTATGCTCAATACAGTGACGAACATAGAGAAGTCTGTTTAGGCTTCCGAGTGGAGTTGTTTTTATAGCCGGATCCGGCGCCATACACGTAGTTACGGGGAGAGTGATATCGGTTATATACCGGTAAACGATTCCACTTGGGAGCCTAACTAATGTCAAAAATTATTCAAGGCACTCGGAATCGGAGGAAGAATACAAAAAGTACAAGGAACATGCTAAGCTGAATATAGACAATTAATTCCAATAGGCTAGGAGATGGAATGACTTATTAAGAACATACGAACGTGATTTCTAAACAGCTTGATGTCTTTCCCTTTCCATTTTAATGCTCATCCTTCGCCACTTTTTGCTCGCTGAGTAGAACTGAGCACACCCTAGCAGCCTGAGCCGATCATTGAGCAAGGGCTGAGCAGGGTAAGGTAATCTCAATAAAATGCACCACGCCAGAGCTCCACCGGTTGTGTCTATTTTTTCCCATAATGGCACTTTTCATCGTCATTCGATGTTCGCAGTCTGAATACTGTGTATTGTTGTGAATCTACAGTAGGTCAGAGGAATTGGCATCGAATAGAGAGAACTACGCCATTGAATTGGATGAGCGAGCTTAGTTAGTATACAGGAATTTGTCTGTGGGAAGACATATACTAGAGAGGACTTCGCCGATCCTTCGGGTAATCCTTCGGGCCGATCCTATGTTCATAACATGTATAAAGCCGAGCTGGGTTCCTGTTTGAAAGACCTCATGTACCTTTAAAGGGCTGGAGCCCCTAGCCCTGGATGGTCCATATCACGTGACAAATTATTTGTTTATTCGCCCTTTTCTTTCTTTCCTGCAACGATTCCTTTTTTGTACATAGCCACAGCCTATTATATAGTAGTAGGCTCTACAGGTTCAGCCCATGACACCTCAACATATGTTCACGACTCGGTCTATCTAGCTCTATCCCTTTTACTGCTTTCATGGTGACCTACAGCAACTATGAAGATGGGTTTGTTTTCCCTGTAAATTTGAAAAGCAGTAGTTGTCTTTGAAGCGCACATTGTTAGATAGAAGGGCATGTTTACCTCTACAAGCAATTCGATTACAGCAAAGCACAATGTATTATCCTCAAGGAGGTGCAAAGGGCTGGCTGTGCAAAATTGTCTTGCGTACCCTCATAGTTCCCGGAAATAAGCCGTAGAAGAGATTCCAAGAATACATGTTGAGATAAAACCGGCGTTGATAAGTATCAGCCCCTCCTTTGGTAATAGCTCTAAAATATTCGTAAATACCCGCAACATTCTTGACATCCACTGCAAAGAGCCGGGGTGCCCTAGATCTGTGTTTGCCTGCGATGAGGCCTGACACTGATGCTCGAAAGAGATTGTGATCACTTAAAGAATTCCGGGATACCTATGGAGAAAGCTTTCTTACTTCATCTGATGTCTGTGGTAGCCTACATAGAGTGTCACTTGCTCGCAGCGTTCAGGTTGAGCCATCGGGCTGATGGACAGTCCACTCGTGAGAGAAGCTCAGATATCGAACACCTGTCCTGAAACATTCTCAAAAAATATCGAATTCGTAGCAAACCCTGCGCTTGTGGTAGGCATCGTTGCAAAAATGGGATCGAGCGCACATATCACAGTGCCTAGAATGCTGATCGGGTTGAGCGAAGAACATTCTAGGATAATATCGCTTTCAAGAACCTCGACATTAGTTTCTTTACTCCATTCACGGATGAGTTTAATGATCTCAGAGTGCACGCTTCTTCTTGCCCACCAAAACAAGTCCAACCCAAGCTGTCCTGAAAATTGATTTCACGTTTTGACAACCGGATCAACTGTTTGACAACTTCCTCGTGACCATTCCTTACCGCCGCTATTCGCGGTGTCGAATGGCAATGATGTGGCATTCAAAAGAGCATTATGCAAAAGCAGTAGGTTTACCACGTCACTACGGCCCCGAGCAGTGGGGTCCGGTCACATCAATCCCGGACATCAGGAGTGATGTTTGAAGACTTAAGTAGCAGCTTAACTACCTCAGTATGACCCTTGGTTGAGGCCATATTTAGTGGCGTGAAACCGTCATTATCTGAAATCATGTTGTCTGCACCGCTCTTGAAAAGTAGCTCTACCAAGTTAGTATGGCCATTAAATGCTGCCGTGTAGAAAGGTGTTCTTCCATCATTAGATGCAATCGTCATATGCACATCAGAAGACCCGAGCCAGACTGCTGGACAGGTCATATAGCGGAGACATTTCTTGGCGAGTATCGTGCTCTCGGCCACTTCAGCAGAAGACTTGAACTCAGAGTTGACCTGCAGAGTTTTGCCCTGGGTGGAATATTGCGAAGCAAGTACTTTCTCACTGAGAAATGTGCCAAATGCACAGTTTTCAACTCAATATTGCATCCCGCTTGGGGGCACCGGATTTCCAGAAGAGATCCGCAGAGATCGAATATCTCGGTATTGGCGTAGTCTTCATCAATAACTCCCGGCAGCTCAACCAGGAGGAGTTCATCAGTCTTCACTAATGAGCAACGCCGCAGAAATCTCACTGATTGTTAGCGGTCATTGGCCGGAGGCTGCCCAGCGTAGCAGGGAAAAGGCTCGGCATCTGTCCTTCTGAAAGCTGTGATATCTTTATCCAACTTCATTCACATATGTGTTCGGGACCAGCTGGAGTACAGTTGATGACTTCTTCAAGCTTCTTTTGACTTTTACCGCTGCGTAAAAGTGTCTTGCTGCAACTTTATCCATAAAAACTGTCCATTACAGCGATCGGCAAGTCTTTCACTAATGTTCTTTTTGCTTTATCTGTCTTCTTCGGTAGTTTCTCACTCACAATGCTTCGAGAGTATGACAGGACAGGGAGTGATCCGATGCTCAAAGATGGGATCGTAGGTGGGTAACCCTCGTTGTGATGGGAACACCGAATTTCTCGCTCGCAGGCTAATCATCATGACGCGCGTAGGCATGCCTGTGGTTGCTCTCAATGTCCCTAAGAAATGTGTAATGGAGTCGCCGTCGTTTGCCAGCCAGGCCCTTTTTCCCCAATCACATTCATCTAGTCCATCCGGTATAAATGTGCATCCGGGAACGGCTGATACAATCTCTTGCGGGGGGCTGACGGCCTCCCCGCGAGTTGCCTCTGTCCTTGAGATTTTTCACCCCGTTCGTGACCCAATGCAAACATTCTTGAGTGGGAAATCAGTTAAGATAACCATGATTTTATTGCCAAAATAGGGCCCCCTCGACTTTCAAAATCGGCCGAAAAGAAGAAGTGGGCAATAAGCGAATCCAGCATGGGTGACAGATGCTCAATTATCTTCGCACAAAGTATAGACTCCCGCAGGGCCATTGACCTAGAGGAATTTGGCACATCCTGCAGGAAAATTGGGAGAGGACCAGTTGAGATACCAGGGAAGGTCTAGGACCTATACACAGGAGCCTTTGACACTCCTTTCGACATATGTTTCGTAAAGCTCGTTTGGAGAATGATCGCCTAGCAGCCATGTCTGTAGAACCTTCTTGTTTCGACTTCGCTAGTCAGTTAAAGCTCGAAAGCCAAAATAGACAGGCTTACATTCGATATCAGCTCTAATCTATCCATAACTCGTTTAAAGTCGATAATTCAAGCCCCCCAATCCACAAAGATACCTTTGTTTAACAGTCAGTCTGCGGTGGTATTGAGGAGGTTAAAGGATGCTATATACCGGAAACATCCCGACTAGCAATTTCTCCATACTTCAGTACCGCTCCTCTCTCTCCATCAATGGGGATCAATCTCTGGAGGTTGTTCACCAGCGTTGAAAATTATGCAACTTGCTCAAACCGTTACGCTTTGTTATTTAAGGCCCAGTTGAGCTTTTGTCTTTTTGACTCGATTGAGGCTTGGGGATGAGCGTGTCTCCTGAACATTCGACCCTTGATCGATCTCATATCCACTCTTGATATGGATGTCTGAGAAACATCATCTTCACACTGACAAATGTCTTTGATGGCTGAAAGGAGTTCTTGGATATTTGATAGCGTCCGTGGATCATCAAGGAGCTTATGATGCTTAGTCGATAAACTTCCCTCCTCAAATCCAACAATCCGGACCTATTTTTCACGGCGACTTTTCTCGGTTTCGAATTGAGCGACTAAAGAAAGCGACTCACTTGCGAAGTCCCTCTAGAGTCAAACTTATCGACAACACCTAAGTAGGTATTGAAAAGACCAGCCAATCCTAGAACTCCGACTGCAAAACTAACTGGCTCCATAACTGTGCCTCAAGTGTACGGGCGTTCATATCTCGTGGAGCAACGGAATTACTTATGCGATCGGAGAGAACAACTTGCAACTAACTATAAGACTCCGAAGCCCAGAAGATGCCAAATAGATTTAATACTGTCAGCCTTTTGTTATGGCCTTATCATAGCGCGGACTCATTTCTTTGACATGCGAATTTGAGAACTAATAACAGCAAAGCAGTTGTAGGGAAATGTTGCACCCTTGCTTGTACAGAATAATTATCATAGACTAGAACTAGTACGTCGACTCTGGCTTTAAGCGTATATAACCCGACTATTTTCTGGTTTATATACCAGCTGGTGAATTCCTTGATGTAAACGATACCAGGAGCAGGGCAGTCAGTTTTGAGCTCGTAGCCGGTTGGCTTATATTTCTCCTCTATAACAATCTAATAGAAAACGATCAGCACGCCCAGAGTACGAGTTGCTTGTAGGTTGAACCACTCCCTATCTAGAAGAGCGTATTAATGTTGAAGTTCCTTTATATTATAAAAGCGATTGTGTTTGTCTCTTACAGCGTCCTTATCTTAGTGAGCTCTCGAAATATAGCCGCTTTCTATACAACGCTCACAGCGTTTTCTTCGGGCATTATTGTCCCGCCAAAAGTATCTTTTCCCCATGGTCAGCCAATGATGAAGAAAAGAATCGCAGAAGAGAAAGTGGTACAAAATAATAAAGGTAATAATGGAAAGAATTTTAATATAAAATCCTAAGCTCTTATGGAATACATTGTCTTCAACACGAGAGAAGAATACACGTTCTTATAATTTCGTCGCAATCGCAATGCACAGTTTGTTTACTTAGGTGCGGGCCCTGAGCGCTCACTGAGTGGTGATCTCTGATGTGGAATATTCACTGAGCAAGCCCCTGAGTACCTCATTAAAGTGGTAGTATCCAAAAAGAGAAATTCTCAGTGTCTCTAGCAAATCAAGTCTGTATAGTTGCATATGTACTATTTGTGGTGTTTGTATTCAGGTTTGCATAAAAATAACTTTAACTAATGGTTATGTGATTATAAAATCAGCCCGGCCGCGAAGCCTAACCAACCAAAAATAGAAGCACGAAGTCCGTCGGAATTGGAGGGTTAATACCGAGAAATGAAACACATGAAAGGTTCTCAAAGTCGCTCTTCATCATCAGTATCCTGCCTGGAAAATGCAGGACTGAAAATCAAGTCGGATTTTGGGGATAAACGGCATCCGTGAGTCAACTTATGACTTATCGTAGCCTAGATTAGGTTGGCTGCCAGGGTTATTGTTCGTGTTTTAAACTTTATTACTCTGCATGCACATGATCCCATACGTCATAAAGACCGCATAACGTTAAGGTAGGCGACATGGCACTTACGAGAAATAGAAGAAAGACGGCATTGCAATGACGCATGGATCGGTGTAGAGAAGTAGTATCTCTTCACATCACTCCTGTAGCTTGCAGTATGTAGAATGTTGACCCGCTGTTGACATAAGTTGCTCCGTCGGCCGTGGGAGATAGGAACCCCTATGTTTCTCCGACGTCCGATATCAGATCTAATTATCAGATTGCTGTCAGGGACTTCGTATTCTGACTAAGAAGAATGGAACAAGGATCACGAGTATTTCCTAAAAAAGACAATCGGAACTGGAGGCTCCCAGGTACCGCTGAGTCATCACAATGTAGACAAGGAGAGCATTACATGATTGGCCATAATAACCGCTGAGTAAGCGGTACTGAGTTTTTTCCCATCGGCACTTGGAAGCCCGAGTGGCCGACTATCCACCTTATGTCTCTTCAAGATCGGCGGACTGCCTCCAAGAAAGCTATTGATCCAATCAATAGCCAGCATAACGATTAAAAATTCCGACATGGAAGCTATGATTGAAAATCTCGATGAGCTTTGTATGCCAGAAATCCGAGAATCATCCGTCGGAGATGACCACAGCGCCAAAGCTCCGCCGCCTCGGCTGCGGTCCATCACTTTCCGGAACAAGACTTGCAATATGCTACTAGATGCAACTAATCTGAGGGTTTCTCAATGGCTGGTGGATCGTCTACGCTCGGGTTTCGGGCTGGCTTGGAAGCCATAAAAGTTTCAGCCTTTAAGAGGGCCCCCGACCCACTCCCAAGAAAATTGTTTATATACCTCTCCAAACCACTCACCCCTCATGACGGAGTTTCTTTTCCCTCAGGTTACTTTCCTTCTCGAAGCTAGGTCGTTGCTTTGCTTTGCAACTCATCGATCCAGCCATGGAGGCTCAGGGTCATTCCCCGTATCCCCAGGCACCTGCCTCGGAGGGCAGAGATGATACCGACAGTACAGCTACGATCATGGGTGATGACTCGCCATCTATCCCAGTCCCCAATGTCAGCCGAGCCAACGACTGGAGCTTAATGCCCCAGATTAAACAACAAAACGAACGTGAGATGGAGTCAGGGTTCAAACGTCGCGAACTTGGCGTCACCTGGAAGAACCTGAGCGTCGAAGTTGTCAGCGCAGAAGCCGCCGTGAATGAGAACTTTTTCTCCCAGTTCAACATACCCCAGCATATCAAAGAATCACGCAATAAACCTCCTCTTAGGACCATCCTGAACAACAGCCACGGCTGCGTCAAGCCTGGAGAGATGCTTCTAGTGCTAGGCCGACCCGGCTCCGGTTGTACCACATTGCTTAAAATGCTCGCGAATCGAAGGCTTGGCTATAAGTCCGTCCAGGGTGAGGTTAACTATGGCTCATTGACCGCCAAAGAGGCCTCCAACTACCGTGGTCAGATTGTTATGAACACGGAGGAAGAACTGTTTTTTCCCACATTGACTGTCGGACAAACAATGGATTTTGCAACGCGCCTAAAGATCCCATTCAAGCTACCCAACGGTATCGACTCACCGGAAGCCTATCGCAAGGAGACCAAGGATTTCCTGCTTGAATCGATGGGCATTTCCCATACCAATGATACAAAGGTCGGCAACGAATATGTCCGGGGTGTGTCTGGTGGCGAGCGCAAGAGAGTCTCTATTATTGAGTGTCTCGCCGCACGTGGCTCAGTGTTTTGTTGGGATAATAGCACGCGTGGGCTGGATGCCAGTACAGCTCTTGAATGGACTAAGGCTATCCGTGCCATGACTGACGTCCTTGGTCTTTCTACCATAGTCACATTATATCAAGCCGGCAACGGTATCTACGATCTTTTCGATAAGGTCTTGGTCCTGGATGAGGGCAAGGAGATCTACTATGGTCCCATGGCCCAGGCACGTCCCTTCATGGAGGATCTTGGGTTTGTCTGCCGTGAGGGCTCTAATGTTGCGGACTTCCTTAGCGGCGTTACCGTCCCGACAGAGCGTAGAATTCGCCCTGGATATGAGAATCGCTTTCCTCGCAACGCTGACACGTTGGCGGCAGAGTATGAGAAGTCACCGATCCACGCTCAGATGGTTGCCGAATACGAGTACCCCGACACCGACCTTGCGCGGGAGCGCACTGAGGATTTCAAAGCCGCCGTTGCAGAGGAACAGTCAAGTCGGCTTCCGAAGAATAGCGTATTGACTGTCGATTTTGTTGATCAGGTCAAGGCGTGCGTTGCTCGGCAGTACCAGATTCTGTGGGGAGACAAGGCCACCTTTATTATTAAACAGGTGTCCACCCTGGTCCAGGCATTAATTGCTGGCTCCCTGTTCTACAATGCCCCTAACAATTCTGGGGGCTTGTTCGTCAAATCAGGTGCCCTGTTTTTTTCGTTACTTTACCACAGTCTTCTCGCGATGTCCGAAGTGACCGATTCATTTAGCGGCCGACCTGTTCTCGTTAAGCATAAGGGATTTGGATTCTACCACCCTGCTGCCTTCTGTATTGCCCAGATTACTGCAGATATCCCCGTTCTTTTGTTCCAGATCAGTGTTTTCTCAATCGTCGTTTACTTCATGGTCGGATTGGACATGTCGGCGTCTGGGTTCTTCACCTATTGGGTTTTGGTTTTTGCTACCACAATGGTGAGTGTATTTGATGACTCTTCCTGATTGTATGCAATATAGGTTTGTTGATGCTAACTATATGCCATTTTAGGCCATGACGGCGCTCTTTCGTTCTGTTGGTGCTTTATTTAGCACATTCGACGGTGCTGCCAAAGTGTCCGGCTTCCTCATAGCTGCTCTGATCATGTACACTGGCTATATGATCCAGAAGCCCCAGATGCATCCCTGGTTTGGTTGGATTTACTGGATTAACCCACTTGCCTACGGTTTCGACGCATTGCTGTCGAGCGAGTTCCATGGAAAGATCATCCCATGCGTAGGCACCAACCTCATTCCATTTGGCCCTGGTTATGAAGATGCAGCTGGCCACCAATCCTGTGCTGGTGTTGGTGGTGCTATACCGGGAAACACGATAGTCACCGGCGACCAGTACCTGTCCTCCTTATCCTACAGCCACGGCCATGTATGGCGTAATTTCGGTATATTATGGGCTTGGTGGGCTCTGTTCGTGGCCTTGACCATAATTGCGACGTCGCGTTGGAAAGCTGCGTCTGAAACCGGCAGCTCTCTTTTAATCCCACGCGAGAGAGTGGACAGACACCGTCAAGTTGTTTCACGCGACGAGGAATCTCAGTTCGACGAGAAGGCCAAGAAACCCAGTTCTAACGATTCCGAAGATGCTGCTGACATTGGCAAGCAATTGGTTCGGAATACCTCTGTCTTCACCTGGAAGGATCTTACCTACACAGTGAAGACACATTCCGGCGATCGTGTTCTGCTCGACAATGTGTATGGTTGGGTGAAGCCTGGAATGTTAGGTGCCTTGATGGGATCCTCTGGTGCTGGGAAGACTACTCTGTTGGATGTGTTAGCTCAGCGCAAGACTGAAGGTACTATCAATGGCTCTGTCTTGGTGGATGGCCGTCCTCTTCCGGTCTCTTTCCAGCGGTCTGCAGGCTATTGTGAACAACTCGACGTACACGAGCCTTTTGCAACAGTACGCGAGGCATTGGAATTTTCTGCTCTGCTCCGGCAGCCGCGCCATGTCCCAGAGCAGGAGAAATTAAAGTATGTGGATACCATTATTGAGCTCCTTGAGCTCCACGATATTGCAGATACCTTAATTGGCTACGTTGGCGCAGGCCTGAGTGTTGAACAGCGCAAGCGAGTCACCATTGGAGTGGAGTTGGTATCAAAGCCTAGTATCCTAATCTTCTTGGACGAACCAACATCTGGTCTCGATGGTCAATCTGCTTACAATACCGTTCGGTTCCTGAGGAAACTTGCCGATGTTGGCCAAGCTGTCCTAGTGACCATTCACCAACCGTCTGCACAATTGTTCGCTGAATTCGATACCTTGCTTCTCTTGGCCAAGGGCGGCAAGACAGTTTATTTCGGTGATATTGGTGACAATGGCCAGACTGTCAAGGACTACTTCGGTCGTTTTGGTGCCCCGTGCCCGACTAATGTCAATCCAGCGGAGCATATGATTGATGTTGTTTCGGGCGCCCTGTCCCAGGGTCGTGACTGGCATCAGGTGTGGTTGGAATCTCCAGAACACGAGGCTGCTATCAAAGAGCTTGACCAGATTGTGAGCGAGGCGGCATCTAAGCCTCCAGCAACCTCTGATGATGGATTTGAATTCGCCATGCCTCTCTGGCAGCAAACGAAGATTGTAACGAAGCGGATGAGCGTTGCCCTTTTCCGGAATACCGACTACGCGAATAACAAGATTGCTCTTCACATTGGTTCGGCTTTGTTCAACGGCTTCTCATTCTGGATGATCGATGACTCCGTCAACTCCATGCAACTGCGCCTGTTTACCATTTTCCAATTTATTTTTGTCGCTCCGGGTGTTATCAACCAGCTGCAGCCGCTCTTCATTGAACGCCGAGATATCTATGACACACGAGAGAAAAAGTCTAAGATGTACTCATGGGTTGCATTTGTAACTGCCCTGGTTGTCTCTGAGATCCCCTACCTCTGCCTCTGCGCCATATTTTACTTCGTTTGTTGGTACTACACAGTGGGATTCCCAAGCGACTCGGATAAAGCCGGTGCGGTGTTCTTTGTCATGTTGATGTACGAGTTCGTGTACACTGGAATCGGACAGTTTATTGCTGCGTATGCACCCAACGCAGTCTTCGCGTCTCTGATCAATCCTGTTTTTATCGGTACCTTGGCATCGTTCTGCGGTGTGTTGGTACCGTACGCCCAGATCCAGGCTTTCTGGCGTTACTGGATCTACTGGATGAACCCGTTTAACTACCTGATGGGTAGCTTGTTGACGTTCACGGTCTTCGACGTGGAGGTAGAGTGCAAGAAATCGGAATTTGCTGTCTTCGACCCGCCCAACGGCACCACCTGTGGAGAATACCTATCCACATTTATGCAGGGCATCGGGTCGCGGATGAATCTTATCGATCCCGACGCCACGTCGGGCTGTCGAGTGTGCCAGTTTAGCCGGGGCAGCGACTACCTCTACACTATCAACTTGAAGGACTATTACTACGGCTGGCGTGACGCGGCAATTGTTGCCCTGTTTGCGCTGAGCTCCTACGCTCTGGTATACGCCCTGATGAAATTGCGGACCAAGGCCTCCAAGCAGGCCGAGTAATTTATTTCGATTCCCTTCCCTTTGCAACCGTCGCTTGTTTTGTTATTAATTATTTTCTCCCCTCCAATCACCATATTCTATCCAATTGCATATAATGTATTGAACCACCCCCCTCTCAAGGCCTGATTGCTGGCTGGCTGGACTCTGATAGACGGCTACACCGGAGTTTGAACCCACTGGACGTGCGAAATAGAGATATGGGCGTGGGTGGCATGTAAGGCACATAATGTTAATAGATATACAAAAACTTGTTAGGTTTCAGGCCAGATATCTAGTTAATTACTCCGGAGTAGATCTAATTTCAAGCTCATAATCATATGACCATATCTTGGATTCTCACGTGTTTTGGCTGGCAGTCGTCCTTGGACGAGAAGGATGCGGACGTCCCAATCGGGAAGTACCGAGACGACTTCTAATACTAGGAAAGACATTGCTGTTGCGGCCCACTGATCGGGTTTCAGCTTCCAGTATATTCATCCGTATCCACTTGATATGGAAGCCGACTATACACAGTATACAGCACAAAACCAATTTTTTCCCATCGTGTTTCCCTGAAAAAGAGCAATTCTGCCTTTTATTCACTGCAGAAATTTTTGACTTTCTGTGCCGGTTTCCGGTGGAGTCCGGATAAGACTCAGGGGTGGCAAGTCTAGAAGCGTCTTCTGCTGAGACAAGCTCTGCGCCACGCGGCCCTACACATGTAGTCCGCGACGTCGATGCCTGACTCAGAGGTCCGGAATCCGTCCTCAGGCATCAAGTGGAATTCTCCTCCTTTTCTCTTTTGTGTGAGGCTTCAATTCGGTCATCAAATTTATCTATTCTATCCGTTATCTCCTATCAACCTAGGATGATGCTGGCCCCGCCCTCCTCGATGATGTTCTGCAACGTCTCGCTGCTGTGCATCTGCATCGGTATCTGCAAATCAAAAGAATGACAATGAAAGTGGCCATTTGTCTGATAGATGATCCACTTTGCTCGAATCGTCCCTTCAGACGGGGGTCGCCAATCACGTTCTACCCACTCCTGTAACCACAATACAGTCATGGCCGATGTCCTCTTCGCTTTCGCCGTTGTTATCTTTGTTCTAGACTCGACTTATTTTTGGGTAGCTCTCCCGAGGCCAGGCCGTTTGGCACTTCCCCACCCATGGTCCATTATTCTCTCGGCACCATTGCCTGCGTGTAGATAAACTTTCATATTTTCCGACGCTCCCAGTTCCTGATCGGTTGGAATTCTTTCAAGCTGGCCTTCCACGCTGTCTTTGCTTAATACCTTCCCTCCTCCTGTTCATTCAGCGGTAGGATCTTCTGCTTTTCCGTGCTGGATTGCCTGAGGAATAGTGAAGTCTGCCTGAACTCCTCCCTATGTCTCATTCGCGCGAGGACAGTAGTTCCTACGAGCTGATCGGTCACCGAAATAGCTATGACAAAGGCGAATGGACAAATGAACCGCTCCATGATGAACCTCTTCCCCGATCTAATTCCGAACAACCCACGCATGATGGCTCCAGTGAACAAACTGAGTTAGGACGAAGTCCCCGTGTGAGATTTCAATCAGATGGCAATCACCTCAGTCCGTCTGTGCGCCCACCCATGCAACGGTTCAATTCAGACCAGTCTGTTCAGTCAGTTAGATCGATCCTACCCACGTCAGCACAGTTAACAGATATTTCCGATGCCTTCCATATGAACGTGGAGGAAGCCGACATAGCCAATGGGAGTAGAGAGAACCTCAATCCTCAAGTGCCTTTCTCTGACGAGACACCCGAAAAGTCGGGGCTGGAATGGGAAACCTCCCAGCATTCAACGTCGGCCAAAGATCGGTTGCGCGCTGCTGGCCAGCTGATCCGTCAAAAAACTACTAGACTTGGAGAGCGGTTAGGTCGCCCAGTGGATGGCGGGGACCCCCTGGGAGGGTCCTTGTTACCGGGCGATCTAGAGGGAGGCATATCGGATCGTCAGATGCGGGAGAAAAAGGAGCATGTTGTCGATACGCCCAGCAGTGATGAAATCTCGGTTGCTCCTAGTGCAGAGGCGCACCGTCTTGTCCGCGGAATGACCCAGGTACGACGGCGTAGGCCCAGGTCGGCCTACATGCGGTCTGGACAGAGCACTCCAGAGACCCTTAGTCGTCCAGATTCGTGGTATAACTCCCGACCGCTGTCGATCAACGGCGGCGGCGGTATTCTATCCCAACTGTTGAAATTGCAGGCCACCCAGACCTCGGGCAAGGACAGTGTTTCCGTCACCGATTCGTCAGATAGTGATTCGCCAATATCATCGGGAGCTGTGACTCCGAAGAAAGAAAAGCTCAAATGGTACAAGAAGCCACCCCATCGTTCGACCTCATCCCTCGTGGAGGCGTCGATGAATCTGAGCCGTGTCACTTTGCCCGCATCGACGGATGTGATGTCGGCCGCAACGCCGAAAAGGGCCAAGAAAAAGGCGCGGCACAAGACACGCTTGGAGGATGAGATCCGGGTAACAGTACACATCGCGGAGATTCTCGCACGACAGCGGTTTATCATGCAACTCTGCCGCGCACTTATGCGGTATGGCGCGCCTACCCACCGTCTGGAGGAGTACATGCAAATGACGGCGCGGGTGTTGGAGGTGGAGGGTCAATTCTTGTATCTGCCGGGGTGCATGATCATGTCTTTCGATGATCCCACCACGCGCACGGCAGAGGTCAAGCTGGTTCGTATGGCGCAAGGGGTGGACCTTGGTCGCCTTGCCGAAACGCATAATCTCTACAAGAATGTTGTCCACGACCTAATGGGGGTCGAAGAAGCCAGCCAGGAGCTAGATCATATCATGAAGCGGCCGCCGCGATTCAACAAGTGGTTGCTGATCCCCGCATATGGACTGGCTAGTACAGCTGTCGCTCCCTTCGCATTTGATGCACGGCCGATTGACATGCCTATCTGTTTCTTCCTGGGAACTCTGGTTGGGTTTATGCAGCACGTGCTGGCTCCCAAATCAGTACTCTATTCAAATGTGTTCGAAGTCTCAGCGGCGGTATTGACCTCCTTCCTGGCCCGAGCTTTTGGGTCCATCAAGTCCTCGAAACCGGACGAAGCCTACGTATTTTGCTTCTCGGCATTGGCACAATCCTCGATTGCGCTTATCTTGCCTGGTTTCATGGTGCTCTGTAGCAGTTTGGAGTTGCAGTCGCACCAGATGATTGCAGGCTCGATCCGGATGGTCTACGCCATTATTTACTCGCTTTTTCTAGGGTATGGAATCACCGTTGGTACAACGGTCTATGGTTTAATCGATGGAGCGGCGACATCGGAGAGAAGCTGCAAGGGCCTGGACGTGTATCGTAGCACGTACGTGCAGCACTTTGTGTTCATTCCTGTGTTTGTGATTTTCATTGCCATCATCAACCAGGCCAAGTGGAAGCAGATGCCCGTGATGATTGTGATCGCCATCTGCGGCTACGTTACCAACTACTTCAGCACCACGCGACTGGGATCCCAGTCGGAGGTGGCCAACACTGTGGGCGCATTCACGATCGGAATTCTGGGCAACCTGTACAGTCGACTGTGGCATGGACATGCGGCGACCGCTATTCTGCCGGCGATCTTTGTGCTGGTGCCGTCCGGACTGGCGTCCAGTGGCTCGTTGATCGCGGGAATCAACTATGCCAACCAGGTGCGGGACAATCTGCAAAATGGAAATAGCACCTCAGCGCACGAGACCAGCCAGGATACGTCGATTGCCAGTCTCGGATTCGGCATGATCCAGGTGGCGATCGGGATCACCGTGGGGCTGTTCATCGCTGCGCTGGTAGTGTACCCATTTGGCAAGCGACGCAGTGGATTGTTCAGTTTCTAATCCTGGATTGTTTGATATATGTGGATAGGATCTAGAGCTTGTGTATACTATATAGAGCAGGATCGCGATCGCACATGTCCAATGTATATGGAGTTGATGGACATGTGGACCGTGGATGACTTAGACATGATTATTAAATTAGATATTTTGATTCAATTCATGAGCCAATGAATGAAAAGTGTATATATTCCGACTTTCTGGTATTTCTTCTTTTACCTACTAGACACGAGTTCTCTGCTACTTGTGCGCTGTGGCAGCCGATAATCATCTCTGGGTACTCGGCCACTAGATCATCCATCGCCGTGTGGACCACGTCGTATACATAGACTCGCGATTCAGCTGGTAACTTGGTCGTTAGGTGTTGAGCCATGTACTGTCCCATGCTCCGAGACCGATGAATCCGATTGCATGTATTCCATGGCATACCTAGCATTGCTGTATGGAATTCCAGTATGTCTATCCAACTGAATATCTAACATTTAGCATGGGTATTAATTCTAACTTGCGGCGTATCCCAGACTACATGTGAATACACCCTACAATACATCCTTGCATTACTCTAGGAGGGGAGAGCATGAAATTGAAGAATTGGAGAAAGCCGGGAACAGACAACCCATAACGACAGAAGCAGACAACATACTAACTATAACTAAAATCAAGCACTTAAATCATCTGGCTTATACTCCCCATTCTCAATCATCTCCTTAATAGTCCTCTCCGTAATCCTCGTCGCCTCCAACCCCGCCGGCGCACCACAGTAAACCGTCGCCTGCAGAACCGCCTCTCGAATCTCCACAGGGGTCAATCCATTATTAATCGCTCCTCGCGTATGAACCGCCAGCTCCGGCCAGGCTTTCAGGGCGATCAACATGCCCAGATCTGCTTCGTTAGAAACCATTACATCAACAGACACAGACAATGTAGAGTTAGACGGGACGAGAGGGACTCTCACTCAAAAGACTCCTCTGTTTCCTCTCGAGTCCCGGTCGAGTCCAGATATGCCCCCAACACCACTCTGTTATCAGCTCTTGGCTGGGACGTGCAAAGTCACTGGATCCGTTGGCGAGGGCTCGATCAACGTAGGGGTCTCCCACGACGGATCGGCGGACTTTCAGCCCTTCATCGAAGAGGGTTTTGTGTAGGTTTTGGAGGGAGGGATCGGACATGATATGTTTGTTCCAGATACTGGGGTGGGTATGGTGTGTATGACGCTGTGTAGGAGTTATAATAAGATTTACTGAGATGGTGCTAAGACTACGTGATTCTTTCCCAATTTCCTAATTGGGTTCTCCGAGGCTGCCGACGGGACATGTGATCTGTCTCCGAATTTATTTCGTTGAATGTCTCTAGTTGACGGCTTATGAATACGTTTTCATACTTGAGATGAAATACAAAGGAATAAGTCCATCTAAATACGAAGTACACTCAGTGGCGAATATTCATTGTCTCTTTCATTGTCTGGACGTCGGCATCGGATCGTTTACATAGGTGGGTAAACTTTGAATATTACAGCATACAGTCTTTCCATAAGGAGCGATCTTAATATAAATGTTGGACCAAGGAATCTCAGCTCGGCAAAACATGGAAATGCAAGACATAAGAGGCAGAAGTGAACCAAAGTTGAACAAATCACGTGTCATCAAGCACAACAGGATGATCGAAGTACAGACAAGGAAACAGAGTCCTATAGCAGGACCAGAACCGCTTTCATATGAGATATAAGACTTGGATCCGTGGTTGAATGCGTTGAGCGACTTGTTTTGCAATGTTGGGTTGGATAATGAAATATTCATCTGACAACGGAAGAGAAAGAGGACATGCACTCCCCGGTATAAGTACATGATTTAGATACCTGATCATATTGACGCCGAGATTACTTAGGACTTCAGCATATAAAAATATATACGAATCCTCACTATTAACCAATACCATGTCTTCCGGTTTCGGCCGCGAACTCGCCATCACGGCAGTGCTGAACCATGACCGGGTGATCACCGCGTCGCACGGCCCATCCAAGCTATCCGACCTGGAGCGTGACTTCGGCATCATCCCGCAACGACTGAATATCGCCAGCGCCGCGGAGATCCAATCCGCCGTGGACACCGTCGGTTCCATTGACATCTTCGTCAACAACGCCAGGTACCTCCTCGAAGGCGCCATGGAAGAATGCTCCGGCCACTAGATCGCCGCGCAGTTCGACACGAACGTCTTTCGCCCAGACGTGTGCCATCCGCGCCGTCGCGGAAATCAGGCGTCATCGCGGACCTTGGCTCCTCAGCTCGGTGATAGGGAACCTCGGCACGGGCTTCTATTGTGCAGCCAAGGCGGCCGTAGCCATGTGCCGAAGAGTTTGAAGGCGGAGTTGGCCCCGTTTGGCGTCGATATCGTGTGTACTGAGCCGGGGCATTACAGCACCAACCTACTCACGGGTGGTCATATGGTCATCGCCGGGACGAGGACTGATGAGTTACGCGTGAGCACGCAGGTCATGCACGATGCCTTGGAGGCGTATAGTTTGCGGCAGCCGGGGGATCCGGTCAAGGGCACGCAGGTGATCTTTTAGGAGTTGGCCAAGACAGGGAGGTGTGTCAGTTGGAGTTTGCCGGCATGGTTGGGGTTGAGGAGGGATGCAGTGCAGGAGATTGGGAAAAGTCTCGATACTGAAAGGGAGATGTTGGATAGCTGGGGGGAGGTTATTTCCTTGACGGATTGTGAAGAACCGGTGATGTGCAGAAGTACTCCTTAAACTAGGATGGTTTGCGATGGTGAGAACCGATAATATATCTAGGAGAGCCTGAGCCTCTGCCAGTTCTACTATTAGCAGCTGTTATTATTGAAGATAGACTATCCATACCAAGCATCGGACGTATTCGCCATTTGTGAGAGTTGTTCACGATTTGTTTCATGATTTAGGACAAGAGCCCTTAACCGCCTTGGTAATAGCCGAAGACACGCCTCTTGATCAACAAACGACCCGAGCGTGATCCGAGACACAGACTGCGGCCACCGTCGGCCGATAGATTGCATCCTTGCAGAGGCAAGGGGTTACCGAGCTGACTAGTTCGACGGATCATACCCGAGAGATTCTCCCCTGATTCATGCGAATGAAGATTGCGAGTCAGACGGACCATCATCATGTAATGTCGAGTCAGAGACCAGAGCGGTGTGTAGTGCGGTGTGGCTGGTATCGCCGTCTTTGAGCAATCGATCCATATTCCATCCATCATCCTTCGATCTATCTATCTATTAGTAAATAATCAATTGATCATACCCATCGCTCCTTCTCGTCATGGCAGTCCAAACCCTCGACGGGGGTCTGGGTACGTCATTGCAAGACTATTACTCCGTCACCTTTGACGCCTCCACCCCTCTTTGGGCCTCGCACTTGCTCGTCTCCGACCCCGCTACTCTGCTCTCCTGCCAGCGCGACTTCGTGAACGCCAATATCGACGTGCTTCTCACCGCCACATATCAGGTTTCTATTGAAGGGTTCGCGCGTACCAAGACTCCCGATCACCCACATGGCATCCCCCGCAATGCCATCCCAGCGTACCTGCGAACGGCCGTCGAGGTAGCTGAGAAAGCCAAGAACGATCGCACATCCATTGCGCTGAGTTTAGGTCCCTATGGCGCGTGTATGATTCCCGGACAAGAATATAGCGGGAATTACGATGAGGAGCACAGTAGCGAAGATGCTCTGTTTTGCTGGCACTGGGAGCGGTTGCGACTGTTCACGGAGGCTGATCTGATCCAGAGGATGCAGTACATTGCCATCGAGACGCTGCCTCGAGTGGACGAGATCCGTGCATCGAGGAGGGCTGTTCATGCGGCGGGGATCACACTCCCATTATGGATTTCATGTGTCTTTCCCGAGGAAACCGACACCCTGCCCGACGGCAGCACAGTTGAACAGGTGGTTCAGGCGGTGGTGGGATATCTGGACGGCGGCGCGACGCCTTGGGGGATTGGAATTAATTGCACGAAGATCCATAAACTCCCCACGTTGGTGGACAAGTTTGGGAACTGCGTTGCATCGATGGTTGCTGCAGGCCAGATACAGGCACAGGACGTGCCCAGTCTGGTGTTGTATCCTGATGGCACAAATGGGGAGGTCTATAATACAACGACACAAGCCTGGGAGAAGAAAGAGGGCAGAAGGGGAGATACGGTAAGAAATTATACTATTTGTTCCCTCTTTCTGTCTGTTTTTTCTTTTCATTTTCAGTTGCTAACGATTGCAGCGCCAGTGGGAAGTGCAACTAGCGCAGGTGGTACGCGATGCTCGCGCCAAGGGCCAATTTAGGTCCTATCTAGTTGGGGGCTGTTGCAAGGCTTCGCACTACGATATTAAGAAGCTAGGAAAGCAGCTCAGGACCGACTAGGTATATCTATATATACATACAGAGTGACTAGTATAGTCAATATACAAACTCGATCAGCATGAGGATCGTACAACCATCAGAAAAGCCAGTCTACGAAACTCCCCCACAGGCCTGTCGGCGGGACGGTGTGCTCGATGATCTCACCTTCCTGGAGACGGCCAGACCATAGATCAATATTGGAGGCTCGGACGAACTATTGTTTTGTGAGAAAAGTCAATCCACGGACAGGGAAACCAGGAACAAACCTTCGTACGATGGATGATCTTCCAGCCGATAATGGGCACTATGAAGATTGGAATGCCAACGTACGACGCGACAAAGTTCGACGTGGACCAGTTGCCCTTGAGGAAGACGGGAAATCCGGCCACGAAAGTGATGATGGTGGACCCGATGAAGCCAAACCACGCTGCGTACGGCTGGAACGGGGCCTGCCAGGGCAGAGAGCTGCGGCTGATGCCTTGTTCCTTCAGCCCGGCGTAGAACCGGATGTAGCAGAAGCAGAGCGTCGCCCATGCAATGAGGCCCGCGATGGTGCTCAAATTCAACAGCCATGCGAAAGCCTGCGCCGCGCCGCCCGACCCGAGACCTGAACCCGTTATTGTTAGCCAGATCATGCAGCACCCTCTTGGTGGCTTGACCTACTTAGATATGCCAATGGCCCAAACAGCCAAGAAGCAATGACCGCTACATATGGCACCCCCTTCTTGGTGACCCGGCCGAAGACTTGGGGCAGCTGGCGATCCGTCGTCATGGCCAGGATCATGCGCGAGCCGACCCAGCAGTACGAGTTTCCAGCAGACCAGGCAGATACGAGAATACAGGCGTTCACGATAGACGGCAAGGCGCTAATGCCCGCCTCTCGGATGGCAATGACCCAGGGTGAACTGTTAGCGTTGTTGGAGCCGGAGACAAGCGCTGGATTGGTGGGATTCACGATCAGCCCGATGAGGAACGCCCCCAGAATGTAGAAGAAGGCGATGCGGAAGGTAACGCGCCGAGCGGCCTTAGGGATGGCATGGTGTGGGTCGACAGACTCTGCAGCGGTGATGACGACCGTCTCGACACCGACGAAACTGAACGAGGCGTTCACAAACGACGACAGAAATCCGAGGAAATGGCCTGCCGGGCCCGTGATGCCATTATAGTCGGTCCATGCGCCTGGGTTGTTCCAGTAGCGGAACCCGATCGCCTTGTGATGGGGGCCACCACCGGAGGTGATCACAATGGACACCACCACCAGGCCGACGAAACAGAGCACCTTGATGGCGCCAGCGACGACCTCAGTCTCACCATAGAAGCGCACATTCATTAGGTTGATGGCCAGGATCAAGACCAAACCCACGGTAATGACCACCGCGGGCGTTATGTCTGTCCAGAAAGAGACAATCACCGCCGCAGCCGACACCTCTGACGCAATGGCAATAGTGTAGCAGTATCCGTACGAAATGGCCAGCGAGAAGCCCACAGCCGGGTCGATGAAGCGCGTGGCCCAGTGAGGGAAGGAGCCCGCCGTGGGCAGCAGTGTGGCCAGCTCCGCGATGCTTTGCATCACACACCACAGCACTAATCCCACCACCAGGTACGCCAGCAGCAGACCTGCCGGTCCGGCATTGGCATAGGCGGCGCCAGTGCCCACAAACAGGCCAGTCCCAATGCCACCGCAGAACCCGATCATGTTGACCTGGTAATTTTTGAGACGTCGCTGTGTGGCTCCACGGCCGCCCACATTAAGCTGTACCTCCTCCTTGAGCACAGGAGCATCGTGGTCCCGGGATTCAATACCATGTGAGATCGCATCGGTGGCCTTCTCCATGCTGTGATCGCCAACCATGATGCTGATGCAATCCACAGCAACATCAAAGCACCTGGTGGTCTGCCCTGAACTCTCACATGCGGTCACAAGTAGAGTCAAAAAAAGCTTGAACAGCATTTTCACATTTCCTAGCGATCAAGTTGCGACATCGGGGCCCACCTTCGCACCATGGTTGGGTTTTCACGCAACGTGGATTCGGGGGAACTCCGGGTCCTATCATCGTTTAGATGTGCTCCGCTTGATCCACAGGCACAATGATGAACTAGGTCCGACCGAAAGAGAATCATGAGATACTAAAAAGTTGTCTCCATCTAAGCAATGTAGTTGTGTATAGGGTCACTCTCGTAGGCGTCACGGATGGCCAACGGACGGTTTTCGCCCGACCGCTACAGCTACGGCTATCAATCTAATTACCTACATTTTCAAGAGTCGATTGGAGTAGCCCGAGTTAGCGTGGTTTTCCAATCAGTCCCTCGTTAGACCTACCGGTATCAGCCCACGACTACGTCTCCCGTAAGTCCGTGACTGCGGGGGTGAGAAAGCTGATGCATGGCTGCATACTTCGGAAACTGTTTAGGGGCAAATGAGTCGAATACCCCAGGCATGTTTCGTCATCATCCTAGGGACCGTTTCGCTGCACAGCATGAGCGACGGCAGTTCTGCATCTACCCCGGCGCTATCAACAACACCAATTCCCCGCAGTACAATTCATTGGCTCACCGATAAGATGGTTACATTTGCATTTGCATTGCATGCGCCGTGCAGTACAATCCGGCTGCGATTGACATTAAACAAGACCCCGGTGATTATTGTCGGCCCAATGGCAAACCTCCCCGTAGTGCCACGAAACCCTCTGCCGACTGAGCGACTCTGCACGTAACCCTAACCGGAGTCCGTAGGCTTTAACTGCCGTCCGGCAGATAGAGATCAGCTCAAGATGTAACCATCGCAGGATTTCACCACACGATGTCCCTGTGTAACACTATCGATGCTGAAACGGATGGGCTTTATCTTTGCCGAGTTCCGCGACAGCCTGATGCGATCATCTGGCTGCCGATCTCGACCACGCGCCTGTCGGCGCGGCGATCGCCATGCAAAGAATGCAATCTCATTAGAGAGAATGCCAAGATCATGCGTACGACCTCGCGATACCGAGTGCACCACGGTGTGATTTGAAGGACGGCGGTGAAGGGAAAGGGTCTGCTGCTAGCGCGAGTGTTACATTCCTTGATGGCGTGGTAGGAATGTAATCGATCTATCCATGCAGCAATTCACATCCGCAGGAAAATGACTACCGCAGATGATGGCCTCGATCGTGGTGTACCCTGAGATATATAAACTAGGTTGGTTCCCTTGGTTCCAGGCCTGATCCGACCATTTATCTAGGACCAACACGGAGGGAGAAATTGTTATCGCTGTCACCATGTCACCTGTTAGAGCTTTTGCGTTGATGTCTGCCGTCCTGCCTCTGTTGCACGGGGTACAGGCAGGATTTGACCCGGGTAGCTCGAACAACGTCGCTGTCTACTGGGGTATGTTCCTCGCCACATCGTCTCACGAAGGGCCCCTGAGCTGATGACTCGATATAGGTCAGAATTCGTACGGAAAGTCGACTGGAGAGTACGTCCAGAAACGTCTGGAGTACTATTGTGATAGTGGGCGATGACCCAGATCGATAACCATGAGACAAGTCGCTGACTCTGGCGCGCAGGCAGCGATATTGACGTCCTCCAACTCTCCTTCCTAACCACCATCAACGGGCCTGGTGGAGCTCCCGAAGTCAACTTCGCAAATGCAAGCGACAATTGCACCCTCTTCGAGGGTACTTCTCTTCTCAACTGCCCTCAAATCGGGTGCGTGCTTTTTTCTCCACTACATTTACCCCTTCTTTTCCATTATGCAGCACCTTTCCTCTGGAACTAACGCACCTCCAGCGCCGACATCAAAACATGCCAGAAGAAAGGCAAAACCATCCTTCTCTCAATCGGTGGCGCCACCTACAGCGAGGGAGGTTTCAACAGCGACGCTGCCGCACAGGCAGGCGCCAAGCTGCTCTGGGAGACCTTCGGGCCCGTCCCATCCGGCAACAGTTCTGTGAAGCGACCATTCGGCGACGCCGTCATCGACGGATTTGACCTAGACTTTGAAGCCGTTGTTAGACACATGCCTGCGTTTGCCAACCAGCTGCGCAAGTACTACACCGAGGACTCCTCCAAAACGTACTATCTCACCGCTGCACCGCAGTGCCCCTACCCGGACCAAGCGGACAAGGAGATGCTGGACGGAACGGTCTCCTTCGACGCGATCTGGATCCAGTTCTACAACAACTTCTGCGGGCTGAACTCGTTTGAGCCCGGCAAAGATAAACAGACCCACTTCAACTTCGAGACGTGGGACGAGTGGGCACACAACACCTCTCTGAATAAGAAGGTCAAGGTGTATGTCGGGGCACCTGGAAACACGGGAGCCGCAGGATCGGGCTACGTGGATGTGTCGAGAGTGAAGGAGATTGTCCAATATGTGAAGAAGTTTAGCAGCTTTGGAGGTGTGATGATCTGGGATGCCAGTCAGGTGTATGCCAACAATGGGTTCTTGTCAGGGGTGAAGGAGGCTGTGGGGTCGTCGAAGTCGGTTGCAAGAGAGTTTGTGGCATAGATACCCAGTGAGGATGAGATTTGACTTATGTTTTTTTTGTTATTCCTTTCTTTCTTCGTTTCTTCTTTTATTTTATTTTATTTTTATTCTTTTATCCTCCCCCCCCCACCCCCCCCCCAACCTTTTCCAGGTTACAAGGGCGGTATTTGCCATTCATGGATATATAGTTTACAGATTAACGCCAGTACATGTTTGAATTAGCCATGATATCCAGCACAGTTGGCCCGATGGTTGGAAGATATATGAACATAACTGAATCTAAGTGCAAGTTCAGCATTACTTAAGTATTGTAGTGCTAGTAACATAATTCTTATCATCAATTCATAATAAGAATTATATACTTCTACTTGTTTCATGCAGCAACTGCGTAAGACCCTATTTCGAACTAGTTCAACAGATATTTGATGTAAAGAAAGAAGGAATTTATTTCTTAAGGTCATCTTTTACATATAGAAAGTCCAATATTAATAGGGCTCCTGAATCTCCTTCCTAATCCGGTATTTGCACTAACTAGCAACCAGTGAACCAGCTGCCCATGTAAGCCAGCCACGCAACTTTGTATTGCATATTAAATAACCCTTCTTATGGCCTTAATATCTCAACATATCAAGAGGGCCTTGATTTTTCGAATCTGGATGCATATAGTATAGCAAATGTTGATATTGGCTGCGATGGCTTTAATTATATATTTTGTTCTATACATAAAAAATGAGGTTTAAATACTGCTGTATTTGGAATTTTCTTGTATTATAAGATAGAAATAAGGTTAAAAATCCCGAGTAAATTATACAAGTATTATACATTGCTTACATATCAGCAGCTACTTCTATTTTGCTGTAACTTATGTTGTTGTTCAGGTATTATGATTATAAAAGTACAATTTTATATGCAATACAGAGGTGCGCAAGTGGTTTACACGCGCAGGTGGTGTACCGGTTACGTTATTTGTATCTCATCGCGTTGTTGCGTTACATAAGCAGCGTTATCTCACAACCTCCAAAGCAGTCAAAACAGTCCAGAATGTGTCATAACACAATAACCCACATCGTAGCAATGGCGAACTCTCTGATGGCTACGGCTCTCCTATTGGGAGGGGTATCTGCAGCTCAATTGCCTCTTATCCAGTCATTCCGTGCTTCGCAAGACCCTATCGCGTCGGGAGAGAGACAGCTAGTTAGCTCCTCCGCCCTACAGGGGCACATTGATGCTAGTAACCTGCTCCAGCGAGCCAAGACGCTCTACCACATAGCGGAGCAGGGGTTCGATGAGTACAATCATCCCACAAGAGTGATTGGCAGCAAAGGTGTGTGTCATTGCAGTTTGCTGTCTATTTCCTTACTTATTTGTTAGGCCATGTTGCGACCCTAGATTACATCTACTCCACGATTGCCGGTCTCGACGACTATTACACCATCTCCAACCAGTCTTTCCCGGCCGTCACGGGTAATGTGTTCGAGTCTCGCCTGGTTATCGGCCATGCAGTGCCCGAGTCGGCTCATCCGATGGGGCTAACCCCTGCTACAAAGAACAAACAGCCTGTTTACGGCCCGCTGAAACTCGTGTCGAATCTTGGGTGCGACAAGTCTGACTACCCAGACCTCGCCGGCGCGGTTGCCTTGATCAGTCGCGGTAGCTGTCCCTTTGGAACCAAGTCTGCGCTTGCCGGACAGGCAGGCGCCGTGGCGGCAGTGGTCTACAATAACGAGAAGGGAGACCTTAGTGGAACTCTGGGCACCCCGTCGCCGGACCACGTCGCAACGTTCGGGATTTCCGACTCCGATGCGGCTCCCTTCATCCAGCAGTTGAAGGAGGGAAAGAAACTTGACTCGATCGCGTACGTTGATGCAGTCGTGGACACGATCTCCACCACGAACATCATCGCACAGACCCGAGATGGCGACCCGGAGAACTGCGTGATGCTGGGTGGCCACAGTGATAGCGTTGCGGAGGGCCCTGGTATCAATGATGACGGATCTGGCTCGTTAACCCTCCTAGAAGTGGCGACTCATCTCAGCCGGTACAATGTCAACAACTGCGTGAGATTCGCCTGGTGGGCTGCCGAAGAAGAAGGACTGCTGGGCTCTGACTACTACGTCTCGGTGCTGGATCAGGCCGAAAACCTGAAGATTCGGCTGTTCATGGACTACGACATGCTGGGGTCTCCCAACTTCGCCTACCAGGTGTACAACGCGACGAATGCGGTGAACCCGGTCGGATCGGAGGAGCTGCGTGATTTGTACACCGACTTCTATCGCTCTCACGGAGTCAACTTTACGTATATCCCGTTCGACGGACGCAGCGACTATGACGCGTTCATTCGAAATGGAATTCCCGGAGGGGGTGTTGCCACCGGGGCCGAGGGAGTCAAGACCGAGGAGGAGAAGGAGATGTTCGGTGGCGTGGCAGGGGCTTGGTTTGATCCTTGCTACCATCAGATCTGCGACACCGTCGCAAACGTGAACCTTACAGCCTGGGAACTGAACACTAAGGTATGTCCCCTGAGTATCATCCCTTGCCTCAGGCTAACCTGCGCAGCTGGTGGCTCATTCTGTGGCCACATTTGCCCGGTCTTTTGAGGGATTCCCAAAGAGATCGGAATTGAAGACTGATGCTGTGGATCGCAAGGTGTACAAGTATCGTGGCCATAAGTTGCAGATGTAATTCACTCTCGTGATTTTTAGTTCCCGTATGCAACTAGTGCTACGTAGAATTAATAAGATTATATGTCTTAACTTACTCCGTACTTTCCGTAACCTATAGAGGATTTCCCAATTGGATACAATTGACGATAAAATTATTCCATTGTGGCGGGATGGCGTGATTTAGGGAATAATATCCTGTAGTTAATACTTCGTGTCTACTATACACTAGGACAATGCTATATAGAAGTTGTTCATTTGGCTTAATATAATCTATAGCCTGTCTGAAGACGCTTTGGCCAAGATGGATGCTATTAAGCACTGGGTATTCATGCCCAGGCAGCGACTGATGCCTGGAACTACACCATTCTCCGGCTCTATTCCTTCTCTTGCTTGTCTTCCATCCTCTTCCTCATTCCTCCATAATTCCACATCGATTGAATCTAATCCACGTCCGTCCCGGTAAAAGTTCTCAACTGGCAATTACCTCATGCACGGGCATCGGGGCCGCACTCGAACAGTATACCCGCCTGGATAGTCGTTCTTATGCCATGACGAGGATGAAGACCAAGAGCGAATCCTCCAGAACTAATTATGCACCAGTCGACAAGTCATGGGAGAACCCTCCCACCGGGAGTATGGGATCCATAGCGCGGGTGTCGTGTATTCGCAAATTTATTCCCCCAATATTAACGATTTTTCAAATATTCGAAAAAGTATACTCAGACAGTTTGATTTTTATCGACGAGCAATCCTTGAATAGATGACAGCGCGATTGTGTTGAATGGGTACTACAGTCCGAAACTAGCTGAGGCTACCCGTGTGTCCATGGACAGAGCCAATTTGACTCTCAGTGCTGCTATTGGTGGTTTCTTTGCTGTCTTGGTGCCGGACATTGAGAATGTGAAGATCACCCCGGAAAGCATGCAAAGGTTTAAAATGAAATGGTTCTGATTGGTCTACCGGCAGCTGCCGCATCTTGCAATGTCTCTAGAGCTCAAGCTTCTACTATGATATTGATTTCGTTTGTCTGTCTTACAGACGAAGTCAAGAATGATCTAATTGTGAAACTCGGGACGTCAAATGAAGTTTCAAATGTGGAAATCCTGAATTGCCCTGAGGACAAAGAGCCATGTTCCCGAACAGAGCTATACCGGATATTTCAAGCTGTCAAACCACCATGTCATGGAGTTGACCAATCGTTCGCCATGTACATCGATACCGCCGACAGTGGAAGGGTCATGATGTCCTCGTTGCAAAGGAAACGACAAATCAAGAAGAGAGCGCAAATAACTCAATCAAACTTTCCTGTATTCAAGTTCTTGGCCACGTCTTGAAATACTGGCACGCAATCTGGAACCCATTTCTAGCCGGACAGAAGACAATCAGGGTGAACAACGCCAGAGGCAATCTGAACGTCTTTGACAGCGGGTTGCTCGGGACGTCACCGAGACTGAAAAAGTGGTCGATCACGACAGGCTTGTGATCGTCGGCGGAGATCGTCCGCCCTTTGTGTTGAATGATACGACAGAGCCGAGTTCAACCTTGTGCCAAACGATTCGCTATGGATGCGATGAAACCTTGCAATTTATGGATGCAACTAAACGAATCGAAACCCCGGGTATTGAAGGGTTAACAAGGCCTTCCAAATAAGAGAATTTTGTTAAGACTGATCCACAGATTTCCGCCACTTTCTTGCTGTCGAGCAGGAAACATTAGAATGGGCCAAAATGGCACCGAGGACCGCCGCTATGACAAGAGATGACTTTGCCCCTGGCTTCGAAGAAGACCATCCATGTCTACTACGAACAAGAGGGTAGTGGAGATCCTATACGTCCCACTATGTAGGCTACGAGTATGACAGGGTAACGATTAACGATGCAATTTCGTACTGGATAACTTGATGTGGGAAACATGAGCTTCTGGGGGATGTCCGAAGGGTGACGGGTACACATGTTGGAGTTTTCTCCAGGATTGGGCCAGACAGAATGAGGATTTACTCAACATATAGATACTGTGACACAAAAGGTGTAATAACTATCTTGAGAATTGGAACCTTCTCCGATTCCCATCATTATCCTTGTATGTATTATTATATTAAAATGAGCACAAGCAACATAATATAGTTTATTGTTTTCCCCCCTTCTCATGATGTTGGCTAGAGCCTAGATAATATGATATTTCTAAGTCCGTCACCTAAGCCCTTCAGATTAAGAAGTGGGAGAAGTGGCACTGGACATCTAAACTGGAAGTGACAACAATCCTGGTCCATTTCTGTATGTTTCACCGCCTCTTCAATCACAAACAATCTGGGCAACCCATCAAGACTCTGATGAAGAGCACAATATACACTGATTTCTATCATCAAATCTACAGCACGTCTTCATGAAGTCTGTGATCTCGACTCTCCTGTCGATTCTGGTGGCCTGTTTGCTCCTTCCACCCGGACAACAGAGACATAACCCCCAGCCCCTTGCTACAGTCGCAAATGGAACGCTGGTCGGAGTGCACAATGCAGACTATAACCAGGACTTCTTTCTTGGTATCCCGTACGCACAACCTCCTATCGGTCCGCTCCGATACAATCATCCCAGACCGATCAATGAATCCTGGCGTTCACCACGACCCGTCACTGTTTATGGCTTCTGGTGCCATTCCGCGCCTCTCTCCCTTCCTGGATTTACTCAACATGGATTCCCACACGACGAGAACGAGGACTGCCTCACTCTGAATGTGGTGCGACCGTCTGGGGTGGATTCCTCCTCCCGACTTCCAGTACTAGTGTACATCCACGGCGGGGGCTTACAAGAAGGAGGCAGCGCAGACCAGCGATACAATATGTCCTTTCTGATCCAGGAATCGACGAACATGGGTCTAACTACGATCGGGGTTAGTTTGAACTATCGACTCTCGGGGTTTGGGTTCCTGTCTGGTCGCGCCGTCAATGAATCCGGCGTCGCGAACCTGGGCCTGTATGACCAGCGATTGGCACTCCGCTGGATCCACGAAAACATCGCTGCGTTTGGCGGTGATCCATCGCGGGTCACGATCCAGGGAGAATCCTCTGGAGCGCTTTCCGTGGGATATCACCTCCTTGCGTATGACGGACGAGACGACGCACTCTTTCAAGCTGCAATCGCCCAAAGCGGTGGGCCTCTTAGCTCGGCTCGACTGGCGCCGCTGCATGAGCAGGAGGACATGTATCAGGGTGTCCTCAATGCCACTGGCTGTGCAGATGCAGACAATACTCTGGAATGCCTGCGGTATGCACCAGTGGGTTTGCTAAAGTCGTCCTTTCAGCAGAAGTTCTTCTTCCCGGTGATTGACGGTGGGTTAGTCGCCGGGTATCCTTCGATTGCACTGCAAGAAGGGAGGTTCACCAAGGTGCCTTTAATTATAGGGACAAATACTAATGAAGGAGCGGGCTATATTGCTGTGGGATCCTTCGGCGCTATCAACACCTCTGCGGACTTCAGGTCCGTTATTACTGGGTTTGGACCAGGGAAATACGTTTCCAATATTACTATTAGTAACCTCCTTGACGAGTACCTGACGAAGGTGTCTATAGAAGAGGTTCAGGCCAACCTCGGAACTGTACGTGTTTCTCCGGGGCCAACTTATGGGACTCTATACGGACAGAGTACGCTATACATTGGGGATTATCTCTACAATGCACCGAAACGATACAGTGCGCGCATGTGGGCACAGCAAAGGGTACCGGTGTATAGCTATCGCTTCGATGTCGTGCCCAATGGTATCTCACCTGAAGTCCTGGGTGTTGCCCACTTTCAGGATGTCGCTTTCGCATTTATGAACCTGGGTGGTGTGGGATATAACACAAACCCTCTATCTTCGGCAGATAAGAGACTCGAAGCACAATATCGCGAGGTCAGTCGACTGATGGGACGCATGTGGCTCAGCTTTGCAAACACGCAGTCGCCCAATCATCATCAGGGTAGGTTGCCATATTGCTTATCATCTGTGGACTTGCACTGACAGAGCGCAGACGACCGTTTCGACGTTCTCTGGCCTGTATACGAAACCCAGTCAGCGGTAAATCTTGTCTTCCACCTTCGGAATACCTCCTTCGAGCCCGACACTTGGCGACTGGGGCCGCTCCAACGGATTATCGATGCATTTGGAGAATACCGATTCTAGCAATGCCTTTCATCCGACTAGATTCAATTGACATTCATTATACGAGCCCCTCGCGGACAGAGATCATGCCGATAAACAAACTCTCCCTGTGTGTAGACTTGCAGATTGGGGACTGCTTTGTGATAATGTAACCCTCCAAGGCACTGCAGAGTTGCAGTCTCTATGCCATATCGCTTTTTCGGAATGAAGATCTCGACAGTCATCCTCCACCGGGCAAGCCGGATATCTCCGGCGAATTGAAGACACGCTGACCTGTCGATCTTGACTCCATGGACAGTTAGGTCCCTCTTCCCCGCACCGTCTTGTCGAAAAGACGGTAATACAATTTGCTGGATACGCAAGGGCCCGTGACAAAGTTTCCAAGGTGCAGATGGCTGTCAACTGTGTCAAGTTTCATCATAATCCAGCTGCCTTGTTCTGTTGGATTCCATCCCCACTGGACCGGTTAGAGCTGTCGATACGAACGTCCGGAATACCACCTCTCTGCTGATGGTTTAATTTGCCTGGAGTTAGTCGTTAACTAATATCAAGCGACGGATCGAACAGAGATAGGGAAATGCAAAATGAGTACCGTTTCATCCCCACAGACCCACTGCCCCTAGGTCCTTGATTATTCCCTGTACCGGCGGCAAAGTTTCAAGCCATTCCAGAACGACAGGAATATTCAGGTGAGACCAATTCTTGGAAATATTTTTCGTTTCTCGTTATCGACAGATCGAAACTCCCATGCCCGAGCTTTTTCCTGAAGCCCCGTAGGCGCCGATGTAGCCGGGTGTAACAATTCCTACTACGGGGCAACTTCTCCTTTAATTTCCCGCTGAGACGAACCTGCAAAATTTCTGTTATGCACAGACTGCATTTGCGTTCGCCTAATAACTCCATTTCTCCAGACTCACAACACCCGAAGTTATACTCGGTGTTAAGCCCGCTGTTATCTATGGTGCGATTAATCAGACGACCCTCTGTAGATCACCCACCACTTGAACTGAGCAGGGATTAATTCTACGATTGGGCTCTTACACGCTGATCTAGAGGAGAACCTCTGTTGATCCGATACGGGGCGTGTCTCGAGATCTCTTACAATGCTACGGGGCCAGGGTCTACATGTTACCTAATAGTGGACTGATGGAATCCTCACCTTAGGTATTATGATCGACAGCTGTGGAGGTAACTATCCTGTCTGAAGCCATCCAACGTCGTATCCATTGTCATCGAATGCTACTCCGTGCTTTGATTTTTTCCTCATGATAATGAAGTACTCTGGGCGGGTCAAGCAATTGAAGACCAAAGGTATAAAGTTGTCTTGCCGCCTTGTTGGTAGATAGTATTCAATAGACAATATTCCGTCTCGAAACATTAAAGGCTGTGACCTGAAAAACTTCTCTGCAAGATGCATCTCACCACTTACTTACTCGCTGCCTTGGCCACTGCCAGCACGGCTATGGCTCACATGGAAATGATACGTCCCTACGCATTGAGGAGTCAATATGACCCCAAGGTCAGTGAAGGAGACAAGGATTACGACAACACCAGCCCTCTGAACTCGGATGGTAGGCTCACCCCTCTCTAGCAGACTTTTCCATGCAAAATCTAATATAACATCAGGGTCCAACTTCCCCTGCCGCGGCCACCACAAGGACACCCCCTGGCGTACGGTGGCAAAATACCAAGCCGGCCAACAAGACTACATGGAACTGGCGCCTGGAACCAACCATAAGGGCGGCTCATGCCAGATCTCCCTCAGCTACGACAACGGACAGACATTCCGTGTGATCCAGTCGTACATGGGCGGATGTCCACTGGAGCTGAAGTGGGACTTCACGATCCCGGCCGACGCGCCCGCCGGCAAGGCCCTGTTCGCGTGGAGCTGGTTCAACCTCGAAGGAAACCGGGAGATGTATATGAACTGTGCGCATGTCGAGATCGAGGGCGGATCGGCGTCCTCGCGGCGTGGATCATCCTGGGGCAAAACGCAGAGCTTCAACCAGTTGCCTGAGATCTTCGAGGCGAATATCGGGAATGGATGCTCGACGGTCGAGTTCAAAGAGACGGTGTTCAAGGAGCCTGGTGAGAACGTTGCTTACGGTGGTAATGTTCATCAGGGAGATGCTCCATTCCCCAAGTGTGGGTCGAACGTCTAGGTAATGCGTGGTGTCGTGATGTGGTGATGAAGGCTGGGGAGGTTAATGATGCTGGTCATTGTGGTTGATCTGTTCATTTCTGTGGATTTGGGAACTATGTATGCTCTTGCACCGGAGGTTGATCCTGCATAGTTACTTTTAAGGAATATACGCACCTTTTTTATCTTATTCTACATATAAATTCTTGTAGTTCCAGATTTGAGAGACTAGAACTGTCTACAATCTTGACTAAAGCGAATCCTGCTGCGTCGCCTGACAACCGTGTCCTGATAGATTACATCTACAGCTTTGATAGAATCCCATCAGGCCGCAAAACAGAAAGATAAATTTTCCAAATATCACGAAATCAACTGACACCTAAACAAATCAGCAGCAGTACTTATCAAAACATCAAAACTAACCCTGCCAAAACCATAGAGATTCCCGACTCAGAATTTTATATAACAGTCAGTTCAACACCTTCTCATCCATCATACTACTTACCCATTTGCAGTTAGAATGACCATAACTATTCAGGGTCATCATCGCCTGTAGATTATGTCTGAGCCCTTCCAGGTCCATACGGAAAATGAGATTTATAAGCTGTAATAATTCTATTTGTATATCTACTAAACGAACACAAGATCCCAGCAGTGAGTGGGCCGGAAATGATAAGAGGCAGGCCAAATAACCACAGCGGTTATAGAGGTACCTTTTAGCGGAGGATGCATTGGTTATTTTAGGGTCAATGAAGGATCTGTCAGGTAAGTACCTTTGATGACTACTCGAATATGTACCATAGTGATTTTGACTGAGGACAAACCGGCGTTGACAGTGAGGACGAACTTGCCAGCATTAGAAGAGGGAAATGAGAGATACCGACACCGGGACAAACATCAACACCAGACCCAGTTATGAAAAAGTCCAACAAGGAGATTAAATGCTCTATTGTCGTCGCATTCCAGCGTCTCGCTTGCGAGGTTTCGGGATGTTGGCTGCTGGTGACATCACACCGCCGACGTAAAGCATGCAGCGAAATGGATACAGTATCAAGTTTCCAGAAATAGCTCGGGCTCCAAAGCATACCATACCACTCGTGTGCGGACTTGCCCGTTTATATCTTATGCTTGTTTTTTCAAAATGAAGGATAAGCGGATACGACTTTCGCGGCTTCGCACCCTGGCCGAAGTCATCGACAGACCAAAACCCCATGGGAATCAAAACCGTCGCACTTTTCAAATATTGTAGAGCAGCTACAGGCTTAACTGCACCATGCGAGCCTAGAAGAATCTACTTGCGATGCTCCACAGAAGCTCCAACGAGCAGCTACTTACATCGCTGCTGGTGAGCTTCCTTTTTTTTCTTTCTTTCTTTCTTCTTCTTTTTTTTTTTTGAGGTCCCAACTAACTTCGTTCAGCGATGCTCTCCTACTTGATGTCATCTGGTGCAGCACGACCGAGGGAATTTGGACATCAAGCCCCGACTCCTCGTTGAGCCTCATACCCACCATAGACAAAAGGAAATGTACAAAGCTCGTCAGTTCTCACAAGCGCTTATATTTCTTGCAGGTCACTGTGGAACTCCTGGGCTCATCTGCTACTCCCATTTGAACAACATAATTTAAAGACAGAACTTAGACAGGCTACAAGCGGCCGGCCCGGGGTATGGTGCATCCGCGTTATTGACTTGTCTCAAGCTTGAGGGCTCTCTGGAGAAATCCTACCCGAAGCATTCCTGCAACGTGGATGGTCTGAAGAATCTTACTTTAACCTTGAGCACGTCAGCTGGATTGCCATGGTGCGCCACCTCATTTTGGACTGTCGCCCGCAGATATAGACCCATAATAGATAGCAGAGTTGCGGAGAGCGTGTTTTAATGGTATAAAAACAGTGGCGCAAAATACTGCCTCTGCAATGAGCCAGATTTGGATAGGGAGGGGTATGTGGCCGAGGAATGTTGGAAGGTATAAGAACTGACAGGTGATTAGCTGAGCGCTATACAAGATACTGATAAGTGCAATGCTGTGAAGAAAAAATATGCAGACCCGAATAAAAATATACTCGGCGGGAGATGTTCCGATCATGATGATAGCTTTTAATTTTATGATAGTGTGTGCAATAGATAAGTTAACAATAGTCATCAGCAAAGAGTAAGATAAAATGTTCTTTTCAGTTGTGGCCAGCGAACAAAGAGAGCACATACCAACATGTGATTATGCGTGACGTAACTTTGAAGTAGGAGTAGGAGGGTGAGACCAGAGGGCGGGAGTTTATTCTAAGTTTAAATTAGGATTTCAGCAACAAGCCGAATATTTAGCTAGGGTTTTAATTGCTAGTTAAATACTGTAGTGACATCATCAGTTGGCAGCTAACTAGATAATTGTCAGAATGATAGGCGTAATTCTATGAGAGTTTGAATATTCTCTGTATTCATGATTGTGTTATGTTTTATGTTGACCCCTCGTCTTGTCATGATTATTTCACATGATTTCCCAATACCGGTATGGACTAGTTATATTCTGACAATAATATATACTTTGGAAATCTTACTCCTTAGCTTTCGACTTCTCAATTGGCAGACGCTAATGGTATCAGTTCCGATATATTCTCCATACCCTGTTAAATCCCGCCGTTGCTCTTCGGCCAGACAAACAATTATGCCTACCCGAGATGAGATTCAGCGAATGTCTGCTGATCTTCCTGAAGAAGATTCTTATATTATCACCAATGTCATCTCGATTGACGCACCTCTAGATTTCGTCTGGGAAAACTTACCCAGGAACATTGATATGAGCCAAATAATGCTGCCTTACCTAGGCTTGCCAGGCGCAAGGACATGGGTCACATCCGAGAATTTCAACGAAACAGGCTCTAATATCACGTATACCATGACTGACGACAGTACAATTGAGGAGGTCATAATAAAGCGGGATGTAACCTCTCACCACTACGTATATGCATGCTTGCCGCGGATAAAGTTTTTCGATTTTTGGCAGGGTAACCTGTACTATAAAGACTCCGGAAACGGAAAGACCACTGTGGTATGGCGGTATTGGCCAAAACTGAATGACAAATTTCTCAGCAAGGTTGTCGTTGCACGCCTTTTAAAGCTCTTTATATGGAAAAGTAAGTTGAACACCTAGAGGTAGAGAAGAAAACCTCAATAAGAATAGAGGGAATCGCTTAGTAGGCTCAGTTGGTTGAGATACTGCGATCTCTGGTGTTTCCACCGATGACATCTGCTTCCTAGTAACATTTTCAAGCGGTATATCTTCTCAATAGCTTTTTAAAACCACTAAAGTGCACTGTAATTATTCTTACTTCTTACTTGGCTTGCTAGTCTTAAACATTGAAGAGAAGAGCTCTCACACAGCTGTAGAGTTTTGGTCATGGTTCGAGGGGTATTTTTGATAGTGCAGCACCATTAAGTTTGAGCCGATTTTATTAATTTCGGCCGTCTTAAACACACCACACATAAAAGCTCTTGCACAATTCGATCCATCCCCTAGATTCTAAACAGCCAACAGAGACATATGTTCGTCAAAGTCCCCCTAAAAATGGCAGTGAGTCCGAGAATCAGTGCTTCGAAGAAATTACTCGGAGACCAGCAGAGGTAGGATGAGCTTCTGGATCTAATAAGAATGTATTAACAGCTTGACAGCAAGCTCAGCGGAAGTGAGATATGGGCGCCGTGGCCATTAAGAATTAAGAGCCGCCAACGGCGCCGCGCCTTCGCCTTTGTTTCGCGATTGAATATAGTAGTAAGCCACGCGTAACCCATCTTATTATTTATCCAGCTACTAGGTGATGATGTAAAGAAACAGGCATGCTTACTAGGATTAAAATCATGAAGCCAAGTATCTTAACATCTCCGGAGACGGCCTGGTAAATCAGACCAGTTCAAAGAGATGTCCTATTAGCACAAATACATGTAATTGTAGTAATCTACTCCCTATTCCCATCTTGAAGTTGTTGTCTAATCCCACCCTGCTCATACCGGCGTCGTGAAAAGATCCTTTTACATTTTAATAGTACTCTGATAAGAAAGCCTTTCTTTATTAATATTGAACATATCTCCAGGCTTAATCCCATATTCCTTAATCTTTCTGGCTATAAGTTCAAAGTATAATATATACTTGTAGGCAGAATTAGCCCCTTTGCGTGAAGAATCAATCATAGTGGTATAACAAGAAATAAGCTTATTGTCACAACCAGCACTTTTTTCATCTCCACCGTCGTCAATCTTCTTTGTCTGGTTCTTTCTTTGAATTGATGGAGGAGCAAACGACGTCTCTCTTCCATGGGAATCATGCGGCTATGCTCAAGAAATCTAATATTTTCTGCTGCGGTGGACGGCAGCTGCTGACTCCATCGTACAACTCATCGCCACACATCTCGCGACCTCGTTGCGTGCCACCACATCCCTCCTACAGATCCTATACTACAGTTCATGGCTTCTCCGAGCCAGACCTATCGTGGCGTACTCGAAGAGTCAGTTTTACGAACTAGTCAAGGTCTACCATCCAGATCGACCGTGTCACGGCCGCCCGTTCTGTAGGGACATCTCGCCCGAGGTGAGACTGCAGCGGTACAGTCATTCTCGAAATCGGCTTTACCAGTAAACATCTGATGATTCATTCCCAGCCCCACTGCCAAGACCTTACTCTGAATCGATTATTGAGCCATTAGCTTTTAACTGAAGATTGGCCTTAAGCTTGGTCTGGTATGGAACATGAAAGATAGAAGACTTAAGTTGTTTACAATACATGTAGTTAATTGTTCAAAACTCGACATATCCATGGTGCCACAGTGATCTTGTGCAAACCACAGGTTGATCGTTTCTGGCCGCCAGAGCCAAGATACTAACTACCAAATTTGGGCCCCAAAAAGCGGCATCCGTATCAACACAGTCTTTCCTACTAGTCTTTCGTACGGTGTGTGAATAAGTGGCTGATGAGCCACTGCTTACAAACCCAATCATTGAATGACAGCCAAGCGGGCACAGAAGTTGGTAGTAACACCTCATGTATTATTCTACCCCTAATAGAGCAAGTTTAGAATTTCATGGCCTTTTCAGACCCTAAGGTAAGGGCATTCAAGGGAGCGCGAGAGTATATATTAGTGCACTAGTTACATAAAACTGAGATAAGAGAGACCCTTCCCGACGCATGCCCAAGAGCAATAATACCTTCTTTCACTGTAAAGCAGGTGGGGCGATACTCAGGGGGAAGCCACAGCATCTTTTTACCATAAAGACATACCCATTGACGCCCAAGTATAGACACCTCAACACTTATTTTAGACAATTCAGAAGCATTGCGGGCATACTGATATTGAGCACAGAAGGCTCCCAGATCAGTTATTAAATGCGGGCTATCTTTCGAAAATTCAAGGTCATTGACCACTCTCCCAACAGTCAGAGTATGTTTCAGTTTTCCTATAAGGGGATCCCAAAGTTTAATGGTCCTATCATCAGATCCTGATGCCAGCACTTTGCTATCTGGTGAGAAAGCTAGACAATTAACCCAATCTGAGTGGCCCTTAAGGGTCTGCTGCAGCTCGCCCGTGGTGGGATCCCAGAGCTTGATCATCTTATCATCAGAGCCTGATGCTAACATTTGGCCATCAAATGAGAATACTAGAGACCAAACTGTACCTGAATGACCCTCCCAGGTCTGTTGCAGTTTGCTCATGGTAGTATCCCAGAGTTTAATAGTCCTATCAGCAGAGCATGATGCTAGGACTTCACTATCTGGTGAAAAGGTTAGAGCATTAACCCAATTTAAATGTCCTTTAAGGGTCCGCTGCAGACAACCTGTCGTGGTATCCCAGAGCTTAATGGTCATATCATTAGAGGCCGATGCTAGTACTCGGCCATTCCGTGAGAAGGCTAGAGAGTTAAGTGAATCTGAATGGCCTGTAAGGCTCTGCTTTACTTTACCTGTGATGGGATCCCAGAGCTTAATGGTTCTATCAGCAGATCCTGATGCTAGCACTTGGCCATGTGGTGAGAAGGCTAGAGAGTTAATCCAATTTGAATGTCCCTCAAGAGTTTTCTGTAGTTCGCCCGTCGTGGTATTCCAAAGTTTGATAGTCCTATCATCAGAGCCTGATGCCAGCACTTTGCCATCCGGTGAGAAAGCTAGACAATTAACCCAATTTGAGTGACCCTCGAGGGTCTGCCATAGCTTGCCCGTGGTGAAATCCCAGAGCTTGATGGTCTTATCATTAGAACCTGATGCTAGTACTGGTTTATCTTGTGAGAAAGATAGAGAGCAAACAGAATCTAAATGGCCTTCAAGGGTCTGCTGCAGCTCACCCGTAGTAGGATTCCAGAGCTTAATAGTTCTATCATCAGAGCATGATGCTAGGACTTTACCATCTGCTGAGAAGGCTAGAGATCGAACTAAATCAGAATGGCCCTTAATGGTTTGCTGCAATTCGCCTGTGATGGGATCCCAGAAATTGATAGTGCTATCGTAAGAGCCTGATGCTAGTACTTGGCCATCTGGCGAGAATGCTAGAGACCAAACTGTGCCTGAATGTCCCTCAAGAGTCTGTAGTTCTGCGCTCCAGAGCTCCTCTGTCTTTGGTAACCTGCATATCCAACTCGGTAGCTCTTTATTAAAAATGTTTCTAATTATTGAGGTTCTGGGAGCAAATGCAACCCCTGAAGAGTAGAGTTGAAGGGGTGCAATATCCGCTATCTGTCTGTTCTTAAGAACGAATCGTCTCGCATCATGAAGGAATTCTGATATCATAGAATTTTGATCACCCTATAGCTTTTAGTAAAAGAGTGGTGGTGGAACAATTTTTAGATTAACTTACCTTTACAACAGACTGCAATCTATTGACTATTTGTACAACTTTAGATATATTACCCAAAACACTCATTGCCTCCACCCAGTGAAGGAAATGCGCTTCAAGAAATGAGAATACCTTATCAATCTCAACGACTTGGTCCTGACTTTCTATCAGGTGCTGTGGCCAATAACAACAGGAGTATCGCAATTCCAGTGGCAGATAATGGTTTAAAGAATGTATGTTAATCTCAGTGCGTTCTGTACTATCACCTGGTAAGTAGCAGATGTTCTTCCTCAAGCTATGGTGCATGATGTGTAGGCATTGGATAGTGATAAACTTGTGCATCTCTTTCTTATTTATCCACAACGGTGTTTTATCGCGTATGTTCACGTCAAGCAGATACTCTCGGAACGACAGATGAAAAAGTCTAACTAGCTGAGTATCATCGTTTGGTACGGAAAGTACTGAGTGTAATGAATCTAGTCTAATGCGAATTGTTTCCTTCGGAATACCAGTAAGTTTTGAAAGTGAAATGATTGGGAGTGGAGCCTCAAGAACAAGTATTGTTCCAATTATTTTTCGGTATTCTTCAATCAATTTCTTTTTCTTTACCCCGTTCTGGTTAATTAAAAGTCGGTTCAGGACAGGTAGATATGTCCCATCCAGCCTGGAGTTGTCACTTTGATGTGAGAGGATCTCGTTTAGGCTATCTGCAGGGTGCCATTGTGGATCCTCAAATATCCGGCACACAGTGGCGGCGAAGATAAACAACGGGACCGACATCTTAACCAAAGCCGCAACGTTATCATCTCCTGGCCAGTCAAGAGGAATCTCGCTTCCTCTTCTTGAGAACTCCTGTCTAATTTGCGAAAGCCTGTGATGAAGGAATAAAGATATGTCCCGTTCAATAACAGGCTTGGGAGTCTCATGAAGAACAAAGTGCTGATAGTCATTGGCAATGTCCTTGAATCCCAGCCTGATTGGCAACTCAGGTCTGCTTGTCAATAAGAACCGGAGTCGTACAGAAGTTGACCTCTGGACTTGTGGTAGGAGTTGGAGAATAAGTCGTATATCATCTTCCTGCTCGCATTCATCCAGTGCGTCAATCACGATCGCCACTGTTGCAGTTGGACCCTGTTTTACTTCTAGCAGTGGCTGGAGGAGTAGCGTATCAAACTGTTCCTTGAGCACCTTTTCTGAAATATTATTGTTATTCTTAATTGCCTTTTGGATGTAAGGGATCAGTTGGGGTATGCTGGTCACCAACTGTTCTATAAGTGTTGGAAAAAGTCTCTTTGCATTTGACCGATCCTCCTCACCCCGCTTGAAGAAGAAGCTGGCTCCCAGTAACCGTTTTTCTTTAAGAATCCTTGCAACTGTTCGGGAGATTGTTGATTTGCCAGTCCCTGCCATGCCATTCAACCAAAAAATGCATTTTCCATGGGCTAATTGCATCCACTCTTCGATATCGCGAAGTAGTTCGATTCGGGTTCCTGGAAGGCATTCCTGATGCTGATTCTCATAAGAATCAAATGCTGCTCCCTTCGCAGTCTGTAATCTGCCTGAAAGAATTCTCTCTTCAATATGGTCGATGGACCTCCTAAAATAAAGCAAACGTAAGTTATGCGCCTGCAAAGAGCTCATATTCCCAAACATACGTCTGATCAAGCTGCAAAGCCAAAGTGAACAATGACTTGTACCTCTCAATACGTTTTATAGTCTCATCTACCTCCGTGCGTTTCAGGGGCCATTTGAGGGCTCGGAGCCCCCATCTCTTCATTGTTATCCCCGCCATTTCTGAATTGATCTTCGTCTTCAAAATTTCGAGTGTTGAAGAGCATTCCTTGACATCATCGAGTAGCGCATTGGAAGAGTTAAATTTTTCGCTATTAGATCTATCAAGAAGCGTGTTAAGCTTTCTGAGCACTCCTGCAAGGCCATCAATCTCTTGTTGAAGGTCGAGAATATCTCTCTTGGCAATTTTGACATCGTTAATATAGTCTCCTAAAATTTTCGCAATGCAACTGGCCAACTGAATTACAGCAATAACGCTTCCTGCACCAGAAAGGGGTTCCATCATGCAAAGGTCTTAAGGAACTAAAGCTGTGAAATGCTTTCTTTGAACTGGTTCAGGATAGCAGGAAACTGGAATAATCATCATTCACAAAAATTTATGGCGTACAAACCGCCTATTTGTAAGAAAGAGGGGTAGGGGGTGAGGTGCAAGGCTGTGTGAGGAGGAGTTATTATTGGTGCTCACAGAAATCCTGGCACAAAGGTTGACTTGCGCAAAGCAAGTTTGTTTAAGAAGCGTATGACGCCTGATTCGTGAGACAAATCTTAAACCAGAAGTTAGGCTGCGGCATGTATCAGGCAACAATATCATAGCGATTCCGAAATCCCAGGCTGAGAATAGGCCTATATCAGCATATGATCACATGATGGATACCGAAGGTAAAATATCTGTACAGAATAGGAAGAAGTCATTCTGTGTATACCAATTTTAAGGCTAGTATCTTAGCTACAGCGCTCAAAATTATTATTTGCCTGCACTGCAAATCCCCCGCTCCTACTCAAGCAGGCAAGAAAGGCTCTCACTTCTGTTTAGGGCTGTTGACGATATCCGCCATATATTAAGTAATTATATAGATTAACAGCGTAAAGGGCCCCCATTGCCCTTATTACCCCTATTGTCCCTATTGCCCCTATTGCCCCTATTGCCCCTATTGTCCCTATTGTCCCTATTGTCCCTATTGTCCCTATTGTCCCTATTGTCCGTATTATTCCTATTAACCCTATTATCCCTACTATCCCTACTGTCCCTACTGTCCCATTACACTGGCAATTCCACTCGGACTCTTAGTTACTCTATTATTTAACAGTAGACTACTACTTCCTATATATACTATCCATTAACATTAACATCCTTATTGTTTCACAGTTAATTGAGTGTCTTCAGATTCCTAGTATATCCCTTCCTGTATTGAATAGCCTTTCCACCATAACCTTAGAGGCTGGGATTGCTAGATAATCTCTCGCAGCTGTAGCCATCCGGGGATATTCATCCTTGTTTATCCTCCACCAATTGCATAACCAATTTGGATCCTTTATATCAGTTATATTGACCCGGGGTTAAAATAGCGATTAATATTAAAAAGTAATGGTTAATTTCATGGCTGTAACACTTTTAGTAACCGGGACTTTATATTACTGTAATTAGTACTGCACTCTAGCAAAGATTATGCTGTTAGTAAGCTTAATTTTAAGTTACTATTTATATTAATTAGGTAATTATAGTAAAGGTTATCCTGGAGAGATTAAAGGATTTTCCTCCTGGTATCTTTATCTTCCAGTTCCTCCAGAAGCAGATCACCTTTAACTCGGGGATCCAAGATAAGCGCAGTGTAGTTTATGTTAAAAGTATTTATAAAAGTATAATACTTTTTATACTTCTTTATACCCTCCTTCACGGCTAATAATATATCCTTATTAAGGTCTATAAACCTTTCCTTGCGCTTAGAAGCCTCATCAAGTAAATCATAGAGTTCATAGTAAATTGGGACAGCAAGGCTGATCTGAGTTTTTTTTTTTTCCCAAAACAAACAGAGTCAATTTATTGAATTTAGAAAGGACATTGTGGATTTGGGAAAGCTGTGACATGTTATGACCTACGAAACAGAGATGGAAATGAAGCCAAATCAACTCTATTCGGTGCCTGCAACGAGAATACTAGGCATGGAGAGGAAAGGAAGAGAGTCAAGGTGAGCAATGGAGTATATATCTCCATTGCTACCACGCTCCATGGCCGAACATAGTAGTTGGAGCAAACGACGAACAACGCAAACTGATATCGCAAACCAACATTGCAAACTATCTGCGTAAACCAACGCTGCAAACCAACGCCGCAAACCAACGCCGCGCCGGTCGTCACACACAGCTCTCTACGGGAGTTAAGCAGTTAAACCCCATATTACTTTTTAGCACCGCGTTTTAGGTATCTTTCTCGCAGTAGAAACGATGAAATGGAGAAGAAAGGTGGCAAGATAGAACCTATAAAAGCTATCTCCCTCTATGCAAACGAGCTAAGTTCTGTCATCTTTTGAGTCCAGTCGGGCTTTCGGGACAAGAATAGGCTGCTTTTGAATCTTCCGGGATAGAGTGCGGCTCCCTGCCGTCTACCGAGCGGTCCAAGTTCTGTGCTCCGCCTATGATGTGGTCGAACAGGTTCAGAGACGTGGAAGCTACGATGTTGACGAGCAACAATGTCAAGTTGCTTAACTGTACAATGGAGACGGCCATTAGGCCTGGAACTCTTACCAAGATAACCACCGACAATCTTGAAGTCACCAGTGCCGTCATTTGAGCATCTTCAGATGCAGTGGAATCTCCCCATTGTGGCTCCTTGGCTAGTGCTGCAGACGGGGCGTATTTCGAAGATAGTGAGGACGAGGATGACAATGAGGCTTTCGGTATATGAAATCAAGTGACCCACCTCTGTGTTACTTATATTAATAACAACTAACTTGTCCTGCTTGATTGTTTTATGAACTTTGCTTTCACTAATATAAACTCTAATGTATGTTAGTACCGAAACGAAGACGCTATATCCTGTATTCCTATATGTTGTGCTCTTAAGGGCAGAATAGTGGTGTAGAAGAGAGATACATATGAAACTAAGCGAACTTTCAAGGAGAAAAGTGGCAAGGAAAGCAAGAAGAAGGGTGGAAGAAAAGGTATATCATTCTGTATGTATGCTCAGCACTGTTATTGTATAGAAGTGATTCAGTCCTTCAGGAAGGTGGTTCCGTCTAGATAACTGACTTACTTCCCTCCTAGTACTACTCCCATTATCAAGACTCAGCAGAGCATTGGAAGCACACTTAGTGAGTAATCGTATGTATTATCTCCCAAACGCTCATATGCAAGTCTAATTGAGAGATGAGACGCATGAGCCGAAAAGTACAAATATAAGCCCCGCTAATGGCTATCTACGGTTTAGCCGAATATGCGGTGGGATTCCTTTTCTGTTCTCTTCTACGTGGCACTCTGACAATAACAAGGTACTTTGGGCCAGCAACAAGACTCTCGATGTGTCATTGTCGATGCGGAGCGTCTTATGCGCCTCCGTGTGTTGCCTAAACTTCGCATTTTACAGAAGGCTCGACGGCCTCGACATGCCTATACTTGGTTTCGTATTGTGTGTGAAAGCTCGTCTGTTCTCCATGACTAATTTAGCCCTCTTAAATCCTTTATCGAAAGCATCAGCCGTCCACTCTCAGAACGTCGACACCGCAACTAATGACTCCACGTCGTTAGGAGAGAGCGATCTGCGTTTGTATGACTTTGTTCTTGGAGCTCTAGCACAGTCGTCGCCATCTTACCGTCCTGCCCATCTCGTCGGAATTGCCTTCCCTCTTCCGTTCACAATGTCCCCACCCTATCGCATTTCACTGGTCGACTAGGCAAGTGGCTCCGATGCTCCAAAAGGCAGGTCCTTGCAGAAGTCAATTGCCTAAAAGAGGGTCAACAGCCACCCTCTATTCATACATCTTCACGTATCTAGATAGCCGGATTTTAGAATTGCACTCCCAGAATGGCTGGACTTGATCTATTTGTGGACATCACCACCCCCAATGGCCACAGCTACAAGCAGCCGACCGGTCTATTCATCAACAATGAGTTTCGTCCGTCCTCTAGTGCACAGACTATTACATCTCTTGACCCGGCGTCCGTTGGCCCTCTGTCTTCATAATATATGCTTCATACGCTAATTATAACAGAACGGACCTGCCAATTGCGACGGTACATGCAGCCAACTCGGATGATATTGACCAAGCAGTCAAGGCGGCGAAGGCAGCATTCTCTCACCCTTCATGGAAGTTACTACCGCCAACTGAGCGAGGCCAGTTGATGGGAAAGCTAGCTGATCTTATTGAGCAGAATAAGGAACTGTTTGCCTCGATTGACGCCTGGGACAACGGTAGAGTAGAGACTTTAATCCCTTAGCATTATCAATATTTCCATTCTGACCATATTTAGGGAAACCGTACCATGTCGCCTTGAACGAAGATATACCAGAGGCTATTACTACTATCCGCTATTACAGCGGCTGGGCGGACAAGACTTTTGGTCAAACTATTAGTACCACCCCCAAAAAACTGGCGTACACCCTGCGACAGCCCATCGGTGTTGTCGGACAGATCATCCCTTGGAATTATCCTCTATCCATGGCGACCTGGAAACTGGGACCTGCCCTAGCCTGTGGCAATACGGTGGTACTCAAAGCAGCGGAGCAGACACCTCTGAGTATCTTAGTCTTAGCCACATTGATCAAGGAAGCCGGATTCCCCCCTGGGGTTGTGAATTTCGTTAACGGAATTGGCCGTGAAGCAGGCGCTGCGCTGGTGCAGCATCCCCTGGTCGATAAAGTAGCCTTTACAGGGTCGACTATGACCGCTCGAGAAATCATGAAGCTGGCGGCTGGGACACTGAAAAACATCACTCTAGAAACGGGTGGAAAATCACCCCTCCTAGTTTTCCCCGATGCCGATCTCGATCAGGCAGCTAAATGGGCCCATTTCGGTATCATGTCCAACCAAGGGCAGATCTGCACTGCGACATCGCGCATCTTTGTGCACCAGGCCATTCTGGCCCCTTTCCTGGAGAAGTTCAAAGCAATTCTCGAGTCCACATCCCAGATCGGCGATCAATGGGATGAATCTACTTTCCAGGGACCCCAAGTAACCCGTGCGCAATACGATCGAATCCTCTCCTATATCGCAACCGCCAAAGCAGAGGGCGCAAAAGCCCTCTCCGGTGGCGAACGCCATACACCATCCACAAGCAAGAACCAGAATGGATACTTCATTCAGCCAACCGTATTCACGGATGTCACGGACTCGATGCAGATCTGTCGCGAGGAAGTCTTCGGTCCCGTAGTGGTCATCTTGCCATTTGAAACCGAGGAGGAAGCCATTCGACGGGCGAATGATACAACTTACGGTCTGGGAGCGGCAGTTTTCACTCGAGACTTGGAACGAGCACATCGTGTGGCTGCGGAGATCGAGGCCGGCATGGTCTGGGTTAATAGTAGTCAGGATTGTGATCCCCGGGTTCCGTTCGGGGGTGTCAAGCAGAGTGGGATCGGTCGTGAATTGGGCGAGGCTGGACTGGAGGCGTACAGTCAGATCAAGGCTGTGCATGTTAATATGGGAAATAGACTGTAGTGTCGTGTTGAGATATTAAGTCGCAATAGGTTAATGGTATTTAGATGCAGTGCAGTAACTTGCGGAGTGAGAGGGCTGTTTATACTCTATTATGGTTACATATTAATGACAGGTGCCTAGTGACCTCATATGGCAAGTACTGATGGAATCACCCAGTGTTTCAATGAAATGCTATTAGATATATCCTCTTTCCATTAAGTCCTTTCCAAGAAGTGTCCTCATATCAGTATCGCATCTGAAGAATCCCAAGCATATAATTGTCACCGTCGATATCAGTAAACGTCAAGGCTCCTTTGTACCACTTCCACCTTAGCACCTCACCCTCAACACGAAGTAGGTCTTCAAGAGCGTTAACACCAGTCTAAAGCGACTCGGTCTGACACACATACCGCTTTGATCCCATAACCCCACAAGGAATCACGAAGGCAGTGCATAATATAATGCGTTCCCGGAAAAATGAATGTCACTAGGCATCGGCCCTGTGGCACACCAACACAAGTAAGAGTACACGCGCGATAAACGGGTGGATGGAGCTTATTTTTATGCGGAATTTGTAAAACGATACATATTGCGAGGAACGAGACATGTACCCAGAGTGTGTCCAGACGTGGATGGTATTCAAGGAATCTGGTAATCATAGTCATATGCTCCCGGTCAGATCGTGGAAATATTTTCCCGAGTCTGCAGGGGGATTTCATGGGTCTATGAGAAGGTGGAGAAGATAGCCCCAACACACGGTCTCGATGGCTGTGACTAAGGAAAGACGAGACCATCCACACATTCCCAAGCTTAGCAAGGAGATCTGTACGAGCCCAAGTAGGTGGTTGGACACGATTAGGCTATTAATGCATAACTATGTATATCAGCCACAAAGTGCCTATATCCCTGTCTGGGAATCACCACCATCGGTCTAGAATCCACAACGAGCCTTTTCCGCCAGGATCATTAAACTCTCCCTTTTTGGGTCGAGAAACCTAGACAATGAGGCATTTATTCGACAGGTCTATAAGCACAGGGATGACTCAACGCCATAGGCCCTCCATCCCCCATCCTAGGACAAGAACATGTATACGAGACTACGACTGCGCTTCCAGGCTGCATCGCAACGACTCGCCCTGGCAGCTTGTTGCCTGCAGGTGCAGTGAGATCAGATCCCCTGCGGAGAGACCAAGAAGCTTGGGCCATCGTCGTAGCCAAGCTGCCATCTGCCATCTCGACATCAAATCACATTGATATCCATCTCCCCGGCGTCACCACGGGCGCTTGGTTTCGATTCCGGGATTACATCTCAGGTACTCCGTAGTAAGATGAATGTGATGCGCCGTCTTGCATCGCCTCGCTTTCAGGAACTGCGCCGCCCGGGGAATTGGATGGATTCCATTCCATTCGAACAAAATTACGTTTCTCCTGCGGCATCACTACAAATGGACTAGAGACAGGATCCAGAATCCAGGCCAGTATGGACGCATGACTAATTCTAGATGATCGACTGGATGTCAGCGTTGCTTCTGACGTTTACCCCCCTCCCTCTTCCCATAAAAATGCCAGATATCCTTTGGCTATCATTACTATCGCGCTGGTGCCTGCGCCTTTCCTCTGCGCCTTACCGGCCGCACGGGTCGACCCTAGCTCGACAGTAGAGCTTACGTACTAGTAAGAAAGTTCGACCAGGAGTTCTATCTACCCATTGTATTCATGCTACTGAGTACTCTTGGCGACATTTTGCCTGTCTTTATTTAATCTGGATTTCTATTTTTACCCCTATTCTCCGAAACCCCCGAATGAACATACCCGAAACATGACGGCATCATCATCCCTTCAACTGATATCGAAATGCGAGATCTGCCCATGGTGATTGGACTGCAGGGAGATCTATCACAGCGACAATAAATTAAATGCACTCCCTCCATCAGGTGGGTGGGGGAGCAATGTGATGGGAGGGTCAACTGATCGCCCGAGTGGGTGATGTCTGAGACCATCACATTCTAGTCGACATCGAGACCTCCTACGCCGTTGCGATGGCCACAAACCCCTGCCTTGACCGGGTTGAAACTGCCACTCGAGGCTAAACTGGATTGGGAGATTGTGCTACGCAGCTGAAGATCGACGGTGCGTAGAAATGATCTGGGGTTGCAGCCATGATGATCCATCTTCTTTTTTTGCCTATCATCGACGATGGGAATGACTTGCAGCCTTGTTAGCAAATGACTAGTCCCTTTCATCAACCTGGTGCTCGGCCACTCATCGTCCAGCATGACCCTGGTAGATCAGCCACCGCTTAGCCTTCGTGCCAAACGGTCTCCATCGACTGCTACATAGGTACTTAGTAGTCGGCCATCCCCCAGAAGAACCGGCCTCCATCACAACGCACCTATCATCCTGCCGGATTGTAGTCGCCTTGTGTAGTAATAGATTTCTGGGGGGAATAATTTATTTTTAAGTCGAGCTGGTCAGTCTGGGTCAGCCGATTCGGCCGCGTGTGGTTACAACCGGTTTTTCCTCTACTGGGCAAGACCGCAGTATGCCTCTCCGCTGCTCTGCGCTTAAAAGGCGACCATGATGCCCATCGATCAAGCTCTGCTGGCGCTGGATCTCACGTCGCACAAATAGCGACCGACTCCTCGACTTTCTCTGGATGCTTGATTGATTAGTCACTACCTTAGTCACTTCCCATGCAATGTGCGCGAGGGCCGAGCCACCGCCATTGATCATTGGCCTGTATGATCTGAAGAGCTATTCGTTCAATTTTCCTGCGTGACCGGTAGCATGGTCGTCTATGCCGCATAGCACCTAGGTCGATACCATTTTACTTCTTCCAGTTTCCTCCATCCAGGTCCTCTTCCTTCCGACATTCTTTCCCCGTTTTCTCTTGTCCTTAAAAGTCCCTGCTCTTCCGAATCCGTGGACGTGCGTCACTACATGTCCCGTGGCCATCCGACTAGCTCACTCTGGACTAGGGGCCATCGGCTCCTCAGGAACCAATCAGTCGTTCATCCCGTCTAAAAGGGCAGAACATCGAGGAAAAGCAAAAGCACCTCTGGGGAGTACTTTTCTTTTCAGGACCACCATTTATCTGACGGATCCAGTGCATATCATCCCCGGTGAGTATCCTGTCTCCATATCAATCCATCTCGATTTAAGTTGTTTCTTCTGTCGATCGTCCATCTGTATATCCGCACTCTGCAAACAAGGGTGAAGTGGGGAACGCCTCCTGTACCATACCGTACTGTACCGTGGCTCCCTCTCCACTTGCCCCTCTCACGGCTCTCCCGCCGTTCCCGCCATGACGCCATGCTTTTCCCCGCAAGCTAACTCGTTCTTGCTTGATAGTCGAACTCTTTTTATTGTTATTATTATTTTATTATTTCTTTAAAGAAAAAGAGAAAAAGAAATAAAGAACCTAATACGGCAAAGCAAAACAAAAAGAGGGGTCGTGAAATTACGGCGAAACCCCCCAGGAACAAACAAAAAGTGACAGAACGAATACTGTTGAGGGGTGGTGACACAATTCGCTGCAGGTTGTGGAGGGGACGAGGGAATTCAACTCCCTCAATGTCAGATCCTATTATCCGCCAGGTACCTTGATAAATTTTTTTTTTTTTTTTTTTTTTTAAAATACATAAAACCCTCCATGGCCTATCCACGATCTCCTTTCTCGACTTCTTCCTCCGCTTCCTCTCCTTCGCTCTATCCATCGTCTTACAGTTCCGTCCACTCGCCGCCGTTACTCAATAGTAAGTTCTCTCCGTCCCTGAAACCGAAGTTACTTTCCCTTGTGTTCCACCTTTCATCTTTCCCCTCCTTTTGCCCCTTGCTTAACACCCGCGAATGCCTCAAAATCCAATCATCATCTCCATTCCTTCCCCACTTCATCGCCGATTTCCTCGGCCACTGGAAGAGCTCACAATTCGGTTAAACTCCTGCGTTGGCCTTCATTCCCTACAATCCCCACCTGACACGTGTGACATGCTTTGTCCGCATTCCACTGGATTTCAGCTGATCGCATGCTCTCTCCAGCCAATCTCTCCTCGTCCTCCTGGTCGCCTTCCTATCGTGGTACGCAGGACCAGTTAGACTCTCTCATTGCCAGACACGGCCACCCCACCAGGGTTTCGCTGTCTTCCCTCGAGGAATTGACAGCAACCTGCTCAACATATAACCCTCCGTCCCCTTCTTCTTCTTCCCCTGTCTCCGAAACTGCCGATTCCCTCGACGCTCTCACCCTCTCCCGCACCGTATCAAGACCGATCCCCATTCCAAAGCCATCTCACCACGTACTTGACAACGACCTACCCGTCACTCCTCTAACGGGCCGCTTCGACAAAGGATACTACTTCGCCCACCGTGATCAGTCACCCGACAGGTTTCGAGATCGCCACAACCGTAGACGAACTAGTCGTCGATCACCCCGTTCATCTTCCACCAGGATGCGTTCAGACAGCTCCACCTTCTACTCTCCGGTCATGTCACCTTCCATGTCGCCCTCCGGACGTTCCTCGCCGCAGCCCACACGGGCTCGACCGCAGAACACCTCCAAGTCGGCCCCGACCTTCCATCTGGGCAATCTACCGAGGTTCCATCCAGCAGTCTACCAGCCGTCCACCAGTTCCCAGAATCTTCCCGGGCAACAACATATCTACCGCACCTCTTCGTCACGAGATCCTGTATGGCAGTACCGGGAGTTGGTGGAAGGTCCTACCATATCGAAGGCACCCTCTCGGCCGCTTTCACCAAGTCCATCGGCACCTCGCTTGGACCCTCTTCGCAGCCCTGGGCCTGTTACGCCCTTAGCCCTGGAGGATGCCAATAGCTATTTGATGTCTGGCGCCCCTGCGTCCTCGGACATCATGGCGTCGCGTGATCATAAGCATTCTGATCCGACTCCAGACGTCGTGGAAAGACTGATTGCCCGCGAGAATGAGCGCACGCGACAAAAGGCCAAGAAAAACACCAAGAGTCGTTGACACCGGATATTGTTTGCTATTTATGCCCATAACGTGTTGATTTACGCCTCTAATTTAAGCTTCTTCTCGGCTTTCTGGTGTTTTTCATTCTCGGACCTTGATTGATGACCAGCGCACCGGTTGTCTTAGCCAAGAGAGCAATCAAACACTGGCAGCCCCATCCATCTAGACAACCCGGCCGTTGCTATGATATTTTTATGTATTATTGCCATGTTGCACTTATACCCACGTTGTCACCAACTCACCTAGTCTTTTTTTATTTATTTATTTTCTTCTTATTATGTCTCTGTTATCTTCACTTCCACCATGTCTCTTTAGTCATCTATCTTTTATTGTATTGCATTTGATTATTCGGGATTGAAACATGGGCATTGAACAGAAACAGACTGTTCTTGATTTAGAATGGCATCGACTTGGAATAGGATCGGTTGGGAACATAGATGTACCCAACTAAATGGCGAAACGAAAACTAAATCCAAAAAAGAGAAATAGGGAAGAGAAGTTAGAGGTCTTGAGTGATAATATAAATAGAGACATCTGGCAACAGAGCATGAATAAATACTCTCAATCTATGAAATCTTTTCAGTAAATTCCGCTACAGTAAATATCATCTAGTACATTAAATGTGAGGTCTTCCCAGGACATACAAAAGCCTATAAGGGGCAACTAACTATGTTTTAAATTACCGTATCTCTCGAGACTCCAAACTAATTGTTATCATAATCATTACAGTAATATAGAAACAAAAGCCTAGGAATGGATTTGGCTCTCCCCCTAAGATAGTAGCTCATGTCTTTCGCAGTCCAACTCCGATCAGCGCTTGCCGGAGAGGGAACCCTTCTCCCCGAACCAAGCAGGCTTTGCGGGGCGCAATGCAACCCAGCGTGTATTTCTCCAACCACGTCCGAAAACTCCCTTCTTCTCTTCAATGGAGTCTCTCCCCTGGCCTTCTTCCTTCTTCCATGGTTGCCTTCCCTCTCTCCCCCGAAGTTCCTCTGTAAAGCCCATGCGCGGGACTGATATTGTCGTCAACCGCCTTGTCCGATAGCGGACCTCTCGTCATTGAAACCCAGTTCCGCAGCGACCGATCGGGTTTTCGTGCCATTCTATTTATGATTGTCCAGTCAGGGTAATACCTATTCGGGACGAGACACGGGAAATAATGTCTTCGACTCAGCCATCTTTGTCGACTTCTACTGCGTCTGGTATACCTGATCCTCAGGCGTCTAAGATGGGTAGCATTGGCACAGGGAGTGCGCCGCCGCCGACGACTTCAAAGCATAACTATAAGGGGTTCGTGGCGGGTGTGTTTTCAGGGATTGCGAAGCTGAGTGGTATGTTTATTGTATGCAGTTGCGCATTCGGGGAGTGCTAATATGTCGATTTTTGAATTCTAGTTGGTCATCCGTATGTGAATGTTATTTTTTCGTTTCGTGTTCTTGTTTGCGTTGTCTCGCGAAGTTACGAATTAACCGTTGCATTCCTTGGATAGATTCGATACCGTCAAAGTTCGTTTACAGACTAGTAAAGATGGTCATTTCAAGGGCCCCTTGGACTGTGTGCTACAGACCGTGCGAAAGGAGGGTGTGGGTGGATTATACAAGGGAGCAACGCCACCGCTGGTCGGATGGATGGTGATGGACTCTATGTGAGTTTCTACACTTTTCGGATGAGACGATGGACAAGAAGAGATAGTGGCTGATCTATGGTCTATAGCATGCTTGGCTCTTTGACGCTCTATCGTCGACTGCTTCTCGAGAACTTATTCTCAAAGCCGCAATTCCGCTCCCTCATGCCATTTACTACACATCAACCGGACCTGCATATGCTACCTAGTTTCGGCCACGGAATTGCTGGCATTATGGCTGGCACTACAGTCAGCTTTGTAGCTGCCCCAGTAGAACATGTCAAAGCGCGATTACAAATCCAATATGCTGCGGAAAAGTCGAAGCGCATGTACAGTGGACCCATTGACTGCGTTCATAAGATTGTAAGAGCCATAGAGACCGGGTGAGGGCGGAGAAAGAGAGAGGGAGACAGAACGGCTAACGGTTATAGCTTCGCACGCACGGAATTTCTGGGTTGTATCGCGGTCTTTGTGCCACGATGTTATTTCGCTCGTTCTTTTTCTTCTGGTGGGGGTCATATGACGTACTGACGCGGTGGATGAAAAAAAAGACGAACTTGTCGGCGCCAGCAATCAATTTTTGGGCTGGGGGAATCTCTGCCCAGGTCTTTTGGATCACCTCGTATCCGTCAGATGTCGTGAAGCAGCGAATTATGACGGACCCTATGGGCGGTGCGCTTGGGGACGGACAGCGCCGGTTCCGATGGTGGAAGGATGCTGCAGTGGCGGTTTATCGCGAGCGAGGATGGAGAGGATACTGGAGGGGATTTGTACCGTGCTTCCTTCGAGCATTCCCAGCGAACGCGATGGCGTTGGTAGCCTTCGAAGGAGTGATGCGGTGGCTGCCGTAAGACAGCTGTAAATATAAATAGACATAATGGATAGAATGAACAAATATGATTGTATATAGATTGTCTGGTATTGTAGCAAGAATGAACTGAGCATGCCGAATTTCCGCATTCGGCAGCGTCTGGAACACCTGACAACGCCATCCATTCCCGGAAATTCTGCAGAACTCCGACGGCAGCTTCATCTTTACTTTTTCTCTTGACCGGCCTGTTCTTTCGTTTCCGCTTGCCCTCTGTCCCTGCGCTATGGTTGCTATTATTGTGGGCTAAAAAGACAGACCTCCTTTGGCCGGCCTTGCCTAGGATTGTTGGTCGACTGATTGGCCACAACACCGTCGATCTCTAGATTGACCACGTACATTGAACGCATCAGTTTCCCGCCAACTTTACCACATCACCCCCTTCCACACGGTTTGACGGCCTATGATGGCCGTTGCTCGTCCAATGCGACGCACCAGTCCCATCACGCTGCTCCTCGCGGTCCTTTTGGCCTTTGGATTCCTCTTGTTCCTTCTTTCCCCTTCCTCCTCCCCCTCCGGCTCCGCTGCCGCCGCCGCCGCCGTTCCCGTCGCCGACTCGTCACAGCAGCTGCGACAAGATGCTGCGCAGAACCCTCTCTCGCCGCCCACCAAGCCATTTTATAAGGAACAACCTGTCCGTAGCGATGGAATCAAAGCGCCCCCTCCCGTTGTGCACTACAATCTCAACAGCCTTACGAGCACCAAGAACGCTGCCGGCATGGGCGAGCGAGTCCTCATCCTGACACCTCTTGTGCGCTTTTATCCTGAATTCTGGGACAACGTGGAGAAACTCAGCTATCCGCATGCGTTGATCTCCATCGGATTTATTGTCCCACGCACCAAAGAGGGCAACACGGCTGTCTCCGCCCTGGAAGAAGCCATTGCAAAGACGCAGTCAGGACCAGTGGACTCGCGCTTTGCTAGCATTTCCATTCTACGACAGGATTTTGACCCACCTATACAGTCACAGGATGAGAAGGAACGCCATAAGATGTCGAATCAGAAGTCACGACGTGAATCTATGAGTCGTGCCCGGAATAGTCTCCTCTTCACCACTCTTGGCCCCAGCACCTCGTGGGTCTTATGGCTGGACGCTGATATCATTGAGACCCCGTCCTCGCTTATCCAGGATCTCACCAGTCATGATAAGCCCATCATTGTCCCTAATTGTTTCCAGCGCTTCTACAATACTGATACCAAGCGAATGGACGTCCGTCCCTACGACTTCAACTCCTGGATCGATAGTTCTACTGCCCAGGCCCTGGCGGATTCCATGGAACCTGACGAAATCCTCCTTGAGGGATACCACGAGATGCCAACCTATCGTTCTTTGATGGCGTATATGGCCGACCTTACCAATCCTGACCCCCACCGGGAGGTAGAGATCGACGGTGTCGGCGGGACCGCACTGATGGTCAAGGCTGATGTACACCGTGATGGCGCTATGTTTCCCGCCTTCCCTTTCTATCACTTGGTTGAGACAGAGGGGTTTGCGAGGATGGCGAAGCGTCTAGGGTATTCGGTGTTTGGTTTGCCCAATTATTTGGTAAGTTGTCCCTTTCACCCTGATATTTGCACAGAGCTAACCATGTCTACAGGTGTATCACTATAACGAGTGATACGAGTGTAAAGATCTTAGTAGAGAAATATTGTTTTATTAGATGATAATTTGGGATTTGTTATACTGCGCTGTGCGCATGGTCTATATAAGGTGGTGGCTTTGTGTTCTTTCCATTGTTTGGTTTATTCCTATCATCGCTTTCGTGTTTATGTTTTCTAAAACATGCATTCGTCCAGTGAATTATGTTCTGGGTTGGTGTTGGGTTAATCGATGGTGTTGGTTCCTTTATATATCGATGGTATGCTGGTTATGAATATAACACAGGACCTAAGTAGAGGTTGAATGCAGCATGCGATGTGAGACCTATTCTACAGTACCTGTCTATTTTGTCATCTGCCGAGGGCAGTTAAACCGGAATATCGTAGAGTAAGTAGTTATAGGATATTTAAACCCAAGAGATCCTAGTTCCATTATTAGCACTGAATCCAGTTTCATGAAACGAAAAAGGCGAAACAAAATAAAAATAAAAATAAAGAATAAGAAAAGGAGGAGGGGGGGGGGGGAAACCCACGCAAGCATAATACCCGCACCAAGAGCTACAGCCAAAAACTGAACAATTGTCTGCTTGATCTCGGCTCGCTTATTCTTGCCCGTCTCCAACAGCTCTGGAATCACCGATACCGTGCCAACATAGAGAAAGGTCCCCGCCGTAAAAGGCAGAAGCATATCACCCCAAGTCAAGCTCGTACCCAGCAGACCGACGGCCACCGAATCAACATCGCCGGTGTGACTGTTCCCGCCAAACTCCTGCACCGCGATGCCGATGAACGTGCCCAGAAAGGCACCGATGGCGGTAACGAATTGAGCGCCCATAGCCTTGCGCTTCGAGAACCCGGACTGTATAAGAAGCGCAAAGTCACCGACCTCGTGGGGGATTTCGTGGAAGAAGACGGCAACGGTGGTAGTGGCGCCGATTGTTGGCGAAGCGTAGAACGATGACGACATGGCGAGGCCGTCGGTGATGTTGTGTGTGAAGTCGGCGATGAGGTTAAGATATCCGCCTAGCTTGACGCTGGGGTTGATTTCCTTGTTTGTGTCCTCCGTTGGTTGAGCTGGGCTGGACTCGGACGGGTGCGATTTGCGATGTTTGAGCTCTTTGGTGCCAGTGTCGCGGCTGCTTGTGACAGCTACGGGTTTATCATTCCCGTCCCTGTGGCTGTGGCTGTGGCTGTGGCCATGGGAGTGGTCGTGTCCTGCACCACCGGTTGCAATACGCAATGTCTTATCCATCGCGACGAAGGTGAAGAACCCCACCATGATGCCCAAGCCCAGCAGGAGGTTGCGGTTCGGTTCGACCATGACGAAACGGACGTGGTCCTGGGCATCCTCGCCTAGGAAAATTTCGGGGAGAAGATGGAAGAGTGTGTCGCCTAGTAAACCCCCGACAGCAAATGCGACCATGACGGACAACGAGGAGGGATCGATATTGGGTGGACATAGTGCGAGCAGGAAATCTATGGAATGCTTGGTTAATGCGTAACAAAGACATCCTCCACGTTGGGGCCGGGATTCACACACTGGGAGGACCGGAGATATATACTGTTGCCAGAATGGCATTGACGGCGGGACTTCCAGGGAAGAGAATGGAAAAGATCTTGGAAGTCAGACTGGTGGTTTGGGGGCTGCTGGCGCGTTTGTGCTTATTGAGGCCTTCCACAAAGGGGCAGTTCTAGAGAGATCAGATACGATATACAGAATATAGTACTCGACTATTGATATGGAGATAAAATGAACAGGAGAGGTAAATGGCCGGATCCATATTTACCTGCAATTCATCCTCAATCTGTCTTACAGTCAGCTCCCCAACAGAGGTAGCGTCGCTGGTGACAGCATATGCAGAAGACAAAAGCACACCAGCTGCGAGCGCAAAGCAAATCCTCCACAATGGAGAAACAAGACGCGACACCATAGCGAAAGGGTCGACAAAAAGTAATTAATGCAGAGACCGACTCGAGGATTGACGTTGGGTGATCATGTACTCTTTGCTGTATTATTGTGGCAGTAGAATCAAAGAGGCTGCAAACACGCCAAGATCGGATGCAAACACGGACGTCAATCGATAAGATCGTTCATTTTCTTTTTTCCGATCTTTCTTGTCGCAACTCTAGAACAATTCTGCCTTGTTTATTTTTCCAGTGTGCATTTTCACAATGGGCAGTGTCCGTCATAAGAAGAAGCTCCGGTCTTCGGCACCAAAACAGAAGCCCAAGAGGACTGGAATGCTGAAAAGTGGCAAGAAGAAAATCAATGTGTTGGGCAATGCCATTATTGCTGAAAACTGGTACGGACTTTGGGCGAAGCAAACGTGACGAGTTGAGTTGCTAATGGGAATGCGACAGGGATCGCAAACTGACTCTCACCCAAAACTACCGTCGTCTTGGTCTTGTTCATCGTCTCAATACCCCTGCTGGTGGTGCGGAAAAACGCCCGAACAAAGACGGAGGCGTCGATAGTGAACGCGACGATTCATTGCACATCAGGAGCAGCGCGCAAGCGACCGCAAAGAAATTGGGTCTGGGGGAAGTCCAGGTAGAGCGTGACCCCGAAACCGGTAACATTGTTCGAGTCATCAACCAGAAACGCCCCAATCCGCTCAACGACCCTCTGAATGATCTATCCGATAGGGAGGAGTCGCGAGGGCCGAAGACCACCATTGTCGAGCAACTTGAACGTCAAGCGGCGCAGGAGGGACAAGGTGTGAAGGCTAAGAAGCCCCGCCATCAGAGCTCGCGGGAATCAGAATGGATTCAGAGATTGGTTGATAAACATGGTGATGATGTCGGCGCGATGTTCCGCGACAGGAAGCTGAACCCCATGCAACAGAGCGAAGGGGATTTGAGGCGGCGGATTCGCAAGTGGAAGCAGAGTCAGTCGTGATCAGTTGATCTTATGCATTGCGTGAGGGCGAGTTTGGCGTTTTATATGGATGATTTGGCTAAAAGTCTTGATTTACGTCTGTTCCTACTATGGGGGCTTTATAAATATGGTGCTATAATTCTTGTGTGTATTGATAGGAACGCGCACAAGTATTACTTGCAAATATCAAGCACTACATCATTCTAGTACCATAAGTGAATTAATGCCCTATTCCAATTTGCACAACTCCCGACAGTCCCCTACTGCTCTTTTTCTCTCACACCTACTCAGCAATAAGCTATTTATGCCCTACAACTCACCACATGACCATCAAAATGACGCTCCTTGCTCTATTCATTTGGACTATCCTTTGTCTTGTAGGCAATGGATGGGCCCAGATAGGATAGTAAGTCGCTCTTCGTGTTCAATAACAGGAACTAACCACATCAGCAACGCAAACACAAACAGTCTTCTCTGCTCCAAACCAGGTGGTAGCTACTGCGTCCATGGATCTCTCCAAGGTCCAACAATGATATCCTGCGTGTCTACAGCGACAGCTGAAATCCGGTCGTGCATCATCGAGTCTGTACCATTTGTTCCTGACCATGAAATCCGCGAACTAATAATCCTAGACTCGCTACCATTCTTCCATCGAAATATAAAAATTGGGCTACATGTGCGCTTCCGTACACTTCTATCTCCTAACAATAAAGCAAACCAGCTAACTAATGGGCTATAATATATATTAAAAAAAGGCTACGAATCCTCCCCCACAACCGGAGACGCCATCTGCGCCTTCAACGGAACCGGCTATCTCAGCTCTGGGTCACCCATTTCCATACCGGAGACAACTATCTGCGATGGGTCTGACAATGCTCACAACCCTCATGATATGAATCCAGTTCCCGGAAAGAGATCTAGTATACCTGTTCCAGGACCAATGTACACTATCTCCTCCCTTCCTTTGATTCTTCCTCCGCCTGCTACACCTGTCACCACAGACTCGATGCCTGCAATGTCGACGTCTTCAAGAAAATATCGAACATGTTTTGATCCGATCCGGACGCATACTGCATCTGCTACCTCGACAATTCAAGTCTTATATGTGTCTTCTTCGGTGCGTGAATCTAGCGTTGGTATGGGTATTGGTCCTTCACACATGAGGGATAAGTGCCCGTATACGACGATAATGAAGACAGAGACGTCAGTGGTTGCGGTGTCTGCGAATGTGGCCAGTATGGACATGGAGTCAAGAACGAGCTCGCCTTCACCTGATGGTGTTTCTGGTATGATATCGGTTGTGTCGGAGTCGAGGGGTTGGTCCTGGACACGGTCTGGTCATTGCCTGTGGTATTGGGTTTTGTGGTGCATATGGGGTTATTTTGCTTGAACTGATTCTCTGGGTTGAGATCTTGGTTTGTATGTGCTCTTGGTTTAGGTTTACCCCTGGACTTGGTGATATGGGTCCCTCATGTTAAGTATGTGTTGTGTGTTTGAGAGAACGAACACAAAGTGAAATGAAACGAAGTGAATTGCAATTCGCAGAGTTTTCTCTAAGTATTACATGTCCCTGACATATCCCTGTCTAGACACACTACCTTGATCTAACACAATATAATAATCCGCGTCCTTAATTGCCTCCAATCTATGCGCTATAGTAATCACCGTCGACTCTTTCAATTCCTCTCGTATTATCTGCTGGATTTCCAATGAACTTTCATGGTCGATGGATGCTGTTGCTTCATCCAGAATGACAATCGAGCTCCGACGCAGAACTGCCCGCGACAGACCAATTAATTGCCGTTCACCCTGGCTAAGGTTCCGACCACCGGCTTCAACATGTGTATCTAAGGTCCAGCCGTGTCGGCCACAGATACATCTGAGGACGTCGGCACATTCCTCGTCGGTATAATCGCACGTTGGGTCGAGGTTGAGCCGGATGCTACCCGGGAATAAGACGGGGTCTTGCGCGACGAAGGTGACGCGTGTGCGTAGGGCTTGGGTGTTCACTTGCGCGATGTCGATGTCGTCGATCAGGATGCGACCGGATTCGGGTCGGACCACGCTGAGAAGAGAGATAGCGAGTGTGGACTTCCCACTGCCTGTGCGGCCAATGATCGCCGTGGTGGATCCCCCGGGGATTCGGAGGGAGATGTTATTAAGGGAAGGATCTAGATGAGGAGCGTAGCGGATTGTGACGTCTTCGAATGTAATATCGTGGCCGAATTTAGGCCATGAGGCTGGGGGATCGATTGTCCCAGGAGTTTCTTCTTCCACGTGGAGTAGTTCGTCTACTCGCTCCACGGAGACAAAGTCCATTTGGAGCTGGCCATACTGCTTGCATAGCCCGTGGGTGGCCTCTACCAGGTTGTTCGCGGCTATAAGAACAAATGCTGCAAGGCCTGGAGGCACGCTCGTGTATAATGCAAGAGCCGTCAGGCAGAACGTGGAAATCGCCGACAGACTCTCGAAGCGATATATCAGCCAGCTCTGGAGTGACCAGTAAAAATGATCCATGCCTTGGAATTTATCCACAACCGCGATGACTCGTTCCTGGAAGCGCATTTCTGCGTGAAACGCGCGCACAGTGGTTAAGCCATGTAATAACTCCCCGAAATTGGATATTAAAGGACTCAGCGACACCATTTCCAGTCGCCGCAGACTCTGTGAGGTTGGTAGGAATTGCAGAAACGTGAATATAAAAGTTGCAGTAAGGAGGAAGGAGAACCCAAGGAAGGTGGGCGTCACTGAAGCAATCACTAGAATCGATGAAATCCATGTGATGGCTTGGAATGCGATGATTTGGAATTGCTGGCTGATGTTTCCGTCAACAACTCCGATATCTGATGTCAGTCGATTCATCAAACGCCCAATTGGAGTGACATCAAAAAATCGGAAAGTGGCATGACTGACGCATACCATGGCCTGTTGGAAAAGCGATTTCCCCGCGCAGTAGACGATGGCCAGCATTAAGAGCTGCGCAAGCAGGACGATCACTGATTGAGAAACAGTGATAGCAAAGAATGCCAGTAGCCATGGGCGAACATCTTCCATTGGGGGAGGTAATTTGTCCATTGTGTTCTTCGGTATCCAATTAGCTGTGCCTAGTGAAGTTGGGTATACAGCCCATTCCCTGAAGAAAAATACCACGTTTGATTCCGAGTGTCCAAATAATAAAGCGGGCTGGTTATATGCCTCACCCCATTCCTTAAGGAACCATGATTGTGCAACAGACGTCAGTCGAAACACTGCTACCACGGCGACCAGTGCAGACCACCATTTGTATTTGCCTGCCTTGATGTAACTCCAGTAAACTCTGGCCTTCACACCCCATTCTGCGCGGTGCTCCTCTTCGATGAACTTTTGTGGCACCGCTGCCGTCTCAACTTCAATCGTTGACTCGTCTTGTGTCTCACTGTCGACTGTATGAGAAGACAAAGTTTCATTGGAGCTATCATCATGAGACAAAAGAGCAGACTGTCGGCCCTGTATTGTAGTTTGACCATCATGCACATTGATAATTTGATCTGCGATGTGGTTAACAAGGTGTGTGCGATGTGTGACAAGGACAACAATTCGATTCCGCATCAAAGGGCCCGAGAAGCATTTACGGACTATTAATTCAGCTGTATTATGGTCCAGAGCAGAAAGCGGATCATCAAGAAGCAGAATTCTTGCTGTACTGTATACTGCTCGAGCAAGAGCAACGCGTGCCTTCTGTCCACCTGAGAGACCGATGCCATTCTCCCCTACAAATGACATGTCTCCGTGTTTGAAATTGGCGAGGTCTGGAAGTAAGGCGCAGGCATCCAGGACTCGTTTATACCGCTGCTCGTCATAGGGAGAGGAAAATAAGATGTTATCCCGAATGCTCATGCTTTGTAGCCAAGGTGTCTGAGAACAGAACCCGACCATCTCGTTCGGAATATGTGATACACCCCTGAGACGATCTAGCTCGCCTAATAAAGCTTGAATTAGAGCAGTCTTTCCAGCTCCGACCTTGCCGCAAATGACTGTCAGTCCTTCAGAGATTCTCATATTCACATCCAAAAGCACAGGCAATTCTTTTCCGGGCCACGCGAAAGAACAGTTTTCGAGCGCGAGCGAAAAGTCGGAGGAGAAAGTAGCATTCTTTTCCTCTTTGTTTGGCTCCTGCATAAAACCTTCAATTCTTTCCATCGCGATGGATGCATTGATGAGTACGGTAATGAGGCCAGGAAGGTCTCGTAGGCGAGTCTCCAACATCGTGAAAAGCTGCAGAGCAGGGAATATAATGTCGATACGCAATGGGTGCCCGGCCAACATCGTATAGGCATAGAAAGCGACTACAGGAAACAATCCGCTTGCGAAAGCGTTGACGAAACGGATCAAAACGTTCCATAAACTAGTTATGATGCGAAGGTTCAACTCAGATTGCCGAGCATCCATGACCTGCTGGAGCCAATGATCTTGCCAGCCATACCAACGAAGGTGACGAAGGGCTTCCACAAACTGGGTGGAAACCTGAAGCCTGGCGTCGGTTGCCAGCCTGCGGATGCGTTCCCACTGGAGAAGTATGCGGGTGATAATGGCGTTAATTGCTTGGGCAATTATAATAGCTATGATGCCCAAAAAGCACGATGGGCCAAGCAATTTCCAAACAAGCGCAATGGCAATGATCAGCCCTATTGGTTTATCAACGAGAGTGTCAACCTCCCAGAAACGCTGGGCTACTTCGTAAGCATCCCCTCGTAGTAGATTGAAGATTTTACCCATAGATGCCGCTGTTTTGGGCTTGTCTTTGCGAGAACTTCGCTTCAGATGGAGTAATCCACAAAGCTTTCTCTTCTTGGAGCTAGGATCAGCATCATCATCACTACAATCTCCATCGGTAGGTTCAGACTCTTGTTCGCTTTTCAACTGCTGGTCAAAGACGTTTTTTCTAGACAATGCTTTCTCATAAATCATCATGATCATCTCACCCCTACTTCTCTCATAACACCGCCTACCATACCAGAGGTACAGTACCTGTGATTGTGCGGAGACGAAGCGAAGTAGCAAAGAGAGAAGAGCATAGGTCAAAGCAATTCTCTTAGGTCTTTCTGGGTGACCCATTGACTGTAACAATTGCTGCAGGAGCACCGGCGTCGAAAAGTCTGAACAAGTGGTCAATGACATTCGGGTTCAGAGACTAGGGAGGAGGTCAAACCGCAAATCATCTGCACTACCGAAATTGAGGTAAGAATAAAAACGTCAATTCCATTGGCCTGAAGCAAACGGGATATGACGGAACCTCGAAGTCGACGGAACTTTTCGTGCAGTCTCTGATGTTGAAACTCGAATCCTAAAAACCAGACATCATCCTCGTTTAGCTGTCTCTGTTTTCCTATGAACATTAGCGGAGCCATCCACGACACGCTAAGAAACTGCCACAGTTTTAAGTTGTCCTCCGGGCTGCGAAAGTCGCTAGACGGTGGATGGCCGACTACGCCAATATCAAGATGCGGAAGCGAAGGCCCCCGAAGAGGCATCAAGAAGATGATGGTGCATCCTGCCAGCGCAGCGCCAGCGGCAAGGTAATAAGCGACTACTTTGGATATCCCATAGGCGTTCTGATTCAAAATAAAAGTAATCTCTACCGCAAATACCGGCATAAAGTAAAAGAGTAGAGAGACGGGGCTAGACTTTGGGCGTTCTCTGGCAATGAATACGGCAGCTGTGGCCTATCATCAATCAGACTAAAGGCGCCACACTGGTCCTGTTCTCACTTACCCAAGATAGTAACAGGATATAATTGGTTCTAGTAGATCCAGTTGGTATTATTTTAATAAGCTCAGATGCAAACCCAGCGATTGAGATAGCAAACAACGCTACCACCCAGCCCAACCTTTGGGTCCCTTGCCTTGACTGTAGCTCGGGATATGGTGGGTGCTCTGGAATAAATGTTTTTGTCCATTTTGGGCGCCACTGATGTAGGACACGACCGAGCACATGGAGTAAAACGATAGTGATGATCGCAATCCCAGGAACTACAGAAAAGTATCGCATTCCACATAGTGACAATCGGGCATTTTGCGAGTCCTGTAGCAGTCAGCAGGAAGAACAAAACAATGATGCAGATAGCTAGACGGCACCCCTTACCCAAAGAGATTGACAAGTAGAGTATAACATCATCCTTGCCCAACGTCATCGCAGTGTACTGATGCAATGGTCACGACTGGGAGAGACAAGACAATCCACCATCGACCTCCCCCTCATCTTGTCCTTTCGCTGCAAAGCGGTCGGCGTCTCGGCACGATCGCCGCAACGGGTTGCTACAACATAACTAGTTAGCGTAGGTTAGCCAGATTAGGTAAGCGCAGGTTGGTAACTAACTAGTTAAGTAGTTGACTAGGATAAGTTAACTATTAATATGTTAGTTGTGTAGGTTAGTTTGTTAGTTAACTGGTAAGCCGACGCACCTTATGTATTGCATATAAAATAGCACTTCATATGGCCTTAACATCTCAACAATAACATATTAGAAGGGCCTTATTTTGGAATATGGTGGATACATATATCAGATGCTAATATTAGGTGCTGGATGGACTGCAAATTGGCATCCTATACAGAGAATATAATGTATATCTCATCAATAAAACTACACTCAGTTTGTATTGTAGATTGGCATGTTGTATTAGAAGCCGAATGCCAGATTAGTTGCGTTTTTCTTAGAAGATCCTATAGGAGTTCATAATACACTGAATCCTATATTCATCGGCCATATCATATACAGGTGTTTTATTCAACAACTTGTAATTGCTTTCGCCAATATTCCTTTCCTTGGAGAACGGTATGGGCAGAAGTGGCATATATTCAGTATACATGCAATTCAATCTAATCAAAGAAAGTATCAGGTCTGCCAATACGTAGTTGTTGATTAGTCCCTAGAACTCATTTACTATCCCATCAGTCCAGTTATCTATCCAGATGCAGAGCAGATTCGCCCGAGGTTATTTATCAGTCTAGAGCAATATATTTGTCCTTTACGGTCATGTTACTGCTGATATATTGCGCAGAGTTTGCAATTGCAGGTAATCGTCCAATTCCAATAACAGTCCCACCATATCAGTACAAGCAATATCTGCTTCGAAGCCGCAAATAAATGCAATCGCTAAGCCATTGATAGAAATATCACAGCCACCGAAGTATCGTTCATGCTTATGGAAATTAATAGGGCTTCCCCGAAACAAGGGCCTCGTATAACTTCTCTTATATTTTCTAGATAGCATTAGTATCAATATCTTCCTGCAATGAAATAGGAGGAGAGTCACCTCTTCAATGCACCCCTGGCTCTGGGCTCTCTTAGCATGCGAAAATAGTGTCAGAGCCTTGGTTTCGAGCCTCTGATTTGTTGACTTTCCCAAATGCAGCTTCCGCAGCTCGCTGAGGTCCATTGCTATATGCTCTTTATAAGAGTCTGCAGCTTCAGGAGACAAGATTAGATGAGGGGGTCAAGGTTTATTTGCGTTTGCTAATGAGAATCACAGCTATTTATCTTATTTCTCACTGTTAAGGTGGCAAATGCTCTTAAGAACTCATGAGCAGCCTGTCAAGGTATTTCAATGCGAACACTTCTGAAATTGAGGTCGCTTGAGCCCAGTCCTGCGCGTGAAACCAGCTTTCATAGTGTGATGTTGACTTATTAGTGCTAGCATAGGGGAACAAGATGAATCCACTGACCAATACGTGGTAGGTATTCCCCGAGCCTTCAGAATATTGTACAGATATTTACAGTATACCATGCCTTTGTGGTAATCTCCAGCAATGGGGGAACGCCTCTCTTTCCGGTCCAATCCCGACGCTTCTCAAGTCAGAAGTGGATACTTTGACGGTAAAGTACCTTTCAAAGTGCATGTTCTGATCTCCTGCAGGCAGTATGAAAGTAAGCAGGAATTCCACAGTAGTGCTTGTAAAGAGAGGAAAGAATGAAAAGTGGATAGGCTAAGAGGAAAGAGGAAGAAGCTAAGGCAATCAGGGACTTGAAAGACAGCTGGCTAGTCAGGCACTAAGAAAATCTGTATACTGTATTTTGTTCTGGAGAATCCAATATTTCGTAGATGACGCTGCCATTTGCCCATTAAGGCATTAACAGTTGCATTTGTAACACTACCTGTGGTCAATTGATATTTTACTCTTTCCAGTCACCTACTAACACGCCCTTACTTTAATAAAGTGGAACCACCGGTTACGTATGGCTGCCTAAGCCTTTAAAACCAGTTACACATGTACATATCTACCTATACGGACGAGGTCCATAGGCCATAGCGGTGGAGGCAATGAACAACAACTTGAATTTGTAATCATTGGAGGGCCCCAAATGATGCCATTTATGCATATATTAGGAATAAATATAGCACTTGAATCACGCAGCTTGACACTCAGCATAGTTGAATGCTGAAAATTATTCAAGCCAACATGGGAGAACGTTTGAATACCTCGCTCGTGGTGCAAATACCCGAAGGCCATTCGCCCAATTTAATGCAAGAGGACCTTCCCCTCCCTTCTCCAGGGAGCAGACAGGCCCTTGTGAAATTGTCGCATGCGGCCCAGAATCCAACTGATGATATAGATGCGTTTAACCCTCTCCGTCTCCATATTGTGAGAAAATGTATACACAGAGGCTCACACTTTGTAGTTCTATCTTTTGACGCGAATACTTTTGGCGACGGCGCTGTCCTGGGCTGCGATTTTGTCGGCGAGTTGGTTGAACTAGGGAACGATGTTCGTCGTATCGCTAAAGGTGATATTGTAGTTGGGTTGGTACGGGAATGTTAATCTCCTAGATCAATTTCCTATTGTACCAATCTTCGAAGATCACCCGCTTACTAGTCTTGGAATTCTAGGTGATATCGAAGGACTGGTTGCTTACACCCAGTATACCCTGGCTAGTGAAAGACTGTGCTTCAAAGTGCCCAAGACACTCTCCCGAGAATGTGCCAGCACCGTCCCTCTTGCGGCAGCTACAGCGTAGCTAGCACTGTATCCGAAAGACTGTCTTGGGCTGGATCACTGCAATGCATCGGGAACCAGTATACTAGTTTGAGTGGTAGCTGTATGTTCCAGTTTTCTCTACTTATTATTTCAAGACAATGCCAAGTGAGATGAAATTCTTATCTAACATGCACATGGAACAGCAAGTGTTGGTTTGTACACCGTTCAACTTGCCTCAATCTATGGCTTCACTGTTATCTCTACTTGCAGTCCTTGTCATACAGACCTTGTACGGCTTTACGGCCCAACACCGGGATGATTCCGTCGTTGAGGAAATCAAAGCCGCCGTTCCAGATATCAAATATGTATTCGACACGATCGGGAATCAAACATCATCAGTGATTACCTCGAAATCCATTCAAGGTGAAGGCTACCTGTGCACTGTGCGGCGTGGGAAAGCTCACACAGAAAATGTCGCTCCGGAGATCCATGTCACGGATGTACTGGTCTGGACAGCATTTCTGAAAGAGCTTAACTATTGGAAGTTCCATTGGCCTGTGAGTTGTCCTTGTGGAGTTTAGGAATTGTGGATTTGGCGATCTGGATTGAACTCATCAAAAGTACTTATGTAAGCGTCCAAGCACGACCATGAGCTGGCTAGTGAACAGTTTGAGAAACTACCGGGGTGGTTGGATGATGGTACGATCAAGGGTAACGAGCCCAAGGTTTTCAAAGGGTTGAGTTCAGTTCCGGAGGGCTTTCGTGAGCACCGTGAGGGCAGGATATCAGGGTGCAAAATTGTTTACCAGCATTTAAGGGTCTATATGGTATACAGCGGATGTTATAGAAGCCTCTTCCATATAAACAAGAAAAGTAAGAAAGAATAAATGAATAGTCCAGTTGAATTTATACATTGAATCTAATGCCAGCGCTTGCATAGACTACTGATCCTGAGTATTATCCAGGATTCGGTCTTTTTCCTTCTCGGCTGGCATGCTTATCCGGTGTACAATACGAATCCATCGTCGCCTCCTCCATTCTCCCATGACATTTGGCCCAATACCCCCCTTCTCTTCAAAATCTTGAGAGACTCGCCCTTTCCCTTTCTTTTTGAATTTCTTGCTCGAAGCAGAATTCAAGTCCGTGTGGTCGAAATCATCATATCCCAACGCAGTGGCCACACCATACTCATCTCTGACTGATGAGGATGAGGGGAGATCCCAAACCCATCCCCCAATTTCATCATTTGTCATACTATCTTCAGAGGCACTGGGAATCTCGAACCCAACACCAGTAATCATACGCTCGACGACCCACTCCCGGCAGTCCAGATCTAGCTCCCACTTCTTATTTTTAAAAGCCCAGCCTGGAGGAGCGTGAACATCTTCAAAGAACCGGCATCCCTTGGGCCGGACTCCTGCAATACGAGACGGTGACAGAGGATCATAGGGCATCGAACTAAAAATAAAATGCTCCCATTGCGATTCGGAGTAAGGCGCCAGAGACCTATACTGTATTTCAAAAATCTCCACCTCACGCTCCTCGGCAAATGAGTCCAGAGAGATATCCGTTAATGATCCCAGCAAAGACATAGTTGCAGATGGCGTGGGAGGTAATCCCAGGATATCCGAAGCATCCTTCCTTCCAGCATTATGTTTAGAGGCTTGATCTGCTGGTTGATCAGCCAGGTCATCTGCAATGCCCTGGAGAATTCCTTGGAGGCTCGGATGGTTGGACAGGATCGCCCCGTTGCCACCAACAAGAAGAATATACCGCCACGGGAGAAGGTGCGCAGTCACAAAAAGTGAAGCTGTTACAAGTGTAAGTAGAAGGAAGACAGTTGAAGACACTTTCTCATTAGAAAAGTTCGTTAGAGGCCCAAATACAGAGACTGTGGCGTCGTGCATGTCAGAAAAATCGGCCATGACGTTCTGTAAATCTCTCATGTTTCGGAAGAAATCCTTCGAGGTCTCCGAAGCAGGTTTGATTGTCTTCGCAGGCGCTAGTGCGGGTCCCTGATACGAATAATATGGAGTAATGCTAGATGTAGAGGTTGATGGTGGTGGGGGATGTCGCGCAAGAAAAGCGGGCACCATTACGAAAAGGAGAACGGCTGCGATGGGAATAATAGCAAGAAGATGGGGGTCCAGACAGATAAAAGAATAAACAAAGAGAAATGAGAACGTATGGGACGATTTTTTCCATCCAAGCAGGCGCTCCAGCTGGTTTTGAAAGGAAAATACAATTCCAATTCTATAAAGATCTCAATGTTTAGTCGTCCTCGTATTACATACTGGAATCATTTAGCATACCTGGCATTAAATCTGCGAAAGTTGTTGGCCATCAGGGGTAAACTGAAGGCAGGTCGCTTGGCATCCGCATCCTCAAGCCCGATAGATACCGATTCATCATCGACATCTTCTGCGGGGATGACTTGCTGAAGGAGTCTGAGGAAACCCCGTCAGAACAAAAGGAGCGACAAGCATTTTCTTGGTTCCTAAATGCAGAAACAAAGTGTGAAGTAGGGAAGGAGCATACTTGGAAAATAACTTGTCCTGTAAAGAGCGATGACCACCGGAGACAGATCGTTCGCGTCCCGTCGTTGTAGGTTCAGTAGTAGACCCATGGCTTTGCTGCCCAACAGAGGTCACCTGGATGGGTTCACTGCGGTTGAAGATGGCATCTGGAGAGTAATCATCCATAGTGACTGCCGACCACTGCTGCAGAGAGAAAAGAGAAGAAGGAATGAAGCATTTCCGGTGGCGGATAGCGAAGGTCGTCGAGGATCTCGGATGATCGCAAGCGGGAAGCACATGCAGGCAGGCGGAGAGCCGAGCAAAAGTAAGTTATTGTAAGTTGATGCTGGTCGTAATATCCAGTACGCCTAGGGTTGGGACGGAATGGCCGAAAAACGCATGGTTGATACAGCTGATACGCCTATCATACCGCCGATCAGGTGAGTGGGTATAATTCCACTGTAAAAGTGCTCTGTTTGCGCTGTTTGCAGCAACAATTGCCGAATTGGGGGAATCTTTTGCAACAAAAGGAGCAGGGGGGGTGGCCTTGGGATTGGCGATACGTTTTAGTCCAGAGTCAACGGCAGACTTGTTTACCAGTCTCTTTCAAGACTCCACCGCATTTGATTATTATTGTTATTATTCTTTTTCGTTTCTTTTTCTTTTTCTCCTTTCTTTTTCCCTGCTTTGCTTTTTGTTCCTGCCAGGCCCTAGAGGGCGACCACGGACCTCTTTTTCTCTCTCGCGTGCACATCAACTTTCTGTGTGTTCCTCTTTCCGCGTTTGTCTTGTTGCCAGCACTGTATTTGCTCCCGCAAGCTAACCGGAACTGCTGCCCCAGGCAGAGTTTCTCCTCTGTCCACCACCGTCCTCTCCTACGCTGATACTTCTATTTGTCCACCCCTCTGAACTCGCACAGCATTGGCAAACCACGATTCGTTGGGTTCTCCGGAGGTTCTCGTGTGGCCAAAAATTTTATCAACTACCTAGAACAGACAATCCTGTTCTCGACCCGCAATGGACCGGTAGCGTCCATTGATGGGTTGCGCAACGGTGTTGGTCAAGGCTCTCCTTTATTTGGATAGCGAGAGACCGTTGACTCCTAAATGCCATTGCGATTGGGATACCACATTGGATCCCTGGCCAATTTCAAATTTCAAACCTCAACCTAGGTCCGTCTTCTGCTCGTCAGGAGATTACATGGACGTCGATGATGCAAGAGAAGCTGTCGCAGCCTAACGCAGGGAAGGGAAAGCCGCGTATAGATCAGTGGGAATCATCCAGTCCTTCACGAAATGACGACTTATGCTCAAGAGGTAAGGCGCAGGCGAGAGTCATCGGTGATACGTGGATGACTGCGACTAACAGCCCTTGCGGTGATCAACAGAAGGACCTACACGAAGACGACTACAGAAGCATTCTTCCACGCCCTTCCTGTCAGAAGCATCCTCCCACCCTCCAAAAGCCGGACCAGGTTCCCGGATAAGTGTAATGAGCAGAAGGAGATTATCTATCCGAGATCAGAAGGCACCACAGGGTCCGCGACCGCAAGAGCCCTCTAGTAGAAGGTAGGCATATTGATGACTTCATTATTTCTTTGTCCTTCACAATTCCCACACTCCATTTCCTTTCCACTTGATATGCCAACAGATACGCCCCTTACCCAAAATTATTGTTTATGCCACTGGAATTATACATTTTCTAACCTGTGCCCCTTCTATAGCAACCCGTCTAGCTCTTTCTTTCACTCCGGTAACTCGTCAATTGATTCCACAAATGACTCAACACAAAGCAACAACACCCGCATTAGCCTCCGATCTACCAGCATCGGAAATTTCCCAAAAATGGAACCAAACCAAACACCACCCGATAGTACAGAATTTCTCGCACCAGTCAATTTTGATGAATTCATTATAGCGGAACCAAGTTTAAATCACTTTCCAATGCCCCGAGGTGGATGTGCAGGGTCCGATTCCCAGTCAAACAATGTCTGGCCCACTAGCCACGAAAATGAGGTTTCTGGGCGATTGAGAAGTGATTCCGTCCGGCGGAAAAGTGTCTCTAACCAAAATAATCAAACCGATGTGGCATCCTCTCGCACACCTGGCTCATATACAGCTTGCCGGAGTCGTCGCCAGAGTCTTGCTCAAACTGGTGGTACGAATACTGCTGCATCGCGAGCCCCTCGCAAATCGATAGGTCCAGGCTCTATCCCCGCGCCTGTATCTGCAAGGCGGCAGAGTTTGTCCTCCAGAAAAGCAAGCGCTGACACGACTCGGGTCGATCAAGCAAACTTCCTCAGTCCACGAGGACAACAGCTTGATGCCGGCTCTTCCGATAGAATGAGACTAACAGCAAGCGCACGAAACATCAAAGCCAAGTCGCTTCAGCCCCCAAGGAGGGAGCCACATGAAAATCTCCTACCTACCTCCGGGGTCCCAGATCACTCTCGATCGTCGTCCACCAATGCGGTGCGGACACCAGTCAAAAGTGTGGCTGAATCGACGACTACTCCATCCTCGTCATCGAAACGAATGTCAGCTATGCCACCACATGCGACAGGCCTTGGGGCTCGCACAATAAGTCCCACTGATGCACGGCGCATGAAGCGCATGTCAACGGCACCTCAGACGCACCAAATACCTTATACTCCACCAACCCAAACTGACCCTATGCCGCTTCGCCCTCGTTCAGGTGCTCCGTCGCCTTCAATGATTCCCCGAAAGAGCGTAACCCCGTCGTCAACCAGAACTACACCAGATCCAAACCGGAAGTCCTATAGTTCCGGCTTTTCTTTATCATCCAACACCAGTTACAACTCTGCGAGAAACTCCCAAGGGTCTTTGCAAGCGCGCTTTTCACAGACTTCATCTTCGTCCCGACTCCCAACCCCCAAGCCCCGCTTGGAACACGTAGTAGCAGATGAGGAGGTTCCCCCTGTTCCTGCAATTCCTAAGGCTTATGAGTCGCCCAAAGGTGATTTTGACCTTCCAAAGTACGTCGCTCCCCGCAAATCGAGCTTGCCTGTGGACATCCATCTCTTGAGGCCTAGATTTGATGCGGACTCGGACACGAATGCGCCAGCTAGTACAGCCGACAATGACGGTCTAGAATCTGGCGATGGGCGAGCCATGAAAACACCTGAAGCCAAGTCCAAACCATCGGCAGGGCTAGGTAAAAAGAGCTTGCAACCACTCAAACTGCCGCCTTTGAATTTGCTGCCTCTTGGGACGCCAATGACAACCAAGATTGAGGCGCTCCGTGAGCGAGAGGAAGATGCCAAATCACACACACCAACTGGCCAAATTATTTCCAAGACGCCGAGTACTCCTTTGACCGCGTCAAAAGCAAATTTTTTTGCGTTCCAGGATGAAGATGATACGGCACCACGAACCCAAGCTAGAAGCAGCACCGCTCATTTCGTGGTTAGCTCATCCGCAAGTCATGCTCTCAGGACTGCCAGTAGCTCTAGTGCCCTTGCATCGTTTGAAAATACCGCCGGCGGGGCACGAACCGTTTCGCCTTCTGTTTCATACACACTACCGAAGAGCAGCAGCGACTTTACTTATATTCGCCAGAAAGCCAGTGGAGACTATTCTCCTCAGGCATCGCAACCATACAAGCTCACCGGCCCTCGCCCTCAGACCCAATCCTCTGCATTCTCTTCCAATGCAGAAACCATTAGCCAGCTGTCAACGCCGTCCGATCCCGACAATAATAGCACTTCCGGTTCCTCCCTTCGAAATAGGATCGTGTTGCCCCGACAGCGGAGCACTTCAAGAACCCAGCAGGCTCCCGATGTGATGACTACTGACCCTACGAAGCATGACCCAATGCCACCTCCTAAGCTTCCAGCGTCTGCAACCTGGAGCAACCTAGCATCGTCAACAAAGAATACGAGCCCTACTCTTAAGCCAAGTTATCTCAAGTCAAGACGGCAATCTTCTATCAACACGACTAATCCGGCATTTAGGAAACCTAGTTTTAGTAGCGAGCAGAGTCTTGCATTGGAGCCAACCCCCTCGAACGAGTCTGGAGAGAGCGACGCCCCGCAACATCGCTCTGCCGCCTCAATTCTTCTGCCCGTTCATACGATTATCAACTCCGCGAAGTCAAGTGCCGGGTCCAAATCTGGATCGGTCGACCCCGTCAAGGATTCCGATATCCAGCTTGCTGACGATGAGATGCGAAAGCTAGGTAGTCGACGCAAAGACTTCGAGCTCGCCGCTAGAGACTTGGATGAGCTGCGTAGTAAATCGGGACCAAAAGAGCGTGTAAATCCAGCGCAGGCTCTGAGAATGGCTAATCTGAATATCTTTGAGCGTGGTGAAATTATCGACTTCAAGGATATTTATTTCTGTGGTACCCAGAATGCAAAGAAACATGTGGGTGACCTGAATGCCCAGACTGCGAACTTTGGCTACGACGATGACCGTGGTGACTATAACATCGTGATTGGCGACCATCTTGCATACCGATATGAAGTGATCAATGTTCTAGGCAAAGGAAGCTTCGGTCAGGTCGTGAGATGTGTGGACCACAAAACTGGTGGCCTGGTTGCGGTTAAGATTATCCGTAACAAAAAGCGATTCCACCAACAGGCCCTGATCGAGGTTAACCTCCTTCAGAAGCTCAAGGAATGGGATCCTCACCGACGCCATAGTGTGGTTAACTTTACCCAAAGCTTTTACTTCCGTGGTCATCTCTGCATCTCTACTGAACTTCTCGGGATGAACCTTTATGAATTCATCAAAGCACATGACTTCAAGGGGTTTTCTCTCAAACTCATTCGCCGTTTTACTAAGCAGATGCTTAGTACTCTCGTGCTGTTGCACGCCAAGAAAGTGATCCATTGCGACCTGAAGCCGGAAAATATTCTTCTCGTCCATCCCATGAGCTCCGAGATTAGGGTTATTGACTTTGGTTCAAGCTGCTTCGAGAACGAGAAAGTATACACGTACATCCAAAGCCGTTTTTACCGCTCCCCAGAGGTTATCCTTGGCATGTCATACGGCATGCCAATTGACATGTGGAGTGTCGGATGTATCCTGGCTGAGCTCTTCACTGGCTATCCAATTTTCCCTGGAGAAAACGAACAGGAGCAGCTTGCCTGTATCATGGAGGTGTTTGGCCCTCCGGAGAAACATCTGATTGAGAAGAGTACTCGGAAGAAATTATTCTTCGATTCTTTGGGCAAGCCGAGGCTGACGGTCTCATCGAAGGGTCGTCGTCGACGTCCCAGCTCCAAGGAACTTAAGCAGTCCCTGAAATGTGACGATGAAGCCTTCCTTGACTTCATTTCCCGTTGCCTACGTTGGGACCCTGCCCGTCGTCTCAATCCGCACGATGCGCTTCGACATGAGTTTATCACAGGGATCAAAATGCCATCACGGCCTAGAACATACACGACGGGAGCAAATTCCATGGCCAAACGAGGAAACCTCTTCTCCAACCCGTCGACAGGTCGACCGCTCCCAGAGCCCCCTGCAACAAGTCTCAAGAATGGTGCCTTTGTTCGTAGCCGCGATGTCTCCGGCAACTCTCCGGTCAAGCCACCTATTGGCAAGCGGCATTCTACTGTGAGCGGTATACAGCCTTCAACTCCTGCAAAACGAGGTACCAGCACCACGACGGCAGCACCTGGGTCGGCGTTGCCTCGTGTCTCCGCGAGGAGCATCAGTGGAAAGCCCGACCTTGCTACAGCGGCGGCAGCCACAAGCTTGGTGAGCGGCAAGACTATCGACTCCGACCGAGGACGCGGCCACTAACCAGCATATAGAGGACTAAATAGAGCGGTTCGAACCGTCTGATATTTTTATTTCTTTCGTTTGCCCCCTTCACTTCTTGCATATCTGTAATAATAATAATTGTTTGACTATCCAGTTGCATAAACCGGTCGGGAATGTCTGCGATTTTGTACCCCGTGTCATGATTGATTCCGAATTTTAAAGAGGTGGACGAAACGAGGCTCATCCTATACCCTTACATTGAACATCTTCATGTTTCTCCATGACGTCTTTCCATTGCCTTTCGTTGTCATTTCAAAGCCTGTGATTTCATTACGACTCTGGAAGCTCTGTCCATGCATGTCTTCTTTTCGTTGTCCCTCCTTTGCAACTATACCTTTTTTTGAAAACACATTGCATTATTCCGTTTCTCCCTACCTATCTGGGCATTTTCTCAGCAGCAGATGTATATTTATTATTATCTTCTGTTACCTCACTTGTTCAAATTTCAACCCATGATCTTGGAAGGTTGCGAGAACAAATTATGAGCGATGTTAGAGTTGGAGCATTCATATATATACATTCTTATGAACCAAATCGAACCTGTAGAGATCGACGTAGGCAGTAAGTAGGGGAGTGTCACCTGTGTGGAGCGCTGAAGATGCTGGAGGCTGCGACAAGCACGGGATGTGGACTACTTGGCCTCAACTTCCCTCTCCACTCCGTTGGCCGAAGCTAGCTCCATTACATACATCCTCGCCTTTGGATTCCCCCATTCCCTTCCACGGCTTTATTCATGCCTTGATTGATCTTTCTTGTTTGTTGTCTTTTCTGACACGGTTTCGTGATGAATGGGTTTTCAGCGCAAGGGCTAGATGAAGATGCATTCGGGGAAAAGTCCGTTTCGCAGGGCAGCTTGAAAACATTCGATGCCTTTCGTACGTCTATCCTACCTTTCTCCGTGCTATTCAAGTTCAGTTGTTCTCCATATGCGGTTTAAAAGAGATCCAGCACTCAATTCATTCTAACCTGCCCGCTCTTCCTTAGCTAAAACTAAGCCTTCGTATACAACCCCCTCCCGCCGCGGCGGACAATGGACAGTCCTAATCCTGGCCATCTGCACCATCTTCTGCCTCACAGAATTCCGCGCATGGCTTCAGGGCACCGAGAATCATCAATTCAGTGTCGAAAAAGGCGTCTCTCATGATCTACAGCTCAACCTTGACATTGTCGTCAACATGGCCTGCCAATCACTACACGTCAACATCCAGGATGCAGCAGGGGACCATATTCTCGCTGGTGAACTCCTAAAGAAGGAAGAAACGAGCTGGAAGCTGTGGATGGATAAGCGCAACCACGGCTCCGGTGGCCCTAATGCATATCAAACCCTCAGCCATGAGGACACGTACCGCTTGTCTGAGCAGGAGGAAGACACACATGTGCACCACGTGCTTGGTGAGGTGCGCCGCAATCCCAGCAAGAAGTTTCCCAAGGGCCCCAAGCTGCGCAGAAGTGATTCGGTCGATGCGTGTCGTATCTATGGTAGCCTGGAGGGAAATAAGGTCCAAGGGGACTTCCATATCACTGCGAGGGGACATGGATATCGAGATTTTGCTCCGCACTTGGATCATGCCTGTAGGTTTTCCTTCCCCTTCTTCATAACCATGCGTGTTGCAGTAACACAAAGACCAAGACTAACGGCATTTTAAACATAACTAGCTTTCAATTTCTCCCATATGATTACCGAGCTCTCCTTCGGTCCTCACTATCCAACCCTCCTCAATCCACTCGACAAAACCATCGCCGCCACTGAATCTCACTACTATAAATTCCAGTACTTTCTCTCCGTTGTCCCTACCATCTACTCCAAGGGCTCTCGCAGCCTGGATATCTTCTCCAGTTCTCCTCCCTCGCAGAAGGAACACCGTAGCAACAAGAATCTGGTCTTCACCAACCAATACGCAGCCACTAGCCAGTCCGATGCACTGCCCGAGAGCCCGTTCTTGGTCCCCGGCATCTTCTTCAAATACAACATTGAGCCGGTGCTGCTTATGATCAGTGAAGAACGGACAAGCTTCTTATCTCTCCTTATCCGGCTCGTGAATACCATTTCCGGTGTGATTGTTACGGGGGGCTGGTTGTATCAGATTTCCTCATGGGCAAGTGAACTGCTAACCCGACGGCGATCAAGAAAGTCCGAGGGTGTGCTGAATGGAAGACATTACGCGGAAGAGTGAGTTTTTCCATCTGAAACTGTTTTGGTTTACCTTTACTTTTATTTTATTTTTACTTTTTTTTTTTTTTTTTTTCTCTAAATTCGGGGTTACACTGGTCTTGGTGTTCTGTTTCATTCTGGTTGCTTTTATACACTTGTTTGGCATAAATTTGGTTTCTGTTGTTTAGTTGCCCATGGATATCCATTCACTGGTTTAAGCATGAATACGTATTATGATTATCAGGAAACGGCTACATGAATTGTGGAAATTTCAGAGGCAAAATCAGCTGTAGGAGTAACAATTCTAGGGGCATCTCCCCTGCCGCGGACGTTCGATTCATAGCATCCAGTCGAACCAAAGGACATGCATAGAAATGATACAAAGAAAAGGGAAATCGACCGAAACTTGATGAAGCTAAAGCTCATTTCATGAATTCTAAATTTCAAAGATCTCTCCCATGCCTACCCCGGCCCCTTCGGCCCCAGCTCGACTGTCCACCAAATCTAACCGCCAACCATGCCAGTCTTTGAGCTTGGACTTGATCTCGCGTACCCATTCGACACGTTTTCGTGCCTCCTCCTCGGCCTGTGCGCGCGCAAACTCTGCCTCGTCGAATTCGTCGTCGAGGCTCTCTTCGGAAAGTAGTTCCAGACTGCCCCCTGCAGGTGGATGTTGTTTGTTCGATGGAGCGCGGGTCCGGTTTCCGTAGTTGCTGCCTCCTGTGAATGCGGCAATTCCGCTGGACAGCACAGTTGAGAAAGATGAGTGTTGTTGCTGTGCCATACTGCGGCGACGGCCGTGCTCGGGACTCCCTCCAACAAGGTCGACGTCGTCGAATGTGTTCGCAGCATGGTTGGGATTGTATGTGGAATCTGGAGCAAAGTTGGGCTCCTGTCCGCTGCCGCCGAGTTCCTCTCGTTTCTCCTTCCAAACACCGCGACGCAGGTCGAAGATCTCGCCTTCCAACTCGCGGATGCGACGAGCTAGTCGCGATCGCTCTTCATCTTCTAATTCGTCGATGGCATCATCGTCGGCACCACCACCACCACCGCATACCTCACGTTTCTTGCTTTGCTCTTCTTTCAGGCGGAGGTTCTCGTTTTCAACACTAGCTAGTTTCTTTCGTAGTACGGCGGCCTCTTTCTCTGTCTTTTCGCTTTCTCGAAGTCGAGCCGAATGGCGTGCCTCCGATTCTTTATGCAGATTGCCCATTGCTTGTAGCTTCTTGTCAAGTGTCTCGATTTTCTTATTCGCCTCGGCCTTTTCTTCCCTTAGCCCCTCGATCTCCCACCCTAGGTTTTTAATCAGTGTTTCCGTGGACGTCTTGTCTACGCCCTCTTTGACGGCCTTTTCAGAAGCACGAGTCAGGGAGGCTTTGGCATCAGTAAGCTCGTTCTGTGCTTTCTCAAGAGCGGCCTCGCTGCGCGAGAGCTTCTCTTCTAGTGCTGCTATTTGTGTTTCACGCGCCCTGCTAGAAGTAGTCTGCGACGAAATCTGCACGCGAAGATTCGATATTTCCAACTCCATTGCTTCGATAGTAGCAGATTTTGACTCCAGCTGTTGTACTAGGTCTGACGGTGGCGACTCTGCTGAACCTGGAGAAACACTGGCGTTGCTACGATGCGTTCGCGTTTGGAGATGCGAGTTCTGTCTCTGTAGGGACGCAATTTCGGCTTTCTGCAGCAACTGTAGTCAGTAACATCGAACTTTCCGCCAAATAAATTCAGAGTACATCTTACCAATTCATCAGTCTCTCCAGCTTTCTGCTCTGCCTTTTCAAGCTGGTCCTTTAACTCCGCCACATCCACGATCGCCTCACGAAGATCCTCTAGCTCATCTTCTGTCTTCTTCAAGCGACTTGTTCCGTCCTCCAATTCCTTCTCCAATCGCTTATTCTCCTTCTCGAGCTCTTCGATCCGGGTCGACTGTTTCCGATATACCTCATGCACGGAGTCACCATCAGCAGATAACGGAGGCAAGGGCGATTTCATTGCCGCAGACGGAGAAGGAGACACGCTTCCCTGTGACACGGATGTTCTCCGGAACGACGACGATCGCATTTTCGACTGGATCGAGAGGGATGGCTGGCGGTCGTGGGACGTACGTTGGGTATCAAGCTTAGCCGCACTTTGGGGTTCACTCTCCAGCTCAGGGGAAGTCGGAGCCTCGGACATGGGCTCAACCGGCGATTCCTCGTGCTGGGGCTGTGGCTCTACATTGTCGTGCGCCGGTTCGGTATTTCCTTGTTGCTTTTCCTCTGTTGTGGCGGCTTCCTCGGCGGCGTCTTTCGGCGGTTCAACGTCTTTGGAAGACTCGGGTTCTTTCGAGGAATCTGCACCTGTAGTTTTCTTGTTGGCTTTCTTTTTCTGCTTTTGGAGTTGGGCAACCTGCATTTGTTTCATTCATAGTTAGGGGTGTCAGTTGTTGAATGAGGAATATGCCCAGCAGTGGTTCTGGTTTCACCACATACCCTCTTTTTGGCAGCAGCAAGCTTCTCCGCCTTAAGGCGCTCCTCCTCATCTGCCATAGTGTTTAAAGAGATGACTGGATGGGGGTCTGGAAAAGTGGGAATAAAGTGGAAGAACTGTTGGCCTGGACGGAGCGGACAGCTTTCTCCATGCCACGCACGGACCACCATTATTGGCGCATGTCCAGAGCGTCGATATCAATGGCCCGGTCAAGCAAACAGCAACACATTCCTGGCTAGTTCCATTCAGTATTACATAAGTGAAGGCTCTGAATCATTATGTATGGATTAAAGAATCGTTAAAGATACATGAACTGAATAAGAACTTCAACGCCTCCTAGAACATTCTCTGGAGTACCGCACCGAGTCTGGAATGCAACACCATATCCATTAAGACAATCTGGGAAAACATCAAATCCAATAAAATGTTGGAGCCCGATGCCTCCCATGACACTCACCCAACGCCCTGCAGGTTGAATGCATAAGAGGAACAAAACAGTAAAATGAACGCCACAGAACGAAAACTTATACACAGCTGAGGACAAATAATCAGCAAGTAGAGCAGTAGCGATCGGTAACAGGGTACGAATTTAAACCTCCATCGAGTCAGCAATTTCCTCACTCATAGCGCGAACGGTCCCTTTGCTACCGGACCTGGATCGGAATTCTTCGTCGCTGAGCAAATAATTATCATATTCATCCACCACTGGACGTGAAGGTTCAAACTCATCATTCTCGTTGTGCCCGTCATCACTCTCACTCTCCTGTCCCTCAAGGTCGGCTCGATCCCCAAGCCAGTAGCGAGAACGTTTGCTTGATCCCAAGTCGGGTGTTAAGTACCCGTCATCAAACGCTCTCTTTGCGGTCGGTGTGCTAACAACACCTTCGCTTGGCGTGTGGCTAAGAATCGGAATCGCCCTTAGATAGAGGTAACAAACTCGCTTCCGTAGTCGATTGAAGAAAAAGTAGTGGAGACTCCATATTGCACCATCATCAGCATCCGAGGGATCTTCCTCCGGTGAATAAGTATAGATTGAGCACTCCTTAAGGGACATCTGCGTGTCAATTGTCCTCCACATTCGTGGTCCCCACGTCGAAGATGCGCCTGCATTGTATGACCCCGAGATTGTAACGGGCGATGGAGGTGTAAGATCGATAGCTTCACGTGGCCGCAGATTGAAAAGGGTCGTGTCGATCGTATTCATCACCCTCTTTAAATTCCGTTCGCGGTGGAAATCTGAGGGACGTAAAACATGCGAGAAGTCATAATCAGGATGACTTGCATTTAACGTTGCGATTAAATACGCGAAAGTCCGACGACTCGAATGCTCACTCAGGGGGCCGAAGGGGCTAGAACGAGACAGATTAAGCGAAGTAGCAGCGTCTGACGCATTCGGAGGTGATAATGATGCCGACAAACGAAGTACCGATTCATACTGGGCCTCTAGCGATTGCTCGATGTTCTTGTACAGCTTGCGATCAGCTCGGGCCGCCTTGGTCGTGTAGAGGTCACATCCTCCGAGGATGTGACAATCAGCAGTGTCGAAATTGAGCGAACTAGTAACGTCTTCAATCTCAGGAAGGGGAAGAAACTAGTGAGGTAGGCATGTTAGTCGACGTATTGGGTCATAAGGATCAGATGCCAACATTAGGATGCGAACCTTCATCTTTGGCAAGAGCGGCCAAAACTCGCGGTTAAGAAGGCGGGAGAATCGCAGGTTGTCGGAGATAAGTCCTTTAGACTGCGCGACAAGAGGCTGAAGAGAGAAAATGCGGCGTGGTTGGCGATTCCAGATCGTTTGTGACGTCGCTAATCAAAGATAAGAGAGCGAGTGAGCTGGCAGATAGAGTCAATAGCCGCGGGAGTGGGAGTGGCTACAAGAACGGTGAATTCCAAGCAATGAGGAGTTAATATGTAAAATTCACAGCACTGATGGCCATCACATACAATACCAGGGAATATAGAGATGGGAAAGAAGCAGGGCGATGAACAATGAATGAATGAATGGGGGATGGGTGGATGGAATGATGGTGAGTTGCGAGGGGGGGGATCACGTGGCGGCGGCAATCAGCCAGTGATATCACACGCCTCCCTCACGGGTCCGGCCACAGGTTCGACAGAACCAAGGAATGCGTCATCCTGTTCCCATCAGGCCCTCCTTGGCCAGATTGCCGAGAACTTCCTGATCGTCCTGAAAACAGTCACAGTAGTATTAATTAGTCTTGAGGTCGCAATGGTAACAAAACGCCTATGTACGTCCAACGCCGATATATCTGTCCAACATGAAGATTCCCAATATCGAACCTCCAACAATAGTACTTAAACACAGGAACGCTAATGTGTTGACAATAAAAGTGCGCTACATGAGCTTCGTAACCACATCTTCCTCAACCTGGGGTCGGAGCCACATTAGCCTATATCGAGACATAACAGTGTGCAGAGCCCGGATAATCCAGTGAGTTAATCAGATGAGCCGGGGGGGGGGGGTTAGGATTGCTGAAATATGACCTTTGGGTTCAGGGAAGGGGTGGATGAGGACCAGGGAAATCAGAAGGATAGTAGCGTGGAAGACGAAAAAGAAAAAGAAAAGGCGGCGATAAGATAGTTGGTAAAGAAGGCAATGCCAGGGTATCTAGTTGCTTGAAATCAAAACAGGCAAACAATAATTGTCAACTCACCTCCATGTCTTCCAAGCTGTCCTGTTGACTGATACACCGAAGAACATTCTTTTTACTACTTTCCTGCATCTCACCTGCCAGCAAGAGTTCATCCAGGATAAAGTAGGCTTTCTGGAAGTTGAAGATGATGTCCAGTTCGCAGACGTTGCCGTAATACTTGTCCATCTGTTCCACATATCGATGCACGACTTCGAGGGTGATCAATTCATTGTCGGTGGATGCACATCCGGCGATGAAGAAAAGGGACGCATAACGACGATAGACAACCTTGGTATCTGTAGGGAACAGCAGTTAGATTTGGATTCAAGTATGCCAAGCAAGTGTTACTTGAAAAGGGAGCAATACCCTTATATTCGAGGAAATTGCACATGCGGGTGCGACGAGACAAAACGAGCTGGGTCACATCTTTGATGATCTTGGCCTTTTCCTTCGGCGAGAGAGTAGTAAACCATTTGGCAAGGCGCTGAAATAATTTCATTCGGTCAGTCCGTCAGCTCAAGCCATCCTCCGGGAATCGGGTGGGTGACGAGGGCATACCACTTTCCCCTGACGGGACAACAGAATCAAATAGCTAGGGAGATAGGTCAGTGCATTATTAGAGAAACTAAAACATTACATGCTCACTGAATTGCCATTGTGCAAGTGGATGGGGGTGGTGGGGAGGAAAAAGACCACAGAACCGACGGTGTTGTGGACAATGTCGAAGAAAGCCCAAACGCGGCTCTGGAGAAATTATTTGCACGGACCGCCGCATCTGCCCCGCACCCCTCTTTACAGCGTCAGGAACACGAGTAAGTATCACACCAAATATTCAACTTTTTGCTAAGTTTTGATGATAGTATGACTCCCTCTTATCGGACACTAGAATGAAGTCAATGGTTCCCCCTTACTAACAGCTTACCCGACAGCATCTGCGGGGTAAGTTCACCGTCTTCTCCAACCTACAATTCCCCTGAATATGTCGGCATTGGTCCATGAAAATCATTACGATCACCGTATCGCTTAGATAGAATCAACAAGGTGCGGCGTTGTCGAGTTGCTAGAAATATCTCTCCCAAGAAATAGATTGGATTATCGCTACGTACCAGTCCAGTCAGAATCCTTCGTAATATCTATAAGGGCGTTTGTCTAGGCAATAATACATCAGAAGACATTCAGTAAATGTCTTTCAGTCCATTTATTCCACCCATCTCATTAGAGGTCCATTTGTGTATCAAATGGCATGTATTTTGCAGGAAGACCACCCATGCACGTGGAGTTTAACTCCAGAGTGGCTTATAGGTATCTATCGAGATTGTGGTTTTTCATGCATACAATGAGAGTAACAATAGCCTGGAATGGCTCATATGCTGTGGCTACCTACCCATTTCTTTGTCATTATGTACCAATAGCCACAAGGTGAATCCATGAACATCATCAAACGGACTGTATATACATATAGAGTCACTCGAACGCCATAGTAGAATTCAAATGGGTCGCTATCCAGCCGGTATACTGCGCCCCATTCGCAATTATTTTGCCAATCTAGTGAACTAAATAAATTAGAAGATTCCTAAGATTTTCTTGTGCTATGACATAATATATCAGCGTATCATAGTAGACTAGTGCTTCCAATATTTTTAATAAGATCTAGGGCCGTTCTTGAAACCTGAAAGTAAGTATAAGGAGCGTATAGTGAATTATCCTAGTTTGCTTTGATCTTGGATGGCCAGAAAGGATGGAGTAGTTCACCATTTCGAAGACGACAAGTACGCTCCGAGCATACGATCACAGTACAGTTGAACAGGCACTCAGACAGATCGTACAAACACATAAAATAAAGAATATTATACTATTAAGCATATAACAAGAAAGAAGCACAGCCCCAAATTCTCCCCTCGCCCATCAATCACCCGACAATTTCCATACCAACCTTTCCTAATATCCCAATGTTCGAGCAGTTGCCAGAACGACAATATAAACAGACACAGGTTCCGAAGACTCCATCTCAAATGATATAGGCCGTTGATATATTAGTTAACATTACCGGCGTTCAAGTTTCCCATAAAATAAATGAAGTTAAAGAGCAATTCCACTTCAATAGTTCTTTCGTATTCCACATTTAGCACCATATCATGTAGCTATTATAGAATTAGGTGCCATGAGATATGTGTCTTCGATTTTGCTCAATTGTGCTTGCGCGTCACACTTTCCGGGATCCGGACATGTATGACGGTTTAACCACCGTAGACACTTCCCTGCATCAAAACTGTGAACATTCAGACTTTTTTGTCACCTTCCAAAGGTAATCTCACCTTATGCCTTGGGATAACCCCGGAATTAAACTTGAGTCATGCTGGGACGAGCCCCACGATGGGGAGCAGTACGTCCGCGGAGGTTGACACCAGTTTTGCGACTCATCATGAATGAAAGGACAGCGGACGCCATATATCCAGCCCAGGCGAACCAGAGGAAAGCTGTAGATGCTTGAGCTTCACGGCAACGCTTCTCGCGATGTACAGAGCCATTGGTGATCTCATTATGGAGAGTATAGTTCTAGATAATCGAAACCGTTAACCAAGTGGATCTCAGTGGGGCTGTTTGTCACTAGCAGGAAGCACTCCGCCACCGATCACGATCTTGACCACCAGGGGAAAAAACTGAAAACTGCGTGCCTATCTCACGTACCTCATTGCTACAGCTGTGACTTTCAAGCTTGGCCGCAAGCGCAATACCCGAGGTGAAAAAGAAGATTGCATTCAGGATATCCAGAATAATCATGAAAATTGGGTGGATCGCCCAATCCTCATTGAATGAAGCTGGGACCAAGTAAAACAGTGTGAACATCGAAAACGCCGAGACAAACATGGCATAGTTAACTGTGGCAGGGTTTCCGGCAAAGGCTTGAGCGATCATGTTACCGATCAGAGCCATAACGAGAAGAGTCCAAACAAACTAGTCGCAAACAATCAACCGTCAGCCATCCAGCTCTGCCTTCGTTCATCAACTGTGCTGAAAAGCATAGGGCTTACTTGCCTCCCACGCCCGCAGGCCGAGCTGGATTCCTCTCATAGCCATTTCGACAGCTTAGACTAGCGTTTGAGGGTGTTTTTGGAGTGGAGCGTTCGTTCGAGATATCGACGCGAGGCGCAAATCAAGCACTCTCAGTTACCGAAGAGAAGCAAGGCCCGATGGGATAGATAGTGATAGTATTCATCCGATTTGTGAAACGACTAGAATCGCAGGGATAGATGGTTGGGTTAATCTTTTAAAGGGCGGATGCCCGGAGGGCGGCGATGACGATATGGTGCGGGAAACTGCTACGTCATGGGAATCATGAAATCACCACTGCCTCAACACCACCCACACCTGCGGGAAGGGAATGTCAGAACCCGAATATGTGGTATGTTGGCGGAATAACCGATTATTCTTACGATATTCTTTGTGATCTATTGCAAGGCAACCATTATATAGCCAGTTGGCGGGCATTTCTGCAGCCACTACGGAGTACATATAAATAGCATTTTCATCTACCTGTCCTCTCTGTTCGTCCATTTGTCAAACATTTCGGCAGAAATTAAGCAGCAACTAATGTAGGCAACACCACAGTATTAGTACCCTCCCGCCCTCCTCCGACATGAAACGTTGATGCCGTCACAAGCTGCAAGCGCACATCCCCAACTACCACTTCGATTGGTTCTCGTAGCGCTCTACAGACCCATGGAAATCTCAGAGCTAAAACCTTGTGCTACGAGTAAAGAGTTATATTATTCAATAGTATGGCCAGTCTGCTTGTCGACATCAAGTGGATCCGTGATTGTTGATGTATTCTCGGTTCATTTCTCCTTTAGAATCAGGTCCGTCATACTGAGATGGCCACAGAGCTTATAAATGGTCAATAAACTGCTTTGACTAATGGTTGCTTTTCTGGCCTGACTACATGTGTCTGAACGCGAAACCAAAAAAAAAAAGTCGAGGCCTAACTGTTTGTTTCATATCATGCGGGTCAGGATTGAGCAAGTTCTAACGGTAAAATACTAGGATGTTCGTGAAGGAGATGTTTCCATTTTGCAGCTTGTTTTTGGTTTTCTTTCTTCTGTCGGGTGAGTGAATTGGGAAAGTTTTTAAGTCTTTGCATGAAGTCTCTCTAGTATAAAACTGCGAACATGAAGGAGATTATAGTGCGAACATCTTTTATAAATACGTATGTTGTAAGCAGTAAGAATGCACCTGGTCGTATTAGCTCTTATATACAGACAAAATCAAAGTCGACTTATTAATTTACATGTTCGTAGAAAGTTCAAGATCAATCGCAGCGGTTGCATAGATAACATTCTGTACCTTCCATTGCAGCATTAACAAAGAGGGACTGGCCACTAACTTGCAATAAATTAGCATCTCCAGAGCAATGACTTGTCTGATAGCACTTCTGGATATTACTATCAACCTTCTCATCAAGGTTTGAGAGTTTTTCAATCATAACATATTTGCATTTATCGACATCCGTCAAATGTGATGGCTTCTCGCTGGGCTTCGTACGCCATGTCACAAGCTTCGCCCCCTATTGCTCATGAACATGTCCGAAGCAGTGCACTCGTGGCCTCGCTCGCGAAACAGCCTAAAATAACTCCGAGGACCCCATGATATGGTATAATCCATAACGTCCTTGGGTGGTCCGTGTGTAGTGACAATATCAGCATTATCTATAGAAAAGATATGTCCTTGTTCAGGGTGATACTGAAATCCCCAGTCTCCCAGGGATGGGGTGTAGGGGATTGCATAGACTGTTAACAGCGCACCATTCTGTAAAACAAAACGATGTGTTCCCTCGTCGAGCAAGGAAATACCGGAATCTTCAGCCGAAACAAAAAGACTCCTGGCCTCTCGTAGTCACCGTATTCCTTCTTGACTAACGTGGGATCTAAGGGCTTATTTGCTTCGGAGATCTTCTGTTGTAACATCGGGGCATCTAGCGTGATGTCATGATTTCCTGCGACGATGAGTTTAAGGGTGCATCGATCAGTTTGAGAAGTTGGATTGTAGATTTGAATTTGTCGAGTTTCGATTCGTTTGTGAGGTCACCACAGTGGATGGTAACATCTGCTTGCTGGTTATTGACATATTCTTGAGGGAGCTTGCGGCCATGAGTGTTTAAGATGACGAAGAATCCGGTCTTGACGTTAGATCTTGAATGCATTCTGCATCTGAGTAGATGCAAGTAGTGGTAATTTATTGGTAGTGTTTTGGGCTGAAGGAAATATATTAAGTCTTGGAAAAGAGGTATGTATTTGACAAGAGGAAAAGCAAGGGGGTCTTTTCAGAGATTTTATACTCGAAAGTTTCTGCTGTGACTGGCCCTGTTGTATACGATGATAATTCAGGTTGTATGTTTGACCAAATCCCCGCCTTCCATCCCCTATCTCAGATTTTACAGTTTAAATGACATGCACCTCCTATTTATGTACAACGGAACGATGCTTTGTATAGAGGTATCTATCATTGTATCCTCAAGTCCCTGTCCATCCTTCTCAGCTCATCTTGCATTCCATAAATCTAAAAGGCTAGGAATATATGGTATCTCAGAAATCGCCAATTCTAAATAAGACTCATATCTCGTTTTCCCGAATTTCTATCCATTTTTCCCCTTTATTAGTTACCTTTCTCTTACCCAATTATGTAACAAAGTTTAACTCACCAATTAGTGCAGGTCCATGCTCTCGGGTTTGTCAAAACTCAACATCAGCGCGATTGACATCATCCCTTGACCGTCATGTCGAATCCTCCTAATGAAGACGATCAATCCCAATTCTAATTAACCATTCTAGAGTATCTGAAGCAGGTGGAAGATGATGGTATGTACAGCAAAAGAATTACCAGAGAATTCGCATACCTTGTGCGGATCCACCTGGAACAATGATTCTATTGTTTTCTGGTTAAGTATATACAAAAAGCCCATGTTTCGTTCTCTGTAAGGGCGTCCTCCTTCAACGCCGATGATTATAATCACCACTCGATCTACGACGATGTTGCTAATGAACTCTGGCGTCATAAGATGTGGTACTTCGACAACCAAGATCATATTGTCTATGATGTCTATGACGGGCTGAAAGAGTTTCCCATCAGTAACATATCAATGCTTCTGGCTGGGCAAGTTACGGCAGTGTAACTGACTTAAAGAAACCGACATTGTGCGGTCGCTGATGTACGTATCCGCAAGAGAATAGCGTTGGGGCTCCCAAAGGGATGTTGGGAGAAAAGCAAGAAGGCACACGGCGGTAAGCGGAATCCGAATCCGGAGGATTTGGAGAGATGGAGGTGTCTGGCCAAGAATGTCGTCCAAGTAGAACGGGTGCTTTTGAGAGCGCAGGTTGACACTGTGTACGACTTTTGGAGATCTGGGAACCAGAGCCGATTGACATGGACTGGAATAGTCAAATCAATGCCGCTTTGTCGTTATTATCCAGTATCTAAGTTGCTTACTCCAGTTTGTGGGAGATTAGCATTATGAAGCTGAACTAACAACGAAAATGTATTCCTTGACCAGACTATCCAAGGGCACGGATGGCGTAATTTATGTACAAAGTGACTGCAGATAGGATCGGCATCAATAACTGACGCTGACGCAACACAGCGATTGTATTTGCAGTATGGATCACCTGAACATCCAGTATGGAATTTCGTAGTGCTGTCCTAAACAGCGTGATTGCTCTATGACATCGGGTTCATAGGTTTCGCAAGAAACGAATGATGCGCCGATTGACAATTGAACTGGCGTATGAGGAATATACGCTCTGTATGACCCATTGTGCAATGTCTTCGTGGAGCTTCTACTTCCCGACTATGAATTGCGTGGCCAGAGGGATATGTTCCCACATGATCTGTAAGGCCAGCCATCTTTGTTGGCAACAGTCAATTGTCGAGATTAATCCATGCTTCCAGACCATAAACAACCAGAAGTGAATATAAGCCAATAGGCCCCACCACCATGAACATGGATGGCATGGTACTGTATTCGGGAAGACTAGGGGTCGAAATTTCAGGTTCGAAGAGAAACGTAGAATAAAACAGAGGCTGTTTTTGTTATCCTCCTACGTATCTTGACTGGATGAACTGCCTGACGAAGGAGCTTGAACACAAGCAAGCTCTATCTGGATGTCATTTTTGCTGTGAGGCGGTGGACTATTATAGGATGGACCTCGACTGACGATTGCGACGGCCACTTGTTCTGCTTGTTGGCTGGAGGTCATGTTGTCGATAAACCATGTTTTCCACGGACTGTCGCTAGATCCAGAGGTTTTTAGTGTTGCGGACAGGTCCGCGTCCGTCTCTTGACCAAATGCTAACAGGGAATTAGTCAGTTAGACCCAACATACGACATAGGAAAGTAGTGTTATTGCACATACGTTGAACAGGGAAGGCCTGGATATCGAAGAACGGCGGCGGACAACTATCGAGAGTCGGCGGGTTAATGCGCATTTGGCTTATCACGGTATCTAAGGGACGGCTATAATAATCCCCCTTGGCTGAGAGATCGTATATAGCGCCCTTCAACAGAGACTTTAAGTTGTTTGAGCACTGTGGCCCCCAAACTCCGTCACAACCGTTATTATCCCCAGATGGCGAGCCAGTTAAATTTCCCACTCGCATGGCGATCTCCAATGTGCGGTTCTTATCAATGATGGAATTATCGATGCGGCGAGCAGCGTATCCCAACCAAAAGCTAGCCTTGGTCATGGGCTCATGGCCCTTCCCTCGCGAGTTGGCGTCGAAGGCGTAGTAGAGGTTTATGTTATCAAGGAAAAGGGGCGGGAAATCAAATGAGATCGCTGTTTGGGCGAGAGGGTCAACACACCCACCATCCCAAAAGGAACAGAGCTGGGCTAGCCCTGAGTGGACGATTATTGTCCAAAGTAAGAGAGTGAGGTAGGGACGAAATATCGACCCCCTTCCGAAAAGGACCGCCATTTTAAGGTTGATAAGTGAGGCAAAATCTGGTGTTCAAAAGGGCGACCGAAAAGCCTCAAGAGGAGAAACAACTACCAGCCGACTGGCATGCTCGTGACTGTGCTGGGTATATAGGTGGAGGTCGAAGGGATTGAGATCGGCGAAAGCAAGTATTTGCCAGTTGGTAGAATCGGAAAATATCTAGAGCATACCAGGAATAAACAGAGGAAGTCTCATTTGGACGAAGGAAATATGGTATGGTCGTATCCCCGGCAATGTTTCCGTCCTGTGACTCGATTGGGTATTCCGTGTTTAAGGGATTGTGGTCGTGCAAGTGGTCATCAACACAGGTTGAGTGCTCCCATAAACAACCTTATCATCGAGCGTCCAGAAGGGCCAGGTAATCAGAACAACAGCCGATCGCTTGGCTGCGTAATCTTGATTGTAATGATGATAAGATGGTGGGAAAGTAAGTACCAGTAAGGCAGGCAATGTCCAAGAGAAATGGGGAGTAGGAACAGATCCGGGTCGGGATGCTCCGACGGTGGAAAAACAACCAGGTGTCTGATCGAGGGCGTCGTCTGTAACGCTGGAAGAAAAGTGGGTGACGAGCCCAGTGGGCACCGATGGTGTGAAGTAGCAGTAGTGGCAGGAGTGGTGGCAGACAGGGAAGAAACTGTCGATGCCGTTGTTGCTGCTGCAAGTGGTGGTGCCAGGGTAGACGTAGAGTTAAAAGAGGTGGTGTGTTGGTGATGCCTTCCTTGGACAGTTGATTATTTCCAAAGGCCTTGACCGTGAAACAGGGAGTAGTGGAACCTTTTCGATGGCTCCCTGGCTTTTTAGGAGGCATTCTTAGCCCATCTTGGCTGGTACCGCTAACAGCCAGTCTCCGCATATTTCCGACCGAATGCGGGAATTCTGGTCGATGATCCAGCACACAGTGCCAGGAGATAGCCAATAAGAGTCCTATACACCCACATATTTCGGTCCTTATGCCCTTCTGAGTCGTAGAGAGGCCAATGGGTTCGCTTATACTGCCAGCCACCACTGCAACTTGAGATTCAGGCTAGTAAACTATCTCACCTCAGTATTGTAATCACCTGGTTTTCTGCTAACCATCTAGGTACATACACTAGCAGAAGGTATGTATCTCTTAGCAGTCCTTAATTAGGTCCATATTTAATTAGTTGCTTCTTTGACATTGGTCTGTGACGGCGAACAGATTACAGGAAGTTGCTTCGGTATCTACTTATCCATTGTGCCTCTTCAAAATCTCCATGTGTATGAGATCAGATGTACCTCGGAACAGTGTCCTTACTAATCATCCTAGATAGTTAACTAATTAACTAGCTAACCATAGTCAACTAATAGGTTCTGAGTATATCCATGATCCATCCACTCCAGGCCTAAGACCAAAGGCCACAGTCGTAAACAGGTGGTATTGTCTTCACTAAGTGGCTCGGTTTCAGTTGGTCTTCAGATCCTATCTCACTATGACTGGGCTAATCCAGCCTTCCTAGTATGATGGCCTACTACTGACGCTGCACCCAGAAGGGCTTACTGACAGACTAGTAGTTAGTGGTACTGCTGAACAGTCCATACTAGTGTTCCAAATTGATATCTGCCCCTCTTTGTTCCTATTAGACTCCTGGTTTGCGAGACGCATTTGGTCAGATTATTGTCTGCATACAAAGTACCTATGTACTCCATACTCCGTAGTTACCTAGTTGTTGCCACCTCTTGGGTTTCAGCCGTATTTCTAGTCACAATGCTCCGGGGTTATAATTGCGAAATGATAATAACACTGCTAGGTAAATAAATCTCTATCACCCAGAGTATATCTCCATATTGTTCCCTTGTCCAACTTGCATTAATTACGGGTACAACGACACCAATCCAACTACGTACACACCAGTTTATTCTTGGCATACATAAACATTGTGTGCCAAAAAAAAAAAAAAAAATTAAAATTAAAAATTAAAAAACCAGTGTATATAGGGAGTTAAAGGTATTTTACGTTGTACATAAGAGGACGAAGAGACTTTTATGCCTTTACATCTACCCAAGATTTGACCAAGTCTGAAATTTTCACCAACAGTCGGCGGTTCTCTATCGAACATGCCAAACGATCACGGTTCATGCACTGTAGGTATGGTCTCCTATCTTAGTAGTTCATCGGACGTCCAACGGTCTCCCCTCGGGTCACTCCACCCCAAGTTCCGAGGCCCTAGCAACTAAGCAATGCAGTAGTAGCAATAATGATAAGGTAATAATACTACCTAAGTACAGAGTATATTGGAGTCACCGAAATGCCATCGTATTCCCATCTCCAAGCGTGCACATTTCCTTATGTCTCACACACCAAACCTCCTATCTTACTGTTTCAGCTTTTTGGCTTCGATGGATATCGGAATGAACTCCATCTGCAAACTAAGCTGAGTAGTATTACAGCAGGCTCCAAAACCCTCCATGACAACAAATCGTACTCTGTTATAATGGACTATGCGACGAGCCTGTGCTAGATCTCAAAGCTGAGCGGTTAGATTAAGTGATGCATCGAAGAGGACAACCAGGCGGGCGTTCTCAAATTTCCTCGTCACACAGAATGTACTCCATGCTCCGTATGATTAGGTAGGGGTATGGAGTACGGAGTACGGACGGAGTACATGTATGTGTGCAGGTAGGTTCCATACGCTATGGTCATTTCCTGACCTGCGGCCGTATGCACGTTGTAGGGAGAAGATGGTACGAGGCGTAAATAATTTGTTTCCTAGGCGTTGCTCGGCCATGATGAGGTCATCTGCCATGCTAAATTCTGCCCCTTCCAAGGTACGTCATAAAAGTAACATCAAGTTTCCTCTACAAATGCCACCGGCGCTAACTAACTTCAAACGGGAATGTTGGCTAATGTCAGATGCCCACGGTCTCTAGAGTACTTGAACACGAGACCACCTGGGGGGAAAGAAAACCGAAAGAAGCAAGCAATATTACTGTGTACAGAAGCAAACCCCAAGCAAAGTGGAATAGTGTTCCTCTCTATGCTTGGCGTCAGTGGATATGATCCAGTAATATCCGACAAGTCCGCCGTCCAATTATGTATCTATGTGCTAGAGCTTCTTGGGCAAAGAACCGTTTTCCTTGTACCAGATCCGAACCTTGCGTCATTGCTCTTAAAATCAATTCATTAACTAGCCGCAATGATGGCATGCATCAGAGTAGTTAGTGTTAATCCAAACTAAGGACCTTATATTTTATGTATGGTTGTTTTTAATGATTTTGATCAACACTGTTAGGTAAACTAAAAACTATAACTAACCCCTTTAAATTATCAGGTTTTTTTTTCTTTTCTTTTCCCTTTTCTTATTTTTTATCTTATTATTATTTGTTTAGTTTTCTCATAAATTAAGCCATCAATAATGAACCAATTAAATGAAATAAAGTAAGCCGTATCTATCCCATGCTCCTATGTTGCAGCCGACGGACCACGCTATTTCTCAAGGGCACGTATACGAGTCTTCATAATTGTGGTCGATTCAGTAATGGATTTCATAAGTTTGCGGATCCTTGCCATTTCTCGTGCTCTATTTCGTTCCGCAACAGCCAGGATGTTGCGTGCTGTTTCAAGCTCTGCAAATTCCATGTCGGTTCGATTACAGATGCCAGGATTCTGCTCTTCGAGATGTCTTTCGATGTTAGATATCTTTGTAACCGCTTTCACGAGCGGTAGTAGAGCTGTCATATTGAAGGTTAGCCATGATGCATGCTCTGGTTTGACACCCTGATGGTCCCAAATTTGCGCCATGGCCTCAGCCCGCTGCTTGAACTTCTTGAGACTCCGAGATCCTTGCGGCACAGGTGCCACATTTTTATCCCAGTCGAAGTCCGGGAGCTTCATAATAATATTATTGTATTGGTTGTCTTCGTTATTGCCGTCGCTATTGCGATTGCGATTGTCCTTCATCTCCCTCCAGCGTTCATATTCTTCCCGCTCTCGCGGCGCCAATTGTGTCCTGGCTATTAGCTCTGGATTTCGAGATTGTTGTGATGCTAGCTTCAGGCCTGTGTAGAGTGCGAGACTGTTTCCCTCTTCAACTACCTTGGCTAGATCCTGCATCTTCTTGCACGTCACTTCAAGATCATCCGTGGTTTCGGGCACCGGAAGGAGCTTCAAGTTTTTGCCCAAATTAAAGAGATCGGTCGGATTCACGGTATTCATGGCCGATTTGGATCCTCTACCAGGACTTTCATCACCCTCTGGATCCTCCCTTTCTCGTTTAACGCCGCAAGTGGGCAGCTGTCTCACCATCTCGTCTGAAAGCGTTTATATCAAGAAGTAGATGGTTCAAATTTGACCAGTGTCGCTTTCTAGTTCCTTCAGATTCCCCCCACTTATGTAAACGTTGATGTGGACGGCACGAGACCTGATAATTAGATCACTTAGGTCTCAAGACAAGCTAATAAAAGCGTCGCCGAAGTCCTGCTGTTCGAAAGTAGGCTTGTAGATGCCCAGATCGATGGAGATATTATTGTCGCTCCATTCATGCAATTGTAGATCAAGATCATGCATTGAGATGAGTAACTATCACCCCCAGCCTCTCTGCAGTTCTTTGAGGCTTTGTGCTCCTAGCAGGTGCCTGCTGGTCTTTACGGGAGTACAAAGTGAGGTTCTTGCCGTGGTTGTTGATGGCTTGTTACACGTCGTCTGAATTCCGCGATGCGCGTATGATTACTAAGAGTGTTTATTGCATTGTAGCTAGCCTGAGAGTTGATTGAATGAATGAATGCCTATAACAAGGTAGCATCAAGCATTTCAAATTCAATTTGATAGCAATGACGACATATAGTTTAGAGTTAACTATATTTAGTATAGCTTTCATATATATATATATATTGTACATACATTAGACACCGAGACGGATCGACTTCCGACCAGCTGTCCTTCCTTTTCCTAGTATACAACAATTTTTGTCTCCTAGCTTCGTGGAATATATAATCAAGAAAGAAAAAAAAAACATAAAAGACAACAATTTGACGATAAACATGTTGACCAGAGCTGAGAAGGATGGTCAAGTCACGTCGAAATGAGGGAGATTGTCCGTGGTAAAACAATAGAGAAATTTCCAAACACCGATAACTCCGCGCTCGAAGATTGCATAAATACCCCAGAATTGGATCATTTTTCCTTCACTTTCAGCAACAGAACAATTCCAAGGCTAATTATCATCGTCATCCATATGTGCATGGTCCTTAAGGCCATGTCCTCGAAGCCAAACGCGCTTCCAAGGACCCTCTCCTCCAAAGGCTGCCTCACGATCCTGGCGCATTCCCTCAAGGACAGCAACAATTCCACCGCGGCGCAAGCGTTCTAGGACAACATTCATGCCCTGCTTGCTTCTGAGCACAGCGTCTCGGGTCCGGTTTACGCCGATCAGCTCAATTGTTCGTTGAATGCCAGCAGTTGATAGCGAGGAAAAGAAGCCCCTCTTTGGGGCTTCCTCGTCAACCTCTACAACTTGATCGCCAATTGACTGCTCCCTTTTTCGGTTTCCTAGGAGTTTCCCTTGCCCGAATCGGGACCGAAATATCACCGTCGTCTTCACCGTCGTCTGTTCCCGTATCTTGTCATCAAGAGAAAGTCCCTCGAAACTTTCAAGTGCCCCTTCAATAGGCTGGCGATGATATACTTGCTTCTCAACGACGCTCAGTATTCCAGTCCATTCCATGTTCCGTGACTCCGTCTCCATCCAGCCTTCCTTGATGTCAACTACAGTGTTCTCTAGGATGTAGCTCTGTCCAGAATGATCCGATCCTCCCATGCCCTTCGGGAGCAATTTGAGTATACCAGATGGGATTTTCGATTTTTTAAGATGCAGCCGCGTTGTATGAAGGCGTTGGGTTTCCGGATCGACGTGGCGATCAATGACATCGGTGGTAAGTACATGGCGAGAGTATGGGTTCGGATACCGAAGAAAGTAGGCTAAGGAGACAGCAGGGAAGGAGTAATCGTAAGTGAATACATTCTCAAAGAACTTCATAACTGCAGATGCATAGAGACCGTCTATGGAGTTGAATCGTGAGTATGGGACGTGCTGTAGTGGCGGGTGGGATGGTGCAGGTTGAATTGGTGAGTGCTCGTCTGATTGATCGCTTTTGTCAGTGGCCAGGCAATAATTCTGCTCGGGTCCGAACCTCCTTTCAGTTTCGGGGCACAATTCTGTCAGCTTCCGCAGGGCCAACGCTAGCCTTATTTGTAATGCGGGGATTTTCACGTGATAAAAGGTTCGCCAATAAAATCGCAAGTTCCCCTAAACTGTCCTAGGGTTTTAATTGGCTGATCTGGTTCCCTATCATAATGTTTGGTACCTGAGCAGTGCAGGACAGTGGTGATGATCTTCCTAAATACTTAAATGAATCCAGTGCATTGATATCTCTATATAAAGTGATACATCTTAAAGATTTGTCACACTGAAACCCGTGAGAATAGTACATATATGTGCAGAGCCCTTCTACTGTGATCTTGCTGAAGTATATGTTTTATGGCGACTCTGCACTGGTCATGGGCATTTAATATTATATTCAACTAAGTAGGTTGGTTTCTTATCATATTTAACTTCAACTTAAGAAGAATCTGCCGATAATGAGTAATGTAACGGATTAAGACCACTATTTGCGAACGGTTATCGGTGTGAGCGTACCAACACATATGTATAATTCACATGCGGAAACTAAGCATCCACTTGGAAGATTTTAGGTATCCATAAAATACCATTCAATGCAGAACAATGTCCTATATTAGTTGGGGTGAGATTTCTCATATAGCGATAACTACTCAAGGCAATAAGCATGTCAATAACATATGATCGTGTGTTAAACTTCTTAAAGCAACAAATCCCAACCGCTACGTAAGTTCTGATGCCACAAGATAAAGGTCTGGACCGTATAATGCTATCTGCTTTGATTGTAAAGCACGCGGGTAGATTATGTAGGACGATTAAGTATAATTCTTCCACGGATGAATCCCCGTACCCCGTTACTGAGCCAGCACTCTTCGCCATCAATTAAATCAGCAGTCTTAATGACTAGCTCAGAACAAAACCCCTGAGCCAACGCGTATCGCCTTGTCGTGCCAGCATTGCCACCGCTCGAGAGGGGTGGCGTGATCCAACCCGGCTCGACACCTCCACTTTCAGGATTGTCTACTCCATATTGAGACCTGCGCCTGAAGTATGGAGTTGTAATACTGCCCTCCATAACTTCACCCATTAGATTCACAATGAGAACCTCTGCCTGCTCTTGTGGAGAGACAATTCCTGACCGAAGTCGAGCGGAGGTGTAATTTTCCCGTGCAGTCGTCTTATGCGTTGTAAATGCAGAAGGTATTGTGGGTTCTGAGTCCACATAGACAGACCATGGGCTTCCCGACGCATTTGGTCCAGAAGGTATGAAAAGATTTACGAGCTCAATTGACGCTGTCGGACTAGCCTCAACTGTGCCCACTCCGTTGCTATCGAAGAGTATCCTAAGGCGCCATGGCTTCGTCTTGTCAGGTATGAACGTATCAAGAAATTGAACGAATTCTCCTAAGCCCTGCTCTAGAAATTTCACGGCATTCTCCCAGTTAAAACAGCGTGCTGCACTGAGGAGTCGGTCTTGATGGTACGGAAGGAGGTAATACGGCGTGCGTAGGGGGTCAGGATAGGATTGAGAGGCCTTTTCACTGATGACGTGGGGAAGTTCGGGGTCATAGCGAAGGGAGGATATAATATGAAATGATTCCATTGCCATCGTTTTGTTATAGGTCCATTCGTTTAGAAAAGGGAATGTGCCTGTCTTCCAATTCACTTGAGACTGGCCACTAGTGAGTTGTTAGCCTTGCAAGTCCCGGGAGATTCAGCTACATGAGGAGCTCTTTAGTGATTGAAAAAGACAGTATTTCGGTTGATTCTGTCTGGTAGAAAACAACTACCATCACCATACTGTGCAGTTCGAACTCTAGCGCTTTCTCCCAGCTTACTGTTGGCGGCGCTGTGGAGAAAAAGGGAGCTGAGCATCCTTTGTGGCGTGTGTGATTGGCCTGGGAGCTCGGAAAGACACAGCGTCGCCGGAACCTCGCAACACATAACTTTTCAAGTCCCATCCTCCAACTCCTGCCGACAAGTTCTTGCCGTGCACCCAGGTCTAGTTAGTATTATCATATCCTGTTCTTTGTATTATGGATTCTGTCCATCTTATTGATGATAGACTGACACCCCCCAAAAAAGGCAGAAATAAAAGGGAAAGGAAATTAACGATACCGGGTCATCATGTCGAGCGAATCGCCGTTACCTCAACCAACAGAGAACGTGGTTATCGACACTGCTTCTCTCCCTGCCTCTTCCTCAGCATCAATATGGGACCGAGTCTCTAAATGGGTGTCGGAGAATAAGGCTCTCGTTTACACCATTGCCGGTGTCGCCGTTGTGGTGACCAGTGCAGGTGTTGTCTACTACCTCTCCGACACTGGCCGAACGGCTCAAGCTTCTCCGCCCGCAGAGAAGAAGAAGAGCAAGAATCAGCGACGGAAGGAGAAAGAGAGGAAGAAAGCAGAAGAGGAAAAGAAGGCCAAGGCTGCCTCTCTTCAGGACGGCATGTCGATCTAGCGCCAACCTAATGGATAGATAACGTGTGTCAGGCTAATAGTGTTTTAGAACAAGTGACAAAGAAGACAGAAGAACCTTCTGAAGAGCTTCCTGAAATTGATGAGGCAACGGTGGGACAATTGTCTGAAGAGGTGTGTTGGTTAATGGGTTATGCCGTTCGCATCTTCCCTGATACTGATCTGAGATTATAGACGAGGAATAATTATGCTGCGAAGCTGAAAGCCGCCGGCAACAAAGCATACGGTTCCAAAGAATACAACAAAGCTATTGACCTTTACGGAAAAGCCATCATTTGCAAACCCGACCCCGTTTTCTACTCAAACCGCGCTGCCTGCTATAATATTTTATCTGAATGGGAGAAGGTCGTCGAGGACACGAGTGCCGCTCTAGCAATGGACAGTGAGTATGTCAAGGCTCTTAATAGACGGGCAATTGCATATGAGCACCTTGAAAAATTCAGCGAAGCCCTTCTCGACTTCACTGCAAGCTGTATCATCGATGGCTTCTCCAACGAGGTCAGTCGTAATGCCCTTGAAAGGCTTTTGAAGAAGGTCGCGGAAAGGAAGGGCAAAGCTATTTTGGAGGCAAAGGGCAAGAAACTCCCTAGTACTACATTTGTGTCCAACTATCTCCAAAGCTTCCGTCCCCAGCCGCTTCCAGAAGGCCTTGACGAATCAGCTGAACTTAGTGAGGAGTCTGGCAAAGGGCAGCTGCGTAAGGGCATGATTTCAATGGCCAAAAAGACCGGTGATGGCTACGAGGAGGCTGCTGCTGCTTTTGAGAAAGCTTTGGAACTCGGTGAACTGGGTGAATTTGAAGCTTTGGCCCTCAACCTGAGAGCTACCTTCACCTATCTTGCAGGAAACGCACAAGCCGCCCTTGTTGATCTTGACAAGAGTGTCGCCCTGCAGCCATCGTTGGTACAAAGCTACATTAAGCGTGCTAGCTTGCACCTTGAACTTGGTAGGTCTAATTTTCTAAACATAAACTCTTAGGCAATCAATCTAACCTATGGGTAGGAAACAGGGACTCCGCCGCAGACGACTTTGAACTCGCCATATCTCACAACAAGGATGACCCGGATATTTACTATCATCGTGCTCAGCTCCATTTCATCCTCGCTGAATTTGCAGAAGCTGCTAAGGACTACCAAAAGTCGATCGATCTCGACCGTAACTTCATCTACTCTCATATACAGTTAGGTGTGACTCAGTACAAGATGGGGTCCGTTGCATCTGCTATGGCCACTTTCAGACGGTCTGTGAAGAACTTCGAGGATGTGCCGGACGTTTATAACTACTATGGCGAACTTCTCCTTGACCAGCAGAACTTCTCCGAAGCAATCGAGAAGTTCGACAAGGCTGTGGAGATGGAGAAGCAGAGCAAGCCTCTAGGTATCAATGTTTTGCCGCTCATCAACAAGGCCCTTGCCCTATTCCAGTGGAAGCACGACTTCCAGGAGGCCGAGAACTTGTGCAAGAAGGCTTTGATCAGTGAGTCAAACCTCCATTGTGCGCTACCAAGTTAGGCATAGGTACTAACCGGGCGACAGTTGACCCTGAGTGTGATATTGCTGTGGGAACCATGGCACAGCTCCTCCTGCAGCAGGGTAAAGTCTCTCAAGCCCTCAAGTATTTCGAGCGGGCGGCAGAACTGGCTCGCACGGAGGCAGAGATCATCAATGCAATCTCATATGCTGAGGCAACCCGAACGCAACTTGAAGTGCAGGAAAAATACCCCCAGCTTGCTGCGCGCCTGCAAAGCATGGGTGCCGGTTTTGGTGGACACGCTGGCCTCTAAAGCGGACGTATTATCTTTTCTCTCCAACTTTGAAGTCAAAAGAGCTGTTGGATAATGTTTTGTTTTCTTTATCTTTTACTCCTCTTTTCCTGGCCGTATTTGAGCCAAGCAGGCAAGTGCCAGCTCATACCTGATTATAATTCCTTTATTGCTCATCTCTTCTGGGATGTGAGGGCACCGGGGCCGTTCACTGTTGATGTATTTACTATATTTTTGGGGCCGTTTCTTTCTTCTTTTCATTGATATATCTTCGCCTTCTTGTCTGGCCCCAAAGGTCTCCTTTGCATTTCCTCGTCGCTACACTGGATTTCCATGTATATGAAGAGTGGCTGGAACTTATCAGGAGTGTGTGGCGGGCATGTTCTTAGTCTGAGGCTTGATGTCTGACTGCGAGTAGTAGAGGGGTGAATTGTCACCATGTACCATATCAAATGGAAGATTTGCTGTTTGAACTGAAGCATGTATGTACAAGCCGCTAATGACAAGACTCTAATATGGGGCTGAATTTGCCACGAAATTTGAATACTTCCCTTAAAACTATGGGTTTTACTGAGACGAATGCATTACATTTTATTGGGAACGTACTAGACTGCGAGGAGGGAAGAGTAGATCAAAGCTAGGTTCAAGGTTGGATTCCCCTTTTTAATACTCAGGATGAATTCTATATGGAGATGCAAAAACAATTAGTAATTCTGTCCGGACAAACCTAATTTGCTAGTAATGATGGTTTCAATATTCGGTCCTAGATTTCCGACCAGCCTCGAGGTAATATCTACCTCATATTATGCGGCAAAGTGCTGTAAAGCGGCAGCACCTGGTTCCCCGAAATAACTAGTGTTCCGGAGTCCTCCGAATTGCAAGAGTCACTTTTAGATTCTGTGTGTCCACCTGACGGGTCACCCCACTTTCTGCCTATCAGTTAGTTTATCGGCGTCATCATCATCCATCTGCCTTCTTCCAAGTAACTAGTAGATAGTACTCTCTGCTTCTCTTGTTATCATCATACCATACTGTTCTTCTGTTCTTCAAAGGAGATTTTAAGATTGAGGTTGCAAAGGATCCTGACAGTAAGTATCCGTTGGTTTTCGACGTCGACTCTGTAACAGTCTGACGTAACACTCTACCATCTCCACTTATTGAAGCTCCTCTATCTTCCCTATCATTATCGGCTTCATAATCCCATGACGCTAATTTCTTATTGCTGTCGTCAAATCAAGACCATTACCTAAATATTCTTTTTTCTCAAGGGCCTGGATCCCCTGGTATCTCTTCTCCCAGGAGGCCTTGCTTTTCCAACCAGACAACTTCGGGCTGTGTGACTTGCTCAGCATTGTACACGGCTACTTAGCGGTGGTCCACGTTGCCCTGCCCAACAGCGACCGATAGTTGAGGTAGGTACACTTCACTGCCCCTCCTAGGTGTACCTTCTCTCGACCCTGCCGTCATCCACGTCACCGTCTCATCTAATCATCCTTCTGTTCATTTCAACTTCGCGGGTTGAATGAAGTTTCCTTGCAAGCGCTTTCAAGATTTTCCACTGTGTGCCCCTAGTTTAGCAGTCCGCATGCAAAACCTCTCATGTTGGGACAGTCACTAATATTTATAAAACATCATCCAGATTCGAAGAACAAAACCATATCGTCATAGTGACTTAAAATACTTGTTTTTCCAGCATCTTTTAAGTCGCCATGCTGGGTAAACGAGGTATGTGTTGCATCTATAACTCCCGCATTATAAGCTTTTGGATTCTATTGGGCTCATGCCTTCTGTGTGACAGCTGTCTTAATTCTCCACCCACTCAACGCAGCCGATGCTCTTCCGCATCGCACCCTAACTTTCACATCTGACTCGGACTATGTTGAAATTGGCCGTGCCTCTAAAAGGGAAGCTAAGAATCTTACCCCTACAGATAAAAACGGTCTATTTGACTCCCGGGTCATGTCAAGAAACCATGCTAGGCTTCGAGCGTGCCTAGATGAGAATGTATGGTGACAATACGGCCCGAGGTACCTCCTTAGGAACTCCTGCTAATCGGACTGCATTTAGGCTATTTATATTTCCGATGGTGGCTCCATGCACGGTACATGGGTAAACGGCAAGAAGTTGGCTCTTGGTGAAGATACTATAGTCAACACTGGTGACATGATAGTGTTTGGTACGGAGGTTGCGCGTGGACGTGGTGAGTAAATTTGGTTCCAGAATATATTACCCAATGGTATGTATAATAAGGAACTGACCTATGTATTTGTTCTTTTGCAGATATGTTTCCTCCGCTGAAAGTTCGCTGTGAATGTCGGTGGCATGAATCCGAGTATGTAACCTTTAAATCGACAACACAAATTAGCTAACGGAGCTCCCTAGAGAGAAGCCGGCACCGAATGGCAATGTTAATAGTTCAAAGTTGACTACCAACACATTTTGTGTTCCTGATGATGATGAGAATGATGTTGAAATTACAGTTGACTCAGCTCCAGTGAAATTCGGAGTTGATAGTAGTTCAGACTCCGGCCGTGGCTCAGAAGATGGGTCGGTTGTGGAACTCTCCTCTCCACTTACTTCTCCTTATAAAATCACTGATGTTGAGATGTGCGGTTCACAACAAGCACCGATCGAACTTGATAATGAGCAAACTGGACAGCCTCTCGTGACTCCAAGGATGACACCATCTTCTAATGAAGGCGCTCCTGGAGTGATAAGGCGCAGTCTCCGAAGCCCTATTGGTGACGACGACTCCAATGCGGGGTCCGTACTTTCCTCTCAGGGCGATTTGGCCTCACAATCGAACAACGATCAGGCTTTATCGGAAGATGAGTCTATGTCCAACTCATCCTATGAATCTGACATCGAGTTGTCAGACGATGACGAAGTTTCTGAGAAACCGAATAGTGCTTCATTCCCTGAAGCTCAGAAGCTAGCTGAAGTGGATGCCATCAAGTATACCAAGGAGACTTCATGTCCTGGTCCTGATGATAAAGAGTCCCACCCAATTAAGGCTCCAGTGAAATCAACTGAATTGCCACCAAATAATTCCATGGGGAACGACATCACTGGACTGCCTGGGCTTCGTCACAGTGGCATAGGGGTCAACCCGCGGGATATTCTAGAACCGGAGGTGGGGATGGCGGAGACTTATCGCCAAATAGTTAATTCAGGTTGGCCGTCCACTTTCTATGGAAGCTATAACAGCTTTGATCCTCTTCTGGGCAGGGCCAAGCCATTCGATCACTCACTCACCGGATTCCATTCTAACAAACAGAGTCAAGAAAACGAGGAGTGGAGAACATCGCAGGGTATCTCGAATTCATCTTGTATCCCGATGACAAATGGGCATAGCCGTGGCTCCTTTCTGGACGAGGTCTGCAGGCCCTGCGTGTCCTACAATGACGGACCTTTCGTCAACGCAATGTTGCCACGGAATGTGGCTAGAGATGGGACAAGCTCTGGGCATGGAATGGGTATAAATGGTGCAACACCAGCTACTACTGAAAACAGTGCCATACCTGATTATTCCGCCAGCGAAGAACGTAACATCCATCCAAGACCAGATACGCGCCTTAGAATAGCTGATATTGTTTCATACCCGCCACCAGCTCTGCAAAGATCACAACGCAAGAGAAAGGCCGCGGATATGGATAACGATCAACTTCTAGATGATAACAATGCGGCTCAAAATGCATACAAATTCAACCCTACTTCGTTTAAGGAGAATAAATGTGTAGGGAGTGACAATGATGACACTTGCCTTCCTGATGCTCAACCACAGGCCGGGGTGGAAACTATGGAAGATTCATATTCTCAACCGACAGCTTTGAGTGCTGCCAACGAGTCCCAGACTGTCGAAACTAAGTCTCATTCTTCAACAGAAAATGAAAGACAAGTAAAACGACAAAAAAAATACGATACTGTGACTGTTGGAAGCCACGCGACTACTGCGGTCCTTGGTGCTGTGATAGGGGCCGTTGGTACCGTTGCTCTACTAGCTTCTCTTCCTTCTGATTACTTCCTTTAGGAGTGCATCGGATTTATTTAAGTCTTAGGCTAATCTATTCCCTTACTTTTTTGGCAGACGGGAGGATGAGGAGACGGGTCACGCCTGTGCCCGTGACTTTACCGTTATAATTTATCAGTGAATGGTGGCAGCGCACACACTGGGATGTCTTTTTTGTTAATTCTTTTAGCAGTTGGGAATGAGACCGTTTCGAGATCGGGCGCAGAGACAAGGGCGACTGGGTCGGCTTTTCTTACGTAGTTTTCTTAGGCAGGCAGGGAATAATAGTGCTCTTTTGCTTCCACTTCATAGGATACCACAGTCTGAAGTAAATTTAAGTCTTCAGTTCTTAGCCACCTCCCCGTTTGAGTATTTGAGGGGAACCTCCAGGGTCGGTGAATGGGGATAACCACCTATGGTACCTATTGTCGCTTGAGAGCGGTGATTCCTTTGTGCAACGTTGGTATGCTGTTGCCTTAACGACTGGACAATCAAGGCTAGCGCCCTGACTCCATCTCACACGAATCACACTGTTTCCTGCATTTCAATACATGTCAGATCTCCTGTTAACTAGCCTCTGGGCTCGATTTGACTGCGAGACAGGCACCTAGTAACTACTGGTACCCAACCCAAATGGTGACCAAAGCGGCGCATACATCTAAGCAAGTATACACCCTGGTCCAGCGCGTGATTTCGAACGGTTTCTTGCAGGTCGCTAAGTTTCGAATAGGCAGGAAATGCATACTGCCCTCTTTGCGCGCCTAATCAGCAGCCACGTCTTCGATTCATCCCACCTGAGCAGCTGGACAACAGACCCTGTCTTAATGTCGGGATTTGAGCAGCGAACAACCTAGGAATCACCACATGGCAGCTGTAACATCGGCTTTTTTTAGGGGGATGCTTCTACTTGTGTGAAGGTCGAAGATATAGATTTTTATCTCTTTTTCTGCCGTGTTTTCTCTTCTGAGGTTCAGGAATCTACAACCTTTGCCGGATTTGTCTGTGTCCAAGAAAGCCAAGAGCATACCGCCGAATCAGCATTAATCGGTAGTGCCTGCCACTTAATGCATCGTGCAGCTATTTTGAACTGATCGTTTTGAATGGTTCTGTTTCATATTCGACCCAGGGGATCTTATAACATGTGATAGATCTGCAGATTAGAGCCGTCCCAGCAGAACGCAGCCGGTGTTTGATTCGTTGGACTACAAGGATAATGTCTTTTAATTTCATTTGAAAAAAGCAGTGAAGCTGACACGAGATCGCTGGGCTAATGTGGAGTAATCACTGTGCTACCTCACGGCTAAGCTGGGCGGATACCTGCATGACAGGCCACCGGCGTCATCATACGAGACACGCATGTTGGAGTGTCAGAAGCTACCACGAGACTGAGAGGTGTGATGCCTTTCCATTTGCTCGCTAGGACATTGACCATTCACCGTCTGCTCCGACTGTCCGGTATTGTGGTGCATATCGGATGAAACATCCCTTGCCGTCTACATGCAACAATACCGAAAAACTCGAACCCTATTTTATTTTATTTTCTAGTCTTCACAGGAAAGTCGTACAGTATCCAGCACTGCACTAGCATTGATTCTCTAGATAATCTTTGAGCGGAAACTGCGACGAGGAAATAGGACTGTTGGTTGATTACGACGTTGGGAGGCTCAAATGAAAAGGCGCTGGGGCTTTGGGAATCTGACGATTGACGGCCTTTGTGACTATTATGGAAAGCTCCAAGGATACAATGTGGGCCTCACTTTTCAAAGACATATGCATACAGATATCTATCTACCGTTTTTACCCAGCGGTTCCTGGACAAGCCTCGTGCATGTTGGGATCGTTCATGGTCCTGTGAACGCGGAAAATCAAAAGGAATTTTGTGCCATTCATTCCTGAGTGGGTAAGTGCGTCTTTATAGTAGTCTCTCGCTCAGTGTCACCCCGTTCTCCCGATTCGATGGAACAGATGCGTGTGGTCTATACAGAAGGCTAGGGATGATATCATGCTCGCATGCCCAACTGCACTTAGCCGTGGCCAACCGTCTATTATTAATGAGTTTTCCGATTGTTTGAAGCGGTTAGAATCCTGCATCTGCTTGCTGATCTTGCCGATTGTTCGTGACCCGAGTGACACAGCTCTTGGTGGCTGCCATGCTTCTGGTTTATTTTCCGTTTTTATACATGAGCCATCTTGGTGGCGGTCACGCAACCTCTCTTGTGACTTTTCTCTTCTTTGATTTGATTTATTTGCTTTCTATCGGTGTCTCCTTTATTTCCATTACTAATATTGGATTTGCTTTCGGCCATTGAGCCCAATATACCTCGAGGCGCCATAGGCGAACCTCGCAGCTGGGTTTAGTCCCGTTAGCAACGCTCGGAACGAGGAGTACAACTTCGACCCAGCTCAATGGATCGCAGATCCTTTGAGTTCCTACCCTCCCTGGTGTGTCTCACCCGGGATGAGCGAGTGTGCCATACTTGTCAGGCATGATTATCCTCTGCTTATCTCCGATACCCCGAGATTGCCTCCGTGACCTTATTATCCTTACTGCTTCATCCTTCGCACTCATATGTCATTGGTGTAGCTCACCGTGTGTTAGAGATCTCGTCGATGTGACCGGTTGTGAATGCCTCTGATTATCCCATTCGTGCCATGTCGGGCTCTTTCAATACCTCTCGGTGTAAATGCCAGCTGGGCTGATTCGACATTGCCTATACTAATTCAAGCTGACGTTCATCGATTCGAGTCCTGGTCACACAATCTCTGGCGGCAGAGTACTATGGCTTTTGTCCACGGGGAGTATTCGGTTCGCTTGAGCAGGGGATAGCCTGGATAAGGTGCAGTTCCTTTTCTTCTCCTTCCGTCTTTTTTTTTTTCTTTTCTTTTTCCGCCTTTTGCTTTTTCTCTTTTTCTTTTTGATTCCCCCCCCTCTTTGGTTTCTTTGATTTGCTGCGCCTTACACATGATTGATTAGAAAACGTGCTCCCACAATTTAAAAGGATGACAGACAAAGCTGTTATGAAGAGACATCTTGGGCAAAAAAAAGTTTATTTTAAACTAAACCCATTAAATCCACTATATAATCTATCGTTTTTCTTCACCCACTCGATATCCCCTTCCACACTTAGTGATATTACTCATTCAATTATGGCCCACCAAGCAACTTCAACCGCTCATATTGACCCATATCATACATCCTGCATAGGCGGAAAGACGGTTCAGACATGCCGCAATTGCGCGGGTAATGCACCACGGTACACTTCTGACCCCGTTTTGACTTCTGTTATAGACTCAGACTGACGTGCTATAGAAATTCGATCTGTAGCTGCTGCAGCGGCCGTGGCTTCACTATTTTCGCCTGCACACATTGCAACCCTGTTGCACAGACCCCAGCTTCATTCCAAGGTTCCACGCCCGATTCGTCCACTCCGGCTTCTCCAGCATCCTTGAGTAGAAGTTCTTCAACCTCTCTGTCTTCAAGGAATGACCTGAGGCAGAATAATACATGGAGACGGCTTTGAGAATGGTAACGAAGGATTAAGAGGCAGACGAATCGGGACTATTGCCAATACGCCCTGTGGCTCATCGGGCATGTGACGGATATAAGGAAGGCATTTGTCTCCTTGCGTAGACTATGTGTGTACTGGCTGCAATGCCTTGTGATTTTATTTATTGTTGACTCTGGGTTATTTGGCGCCGTGGAGTGGCAGGGCGACCTATATAGATGGTCACCTATAGTATAGGTTTTTTGGGGGATTGTGCTTTTCATGATTGAATTTCTTACTCTTTCTATTCTCTTAAACTTCGTATGCTCTTTCCATTTGAAGATGTTATGTCACTAATACAATTGGGTATAAAGAACGAGAAAGCATCGCTGTATACAGAATATATGTGATTTGTCTTGTTTAATCAGAGCAAGAGGAAGGAACAAGTAGTACAGCAGTTTGACTATAGGGATGATCCAATAACAATGTGAAGATCTGTACGGTTCACCGAATTCGGCATATGGCAAAAGAATATACTGGTAAGGGGATTTTCCCTACGTATGTATAACCTGTAGGTTTTACTATTTTTCAACTTAGCCCACGGACCCAGGAAGAAGCTGAAGCCCTTGTTAGACAGTGGCTCATATCTCCGTAATGCTAGGCGCACATATGGAGACCTATGGCTTGATATCCCAGAAGACTGGGTGCATTTTTATAATGTGTCTCAGAATCATAAGAAAGTATATTATTCCAGAGACAGACATCCGTAGGCTGAAATCCCTGAAATTCCGACTTTCGACCCGATTATCAGCCCCCGGGCTTGGGGGATTGGGACCAAGATGTTAAAGAACTCCCGGAGTCATCACAGCTATTATATCTGCAAGGCAGTACAGGACCAAGGTAGATTCTAGATGGCGCTATAGCTCAGCCATTTACACCGGGACCCTGAGTAGTGGTGCCTGTGTGACCTCGCTATCCAATGCATATAGCCCGTCTTTATTATCGAATTCTATGAACCCCCAACGTTGTGGATCATTGTCTGTGTGTCATGGAGAGAATGGTTGTCCATCGTAAAGGTTTCCCAAATCTGGCCTCTGCGGAGGCGAGACGGGCGCGGTCTCACAGGTCAGGTTTCGCCGTGCCATTTGATAGCAAGTACGTGTGCGTTCGTTCCTTCACTGATAGTATCGAATCGTTGGCATATCTGTTAGGAAAGACTTTTCAAGGCGTGTCCTGCCGGATAAGGAATAAAAATGGAATTCGGGCCGGGTTGAAGCTGTCGCGAGGGAACTCGATGTTGACATCGAACCGTAAGAAATTGACATTAGTATTATGCGAAGGTATTTGTGTGACCGTGTTGTGCCAATGGACGTCAGTCTAAACCTTCCCCACGGGGATCGGTCATCATGCGAGGGCTAGATGGCAGTTTAGCATTTCAACACATTCTCCTTTCTCTTCTGCTTCATCTATCTCGACGTATGGTGGAACCTAAGAATAGTTTCAATCATAGATTGACAGAATAATCCCTTTCCAACATAAGAAAGTCATATCCCATTGGGTTAGTTTAATATACACGAAACACGATGATTCACCACTCATACTACCTGAAGATTCCAGAAATCCAGACAGACTGGGAAAGCACCCTAAATTCACCAAGAACAATCCCAGCTAACATTATTTGGCGGAAAGCGCGGGTACACAGCCAACGGTGGTTACCATTATTTGGAAATTGGCTGCGGTTGTGCCCCAGAGGAGCTCAAAGATATATCCCAATAAGCAGTGTGACTTATCAAACTGCATTTTGGTGCTATTCCGTGATATGTACTGTTGCTTTAGCCTGTTCCAGGCTGGAAGTCCAGGGGCCAACTCCTTTCAGACTTGGGGGGATCTCACCCAATTGCCCGTACACCCTGGGACACTCTGAATAGATCCAGGTCGTACAACAAAACAGGGAATGTCTTTCTTCATCACTGGCTGCAGTGCAGGTGGTCCCAGAATGATCGGTATATCCGAGGGTTCACTCTGCAGCCGAATCATACAGCATCGTCGTATCCTGCGGCGCGTTTACCGCGGCGATGTTCATGGTCTGGAGTCGTAACCGGAGCCATCCCTTTTTCACTCCGGGGCAATAAGTTCCAGATTAATATGGTAGACAAGACGGACCCTCGTATGTCCATATTGGCTGGGGACGCTAGTAAGAGGCAAACGTTCCCTCGTTTGGTATAGTTTGCTGCCTCACTCATAATCGACGTTTCTGTCTTACTAGGAAACATGTGCGCGGTGTGTTACTCTTCTCGACTAACGCGTATAGCCACGCATCGCAACTGGATCCTGCTCTGTTCCCTACACGATGCTCTAGTATGTAGTCAATTCGTATCCGTATGCAAGCGGAGAGGCGCTAGTGCTCACGGAGTGAAGAATAATAAGTACGTATGCCGAGTGAGTCTCGATAGGTATACGAATATAAACCAGCATTCAATGTCCTTTCGAGACGTCATCACTTCCAGCTCCTGTCCACAACCCATAATCGTCTTGTCAAAATGGTCTCTTACCGAGTGTAAGCCCTTTTGAAATGTGAAGATTCATGCTTTGTATGGATATATTCCTTATGGTTCTGTGGTTGTGACGCACTGTCTGATAGTTATATATTGCTTCATTGATCTATTGGGGGTTGTTTCACCTAACTTTTTGCTGTTGTTTCTCCGGTATATTAAGTGCTATAAGTTCGAAGTAGTTGGATTCTGGCTACTTTGCTGACCTAAAATACATTGAAAATAGTAAGCGGCCTCATATCCGTGAGTTGAATTCTAATATCATTGTCATTTAAAAGACGAACAAAGAGCTCCATCCTGACGCTCAGTCAAGCTCTCATTTCCAACACAGTGATGACACCAGAGGATCCCATGAGGATTGTACTTCTGCTCGATCTTACGAAGGCGTGCATAGCTTGGTGCGAACAGCGAGCACTGCCAATCAGGCTCATATGTATCTGCCTATATCCAGATTAAATATCAGTAACGATCAAAGTCTGATTTGAATGGAGAGAACCGCACCTCATTATAATATGCCCCAGAGTCAGGTGAAAGCCGTCACAGTGCATGCCCCATCTCGTTCGTCATCTCTTGCGTTGTCTGACGAGCAATGGATACTGCCATGCTATCATCCCAGTTTTGAGATGTATAAGATGGACCACGTAGTCTCGTCAGGCTGGGCTCAAGGCATTGTTTACTGGCTTCCTGCTGCCAGACAAAGAGTCTGATGTTGATAGGTCGGATACTCCATTCTGTAAAGTAACCAGGTTAGATATCTTCAAGAGATTCAAGGGAATATTACCTAAGAGACGGATATATCAGACCTTACATGGCGTCAGTTTTGGTCCGGTCTTCTCTCAAGTCTCTACGAGCAATTCGACTTCATTCTCATCCACTTCGAGGGATCAATCGACACGTGCGAGCTGTTCGTTTCACGCCCACGTTCTCAATTGTAGGCATATGCTTGATGAGCTCATACCACGAGGGAGTCCACGTGAGTTAATTCATACTTCACAGTGGAACTCCGAGTGTCCAGGAATCTCTAGTGGTACTATAAGCCCTTTCCCAGTGGGATTGCCTCCATTGTACTAGAACAGGGACCCACCCATTTTGAGTGGTGGCCCAGTACGAGTGTAGGTCTCATGGACGCCCGCGTCCTGTAAGCGGGCGAACTCGCCATGCATCTCTGCTATGAGGCGCCACCAATTCTCAGCGGAGGTGCCATTCTACCCCTCCATGTTGATGCCGATTATGGAAAGCGACTGCACCGGATATTCGTTCACCGTTATATTGAGAATCACACCAAACGCTCCGCCTCCGCGGATAGCCCAGAAGGAGGCCTTTGTTTTGGCAATCATTGGCCGTAAGGATCTTGCCTTCGGGCGTCAAATACATCTTTTCCGAATTATGTCCCGTATTCCATTTGTTCTCAAATACCATTTCCTAGCAAACCGCAAAACAGCCTGTACACGGACCTCTTCGGCCGTATTGGCCACACAAGGGGGATATTTTTCCAATCGATCAGCCTTTCTCCCTGCCTTGGGATATCCAGAAATACTGGTTCCATTAGGATAGATGGGATTGCAGCTACTATTGGCGATGGGAGGCCCGTACACGCTTGCTAGATCCGCGGAATGGAATGTAGGTGAAGTCCAGTTGTAGAGAACTCTTTTGCAGACTTCCGGGTTGTAATTGTTGTGTGTTGGATAGCAGACTGATCCTGGGGGGATGGTGCGAATCAAGCGACCGGAAAGAGTCTTGTTGAGGGAGGTCCAGTCCGATGGGGATAGGCAGCACGTGTCTGAGGGCGTCTGTGCCATTTGTCAGTGAATGAATCAGGGGAGTTTTCTGCTGGGAGCAATGAGTTGTACGCATTTACAATGAGAAAAAGCCACTGCGCATCCTAATAGCCCGAGGGCTGGTATAACCAAAGAATATGAAATATAATCTTTAAATCCACGTACTATTGGTATGTACTTTAATAATCCAAGCGAATCTGCAGTCTTTTATAGAAATTTCTGTCTGGGTGTCCCGCAGAATCTCTATCGCACATAAACACACGTAAATAATTCTGTTTACAGTAACGGGAATTTGTCTAGACCCATGGCTCGTTATTAATCGCCTCGATCTGCATCTGCCAAACTTGAGGGCCAGTATGAATTGCCTAGTTAGGTAAACAGGTACGAATGCAAGCCGAAGTATGGAACCATTGTCATGCTGTACATACAGTTCAAAAAAATACATTAAGAAAATAATAAGAATGATAATATTCAAATTGACCCCGTAGTTTTGACAATTCAATCATCTCGTATAGTAGTATCCAAGGACTATCTATAACTATCTATTCTATGTGACCGCACCATTCTTGTGACAAGGAGCCTAGTCTTATAGTCTAGCCTTATAAATTTCTGAAACAACACTTGATCAAAATTATAGAGCTGGCTCTTACCATTTGATCTTCTTTCCAACCAACCCTTCTACAGCAGGGATTAGCGGCCGAAATTCATATCCATAGTCATCCTATTCGACGTACGCAAAGTGTGGATATGGAACTTCTTTGGCTCCTCATTGTTCAAGAACACCCCCGAGTAGTGGTCAAATTCTGCAAGGACAGGGCTTTGAAATCGGTAACAGAACGGATGTTAGTCACCAAACCCAGATCCAGCAGAAGTATATTATCTACGATTTGAATAGGCGGGATATAATCCAGCTTCAACTGGCGGGATCGCGCAGGGAGATACAACAAACACTGGTCTAGAATTCCATAGAGCATTTTCTTCTGTTCATCGTTATAGGACGCGACTAGGATTCCCTCGTATGGAACCTCCCAGTTAACCGATTTACACGCTGCACAGGTAGCGCAGATCACCGTGGTTCCAGCGCTGGTCATGCATCTGGGCATAGCTTCATGCCCATTGCTGAAGATTGGGACTAAGGGACTACAACAGTCGTAGACAGAGGGCCTCTTTAATCTGCATAGTGTGACTCCCTGCGTGGGGACCATCATCGATCTCGTTGGGTCCTGCACCCGTGAACCATGGCAAGGCAACAATCTAGCCTCTGTTAAGGAAGAATTGTAGGAGAACTCATTCATTTGCCTAGGAAATGGTTGATGCGCATAGCTTTAACGGCCTTGACATATCCTCCTGGAATAGAATAGACTTGAGAATGTTCATGACGGCATCATGGATCTGCAGGTTGATTTCATTGAGTCGCAGCCGCTTGTGACTGAGGAGGAGCTCAGGAGCTCGGATTCCACCATGTGCGCCATTCGGGTGAATCGATGTGGTAACATAGTACCTGGTGCTTGTTTTGATCCAGGATGGATAAGAGATCCTGGACCGCATCGACAATCTTTCAACTGGGATATCATCTTAAGGTTTTTAGAGACCAATTCACACGCTACCTAGATGGATTAGTAAAGTGATAAGTCCCACATGGGCATAACAAGCATACCATTGGTAGTCACCACCTTGAACAGTTCATGCAATAGGTACAACCAATGCATGTTCAGCGCATGAAGCCATGGGGGATCCTTTGTGTTTTGAAATCGTGAGCACACATGCGCATCTTGGCTACGCATCACCTGGAACCGTTTCTGCCCCAGATCTGGCAGATATTTCCGATATTCACCCGTAAGCTTCAGCAATTGTGGTCTAGAAATGACGTGAAATTACTTGTATGACGAGGAATGCTTAGGAAACACCGATGAGCAGCGTCGGGGGCATCGAATGATATTAATAGGGATTCCATGGAGAGTGAACAACATGGTCGAATATAACCCCACACTCATCCCCACATGTGGAGAGCAGCAAACAACATATCTGGTGGTGACTTGTCTGATTCCTCTTTTTCAATGTCGAGAATGACTAAACCAGTCGAAGAACAGCTTCAATCGATAAGAATACGACAGACGGTAACAAAATAGAAACTCAAGACCACCTCAATATGTAGCGCTACTCGTGCCAAATAGAAAGCCCTTATGAACTAGTATACACCGTCCAATAATGAGAGGACCATATCACTAAGCCACGGTAGATGGATTCCACAAAATGGAAAAATAGATTCCACCACTACATTTATCCAGAGCGGAAATTTTATCACTTACAAATCTACGCTAATATATTTGGTCTCATCGAGTAACGTGTAAACGAAAGGTTGAAAATCGTGGAAAACTCTCTTGGACTGATAAAACCTTTAGTAAGAAGAATCCTGGCGTGTATATTTTTTTGGCACAATGGCTCCATGGGAGATTGTAGAACTCGAGTCCGTGTGGATGTACTTCCACGGCAAATGTAGCCAACCATTCAAGGAAATTGCAGATGATCTTATGCAGTATGGTGATATAATGACCGAGTCCGAAAGAAGCCCAGATCCATAGAAACTCTTTACTCACTGATACTGACCAGCTTTCGTTGGACGATAATGAATACAGGCACACGCTAGATCGCATGGGCCCAGCATTTATCTTCAAGTTCCTGAATATGAATGAGTTTCTGGATCGTCGAGACTTGATACTGGTCAACGGGTAATACACATGTGGGGTATTAATTTGAACTTCCGCGTCAACGTCCTAGATGCCTCCCTCTACTCTATCCCGCAAATCGGTTCAATTTTGGCGAGGATTTCGACGGGTTGAAAACGCTGTTGGCCACTCTGCCGCCATTAGAAAGACCTAATCTCGCATTTGACATACGATAATTGACGTCTTTTAGTTTTCGAGAATATGTTTGTCCTGTATATGGGGGAGCGTCTTTGCGAATGGGGGTTTGCAAGCTGGGACGATGAGAGACTGGGTAGAATGGGATTTCCCCACTGACACGCACAGGTTGTTTATCCGAATGGTTCCTGCTACCAGAGAAAAATTGGGTGCCATAGAAGCAGGGAGCTATGTGAGATGTTATTCTGGAACGGAAAAGGGGTTGCGCAAGAAGCTCAATGAAGAGTGAAGCGAGAATATTTAAGACTACATTGATTTCCCCGCATTGGAAACGATGTAAGATTATGTTATCAGTAAGCGCCACTCTTTCTGTATAATTCACCCATCGTATTCCTCTCCCAATAAGGGAAGCATTACGCCATGCCCCAATCTAAGCCGTGGTCGTTCCCACGTCCTCCCCCCGATATCACTCTCATCAATGCGAATGTTGTCGATGTTGAGACAGGTCGCATAATTCCCAACTGCAGCATCCGCATCAAAGAGGGGTTTATCATTGATGTTGGCCCAATAGAAGAGGCCAACGAGGATGGAACACATGTCGTCAACCTCAAACACCGGTATCTGTGCCCCGGCTTGATCGACTGTCACGTCCACTTGACTGCGACTCCAGGAGGATTCTCCCTGAAGGATCTGTTCGCCGCCAATGCCAATACTCTTGCCTACCGGGCTGCCTACGTTGCTCGAGAGATGCTCTTCCGCGGTTTCACCACCGCACGAGATACCGGGGGTGCTGATGCCGCGCTACGTGACGCTATCGCGGAGGGCCTTCTGACAGGACCCCGTCTCTTCATTGCTGGCAAACCCCTCTCCCAGACCGGAGGACACGGGGACCTCCGTGCCCCATACCAGGGGGAAGAGCACAAATGCTGTGGCGGACAACACGCACCGTCACTGGGTCGCATCTGCAACGGCATCCCGGAGTGTCTAGAAGCAGCTCGTGATGAACTTCGCCAGGGTGCCGATTTCCTCAAGATCATGTGTGGAGGAGGCGTCGCCACGCCCACCGATGCCCTGGACATGCTGCAGTTCACTCCGGAGGAGATCCGCGCCATCACCACCACCGCTGCGTATTCCAAGACGTACGTCACCGCGCATGCCTACACGTGCCAGGCTATTCGGCATGCCGTCGATAACGGGGTGCGCGGAATCGAACATGGGAATTTTATCGACCCCCCGACGGCACGATACTGCCAGGAGAAAGGCATCGTCTTCACTCCGACTCTTGTCACGTACCAGGGCATGTCAGAGCCGCCCTTCGATCGCTTCCTGGATGAATTCAGTCAGAAGAAGAACCGTCAGGTGCTGGATGGGGGACTTAAGGCACTCGAGATTCTCCGCGATGCTGGTGTGACTTTGTGTTATGGGTCGGATCTCCTGGGAGGTCTGCATCCCATGCAGAATCGGGAGTTCAGCATCCGTGCGGCTGTGTTTAGCCCCGTGGAGATCCTGCAGTCGGCGACAGTCAACGCGGCCAAGTATCTTGGCATGGAGGGTAAACTGGGTTGTATCAAGCCAGGTGCTCTGGCTGACTTGCTGGTACTGAGCGCCAATCCCCTGGAAGATGTAAGTGTATTGGACAGGATTGAGATTTCACTGGACGGATTGTTCAAAGACGGACGCACTGTCTTATCCAAGGTCGATGGGCTGTCGGTGGACTCTCACTATGATATCCATCGCATTCAGAGATGAGTCGGCCGTCCAACCGGATTAGTATATCATATTTGGAGCTGTATGGGATATTCTCTATTGTCTTCAGGTATATACTTCCGCAGGACAATAGCTTCATATATATCGACATATTTATGTTATTACAGTTAGTATAATGGCCTTGTGAAAGATCTCGACTCCAGAGTACCAAATAGGTCAGAATCTAAAATGTTCTTTGAACTATACACAAGGGCAAGAAAACCGACATCAAGAAAATATGCCACAATACGAACAAGAGTAAACAATCCATCGCTACACATAAAGATCCAAATCTACTCAGAATGGTTGTTCCTACCCCCAAGTCCTGCCGTCTTTCTCCCTATGGGACCTGACAAGATGCTCTCTCAATTTGTCTTTTCGGCTGAATGCCTTCGAACACCCATCCTTATGGCATTTATATGCAAATGGGGATATATGAATTGTCCTGAGGTGGCGAACGAGGTCGATCTCCCGGTTGAATGGCCGTTTGTACGTGCATCCTTCCCACTTACAGCTGAAGGACGATACGGGAGTGTCTCTTCTGAGCGAATCTTCGTTAGTCCTAGAGTCTTGGGCGGATCTATAGTATTGGAAATACCGTCGTTTCCTGTCACTAGGGTAATCACTCCCCGTCTGGGAGTCGAGGCTAGTTGATAATTCGGTCGGGCTTGAGGTCTCAGTCCTATGATGATCTAGCGATGGCCAATTTGTCGGTGGGCTTGTGAAGCTGTTGGCGCTATGCTGATTGTTGCTGTGGAAGTTGGCCAAATCCTCGGAGTAGGCGCCCACGTAGATTCGGGGAGATTGAGGAATAATAGTGCTGGTATTGTCAGTATAAGAAGCAATTGTGTGCGACTTGAATCCAGGATCGATCGAAGTATTGACCACGAGAGAGGCCTCAGACAGCAGCTCACGGTAGCTACAGTCCCACAGTAAGAGGGTATCAGGCAGGTCAGAGGGTGATCCAGCACACCAAGTTACCGAGGCAGGATTATCACCCATCTGGTCTGCTGGAAGTTGTATATAACGAATGGAAGAGAAACGAACAGTGGTTTCAACGAAAGGACCGTCGCAGTCGACGAGCGCTCAAGTTTTGCCTGGTTGACTGTTGATCTGCGCTCTTGTAGGACATCAACGAGTTAAATATCCGTGGTGAAGGCACAAGACCATACGTCAGGGATGATCGAGGTCCGACAATGGTAGACATTGTCGGACAGCAATGACGTGACCATGGAGGTGTGTGCAGTAAATTCACTGGCAGACAAGCATCCTCTTTGTCGTTTGCCACGCCGAACCCATGCAGCCAGAGGGCTTCTCGCGTGTCGATCCTCGCGAGCTCTTCGAATTAGATGGCAGTTGACCACTGCAGATAATCTGAGAGTTTTGTTGATTCGCTCAGTCAGATCGAATTCGCCACCGTATCTCTCCTTATTATCAATAAATGCAACATACGGAACGGCAGGAAACGCGAATTTGGCTGCTGATGTTGTGTTCTCACTTTCATATCCCCATTCATCCTTCCAGCCGAAAGATGCTTTTATTCATTGATTCCACGAGTTAAAATGAAAGAATGCAGGCGAGGTTGGTCAGGCTCGGTGACGTCATTCGAGGCGCTTTGCAAGGCTGTAGGAAGATGGGTCTGAGGGCACAATTTCTCAAGAATGAACTCCCAGGTCCCTTTGATCTTACATTCTAGGACCCTCCTGAAGCTCATGGCCCCATGGAATAAGGTATTAGGTACGAGTTAATCATGTTGAAGAGACCACAGTTATAACCATGGTCAGCCCAGACTTGCGCCAAGGTCGGGATAAAGAGCAGTCAGTCGGAGTTCCTCTCGAAATGATATACACAACCATAAATCCATCAGTCTGGAGGAATCAATCCAGCCAAACATCGATACCACTATTCCCAGCCCCATGTTCCGGCGCAGCGGAAAGCCAGTGTCGTGCGAGCCCTGTCGCACAGCCAAAGTGCGCTGTGACCACAGTACCCCTTGTCTGCCATCGCTGTCGCTCGCGGAGGACCAGCAATAAGGTCAATTCATCGCATCTTATTCTCTCTGCTGCTTCTCTGACTATACCAAAGTGCTATTATCATCCCGCCCCTTTGACGCGAAAGAAAGCTCAACCACCGACCGGGCCTCAGAGATGCCGACAACGCCGGGCTCCTGATTACACCCCCGTGGACCAGACGGTAGACATCGCAGGTCAGGCTGTGCAGAGCCCTGTCTCGTCATTGAGCCCCTCAGAAACTTCTGCATTCCTTGGTTCAACCAGCTATATCTCCGTCTTCAAAGAACCCCGTCATGGGTGTCCTGCTGAGCTAGCAGGTCGCTTCACGCCGAGTTCGAGCGCTGGCGAAACGATCAAGGTCGCACGACCGGCGCGACTGGTCTCGGTGGTGGATTTCCACTACGACATGATCTCCTGCTACTACCACCGGGGACGTTTCACGATCGTCCCCGCGCCGTTGGTTCTGACGCCTCTTAAGTAGCTGCAGCAATACCTTGAGAACCAACCGTACGACGCCGTAAAGGATTGGCAGTCCTGTGATTGATAACAACTCCTCCAGTCCCTTGCAGATGGTGTCGAGCTCGACCTCACCGGAGGAATTCTTCTCATTGTTCACGGGGAAGAGACTACGATTGGAGTTTGTCGGGTTCCTGTTCGCCATGTCTGGAGTGGGCGCATTGGGTCGATACGCGCCAGATGATATCTTTTGAGATCAGAGATGGCGAGCAGGTGAACGTAGAATTGTTCACGGAGATGCTGCTCGCTTGTAAAGCCTGTTTGGATATTTGTCGGCACCATGGCGATGCGAACGATCTGACGATATGGAGGCCCTATACCCATGCGTGTCTGGGGTTTGAAGTACTGGGCGAAACCAGTAAGGTCTACGCATTCCCTTCGATAGTGATGGACAATCTTATGTGCTCAGTACTCATTGGACTACTTATCAAACTCTAGTCCTCGTGCCTACAGCCTCTTCAGCGAGCTGATCACTGACGTATATACTACTGCTCTGCACCAACACAGCCAATATTCCAGAAACGTTCCATTTTACCTGTCCGAAACCCACAAGAAGATGCTAGCCTGCTACACCGAACTGACAAGAACGTGGCCACGCTTCTTGGGCGACCCCCTCGGCTTCCACATCACTACTGCGATGCGCCCTTACCGCTAGTCATCGCGGATGATGACCCCGTGCAGGACCAGACATCCATTGATACCATAATTCACAAGCTGGATGGCGCGGGCTGGAACCGTGAAGGACGCTTTCACCCCGCAATTATGCTGCGCATCCGACATATTTTCTCCACCCTGCGCGAACGGGTCCTCGAGCTAGGACTGGGAAATCGTGGTAATGACGCTGGAGAGCATTTATTGTGGGAATACCTCCATACCATCTATCACAACGACTATATTCATGATATATTCTGACTGTCACGAACTAGAAACGCGTACCATGAATGCAAGCGAACATGGGATGCCATTCCCTCGAGATTGTCTAGGCCAATTGATCGTGCAGTTCGAGTACTTTTTAAGTGTATTCCATCTGCAGCACATCCGATGCCGAGATCGAGATAATCCAGGAGGCATGAAAGGACTTTGAGACACGGCGGTGCAGATCCTCACGGTGGTGATCGACCTGACGCGACAATGCTATATGTACGTGATCAAGAAGTATTTCTGCTGGGTTGTACGTCACCCCGCATTGTTTTTGGTCTTCCTTTCATTTCATCCCTAAGTCCGCTTGATACTAACCACAGAACCAACAGTACTTAATAAACGGCATCCCCTCCGCCGGAGTCCTCGTCACCGAACTACTCTGTCACAAACTCTCCAATGCGCCTTTACCATGCTCGACTCCGCGGTCAGAAATCATCCACACCCTTAGCTACCTGATCTCGTGGTTTCGGGGCGCCCGATATCGCCCGCTCGGTGACACGCACCGCGTGCGTTGAGCTGACCAACGTGATCAGTCGCATGTTGGACGATGCGCCGAACTATCAGCCTACTCCTCTCCCTTCTTCTCCGTCAGGGGATGTCGTCCCGGAATTAAAAGTAAAGAACAAGCCCGATCAATCTGGACTCGATAGCGCAGCGGCTGTCCCGATCCTGTCCGATCTCTTTAGTATGGCGGGTGAGGGCTTCCTGAGTTGGCTGGATGATCTGGATTTGGACACTGGCTCTGCGCCCATTTCCTTGAAGACCGCAGCGTCAAGTGTCACCCGGTTGTGGTTGGTCTAATGGATGTAGGCGAGTCATTAACGGTCATTGATTATTTTTACATCAGCAATAAACGAGATATCACGTTTCAAGTAGCATCATCATTAGATGTCAAGGATTCGTCATATGTCATACACCGGCCCACGCATAGAACTTATAATAGCTACGGTTTGTTGCGAGAACCAATGTATAAAGTGCACTGAACGCCAACTATGCCAAATATCGGCAGATCTGGTCAATTACAGAGTAAAAGGAAATCAATCCCCTTCTTCGCTGACATGCAAAGTGTTTAAACAGAATCTCAAACCAGTAGGACTTCAAAAGACAAAGGAACAGTCATTAAACGCCGACCAAATGCAAAAGATCCCTCAATACGCCCAGTTTTTCCTATCCTATTTAGTTAACCCCCTACGGTGGTTCTAGCTTGCGACGGCCAGTTGCGCCACAAGATCAGACGCAACGTCGAGGAATGGATAAGGACTTGTCACCTCCTTCTCCTTATTCCGGAATCGTTTGCTGATAGGATGCCATTCCGCGTCGCCTTCGGCACGAATCACGTTTTGATACCCATCACATTTGAAATCCACCATGAAGTTGTGCTCTTCTAATTGGTAAAGTTGAATATCCACGAAAACCCAAACTCCGTACGCGATCCGCGGAATCGACTGATGCTGTGTAGCAGAAGAAGGACCTGATATGTTTCCGTGTTCAATGGGGATCGAGCTCTTTTCATCAGCAGACGATGGCCCACTCAAATTGAATCGACGGCGGAATTCCCCCAGGTCGCTCCGACTGCTATTCACGCTTCCCGATGAACCAGGAGCCTTAACGCCTTCTTTCAAGAGACGGGCGCGGATGAACCACGGATCCTTGGGGATGTAGTAGTCGGACGGTAGATCAGGATACTTGGTTTGCAGCGGTTTGGATTCGTCTGCGGTCTGTGCATCAGCCCCGATTTGAATGCCTTGAAGAAATTTGTCAGCTAGCGTACAATGGCAAAAATGAGTTGCGTGCATGCTTGAACCAACCTGACTCATCTGGCAGGATATCCCAAACGCCTCCTTGGGCGGCGATCGCCTTGTATAGATAGAGCATCGCTTCATATGGCTGATTCCGCGAGCGGATCCCAAATTGCCATTTCCGGGTCCGTTTTGGCTGATGTGGCGCACTACGAGTTTCAGGAGGGTCTAGACGCAGCTTCTCTAGATCGACGATACTACGTGAGTGAGGCTTCAAAGCTCGAGCCGTTGTCTCTTGTTCCACCCGGTCTCGGTCAGCCTGGCTATGATATTCGTGGGCATCTGCGCCCGTCTGAGCTTGAGTTCGCTTCTCCGCCAGCCGATTTGCAGCCCGAGCCCTTTGCTCTCGCTCGCGTTGCTCCATAAGCTGATCATGAACGTAGGGTAAACTAGTCGGCAGTATTCTGACATGGCTCACACGTGCCTCTTCTAACCCATCTTGGTCATTCTGCTGCGACAGTTGGAAAGGCTGACGTTGGGAACCACTTCGTGTTATGGTAGGTGGAGCAGACTGAACTTCCTGAGAACGAGCAGCAGTTGATCGCTCAGCCGCTGACGGGCGCTGGGAAGCTCTATCTGGAGGCGGAGGAGATACCACCGGACCCATCATGTTATCATCCGTAGGTGCTTCTTCACGTCAGTTCTGGGTACGTTCATGACACGGTAGGGATAAAATAAAGTGCCCAAGATAGATAGAGACTTACAGTTTGTTTGCATCATTTCATTTTCTACAACGATGAAGAAAGCATCTTTGATGGCACTAGGTTCGGGATGTCTCAATGCTTCTTCGATATCCTCGCGGCCATACCCCATGCTCCTTTCCAACTTGGATATGGCCACCTGGTTGATCTTGTGCTGAGCAGAGAGCGGCTTTCCCGGAGCGAGCTTGCGCGGATCAATTGCTTTGTTGGGATTGATATCTGCTGCAATGAATTCCTCGGCCGGTGGTTGCAAATATTTCGGAAGGTCCTGGAGAAACCAAGGATCCTGGCGAATCTCGGGGATTGTAATCCGATGAACTGGGTGTACTTGTAGCATCGACCTAATTAACCGAGCAGCTCCGGAAGATATATACGGAGGCATATGGAAGTTGCCCGCAGCAATTTTCTTGAAAAGGGCCGGGATATAATCATCGTCGAAAGGAAGTCGTCCCACCAATAGCACATATAAGATGACACCACAGCTCCAAACATCGACCTCCGGTCCCGCGTAAAGCTTGCCCGAGATAACTTCGGGCGCGGCATAATTCGGACTCCCGCAACTAGTTTTAAGGAAGTTGCCATCGGTCATAATGTTGCTCAAGCCAAAATCTGCAATTTTGACATTCTTTTCGCTATCAATGAGGAGATTCTCCGGTTTCAAATCACGATGTACGATCTTATGGCGGTGACAGTACTCGACCGCACAAATAATCTGTTGGAAAAACTTGCGAGCTTCAGCATCGTTGCATCTGCCCCTCTTCACCAGGTAATCAAACAATTCCCGTTCGGCGTATTCCAAGACCATAACAATATCAGTTTTAGTGGCTATAACGGTGTAACTGTCACGCAAAACCAGTCAGTTCTCGTCACGTTCTGGGTGGGATGTAGTTCCTTGGGACCCTCGAAGGGATTGAATAGAAAGAAAGCAACGCACAGCTTGATGATGTGAGGGTGCCGTAGCAGTTGGAGGTACTGAATCTCACGCTCAACCCGACCAACCATGTCCCTGGAAAGAAGCTTGCGGCGGGAGATGATCTTCAGGGCGACCTGGCGGCCGCTGGGTTGATGAATCGCCAATTTGACCTTGCCAAACGAGCCCTCCCCCAATATCTTCACTGTTTGGTACTGATCAAGGCGCTGCATGTCCCTCGTGGTCGCTGGCGACTGCCTCGACAGATCGCCGCCTTTCCCGATCGGACGTGAGGGCGGAGGCATAGGCATAGCGGAGAAATTCGAACCGGAGGGGGGAGCGGCACGGTCACGGCGTCGATCTTGATCCCGATAGCTGTCACGGTCGATGGGTGGTAAAGAGACAGAGAGGTCTTCATCATCGAAGGCAGCGGCCATCCTTGGACGCAGCAGACGGACGGCCGGTGGCGGTTCGGCGGCGACGCGGGAGAACGTGACGTGCTCGATCTGGCCGAGTGGTCCTCGGGCAAGAATTCCGACCACACACACAGAGAGAGAAGGCAGGAAATAGAGAAAGAGTCCGAGAAAGAATGAAAGGTCTTCGAAGGTGAATAACTAGGTGCTAGGCCAATGGAAAGGGGGGTAATGGAGGCCAAGAAGAACCGAATTAAGACCAGCCGAATACTCAAAGTCCCCCACAGCCAGCAAGTCAAGAATAGTTGAAAAGTGGAGCGACGATGGAAGTTGGAACAACAGAAGATTCCGGCCGGCGGGGTGGAGGGGCGCGGAAGAGGTTACCGCCCCAGGAAGCGAGGTCAACGGTATTTATTCTACGGACAACAGCTTTGTACCTATTCTACATCTGACAGTAGTAGACGTAATATTAAGGTACCTGGTAGGTATGGTTGTATTAATCTCTTGCTCAACTGCGAACGGTTTAGCAAATACAAGTGAAAGGTACCTGACCATAGAATCGATTCATGCCAGTTGACGGTCCACCATAGAGACAGATATCCAAAGTAGATCGATATTACTATCATTCTACTTTTAAATTACACCCATTCTTCCAGTCATACTTCCAGTCGCGATTTCTTTAAGATGGATGAAGACTGGCTAAGTGGGAAATGCACTGGCCGGTCTTGGCAGCCGCATGTCATGTGGTGGGGAAGCTGTGTCCCTCCTGTAGAGCTGCAGTATCTACTCCATTCTCAGCCTCGCTCCTTGTAGTTTCTCTTCTGTCCCGCAGAAGAACCATCGTGCTGTGTACGGTAGCTTGCCAGTACCAGATCCGAAGATGACTTCGGAACCTACGGAGGAAGCGATTGCGAACTTCGTGAGCTTCACAAGCACGTCGCGGGACCAGGCAATCAGCTTTCTCAAAGTCAGTAGTCGCTAACTACACTGCATTCGCCTCTCAGCTAACTCGAATGGTACAGGCCAATGATTTAAATTCCAACAAAGCCATCAATGCTTATTTCGAAGATCCCACAGGTCCCCACACAGTGGTAAATACATAGCTCTTCAAATTCACCGAGTTTACAGTGAGAGCTGACGAGCACGTTTCACTCACACTACAGCAGACCCCCAATTATCAGAATGACCCGAGCGTTCCTTGTATGTCAATCTCCCATCAGTTACCAAAACAGATTGACCAGTTGACTAAGATTGACCTCTGAAGCATTTCAAATTGAACACTCCGATCCAGTTCTTGGTTCGGCATCTGTTGCCCCTTCGCGGCCGCCTTCGAGTACCAACCTGAGCGAGCAGGCACAAATGTCGACCTTTAATCTGTCCAACTCCGCATCTACACAGGAAACGCCTGGTAAGGCTATGTCTTTCCTAGAGATTCTACCACATCTGCTAACCTTGTCACTATTCACAGCAGATGCGAGCAAAGGTTTGTCGTTAGCCGAACAAGAGGAACGTCAACTTCAACAGGCCGTGGCGATGTCCTTGAACCAAAACCTTGGAAGCCAGGAAACAGGGGTCACAAGTGCAAAACCGACAAGTTTCGGACGGGCGACTCGGGATCATTACGACGAAGGAGCTTGGGCAATGACCCTGTTCAATTCCAGCGCTCGCGAAATCATCATCAGTCCGAATCCTGCAGACAGGAGGAGGGTGGATGGCGAACCAGCGTTCCTCCGCCCCGGGCAAGATAGCTTGTATCTAGGTGGCCTACTGACAATACTTCATTCAATCCCTCTTGCAAGGGAAGCGCTTCTGCTAAGAAACCGTCTGCTTCCCGATTATGGCGATGACCCACAATGGTGGAATGGTCAGCCAATAAATCTTCCCAAGATAGTAACACTACAGGATGTACATGATGGTGACACTGATTGGGACGATATCATCTATGAGACCCAGAGATTAATTGCACTCTTAGATACAACGAACAGAGCGTTTGGTAGCATCGATGCCCTTGCAAGCCTAAATAGCATGTCGACGTACGGTCCAGAAGGGACTGTTGGCAAATTTTTGGAAACATGGCAAGAAGCTGCTGTTCGAGCAGACCCGGGGAATCAGTTGGCAACTGTATTCTCTTCAAGCGCACACAAGCGGCCTCTTTCGACATATGATCCGCCAATCGAAAGGGATTTTTTCATTATTGATCCTTTTGTGGAGCCTGAGCATGGCCAGACCCTGTATGATGTACTAGATCGTACTGTGTGGTCCGATAGACCAGGTGAAGAGCTGGATGATGTATGGCTGGAACATATCGCCGACGTTCTCACCATAAAATTGGAGAGCTCTGATCCATCCAAGTCCATTGATGTGAAGATACCTCCCGTCTTCTACCCTGATAGATATCTCGCCAGTTGCAGAGATGCTGCCCGTGATTTCCGAATGCAGCGACTACAAATTTATGAAGATATCTTCAAGTTGGAAAGCCTTATCAACCATTATACAGCCCCAAAGTCAGCTGCTGGCAGGGGTATGACGTCTCAGGAAATTCTGGAACAAGCTGCGACTGCGGCGCCTATCGTCCTGCAACAGAGTCGTACAAATGGGACGGACGACATCACTTTATCCCCTGAAACAGAAGCCGCGACCGCTAATGCCCAATGGCTAGCTGATGAATTGCGGGAGATCTCCCGCAAGATAGGAGACAAGCTAAAAGGTAGCATTCTAGAACAGTTACAATGTTGACCGTGTGCTAATGACGATATTGATTAGATCTGGAACTACGGAAGGAGAAGGCCATGGGGACCCTTCGCAGCTACTCAAAGGCGCTTACGGAGCCTTCGGCATCCCCAGGAGAACCACCTTATCACAAATACACGCTCCGGGGAGTATGCACTGAGCCGCATGTAACTTATGTTCTTCGGCGCGACGGGTCTCAAACATTAGGAGATGAGCCAGATTCGAAGTCTACGACCGCTCCCGAGTGGCAGTGGTGGCGAATTAGCTTTTCCACAGAGGATGCAAAAACCCGGCAAATGGAGTCGAACCAGGACGGTAGCACGGCGTCAAGGAATGCAGATGTGATCGGGTATACTGCGCGGAAAGTCCGAGAAATTGAAGTGCTGAGGGCAGCACGTGAAGAATCCAAGACCGTTCTCCTTGTATATGCGAATGAGAACTCAATGAGAATGCCGGATGAACCGGCTCCCTCTCACCTTCAAGTGAGTTATCATCCTTGTGGGGAGCCCGGTACAAAGCTGATTCGGTTACAGGAGTTTGTAGATAGGGATAACAAAGCGTTTGAGGCCGAGTTCCAGGACACCGAACCCATGAATACTTCAGAAGATCGGAATCTAGATTTAAATACACCTCCGAGCAACCCGGATACTCCAATGCAGACAGATGAGTATCCGCATGAGCCGGACGGTCCTTCTGCCAATACATTTGATTACCAACCTGGTGTCTTTGATCGAGAAATGGGTCCGGAACAGGAAATGCAGGAAAGGAGTGGACGACCCTTACTGAGTCGGAGTAACACGGGACAAAATCCAGAATCCAGGTGGGATGAGGCTGGTGATGTGAATACATGATCAAGAATTATGTAGAGTTGGCGATATGAACATTTGATAGAAAGGCCTCTGCAATGTATGTATGTACATACAGCTTTTTGCTCCTGCATTTAGGAAGGGAGCTTTCATGAAAAACTGAACTGACTTCCGCTATGATCACACATAGGGATTATTGAAACGAGGTTACTTCCTATGTTGATATTTGGCATGAACATTGTCACCACAACGGTCCCACCGGGAATGTTTGTATGTTGTGTTTGCATCAATCCGACCACCCAACTCCTGAGCTAGCCTGAGGCCATTAGATACGATAAGTAGAACAACCGACGCGCCATCGTTTAGCATGGCACTTGAAAACGATGCCGTGGCAGGAGCAACTATTGAACTGCTCGATTCGCGTCTCCGAAGACTCACCTATCTCCTGACCGGTGATGCCAACTGGACTGGAATCCCCACCGCACCCGCGAAACCAGCTTCCCTAGAGGATAGCGTTTCGCGTCGACTTCTTAGCCTGGAGAGGGGACTTGAAGAGCTGAGCAGAAATAATCCCGCTGTGCGGGATGTTCTTTTCCTCCGTATGATACCCCCGTTCCTTCAATGGATACGTAAGGTAGCTAACATCTACAAAATACAAGATGATCGATTTCCTGACCTTTTCCGTCCCACCCCTGCCCAAAACATCCCGGAGAACTTGACTACTCAGAACCTCGCCTCCATCGTTTTGTCTTATGCCTCTGCGTTTCCCGAAACCGCCTCGCGGCTCACTTCCTTGAACGACCTCCCCATCCCTGACGCGCGGACTTCGGCGTCTCTCATCGAGCTCCAGCCACGATTAGACAAATTGGCGCAGACCCAGGAGGACCAGGCTAAACAAATCTCCGAGCTGCGGATTCGAACGGCACGGGCATTGCAGCGGTGGTATGAAGTTGCTCTTCTGGGCGGTGGCGAATGCTGGGCTGAATGGGAGGGGAGACTTGAGGATGTGGAAAGGGAAGTCAAACGGCAGGAGGTGATGCGTGAAAGGAGGGCTAAGGAGTTATGAGATATCTGGATTTTATGAGATATCTGGATTTTTATTTTTTTTTTCTCGTGGCTTATGTGTTTATGATACCTCGTCTGTTTTGTTTCTGTACGATGCCGAATAGTAGTACTGTATGGAGTACTTAAGCCTAGCCGCTTTAACAGGCCGATAGCATGGAGAATGTATACGATAACTGGAATACTGCGTATAAGTAATTTGGGTATGAATACAGCAAGGGAATCTTGCCTGCTTCCTAGTCTTGACTCTGCAGCTTTGTGAGAAAGAGAGAGAAAAGGAAAGATAAGGGTAAAAAAACAAGCATCCACTTTTCCATGGTATGCATTGCGCATTGTGTAATATTCAAGGACCATGTACGGAGTACCTGATCTTATTTGGGAATGCTGATGCGAACAGAACACGGTATCTACACATGGACCCTTGCGTCCTGAATTTGATGCATCCAAATGTGACGACGTTCCTGGTTCCTAATTCCCCACTATAGTACAATAAGTTGGGTAAGAGTAATAAATTAGACAAGCCATGTGGTAGTACTCCGTACGGAGTATGATTATCAGGTCTCGAAAAATAGCATCAGATGCAGCAATTTCAACCTACTTGACGGTCTCATTGTTGAATGGAATGGAACGGTATACATATGGGGTACGGAGTACGAGTACTCCGTACAATGAGAAGCGCTTTCTGCCAAACAAAATTTTGTCTGGATTTAAGGATTGGCCTGACCAATTTTCAATCTTTCTTCCGAGGTGGTTCCGGTGTACGAGTCTCTGCATGTTTGCCCTTGCACCTGGGCCAAAACAGTCGCAGATAATTAATGTTCACTGGACATTAATGGGAAGGGTGGTCTTATGCACAGACCGGTAAGACCAGGTTTTTTATTAATTTCTTTTCTTAGCCTAAAGTACTACGGAGTACACCATAATGTAATTGGAATCCATCCATCAGCCCTGCTGGATATCCATGTATGTATGGGGTAGACGAAGAGCTTCATGTGAAGGAGCGAAAAATCCTTGGGAAAATTAATTTCCTACATTATTCCTGGTCTGTAATTAAGTGCGTGCTTCGACCATGGTACAGGACCAGATAAGGCACGGGCACAAGTATACCAATAATTCAGACGGCATGCATCGGAACTCAGTACCGTTGACTGTGCCTGACAGAAAGAGACGAGACCCTTTTCGGCCGGGCCTAGTGCCTTTGTACTTGGTACCACTGTAGTACATACAGAGCAGATTCAATGGCCAGAGTCCATCCGGACGCGGATCGCTGCCCTTTTGACCCCTACGTAAGCCACTTGTGCCACATTTCTCAGCCTCAGGGCGAGCCTAGAAAATAATGAGAAAGCCCACCATTAAGTACTTACTTTAGCGAGCCACCGCCAGTCCGACTCGTTCCGTCCAAAGCGGAGAAGATCCAGCCCGGCCACTTTCAATCTTTCAATATTAATAATAGATCGCTCATTTAAATTAATTAATTAATCAACCTCCAGGGCTATAGAACCTGCGTCTCTGAACGTTCAATTTTACTCATCGACTCGCGCTGGAGTAGATGCTCTGTACTCCGAGTATCGTAATTAAATCATCCTAGTATCTAGTAATTAATATATGTATGACGACTCAACTCTATATTCCCATCGGTCGAGACTACAAATACCAACGAACGATGGGACTAGTATCGATCCCATCCATGGATATACGAGGCCCGGCGGATTCCTTCTAACCGTTCTCGATCCTTGGTGCCAGGGGCCGAAGTCTGTGTGTTTGCGGAACGGGTTCGCGTGGCCCACAGCCAATTAATTATTTCATTGCCTGAGTGTGAGTCTGACCAAACAGCACGTCTAGCCGGCCTTGCTGCCTCAGTCAGTCCCCTCCTCTTCTTCCTCCCTCCTTTTCCCGTCTCTCGTCTTGTTGTGAGGCTTCATCCATTCCCATTCCCATTCCTTATTCTGTCTCTCCCTCTCTCTAATCGGTCGGCTTTCGTCCATCGGCTGTTCACTCGTTTCCTTTACTATTATTTTTTTTTTCCTCCCCTTTCCTTTCCTTTTCGGCTTCGCTCTCACCACCACTGACGTTTCATATCTGTCCTTTCTTCTCCAGCCAGGCGCTGTTGCTTATTCGTCCCTCTCTGCAAGGGGCTATCTTGTTTCATAAACATCTGCCAACCCCTCGAGTGTCTCGCGCTTTAGTCTCTCAATCTGTGCATCAGTTTATATTGTTCCGCGTTCATTGACGGGATATATTGGATTTTTTAAACTTCACCAGCCCCATCGACATACAGTCGCTTCGATTGTCTCAAGGTACGATCTTACATCATCGCATCCTGCCTTGTTTTTTTCCCCCCATTCTCCATCCCTTCCTTTTGCCTGCAGGCGTCGCTACGTGTTGTTGTGACTTACGAATCCACGATGCCCTCCGATCCTTGGTCAACCTGCAATTTCTTTGCCCATCGCGTATTCGACTTGCTCAACTATCGACTGACTACCTTATAGTTCAACGCTTGTGATCGAAGGCTTGCGCTCATTAACATAACCACTGGATCCTTCCGAAGCCCGATAAATTAATTTTGCTAGACTGGAAAAGGGGGAACGTTGCAGAAGAAACGTGTCGGCTTACCGTGCATCATCAATCGGTCTTCCGCCATAGTCAAAGCAGCATAAGAACAGCAAACAATCGCATTTCCATTCCTATATATCCCATTGCAGAGCTTCTCGAACCACATTCATGGTGGCGTATTCCACATATTCACCGTCCTTCCAGAAACCAAACCCATATTCAGAGCCCACTCGAAAAATGTCGCGGTTCAGGCCAAGTAACATCCTTGGTGACCCGTTTGCACTCGCGACCGTTTCAATCTCAATTGTACGTATCCCACGCCCTCATTTATCAACGAATTGCTTTGGATCGATATCTAACTCGATTCCCTATTTAGTTAGCATGGCTGATCGCGTTCATTTCATCGATAATCGCTGATATCAAAGGCAAATACCCAACATATTCATGGTGGGCTGTGGCCTACATGTTTTGCTGCATTCTCGGGTTGACTGTGGTTTTCGGTACGGATACTGGTCTTACTTATGGCGTTGCGGTACGGACACCCGTTCATATATATCTCTGGGTATGAGGCCTCGAAACTGATAGATCCTAGATTGTTGGATATCTTTCCGCGGGTCTCGTGATAACGACCTTGTCTGTGAACTCGTTGGTCTATGAAGATAGCTCCGCGTCTCAAGCAGCAGGTGCGGGATTTATCTTGTTGTCCATGGTCCTTGTAAGTGGATTGCTATACACGTGCTGGAAATCACATTGGATGTCTGTTGCTAACTGCATGTTCAGATTGTCTGGATCTTTTACTTCGGATCTACACCCCAGGCAACTCACCGTGGATTCATCGATTCGTTTGCTCTGCAAAAGGAACAAGGGAATAGCAGGCCTATGTCCTCTGCCTTTGGCGCCCGACCCGCAACGACTTCCAGTCACCCCCCACAGATGTATACGTCGGCCCAACTAAATGGCTTCGAGACTTCATCACCTGTGTCAGGGTACCCCGGTGGCGCCCCAGGCTCAGAAATCCGCAGCCCCTCTCAAGCTCGCTTTGGCAACCCGTCTACCACGAATCTACCTCCGAATGGTAGCGGGGATATTGCCAGCGAGGTTCCTCAACCGACAGAATATCCGTACCGAGCAAAGGCGATTTATTCGTATGACGCCAACCCGGAAGACGCCAACGAGATCAGCTTCAGCAAGCATGAGATTTTGGAGGTGTCTGATGTGAGCGGACGGTGGTGGCAGGCCAGGAAATCCAGCGGGGAGACCGGTATTGCGCCATCAAACTATTTGATCCTGCTATAATCCAGCGGGGGCGCATGCGGCACCACGCGTTTTCTTTCTCTGCTTTCTGGTCGGTCATGGTCCTTGCTCTTTTGTCGCGAGGAAAAGATTTTTTATTTTTTGATACCCTTCGAGTAGTATCACTCGGCGCGAGTCTGGTTGGCGAAATCACGTTACGTCTTGATGGTCATCTTTTCCATTTTTCTTGTGCTGTCATCTTGTTGGAACCACTAGCATTTCTTTTCTTTTTTGGGAAATATGTGTTGCTTTTTGTTGATTTTTTTTTTTTTTTTTTTTTTTTTTTTACGCATGGTTGATTCTTGCATGGGCATCTGGGTGCTGATTTGTTATGGACATGCGATACATTTATAATGTCCGGGAAGCGCCTCATCTTTGACGGTTCGATGCTTGGATCCATGCGTTGACTCCAATGATTTACTATGTTCATGCTGTTCATGGCTATTCCACTTGTAGACTTATCGTTGCACAAATCAGAATTGTATGTGTGAAGCATTTCTCTTCTCCCTGTGTTATCAATCTCAGTAAGATAAAAAAGAACAAATGAAAGAAAAAGAAAGAAAGAAAAGGTGAAGGAATATGCAATATTGCATCGTAGGTTGTAATAGGTACTCCAATCGCCAAAGCCAGAGGATGCCAGAACCTCGGGGATTTTCCAGCCGGAGGCGTGGTTGGAGTGTCGATAGAAATATTCTCTAATTGTTTGGTTTGAGGTTACTAGCATTGTGTTGATTGATGCATTTCATCTCCATCCTATCCGGGGAAAGGAACCATGTATCTCAGTCTATGTCAAATAATAGTTGTTCGTACGATGAAACTGAGTCGTCCTGTCACCGTCACTTAAATATATGAAGAAAAGCTAGTCAAGGCGATGTCACTGTGTAAGAGGAAGAAATCAAACATATGGGACGGAGAGAGGTGGTGATGGTTCCATGTCTAGATCTATGAACATTTGTTTATTTCTTTCTCGTTTCAACCTCAAACAACCGTCAACATTGCTGGAAGGGAACGACTCCTGCCAACTAACAAGGTCCATGGCTATGGCTATCGAAGCCAAGTCCACTGCTCTGGCCCAGTTCGATCGCCTTCTCTCTTCTCTTCTTTCTCTTTCTCTTATGATCAACGGAGATCTACGGAGGTCCTCAACTAGTCTAGACCCTCTTCCTCCTCATCGTCCTCTTCCTCCCTCACTCTTCCACACACTCTCTTTCTTCATTCTTCTTTTTATATCAGTCCATCCATTCATTCATCTGGCGGGTTTCTCCCAGCCATGCTCTCGGCAGAGGTGCAGCCCATGTTCGGCGTGCAAGTGAGGATAAAAAAGAGGTGACAACACATTCTCCCCTGTTGATTGTCTTCCCCCTCTTCTCTTCCGTTTGCTTCTTTGCCTTTCCTTTCCTTTCCTTTCTTCCTTCTCTCTTTCTTTCTTATTCGATTCTTTCCTGCGTAAATGTTGCGGCCATTCGAACTCCGGCATCGACCATGCTCTGGCTCCGATTGAAGAACAAACTGCGGCGATCGTCGGCTCTGCTGCTGCCGGCCAATACTAAAGATCTCGACTCCTGCACCAGCCACAAAAACAACATCATCGTCGACCATCACCACGACCATTCTTCCCTCTCTCCGCCTCTCCCGTCTTCTCGCCGATCTACCTTATCCTTCCGGCGCTCCTCTCACGGCTATCCTCCTTCAGAAGGCCGGGTCGCCAGCTCGTCTCCCGAGCGCAGCCATTATTACTCGGTCGACGACGGGTCGCCCTCCAGGATCTCTCGACGTGAGGACGAGCTACAGCTCCGGTCAGAGACTTCTCCCGACGACGTTGCTTCTGAGGAGCAGGAACCGTGGAACCAGCGCGTTCTCCAAGCTGGATCCGACCGCCACGCTGCCGAGCAGGGCAATAATTCCCCACCGCCGTCGGGGTTGAACGAGATCCCAACTTCTCCCTCCGCCGATCCTCCGACCTCATCTACTCACTTCAACCCCATTTCGTTCAACCCTGCTGCCAATCGAGGACGGGACCAACCCGCGCATGCAGTCGGTGAACGCCTGTCGACGAATTCGCAGTCTGAAGACCATTCAGTCCAGCTGCAGCCGCTTGCCTCCTTTCCAAAACGCCCCTGCCTCGGACCTCGTCGTCAATCACTGCTGTCGATCTCGAACCAGCAGGTGATTAACAGCTTGCTCGACCCGGGGGCACCACTCCACCACGCAGTCCAAGCTGGCAGTCGTCGTGTCGCGACCACTGCGGGAATGGCCCCTCGCAAGATCTGGGTCAAACGACCCGGGGGGTCGGCCACCTTGGTGCCGACGGCGGAGGATTCGCTCGTGGACGAGGTACGGGACCAGGTGATCATGAAATATGCCAATTCGCTGGGCAAGACCTTCGATGCCCCCGACATCACCATCCGAATTTCCCCTCGCGAAGGCGCGAACAAGCAGGCAACCCCTGAACGGGTCTTGAGCCCGGAAGAACCCCTGGTGCCGGTGGTGGACACTTATTTCCCCGGGGGCCAAACGGTGGAGGAAGCCCTGATAATTGACATGCCCCAACGTCGGACCCCCAAGCCTTCGCCCCGCCACTCCATGTATTATCACCATTCCGAGCCGGGTGAACACGGTGATTACTTCCCTCTCATGCCCGTGAATGTCAACGTGCCGACCCCTCCCACGCATGCTTCCAATTCATCCGCCAGTGTAAACGCTCACCCAGCCCCCTCGATCTCCATTCTTACGACTGGCCACGCCCCTCCGGTGCCTTCGCCGGGCGGTCGAACCAGTCGCCATACACGTCGACCGCCTATCACTCGACATGCGACCAATTCACCAACGATTCATGGTCAGGGATCGGGCACCAAAGGTACGTGTTTATCCCCCCCCCCCCCGGCGGCCTCTTAAATTGCGCCTCCAAACGCTGCATCCCGGAACTATGACTGACCCCGGACAGATTCTGCAGTCACCCCAGCCCCTCAGCCGACTCCCCAAGTCCCGACGCCACCTGGTCCTGCACCTCCGGATTCACCGCAGAACGGGGTTTTAAGCTCGCCGGCGCGCGTCCCCTCACCGCGCCCTCGACCCTCCACGAAGCCGAAAAAGGGTACTCCACAGTCGTTGAGTGCATTTGGAGGTCTGATTGAGGGCACCGTGCCACCGATCAACGTTCTTATTGTGGAAGATAATGTCATCAATCAGAGGCTTTTGGAGGCATTCATGAAACGTCTCTCCGTCCGATGGAAGTGTGCCGCCAATGGCGCCGAGGCCGTCCAAAAATGGCGCGAGGGTGGGTTCCATCTCGTCTTGATGGACATCCAGTTGCCCGTTATGAACGGATTGGATGCGACTAAGGAGATCCGACGGCTCGAAAGGTTGAATGGAATCGGTGTCTTCCCCAAGACTGCCTCTGGAAGATCCAGCGTTGCCAGTGCCACTGCAATATCTCTACAAGAGAAGGATCCAAACATGGCGGATTCTCTGAGAGAGGAGGATACGCTGAAAGATCCGTCACTTTTCAAAAGCCCCGTGATCATTGTGGCTTTGACAGCCAGCAGCTTGCAAAGTGACCGCCATGAGGCGCTTGCCGCCGGCTGTAATGACTTTTTGACCAAGGTAAGTAATTACTGGTTTCCCTTGTGTGTGAATGGAGAATGTCTAACATCTCGCAGCCCGTTCGGTTTGAATGGTTGGAACAGAAGGTGACTGAATGGGGCTGCATGCAAGCACTCATCGACTTTGAAGGCTGGCGGAAATGGCGAGGGTTTGCAGTTGAGCAACAAGCACCACCTTGGTCAGATGGGCCTACAGGGCCCATGCAAATTAGCACCGGGGGTGCATCTAAACAATCCTCCCCTGTACTACCAGCGCTACCGTCTGCAAGAGCCTCTAAGAAGAAGGGCCACGGTGACTCCAAACTAGCCGATAAAGAGCAGGACGACTCTTCGGGCAATGGTAGTTCGGAAGCCCTCGACTCGTCCCATCCATGGACGTCAGACGCAGGTAAAATGTCGACTGTCACCTAGGAAGAGGTTTAATTCCTGTGTCTTTCATTTTCCTTTCGTTTAACGTCACATCATTATCATTGTTTATTCCTTGATCCACACCTCCTTAAAATTCCCTGTCTCAGATACATGCATCCTTGAGAATCCGGATCACCGTAATCTATTCTCGCTATCTATTTGTGTCTTCTATGGATACCCTGCATAGCCCTTGTCTATCTATTTTATTTTATACTCTACTGGTACTACCGCTTCCCCCGTCCAATATTTCCTATGTCAGATGATTTCTTCTGGTCTTGGATGGTTCAGATATATACATCATCAGGGCATTCTCACGTACACGGATGAGATGTCGCTTTTTTCCCCCTACAATTGTTATTATTCTAGCCTTGTGATAATATAGGTATCTATCTGTTGTCGTACTTCCCTTGTACCGATTACGGATGGTCTGTGAACATACATTTAATTTTTCTGAATTAGATTCTAGATCTATAGAACTTTTACCAAGGGCCATTTTCGTTGTAGATAGGTACTTCCAATAGTTATAATATACATTATATCTTCTTGTATATGGGTACATCGGTGATATCTAGAACGACAGGTAGGTACTCAGTTTTAAGTATATACCAGACGATTATAAAAAAATACTTCTATCTTGATCGATCCTGAAGATGATAAATGAAATAAGGTATATTATGTTCTATCCTGGCCTCCAAGAGAACATATAGATAAATAGATAGAAATACAAAACATCGCTGACTGACCCATTCGTCACATGTCTGTACAATAAAAAACATAAAAGAATTCAATCACGATACAAGTACATAGATCAAGGTACCATGATCAGCCAATCCAGGGTGAAAATGAGATATGTAAAATCGGTACAATTGTAGAGAGACAGTGAAGGAAGAGAGAGACGCTAGACCTGAACACTTGTGGGAATCTTGACTTGGCCCCTCTTCCGATCGTAGCTGGGAATACCATATCTGCGACCGGGGGCGGCGTGGCCACGACCGTCAGGACCAGTGGTCTCCTTACTGACGACCACGTCCTTGAAATGGAAGTCGAAGCGTGACGACTCGGGCTGCACCTTGAGGAGTTCTGCTTCTTTGCGAGCTACTTCTTTGTCCTTGATGGCTTTCCGGGCCTTTTCTGCCTCCCGGAGGCGCTGTTGATACAGACGATTGTTCTCCCGAGACTCTTCCGGGTGCGTGATGCGACGGCGTTCATGCGCGATGAGATGCGGGTGCGGAATCCGAGCATCAGCCGGCTGAAGGACTCCTTGTTTGTTGGCACCCTTGCCGACCTGCTCGATCCGGTGAGGGTGCTGCGTCACAAAGCTCACTGTAGCGTCGGGGTCAGACTCCTCCTTGGCGACTCGGTAATGTGGTAGCGCCGGTGCAGCGGAGAAGACACGACCGGCATCACTACGAGTGAATCGTCGGGATTCAGAAACGGGGTAGAAAATTTGAGGAGAGGTGGTAGGGTGGACAGGGAGGTCGTTGATCGACTCGTGGGGGCGACGATCGTGGGGATTAGAAAACAGTGGCGTGCAAGGCACCATTTCGTGCACCGCACGAGCATATGGTAAGGCCATTGTTTTACCCTATTGAACGAGCTTCGGTGTTAGCAAAACTGAATCATTTCCGTTCGCGTTTTGAGACTGATTGGCAGCCAAAAGGACAAAAAAGAAGGTAAGGATGCATGTCAGTGATATGGACGTTGGACGCATTCCCAGCCGATTGAACTGGGTCATAAAGACTAATCGAAATTTTATTGTATCTCATCATTGCATCTGGAGAAAAGACGAAAGGGCCAAGGATGCGCTCGGGATAATGAATATTACCTGCTGTTTCCATCGTTTCTCCAGCTCAACCAACCGAATCACAGCTGCAACCCTCCTCATGTCAATACCAAAATCGACACTCACGGCTCGTACACTGTTCTTCTTATTCACAACCTGGTCGTAGATTTCGTTCCGCAGCTCCTCGCTCAGGATGCTCTCACTGATAAATGCTGGGTTTCCTGGGAATGGCTTCCTGTTCGGCCCATCCCTATTTGCACTTTGCACGCTCCTTAAGTAATTGGTTGTCCCTGGAGTGTGAGTTCTGTACGCCGCACCCTCAGTTTCAAGCCATTTAAACATATTGTTGCGGAGTCTGGTCTGAGGAGCCATGGTGGTTGAGAATAGACGGCTGGATCGTTGAGATTTACATGACATGGGCGATTGGGAGTAAGAGGGAAGCTTCGAGAATGATGTGCATGAAGAGGAAGAGGTGGAGGAGGACGAGGATAGGTAGGGTAGAAGGGAATTAGAGACCAGCTGATTCTGCAATCGAGGCGGCATGATTGCTAGGTGTTGGGAACCTCTCCGTTATGACCCAAAAAAAAAAAAAAAAAAGGGAAGAAAGGATAGACTATACAGCGGAGGATAGTAGGGGCTCAACAGGCAGCAGCCAGATGCATGGAGTCCAATTGAGCGCGGAGATGGGGGAGAGAATGAATGGTGGGAGAGAAAGTGTGTTGACGACTGTCAACCCGTCGAAAGAACTTTTCGGCTCCATATGGCTATCACGTGACCTATCACTTGGGTTGCCTACTTGGGATTAGATTTGGATCCGTGTACACTACGAATAGTTATCGACTTCAAAAAACCAGCTTGGACCACATCTTGACTATAGCTAGTGTAAACCCATCTTTGGTAGTATATAGATATGCGCCAAATGGTAGCAGTGAAGCCTATACGATAGCATGTCCGTTCCCAATTTCCTGCCAAATTCCCAACGCCACGAACCACAAGCAAAGAAAAAGTTCCCAATACATTCCCTAAGTCTTAGAAATCAAAGTCAAAAGCCCCACGCTGCGTGCAAAATGCAAGTCAATGAGAAAGAGTACAGCGATATAACCCCTTAAATGCCTCTTCCCGATCCGAAGGGAAGATTTGAGTAGTGTATCGCCATGTATAAACCGTGTGAAACGCCTCTGAGTGTTTTCAGAAAATCCGATGCTGGCATTTATGATCATGCTCCTCCCTCTCATCACTGCCACATTTTTTTTTCTCTTTTCTTTTAGTGAATCTCACTTTCAGTCTTTCCTAGCATGCAAAGAAATAAAAAGCGCAGTAGTAAGTAGATAAATCAAAAGTGAATAAGAATTCTCATACTGGACGGTATTGAACGGGAAAAATAGTAATAAAAGGAATAAGTAAACCGGGGAGAGAGAATAGTAATAATAATAGCAATAACAAGATAAGGCCGCCATATCTTCCACAGAACAAAAAGCACTGGCAATCCTCCGAGATGAGCAATGGGACGCCGGATGCGCAAGTACCAAAGACCGCTATTGATGAATAAAACATAGACACAAGACTCGTCCGGCAAGATAACCTTGAAAAGCACTATTACCCAGAACACGCAACACAATAAATAGTACAGCACAGGGTATGATGATGGGGAAATAAGACAAGCGAACTGGGAAAGCAGAATCCTCTCGGGTTTCTCAGATATACGAATCAACCGCGCACAATGACAATGCAGTCCTACCGGAAAGCAAGGAAAGAGGAATGGAGAGGAGTAAAACAGAAAGAAAAAAAAAAAAAAGACAGTGTATAGGACGCCCCATTAGTCCCAAATGCTGACAAGTGTATTGAAACGAGAAAGGCGGAGAGGGAAAAGGAAAAAAAAAAAAAAAAAAAAAAGGAAAAAGAAAAGAGGAGGAAAAAAGACGAATGTGAAGAATGAGAAGAATGAGAACAGAATGGGCCAAGTCAAAGCAAGCGATAGAAATGTCAGGGTCCCAAGATCCTTACTCCCATGAGGAAGGGGAGCCTCCCAATGCTGATTGATCTAACTCATGAAACAATGATAAAGAAATCCCAAGTGCGCCGGATACCCTAACAATCATCAAACATGTCGGACATTATGTGGACAGATATTTCCTGTGCCTTTTTAACGGCCCATCATATAGTCAGGAAAATAACCAGAAGCGGTGCTGGTTCCCCCGCCATTAGGCGGTGGAGGGGAAGACAGCGGGTTCATGGCATGCGCCCGAATGCCCAAGCCTGTGTTCGGATGGAATGGGGCATTGTTAGCCATTGGGTGGACGGCTCCATTACGCATCTGCACCGGTGGAATAAAATTTGGTGGGGCGAGTCCAGGAGGTGGTCCGCTCACTGTCGAGAATATATGGTTATGCATCCCGCCGAGACTGTTGCCTCCATGCACCACTGTTGTCGATGCCGCGCCATTCGCGGCAGTGTTGGAACCTGGTTGACCCGACCGGACCCCTAGGGGGTTTTTCGAGAAGCTCAAACGGATCCCGGTTTTAGCGCTGTTGGAAAGTTTGTAGCCGTACAATTCGTTCAGCGCTTTGCCTGCCGTGCCCACATCCTCGAATTCGACAAAACACATTGGCCCATTTTGCTTGTTTCGGAAGCAAAGGCGTTTGTAGCCGCGTTGTTTGGAAAAGAGAGCTTTTAGCTCCTCTTCCGACGCATCCGGCGGTAGATTGCCAACGTATAAGGTATTGCAAGGTGGGTTCATATCATTCGGGTTCGCAGCCGGAAGACTATGCCGGGCCGTATGCGGATGCGGATAAGGGTGAGCATGAGTGTTTCCCAGATTGTTGGCCATTGACTGTTGAGAGAAGGCGGCGGCGTGGTTTGGAAGTCCCATGTGAACGTTCCCACCAGGGGTGTAATTGGACAGCGGTGGAGAAGACATATTCGACGCAAGAGAAAGATTTGCAAATTGGCTAGTAGGGAATTGAGGGTTGGTGGACCGGCGAGGGAGGGAGACAGAACTGGAGTGTCCATTCTCGGCATAGCCCACGGGATCTTTCAGTAACTCGCCTGTGTCTTCATCCACATCCTGGTCAATCATCGATTTGCCACTAATGCGCGGAAGGTCATGGACGCCATTCCCGATCGGCGACTGGGGTGAGAAGAGATTATGCATTCGGGATCCCGCCTCAGAAGGAGGGAGGCCATCGTTGGTCGACGGTGGGTTCGTACCAGACAGTTTCTCCATACTTTGGAAAGTCCCGTTGAAACGCGACCGCCCCAAGGGGCCATTGGATGGGGCTGACCCCAGGAGAGACGGCGTCGCGGTGTGGTCGATAGTGCTGCGTCTGGGTACCAGGGATGGACCGATAGGGCCGTTGTACATCTCCACGATCATGTTGGCATCGTTGTTTGAGTTTGGCTTGCCATGGAGTAGAGCGCGTGCCTCCTCCGCGGCACTGACGGTGCGGAAACGCGCGATCGCACTCACATACCCGTTTTCATTAGGAAGGCCGACGGGCTCGAAGTCGACATCAACGAGGTCTTTCGCAAAAAGCAGCATGCTGCGCAGGGCCTCGCGACTGGTGTTATTCGGAAGATTTCGCATCAGGATTGCGCCGCCGCTGTTCGGTCGGACGAAGCTGCTGAGGCTCTGCGGCGACCTGTCGGAATCGCTTAGGCGCATGGTGGTGGCGGGTGGAACGCTGTCAAGTGTCGACGCGCCAATAGACGAAAATGGATAGTGAAATGAAGAACCTAGCGACGTTGGCGCTTGCGACGCGGAAGGACTGTACACGTCGGTCGGCATCGCATTCTGAGCCGTCGAGGGCACCTGGGAGTTTGGGAGCGACTGGTGCGGAGGCGACGCGCCCGACGACACGGAAGGCGTGCGCTGGGTTGTACTATAGGAGCCTGGACTCGTACGGGTCGATTGATTCGAGCTGCCACTCATGCCTTGCGGACCAACGAAGTCGAGACAATCGATGAACCGCCACGAGAAGATTAACGTGTAGCGTATTTAGGTTCGGGAGGCAAGGGAAGAGCGAAGCGACGGGAGGCAAATAGGTGACAGGGGGCTGGAAGCTTGGAGATGTGACGGAAACGGAAATTGAAAACAGGGAGGGAAATTTTAGATGGAGCCCAGTGTCTGTATCAGGACGATGACAGCAGAAGACTTGACTATTCCCCGAACGGAGAAAGCGAAACGATGAAGTACAACCACGATGTGTGTGGATGGAGGAAAATGAGATGAGGCAAATGCGACTCGTCGACGGACCGAGGGAGATCGCGCACGGATATAGAATTGAATACGGAGGACGTCAGGACAGAATCGATCGATAAGAATGATTAATAATGGAGAAGCATGAAGAAAATCGAATATTCGATTAAGGGCAAGAGAATGCGAATCAAGGAGGAGGATGAAGATGGAGAACAATGGACGTGACGGACCGGGGGGGGGAGGGGGAGGGGGGCGGAAGGGAGAGGAGGAATGGAATAATAACTATCAGGAGGGAAAGAACAAAAGAGGCCGCGAGTTCGGGGGAAGGATAAAGTTAGTCTGGGTTTGGGGAGTCGAAAGGGAAAAATGACAAAGGAGGGGAGCTAAGCGCGGTGCGCGGATGACTCCGGGGATGTGGACGTAGGTATGTATTGTATCCCGTGTATGGTATGGTACGTGCGGTACGTTCTCGATACCTTCTACTGGTGGAGGCAATGGAAGAGATGGAGACGGGAGAAGGTGTGTGTACAGCAAGGACAAGGGGTGGGATTCCACTTCATGTACCCTCGAGACAGTGACGGAGTGATGATCCAGAATGGTGTCAAACACGAGTGAAATAATAATGAATGAAGAAATATCGTTACTGGAGGCCTAAGGTAAAAAGTCATACCTGTTACCAGGTCCCTCGAGATGGATGGAGGGAGGCAAGGCTTTGTTAGCTGCTTTTCCGGGTGGTGGGCTGGGACCACGGATCGAGTCTGCTTCCGTTCCAGGGACATCACTGTGCTGGTAGGCCGTCTTGGTTTCCTTCCAAGGAACTACTACTACTACTACTACTTTCATAAGCGGGCAATCTGGAGTCTGGACTAAATGGGCTCATCCAACGAGAGCCCCTAGCTGGGGCCTGCAGTAGGAGAAGCGCGACCAGACAGGGTACGGTAGTTGACACGACGCGCTACTGTTCTTTTTGCTTGGACGCGGCTCTCGGTCACTCACTTTCCATCTGCATCCCCTGGACGAGCAGATGGTTGGGAAGTGCGAAGTTGATTTCCTCTTTCTGACTAATTAGTGGCTTGCTCAATATGTAGGTCTTTAAGGCAGGGAGAACCTCGTGCATTTCTCGTACCGAGTGCAGCAATCTAGGCAGACCCGAAAGACGCATGCATCAGGCGGTGCGTGCGCGCGAGAGCTGGGGCGTGGAGGAAGATCCTCCCCATACCAAACAGTATTATTCACGATGAACGATCTTGTTATCCACTGGTGTCCACTTTGATAACAGAATCGATGCTAGATAACTAATTAGGAAATGTACGGATGTTCAACGACATCGCAGCGTCTATGTCTCCCATGTCGCTGGACTTCGTTTCACCTCTTGTCATCCCTTAAAGTCGGTTGTTTGATTTTCAACTTTTTCTTTCTCCTAAACTGTCTGCGCTAGATGACGAATCTCAGGGACAAGATAAACGCAATCATTCAACGTTAGTCATACACCTCACTCAATTCTCTCTCTCTATCCTTTTATTTTTTTGCCGCCTCTAAATTATATTGCCGGAGGTGACGAAAAACTGACAGACCCCCCTGCAACGCTCGTGGGTTCAGTGAGGCATAGGTGTCGGCCTCAACTTGACCTAATCTAGTTAAGAATGGCCAAAGCAATAAGGTAGGATTCAGGTATAGTCATTACGACGAAATTGAGTATTACTGCCCCTGACCTTAACCCCATCAACTACATCTACGAACGGGCCGATTCATGACCATGGATGGTGTGGATTCTATATCGGGATCCAATGGCGAGACCAAACTCAACGAAAAGGAGCCTTCAATAACGTCAATAACTCCGGTCACAGAAGGACACCTCGCAGGCTTCCATAGGCCGAGTTGTAAAAAGAGTTATCCATCCCTCTCCCTTATTATTCATGCGCGCATGCATAGAGTGAAACCAAGGAAAAAAAAAAAAAAAAAAAAAAAAAAAAAAAAAAAAAAAACCGTACCCGAGCCAGGATGTCCTTCCTGCTCAAGGCATGCTGGATGTTAGTGGAAGATGCGAGCAGAGCGGGCCATTGTGGTTGCCATGATCCCATGGGAAAGCTAAACTCTGTTGCTGATCTTCTCAGCTGAAATTATACTCAGGGCCAATCATGCGGGCCTCTTGGGTGTCTCTGGCCGAAACAGCACCAAAGGATTGGTCCAGTTTGCTCCGCACGAGAGGGGGAAAGATGATTCCTTTTTCTGGAGTCTCAATTGGACTATTCGGGTTACTCGGAGTGTATTTAGATTCAGTGATCTCTGACTCGTGGATACTCTTTGATCGAGATCCTTCACTATGTGTCTGGTCATGATGAAAAGTATACTCTGGGGTATGACTGTGATTGTACTGGGCTTAGAATAATCCCGTTTTAGGAGAACAGATGGTTCCCACGTATATCTTACACGTCCTGACGACGCCTATAGTCATTCCCTTCATACATTCGGTCAAATCTAGAAGCGCCGGTAGGGAGTTTAGGTAGGTCGTTGAACTATAAAATCTATTTGTTTTGCGACCTGGCCGTTTCAGAAACAATGCTAGGCATTTGAGACGTGGCCGAGACATTGTGAAGTCGACCACACATGCTTCAGCCCTGTGAAGAATTACACCCAATGCTTAGGTCAATGGCATCGCCTAGATAGAACGGTGCTAGGAAAAGTCATGTCCTCACCAAGAGACGCTTTTCTACACGCCGACATCAATAGAGATTTCTCATTGCTTTCAAAACCGAGGCATCCGACATCCTGACCAGCAAACCAGACGAAGATAGGCCCAGCTAATGAATCGGCCATCCACAAAGCAGTACTCCCATTCCATGTCACAAGAAACACAATCAACCCGCATACTATACACAGACAAAGTCTTAGCCACTAACGCCAATTAAAATGCCAAAAGCATGGATACTGCACAGAATCGGTATCGGCAGCATCATCTAAAGCTCCGCCAGTCTTCGCCAAATCGGGCCTCGATATCTCGCTCAATATAGGCGACAACAGAGAATAGTGAAAATTCCGGTACGGGATGAGCTTTGCTCGTTCAGTTGTGGTTTTTTCGTCTGCCCTGCGCAATACCGGCCTGTACCAATCATAGTCTGTTAGCAAGTGATACATATGCCTTCCAAGCCATCCATTTGCATACCAGGTCCAGTAGCCGCCACACAGTCTCGCTCGCTTGCGCTCCAACTCCAATCCAGTACTTCGCTCGAGATCGATCGAGCGAGACTTCCTTGTATGGTCTGACCTTCTGGGCTTCTTCGTCGGAGAGGTTCGTTGGACGTTGTGGGATGGGATTATAAGTTCCAATGACCTCCAAAGGTTTCGAGCCCCGAGCCGATCTGATCAAGACAAAATTACCGTTAGTGTGTTTTCCATTACACCAATAACATTCCATATCATCCTCGATAGAAAGTGCCGAAAAGAAACCAAGAAGCGGAGGGGAAAAAAAGGAAATGAAAAACCTACCGTGCCTGAGAGACCACGATATTGTAAAACGGCTGATGCCTGTTCCCAAAACGAGCCAGACGAATGCGAACAACCATTTTGACTGCTTCTTCTCCGAATCGAAATGTGAAAGCTAATTCCGCGAGAGGGATATGATTGTTATGCCACAGCGGCAGCCGCAAGGCTCCGCGGAAGTTCAATGGCGGAGAATAAGTTATTCCGAAGTTTCCTAACTCAGACTAGCGTTAGGCGGTGGGGAAGAGAACCGTGCTGATAAGACTATGATGCAATCACCAACCTTTTGTTCTTGAGAAGGTATTTAGAAGCATCGAGTTGCTATTTCTCTGCTTTGTATTTCTCTCACCTGCATCTGTGCATGCTGCGCTCTGCTTTTAGCAGCAGCAGGTGGTACTTGCGCCTTATCTCGTTTCGCAACTATAGTAAAACGGCAAAGATGTCATTGAGGGTATGCTTCGCATGTTAGAAATATAAACAATCATATCGTATAATTTACTGAAATCCTGTCGCTAGACTCTTTCAGCGAAAGATGCCGCGTCCCTCGACTCGGACCTTATGATACATTACGGCTGGTCTATAGATCAGTTGATGGAACTCGCAGGACTGTCTGTCTCACAAGCTGGTATACCTCCCTGGTCATCATGTCTTCCATGCAGCTCTCCCCTATCAATATCGCTAAACACAGATAATAGTCTACCGTATCCATCCACCTAGCTCTGGGAAGAAAATCCTCGTCGTCTGTGGCCCAGGGAACAACGGTAAGCCTATGCGCAAGAAACTTGCACAGCTCGTACCGATAAACATATCCCTAATGCAATCATTATTAGGCGGTGATGGCTTAGTCGCAGCTCGTCATCTTGCCCACTACGGCTACAAACCATCTGTCTACTACCCCAAGTCGTCAAATAACCCTCTCTACGATGTAAGTATCTGTTCCATGCTACCAAATAGAAAATAATATCCCGACTCTCACCGTGAAATGAATAGCGTCTCAAACTCCAACTCGATTGCCTCGACGTCAAATCTATCTCTGCAGACGAATTTCCTGCCGCTCTCAAGTCCTCTGATTTCCTCATTGACGCTGTATTCGGCTTCTCCTTTAGTGGATCCCTGCGCGGCCCCTTCCCGGATATCATCTCGGAGATCGAATCAGCGACCATTCCGGTTCTCAGCGTCGATGCCCCAAGCTCCTGGAACATCGAGACTGGACCGCCGAAAGAGGGCCCCGGCTCTAAGTTCATGCCAGAGGCGCTTATTAGTTTGACGGCTCCAAAGCCGTTCGTTAAGTACTATAAGGGAAGGCATTTCGTGGGAGGCAGGTTCTTGACTAGGGGTATAGCGGACATGTACAATTTGGACTTACCACAGTATCCCGGGATTGACCAGGTGGTGGAAGTGGAAGTGGATACTGAGGGGAAGCTGTGAGGGGGTTATGCGACAGCATATACAATTTACCAGTGGACTTTAAAACAATATCTATTAGTCATTAACCTATGTTTGCCCATTCATGCAAGTTGCATGGCACAGAAAATCGGGTTGTTAGGATGGAAATTGGTTAAATATACTTTCATGGCAGGCTAGAATGCATAGCTATCATAATGTGTATGTAGCCCGAGTGACAGGCCTCAAGGGACATTCAAAGAAGAAGAAAAATGGGCATCACATCTTACATCAGCTCTCTAATCTCGCTAATAATACCTTTAACTCTGGGCTCCTTTCCAATACTAGAACCGGACATGGTTCCAAGCATTTGACCAACATCGTAGATCTCTTTAGCGGCACTTCTGACCTCCTCTCCTAGGGCCTTGACCAATGTTCCTAGAGCGACAAGACCTCGATAGGCTGCCTCTGAATCCTTCTCTCCGGAAACCATCCACGCGAGCTCCGCAAGAAGCACCAAGCCTCGCTCGGATGATTCAGGAGCGGACTCTCTACCTTCAGAGGTTAGATAGACTGCGAAATTTATGTAGAGCGTCGCTACTGCGATGGTAAGATTGCGATTGGCCCCACCGTTGGACAAGGCGGATTTGACCGCGGTGACGATCTGATTGAATCTTCTCACGGCCAATTGGCGGCCGGTGTCGGTTTCAAAGAGGTTGGCCAGCATTCTGACGGACAACATTGCGTTATTCACATTTAGGGGAACATCGAATACTCCACTGGCTTGGAGACCGGTGAAAAGATCCTGGCCATTGTAATCCGTAGTGGCAGTCACAGGAGTAGCAGCTGCTAGTAGACGAAGGAGGTCCAAACCGGGCAGTCGGTTCGATACGGGCCACACTGTTGCGACTTTGAATAGCAAGGGAATTCCAGCTTCAATGACAGGTGATTGCTTAGGTTGCTCTGAGGCCTCCAGTTCGCTACACAGCGCAACCACCGTCTCCACCTCCGAGGGACTCAACGACAGGTCTTTTGATCCTGACGATACAAGCTGCTCATTTATCTCACCCAGCTTCTTGGCTATAACCTTCAGATTTGCGGTTTTGATGGATAGATATGACTTCTGCGGGAGGACTTTGGGACGTGGCCCGGGAATCGATGGCGGTTGCGTGGCGGAAGCATCTCCTGGGCGATAACGATTCTCTTGACCCCAGGGATCAGCACCTGCAGGCGTGGCATCCTGAGAGGACTGCCCGAGGTTCGCACCCTGTGTGTTTTGAACAATGAATTGGGCGACCTGATCAAGGTAGCTCATGGGTAGTTCATTATCCTGGATGAATTTCGTTGCAGCCTCGTACGGGTTCTGCGAAACATTATAGGGTAGTTTGAGAGGAGGTTTTCCGTCTTCAACGTCAACGTCGAAGACGTAATCGTAATCTTGGCCTAAATACCCAATCTTTCTTCCGCTGCTTGCTGCAGAGTCAACCACCGTACCCACAGCGACCCATTCTTGCGACGCCACGGACCATGTATGCGCAGTCACGCTACCATTATCCTCACGTATCATTTGCACTTGGCCATCTTTAGTGCCGGATTTCTGCTTAAGAAATTCGGGCCCTGGAAGCTTCTCTTTGTTGATATTCCCCACCTGTTGTTCTGGAATTGCCGACTCTTTGACAGTCTGCTCAAATTGTTGCACGACCTCGGGGCTTGCCAATCGCTCCTCACTCCGGGTAAAGACGCGGGTGATACGGTCACTAGCGCCAGTAACGATGTCGCCAGACTCCTTACAAGCAGCTACACTCCATACCGAAATTGCTGGATGAGTGATAGTTTGCACGCACTGTGTACCGTTCCAGACTCTCACCGTTCGATCTTCTCCGGAACTGACTAGTTCACCCGACGACAAGACATCCAAAGAGTAAATGAAGCTTTCGTGACCATGCAGTTCCGCAACTTGTTTGCCCTGTATGGTGAAGAGTCGAATAACACTGTCATTACCTGCCGAGGCAAAGTGTGCACCCATGGGATTGAAAGCAGGAAGTTTGCAAAGAGCCCTGACAACATCTCGGGAATCTTTGATGCTCTTTATAAGGGCTCCAGAGGTGTTGAATATCCGAATTATGCTATCCGCACAGCCTAGAACAAGATTAATAAAGGAGTGGTAAATGGTGTTGTGGAGGAAGAACACACTCACCCGTAATGACTGTTTCCTTGTCATAGGCCAACACTGTCCAGACACTACCCTGGTGGTCCTCAAAGACAACCTCTGGCTCCCACTTGCCAACACGCCATAGCCTAGCAGTTGAATCCCAACTACCGCTTATGACCCATCCTCCTTCAGGGCATACATCTAATGCGCATACGTTGTGACTATGACCCAGTAGCATAGCATCTGCATTGTCATCTGCAGCTTTACTAGGCTGTCGTGCCTCTATGATAGTGTCTTGACCGCCAGAGAGCACAAGTCCTTGGGGAAAATCGGGGGTTGGAGGGTAGTAAGCTAGGGTGTTGATGAATCCCGAGCCGTGGGATGTGATGATATAGTCGTACGTTGGGGGCGGGGTAGAGACCAGCTTCCAGAGCCGAAGGGTTGCATCTCGCGAGGCTGACAACACGGTATTGGGGTTGGGAAAGGCCACAGCACGAACCTGGTAGTGATTTTCAGCGTTAGTTGCCGTCCAGAAGCGCGGTGATGGCTGTTGGAGGGAGCCATGTCAACAAGCCGGGAGATCTTACATCATCGCCGTGGCCCTCCAAAGAAGCGGAGATCTTGAAGTCAGGCATACATAAAGATTGTCGGGGTAGAGGCTAATGGAAGGTGGTCCGGCAGGTCTACCAGAGATCTGGGATGCCGGAGAAAAGGGGAAGGTATCAAAGAAGAGGTAAGAACGAGAGAGAACAGGTTGAGGAGGTTCCTGCTGTGCTGGTCTCTTGGGATTGAGTTCCATTGTGGTGGTGACAACAGGAGCATCACGTGGGCGGTGGAGAAGAAGTTGCTAGAACGTTGATGTACAGTCAGCTGCAATCACTTCGTCTTTGGGTGAAGGCAGAGTTACTCAGCCTATCCAGGCCAGCGGGGCTAGTGGCTGGGATTGTGTTCTCATTGTCCAATACTTCACAGACCACTCTAGAGAGATATCCTGCCATCATGCTACTGTCATCACATTTGCAACGGTATTGACAGGCTCCGGGATAGACACTTGCGGAGTACCGGAGGATGGAGTACCTGAGGATGGAGTACATATGGAGTACCAGATACCGGATGGTAAGGTACGGTAACATTCCCAAAGGGGAGGTCCAACTACACGCCTCACGTGGGCTGGTTCTAGTCTGTATGGGGTTTAGCGCAACAGACAGAGGATTCCAAGCACGGCCAGTGATTTGACCGAATATCAAAAAGACTTCAATTCTCTTCTGCTCCTGGCCGGAGTTTGCCCTTCTTCTCACTATTTTCAAGGCTTGCTGGCCGGTTGGTCCATCGCTAGCATTCCCGGTGGAAGGATTGGATCCCATTCCACTCCCCTCTTCACTTTCTTCATTCTCCCTGTCACTGTTCATATAACCCCGCCACTCTTGTTGATTGATGACTTGACGAGACCGACGAATTTTCTTCTGTACTTCTACGTATGATTCATTCTCATTTGGAAAGACTGTCCTCATATATCATTTATTTGCCATCTGTGATCTGGATTCCTAGACCACCTGTGTCCATTGAAATCCATTTTTAGACCCTCTTAATCCTGTGGAATTTATTTCTTGATACTCTCCCGAATTAGAAGCAACATGGCCTCTGGTATTTTCAGCTCTCTTTAACCGCAAATGAGAAAAATTGTCGCTTACTCAATTGTCAGATATCCCCAAAGTGGTGCCGTTGACATGTCACGGTCACTCGCGTCCCGTACCACATATCAACTTCTCCTCCACCGTCGAGGATGATCAGTATTACCTCTTGTCCGCCTGCAAGGGTATGTCAGTTGACGTCATCTGATCAAAACGGAGAGTCATAGAGATCACTAATCGTCTGTTGTAGATAACAATCCCATGCTTCGTGACGGCATCACGGGTGACTGGTTCGTGTCCCGCAATATGCTTGTTGAAATTATATTTTACTAACCCTGAGCTCCAGGATTGGCACCTTCCTCGGTCACAAGGGTGCTGTCTGGCAAGCCCGTCTCTCAACAGATGCCACCATTGCAGCAACCGCTGCAGCAGACTTCTCCGCGTGAGCTCAAACCCTTTCTCTTCCATTTCTGAGCCCAGACGACACATTAACTGACACATAACAGTAAAGTGTGGGACACCCACACCGGCGAATGTCTGCACACCTTGCAACATTCGCACATCTGTCGAGCCGTGGCATTCCCCCTGCAGCCCTCCCCGCAGGTTGTTGCAACGGGAGGCTTTGAAAAGAAACTCCGAATCTTCGATCTGACGCAGGGTAGCAACACCTCGTCGCCGATAAATGCCACATCTGGAGAAAACGGCGCCAATGCGGCCCAAACACCACCAGCGACTAGCTACGAGATTGGCCCAGGTGTCCACGGCGGAACAATCAAATCCATCGTCTGGAACCAAGATTACAATATCCTGACGACGGCCGCCGAAGACCGCAAAATCCGATGGTGGGACCTGCGATCCCGCCACCCGGTCGTGGAGTACGCCGTGGAGGGCGCAATCGGCAGCTGCGAATTGAATACCCTGGCCATCCGACCCAACGACCCTGGTATTTTGACCATCGCGGCGGGAAAATCCGTCTACCTGTTCGATGGGTCGACTCCCGGTCGTCTTCTCAAGAAATCAGACTTCAGATATGAAGTTGCCAGCGCCGCTGTGAACAACGAATCAGGGAAACTGGTCACCGGTAGCGCGGGTGATACCTGGGCCCGTGTCTATGATCTCCGCACGGATGAAGAGCTGGGTATGGATCTCCTCTCCTCCCCTTCGTGTCTGATGACATGAATTTTATCGTAAGGGTTCGCTATACAATGAGTGCTAACATGGTCTGTAGAGGTCCAAAAAGGTCACCATGGTCCTATCTGGTCCGTTAGCTTCTCTCCAGATGGTAAGCTTTACGGAACAGGAAGTGAAGATGGAACGATCAAGTTGTGGAAGGCATGTAGAGAACCGTATGGTTTGTGGCGGTGATAGTGAAAGTAAATATGAACTTTACCTTTTCCTCTTTACTCGTCTGGATACTTATGGATGTATATCATTGTACGGAGTGTTTTATCTACATACCCGAAGACAAATACAGAAACATAGCAGGGAATTTTAGTGCTATCTTGCGAGTATATATGCTGTCTGTACTTGTGGGCTGCTTCACATGTTTTCTCATCCTTGTGTCGACGATTGGAACTACATGACTGCATGGAAACCTCAGAGACGAATAATATCTTAACCAAGTATCATAGCACAGATGCATAGTTATGTTTCTCAGTCTGATGCCATCGGGTAGTCAACTAGATACAAAACGGAGTAACCAACTTCACTCAATCATGTCAACATCGTCGTCTCCGCCCGCGGTGGGAGCTGTGGCTGCAGGTGCAGGCGCAGGGGAAGTCTGCTGCGGTGCCTCCGACGTGGCAGTCTTGTCAGATGTGCCCTTCGCGCCGCCCCAGTAGTCTTCCATTTCCTGGTCGAGCTCCTCCTGCGTCTTCCGGGGTCGTCCATTGGCAGCGCGACGGCTTTCACCCTGTCTTCGCCCGTTGGCAGGTCGGCGAGTCGGCGACCGCTGCCCCGGTACATACCGATCGATGTGATCTGGAGGCGGCTTCGAGACATCGCTGCGTCGGTAACGGCCAGCACCACCACGGCGAGCACCACCACCACCTCCACCCCGGCGACGGCGAGCACCGTCGGCACTTTCGCTTCCGCTACCAGGGCTTAGACTCCGAGTGTCTCGGCCGCGCGGCCGTTCAACTCGATCAAAGAGGCTTCCCTTGGGTCTTTGGACATTATCGAATGGATTTCGGTCCCGTCTTCCGCCGCCTGAAGAAACAATCGTCAATCGGATAGGCTGGCCCTTGGCGTTTGCGCCATCGAACTCGCTTATAGCAGTTCGTGCATCGCCGCTGCGGTTGTATGTGACGTAGGCTACGCCCTCGGAGCGACCTGCGCGATCGTAGACAAGAGATACATTGTTGATAGGTCCAATCCGGGTGAACAAATCCTAACCACGACAGTTCTTTAGCTGCGATAACACGAAACCACCCGTCGACACCGGTCTTACCTCAAGATCGCTCTCAGTGATGTCATAGTGAAGGTTCTCAATGCGAAGTTTCGATCCCGTGGGTGCACTACAATGTAGCTTAGCAAACGCAAGTTGAAATTCAACAATTTCGACATACTGTTCTGGTGAAGGGGAATACCGGTCACCACGCGGACGTCGGGGGGCACGGGAGGGGCGTGCTGCACGAAGCCTTGGTTAATATCAGCCCCCTTGGGAGGGATTCACGGCGGACCGAAACACACCATCTCTGTCGTCTTCGAATCTATCGTGGACCCAGTCCCTAATATCACCCGAGTCGGTCAGCCAATGTAACACTGCCAGTAGTATCCTAGAAAAGGGGCACAATACAGGTCCAAGTCTACACGATCTTCTCTGTAAGGCTGTTGAGATCGCAAAAAGAGAGACAAGGTCAGCTCGAAGTCAAACTAGGTATCATGGCAACTGTTCCATCAGTCTGCGGGACTTTGTAGCCTTCCCTCTCCCAAATAGAAGGACAAAACTACGAGGCTAGCGACTTGTCACGATGCGCGAGGGTTCGAAAGGAGAAGAGGAGGGAGGACCTATTTGCACAAGTTCTTATCAGTATGAAATCCCTGTATGCATAATGCCTTGGGCATTGTCGCCACTGGAAAATAGCTACCTTTTTGACACCATCACGGCGACGACCCTGACCTTGAGGGCGGCGGCCTCGATTCTGGTTCTGATTCTGCTGCAGAGTTCTCGCGTCAGTGATCTGGGCATGGCAAGGCAAGGCGGCATAAGCCATAATTACTAGAGCAGCTGAAAGCCTTACAGGACGTTCCGCAATTATTTCGTCCAAGCTGCGGTCCATCTTGGACACTTCGAAAGGGGGAGTGAGGTTAAAAAGAATAGTAAGGTGTATATGACAAATAACAATGCCTCACATGTAGTAACAGTGAAGGATTGAGTAATTGAGAGTTAGTGAGAGATCCAAATGGCGGAGGGTCGGGAAGGGGAAGAAACGGAGATACGGAGCTGTCAGGTCACGTGGTCAGGATGGGCTACAAGGACAAGAGCAAGAGGTGAATAAATACATCTATTCAATTTTTTGATCATGACCTATTCCCAGGCCCTCATTTAATACATGCTAGCAACTGTAAACAACCTTGGTATCAGTGAAGAAAACTCAGATGCAGGAAAGAGAACAGAATAAAGATGCACGGCAAGGAAATAAGGGACTCGATGGCCATAGTCCTTTATGCATGCATGATACAGTCGCCCACCAAAGATACCCAACCCTCCATTTTGGCACCAGAAAACACCAGTAATTGCATCCGAATAGAAGAGACTAAAGAAGAAAAAGAGAAAAAGAAAGTACAAGATGTGATATTAAAGAGGCAAGTCAAAGAAAGGTAGTCGATTGAAAGGATCGTCTTAAGCTCCTCCATTGGTGGATACGTCATCTTGGCCGCTATTGTTATTCTCCATCATCTTCTCCATGAAACTAATGTAGTCGTACTTAGGAAGGTCCCGATCCTCAAGAAGGTCCGGCCCGTGATGTTGGGGCATAGTTTGCACAAGGTGCTCGATCAGTTCATCTGGAATGAGCGAGTGTTGAAGGTCAAGTTCGGTAACGTACGGCTGTGAGAGTCAGTTTCTGAAAAGCAGTTATCATATACAACAGGCTTACCTTGCCGTCGGCAACTTCTCGGAAGCTCTGGAATACTTGTTCGGCAGTGTTCTGGTCTTCAGTCACGCTGACCATAAAGCGAATGAATTGTTCGAAACTGACGCCTGCATTCTGTCCGAGTCTAGCTGGACCGCACGTTTCTACGTAGACCTGGTGCATTTCCTCTTCATCATACACAAGCCCAAGACTGGCCAATGCCGCCGAGAACTCAAGCTCCTGAAGGGTGTTGGAAGAGTCGCGATCGAAATGTCTGAACACCGACTCAAATTCCTCTAACTGGATCGGGGTTAGGTTCGTCATGTTGCGAGCAACGAGCTGATTATCCAGGAAGGCAAGCTTTTTGGAAATACTCGACTTGACCAGGCTCAGCTCATAGGAAAGCTCATCTAGCGTATACGTTGTGTAGTCGTTTTCTTCGATGTTCGCTTCTGCGCACTGCTCGTCTAGCACCGCAATGGTATCTAAGAACGCATCAAGGGGAGGGAGGCTGTCGTTGAGTCTTTTAACATGTGCAAGCTGGTCCTCTACGTCACCGTCCATCCCGGAGATCGCAAGGGATAAGGTTTTCAAGGTTAGCGCAAAGTCATTAGCTTTGTCTGCAAAAGAACGACGAAGAGCATTTTTGATATCGCGGATCGTCTCGTTAATAAGCTGGCTACGTTCATGCTCATCGCGAGTCAAACATTCCCACTCTTGATCGCAAACTTCGAGTCGGAGCTCCTCAGGAGGATCATAGGGACGCAGCCGGTAGGTGCTGAGCTTGGTTTTGATATTCCCCAAGAGGGCCGCCAGATCGGACTTTTCCGCAACCCACTGTCGCTTTTGGTTTCGTTTGTATAAGGAAAATTGATAGGCTTGGTCTTTGGCATCTTTGTATGTCCCTTCAAAGGAAGAATTCTTCCATTCATCGCGCTGGGACCGGATAAGATGCAAAAGCTCCTTCATTCTCTGTTCATATGAGTTCTGCATCTCCCACGCACCATGCATATTATTTATAAACTTCTCCACTCGTCGGCCGGCATTTTCGACCCGTTCCAGCTGTGAGAATGCATGGAACCAGTAGGCGATGTAGGTCATGAGGGACCGCTCGTCAGGCTTCGCAACATCGCAGACATCGTCGACATCCAGAAGGTCCGGGATACCAATTTCATTGGCGGCGATATCGAAAGCCAGTTTCATGTTTCCACGATGATCCTTTTTATCCAGCGCATCGAAGTCAATCAAGTCCGGGCGATGGATATCCAATAGGGCGCAAAAGGCCAGGCCGTCATTCCAGCTGGTAGAAAAGTCGCGAACCTCCACACCTTCATAGCAAGCCGTTTTCCTCTGACACCACAGCAACAGACCCTCCTTGGCGGTCATACCCTCTTCATTGATATCACTGATGGTGAATCTCGAAATCAGGGTCCATATCAGACCCAGGATAATCTTTCTATTACCATCCACAATATCCTCTGCACCGATGTTGGTCATCTGAATCCCTCGTCCTTTAATGAAGTCCAGACTTTTATTGACATTCTCGAATTTTTGCACGCGTAGTCTTGGATTCGAGGCATATCGACCGAGGGATTCTGCGCCGAGGATTTCGAGGAGGTGAATTAGAATAACCTAAGCGAATATGTCATCAATACCAATTACTTCAACTTTCCTAGACATGACTCGAAGACAGCGGCAATCTTGATCGCGGGGTCCACTCACGCCATTGGATAGATCGAGTACTAGATCGTCGATAAAAAGTTGTCGAACTTTCAACTTATCATTGAGCCTGAACAAGTCAGCCAAACAGTCTCGAAACATAACCAAGACAGCCGAGTGACGTTCTCAACCGCGCGCATTATACAAGGTGGGGAGGGGAGGGGGATGAAACAAAGAGGGGAAAGAGCAGTCACCGACTCACCATTTTGTGAAAGTTTTCTGCTGCACATTGATCCACTGCTTCTCAACTGTCAACATGGTGAATGGTCGACCTGAATATGGACATCCAGGGCTGAGATGGAGAATCTGTAGTCGTCTCGATCACCGAGCACAGATGAGGGGGTGAGGAGGCGAGGGATATGCAGTCTGATAAAGCACCGGAACTGGACTTGGATGGAAAAGGGCAGGATCTTCACCACGGACGAATGAGAAAGAAAGAGGGAGGGCAACAAGGCGATTCGCTCATTCGGGCTGGAGACTTTAGATCAACTTTGGCGGGAGAATGCAGAGATAAAATGAGATGGAATACTTGGTGTCTGTGGAGCGTAAATAATCAGTGGTCCAGTCGTCAGTCTCCTATATTTATTACAAGGCTTTGTTCGGGCGGTAACCACCAGTCCTCCTACCTAAGGGAGGAAAGGGGGTTCGGCATGTCGTCAACAATCTGCCCCCACAGCAACCGGCCATGGTTGACGGTCGGCCGGATCTGCGACCTGGGACCCATGCGAACCATCCATAATTGGAGTCTACTCACTATCTGAATCTGGCCATACGTCCCGACTTCGGAAAAGTACCTCTAAATACATGAAGCTAGGAAAAGAAAAATGAAGAAGAAAAGAAAGCAAGCGCCTGTCAGGATGCTCAGTAACAGCGGGTCTATGCAGAAAAGAGATTAACAATATGGCAGCGGAAGTTGAGGTCACCAATAGTACTGGTAATGAACCCCATGTTTATTTCCATCGCAGTTGCACTGGCCGGAGGAAACTTGAGCTTGAACTGGGTTGTAATATCGGACCAGTCCGCTGTCATGAAGGAGCCAACGAAGACAACAATCGACGGAAGAAATATGCAGGTTACAACTAGGGCTATCTATCTTCTATACTTGTCGTCATCGTAGTAGTAGTATTCATTCAACCCTCACCTTGGATGATATATAGAATGATTATCGCTATCTCTCTATATCTATGTACAGTAGACTTTTACTTCCCGATGGATCTAAGAGATCAAGATTTGTAGCCTAAGTACCTGGTGTTTCTATTCCACTCAAAAAATCTGAGTCTTGGTAAAGTCTAGTATTGCATTTGAGATGCTACTGTTGTATTGATAATATTGAGACCAGTGAGGACCTATGTGGGTCGTAATGGTTTTGCTTGCGGTATTGGCATCTTGACTATCCGAATTGTTAAACTTTGTATCTCGGCCCAACAGTTATAGCACGAGTTTGAACTCGACCTTCATATCTTTAGGCCTAGTTATCATAGTGAATAGAATATTATATGGTAACGTGGTACTGTCCGAGTTTATAAGTTCCCCTACAGAGTCAGAGGGCATTACCATGGAGAGCATTCCCAGAAAAAGAAAAGAGGAAGCTGTTGCTTCCATGTTGATAATATATTACCTATTAACTTTAAACTTCCTCTGGTTAGTGAGATAAAAATAGTGCAAGAGCCTTACCCACCCCCTGATAAACACTCGTCTCCAGGTTCTTCTCCACTACCTGCAGGAATCGCCGTGCCGCGCTCTCAGCGGCGTTCTTAGCCGAGAACGGTGTCCCGTGTGGATGGCAGGCTCTCACATCCCCGTATATAGAATCTCGCCTGAAGTAATCTGGAGACAGCCTTCTCGGCCATAGATTCAAAAGCCTTCGCAATGGCGCCTTCAAACTCTTGTAGAAAAATCTCAGCCCTCAAAGGGCTGCGATGCATTGTCGTAGTGGGCAGAGTGATAATGATTTGTGCACCACTCGTCCGTCCCGAGACATCGCTCTGATTCGTTTTTGCAGTCCTCGGTGTCCAGCCATGGGAAACGAAGAGCCGTAGTTTCTGGGGCTTGCTTGGTAGTTAGCTTCTGCTTAGGATGAGGCCCTTTGTCGTTGGAATGAGCCACGGTAGAGTTGTTCTTTATTGATTGCTGACTCTTCCCACTACTAGCTGTATTAATACTGCCGGAAGAGACTGACCCTCCGTGAAGGAATTGTGGGTTTCGAAAAGGCCATCGTTGAGATCCTTGGGGTTTTGTTGGGGTTCCAAAACGAGCTTCGGCCTGGACCGGTTAGAGTTGTCTGCTGTGTAAACTAGTTCTATAATATGATATAGCGAGGATGAAGTGTCCAAGCAAGAATATAGTAAGATTCATGCTTCGCATGGTTGAGATACTAAAAGCTTCGTACAGTACGGATAATATAGAAATATCAACAGGGGATTAGAGATAGTAGAGAATGCAACTGAAGATTTTGCCATGTTTTGTAACAATAAACAGGGGTGAAGACGGCTATTTATATTGGAGCCTCCCCTTGGTATATTTATTTACTACAAATATGTAGAGCCTACAATGTCAAGGGTTAAGACAAGGCCTCGAATGTTTTAGTATTCTTCACGAGTGTTTCATTGTTTGACCCGGGTTGTCAAGTTTCACTTGAAAGAGTTCCTACCAGGGTATAAAATGTCGTCCATACTGCCAGAAAGATGCAACGAGGCGCCCGACAATCTAACTCAAGCCAGATGGTGCACTGGAGGATGTCCAGTTGTGGCTGCAGGTTCCGCCGAAAGTCCCTGGATACTAGAGACATTTTACAGGGCCAAGAACCAAATATAATGAACAATAACCAAATAGTTAACTAACTAGCGTAGTTAAATAATCTTGCAGTGATAGAGTTACTGGTATCCACAATTTACAGCAACGGTTTCGGCTCTATATGTTCCAGAAGACTGCGGGAGAATAGAGTGGATCATAGCCTCGCAGTGTAACAGGTCGAGTATACGCGTAGTACATGTACCTACGAGTCAAAAATCAATAAAGAGCCTTTCTGGTGCTTTGTAAGGACTCAATAATCATATTATAGAAGGCAGGGCAAGCCACAAAAAGGTAAGCAAGTATTCCCTAGTATTATAGAAGACAGCATCGTCTTCTCAATTACTTCTGTTTAACAACTCCATAGCCGAAAGAAACTATCTCGACTGACTAAAAGGAAGACAAACAGAAAACAAAGTATCAGAAAAGGGGGATGGACTTGCATGAGCCTACGCAGCTTCCTCCTTATCTAACTTAGAAATGGATGATGATACCACCCAGAATCCCTCAGAGCCGGTATTCAAAGAAGCGAACCGTGGACCAGCGTGTGTCCCTGTCAAGCCGTCGCCATTATACTTCCTACCCGATGACTGCGAGTCCCTATATAGCGACTCAACCGACCATTACTCGATCCACGACAGCAACATATCTATAACTGCTTGGGCCAGGAAAGCTGCTTTCTGGCTTAGATTCATGCACCCCCAAGAGCAGCAAAGGAAGAACACAGAACATGGGACCATGGAACCGTTGAGAGAGTCTTTGATTCTTAAAATCATACTATTCTTGATTGTTGCGGGGCTTTTTTTAATCCTACTTCTTGATTTGTTTGGGGTACTACGGAGTTAAAAAAAAAATATATTCAACTCTGCGCATGCTCAGCGCTTACCCTTTGCTTTGTAAATCAAAATTCTGTTACCTACGAAAGCCACTTTAATTTTGGTGCTAACTAACTGAGACACCGCTAAGAAAGCAGTATCAGTGGCGGTTCCGACCACCCACCGCGACCACCCACCGGCGGAAGGCGGTGGGTGGTCGGAACCGCCACTGATAGTTAGAAGCCCCTGCTGTATTAGAAAAGAATTATTCTAAGTACAAATTATGCTCTCTATAGCACATGGTGCATCTACCGGACCGGTTTGTTCTCCCGGGAGCTAAGCCTGCTCCATACCCTGAGGCACTGTATTTCTTAGACATATTTCTATACCTTATACCAATATCGAGGGAAGAGCAACACAAACATACGCAATTCTAGACTTTAAGAGTTGCGAGTGGACCGTCGATGGTCAAAATAGCGAATCTCTGTCATTGACAATGATCTCACCAATAGCCTGTACGAAGGAGTAAGGTATTCGTTAGCCGCTTCCAGCTCCAGAAATCGACAGAACGAAAACGACCACAACGGGATTACGAACCTGCGAAGCTGGTAAGCCAGGACCGGAATGATCAAGGCCTCGAAAATAGGCAAATGCATACTTGATGGCTCCGGATAGAAAAAAAAAAGTTTTCTTTAGTTAGACAAGTGGTTATGTAGGCTGTATTGTAACAATGACTTAACAAGCGGTGTGTGATGGAAAAGTCAGTAGGACTATTTCAGCCTATCCAGCATGACGTATAAGTTCGAGATTATGTCTTGGAAATATGGTCCCTGTGCAAGTTACTGCTTTTTAAGCAGTATAGGTTTTGGTTATGGTACTGTACGCATGCTATCACGGTGCCAGCATGTCTTCGAGTCCTATAAACTGCAGCAGTTGACGTGGAACGCTTGTCAGTGAATGCATTACGTGTCTAATATTGGATAGAGAAGGTAAATACTGGCCCAGTTAATTCCTCATAGGGTGAAATAAGCGTGCCTCTCATACCTATATTCTGGTTCGCACTGGATCGTACTGAGTTCAAATAGGACATCCGAAGTTTCTGTCGCTTATCTACGTAGTCAATCCTACATATTATTAGAGATTGCTCAGTGCCAGCCTAGGTATTTCAGTAAGTATTTATACATAAGATCCATGCCAAATAGTGTTCTAGAACAATATATAGTAGTTCTGGCGTTCTGGCATAGTAGTAGCCCCTATCTTTTATCTGTCGTACTTCCGGTGCTTGCAGGTAAGTACTACCTACGGGTCATTTCGACGGTGGCTATGTTACATATACTATCCCTTGTTAAGTAAAGTTGATAATGATAATGTCCCTGTTAACAGTCTTTTATATTTTATATACTGTCATGGAGCCTCCATTCGTCTACCAGATATTTGGCTGTCAGACAAATGCCTTGAATCCCATTCGTTTTCCTGCGACTGAACTTCTCGGGTCTATTGCTGTCTCAACTTACAGGTGTGCTGTCCATTAGGAGCATACTGGGTATCGAATCATTAAAAGTAGTCTACAACCCATAGTCTCTGTCAGCTTGACTGGATCACTGCCACCAAGTGACAAGACGATTCAGAAGTAGGAAAGACTTCACGAGCCTCCTTAGGCTCCGCTTGAGCACTGATGTCAGCTGGACAGTCAGTGTTCCCAAACACAAATGACTCAGGCTAGGGAGGAAGGTAGTTTTGCCTTTCATGAAGATCGACCGTCATTTGGGGGACCGCAACAGATAATACTTCTGCCACCAAAGCAGTCTCGTCTTCCAATACTCGTATGGCAACCGACCCAACCCGGCTGAATAACTGTATTTAAGAAAGGATCGAATATTGATGAACTGTTCTGGAGTGTTAACATCTGATGATATATAGTTTCCCACACCTGCTGCTCGGTTCCTTCGTTCATGGTTTTTGCCAGAGCAAAAAGCCGGATGGCAGAAACATAACCATAGAAACAAAAGTAATTATTTATATACGCTTTCCCCTCTCCCCTCCCTTCTCCTTCGTGCCTTGCTCTTTCTCCTTTCCTGTCCGTCTGTTACCAGATTGGAGATGCCGCATCGGCAAACCGGATTAATTGGGTTCAGCTGGACGGACCTGCTCAAGATTGGATACTGATGTCCCAATTATCATAACTTCGTCCAAACTGTCGAGACTAGCGGTATCGGCAATGCAAGAATCAGACGGTGGAGGGGCATCGAAGAGGGCTCTATCTCCGTTTGACTGCGGCACTGGTTTGACACCCGGACACTCACGTAAATGTTAGAATAGACTCCAGCCCATGTCGAAGCGCATTCCTCGGGAGCGGCATATCTCTTAAACCACAACACAGGCGCCCTAAGGGGTATCATGGAGACCAAAGTCTCCGGTAGGACAAAATGATGGAAGACCCTTGAGTTTGACCTTCAGTGTCATGAAAGTGTGACTCAGTAGTTAACTACATACTCCTGCAGCTCCCACTTTGTCCAAAAGTATGTATTTCAAAAATGCAGAGATGTACTAAGCATACCAAAGCGTCAAGTTTCATGCCTATGTTTTTGACTTGGACCATGCTCCCGAAAAGACCTACAATTTATGTGGGCCTGGTTCGCCCTTGAGAACTTTGCTATTGGCAAGGAGTGATGTATAGCATGCATGCAAACAGGTCCCCGTCCTTCAACCTGCTAGTACAGAAATATATATCTAGCCTTGGTGCCAATAGGAACATGTTAGGCCTCCTACTTGATCATCGACCAAAATTCGGTATTAGGAGTGTCCTATATAAAGGGATTTACTATAAAATGACGTAGTACATTCAACCTTGATTGCTTAGAACGAGGCTTTATAGCTATTGAATGGGTGCAGAGATGCAGCTATACTAGTATTGATCCAACTCCACGAAGCACTAGTACTCTCATTCAGGGATTTAATGAGTAGATATATTAATACGCTACGCTACACGTAATGTAGCAGCGTTTAAGATAGTCCTTGCGCAGTCCATGATTATTGGTTTTCCTAACTTTCATGGCGAGATCTACAGTATGTATGTTCATGGTATCTAAGATTCAGCACTAGCCAGTACCCCATGGGTATTAGCATATCTAAACTAAACTGTTGTCTGATGTGATATCACATGCCCAACTTTTCTAGCCATCTGTTAACATAAATAAATTACCAGATAAACGAACAAGCTGCTTAGCAGTTTTGTCGTATCTGCATGATTATCTTACTGAACCGCGCCCTATCATCTCGATTTGATAGATGTTTACCATTGGCTGTCAATGTCGTAGAGTAAGCTTCGAAATGATATCCTCAGCGTTGCTGCCTCCTCCAGCAGAGGTAAACAGGGGCATGTTTATTACCAATTTTCAGACAGGTTATTCTGGTTTGAGACTTCTTCTTCTTCGTCTTCTTCTACAAGCATGACTGTTTGGCATGGATATTTACCCTGTTTGTTATGTACTATTATATAGGTAAAAAATATATATATATATATATATATATATATAATTACTAGTGTTAATATCTCTGGCAATTAGACCCATTCTATGTAGAAGTATATGTTTAGTTTAGACTAAATAACATTTAAACTCAGGCAACAAACGTGGAGTTCGATTGTTAGATACCTAGCTAGGTAAGGGAGAATAACTAGCCCCAGAATTATAGGAGTGTACTCTTTTCAATAGACATGTTCCGAGTTCATCTTGAGTTTAGACTATAGTGGTTGCAACGTACAATGAAAAGGATTAGTGAAGGTAGCTTCTAGTATAAAAATCAATTATATATATAAAAGAAAACAAATATACGAAAGGCAAGCAAAAAAGGAACAAAGCAGTGAATGGTTCCTGGTAGATTGCGCACTGGGACGCGGCGATGATATCATGCCAATGGCGGGGCAAGCGAGATCCCAACACAATCTTCATTCCCCGCCAATTTCCATAGCTATCTTCTCCATCCCTCCTAATTCTCCTACGTCGATCTAGATCTCGTCGTTGAATCAACTCTATTCTAATCCCAGACCTATCGGTTGAATCAACATGTCTGCTACATACGCCTTCACAGACTCCCTACCCCTCCCAAATTCCTCGGTTCAAATTCCCCGTCTCGGTTTCGGTGTCTATCGCTCTCCGACCAGCCAATGCGTCCAGTCGTGTCTGAAGGCTCTTCAGACGGGATACCGTCACATCGACACGGCCCAGTTCTACGCAAATGAGAAGGAAGTTGGTGAGGCGATCCGGTCGTCGGGCATCCTGCGCAGCGAGATCTTCGTGACCACTAAGATCATCAGTCCGGCTGGTTCCCCCGAAGCGACCTACAAGAAGCTCGTTGACAGTGTGGACAAAATTGGTGGCAAGGATGGCTACGTTGATTTGTTCCTTATTCATAGTTCCAATTCCGGTTCGGCTGGTCGGAAGGAGCTGTGGCAGGCTCTGGAGAGACTCTTGGAGGAGGGTCGAACAAAAAGTATCGGCGTTAGTAATTTTGGAGTGAAGCACATCGAAGAAATGAAATCATACGCCAAAGTGTGGCCACCCCATGTCAATCAGATCGAGGTGAGCGCGACTACACCCATCATAACCGGGATAAATGTTGACGTTAGCCCTGCAGCTCCATCCATGGTGCCAGCAGCGGGTGATTGACTCTTACTGCAAGAAACACGGAATTATTGTCGAGTCTTATTGCCCCATAGTGCGCAACTATAAAGCAAACGATCCTACGCTCGTCGGCCTGGCGAAGAAATACGAGAAGACGACCCCACAGGTTCTGATACGCTACGCGCTGCAAAAAGGATGGGTTCCGCTGCCGAAGACGGACGATCCAGACCGAACTGTGGCCAATGCCACTGTGTTCGACTTTAATATCAGTGAGGAGGACATGGCCGTGTTGAACGCCCTGGATCAGGGTCATGCTGGAGCTATCGTGGAGGCCGTCGTTAATGAGTAAATAACCCCAATGTGGGTTGGATAGTATAGATGTACAGAGGGCGCCGTAAATATAATGCAACATTATAAATGTCTAGTATTCTGGCCTTTGCATGAGGAAAGCGTTGACCGATTGTAGTGTCGTCCGTGAAGGGTTTACGTCATATTTGGACGACACAATCCAAGCTAGACGCTGTCGGATGAATTGTTTGGTGATATTACGTTCGGTAGGCGAGGAGAAGGCCCCTGTTTGTGGTCAGTAAAGATGAGCCCTATAGTAACTGACTAATGAAGCACACACCGCTGTCATCGTAAAATAAACATAAGATGGTGAGCAGGACACCAGCGGAAAGATCTTTCCCGGATTCACACGTTACGAGCAATGATCGTGACGGATCGGCCCGTAATTGAGAATTGACAAAAGCTCGAACTTTGTCTAAATGATTTCGCAGGTCTCGACCTCCAAGCTTGGAGGACCCGCAGCCAAGATTCAGTCGCTTTGAACTGTCTTCCGAGGACTCTTGATTGGCGTTGCAGTCAATAACTAGATCGTAGGGGACTTCGCTCATACACGAATCCGTTTGACTTATGTATAAATTTTGCGTGGGCGCCACGAGTGTGGCATTTTGAGTGCTGTCCGGCTTACGATTCTCATCTACCAGCTTCTCAATGAGCCGGGGCAAGTCCTCCTCGTCAGTTTGAAAGAAGGTCGACTTGTTGGCCCAGAAGACTGGTGGTGTTAGACCATGGGCCCAGCTCTCGCTGTCGTCCCCCGCGCCCTGAATGTACCCGCCCTCTGAGATTTCCGCCCCCTGAACTCTTTTGGACGCGGAGCAGAGGACGAAAAGATTATACTCAGTTCCTTTGTGCAGATCTGTGGGATAAAAGTACGAGCGATTAGCCCAGGCGACCCGGATGGGTTTGCCCAGTTGCTGCCTGAGATGAATCAAATCTAGTTTAAGATCCTAGAGCCCGTCAGTTTACAGTTAAGGGGGCAATGAAATCCTTGAATAATGGCAAAGTTACCGTAAGCGATTTGACGAAGCCATCAATGCGTCGTTCAATTTGGGACTCCTCCGAAGCCCCTAGAAAATTTGGCGGAAACTGCACAGGGTGGTATGCGCTGTCGGAGGGGAACAGGGCTCGATTGATAACTGCACACCAGATTGGCACAGTCTTGGATAGAGCATCGGGCATCACTGGATCCTGGTGAGATGATATTGTTGTTGGAGCAAGGTCGCGGCCTAGACAACCCGATTACTTACATTTACCGCGGCGGGTGGAATCCACTATAATACAGCTGCAACGTCGATTGGAAACTACGGTTAGCCTAGGAAACGGTCTATTGACACGGTGATATGGTATTTACGAACCCTCCATGCGCCCGAGCAACTGGCAGAATCTGCAGGTTTAATCTGCGAAAGCTAAAATCCCACTGACCGGTATGCCCATCGGTGCTCTTGAAGTACGTGCTGCCCGATTTGGCGTCCGGTGGAATATACCAGCTACCGCATCTTTCATTGGCGACCAGAGGAAGGTCGTAGTGGTCAGCAACTTCCTGCGCAAAGGTGGCGTCCGTCTCGATGGAACGAAGACGGTTAGTGAGGGAGAGCGCGGAACGTCGCAGCGAGGACAGGGTCTGGGAAACCGACTGTAGCTCCGCGGACGGGAAATGAAGGGACGAGACAGTGACGGGGAAAGGATCGGAACCACCCATGTTTCTCGTGGTTGGCAGTTACTTCAGTACTACTACTAGAAGGTATTAGGTAGGATGTCCTGCCACTGGTCACCGGTAAATCATGGGTGTCGGGTTAATGAGGCCGGGGAATGGCCGAATCCACCGCCTAAGGAGAATGTCGGGGAAAACGAAAGAACAACGGCAGGGTTTGATCAGGTCAGACCTGGTCAGGTAGCGAGTTCTGCGACCTGCGGAATAACTTCGAATATCGGGATCAACAGAAGAGGTAGAAGAATCAATCCATGACGGGGGAAAAAAAAAAAAAAAAGAGAGGGGTGGATCGGCCAATGATTGTGGACATGGCCCCACCAACCCTTGCCCACGGACCTCTTCCAACAATCGAACAAACCGGAGGGCAGGAGATGGCCACGCGCAGGCTTAGGAGTCCGAGTGCAGTACGGTGGTAGTCAGGTAGGTTCCATGCATGTTTTGTCTGTAGCATTTACTCACGAAGTATTCACTGGTTTGTATGTGACTACGAGGTTCGGGAGTCAAAAACATAAGATATCCACAGAATACTGGCATCGTATATAGTAGATTCTAGCAGATACTAGGGCTAGTGGGGCTGTCCATACTCCACAACTTACTCCATAGTACAGAGTCATTTGGGTATTCCGGAGCACATGGAGGTGCTCATGTCAGATCTAGCCCTCCGATGGATGTCTTGCAGGTGCCTATCTACTTCGTAAAGTGACGGTACAAGGTAAATATAGACAAATAGATTGGGAGAAATTCCCTTGCCTGAGAGGGATAATTCGATAACAAACTGGTCTATTTCTGTTTATCCGCCATATGAACTGGTACTAATGTGTGTGCTATGGCTCATTTGGATACCTAGTGAATTATAAATTTGCTTTTGGACAGCTGTCACTGACATAGTATTGTTAAATAACTTTTAACAAGGGAATAGAGGGGTTTACAGTATATAGAATTAATTAAATAAACAGACCCCTGTAATTATAGGGATGGATTCACAAAAGAAGAGACAAGACAATAAATTCTACCAGCGAGAGGCTTACCCAAACAGGGTATGGCAGCGGATGCTTGCCACACCGGGACTAGTGCCTCTTCCAGCCACTAAAGACCACCGTTTTGGTGGGGCATCGGCCAGTCGCAAACGCCACCGTATGACCTCAGGACCCGCTCTTGCCGGCCTGTTATGGTTTGGATGGAATTGGAATTGGGTTGCCCATTTTGAATCACCGGGGACTAGCGTCATTGTGGATTCCCTGAGGATTGGTTCCTGCCGAACTACTTAAGAACATTCATTCCCTATGCTTCGTTCTGGAATTGAAATCACTTATCCCAGAACTGCCGTCTTTGAACCTCTTCCCTCTACCGCCCACCAATTTCAACTCCCTACTACACCCAAGATCTAGAAGAGACCCCACCATCATGCCCAAAGTTTGTACCCTCATTACCCCAGGAATCATACACAAACTAACTAGTCTCTTCTATAGATCACCGAAATCTTCTTTGACTGCGACAATACCCTTGTCCTCTCGGAAGAGTTGGCCTTTGAGGCGTGCGCCGATCTCGCCAACGAGATCTTGGAAAAGCGCAACATCGCGGACCGCTACACTGGGGAGCAGCTCATCCAGGACTTTGTGGGCCAGAACTTCCGAGGAATGATGATCTCACTTCAGGCGAAATACAACTTCGAGATGCCCAAAGAGGAACTCGAGGAATACGTCACCAAGGAGGAGGACAAGGTCATTGCCAAGCTGGTCGCCAAGGCCCAGCCATGTGTTGGCGCCACCGAAGAATTGGAGAAGCTGTTCGAGGCCAAGAAGTACGATCTGGCAGTGGTCTCCTCGTCCGCTCTTCGTCGCGTCGTGGCTTCCATCAAGAAGGTGGGTCAGGACAAGTTCTTTGATCAGGACAAGGTGTTCAGTGCTGCCACTTCGCTCCCGAAACCGACTTCCAAACCTGATCCGGCCATCTATCTTCATGCGCTAGAGGTTTGCAAGAAGACCGCCGAAGAGGTGGTTGCCGTTGAGGATAGCAAGTCCGGGGCTCTCAGTGCTATCCGTGCTGGTATCTCGGTCATCGGCTACGTTGGCAGCTACCATGGCGACGAGAAAAAGTTCGAAATGGCCAAGTATCTGAAGGAACTGGGGGCTAAGGTGATTATGAAGGATTGGTCCGAGTTCCAACGGTGTCTCTCTGAAATCGAGGCCGCATAAATGCTACCATTTATCATTTTCTTTTTTCACACGAGTTATGACAGCAAGCGCAGGTCGTTATGGAGCCATGGGTTTTAATTACTTTTAATTTCGGTTGTCGAATACCTTGACTACACCGGTCGGTCCCATGATATCATCTTCATGACTGCAGACTAGAGGGTTCGATTCTCAGTCAATTTTTTTCTTTCAATCCTCAAAATCTTTGCAAAAGGGAATGTGCATAATAAAATTTTTTTGCAGCATAGACTAGTCTTAAAGAGAAGATACTGTCGGGTGTCTATAGCTGATACAATAAACATTCATTCAGATTCCATACTGGTAACTGTAGGTAAAAACTAGTAAAGTAGATCGTGAGTCAATAGCCTGGGAGCTCCCTGCATCCTGTCCTGTATAGAGACCTAACCGTGCCCAACCTACCCAGCAAATCATATTAATCTCCCCACTTATTATATCCCCGGGTAAGTTTCGTAGTTGACAAAGATAGGCTAGTACAAGGGATCGTCTCTGGAATTGTTGTTTGGGAAGACACGTCGTCCTTCCGGGATGTTTACGAGAGATTGTGCAGGATGTCTAATCCCAGGGTTATTTCTGGGGTCTTGAGCACATGTCTGCTGCGTTGGAGAGGGTGGTGTCGAGTCCGTAGAGGTAGATCTTGCATCGGGCTTGGATGGGGTCGGTTAGATCGTAGGATAAAATGTGATTTCGATGTCTAGTGGGGGGGGAGGGGGTATTATTATTATTGGTGGTAGTTGTAGCGGTGGAGGGAGTGTGATTGCGGGAGTGGAGGTGCTCTTCGACGAGGGAAATCGGTTGGTTGAAGGGACTTCGTAGAGGATTCGGGGATAGAAGAGAATGTATATTGGGAGGGAACGGAGTGGGCTACGACGCATTTTGCGGCCGGGATGAAGTACAGCTGGACGGTGGTCGAGTCGTCGACAAGGTCGAGAGCGATGAGAGTTTGAGTTCGCATAGGAAGCATGTCTTCGAGACCGGGAGTGTTTTATAGGGTTTGTTGTTCCGTGACGCTGAGACATAGGTTATTGACGAGCTCGTGGTACTGATCCAGGTTGACATCCCAGCCGAACTTTTGCAGCTTGTTCAGGGACTTTTCGATAGCTAATTGCTTGAACTGGTTGAATTGATCATGGCAAGTGCCGCTGGTGTAGTTGATCGGCTCGAAGGCAATGCGGACAGCGGATTCGACCGTTGAAATTTCTGGCTAAACTCGAGGGTGCGACCTGCTCTGATGACAGGCTTGTATCGTCCTGGGGGTTGCGCCTTGGGAACTGTGCCCAGCAATGGAATGATATAGTGGGCAAGAGGGCTAGGTATTAACATTGTTGGTGGATGGATTAGTTGTCGTTGACCAACATCTTGCCGAGCAAGGGAGCAGAGATATACCACCAGTCATGCTGGACTTGGGCTGAGAACATACACCGAAGGGGAGGAGGAACAAGAGACAGTAGGCTTTTGTGTCGCGCTGATATCTGGTGTCCAAATTGACAAGCCGGTGGGATTAAACCGATCGATAGCCTTTGGTCTGTATATTCTTCAAGCAGTAAGGACTCCGAAAGCTGAGACTGGGATAGATGATAAAGAAATACTTCAATGTATGAGCTCTATGGCAAAATGGAAAAACCTGAATTCTGATTCTAGAGACAATTGGAGTATAGTGAGACGGTCAGCGCACCGGCCCGACGAGTCAGTATCAGCTGAGATCGAATGCAGGCCAGGAATTAAGCATATGGTCATAAGGTACAAGCATGTATCCGTCAACCTGTGCATTGATGTTGCCTTTTTCTTCGGTAGGACAACAAGGATGGCATGCAATCCCTCCCATGTTGTATTTGGTCTGATGCATCTGGCGCTAGGGTCCAGCGATGCTCCGGAATGATTGGGCAGTGTCGCTAGATTGACAGATACACAGTACATTTTTAAGAGTCCACAGCATGGCCAAAACCACCTAGACCCAAACTTTTTCATCAGAATCCTTCATCTAGCGAATCTTCTAAAGCGATAAAACACTAATTATACAACCAGAGGTACCTGGATGGGTACGATAAGATAAGGGCTAGCCCTCGTGCCCCTCACCGCCACGCTGACGACGTGAATCTACCTGACACTGTTTAGAAGACTGGCTGGACCACGAATTGTTGTCCTTACCTTAGACTCTATTTGAAGCGATTTACAGTAATCCTAGAGTGGATTCTTCACCTAAAATGCCAGACCAAAAACCTGCATCCACGTTGTTGTCGAGGGGCCCGTTGGTATGTTCATCATTGATCTTGCTCAGGATTGCTTAGGATGGATGAGTCTTCCATTCCTCCATATTCATCACTATTTATAACACCTGGTCATTAGGACCCCAAAGAAGCCAAATGGACTAGACTGGTCAAGACCACTTATTGTGATCCAATGGGGGTGGAACGAACATGGGAGTCGGCGGAGCGACAGGTGAGATTGCTCTTTTGTCCCACTGTGTCTGTTGGCATTGTGTCACAGCTCGCAGCAAACAACCATCAATAGTACGACCTTTATATGGAACATTGTCTAGAATATGCCTGCTGATTCATCTGCTGCATAGACTCGGCCTCCAAACTGCGAGATTGACGGCGTGGGGATTGTCACCATTCTGAACAAGTCTACAGGCCCTGAACTTCTCCTGCAGAAACAATACAGACCGCCCATTGATAAGGTAGTCATCGAGGTGCCGGCTGGCCTCATCGATGCCGGAGAGACAGTCGAGGAATGCGCCGTGCGCGAGCTGAAAGAGGAAACAGGCTACGTGGGAGTCGCAGAGCAGACAAGTAGTGTCATGTATAACGGTATGTGACGGCGATTCAGTTGTGTTTACCTGTGATGCCAGGCTCGACTGTTGATTTAAACTCACTAACCTGAAATTGTGAATAGATCCCGGGTTCTGCAACACTAATCTCAACATGGTTCACGTGCGGGTGGACATGTCGCTGCCCGAGAACCAGAACCCCAAGCCAGAGCTCGAGGACAACGAATTCATCGAGTGCTTTAGCGTCCCTCTTGCTTCTCTATTCGATGAAATGAAGAAGCTAGAGGCGCAAGGGTATGCCATTGATGCTCGCGTGGGAACCATTGCCGAGGGGATTGATCTAGCGAAGAAGTGGAAGCTATAAATGTCTCCTTGTCAATATTGCAGTCCCGGACTTTTGTGTCCTAGCTGATCCATCGTCATGTTCATAGACAGTTTATTACGCAACAGGTTAGAATCTTTCATGCCACCGTTTCTCCCTGGCTACTAATGGCATGGAGAGAGCAGAGCGTATGTTGCCGAATTCAGATGCGCCCCTCTTCTTTCAGCCCCCTATACAGTGCCCAGGCGGCAAGGGACTTTCCATCCCGCAATCCTTCCTTCCAGAGCTCCTTCATCGACACTACCTTCAACGTGATCTTCTCCCCCCTTCTCCCGTAGACCTGTCAGCCGTCCTTGCATTGCGTCGATTTCTCTGCGCGGCATCCGCTTCTGACACAAAAACAAGGGAATGAACTCGTCACAGCCGCCGGGTGAGGGATACACAGCCTCCTGCAATATTTCACTATCTGCCGACCGGGCGATCGACTGGGCTGCCAGCGACGTCATGTCTACGAGCTCATGATGGGAAATTATCAGACCCGTCTCTTCCTGGATTTCCTTCGCTGCACCTCCGACAAAAGAACCACTGTCGTCGAGCATCCCCGCCGGAATTTCGGAAAAGGCAAGGGAACCGGCGGGAATCCGAGGTTGGATGGTCAGAATGGCTCTTTTTTCTTCCTCCGCCGATGGGGGTACATCGTCGGGTTGCAGTACGAGCTACCCTACCTTAGTACCCTGTTGGAAAAAATAAAAAAATAAAAAACAATAATCAAAATAAAAGGAAAAGAGGGGAGTGAGACTTACCAGCATTCCGACACTACCACCCCGCAGAAAGACGCTCCCCGGAAGAGATTCCCCGCTTGCATTAGACACCTCTGCCTTTAGCTTCACGAATCCCAGACGTCCACCTTTGAAGTAATCGACGGCTTGGACGACGATTTTGCGTAATACGTAGGGATCCTTATAAAACTCGTGCGAGTACTGACGCTGTCGCTCTAACGAGCGCTGTAAGGTGGACAGCCAGACTTGAAAGGCCGGAAACCGCCAAAGGTCCTCCCTATTTAGAGGGCCCGTGATGGGGAAGCCTTTAGGGACACTCGACATGGGACTCACTCTTGATCTCGTAGCCACCGGAATTGATAAGAGAGGCCGAATACACCGTACAGACCGCCACGAACGACTCATAGATGTCTAGCAGAGAGTATAGAGAGAGTATGGAGTGCTATTGTAAGTATAATAATAACTGAGCGGCGGGATAGCCTGATCGGGCAGCTGAGTCAGCGCCCGATCGGGGGTTATCCCATCGTGAGATTCATCCCCGACCATTAATGGCATCGTCCTCGCATCCCCTGCGTGGGCCTCGGGGATGTCTCCTAAATCGAGGGGTATCTCCATGCCTCAAAACCTCGTTGTAGCGAGAAGGATCGAATCAGATTGACGATGTCCCGCTTTGGACACGACATCCACTGCATCCACGGTCCCTCTCCCTTTTTTCGTCGCTTGGATCAATCTGGAGCTTCCATAGGGATCGCTCGTTTTTCCCTTTCCGGTTATTCGTCCTCCTCGCTCGTTGGCGGTATTCCATTGCAGGCTGACCTGTTGGGCTGAGCCTGGCAACCAACGTTGTGTCAAACGTCACTTCCTGGCGAGCAGTCATGGAATAAGAGGAACAAGGCACCTAGCACTGACTGATCCCCAAGCCCTATCTAGTCTCATCCGGGGATTTATCTCCGGAGGATCTGGGTCTGGCTACTGGGTCGAACAACCTCGTGGACGAGGACGTCTTAATAGTGGCCTGCTCCTCCTAGATTGGACCCTGGGCTTCCCTTTATTTACAACTTATGTTGCTTCTTCTGATTTGTGACTGCTACTGTTACCCGAGGAGTTATGGTTTAACAGCTCATCCCGGGCCCTATCCAGACTTCCGAATCCAGTAATAGCTTCAAATCATGTTCCTCCCGTCGAATTCATTCATCTAATTTGGTTGTGCCAGTAGCCATGTTTGGAGTTGCCATCATCTGATCTGGATCTTCCACTCGTGTCTCCAACAGATTTGGAGTCTTTTTTACGTACACAGTCGTGAATTTCAATCTACTACTTCCTACTCGCTCATTGTATAAGGCTATCCAAATACATTCTATCTTTCCCTACTCTTCGCGGATCTTGCCGCTGCATGTGAGTGTCTGTGCGTTTTTAAATTTTAATTATTTATTGCTATTATTAATTGTTTTGTGAATCGCTACATCCATCCGCTCAGTGCATTCATCTCTTTGATCTTTTCGCTAGCGTATTCCGTTCTAGAGTGACCTCGTGGTGATCTAGGCGTGAGCAACTTACAACCTGCTTAACGCTGATACGCCAGTTTGTTAATCTGATCCCTTCACGGTTTCTTCGCAGTTTCTTCACGGCGAGCGTGAGCCTGTTGGATCCTGTTGATATCTGTATTCCCTAAAATCTCAGAGTATATGAGCTCGCTCCGTTCTCCTGTCTCTTTCTCTGTCCTCTTTCACCCACCAACCTTTTCCTTTCTCTCTCCAACGTACATCCTCTGCTGCTATTATCTCATTTTGACAACTTGTTCGCTTTGTAAGAAGACTTTACATTTTCTCATCTAATCCACGGCAATCTGCTTACAAGCAAGACCTGCTAATGTCTCACTCCATTGCTTCTGAAGACTCTGGGAACGTGCCACATATTTCTGACACCCCCATCGGACTTGTGCCTCAGACCTCAGGAAGCAGATCTGTGGTTACTGCTTCCGACTTGGAAAACGCCATGGAACCTAATGGCCACGGCCTTGTGGGTAATAGCTCCCCTGGACTTGCTCTCGATTTCCCTCAGCCTGCTGCTCATGCCCACGGTCAGTATCCCTCCCTTGAGCTTAGACATCGACATCACTGACAAATGGGTAGACAATCAGAACAGGATTGTCTTTGGTAATTTGGCAGTCAATAGCCAGCCTATTATCCCCCGGCCGTATGAACTGCCCCCTGATGTATCTTTGACTGTAAACAACGAAGCTTCTCGCAACATGCTCGCCCCCTTTCGTGGGCCTCCGAACGTGCCAGATGGCGAGCAGAGCCGAAATGCGCATGTCTTGGTTCAGTGGCCAAGTGCCTCTCCAACCTCCCATGCTACTGCACTGCCCGCCATGAACGAGGACCCTTTGCATTCGTACCCTCATCATATGGCTCATCAGCACCTGGCCTATATACATATGGTCCATCAGCATGCTGCAGCTCAAGAGCAGGCTTACCGGCATGCAGTTCAACAACAAACGGCCCAGCTTCACATGGCACAAAACCACGTCTCCCACCAGCATCTAGCACTTGGTTTTACCTATCCGATGCCGAATGTGCAACCTCATGGCGCCATGGGGCCACAGTTTCAGATCGTTGCGCAGCCGCCGACCCTCGACCAGCTCGTCCCTCCGGGTCCCTCTCGAGTAGCCACCGGCGCCGTCAACCTTGAGCAATCTACCACTCGACTCCGTTCTCCGTTTAATGCACCGTCGGCCACAGCTGTTCACCAGCGGCGAATTCGTGCCATGACCAATGGGCGGGGCGGACACACTCCTGGGCCACATGCTGATTTTCGCAGTGGGGTGAATGCGCAGACACGCAACCAGCCGCCCAACGTGTCCCTCCCCACGGGAGCAGGATCTGGTCCCTCCAACCCGATACAGAATGACGTCGCCGCCGCGACCCGGAGCATGCTCAACGGACCTCACCAAGGCCTACCTAATCACCTCGAAGATCCCCGGGCGGCAGGGACACCTCCGAATCTTGCCAATACCAACCCACCGCGTCGCCCGGAATCCCCTCAGGGCCTCGACCGTATGGAGGGACGCCCCGAGTCGAAGGAGAACGAGGACCTGACCCTTAGCATGGAGTGTAAAATTTGCATGACTCAAATTGTGGACACGGCTTTATTCCCATGTGGCCATGCGGCCTTTTGCCGTTGGTGTGCTGAGCAGTGCATCCCTTCATTTCCTCACGATCCGACTCGCCCTAGAGAACCTTCCTCATGCCCCTTGTGCCGTAGCGTTGTCCGACAGAAGGTAGAATTTTTGATCCAGCTGGGCATGAACTGTATTAACGATGATAGGTCCGCATCTACCTGGGTTAGTAGCGTCGGCGCAGCTTTTCAAAGGTCATGTCATGGCATTGTGTCTAACTGGATACTTTTTTCGCGATACTTGGGAATCCAGATAGTCGCTGTTGATTTCATCTGAGAGATGATTGGTTCTGTGTGGTCGCATCTTATGCATTGTGGTTAGGATTTGGTTTGGCGTTGTTGATGGGTGATGGTTCTATGAAACAAGGACTGTCATGGTTGATGAACTACCGGGTGATGTCTTTCCATCTGTTGTACTTAATCTCCATGGATGAGGGACCAGGATGGACTGAACGAAGCTGGGACATCATCTGGAATGAACCTGGCACTGTACGAACTTTTCTAGTACCTCCAGCGGAGTTCAAAGAAAACCTCTATTATACTCATAGCACTGACCTCAAATCGTCACTGCTATCGTGGTTCTAATTTGCCACTCTCCGACAGGAAATAACCTCATGTCTGCTCTATTGAAACAGCTTCTCATATACGCCTCTCTTGGCAACCAGGAGAGCAGAGCAGCGTAGTTGTTCTTCATAGATGATATATTCTTCCATATATTGCTGACAACAGCTTCTAACGCATACACTCATCCAAGGCGTATTTTCCGCCCATTAACACAGGCAATCGCTGCGCAATACTACGCGAATACTATGTCAATGGAGAATAATAATACGACCACTTTACCTAAATCGTGCGAAAAAATCTCATCTCCTTTAGGTAAAGTCTATGAAGTAGGGAAAAGCATACAGTAATCTAACAAGAAATTATGTGTAATTTTAGGTATAATGTTCGTCCACGGCGAAGTACAATTACCACAATTGCAATAAGAAAATTAAAACTAAAGAGAACCAAATAGGATATCCATTTCTCCGAACCACATACGGTATAATTGGTGTGGGGTGAGAGTTCTAACTGGATGACTGTGGTTGGAGGGATGTTGATTCTTGGGAGTGTTGTTACAGCAGCGATAATCAATAAAAAACAAGGCAGCACGTAGGCATGGGTCAAGGAACGAGGTTTGTGATAAAGAGGAAGCCGAGATAATAATTACAAAAATCAATGGCGGGGCACATATTGGTCATTATCAGCCTAAGAATACAAACCCTTGCCTAAATAAGGTAACTGATCTTATTACTTTTGTTGTTTGTTGTTATTGTTCTCATTGTTGTTGTCTCTAAATCTAGGCCCACCAGGGATAATGTTCAGCCCACGTTTACCTACCAATCTTCTTTCTTACTTCTTTTCATTTCTTGTTTCTCTTGCATAAAAGATCAATCTTTCATTGCCCTCTTTGAAACCAACGGACTGGACGCATTCACTCTAGTGTATTTGTGGGCGTCGATACATGCTTGTCTCGACTTCGGGACGGCCGGTTGTACTCGCCGGATCATCACGGATTCATAGTCATTGATTATGTCTTCTAATTCTTGAGTACTCTCACTCTTCTTGGTAGAAGTCAGGAGGTTAATGGATACAGAGACATCAATATCTCCGTGGTTAGCCGCTTCCCCTCGAACTGTTCGGGAAGGGATTCCCATTAGATGGGATTCAGGATAGGAGATTCCCATTCCCACTTACGTAGAAATCCGGCCCCGTTTCCCGTCCCATATCCCATATGGGAATTTTCCTTGGGGATTAAGGTTAGAAAGGGAAATTCCCTACCGGAAGTAAATTATAGAAGGAAATTCCCACCTCGTGCCAAGACCTTCGGGAAGAGATTCTCAGTAGACGGGATTCGGAATGGGATATTCCCTTTCCCCTATTTTTCAAAAAAAAAAAATATCCCGACGGGAAGGGAATCCCATCCCGATTTCCCATGGGAAAATCCCTTCCCAACGGTCAGCCTAGGACTCTTTATAGCACGCCAGGAACAGTCCAAGGCTGCACTAGAACGTATCGGGAAGCCATACCGTAAACAGTAAATTCTCCGGTCCTCGCTATACTATTGAAAAAAAGGGGGTCTGCTCTGGCAGGAATTTATGATTTAATTTAGGGATTGGACAGGAAAATGTTAAGATAGAAATAGAAAAAGGAGAAAAGAGAAAAGCTACTTCTGCCCATGAAGAAGGATATTTTTAGCATTGCTTCGGTTGTAGGTTAAAAGCAGAAAACATGGGATTAAAGCGGCGGTTCACTACTAGAAATAACAGGTAGAAATACAGCTAGCTGTACGAAGTAAAGGGGAGCTATTATCCGCATCAATTTCAGAAATTCTCGCATTCAATTGATAATAATATTATTCAAGTTAAGCCTTGCCAAGTCAAAATGGGGCCAAGTCGGCCGGCCAGTAGTAGCTTGGTGTCCCACGGCTGCCTGTCCGTTAGGGGCTTCAACCTCTATTCCTGAACACTTGACCCCTCTTATTCACCTGTATCCTGCCAGAAAGATGTCTGAGTTGAGCTCCGTATCTACCCATGTTTAATATTATTAACAAGCGTGCTTTAGCTATACCGTTAAATATGGGAAATACAGGATTTCCGAGCAAGGCCTGTCATACTTGTCGCCGTCGGCGAGTCAAGGTGCGCCCATCACAAAGCAATCATAACTGCTGCTAACACGCTATAAGTGTGACTTTCGTCGCCCTGGTTGCATGCGCTGTGATAAAATTGGCCAACTATGTCCAGGATATAAATCCTCGGATAGCTCAGCTAGTTGCTTTCGGATTATGACACCGGCAACCTACCGCAGTCCAAGGCGACTGCGTTACCATCATAAGTTAGTAAAAAATGAGAAAGAGGATCAGAACCACAGAGCACTAGAGCGAAAATATTTGACTTGTCAACCCGGGCCATTGCCCCTTTATAAAGAACTGACGGAACAATGGCAAACACATGTTGTGCCGCTAATTGTGAGCCAGTTCTCGGTCACCACCTCTCGGGGCGCTCGTGTGTACGAAACATTCGAATTTCTGCCAGAACTTCTTGGCACTGCTGATTGTCAATCGGCCCTCAGTCACGCTTGCGACGCGATTGTGTCGGCCTATTTTGCAAACCGAGCCCGATCCAGCAGTCTTGTGCTGAGCCATCGAAAGCTATATAGCAAGGCTCTATGTTCTCTCTCCCAGGAACTCGCAAATCCCGAAACACAGAAACAGGACTGTACATTACTAGCCGTCTGGGCTCTCAGTTTATATGAGGTGAGATGTCCTGCACAATCATAACAGTCTTGTTGTCCCGTTTACAAATTCAATCTCTCCTATAGCTCATCGTAGGGACGCCGACCGGAGAATCTCAGCTCCGCCCCCAGGGTTGGAATACGCATTGTCGGGCTATGATTGGGCTCCTGCGATCAAGAGGCCAGGGGCAATTCGACTCCAAAAGAGGGCGCCATTTATTCCAGCTGGCTTACCATAGCGCTGTATGTTCTCCGTTACAGATTCCCTCCAACACCGCCTCCTCATGCTGACATGCCGGGGCCTAGCAAATCCAATTAATACAGGCAGGCGAATCGCCTCCGCCAGAAGCAACCGCATGGTTGAAATCAATGCAAATGTCGTCGACTGCGGAGAAACTCATTTTCAATCCGGCGCTCCTGTACAGCGATCTGGCTTCCCGAATCTGCAATACAATCCAAACTTTGATGACCGAAAGCTCACGCGAAAAGATATTTTTCGACATAATCGACATAGCTGGGGCCTACAATAATTTGAAATCTTCAATAGAAGGGCTATTTAATCAGCGCACGGCCTTGTGGTTCGGATCAAACGAATCAGATGATTTAGTGACTGGGAGAAGCACTACATGGTTAATGGAACAACATGCCCAAAATTACCTCGATGCCTGTCTCCTTCGGGTCCTTCTTGGCATTTTGGAACTGCTGTCTGAGACAAGCAGAGTTGACCTATCAGTTCACCAACGACGTGAGATCTTGCGTTTACGACAATCTATAGTCGCCAACCTCCGGGCCCTAGCAGAGCGCATCCTGGGAACTCTACCACTTCTCATGCCTGTTTCTCCACCCGGGCATTTGAACCAAGGTTCCGGCATTCTTCTCACATGGGGACATGCTTTTAAGCTTCTGTGGCCGTTAAAATTAATTTCATCCTCTCCTATTCTGCTTGGACGGCATCGTGCCGCTGCCAACTCTGGCTTACGTCGACTGGGATACGAGTCAGGGATAATGCTGGCGGTGGAGACATAATATGCTATAACGAAGCATTTATAATGTGCCACGGCCTGTATATAACAAGGTTTGCTTCGTAGGGGTGCGACAAGGTAGGAGCGATCCATTATACAAACGAACATAAGGTACATGTTGCCGTCTCTCAGGCACGATAAAGAAACCACCAACACCGTCTCATCTATGTGACAACTATACAACATCAATCGACCATAATCATGCCTAGGTAATGCTATATCGAATTCTCAAAAACATCAGCGAGCCAGTCCAGGGTCGCCATTGCCAGCTGTGGCTCAGCCCCCATAGAGCAGTGATCTCCTGCTCCGAACTTTGTCTTGAACAGATGGTAATATGCCTTATCACCAAGCATGCGAGCCATCATCTCTGGCTGGCCTGGTGCAAGACCATCATCCTGGCCTGAGGCAACAAAAACTGGACACGTAATGTTATCCAGCATCTCATGGGTAACGGTCATCTGACCCATTTTGTTCAGCCACTCAAAAGGGCTGGAGGTGTTGAATGACCATAGCCCCTGATCAAGCCCCCACTTGAATTCCGTGAGGGTATCGGGTTGGTTGTACCCTTCCCACATTGCTGCATCAAATGCAGTTGCATTCCCACTCTTATACAACTCGACTAGCTCAGTTGGAAATTTCTGCAAAGTCGCTGCCTGAAGACTCAGCATTCCATCCATGACTATAACGGCAGCAAGACGGTTCTCGCGACTTGCTGCCAATGGGGCTAACTGGCCCCCAAACGAAATGCCCCCAAGTGCGATCCGGTTGACGTCGACATCATCTCGAGCTCTCAGCCATTCCACTACGGGAGTCACAGCCTGCCACCACTCTGGGATGAAGCCGATGTTTTGTTCACGACGTACAGTTACTTGACCAGGCCCCTCGTAGGTGACAAAATTCCACCCACGCGCAAGGACTTCGTGGCCTATGGAATGATAAACGTCCTGCTGGGCTCCATCATACCCGCTGCCGATAAGCACGGTAGGACGTCGGCTATCCTTGCCATTAGTCCTGTTGGAATGACCCTGTCTCGGCGCTGGGTGGAAATAGACGGGAATGTTAAACTGTCCGCCGTCGAGCGCGACCTTCTCCGGAGGGTTCGGCAGCAGCTTCATTGCAGTATCATAGTTCTCGAGCATGGAAGACCAGAGGGTGAGGATTCGAGGGTCAGAAGCGTTGCCGTGCAGGAAGAAGTCAGCGGCGCGATAGTATGATGCAGCACGCAGATGAGCCTGGCGCGCAGAGACGGGAAATCTCTGTGGGTTGGCAGAAGCAGCCTGTTCGGCGATTTCGTCCGCAAGGAACTTGAACTCCGAGTAGAAACTTTCGAAGTCACCGGGGCGGATCTGTGAGGCGGCACGAAGGATTTCCCCAGTGGCTGCCCCGCCACCGTTGCTAAGGGAGAGGAAAGTTTCCAAGACAAAGGCGAACTCTGGGTCGCTGCTGAGCTGGTACATGGATGTGGTCGAGTTTTTTATGGTCACATCGGGGATAGCTCTGTGAGCAGTCTATTTTCCTTCTTATCAGTGCATATTGGCCAACAGCGTTGATCTGGGCTTCACCTTACCGCGAGTGCGAATAGAGTCCCAATGCAGACAACTGGACGGAAATGCATTGTGGCAGGAGAGTTTGGCAATCGCAATAAAGGGAACTCGTATAAGGATAATATTTCGTAGTTAATGGTTCGAAGTTCGATATGACGGGTGGCAGGGAGGGTCTGATTTAAATATTTTTCAGTGAGCCTCGTTATTGCTTCAAGGCCACAGAATAATACCAGTCTACTACACCAACTGCTCCCAATTTTTTCTGCTACCGGTAAGGCTGCTAGTATGGGCCATTCTTACTCCATTTGGAAACCGGTGCGAAGTCTTTGGCGGAAGCCAGCCTTTGTATTTATTTTTATAATGAAACCATCATCCTCTGACGCTATATCATTTCTCCCTCTGGAAGCCCATGCGAGACTAAGATTGCCCTGCCAGCTGGAAGTGGCGATGCAATTCGCAGAAATCCACAAAAGTAAGCAATATCCTGAGCCTTACCGATTGTGGAAATTCCATTCGAGCCTAGTCCGTTTCAGGATTCATGTGCTGCAGCCTGAGAACTGTCAGATATTCGGCTAGTCCCGAAGAGAAAATAGAGTACGATTGGTAAAAAGGCCTTATTTCAATGATTTGAGCTGGTTGGGCACTCTTGATTATATTGATCTCACTATTTTTCGTTGTGTGCCCAGCAGGGGTTTTACGCCAATCTAGTCACATGATTCCGGTCCACCAACGGCCCCATTATTCAAGAACTATGAAGAATACCGCGCCAAAGATCCGAAGAGAATGGTGATGTTTTTGATAGCTTCTATTGCCAGGACAGAGCCCTCCTAAACAGTGGCTTCCCATACCCGAAGTACTGGCATTTCTCATGTCCTAAACTGCCTTCGGGCAGATTTATAAGACATCATTCCACATATATGATGTGATGGCTGGCAGGCGGAGAGTCTGTTCCCAAGAGACTTCGCGTCTCAACAGATCCTCAAGCCAAGGCCAGTTACCAATTTGCTCCACGATTAATGTAGACCGTCCAACCCACTCAAAGGCTAACTTGGAAGCCCAGATATCCTCCAGGACAAGCATAGTTGCCTTGATGTTTCCAAAAAACAGCCACTATGAAGCTCATTCATCGTATTCCGTATAAATTCCTGGTCCATTGGGGAAACAGCATTTGCTATATCTGCAGAAGCAGATCGAATAGAAGCCCACAGGGGCCGTTAGCTTTCATGTGAAGAAGATTTTGCTCGCAGCGAGAGCAATAAGACGTCAGATTTAGCGAAAGAGATCCGGTACTGTGTGTAGTCATGCTAAATATTTATTTTTCAAAAATAATATATATGTATAATTATGCTTGCCTGGTAATTTGAAGCAAAAGGGGGCAATCCACCTTATAATTACTTCTGGGATTCGGCTTTCTCGCAGTCGCCGGAGTAGCACCTCGTAAGCTACACTATTATATATACTTTGACGGCGAAGCTAACTAGGCTAAGAACCTTTCCTACTCTCCACGTGTTATATGTGCTCCCCACCGACGCTTAGTGCTTGTTCACAGGATCGCTGCCTTCGCCCTCCGAAGTGGTTGGTCAGTCGGGAGCAGTTGGTATTTTTTCCTTAAGAGAGCCTGGTTGCAAGAGCCACCTATAGTGCTTTTCCCAGTGCGGATAGCAGTGAGATCGGACGATATATATTTAGCTACTATGGATCTTTATTTGGCTTGTGTAGTATAATAATGTTTGCAATTTTTTACTCTGCTGGGATATATCTCAGTCGGATGATGCCTTAAAAATCCTAAATATTTATTGCGCCACTACCACTACTACTACTACTACTACCACCAAGTAGGTGTGATATCCCTATCCTTTAAATTAGTCGTCAAGACCCCCTTTTTTCCTGCTTGAGTACAAAGCGCTTCCTTACCAATTCCTGTCACGTAAGGGAAGCTCCCCTTTTAATCCACTGGAGTTGTAGCCTGTTGAAGGCAGTGGCCTCTAATCCCTGGGGGTACGTCAGTGCATGGTAATGTATTTATTCGCTCGCCTCCATGGTGGACTGTGTCTTCCTGGGGTTCATCATCCAGGCTAGCAGCCAACTACAGAGGTAGGCTGTCTTTGCTGGGTGCCATCTGGGTAGATATGGTGCCGGCCCCAGGATTCGGACGTGCTATCTCTAGGGCACGGTAGCCGATACAGACATGCCTCCCCAAACAGTCTGCTATCAACTAATGTAGCCTAGGGCCCTTCCAGGGGCGCTCTACCATTGCGCCACCCAGTTGGCGATCAACGATATTCCGAGAGCTAAATTAAAGCTTTCTAGGTAGCTAGGTAGGTAGGGAAGTAGTAAATTAATTACCATACACTACATACAGTATGTAAGTTATATGTAATGTAAGATCTCCGTAGCAATACGTCCTGACAAGGGTCCCAACTCTACCTAGGTTGTTTGTACTGAGCAGTGTCTGTAAAGTCCACCATCATTCCCCGTTCTTTCTTTCCTTTCCCAACACTCTCTGTGCCGTAAGAACCAATCCATCCAGCATGGCGGCGTCCATCCCAAGAAATGTGATGCTGATACAGAAGGGTCAGTCATTTTTTGTTTGTCCGCTCAGCTCATGGGTCCCGACTGAGGCCGTTTCCCTGACCATTTTTGTCATATCAGCTGACATACAGACCATCACCAGCGTCAATGTTAGGTCTGCGCCGTGGGACAGCATTCGCTTCTATCGCTCCTGTCACGGCCATGGCGTGGCAGCAAGTCAGGTATGAACGAGATGCACATCTTTTTTTTTGGTCTCGCAGCCGTTGGTATTGACGGACTCCAGGATGCAGACCACCAAGCCAACACTGAAAGTGATCAAGCCGGAATCCGCCCAGCAAGAACTTGCTCGCCAACGCCTCCGGCGTCCTGTGTCGCCTCATCTGGCCATCTATAAATGGCAGGTGCACTCGATCAGCTCCGCCATGGAGCGAAACACCGGACTCCTCCTCGCCGGTGGCCTGTATCTCTTTGGGACCTCCTATCTGGTGGGTCCGTGGCTCGGCTGGGATGTGTCTTCTGCTGCACTCGTCACAGCATTTGGAGCACTGCCTTTGGCCGCCAAGGTCGTCATCAAGTTCTGCGTCGCCTGGCCCGTTACATTTCATGTCTTTAGTGGCATTCGTTATGTTGTCGCCTCCACCGCACGCACACTGGAAAGTAAGTCCCAAGTCATCAAGATCGCATGGGCAGTCATCGGCACATCGGCATTCGTTGCCGCCGGGTTGGTGGCTTATGTTTAAGGGACCATGGTGCGGGGAAAAGATCCTATTGTACGAACTTGCTGCATTTATTATATGGGATGGCATATCCTTTGAGGTCAGCCCAATAGAATTGTTGTGTGACTTGAGAGATTCGTAGAGAGGGTGGGGGAATATTTGGACATAGAACTGCATTCGGTCTGGTTGATACCGAACTTGGGAGGTGCAATAAATGGAGAAATTCCAATCCAATATACGTGTTCAGGAAAAGCGAGTAATAATCTGTACATGTATTAATGGTGTATTATGCAATTTCTGGATCCCACCTGAAGGGACAGGTTCGCAGCAATGTTGAGATGAAGTGGAGTGGCTGGAATCTACTGTTTTCTTAAAAAGTTCTTTGGACAGTTGTAATTTCATATCAGCTTTGTACATATAGGCATTCTTATGCAGAGTAGTGGTCTTCGACAGTGAAAAGGAGACCGGCAATGGTCAAACGCCATAGTAGAGCCAATCCACAGTATGTATACATCAATTGATATTTAGCATTGAACAGGCGTATAAGGATAATATTGAAATTGTGGCATTAGTGACCCCTGATATCCTCACAATCCATCCTCATGGATTTCACCCAGTTATCAAGGCCTTTTTAATGTCACCTACCGCCTGAGAGAGGATCGATAGAGCGGTGTTCACATCCTGCACCTCATTTCCGTGCCATGAAACAAAGTCATCGGGCCGGACAAGGACTAAGTCTGCCCCCCCTAGTTAGCTAACTTGACGCGAATTATCAGTCCCGCATATGCAATCTTGGTGCACTACAAATCCAAGGACCTTACGCGTCTCCGCAAACAAGGCCAGTTTTGGCATGTTTTTTCCCCAACTCGGCTGCTGCGGGTGGCTCTATCAAAGGTGCCATCATTGCCCAAGACGAAATCGATACCTGGACGGTGCATCGCTTTGTGCCCGTGGGATTCGATGATACCCAGATTACATCGGAAGAGGCAGTGTATAGTGTCCTTGGCGGCATGGGTGAGCCTTATGTCATCGAAATTGACCAAATCCTGGTCCGTTCTACGTGGAGGCCGAGTATCGCCGTGGCCAAGTCGTATGGTGGTCCGAAACAGCGGGTACTACTGGCGGGAGATGCCTGTCATCAAACCGTCCCCACTTGTGGGCATGGAATGAATATGGGCATCGCTGAGGCGTTCGATCTCGGCTGGAAGTTAGCGGCCACCATTTCTGGATGGGGAGGATCATATCTGCTTTCATCCTACGAAGCGGACCGACGCCGGATCGCGCAGATGAGCGTGCAATGGTCCCAACGCCATATGGGGAATCTTATGGGCTTGTCGGCTACGCTGCAGTTGGACGCTGACATAATTAATTCGGATACAAACGCTGGCAAGGACATGAGGAATCGGTGGCACGACTACTGCCAATTGAATGACGGACACAATAAGAGCATCGGCGTGGAGATGGGATACCGATATCAGTCCTCCATATGTGTTCTGAGTGAGCTGGATCGCGATTGTTCGGCTCCAGAGTTTGATGCAAGGAGATATATTCCTTCGACGTACCCCGGATGTCGTGCACCTCATGTCTTCCTGAAGAGCGGAACGCCTATTTTCGATCAATATGCGCGGGAGTTTACCCTGGTGGAATTCCAAGACACAGCAACACCATCTGCAGTGGGATTGTTCCAACTCACTGCACACCGGCGCAGGGTGCCTTTGGATGTAGTTTCCTTGCGCGGAGAAGACCATGCGCATCAGATCTGAATGAATTTTTGGACATCTAGAGAAGTGAAGGGAGGCTAGAGGGGAATAGTCATAATGCCGTGATTTGCGTTAAGAAGTGTTGTCCCAGTCCAAGTCTCAGTCCATCCACTAATCTTCACTATGGCCGTCGAAGAACTAGCTTCTGACACCATCCTCATTGTTGGCGGTGGCCCCGTGGGACTCATACTGGCCACAACACTAGCGCATCATGGAGTCAAGAGCGTCTTGATCGAGAGCAACCTGGCGACGACGCGCTGGCCAAAGATGGATTTGACGATCGCACGGAGCATGGAGATCTTTCGCTGCCTGGGCATTGCAGATGGTCTGCGTCAGCGAGGGGTGCCGTCTCATTTCCCATTCACCTGCCTTTTCTCGAGCGGCCTTAATGCCGACAAAGCTATCACTTCGTGGACACTTCCAAGTGTCGATGACTTTGCAGCTCAGATTTCCGCAACCAACGACGCACCATGCCATTGGAGCCCTGGCAGCGCGTCTCGCAGGAGGTGTTTGAGACTTGGATGAAGGAACTGGGTGAGGAGAACCCGATGGTAGACCTCAGGTTTGGATGGAAGGCCACAAGCGCTCGAGAGCTCGATGACTGCGCCGAAGTCCAGGTCACTGACGTTCGTCCTGGGACGGAGCGGACAATCCGGAGTCCATATGGTGTTGGATGTGATGGTGCCAATAGTGTGATGCGAAATAGCCTGGGGATCGAAATAGATGGAGGGCCAATGTAGGCACGAACCTTGCCCTCTCCACCCCCTTCTTTTTTTTTTTTTTTTTCAATTTCTATTTCTTTCCTGAGGAAAAGAAATTGGACCATGCTTTATCCTCATAAAAATAGATGGTGAGAGGGGTTTCGAAACTTGTCTCCGTCGTCAGCTGTCATGGTCTTCGGCCGTCCATACCTGAAATTACCGAAGATACGATACTGAAAACACCTTCTTTGTTTCCTCCCGCTCCCAACAAAGGAGACCCACAATTTTCCGGCGCCATCTCGGACATGACCCACCAATTGTCCGGCGCTAACACCTCCCTAGCGCACCCGAAATTGCCTGAAAACAAGATTACGGGCTTGGCAATACTAATACAGGTTACCAGAACTCCCCTTTCTCCGTCCTCGGCCTCTTTCACCGAATGCTTAAGGCACGCTCAAAATAACTAACTAATACCGGAGCGGAGAAAGAACCCCAGGCACGATATGGAGAAAGAAACTGCAGTTTAGCGTCTTGCACGGGAACTGTACGGCACATGTCGGGCAGCCTGGATGATTATCCCGTGGGACTCACGATAGTTCTTTTGACGGGGATGAGGAATAACAATCCCGAAAATCAAATAAAAATAAGGCTCGTCGACATCGCAACTCCAGTGTTAACATTTGAGAGATCATTCATTACCCTTGGCAGACGAAAGGACAAAGAAAAGGCAAAAGGTCCTGAGAATGATCATCTCTCTCTGAATTGATTCTCGCTCGCCATTATTACGTGTGTTTAAAGAAGTGTCATCATCATTAGGATAATCATGATGTCCTCAGTCAACCTCATGGGCCTGGCCAGCAACATCGAGGCCGTTGCGGAGGCTGCAGAGATCCAGGTCGATGAGGAAAGCCGAAAGCGTCTGCTACAAGCTTGTGACAAACTGCGGAAGACCTTGGAATCCCCGTTTGAATTCACCTTGCGAGTCATTTTTGCGGTATGAGGAGCATCTTTTTCGGTGGCTGAAAGCAAGTACTCTTCTCATGCGGTCCTGCAGGGTCATCAAGCCATGGCACTACGGTTAGGCATCGATATGAAGCTCTTTGATGCTGTAGCTCAGCACACCAAGTCCGGTCCGGTCACTGTATCGCAGCTAGCCAATGCGAGCCAAGCCGATCCTCTCCCAGTTGCCTGTATATTTCAAAACCAAAGGGTGGAAGAACCCCAACGATTTGCATGATGGTCCTTTCCAATATGCGACGGGAACGAAGTCTCACTACTTTGATTTTCTGGCCTCCGAGCCATATTACCAGCAAGCGTTCAACACCGTCATGACCATCTCGCACCGCCGACAGGGACAGAACTGGTTCAACTTCTTCCCAGTGGAAGAAAAACTGCGCGTGGCGAATGATTCGGACATCCTAATCGTGGATGTGGGTGGAAGCCAGGGTGGCGACATCATCGCTTTCCAACAAAAGCTTCCCCATTTGCGGGGCCGACTCGTCCTCCAGGACTTGCCCATCGTGATCAACGCAATCACGGAACTCCCATCAGGCATTGAGTCCCAAGGTCATGACTTCTTTGAGGAGCAGCCCATGAAAGGCGCTCGGGCGTACTACCTACGAACGGTGCTGCACGACTGGCCAGAAAGAACAGGCGCTACAAATCCTTGCCAGGATTCGGGAGGCGATGGCGCCAGATTCGTTGCTTCTAATCAATGAAACCTTGCTACCCGAGTCGAAAGTGGCCTTGTCCTCAGCCCAGGCAGACTTGACCATGATGGTGTTCCTTTGCATCTCTAGAGCGCACAAAGGCGCAGTTTAAGCACTTATTGAATAAGTCGGGATTCGAGCTGGTGAGAGTGTGGATGCCGGAAGGATTTACAGCGAGTTCAGCCGAGCTCGCAGCGCAGGCCACCTTGCTGGAAGCGAGACTAAAACCATTGTCGTGACGATCTATGGAAGCTCAGGCCTAGATGGCCTGATAGGGTAAACATGACACAGATACGTAGATATATAGAGGGTTTCTCTCGTCTATATTAAGCTTTGACATTATCGTCATATCTATATATCACTATATTCAATGGCATAAATCATTGCGGTTGTCGAGGGCGTGTTCAGGATGCGTTGGGGGCCGGATCGATGGTAGGAAGCGGATCTCCTATCTGTGACGAGAAATATTAGAATACTCTTTTCCCTCTTCCCCCGCCCCCCAATTTCGCTCGGTGGGCTCATTGTTGAGGGTATCTCAAAGAAAAAGAAAGGGAAAAGAAAAGAAAATCCTTACCATGCTCTCCCACGAGTTCAAACCCCCGGGGTCATTCTCCAATGCTAACTGCAGACTTGGAGCCAATCCTAGAAAGCTGAGCGCGCTAGTTTGAGCTTTGAATTTGAGTTGTTCACAGCAGAAGACCAAACTCTCTTTGGCAGTTTCGATAATTTGTCGCTCTGGCGCCAGTCCGGCTTTTATCACCTTGGCCTGTGCCATGGCACAGGAAAACAGAACATAGATATCGACACTGGTCTCTCCAGCCTGAATTCGTCGCCTGAAGACGCCCATTGACTCTTCGATGGTGTGGCAGAATAGGTCCTGCGAAAGGCTGTGCGTGATGGGAAAGGCATTTTCCTCCAATTCAGTGATAAGTTCAATGATGAGGATGGCTGTAGCGTGGCACAGTGTGTGCTTGATGATGTCGCCACCACGCACCTTTAACCTGAGGAGCTCATGTTGGCACTCCGGTAAGGAACCCAAGGGCAGCGGCGCATGCTGGACCGTTTGCGGAGGGGATAGGCAAAGGAGTGCATTCTCAGTGAGCACTTTGCGACTGAAATAGAATGACTGATCCGCCTTTGCTTCCACCGCGAACGGAGAATGTAACGCCAGTAGAAAGCGACGAGCCAAGATGTTCAGAACATGGATCTGGAATTCAGTTGGCTTCGGCGTGTCGGAATTGGTACCCATCTGATAGGACTGGAGCATCGCAGTATGAGAACGGCACATGGTATCCAGTTGCATGCCCAGTTTCAGAATCCCCTGGTAATCTTGGCTCGGGGTCTTCTTTAGGGCATTGCAATACCGGAGGATCTGCAGCCGCACTGGCATGGTCTGCATCAGCATACGCAGGATGGTGCTTTGGGTAAAGGAGTTGGCTGTATCCGCGGCAGCTGATGGATTGCTGACATCGACATCATGGATGTTGGATGGCGGCTCGCAGTCGAAATCATCATTGGAGATGGACGGTGGCATACCCGTGTCCAGACATGACTGGATCGACATCTCCAGAATGGTAGCCCACAGGCGTTTCCGGAGCTCGGTCTCAACGGGCGGAAAATCCGGGAAATGGATTCGCGCCTCCTTGTGTAGGCCGAGTCCGACAGCAATGCGCAGGGGAAAGTCGCCTGAGATCCAGACCAACTCGGATGGGTCAGGGAGTGTTTGGCGCGCCAACAGCAGCAAGGCCGAGACCTGCAAAATGGACAGATCGATGTCGAACTTTTCAAAGCTGTCGGTGAGCCAGAACTGCGCCCCATAGATCCACTTGGACGCCAACAGCTGTAGCTCATCGGCGTCGGCGTCCGAGACGAAGCAGGCCCCGATGGCCAGGACAAGGGCAAGGGTGGAGGGAAAGGCCCGGCTTGTACCCAGCGGGTTGTTCCAGTACAACTCATACTGTTGCATGAAGGTCGGAATATGAAGCACTCGGAAGACTGACTCGAACGTGTGCAGGTAGAGTGTTATCAGGCGGTCACAGGTCGACTTCGGCAGCAGATTGTTGGTTATATTAGGTGGGCCTGACTGGGTGTAATACTTTATGGATCGTTCTGACTTAATGATCTGGGCGTAATGTCGGCATTGTCCCCAAAGCGATTGGATGTCAGTGTGGTCCGAGGACCTGTGCAGCAGAAATTTCATATACTCCAACTAGCATCTATCATCAGCAAAGGGTCCTGCCACCCCCTGGGGCTTTATCCAGGAAACGGTTGCTCACCTGCTCAAAGGACGACTGGATGTAATGCTTGCCACAGCCAAAGTTCTTGGCGTGGGATACGGTGCGTCCGGGGAGGTCCACTGATTCGTTCATACTCGCATCCCCGGAGCTTGTGTACATTAATGGGGACAGGGAGAGCGGCATACCACTACCGCTGCTAAACAACGTGGTAGACGTGTGGATTGTAGTGTTAAGGTTAGTGGCGCCATATTCCTCGGATGCAGTGGACAGATCGGTGGCTGCCAGGCCCGCGCGGGGATCAGTCGGAGCCAATGGATTACGATAACCACAAAGCAGTGAGGCATTGCAACATGGGCCGCAGGGCAAGGAGCGATCACATTTCACTTTGCGTCGTCGGCATTCGATACAAGCAACCGCAGGTCGTCGGCGGCGATAGACTTGAGCACTCATCTTGTAGAGCCCTTGTGGGGGGAAGTGTGGGGGAGACCTGGACGACAGGTGAACGACAATGGGAGGCCAAAAGCATCACACGAGAAGGATTTATGTAAACTGATGGGGAGCCACTATTGCCCTAAATCCATCTGATGCCAGGATTAACATGGACCGTCGTCAAGTCGGTTCCCCCTGTTCAAGACGTGATAATTGATCCCCTGACTCCCAGGTCCCCCACCTGCAGGGTTTAAAATCGCGCGACAGAGGTGAGCAACGTTATTGTCCTGTTTGCGTAATTAGGTTGTTTTAAAGCCATCAAGGTGGAAGGTGGTCGTAGTTACGTCTTCTTTAATTTGATAGCATTTTAGCTATATAAAACCAAATTTTAGAGGCCATTCAGCGGGTAGGTTGGCCGTGTCCTGTTAATATCCAGGGAACTGCTGAGTGGCCAAGTATCCCCCATACAACGGAGCCTCAAATATCACCATGACCTTACGTCCGCTAGCGAGGCGATTTTAGTGACTTTCTGGGTTCATTAATTAATGTAACCAGCAAACGAGCCCAACGGCCAGCCATTATGGCAGTAGTGGTGGTAATTAGTGGTATTCTGACCAGCTGGTCATGGTCTCAGGAGCACCTATGTGGGGCTGTCACAGAAGGACTAATTTGACTATTCGCAATTAGAACTAGTAGACGAGCAACGTTGGTACCATTCCTACTCCAGCATGCTTATGTTATTTCGTTATTTCCTACTTAGGCTTAGTGTATTTTTCTTTATTTTACATCCTATCTACTTTCTCTTTTTTTTGTCGGCCAGCTGAATACGCGTATGAGCTAGTATCACTGATCTATGGATAAGGATCCATCATATTGAAAAGTACGGTCTCTATCTCTATCTGGGAGAACTGAATAAAAATGGTTAAAACAAAGGAACAAAATCAGACTGAGCAGATGCTGAATAACAATTAATAGACCCATTTTGTTCGACATTTTTTTATCGCTTCTTCATTATCTTCCTCCGGCCCCCCAAATTCTTTCTATTTTTTTCTCTTCTTGAAAATGACCTTTCGGCCATGTTTACCGTAAGATACGAGGGGAAATGGCTGTAAATAAGGTGCAGCGTGGTCGTGTAAATAAAAATAAGACAGGAGGAGGGGCTCCGCTCGAGGATAAGTTTTTTTATGTTTTCTGTGCAACAAATCTAGAAAAATCGACATAATTCAATGGATAAAACTTTCTCATTTACCTAGCAAATGAATAACAATTCTTGGGATGAACCAAGCCTAATAAACACTCTTCAGACACTCGGCAATAGCCTCTGCCACATATCGCACATTCGCCGGGTTCAAACCAGCAATCGACATACGCGAGTTTACAGCCATATAAACATGATATTTCTCTGTACCACATACTATAACAAAAGTCAAGAATAATATATTCAATCTTATATCTCAACAAGATCTCTATCTCAGATGAAAGTCCAAGGAAAGCAGACGTGCGTGTCTGACTTCCGCACCCAAAATGGTCCCGAAGCCCGGTGCTCCTACATAGACAGCCCTTACCCGCCTCCATTAAACAACCATATAACGTCGACCTCATGGAATTTATTCGGACGCTTATCTTCTTCAGATCTTTATACCACATTTCACGTAATCCATCGTCATTCAGAATCGTCGATGCGATTTTCGCCCTGTAAGCCGGTAGATCGGATGGCTCTGACCGCCGCAGCATTTTCAGAACAGAGAGTGTATTTCACGCCGTATTGCTGGTATACGTGATGAGAAAGACGCATCCAGCTCATTCGTCTGGTCTGGCTACCATTGTTCTTGTTCTTGTCGGCTAGTAGACGGAAGACATTGGAATGAATCGTACCATAAAGACCCATGTTCTTAGCAAAGAATAGACACACGCCGACCTCGAGCCCTAAATCATCAACGAAATGTCTAATACCGAATGCATCATCATCGAGATTCCCCGAATTTGAAGCTGAGATACACAGCGGCTCCCCGGAACCCTGGATGGCCGAGAATCGGCAGATATTCATAGGTCAGTTGCTGATTGATCAATATTTCACGACTATTCTGCACAGATGGCAGTATCTACGGCCGTCCTTGCTCATCACGGTATGCGCCCTGGCCGAGGTACACCTTTTCAGGGCATCTGTCAGTATTGTACTCGGCCATTAAAGTGAACAGTATCTGTGGGGATATATGGGGCGGAATAGAACAACGACGTAACGTTAGATATTGCTCCTGTGGTGATCTCGGCCATTTTGTATCTGGTATTCAACTTTGGGTCATGTTCTAGTTCCCTGGCTCTCATATGTCCACGTCGGCTATGTTCCGCGATTTTCGGTATCGGTTCGCATCCCGAGATCTAGGTAATAGTTGGTAGAGTTTGAATGCCCGATAGGGTGAATAGGGGGAGCGGGTTCTTATTGGAGATATAAAATATGAATAAGATAGAATTCAGCCCTGTAAGCTTCTAGTTACAAATGCTGGACGCATTCAGAACATTCCCAATTCCATCAAGTTTCTTCTGCCACTCATACGAAGACACATCGACACGATTAAACTGATCGAAATTGGGACACTCGGCGTCCACATTGACATGCTCCTCAAGGACCATGGTACCCGTATATACCGGCTCTTGCATTTCCAATTCATTCAGCTAGCTGCAGCCCACGGTCCGTTCTGGTCATTACACACTTGAACGCGGAACCATTCGTGCTCTGGAAGAAGAGCGGACTGGTTAGCTTTTTATTCTCCTTGAGGAAGGGCTGGCTGGGGGGTTTGGTAATATCCCTCGTGAGGATTAATCCGTTCCTAGAGGTTGTCCTTCACCTGCTCGGTGAGAGGGGGATAGAACGCGGCATTACTGGCAGTCAGAGCAATATTGAGCATAGAATCTTATGGAAGATGTGATACTTCTCCTTCGCGCTATATGCATATAGTCTGCTAGACATGTCGCGGCGCGGTTGGCACAGTTTATCGGTCGAGTTTTCACCATGCACGGTCTTTTCTTCTACACGGGTTAATTAGTTAGTCTTATTCGATGCAATTTACAAAGCAGGCAGCCTATCTGTATCCTAGATTCGAAGATTTATCTCGTCTGCAGTACTGGAACAATGAACTGCAATGTGCCAAAGAGACATACAAGGACACTGTCCGCCTTCAACAAAGTCTCCGTGTATCGTGAGAAGCCTCTCAGTACGGACCTGGTATAGGTGCATAATATTCGACGCTGGAACCTGACTAGAGACCATCGGCTCACACATAAAAATAGGTCAGTTTGGTGAAAATGGTAGACGAATGAACGGAAGCATGCACTGTAAATTGATAAGTAGAGTGAATGACATCCAACCAGTTATCAGTTCGGCCCATCAGTGGAAGCTAAGAAGTCCTGTCACGCTAACAACTTACTGAAGATCGAAGGTATTCCAGGCCCGCTACCAGCATCTCTCGTATCGACTTGTGATTATGATCCGAACCCAACTGATCGCTCTGATATATCGAAAAACGCTATCCTTAGACTTAGCCTGCGTAGAGAATCGAGCCCCCGCTACCCTTACGAGCACCGACGTGGAGCGTATCTCTGCCAGGCTGGCGAATATCTACGACGTCTGGGGATGTGTAGTTGAGGTCGACACCGCGGTATGGTTGCTATGGCGGGAGCTATATTTTCCCACATTAGCACCAGTCGTGATTACGTCTACCTGCGTTCTTTTGGCAAGGGTGATTGGAGGACTTGCAGGCGTTCGTCAACGTGCTTGGATCGGGGCGGTTCAGCGACGGATTGCCGCCACTTCGAGTGCTCTGCGATACCTCAAACATCTTAAGCTGTCAGGACTGGCAGACGTTCTAGTCTCTTCTCTTAAGGGTTTGAGGAACTCCCAGGTCAAGACGTTAATACGCTGGAGAAGACTGCAGGTCTTGATGGTCGCTGTCGGATTCGTGAACAGTGCTCTATCTCCTGTTATATCGCGCTCTTCGTATGCAGTTGCTTTCAATCAAGGCTCCGATATCCTGGATGTCGAGAAGGCATTTGCCGTCTCGGCTATTTTCTTCTTGATCGGTGCTCCCTTGAATCGTCTGTCTGAAGCAGCCGGTGGTCTGCTTATGGGTGTTGCGTGCATCGACAGGATCCGTGAGTTCTTGGTTTTTCAAGGCGAACCAAATTGGGAGAAAGACTCAATATCACCTTCAGAGATTGCAATCATCTTCTCCAAGGCCGTCTGTTCAGGGAAAAAAAAGTAACAAGCAGGAATATTCTCCAGAAGTGACCGAATGCAACATCCAGAATCCTATTGTCCTCGCCACCAGTCTAAGAATTGGATGGAACCGTCATGCTGAACCTCAGTTGAAGAATCTCGATTTTCGTATTCATGATTCAACACTCATTACCATTATTGGGCCGGTTGGATGTGGGAATCAGCTCTGTTGAAAGCACTTCTCCATGAGACACACCACTTTAGCGGCTGCATTTCAATAAAGCATCCCCGATAGCATACGGCAGTCAGGATCCACGGATGGCCCACGGAACAATCAGATAATATGGTTGGGTGCCAATACTAGCAAGAATGGTATGATACAGCGATTGCTCACTGTGCACTGACTAGCGACATTCAGGATATTTCTCAAGGAGATAACCGTTGGGAGCGGTGGCATCACCATCAGAGGTCAGAAATCGTGGGTGGGTAGTCCGATCCTTGACCTGTCCGGTAGTCCTCTCTAACTTTATTCCTTGGTGCTATGGTACTCGACAGTCGCTCGCACGCTCCGTGTATTCCAATGCAAAAATCACCATGCTCGACGATGTATTCAGCAGGCTTGATGCCACGACGGAGGAATATATCATCCAGCACCAGATAGGCCCCGAGGGGTTATTGCGTCGCCAGAGAAGAACGGTGATATTGGCTTCGTCGTTGAGTATGTTTACTCCCTATTTCGAAACTGTAGACTGACAGGACAGTGAACTACTTGCGAAAAATAGATTTGATACTATGCTTGGAATCAGATGGAGGCATAGTAAAGCAAGGTTCCTTTGTCGACTTCATGTCTGATCTCTAGATTCTTCTACACTCATCACAACTAGTCGCCTCCAAATCGAGCAGGATACCCAAAGTCCTCTGCCAAACCCCAGAATACCGTCTTCCGGTATGCAGCCTGGAAAAGACATCAATAAGCGGCGCACAGGGGATTTTGCCACATATAAGTATTACTTTGGCAGAATGGGTTTCGGAAATATCACGCAATTTACCACCCTGATCACGGTGTTTGTGATCTCTCACAGCTTCCTATGTAAGTCACTCCTTCTTGGCAAGATCAGAATCACTGACGAATCGAAAACAGTCTGGGTCGAGCTATGGGCAAAAGCCAACTCCGAGTCCCCGGGAAATAAAATCGCCATGCACATACGCGTATATTATGCCATTGGGGTTTCAAATATCGTCTTCACCGGCTCATCTGCACGGTTGGTCATTTCTCTACTGTCAGTCGAAAGTCGACCTGATTTTTCTAGATATCTTCTCCTGAGAATGATTCCGAGAGCATCTGTCGAATTCCACCACACACTACTGAGAGTGACAATGAAGTTCGTGTGCTGTTCAGATTCGGTGACTCCGTCTAACAGAATGCAGTGCACCGCTATTCTTTGTTTTCTCAAGCCGACGTTGGAACCACCACGAATCGGTATGGAAGCCAGTCTCTCTCTGATACTTATGCTTATGAGGTTACAGTTTTAGTCAAGGCCTACATCTCATCGATACTGAACTGCCTATAGCGTTAATAAACACCTGCGTTGGTAAAACATGCCCTATAATGCTTAGTGACAACCTATCGCTAACATCTTCAGCCCTTGGTTCGTGCGCCATCCACATGGTCATCATTTGTGTATCTGCAAGATGCATCGAAGTTATAGCCCCATTTTGCCTGTGCGTACTTTAGTTAGTCCAGCGATTCTACCTCAATTCCTCGCGACAAATATGTCTCCTCGACATCGCAGCCATGGGCCCCTTTCTCCCACTTCTTAGAAACCCTCGACAGCCTAATCGCCGTGCGTAGCTACAGGTGGGGCAACGCATACGAGCAACGCTGTCAAGAGCTTTTGGAAATCTCGCAGAAACCATTCTACGGACTATACTGCGTCCACAGCGGTGGCTCATCCTGGTGCTGGATCTGACCATTGCCGGACTGGCTCGAAGGGATCGATCAGTAATAGACTGGTCAGGTTAGCTCTGGTCAATGACACCAACCTTAGTAACAATGTCAAGCTTTTGGTTTTGCAATGGATGCAGTTGGAGACGTCCATTGGAGCGGTATCTCGCATAAAATCCTATGAAAGCAACACCGCATCCGAGGCTTCCCCAGATGAAGTCAAGGCCGTGCCAGAGAACTGGCCTCTGAACGGACAGGTGGAGCTTCATGACATTTTGCTGCCTATTCGTAAGTTCTACCACTCATGAGTTGGCATCTCATGCTGAGTTCGTTCCAGTGCTACTGGCCCACCTGCACTGGATAACGCGACGTTGTCTGTTCCTGATTGTCTGTTCCTGCAGCATGAAAGTGGAATCTGGTCGTAGTGGAAGGCGCATATATCCCTTCAGTTGATTTAATTACACCTGCCTTGCTTTCTTTAGTATTTATCCAACTGGTATCGATACAACGGAGAAAGCTCCCTATTCTCTGTCCTCTGTCGAAGGCTAGACATCCAACAGGGATCCATAACGATCGATGGAATCGATATCACCAGGCTCCCTAGTTCAGAACTATGGACCAGATCAAACGCGATTCCCCAGGATCTATGCTTCCTCCCTAATGGTACCATCCGCACAACCGATCAACGAGCAAGATATCACCGAAATTCTCCAACAAGTTGACCTCCAGGATCTAGTGGCTTGTACCCTTCACGGTGTGGACACCGTCATCACCGAGACCTTGTATCCCATGGCCAGCGGCAACTCTTGTCTCTTGCTCGCGCTCTGGTGCGTTGGGTATCCTCCACCGGTAGGATTCTGCTTCTCGATGCGGTAAAAAGTACCCTAGACCCGACAACGGAGGTTATTGTCCAGAGAGTGATTCATACTGCGTTCGCTGGGTACACTGTCATTGCTATTGCGCATCGGTCGCAGACTATCTTGGATTTTGATTTAATTATCTTTCTGGATGGAGGTCGTGTAGTTGAGATTGGATCGCCGAGTGAGATGCTCTCCAGATTTTGTTCGGAGTTTAAAGACTTGTATGCTAGTCAACTTGCTGGGCAGTTCCTTGGATTCCAGGTTTATCTTGATCTATATCTGATTGAGTGAATAGAACATCATTTGTATTGTGTATCAAGTTTATTTACCATGTCTACATGTTTTTGGTGAATCACACTTCGGGTGAATCCCGTTTCGGAAATTTACGCATGGTGATATCGTAAAACCCAGCATACGTCTGCATCCCCATATCGACCGGACTCTCATTCACAATGGCTATATTGCTGTATATCGTCGGTGAGCGATCCCGCACCTTGCACAGTGTGTATATAGTCCAGAATGAAGCGAGACATGCGACCATAATCGATATCACCTCTAGTATATATCACAATATACCAAACCGTATCATGGATGGAATATCTAGACTCACCTACGCAAATCTCCACACCACTCCAAGGAATCAACCAGGATGCATCCAGCATTCCTGTGCCTGAAATCCCTTAGACTATCCCGGATGATCAACGCTTGAGACTGGTTCCAATTAATGCTCATTTTCAAAACCAGTTGATCTTGGTTCTCCGAAGAACATTTCCAGAGTTAACGATGACTACGTTGATTAGCACATGCTTTATTCATATAAGGACAAAGATGGGACATACCGGCTGCGTCGGTCCCGATATCAAGAGACATAGCTATCTTCAAGGCGAGACAGCCCAGCCAGATTGAATGACCTGTAATGCAATTTCTATCCATTCATTAGTAACTAAACTATATAGAAAATATGATACGTATGATGACATTCCCCTTCTTCCCTCTCAATTCACACGGAATGTTCAACGTTCCTATTACCCCCCCTTCCCCAAAAGCGACACAACCAGCAACAGTAACACCGACAAGAGAAACCCCACTGCAGACGATACCGATCCACCAATTTCCTTAGTAAGAACAGAAACGAGAACTTCACGCTCCACAGACTGCTATACCCCGTCAGCTGCTCGCGCAGATCGCTTTGAATCAGAGCCAGCTGAAAACGGCGCATACATCGTCCATCCAGAACTGAGGGGTCGATCTTGAATCGCATGGGCAGTCGCATGATAGCGAAGTGGAAGGATACGCTGACACTGAGTCACAATATTGCCTGGTAAAGTTTTTTCACTTTTACTGGTTTGAGTTCCAGTTCGCTGGGTAGGTTTTGAATGGGTGAATCTAGATAGGTATGTAGGTGGTAGGTTGTAAGTACTAGGAACGTGGACTCGCTGACATCAAGCGCTGACATCTTCGTTTGTGGATGGGTGGTGTACACATCCATTGATTGGTCTGGGGTGGTTGGAAGGAGAGCAGGTGCTACTCAAGGAATACTAAGGTACAGTACAACGAAGGTCTGCATAGCATGGGGTTCGGGGTGTACTTGTACGTAGACTAGACTGGTCGGGTTGTAATTCGTCCGGGTTCGAGGACAGAATTGTTCAGTCGACTCGATGGTCGGTTAGTACTTTGTTCGATTTCTGTAGTCAAGCCTGTTGTTGGATATATGTGATCAGGGTTCCTGTCCTAACATTGCTATGTACGTAACTATATATTCATGAATATTTAGCCCGCTTTATTAAGAGTTACTACGGTGCTTACTACGGAGTAAATCTGTCCAAATCTCATGCTTGACTCACAATCTACAATTGGACCACCGAAGTGGTACCAAACTAGTGCCATGCATAGCAACAAACCCTGTTAAATATTGGATCAACTCGGTCACCTCATGCAGGTTTCCGCGTACTGCCGAGTATCTCCGGATTGAGACAAGGATCAGCAAACTTCTTTGTTCCTGGCTTGAGTCCTTGCTTCGTCCTTACCGGCATAGTCGGTATGAGTCGTTGTGAAATGGACGGAAGTCGACGTTACACGGAGAATGGGTTGTCTCCTTTACCTTCTGGTTTGGGTGCTATTCTGGATGGTGGAATAGGAATAGAGATGGTCTCTAAGTCGCCTATGATGTATTAGATCCAGTGGATATTACAAAGTATATGCGTAGATTAAGTAATAGCACTGTAGACTTGATTTGCATATCCGGATATAAGCAGAATAGATGCTAATATCTCCAATTTGGAGACAAGAACTGAACAAAGAGATCAAGCTGGCATAGTTTTATTTATTTCTATAATATCTGATGTATAATTTAAGTTATGTTTGCTAATCCATCTCCACTATAGACTAAATATTAAGCCTTCAATTCCTGGAAATATCCTGGCTTTATAGAATCACCAACTATACGATATTAATTCACCAAATAAAACTACACTTACAGTACAGAGTATATGCAGGTAGTATTATGTTTTCTGGCAGCTGTTGGTTCGAAACTAGCATCAAAATCATAACGACAGGGTTATTCACTAGAATTCATAATAGATGTTGCTCAGTATAGTTGCCTATATTAGCGACTCACCGTGATGATTTACAATCACCTGATTCTATATACTTTGTCAGCTTAGTTGACGCGACGCCCTTTCATCCTCTGGTCCTGCATGATGTTGACTTAGTATTGCCATCCAGTCCAACACACCTGATAACTAGAATAAACCTAGTTATAAAGGAGCTGATGACCAATGCTCTGGCCTATGAGCTGATAATCTACCAGCCCCGCTGAGGCGGCAGTAGATCAGGTCGAGGCCGATTGGATAGCCCTTCTCTGGATTAGGCATGGACGTTGAACGTGGCGCGCGGATCGCTGGATAGAGTTGTGATGGACCATCTAAGATAGACTATTGGCACGACACTGGCAATCACACGACGATCCGCTGCTATCCGGGAACACCTCCGTGGCAAACCCCGTCTTCCTTGATGTAGAGAATGATCTCGAAGAGAATTTAGGTGGCCCCTCCGCTCTCCGATTAGAGGATCTGGGAGCCAGATTTGTCATTGCCTTTATGCCCATGCAAGGGTGGGCCGATTATTTGGATGCCACTCTGTGGAAGTATTGTAACTCCTTGATAAATTAAGCCTTTCCGACTAGAACGTGTTGCACAGCCAAAAGGAATGAGGTGTTTTCTGTCTTGGCAAGCGGGAACAGTGCGACCAATGTAGAGAATAGAAGACCAGCATCGATCCAATAGATATTCCCCGAGTACGGAGTACTCTGTAGTAAAGTAGGAATTCATAATCAGTAAGAACCACAAAATAGGCTGACATGGATGACAGCCAATATGGGAATCTCATCATCTTTATACGTAGCAGGCGACAGAATCGGGATTAAGCTTGGATAAACTACCAGGGAGAGTGTTTGCCTATGCAAAGAGAGCGCTCGTTAGCTGCCAATCAAGCGGCCGTCTCGTGACCCACGGTAGGCAGCATGCCACCCGAATGAGGAAAACATCTTAGGCCGTCAGGCAACTAACTCGCTGTAAGTGGGCCGCTGTTAGTTCAATTCGATTGCATTCCCTGCCATCTCATCTGGCTGAATATAAATGAATGAATGGCTTGGAGTCGAACCTTCTACGGCCGACCTAGCAAGCACAGCCTTCGTGGCTATTAATAGGGTGGTCAAGCCATCGGTATTCTCCCGGTCGCTATGGTTAACAATTGGCGGTAGAGTCCCATTTTCAGTAGCAAGGTCCACACTGATATTGCGTATCTTCAAAGGAAGTAGACGTGGAATCTAGGACCGATATCCCTACTGTAGGTATGATGTTAGTGAGTGAACTTGAAGAAGATAACGCCACATTGTTGTGGCGTCATGACATCGCGCCAAGCCACTATGGATGTTTCATCACCCAATGGGCCTCTCACTAGACGGTATTGACCAGGGCCCCATCCTTAGCATACGTACCTACAGAAACACCATGATAGACACTAACTAACTAGCAAGAATAACCGGATCAAGTTGATCGCTTCGCTTCTGGAGAAAGAGCGGGGAGGCCCAATAAATCCCGCTATTAATGGATCAGCAGGGAGCATAACTAAACTCACGTAAGGCAACTGGCAAGCCAGGCTAACTATCGGAAGTGGCTCTGGAAGGTCATTCTTAGTTAACTTAGTTAGGCATTATTAAGTCAGCCTCAGCCTCTCTCCTTCCTTCGCGGCCATTTTTCTGCCCCTCTCCGCCTTCACTTTCTCTCTCCACCATCATACTTTAAAAGGCTCTGGATCGGCCTTGTATGTCGCTTCTCCTCGGTCTTGGTTGGGGGCACGAATTCCTTCTTCAAACTGTGGGTTTCCTGTTCTATGCCGTTCGTATCCAATCTTCTCCTTTAGCCTTCTTAGGTAGGCAGATGGATAGAACCCGAGCTTAGTTGCCTAACCCAAATGTCATCCAGTCATTCTCTTATAAATCTCGTGTGCTGGGTAAGCATCCCAATTCATCTGTGGATCTCAGTGTTATCGCCGGTGCGATTGCATTTATTCTGTTCAACTGCGCTTCGTCGAAGTGCTTTAATCTCCTTCCCAGACTGTGATTTCAATACCTCGGTTGATAGCCTGAAAATACCGGTGTCCATTTCAATTGGTGATCGCATTTGCGCTTGTTCTGTTGTCTGGGCTTTTTTTTTTCTTTTTTCTTTTTTTCTTTTTTTCTTTTTTTCTTTTTTTGTCTCTTTGCCTTTTTCTCTCTGCAGTTTATACATATCCATCCTCCCCTAAATTTTGAACTTCTTACGACCTGATATCCTGATTTCCGTTATGTTGATAGCCACGCAACTAATAGGATTAGATGACTTGTTGCGCATCCCGGAAGCAAGGACAATGAGTGATGATAATGTTGATCGAGAGACGCTTCCATTTCGGCTTCGGGATTCCGACAGAGACCCCGTCCCTATTTCGGAGTCCAGGCATTCTCCGGATATAGGGCCAGGTGTGGATTTCCTAAAGTGAGTGGTCTTCCTCACTCCCCGTCGCCCAGATTTGCAATTCTACAACCGACGGTATGTTCACGATCGTTGTGGCAATTTTCTGACTCCCGGTCTAGGAAGTCAGCTGTGCCAGTGTTATCAGATGGTGAATCCCCCGCGGGATCTTCTACAACAAACCGGGCGCACCATTCTGCCAGCGCCTCTTTGTCGAATAAGAGGCCTGGATCTGTTGGGGCTGTACCAAATAACTTTCTCTCTGATGATTTAAGCGAGCAGGGTATTGAGTTTATACATACGACCGCTCCCAAAGGACACCAGCCGGTTTGGTCCGAAGAGCAGAATGCATCAACCTGCTCTCTTAACCGTCCGGTGAGCTTATTTGCTACCGAAAACCGGGCCGGAAATTCCGGTATCGTCAGTAATGGCAAGCATTCCTCCAGATTCTCTCCCGACTCAACAGACGACCGAGGGAGTAACGAGGCCGGGCCGTCTCGCCCCTATCATCGAAATATTCGTTCCAGTCCAACTTCGAATGGTAGCCCAAATGCCGACTCAAGCGCCAGAAAAGAGGGGACCTCTTTGCCCAGCAGAAGGTCGCGCGTCTCCTCGGAGAGGTTAAGCTATGGTCAGGAGTCAGCGCAAGGCCTGAGTAATGAACAGAAATCCGCTGGAGAGCTCTCTGCGGTAGCCGGAGGTACAGCATCACATGGGATCTTCCTACAGCCAGAAACTCATCCTATAACAGAAGAGCAATTGATCAATGAGGTGCGCGGAATCTATGCCGGCCTGCTTATGGTGGAGAAAAAGTGTATCCAGATCGACAAGCAACAATCCGAATCGAAGACCGACCTGTCCCACCAGCAGTGGCAGGCTTTGATTGCCTTACATCGAACCCTTTTGCAGGAGCACCATGACTTTTTCATGGCCTCGCAACATCCATCCGCAAGCCACGCCCTGAGGCGCATATCGGAGAAATACGCCATGCCCGCTCGTATGTGGCGTTATGGAATCCACGCATTCCTCGAACTATTGCGTCATAGACTCCCTGATTCCTTAGAGCCCATGCTGACATTTATTTATTTCGCATACTCCATGATGACTCTGCTTTTAGAAACTGTACCGGCGTTCGAAGAGACTTGGATCGAATGTCTAGGGGATCTCTCCCGGTACCGTATGGCGGTGGAGGAGTCGAATCTGCAGGACCGTGAAGTCTGGGGTGGGGTTGCGAAGTACTGGTACAACAGAGCCGCGGACAGGAATCCAGATGTTGGCCGGATTCAACATCATCTTGCAGTTTTGGCTCGACCCGATATTCTCCAACAACTTTTCTACTACACAAAGTCCCTAGTCAGCGTGCGTGCGTTCCCGGGGACCAGAGAGAGCATCCTCCTCCTATTCAATCCACTCATGAAAGGCCCAAGGGTGATTCACCATCACCAGATCATAGCCGACTTCGTGACTGCTCACGGCTATCTGTTTGGTCGGGATTGCTCAGACCGTTTCGTCCGATCGGCGGACAATTTTCTATCTGGATTGGACAATTATGTCGGCCGAGTGGGGGCAGCATTTAAAATACAAGGTGTCTATATCACTTCCTCAAATCTCGCCGCCATGCTGGAGTACGCCAGCCCTGACGCCCTATTACCTACTGAATTCCACCAAGAACCGATTCCCGATTCTAGGTCTCCCGAGGATGTCTACCAACAAGCCTCTAGTCATTGGGCATCTGTCAATGATCCTCAGAAGGTTGCATCTGATTTTCTTGCGCTCAACGACTCCCAGAAGTCTTCCCGGTTGGTCTACTATGGGTCCTGTCTTACCTTTCATGCGCTATCTGTCTTTCTCGACCAAATTGGCGACAAAAACATATTCCCCGCTCTCCACCTCTCCTTGGCATTTCTTTGGTGTTTATCGTCCACCCAGACCGGCATGAGATGTGCGGAACTTGTAGTTCCTTGGAAGAAGATTGTCACGTTTCTCAACACGATGTTCTTACCTTTGTTGGACATGAGCTTGGTTGAGGGCGACGGGTTTCCCCTCTCCGATGAAACGAAGTGGCTCCCCGAGGATTTTTTTATCCGTGGACAGGTTTGGAGTCAGGCCTATTATCCCCAGTCTTTCTTTGAGGGCTCTCCAACTGAAGATAATGGGCGAAACATTGAACTGCCGTCTCTCAAGATTTCCCGAATGTACCGATGTCTTTGGCTAGGAGTTAGACTGGCAAAGGTTTGTTTGCAATTGCTGGAAGGTAGCTGAGAAAATGTTACTGATGATATTCATAGTTCAACCGTTGGATGATATATGATTCAGCACTGCAAAAGTTTTCAGTGACTGCATTTGCTCTGGAGCTGGAGAAACTTGCCGAACCATACAGTCCTTTTCTTTCAACCACGGAGCAGCAAGCTCCCAGCGCAGACGTTGAAATGCGCGGTTCCTGAAATAGCCATGCCGTTTTGTGTTCCAAAATAGGTCCAGTCTAGCGGTCCATATGGTTGTGCTCCCCTTGCAGAGATACTCTCTTTTGAGGACAATATGCATCAGGGTTCGATGCATGAAATTGCTCAGAATGCAGAGAATTCCGAGGCCCAACATCCTCCGACGATTCGTGGTTAAAGGAAATTCCAGTAAGGACTGTATGAACTGACACCCAGGAATCAGTCGCCTGGGTTAACCCTGAAATGTGAAGCAGGCTATTATATATGTCATCGGCATGGGGAAAGGTGTTTTGGCTGGATGCTAAGACTGCACTTACATTCCCCTTTAAGGACAGAAAGCCTAACCTTCGTCAGGCATGCCCTGCATAGTACAAAGGAGATGAAGACACGGTTAGACAATGGATAAACATATATTGCAACAAATGAACGTCATTGAAGGGTACTCCAAAAAAAAAAAAAAAAAAAAAAGAAGAAGAAAGATAATAACAACAATAGTTAATTATAATAAATAAATAAATACTAGGCTCCCAGTATTCCGAAACCCTTTTGCAGGGCCGTCGTATAGTCCAGTCCTAATTTAGGCCGGTGGAGAGACGGTGACGACTTGGATGGGGCGCTAGCACCGAAAGGACAAGCTGGCGACAGGGCGCGTCACAGTATGTCCGCATCCCCCATTCCTCCGACCTCCATCGTCCCCAACGGCCAAGGATGACAATCTCTCTCCCATCTCCATGTTAGTTGCTCCTTCCTGACAGACTCCGCGTCGTATGGCTGGCCAGATCCGGTTGTCTCCGTCACGTTGAGCGCTTAAGCTCTTCCCTTCGATCTCGACAACTTGCATACGACCTACACTACATCTCTGAAAAGTCGGCTGCACTTGAGATTGTGATTTTGCATCATGGAACAAGAAGCGTGGGCCTCGGTTTGTGTCCATTGCACCAGCCTCCTGGTAAATGTTCCGGCATACGTCCTTCTAGTTACTCTGGTAGCGACACTTGCGGGGGCTTTGGTTCTGGTATGCTTCGGTCTCTCTGCTTCTGTTTCTTTTGGTGGATTGCAAAGAGCAATCCGACTATCGTAACTGGCTGACCTTTGTTCTTTCTTCCGGTCGTGCAGACCTACGTCATTGTCCTCATCGTTGCCCCAGTACCGCGAAGTCCCCTACCAGAAGAAAAGCGATACCGAACCCTCTCTAAAGAGGGATCGATCACGGAATCCCAGCAGCTGCCCTGCTGGCAAGATGCCCTTAAAAAACGAACGCGGCGTATGCCGGATCACACCGCTATGGAAGAAGCGGAACTATTCATGTCCCTCGTAGTACCAGCTTACAATGAGGAGGACCGCCTAGGAGGTATGTTGGAAGAAGCGGTAAATTATCTAGAGCGAATGTATGGAATATTACCGAATTACTCCAACGAGGATAAAGAAAGGACGGCTCGGCAGAGGAAAGCAGTCAAGGGGCCGATGAACGGCCCGGCAGCAAATCACTGGACGCACGACATCCGGGGCTGGGAAATTATCATCGTATCCGACGGGTCCAAAGATAACACGGAAGAGGTCGCGTTCACCTTTGCTCGGGATCATCAGCTCTCATTACATCCCAAGGGCTACGCAGGTCCTTGGACACCAAGCACCCAGGAAGGAGTCCATATCCCCCCGGGGACAATCCGAGTAGTGACGTTGACGACAAATCGAGGCAAGGGCGGCGCTGTCACCCATGGCATGAGACATGTCCGTGGACAGTACGTAGTATTTGCTGACGCAGACGGAGCAAGCAACTTTGAAGACTTGGGAAAGCTGGTCTCCGCCTGTGAAGAGATTGAGGATTCTGAGGGACGTGGCGTAGCAGTGGGTTCCCGAGCACATATGGTTGGGAGTGAAGCGGTTGTCAAGGTGTGTTTTTTTTTTTTTTCTTTTTCTTTTTCTTCAAAATCTCAGCTATAGTACTCACATGGCATCCAATCATGACAGCGCTCGAAACTCCGCAACTTCTTGATGCATTCCTTCCATTTGATCCTATGGCTCATGACACCCTCTAAGACGGCTACAATCAAAGATACCCAGTGCGGTTTCAAGCTGTTTTCCCGATCATCCCTACCATACATTATCCCGTACATGCATTCGGAAGGCTGGATTTTCGACGTGGAGATGCTTATGCTTGCTGAATTTGCGGGGATCTCAGTGGCTGAAGTTCCTGTTGGTTGGAGGGAGGTCAAAGGGAGCAAACTGAATGTGCTTCGCGACAGCATTGGGATGGCTTGGGGACTTGCGGTGCTGCGAGCCGCGTGGTCGCTTGGTGTTTATAGACGGACATGAGCCCGTGTAGAAGGAATAGGATTTTTTATCTTAGAGACGAGACAAGATTTTATTTCGTACTCCGTACTTATTTTCTGCTGCTGCGGGCTTTGAACTGGGTGGATTTTAGCTTACTCTACAGTAGGTATGGTATGATCTCCACCGTAGTGCTTCTGACGAGCAAGGCACGACGACATGAACCATCTCGGAAGAGAAGATGCATGCACCAGGCATACCGATGCCGAAGTAGAAATGGTACTGCCTGACATGGTCCGATCCAGATGTGCTATACACACTGCTATAGTCCTTTCTTGTTCTATTACTCCATAGATCACGATCTCCTTCTACCGAGGTAGTCCAGGTACGGAACTTCACTGGAAATGATTAACTTTTAGTGGCGATCGAAGTCTTCTGGAAAATCTCCTTTCTGAACAGACTTTGGGTAGATCGGACCCGATTTCCTCCTCGAAGCTGCCTTTGACGAACAGCAATGACAAGAAAAAGAAGTTGGCTGATTCAAGGTAGTGGTGTGATGCGTCTATTTCTATTACCATTACTTTTCCTCATCGCCTACCCCTTTGCTTCGTTCTTCCTTTTTTGACGGGTATATTTCCATTGCTTGAGATCCCGGTACCGAATTGCTCTACTTGCAGTCCTTGGTCTGCATGTCTTCTGTCTGGTTCTTAACCTGTTTTCTATGTTGTTCACGTACTTTGCCGACGTCATTGGTCGTCATTGAGTCCCGGGAACAACAAGGTACTTAGTATACAGTGTCAGTTGATGGCTGGAAAACAAGTGCCACGATGGTCTCCGCGTGGTGTATAAATCGCTGTCGATATGCTGTGGATTTCCCTCGTCCGTTGTCATATCAGACTGGTGGTCAAGCAAAACCAATGGAGATGCTTCAGGAGATCGAGCCACGAGCTGGCCAGATGGCAAGCTCCGAGCGGTCGTCTCCTTTCCTTCGGTTACCTCTTGAATTGAGACTCATAATCTACGAATACGCACTGGAAATCCCAAACGACTATATGGACCGTCCGTTGATCGTAGTCGACGACCGAGGAAGTGCATTCACAGCCCGGGGACGATACCGTGCCCTGAGTATGTGTCCCAGCTGGGTGGGCGAGAACGGCCGGGTTCGAAACCTGCTGTCCGTCAATCGACAGCTGCATGACGAAGTTGAGGACTTTGTGTATTCTCACAACGCGTTATTTTTCCGCAACTCGTTCAATCTGGACCGCCTCGGAGCCTTCCTAGATACCTTGAGTGCCACCGCTCGCAATCGAGTTCGCAGCGTCGGGTTCGAGGTTTTCTTCTTCGTCCATTCGCAGACCGGCGTGCCCAAGCGCAACTTGAAAGAGTACGAGCGTGCAGGACGCATGTTGATGGAGAAACTACCGAACTGGACTACCGTCCTCCTGTACATGGATCCCCGATTCTATTTTCCATTAGCTGTGGCTGGAGGTCGAGAACTGTCCGAGTTGTCGGCGCGAGGTGTCTGGTATCTGGCGACTGTTTTTGGAAAGATGCATAAAGAGCTCCAGTTCTTTGCATTGCCATCCGTCCATCGGCACGTTATTAGCGAGGCTCAAGGGATGCTTTCACATGGGGCGATGACCTTCTAGCCCTTGAAAAATGTAATTTAAAAAAGAGGCATTTCTGAGTCATTTCTGCGCGGTTTTGTTATTGTTTAGCGTGTCTTTTCTTTTTTTTCTTTTTCCTGTTTTAAAGCACGCACTTTTGTGTTCTCCACCTGGGATGGATTGGATTTCCTGGGAGCATGAGCTAAGAGATCTTGAACAATTGGTTGGCAGTCATCTGTTGCTGCGCGATGACGTCTCTTGAGGGTACAGATGCTTCCAAGGAGATCTTGGAGTCTCTGGAGCCCCCAACAACAGCTGATCTCTTGGGGTCACTGTTGAGTACAATACTAATTTTGGCGACTATCATGGCGATGGATTGGATATGGATTGGACATGGCATTCAAGGTTTGGGAGCAAGGACTGATACCTCTAGATTATTCTTTTATGTACTATAGACTGCACAGTCCACTTCTTTACTTGTCAGAATTGGCAGTTAAATAAAAAAGAAAGCATGGAGATTGACATCTCACCAATCGGCTGGGCTGTTCGGATTCTAGATCAGAACCTCATCCGTCCATCGACAATACCAAACACTTTAGCATACCAAACTCTATAACCAGATGACGCGACATCTGAGTGGATGGCTCATCGGACGAATCCGCCAGTGGATACACCGGGAAGGACCGAAATTCGCAGGAGAAAAAGAGAATCTTGTTCGAGGAAAAGCGTTGCCTATAACGTCATATTGCCGGCCTTGTGATCGGCCTCACGGCCCCGCGATCACGGGAAAACCCCCAACGGCGGTTTTGTTTTTCTCTCGAATCCGTTGGCGATGCTTATTTTATCTTTCTCCCCTATCCTTCTTTTTCTTTCCCTTTCTTTCCAGTATTCGCTCTCGACTCTTTCTTCAGGCCGACAGCCTCCGCCCAGTAGTGAGACATCTGCTGCAATTCCCTGGCTGAAACCTAACGCCCCTGATTTCTTCTACTTCATAGGTTCGCTTGGCAATAGTAGGCTGCTGTGACACCGTCGCTGCAGTCGAGCTCATCATCCACTTGTCGGCCCGCGTATGGCTGGCTGATGATCGGTTTTGCCATCGGCGAGTTGTTTTCAGGTCTCGTTGATCCATAATTGAGCCATCGATGAACTGTCCTCCCGGCTTGGCCTCCGTGCTAGCTTGGACTTCTTGTTTTGCCACAGCTTGTATGTGGCTCTGTAGCCCTCATTGGTCGCATAGTTTTGTGGTCGTGAACCGTGTAGCTAACATTCCCCCAGTACCCAATCTGTTGATCTGCCCGAGGCATTATCCCATTTGTGCCTCTTTTCCATCCCCTTTCATCCCTTTATGAGGGACACCAAACCCTTCCATTGTCTCAGTAGATCTGGCTACTACCACCACCACCACCAACAAAAATGAAGCCATCATTATCAGCGAGATCACTCAATGGCCAAGGCAGCTGTTACAAGGAGGTGCGATTCTCTCCTACGGCAACTCCCATCATCCGTCGTGCGCAGTCATTACCGGGTACGAACCCCTCACAATCGCTTGGCAGCCAGAGTGATACATCAACACCGGGTGCAAATTACGTCGACCAGGCCCGATCGCTCCTGGATCGTCAACGAACAAATTTCGAGCACGAGAGAGCTCTCTTCGCGGAAGAGAGGCGGCTATGGGAGCAAGAGCGGGCGTTACTTAAACTCAAGATCTCTGAACTAGAATCTCTACTGAAGGGCAAGGGGGTCACCGCTCCGGTGGCTGGTTCGACATCACAGTCTGACGGCCCGGTAACGCATTTGTCCAATTTCCGGACCTCATTTGGTGCACCATCGTCAACGACTGTATCGAGCAGCAGCAACTCCCAGGTGTGGGAGGGGTCTAGCCCTGGGACTCGACCCACAAGGGTTTTTCCCGACTCGGAGAAATCAGACAGTCAGAGTGCATTGCCGGAGCAAGGAACCAGACTATCGACGGCATCCCTTGACGCTGCTCTATCGCCCAATTTTCATGCGACTGACGCAACTGCGAGTGCCACCGTGTCTGTGCCAATTGAAAAGCTCGACAGTAAGCTGGATGGCATCACGCTAAAATCAACTGCACTACCTCCTGAGATATTCGCCCGCGTGATGACGCCCCCATCTCCTCTATCTCGAGAGACATCTCCACCCCCAGGGGCTTACAAGGCTGAAAACAAGTCCTGTCTGAAGCTGAGGCTCTCGGAGTTGGGGCCACCGGAGCGTAACCTCGTTAGGGATGCTGGACACACTCCTATGGCCGTAATTGACCAAGATATGGACACAGAGCAGCCCACCCCGCGTGAAGACCCCTCCAAGAAGGATGAGCCCCTTGCTCCCAAGGCGCTTCGGCAGCCTGCAGAAAACTCCGATTCGTATTTCGCCGATCTGCCAGATGATCCGGCCCTGAAGGGGCCCCTCTCCCTGGTGAACGACGAGGAGCACGACAGTGACTTCCTGAGGGAACTGAACCAAAAACTCCTTGACGAGGCGAGGCACATACTAAGGCCGTCCGAAGCAGCTGGGGCGACGAGGGAGAGAGAAGCTGATGCTGAGGTTTCTAGTCCCGGGGAGCAGGATCCCGAGCTTAAATTCAAAAGCACCACTAATTTTGGCACTGCATTTGGGGATCCTGAATTGGAGAGGTATTTAGCAAGACGGTCCTTTTTGACATAGACACTATACAGTGGCGATCTTGAAAGCATCTTCTTTGTTTAGGAATACCTTTTTCTCTTCTATGTGTATGTTTGTCTTATTTAGGGAAGGCGATTTTGGAATACCACGAATGACGATGTTACAATAAACATGTGCAGCATTTTAACGGTGCAACCTATGTGCACCTGACTAGATGGATCTGAGTTTCTGCTGGCGGTTCCTCTCTGCTTCCTGCCTACTTGGCTCAGCGGATAGTCTTGAAGCTCCTTGCATCGGCCGGCAACGATCCAACCATACCCAGTCACTCCTTGGGCTGAAAGTAGCATCCCTGCAGCATCATGCAACACTATCTGGTATCGTTAGGGGCTATATCCTTATTGTGGCCTTGCATGTGCCCCTATGGAGCTGTGTACAGGAAGCACCCTGGAAAGGGCCCACGACCCTGTATAACCTCAAGACGGTCATCGAGGCAATTATAAAAGGCCTACTATAGCAGTCTCATTCTTAACCAGCATTCATTCATTCTCTATTCATTCCTTCAATCATTAGATTACCCATCCATTAGCACTCGTATCTTAAAATCAACGTCACTCGTTTCACCACACAAGCCAACCTCCTCCCTCTTAAGAGATATTCTTCCACCAGACAGACACACAATGCACTCCACGGGGAGCATCTCAGCACTTCTGTGCCTCCTCTTGGCGAGCAGCCCTCCTTCAGTTCTTTCCGCTCCTGTTTCCAAGGTAGGCCCAACATCAGATAAGAAGACCCAGGATATCACAAACTGACCACCACAGAACCATTCCCTCCTCCCGAGACAGTCGAACAGCCACTCCGAGGAAGGCACAAACTTGGGTCTATCCCTTCTAGGAGATCCTGGCATCACTGTCGACGGCTCCTCATCCTCCAGCTACAATGAAAACGGTGACTCTGATATGTCATCTGATGCCACCGCAAGTCTCGACGCTACTATCGGCATCCCCGATGGACCTAGCATCAATCTTGCCGACTTATTTGTTTCTCATTATGAAGAGAGTACATCTAAGCCTGAACCCCCTCCAACTCCCACTCCCACTTATACCCCACCTGAAGAACCAAAACCGACTCATCCCGTTGAATCTCCCCCTTCGGTCCCTGTCCCTACTCCTGCACCTGCACCTGCACCTACTCCGGAGCCTGAACCCAAACCACAACCTGAACCCAAGCCCGAGCCCATACCTGAACCTGCACCGGAACCTGAGCCCCCAATCGAAGCATGTCCTGCCCCTCAGCCAGTGCCACAGCCAGTGGCAGTGCCAGAACCAAAACAAGAACCAGAACAACAGCCGGAGCCCGAAACTAAAACCACTCCAGCGCCCGTTGATATATGCCAGTGCCCTAGTTAAATGTCTCCTTCGAAACCGGGCCCAGCGAAGATCAAAACAGAGAAGAAAACGAAAATACTAACTTGCTTGATTACTTGAATCTTCATGGGAGTTCACACTATGTTCTGACTCTCTGGGACATGCATTTTCTCCGAACTATCTTACTTTATTGTGTCCTTTCTTGTCTTATCACTCATTGGGTTACAACGTTGTTATACAATACTTATACTTCTTGGTCAGGGCTTCAGTCATCGGCGTCTTTCTTTTTTTCAGGGGTGTTATTCTGTCTTGTTTGGTTTCGGTGCTGCTGGGATGGTCTATTGATTTCTTGTATTATTATGTACTTTAGATTATTTTTCTTTTAATACCCTATACTGAAAATAATATACTCTACATGTGAAATTTCTGAGTCTTAATGTATACAGTTTAATTAATGTATTCTGTCAATCACTCAGCTTACTTTGGATCCTTGGTACAGTAAATTCGTGGAAATATTGACTAGCTGGATTAACAGAAATACCTGATAACTAGTCTTATGAGTTATACCATCATGGAGATCATGCCGTACGCCAGAGAACAAATGAAACAAATGATAAAAAAGAAAGAATAACATAGCAGAATTATACGCCCATGGTGAAATCATGTTCAATACCCGGCGTCACACTGGCAATGAATTTCAGGAAAACAACCAGATATTGATCCACCCGGATGGCAACTTGATCTTCCTGATCATGCTGCAGGACTTCCCATTCATCGCCTCCGCTCTTGTCCCCGCCCTGCTGCTGCTGCTGCTGATCGGCCAGAGAAAGACCTTTGATATCGTCGACTAGGCCTTCCAGCCCGCTGTCACCAGCGGGTGGTGCCTTTGCTGGATTCGTTTGAGCCTGTTTGAGCCTTTCACAGCGGAGCTTGAGCGCAGCGTCGGCGCGGTCCAGGAGAGTTTTCATGACGGATGCATGACGGCATGGATGCACGGTAGCCATCTTCATGCTTCCGTCAAACCAGGGGAAATCCTCCAGTGTGACGGTCTTATCCTTGTAGTCGCCCACGATATCCTCCATCATCAGCGGTGGTGGAAGAGGCTCCGATGGGGAGAGGTATCCAGACAGATAAAGACGCGGCGTGCGGTAGAAATTGGCATATGTGATGTAGAGATTATATGTACGAGTGGGTCTAAACAGTTACATTCATCCCTCGTCAACCACAGTTCCTTCAAACATGGATCAATAAAGCCAGGTAGAGAGATAGAACTTACTGAGTTGTATCCGTCCCCGCCGGCTCTCGAATAATAGCCTCTTCATCATCATCCTCATCTTCCATATCAGGTATCTCATCCTCTTCCTCCTCCTCCCGTTCACCCATATTCCCCGCCTCATCGACCGTTCGCACATCCCCGATCCGATTCTCCTGTCGAGCGACCGCATCGGTCCCTCCACCAGTCCGCAACCATCCATCATCATCTGCGTCCGCTCCCGCCCCCGATAACATGTCCCTGACGATCTCGTCCTCGTGTCCCGCATCGCCGGCAAAGTTATCATTCAGTCGTCGGTGACAGGGTACCCCACGTGTCACCAGGAACTGCTTCCCAGCAGGGAGATACGATGCCCGCTTGGAGGGCGACGATGCGTCGGCCCACGACCACGACGGAAACTTGTATACCAGGTAATCACCGGCCAGTACGAACTCTTCCGGCGTAATTTGGCCGGTGTTGCGGAATGTTGAGGTGCGAGACACTGGGGCGAGACGGTCCCGCCAGTTGGATAGGGTGGAATGTAGGATGTTCATTGTTTTAGTTCTCCCCTCCCTCTTTCTGTCAGATATGGTATGTCGGATCTATCGTAATTTTGAGTCTCCTATGTTTAATTGGTGTGTGGTGGGTTGTGTGAAAAGGAGAGGGAGGTTGATGGTGTTGGTCGGGACCTGCTTATCAGCTGTTGTGGCGGCCTCTCTTTGCCCGGGGCACGCGGGGTTCATCATGTGGCGGGTGCAACGGTGATGACCACCATATCGATATGTCCCTTGGTGAGGCTCCTAGTCATGCATCTACCTGCTTGTGGCTTTGATGGTGTGTTTATATGACTATTCTGGCTTGTGGAGCAATATTTCAGATCAATTAGAGTGGTGTATGATGACCCAGTAAATGAGATAGTGAGGTATATACAGGTCCCAGTATAGTATATTACATATTTATAGTCTCTAAGTCCCCCAAGCGCTATACGCAGGTCGCTTCTCCAACCCGAATTTCTTCCCTGTAATCGGTAGAAGTATACTGTGTCCGACAAGAATCTAGGACACGAAGTGAAATGGTTCTCTTGGCTGATCGCAACACGAGACACTGATTTGTCAGAAACTATCTCCTCCTCAAAAGTCCGACAGTCTAACCGTAATCCAAGTTCATTTTGTTCACTTGTCGTCTAGAAGCCAGTATCCGTAGATGGCGTCAAGGACAAGGGTGTAGCGTTTCGGGAGCTCTCGAAGCACTGTGTGGGTTGGGCAATAGCCAAATGTAGCCGTTAGCTTCACTCGCCCTCTTCCATCATTCTTCTTCTTTCGATCTCTGCTTCGGTATCGTCCAGAACCATAGGAATCGTTCGAGATTTCCACTTCTCCTTTTCTGCCCGCACAAATCCCTCCATGCTTCTCATGGCCACGACTAAGAACCCAAGCTCTTCTCGGTCCACATCGAAGACCTCCCACCATTCTCCATCGACGAGCTTAACTCCTACCTCCCGGGCGGCCAGGTAGATTGATGACACCGCAAGTGCGTTTGGTTGGTGCGTGATATATAGTAATTGCGGCGACAGAAGTGATGCGTTGAGATGCTCAATGACTCGTTGGGCAACAGCCGAGGATGATACACCAAGAGTCTGAAGGTATGTTAAGGCGATCGTCTGAGGGAGAGCCACATGGGTATCGAAGCCCAATGTGCGCAAGATGATTGATTCAATGCGCATAAGAACCAATCGCTGGCTTTGGTAACCACCTTCGGAGAGGTAGTACGTTTCTGGGGCCGGTTTCTCAGGCGATCCATTCGGGTTAACAAACCAAAGCGGAGATGCATCTTTGGACAGAAGGAAGGTATATACGTTCAAGATTGACCGGGGAGAGGTGGGTTGGAAGGATAACTTCGCTGTCATGTACAGCGCCGCGGCAGACACATCCTACGAAGACCATACCGTTAGTGATGCTACTTTCCTGCAGATGGATTCTATGGCGTGATCCAACCTTCACAGAGTAAAGCCGCAAGCTCCCACCTTCAGGACCAATCCAGAAACGAGTAAAGGTGACGATGGCCTGCGCTATGATATCCTGCGACAACCGTAACAATATCCCCGCAGCTTGCGTGAGCTGGGCTCCTGCGAAACGAATAGATGCCTCTAGGTCTGGGGGAACGCCATCGATGGATGACGATGAACTAGATAGCTGTTCTGGTGTTGCGAGAGCATTGGACAAGAACTTCAATCCCTCGGTGGCCGGGGGTGCCATGCTGCCGGGGAGGAACTTAGATCCCGCCCTGAATGAGATGGACACTCAACCAAATACAGTCAGGGAGCTATCAACAATATATTCTCGCCCAATTTAACGGTAGGTTTAACGCAGTTCACTTGCTGCGTACCTCGCCCGTTGGTTTAATATTCAGTAGCTGGCTGGCAGAATAATCCTAAGCTGAAGCAGAGAACAGCTTCAGCTTACCGCCTTCGCAATCGTATTATGTAATAATATAGAAGTGTCAGACGAGGTTCGGGTAGTTGGATTTTCCGAATCCCGGAGGCTTCCTCTTCCGAATCGGGCCCACCACATTCTCTAACCGGAAGGCATACTTACCTGCATCTTCCAGAGATCTAAGGCAGACTCAAACGCCAGACTTTTTGCGGGCAAAGAATTCCCACATACGATTTAATTCCTGCCTAGACTAACGCTGATCAATCGAGCTCTCCCTTCGATAGCTCCCATTCACTGACAATGAAAGATAATGTCTGACATTATCTTTTATTGTGATTTTGTTCTACATGGCCTGCGCCCGAAGCAAGAAGGACTGAATTGGAGGGAAATAAAGCCAATAAAAAAGACTATTAACCTAATGAGAAAGTTTGTTCTGTAGCTTAGGAAATAAGGTTCTAATATACCTCATATTTCTATATTGCTATTGACATTAGGTCCCCGTCGGTTCTATCGACTAGTTTGTACCCGTAGGATTTCCTGGTCAGCGACTGGCAGAAGTGTCGGGACAGTTGTTTCAGGTACTCAACATCATATGTGATTGATTCTACGACACAAGTACACATCGCTGATTGCCGATATTTATTGTAACTCGGGGTTGAGTTCCGATCCCTCGGCGGGTTGACCTCATGAGCACTCACCAATGCTGGCCCCGAAGTCCCGGATCATTGTCGGTGGAGTTCGATATAATCGGGTTGGCATGCACTGAATCCGTCTGCAACCGACATCATATTGTCGGTGTTGTTTCGGTGGGCGACCATAGTGTCATATTCACCTAAGAGGTTTTCCCATATCTACATCCGTCGGTTACCAGTACCTTCGATGAGGACTGTTCGGAGTGCACTGTGGCCGATGTATATAATAACTGGGTACGGACTGCAGTTATTCTGGGTTCCGTCGAGGTCGCTGGGAAGGGATGGGCAAGAAACAAGATCCGCATGGCGAAGCCTTAACTAAGGACCTTTTGTGCACCGTGACGAAGGCTGAAATAATAATAGTAGGATTTCCGCATGTAGTGCAGATGATACACAAATGCCGTGTCCGGTTCTTTGGCATAGGCAGGACTTTTCGTCGTCTCAGAGCGAGAAACTGCTCTTGTATATGCGACATATCGCTAGATCGGGGTAGTTGCCGGCCTGGAGGAAGGTCTTATTAGTGTAGTTCAGGCACCAGGAGCAGTCCTTTGGGGGTGTCAGAGGTCTTGTCGATCAGAAGAAAGAGCGAACCATTAAGAAAATCTGGTCATCAGACCCAGTAGAAAGCTTAATTTCTTGCATGTCGGAGTCAATTCTAATGACCATGTTCCCCTGGAAATTGGTCCATACGAGGGGAAACTTGGATGGATCATTTCAGCGTTATTGGGGATTGGACCTATACTAAATGAAAAGGTCCTCTCACCGGTGTCTGGGTAGGCATATTGACAACAGAGATCACTTAAAGGCCAAACCCTAGGCGCTTAAGATGTATCAATAAAAGGACTAAAGTGGCGTCAAGGCTCTACAGAGTAGTTAGCTAGTTAAATCTTCTGAAATATCGACAAGATGACTGGAGAATAGGGATTTTGGCGGGAGATCCATTGGGGAGGGAGGAGGTTGTTTTATCTTACCAATATATAGTGAATATGGTGGCCTTTATTATTTTCCCTTCTACACGCATAGCTCAGCTTTATTCACCACCTAGCTTTACAGCAGAATAGGTCCTTAGCTAGCTTGCCCTAGGTGGAAGAAAATATAGACTGCTTCAGTGAAAGTTGATCAGATACGTTAGGTGTCTTCAATATATTAAAAGCTTCTCCTAGTTAATGCTCAGTGACTTCTAAGGGTAGCATTATGAATTGGCTACTAACTATTCCCTTCAGATAATATGAATATCATTTAAGTGACACCAACTATAACTATTTTAGTTAATAGATGTAAAAGGTTTAGATCTATATTTAAATTTATCTGTTGATAGCAGAACTGCCCTGGACATGAACTCTATAATTTCCATGTCCTGCATATCAGCAATATGTTCTTAACACTACTATTAATAGTAGAAAGGGTGCGAGATAAATAACAATTTCCATTGGACTATTGCAGTTAAACAATCATAGGCGAATAACACCTTAGTTACGAATTTAAGAGAGCGCTGGATGAATAGAAGATGCAAGTTTTTTGTTCTCTCGTCAGTTATACGCTTGTTCTTTTATCTAAAAATAATTTAAGTTAAATCTCTAATCCTGCGCCAAAGAATTTTTAAATCAGATTGACAGATATCCTATATAACAGTGGTTTTAGATGCAATAAAGTTCATGTTTTGCCGAATCCTCCTATACGATTGTAGTATCGGGAGTCATTTGGAGGCGATACATATATTGTGAAAATGGAAATATTTAAGACATATAAAAGGGAGTAAAACAAAGAGCATGCATATTGTAGAGTACAGCACAAGGGGATTGGTAATTGGGGGATTTAAATAGTTAGGCCTTGACTGCGGATACTTAATTGAATATAAGAGTTGACCACGCTAGAATAGCACTAGAATGTTCGATAGAAGTGATAGGAGATTAGTTTTGCGACCAGGGATACCAACTTGTTTGTACAAAGTATAGAACCCTACGTGAACACCCAACACTGTTCCAAAGGTCCGGGGCAATGTATAAAATACCAAGGGTCGCGCATCTTTGCCTGTGTCGTAACTCCAAATGGCGGCGATCAACTGCCAAGTGCCGACCATGGTTCATGCATGCTGACTTGGCGGATGGTTTCCATGGAATAAAGAATCCAAGCAATTCCTTTGTTTTGATGCATATATCGAAGCGAAAGTGGCCTCTTCTTAGACCCCGCACTTGAATTGATCTAATTTCCCAGGAGGATTAGTCCATCCACTAGCTGATTCGGGGTCTAGACGCTATGGTCGGCCCCTGATTTGGGTTGGCATCAGCAACAAATTTGATCTGCCGTAACTATTGTATTCTACGATGATACTTGTATTCCGTAGAGATGTGCAGCGTCAATCAGTGAGGCAAATCTCTCTAAGAAAAAATTAGCCTAAGGACGGTTGCCGAGTCAGAATGAAGCAACAACTCCAGTTGCCTCGCCACGGTGGAGCAGACCGGGAGCTGTTCAGCCATCGCATTTTTGCTGAGTGGTTGACTGAGGAAGAAAAGATCGAGTTACCAGCCTCCATTATTTCTCGGTCGTTCCTGCAGCAGACACATCCCCATTCTCTTCCACTCAGACAAGAATATCTATCTCAACCCAGTTGGTGCTACGTTGTACCTGTTACTACTCCGGATTCCGTACTTAATAAGGGGCACGTGCGGGAGCTACGACTCATTATCGCAGAGTGCCGTTGGAAGCCATCCAGAATCACCATCTGAGGTTTTTCTGAATCCTGCAGTCCCTGGCTAATTAGTTGGCTTATCCACCGTTTGATCCCCGCGACTAGATTATTTCTTATTATGATTGTTAGTCCGTCTCAATAATTCTCAACTCATTTCTTCCTGTACTGCCATTATTATACGCCATACGATCTTCGGCCTTATTTACCACGATCTTTTTTGTACCCGACCCAAATAGGAACGCCTTGGGAAAAAAAATAAAAAATAAAAATAAAAAAAAAAATAAAAAAGAGACATATCGGGACTCTGGGAGCTCGCTTCAGCCCTCAACATTCTCCCCTGTACTTGATTCCCAACCAACTCTCCCCTGTGGGTGCACTGGATTGGACAACCTTTCGACGTGGCATTCCAGTCCGTGTCCAAGTGGCCACTCCTACTATACATCATTCCAGTCTCCATCCCCTTTCAATCCTGTCTGGTCAAGTTCCAGCGCAACAATGCTCCAGGACCTCGACTACCTTTCAACACCTGACACGCCCGCCATTGGCAACCTGAAACCTTCCTCGACCATAATATCCCCGCCACCCAAGCCTGAAGACATCCATCAGCCTTATGATGATTACCACCTGTCCCGCCGAGATCTTCCTGCAGCTTTGCTAGTACAGAGCTCTGATGCATCGTCTCCACCACCAGAGAAGCGGACGTTTGCAAATCCCTCTTTTCACCGACGGGCAAATACTGAAATCATTCGAGGAGAAACGCCCCGTTTGCCAGCTAGACACCTTTTTGCGGACCAGCCCAGAACATTCGAGGATCTGGACAAGCGATCGAAACCATCGTCAGAGAACGCCGCAAGAAGGAAACTCGAGGAGGGGGCAAAACTATTAACGGGTTGGTTTCAGGGCAAGTCTCAGCCAGTATCCCTGGGAGTGGTACATCCTCCAACGGAGCGAGAATCTACCGAAACAACCGACAACATGGAAAGACACACCTCTTACGGCTCTCCTGCCCCCTACACAAGTCCTACGCGGGCGCAGAAGCGTATGACTGCCCCCTCGCCCCTGAAGCAGGTCACATCGACGAGTCCATTCTCCTTTTTTGGATTAAAACGCCAGGGAGAGAGCAAAATGGAGCTCCCGGAGCCTGCAGATGATGAATTTTTAAACATGGACATCACGAGAGCTCTATTCCCGCCTGGATCCATTGACCTTGATGATCAGGATGCATTTGCTGCCCTGCGGAGCAACGCGGACAACGTTCTGAGACGGCTGCAGGCAGCGTATAAGCAGCGGACATTCGCTCTGCATGAAGTGTTGGCAGACAAGAATGAGAAGCAAGAAGAGCTCGAAGAAACCCGGACACGCGTGGGACACCTAAAGGTCCAGCTGGATGGCATGGCAGAAAAGGTCCTCCAGCAGGAGAAGGCCGTCAAAGCCATGGCGGAAGAGCTGGAGCAGGAAAGGCAGATACGCCGCAGAGAGGACGAGGCGCGTCGACGCAGCGTGATGCTGATCAGGTCCAGCGACGATGAGAGTTCCGACTTGGGTGCTGATCTTCAGACCCCCAAACGGAGCTTGAAGCGCGCCAGCAATGCCACTTTCACCAGCGACTCGGGATTCGATTCAGGGGATGAGAGTCTTTCAGAAAGCGTGTTCTCGCGGCGAGAATGTCTTGAGTCCCCCGTCTCGACAGTCGCTCCGTCGCCTAATATTTCGCAAGTCACACTCTCCACCCCTACCATGATACCTGTACAGCACCATAAAGATCCCAGACCTGTTCCAGCACCCATCTCTCGGTCTTCGACTTATGATCGCGTACTCAAAGGCCTCGCATCTACTGGTATTGCCAGTTCTTGGACCGGTAATTCGTCTAAATGTCAGATCTGCCATGGCGTCCCTGCCTCCGAAGCTTGGAGTGTCATGGGGATATTGAAAGAAGAGAACAAAGGTCTGAAGGACCGGCTAGGTGAGCTTGAGATGGCCGTCGATGACTGTCTTAGTCTTATAGGGCCCGGGTATTGAATTTCCGCATCATTTTCCTTTGGTTATGAGAAAAAGATATCTGCATTTTGTCTAAATATGAATGGTTGACCCTTAATTTTTTTTTTTTTTCTTCATTTTATTTTGTTGATGAAGAGGGCAATTTTATCTGGCCCTGTTTATGATGAATAGATTAAGTTATGATACCTTTTAGTGGTGAGCGCAATCTAAATTATTACTATTATCATTAATTAGTATTGCTCACAGAGCAAATGCCCGTCTGGGACGCTGAAGCGACCAAGTGGCCTCAACGGGTTAGCGCCGGTCGAAAGTGGCCAGCGAGGCGACTTACTCTGTCCACCTCAACGCTCCCTTTCTCCCGCTCTGCTCTTTTCTTCTTGTTCTTTTGACCTCTTCTTTTTCTTTTCTCCCCCGTTTATTCATCTTCGCTCCTTCAGCTGGTTCTCTGCTCCAGCCCTGTTTTTCTTTTCCCCCTATCTTTCCCCTTAATCCCTCCAGTTGGGGTGGTCGACACACAATGAGCGGCCGTGAGTCTCCTGCACGCGATCGCAAATTTTCTCGCGATGACGTTGTAATTTGACCCTCAATTGATTGATAATTGTTGATATGTGAATGTAGTCCGTTTTCTCGATTTAATCAAACCTTTCACGCCCCTCCTCCCGGAGGTGGCAGCTCCCGAAACCAAGGTGCCCTTCAACCAGAAGTTGATGTGGACTGGGGTATGTAGCTTTGGTTGGGCTGCAGAAGAACGCTTTGGGGCTGATAGATCATTCTAGTTGACCTTGTTGATCTTCTTGGTCATGAGCCAAATGCCTTTGTATGGCATTGTCTCCTCCGACACCGCGGATCCCCTGTACTGGCTGCGTATGATGTTGGCCAGTAACCGGGGTACTCTGATGGAATTGGGTATTACCCCCATCATCTCCTCCGGCATGGTTTTCCAGGTATGCTAGCAGTCCCCGCGGGGTTTCCTTTATGTCTCTTATTTTCTTGAGTACCGACTAACAGATTGGTGCTTATCCTAGCTCCTTGCTGGTACCCACCTCATCGATGTCAACCTGGACCTCAAGACCGACCGTGAGCTCTACCAGACCGCCCAGAAGCTTTTCGCGATCATCCTTTCCTTCGGCCAGGCTTGCGTCTATGTGCTGACTGGTCTCTATGGCCAGCCTAGTGACCTTGGTGCTGGTATCTGTGTTCTCTTGATTGTCCAGCTTGTCGTTGCTGGTCTGGTTGTCATCCTACTGGATGAGCTGCTCCAGAAGGGATACGGTCTTGGAAGCGGAATTTCACTCTTCATTGCCACCAACATTTGCGAGTCCATCGTCTGGAAGGCATTCTCCCCTACTACCATCAACACTGGCCGTGGCCCCGAGTTCGAGGGTGCCATCATCGCCCTGTTCCATCTCCTCTTGACCTGGTCCGACAAGCAGCGTGCTCTGCGCGAAGCCTTCTACCGCCAGAACCTCCCTAACATCATGAACTTGCTGGCCACTCTCCTGGTCTTCGCCGCCGTCATTTACCTCCAGGGATTCCGTGTTGAGATCCCTGTCAAGTCCTCGCGCCAGCGTGGAATGCGTGGCTCTTACCCCGTCCGTCTCTTCTATACTTCCAACATGCCCATCATGCTCCAGTCCGCACTGTGCTCCAACATCTTCCTCATCAGTCAGATGTTGTATTCGCGCTTCTCGGATAACATCTTGGTGAAGCTTCTTGGCGTCTGGGAGCCCCGTGAGGGTTCTGCCCAACTCCACGCGGCCTCGGGTATCGCTTACTACATGTCTCCCCCCCTCAACTTTAAGGAGGCTCTCCTGGACCCTATCCACACCGCTGTTTACATTACTTTCATGCTGGTTGCTTGTGCTCTCTTCTCCAAGACCTGGATCGAGGTCTCGGGTTCTGCCCCCCGAGACGTTGCCAAGCAGCTCAAGGACCAGGGTCTCGTGATGGCCGGCCACCGTGAGCAGAGCATGTACAAGGAGCTTAAGAGGGTTATCCCTACTGCCGCTGCCTTCGGTGGTGCTTGCATTGGTGCTCTTTCCGTCGCCTCCGACCTTCTTGGCGCCCTGGGAAGCGGAACTGGTATTCTCCTTGCCGTGACGTAAGCCAATTCATTCATTTCTATCTCATTTTGTGACGGCGTGACTGACAGTTTATTTCTCTAGTATTATATACGGATACTTCGAAATTGCAGCCCGTGAAGGCGATATTGGTTCTGGTCTCAAGGGCCTTGTTCCTGGTAACTAGGCAGGGACTCTTGTCTTCTTGATGAATAGCATGAGAAAGAAGAATGTGGCTTTGATTTGCTTGTTATATTTTCCCGTTTCTTCCCGGGGGGTGTGCTGTTGTGGCAAGAGTGGTGACTGGACTGTTTCGTTGGAATTGGGCGTGAGGATGAAATTGTCGGCGGAGATGCTTTTATCTTTCCGGCGGAAAAGTGGAAGCCGCAACTGTACATAGCACCAGCCTGGTTTGTAACCATATTTTGAAAAGACACTAAAATTAAATCTAATTGTCAGTGACCTTTTTTCCTACTTATCGCTTGCTTTTGACTATTGAGTGTATTTACCGAGACTCCTTGACATCGAATCGGAACGTAATCGTTATATACATCTATGAAGTAAATTGTGGGGTATGAGTTAAATAATTCTCGCTGATCTAGCAGTCCACCATGTCATGCTAAGTGCGATAATCGCCATTGATAGTTACGTATTCATGACTGAAGTCACAGAACCAGTACACAGCCTCCTCACCACCAAGGCCCTGCTCCCCCTTATCACCGCCTCCGAGGTCCACGACGATTTCCAGATCCTCCTCCTGCAGAATCACGCTGGCTCGTTCCTCATCCACCTGCTCCGGCTCGCCGTTCACCAGCAACTTCAGAACAGGGCTACCGTCAACCGGCTTGAAACTGACGCTCGTAAGCTCAGGAACCACCGTCCCGGGAGCTAAGCCCTGAGTATACCCGATGGCGCAGAGGATGCGGCCCCAGTTCGCATCCTTACCGTACAGAGCGGTTTTGACGAGCGGGGACCGAGCAATGGTGGACGCGATGAGTTGGCCGGATTCATAGTCCGGTGAGTTCTGCACACGCACCGTCACGAACTTGGTGGCTCCTTCGCCGTCTCGAACGATGAGTTGCGACAGGGACTGCGAAAACGAGGTGAGGACGTCCTGCATGACGGCGTAGTCGTCAGACAAGGTCGAGGCGATGGGCACTCCGCCTGCCGCGCCGTTGGCTAGGATGGTGACCGTGTCGTTTGTGCTGGTGTCCCCGTCAATCGAGATGGAGTTGAACGAGCGTGAGATAGCGTGTTTCAATAAGGATTGAAGAGCGGACGGCTCAATGGGGGCGTCCGTGCAGAGGACGCCCAGCAAAGTGGCCATGTTCGGGTGGATCATCCCTGCTCCCTTGGTCATTCCGGCCAGGCTGTATGTGTGCCCAGGTGAGGAGGGGAGCGTAAACGTGCGGGAGAGGAGCTTCGGGAAGGTATCGGTAGTGCAGATGGCGCGGGCTGTGGTGAGCCAGGCCTCGTGTGTGGATGAGAGGTTGGCATGACCGGTTGGAATCTTGTCGAGAATTTTTGAGATCGGGAGTCTGTAGGACCATGTAGCATAGAATGTCAGTGATCGACTCGGGATTGTATGGCGAGGAAATAAATGTTCATGAGCTGACATACCGTTGTCCAATGACTCCAGTGCTCATGACGAGAGTGCTGGGCTCGTTGACACCATTGCATCCGTCCACCTTCTTGCCCATATTCACGGCATCTTCCAAGCCGCCTTTGCCCGTGACAGCATTGGCACAGCCGGAGTTGATCACCACCGACTGGATGCCTTGTCCCTGACGGCTTTGAAGAATATTTCGGCTCACTTGGACAGGAGCTGCCTGGAACTTGTTCGTGGTGAACACAGCTGCGGCCGAACATGGAGTTTCGGACGAGATTAGAGCCAAATCGGGGAACCGGGTGTTAGATGCCTTCACACCAACATGGGTTCCTGAGACGAGAAATCCCTTTGGATAGGTTCCGGACGAGGGAATATACTTCTGTTTGGTGGCAGGAATGGCCATGTCCAATGGTGCGGAATAATTGCGCACTTGACCCTTCATCATTCGAGCGAAAACAGCCATAGCGGCTGCGGGTTGGGCAGGAGATGCCATAGAGAGTGTTCTATGGTACCTCAATTGCGACCGGAGCAATGTTCTTGGTAAAAGAATCTCACGTTTGGTAGAACAAAGGGCGTCGAGACCTATATAGTAGCTGACCTAACTACCTTAGCTAGATTGATAGGCGGAATGAGTCAGGAGTGGAATCGGGTGAAGTCAACTCAATGCTGTGTCTGTCTGTTCCCAGGCGATGTAGACGAGCAGACCACAGGCCAGATCACCGCTGCAGAAGCTCACGACAGAAATCCGATCCAGTCTCAGTCTCAACGCAGCTATTGGTGACTCGGAAATGCCGCTTTGACATCTCTCGAGACCTCCGATACCGCGAAGTCGGAGAAACAGTCGGCCCAGACAGCGCATTGGTCCCAACAAAAGCCACGAGGGGGTAAGACCGAGAGATCAACATTCCTCCCTGTCTACGCCCTTGCGTGTCTGTGCTGCTCGGTATCTCAGCTAAGTCGTTAATAGGTGCTGTCGTGTCTGGATGGTATTTTGCCCTCTGCGCGTGTGTCGATTTTCGAGGCGTGTTTACTGACATGAAACGCAAGCAACCGGATTCGGACGACGAGCGTCCTGTCTCGACGCCGAAGAGACAGAGAACGGCAGACTTCAATGGCTCCACGAACGGACATGTCGAAAAGGGGGATACAGTGATGACCACGCCGGTGAAACGAATAAAGTCGACCTCCCAGAAAACTTCGACGACAACGCCGGCGGCTTTGAAGGAATCAGGAATAAAAACACCTACGCACCAGTCCAAGGCAAAAGCTTTATTTTCGACCCCTACGAAGAACAAGTCGACCTCTACACCGTCCAGAGCGCGTAATGCCGACCGGTCCGCGAAAAAGAAGAGCGCCCGCTTTCTCTTGGAGCACGATGAGGATGACATCTGGGACGACGGTGACCGTTTGGCGGAGGAGATCCTGGGGGATGAGAATGATGTCCAGGAGACGACTACTGATGGCAGCAAGGATGTGGTCGAGTCAGTTGAGGCAAATACAGGGACCTCGGTAAACAAGAAGACGGCTGCGACCCCAAAACGTCGTGCAGGAAGACCAAAAGGCGCGAAGAATAAGCGATCTCCAACTCCAGAAGGAGAGCTCCCACCGCACGAGCGATACTTCTTCCAAAACCGTGCTGGTCCTCCCCGAACGTCGAATAATAATTTGAACAAAGTGCACCTTTTGACTCATGAGGAGTATTTCGAGAAGTTGGCCAAGTACGTGGATCCCTTCAAGAAGGAGAAGTCCTTCTTGTTCGACCTTCATTGTCGATCCTTCGCACAGTGGAGCTTCGAGTTCGATCAAGGCTTCAACATCTGTCTTTACGGATATGGCTCCAAGCGCCTGCTTGTACAGAATTTCGCCGATTGGCTCCATCAGAAACACAGCCCTTCCCCTCCTTCGATTGTCATTGTCAACGGTCATACCCCGAATATATCCATCCGATCCATTTTTGCTACGATTGTCACAGCCGTTCTTGGTGCGGATATCCCATCTAAAATGGGTTCTCAACCCGTGGAGGTCTTGGAGTTATTGCAATCGGTGTTGAAATCACAGCCCTCGCGACGGCCAATTACTGTCCTAATCAACTCCATTGACGCGCCCCCCCTCCGACGAGCAGCGAACCAGGCTCTTCTTGCGCGGTTGGCTTTCACGCCAGAGATCAACCTCCTAGCAACGGCCGACACTCCAAACTTCTTATTAATGTGGGATATCAGTCTCCGTGACCAGTTCAACTTTGCTTTCCATGATTGCACCACCTTTGCACCTTTCGAAGCAGAATTCGACGTGGTAGAGGAGGTTCACAGTCTTCTCGGCCGCAAGGGCCGACGCGTTGGTGGCAAGGATGGCGTTGAGTTCGTGCTGAAGAGTTTGCCAGAGAACGCACGGAATCTGTATCGGGTTCTTCTGACGGAGCTCTTGACCATGATGGATGACGGGCACCAATCTGACGATGACATCGACGGTGGTAATGATGCTGAAGAACGAGGAGTCGCTAAGGAAGAGATCGGCATTGATTTCCGGCTGCTGTATCAGAAGGCCTGTGAAGAATTCATTGCTTCGTCGGAGATGATGTTTCGCACCCTGCTGAAGGAGTTCCACGACCACCAGATGATAACATCCAGAATGGATACGAGTGGAACGGAGCTGTTGGGAGTTCCGTTGTCTCGCGAAGAGATGGAGGGAGTCCTGGAGGATTTAGTGTTGGGCTGAGATGCCTTACATGACTTGATGATACCCCATGTTGAACAGTGTATCTATATAACCGATAGTAAAAATTATATTTGTATCGATTCTCGTCCATTCCACTATATACATAAGCACAATATAGAGTTAATTCCGCATCCTCCGATATCCAAATGCTAAGCACATCTAAGCACCTTTCCTCCAACGGTCCACGAACGGAGGCCTCAGAACTGTGCAAAAGCAGCCAGCGCCATCGTCGCTCCAAAGCTCAACTTAAATGGAATTTGCCGAGACACCATACCCTGCAGATCCACACCTTTCACGTACCGTTGCAGTTTCTCCAAGGGAAGGACGTTGAATCCCTTTGCGGCAGCCCACTTCTCCTCAACACGAATATTAACCAAAGTCAGGGAATGAAACCATGCACTGGATATCTTACATACCTCAACCACAACAATGCTCATACCCAATAGCACCACCAGGGCCTTTGAGAACACCCGCAGTCCGACACCCGCGACTAGACCTAGTACACTTCCCAGACTGACCTGGCGCATGTTGGACGCCGTGAAGACCCCCGATTCCGTAGTCGTCCGGGTGCCCGTGGTGGTGCCTTGTTTGTGCAGAAGCGGATCCCTGGGGTGGATGGCCCAGTTGGGGTCCAGCGCTTCGGAACGGGGGTAGGGAGCTGCATACTGACATTGCATTGGGGCGGAACGAAAGGGAGACAAGGGGCTGAGGGAGAAGGAGAGACCGAGGCCAACGCCGAGGATGGCGGAGGTGCGGGAGAAGAGGAGTAGATTGGATGCCATACTAGATAGGGACTTGTTGGGTGATTTGGGGGAGGGAGTGTATATGAAGGTTCAGTGCGAGGGGGAATGTGGGTTTATAGGGAGGGATTGGAGCAATTGCTTCTTGGTTGATAGATATAGTTAAAAGACTGGGCGCTGATCTGGAGAATTGAAGATGACGTCACAAGGCGGTCTGTTCGAATGTGGGAGCCTGGGTAATCAGCATTGAGAGATGGTGGTACTAAACGGACGTTTGTTTTTGAGAGATTGAATAAGTCTATTTAAGTTAGAAGTAGTCGAGTCTACAGTACTATAACATTGACTGCCTGAGGTGGATGTGTCGATAGAAACTTTGATGGTGTATCAAATCGTATACCATGCCTGTCCCAATAGGCCATACCATACCATACCAGACACTTGACAGAACGATACGTGACCAGGAGGTTCCTGTTCGAATCCGCGGAAAACGTCAACATTTCGGCGGGGCCTTTCCACTGAGGGAGGGACGCTGATGCTCTGATTGGCCAGTCATTCCGCGCGCGGAACCAATGCTGGAAAAATTCGGCGGGGAATTCTTGGGTGCCTCCATTCTCAGGCTGCTTCTGTCCGGATGGGTGACTCACTTTTCTTTTAAATTCCTCCCCTCTCCCCTCTCTGTAAGTACACCAATCCCTCTCCCATTCGTCTTAGATCCTTTGGAATACCATCCTCTCTCTCTCTATACACCCCTCACTCGTCCACAATGGCTGCTCAGCAGAACGGTGCCTCCAATGGCTTCACTGTCAAGGCCGGTTTGGCCCAGATGTTGAAGGGCGGTGTGATTATGGACGTCGTCAATGCGGAACAAGTAGGTGCTTCCGTTGATTGTCTATCTGAACCCAGATCCTGACTGCTATGGCCACAGGCTCGCATTGCCGAGGAAGCGGGAGCTGCCGCCGTCATGGCCCTTGAGCGTGTCCCCGCTGATATCAGAGTTGAGGGTGGTGTGGCGCGCATGTCGGACCCCGGCATGATCAAGGATATCATGAAGGCCGTTACTATCCCCGTCATGGCTAAGGCCCGTATTGGCCACTTCGTCGAGTGCCAGGTAAGCTAACGGCAAGCAATTCTGGACACGCGTCGAGAAAACTGACAATTTCGTTTCTATTAGATTCTCGAAGCCATTGGTATCGACTACATCGACGAATCCGAAGTCCTTACCCCTGCTGACAACGTCTACCATGTCACCAAGCACAACTTCAAGGTCCCCTTCGTCTGTGGCTGCCGTAACCTGGGTGAGGCCCTCCGTCGTATCTCCGAGGGAGCTGCTATGATTCGCACCAAAGGTGAGGCTGGTACCGGTGACGTTGTCGAAGCCGTGAAGCACATGCGTACAGTCAACGCCGACATTGCCCGCGCCCGTGCTATCCTGCTGTCCTCCGCTGACCCAGAGCCGGAGCTGCGCCTGCTCGCTCGCGAGTTGGAAGCACCTTATGAGCTCCTGCGCGAGACCGCCGAGAAGGGTCGCCTTCCCGTGGTGAATTTCGCTGCCGGTGGTGTTGCCACTCCGGCCGACGCCGCTCTCATGATGCAGCTGGGCTGCGACGGAGTGTTCGTGGGCTCGGGCATCTTCAAGTCGGGTGATGCGAAACAGCGTGCCAAGGCCATCGTCCAGGCGGTGACTCATTACAAGGACCCCAAGGTTCTCGCGGAGGTCAGCGAGGGTCTGGGCGAGGCGATGGTTGGCATCAACGTTTCGAAAATGCAGGAGGCCGACAAGCTAGCTCAGAGAGGATGGTAGATTATCTTTTTTTCCCCGCTTATCCTTTCTGCCATTTTAAAAAGTTTTCCGGTCGTTTTTTTTAATCCATATATTTTGGGCGGGCGTTGAGAGAAGTTGGGAGTGCCATCTTGCGACTTTCTATTCCTTCGTGTTGATATTGCCTATAGTATACATTCGGCCTAAGAGCAAAAGAAGGTATACCAGCATTTGTTTGTCGATTATGAGCTATGAGCACTTGAAAGGGGCATTCATTATTGCGCATGCTTTGGTGTATTAGTAAATAAAATTCAACAGGACAATTAAATGGGTTGCTATATAACCATTCCTAGCCATTTCGGTGAGCAATTTAGTAATTTGATTCTGCAGCTGCTTGCGTGCTGCATTCCGTACTTGGTAGTAGTCTTCTGTCCAGAATCGGGATGCTCTCACCTCTTGCTGGATTTGGCAGGCGCATTCGTTCTCACAACTGGCCCGTGCGTTGTCTTGTATTGGCCATACATTCAATTACGCAACCAATATATTACCGTACCCGGTCATACAGGCACCGCCATACCACCATACTATCAAAATAGAAGTCTCTGAGGCATCCAGAATAGGCAGGAACTACTAGAACGCTATCTTTATCCTTATAGAGCTCTCTACCAACTTCTACTCGCTTCCTTAATTTCTCCATAGCTCCTTCCAAGCAAGCAGTCGACCTCCCTACCATTCCTCCCATACTCATCCGCACGAAGCCACTCAATTGAAGCAAATCCAATCATGTCTGCGCCCGTAAATACCGAAGAGGCAGAGACACCAACACCTGAAATCAAACCCGATAGATTGATTCAAATCTCAATCCAAGGCACCCCTATTGATCCTACCACCAAGGGGGCAGACACATTCACTACTACTACCACTACTACGAACCAGTACTCCACCCACAAACTTCAACTTTCATTCCTCCGTCTCCAATTCACCCTCACCTCGATATTGGTCCTCATCACCAAGTACGTTTGCTCGCCGCGGCTCCGATCGACCATCTGGCAGGCTGCAAGAGCTCATCCGCTGATTGCTTCGTTCCTGCTATGTCAGATCGTGTGCTCGGCCGTGCCAATGGGGTTGTTTGCGTTGTTCGCATCGGGGATGTTTATGGCTGTCGGGGTGGGGGTGGCCATGTTTATTTGTCTGGCTGCTATGCTCCTCACGCCGATTATGATATTTATAGCTTTTATTGCCGGGGGGTTCTGGGCTTATTGGATGGTGATTTTTCTTTCCGCGAAACGGGTGATAAACACAGTTCGGGATTGGAGAGGTGATGTTTTTATGAATGGTGAAATCGAGATGTGAGATGTGAGAAGCGGATACTAGACGGGCTATCTTATGATATGATGGGCCGGTTCCCTTCTTTAATTTCTTTTCTATCTTTGTTTTTTCTCTTCCGCCTTTATCAGGTTTATTGATTTCATGTCTGCCTGACGGACATGGCTCTGACGAGATTCCTCCATCTTCCCGCTGTCTGGATTCTATCTTCGACGTACAGTTGATGTTATACAAATGATTAGACTGTACTCAACACTATCGTAATTCACTACTATGCATGATCCTCCGCCCATTTTACCCATCTTCGTATACAGTTATCCACTCGTTTCAGCGATGTTTTGTCCGCCGGTACTTCGAACCACTCCCGGTGTTCTTTGCCGCAATCGTCACACCGTCCAAGGTTGCGTGCTTTGATATCGGCGAGTTCCAGATGGATCAGTCGCTCCACACGATGGACATGGCGCACCTTTCGTCCTCGTTCTAGGCCGGGTCTGGAGCGTCGGTCGTGCCATGCAGGTGATGGCTGCGGTGATGATGGCGTATATGGGTAGTACCGGATCAAAGTGAGGTCGTGAGAGCACTGTCTTGTCCATTCGTTCAGTCGACGTTGCACATTGCTCGTGCGGCCTATCTTCAGACGCAAAGTACCGGGGCTACTGTTCGTCGGGTTGGTCGTGAAGGTGTTAAGGTCCCGGGCTGTTCGAAGAGCGTCACTGACGCGACGAGGATGCCCAGACGGCGGGGGGAAGAGTGACGATACGACGTCGGCCGGAGGAGGAGTGGATCGGGAGGTCTGGGAGGGTGTCGCCCAGAACATGTAGATGTAGCCCGGCTCGTCTGCGTAGGAGATCGGCTTGGTCATCTCGGTAAGGAGAACTAGACTCGTCTCTGGAGAAACCGACGGCGGGATCCATTGCAGAAGAGGGTTTGTCTGTGAGGTCGATGGATCCTGAGACACAGATAAAGACGGCTTTTGGGCCTTAGGTGAGAGTTGCTGCATTTGTGGGCGATCTGGAGTTGGATGTACGGGTCTGGGTAGTACGATATCTTCCTCCTCGATTACCTCGAAACAGCAGCAAATGGTTCGTTTCTTTTGTTTCTTTTTCCTTTGCTGCCTGCGTTTTTTGACTTCTTCTGCATCGTTGATGTCCAGTACTCCTAGTCGTTCCATCAGAGTGTCGATACTGGACCGTGGCTTCATTTCGGGCTTGTTGGGCCCATTGTTCGTTTCCTGATGGATTGATACGGCTTGGTCCTTGTGCTGCCAGCAGTACAATTCTGTTGGACAGGCTCTCGCATGTTTGGCTGAAGACGACGAGTCGATTGGAGAGGCTAGAGGGCGGCGACATGGCCGGCCATTGGCAGTAGTGCCTTTACATGTGGTGGATGGGTTTAGCGAATCAGTGCGCGGCAGGAGAGATTCGGGCGTATTTGCGATATGAGGCATGATGAAGATCGCATGGAGAATTGAATAGTCAATGGTACCTGTGTTGGGGAAAAGAAGATACCAGAGGCCCCGAATGAGGTCATGGAAGAATCTTTAGATGAACGGGCTAAACATAGTGAAAGAAAGCAGCACCGCCCACCAGGCCGTCAGGTGGGCCTGACCCACTCCCAAGGCTCATAGTGACATAGCGATGTGGATCGAGGCAACTCAGTCTTCAAAGAACGGTAATTATAATTAGACCGGTCAGCGACGTTGTTCGAGTTGGCGCCCGGCATCTGTTTGCACCTCCTCAGTGGCTGGAGCAGGTGCAGTGTCGACCCACTTGGCGAAGACAACAAACTGGCCTCGTATTGCATCCCATTTGGAGGTAAGGTAGTGAGGTACTCGTCATAATGCATACAATCGTGTGATCCTATAAGGCTCTCCCACATACTCCACAGCTGGCATGGCTCTTTGTCGGGTATATTTGGAAATGTTCTGTTTGCATTACATCACATCTCTGAGCCTCACTTTGGACGGACTTCGTAAAATTAGTTAGCAGCTTTTACTCAGAAATATCCAGCTTGTGTGTATATCTCTCTCCGCAGCTTTTTTTTTGGGGGGGGTTAAAAAGAATTATTTCTTCAGATTGTACTCCATTTTATCTATCCAACGTAGTCAAAGCCTGCCCCACGACTTTTCACCCAGAAGGAACGTGTCAGCTGGACAGTTTGTGTTTTGGCGCCCCTAGCGGCTAGCAGAGACGCAAGGAAGCGCTGCCTGTCTTGAGGAGATGTGGTTGCACCTTGGCTCTGATTGGCATTGTCAGTCCCCAACTCAGACAATGCCGCAGTCAGATGCGGCCGAGCAAGGCCTTGATGTTTGAAAATGACCCTCCTGAGCACTTCGCAGAGGTGCTCGAGATCGGACCGTGCACACCGGCCAGTGACCTGTATAATTAGGATACGACAAAGGGCGGGGAGGCTTTCTTTGATAGCATTTTGAACGGGGTCAGCTTCAATTGGGAGATTCAAGGTGCTGACCCAAAATTGAGATGCAGACCGGAGAGGAAGGGGCTCTGGGCCTTGTAAAGAAAGAAGGGTGAAGTTTAGAATGGCCTGCAGCACTGGTGGTCGCTGCAGATGCCCATTTCCATGGCTGGACTCGGTTTGACTGTGCTCCGGAGGCGCGCTCTTAAGCGCAAAGAGGAAGGGGTGATATTTGGGAAGCAAACGGGTAAGGAAATCAATGCCACTGTTAGCGACCTCGGGATCATAAAACTCCGACTTCTCATGCATCCAGCAGAAGGTATTGTATACATGTAGAATCAATGCAATGGCCTCTTCGCGGACGTTCTCTGGGCGCGCACTATGAGATGCGAGGAACGCCGAAGCGGTGCCCATGACCATGTCGACGCCAGCACTTCCGAATGGTATACTCTTGACAAAGTTGACAGTCACTGTTGGTGGAAAGACGTATGGGCCTGTTCTTTCGGTGTAACCCGCCTTCAGGATGTCGCATGCTGCTTCAATAATGGCCACGTCTAGTGGGAAGTCGGTCATCAGAAGCTGCATACACTGCATGATTAGGGTCTGAGACGCAGCACCGTTACTCGTATTCCAAAATGTAGGTGGATAAGGATTTGTAATTTCACCATCACTGGTGTCTAAGGCAATTTCGTTATCCGTCCGAAGTCCTTTTCCAATACTTGCAATACAACGAAGCGCCAAATGGCCACGGCAACGGGCAGGATCCACAAGGCCGCGGGCCGCTTCATCCCGTGCCGTCACCGCTTGTTCATGGAAGAATTTCAGAATTCTTTCGAGGAACTTCGCTTTCTCGTCATCCGAAGGCAGCGTCTGTATTATAGCCGCGACCCCCTCCAACACCTTCTCCATTGTAAGGGTTGTAGCGGTGGGCTTAAAACGGAACTGCTCGAATTGATTCATGAACGCGGGAAGCTCGAAAGTAAGAGCATTACGACAGGACTTGCAAAGATAAGAGATAGACTTGGATGCCGCCGGAGCGCATGGTGCAACGTCGAGAGATGCGAAAAGGAATGTCAGCACTCGGGGAAGTAGAGCGTGGGTTCGTTCGAAGTAGGACTGATACTTTCCTAACATGTCCACTAATGTTTGGCGAGGTTTGTCCGGGATGGCCATTCCTTCACTCCCACATAAAAGGGCAAACTCATTGCTGAAGAAAATCGAATTCAGACATTCATCCGCATGTTGGTTTTCATCCACGGCCTCGGAAAGCTGAGCAATGCAAAAAATCGCAGCCTCGAATGTTCTCCAATCTTGGTGCGGAAGAGATGACCTGGCGCGTTCCTGAAATACTTGGACCAATTCCACCCCTAACATTGGATAAATTGCGAGGAGGAAATCACAGACATCGCGGCGAAAAGATCCAAATTCCCCACGGTCGTCATCTCCCCAGCCTTGCAGCTCTTCTGGACTCGGGTACTTGAGCTTTTCGAAGCAGTCCATAGCTGCACGAGCCAAATTCGGTTTAGCAAAATCAGACCCGAGCTGTTTCTCCTCGTCCAAATATAGTTCCTGAAGGTCATCTGCAACTTCAGTCCACCATTCAAGGACTAATGGTGACGCTGAATCTTCAACCGCCGCATATCCTGGAGCTTTAAATAGCGTATGGAGTATTGCTAGGAGCTTTTCATGCCGCAGATCATGGGGCACCCGAGTCAGTAATTCCCTTTGCTTGAGTGTTGAGTATGCCAATAGTAGCTCCAAATATGTCATATTTTCGTCTTCAAAATCACCCTCCATTAATGAAGAAATATGGGCGGTACCAAGGTCACTAATTAAATAGTCCAAGATAGAATCTAACTGCTGCTGGTTGAATGTACTATCACGCCAATCCAGGAGTTCGATCAAAACTTGCCCTGCAGCTTTAGATAGGCTGGAGGTCTTCAAAGATTGGACCACGTAATTTGTAGTGGTGCCAAGTTTCGAGGCGGATAATGTATCTCGCGGTTGAAATGCGCTTCGGACAGACATCCATGACTTAGATCTGAAGTCAGACACTTGTCCAAGCAAATCGTTTATCCAGATGAGAGATATAAACTTACATTATACGAGTTAACAGCTTCAGTCCCTGGTCCCTCATCGGAGATAAGACTAGGAGCAGTTTCCTGCTGCAGTATCTGCTGAAGAACAAATTCAATAAGAGAGAATGCGTCCTTGATATTTTCAGCTATACGGTCGTTATCTCCACTTCGGCGTGACTCCGAGTGAGATCTGTTTATCTCCTCCGCGAGCGTGTTCGAGAAATAAAGCAAGCTAGCAATTTGCATTTCTGACAGGGCAGGGAGAACCGCATTTTGTAGATCAAAAGATTGACTTTGCTCCTCGGAAAGATACTTTCCATTCGCCAGGGAGGCAGCCAAGTTCCAGAGAGCACGCGTCCAAGGAGCATTTGGCTTCAAGAAGATCGTCGCCAGACTCGATGCCAGCTTTCGGATGACCAAAGGCCGTTCTCCTCCGTTGACTAAGAATACATAATGGTCTATTAGCCGACCAAGAAGTTCCTGGGCTTCGTTTTCATTCAACTGGTGCCTACAGTGCACAGGTCAGTGGAAATTCTTGCAAATATGCAAGCCAGTACTGAGGTAACACACCAGTCTTGATTAATTTTAACAGTGAACGTTAAGGCACCAAAAAATCTTAAATCAGTACTTGCATCATCATTGAGGAGATAACTGGCAATTATCCATGCATGGGGACCCTTTTGAAGGATTTGCAGATGCTCCTGGATGGCCTTGATCTTGGAGGGGTTGCCAGTGTTTGCAGAGTCATAAAGCTGGGATACAAGCTGGGGAGCTGTTAGGGACAGATCTTACAAACAATTGACAGAATACAAACTCACTGTTTTTGCCTCGTTAATGAGGAGCTGCACATCTGAGGCTTGGCCTGGGACGTCCATTGAGGCCGTATTGGCGGGCACAAGAAATGTGTATAGATTGTCAGCAAGACAGTATAGGGGTGTCACGTGTTGATAACACTATAGTGAAAAGGTTAGGCGGTGAGAAAGTGGGATGGAGGGGATGTGGTGGGAGAAAAATGAATAAATGCAGGCGTTCTATTAAGGAAAGCAAAGAAATTAATATCTAGAGTCTTTCAAAAAAAAAAAAAAAAAGAAAAAAAGAAAGGGGGGCTTGTGACTAGTCAGGCTAGGGTAAGAAGGATGGTAGCCTGTCCATCTTTACCAACAGCCCACTATATCAATCAATTCTCAACCAGACAATCAATTCTTTGCTGGTCCAGCAATGTTGAATTTGGCCTGATAGAGGGGGGAGGAGTGATGATAAATAACACTAAATAAACCAGAGCCTGTTATACCATTACTTGGCTTACATACCGCCAAGCCTACCCTGGCCGTCTGACGAATTCTATCGTTCCAGTTTTGCCCATTTTCCCGCAATGACGTAATCGAGGCAGGGTCACGGGTCTGTATTGTACTAAACAGTCTGAGCCACTTGTAATTAGTTAGCTACCTAGTAAGTTAACAGATACACCAGCCCAAACCAGTCTTGTTGGTCGATATCTCCACGTCTACCGCCTCAACAGACACTTGGCTGCGCCTATAACTATCCTTCTGACTTCCTTCAGCATCCTGGTCTTTCCTGACTACCCTTGCTGTCTCTGTGTAACATTCCAAAGGCTTGTGCTTGCAGTGCGTCAAGTTGGGATACCTCTTCCCGGACACCTGCATCGCTCCTTCCTCAAACCCGCAGTCGATGCTCTTTTCTCGCCCTCCAATTCGCCTTCGTTGGTCATCATCCTTCCCATCGGCTCGACAGCTATTTCTTTCCCCCCCACGATTTTTTTCCACCTCTGTTTTGCGCTACGCCGTCGACATGGAGACCGTGGACACCTCCGAACGGCTGTCGAAATTGAGGCAGTTAATGCAGGAGCACCAGGTTGATGTATATAGTATGACATTATAATCCCAATCTGTCATTCCAATAGGATGTTATTCTCACCATTTCCAAAGTCGTCCCATCAGAAGATAGCCATCAGTCGGAATATATCGCCCCGTGTGACGGCCGTCGAGGTTAGAATCTCGCCCTTTTGTTCTTACGTACTTTGGATACCATTCAGCTCCACGGTTATTATTGGACATCTTTGTAACTCAGAATCTCTGCAGAATTCGTCTCCGGTTTCTCGGGGTCTGCAGGAACTGCCATTATTTCCATGAGCAAAGCCGCTCTGTCAACTGATGGTCGCTACTTCAATCAGGCTGCAAAGCAACTTGACAGCAATTGGCAGCTCCTTAAACGGGGTGTAGAAGGTGTTCCAACTTGGCAAGAATGGTATAGCGCATGCAATTGATACGATATTAGAGGACAACGGATTGACTAGGTATATGTTTTTTAGGACCACCGAACAAGCCGACGGTGGTAAAGTCGTTGGTGTTGACCCCGCCTTGATCACAGCATGTAAGGTCATAATATACGCTTTTTATGTGAAATAAAGAACCTTGGAGAGCTGATTTCATATAGCGGGTGCGCGCAGCCTATCCGAGACTCTTAAAAAGAGCGGTTCATCGCTGGTGGGAGTAGAGCCGAACCTGGTTGATTTGGTCTGGGGTAAAGAGAGGCCTGCTGCTCCACAAGAGCAGGTGAAAGTACACCCATATAAATTCGCGGGGAAGAGTTTCCAGGAAAAGATCGGCGATTTGCGAAAGGAATTGGAGAAACGGAAAAATGCTGGATTCGTTATCTGTATTGTAACCCCGGCTTCTTATAATCCAGCTTATGTTGATGACTGACAAGAAAAATAACAGCCATGCTCGATGAGATTGCCTGGCTGTTCAACTTGCGAGGAAATGAGTACGTTCATGCGTGCCTATGCATCAGACTTCTCGCCTGCTAATATGTTGCTGGCAGCATCCCCTACAACCCCGTGTTCTTCTCATACGCCATCATCACACCTACGACAGCAGAACTCTATATTGATGATGATAAATTGACACCTGAGGTTAAAGCCCATCTTGGTCAGGATGTCATTATAAAACCGTACAACACTATCTTTGCTGATGCCAAGGCTCTCAGTGAGGCTAGGAAGCAAGAAGCTGGGGTACCAGTGTCCAAGTTTCTTCTATCAAACAAAGCTTCTTGGGCCCTTAGCCTCGGCTTAGGAGGTGAAGAGCACGTCGAGGAGGCCCGTAGCCCTATTGGTGATGCTAAAGCTATCAAAAATGACGTGGAGCTTGCTGGTATGCGGGCATGTCATATCCGCGACGGCGCTGCTCTGACTGAGTACTTTGCTTGGCTTGAAAATGAATTGGTTAACAAACAGACTACCCTTGATGAGGTCGACGCTGCAGACAAGCTGGAACAAATTAGGTCCAAGCATGATCTCTTCGTGGGTCTCTCCTTTGATACAATTTCTTCTACGGGCCCCAATGGTGCAGTCATTCATTACAAGCCCGAGAAAGGAAGCTGCTCCGTCATTGATCCCAAGGCGATCTATCTCTGTGATTCCGGTGCCCAATATCTGGATGGAACCACCGATGTTACTAGAACATTCCATTTCGGGCAGCCTTCTGAATTCGAGAAAAAGGCTTTCACTCTTGTCCTGAAGGGTGTTATCGCTTTGGATTCTGCTGTTTTCCCCAAGGGCACCAGTGGCTTTGCGCTTGATGCTCTTGCTAGACAGCATCTGTGGAAGGAAGGCCTGGATTATCTGCACGGCACTGGCCACGGGGTTGGCTCTTATCTGGTAGGTGTTGCTATTCAAATGAGAACCATCGCCCACTGACCACCTTCTAGAACGTGCATGAGGGGCCTATGGGTGTTGGCACCCGCGTCCAGTACACCGAAGTTCCGATCGCAGCCGGGAACGTTATCTCAGATGGTATGGCACATAGATTCGAGCTAGAGAAGTTTATTGGCTGACCGTTAAAGAACCCGGATTTTATGAGGACGGAAAGTTTGGAATCCGCATTGAGAGTAGGTCACACAATGACGCCATATGCATGGAACTACAAGATTGACAAAGGGATATAGATATCATAATGGCGCGGGAAGTGCAAACAACGCACAGTTTTGGTGATAGGCCGTGGCTCGGCTTCGAGCATGTCACAATGACTCCTCTGGGTCGCACCCTGATCGAGCCGTCTCTTTTGAGCGATGGCGAAATTAAATGGGTAAATGACTACCATGCGGAGATTTGGGAGAAGACTCAGCACTTTTTCGCAAACGATGAGTACACACGTAAGTGGCTTGAGCGAGAGACTCAGCCCATTTCCAAATGAGGGCTACCATGATTGTATCTCATGCTTGGCCGCATGCTCCTCATTTCTGGGCCTTAACGTTAGTTTGGCAGACGATGGACACACTAGGTAGATACTTTCCATATCATTAGGAACAGAAGAATCCAATAAAATGTATGATAACTGCTCCCTCCTGATGGAGGGCATATGTACTCCGTAGTATGTAGTATATCTAAACATCGATCCTCAGCCACTCTGGTAGAATTCAGTGTTGCGGAACGTGGCTGGTTTGCTGTGGAGAACGAATCGCGAGCCACCTCCAAATGTCCTCATTGCTTACCTTTCTACTCCCTCCAACTCACGATTCCCGTTCTGCCTCCGTACCATCCGACGAATTCGCACGGTCACGACCATTTTTCGAATTCGAGGACGATCATGCTCGCATCTTCCCCTTCCTGATCTTATCGCGCTGACGCTCGGACACAAACAATTTGATCAACGACAAAGTACGGAGTACAACACCGATTCCCCAAAACGCTTCCCCGGATATCTCCGCAATCAGTCTCCGAGTTGCATCGCATAGTGTTTGCTAGCATATGAGGCATTTGGCATGAGTGCAAGAAGCGATTACGCCAACGGGTACGGTTACTCCGACACCAGCCGGTACGATCGTTCCGATGGCGGATACGGCAGCGGGAGCAGCAGCAGCAATTTGGGGGTAAACGGATACGGAGCAGGAGGGGTTCGAGAACGTCGCCCCGGTGGATATGGAGGTTTCTTGGACCCTGAGGCTTCACAGCAGCCTCCACTACCGCCGCCCCATTCTCCCGACCGTCGCCGCGATCGATGGGATCGGGACCGCGAATATTCCACATCGCGTTCTCGTGTCCGCGAACGCGATGTAGATACTGAAAGACGACCGCCTAGATCCCGCGATGGTCGACCGCATGGAGAGGCTACTACCTGGCTGGGAAGTAGTAGCAGCCGTTCGAGGGAGAGAGGGAGGGATAGAGATAAGGACAATACTCCAGCAGGAGGGCCTCAAGCGACGGAAGGTTTGACACCCTGCTAATTTTTTGTTTTATACTTTTTTGCTAGCTGTGTTATGAACTTCCCAAGGCTTAATTACTAATGTCTGATGGTTGTTGCAGGCGTTCTACAGACCATCCAGCGCGAATGGGCATTCGTCGCAGCTGATGACTGTGTACCAGCACAGGTGGCGTTGCAGTTGATGGATACAAGCACTCTGGGAAAGGCAGACCGCGAGCCGGACTTTCTGAATATGCACAGCCAGATCCAAAAGACCCTGAAGTCTGTTGTCAATGGTTCGTTCTCGCAACTTTCGCTTCACCGCCCGTCCACTGATACTAAAACGGTCTCTTACCAGAACACCACCAGGGGTTTAATAGCTCCATTGGCACTTACCATAAAATCCAGTCAAGTATACAAAGCTCACAGGGCCGGGTACGCAACCTGAAAATTGCCCTAGAACAAGCAAAGTTGGGATTACTCTCTACCAAACCCGAACTGAAGGGTCTAGCTACATCATCCCAGAAATATGACGACATCATCCAATTGTTTAGCCAGATTCAGGAAATCCAATCTCTCCCAGAGAAGCTGGAATCGTTGATTTCAGACAAGCGATTCCTTGCTGCCGTGGAAGTGCTTCACAACGCATTCCGGCTTTTGCGACGTTCAGACTTGGACAATATCGGTGCCCTGGCAGACATTCGGGCCTACTTTACCAACCAAGAAACATCACTTACTGATATTCTAGTTGAGGAGTTACATGACCATCTATATCTCAAGTCCCCTTACTGCTCTGGTCGATGGAAACCACCGACATCGGAGGGTGAAGGCAACAGTGGAACCTCCAGCTGGGCTGGAATGGGCAATTGGGAGCGACCTGTGTATGGGTTTCTCGCGAAGCTTGATGCCAGCACACCCATGGTAGAGGACTCTTCACGGAACCCGGAGGCCGACACTTTTTACTATATCCGACTTCTGGTTGAGGCATTAAACAAGATGGGCAATTTGGACATAGCAGTGGACCGGATTGAACAGCGTCTCCCGGTTGAGCTTTTTGCAGTGGTTGACAAAACCAACGCGGAAGTTGATGCACGTTACCCAAATCCAGCCCGTGGTTTTGGATCTGAAGACAGCAAGTCGGCGTTGCCTACAGAAATTATCGAGAAGCGGGGCTATGTCTTATCGGAATTCTTGTGGGCATTGTATGCTAAGTTCGAGGCAATCGCTGAAGGCCACCGCGTCGTTCACGACATAATAGTGGCTATTGTGGGACGCGAGGGGATTCCCCAAAGCAGCAATCTTGTGGGTGGCTTCAAAGAGCTGTGGAAGCTCTACCAGAGTGAGGTAGGTAGATATCCGTACGAATACTTTGCGAGTTCTGATGGTAGCTTTATATAAACAGATCCGATCCCTTATGCACGACTATTTGGCCACCGATGGAGAGTCCTCCCTCCGGCCAGGAGCTGAAGACTCGGACACCAGGCGTCAGCTTTATTCGGGCTATAGAGACAAGAACAAGGTATCCTTTTGCCATAAATGGGCGGCAATTAGTAGTCGTGCTAACGAACAGCAGAAAATGTTCAAACTATCAGAGACAGATGGAACGACAGAGATACAAGCCGAGCAGGATGAACTAGACGAAATACTTCGCGCCTCTGTTCCTGGCTTGGTATCTAAGTCGAGGCAGAAATCCTCTACAGATAATAATTCTGAGTCCAAACAAGGAAACTCAGGCACTGGCCATAAGATTCTCCTCAAACCGAGTGTGTTTAACATGAGTCTCCTTCTCCCACCCTCGCTCTCTTTCATCCAACGCTTGAAGGAAATTGTTCCCGTGGAATCCGATATTGCCATGAGCACATTAACGTCGTTCCTGGACGATTTTCTCGTCAATGTCTTTCTACCGCAGCTGGACGATACAGTTACCGATGTGTGCACTCTCAGCTTCCTTGCGCCGGATGCATTCACCGAAGAACCCCAGTGGTCGGCTGTTTCACCACGGCCAGTCTTCAAGGCAAGCCATAATCTTCCCGTATGTGCACAGCATTTGCTGACTTGGAGAAATACCAGGGAACGGTCAAGTTCATGTCTATCATCAGAGAATTTAGTAAAATGCTCTCCAGCATTCCTCATGACCAGGCATTCTCACAGCTCCTCATAACGCAGATAGTAACCTACTATGACAAGTGCTGCGGATGGTATAAAGGTGGGGTGCCTTGAAAACCTGGTTATCTGGTACGATTTTTAACGATGTCTATAAAGCTCTTGTTACGAGGGTTGCTCCTCGAGATAAAGGCGAAGTTCAGATGAAGCCGGCGGCTCGATTTGCTGAGTCCGGTGAGCTACACGACTTGGTCAGTAGATTGTGGAAAGGGGTAGACGAAGACCGAGGGGACCTCATCGACAAGGTGACTTATATCTTGACTAAACAGCCGGTCAAGCATCAACTAACTCTCGCAGGAAACACAAATTCTTCTTAAGCGCACCAATGCCGTGCCCCTGGAACCGTATGACATCATTTCGGATCCGAAAACAGTTGTTGCTCTATCACTACTTTACAATAGTATGGTAGGTATCCCCAAGTCACTTATTTCGTTGCATATGACTGACAGCGGCCAAAGCAATGGCTTGCAAGTCATCTTAAAAAAACTGCGCCAAGTTACACAATACAGTTCTGAATCGCAGAAGTCGCAGCCTGAAAGAGGCCCAACCAACCGCCGATGGACATTGGTTGGCGCCATGAAAACCAGGCGTGACAGCGTCACTCAACCGGTGTATCTCCCGCTGAACCCAGAAACGGCTACTGCATTTGACACAACTCTCCAGTCCTTACTTGATCTTTCTTTAAGCTGTCTCTTCGCTTTGCACATTGACATTCGATGCGGCGTTGTTCACATGCTGACCCGAACAATGGCCGGACCCAATCCTCCCAATAAATGCAGTTCTGAACCCGCGACACCTTCCCCCAACACAAACACTAACTGGTGGCATATCGTCATGAATCAACCAACGGCAGCATCGCCCGCAGTCCTTGAGCTGAACAACGATCTAATCTCGTTTGACACAAATATCTCGACGTACCTCGGGTCTGCAGAAAGATGGTTCATTACATCGGGTCTTGCCAGGTTCATCGACCAGGCGTTCGTCTCGAGCACTCGTCACATCGGCGCCATGAATGAGAACGGGGCACTTCGACTTCAGTTGGACGTTCTTGTCTTGCAACAAAACCTGAAGAATATCATCATTGCTCCCAGCACGGAAGGACCTTATAATAATACCGCCGCTAACCACGAGGTCGTTGCTCTTCCACGCAGCGCTAAATTCCTAGATTGGTTCCTGGAAGGTGCCGAAAAGGCACTTGATTATGCCAAAGACGAAAAGAACGCATTTGCCACTCAAGGTGAGAAAGCGCTGGCAGCAGGTAATGGAGAGCCTTTCACCTACGATGAGCTTAAAGCACTCGTGGATCTGTGCTTCTCGGATGTTCTTCTGGGTCCCAGAGGCGCAGAGAACCGGGAGGATTTCATGGTTGCAAAGAAAGCCAGCGCTGATGCCCTTCTAAGACTGAATGAATTCATGTGGGATTCCAAATGATGGGTGTTTTTTCAAGTTGCGGAGTTTCTGGCATTCTATCTATCCAATTGGACCGGCTTTTCCCTTGGGTTCAATGGAATAGAGTTACATGCGACTTTACATATCAATTATACCTAGATATGCGAAGGAATAGAGCGATGACGATGACTACAGTCCTCCAGCCCTGCGATTACAGGGCAATCAACCAATCTGCTACCGCAGGAACATAGATATCAATGACATATCTGACTTTTCATACACCCGGAAATTGTCCGATGAACAATTTATCCGTGTTCAATACCGGCTTCATCACTCCTGGCGCTTGCTTCATTTCTACCAGAGGCACTGATTGCTTACAGTGGGTCTAGGCCCGTGTAGTTTAATTTCCCAACAGAAAGCTAAGCGTTTAGAGCCATCAGTCGAGTGAGTGATGATGCACAACTCTCTCCTTGGGTTGGGGTCTGAACCGACTTGATTCACAATCGGTATTTCAGATTGAGGCATCATTTAGTTATCCAGCGATAAACCCCAAATCTGGCAGCCATCGTTCTCAAATAGGGCTTATGCTTCATTTAAGACATGCCACTAAATACTTTGTTTTCGTGGATGGCTAATTTGTAGATCGCGGGCGTCAGGCGGTTTATGACTGCCCCGAGGGCCATCGAAGGGAAATAAGTATATCTTCTCTCCCTGCTGCTTCTTGCTATCTCTCCTTCCACAATCATTGAAATATTGTCCGTAACGGGAGACATTTTCGTCCTGGGATTCGATATCCAAGTGTCCATTCCTTATATTTCATTGTTTCCGGTGCTGGCTGCACGTCCGATCATTCTGAATTTGACTCAACGGGCACAGGCCTTTGTTCATTTTTAACTTCCGTTGCCTGCGACGTACTATTCTTGTCAAAGCATCTTCCAACCTCTTTTGCGAACCATAAAATATCAATCCTTGATCTCTCTGGGTATTGCTGCCTTAGGGACAATGGCCTCCGCCAGCTCTCTATTCCGGCGCAACGACAATGGCTAGTACCAACTAGGCTATACGGCCAGCGTCCATTACATCACGGTCACCATGGAGCCTACTCTAACTTCCGTTGATCTGGCCATTTCCATCCAGTCCTCTTCTACAGTCTCAGAGAATACAACCATCACTCCCCCAGCCCCGATGACCTTGTTGGAAATCACTCCATCTGTTACCACTGAGGCTCCTGTTGTCTTTGCACCGCCCGTGGAGTCGAGTATTGTATTAGATACTTCGATCTCTTCTATTTCTGTTAAGCTGTAGCCGACGGTGGCCGTTGACCCATCGAAGCCCATTGCCGCCCCAACAATTACTTCCAATACCGAGCCCATACATGCTGCTACCACAGTCAACTCCATCACTAACCCTGGCTCCTTATCCAGAAGTTCCTTAAGCGAAGTCAACTCGGGCAAGCCTACTTTCTACGGCGGCAGTGTAGCCGGAGGAGCCTGCTCTTTCAGCGGCTACACCATTCCCTCCAACCCATTCCGAACTGCTCTTTCTTAAGCCCGCTGGAACGACGCTGCCTTGTGTGGTGTTTGTGTATCCGTGAAGGGGCCATACGGCAACAGCGTCAATGCCATAGTGCGTTATATATCTCTTTAGCCTCCCTATGTCCCAGATTCATCAAAAAGGGAAGCCCCAAACATAAAGAACAAAAAACCAACCCAAAAACCCAAATACGGAGTAGATATAAATGTCCCGAATGTGAATCCATCCAGTGTCTTCGAATCCGCCTTCTCTAAATTATCCAACAAAGCAGAAGGTATCGTCGACATCGACTGGTCCTTCGTGCCCCGCAACATTGAGACCCCCATCACGTTGAAGAACAAAGTAAGGTACCTCTGTCCACTGTTTCTCCATGCAAATCGTCAAGGTCAAGGAACCTGTTCCTTCGCCAGAAGTCAGTACCGAAGGCGATATTACATTGCACAAGACCACGGGGAGCTACTATAACTTCTTCTGATTTGATCCTAAAAATAAGCACATAGCTGGGTTCTTTGTTCTCCCACACTAAGGATGAAATTGGTGATGTGTGGTGGTATAGCTTCCTTAGGCAGTCTGGCTTTCCTTTTCGTCTCTCCCTCCTCACTTTTCTTTTTCGGTTGGCTTTAAACCTTCGCTTTTTTCGCTCTTGCGGTTTATTAGATTTGTTAGTATCCTACAAAACGTTAGTGACCTTATATGTTGTATATTTTGTCATCCACTCCGTACCTCTCAAGAATAATCTGGACTATGATTAAGTTTTGATACATACCATGGATAGACAAGAAAACACATAACTACAATTTACGGAGATTAATATTTGAAAATTCAACTTGCATTCCCGATAACGCGCCGCGATATCGCAGGCTTCCGAGCCTCCGGATTAAACACTCCCAGCCATAGTTTCGCCAGCCCATCCTTGAAAATAATAAAAAGCGGGACAAAAGATAACATACAGAAAGAATCAAAGTAGGAGAGAAGATCAGACAGGAGAAAAAGGAAAAACAGAAGACCGACCCCAGGCTAAAAAGATTACTGTGTAACCGATCACAGGAACGCACGAGTCTGGTGGGAAGCGCAAGGAGAACTGTGCTTTCAAATAGAGAAGGGTAAAACATAATAATACCGAACTGATCCGACAGCAAAATCAAATGAAACCTGATACGGAAGGGTAGTTGTAGGAAAGGATGAAAGTAGGAAGACAAAAGGGAAATAGCGATCATGTGAGAATCTCAGCCTCCGAGATGATGAACAAGTCGTAGCGCATTTAAGACCGTAAAGAAGACACACTGCAGAGAGAATGTAAATTTAAGCAATGTCATTCGAACCAAATATCAGACCTGGCCCTGGTCAACCTCGAGAGGTTCCAGTTCCTTTGATTCTTCATAGTCGTCGAATTCTAGGCCAGCATCACGGCAGCGCTGCAGCCACTTCATGGCGATGTCCCCTCGACGATTCACCTCCACCTTTAACTTTGAGTTCTGCGAACTGATCTCATTGATGGCATGACTTGTCGTCATATTATTTTGTTCCCATCGTTCGCTCATGGCTTTCTTTTCATCATGCAATTGACAGATGTATTCAATCGCACGCTGCAAGATGGCACCTTTGTTCTTGTCACAGTTCGGAACAAGACGAGCGATTTGATTGATTCCCTCATTGATCGCCTCACGACGGCGACGTTCCACTAGGGGCCAGTCAGTATAGAACCATTTTTTACATGGTCAGATTAATTTACCCTCTTTGTGATTGTTCTTCCGGATCTGATGCCATTCCGGAGAGCCAACGGAGGGCTTCTGGTTCATGCTTTGGGCTTCGCGCGCCGCATATACTGCCGCAGCGGTGGAATTGTGCCCATGGGCGGAGCCAATAGCTTGGCCCATCTCATCTCCAAATGACAACCCATGCGTAAGATTATTATCAAAAGCCGTATCTGGTGGCGGAGGATATTTGTTCTGAGGATTGTGGGCGGCCAGGGCAGCTTTAGCGGTCAGGGCATTGTCATCTGAGATGCCATTCTGGGGGCCGACATGCTGTAGAATCTGCTGGTCTATGTTGAGTTCAGAAGCAGTGTTTGGAAGCCCATGATGATCATAAGAGCCAAGAGAACTATGAGCGAAGTTTGCTTGGGCATCGGGACCGGGAATAGCGCCGTTGCTTCCGTTGGAAGAACGGTTCAGACGCTGAGCATCCGGACCTGTGCTATCAGTGCTTTCACGCTTGCGCTTGTTGGGCATATTGCCATCCGAGGCACCCAGCGACGGATCGGACATGATGACAATAGTTACGGTTCAACAGCCCTAGCAATAGCAACGGAGGTTAGTATGCATTGGCCATCGTTGAGTCCAGACGCAAAACCATACCTGTTCAACAAGGCACAACCCAGAAAGGTTGTATAAAAACCTGCTACTTCGAATTTAATATCACCAATGATTCTGCTCAGTCAAATTCAAGGTTAGTGATACTGGCTTGTTCACACAATGTCAGCGTGGCCTAGCAGAAGGCCAAGGTCTCAAGATATATACCAACAGAGATAGTGGGACTTCAAATTAAAAGGGAGAGAGAAAGTAACATCAATATTAGGAAGCAAAGCAGCATTCACAGCAAAAGAAATTATGTGAATCTGATCAATCATCGAGGGAACCATGATTGAGGTGCTGGGTCAAACATGAGTCGGCGACGCGTTGGGCTGACGCGCCCATCTCCGCACCCACCAACAGGCACCACAACATCAAGCAGTTTGTGAATCCCAGCTGCGCCAGGTAGGATTTCCCACAATACCCTTCTATGTAAATCCCATCAAAGGTAGAGAAAGCACTGTGATGAAGGGGTGGAATACAACAGGGAGTATCTCAGAAGTCCAAAGGCCCTATTAGCAACGCGTCATGGCGGTTCTGCGACCGACGTAACCAGGGTGAAAGGGGAATGTCGCGCACAAACCCCCCTCACAGCCGGATCACAGCGGGCAGCGGGAAACCAAGGCCAGAGACGACCACTGATGGCCAGATGGCAGCAGACAGAAGGGAAGGGGGCGTGGGGAGTGAAGCAGCAGTCGCAGCAACAGCAAGGAAAGCGAAGGAGACCAACTCACTCTTGGGATGGGCTGTCTATCACCTGACAGCAAGTCACCTGCCACGGGCAACAACAAGAGGAAGATCGCGATTCGGTCGCGAGAGCAAGAAAACGAAATTTAAGCCCGGGAGAAACGGTCGAAAAGGAAAATTCCAATTCAGCGACAGTAGGCCAGGCAGGACTTGAAACCGAGAAAAAAAGATGTGGTAGAAATTACCCTGGAAAGAAGGGATACCTGGAGGAGTAGAGTAGAGCGAGCAAGTCGAGTAGAGAGGGACTGCTCACGTGGCGAGGGCCTGACTGACTGGCCTGAGGGTTGAAAAGAAAAGAGGTGTTTCCGTCGGTTGCGGCGGGCGTGGCGCTCCAATAGTGCAGTTCCGGGTCACCTGATGCGCCCGAGGCTAAACACCCCCAAAAAGTTCAGGATGTAGGTATGATCGAGTATGGTTAATTTACTATGTCGCAAAACGCCTTGTCGGGCAGAACTCATGAAGCACTGTACTTGCATTGCTTGCCCCCAAGCTGCACTTATCAACCACCCGCCTGGATGCTTCTGCCCTCCTTCTTACCTCTCCTGATGTCATGTGCCGCGATCCCGTGCCCCCTCCTCAGCCAAGGGGCCCGTTGCCGCTGCTAATTGGCTGCTGGACCCGGCTGCCGGAGGAGGGGTTCACCCGATAATCACGTGGTGGCGGCCAACCTTCCGCAAAGTCAGCGCACTTCATGAAAAGGAGCTCAGGCTAAATGAGGCTAGTACGTATGTATGTATGTATGTGCATACATCTCGGGGTACAGTACAATGCTACATTAAGCATGCGTCCTTCAAAGGATCTTAGTCTCCGCCCCGTATGGACCAACGGTGGTCGAATGAGCCACTTCGCCTTGCTTTGCAGAACCTCATCATTGGAGTAGCATCACTATCCCAAGCTTGCTTATCCCGGTCGGCCCGACCCTCCTTGGGTTCCTGGTAGGTAGCACAGTCCATGACCATCGTGAATAGTACGCTTCTGCGTTCTTTTAGCGGCCGATCTTCTAGTCTGCACATGGGCCATGGCGGCATTTGTGTTCCCTCCTCCCCCTCCTTCCATCCATACGGCTCACTTCCTTTATTCAGAGGACGGCGGATCGGAAGAATGGGAGTTGTTGACAGAAATGGAAAGCGTTGACAGACATATATCTTACTATTTCAGTCCCTTTTTCAAGAAGATGGTCCCTAGTGGTGATGGTCTGTCTCAGTTACTGCCCCAAAAACCCCTCCAAATCTGCTATTTCTCTACTGAGTTTCTGCCTCCTACCTAAAGCCATACCTTTTTTTTTTTTTTTTATTTTTTTCAACTGCCTTGCCCTATGGTATCATCAACTCTGATTAATGATCATCCCCCACCCAGCCCAACTGCTCTAGAAAATGCGCGTACTTTTCTGCGCCTCCAAAAGAATGTGACTTCATCCGACCAGGTGTCACATGTACACCGGTACCCAAGTTCCAGACACAGCCCATCTCCCATTTGTCCTCAGACGGATGATGGAGCAGGCTGGAAGTTTACAGTCTGTGTGGATCCCCCCAGGATTGCATACATATTGAAGCCGTTTTCCACGGCTGCCTGTTAAGCAGTCCATCTGATGAGTCGCCGATCACGGATGGGGGTCATGCGGTAGCTACAGCGCCGAATATTAAGATAGGGCTCTGATTATCAGTATTTGTTCTCCTAGAATACAACGGAAGGTTATTTAGCGGGTATGGAGACTGGAAGTCTCCTCGTCTCTGTCGTGATATCTTGTCACATGGATATATCTCCAGGAGGATGACTATCAAGTGACCCACATGATCGCTGTTGAGTCGTAAGACTTGGCTTGGAATCTTGCTCGACTGTCTATCAGCTTCAACAGAATGAAAGGCGTCAGAATGTTTTTTTTTTAAAAAAAAAATAATAAAAGGTAGATAAATATTAAAAAAAAAAAAACCCCATAGACTAAGGATATCCTACAATACAGTCTTCCGAAATCAGGACTGGGGTGATTGCAAAGAGTATATTCTTAAGAGTCTCATCTAGTCGAGAAGGCTCTGTAGCATGCATACTATCACTGTCTCATGACATCGTCTCTACGAGAACATAAAGGATAGTATGACCACTAAACAAGACGCCACTAATGCGAGGGCTAAGTAAGCACTATCGACGTTAAAGTCTTCTCACTAACTCAAAAACTATGTTCGGATCCGTAGTAGTATCAGCGAAACAAATCCCTTCGGTTGCGGCGCCCATCATATTCCAACAATGAATCTTCACGTCCATCGGTGGCATCTCCTCCTTGGCCCTGTCGCCATCTTCGGGTTCATCCGGGGACTTCTCCACCCTTGTCTTAGACCGTTGATCTGCAGATACAGGCAGCAATCGCTGTCTGATAGCAATGATAGCGCTCGTTCCCGCATACCGAGCTAGGCTGGCCCCATCAGACCCCTGCTCCTCTCCAACTCGATTGGCAAAGACTATAACTATTCGCCTATCTGACTCGGTTTCACTGGCATTATCGATGTCGAAATCATGGCCCATCTTCTTTCTGATCAGAGGTATAAACCGTTGAATCCAGTAATTGAAAGTATCCATATCCGGCTTGTTAGCGAGAGAGGCCAGCTCCTCTCTACTCAGCAACGTGAGCCACGCCATGGAAAGCACCACCAGTTGGGTCTTAGAATCAAGCACCCGATTTGCAAATTCCCAATCTGTGAACGGTGCCTCAAAGCGGTACGGATTGATATCCATGCATATACCAAATGAAGTGGCCACTTTGGACCCCGGACCCTGGCCCTTATTCGTCAAAGTGAGCTCATGAAAGCTTCGCTTTGCGTTCCCCTCTGCAGCCCAGGTCTCATCCGTGTAGTATAGGAATGTTTTACGATAGTTTAGAATGACCTCTCCGTTTTCATCAACCACCAGAAGAGAATTATAGCATTTTTCTTTCTCGCCACTCGGGCTGCCTTGAGTGGCGTCTGTTTTCTCGATCTCGGGATACCCCACGCAGACTTTACACTGGTATTGTTTCGCAGTTTCCTGTGCCCAGTTGGTGGATGGACCCTGTCCCATGCGTTCTAAGTATGGCTTGATCGCATCCAATGATGGAAAGTTGTACCCTATAAAGAAAATGAGTCCCGGTATCGTCTCAAAGGATAAAATAAACACAACCAGCCTATTGAACTACATAGTACTCACCTGTCAGAGCCAACTCCGGCAACACCAGGATATCCGGCCTCAAGGTTCGAATCCCAGTCCCAGGCCCACCTGATCCAAGAAGTTTGCCATGCTGTAATAATTCATTGGCTTGCTGGATATTGCCCTCGACATCGCCCAACTTCGGAGCAAACTGTAAGGTGGCTATTCTCATTTGCCTGCGTTGTCCATGAAATACGTGCTGCGCAGGATTAGGCGTGCGATAGCGATTGCTTGCGAGACTCTTAGAGCCGCAGCGAATAGGATATGGCCGGATCAATGTTGAGAGAATACGTCTCGGGGTAAGCGCAACGTGTATGGGCTTAGGAGACTTTACAGAATAAATGGTGGCTGTCTTGTTTTCTATATCTATTCGCGTCGAGTCTGTGGACTGAATAAGCTTGAGATGGTTCCTGTGGGCACTTGATGTCACTTTATCGATTGCTGTCTTGGGCTTTAATTGGCTGGGAGTTTATATCACGTGATATCTGTATTTTGCTGACTGAGCAACAGTTTTCTGTGATAAATTTATCTAGTAGTGTACTCTATGTGGTAGGAACTCGAAGTCGAGGAAGTAGTTGACAGCCCTGTGCCCTTTATAGCTAGAATCCAGACCATAATCAAAACACAAAATATTCCAGCGCCATGCACGATGATGTCCAAAGGGAATGGAAGTATACAAATGACTAAGTAAAATACAAGGTGAAGCTTGCCTAAGCAAACAGTAAAAGACCACACAAACAACGCCACCACGCAATGCAATACACATCCCACTACTATCAATACTAATAGACTTCTCAACCGGAATGCCTGAATGCGACGATTTATTTGGACTTTCGCTTCTTCTCAGGCGTAAAGTCCAAGGGTTTATATGCTAAACCCCTCCCTCCGGTTGACCGGATCCTTTGCTCGGTTCGTGACATGGTACGGCCTAACCCAAAGTCCGTATCGGGAGCCAATGCCACATCATACCCATTGACATGAGACGACTGAGGAGACTGGCTTTGTGAGAAAGAAAGTGATGACGAAAAGCTGCTATGCGGACTAAAAGAGTGCCGGGGCTCAGAAGGTACAGACCAGCTGTCTAAAAGTTTGGGCCCACTTCTTAAAGTCTCGGCGGCGATACGTGCTGCGGACAGGAGTATCTCATCCTCGTCAACTTGGGTTGGTTTTGGTGACTCAAATTGTTCTGCCGAGTGTTTCCGGGAAACCAAGGCCTCAATATGTTCCAATATGGGAAGTTTCGGTAAAGGTTTGGTAGAGAAGAGAGCCATGGACTTGGGACGTGCAGTAGGCACTTCTGGTTTCGAGGCTTTGGGTGGCTTGGAGCCGTTTTCTGCTGACTGTTCTTCTTCTGGGTCATCGTGTGCTCGTTTACGACTCATAGAAGACGTTCGTCGTCGCTTCTCGGCTACCTCTTTCAATGCCTCTATCCATTGAACACGCTGATCATTTACATCGGTTGCTAGAAAACGAAACAGTCAGCCATATACAGCAACACATTTTTAGAAAGTGACGTACAAGGTAAGTCCTCGCTGGTGGTCTGTTCCGTAAGAGAAGCGAAAGACTCATCTACACTTGTAGAGTCGGTAGAAGGTTGAGATGCTACAGACACATCGGAGGCCTTCACGCTCGTGCTGCCTGACAGTGAAGAGGATTCAGGCCGTTGAATAATATTATGATTGAGAGACGAAGCATGCTCTTGAGTTAGAGCTGGCGTATCCGCGACTTTATGGGTATCTGAATCGATATGCTTATTTTCCAAAGGCTTTGCTTCTGAAACACTAGGCGAGGCAGCAGCAGGCGTTTTGGGTGTCAAATTAGACAATGTAGTTGCTGCCGGACTAAACGAAAAAGCCGGTTTCCCTTCGAGCTTATTAGCAGAGTATTAGGTGCAATTGTTGCTTTAAACTACTATACCTTCATCTTCCGTTGGAGCAGATGAACTAGGTAGCCTAGACAAGGCTGCTGGCGTGTTTCCTAAATTGCTCAGCGAGAATGCCAAAGGAGTTGGCTGATGCTGCTGAGCGCCCATACCACCAAAGCCTGTAGCCTGGCTGGGAAAGTTGAAAGTGGAGGTATTTCTCGAAGGGGCCGTAGATATTTTGGTTCCGTCGAAAGTTCCAGAAGGAGACTGGCCAGCAGTAACACTCAAAAGTGGTTTGGTTGTGTTGTCAGGGGCCGTTGTATTGTTAAATGGCGAATTGAATGCTGTTTTATCTAAGCTAAAAGGGTTCTGGGTTCCAAAGGATGGCGCCACAGAAGGAAATAGTGGAGCCTTGTTTGCGTCTTTTAGTAGTGTGGAAGGAGTTTGCCCTGCAGGAAATATGGGAGCGGGTTGTTGAGAGGTTTGAGGGGCAGAGAATGAAAAGCTCCCTGATTTTGTCTCAGACGGCTTCGTAAATACTGAAGTCAAACCCGAGAATGGACTAGGAGCCGCAGGCGTCGGAAACACGCTTTTTGGTGTGGCTGTAGAAAATATCGAGGAAAACAGGTTCGATTCGCCAGGCTGAGATGTTTTCGGCGCCTGTGTGACTATGCTCATTTCGTCTCTGGCCGGTGTTTCAGACGACTCATTGAAGGAATTGTCAAGGCTAGAGGCAGACACCGGAGAGTCACTGGTAGCAGGGCCATTGGCGAGAAGTGCATTTGGCTGGGGGCTGGAAGGTAGGACTTTGTTGTCGTCATCGCTCACAAATAGAGAATCATCATTTGCAGTCCCTGGCTGTATGCGTTGCGGTAACAGGTAGGTTTCAATCATTCCTAAAGTCGCAGCCTCCTTTATATTAAGACCAAGGATGATCGCAACCAGGGTTCTGCCCGCACGCTTTGATTCGACATATCTTTCCGAGAATGAGTGGTCCGACGATGGCTGGAAAGCTATTGATTTAAAGGGTCAGTCGAGGTAATGAATTGCACTGCAAGATGAAGGCTCAAAATGTATTGTTTCATCTTTGGGAAACAGCGAAAAGAGAGGCGTCTGGCAATGACGCCAGGTGATATTATTGCCGAGAGGTACACGTACCAACTGAATCAACGGGACGACTACCCCAGTTGAGATAACGGTGGCCCTGAGCATTCTCGGCGAATCCCAGGTCCTGTTCTTCGCAGAATTCGATTGTTTGGTCCTCATTGTCAAAGCACAGGACGGTTGTCAACTCGCTCACTGTCCATTCTTCATTTTTATGCTGCTGAGAAGATGGATAACGACAGTACCCTTTCCATATCGAACGAATGGCAGTTTGGCGCACATGGTTGAAATAGATTTCGGCAACACAGGCCATCAGATACGATACCCCAGGAGAGTCGACCAAGTTGAAGAAGCGGGTGTAGAATCCCTGAGCAATAGCATTAGGCCTTTTCGCGTCCAAGGTACCCTGGTATTCCCAAGTGTTGCCGGCAGCCGCGAGAAGCTCCAATGCCATTTGGACTCGGGGGGAATTCCGCAGTTCCGCAGGCCATTTCTGAACGCGAGCTTCCAAGTCTGGGCGTTGGTCATGAATGGAAAAGATAATATAGTATGCTCGGAACTCATCCTCGTTCGGAAAATGAACTCGGTCCCGGTTGTCGTCATAGTAGTACATGAGCGATAACATGGTGTTGTTTAGCTGTTCTCGTTCCTGATGGCGGTCGAAGGGTTCTTGGTTGGCAGGGCTGGAAAGTAGGTGCAGCGATACTATGTGAAAGCGAGCAATCCTTTCGAGACATGTAACCGCTATTTTGACATCTTCTTCTTGTGTGAGTTGCTGGACTGAGAAATCATTGCGTATCGATCGGGTTCGATCCCAAACGAATTTATGGATTAGTCCCAGAGGCTCAGTTCCCCCTAGAACATGCCGCACTAGATAATTCATAGTCTGGAGTAGAGTCTTTGGGGTCCGGATATCGGATGGAAGCTGCTCATCGTACCCTGCAGCCGATCTCCTAAAGCGCTTGAGCATCTTCATTTCCATATTTTGTAAAGAATTTGTCGACGGGTGAAGAAACTGGTGGCATGAAGTTAGAGCAAGTAGAACATGGCCTGTTTACTCCATTATACTTACCTTCTCGCTTTTATCAACCATTTTTTGGACGATACGTTCCACTCGCTCAAACTCCGGACACATACTAGTACAAGTCCCAACGGGCGTAATGGCTTGATTCAAAGAAATCGGCTGATTGGGGTCCGCCATTTGTCCTGCTTTGATCGCCTTCTCTCTTTCCTTAGCGCGGTCGAGTTTGAGCTGTCCAAACTTCTGTTAGTACGTCCATCCACTCAACTTTACAAGAGAAACGAACCTGTTCATAGCGATCATTGTAACTAAGTAGCAGACTAGCGTCTTCAACGTTCACCCCAGATCCAGTGGTCTTATTTATCGGGTTAGAGAAATGCTGCTTCCGAGGATCCCTACTCGTGTCAATTGTAGTTCCATTAAAACCGGAAGCTACCCCAAACGATCCGAACGACTCTCTTCCATCCGGGAATGTTGATTTTTGTTGCGAAACCGACCCGCCGCGGGGAGCAGAAGATGACTGATTTTGCTTCAACTGGGCAAACGGAGAAGCAGCAGCTCCAATAAGTTCCGTCTGTGATTCCGGCTTGGGCCAAGTGTTTCCTGCAGGAGCCCCTCCGCGACTATGTCCACGATTCAACCTTCCTCCTCGCCCACGAGCGCGAAATTTGCTGGTATCACGGTGCCCCTTTCCATTTGCAGCTTGGTGAGTAGTTGAACAGCTAGGCGCTCCCCCACGACCACGTCCCACTGTTCCCGTCGTCCCACCTCTCTGGCCAAGTCCAGCAAAAGGGTTCGGCGGACCAGCCATCCTGCCGCAAGCAGCGGAGTGGCCGTGGACGCAGCCAAGTCACGCCTCTTTGGAGTACCCAGATGGTCTAATTTAACGCAAATATTGTATTATCCCCGGGTCCCGTTTTAGTCCTATTTCCTATTTCCAGTGGTAGAAACACGTGTGGCTGGAACGAAAGAGGTTGATAAGTGATATCCTAAACGCGCTGACCTTCGGAAACCGTTGTCAGGAGCGTAGAGAAAGGTTAGCCTCGATGGCCTGGCAGGAGAGTTATTTATCATGGTAAGGCGACTGCGACAGAATATCGAGTAAAGAGAAGGAAACAAAGAATAGTGACATGAAGATAAAGTGTAGACGGACGAATCGAAGCGCAGATAGGAAATAGATGTGTGGCGGAGTACCTTTGAAAGAAGTCGCAAATCGGATGGTACTCTAATCAGCAAGAATAGCAGCTCGGTCGATCTTTGGGAGCATCGCAGGAATCAGAACAGTTGCAACGAGTCGCTAGAAACACTGAGAATCTTGACGGCGCAGGGGTACGGCTTTGCGTTGGCAAGGTGGACGGTTGAACGGCAAGAAAAAAAAATTCCAAAAAGAAAGAAAAGGATTTCCCGGTGTTCAGGGTATTTGTTGACTGCGTTGGAGTTACGATGAGGGCGAGGGGATGAAGATGGATGGATTGACTCTCTTGGACCGATCGCCAAGGCCAATGGAGCTCAAGCGCCCTTGCCGCGCGGCTAAGGCTGATCCTTGGACAGACAGGACCGCAATATTCACACAGTTTACTCTGTACTAAGTTTATCTTAGCATCTATTCTATAATTTATTATCCGTCTAGAGTTAACATGGCATGTTTAAAAGGTACATAGGCATACATGCATTCTGTAACAACATAACACTCATCTCTGGCTTAGAGAAACTCAAAGTTTAAATCTCACAAAAGGCATAATCTCAACCTCCCCAATTAGGCCATTCTCCACCATTCCTGGAAGTCCACTTAGCATATTTAGAAGTTGCGAAGCTGGCATTCCAAAAAATCTGAGTTGGTCAAACAAGCTCCTTAGGTAGTTCCACATCGTGCTGGGCACTTCGACAAGAATTTCATTTTCCCTCCCCGCATGGAGATAACTGCTAATGTCGGCCTGTGGAGCTGCAAGATCGAGTGGTTCGATCCTCTCCCCATTAATATACACTCGCGCTGCGTGCTGTATCTTGGGTAAACGGATATATGCCCCATCAGAGGATAAAATAGAGGCTAGCGGAGGCCAATGGAAGCTACTCCTGTAATAACCAATGCCCGAGACATTAGCAATAGCAGGGATCTCGGTCCATGAAACCAGGGAGTCAAGTTTGTGAGTAGTGTTACGCTTTACGGCAATAGTGGAAGCATCAGAGAGGTTCGCAGGTGCCTCCCAGTGCTCGAGAACAAGTGTCCACTGCGAAAACTTGATTTCTGGATGCGGGGGAGTACCGGGGAGAGATTTAAGTACTCTTCCATCGGAAATGGTGAGGTTAGAATCCCAATCCCCGGATGAAACATGAATTTCAGCAGTGTTATCGCTACTGTTGATCCCATAGCCGATGACGGTAGAGGGGGCCTGCGTGGCGTGAACACCTGGAACGGGTCGTCGGGATCTGTTGCTGAAGGCAAACATAGCTGTCTGATTAGCCGCAAGACGAATTGGGATGGTCGTGCGGTTTCCGGATTTCTGATACACCAGTAGAGGTTTCTGTTTGCCAGTCCAAGGATTCAGGGCATAAGGGGTGTCAATTGTGTCGACGTCAATTGTGCCCACAGTGAAATCGTTGGCGTCATTGAATATAAAACAGTATGACACATTATTAACCTCGTCATCGCGCCAGGTCGCGTACCAAGTCCCATTTGCCTTCACCTGGACGTTTGGGAGAATCCCTAAAGATACGAATTTGTCGGCTACGCCACCCGCAGGGACACTATGGACGTTTTTGTTCCGTTTCAGGGCAGATATTGCATCCTTCGTTTTTTTTGTAGTCCCTGCCATATGAGAGGCATAGTACCCCGGATCCCCTCCACTCAGAATCACTGGTAGCCCTTGTCGAGCATATTTTAGGACTTTGAGAATACCACTGTGTGACACGTTAGAAATGTGGGGAATGACTAGAGCCTTGTACGATGGTCCTTCAGGTGCCAGCATCCCATTCATCACTTTTGCCTGGGGCAGAGCAAAATTGTCGGGTGAAAGGTAGCTATAAGTGTACCCTGTGCATCAATATTAGTTCTAAATAGTGCTGCTCACTATCAGGATGAGTCCTACCGCGTTCAAGAAGGTCACGATCAGGGTATATGACTGGATACTTGCGATCTGTCGTCGACATTTTGTTATAGACTGCAACATCAGTGCGAAGCTTGCCGATCTGCTGAGTATATTGCACCCTCGCAATATAATCAAGGGCCGCAGAGAATCCATGATCCCAGGCAGGTTGTTTGTTTGAGTATTGCTCAGAAAATAGATATGCAAATGCGGTGTATCCCGGCCACGTAGTCCCTGAATAGTTACCTGTGTAGTCTTGGCCATGCAAAACGAACTGATTCAAACCTCCAGCCACAGCACGATGGATGGACCACAGAAGGTGCGCTATAGTATACTGGTAAGCTTCACTTAAAACAGCACCCATCTCATTCGAGATCACTCTCTTCCCGGAAAGAACTGCAGGTCCAGAATACTGACGGTATGCATCGACACTGTCTAGAAAACCAAGGCTTTCGCATTCGGGTGCATTTACTAACGGGACAGCGGATTCGATATCCACGGGAAGGTTATATGCAACTTGACTAGACATTTGCAGCTTCAGATGGGAATTCGTCCAGGAGGTTAGTGTTTGCAGATATTGGCGATACCCAATACCCAGGGCTTCTCGATAATCATTCACATATCCTTGGCCCCTGTCGGGTGTGTCTAATAGGCACTGAAATTCTCCTGGGTTTCCTGCCTGAATCCCTGGATTATTATTTCCAAACATAACCAAAGGGAGGGCAGTCTTCAAGGAATATCCGAATTTTTTCTCAAATAACGAGGGCAATGATGGCGTCCATGAGATATTTGATCTTGCCTCAATGCTATCCTCCCAGGCTGATACAATCAGTACAAGGAAAACAAGGCCAAAATGAGTTGAGTATACCATAATTGCCAACTTCATGCAGCAGCTTCTTGATCTCTGGTGTAAGGATATATTTCTCCCAGAACTGCGTGATCACCTCGGCACCCCGGCTACTGTAGTGGTCAACGATATACGAGCCATTATCAAATATTGTACTGGAAGCTGTGCTGTTGAATTGGAGATTTTCATGCAAGGTCTGGTACTGATAGAAGGCAAACAGTCGATATGTAGAGTTCCGTGGGGTCATGGGCAGGTTGATACTTGCATGGCCTGTTGACGAAACCTGGGAGACGTGATCCTCCAATGTACCATGTTTCAAAGTCAGCTGTTGGTATGATGTTTGAGTTCCGGGAAGAGGGCCAGTTGTGCTAGGTAAAGGCACAGTCCTAGTGGACAGAACTTCTGCTGAAATAACGGCAATTAATTTCCCAGTTCCCCAGCCAGGTATCACGCCCTGGAATGATCTGTTCGTAGCGACCTCTACCGAAAACGGTGACTTTTTAAATTAGTAGGAATTCAGATACTCTATGTGAAAAACAAACAGGCTTACCAAATCCCACTGCAGTCCCTCATTGTCCGCTTCTGCCGGCACGCCCTGGCCTTGATTCGGACCAAGGGCAAAATCCATCACCAGTCCGCTCGCTTTATGCGCCTCGAGCGCTGCGAGGAACATGTCATTGAAAGCCTCTGTTCCAAATCCAGTGGTTGCCCACCGAGGATCAGTTGGTCCGATTTGTCCTCCATAATTATAGAAGGGAAGAAACTCAACACCACCGGCACCGATGGAGCCAGCCGAAACGATATCATCCTGGACGATGGCTTTGTTCACACTTGCATCTGGAAGCCAATATCGGAATCGGGGGCGGACTCTAGCAGATGGGTTGTCAAAGGTGCCGTAATCAATATTCACACCAACCTGGTCGTTTGTGTTGGCCACAGCAAATACTAATGTTTCCAGCCATGCCGCCACAACAACGCAGTATATATTTCTCTTTCGCATAGTGCATATGGGACAAGAAGCTTCACGCTGCACGCATCCTAGACATATCTAGAAATATGCCAGTATATTTAAATTTATTTGACCAAGTGACGCACGCTTATCAACTCTCGGACAAACGACAAACGTAGACCCGAATCAAGGACCCCGTGATGTCTTGAAAAGCAGGTTCCAGCTGGAGATTTTCAGGCTTCTTCGTAGGCACCTTCCGCACCAATCCGAATAATGCACTTTTTCATGTCAGCCTAGTAGGAATGAGATGACCATCAGCAATCTGTGCGAATACGAAAAACCCAGGGATATGAGCGAAAAAAAGGCGGGAGTCACTCTCTAGAGTTCTGCTAGTGGACGTTTCAGCCTCGCCAATGACAGCTACTGGCGAGCGGACTCGTATGCAGCCTCAAGCTGACGTAGATCATCCCATCTTAGGTAGATATCGTTTGCTTATTTGTAAACAGCTTATTTCATCCTGTGGTAGCTAGCTATTTCCGCACAGCGCCAATAAGTAATTTAATATAACTTGTGTCTTCATATGTCTTTTGTATACACGAAGTCCGACCATATTATATCAAACTTACAACTTCCAGGCTTGGTTTTTCACGCCCGACAGGATAATAGTGTACGAGAAAGGGAGACTTCCAAGCCATAAAAGTAGCCCTATACCCTGAAATGCGTTTCCTTTCCTGAATATTTCGCAAAACCTCAGAATGCAATTTAAATAGTGACTGGCAGACTTGCTCAAGCTAGAGCAAACAGTGATGACGCCGGGAACATCTGGAGAAGTACCAAGTGAAAAGGTTAGGAGTGAGCAATTATAATGAGCGATACTATTGCAGAGGGATCTCACGTGCTGCTTGCTTTATATCTTCATACAGTAAACCCTTTTCTGTCTACCTACGTAGAAGACTGATAGGCAACGAGACAATCAGTCACGGTGGCTTGTCACCTGCCAATCAGATGATAAACATGCAAATATTGAATAGCTACATGATTACCCAAAAAGGACAAATATCCCAGCTTATCGTCACTTTCCAAGTGGGACATTGACATAATCCTTGATACTGGCATGAAAGGCAAAGAGACTAAGGAAATACCAGAAAAGCCATATATCAATCCATCCAAAATACATAAACCCACAGATAAGAAAAAGATATAACCGATACCAGTCTCTAGAAACGATAATATAATATTCTTTCGGCACTATTAAACTTAATGGTGTGATTGAAAAGCTAAATAGGTCTGCTGTGCAACGTAGAATACTTTAATTTGTTTTTCTTAAAGCCATCAGAGCCAGTTGACAATGTACTTTATATCCCTTACTTTTGGCCGACACTCTAAATACAGAACACGCGCAACTTCAGGCAACCATCCTATGGATGGGGCAGGTAGTTCCTACTGATAGTATAAATGATATTCTGCAGCTAGATTTTATGAGCACGGCAAGCCTGAGTATTATAGTATCAAAAATAATAAAGAGTAAGCATCTCAAAACATGCACTTGCTTTTCAGCTTCGAAAGATTCACACATCCAGACTTCAACCTCAAATGCGCCTGACGTTCGGAATAAACTGAATATTGCTCTTTGTCCTGGTCATTCTCTTGCCAGATAACGTTAGACTCCACCCCCAGCGCCCTTGCTTCCGTATCTCTATCAAAGCCATAAAAAAAAAAAAAAAAAAAAGGAAAGGAAAAAGGAAAAAAAACGACAGGCTAAAAAACGAGCTTCAACGAAACCAAAAAAGAACAGATATCCTTCCCCAAAGATTATTTTTTCTCAATCTCCGTGTCAAAATGTGTACTGTAACAATACATGAAAAGCTTCAACAATGCTATAAAGGCGGACAAAAAAAAACATATATATCCTGAAAAATAAATAGCAAATAAATCCAATGCACTAGATGTAGTATGTGGCAAAGTTCAAAAGGTTCACCAGGGGATCGCTAGATAACATAGGTCTATCGATCATTTATACAAATCATGCAAGTCATTCAAGTCAGTCCGCTATTGCATTCACTCCCCACAATAACTATGCATGGCATAGTTATGCGGAGGTGGATTGGTGAGATGGCAGCGTGTGCGGGTGACCTAAAGAACCTGTACGAAAGGGGCTTCTGGGGTTCAAAGGATCCATGCTAGACAGGCCGTGAGCCAAGTCCTGCGCGTGAGGCATTGGCATTTGGTAGGTCAGATGAGTCGGAGGGGCCGTTTGGCTTGCTGCATTGCCATAGTCAGTAGGGTTAAAAATGTTGGATCGCAGGGAGGGCGTCCATGTATCGAATTGGCTTATGGAGTGCTGCATGGGAATTGCGGCCGGGCTTTGGGAAACCACCTGGTCTCCTGGTGCAGAAGTAGAGAATGACGCCTGCGTCAGATAGTCGAATGCCTGTGGTTGCTCGTGCGGGCTAACCATTGCTGATGACACAGGCGCCTGAATACTCTGTGGGCCATAGCCATTCGTGTAATCGGACGAGCTGGAATAGAAGGAGTGTTCAGGTCGAGTTTGTTCTGCCAGGCTCATGGGCTCGAGCAGTGGGAAAAGTGGTCTCCTTTCGCCTCCCATCTGCAACGGGCCTTGTCCATTCACATTCATGTCCATGGCAGATGTGAATGACCCGGATAGTTCCTCAGTCGAGGACGACGGTGTCGGGACATCCTCTTCTTCGTCTGATTCATCTGTCACTGAACTCTGACACCTCTCCTTTGATGGAACCACCCCCCTTCCCTGCTTGGGAGTGGCATCTCTATTGATAACATAAACAACTGTACTGGCGTCTGGCAAGGTGTTAGTCCAACGATGAATATTTCAGATCTTTCACGTACCGATTTCGCCCCTTTCGTATCGTTCCTCCATCCGTCGTACTCTCAAAATTTCGTCAAGTATCTCAATCTTTCTTGTCTCTTTCAACTGCCTCTTAGAATCGTAGGCGACTTCTCGTAGCTTTAGGGGGGTGATTCCAATGTTGCTGAGCTTGCGCATAATATGAATCAAGAGCCTTACTCTCTCTGTCACTAGGCGTGAGTCGGAGATAACCTAGCACCGGGAATTTAAGCATGCGTACCATTTTTCCGCAGATGATCTGGCTCCCTGTGTATGACGTCCTTAGGCCACCATTCAGGCTTCGTCTTTTCCGGGTCGCCTTTCTCCCCCTTAGCACCTCGACCTCTAGGCTTCCCTCCGTTGTATGGGTGCTTTACTTGCTTTCGGGGCTCAATAAACTTGATGAAAGCCTTCGCAATTTGGCGACAATTGATCTGTTGAAAGTGCTTCAAAGCATTCTCGTAGTATTCCTGGACTTTGTCGTTGTTGCCAATCTCTAATGCTACCATGTTTTGCGAGGGTAGTGATGGAGGCGGTGGTGGTAGCTCGTCACCTGCATCAGAGAAGTCCACATTCGCCCCAGGCTCCTGAGGGGATGCCCTACGTCTCTTGGGGTGACGCGGTCCATCAGGGCGGCCATATCCATAGGCAGACACACCAACGGTTGGGCCCCCTATAGATGATTAGCATCCCGTTTCGCGAATGCAGATGGTACTCCCACATACTCCGTAACATCGGCTTATGATAACCAATCTTTGTTCCAAGAACCTCCAAAAACTTCTCTCGTACTTCTGGGGTAAATAGAGTACTATTATGTTCACGAATAGATGGGGACTCATTGACCTCGAGCCTTCCCAGGTTATCGAGGTAGATCAAGGCGTAATGAGCGAAAGGGATATTGAAGGAAGGGCGGAAGGTAGCACCAGCGGGCTACATAGTCCTCGAATCAGTACCGCACCATCGTGATTTGCTCATGCACCTTACCGGAACAGTTTCCCAGCCGGTATAATCATCATGCAAAGCGGAAGAAGGCCGTTTAATTGGCCCTGTCCCAGGAACAGCTGGAGTAACAACCATAATGGCTTGTAAAAGTGTCTGAAAAGTTCAAATACTGTTGAGACGCAGGATATAGGAGGATGAGATGTATAAACCTTCGGCAACAGTCCTTAAGTCACGAAAACAGGGTTGATAGACAATAAGAATCATAAAGAGGCCTTGAACACTCCGATAAGGGACAAGTTCGTCAAGCGTGGGACAGCGTAGCAATTTGTATTCCAGTGGAGAGGTCGACAGAGAGCTCGATAAGAGGCTTCCCGAGTAGAATTGAGAGCAACTTCTACCAATCTAGGAGTGCGCCACACCAACGGCTACAGATTAGCAACCGGTTTGGCCATAGGAGATTGCAAACAGGAGTACTGGAACAACGCATGGAACATGGTACGACCATCAGGCCTCCGCCCTGGCCATGCGGTTTCCCGACAAGATCCTGAGGCCTACCAATGCCCACCAACATATGATGCATGGGGGGGCCAGCTACTCACAGGGCTTTAAAACGAAGGCGAAGCACAGTTGTCGTAAACAGGCAATAGGATAGGATATATCTGTTGGCAGCCGACGTGGATATATGAAGGATATGTGGGTAGACAAGGCGCAATGGGGTTGGAGCAAGCGAGAGTATACTTCTTTCTTTGCAAAGGTAAGCGGGGATGGGATGGTAACACGAATGGTCCAAGTCCCGGTTCAAGAAAGACAAAATAAATAAAGAGAGATGGGGAAGAATGTTGGTGCAGTGTAGAAGTGGAAACAAAAAAAAGGACCAAGTGATATGGATGAGTGAGGTCTTTATAAGTACAAAAGAGAAGGGAAAGAAAGGATACCTACCTAGGACTTTTGAACGTTGATTGATCGAGATTAGAAGAACAGCAGAACCGTGACTTCCTGTCCATACCCTGGTCGAGTCGTTTTGTACCCCCTCCCGATTTGGCAGTCTGATGCTCTCGTCCAGATGGGCTTTCCCACCAGCAAGGATGATCCTTGAAGCGCATCGCCGAAACACACAACTAGTGCAGCTGCATTAAGGACATGCAGTAGGGCGAAAATTATTATTATTATTATAGTAATATATTTTATTTTATTTTTTCCTGCCTATTTTTTTTTTTAAAAAAAAAAAAAAAAAATACTAAAGTAAATATTTTCCCCTGCAAATAGATTAATTCTATTTCTCCATTTCTGACAAGCCTAGTGCCTTCTACTATTTGTAGATCGTGCCCCAGGCTTTGTTCGGGGAGTGTCAGTCAAAAGCACCGTGGCGTATCGATAATTGGCCTCCACAACCCAGAGTGTTGGACTCAAAGAATAAATACTGTTTCTGGAGAGCCGTGCGGATAGGATAGAATAGCCATCGCTCTCTTCATATTCATCCGAAGCATTGAGGGTAGAATACTTGCAGGCCCGATAGTCTCTTCTATTGAGTGCCGCCGCATGTCTAAATCATATAAATCACTCCGAATAACAAAAGCACGATGCCAGCCATATCCTGTTGTTAGTCAAGCCACTAGTGTTTAGTTGGCTAGGGAGGTAACCGCCACTCAGGGTCAGGGATGCCTTTGAATCTCTCTTTTTTTTTTTTTTTTTGCCTTCCTCTTCAGTGACTAAGTACGTATTTCCAACTGGTCGAGGGATTATTGTCATTGGTAGTCGCTTACTAGCATACGATGGTTTGTTGACCAAACACTACTAATTAACTTTTCTTTTCACACTTCCAGGCATACTATTATTCCTTGACTTTTTCCCTTATCATTAAGCACTTTCATACTGTAATTATCCACTGCGTACTCCATAGGTCCTACTTTACAGAAAGACGCTAGGGAAAACCTAAGCTGAGAAGCTCGATCGCCTGGGCTTAGGGTACCTTGTCCCTGGTTCCAAGGTGATCCCGCCTTCACGGAGGATCGATCTGTGGTCCGCCGTAGCAAACCTACTTTCTCCCACCTCCTATTGTATCTAGCCAGTGACAAGATGTATATAGGGTCTTTACTCAGGGAGGCTCGGATGGCTTGCAGTTCTGTGCCACTCCCCCATCCGAAACACAAACCATGATTGAAGTTTGAACCTCGAGATTACGCACAGGCCTGCATATCGTCAGGGCTCTCTCCTTCCCCCCACCCGCTTCTCGTCCCACACAACCCACGATTGGATTGGAATATCATCCAGAACGCGGGCTGAGAAAAACTGAAATATGTACTTTTGTTTGTATGTTCCTACTATAGGGTCCGGAGGGTTACGTACCGTTCTTGCGAACGGTGTGGGTAGCTGCAACCTCCTGAGAATGCAAGATCATCGACGACATGCCAATATTCCCCATCCTCACGTACATATCTTCATACATAAATTACGCAGGAAACGTTGATCGGATTCGGCGAGACCGAGTCACCGCAAGAGTCACCTGATTGCTTTGACAGCTCTGCTATTATATACTTATGCATTGCAGAAGGTGCAATATTCACCGACTCGGATGGATATTTATTTCCCTTGCTTTCTATCGCGACTATACTAGGTACTCTGTCGAGCTTTACAATACGAAGTACTCTTGTAGAATCTAAACAGCGGTACTCCGTTCTCCGTACTCCGTACTGTATCTGGCGCACCATTGCCACACCTAAAAGGCAAGTCAAGTACCACCAACACACAGAGCACTTACACTACTCCGTAGATCAGATCCATGATAGAAAACAACCTAACACCAACGCTAAATCAAAGGTACCGCGTACCAATTCGGGTATCAGTGCGAACAGACCAAGCGCGGGTGAAATTACGATTCGCCATGGCGAACAAACCAGCCTTTAGTTTGAGCCCTTGGATCGCGGCGGATCTGATCCGAATGTGCCCCGAATTAGTTCAGGCGCACGTCGCCCAATGGGAAGCTATACGAGCTCACAGTCCAAGGGTGATCTTCCAACTGTGGGAACTACCGCCCGATGAGACTTTGTGTGCATGGTCCGGGTTTCTGGGATGTGGGATTTTTCCTTTCAGTTCCATGAGAGAACTGGGGATTATCTTTTGGAATGAGTGAAAGGGTCTGTCAAGGTGGAAACTTGAAAGTCCCTGTCTTGGCAGAGAAACATTTCGAGGTACTGTACTACGTACTCCGTATACTTTGTATGATTTCGGTTAGGGGCATCCGAGACTGCGTATACTTGCCGAGTTGATCCGGTTGAGAACTACCATGATTTAGTACTTTATAATTAATAAAAAAAAAAAAGAAAAAGAAAAATTCTTAAAAAAAAGCTCATACAGAAATGTAAGACTAAGTGGAGTTTTTTGATAGTGTGACATTTCATTCTTTACCCTGGTCGGCAGCATTCGGAGACCAAATCCTCCTACTCTGTCGCTACTCACTAGGGCCTAAATAACTAAAGGCCTCATACATCCTCAATAGCATGAAGGCAAAGGAACCCAGTAGTAAATACGGGCTAAATCCGGGCAACATGTATTACCTGTGGAGTTCTAATCTCATGGTAGGATACTCGTGATTGTGTGGTGTGGATCTAACCTGGCTCCCAACCTGCTAGATACGTATGTACGTCTGGATCTAGGTATGTACGATCTAGCAGGTCCGTACCTGACTTTTGGAGTCGTGCCTCAGGCCCGATCGGGATCAGGCAAGTATCGACAAAAGTTAAATCCGATGCCCTGTGCATTTAAACTGGCAATAGTAGCCATCCAAGGTTTATAGTTTGCTGTCTATATTTTTACTCTTTGTTTCCTGGATGTCTTTGCCGGTATGGAGTATACTCCGTACGGTTGTTTGGCCTATAGCACTTATCTGTGCTCTATGTGGTAGGGTTACGCTCTTGGGCAGCTATGTAGTATTCTATTGTCTTAAAAGTACCATGCTGTTTGCTCGATGTGGGTTTAGCGCTGAGCTGAAACCTGACGCGCAAGGGTACTCAGCTTCTAATTATATAGGTGTAAACGAAGTTAAGTATCGTCTATAGTACGGCAGCCCCTTTCTGCGCATCTAGCATAAACGAATAAAAGGTAGTTCTTTTATCAGCATTCAAATCACTCTAGCGAAAGGCCAGTACAGAGGATACCAGATATCAGTTTCTCCGTGGAGATGATCACGACCGACTTTCGGGCATCAAGATAGGACACTATAAAACAGGAGTGCTTTGTTGCAGTCTCAAGCTCTAAAAATCACTAATTCCGTATAGATAACGTCAAAGAATCCAGAAACTCTCCTAAATACAACAAACACCCCTATCGCCATTAATTTGGAGATGGCAGAAGTACATGCCAAGGCGCCCAAATTCTCTAACCATCATCCAGCTACACTAGCAGCTAGATTAAAGGGCTAGTACTTCGTACGTAGGACCACGAACTACTGTATACTCCAACACCCTCAACATCACCGCCATTTTTAGAAAGAGGCAGCCAAGAAGGAACCGGATGAGCCATATCTACGTGTCTTGAGCCCTCGTCTCCTGTTTTTTCGTCTGGTATTTTTCTCCCCCGCAGTAAAGTACCATCCTCGAGAAAAGAGGACAAAACCTCGCAGATCAGCATCAACCCGAGTCTAGAGAGAGTTCTAGACCATTTATTTTTATTCATGAATCTCGTTCGTTGTGTCCGGGTGACATGCACAGATAACGTGCCGTTCTTTCAGTGCTGCTTGCTGCGTTTCCGATGGCCCATCGCAACGTGGCATGGGGGTTTGCATCTATGTACATATGTACATACAGTAGTCCACTGATTCTTGCATTAACCGGTGTGATATTTGGACGGTGGGTAGAGATAATACAAGTCATGGGCCTGTTCGTAGTAGGGCTCACCGCCACGATATCAAGATCACCTGAGAGTCAATCAGTGGATGGCGCGAAGGCTGCATATTTACGAACTGGGTAATTACGTGGGTGTACATGAGCCAGGACTTAGTAGACGCCATGACAAGCAATGTGCAATAACTACTCGCTACGTTCGTCACAGTTGGCATGTTTTTGGGTTTTGTTACTGGTGTTGTTATTATTGGATATTATTAGTAGTTATTGTTGAAAGAAATTAGGGATGAGATGGTTTTTTTGTCCTTGAGGTCATAAAAATTATCAGCCCAGGCCTAAGATTCTACATACTCAGGATATAAGAAGGTATCATTCCGCGATTGCCGCTACATCGCAGACATCACACTATCACCCAATTTCGTAAACCCCACCCCCTCCTTCCTCTGTTTTTGGAGTCTATCTGCAGCGAACAGAAAAGGGAAATCGCAATCACAAGAATGATATCTTGGGGTCCTCTCATCTAAGCTTGATGGATCCTAGGAAGTGAGACGAGGGGGGTAATGTGAAATGTGACAGGCAAAGTGGAGGGGATAGGAGATTAAAGATTATAGCTGGAAGTGCTCATTGGACTGAAGGCCACCTGCCAGGCGTAGTCCGTTGAATTCTTCACCCAGTTAATTATCTCCGGGGCTCGTTGGCTGCTAACTTTCCTCCTAGTTGGAACCCACCATCTCCTGAAGGGGAAGATAAGTGGAACCATGGCGAGATGACTAGCGCCGTCTAAATAGGGCCACGCAGGGAGGAGTATGACGCTGATTGGAAAGGATTCCTCCGTGTAGCCGCTTCACCATGGACTAACTGGAACTATCAGGGTCCGATCAGTGCCTGTCAGAGTATAATGGATGTGATAAGACGGTCCCGACGATAGACGGTCCCGCGGGAGGGAAATCCAGGAGCCTGGTTCGCAAAGCTGAAGCTGAAGCTGGAGCCTTATGACCCCCCGATTATTCGAGCTGAGGCCCACCACGAGCAAGCCTACGGAGTAGGCAAATAGCAAGGGCCAAGTGGTTCTCCATAGTTTAATGAAATATTATGCCACTACAGAGCACTATTTAATGTTCGTATACAAAAGCCCCTCCTTTCTCCTCCAATAGCGGAGGTTACTCGAATACAGACGACACGTGTAGCGCAACTCATTTCCAGTCACGAGTCAAATAGAGGAAGGAAATCAGCTTCGTTTTAGATGTAGGAGACTCCATGAATTGATTATGATTACTACCCTACATACTGGTGGTCTTATGATGAGGGTGGCCCTCCCCTGCAGTGCATTAGCGACGTGCAGAATCAACTCTTGGAGGCGCTAGGTGGCAGATCAAGCCCCATGGGGTCATCGATAGGGCTGGTTCAGGACATGTTTGGGAATGACGAGGGGATGAAACTCAGGCACAGGATTCAATACCGATTTTATTGAAAGAGGGGAAACAGAAGGGTCAGGGCCGGTGGAGGGAGGGGTAAATTTAAATAAGTACCAGTGTGTAAGGAGAGAGTTAATCTAGTAGAAGATCAAAATCCATCATGGGAAACAGGATCAAGCTAGTCATACGACTAATGGAGGTGTGTTAGTTAACCTTTGCTAAACCCCTCCCAACCAGTGCTTCGTACTTTTGATACTGGAGTCCGTGTGTCCGTCCACCCGGAAGCTACCTACCACGAAGGGAAAGGATTTCGAGGAGCAAAAAGCAAATAATTTAAAAAAGGGGGGGGCAAAGGACCAACCCAAAGGCACCCAAAGCGGGCCGAGTCTAACCTGAAAGGCACCCGTCAATATTGACAACCGTCCCGAAGCGGGGCGACGGCGGCCCGGGGAGAGCGGACCGAACGTCGCCAACGCTTGTCATCAAAAGCAAAGTATGCGATCGCCTGTCAAAGCCCTGTCAGCCACCCAGCCCCCAACTTTTGCAGTTCCAGACCTCCTCCACCCAGTCCACCGTGCACAGCCCACCCACTCACGCGACAATGGTCTTTCCCAGATCAGCCCAGGTGATTGGCCCATGAAACGCAATCACCTCCTAGTTTTGACAAGAGCAGATCTGGTTTCCTGGGATTGAGTTCGTCCTGGGTCGCGGATGTATCCCGGTGGACTGGATGGCACAAAGTACCTTAGCATTGTCGTCAGCCCCTTCTGCTCTTGCATTGCCCTCTCCCTCTTCCCCTGCGTGGGGAAAATTGCTTGTCAGGGACACTGAACCCAGCACCAGGTTGATGGGATAGGATCCTTGCAATGGGTGACATGTTTAGCTTTCGTTAATTATCCTTTTGCTAGGTCTACATATATGTGAAGAAAAAATTTAGTTTTGCAAGTATTCTGGAGCCTATGACTAATTAAACCTTTGACTTGGTATTTGATTACGATTAGTGAGGCGACTAGCTTGCCCTGAATCATGATGCTATGCCCCTAGTTAGATTCCTAAGGCACTTGGTTTCATTTCTTATAACTAATTACCTAAGTACAGGTATTGCATGGCATGAGACCAATACTTCTTCCCCCCACTCCCTCTTCCGGTCACCCAAACGGATAAGTATTCCACGTACAACGCTGCAGTCAACCACGCCACAAGATAAAAGCAAATCTAGCAGAAAACAAATCAAAAGGCAAAATAAAACGGGGCATGTCCAAATGCAATAACAACAGAGCCCTCCATATGGGAAATATTACACACCACAGATGAACCGACTGGGTCCGTTTCCCGACCGGGCCGGGCCTCTGCAGAGCACTCTGCAAGTAATGAGGATGTATCTAAATATCTTTGTACGACCAGACTACCTCCACACTCGGTGGAGAGATCCCAGAGCGTTATATAATCTATTCTCCGAGTTCAAAAATCTGTAAAAGAGGATATAGTTTGTGCCATACACCCCGAATAGTATCTGCATTAACTTTGCCATGACGAGAAGGAGATTGAAAGGGAGTCATTATGCTGGTTTCAATCAGCTACAGAATCATTATTGCCCACATATACACGTCCTAGACTCAATCAAGGTTGCGGGCAATGCCGGAAATCCCTCATGAACCATGGAACCTATCCATAGAGCTGAAATCTGAACAAGGTCCAACCATCACACTCTGACGAGTCAATCTTCCGAAACTTCACCAACGAAAATCCATCCTTCTTGTGCTATAGCCAGAATAGATTGCATACGAACCACCATCAGAACAACAACCCCAAACTGCAAGTCACTATTTACGGTTCAGCCGATCATGTGCACAGGGAACGGAGGAGAACGACGGTGACACGCATAATTCGCCTCTGGATCTGTGATATGATAGATACAATATATGGTGGATGCCACGATGTGATATAGAATATTTTGGATGAGCAGGAGACCCAGGATCAAGAATCCAACTTCCACCCGCGCCCAAGGAGCCAGCGGATCGCGTGAAATCTGCAACCCGTAGCTTAGCGTCCAGCCGCTGGAACACATTACTGGCACGCAGCACAACATGGTCGACCCGGATTGTGGATCATACATGCAAGTATGATTCGGAGCAAGTCCATTGGTCCGTAAATTGTCCGTAGATGAGGTCTCCATCTCTGGAGGCAGGCAAAATATTGAGCAGGGATTATCCGTGCTGTCGGATGCAAAATATCGTGGATATTGCTGATCGTATGATATCAGACCTGCCTTCAGCATTTGGGTTGGTTGGCTCTACTCGCACTGTCCGTTTCTTGTCATTTTTTCCCCTCCCTTTTTTTTTTTTTTTTTTTTTAAAAAAAAAAAGATAGCTCTCAGCTGCCATTCCCTCTCACCTCTGCTGATGTGGTCCGTGATTCTGACTCCATCTAACTAGAGCATCAGGTCATGACATCTTGTGGTCTATGCTAGGGATTTGCCCCACAATCGTCCCTACATAACATTACAGACGCAAATCTTCTAAGATCAGAGTTTACTCATTTATACGTCAACCGTCTATTTCGGGCTTGGACGGTAGTATGTAACCGTTGGTCGGCTCAACCGCGCTAAAAAGCGAAAAAGAACAAAAAGAAGCGAAGAGAAGAAAGAATGTAAAGACCAGCCATGAATCCTTCACAGTCTAAACTGTTGCCACCTCATTTAGCTCTGATTAAAGCATACCGGTGCATCATTGACAAGTCAACGATTCTACTAGAACCAGCCGACATCAGGAAGTTGAAAAGCAGCGGCGTAGCCAACCCAAGTTTTCTCCCAAGTCGAGACTGATCATTGAACTAGTTCTAGAACTGTGGGCATGTATGGTCAGTGCACTGGTCGTGAGCAATTCCCGGGCTTACCTTGTCGCATGCAGGATGCTCGGCTGTTCGCTACGATTCCAAATTTGGACTTTACTTTCATCGTACGAGACCCAAGAGATGCAAGTCAAGATCCGTGCCAGTGCGGAGGTATTGCTTGGAAGGGTAGTGGAGGTCCTCCACATCCAGGATCGACAGCAAGGTTATCCTGATGTTTCGGTTTCTTCATCTGGGCGTCTGCTGCTTAGCGAAATGTTATCGCATTGACCACGATTCAGTTCCAAGCTCCTAGAACCGCAGCTCCTCATGGCAGGATTCCATTTCTGATGATCTTGGTCGGGGCCACCGAGCCACAGCTTAGTACGGGAAGGAAGCTAATCTCATAAAAAATGGATCATCCATATCCAGTTATGATCCACTGACGCCACCCGTGTGTGGCTGGACAGAGGCCATAGCCAGTTGTCAAACGCCCATCGACTACTGTGCAATTCATAGGGCTATCCTGGAAGAAAAGAAGGTCCCATCCGCAGGATTTACTGTGGCAGACCTTGCGTACGTAACTAATGGATCGATTGAACTATCGAGCTGACGCAAGGAATCTCTTGGCTTCAACGCCCTGTGCGTATTGCTTCGACTCTGTAGCACTGAATTCAGTAATTGGCTAGCATAGCACTATCTTTGGAGTTCCGTGTTTCTACTGACAGAATCCATTCTGCTGTCATGTACAGTATGTTGATGCTGAGAACTTATCCCAACGGATCTGTATTTCTACATGAATCAGATTCTCACTGATTATCAAAAATCTTTGTTCAGTTCATCTAGCGTGGCCCCAAGAAGATAATAAAAATAAAATATGTAGAACAAGAACAGTTAGCTTCCACCTTGGTAAATGCAGTTCTAAATAAATGTCGTAAAGATTTGATGGAATGACAAATATAAAATTTTTACTACAACACGACGAGATAATCCAAACAGAAGTACATATTACAATAGAATTAGTATATCTGCTGGAAAAGTAACAAAGATGGATGCTTGCTAAAGATGCCTGCTAGAGATATAATCATAGAATATTAACTAATATACTCTGTATACTCTGTATCAACTAAAAGTTAGGCTCATGATAGAACAACTGCAAGACCCAACACGAACGTTCTACTCCGTACTCTATACTACAATATAACCCCATCAATCCACTATACCATGAAACAAACCACCCCAAACCAAACTCCATACTCTATACTCCATACACGAAGGTAGAATAAAAACCCGCACATCTCTAACCCCGACCCCTATCCCCTACTCAAAATACCTCAGCCGATCCATGCACGATGCTCAAAACAGTCATTAAGTGGATATCCAACCACCCCTCTTTCCCCTCCCTCCCTTCCCCCGAACTAACTAATGTAACTATTCCATCCCTCCTCGCCCTCGTCCTTGATAGAGTTCACCTCGGACCCGAAAACCAGGTCCGCTCTGTTCAGCTCCATGCAAGATCGATCGGATTCCTTCCGGGCGTTTTTGACTTCCTGGAGTACTTAAGCCAACCATTCGGGGAGTGAGTATTCAGGACGGAGTACGGAGTCGATCTGTCTATCAATTTATCTATCGGTTCTTGGGAGGTAGTACGACTCCGTTACTTCGTATCCTGGAACTGGTAGATGACACAAAACTGTGGGTCTTTATTTACTGTATGAGCTAGAGTACAGAGGACAGAGTGTCTGGGCAACTCCGTAGAGGTACGGAGTAGAATCACTGGCAGTCCCTGGATTGTTTCATTTTCAGTCTCGCCACGCGATCGTTGCGATCGGATTCGGTTTATTTATTTATTATAACTTTCATCCAAAGTCTATTTATTGACCCCGACGCAAGGAATGAAGGCTATTTCTGATGGTCTTATTGTCAGCTGTCCATCTAAGTATAGTATTCGAGACTATGTGCGTGGTCTGCATAACAATAGTCCCGGAGGGCTCAATACCCTGTCTCTTCTTACTTGATTGTTTTCTGTGGCGCAACGAAGCACGCATAGCGCAACAGCCACAGGACATTATCCGTGACAACTTGACAATAGTTAACAATTAATTAGTTATTATGTCACGTTCACAAATGTTGTATGGAGTACTCTGAAGGCTCCACGCACTGCAATACGGAACAAGATTTCCCCTCTTTCTTTTTTTTTTCCTTTTCGTATTATTAATTTTACCCCTCCCCGCTGCCATTGCAAAGACAACTGTTCAAGCGGAATGTAATGCAGTTATCCCTACACCGCTACTGTTGACATCCACTGACCTTTCTTCGTTTATTGTTTTTTCCTCGCCTCCATGTTGCTCTGAAGGAAAGACACGGCCTAGACAATGCAAATTTGATTCCATATATGCAGGACTTTTCTCTCAGCAATATAGACAGTGAATATCACAAGTAAACTCCCATTTCAACGCCACGGTGTAACAGTGCTTTTATATGGACGTTTCTCCTTAAAACTCGAGTCTTGGGGTGAAAGCCCTTCATATACCTCATCTGTGCTACGGATCGATCCCCTTCATGTAGGTGTATATCTGCATATCCCAGCACTTGAAGATAGAGTCTTCTGCCTAAGGGATGGCCATCGCTGTAGTGTTCTAAGCCATTTGACCTTCCCCTTCGAACAAACCCGCCTCCTTGACCAGCTCGTAGAATTTACCGCCACGCTTGATCAGCTCCGTAGGGGTGTCGAACTCAGCCACCCTACCCTTATCCAGCACGACGATTCGGTCAGAGTCAATGATCGTGTTAATCCGATGCGCTATGGTAATAATGGTGCGGTCCTGGAAGATGCTACTGCGCAATGTACGTTGCAGTAATGCATCTGTTTCCACGTCCACAGCAGCCTGGGTATGGCGTCAGCATGAATTAATAATAGAAAAAGAAAAAAAAAAGAAAAGAAAAGAAAAAGAAAATAACACGGATATTCAAAATAGAGTACGCCAGGTAAATATCGGTGTGGAAGGTGGCTGCTTACCGTGGCCTCGTCAAGCACGAGAATGTTACTTGGTGTCAACAGTGCTCGTGCTAGATTAACAAGCTGACGCTGGCCTTGACTAAGGTTGGATCCTGTTATGTCCACGTTAGCCTAGTTCCAGAAGCGGTAAAATGTGCCAGAGCTGCAAGGGAGAAACGCAAAAATGCCAAAAGCTCACCTCCTTCTTGAATTCGGGCATCTAGCTGGCCATCCATCTGTGTGACGTGATCCTTCAGTCGTGCATGTTCTGCGAGACAAAAGTCAGCTAACGGTTCAAATCCCCGCCACATGCAATGCTTTGCGCCCAACGTACCGAGAACACTCCAGAGTTCTGTGTCGTCATGCACATGTCGAGGGTCCAGATTATCGCGCACGGTGCCCTCAAACATTGCAGGATCCTGGGGAATGATGGCTAAACGGCTTCGCAGATCAAATAAACCAATTGTAGACACGTTCAAGCCGTCAATACTGGGAGTAGGCATTAGTATTGGGCTCATGCTCAGAATTCGGGCACCAGTCTCACCTAATGCCGCCACGGGTCGGTTCGATGATGCGGAAGAGTGCGAGGGTAAGTGAGCTCTTTCCCGCTCCCGTGCGACCCACGACGCCAATCTTTTCATGAGATTTGATATCTAGGCTGATATCCTTGAGCACGAGGTCGAGCCCGGGGCGGTACCGCGTGCTGTAGTTGTTGAACGATACCGCGCCTTGCGCCGGCCAGCCAATTGCGGGACGGTGCTTAAAGATCACCTCAGGTGCCTCGCTTGGGAGGTTTGCATACTCTAGAACCCGTTCGACGGACACGATATTAGTTTCTACCTCGACCGTTTGCCGGACAATCCAGTTCAGTGATTGCGTAATCTGGAGAGCATACGACATGGCCAATCCAACCATCCCCGCCCGAAGCTGGGTGCCTGTCGCAACATAGATGATGGAAAGAACCGCCGATGCCAAGATGATGATAGAACCAATGAATTCAAGACGGACAGCCAACCATCTGTTGGCACTGATGGACGGAAAATAGGCCCGAAGGTTCGCATCCATACGCCATTCGTTCTCAAGAGCAAATCGGTTTTCTTGCTTGTAAGCACGGATGGTCGAGACACCCCCCAGCGACTCCTGAAAGTGTGCATAAATGGGGCTCCGAGTCACACTGTCCAGGCGTTTCAACTCACGTGAGGTGCGCAGATAGTACTTCTGGTAGCTAAAGTATACATAACCCAGGGGGATAATAAACAAAATGAAAGCGGGAGTTCCAGATGCAATGACGATCATAGTAAAGATTGCCTTGGCGGAATTTCCAAACAGCTGTAGGCGGTTAGTAGTCAGCTTGCATATGTCGTGCTAAGAAACTCACCATATTAAAGGTGCGCGCAAGAACCTCATCAATACGATAGATATCACTAAAGGAATCATTAGTTCAAAGCAACGACCTTATATAAAGGGGGAAGTAGACATGTGTGTACCTCGAGAATCTATTCAAAATTCGCCCAGATGGTGTAGTTTCAAAAAAGCTCATGGGAGAGCGGAAGATCGAGAATGCCATGCGCTCATGAAGCTTCCGCGATGCCTAATAGTTACGTCACTGTCAGTATGCAGTCGTACGTCACAAGCTGGAGACATACTTCAATTGAACAGAATATCCAGAGGATAAGGTTTTGGACGATAACCAGAATAGAGGATCCTAAACCAAAAACCAAGTAGATGCCGATAAATTTCCCAACATTAAGATGTGGGTTGACTTCACTCTGCTCCGACCAGTACTTCAGCCAATAACTGCCAGCGACTTGGGCAGTTTGAGCTCCCAAGAGCGCTAGCATATAGAAGCAAACGGCGATAATGTTGCTATTCTTCGCGTATTCGCCGTAAACGCTCCACTTGACTTTGCCCTGTTGCGACGTCTCCTGGGTTTGCTTTGATTTCAATGCATTCTCTTCATCAGATAACTTGCGCCTCGGCCCTGACCAGCTCACAGTGCTAGCACGCCGCAAAGTAACGGTACTCGACCGCCGTTTGGTACCAGACCGAATAGGGAGAAGTGAGCCGATTTGCTGTTCGCTCTCATCCGCGTCGGAGACTTCAGAGTCCAAGTTATCAGTCATGGTAGCAGATTCCGAACTTTCAGGACTAGCCAAACCACGGTCGTCGCTGCTGAATCCGTCGTCATCCGAGTCATTGATAGTGGTACGGATAAGATTGGCAACTTCGCCTTTCATGGCAAGTAACTGTTCATATGTGCCCTTTTCAATCAGTGTCTTATTCCGCAGAAGGCCGATGAAATCCGCCTCCTTTAACACTGGGATAGCATTCGTTGCGAGAATCCTGGTTTTACTGCTGAGAATGCCGTTCCGTCCAAGAACCTTATTGATCAGATGTCGGCCAACATGTTGGTCCACGGCAGACAAGACATCGTCAAGCAAGTATACATCCGCACGAGCGTAGACAGCTCTAGCGAGAGTCAACCGGGCCTTCTGTCCTCCAGATAGTGATATTCCCCTCTCTCCAACTTCAGTTTGGTCGCCGTCTGGTAGGGTTTTAAAGTCGTCCAGGAGAGCGCATGCTTCCACAGTGAGCTCATAAAACTCAGGATCCCACTTATGCCCGAAGACAATGTTCTCACGCACACTGGCATTCATCACCCAAGCAGCCTGCGCAACATAGGCTATGCGACCTCGAACCACTACTTCTCCATCGGTCCTCCACAGGTCTCCTAGCAGTGCCTGGAGAAGGGACGACTTACCAGCACCGACACGACCAACAATGCAGCTCAACTCCCCTTTACGTGCACTGAAATCGATGTCTTCTATCACATGAGTACCATTATGTCTGTCCCAAGTAAAGGAGGCTTCCCTGATACGGATTGACTCGTCCCCAACATGAGAAACCGCATCTTCGTATTTCACAGCGTTCGTTTGCAGTTCCTCTGCTGTGAGATAATCCGTCAGACGATTGACAGCCACGGAAGCTTCAATGACGGACGTGATTACCATGGGTAGAATTGAGAGGGGGAAGGTGAGAAGATTGAACAGTGTCAATGCCGGAAAGACAACTCCAGTAGTCAGAGGCCGGCTGTCGGTCAGGGCGAAAACAGTAAATGTCGAGCATGATACTAGAAAGGGAGTTGATTGCCACGTAAAATTCGCAATCGATTGCGTAGCTCCTATTTTCCGGAGGGTATTCAGTTCCAAATCGTTACGGATGTGGCTAAGTTTGTTCATGAAAGCAGTGTTCCAAGCGTAGAGCTTGATGCTCTTGATACTGTTCAAGATCTCAGTCATTAATCTAGACCTGGCATCCTTGTTCTTCATTTGTTTAAGCTGGAGCCCCTTCATCATACGAGCAATCACACCATTCAGCGGAATCATGAGTATCATCATAGCAATACCAGCAAACATGCTCACGCCGACAAGTTGATAAAGTGAGATCATGCAAAGAGTGATTTGAAATGGCGCGGACCAAAGCTGGATGCCGAACTGTGTCAGGTCAGATAAGCGTTGCTGGTCGACAGCCATATGATTCACGATATCGCCAGTAGTTTTCGACGCCCGGCCCTCGTTGGAAAGTCGTAAAGACTTGGCATATATCATGGCGGTCAATCCTGACTTGACGCGCATACCACAGTCAAAAGCCCTCTGGAAATACTGGTGGAGACACATGGTCTGCGACACTGACACCAGGAACATAGCGAGGGCAATGGCAACACCAAGGATAACTGGCTGGGGCTCATCGGTGCGGTATGAATCCACAAAATTAATCAAAATTCGCAAGAGCTGTGGCTGGACAAAGGCAAGGATATCACTCCCGCACTTAATAACTGCACCGCGCATATAAGAGGCACCATATGCTCTGAATAATGCCATCCACAAAGATGGTTTCTGATTTTGGAGTTCTTGGTTCCACTCTTCCTCCAGATATTCCCCTGTTACGCGGGTTGTATCACGACGTCTAAGGTTCCACAGATCATCCTGGGTCAAGAAGTTCTTGTATCCAAACTTCATCATTGGTGTCATCCAGCTGAAGGTAAGGACGGAGAATATATCGGCATACTCGTACGGGCATTCATCTTCATCGCCCAGAGCATTGTACGCACTTTGCTTCTTTGGAACCAGGTACTCGAGCCCAAACTCTAACACCGCGAGCCCCAAGCTCACGTTGAAACAGACAAAGTACGGAAGTCTGTCCTCGTATGTATGTTGTGACACCAGCGACCGCAGTTTGATTCCATAAGCGATGATAAAGAAAAGCCAATAAAACAGAACAACCCCATTTGGTTGCCTGCTGCGCCAATGCTCGTAGTATTGTACCGCAAATATAACACCGAGTGAGGCGAGCACAAGGATCGAGCTCCAAAATCGGAAGTCGGCAAGCCAGTTGGTTGGATCGGTCTCGACATGTATCGCAGCTTGAAGGGCAGTCGTGAACATTAAAGCGGACAGCACCGTCTAATCGAGAGTGACTTGTAAGCAACAGACCTACCGACAAATGGGTAGGCACGGAAAACTAACCAGTTTGCTGTAGAAGTGCCAGTCTTTAGGCACAGGCTCAGCGATTCGCTTTTTGAACAGGAACCAAAGGGCACCTGCTCCCATAAGCAAACCCCATGCTGCGACGATGGCCACTCCAAGGTCCAAGAAACACGGCGTTAAATCAAATCTCAATTTGCTTAACGGGCCCCAGCCCTCTGCATCACCGCAAAAGGGTTGCGACCGCGCGGATTGGAATACAGACTCTGGACTTGACGACGGCGACACCAGCGATCCTGGGAGAGAGCCCCCGAGGATCGCCTGGGAATTGCCGTCAGGCATCCTTTTTCCGAGCAAAACCAGACCTCAAGCCTGATCCCTGGTCCTGTCGTCCCACGCGACGATTAGAAGAAAAAGGAGAGGAGAACTCCGGTGCGTTTTCAGTCTGATGAAGATCGTGACGTGAAGAATGAAAAGTCTCAAAAAGGTAGCTGGGAGACCAAAGCTTAACTATCTAGCTCGCTGCTGACTAAATGCAAGATGATTATTAACTAATAGTTAACCAACCACCGGCTCGCTGTTATCGGGGTTCGGAAATAACAACGCGCTCGCTGGTTTTGCCTCGATTTGGTAGGCGATGACTAAAGGAATGTTGGGTTCTCTGCTATGCTTGGTGGGCTTCTCCGAACACTCGTATATTAAGTCGTATCCCCCAGTGTTCATTTTTTGCCCTTGCCGAAGGGGACTCCGAAGTATAACCGGGGCGGTGGATGGTCTTGGCACGTGTTTCTCCATCCTCAATCTGGAGTCCACGAGGTTGAGGTTATAATTGGCTGTAACCTCCCGAGGCTCCCATATGACACTACAGTAAGGGAGTAAATATCAATGCAGGTAATGCAGGGAATAGATTGGCTGTTGACAGATGATGTAATTGGCCCACAGTCCCCAACCAACACTTACCTAACCTAATACAAGCACTCGCTGTGCAACAAGTTATAACTACTACATAGTTATGGCTTTATTGTCCCAACGGACATAGGAGTATGGATGCGTATCAGAGGGCTAAATGAATTGAGGTACTTCAAACAATTTATACTGCGGATAAAATACCGGTAGTAAGATTCATAAGCCTCAAGTACCGATGTAGTTCCGAACTATATATTGTAATGGCCAAATATCTTTAAACCCAAACATAAACAGTACTCTCAATTACATCTTACCTTCTGCTGAAACTCTTTTATAGAGGAAACAAGCACATATTTTCATCTTCTGGGTCAACTTCAAAATCAAACCTTACCAAGTCTTCCTTAAAAGGAAACAGATATGTACTTGTAACCCTAGAACATATAATTTTAGCAGTCGCCCAGTAGTATAGTTTGGTCTTGTGAAACATGCCGGTGGTGCTCATCACTCGCTTGGTACTCAGCTAAAGCATCCCTGTTTTCATGATAGCTCACTAGAGCAATCTCGAATCCTTTACTTCGTTCAATAGGATCGGTTATGGATGGGCCACCAACGATGAGCCGACCATCTTTGACGCAGGGAAGACGCTTTAGGGTTTTGAGTTCCGAGATGAATTTTTGCTTGTGGTCTTGGGTAACTTCTGGACGAAATTTGAATAGGACTATGTAGTCTTGTCAGCACCCCGGGGCAGGGGGGGGTGGGTTTTCATTGTAAAGTTGAATGGGACAACTCTTTGAATGACGTACCGATATGTATCACGGTCATGATAGCGGAACCGAATCCACAAAGTTTGTAATGATATTTCTGATATATTTCGTTTAGTGGAATCGAGTGCATTCGACGGGACAATACTCTGCAGATTCAGGTGGTGGGAGAACTCGTGGTTATATTGGGTGTACCCCTAGCTTCTTCGTATTGGACCCAATCGGGAATGCCCCGCCAAGTAGCGGATGGGAACCGGAGGGCATCCGAGAATCGGAGCGAATCTGTTCTGAACGAGGGAAGACAGGCTAGAACGAGCCGCATTGTATTTATTCTATATTACATTATTGATGTGTACATGTTGTATTTGAGTCTCTATCGTCCCCCTCCTTTCTAAAAGAATACAAGAATCATCGTACAATATACTTCGTATGCGACCCCTGCGCGACAACAGAGAGCTCCCCATCTTCTTTCGTCTTCGAAATAACCACCGTTGTAAACGCCAAACTCCTACCAACTCTACTCGTGCGGCCTTCAATCTCCAACTTATCGCCTTCTTTCGCCGTACTCACGTACGACACATGCATATCGGTACTCAATCCCGTCGACTCGAGACCATGGGATGCGATTGCCAACCCGCCAGCCCAATCGAGCACGCATGCAGAGAAACTGCCGTGTAGCGTTCCCTTGGAGTTGATCTGCTTTTTGTTCACGCGCACACTCGCCCGTATGACGCCTGGTTGCGCTTCGTAGATTTCTGCCTCGTCAAGGAGGAAGGCGTAGATGGGACTTTTGTTTTGGATGCGGGCTTGGACTGCCCGAACGTGCGTGAGTAAGGGTGTTTCTGCTGCCATGGTGAGTTGGTTGTGCTGTCGATAGGGGAGTGGTAGGGTGGTGGTGTTTGTTTATTGTATGTGGGATGGATGATATGGCTTGAGTTGATGTGGCATTTAAATTCTTGGTGTGGAGCTTTAGGTCACGGATGCTCTCCGCTCGGATGGCCCGCATCCATACTTGCAATCGATATTCCAGATAATATCTATTCTTGACCATCGGCCTAAAGCATATAGTATTTACTCAGGTCCTTCCAGTAGAAGAAGTTATCCCTCCATCCACCACAATCTCCTGCCCAGTAATGTATCTCGCCTCGTCCGCCACAAGAAACAAAGCCGCATTGGCCACATCCCATGCATCTCCCATCCGTCCCATCGGTACCTGAGCGTCCCGCATAACGATGTAAGCTTTCTCGTCTCCCCCGGGCGCATATCGCTTAGCAAGAGCCTTTGTATACGGGGTGTCGATCAATCCTGGCACCACGGTGTTCAGCCGGACTCCCTTCGCCGCATACACAACGGCAGTTGCCTTGGTAAATTGCATGATGGCCGCTTTGGCTGCAGAGTACGCAACTTGCGGTTTTCCAATATATCGAAGCCCTGCTATACTTGCGATATTGACAACAGTGCCCCCGGACTTCTGCTTCTCCATAATAGGAAGGACAAAATGACAGGTCAGATAGACGCTCTTCAGATTGATGTCCATTTGTGCGTCCCAAACTTCCTCCGGCATAGTTGCAGGACAGCCTGGCTCGGACCGACCCACATTGTTCACTAGGATATCAATGCGGCCGTACTTTTTCATGCAGTTGTCGACCAGTGCCTTCACTGAAGAAGAGTCCGTTACGTCGGCCTCTTGGACATCGCATATGCCTCGCTCGTTCTGGATGTGAGATTGAGTTCGTTCAGCCGAAGCGAGGGATCGATTTCCTCCAAATATTATTGCCCCTTGGCGAGCAAATAATGTAGCAATGGCTGCTCCGATGCCCCAGCCCTCGTCCGTAGTTTGACCTAGACCAGTCATGAGGACGACCTTGCTATGTAGATCAAGCATATTGTCGATGGAATGGCACTGCGAAATTGTTGATAATAAGCTGGTATAGAATTATATTAATGGGTTATCACATTTATATTAACGCTAAGAATAGATATTTGGGGAAGAAGGCTTCAGCCGGATTCCCGCCATACTCTCGGATTGCTTCCGTCCATCTGCAGCGGAGCTTCCGTTGAGTATCGGGCTGCAACCGATTAGAATAAGTACATTTTAAATACACTATCTTATGCTTATCATCTGGATCATTTACATAAAACCAACAAAAAATCGTTCATAATCCATACAAATATTCACAATCATGCCCCAAGACCTACAGGCTACAATTCCTAACGAGTACAGCCTCTCTCAAAATATCAATTCCAATACAGGCTTCCGACAAGCCCTAACAACATATGGAGATGCACATTTCTCTCTATTCCTGCGCAAGGTCTTCATCAAGGCTCTCGGATACACTGATGATGCTCTTTCTCGCCCTATTATCGGCATCATCAATACGAATTCCGGATTCAACCCATGCCACGGCAATGCTTCCCAGCTCATCGAGGCAGCCAAGCGGGGAATCATGTTAAGTGGAGGCATTGCTATTGATTTTCCTACGATCAGTTTGCATGAGGGATTCTCTCATCCGACAAGCATGTTTCTGCGAAATTTAATGAGTATGGATACGGAAGAGATGATAAGAGCGCAGCCTGTAGACGCGTGTATCATGATTGGAGGTTTGTTTGGACAATCACTTAATTTAATTCACGTTATGGGACTTTTAGCTGAGTTGAGAACACACAGGTTGTGATAAAACCGTACCCGCTCAAATAATGGGCGGCATATCGGCCAACAAACCCATTTTACCCCTCTTAACAGGGCCGATGATGCCGGGAAGTCATGGAGGGCGAAGAATCGGCGCTTGTACCGATTGTCGCAATAACTGGGCTTCATATAGGGCTGGAAAAATAGATATGGAAGAGATCATGGCAATCAACGAGGAGCTGGCCCCGACTGTTTGTGCTCATCGTCCCCTAGCGTTGTACATCTTTGCTCTAATAATCGTCGATAGATAGGGACTTGTGGCGTCATGGGGACAGCAAGCACAATGGCATGTATCACAGCAGCACTTGGTCTTATTCCCCTCCAAGGAGCTTCTGCACCAGCTGTCTCTGCCTCACGTCTCCGAGTAGCAGAGCAGACGGGTATTCTTGCTGTTGCAGCTGCGAAGGAGCAAAGAGTCCCTCAAGATATTCTTTCATTAGAGTCTTTCTACAATGCAGCCATTGTTCTGCAGGCTATTGGAGGATCTACCAATGCAATGGTTCACCTTATGGCCATTATCAACCGCCATCCCAACCTCAAAGGAGTCACATTAAAGACACTTGACGACATTGGCCTAAAGACTCCCCTTTTGGTGGATTTAAAACCAAGTGGAGATAATTACATGACGGACTTTCACAACGCAGGAGGAATGCTATGTCTTCTCCATCAACTACGTCCGTTATTATATCTTTCGGCCAGAACCATCTCGGGAGAAACCCTTGGTGAGGTCCTAGATCGCAGTCCATTTCGTTATTTTGAATGCTCACGCACTATTATCCGCCCACTTTCTGAACCTCTATATCCCTACTCATCGTTGGCAGTGGTGTACGGCAACATAGCTCCCAACGGCGCGGTTATAAAAGTCTTGCCTCAAAAGACAAGCGTTTACTTCGTCATACCGGTCCGGTAGTAGTTTTCGAAAACTCAAAAGATCTTGCTCTACGCTTAGACGACCCCGACCTTAACGTAATTGCTGATTCATCCTCGTTCTCAAGGGTATTGGACCAATTGGAAATCCCGGGATGCCAGAAGCCGGCATGATTCCGATCCCACGAAAGCTCGCAGAACAAGGAGTGACTGATATGCTTCGGATGTCTGATGGGCGCATGTCCGGGACTGCGGGGGGCACGATAATTTTGCATATCTCACCTGAGTCGGCTATCCCTGACTCTCCGTTTGGTGTTGTTCAGACAGGAGACTTTATTATGTGCGATGTTGAAGCGCGGAAGTTGGAGCTGTGTATCAACGAGGAAGAGTTCAGGACACGGATATCTGCGAGACAACAGATACTGAGCACGGGAACTGGCGATGAACCATCGCAATGGGTGCAGCGACATACTCGAAGAGGTTATCGAGGTCTCTACGAGCGGACTGTCAACCAGGCGCACGAGGGTGCTGATTTTAGTTTTCTTACAGCGACTGGAAATTAAGTGTTTTGTGAATTGGGAGATTTTCCAATATGCAAAGCATTGCAATATAGTGTAACAAGATCTACATAGAATTGATCAATCCTACGTGAAGTTTACAATTTTTCCTCTATATATCTGCGTTTAGATCAGGAAGTCGGCAATTATTGATATAAGGACCATGGCATTAATTTCTCAGTCAATCCATTTACAAATCATCGAAAAAAATAACATCGGCGAGTCTTTCCGATAGTAATCAAGGATTCATATGACTAACGCATAATTTTGAGATTGGCCCCATATCCTTGAATTAACGGTGATCCTGATTCCATTTTAAATGCAGTAATAACCCTAAGCCATCTTCAGATACAGAACACTTACCAGTGCCCACACACCCTGCGCTTAGTTAAAGTATTTGATGGGATTATTTCCTTGTCGAGAAATCCTGTAGAATCCTTGTTCAGTTAATTACACCCAGAGTTACATTTGTCTAGAACATCTATTGGTGGAACTTGGACCCCTGACAATGTTAGGATGAGGGGAAATGTGCCTTTTGGCTTCTTAACAAGAAAAGGGAGCCTACTGTCCATATTCCTGAACTCAAGGATAGTTTTCAAGCGGTTAAAATATGATACGATTCTCCCTCGTATCAAACAACATATGAAATTTTGAACTACACTCTTTTCCCACATATAGCGAAATTGATCGGTGAGTGGCAAGAGTACAAGCTGTACATTACTGGCTGGTGACGAAATAGCCAAAGGGCATGCCCCCAAAAAATATGTAGGCACATTGACCGATCAGAAAGACATGCTTACTGTAGAGAAAGATCAAGTTTTGAGGGTCTGAATTCATGTCAATGGAATTCAGAATGACTGTGACCTCCTTCAAGAAACTTTTGCTTCATTTCCATCGTCGCCTTTGGTTGTACTTTGATTGCATCATGGGAGGTTGTTTTGACGTTTGTGCCCTGCAGACGTCGGCCTGTAATTCTCTAGGCCAATAAAAGTTAGGATGATGAGTACTCCTTTGGCGAATGGAGGCACTGCAGGGTTTATTTGGAGTTTGTGATTGTCGCAGCTGGGGTTTTATTGTTCTTTGCCAGTCTGCCGAGTCGGCTTCCATGTAGGTACAGACATTTTCCCTCACTTGTATGTAGACAGATCGAACCTACGTTTGACTTTTAGAGCACCGACGGCAGGAGGTCAATATCATTGGGTCTCGGAATTTGCTCCCAGGAATTGTCAGAAATTCCTGAGCTATATCACCGGTAGGAGTTACATATTACGACTTCCTGAATCCTATGAGGTTACTTATCCAGCAAATTGTATGCATCTAGGCTGGCTCTGTGCCACCGGCTGGGAATGTGCTGTAGTGTCCATTGCCTTTCTAGGGGGTACAATTATCCAGGGACTGGCTGTCCTCAATTATCCAGAATATGTCTTCAAGAGATGGCATGTCACTCTTATTACAATCGCGATCGCTCTTTTCGCGGTTCTGTTCAACACATTTCTTGCTAAAAGGCTTCCTCTTGTGGAAGCATTTGTGCTGATTCTCCATGTTGCCGGCCTTTTTATTATTATCATTCCACTTTGGGTATTGGCACCTATTAGCGATGCAACGACGGTGTTCGCCCAGTTCTCGAACAGTGGCGGGTGGAGTGATGGGACTGCGACGATGGTTGGTCTTGTCACTGCCATAACAGCCATTATTGGCTACGGCTGTACAGTTCATATGTGTAGGTTGACTGCCTATGTGTTATAACATTCTCATTACTGACACATTCTAGCTGAGGAGGTTCGTGACGCCTCATCAGCCCTTCCCAAACCTATCATGTCAGCAGTCACCTTGAATGGATCAATGGCGTTTGTTGTCCTTGTCACTCTCTACTTTACCTTGGGGAACCTTGACGAGGTCCTTAATACCGATACTGGCTACCCATTCATCCAAGTTTTCTACAATGTCACTAAAAGCTATCCGGCCACCAATGCGATGACATCCATAGTGGTGTTGGCTATCATCTCCAGTGTTATCACGGAGGTGGCCACTGCCTCCCGCCAACTTTAGTCATTTGCTCGTGATGGCAGTGTAGCTTTCGCTGGTTTCTTCAGTCACGTCAGTAAAGCCAATCTGTCCGACCTTGGACATCCAAGTCTAATTATTGACTTGTACAAGTCCAACCCGGCTGGAACATCCCGCTCAATGCTGTTCTCATCTCTCTTGGACTCACGATTCTACTAAGCCTTATCAACATCGGCTCAACCGTGGCTCTAGATGCCCTGATTACTCTCACTATTGGATCGTTATTGAATTCCTACATCGTCACCGTTGCCTGCGTTGATTGGAAACGTATTCGCGGGGAGCCTCTCTCTCCATGGCGTTGGTCGTTGGGTCGATGGGGCCTCTTTGTTAATCTTGGGGCTCTCATGTTCTCATTCCGGTATTCATCTTCGTTATGTTTCCCCTTTCATGCATAGTAGCCCCGGATACAATGAACTGGAGCTCGTTGATGTATGGCGGGATGTTGATCTTCTCCGTCGCCTATTATTTCCTGTATGGGCGGAAGAGTTATGTTCCTCCAGTTGCATTGGTGAAGCGTGGGATATGACTTGTCCTATCTTGGGGCCTTTGCTGGCTATGGATACAGTATTAATGTTGACCATCTTGGAGAATAAATTAGAATGTGTCTTGGCATGTCCCTGCCTAGGAGCGAGAGAAATGATGCGCTATTTAGAGCTTTATAGACAGGGGTTAATCGGTTTAATTAATTGTTGGTAACCTACGGGCTAAACAAAGAGAACGAGTCTGTTTTAAATCCTATACGGGATAATTTCCACACTATTTAAAAGACCCCTGTTGGCAGTCCTGCGCCGCAGCCATTTTGGAATTTGGGCCGGGAACTCTTGTACTCAATTATGTACTTTGCATGTAACCCACATACTACCTAGCAGATACCGGGTCCGGCATATGGTCTAGAATACATAACAAAGAAAAGCAGGGCTTACATTATATCCTGTACTATGGCCTGCTCTAAAACTAAGCTAGTGCTTCCATTCCTTTTGTGGTAGGCGTATGGCGAGTTTGTCAGAATATTGAAATTGCATATACTTTGAAAGAGCTCTCTACTTCTTATTGCTTGCTCCCATGAACTAAGCTGAGCAGAATATATAGTATAGAGTTACATAATTAGAAGTGCAATCATAGCAAGCTCTGTCCTATACAAAAAAAAAAAAAAAAAAAAAAAAAAAAAAAGGCTTGTCTCAGGTCAGTTACATCTATTGGAGGATAGAGCCAGGGTTTCCCAGCCGATCCATGGCCTACAATCCGAGTTACCGTTCCAGCATTCGAGAATCAAATCTCCCTATCTTAAGATATAGCCCAGCAGATATACCCATGGTAATTCCCATGTGCCAGAAGCTCTAGAACAAATGAAGAAAGACGCACGCCCGCAGATTCGGTCCAAACCCTAGACTAGGTATGCATGTATCCTTGATACATAACCAATGCCTGCGAACCCCTATAGAAATGCAGATGTGAACTAATAAGGAGCAGTCTACACATAAACCACCGAGGCTACTACTATTTTTAATTCCTATGGGCTCCGGAAATCCTTTGCTGGTTGTTGATGAAACTCATCATGCTGGTATTGTAACCATAATTGGGGTCACTCCTCTTGTTATGTCTTTGATTTGTTTGCTCATCCGAATCTACGTAATGGCAGTTCTAGGTCCACCATTCGGACGAGATGATTGCATTTTTGTTGCGGCTATTGTATGTGATATTTCCCCTTTCGGCAACTGTCTGATCTAACAGTCTAAACTTCGAGATATTCATAGGTATTCGCCATCGTCCAAACTTCTTTAATGGTTCTGAACTCTACCCAAGGCTTTGGAAGTTCCATTCAACTACCCTATCAAGATGAAATCACAAGGGTCCAACAGGTATCCTACTCGCGTACGGGGTTACCCACCAGCTTTTTAACCACATATCTAGATGACTGCAGCAGCCGATGCTCTTTTCCTAATCGATATATTTCTTTCAAAGTGCTGTGTTGTGGGGATCCTGTCTCGGTTGACTCCACAGCGGGCTCACCATCCGATTCTGTACGGTATATTTGGGTTAAGCATACTCTGGATACTTTCATCGCTTATACTATTTTTACCCAATTGCTGTCTGAGTAAACCGTGGGTAAGTCCTGCAGAACAACGCAGTAGTCTAGTATGTGCACCGCACTTCAAATTTAACCATATACTAATAATTTCGAAGCTACAAAGATGGCAGTATATAATCTCTATCCATATTATAACAGAAATCATGATATTTATCTTCTCCATACTCCTTGTTTGGAGCTTGCAAATGCCATTATCGTGGAAACTTACAGTTATTTCTTGCTTTATTATTCGTTTACCGCAAGTTATCTACTTCATATACTCCAAGGTAGCCATATTCCTAAGTCCTAACACCATCTCTACAATAGGCTGATTGCATTTTCCTCGCTTCGCTTCCACTACCCGCAACTGTTTGCTCACTTTTTAAATCCCACTTTTACTATTGTTGATCTTTACATTTGGACTCAGTTAGAAATGTACTTCTTTCTCATAGTCTGCACTGCATTTTGCATCGTCCCGTTTATGCACTCTATCAGCACAGAATATGGAAAAAGCGGTACAAACTAACTGTCTGCAAACTACCTCAAGAGTCGGCCTTAGAAGCTACAGGCTTTGGTGATGCTTACAAAGAGGGGAAATCAAATCGAGTATTGCTCCCGATGAGACGACGAGAGAAGCCACTGAAACTGATGGGGATAGTCTAATGATGGCAGAGAGTACGCGTATTCTGCGCTGCAAGTTTTGTGGAATCGGAACTTTGCCAGCTTCTGTTATTCTAAAGGTCTTGATTGGTCAAATGCCCTTAAGCACAAGGATGGAACTAGCAGTTATATCAAGGGTAGGCTTGCCAACTTGCAGATTTTATTTCTAAATTATAAAATATTTACTGGCTAGTGTATAGCCTGCCTACATATTTAAACAAAGCATTCAATGAAAATTTATTAATTGGTAATATTTTATCTGAGGTTACACCAATCAACTCAAATATTCCTATTAACTGTTGTGTAGAAGAGACTTCGAGTTAAAGGTATCTTTTGAATATTAACAAAACAACAAAAAAAAAAAAAAACAGAGGCACTAGTTACAAACCACTATGCTGGGATGTAGTTCATGAATGTCATTTGCAATTGACTCGCAACACGCAAGCTATCTAGGTCAAACTCAAATATATCATCCGGACTACGGACGGGACCAACCTGGGTGCCAAAGGACATGTGCCGCGTGAGTCGGATTGCTTGTATGGCTGGTGCAGCTACCTGGGACAAGAGGAATATTGCCTATATATTATGTCTTGTTAGCCAATAACCTTTACTACTCAAACTTTATAACACTTTACCCTGGTTTGTGTGAGATATGGCATTCCACCTCTTTCCAGTGTGTATAGCTATGCAATACCGCGAACACGACCGGTGCTTTCTGATCCGACCAATTGACCAGAACTGAAACTCCCCGACATACCGGCCGTCAGGAAAAGTATATCCTCTCTCTCTCTATATATATATGTATATATCAATACGTTTGACATGGCTTCATATGTGCCACATAGTCTATCGGAGATGCTTTGCGAGACACCTTTTGCCCTATCTGAGGATATGAATAGGAAAGCACGTCTCAAGCTGTGTAAGAGTGAGAGCCCCGATGATGACATAGCTACCCTGCTCGACATTTTTCCTCGACATTTGCTTGCGGTGGAGCTGGCTCTGATGCGCGGGAAGACATAAGGAACAAGGTGTTGATGCAATGTGAGTATCAAGAGCTAGTCCGCATGCATGAAAATAATTCTCCGGGTCTTCGACTGGCTTACGAACGTATTGATGCGCTCGACAAGTCGAAGTGCTGCAACACGAAGCGGAAAGAGATGAAACTTTTGAATGTTTATGAAGGAACAGGAAGAGCATCGTAGAACGAAGCTCAAGTTGGAAGTCATGCAAAAACGAGGACGTTTTGGGGTACCTCACTATCGAAGAGCTTTAACAGCTAGCGAAAAATCTGGGTACTGGCCAATTCGTGCCTTTGAAGGCGGGGCGAAGTTTGCACTGTACAATCTCCTCGTTTTGGCGTGGAGGATTCTACTGAGAACCTTAAGCTTGTCCCTCGAAACCAACACACGCTTCAAACTCAGTGTTTGGCTCGAGGTTAGGATAAGTGCTTGGTTTTCAGCGCTTGTGACCGAAATAACAGAAACAAGAGCCCTATGGTGCCCGATTTCTTAACCTACAGGCAGCTCACATTTTAGTTTTTACCTTTCGTGCTTGGTGCACAACATAGGAGAGGGTGTAATATTTGAACAAACATATATCAATACTTTCCGGATATTCGCTCTCGACTGGGCTTCAACCCTTGTAAACATAGTAAAAGATGGCATCATGATCCTAGACGAAGACTACTGAGACTAGAGGAAACGAGCGCCGATACTAAAGGCATTTGCATAACGCGAATGACGGTCCCGAATTCTCGTCATCTACCAGATGGCACATGATCTGTTGAGACAAATAATACTGTTCGACCACCTAAAAACCAATGGGCTCTTAGTAGACAGGAATTTAGTATTGTCATGGAAAGCCGTGACATTCTTGACTTTCTTTTTTCCAGGGTGTAATCATGGGAAACGAGAAAGATACCTGAAAGTTTTGCAATACAAACATAGCTATGATAAAGACACAATGAACAATGTTTTTCTCAGTCACTTTTCTACTCTGTATTTTTGTGCTCGAATCTAAATCTCTACAAAGGACCTGGATAGCTCAGTTCAACGTAAAAATAGGGCAATTACCTATTAATGAGAGTAATATTGCAACTATAGACACAGTTTTCTCTGCACAGCCTTGGTGAGCGCTGGTGGGCCAATTTGCTTACAGATAAAATTAGTTATGAGTCATTGTTACTTAGTGATCTCGAATTACTCATTTTTATTTTATTCGATGACATGCTGGCGCTAAAATTATAGTAGGACTACAGTGGGGCTGTCGGGAAGGCGGTGGGCTCTTAAGAACCGTTCAAGACAGAGTTCTGCTGCATCGCAACTTTTGTTCATCAACAGCACACTCATTATTCACAGCAGTATGGTTGCACAAGTCCCTGCTGTGGAGGATCTCCTGAGGAGACCATTATATAGTAGGTGTTTTGGTTGACTTTTATATTTACAAAAACCTATTCGTCGACGTCTTTGCTTACATTTTATTGCTCAGTCTATGACGTTCCCCGGGAACTCCTCTCAACATTGGCAACAAAAAAACCGAATATCAGCCTGCAGCTATCGCTGAATCGATCCCGGAAAGGCCCAAAGAGACAGTCCAAGAGTATGCGATTGCTACTTCTAACTCGTGCTCCCTCTGCAAAGTTTCTTATTTGAGTGTGCACGAACAACGCGATCATGTTCGGTCGGATCATCATAAATATAATCTGAAAAACTCAACTTAGAGGCAACCCTCCACTGGACGAGGTTCAGTTCAACAAGGCGATCGGGGATCTTGATGAATCGATATCTGGATCCGAATCGTCCGAAGGTGAAGAAGGCGAGGAGGGACAACTTACACACTTGCTAAAAAAGCAGGCCAAGATCTCCCAGGCTGCCGAAGATGTGGAAACATCACCAAACCGAAGGACAGCTAGGAAGCAGCCTCTATTTTGGTTCTCGAGTTCTATTTTGCCATCCAACACATCTTTGGGTATTTACAGAGCTATGTTCTCGGACGTTGAGCAAGATGAACCCTCGCACCTCGTTGATACCCTGCGGAAAAAGCAGCTTGCTCCAATCAAGGCGCAGAATAGCGCGCAGACTAAAAGCTCTCCCGCATCCTCCAGCCCACACATATTCATGTGCATGATTGGTGGTGGACACTTTGCAGCAATGCTTGTTTCGCTGGCCCCGGAAATTCATCGAAAACAAGGTGGTGTTGAAGAGAGACAGGCTCGTGTGATTGCGCATAAAACTTTCCATCGCTACACAACCAGACGGAAACAGGGAGGATCGCAGTCTGCTAGTGATGCTTCGAGAGGAGCTGCTCATTCAGCGGGGTCAAGTTTGCGTCGCTATAATGAAGCTGCACTTGAGAAGGAGATCAGGGAATTGCTACGGGACTGGAAGCAGATGATCAATGATGCCCAATTACTATTCGTCCGCGCTACAGGCACTACCAATAGGAAGATTCTCTTCGGCCAGTATGATGGTCAAGTTTTAAGGAATAATGACCCAAGACTTCGGGGTTTCCCGTTCAGCACTCGCCGAGCGACTCAAGGAGAGCTTATGAGATGCTTCAAAGAGCTCACTCGCATGAAAGTTAGCGAGGTTGATGAGGCAGCCCTCGCAGCTGCTGAAGCAAAGCAGCGAGAGGAAGCTTCGAAGCCATCGACACCGAGACCGCAACCGCAACCGCAAAAACCGAAATTGTCCAAGGAAGACGAGGCCGCTCTTCTTCACACCACTCAAATACAGGCCCTTATCCGCCGCTCTAAAATCCCAGCTTTGATGACCTATCTTTCTAAAAACTCAATACCTTCATCCTTCACATTCTGGCCATCTGACTCCCAGCAAAACTTTCGCTGCCCCACCCCCCTTCATCTTGCCGCCAACTTGGATTCACCATCAATGGTCTTGGCACTTCTGACAAAGGCTGATGCAGACCCAACGGCCGTCAATACCGAAGGAAGAACGCCTTTCGAGCTCGCCGGAGATCGGGCCACCCGTGATGCCTTCCGCGTTGCCCGTCACGAACTCGGCGAATCAAAGTGGAATTGGGATGTTACTAAGATTCCATCGGCAATTTCCAAAGTTGATGCTGACAGTCGGAAAGAGAGGGAGCGAAAGACGGCCGAAGAAGAAGAGGCCAACCGACGTAAAGCCGAAATGGACCGATTAAGAAGAGATGATGCTGCCAGGGCAGGTTCAGAAGACGCGAAGAAACCAGGTGGTCGGACACTTGGAGCCGTCGAGAAAACAGCCTCTGAGAAAAGGGAAGAAGAGATGAGGGGGATGACGCCGGAAATGCGGATGCGACTGGAAAGAGAGCGCCGAGCCAGAGCTGCTGAAGAGCGCATGCGGCGGATGCAAGGACAGTGATGATAGACTTGATGATATCGATCTTGGTCTATAAAGCATGTATTGATACTGTAATGAGATATGCCTATTGATGTTATTATGGGTAAATAGAACCCAATCAAGGAGCAAATATTACTGCCTCGTTCAAGTGCCCTCGCTGGAAGGTTGAGTATGACGGCAGGCAGCACCTGATCAACGTTATCGTGATTTGCGCGGCCCATTTCTACTCTCTTCTATACCTCACCTCACCTAACAATTCTTCATCACCACGTTCCATTCTAATAGCTTTATGCATCTTACAATGTATTAGATACACATATCGTTCATCGTTCCAATGTTCCATGGTAGATATACAATGTCAAACCATTCGCAATCCCTTCTTGCATCTCCCAGCTGCTGTGTCGGTACACTATCGGAGTGGAATCCACGAACCCAAGAAACCACCAACTCACTAATCATCCAAAGCAACGAAGAAATATATGTTGGTCGTGATCATAAAACATGGTACTAACCCCAGTACTCCAAGGACATTCCATCACTGACCAAGAAAGCCACTATGTCGTGCAGGATCCATTCGTCTCCAATAGACATCTCCGCATATACACCATAGTCTTTGACCGAGATAACCCCCAAGAGGTCGCACCGTTGGTATATGCTCAGGATATTTCAATGAATGGCACCCTATGGAATGGGTACCCCATGGGGAAAGGGAATGGGAGCTTTCTTCTCAGGGACGGTGATATCCTTCAGCTATCCCTGAGGGTCTCTCTTTGTTATCGCTGTGGTGACCATAAAGAAGACCACTTCGATATGCTACAAAAGGTGGAAATGAGGGTATAACTACACATATCATTATTGATGGGGGCATACTTACCGAATGATGTTGCAGGTATTTGAGAACATGTATACAGTCACGCAGCGCAAGCTTGGCTCTGGGGCTTATGGACAAGTTCACATGGCATTTGAAAAAGAAACCGGTCAACAACTTGCGTGTAAGATTATTGATCTTCGCGCATTGAGTGATAAATTCTTCCGAGAAGCAGAGGAACAACAGTCCAGGCTCTTCAAGAAGAAACTGCTGTACTCCAGCACTGGGATCATGGCATCTCGTGAATTCAAGAAACCTTTCTCAAAAAAAGTCCTTGAGAAGTTGAAGGTATACAACCGCGAAGCTAAGATTCTAGCAAACCTTTCTCATGTGGGTTCTACAAAAATCAATACGGTTGACTCCACTAATTCATGGTCAGCCAAATATTATTGGCATCGAGAAGGTCATCAAGTCAAGTAATACCGTGTATGTCTTGCATGCCACCGGGTGGTCCTTTCTAAGTATTCTAGATATCTATTTCAAGAGCTCATTACGGCCGGCGACTTGTTCTCCTACATTCAATACAAGGGCGGAAAGCTAGGCGATATCGAAGCGGCCGTCATTGTGCGGCAGGTTCTAATGGCATTGGAGTATCTACACGACAGGGATGTCGTTCATCGAGATCTAAAACCAGATAATATTCTCATGACATCGTTAGCTGACGGGTGTAGAGTTGTACTTACTGATTTTGGCTGCGCACGAATGGTACAGCCTTCGACCGGAAGAATGTCGACCGTGATTGGCACTTTCGACTACAGTGCTCCGTCAGTTCACTGTGATCTTTTGTTCGTTGCTTCAGTGGGCTAATAGGTTCTCCAGGGAAGTGCTTAAATCGAGTAAACAAGGCTACACAAAAGCAGTAGACCTATGGTCATTGGGCTGCGTGACAGCCGTTCTCCTGACTGGAGAAATACCTTTTAAAGACGCCTTTGCAACTAGCCCTATAGATATTTCTCGGACGCAGGGGATTGACCAGCTTGAGGCTAATCTTAAGTGGAATAACGCGGGGAAACGAGCGGCCGATTTCGTACGCCGACTCTTAGTATTTGACGAAACGGAGCGGATGAATGTCAAGCAAGCGTTGCACCATAGCTGGTTCAGTAACAGTGCGCATAGAAACGAGTTCGAGGCACTTTATAAACGGTCGATAGGAAATTGGAAGCCCCGTGTGCGCAAGGAGACTTTGATCGTCAATATCCGTGATTTGATTACGGCGTCGAAGGAAAGAGAGAACAGCAAATCACATTCTAGCGGGCTGTTGGGAGTCAACGGGATCTCAATTAGGGATGGTAACCGACCTATTTATGAACCAACTGCTCTCTCAACTGCACCATCTAGTGGAGGGCACATTTATAGAGGCTCTACAGTGCTATCCGTTACTCTTTCAGATCCGGAACTTCCACCACATTACAGGATCGAGGGCCAAGAAAGCAGTCTAGGTCATTGCTGGAGAAACATAGACAGTCAATCCCAGCTGGGGTCTGATGCAGCTAGCCCCATGAGTATGGAAGAGCCTGGGATGCACGCCGCCGATCTAGACGAGAGCTCGCAGATTTCCGATGATAACTGGCTCGAAGAGAAAGTCCAGGAAAGCATATTCGAACATAAAGATACTATAAAGGGAAAATATCTTGCAAATCAAGGAATCCATATAACTCTGAACCCCAGACCAGAAGACTGGACGCCGAACCCACTGGCTATGGCGCACGATATTAGAGAATCCCAGGTCAATACCAGCTCCTGGGATGGCGAGGAGGTCTACGAGGAAATTAACAACATTGTCACTGGAAAACGCCAGCACGTCGTTTATGGGACGAACATATATCAAGACTTATATTCAAGTATGGTGGAGGTTGAAAGGTAGTATGATGAGCAAGTGGGGTTGTAGGGACTCATAACAAAAATTTGCGAGCAAGATTGAAAGCGTCAGCGCTCTGGACATTGAGTGATAACTAGTCGCATTCCATTTGATGTACTTTCGATAGGGTTAAGATAAATGATGGGTTTGAGAGGCCTAGACTTCTGCTAAGCATCCGAGACAGCAATAGAAGACAAGGTAAAAAAAAAAAAAAAAGGCTCTTGGCTGTCAACAAAGTATTACCAAGGCCAACTGAAAAGAGAACACCCTAGTTGCCATTAGATAGATCTAGGATGTATAGAGAAACAACTACGCTAATAATAGCATAGGGATAAAAGGGAACAAATAGAAAAAATCTGAATGCAGAAATACAAAGAGAAAATATTCAAGACTGCCAGCTACAAGGACTAAGACACTAACATCAACATCACACTTACTCCTTAAAATGCCCGGACTGAGATCCACGACGCTATCCGGAAAACAAAGCATAGGGAGGATTAACAGGGTCATGAGAAATTTACGTGCACGACATTGTTGATTCGAGAGCATGCAGTATTTAACAAGGGCTGCGATAAAGTACTGTAGCTTTGTCAGGCACAGTAGTCAAGATTGTTACGATTGTATGCATCGTGCAGACAGACTGGGATGAGTGATGTATGGAAATGGAAGTAAGGTATTGGCAATAGTGACCAGTAGCTATAACTTGCTTAGACTAAAAGGGTACAGATTATTCCTGAAGAGTCAATTGAAAGCTGGAAGTCGTTATGTGATTAGCACTTATCTGAAAGGACTGTAATCATTGACCCTAGAATACAGCAACTATGTCCAAGTGGTCCACAAATCCTACTGGTTATTGAAACCGTGATCGAGGGAATGACCTCAATGACTGCAGACAGACGCAATGTGAACAGGGCTCAAGGAGTAAGAAAACCAAGTCAAACCAGCCCCTCATTCAAAGTTGTACGAATCTGGCCAAGTTCAAATGTCGGACAAAGGAGGCGAGTAAAAGGATAACATCCATCATACAAGGAAAGGGACCCTGTACATTGGTCCCAGTATCTACTGTGTCCCAGTTCGAGGATTGACTCATTTCTGTCAATGAGATGTGCATACCCGCGTGATGGAGATTCTCCACTATCGGCTCTCCACTATCGGCGATTTTGAATGGCCTGGTTGCACTTCTTTCTGGGACCTCCTTGCATGATCAGGAGTGGCTTGGAGGCTGGTACTGTGACTGTAGTCTGTACAGGCGTAGCTTACTCCAGCCTTCTACTCCTTGATAGACAATGGCACCAGGGGTAACCCTGTCTACCGAGTATTGATTGAGTGCTAACTATAGACTTTCCAATGTACTGGTTGTGATTTCATCTATTGACTAGAGTGGTTGGATCCAGTCTGTGTGGTTGTAGATATAGTTTGACATGTCAATGCAACTGCGGTAATTCGCATTTGGTGCCTAGCATACTCGTAGAATTTGTTGCAGTAATCTCCGAGATAATGCAGCCCTCGTAAGGTGGACGTGCATAGAAAACTTACGATTATCTAGCTGCACCGAAGCAAGGAAAAATGAAGACAATCAGAGGGACAGGAAGTGGCTTTTGTCATTTAGACAGGGTGCTGGTCTAAACATATTTACTAGCCAGAATAAAAATGCCTAAGGGGGATTTCAGGAAGTAGTATTGCCATCAGAAGAACGTCATCTCGTTCACCTCTTCCCTCGAGGAAGAATGTAGGGTCCCTACAAGAAGCAAGGTAGACGTGGTTCGGCGGCGGGGCCGATAAGATCAGACGATAGGAGGAAATCCATCTAACCTCCTGATTTCTCAGGATTTACCGGATAAGCCGGAAGAGGGATTGACTCATTGTAGGATGATGTTCAGGCACAACGTGATCCACGCTATCTGTCGCTGATTGGCCCACACGCGACGTGTCAAGGCGCGTTGAAAACGCGACCGCGTCGCGTTCTCGCGTTTCATCCAATATACCCGAATTTGGTACTTAGGCTGGGACGGACAAAAGGGTAATAATTCTGTACAGAGTACTCCGTAGATAAGGGTCGGTAGGACAAGATCTTCTTATAGTACGGCATGTGAGAGGGTTAAACAAGCCACGACAATGTCTCGAGTGAGAAATAGGAGGGAATCCACATTGGTAGACAGACTTCTATCCAGGATTGTAGGACTAGTCAGAATTTTCTTCAAAGGGTAAAAATGAAAATATAACATATGGCATCCTAGGCCATCCATGTCCTTTTACTCCATAGAAGGAAACCCATATCAGCTGGTACACCTGCAGGCCAGAATTATAGTGCATTGCTGCTACAGTGCAGCACGGGCCAACTAGCCATTATCGCAAGGAGGACAATGCACTCAGTTGACAGAAAAAGTGGATGTTGTTGAAGGTCGATCACCCTAGTTTCACCCAGACCAAGGACCGCAGCTCGTGGAATCCCTTTATATCGGTGATTTCAGCACCCTGTTATGAAGCCTTGCATTGTGCATCCCTCTCAGGTGGCTCCTCTTCTCCTTGTCTCACTCCGAACCCACCAAGACGTACCGCAGAGTAGTCCTTTAAGGCGGTTGTAGACCTTCATAACCCAGCCAGTCCCCTGTATCAAGGAGATCGTAGAGGACGACGAAGGAGAGAGGAAAGAATGAGGGCAGCAGGCAGCCAATTCATCTGAGTCATTCTTTGTTGCTGTTCTGTTGCAGTTGAAACACTACCCCATTGCAGAGAATTCATTCATTATCTGATTCTACAGTTAGCGACTGAAGAGTCTTTGTCTCTGATGCAGATATCGGGTTTGATTGATTGATTGATTGGTACATTCGTTCATTGCATGGCGTCGACGTTCTGCGCCGGCTGACAATCCGTCACCTGCCGTTTGCGGTCGCTCTCCTTTTTCCGGTTTAAACTCGCTCGTTTTCCTCCACGCCACAACGCTCTTCTTCGCCATAATCCATCCACTTATCCTCTATCATCGACACCGTCGCATCATTCGCATCCGTTTGTATCAGAGGCGCTGGTATCCTCTCTGTTCTCTTACACTTTTGCGACGCTCCATCTCGTTCTCCCCTACTCGACACCACTCCGGCGCAAACGCGGCGCAGCCTGCGCGCAATCGTGCGCGACAACTCACCCAATCCTTCGCTTGCCCCTCCTCTCCCTCACCGTCAACACTCTTTCTTCAGCCGCTTTTTCTGTCTTTCATTGCGCAAATATGTTACTCCCATCTGCGTTGCCTTGCGATATGCGCCGCCCCTCAGCAGCGCGATCGCGCCTGACACCTAGTCGCTTATTCGGGACTCCTCCCCCGTCAGACGGCGATTTTCCGCCCAACAACGGACTCATGGGTACTTGTCGTGCCCTTCAGTCGCTCCTTAATGTCTCCCCAGCGCCATCTCCTCGACGAACCAAACCTCAACGCCTCCAAAGCCCCCTCCAGATCCGACCTCCTTCTTCCGCCCCGTCGCGGAAGCAGAAGCAAACGCAGAAAGAGCAGTCCATCGCATCGTCATCGTCATCATTATTATCATCATCATCATTATCATCATCAATATCATTGTCATCCCCTAAACCTCTGCCTGCTCGTGGCGCCAACAAACGTCGTCGCGATGCCTATGAGGAAGGCCATGATGAAGAAGCCGATCACCCAGCCGATGCGCAAACTCCCTCCCATCACACCCGGTTCTCAACCCCCAAACGCCGCCGATACGTCCCCTATGACCTTCCGCTAGGTCTGTCACAGTCAGACTTTTATGCTCTTCACTCTCCACCTATCACACAATCACCTCCTTCCCCAGCGCAGCTGCGCAACATAGACCAGAACCATCAAGACCGCGCCTCATCGTTCGATCCCGATGCCGCGCTACCTTCTATTGAGGAAGTGCATGAACCGCTCCCGTCACAGTCGGATACCTGGACATCAGAAGATGATCAACGCCTTGTGGACCTAGTTTTAGAGAAGTTTCAACTCTCCAAACGAGACTGGGACGACTGCGCACGTCGCATGGGCAAGGATAACGACAGCGTCGGTCGTCGATGGCAAGCGCTTCTCGGCGATGGAGACGTAGGATTGCGACGAGGACGACGTATGGTCCGAGGGCGTATAGATGAGGCCTGGATGTAGCTCATCCCTCATCATCTTATTCCCATTCTTCTTTTTTTATTTTATTTTTATTTTATTAAAATTTGACACTATTTTGTTCTTGATGGATAATATGTTGCGATGTATTCTATGGGATCATGTTTTCTTTTTCCTCCGCATTGTTGTATATCAGTGGTATGATATGTATTACTATTTTCTTTGTTTGGTTTCGGTGATTGGGATACACTTTTAATATGGAATTATTTCGTCGGTTTTTGGTCTGGTACACCGGCCTGTTTTATTAGTGCTTCCAGATGTATTCTTTTGCGAATAGGACTGGCTTCTTATATCTGTATACTCAATCGGGCTGTGTAATCTATGAATTATTCCTCTTCCATGTAGTTATGTATAATTATCGTATTTTCTGATACACGATGCTTATCCATGAGACTAATATGATTTTTACTGATACTCGTCCAGCTCTTGTGAGTAAAAGATAGATTGATATACCATGCTAACGTTAGAATTTATCCTATGAGAACAACTCAATGCCAAAGAAAAAGGTTAGACTCATTGCTCCTGTATTAATCGCTTGGATTGCATATACAACAAACTTGTCCCAGTTTAAAAGGTAACTTGGGTCCTGCTTGCGGTAGTTACTTCGGCCAACAACAGAATAATTGGTTCAGCTAATCCGACTAAGTACTGCAGGACTGCAATGCAGCATATCAAACTATTCAGGGCATTTTAGTAACAAGATGTTCGATCAATCCAACTGCACGACCATGGTTGTCCAGATGAAAACAAGACCCAGCATGTGCTCCTGCTGATGAAATAAGTTCGCGGCTAGAGGAGAAAATCGAGATTGACATCTCTTATAAACCTCATAGATATTACAGTTAAAGATATATCTAGCATTGGCTTTACCCTTCGTTCCGTGATGAACATAAATATGCCCTTGAATACCTACAGGCTCACGCCTCGCGTTTCTTTGGTTACATTCTCTGCAGAATATCGGCACCTCTCTATCAAATATATACCCAATCTCAAGAGGGTGTTTGGAGGTCTCTAGAGATATTTCATTTGCTTGTTAATGTACTGAATGCGTGTACCTGCGCCAAGCTCCAAAAAGTCTCCTTCAACAGTCTCTCATCCGGTGAAGAACAACCTACCAAGATGTGTCAGTTCCAGTATTTCAGAGATCTGCCTAGCAATATTGGTACCCTTTTAGTCCAGTGGAATTTATTGAAAGAAGTTATGGAAGTTGAAGGTGGATATTTTGCCTTTGGACTCGAGGGGAATGAAATTAGTATCACAAAGGTTCAAAAATCTTCTAAGTTCCTGCAAATGAGATTAAGAATGAATAACACCGAAGTGGCTGTGAATGTGATACTGTCGTGAAATTAAGTATCAGACGGAGGTGCCCGTCATTGACAAATTGACTAACTGGCTCCCACGATGTGAGATTCACATCCAGGATCCTCGGTGAATATTCATCATCAAATTCTATGCGAGGAGCCATAAGCCGTAGAAATAGTTTATCCCGAATTAAAGATGAGAGCCTGATGCTTGGGTTTATATAATGTCGCTGTAATGAGAGGCTGAAGGAGTGAATCTCGCAATTGACAGAATCTGTTCCTAGAAAATTACTAACCCTGGAGACCTCGATATATTACAGCTGATGTAAAATTGCATTAGGAGTCATATATAGTCCGTACAAGCGAAGACAGCAAATCAAAACGCCTGACACCCAGCTCATGGTAGAAACAACAAAACTGGCTACCCTGCCTGCAGTAGGCCAGTCGCTAGAATCTGCGGATCTGTTAGTTTATCTCACTACTTCCAGCGAGACGAGAACGTACCGAATTTCATAACTTCCGCCCCGGGTCATATATCGCACCCATTTGACACTGCTGTAGTTACTCTTCTCAAACACCTTGAGATACCGCACCAGCAACCCGCTACTCGTGAACATCAGGAGACTGAACGATAGGCTCAGCGGCGGACGGCTCCACGCCTTCTGATGCGTCATGCTGGTCAAGGTCGCCTCTGCAGTGAGCACGTACTCGCTTCCCCCGGAGAACCGCGCGATCTTCCACACGATGTTGTTATGTTCGGGTTCATACTTGGCGCGGCCCTGGCTGGTGCGCTCCGTGGTTTTGGCCGTGTTAAGCGGCGTGGGAATGCGGATCACTACGTTCGTCGCAAACAGCTTTGGACTATAGTTCGCCTTAATCGCCACGCTGTATTCCACCTTGGTTGTCCCGACTTCCCGCACGATCGGATGCACCTTGAATGGCAGGTTGACGTTCTCCGTCGCTCGATACCGCATTAGCTCGAACTCGCCGTCCGGCGGCACAAAGGAGATGATCCGGTCCGCATCGAAACGGCCCAATTTCACGCACTGATGGAACTGACAATCCTCCAAGGTCACGGACCCCGCGGCTGCGCGTGTGGCTTTCATGGCACCCTCTCGGTTTCCAGCTGGCGACGAGCCGGCCGTGTCGCCGTCGAGGAGGAGGCGGTCGTTCAGGCCGAATTTGCACTCCGGCGTGCCCGAAAGGTATGCTCGCATGACGATCTGGCCATTGACGTCGGCGCGAAGGACCGTGCCTGTGGCCGACATAAGGAGGTTGACGTCTTCGATCACGTCCACGAAGGCTTCGTTCTTGCGGTACTTGATGTCGGAGCGACGCCAGGAGAGCGCGCCGGTCGCTTGCATTGTGATCCGGCTGGAATCGGTGGGAGAGTTGGCAATTGCCGATTTGACTCCCTCGGTGGTGATGTACATTTTCAAGGTATCGGTCTCGGTGTTTTGCGGGTATCCAAAATCCAGAATTTCTGGGACGGTCAGCCCCATCGGTCATCCCAGTACATCGCACACAGGAAGGCATATACACTCACCATCGAGCAGCTCATAGACTAGTACGAAATTGTTCTTCACCGCTTCCTCGTCGAATTTGCCAAAGTAACTCTTCCCCAGCAGCACCAGCCGATACAGAAATTCAAACACTAACGCGGCATTGGCATTGCTCTTCGTGGCTGCCACCAGATAGATGTTCTCGTGCTTCACATGGCTGAAAGTCGTCGAGCCCAGCGTCAAGATGGGGGAACGGACCTGGGGGTTGGAGATGACCTGGATGCGAAAGATGTCGGCGAGGCGAGGGCGACAATCATTGCGGAAGGCACGGAAGATGAGGTTCTCCCCTTTTTGGTTGAAGATGAGAATGCCGGAGAGCATGATGAGGAAAGGGAGAGAGTTGGGGAGGAAAGGGTGGTCGAGGACGACGAGGAAGTATTTGCAAGGGTTGGGTAAGGAGAGGAGAAGCTGAAGTTCGGCGTAGCTCCAGATATCTGGGTGGGGAAAGCGGTTGTACTGTACCATATTTAGCTCTGAGTACGTGCAGACACACATGGTAGCACAACACAATGAAAATGTCTCGAAATTATATTATTCTAATTTCCTTCAATCTCTCATCACATCCATTTCAACCGCATACTATCCACACCATCACACCTGACCGATTTATAGACAAGCGACGGTCCGACCCGGTACAAGGTACATACATATCAACAGAAACCACTCCCAAGCGCGCGGTTACACTTATGGTCAAATAAGTAGTATTAACAGACTGAAGACAAGGGCATGGATATCGTAAAATCGAAGTGAAAAGCAAAAGGGGAATCCAGAGTCACATCCAAAAATCGCTAGAATCCATACTGCGTGGCCAGTTCCAATAGAAGTGGGGGAAAGGTCCAGGATTAAAAAGGATTTAAAAAAAAAAAAAAAAAAAATAGTAAGAGTCAATAGGCACAAGGAGAAAGAAAGAAAAAAAAAAAATCAAGGACCAGACACATACATGATCATACGCCGCTGCTTGGTCTGGTCCCTGGTAGGGATGGCCCGCCCTCACTGCGGATGATTCCAACCTTAGGGTCAGGAATCTGGATATCCAAGGACATGTAGGCCGTGCGTCGAAGACCCCAGATGCGCACCCCATCTTTGGCACCGACCTCTTGGTTCCAGTTTTCGATCCAGTTTTCCACCCGTTGCAGGTGGCTCTTGATGGCCGATGCACCGATATCCTCCCAGAGCCAACCGGTAATCAGCCCCAACGCACCATCCAGCCAGTTTCGAAAGCTGAACGGATCAAACGCCTTGATCAGCTCGTCATTAACCGTGGCTATCACCCTGCGAAACTCCTGCTCCGGGAGTAACGGGTCGAGGATCTCCGGGTAGAGATTTGAAAACGTCGGCGCCAGATCTCCCTTGATCATCCAATCCCGGCGAATTCGAATGATCCGTGTTGTCACGAACTCCTGCGATCCAATCGGTACATGCGAATTGATATGGGGGAAACACGGGTGGGCTGGACCCCAGGCGAGTTCATCTGCCACCTCCGCGTCGCCAGTCGCCGGAGGGACGGTATTTGAGGGGACCGAAGCTATCTGGGATTGTGACCGCAGGGAGGTCTGGGACCGGACATGACGCGGTCGCTCATCATCATAAGGGCCCAGGTGTGCCCGGTCGGGCGGACGAAGACTCTTTACCTCCTGGCTCCCGTTCCTTTCCGTCAATTCGGACATGTCTTGTGCAGCCCAGTGGTCGTCGACTGCGCCACTGCGCCACTGCCCTCGAGGCACTGCAATGCTAGATCGGCCACTCTCAATCTCGCCCTGGCTATGCTCCACTGTCAAGCTACTCGGGGATGGGGTGACTCGACTGCGACGTTGCTCGGGAATGGACAGGAGCGGGTAGGCGTCCCGATGCGCTTCCAGAGGGAGGTTTGCGTCGGAGATCTGTAACAGATGAGGGACGGTGACGGGGCTGGCTCGCGGGACGTAGTTGACGGGGTTTGCCAGGCGAACCGAGGGAGGTCGTAGAATCGCGGGTTGAACCCAGGAGGAGTTATTTAACCGTGGAAGGGATCGGGAGGCAGGGGCTGATCTGATGTGATCAGTCGAGGAACGTGCAGACCTGCGGGACTCGAACGAACGGCGCGGGTTGCTGCGATAGCCACGCGAGGCAAAGCGAGAACAGGAGGGAAGCTCTTCAGTGTGGGATAGGACAGGATGAATAGGGTGGGAGGCTGCAAAGGACGCCGTTTCCGCGGAGGACGACGACTGCGATGGCAGGAAAAGCGTGGGAAATCTCGAGGAGGCCAGGGCGGCGATCTGATTGGCCGGGCAGAAAGGGGCAGCACAGAGGTCACGGGACTGCGCATCTAATTGAAAAGATAGAAACAGAAATATTATAAGAATATATCAAAAGGAATAGTTTGATCAGTCAACTGAATTGAGTTAAAATCCTATGAAAACTGGGTGGACACAATCTATACAAAGTCAAGAGGAAAGATTGCTTCGAGATAGGCAGACCTGTCCAATAAATAAACCCTTGACCCAATAAAGAAAGAGAAATAATATTTAATAATAATAATAATAATAATATCACTAAGATCAAGGCTAATAAATAATTCCTCCCTATCCAGGTCCAATCCACCCGAAGGCGAAACAAATAGCCCAAGTAAGGCGCCAACTTTGCTTCACCTCGAATTTTCCAGGGCTTCCGTGATCGTTCCAAATTAACCTGGAGCAACCCATTACATCATGGCTCTCTGCGGTCCATGCACGATTCATCAGATAGCCTAAGAGGATATAGCCTGGATGTGTAACGTCCGCGCAGTTTCCAGCCGTAGTGCATCGTCTCAGTGTATTCCGTAGAAGGGACCTGACGCAAACCTGTCCAATGACAAGGGAAGATCTGCCAAAGGAATAATAAGCCGTAGCAAGGCCAGACTTCACAGTGATTTGATCGGCCCCTGGCGTGGAATCTTTGTGGATACTAAAATCACTTCCTAGTCCGGAGGATCCTCGACCCTAAAAGCCAATAGCTTCGGGGAAATCCTTCTCACCCACCCACGGGTCCAGAGGTGGACTACGGTACATATGGATGAAAGAGGGGGAGACAAAGCACGCGAAAGGAGGAGAGTAGGTTGAGAAGGGGGAAAATAGCCCACATAATACAATCTATTAGAGACGAAGATTCGTTAAACTCATCACCAGGTCATAGCTTTCCGAAACGTAGGTCGGACATGACCAAAAAGCACACAGCTACGGATTACCTATACTAAAACTGGTATCGACATCGTAGGTATATTTTATACATGGACCGGTGGAGCATTATCACCAGTGGCATCACGCCGGGTCATTTCCATTCATTTTGCGATTGGCCAAGGCTTGCATCCGTCGCATCGCATTCCGATGCAAATCACTCATATCACCCCGTTGCTTCCCCTCAGCGACGGAATTTCCAGCCTTCGTCGATACAGAATTTCGCTGTGCTTGCACGAAAGGGTCCCGATCTTCCGTCCCCGCCGTGGCCACGGGATAGTTCGTCTTCCCCAGCAGTTTCCGTTTGTCATACAAGTCTTCTCGCACATACCCCCGCCATCCAGCCATGGCTGCGTGGGCGTTGACTGGCGCGGGCGCTGGGCTTGGAACTCGACTTGAAACGGACACGGGTCTATTCCCGCTCCATCTCATTGGAGTCTGCGGTATCAGGGAAGCCTGCTGGTGAAGCATGGTTCGACGTTGAGAAAGTGGCATGTCGTCGACTTCTTCGGGAATCGGGAACGTCGAATGCTTGGGTGAGAGCTCAGTGGATGACACTCCCGGACTGGTTCGTGAGGACCATGGATCAGAACTCAATGAAAAGGATGAAAGTCGACTTCGCATCATGCCCTCTCGCACCTCCAGGAGAGGTCGTGGGCCTTTCCATTGTGGCTTCACTTCAGTTTCCTCTTTTGATTGGTCTGTGATGCCTGGACTTAGCGGCAGCAGGCTGTAGGCGCCATTTGTTTGCTCTAGGGCGGAATGGGATTGGGCCGCAGTGGGGAGATACTGGGGGGAATTCGATGTAGAGACGAGAGGCGACGGGGGATGTTTATGTTTGGATCGGGACGATCTCTTTTTAGATTTGGAAGCCTGACGCGAGTGCAAGCTGTTGGATATCCGATGGTCCTCGTTTGCATAACTCGGCTCTCTCCCGAGAGCGGCAAGCTTCTCCACAGCAGGAGGCGGCTGTGCATTCAAGGGTGTTTGCAGCAATTCATCGACACGTACAGGAGCAGCAGCTTCCGATACCTCAGCCGCACGTTCAGGTCGTTCCTCGTCAAAGGGCTGGATTGGTTCTGGTTCCGGGATGTCCGCATCTGTCAGCTGTTTGGCCCATTCGTTCGTGCGGTAGGTTTGAACCATCTTCGAGTTTCGCTGGGGAAGATGTGTCACAGCTTCTGTGTCCAGTTTGTTTCGCTCTTCCTTCTTCGGTTTGGCTTTAAGCTTAGACTTTGTCGGGGACTTTTGTCCCCGAAGAGTGGCTTTATTTTGTTTGGAAGGATCCTTGTCCTCTGACGATAGATCAACCTCAGCTGTCTTAGGACACTTCCCTCCAAATGATATTTGGCTGTTATCCGCTGAGCCACTTTCCCATGTTTTGCCGCTATTTTTCGAGGTAGCCACTGCAGTGGCATCCACTATTTGTTCACTCTGCTGGAGACTTTCTGTAGACTGTTCCTTCTTACACTCATCAGCAACATCCTTTCCTTGTGATGATGATGATGAAGCTGATGAGCTGCGTTTACTCTGGTCGGCTAGAGCATCATCATTTTTCGTTTTTTTGACATCAAATTTTTGCATTGGGCACAGTTTTTGCTCCTCAACTTCTCGTGAATAAACACTACGGTCATCCACACTTTCTCCGGAGTCACCTTTCGGGGAAGAAGGAATTTCCTTGACGACAGGTATCTGCCCTACTGCATTCCCCTTGGCATCTGGGATAGTTTCTGTCGTATTGTCACCAGCCGCTTCAAGTGTATGGTTATCAGACGTAGAAGCATTCTTTGCGTCCAATTTTCCACGCGTGGGTGAAGAATCGTCTTTGGCGGCAACGGGCGCCTCCTCTGTCTGTGAAACAGGTCGCACAATGCTTCTTACAGACGTTGTATCCCAGGAGCATTTTTCAGAAATCTTCTCATAGAGTACTGTACCAGTCTCCGAGCCAACAATGGCGGTCATATCCGAGCTCTTATCATCAGTCATTTGCGCTGCAATTGCACCGTTAACCATTTTGGCTGGAGCCGTATCTCCATCGCCAAGAGGTTGCATGGGAGCATCTTCTTCTATAGTTTTACCCATATATTCCTGCTGTCGTGTCTGGCTGCCCTCAGTAGCCTCGCTTGTATCGGAAGTAACTGAAGAGGCATAGGCAGATTCACCATTCGCTTCCCTATCCCTGCAATCTGAGCACCAATATGACCGCTCGGAAGATCTCGTAATGCTCTCAGCACCTTCGTCCTTCTCCACCTCAATATCCGCAGGACATTTAGCATCACCGGGGAGCTCTGGGATGCTAGGTCCAGTGTTGTTGTACTTGGCCTCCCATTCCAATCGCTCTTTCATGTTATTTTGCTCTAATCGCTTGGAAACCTCGGCCTCAGCTTCGTCCTTCTTCCTCTTCTCTTCTGCACGTATTTGCTCGTCCTTATGTCTCCGTTCTCTGATAACGCGCCAGAGCTTAAGTTGCGAAACAACTCCGAGAATAGTAATGATTACCGTAGCAGCAAGCTCAACACGGATATTGCGAGTCACCGGATATGAATTTGTACCAAGAGGGAAGACGTTATTATTGAGAGCTAGATTATCTTAGACGTTTTCAGGTATGTAAGGATTCCGCATCGAAAACTTACCCCACATGTAAAGCCAGAACTCTTTTAAACCAGCCCGACTAAAGCAGTCAATCCCAAGTGCAACAGCAGTACCTCCAGAAATCCCAGTTGATACTATAAGGCCGTAGGGGCGCGTGTATTGACTAAATGACAGAGCATAAAATACCACCGAGAATGCTCCGATAAACCCACTCTTCGAATCGGTTTCTGTTAGGAGGCCTCCCGGCTTCAGAGATAGAAGCCACATGCTGCTGCAGAACCCTCCTAGTAGACACCCAAGTCCCTCGGTCAGCTCTTTGAAGACAATTGCAAGAGCGCCAAACGTAATCCCCGTGAAGAAAACAGCGACAAGATATGCTCCTTGTATAGCATCACGGACCGGAGGACTCATTACATATATGATGAGAACCTGAAAAAGAGAACAATTAAATATCGCACAATGCGGAATATTTCATAAAGAGACTCACGGTTACTCCTAGCGCGGTCAATAAAGTGGTTGATAGGAAAACTTGAAGCCTATGCAATTATATGAGTATCCAGTCCTTCGCAAAACGCAATAGAAGTTACCGTAAGTTCCGTATCCCGATCAGCGCAAGAATTAAACCGCTAGCGAGGAGGATGATTCCGGCGGCTCCTAACGCAGGTGTTATTGAAGGTTCGAGCGGCAAACCATCAGGAGACGCTTGATCAGTTTCATCTGTGGAAGCTCAGTATTAGAGAATCAAGAATCATGAATAGCACCTACTCTTTGGTGGCGTTGATGTATTCAGCGATGCTACGGTTGTAGAAGTTTGGGTCGTCTGAGTCGACGCTGATGTGGAATTGGACATCGCTGTCGCATGGCTCGCGCTTGCCACTGTGCTATCGGTTGTTGCCGTTGTACCTGCTGTAGTCGAAGAGCCTTTATCTGTTGCTCTTGCTTCTATTATGGCTATCCCTCCATAGTTATTGCGCTCAACATGAGGTATCCAAGCTCCAAGCACACAAAAGTTGGATACCAGACAAGCTAGTACAATAAACAACCGCATGTTAAATGATCCAAGGAGATGAGAAACCTAGACAACAGGAGCAAATGCCAGAGTCAGGAAAAGCCAGAATTGGTACTGTAATGGTGGCCTCCGAGTCCGAGGGGCCAAAAAAAAAAAAAAAAAACCCTATGGCTACTTCTCACATTATTTGCCAGGTACAGTAAGTGATGGGTTATAAGAAGCGAGAGATCGACTGTCACGTCTGACTCAAGACACGCAAGATGGTGCAAGAAACGTGGCTGGAAGCAGTCAAGGACCAAACGACTATGGATAGCCTTCGTCCCCACTTTGCAAGGGAATGTCCACTGAGAAAGCTATCGCATTTAAGCACGACTGCACAGGAAGTAGAAAAAGGCCCATCGTTTAGGAGCCTGCGTATGGAACCAACCCTCCACAACGTCAGAGGCTGTAGATTATAAAAAGCGGATTAAACGCATAGAAGGCGCAAGCTGATCCACTCAGTATAGTGAAGAAAAAGAAAAGTGCGGTATCATGCATGGGAATTAGGATGATCAGGAAACGATCTTCCATTGGAGTCCACCCATGGTGAAATATACTGTACAGTGTTAATTCAACCCTTCCAACACTCAAGGGGTGGATAACTGATTGATCAGAGACCACCAATCATGCCTCTATCTGGGACAACATGTAAGGAATGGCTTATAGACCATAGGAAGAATTATTATTGTCCAGTGAGCTTGAAATAAACGAAGATATCCTGTGAGTGTGGCAATCAGAATTACACAACAAAAATTTGCAGCCCAACGGACCAGGGTGCTCGTATCTTATTGACGTGGTTCATCCATGCAGGATAGAACTGTGAGCACTTCGTTGGCAATAATAGTGAACACTATACGGATGCTTCGTAAGTACGAAGTAGACATTGTCAGCCGTCGTATAGCCGGTGAAGCTGCGCTAGCCAGTAAACTCCAGAGCCTAAAGAATCCCTGGCCAAACCCCGAGAATTGCTGATCAGACTAGCAGTACTAGCTCTCATTAGTTGGGCGGTCCGTGTGATCGGCTGCATAAAACGACAGGTCTAATTATTATTATTATTATTTCGCAATGTTATCCACCTATCAAGCTCTAGATAATGGGCACAATGGACTTTGAGCAACATGTTTCCTTCTCTCAGTGGAAGATGGAAGCGTGGCTAATCTCCGAGCTAGCCACATCTTTCCAGGCACAAATCGTTGAGAAACCCTACCATACCGCATTTAGAATGTAGAGTACACAGTAGCATAAGTTGAAAAGATACTCGCCTGGAGGTACTCCATACACATCGATTCGAACAGGTGTTCCCCCTTGAGTTGCCGCTAGAGGTTCCTTCGATATGCGCCCATTGATCGAGCTAGTCCACGATAGTTTAAGTTTCGAGCATATTGGTTACCGAGTCGCAATAATTCAAACAGGATATATCAATAATAGGACGCACGGTCGATGCGGTGAGAAAACTCAGTCAAAAAATATTATTTGGAGATCATCGATCATGAAGTCTTTAAGCTTAGATTTATGCCTTGCCGCTGATACTACTCCTTGATGAATTTGGAGTTGACATCTCACAAATTGCAAACGCACAGAGAGCTCATTATTTCTGAAGTCGGATCGCTGTGGGCGACAGGCTATGGTTAATACATGCATACATGCATGTCATTGGCGGAATAGGGATGTAGAGAACTCGCTACCAGAGTAGTGGCAAAGCGAAGCGATTGGAAGCGAAGGCATTTTGTAAGGAATAAATATAGCAGCGCCCTCGTAACTTAACCCAAGCAGGAGTCCTATGTCTTACACCAAATAGCAGGGATCAATCGACGTGCCTATCCATTGAAACTATAAAGTAGAGATCACTTAGACGAGAGTGAGATTATAAATGAAAGGCAAAGAAAAAGTAGAGATACTGATTGCATGGTGGACAATGGGAAACACTCTTTGGGGAGCTGTATCACGTGATCTCAACGCGTTATCACGATAATGAACGCCCCAGCTTCCCCGACGACGACGACTTTGGCTTCCGTCCAAATTACCCATCGCTCCCTCTTTTATCCTCTGATCCAGACTATTTCCTCTCACATCGCAATGTCTGCTTTTACAACATCTCTGCGCCCGTTCATGCGCGCTTCTTCTCACCCTGGTCTTTCGGCGCGCTCCTTCAGTTCCTCCTCGTCGCGTTCGGTTGCCCGTATGATCATCACCGGCCGTCTTGCGGCCGAGCCCGAGCTGCAAGCCACCTCAACCGGCCAGGACGTCATCAAATATGCGGTGGGAACCTCCTACGGTTCCCGGGATAATCGCCAGACAAGTTGGTTCCGCATTGCAAGCTTCCAACCCGAGGGCGCTCAGCGTGATCTCCTCCTAAGCTTGCCAAAGGGGTGAGTATTGATTTTCTCTGTGACTGCACATAGTCCATTTATTGCATAAATTCTGCATAGCGGCACCACCAGAGAGCCAAGAAGGGAAAAGGGGAAAAGAAAAATGGGAGTACCCTCACGACCAACGCAATGCTAACTTTTCCCTCCAGAACCTTGGTCTACGTTGAAGGCGACGCAAGCATGCGGCAGTGGGAGGATGCTGAAGGCAAGAAGCAGTCATCCCTAAACATAATTCAACGTAGGCCACCCTTTACCCTTGAGTCAACGAATTGAATAATCCCCCAAGTCTTGAGGAAGCTGACGCACTATTGAATTGTTGTTTCTAGGGTCTCTCGAGGTTCTCAAGCGCCCCTACAACGCCGAGGCAGGCAGCTCCGAAAACTATACAGCCTAAGATTTTCTGGAACTCATGCGGAACAAGAATTTATAAACTGGTACGGAAAGAGATGTTTCTTGGGTTCTCGGCTTTCTTTTCTAGTTCCCCGTTAGAATCTTAATATTGTTGGCGAATGCCACTGTGTGCCTGCTAGGTTTCTTTCTCTCACCATCTTACCTATGTATTGTTGCTTCTGTCATGTATACCCTTGAATTTTATTCTTTTCTCCCCTTCTGTGATGTGACTTTATTTTATTTTTGGCTTCTTTTTCTATATTTATGAAATGCTGTAAGCGTACATATGATTTATCGGCTTGAAATCATGTAGGTATTATTCAGCTGCGGGCTGCTCACACTTCACGCATGCTCGAAGTCCGACATTTTGTTCATCCCAAATCATTAAGAGCTTAGCTTACATGCTTATATATAGGATATTTGAACAGGCTGCGGATGGTTGCGTGAGTTTCGAATATGCTAAGGAACAATTATCCGTCTGTTAAGACAAACAAGTCGCTCTACTATTGGGAGTCTTGACTGTAATAGAAAGAAATTTGCATACACAATTCCAGTTCTGTAGGATTACAGAATAGAAGCAACGAATGAATTACGTAAATGGTAAAACAGGGCGCAGGAAGCAAACTTAACGGAAAAAGCATAAATTTGTGAGAGTCCGCCATTATCGGCCTCGACACCCATAAGAAGTTTATTAAAAGAAGTTACTTACATATGGGTCTCACTCTCTTGACTTATTACCTGTTGCACTCGAATGAAATCCTTTTGGGTGGAGGTCTCAGTGTATTCGTTACTGGAATGGCTCTTAGTAGCGGCCCAGGCATTAGTTGTCACCGTATTCGGAGTATGAAAACCACGAAGAGACAGCATCTTATCATGGCTAGAAGGTGAGCGGCTTCGGTTCAAGAATGGCAGATGGATTTTATGCCATGGCACTTTCTGCCCGTGCCTGTGCTTTTGCGAAGAAACTGTTCCATTTTCAAGGTCCATATAACTATGGTTTGCGGGGTCTGTCGAAGCCAGGTTGCCCACATTTGTTCTAAGAGGAGATCAATTTCTGGCCAGCTTGTATTCATGGAAAGGGGAAATTCTTACCCTGCTGCAGATGACTGCTTTTTGCGAAATAGAAGCCTCATTCGGCTATTCGTGGATCCCACTGCAGTTGACGAAGAGCTATCCGCCGAATTTGTTTGTGCACAGGGAAGACAACAATCCAGTCTTAGATAGCGAAGGATTGAGACGTACATCCGTGAGGCATCTCTGCCACATCCGAAGAAGATAAAGAACATGAATCCAGATGCGATTGGGATCCAGCGGTCAAAGAAGACTTCTCCATTTGACGGAACCTTGATGATTGTGTTCCACTTTGGTCCATGTAGAGGACTCCATGAATACGGATGCCATGGCAGCGAGAGCGTCACATTCATGTAGACAACATAGGCTTGGATCGGGATAATGGCAAGGAGCATGGTAAAAGCAAGTAAGAACAGACGGAAAAACCTAGACTTGCTGAAATTTCTATTAGATGGCTGGAGTATGTCTGCGAATTGGCTGCGGTACTTGTGGAGACGATACAATATCAGACCTAGAACATAGCGTTAGCTCTATACCCGAGAGTGAGAAGAATTAAGGATACCATACTGCAATAGTAGGCGGCAAAGAGGCAGATAACCGGAGGCCACATCCAGGATAGAACCAGGCTCATCCAACTTTCGTCAAAACTGTTGACACAACCAGCAATACCGAACAGCATATATCGGTTTGCCTGGTAGATAATGTGTGCGACCATAGCAATAGTTGGTATAACCAGACAGAATAGAGCGTCCATATAACAATCCTGCCAACGCTGCTTCTTGCTGGGGACGAGGCTGGAACGGCTGGTATTCAGCACACCTGCCAAACCGCGAAATATACACATTAGATTGCCTGGCACAGCAACATAGCTGGCTATCATGACTTTGACTTCGATATCACACAGACCCACACCACTCCACCAAGTGTCAACGTCGTCGTTTGGCCATATAAATGCATTCACGATATTGAAGACATTGAGAATCAGGAACCAGCATATTAGACAAGTTGCAGGGATGTTTCTATTTTTCCAGTGCAGGGCTATCGGAACGACACTAAGCAAGATAGACAACATAGACAGAGCTGGAATGACCGCCGCATTAGCATAGCGAGGCGAATTTGCCTCCTCCATGATCAGTTGGTGGCTCAAATTTGTAGAATATAGAAAGAAGTATAGAACGTATCTAAAGAGTAGTCAACCCGATTTTCGTTTTTGATGTCCCTTCTTGTCAGAAGTCAGAAGCAAATTGTCAGTGCAGAGTGTATGAGCCAGCATCTCTGTGGTTAAGAGCTGGGTAATCAGAAGTGGCTTAGATAGGGATGCTATTCAGAACCAGGTGCAGCGGTGACACTTTATTGATGACAGGAATTAGGAATAAAACGGAGTATTTCTCTGAAAAAAATAAAAAAATAAAATATTCAGAGGCACTCATTTCACTGTCCTAATGGTGCACAATATAAGGGTTGGACAAGGGCCAGTGCATGGTACCGGTGCCAAATGTGGAGGCTGGCCTGCTGCCAGCCAAATAGCGAATGTATTCTCCACATAGCAAGGCTATGTCTTTAGGGAATTGATGGCAAAATACCATCACACAACTATTGACCTAGAAACCTAATAAATATGGGCCAGTGAAGACAGGCGAACAGAGACAAAAAAAGAACCAGGTGGAGCTACTAGGTGCGATTCTGAAGGTGGGCGATTGTGAAGTGTATGGCAGCCCGCGACGATAGACCATGCCGCATTGGGGTGTCAATAGGCCCATCACAGTTTTGGGCTCTTGCTGAGAGCCTGTCTAGTTCCTCCTATCTAGATAACTCCTTGCGGGGTCGGCAATCTCGAGAAGCTCAGTTGAACCCAGAAAAGTGATCTGTGGTAGTTAGATAAAGTATTCCATCCCATTTACGGTTTTGAAACAGGCAGCGACACAGCTTTCCAGATCCGATCAAACAGACTGTTTGAAAACTTCCATCTGTGAATCTTATCCTGGATTATCTCGCATTATTATCTCGCATTCTTGGCCCAGATCCCAGTTCGATTCCATCAGGAAGAGCAGAAGCATGATGATGACGTAGCCGGCGAATGAATGACGTAGCTGTTGTAGAGATAAACTCGTCAGTGATGGTTTCATCTCACCCTCTCTGACAGTTGTTTAAAGATTGAACGCGTAGAATGGTCCAATCTATGTGACACCTTGACCAACCTTGGGCGGGAGAGATGAGGCGCAAAAAAAAAAAAAGAAAAGAAAAGAAAAGAGTCGGAATGCAAGCTAACACGTGAATGAAGAATAGTACTACCTAACTGATGGATGGGGAAATGGTTCCTGTACGAGGTATAATCGGATAGGCGCATATGAGGAGGTACTAAGGCTGGCACTCCATTGTTGGAAACCATATGATCTGCTCGAGGGATAAGTACATTGTTATAGACCAAAGTTGGGTACAGGCTACTACTTGACACATCGGGCTGATGCATCCTTCTCAGAGGGTTAAACATCTCTTCTAGAGTATTTATTATTATGAGACACGCAGCTGGGGGTTTGAAGTCTCTTCTTGTTTTATGGCAACATATCACTGAAACGATAGTGTTTAGTTGTATAGTTAGTAGTTGTAGGGTGGGTACGTTGCAGTGGGTATAGCCTTATCAGGTACAGGATTTAGGGCTAACTTTGGTATTGAATAAGTAGTTGGAATCACAACTTCCTGGTTATTGAAATAATTAATAAATTTCGATGTTTCCTTACGACTAATTAATAGCCACTGCCTAGTCGTGCACCCATCATGTGATGGTGTTCAGCGCCTACCTAAGTTGGAGGAACCGTGGACCTGACCTTGGAAGGACGGCAAGGCCTATTTGCTTGGAGCCGTTCTTTGACATGCCACAGGATATGCAATCCTACCCACCCGGCATGGGCTCTTTCCTCCGACACACACTCACTCCTTCTCTGTCCTCCTTCCTTTTTTTTTGTCTTACTGGTGACCTTTCCTCTACCTGCCTTTCTTTATCGGAATTGAATCAATAAGCGCTGCTACGAGTATCTGGTAGCCGGTTCGCTCGGACTAAATTCACAACCTAGTACCTACTTACTGAGCATGGTTGATTGATTCTTGAAATTCCCCCCTTGACTGCTGCTATGCACCGGCCACCAGGTTCTTCCCCCCAGAATCCTTCCCCTAGCAGCAACCCCCGCGTTTGCTCCCCCGGTTCCATGAGTCTCCGCCATCGTGGTCCGACCCGCTCTGCCACCTACGCCGAGGGTTCAACCGTACCAAATCAGCGACGGAACTCAACCTTGTCCGATTCTGTATCCGAGGCCCGAAATTCGATTCGCTCTTCCACGGATGATCTGTTTTTCCCACGTGCCGCCAAACAGGGTGATGTAGATGTCCCAAATGAGGAGTCGCACTGGCATTCCGCCCCTCTTGGATTGGCTCTATTGCCTGCAATCGCGGGTGTCTTTTTCAAAAACGGGAGCGCGGTTGTGACAGATGTCACTTTGCTAGTTCTTGCGGCCATTTTTTTAAACTGGTCGGTTAGGTTACCATGGTAGGATTGTTCTCTCTCTTCTACCTCGTTTGTTCGACTCTTTTGATTTAAATCCTGTAGAATCGTCGGTGTTTGCTCTAATTGATGCCTCAGGGATTGGTACCGCTCCGCCCAGGCTGTTCGACAGCCTGATAGATATTACGACGCCTCTGATAACTCACCAGAACTAGATGTAGATGAACCCCAATCAGCACCGAAACCTCAGGGAGATTCTGCTGCAGCCGATTCCAAACTTAAGCCACGAACTTCGGATACCGCTTGCGTTGCCTGGAAAGAGCTTCAAACCCACGAGCTTGCAGCTCTCGTCTCTTGCTTTGTCTTTCCAATAATCGGAACATGGCTACTCCACACCATCCGGTCCAAATTATCGCGTCCCTCAGAGGGGTTAGTTTCTAATTACAACTTGACTATTTTCTTACTTGCCTCGGAGATTCGGCCATTCTCTCATCTTTTGAAGATGGTACAGGCACGAACGCTTCATCTCCAGCGCATTGTCGCGTTGTATTCAGAAGAAGAACATAGCAGGATAGACCCTAGTCGAATCTTTGATCTTTCGAAACGTCTCGAAGAGCTTGAGGCCCATATTTCAGAGGCCGCAGCAGAGCGCCTTTCATTGGAGTCTTTGGCTCACAATCAGTCGGCTGGAACGTACAACGATACGCAGTCCTTTATCTCTCAGGTAACTGCGGAAGTTCGGAAAGGGATCCAGCCAGAGATCGATGCTCTGACGCGTGCTGTTCGACGCTACGAGAAGCGCACGGCCACCACAACGTACCAGACAGAATCAAAGCTTCAGATTTTAGAAACTCAGGTGCATCAGGCGATCTCCCTCGCGGCCGCAGCGCAAAGCACCGTCAACCAACGACGCCGTGGCCTCGTACCGGCAATTTTCGACCGGGCCTATGCAGCGGCTTTACTTCCAATTCACCTTTTTACGTCTTTGGCGTCTCTACCCCTTCAAATAGCGACGTGGTGCTTGCAATATTGTAAATCACTCTTAACTTCAAGTTCACGTCAAGAACGCCCCAAGGGAAAAGCGCCACAAGACAGGAGGTCGCGGTCCTCAAAACATCCGAGAGGAGTGCCTCCGCAAGAGCAAGCGGAGCTAAAAGGGCTAAGATCTATTCGAGAACATAAGGGATAGCCTAGAACTAGAGCGTACACAGAACACCGAAAGCTAGGGGAATCCTAGATTACCATGCAGACCATGCAGACCCCAGAACATCTTATTTTGCGATTATGTCACTCGTGAAGTGACAGGCATTCGTTTTCTCTTTGTCGGTGGACTTGTAGGAGTGTTTGGTTCTTTTTCGGGTTACTGCGTTCGGTATGGCGTTTCTGTATTGCATGGGTTGTTGATGGTATCCTTTTCTCGATTGTTTATGTGAAGTTCCGGGAATAATTTGTATACATACTGAACAAGTGGTAAGTGTATTATTGTTTTAGTGTTTTGTCTTTATAGTGATTTGCTTGTTCAGAAGGAATTCGGAGCACCCTGACTAGCCTAGGTGGAAGATAGCTCATTGAAATGGAGCGCCGTAAATAAATTCGGTGTCCTCCTTTGGTTCTTGTCTGAGAAACTTAATACAAACTCTCATTTCTTGTAGTGTCAACCAATTCTGTATGCACTTTTTTCTGGTCCGGATAGTAATAAAACACTCAGGAATCAGAGAAGTACCATATATCTCTCAGTTTCCTCACCTGGTGAACTGCCCTATCCAAGTAACAAGGGTAGTATATGTAAGGAATACCCTTCATCGCTTGCTCCTTTGCACTGTACAATCATGCACACTCTGAGCTCTTTTCGTTCCTGGTGCTCTGAGTCCCAGCGATATAAGATGAGGTCTGAGAATGGAGCCCATATGGCCGGGCAGCTCTGCAACACCGCGTACACTCCTGGCATTTTCTGAAACCCCCTATTTTACCTGAATTCCAGCTTGCTGGCACCGTTTCCTCCTACTATCCAATGTCTAATATCTGCCCCAAAGTTCCTCGGATTCTGTTCATCCGCTCTTGAATACCACCGTTGGCAGCGACAGGATTTGCTGAGGAGCGGCGCCATGAACTATGATCTACGTGCCATTGTATATAGTGGATCAAAACCAGCTATCAATCCATATATAAATGTGAGGTGAAGAGCATGCACTCATCCATGTCTCCATCTAGAGACTCCTGGCACGGGCTCCTTCGGGTTCGTGTCATAGATATGGGAGTGCGTAGCAATATATCGTCTAATGTATTTAAAGTGCTAAGTTTTCAGGTGAGCTTGGAACTCGGATGTGTGATTTATCTCCAGAACGTCGCCTATATGGTCAGGTAAAGAGGCTACAACAATTAGCGAAAGGCACTTAGCGAACTCCTATACATCTGGCATAAATTACCAAGCAAACTTGGCAGCAAAGACGCTTCTGAATTCATGCATTCCATGGCGATTTGGAAATCTTGCAGGGTACTAAGCGCAGCCTAATGTTTTGCGAAATCCTTCATAGGAAGAATGAGATAAAACGTTAGTAAACCCGTAGTAGATGGGGTTCCACCCATCAAATACCTAAACACACATGAGTACGAAGTGGGTTTTATAAATTATTGGTAACCTGGATCAACTTGGAAAAGACATATGCGCTAGTTACAATGTCGAGAATCCTGGTTGTGGCGAAGGATAGCGTAGAAGGCAAGTTCTTCACTGGCTCAAATTCCTGGAATCTATGTCTTATGTTCCAAAGAATTAAATAGACTGAGCGATTAAGATTTAATGTTGACCCCCTATTTCCAGGGACCTTGTCTTATTTTAACCCATTTCTTCTAACCACTTGTATTCTATGGCTTAAGGTTCTAAACAGCCAAGAATACGTTTCCTTGGGCAGAAGAACACATCCCTTTCCAAAGGACTCGGAATATTTATGCATAAAAAGTAGTGTTCCATCCAAGTCTTGAAACTTGGTGGTACATCTATAGAAGAGCAGTCTCTCGTCTTTGTCCAGAGGTAGAAAAGAACAAGGGGTGATAAGATGAAAAAGAGAGAAGTTGAAGTGTGACAATAACGTAAATATTAACTAGTAGAAACCATATTATTATGTAATTTGGCATCATGCTTAGGTATGATTAGTTGGGGCTGGGTTACGTACTGTTTGCACATTGCACACAAGTTCACAGCAAGTGAATATTTTTATGATCTAAGTATGTGGAAATAAGGTTATAAACGGCCTTAGTAACAGCCATTTTTAGGAGCTAGCCCGCGGTGTCTATCAGGTCAGCATCACTACACGAGATCTTCCGGGTAACTCCAACATCGAATACACATCGCCCTGGGCTGGCGCCATCTGTCGTCCTATTCCAGCAACCCTCCCAAGCGATCAGTTGAAGCTCACGCTCATAAGACCCCTTGCGCCTCACATGGCTTCAGTCCAGGGGGTGACTTATACAAGCTTCGTGGCGGATCTCAACCTCTACTTGGACCATCTGAGGAGCCTGGTTGAAAGCCATGGGATTCGGTTCTATTAGGGAGGCCTTCTTTGTCCGCCGTGAAATGTCTCTTCAAGAGGGTGATTCTGGCAAGATTCAGGCCGTTGTTAGCGCCAGTGATCAATTTGTCTTTGTCTCCAACACCTGCTTTGAGATAATCGCCCACAATCATGCAGACGGTTCCTCGACGCTCATTGTTCCAAGACCTGATGCCGGTGGAACTATTCTTTTGGGGGGGGGGGAACAAAGGAGCCTCACACTGTATGTCCATCTGATCAATATTGGTCCCCGCCACCCTTTCCTTTTCAAACTGTAGTAGTAGTCTACTGAGATCTCAAGGTCCAATACTATTTCCAACACGGCGACAGATGAGACTCTGAAGAGTTGCAAAGCTCCACTCGCAGATGGCCAAAGACGATCCCCGGTTTCTGTCCACGCATGCCTTTGACATCTTGAAGGTCACGTAACCCGTCGTCAAGAGACGGGAGACTATGTTTGGAGAGAGAGGATTTAATAATACAAGACACTGCGGAGGATGGTTTCAGTAACGTACAAAAGACGCTTCCTGTGGTTCACTGCTATAGTGCAGGCAGTCTTGGCTTCAAAATTAGCTGGGACATAACCAAGAGGGTTGAAGGCCTCATAGCTACAGTCCAGTATCCTTGATTATTGAAAGAGGATGCCGGGAAAGGTTGTCTTGGCTATTCTTGCTATTTAGGGTCAACACGCAGTACTTATCTTTGTTAGAGTACAAGATTTACAGAGGAATCACCTTCTAGCGCATTCCACTCCTTTAGTACATCGTTGGATAATGAGATTGTGAAACAAATCCAGGGCTTTCATTCGCTTTATTTCATCGCAGTCTTAATGTTTGTTCCGCACATGAAAGACAGTGTGAAACCAACCAAGCGTGCGATAACCATTATGCAGACGTTTCAGAATGCTCTGGGTTGCAAATCATGCATTATTCATGTCTATATTTAACTTCATCACTCATATGGCCTTTTTGTGTCTAGAATAGTATGGAATTAGTTGGTCATCGGCTTAATTCCATCATGGCTCTTCATTCAGCCAACAAAGCCTACACCCAGAGACGCGATAAATAGAGTCGACTGCTCACTTTCATTCAGCATTCCGAGACATGAAAGATAGGTACAACCCAATTCAGCATCAGTTTGCAAACTATCTTAACATTTTCTACTTTCGTCTGTTGTCGATATATCTTGTTTTTCATCGTAATCACCACATCTATCAGGTGTACCCTCACTTTCAGCAAGAACTAAATCAGACACCATGCCGAGAAGTCCAAAGTCCAAGCCCAAGGCTGTAGCCGCCAGGGACCGTCAATTCTGGTCCTGGACTAAGATCAACAATTTCCCCAAAGCGCAAAAGGACGACCTTATCGCTCAGCTCATGGATCAGCTCCATGAAGATGGTCATCTCACCCTGGATCTTCGATCGATTCAAGCCCAGTATACCATGGAGGAAGGCATCAGGCGACAGATTGAGCGGATGCCGCCTGCGTTCCGGGCTTTGCATACGCAGAGAGGCGCCGAAATGAGACGTCGCTTGAGACTTCTCGTCAGTGCTAGGAAGAGGGAATATCTGGCTGCCAAGGAGGGAAGGAAGAAGAAATCAACGTCTCCAAAGCAGTCTCCGAAGCAGTCTCCAAAGGGAGAGAGGCGGCGGGCGCAACCTCAGCAGACACAGCCTGCGCAGGCCAAACCTGAGCAAACCCAATCTGAACAGAGCCAACATAAACAGCCTGAACTCTTACCGACGGAGCCCGCTACCGAATCCGAGAAGGAGCAACTTCAGCGAATCAAGAAGGGCTCGCCAGACGCCTCAGGTGATCGGTCCAAGTATATCCGCGACGACAATATCTTTGTGTACGGGTCCGAGGACGACGTCGACAACTTGCTGGAACTCCGAGTCTTAGAGCTTTCAACTCTCCATCCTGAGAAGCAGCCGGAAAATCGCATTCCCATTAGCACCATCCAATTCGAAAGGTTTCAGGAATTGGTGCGTCCTCTCGGATATGACCCGGAGAAACATGATATCTGCTTCTTGAACATCGAAGTTCGTAACAGACGGCAGACGGTTGTTGTAGATTCCAAGAATGGGGTCATCAGTGGTCTTCTGATGATGCAGATTCGGGGAAACCCAATTGAGTTCTTCCTTAGGGACAAGGAAGAGGGATAAGTATGAATTTTATTTATTCGAAATGGTACATCCGTTAAAGGAGGGGATAAGGCGAGGTTCAATATGAGGGTTAATTGCGTGCTGTCGTACCAGTATTTGCAGGTGTGTGGGATTAAAGTAGTAGTTTGGAGTTGGTGGTTCAAAGTCTATAATATGTTAGTTAGGAGTTCTGGCTTTCGTCATGTTAACATCTGGCTCAGTCACTGTTCTTTAGAAACGAAATGCTCATCATCTTATTTGCTCTATGAATCTTCATTGGTACACTGTATAGTCATCCGAGCTCCATGAATAGACAGAATAATATACACGTAGATTCCAATTCTATAAACTGGGTTCAGAAAGAGAGGTGGACCTCCGGTGCCAGTCAAGGAAGAAAGTGGACAAATATGTTTCCATTATGAAACCCCTCCTGATGGCCCCTTGTTATCCACTCCCATTGCCTTCAAAAATGGCTCTATAATACTTCGCTCTCTCTCCTCTAACGCCCGTCGGTCTTTCTCTTTGGCTGGTACAGAAATATCGGTGGAAATGAGGACTGTGGAGAAGATCCTCGAGAGAACCGATTCGACGGTTTGTCGTCGGATGCTCAGGGAGTTATCAGGGTTTTCTGCTGCGCTCGAAGCTGCGAAGGTGAGTGTTCTCCGGCGAAGGTTGCCGCCGGAAATAAAAGACGATGCCGCTGATGCTGCACTTGGAGTCGATGACTGGCTATTGATGGATATTTGGGTGGGTGAGGTTGATTCTTCCCCAGATAAAGTCGACAAGGAATCCCGCGCGGGTATGGAGGATGCTGGGGCAACCTCGTTTACAATGCGAGCGAGCATAAATGTAACAAAGGTAAAAGACACACTGTGTACGGGAGAGTATGCGAGGCTCTCTAGGACCCAGGCTTGGGATTCTTCCCACGTTAAAGGCGGCGCTTTGGATTTTTCCCGAGCAAGAATATGTTGCTCTAAGTCAAGCCAAACCGACGCCGTGACGATCCCATCTTTTAACGAAGATAAGAACCCTATCAAGGTCTCACTCAAGATTTCTAAACGATGAAGCGAGGACACCTCCGGTGCGAACACAGTGCTGAAGGGTTGGCTGGTGTCTAATGCCTCTCGGGCAGACGCTAAAAGAGGACTTCGTTTTTCCCTGTCCTTCAATGTCCATGTCTCCGGTTCAAAGGGCCACCCAGGCCCATAAGGGTCTGTGAGCCATGGCGGCCTCTCATCGGACTCATCTCTTGTCATGCTCCATTCAGCAGTAGCACGCTCCGCCAACTCGGATATTGCCTCGGTCAAGCGGAAGAGCTCCCGAGGGGCCGATAGAGGAACGTCTTTGTCTCTGTTTCTACGTTCAGATACTCTAGTAGGCGACAGGGTGCGCGCTCCTGCCTCTGGCATGAGAGTAAGATCTTCCAGCGTGCGACCGAAACACGTAGGCAGCCATTTTCCATACACGGGGATGAAGTGGTCACGACCACTAGCTACTCGAAGGACTAAAATATCCTCGAGGTTGGCTTTTCCATCGTTCAACAAACGCACCAGCTCGATATCCCTAACATAGGCCGTGACCACAACATTAGCGAGCTCTCCGGGAGACAAAGTACACTTATGTTTCGACAAAATATGCTTCTCTGAAGATTTAGAATCGTCGCGGTGGGGTGGCTCGACTCCATACTCAAGCCAGGACATCTCATCGGCCGTCTCTGGCTTTTCAAGTGTAAAGGTCGCGGGCACGCCACTAGTGTTTGCGACAGTTAGGTATCGCTTGACAGGAACATCAAAAGGGATGTGACCAAAATTGACTGCATCGGGATCTGCCTGTGATTCGTGCTCAATCATACCAACACCATGTCTGTCTACCACAACTGTTAGGCTAGGTCGAGACTCGTTTTCTGCTCGGTCTAATTCACGGACCACATCTTGATGCACCTTGGCTTTCAAGTGTGGGATTACCGATTCAAATGTCAGGGTAAATCCAGCAGCTAGAGGTTTGTGGTCGGAGGAGAGGATACCCTGGCGTGAAGTATAATAATCAAGCCGGAGAGCCTCCTCAGGATCAGGTTGAGACTCTGATGCCATATCACTCGTCTGATCTTTCATCAAATCATTTTCATCCGAACTATCAGCACCATCAACGTCCGGGTCGTAGTCAAACAGAACATTATCATCAGCGGCAGCTACATCAAGGCCCCTGGCTTTCATTTCGTCGTCTCGTTTCCTAGAATCGGCCGCCTCTGCAAGTAGTCTCTCGTACTTCTCTTTGTCCTGGTGAGTCCTATAAAGAATCCGGTCGCACCAGCTTGGCCCTCGCTGCTTCTCACTAGAATCGAATTTGGCCACGCTGCCCACATCATACTTATACGTGGGCAGGAACGTTATGTTCCCCTCCCGCCACCCGTCATGGAATGCTTTCTCCTTTGCCTGTTGCATGCCTAGTTGATCATGTGGCAGCAAGGAAGAGATAGTAGTCTGGAGAGACGTAGGGTCTGCGTGAGGGTCGACATCTTCATCCGAAATGGAAAACGGCGCTGCCTGGTCGTTCTCGGATTCTGCATGTCGGGAAAGTACTTGCCGCACATCATCGCCTGGAATGTCCTCGAGTCTATAATTGAGATCGCCAAACCAGAAAGCAAAATCTTCTTGGCCAATACTTTCCGTAGGTCCATCCCGGAGTGTAACGTCGGGATCGATCGGGTCGAACTTTGCGCGTCCAATTATTTGCGAGGCATCCCAGTTCCGCCGGTCCAGGCTGCTTTTATCCGACCCTGCTGCTAAATGACAGTTGACAAAGACTAGACTCGTGGTTTCCCCTAGCAATAGGCGTGCCGCTACCCCGCCCTTGTTGCCCATGTATCCTAGGAGCCCTGTCCCTACATTAACGCAGCTGACGGACGACACACTATCGGCAATAGAAGGGGCCGCATATATCAACAGTAACAGTCCCACCAGCTGGGTTTCCGCGACAAGTTGATAGCCCGATGGAAGCGCCTCTTGCACCGCTTCCTTCCACTTATTTGCGGGTGCCGGATCGACATATGGTCGCAATGCTTCCGCGGGAGAAGATACATCCACGATCTCTTGCAACCCCAGAACATAAAGACCAACCTCATCAGGTTCAGGCCCAAGAGATGAAGGCGCCATTCCGGTGTTATCGTAGGCTCCTCCTGATTTTGTTTCAGACCGCGATTCAAGGTCTGAGACCCTTACCCCAGAGAGTTGTTCACATACGCCCTTCCGTTTTACAAACCAATTCCCGATGTCCTCCTCAGTGCCAGGGATGGCCGCCACATTCCATGATCCCACTTTAATATTGATCGACCGCTGGCGAGTATATTCGGATTTTCTCGCTTTGACAGCTCGAGTAAGGGAGGGTGGGTCGAGAGGAATTTCTGGCGAAGAACCGAGGTTCTCATCATCATTTCGAGATTCGCCTGACGCCGCTCCGGATGGAGACTGCGAGGCAGGTGAGTCGCTTTTGGAAACCATGCTGGAAAGACGTTATCAAGCGAGAGGCGAATCCTCGCGCATATTCCGTAAACGGCTGTTCAGAATATTATATTCTCCTGGCCCTTGCTCTGAGGATGTCAAGAGGTCGGCCTGTTCGACTATAGTAGTAGTGAGACAATATGGGCAAAGGAGCCAAGACAAGACCGGAATCAGGGTGTAACCACGGCCAGAGTAATCTCGAGTAGGACGGAATAGAGGCTGCAGATCCCTCAGACGTTCAGATTCTGTCCAAGCATTGCGCGCGCCACGGAGAGGAAGTATAAGTAGGAGGACGGAAGTCAATGACGACAAACGAGAGTGGCGCCAATCGACGGCACCAACTATTCTCAGACACGTCCGGTTCTACTGTTCCAGAGAACCGTCGCAGTAGAATACCAACCGATGAAGGTGATGTCCAACGCTGCGTTGCAGGAGATGACCGGACGAGCCGTGACTTGAGGCCATTTGGAAGGACGTTACCTAGCGGGGCCCGACCGCTTCCCAGAATAGCTCTGAGCTTCATCACCTGAGCCGAGCTCTTCGTCTCTTTCTTCCTCACTCTCTTTCTTTCCTGCATACAATCGAGCTCCTCCCCGTCCCTGTCTATATCCCTGTCTATATCATATCGAATCCGACTGTTCCTTCGATATCATTGCGGATTCCCACTCTCCACAGCCTCGCTATTCTTTACCTCCACAATGACGTCCCGCAAACCCCGGCGACCGAACACTATCAACAATCACCGTCTAAATACCCAACAGGGTGCTCCGCAGCCCTCGGATTACGAATCGGATTTTCAGAACTATTTCTCTGATACGCAACAACCGTCTGATCAACAAGAATCGTCCATGTCCGCCCCTCCCTTGCGCTCCAACGAAGAGTTGAACCTCGCCGTTCTTCGCCGTCATAACCCCTCGGTAAATACGATCCTGTCACTGGCACCTTATGCGGTCGTCTACATATTCAGCCCAGCTACGCGACAATGGGAAAAGAGCGGGGTTGAGGGCACATTATTTGTCTGCCAGCTGACACAGGGGAATCTGGGGGAGGAACGATATAGTGTTTTTGTGCTCAACCGGCGAGGACTGAATAATTTTGATGTCCTGTTGACCGATGGTGAGAATGTGGAACTCACAGAAGAATATGTCATCCTCAAGACGGATTCCAACAATGACACGATGAACAATAACAGTGTCACCGGCTCCAATTCTTCCAACAATGTCAGTGGACCTGACAAGAGCACTGCCCTACGAATCTACGGCCTTTGGATCTACTCCGAACCCCCGCCTAACTCTACCGCTGAAACTCGTAGCATTAATGCTCAGATGATTCGTGAATGTGCTGTTCATGCAGGCCACAGTCTCAGCCTAGCGCGTGAGCGACTGGAAGCAACCCACCAAAATGGTTTGCATGTTGCTGCTGCTACCGCCGCCGCTACAACCGCGGGAGCTCCTCTCGATGAGGAGCCGTCGAGCGTTCCTATGGGTCGGCAGGTCTCCCTCAAGGATCTCTTCGGGCAGCAACGGGCACAAGATGACGGATGGAGCGTGAGAGCACATAGCCTGGGTCCAGAAGATTGGATGCATCAACCTCAGTATTCGGGAATGGGGGCCCCAGCGCCAGGACCACGGCCACAACCACAGTCAGATGTACTTGGCGATCTATTTCGGAGGGCTGGGCTCGCTTATCAGGGTGAGAATTCTTGATCGGGTCCGATTGGGCGGGGTCGTGTGTTTCGGTTCTTTCCTATTCGAACCCGGTAGATGGCGTAATGGATAATGTTAAGATACCCATGATATGTACACATTGCTGACAACATGGTGAATTGAAGCGAAACTTATGAGTGTAGTCTGTTCTCTAACTGCGTTACTCTGCTTTGCAGATGAGCATAAATATGGCATGTTTATAATGTATCTATTAGAGCCTCTTTGGTACCTATATCAACAACCTAGTTCATCTATGCAAGGGGCGTCAGACAATAGCTATAAAAACTCCAGCCTCAAGCCTTTACTATATCCATGACCATATCCGCCACTTTCGTAGCCACAATATCACTGTGTCCTACCGCAACATCAGCACAAAAATATCAAGTACCAGAATAATAGGTACTCACGAATACAAAAAGCATGTGGTAGTCCATCCTCGCAAATAATCATTTCTGGCCCCCCCCGGACACGTCCCCGGTGCTCAATGATCGCATCTCTTGTGTGTTCCGCAACCCAGTGGTCATTGCGACCGAAGTAAAAGAATAATCTTGTGACCGGGTCTTTGGTGGTGGAGATTCCCCAGACGTCATCGCTCCATTGATCCGATGTGATTGTTTGCATTTCATCGGCAGCCATGTGTCTAGCCCATTTAGTTAAAATAAAGGATAAAATTATTTCTATATTTTGTTTCATGTAGACGGGGGTAGAGGGTAAGAACATACAATGCCTGTCGTACACCGCGCTGACTCTTCAGAAATGCAGCCGTAGTATCAACCATGCTGGCAGGTGCGGATGCCATATTAAGCTTGATCAAACGTTGTAGGAGCACGGTCGGCAGAAGAGTCGTGAGAATGCGAACCAGGACACCAGCCACTATGGCCAGTTGGGGGATGAGTGATATCAGGCGCTGTCACAGTACATCAGCATGTGTATCCATATGTACAGTCTGTAAAGAAGGGGGAGAACAGGAGAACATACGGTCAACTTCTGACCGGATGGAGACTTTGCGATATCCACAACAGTAGGGAATAGCATAACTCCACCGACAATATCAAATTCAACGGGACGATCACCGTTCATTGAGTTCTCGCGGTGTCGTCTGAGGACTTCCATGGCGATATAAGCGCCGACAGAGTGGCCGATGAGGATGACCTTTGGAGTTGCAACGGGCTCAGCTCCCGAAGTCCTCTCAATACTCCCCGTATATTCAGATAAGAATCCATTGAGTTTGCCCTGGACAAAGCTAATCTGCTCTTCGAGGTCATAGTAATGAGAGTGAGACTCGACGTCTTCTGCCTGTTGAGTTGGCTCGGGAAGTTCGAACCCAGCAAGACTATGTCCGTAGACCTGGAACGAATACTTCTTCTCCTGTTGAGTCGCTAATAATATCAGCTTTTCTGAAATAAGGGAAAGAAATGCATGGTAATAGCCAATTAGCCCGGGGTTCCCTGAGATGAAGTATATGATAAGCGGGGTTTGTGACGGCTCAGTCGGAGCTGTAGAGAACGTGTGAAAGAAGCTGTTGGCAGTTATATGCGGCCGCTTGCCAGTAGACATGTTGCCGGGGAACAAAGAAGAATTGAAATAGAGAAATCGGCTTGCAAAAATAGTTGTAGGTAGTAGTATTTCAGTACGGAGTAATCCCTCTCCAATTTCCTGATACAAATGTCGCCGAATGCACTTCGGTCCACTCACTTTCCACCCAATTAGCACGCACACTGAAACTGTACAGCCCTCAAATATCTTGATACGCACTCTGGACACGCACTCCACAGAGCGGAAGTGCCTCGGTCCAGACCTGGCCGTTCATCTTTGCCTGCTCTCAAGCTCCATATTATAATGTCATAATCAAAGAAATATCTACTGATTTTTGTCGACTCTTTCATCCACAAAGCATGAAAAACGGCGCAATGAGGATGGCCGGTACTATTGGCCTGAGCGACAGAGCGTGACTCAGTAGAACATCAAACACGCTCCAGTATCTACGTACCATCTAGCTCAACAATTATAACTTTGCTCATGTACCCCAACCGCGAAAGCGCAAAAGAGGATTCAATTCATCGGGATACGTGCCTTTCGGATAGGCAAAAACAATTTCATCTCATTGTCTCATTCCATCTGACTCCATTCCATTCCATTCAACCAAAGCTCCTCAAATCCCAGGGGTAAATAGTGAGAAACGACACAGAACAGCCTAGCAATGCTACAGATCCAGGCAATGCCGCTCTAATTATCATATGTGAGAGGCTTGCACCGCACAAGCTACATCCCAGATTCATTCGGATTTCAAGTCCCCCCATTTTCGCCAAGCACTAAACACTGGAAACCCTAGACCTCAAGTAAATAAAACCACAACGGAAAAGCAAATAGAAGGCAAGAAAACTTAATAGATATACACCAGGTCTGGCGGTTTAACACCAGGTCAGGACAAGGCGCGGGATTTTAGGTCTCGAAATACACCAGAGACCTAATACATGATTTCTAGAAAACAGAAGGGATGTTAAAAAAAAAGGAAAGGAAGACAAAAAAAAAAAAAAAAAAAGGCACAAGTATATCGAGAAAACATTGAGGGAATCGTACAGGGAGATACTGCAAACCCGAAGAGTGAAAGAAACAACAAAACATCACTTCATCTGGTATCTAGGAAGCTGTCATGAAACAAACAGGGAAGCGCTCCTGGTACTTTGACACGAGAATGATGCACGCAGAAAGATGATGATTATGCGACCAATGCCATGAAAACGTCAAAAAAAAAAAAAAAAAAAAAAAAAAAAAAAAAAAAAAAAAAAAGAGAGAGAAAGAGACAGAACAATCATCAGCCATTATTACTGTGGTCATCGTGACGATTCTCCTTTTTGCTGCTCTCGTTGTTCGTCGTGGAATCCGAAAGATCAGGGGCCGGTGAAGACGATTTGACAATAGCAGAGCTGAGATTGATAGCTATCCTCTTGGGTGCTGTACTGCTGGACAGATTTCCCAGGGTAGCATGCACTGTTCCTTTGTCAGTGCTAGACACCGACCCGATGGACGTGCTCCTCTTTTTCCGCAGAATCCCAGCACTTCCAGCACCACTGCACGTAGAACCTCTCCGTTTAGGCCCAGAGGTAAGCTTAACGAGCTCATCATCGTCCTCCTCTTCACGCCGGCGTTTCTCTGACAATCGTTCCGGGGGAGTTTGTATCGCCGGTGACAATGGAGTTGATGGAGTTTCCTCGATTGAGTCGGCAACAGATCCTTGGTGCGAAGGCGCCTCGCATTGCTGCTGCTGCTGTTGTTGACCCGAATCAGCTTCCACTTTGGTAACCATGACGTCATCTTCCTCCTCATCGTCGGGATAGTCAACTAGAGGCTTAACAGCTGGAGAAGCGGCGCCATTTTGAGCATGCGGCGTTGCAGTTGCAGCCGGTACATTGTCTTGCTGTTGCCACTGAAGATGAACGTTAGTATATTGATAGGGGAGATCTATGCTTCGCGGAGTGCCTCACCTCCTCTTCATCGTCTGACGTGTTAAAATACTCTTCCTCCGCCGCGTCCATCTCTTTGACACCCTGCCAGCGTTGGCCGTTGACCTGGATTTGGCGGCTTGAAGTTCCATCGTCCTGTGAGAAGAGATTGGGGAGTCCGCTTCTGCTCCGTAGCCCTGCATTTGTTCATATCGAAGGACCAAATCGCGGAACGTGTCGACGTAAGTTATATTTTTAAGCTTCTCGCCATACTTCTCCACGACGTGCAGCACAATAGGCTTGATGTTTTCCCGTTTGATGAATTCGAAGAGCTCGAGGCAGGCTGAGTTGAGAAGGTTGTCCCGTGGCATTGTTTCGTAGACAATATCAAGGATTAAACCGAATGTGTTATTATGCGTCATAAGCGCTTGGTAAAAGGTATCTTGGAGGCTGATCAAGGTACGGAAGAATTTCAAAGCAGCTATATCAGCAGTTAGCACCGACGCTAGTGTTAATACAATGCACATAATAGGAATTCTCACTTAATTTGAGGTGTTTCTGGGGCACTTCGAGTAACTGTGCAACTCGAGGAGCAAGACCCTCCTTATGGATGACATTACGACTCCTGTATAGGTGTTGTCGTACGAAAAATGTAAGAATATCAACTAGATGCGAATGAAGTGCTACTTCTTGAAAGCTCATGTCATTCACTGCAAAACAAGCTGTTAGTTGAATAGAAAGAGAAACACATGCAGTGTCTGAAACTTACAAGTGGCACGATTTTCCAATCGCCTAAGTGGCTGGAAGAGCCTTCTGGCGGATTCGTCAAAGTGGTTCTGGACAAATGCATCGGAAAGGATGCCAGGGCGCAGTTTCGAAAAGTGCTCGGGTCCAGCCCGGCCCATCGTATCCTGCAGAGGAATCTGGGGGGTCCAGTAAGACCTTGACTGCATCTGCCAGTTGATTCTTGACCCCGAGATCGGATTCAGTGTGAAGCAAATCAATAAGCGTGTCCGTCAGTGGCGTTTTCTTCTCATTCACTGCTTTGAGCATATAGCCCCGCATCATAATGGGGTCATGGTCAAGAAGAGCGACCAGAATGTCGATCCCTGTTGTACGCAAGGCCGGGTTAGGGTGTTTGATGGCAAAGGCTATTACCGCAAAAAGGCCGTGGCTGATAAAATTAGCAAATAGATTGGCGCGCGCGGGAGCCTGTAGGTTCTTCGCAATAGCAGCGCATTGATGGAGGAATTGCACCGCATCCTCCTTGCGTTTTGCGTCCGAATTTCTCGGATCGAAGACCAAGAAAAGATCCTTCAGGAATGCAGCATTCGATTGAATATGATTCACAATCTCAACCTGATTGTAAAAAATGAGGGAATTGAGAACGGAAAACGTTGGATCATCCAAAATCCGAGCGAGAACTACGTCCTTCAAGTATTGCAAGCGCCAGGTATAACGAATTTTTCGACGGATCAGTACATCTTTAATGGGGACCACCTCCTTATAACGCGACTGGTCCGCGAGATACTGACGATGATTGGCTTTATGGGTAGGAAATTCGGGGTCATCTAGGATCGATCAGCAACGCGCCATAGTGGTAAATCAACGAATTCGCGTACATTCCAATGCCCCAACGACTCCCAGAATGATTGGGTCTGTGACAACGGTCTCAATGATGGTATTGTCATTGAGAAGTATAAGGGACTTCATGATATTGCACAGACGATGCAAGTCGACGTGACTTTCGAGATCCTCTGCGACGGTAACCAGCGGGATGAGTTTAGGAATATACTCGTCTCGAATAACGAATTTGGACAATGCGTCCCGGCCGGCTTGGGTAATACTGGCCGCCCTCATGATATGGTCGATCTCGTGGAGGTTTCCAAGCTCCGGCGGTGGTAACATGATTGACTGGAAGCTCTCGAGGTCGTCCGACAATGCATCATCTGGAGGCAAAAAAAAAAAAAAAAAAAAACAGAGCGTTAGTAACAGGGAGACAACCGACGGAGAGTAGGGAATGATACGAACCTGCCGCTGCCAGACTGACCAGGTGTTGCTGCACAGCCCTAACAAAATCCCTTCATTTCCAGTCAGCCAGTTAAAGAGGCGAGTTTGAATTGCAGATGTTCGGAGCCCACCAGATAACTGCGCAACCCTCCGCCTCCTGAAAACTCAATGCCATGTCTGTCCCATTGGGCTCGGTCCATACGATTAACGTCTCTGGTTGTGTGACACGCGTCAGCCAAAAAACAAACCCCCTCCTTTGATATATGCGACGCGACTGCTGGTGAAAGCGGTACCTTGTTGCTTCTGGTAGCCATCATCCTTGGAGATTTTTGTCTCCAACAACACCCGGTCGGGCTCATCTTCAGATTCGACAAATATTCGCGGCTCATCCTGTAGATCAAAATTGGGGATGTTAGCGGTGGGGAGACGAAATCAAAAAGGCGCATATCGTGGGCCGGAGAGGTTTGCGCCCGACGACCCTCGCGCTGGGCGGATGACACCATGCGCTGCGAGACTTACATCAAGAATCTGTCCTGTGCAGAAACCCGTACCACGATCGAACCAGTCGTTATCTTTCAGTTCATAAACCTTCACCCGCTTACGATCGCTCGGCGCTTCCACCTCCAACGCCATGATCCGGTAGTCAGGAGAGGTGGCGTCTCGTCACTCCGGGACAACTCAGAAACGAGTGAACCGGCGTGCGAAGAGCCCCAAGGTGTCGGAAATATGGGGAGAGGTGGGCCGCGGCCGTGTCCAAATCGGACGAGGGAATACCGGCGGAAAAAAAGTAGGGCGAGTGTGATGGGTGATAAGAAAGACGATGGAGAGGAAGGGAGGAGGAGACGATGGCGATGATGGGTTGCTTGCTTTGCGGATGATAATGATGATCCTGACTTTGGGGTCGGGCCACCTGACGGCCTCGGCAGCGGTCGGCGCTTTTTTTTTTTTTTTTTTGCCAAATTCTTCTGGATTGTTCCCACCAAATGCTATTAACCTAAAAGTACGAAGCAGGTACACACGCGACCGTCAGAGAATAAGAACACCCCAAGACTTTTCTTTGAATTTTAGAAAGGGCACACACACTTGGCGAGTTTCCTGCGGGTTTAGGAGTTCATCCGAATTGTTTGAAATTTGCAGAAGATCTGCTCAGAAGGGGCAAGGGAGCCAAAAGAAACATAAAATTAAAATAAGGTCAACCGCGAGCTTGGGAACAAGTGAGTGCCCTGGGAAGGTCAGATCAGACAGGAGATGCAAATACGGGGATCTGCAAGAAGACGGATGGAGGGAATGACGTGCGCCCGCAGGCTTCCACCGAGAAGGCTGTTGGAATACATGAGACTGCTTCCTAGTCGGCAGCCTTGATCTAGTCCTGGAGACTCCCACTACTATCCCTACTACTAATGAGGGTTGTCATAATACTTCAATCCCTTGTCTCAAAGGGGAAAGGAGGCACCAAAGCCAGGGACAGAGCCTGGGCCTGAATGATGTTACCCGCTTCCTTGCCTGAACCTTCATCATCCACCCTGCAACAATTAAACTTAACTCTCCTATTCCCGCGCACCTAAGAATAACCATCATCAGTGTTAGACTTCCCACAACCTAATCTTCCCCCGCATATCCATGGAACACCGGATGTACTCCATACTCTTGTTGGTCCTGGTGCATCATTCAAGGGTCTATTTCATTCCCATATAGCACGCAAGAGATGCAAAGGAAACGCTGCTACCTGTCTGTACTTTGTCATTGGGCATCCACGTAGTCAACTAGCTATGAGTGCAATGGATCTACGATCCGAGTTTTCGACTCCCATCCTATCAGATCCAGTCTCCTTCAAAAATAAGTCACATGTACCCCAATATCTGCACACATCCCTTGGACCATGGCCGGTTTACCATTCCAGAAGTTATTAGTTTCCTGCGAACGCATGTGGCATCCAAGGATTTCGACGGCTGGTATGATCATATATGAATCGGAGAATGCCCCAGGGGAAAGATCTGTTCCGTACAAATATAAAGTTCTAAAGGCTCATTGAAGTGGGCTGGATTTTCCAGAACAATCGAGAGTCTGACTGATGAGGTCATCGGCATCTTGAGTCAGTCCTTACGCCTGAGGCAGAATACTCCGCTCATATGATATTTGTCATGGCAAAACCAGACAACAACTGGATTGCTACCTACCCAGCCTGATCCAATTACGGAGTAAATGGTGAAGTAGGTTCAACAGCTCAGTAAATGGAAAGTTGACAAGAGAGAGCAGCGCGGCTTTATCTCGCCTTGTCCTTGACTTGGAAGGGTCTCCCTTATCGATATATGTACCACCACAGCGTACGTAAATCTACGCAAGAGAGAAGGTCTGCAGTAGCTCCGCCCGGGGAAGTCTTGAATGTAACTCTGTAGTCTGTACCTTGAGACTAGCACTGCTACCTAAATCTAGGGTACATTGCTCTTGGGTCCAGGAGAAACACTCTTCAGCCTAGTTTATCAGTTCTTGCCCTGGTCAAAGCGCCCATTGTCTGATTGGCTGAACCCCCTCCATTTATGGGATGCTCATGTAACCACAGGTATTTCTCGGATTGGCCCAGACCAATCTTTAGTAAGTTCTTATTAAGCGTTCCCACGCGAGATTGAACAGTGTGCCCAATCAGGAAAGGGCTTCCGTCTGGCTGGACTCTGCCTGCTTTATTTTTTTTTTTTTTTTCCCGGCTTCCCTCAATGCCGACATTAATACATTTCTGAAGACCACAGGCGAGCGACTTCAGGGAGCTTTGCGCTCGTTTAGGTCATAAAGCTCCCAATCGAGTCCCAAGACGATCACGGATCAGATCCCCGCTTCCAATTCTCGATACGCCCATCAACCCTCACTTCCACTGCTTTCGTTGCGACACACCCGTTCCGTTCGACCACACTCCATTAGATCCCATCCCCAAGTCTGTATATCATGTCGGATATCAAAGATCAAGTTGTGGTTCAAACGTCTGCGGGACCCTATAACAACACCTCATCGTCCCAGTCATCTCCTAAACCGTATACTTCGGTCGGAGTAGAAGCGAACCATCCAGATGCTGATTCTGGCTCGGAGATGCCTGCAGATCAACTTGATCAGACAAAGAAAGGGAAATTTGCGTACTTTAGGACCAAGGAATTCTATATCAGTCTCATACTGGGGTAAGTGTTCCCTCCCCGTTGGCTGTTACTCCCATTCCGGCATCCAGTCTAATGCTAATCCTTGCCCTTAGTCAAATATTGGCAATTACAAACACGGCAACGGGTACATTCACTTCACTCATTCAACTACAGGAGACGTCGATTCCGGCTTTTCAGACATTCTTTAACTATGTATTGCTGAATCTCATTTTCACGCCTTATACAATGTACCGCTACGGCATCAAAGGCTGGCTCCAAATGGTACGCCGCAACGGTTGGAAATGTGAGTGTTCCCAGTTTGTTACGTGCTAATAATATCAATCTTTATCGGAATATCTTCTAACCTGCTTCGGTGGATACAGACATTATCCTATCGTTCTGTGACGTCGAGGGCAACTACTTTATAGTGAAGGCATACGAATACACAACCATGATGAGCGCCCAGTTGATCAACTTTTGGGCCATCGCAATTGTGGTCTTTATTTCTTTCGTCTTCCTACGTGTTCGATACCACATCTCGCAGATCCTAGGGATCATTATCTGCATCGGCGGCATGGGAGTTTTGATTGCATCGGACCATATTAAGGGCACCAACGGCGGCAAGGCCTCGAACCAGGTGAAAGGCGATCTTTTTGCCCTCCTAGGCGCAACTTTCTACGGCCTCGCAAATACGGGTGAGGAATACTTCGTCAGCATGCAACCCGTCTACGAAGTCCTGGGCCAGATGGCGTTCTTCGGAATGATCATCAACGGCGCCCAGGCTGGTATCTTCGACCGTCACTCGATCAGAACCGCCCACTGGAACAGCAAGGTCGGAGGCTACCTGACCGGATATACACTCTGTCTCTCACTTTTCTACAGCATGGCTCCGCTCCTGTTCCGCTTGTCTTCGGCTGCGTTCTTCAACATCTCCATGTTGACCATGAACTTCTGGGGTGTCATCATCGGTGTCAAGGTCTTCGGCTACAGCATCCACTTCATGTACCCCATCGCCTTTGTGCTCATTATCCTCGGCCAGCTCATCTACTTCTTGGGCCGCAGGGTCCTGGGTGAGGCACGCAAGCCCTGGCTCGGTCAGAATCAGGAACATGGTATCGCTGGCTTCTTCACCGCAAAGAAAAAAATTGAGTCCGAGATCGGCTCTACTCCTAGTCCTAATTCAGTGGCTAATGACACGACCACTGCGGATGATGAGCCTCGACAAACTAATACCAGTGCTGTTTAGCGTTGTGGCGTTGGGGTTTTCGATGAGTGTCTGTTTCTGAATTTCGTTTTGCTGTTTCTGCAAATAAACTGGTGCGCTGGTATGCATATCCATACACTTCTGGTAGGATGGACTGAAAGATCTGTGCAGTGATGTGTGCCTGATCTGATAAAAGTTGGATTTGTTTTGGCGGGATATTTTATTAATACACATAATTTCAATATATACATGCTTGCCATAAAAATCAGCTTTGGTTCTTGTATTGAATAATTCATATCCAACAGGAGTAATGATAATGACCTGTCGACCGACTATAGACGCATACAAAGCTCCTTAGTTATTTACTATTTCAAGAGCACCAAACTTTCTAAAAATCACCTGTACCTTGAACATGCCTGATCAACGCAATGGTAATACATTCCACCCAAGTAACACCGTCTATACATATAGCTATAAATGGCAAGGATGTGAATAAATTAATCCAAATAATATGCAGGACAGAAGTGAAAGGATAACCATAAACACAAATATCAGAACCAAACCAAAACCAACCCTGATATGCCAGAAACTCAGTGCAGGTCAGACAGACTCCAAGAACTCTTTTATGTTAGCCTCCTGGTCCCCCAGTATTTGCCAATGTCCCCCAGAACTAGAAACGGAAACAGAATATCAACCTTTTGGAGTCCCTAACAACGGCAGACGCAGAAATACATGCTCCAGCCAAAATTGCAACCAAACCCTAACGATGACTTATAACACCTGAAACTCTCCCCGGATAAGGTGGAAACAAGAGCCCGAGACGTACACCCACAATCATGTAAATACAACCCCAACCATAAAGAACAGAAGCAGGAATACCAGCAGAAGAATCGAAACATAAAGAGAGAAGGAACACAGATCAAGGAAATGAGGCAACCGGACATTTAAATCGATCAAGAACGCAAAATGCAAACGCACACAAAGGGGGAATACCGACTCCAGAACCAACAAGCCGACCAAGTTCCCTAGTCAGTAAACCAACCATGACCAAATTAACTGTCCACATATGATAGAGCGCTAAACAGAAAATATTCTTGCACCACTTTCCCATATATGTACCATGCTCTTTCCCAATATTTGAACGAAAAATGGAAATCTCTCTCTGAAACGCCGGCGTGTAGAAGTGAACGCATGTTGCTGAATGTAGCAAGCGTTAACTGAAACAATCAAAGCTGTATGTTGTATTAACCCCAGACAGAAGCTTGGACACCCAATCCATTCTTTGAGCCCCAGACTCCGGTTCCGTTACCCCAGCCGAGTCCAACACCGCCAGTGGAATCCTTGGGACCAGGGTTCACTGCGGAGGTAGAGCTCGTAGGGTTGGAAGAGGTCGAAGCTGAGCGCTCGTTGTTGGGAACTGCTGTGGCTCCTTCTCCTGAGCTGAAACCAAATCCCAAGGGTGATGGTAGGGGAGTGGTGGAGCGTTTGTTCAGCGCTGGGTTGGGAGCCTGTGCTGGACCCGGTTGTGGGATCGGACGAGAACCAATAGGGCCAACAGAGCCAATCAGTCCCGCAGCTGGCTTCGACGTCGCTTGCCTCGAGGACGGCGAATCAACTCCACCAGGAGAGGAAGTCGAGGTCACTGGCTGGTCGGCACCATCGTACTTGCCGCCGAATACAGGGTTGATACCAGAACTAGGGGAGGACGTGCTGTTCGCACGAGATGGAGACTGAAGAGCTGACGCGCTGGCAGCAGCCTGAGCAATGCCATCTGTACTACCTTGAGCAGGAGTTTGGGCAAGAGGGAATGGATCAACGCTGCGGGGAGACGGACCTCGGACCCCAGTAGAGGAAGGGGTGCCACCTGCTTGGCTTTCAGGTCGGGAATTGTCATCCGCCAACGTCCCCGGAGAGAAGAAGGCGGGACTTTCGTTGCCGTAGAGAGCCCTATGTTGGCGAGCCAGGAGATCTCGACGGCTTTCCTCACTCATGGCGGCTGGGCTGAGCGACCGGTCGGACTTGTTTCCAGACATCTCGGCAAGTAGGCCTTTCATGAATAAAAAATATTAAAACCCATATTCAAAGAAAACGAAGGAGAAACTGGAACAATGTCCCAATGTATTATACAATGCAAAAAATACAGATGGGCAAGAAGATCACGGGGAATCTTGGCGAAGAAAAGACTGCAAAATAAAAAAAAAAAAAACTCCGGAGACAAATGCTACCACGTACTTCGATTGTACTGTTGCTCCTGGTGATAATTGCGGAGCTCCCTCTCACGCTGCGCTGCCATCCGACGTTTTGCTTGCATCATCTGCTCTACTTCATTTGGGCGGCCCTGAAAACGCTGGGAGGGATAAAAGCCCTGCACGTTAGGGTTCGGATGCATACGAGATCCGTCGAAGTCGCTAATCGAATGGTGACGTTGAGCTATGTTTCCCATTGTACGGGGGTCTGTGTACGGGGTGTTATTAGAGGCGGGTGTTGTAGACTTAAACGGTCCAGTAGCTTCATACCGTATTCAGGGTAGGGACGTCCCATCATCATCGGCATCGAATCCCTTCGTGGAGTGGTCCACAACTTTCCACTTTTGACAAGATTATCAATTGCTCGATCGACTTCTGAAATAAAAAAGTCAGCGATTTCTCGCATTCATTCTATCCATCTTATCGATAAGCAAAGACAAATTGTCGATGAGAACGCTTGTCACTGAAATGTTTTGAGAAATTTCAACTCTAGGGGATGACAATCCGCCTCCAGCATTTGGCGAGAGATGACAAATGAAAAAAGGAATCGACAGCGGTGTCACAAGGACTGGGGGAGCCAGATTATCCATACCGTCAAACTGGGATGAAAAGGCTGGGATATCATCCCGTTGGGACACAGAGCTCGATCCTACGAATACACCATCAGCGTTACTGCACAACCTGTACACAACGGTGCTATTCCCAAATATGTTGTAACCGTACCGGATCGCGACGGGGGAGCGGGCTGTTCCCATGACACCTGGCGCGCAGCAGGCGCCTGCCAACCCTGGGGCTCATAGTACGACATGTTCACGGACTTGAAATCGCAATGGAACGGGCCGACAAAAGCGCTGGTTGAATCGGATCCGATCGGAGGAACTAGGAGAGGTCTTTTGGTGTTCAAAAGATTAATGTAAGTTCTTGGTCCAAAAAAAGAGAAAAAAAGAAAAGAAAAAGACGACGGCATTCAAAGGATAATGGGGGAAGCTCAAAACATATGGGCCAAGAGTCCAAGTGATCGAGGAAGGCTGAGATGTCGACCAACACCAACTTTGATGATGAGATATTCCCAGATGAACACTTCCGTGTCTCAGGGGAACTTATTCTTTTAATACCCTATCACTTGGCAATGGGCTCGTGGGTCTGTTGAACACACAAATTTAAAGAATAATTGCAATTTCAAATGATAATGAGATAGTAAAAAAAAATAATGGACTGCCGAGGCGACAAAGCAATCGTCCTTTTACCTTCGGAAGTGGGTCGAGGAGGAAGAGGCAATGCGTTGTTCGGTAGTAAGGTAACTTACAAGAAAAGGAGTGATTGCCCTCCCAACAAAATTTCCAGGTGGCTCTACCACGAGCGAACGAGGCAGAAGGGGCAGTAGCAACTTCTCACCCACGACAGACAGCGCCTGACGTGTATGGGGGGGAAGGGGGGAAGATCGAACTGAGAAGGGGAAAAGGGAAGATAAAAACAGAGGGGGGAAAAGGTGAGGAAGGAAGAGGGAGAGTAGAAGTCGGGTAGCAGAGGTGCAACCGTCGAAGGAGACTGGACTGGGCGGACTGGGGTGAGGGGAGAGGAGGAAGAGGAGGGGAGGGGGGAAAGGAGGGAGAAACGAGAAGAAGCGTGGGTGATTATTTTTTTTGACCGGGGATAAGAACGTCCAGGACGAAAAAGAAAGCGAGTGTCTACTCCAGTACTACTGGGTCCCGTTGAAGCAACTACTAAGTTGGTTAAGGCAAGTGAAAGGAACTCCATAGGTAGCCTTCGGCCAGTCATAAAAGTCTTGGTCCAACAAAAAAAAAAAATCTGTGAGGGAAAACCACACAGACATATACTAAAAAAGAAAAATTAATACATACACAGCAACACATAATACTTATACACTCCTTTACTCCCTACAAGTATACAATGCAATATGCCACTACCAGAAAAGCAAAATTGAACAAAAAAGGTAAGGGAAAAAAAGGTGGGTGTTGGATCCTCTGGTTGGTGACGGACGTTTGGTGCGTTATTTCGCTTCCTTCCGACCCGTTTTTTTTTTTTTTTTAACACCTCACTCTGGATGAATAATTAATCTCCTTTTCATCATATCTTCGATATTTGTCTATTATTCTTCTTCTATCTTAGGGGAAAGAATGTTGGTAGAGATTGCAGCCTATGATATCGGTGCAATTTTAATTACTGCCTTCTTATAAAATATTAAAGGCACTAGAAGACAAAAAAATTTTGGATTGCTTGGTAGCTTGGTAGCAGGCTTAAGGACCTTACAATGATAAATGTCAGTGGTTCCACTTCCATAATGTAAGTACCGTACTCCGTACTACCTACTCTATACTCCAAGGTACTTACGTCCTGTTCTTCCTACTGATGTGTCTCGTATCAATATATAATTTGTGACCAATGTACTGAGTACCTACCTACATACATGGCTGCATTATGTAGACGCCTTGGCCTTCTCGACAAGTGCGCCGCAACGAGATATTGCCAATTTGTCAAATAGTTTATTCCTACGCAGTATGGGAAGATATAAAATCATCAGTCAGGTAAATAGTTGTATTAAAACCAGTCCCGATCTTAGAGCATCCGCTACACAATGTGTATTTTTATTGTCCTGGTTTATGGACTTTTCCTTTTTGGTCCAATTATCCGGTACCCGGAGATTTGAAGAGCAGTAGGCTCAATACCCGACAAATATCTCTTAGCGCTGCCCGTCCACTTTTTCACGTTGGCCTTAACAATTTATTTTTAAAACTTTCTCCCTCTTGGACTGCTTGTCCTACCCTCCTCATTGGTTCATATGTACTTTGCAAGGTTTTAGGTAACTCAACCAGTCTTAAGCAAGGAGAACGATGTCTGGAAATTCCTCGCCCGTGTGGCAAGCCCACTGTCAAGAGCTACTTACATACCAAGTCTTTCCGTCCGTCCGTACGAAGTAATATTTCTTCGAGACAGCCACAGTAATGCCCTACAATATGGTGCCGTGGAAGGCAAAAGTCGGCTTTATTTCGTAGTGATAATATGGAAGAACCAGCGGAATCCAAGGGAAACAGACTCCAGCATCATTGGTCCTCGTCAGGATTAGCATACTGGGCATTCTGTCATATTTGGGCTAAGGGACTGGTTGCGGGTCGCGTACAGTATTAGGTACTCAGTCTATTGATTGTGATGCTGAGATTATCAGCCGGTGTAAAAATAGGTTTAACATTGCTATTGTTGAAAATATCTTTTGAATAATGACCATATCTGGAGTATGTACCCCATATATTCTAAGTCTTAAACACAGGACTCTTTTTCTTGGCCCTTAAATAGTTACGGAGTACTGTTAGCATTCATAACATCCATCTTCTATTGATGATAACAATAGTGCCTAAGATTTTATTAGCGCGTAGCATTCTCCCCTGTGACACACTACAAGAACCTAGAGAACATGTACTAAATTTAAGTTCTAAGTATCTCTCTCACTTTCACCGTAATGCTTAATAATCTTACCAGCCTGCACCTAGTTAATTTTTAAAAGGAGGTGGGGCGTGACTCCCCAATGGAAAGTACCTACCTACTCATATGGATGGCACTCGGACCCTTTGCGCCGGGAAGCACAAGACACGCGTGTGCCATTGTCATTGTACTGCCAGTAGGCTTAATTCGTACTACGTTTATATCTCTTACTGTTCCTCCTTAAACAAGTCATGGGGTATATTTCCTTGGCTGGATTTCCTTGGAATGTATGTACATGGACTCGCAGATGCATAAGGCATGTGTGTAAGTTGCTTCTAATGTACTCTGTACTAGTTAAGTTCCCTAAAGTTCGGTTGACATTGGTTTCCTTGGGAGGGGAGAAACAGGAAAAACCCTGTGTAATGTAGTATTGGATTGGCATAGTAAGATTCCTAAATACGCAACACGCGGCCCATTCATACTTAAGTGTATTTGCATATAAACTGGCAGAATCATTCAAAACATAGAAAATAACTCATGTCGCCACAGTGACCTATATAGGCGATAAACTGAAAGGACCAATCTCCATAGAGAAATGGGTCGGTCATCCTTTTTCACTACGTGATGTCTAGTGATACTCCATTATGTTAATTGTCCATCTGGATGAATCAAGGATGTTCTTATGTCCAGTGGCTTGATGTCTGGGGTCCTGTCTTCGTTCGGGCGCGCATCTACATCCAGTCTGGCCCGCGGACTTGGTTAGAACTGTGTGATACCATGGCTCAATCAGGAGTGACGGGTAGAATGAGAATGATGCTCATGCTAGGATCTAGGATATTTGACTACAGAGAGCGTTAATTTTGAAAGGTATCAAAAGCACGCAGATATGCACGGAAACAACCTGGACACCTGCTGCAGATATCTATGGAATGGGATTATAATTTTTCAGACTCGAAGCGTACTCGAGCAACATGCCCGTGGTTGAAGCTCTAGTCCATAGGATCACATGGGTGAGGGTACTTTTGTGACGAACAGTAGACCGTCATTGTTCTTGAAGTTAGCGGGAGAGATGGAATGGATTGACGTATAATAGGACGGATGGATGATGGCTGACATTGAATTGCAGCGAGTGGCACAAATGGAGTCCTTATTTGGATTCGACTGCACGTGCCGCAGCAGTCGGAATAGTGGCCGAGATGTGGCCTCGAGTCTCGACGACAAAAACGCGGGGAAGGAAAGGGAAGGAACAATGAGAACCTAGGTAACTCTGCTTGGCAACTGCATTCAGTACAGTAAGTGGCCTGGGGCGGAGGTTAGCACAAAGACCTCTCTTTCTTGTATCTGGCAATCTGCTCCGTAGAGGTAGGAAATAATGGTCTATGGGCTATATTACGTACATTTTATTCCCCTCCCCCTTCTTTTCTGTCCGGACCCTTGAGTTTGGTGGGCTGATCGTGCATTATTGAGAGGTCATCAAGGAGAATGGTGTACCTACAGAGCTAGCATATAAATACTACTATCTTTCAATAGTCAATAGCCAGGAGATTGTTGACATGGCAACTTCTTTATCTGTTGATACTACGGAGTAACCTGACTGCCATTCTGAGCAGTGTTTGGCTAATTCTATTGTGGCTTAACACTATTCATCCGATATACATATCAACATATCATATTATTTCTGTAGCTACAGCTGTGTAGGTAGTAAGCTCCTGAGTGCTCCCAGTCAATGTTAATAATAATACGCATCCTTAATGAGGCGGGAAAAGAATCCCGAACCCGTTCCTACTGTTCAATTTAACATGTCAATTTTTAGCTTTCTTTTTCTTTTCTTCTTCTTCTTCATCATCATCATCATCATCATCATCATCATCTTTTTTTTTTTTTTTTTTTTTTTCAAAAGGGAAGGAGGGATCGAAGGCTATTCTATACCGGCCAATTGAGGGAGTAGTGGTCACTTTGAAGGAAGTTGGACAAGATACGACAGTGCGTATACCAAATACCTATTTTAGGCTGGATGGAAAGTTGCCTTATTTACAAAATCCAAAGAATCAATCAAAGGTCATTTCCCTTTCATTATTTCACGTTGGAATCTGGAACATATGGTGCTAGTAATAAAGGCACTACGGGGCCAAACACTTACCGCCAAACCTGATTAATGGCCCCGTGGCTCAGGCTCACTACTTCTCTGCCATCGCCCTAAAAGTGATGAGTGATTGATTCCCCCTCCACGCGCAGTTGTTCCTCCCCATTGTTATTCGTTTCCAACATACACTCTGCAGGATTTCTGCGGTTATTTCCCCAATCAATCAATATTCAGGCTGGTCCTTTTATGGAGAAAAAAGTGGTTTCTCTTCTTTTGCCCTTCCAACGTGATCCTTGGTCTTAAAACTTGTGTGGTTTTTTGAAGTGTGCCCTTCCCGGCTAGAGTCTATCGCTCTCTCCCCTTAAAACACCCTATCGATTTGGCGATCGACACGACAAGTAACTCGTACGCACCCCGACATTCCAGATTCACCACAAATCAGACAGACAATTCGTTACTGAAACCTCGGGCCCTGTTAGCCTTCTGTTGGGTATTTTTCTCCCTCTTTTCTTTTTTGGGACATTCGCTAGGCGAAGGGCTTTTTCGAGGTAGAGCAGAGAGACAATTTTGCTGGTCCAGCGCCGACTGGTTCTGCGTTGCCTCGTCCCCTGTTTGCCCCCCTCTCCCACGTTTTCGCCGTGTCTATCACCTTCTTGTCTTTTGGGGCTAGGGCCATTATACAGGATCACTTACTGGTTATACACTGACTATCAGGAGACTGTCCTGCCAGTTTTTTTTCCCTCTCCCCTTTTTAAAAAAAAGAGAGGAAGGAAGGGGAAGAGCGAAATAAGGGAAGAATCAAATTTGGAGATCTGTGACTCTGGGTGGATTTTTGCACACCAAGGTTCTCGTTGCATTGAATACAACGGGAATTTTCTCCATCCTACCTACCTCTCGTGGAGGTCAACGTTGGCGAACAACGTTGAAGTCGCTATATGCACTCAGACACCGATGGGAATGCTAAATTGTCCTCTATACCAGGTGAACAATCACCGATAGCGCCTACAAACGCCTCGACTATGCCGTGGAACCTATCCACCGACACGTCTTCAGAGGCAACTACTCGGCCACAATTGACTTCGCAGCAGTCGAATTCTCTCCCGTCGACGCCCTACCAACATGCGCGAAATCTCTCCTTCCACTCCCGCTCCCCCTCCCCCTCTCATGGAAGCACGTCCCCTCGGTCCACGCATTCCGAATCCACGCACATTCCGCCGTCCCTGCGAAAACCGTTCACCGGCTGCAAATATGAAACCGCTATGGCTTTCTTTCGTAGGAGAATGCCGTATACGCTGGGCGCCGACTTGTTACCCGAGGAGAAGGAGGGACTCAGGGAAAGATTAGAACCAGAGGTGGAAGAGAAGTTAACTGCGGATATGTTGGAGGCATATGACCGGTTACTGCCATCGGCGGAGAGCGATGATCGGCGACGCCAACTTGTTCGCAAGCTGGAAAAACTCTTCAACGAACAATGGCCGGGGCGCGATATCAAAGTCCATGTTTTCGGTTCATCTGGGAACAAGCTTTGTTCAAGTGACTCGGACGGTATGTTGCGTCGCGTGTCGGTTGAGGTACGGGTGCTGACTTCGGACGCAGTGGATATTTGTATAACCACGACATATAAAGAGCTTGAGCATGTATGCATTCTAGCTGAGGTTCTCGCGAAACGTAAGGTCTTTCTCTACCTTCAAGTCGACCGATCCACTGACATACTTTGGGTGGCAGATGGCATGGAGCGTGTTGTTTGTGTCTCCCATGCAAAGGTTCCAATCGTCAAGATCTGGGATCCGGAGCTACGTCTGGCATGTGACATGAATGTCAACAACACGTTAGCACTGGAAAACACGCGTATGATTCGGACCTATGTGGAAATCGATGACCGCGTACGGCCTTTAGCTATGATTATAAAACACTGGACGAAACGGAGGATACTCAACGATGCTGGTATGTTTCAGATGTGGAAACCAGACGTCTTGCATCATTTAATACTAACTTTTGCTGTTAGGACTTGGAGGTACGCTAAGCTCCTACACGTGGATATGCTTAATTGTGAACTTTCTACAAACACGAAATCCTCCGATTCTCCCCAGTCTTCAAGCTCGCCCCCACAAGAAAAGACTATCGCCCGAAGGATTAGTCTGCTCGTTTGATGATGATCTCAACAATCTGCTTGGGTATGGACGAAAGAATAAGCAGTCACTAGGTGATCTGCTTTTTCAGTTTTTCAGATACTATGGCCATGAACTCGACTATGAAAAATACGTTATTTCTGTCCGAGAGTCCAAACTGATCTCCAAAGAGGATAAGGGTTGGCACTTGCTGCAAAATAACCGCTTATGTGTCGAGGAGCCATTCAACACGTCCAGGAACCTAGGGAATACCGCCGATGATACGTCGTTTAGGGGCGTACACCTGGAAATTCGCAGAGCGTACAAGGCCGTGTCAGAAGGAAATTTAGAGCATTGTTGTGAGCAGTACCAGTATCCGCCTGAGGAAGAGCGTTCGTGGGAGAGGCCCCAACCACAACCACGACCCATTTTAGCACCTCCACCTCACCCTTCTCGGGGTGGTCGTGGTGGCGGCCGTGGTGGACGGCATTCGAACCAATACACTCGTGGTGGACATTCTGGTGGTCGACGGTCATCGAATACCCCGAATAAGTCGAACAACTTTCGCCAAGCAGCCAACGGCATGAGTGCATCGGAGCTCTCCCTTCAGGCCCAGCAGGCACAATACCTATTGCATGATCATCTCTACCAGCAAATTCAGATACTCCAGGCCCAAGAGCAGGAGCTCCGACTACAGCTGCAAAACCAGGCCCTTCTCACAGGGAGACCACCACCTGTGCTGATCCGTCAGCCCTTCATCCAGTTCCCAATGCCCCAACAACAGGAGTCTGCGGGAGACGATAATTCTCGAACAAGATCTGGAACGGTAAATCTTACGCCCCAGAGCACACCCCAGCGCCAGCATTCTTATTACGGTTCCCCCTATCTTCCAGTTTCTGTTACAGGCGTGCAAGGCAGCACTACAAACCCACCATCCCCATCAGCAGCTGCTGCCACGCCAGATCTTCGGCGTAATCCGCGTCGGTCGTCCGTTGCAAATGGATCGCCAGGCGGGTCATTAAGGGCGCACTCACAGCCTGCAAGGACCGTTAATTCTCTTCCAAGCTACGCTCCGATATACTCAATCGTACAGCCAGTCGAAAGCCCCCAGAATTCAAAGCAACGTAATGCTCCGGGTTCCCCTGACGGTACACAGAGTGAAGAGGAGAACGCTTTCATGCCTAGCAGCCTGCCCAATGTGACCCGTTCTACGTATTTTGATGAAAATCGACCAACTGAGTATATGGGATACTACCTCGCCACCTCTCCACAATTACAAGCGTATCATCAGAATGCCATGCTATCACCTTTATCGGCACCTGTGGGATTGGCCTTGCAGAATGGTGGTGTCGTTCCATTTCTTACGAATTCGCAGGAATACATGTCGTCAGTGGCACCAAATGAGATGGTTGGTCAATCGCCAGAGTACGGTGCGACACAGAAGCCCAAGTCTGCTTTTTCGCAACACCGTACCACTTCAAGACCTGCGGTGTCTCTTGATCGTGGTGGTCCCTTAATCGTGGATGGCTCGGTGCCCCTAAGCGAGCCCCGTAACTCCATTTCGGTCGAAGGTTATGATCCATATGCTACTATGAGCCACTGTACGTCTAATTCTGACGATCATAATACGGACACACCTGCTAGTGTTTCCGATTCGTTCTCGCAAGACTTTCAAGACAACAGCTCGGTAGACATCGATCAACCGCCGTTCTATGGCCGACAGGGGCTCGATATCCATAAACCTGGAAGTTCACCCGATGTTTTTATGAATGGGCAAGGCGGGAAACCTAGTCTACTTTCGAGTCGGCTACAAAATTTGCACCTCTCAAATAGCGAGAACATCACCGAACCATCGTCGTCATCGAGGACGATGCCAGAAAAGCCAAGAGCAGTCCATACTCATCATGAATTGGGAAAAGAGGCTTCTCGTCAGAGGCAATTGGCCGCAGGAGAGAAAGCGGCGTCTAGCCCCGGGACGTTGTCAGCGATAGAGTTGCATGTTCCTTCAACAGGAAAACGCCGGCCTAATGGCGTTGATGCTTCCGAAAAAACTAACGGCAGTGGCCATAAACCAAGGCCCAAGGGTCGTCCTGATAATTCTCATAATTCGTCTGCTGGATCAGGTGACAGCAAAGAACGAGGCGCCAACCACCAAACACGAAGATCCAATGGCGCTACCTCGACAACACATGATTCGAACGCCAGTCATGTAAGTAGCGGCTGGCAAATGACCAAAAAGAAGCAGAGGAAGAATGCAAAGCCGCCCGCGGAGCACAGACAGGTTGTCCATGGTGGTGCTGAGCCGCTTCCTGCGGATGAGTCCTTAAGAAAAGGTGGATGATAAATCAGGATCGGAATCTCCAGTCCTTTATTATTTTCCCTCTTTGTTCGAGTCGACTAGATGTTATATTCCGATGAAAATTGAACAATTGTTGCACAGCATCATGGGAAGCCCAGTTATTGATGTTTCGTGCAACTCCATTTTGTTCCCCTCTCTCCCAGCGCCATTGCTGGGGCTCACCAAGTGGCTATATCGCGATTTGGGTGATACTTGTACAGTTTATAATGCAGGCTTTTGAGGTGTTCGACTTTGTCCAGGTTCAAACGAAGTTTGCTAGCGGCGTTCTGGGTCATTTGGTACTGTATAAATGAGGCTTCCTACCGATATTAAAATGACACGATTCCAGTAAAGACTTTTCTTTCTTCTTGTCCTTACCCTTTTTTTACTTTTGAATGGAAGGTATATGTTTCATTATTCTTTTCATCTGTGCCAGTGTCGTTTTCCTACCTTTTCATGTTCAACATTGGCGTTTACAGGTCAGATACGGAGCTTGACAGTCAAGGTTCTAGCTGGTTAGGAATGGGCTCGTGAGTTCCTTGTGTGAATTGCATATGGCATTTATGTCCCAGTCCTTTATATTTTCTTCATTTGATATGGCATGGCTCTTGGCCTTGACTATATTCCCATGTGTGCTGGTCTCCTAAGAATTGTCACAATACCTTGTTCCTGGCTTTGCCCGCTTATATTGCATACCTGCTATGTCGCTTTACCTGCGCTTTTCATCGGTTCCTTTGATATTGACTTCCTCTTGGGGGCTCAGAGAGACACCTGTATCAAGTGAGCAAGCAGAAGGCTGGCCTATCTCAAAGAACGAATTGAGAAAGCACCAAAACAGACTGACAGTGGGGTGCTAACAAAGCCCAGGAATATAGCGGGCCCTGCCTTTCTCTTTCTATCTTCCTCCCTCTCCTTTTTTTGCTTTCCGCTCTCTGTTAGCTGTGAAATCTCTGTTTATACACAACCGGCATGACCGTCATACTCATACTCATTATTATTGTCAATATACCAGCATAGCAGGGAGCCAGGCGAGTGGATTCATTTTTCTTGCATTGTACTCTTTTCGTTTCCTTTTCGTTTCCCTTTTTGCTTCCCGCAAATATGTCTTTGTTAAATATCATGTCGATCGAGCCGGCATTGGCCAACCAATGATGATGCTACAGATGTAGACGTTGGAATTTACATAAGGGTTGAAGAAAATAAAGATAGACATAATGTTGTTGGCCCACATGCTCGTATAGTATGTAAGTAAAATGTGTAGAAGCAGGGAGAATGGCATCAGAAGTCCCTTGAGAACACGAGATTATATAAGAGCATTCTTGTCTAAGCAGGAAGTTCATCCTGCTTCTGTATAATCAAATTCATATCATGAAGCAGCTGAAAGTATTCAACCGGTTCCAGACTGCCCTATACAACCGGGGGACTAGTCAAGGAAACAATAATCAGAATGACACCCACAAACACCCCTCAGTCGACTCTCTTTTTCTTTTGTGGTATATAATCCTGTAACCGTGATTAGTATATAAGACATTGTCTAATTGACAGCTCTGTATATATGCAGAAACGCGACGCGTCTCATCGAGCAGAAAACCAATAAAATTTCGCATTGACTTTGCATGATCTTCATGATGAGCTAAATATGCTGGAAGAATGGAGAACACAGAGGAAATCAAAAGAAGGGGAGAAAAAAATTAAAAAAAAAAAAAAAAAAAAAAAAAAACCATAGAAACGTAATTAAAATACAAGGATTAAAAATCGTGAAAGGATAAAGGTAGTAAGTAGACAAAGGAAGCATAAAATCTCCGAAGAAGGTCATCATGATGGAAGACTAACAGAACGCTTCGATCAGCATGTAGGGGAATATGACAACACAGGCAGTCCAGAACACCATCATGCATTGATATAGCACTAGAGGAAGTTTATAAAGAGGCGCCTCTTGGATGAGGACCCAGAGGGAGAGGAATGCGACGGTGAAAAAGTGGTTGAAAAGCACGATGGGCTTTTTGATTATACCTCCTAGAAGACTCACGGGCTCGGCGGCCTTTCCTAGCTGGAAATAGCGGAAACAGCCTCGTTGGAGGGCTTTTAGGTGTTTGTCTGTAAAAAGTGAGTAAAAACTGTCAGAGACGACTTGAAGCGTAAAGGTTGAAGGGAGTTGAAGGGAGTTGAGCGGAAGAGGAACCAACCATCAGCGGCAAAGAGTGTATAAAGAGCCTGGGCTAGAATATTGATGACCGAGGACGCCTTCTTCCGTTGCCAGTGGAAAGAGGACAGCTGACGCAGGACTTTGTGTGTATCTTCAAAACTGGGGACCTTCTCAGGACTGAGCAGATCGCGTAGGACTACCACATCGTTGAAAGCAACGGTCATGCCCCCACCAGTCAACGGATGGCGCATATTTAAAGCATCGCCCAATATAACCAAGCCCGGGGTCTTGTTCGGCGCAGATGGCAGGTAGGAATTTGGCATCGACCTCAACTGACCATTTTCTAGCGCTTTAAGAAAGGCAGGCCGAACGGATTCAGGTAGACAGGGTAGGGTAACGTTGCGAAGGTGGTTCTTAACTCCACCGTTCTTCACCGAGGCGGATGGAAGGTTCTCCGGGATATCCACCAGAATTCGAGTTTCGTGTGTCCCAATCTGATACAGGAGAATGGGCGTACCGTCGGTCAAGATAACATGTCCGTAGCGAGGTACGGGGAGTTCCGTGTCAATCAGTTCCAGGCCCCAGAACCTGGAGCGAAATTTAGGGGTATGTTTGTGGTATTGTTTCCGAAACTTGGAGGCGTAGCCATCAGCCACAACTGTGAGGTGGCCGAAGTAACAATCTTTGGTGTCTTTGGCCATGCACTCCACACCAAGAACCTGCTTGGTATGCGAGCAAGTGACCAGATCCGTCGCCTTGGTCTCCACAACCGTGACATTGGGACACGCTAAAGCGGCTTCGCGCAGATTTTTCACGAATCGTCCATGGTGAAAGCAACGGCCCTCCGGCGCCCGCGATGATGGTGATGGTTTGGGGTAAGGGATAACCACTGGCTCCCCGAGATAGGACACGTAATAACCTTCCGCTGGAATGGCATCAATGCCTTCGAGACAGTCACGGAGTCCGAGTTCTTCCAGGGCCTGGACACCGCCCGGTTGTAGCAATTCACCCACGATGCGATCGGGCTCCTTCATTGAGCTCTCCAACAGCAGTACACTACGTCCCTGTCTACCCAGTGTAACAGCGAGGACGCACCCTAGGATTCCAGCGCCCACGATCACAACGTCAGCATGATGGTGAAGTCGTCTGCGCTGTTCGGCCGCATCGGAATGTTTTGTGGCATGGCCGTTAGCATGGCCTTGCAAAAGGGCGGTAGTGGTGGTGGTGGTGGCCATTGGGCGGGGAGCACAGAACGAGGGAGGTCAGCAGGATTGGGAGGATCGTCGAGAACCGTATAGCATATTCCGTCTCCAGAGTACGAGAATCGCAGGAGAATTAGAGCAATATTGGCTGGTGCAAGAATAGGAAGGATAGGGGGAGGAGAAAAAGTGTGTGTGAGGTTGACTGACAGTGGCGTGGCGTGACATGTGAAAGTTTTCCGCCTCCGCTCTGGCGCTAGCTTGGAGAACGTACGATCGTCTGGGATGGAACCATTCCTCCCCGGTAACTGATTGGAAGAAATCGGAGCAAGAAGGATGCGGTGCCTAAGAGGTAGGTTGTTTGCTCTCTTTCTTTCATTGGGCGATTCTGCAAGTTTCTTTTCTGCTGGGTGACACCATAAATGAATGTTACGTTGCCATCCTAGATATTGCGATGATGCTCTATATACACACTACAATGCAAAATTTAATGGTACATGCCAAAAACACGAGGGAAAGAAACAAAAAAAAAAAAAAAAAAAAAAAAAAGAAAGGAAAGAAAGAAGGAAAAAGGAAAAGAAAAAGAAGAATATCCCGTCTCCTTTCTCATTCCTCCACTCCTTGGTTCTGACCTAGACATTGCGCTTCTTTCCATCGAGCTGCCACGGACTTTGGGTTAGTGTCAATTCGACCCAACACGGCTTCCAATTCATATTCCTCATCCCATGCCTCGATCACTTGGCGGATGTCAGTGTTGTTGTATAGACGTCGTTCATCTAAAGGCCGTTTCAACCGCCGACGGGACGCCCGTTTGACAGCCGGATTGGATTTTAGTTCCCATATTTGGGGTTCCCCTTCGCATTTTTTCGCCAACAAATCAGCCATGTGGCCGAGGTATTCCAGCGTTTTTGATGCCTCCCTTGCTGAAAGGGAGTTGGAATGCAGTTTGCGCTCCAGGATTCCGATGATCCGGCGAACCTCGACCACGAAATCGCGGTTGACAGCGGCTCCCCGAGCAAGACCGGTTAGAATGCACCACCGAATTCCGGGGATGTTATCCAATGCGGCAAAAGCTCGCACAAACATTTTCATGCAGACTCCATCAAAGGCTGTCGAGCGCCGGTAGCGGGACATATACACTGCTGCCATGAGATCTAGCGCCCATTCGGGCTTGCATGAGGCGATCAGTCGCCTACTAGTAGCTATCGTTATATGATGCTTCACGATCATATTCTTATTCGTCCAGCAAAGCTGATAGAATCGAAGCACGGCCATTTTGATGATTTCACCCTCAGCAGAAGGGTCCACTTCCATGATCTGACGGAAGAAGATAGGGAAGAACCGGACTAGGTGTCGGATATTTCGCCATTCAGCTTCGATTAGTGCTCGAGCTGCATTAAGACCATGCTCAAGGAGTGTTGCAACTACAGCCAACTCAACATGAAGTTGTTTCACCTGGAATTTTGCGTTCTTTGCGTTCTGGAAGCATTTCAAGGCCTCGGTCATTTTCCCGACGTGCATGTAATGTGCCATCTGCTTGTGTAGCTTCTGATATTGGTCGACGGGCCTGGACGGTGTCATTTCTTGCAGGGTCCGCTGATACCACGGCAACGGATGCTGAGTGAAAGGCATAGTATTGACTTCGGGTATTGGGAACGAATGTTGATCATAACCGAGGATCTGTTGTGAAGTAGACGCCTGTCCATATTTCACCCTAGCCGCTTGCAACATTTGCCAGAAACCTACTGGGGCACCCTCAAGTGCCAGGCGGCGGGATCGTAATATCTCCAGAAATTCTTGTTCGTTGATGGGAATCTTCCAAGAACGCTCGTGCGCCATTCCAGTAAATTCGTCGATCATAGCCTTGTTACCCTTCTCCACGAAGGCTTCCAGGATATGCTTGTACAGAACCCGATCGGGTACAATGTTAAATTTATCAATATAGCGAATGACAAAGTCACGAATTTGGTGACCTTGATGAGACACCCAGTACTCGAGGAATATGCGGTCGAAGATGGGCATAAAATCACGCCGACGCGACGTTAGTTTGAGTTCATGCATCTCTTGGAGACCCGCTTCGACTCCGTCCCAGTTGCACGCTAGGGCCTTACCGTAAACCAGGAGACCCTTCGTACGACAGCGAAGTGGGAGTTGATAAGTAGTCATCATACTCTTCACCAAGGCCTCGGCATCCGCTAACCTGCCGAATTCAACATAGGCCTTGACAACCGGATTAAAAAGCTTGTCGCTAGGATCCTTCCCCAGACGTGGCAGTATGGTCAATATCTTCTTCAATTGTCCGTTTAGAAGCTCGATGCTCCTCGTTTTCCTCCAAAGACCCGTAAGATAGGCACCACACAAACCACAATCTCGATCCGCCTGGAGATTCCTGAATAGAAACCATTTCGCTGTGGTGAGTCGATGTGACTCAAGCAGACAGCGGAGCACAATATCCACCAATTCCGGAGAGACCTGGAATTTGTGCATATAGTGAGTGTAGATAGTCGCAACTGATTCAACGCAACCCTTTTTTGCCAAGGCAAACATCAAAATCTTCCACATACCCGGGGAGATCTTATCTACCTCTTCCAGGCGTTCAAAGATGCTCCGTGCGACAAACACATTTTCTTCCTTGCAGTTGATATAGAAAGTCTGCACAGCGAGCTCCCTCCTATCCGAAGAGATACCATTCAAGGATGAAGAATGTGCATCTAGAAAGATTTGCGCTGCATCAATAGGCCGACCACGGTCAAGGAGTTCCTGCATTTGTTCTGGAATGGACCGCCGTTCAGGTGCTTCCGTAGTCTCCCACATATCTACGTCTCCGTCTGCATTGACCCTTTTAGTAACAAACCCGGATTGGCTAATGGCACCCGGGGTTCGCAAGTGTTTGCGGGTGCGGAAATCGGTGCTCTGTCTTGGAGTGCTTCTAAGGTTATGTGTGCCCACTAAATTTGAATGAGCAGCATCCAGGAAAGCCTCCGCTCGGGTTTGTTCCTCCACATTCTCTACCCTGCCGGTCGCTGACATCTCATCACTGAGAGTTCCCGATCCACGCTCAACATGCGGAGGCTGCGCATAATGCAGCTTCCGATCCTCCTCCTTAAAAGTATCCATACCGTTAAACTCGCCTGCCTCAGCGGCCTCCATCATACGAGCCAGTCTTTTCGCCGCAGAAGTCGCATCGTAATTGGGGGCGGAGGTTTGGAGGGCGCGTTTATTCTCGACTATGCGTTCGGCGACACGAACTCTGCGATGAACATCATAAGTGATAGCTGCGACAGTGCAAAAACTGCCAACAGTCGAACCGGCAAGGGCCAGCCGGCGGAGGACACGCAAGGCATTTCTCGAGGGAACGGCCGGGGTGCCGTTCGTTGCTGATTTAGGTATCATGACAGTGAAACCTCTGCACCGCCGCAAGCGGGCGAATAGACATTCACCTATGAAGCATTAGGGCAATCTGAAAAAGCAAAAGACCCAGTTGTCTTCAGAAACACATTTCTGGATGGTCCATGGGAACAATTGGAAGGTCACGTTAAGGTAGAAGAGGTTAAGCTTTTTTTTTTTTTTTCCCAAAGGGAAGGTTTGCAGTCGGCATGGCTGGTATTTGTCGCGCACCGTACAAATCCGATCTTTTCCCGGGTGAACCCACCGCTCGGGCCATGTCGGGTCAGGCACCACCCGGAAGTCAATTAATTATGCATCAACAGCAAAGAAGCATCCAGCATGCCAACTGTACTGAAATTATCACTTCCTATATTACCATCCCAATAATAATAATAATAATAATAATAATAATTTCCGTATATGCGCTCCCGATCAATCTCCATTCAATAAAGAGGAACAGAACAAAGCTATGGACGTAAGAGAGAATCATTTACTTCCTCGCCGTCTTCATTAGCCTCTTCATGAGAGTTTTCTAGGCAATCTACCTCGAGGTAAACTATGGAATATAAATTAACAAATCACATAGGAGAGAACGATGCCATACATACCATTTGGTCTCAGACAAAGGCTGCTGCAAAATGCAACACCGAAGACAGCTGCCAGGCAGACAAATACCATCTGGGTGTACTTACCCACAGTAAGACTGTATATAAAATTGCAAACCGTAGGCGCTATGACTCGAGACATGGCATGTAGGAGGCCTTTGGCACCCAGTATCTGCCCTATTCGATCACGAGGGACATGTTTGGTAATGGATGATTGCAACATCGGCATCCCCATCCCTCCTAGTGATGCAACAATCCCCGAAAGAGTCAATACTGAACCACTCTTGGCCAATGCGAACCCCCCATATCCAAGCATGTCAATCATGAGGGAGGCTCGTATGAGGGTGATTTCAAGCATGCTGGAGCCCAAAATAGCATCACCCTGTCTTTGTTTCTCCGGGAAGATCCAAGTCACAATGGGGAGCGCAACGAAAAGATTGACCACGCGAACAGCACTGATAATAAAGATAAAGATGCTTGATTCAACATTCCCCCAGCCGAACATGTATCCTGCATAGATAATGAGAATCTGGGACATCGCCATAGCCGTACCAAACCCGACCGTGTCAATGGAGGCAAGGAGAATAATATTTCGTCGTAAGGCCGGGCTGGCACCTCGCCGGTTGGGAAATAGCTTGCTTGGGTGTCCAACGACTGGGAATAGTATCGAGAGAGGCGTAAAAATATTTTTGGGATTCCACCGTTTGAATGACAGCCAGCTATCTTCTTTCTGGGAGAGATTCTCCCAGCACAGTACTCGTGCAGCCCGTTGTCGCTCCTTGGAAAGTGACTCTGGAAGGACGAGCAAGACAGCCAGGAAAAAGAGCACATTTAGCGCTAACATACAGTAGAAAACAAACATTATATCCCCCTTCAATTTCAAGAGAAGAGCCACAAGGAGTGGTCCGCCCGAGGTACCAATGAAAAAGCAGCCATGTAAGAACCCAAATGCTACACTGCGCTTCTCTGGGGAAGTACAATCAGAAGCATAGGAGGCTGTCAGCGCCATTGTACTCGTGAAAGCTCCCGCAAGTCCGTCCAACAAAGCATAAAGAAAGAGTGCATTTGAAGGCATATAAGCTGAATTGGCCGCGACAATCACGACAACTAATTCCGAGAGCATTATTCCTAGCGCGTTCACAGCCAGGATACGCGTCCTGCCATAAATATCTGACAAGTGTCCCAGCCGAGGACTGACCAGTGCTGACAGGATTCCGCCAGTTAAATTGAGATAGAGTTGTAATCGAGCAACTCGAGACTGGACTTCTGGTATCTGGCACTGCGAATTGTCGCTCCCAAAGACGACCGGGAAATACGTAAACGTAGGATCATGAGCCGCTTTATTAGCCAAATATTCTCTGCAGACGAGGGAAACTGTTAAGTTAATTCTAGGGACTATAAGCCCACCGAAAGAAAGCATGAACAAGAGAAGAAAAGGAAATAGCCATATAATCTGACAATGTTTAGATAACATTACTTTGTAAATCAAATGGTCACTCACGTTTGGTTTTCTCCATTTCCTCGAAAAGCTGGATGCACGGCCCGAGGAAATCCGGCTATCACGGTTTAGGCCTTCATGTGATTGTGCGAATAGGGGTGTCTGTTCGTGGACATGCTGTTGTATCATGCTTCTGTGTCTCCCTGCTGGAACGGGCTGAGGAACAGGCTGAGGAACATGAGGGATCGATCTGACTCCTAACTGCGCATCGGCATCCTCATCTACCGTAAAAGGTTCCTGATTATCCATTATCGGCATAGCAAGGGCAGGTAGGGCTAAGTGCATGGCAGTCCTCAATTAAACGGTGAGCTTGGAGCTACATTCGCGGGCCTTGAAGCGATGGCACGCGGCAGAATGTAGTGCCGGGGTAAGGGTGCAGCATAGAAGCAAGGGGATTGGTTTCCTTTCACTATTTAATCCTATTAGACAGCTAATTTGCACAGGTGGAATTCCTGTCAGATAACCAATACACACTGTGATTGATAAGATGCATAGACAGTTGTTCTTCAGTAATGCAATGATGACATTGCGTCAGTTGTTGTAATTGTGAATATTAGGGACACTAGCCTGGCGCAACGGAGTAGGATATCTCAAGAGTCCGTCCTATCTATTATTGATTACTGATAGTTAACTAAATTAACTACTAATTAACTAACTAAAGGCACTAGCAATTATGTAATTTATCCAAATATCAATCAATAAAAAATTAAAAAAAAATACCTCGGCGATATATTGAAAACTTAATGCTCCTATATACACGTCATGATATGTAATACTATATGATCATGCTCTTAAATTCAACATACGTCCTTAGCCTGGCCTTAAATGACACAACATTAGCATGCGAACGCCCATATCAAATCCTGAGCTCTTATATATATACATAAACCAAAGCCCTCGTTGAACAATAGAAAATATGAGTCTTCTAAGCAACAAGGCGGGCAGCCTTTTCACCAGCAAAGAATTTTTTCTGCTCTAAGCACCTTTCGCTCTTGCAACCCTGACAGCGCAGCGTCATTTGTAATGAGCACCTTTCACCTTTTTGCAAGTGCTGTTGAGCAATATCTGCAAGAGCCTCAATAAAAACAGGGTTTCCGTTTAGACTCTCTGCTCGCTTGACACCGGGATGATTCGCCTCCTCCATAACTTCGAGGTCTAACTCGTACAGCGTCTCAATATGATCACTGGTGAAGGCAATAGGCACAAGAATGATATCGGTTTGACCACGCTTTACATATTCCTGGACTGTATCGCTCGTCTGGGCTCCAAGCCACGCCTTGGGTCCCACCTGAGACTGCCAGCAGAGTCGGTAGGGGTTGCTAAAATTAAGTCTTTGCATTACCGCATGCACAGTCGCAGCCACTTCGGCTGGGTACGGATCACCTGCTATTCATTAGGAATTAAAATCTCAGGCCGGTGTGCTGTTTCCACCTTACCTCTGTTCACAACACTCATGGGCAAGCTATGGGCAGAAAATAGCAGAACCACGCCGCTCCGTTTATCTTCCGGGTAAGTTTTGAGTTGATCTTCGATGTTCCTTGCGAAAGCTTCCACTAGCCCGGGGTGAGTAGGCCACCGATCGATCACACTCCACTGGATAGATCCGGGATCCGCGTTACCGTTTGCCCTACCACCCTCGAGGCGGTTTCGCCATTTCCACAACTCGTTAAGAGAACTTCCTGTTGTAGAGCAGGAATACTGGGGATATTGCGTGAAGGCGACCGCACGGCCTCCCTTCCCATTCCCAAATCCATCTTTCAGCAACCTCGAGTACATTTCTTCTGTCAATGGCGCTGCATAACGAAATGCCACGTAAGGCTTGTGCGGCGCAGTCTCGGGATTCAACTTGTCGAGGAGCTTGCACATTTCCTCGCATTGATACTCTGACCATTTTCTAATAGGTGAGCCGCCTCCGATCTCTGAATACTGCTTGATGATCTTCGGGGTCCTTCTCCGGGCGATGAGGGGGGCAAGGTATGATTGAAGTCGTCCTAGAGGGATCAGATCGGCGTCCGCCTTCAAGAGGTTGTGTTAGATGTAGGTAATAAAAGGGAATTTGAAAGATCACATGCGACGAAGGCGTACAAATAACCTGCTCAGAAAATCCTCCACTTCACTCGTAATTGATGGTCCTCCCATGTTCAGGAAAACCATCGCGGTTGGACCCTTAGAGCCTGTCATACCTTGAGTAACGGGCGGAACTGCTGTTGCGAGACCAGCTCTGAGATCTGCATAGCGAACCACCGGTCGCAATAACCGCTGGGGAAGAGTAAAGGGTCGGCGGAGAGCCATGTTAAGAATCAATCCGACTTGGGTTCCTTCAAACCCTGGGTAATTGGCAATTGTAATAGACCTGGAGGGAGGAAGTGGGCTGATTAAAAGGGCGGCTGCGATAATTGCAGGGAAGCTGGAATGTCCAGATTTGGATTGATGTTGCCGAGGGCCAATCAGGAATGACTGAGCGTCATCAAGACTTGGCTGGATCACATGATGTTCGTGTTCCCCGCGCGTTAGCATGAATGGAGCCTCGCGTCATTCGCAGTGAATAGTAGGCAGCACCCCGATAGCAGGCACCAAGCCCGACTTTCGACCTGGATGCTTTCACATCGCCCGCTTATTAGCACCTTCTCATGACACAACTTATATCTTTCCTCTCTTTTGTAACAAACCCGTAATGGCTGACGATAATCCATCTCGGGAAGATGAACAAGCGGAGGAGGAAGAGGAGATCGACGAGCGTGTATGTTGTTAAAGCCCGATTTATTGACGACATGCTCTTATAAATAGATTAGGGCTACAAGACAGTGAAGGATGCCGTGCTCTTTGCGATCGAGGTCAGCGAGTCGATGCTCAAAGTCCGTCCATCATCAGATCCGAAGAAAACCCAAGAGGAGTCCCCTACCACCGCTGCTCTAAAATGCGCCTATCATCTTATGCAGCAACGGATTATATCCAACCCTCATGACATGATGGGAGTTTTACTCTACGGGACGCAGGCGTCCAGATTTTACGACGAAGATGAAAATAGTCGGGGTGACCTCTCTTATCCACATTGCTACCTCTTCACGGACATGGATATTCCTTCTGCGCGGGAAGTCAAGGAGCTTCGGGCGCTGGCAGGGGACGAAGGGAAAGCTAGGGAGATACTGGCTCCAGCGGATGAACGAGTTTCCATGGCCAACGTACTCTTTTGCGCGAACCAAATTTTTACGTCGAAAGCGCCCAACTTCTTGTCTAGGCGGCTGTTTATCGTGACCGACAACGACAATCCCCATGGTGCAAGCAAAAGTCTCCGCTCCGCTGCAACTGTGCGAGCTAAAGACCTCTACGATCTCGGGGTTACTATTGAGCTGTTCCCAATTTCTCAGCCGGGCCGTGCCTTTGATAGCTCCAATTTCTATGACGTAAGCCCACACTTTTCACGTATTCGGACATAAATTGACTTGCCATTCAATCCAGGATATTATTTATAAGTCCTCACCACAGGACCCAGAGGCTCCTGCGTACCTGCAGACTGACTCCAAGCCCACGACAGGTAGCAGTGATGGGATAACTTTGCTCAATACCCTTCTGTCTAGCATTAATTCGAGATCGGTTCCACGCCGGGCCCATTTCTCGAACATGCCCTTGGAAATAGGACCCAACTTTAAGATTTCAGTAACAGGATATCTTTTGTTCCGGCGTCAAGAGCCTGCCAGGAACTCCTTCGTCTGGTTGGGAGGTGAAAAACCCCAGATTGTGAAAGGGGTCACAACTCAAATCGCAGAGGATACGGCCCGTACAATCGAAAAGTGGGAAACAAAGAAAGCATACAAGTTTGGTGGCGATCAAGTGTCTTTCTCTCCTGAGGAGCAGAAGGGCCTGAAAGACTTTGGTGAACCTGTGATTCGGATTATTGGTTTTAAATCCCTTTCTACGCTTCCATTTTGGGCTAATGTTAAGCATCCATACTTTATATACCCTTCTGAAGAGGATTTTGTGGGATCAACGCGGGTATTCTCGGCTCTACACCAAAGTCTCCTGCGAAATAAAAGGCTGGCACTTGTTTGGTTTATCCCTCGCAAAAATGCAGGGCCGGTTTTAGGTGCTATGATAGCAGGGGAGGAGAAACTCGATGAAAATGGAGTGCAAAAATTTCCTCCGGGGATGTGGATCATTACCCTCCCTTTTGCCGATGATGTTCGACAAAATCCTGAATACACTCTTAACGTGGCACCTGAGCCGCTGATTGACCGAATGCGAATGGTTGTCCAGCAACTTCAGCTCCCGAAGGCGTCCTATGATCCCCTTAAATATCCCAATCCATGTAGGCACTCTATCTGTCATTGGAGCACGGATCAGGATTTGCTTATTTGTTGTACAGCGCTTCAATGGCATTATGGCATTCTCCAAGCCCTTGCATTAGATGAAGATCTCCCGGAAAAACCGGAAGATAAGACAATACCAAAGTACCGCCAGATCGACAAAGTAAGATGCGTTCCAGAATAACCAGTCTATTTTTGTTAACATTGTTTCAGCGTGCCGGTGAATACGTGTTGTCCTGGGCCGATGAGCTCGAGAAGCAGTATGCAGAATCAGCTCCAACTGGTCCCAAGAGTACGCTAGTCAAGCGAGGCGTCAAAGATCGAGCCGCGGAAACCGGAGATGGAGATCGGCATGCCTCAAAGAAGATCAAAGTCGAGGGCGGTCCCTATAATGTTGAGGACGAAGTACGATTACATTATCAAAAAGGGACTCTATCAAAGGTAATGCTCATGTATCATGCATTCTTACTGGATCAACCGACTAACATGGGACCGTGTGCAGCTTACGGTGCCTGTTCTCAAGGAATTTCTCATATCTCATGGACGCTCGGCTGCCAGTAAGAAGGCAGATCTTATGGAAAGAGTGGAGGAGTACTTGGAAAGAAAGTAATGGGTAATTGAAAACAAAGCTCCCAGCCACCATGAATATAACGAGGCAGACGAGTTAGCCCATCTAGTAATGAAAGCCGTATGATATCTGGAGCTCTATCTATTCTATAACTTTGATGATCATCCGGTCTGTGCATTGCAATATCCGGCGTAGAAATCCTCACTGTACTAGAAGACAGATGCTCATGCTTCTTTTGATCTGCATATTCTGGGATGCTCTCATGACTCCCTTACCCCGTATTCCCTGTCCCTAGTTTCACAGATGGATCCATTTCTTTGAACAGCGGCACAGCGAATTCCCCACTCAATTCAAATATCTCCTCTTGCAGAGGTCCAGGCGGACTCGTAGCCACCCGACCATCAAGTTCATTAATTTCATTTCCATATTTCTTCATGACTAGTGGTCCAGACGCAGTTGGCTTCAGCTGTAATGGCTCCTGTGTATTCTCCACATCGCGCTTGTGTCTGTGCTTGTATCGTAGTATGAAGGGTCGTAGTATGAAACAGATAATCAAGAGAATCGCAAATACACCAATTCCTATTCCCGCTTTTGCTCCGGAGATACCTGAAGGGTCCGGTTCTGGGTGTGAAGAAGGGGTTGTACTGGTTTCTGCTGATACTGTGGTGCTAGATATTGTGGATAAGGTAGCATCCAGTGTGGAGGTGCTAGAACTAGAACTTGCGCTGGTGGTAGGTTTTTGAGTGGACGTTTTCCTCGGCGGTGGTAGGAGTATACCAGTGATAGTGGGGTGATGGCCGTGTGGGTGATCTTTGGTCGTTATCCTAGTTGGTGGGATGATGAGGTTTCTTCGCTGTAGTTCAGTATCTGGGAAACCATCTGCTTCGTCCGCGTCGATTTGCTTGCAGGGTGCTGTTATACTTAGAAGGGACCTCGGGGTGATAGGTAATTAAGAGCTCACTTTTCTCATTAACCAGATGGAGACATAGTTGAATACGGGAGTCTGGTTCAGCTCGCTCAGTTTCAGCACTGGTATGGGCAAAGTAGATGTGTTCCAAGCCAAAAAAATCTAGCTGGTGATATAGATACGTTAGCATGCTGATGTTTGTTTATTGGGTATTGCACTTACATGGGATACCACATGCTCAGTCTGGTTGTACTTTGATCCAAAGAAATCTTTGCCATGATGACGCAGAGTTGATATGAATCTTGTCACAAATAATAGTGAATCACATATGATGCTGAAAAGGCAGGAGACATAGCTAGTATTGTTCAGATAGATATTCATAGTGCCTGTCTTTCTTTAGGTTCTTAGACCATAGGGGATGGAAGATAAAAACGAAAGATCATCCAGCCCTGATGGTGCGTTAACTTGCCATCGCTGTTTGCAGAGTCATTCACTCCAGCAAATACTGCCTTGATCTATGCCAATTCACATCTGATTGGTTCAACTTTTGAGGGACGTTCCACTTCTCAGTCTCAACAAACCTGAATGCTCAGTCATCAGAAAATAAACGGGGTAAACAGCAGTCTACCCACCAGTATGAATAGAGACAAGAAGATAAATCTCGAGAGATGTATGAGAACCAAAGCAGCGTGACCGTAAATATGTGTAGTCATGATACCGTTAGTTGATACTGAGGAACGTAAGTATACAAGCATATTGCACTTTGTCTACAGGTAAAGAGCTGTGGTGACTGTAAGCAAAACATTAAGGCTACTAAACAGAAGTCTTAGGACTAACAATGCCCTCGAGAGAGAGGGAGTATACTATACAAGTCTACCTTACTCATCGTCCTCATCCTCTCCATCTTCCTCATCCTCTCCATATTCCTCGCTGCCCTCATGCTCATCATGCTTCTTATGGTCCTCACCGTCTTCACTCTGCTTGCCCTCCTCACCCTCACTCTTACCGTCCTCATGGTCCTCACCGTGCTCACCATCCAACCCGGGGCAGTGCTCACTGGTGATCTCAGTGATGTTGGAATATGGCGAAGGGTCGGTCCAGATCAGATCAAAACTACAAACACAATCAGCATTGGTATGAGGGAAGAAGGTTGAAGAATGGAACTCACCTTTCACTGGGGTACTCCGGCGCATCGCCGTCGCCAAGCTCCGCCACAATATCTGTTAATTTCTTATGTTCCCAGCAGATCAGGATGTTGCCCTTTCCGTCATACTTATGGACGGCATCTTTGACACATCCAGCGTCATCTCGATCACAGGAAGTATCCACAGTGAGACCTAGATCTTCGGCGAGAGGATGGACTGTATCGTAGGGACGGGCCCGTTTGCCATCTGTTACTCATAGTCCGCGTTAGTGAGTCATTTTTGATATTTTCGCGCCTAGACTAGGCTAGAATAGCATTGGAGGCGAGACAATATATACTTTTCTTGGGCTTCTGAGCCATGATGTATCCAATCTGGTATGGGGAATCCCCGCCAAAGACCTTCCTCAGGCATTGCGCCCGCTTGAGGCCTTGAGCATTGAGACCAGTACCACCGTCATCGGGCTTCTCGCCATGGCGGATCAAATACACCGTTGGAGAGGCGGCGGAGAGACCGACACTGGCCAGGAGGCCTAAGGATAATAGCCATTTGGAATACATGACTGGATCGAATGGGGGATGACAGTAACAATAGCAACACGAAGATAAAATAAAGAAAGCCAAATTCTAAGTCAACTGTCTTGTTTATATGCACTGGAGGGAAAGAAAGCCCCCACGAGTACGGGGTGGTGCAACATTGGTCTGCGCCTACCCTCGCCGTGTCCCGGTGCCTGTGGCTCTACTTGGCGATGATCGGTGAGGAACTGCTTGAGTTTGGTCCTGATAGGAGGAAAAGGTCGCATCCATCACCTCTAGCCAGGCACCATGGTCAAAATGGCCAATCCTTGCGGATCACCTTGCAACGTTCATCGGAGGAAACTCTTGATTCGTGCCCCGGCTCTCCATCCCTCTCGGGCCGCGACTATCTTCCGTGTTCCACTTTCTAGAATGTGGACTGACAATCAGCGGGATACTGGCGTAAATGAGTGGAAACAGTATATTTTAATAATCCTATTTTTGCCGAAACACCTACCGACAAATGACGAGCAATAAGACATTGAACCAAAAGATTAGACCGCTATAGTTGTTCAGAGTTGGCGGACTCAGCAGTATTCGAGGGCAAATGGCGTGTTTCTAAATTCATATCAATGTTTCGGAAATTTTACTAGCTAACTAGGGCCGTGGTATGTAAATTTCTCCACAATTTAGATAGCTCTAATTATTTTAGATGTGCATCGGCTATTAAGAGCGGTACTGAATTCAGTGCCGCCATTGGAGGGATTGCAGAGAGATCGTTTTAGTATAGCATTCATTAGCACGTTCACTGACAATATAAATGAAACTATCGGCTTGATATTATGTACCGTGCTATTATTCTGAGGGGTCTTTTATGAAATACATTGAAGTCTTAAAGCAGAGTCATCAACCCAGTTAATGGACTTGTATCTGCAGGTGATGGGATGCATCCAGAAATTCAAAGCTATAATGATAGAAGTATCTACATACAGTAAATGCGTAAAATCATGAATGTTCGAGACATTATATATAGACAATTATCTCTGACCGCTCCAACCACCTGGTTTTCATTGTACTGCTCTAGTATTATGCCATAACCATTGAGAGTAGTATTGATTCCAGAAATTTGCTGCATATGGTACCTATCCAAACCTACTACGTAGAGCAATCTAGACAGCTACATCCACATTCATGTATAATTAGAGTAGGCCCTGTGTAAGGCGTACGGTATCCACAAATCCCCCATTTCAAAACCCTTTCTCCCCTCCAAAAAAGAGTTCGGGTTATCCCATATGCTTATTTGATACGACTATCAAATTCCAACTCCTGTTTAGCCCAATCTCCACAAATTAGCCCCCTTCTGTTTCATTATTATTCCGACCTAAATACAGAGTAAACATCCTTCCCATCTTGAGCTAATCACATCGACCACTGGGCTGTCAATGTAGGGACGGCTGTTTCAACGGCTACATTACTAACTGACATTGCCCCATGGCACAGAATGGTCCTGGGGGTGCTGAACGATAGGAACCATGGCCAGAAAGAAATCAGCCCCAAATCCCCATACTTTAGCCTTTGGGTGCTGCCTAAGACGACCCAACACCATTCCGCCTCGACTAGCCCACCCAATTCGGCTGCAGGTTGTGCGCCACGTGCACCCCACGATGTTGGCTAGCCATTAAAAATTTACCCCTGAACATACCAAAGGGAAATAAATGCTAGAATTCATAGGGCATTCTTCCATGACTACGTTTTTGGGAATCAAACTGATGCATGTCATAAGTCGATGAAGAATAAGCTGTTTCTGAAGGTGCCAAGCTTTCCTGGAACACCCCTTTGGGGATCATGACGGACATTTTTAGCTTGATTTCGAGCTTAACAATGGTTAACGCGCGGCCAGGGACGTAGCTGGTGGGGGTTTACAGCCCATATCCAATGAAACTGGCATCTCTTTCAGGGTCTGCCTAGACGTACAAGGACAGCCATGCTTACCGTGCCTCGACAATATTGCTGTTTTTGTTTCTCTCCCAGCGCTGGGGCTACACGGTGGACCCATCTTTCCTTTACTTAATACCTACTACGTATGCGTTATGCTTCTCTCTAAGATTCCTTTCCTTTTGCGTCCTTGGCTCATGGCGGGGCTAGTCTTAATTATATTCTAACGCTCCTTTCAATTTTCGAATCTTCTTCTTTCAAGTCTTATTTTTTGCTCTTAGTCCTCTCTCCAACGATTCACGTCTCTGACCTATACGTCCGAGTCCATTGGAGTCCCTCTATGTTGGTCCGAGAGTCATACCATCTACACAATCATTATGAGATGTGGTCTTCGCACTTTTCTCTGTTTTTTCCTGGTACTTCTTGTCCCATTATGGCTCTTGGAAACCCATCTTGAAGACCTCTGCAATCAGTATCGTGCAGGCGCCTACTTGATAGATTGGCTGAATCGCCCAAATAATCATAAAGGATTGACACATAACGATGCGACATTGAGCGACAAAATAATTGTGATGGCGAGAATGGAGGAAGAACACACTGAATGGGTCGAGGAGCAGCTTCCAGAGTACGTGTTTCGTGTCTGTTCTCTTCCCTCGATCTTCCGCCCCTTCGTCGCCTTAGAATGGGCCAAGAGATCTAGAAATTAACATTACATTCTACAAGCTGGCAACGAGCAATATACATTGTAAACCCTTCGACGGCAACCGTCGCCGATAAGCATAGGCTCAAGACACCATTGAACAAGGGTCATGAATCCATGGCCTATCTGACCTATTTAATCGATTACTATGACAAGCTCCCTTCTATCATTGCATTCCTTCATTCACACCGCGGGGGCTTCTTTAAGGCGTGGCATGTTGACGCCCCTTTACACGACAATGTAGTGGCTATGCGATCTCTCCAACTCGATTTCGTCAAAAAGAACGGCTACATCAATCTCCGGTGTAACTGGAATCCCGGGTGTAAACTGGAGCATCGCATCAACCGCCATGTGACTGAAAATGTCTGGCAAGAAATATTCAGTGGAACGAGCACTCCGGCCCAGAATACCACTATGCCTTCGAATCTTGAAATCAGCTCAATATCGAATGCCATGCATAGCCAGAAATACCTTCCAAAACCGAAGCACATCGGCGCTGCATGTTGTGCACAGTTCGCTGTGTCGCGGGAGCAGGTTCTCCAGCGGCCGCGAGAGGACTATATCAAATTTCGACAGTGGGTTATGGACACGAATAGAGACGATGCCAGCAGCGGAAGAATTATGGAGTTCCTATGGCATGTCATTTTTGGCAAAGAATCTGTCTAGTAAGTATATTCTCCGTAGCATCGTTTGGCGGTAGAGGATATGGATCGCTAATTTGTGGCTGATAGCTGTCCGGACGAAGAAGTTTGCTATTGCCAAGTGTATGGGAGATGTTGATCCCACAACTTTGGGCATATATACCATCGCGATTTATGCTTTCCGCTTCAGCAATAGATTCTATTATATGTAATTTTTAGGTATCCACCTGTCTTTCAGTCATTGTTCTTAGAGTGGCAGTAATTAAAAGGATTTATTTTGACTATGGAGCATGTTTAGCTACGTATTTTTGGCCCCTAGTGTTGCTAGTATGAATACCGTTTTGTGTACAAATATCATGTACATCACTGGCTGGAATTTATTTTCTTCATAGCCTAGTTGTTGTGTCTAACTCTGGGATGGCATAGATTCTATTCTATAAAAAATGAAAGTAGGCAGAATATAAAAGAAAGAGCAACATGACCAGTTTTGCCTATAATAGACGTTTAGATTGGAAGGACAATAGCCATCTATTTTTTATATTGAACTATAGATATACTTAGCTTTAATTCACTTGGCAGTTTAACTTAGTTCTTGAGTTGAACCAACATTGTTAATAAATTAACGAATGGCCATTTCTTCCGAGTTTAACATAAGTCACAACAAAGATATACAAGCTAGAAAATAATCTCTAGCCTTGTGTCCAATTACTTAATACCTAAAATGCGCATCTCACAGTAAGTCCGCTTATTATATTGTTTCGAACTCATAGAGAAATATCGGGATTCGGGATCCGATAATCCCTAGTACATTGGCGAGCGCCCAGAGTCATCCACCTCAATTGTTCCCTTTCTTTTAGATATAAGTCCGAGGGAGAGCACATTGGCTACGCTGGTTGAGTCAGGTGATTGTTATTACTACCATGATAAATATCCTGAAGTCGGCTACTGGCGTGCAGCTGGTATAGTGTTATTCTGTTCACCATTCCTTCCCCTGAGCGAATGATCATAACACGAACCGTTGTCAGCTGGGTTTTCTCAACAGTTCTTTCCCAGAATGGGTGAAGAAGTTAGATGGAGCAGATATTGCTAACAAAATACTTCTCTCCTACTTCACTGAGCTAGCGCCTTGGCAAGCGTGTGGCGTTTTTACCCCCTGAGACTTCTCCTTTTCCTATAACTATTCAGACAAGCTCCTGCTCAGTTTACTACTTGTCTTTCTCAAATGCTATCTTTCCCTGGATCCACAACAAAAGGGAGGAAATGACCGATTCCGGAGATGTTAGTAACCACTGTCGCCCCGGACATTGCCTCGGCTGCGCCCTTTGCTGACAGCTGCGAGGTCATGATAGAGTTTACGACCTAATACGTAAAAACTGTAGAGTAATTCTCCCGAGGATGCTGATATGAACTCTAATCACGTGCCATATGACTGACCAAGTGGGACAAACTTTAGTGGCTGGCCTATACCGTTCTGGGCAAAAGAATGAACCCCACTAGTTGCTTCTTTAGGTCTAAGGTGCTGGGCTCTAATCCGTTATTTCGTGATTTCTATGGATTGCCGTTAATCCAACTATGAAGTACCATTCACTATGAAAGGGCATTTATGGTCACTCGGGAGATATGGGTAACGCTTAATCAATGGAGAGAATTAAACATCTAAAGCGCCAGCCTGCTCGCAGTCTTATAGAATGTGAAATTGTACGGTTTATGCTGACTTGCTTACTACAAGAATTACAGCAAACGAGGGCCTAATACTTTCTAGCATAAGATACCTGCACAGCGTAATGTCAGCCATGCAAGGTAAGCTACACTTCATAGTGTTAATCGACCCAAACCAACCCTACTTTGAGCAGGACTCTATGCAAGCTTTCGGCCCTTCCTATAGGGATGAGTGTCTATCTTCCAACTCTTCGTTCATAGCCTGTACTATCCTCCATCTTTATCAATGCCTCCCTCCACAGAACCCGATCATGACTCTTCCACAAGGCTCTCGATCGTGATAGAAGAGTAAATTCTACTCGAAGAGGGATTCATTAGACCCAAGCCAAGGCGACGATTCTTGTTTTCTCAAATTGGTACATTTTATGCTGTAAATGGCTTCTTGGACTTCATGATTGTTGTGCTCTCCGGGAATTATGGAAGAGGCCTCTGGATCCGTCTTTTTATGTTTGCTGTAAGTGAATTCCTCCCTTGAAGGCTTAAAGAATAGTAATTATTGACTACCAAATCTTGGCCCCTACCAACGACGTCGTGTAGTATATCCCGAAACAGCATTTCCGGGTGCGCTTTTCAACCAAACTAAGTACATGGGGTTCCCAGCAGACGAGGCAGACAAACTGTGGTCAGACCTATACAACTGTACGGTCCATTAGCCTCTACTCTCATACTATTTCATAGCAATTCTGACATCGGGAAGTTGGGATTTCCGCTACTTCAAAAAGATCAAGCCAAGAAGCTGCATGACCAGACTTTCCCCATCTTCAGCACGAAGAAATACCTCATTCATCTCGACGTGTGGCACAAGCGTCACTGTCTCAACGGTTTATGCAAAACTCTCTAACTTGAGCTCGGTAAGGAGGATTCACTAGATGGCCCGAAGTTCCCAAATGGGACAACAATCGTGAAACGGAAATATTCCGCCACTGGGGTATGTTCTTACCTAACCATATTTAACATCTTGATGTCCTTGCTAAGCCTTGCTAACAATGATTGTCATCAAATCACTGCATCGATTCCATCCGTCGAGCCCTAATGTGCCATGCTGATGTATTGACCATTCCATGCCTTATCAACGTCCCTGCTAGGAAAAGGATTTTCCTTCGGCAGGTACAACGCACACCTGTCGAAAATTTAGTAAGATTCAGGAGTTGGCGAGGAAAAGCTTTGCGGCGAATGAAGGGTGGGGCTTGAGCCGGAGGAGGATATTCAATTCCTATATGAGCTTTTCCCTGAGGATAAGTTTTTAAGTATTGGAGGGAGCACCCGTATGAGGGCAATGACTTAGATATTGTGTTATTCACTTTCCAGTACGGCTATCATGAAATCATTTCAAAACCATTAGAATCAAAATCTATGACGTTCAGTATGACCCTAGTTTTTGTTTCTTTCAAAGTATCGGACAGACCAAGAATTTCCGTTTCTTACCATATCCGCTTCTCTACAAATATAGCGGGGCGACATAAGGTCCCATAAAAGTTTAGTCCGCTCTAGAGATTATCTATATCCAAGGAGTGTATTCCAAGCCCCTACGAACGGGTTCGGCCATCGGTCTAGTTCTGTTCAAATTCATACAAATATTTTAAGCTTGTAAGTACTTATTGTCTTAATTGTTTATCTACTATTCACCTCTAACATACTAATTCATAAACATACATGTCCTTAAAAAAATGCTGCTACCAGTTTCACTTTGACACCAAAGTTCCGCTATAAGGAGACTGTCTTTAATCTTTATCAAGCCAGCAAATCTGGAAAATTGTTACGCATGAGGGATATATACACTATCTCCAAAGGTTGGAACTCCGTAGAGTTTATCGGGTTAGGCGCAGGGTAGGACTGGTCAGTTCGTAGGCAGGCAAGCACTACTCCAAAGTTATATTTTAGAGAACTGGGCTTCCTAGCTGTCGGTCTCGACAACCTGTATAACCAAGATGCAGTGCCAGCAATAACAGCCATTAAAATTTATTTCTTTTACGGATTACTTGGCTCTTCCACAATTATCTTATATTTCCCTAATACGACGCGTTCGGCTAACTGACCCCGTGAAACATTAATATCTAGGGCCCTACTCAGTATAAATTTCGCAGCTCAATATTATGATCTTCCACATTAATTCCCAGGGACTTTCAAAAAGATACCGCGCTGTAGTCATTGATCCTACTCTTAATCTAGAGCTTCCAAATTGCACCTTTCCAATTCAGCGACCAATTGGGCTCGGATCCAAACTGATTTCCGCAGATAGAGCAGATAATGGTATGAGGTGCACTTTCTGCTCCTGGGTGGGGACCGTTTTGGAGAATATCCAGCATGAATTCGTTCGAATGCACGCCTGTTGTCATTGCACTGTGGACAAGATCATCTAGGCCTGAGTATTTTCCACAGACTTGACAGATCTCTCGATCCCGGCTCATTATATTCCCTCGGAGGGTTATTTTAGATTCTGGGTTTAACAACCTTAGCTTCAATGCCATAATCCGTTGATATGGGATATTCCTACCGTCACAATTAAGTAGAGACGCAATATGAGATCGTTCTGTTGCAGTGAGCCACCATGAGTAGTCATTGCATTCAGAATTATATTCTGATAATACAGGATCGTCGTTTCGAATGGAGAACAGTTTATTAGCCATAAGTGAAGAATAACTGTGCTAAAAATTATATGCGATACTTGGAATTATTTTTTTAAAGAGCCGGGACAGATTAATCATGATAAAAATCTCAGGCAGTTTGAAGTTTTTGAGTCTCCTAAATATGGTTTTCTATGCGGGGTTCTATACTCTCCAGAAAACGGCACAGCTGAGCTCCCTGGCATTTTTCGCAGATCTTTTCTCCTCATAGCTGTGATAAACGCAATCAAATTGAACTGTTACCAATAATATCCAGCCATGGCCAAGCTCGGCTCGAGTTTATGCATTTCCCCTCTCCGCTAACGATGGGATTGCTGCAGATACGGAATACTCGGAACGCTCTTATATGCAATCAATTGTCTATTTAATATATTCTCATGGTGTCCAGCTGAAGATCCGTAGGAAGAGCACTTCCATTTCTGGATTCTATAACACCTGATCTATTAATGAGTGATTTTTGGGGACTAGTTTATTGCCAGACAAAATAATTCTCTGCGGTTGATACGGCCCAATGTTCGAGCTACATGTACTCCATGCTAATATACAAACCTAAAAGAGAACAATTTTATTTTTACATGAGTGTTTGGTGCTGGTAAGATTGCTTCATGGTCCTGAGCACCAGTGTGAAATCGAGTTTACTCATTTGCACAATTATACTTTTTATACCAACCTGATAGTCCCAAAAAATAAGAAGAAAAGAATAAACAAATATAAATTTCAACTGCTGACTTACAGGGGCGGCATCGGATGCTGCCAACTGGATATTTAATTAAGCAAGGATATAAGATCTCTACTATTGCTGATCAAGGCTATATTCTATGTTGGGTATGGCCCAGCCGTCATAAGTCTCTTGTAGAGGTTAAAAAGAATGAGAATAATCTTACTGGATTTATGGTTATTTAACTAGCACAAGAAGGCCTAACATCTCAATAAAATAACTACACAATCTATATGGACAACTACTTCTCAACCATCCCTCTATTTAATCACCTTGGGCAGCTAGGAATTGGTGCCTGTGGCACTACCAAACCAAATGCGTCTAAGAAGATATTTCAAGAGGCTCTTCATGGACTGAAGGATTTGAAAATGTATTAACCATGGAATACTCCATATGCAGCTCCTGCAGGTGTTGATTCTGATTTTAATTGTGTACTCCGCATTACTTGGCAAGATAATATTATTGTTACTGTATTATTAACTGTGCATACTGTATATAAGCCAACTCACTGAATTCTTTGCTTGCGCAAACGCTTTGCTAAGACCTCTACTAGTGCAAAAAGTGTCCGTATGATCAACCAACTAAGGATATTCGAATACCCTTAATTATTGATTGATGAATACAACTATTATATGGGAGGAGTGTATCACGCAAATAAATTACGAGCAAGTTATGAAACTCATCAAAGTTCTTTACGCTCCTGGTGGCCTATGCTCTTTTGGACGCTTGATATAGCCATTATCAATGCTTATTGCGTTGCAAAGATGGCCGGCAGACAACAAGGCTTAAAGGAGATTAATACTCATCTTGAAATTCGGAAAGGTCTCTACAGAGAGCTTTTTTAAGCAAGGGCAGAGTAATCACTTCTGAGATAAACACACAGCTCAGTTCAGCCACTAGATAAAGGTAACTATCAGGTTAAAAGGATCCTTCGTAAATGGTGCCATTTCTGTACCGTACAGATTCTGTTGTGATCATTCACTCAGGGGAAGTAATTGATAGCAGAAGAACACTCACTATACCAGATACACGTCGGTAGCCTACTAGGGATCTGGAGGATAACAATATCAACTGTATTGAGTGTGCGGCCAACGCGACCACCGACATGCTCTATCTCTTCTCTCTCAATTACTATCTAAAGGAATGGAGGCAATTCAGGGGATTGACACTGAACACTCACCAAGACGCTAGGAGTAATCGGATATCGAGTCCTGGATATTTCTCTATCAGTTTCAGAAGGCAAAATGCTGGAGGCCATACCATGCCAAACAATTCCAGACAGCTTTTTGTTGCAAGACTTGCAGGATTCCCTTACAAGGTCATCTTGGGCCAATTCTCAATCACCACGGCCTCCTCTGGGTGAGAAAGATGTAAACTAGGCATAGATAGCTTTAACGAATATGCCTATGCCTACTGAGCCTTTTGAACCCACATAGTCAATTGCAGTTCTATACCGCATTACTTTCTACTTCGCAGCGGTTGTTGTCAGTTAGAAAGACTCAAATTTATACTTCATACTTTTTCACTACTGTAATTTAGCTCTAATATTTACTTTTATAATGACTGTATAGGTGTGTGGTGTTAGGGCAGTTGTGTTATTTGCGCAGATAAAGGACGCTAAACAGATAACTAGGCGGGTGCCAACCAAGCGGATTAGAGATCTCTTACCTGCTACCTCACCATACTTGTTGCGGGTAATTCAGCAACCTCTTACCAAAACCTCACTGCGCGGGTATGGTGATGTTATGGTGAGGGTACTGTGGTGAGGTTAATTCACTCTAGGGATGTGCAACGGTGCTTACAGATTATGTCCCTATCACCGCCCCAAATAAAATCTTTAAATGCAAACGATATCTGGAGCCGGGCAGCCAGGTTTGAGCTTGTAGTCACTGAGGAATCTAATAGAAAAAGATCAGTACATCCAGGTAGAAAGAGTTGCTTGTAGGGTAACCCACCCCTATAGAAAAAAACATAGTAGTGTTGGAGTTTCTTTATTTTGTCAAGACAATTGTGTTTGCCTCTTACAGCGTCGTCTTCTTGGTGAGCTCTTGAAATATAGCTACTTTCCATACAACGCTCACGGCATTTTCTGCGGGCATATTTATCTCATCACAAGCATCTTTTGTCCATGGTCAGCAAATAATGAAGAAATAAATTACAAAAGAGAAGGCGGGACAGAATAAAAAAGGCTAATAATGGGAAAAATATTTGGTAAAATCTTAAACTCTTTTGGAATACATGGTCTTCAAAATGAGAGAAGAATACTCGCACTTATAGTTTTCGACGAAATTACAATGCAGAGTTGTTTATTAAGACCCTGCAATTATACACACTTGCTTCTGATAATTTGCTACTTAATAATTATTTAATTCCTATCAATTTTCTGCATGCATCATTTTCTACGGACAAATGAACGGGCGTGGGTATTTGAAGATGTCTCATTGGCACTGTTATCAAACTACCCGTGTAAGGGAGAGTTGAGTCGCTCAGGGAGCCATGTGACTGATTAGCGAACATACCCTGAGCGCTCACTGAATGGGGAGTGGTTATCCGGAAGGGCAAAAAGGCTAGAGACTAGAAAACCAAGTTCGTATAGGTACATATATATGCTCCTACAGATTATTCTCTGCCATGCGAACACGGATGTGTATACACATTTCTGGAGGGATGCGATATATCACTGTTGGCCGGATTTTAATATCCCACAGAAGTGCGCAATTTCCGGGCGATTCTGGAGTGGCAGAAGAAACATTCCGTTGATGAGCGTTTGACGACATGAAGAAGCCGGCTGATCAGGAGGCGCATAGAATAAGCAAGCTTAAGAAGTTAAATGACCGGAGCGGTTCGGGCATTTGGGATAATCCGAATCCATGATGGGGAGAATGCGTAGGGGAGAGGAAAATGTACCTCGTTCCTATATATATTACAGGATTGCAGACCTGCTGCCAATTATCGTTTTCATCGCATGTAGCATCTCACATAACATATCCAGGCGAGAACAGTAGAGCCCATTCATTTCTTCTGTTATGTATTAGGGGCTCTCTACATTCTCTTCACCTTCACTGCTAACTTCCTCACCCTCCGCAACAGCCTGCTCCCGTCGTCGGCGTGCACGTTCTCTTTTCTTCTCGAGTAGATGGTTCAATTTCTTTGCAGTGTTGAAGACACCCCCCGTGCCGGCCCCACATGCGGCGCAGGATGGGTTCTTCCGGTAGCGCTGCAATGCGCATGACTCGCAGAAATAATGTCCACATTTCGTGATAATCGGGTTCTGGTAAGGCTTTTTGCAAATAATGCAGGCAAATGGGATATTTTCGAGGAGCGCTTCCTCCTCGTCCTCCTCGTCCTTGAAAGAACCGTCGCCACTCCGTTGTGACACCACCTTCCCATCCAAATTTTTCCCTTTTGTATTTATCTCCCATTCGCGGTCAAGCTCCCAACCTTGTTTATAATCCTCTCGAGCGTGAAGGTATATACATCCGTCTCCGAAACCACAATAGCCGGTGAGTTTGTAGTCCTTACATACGTTGGGCATATAGTCCGTGAAGGTGACGGTTCGGATGTTGGTGGGTGCTTTAATTGGACCGAACTTTTTACCTGGGGCGTCCGGATTCTTTTGGATGAAGGATTGATAATTGGCAGCACCCTTGTAGGTTCCATCAGCCGTGGAAGGCGCAGTCAATTCTGGACGTGACCGTGTCGTTCCCAGAAGATTCTTTTCATTCAACTCCTCGTCATGCCAATTGGATTGCTTGGTCGCATCATTGGTGGATGCTAGAGGAGCTGGCGTGGCATTGATAGTTTGTTGATCCTCTGAAGCATTTTTACGGGCCACGGTAGCAGTCGACGAAGCTGTAACTGCTGCATTCTTTCGTCGTCTTTTGATTCTGCGGCCCTCATCATCGGATGAGGTGAAGTCGGAGTAGGAGTCTGAGGCAGGTGGTGGGGAGGCTGGCTTCTTGCGAAAGTTGGATTTGGCCTTGGCAGTTCGTTTCTTGAAGGAGAATTGAGGGACATCGTTGGCGAGTTGTGTCTCGTCTGCCATCATGGACAAACTTATCTATCGATTCAAAAAGTAGTGGTCTTAATAAGGCTGTGGCACTGAGAAAGGGTCCTATTTCGGCTGGAGGCTCACATGACCGATGACAAATCAATGACGATTGCCATACTTTTTACATCACATGATCTGTCAGGTGATGTCAATTGTTGAACCGAACCGAAAGAAACCAAACAAAACGTGACGGCTAGACTTGGCGGGCTCTTGTTTGGTACGCGTTTTGTGGGATATTTTTGTTGCCACTCGGGAAGACGGATGCATCGGTGGTTGACAAGTCACCTGCGGTCAATCCTGGTTTTATTGTTGTTGTTGTTTACTTGGTTGGAGGTTATTGTTTATCTGCCAGACCCGGTACATCATATAAACCTTATTTCCCAGGTAGAGAGACCTGCCTTACATCTGTCAAGATCCAGTCGATATAAGTAGTCCACCGCACTTGGTAGCATCTATGTATATCCATCCATACAGTACACATTTATTTACCTATCGTTCTCGACCTGGTGTTCCCTTAGTCCCTCCTTTCTCCCTCTCTCTTGAAACGACCAGATTATATTACGTATCAGATCAATTAGTTCGTCAGTCAATAATTAGCAGTGACGTGGGACGCTTGCCCGCACGGCCCCGACAACAGCTGCAGCAAACCACCGCTCTTCTGTGTGTGGTGCGGTGCGGTGACTCCCTGCCTCTTCTCTCCCTTCCCTTCCCTTCCCTCGCGCGACGTCCTCTTCTTCCCTCTCATCTCTTTTGTCTCCCCGCCCGAGTCGTTCTCGTCTCGTTGTCTACCTGGCAGCAATCGGAATTGTCCTTCTCTTTCTCTTCGTTCCCATCAACATTCTCTTTCCTTCTTTTTCTTTTTCTTCCCCCCTAGCCTTTCCTACCTTCTGTCTTTCCTTATTGGTGTTCCTTTCCTATTTCCCTCAATTTCTATATTAAATTGACGTCGGAGACTGTCACATCCGTCGAGCACTTAACTTGTAATTAATTGCTTCCTTTTCGCTTCTGCGTTGTTTTGCTTCCGTTTATCACCCACCCGCTGCTTGTTCCCGAGTGCTGAGCAAGAGACTCTCGACTGTGGTTGGCCGGCATCCTGTCTGACGTCCACAACGCGTTTGCGTTGTCCTAATTCTGGCTGTAGCCCGGAACGTCGCTTGACCCCACAGTGTCTCCCTAACAAAAAGTGAAGCGCAGTTGCGACTCTCTACCTTCGGCTCTGTCGTAATTTCTCCCAACTCTTATCTTCCGTTTCCTGCGAGCCGTCGAATCGGATCGCCCCAAAAGGCCATCGACCGATCGTGCGCATTAACCATCCCTATCGCATCCAGCTTGGAATTTGCAAGGATCAAAGAAGCTTGGTCGCAGGTCGGCTAATCAAACATCTACGAGCAAACTGACTCGGGCGCCTAAGCTGCCAAGCAATATTTGGCAGGTCGGACGATGACCGTGATCTGAGGAGGTATACGAGAGGCACGAGGCGACGAGTTTGTGGGATTCCATCGGCAGCTCTATCCTCATTCCTGGGGAAGAGATACTGCCCGCAAACCAATCACTCGGCGAGCGATGACCGCATCTTTGTTAGATTCAACAGGTAACGGTGGTATGAATGAAGGGCAAAAGATGTCGACAATCGAGGATCCCTTCGTTGCGAACCCCGAGGAGGGGGTTGTTTCTCGTGATTCGCATAGGTATTCATCCTTTGACACCCAGTTTTTTAGCCTAGATGCGTCTTCTCCAGCCCAGGCAAAGCGGGCCCTTCAGGCCCATCTGGCGGAGACTGAGCGCAGGCTCGAGGAGGCATCTAAATTAGGCACGGCGCTTATTGATCAGCAAAAGGAGCTTGAGGACAAGTTGAAAGAAGTTGAGCAACAGCAGGAGGAAGGCCAAATCGGACCAGATCTGCGTCGAAAGCTGGTGGACATTGAGAGAGAATACCATGAGATTGGTCGCGAAACTGCCCGAGCCTTTCTTGCTCCAAAGCGTCTTGCGGGTGACGATGGTCACCTGGGAACGCCGTCCATGGACCAGAAGGTATATTTCTTGATGCGCGCATTATCACTCGAATTCACTCCAGTGACTAACTTACTTCACTCTACAGTCGCCCCTCAGCCCTGCCCTGTTTGCTGGGCAAGCAACTAACTCGCCCAGTAAAGTGAGCGTACCGTCGCGTAAACAGCGGAATCAACCATCGAGTCGAGTTCATGATATCGAATTTGCTACGGAGATCTCCACTTCCCTCCTGGCCCAGGTTCGTCAGCTGCAGGCCCTTCTAGCTGAGCGCGAGGAAGCGCTGAAGGGTGTGAATTTGGAAAAGTCCAGACTAGAGCTTGAGGCCGAGGGATATGCGCAACGGATCCGGGCACTGGATGAGAGCGAAGAACGCTATAAGGACGAGAATTGGTCACTGGAGACTCGAACCCACGAGCTGATGGCTACGATAAAAGAAGCGTCTGATCGCGAAAGTCGGCTCAACAGTAGCCTAGGTGCTATTGCCTCGGAAAAGAACGCCGTGGAGCGAGAGCTCGAGGACTTGAAACAAGCCAACGCGAAGCTTATTGAGGACCAAACAGCGGCCCAGAAAGCTAACGACGCTGAAATTCACCTCTTGCGCAGAAACCTTAATGCTGGCGATTCTGAACGACTAGCGCTTCAGCAGAAGCTTGAGGAATTAAACTCTCAAAATGAAGAGCTGGCAAAAGCTGTGGGTATGCGGCTTAGGCAGTACGAAGCGGAAGCCAGCCGTGAAATCCCACAAGATGACGAATTTGATGACCAAGGGCGAGCGACCCCGGAAAGTTCTCCCCCGCCATCTCCGAATAAGTTTACTCCTCGACATAATCATCTTGAAACCGAGACTCTGCGAAGCTCGCTTGGTCATGCCCACCGTATGATCCAGAACCTTAAGAGCACAATTCACCGCGAGAAGACCGAAAAGATTGAGCTGAAGCGAATACTTCAAGAGGCCCGTGATGAAGTCGAGCAACGCCGCCGTGAAGGTGCTGGTCCTGCAGGCCCATCCAACAAACGCCAGAAAACGAAGGCCGAGCCCTCTAGAAAGCCGGCGCGACCAGATTTACTTGGTGCCGGCAGGAGAGGCAGGACAGAAATTGAGGTTCATGACACTGACTGGGAAGACAACGCAGCCGACGCAAGCCCATCGCAGAAGGCTGCCTTGAACTTTACTCGTGGCCGGGTAGCTGCACAGTCATCCGATGAGCCCAGTGACGTGTATCACACAGCAACTGAAGCTGATGATACTTTCGAGACCGCTAACGAGCGGGAGACGGCAACTGAAAGTGAAGCTTTCCAAACCGGTATTGAAAGCATGGCTGATGATAGTGCTGATTCCGATGATCTTACTGAAACTGAGGACCGCGTCCAAAGAACTCCCCGTGGGCGAGTGCCGTCTTTGGCGATGTCAAAAGCTCGAGATCGAACCTCGTACCAAAGCACTGCTTCCACCTCAGCCGATGAGGATGAGACTCAAGATGGAGAGTTCCCCTCCCCTAGCCAAGTATCGACTCCTCGTTACCGACTGCGGAAGAGACGAAGCGTGGTGCGGAAGATTCGTCCTTCGGGAGAGGCTCCTATGGCCTCTCGCAGCCGGCCTTCAAGTGCACGAGAGTCACCAGCGACCAGCTTTAGCCATGACTCTGGAGCGCCAGAAGGACAGAGCTTATTTGCAGAACTCGCAGAGTTAGATGGTGATGAAGCCGAAGGCGAATTTGGTCCACCGATGCCACGCGGCACAGCTTCTTCAGCTTCGACTCCTAGGATGCTCCCTACACCTGTCTCGAGGCGACCGTCAGAAGCTATCCTAGATACTCCACCTAGGCTTGCCATGGTTGACTGTGGAGTGATGACCGATCCCTGGGAGCCAGTTATGCCGGTTGATCCGTATGAGACTGGCATCTCCCGTGCACCGACAACGCCAAAGAAGGCAACGTCTGATGCAGCCATTGTCACAGAGACAAAAGAAGCCCCGCAGCTTGTTCATTCTGCGACTCAGTGGACGCCACTGAAAGCAGCTTCAGAATCGATTAGCGATCAAGTTTCGAGTGTGCCAACGCCCCCTAAGATGGCGTGGGATGACCATTCGTCTCACACCCAGCATGATGGGACCGAGGAACCTGCTCCCCTGCAGCTGGAGACTTCCTCCATTTCAATCGAAGAAACAGCGCCAGCGGCGCCAATAAGGCCTGACTTGAGCACGTCCTATTTTGTGGGGGGTTGCACCGAGCCAGTTACAATTCCTATTGCGAAGTCCTTAGAAATGGAATTGTCGGTGATGTCTTCGCAATTCACAGAACCGGTAGTTGCTCAACTTCCAGAATCTGAGCCGACATACGTACCAGATATGGATATTTCTTCGGTTTTTGCAGAGCATACGGAACCCACTGTGGCCATGCTTCCCGAACCTGAGTCAACATACGTACCAGATGTGGATGTTTCGTCAATTTTTGCAGAGCATACCATACCTATTGTGGCTACACTTCCCGAAACTGAACCGACATACGTACCAGATATGGATGTTTCTTCAATTTTTGCAGAGCATACCGTACCCATTGTAGCTACGCTTCCGGAACCTGTACTCGAATCCTCGGTCTCAGTCTCGGAGCATGCAAGCTACACCGATGTCCAACAGTTAGTGGTTTCAACAATTGTTTCTGAGCAAACGGAACCTGTCTCTGCGACATTGACAGAACCCATAGAACCAGTGTCTACCGTGGGCGGTGGAGAGCGGACTGCTTCATCTGATCTTCCGAATTTGACCATCTCAATTCTAAATCCAGAATTCACTGAACCGGTGCCACAAGTCCAGGAGCAACCTGCGCCTCCCGTGCATGAGTTCGCACTATCTACCATCTGTGTAATGGAAACGTCTCCTGCTGAGTCGATACCAACTATGGCCATACCGACGGCTTCTACACCCGACGATAACGCACCACCCATGCAAGTTAGGGACGGAGTACCTGACAAACGTTTTCCAGAAATTACGCCCCTAGTAGTTGCTGAAGATCCTCCAATCGAAAATGCTAACGCAAGTGAGCGAAAGAGGGACAAGTTACCTCTGGGTCCTATATCTGGAAATGCCGTCACAAAACGCCAGTCTTACAACCAAGCAGATCAAGGCGCACAGACAATCCTGTCCTCAAAGCAAATCGACCAGCTTCTCCTGGATCGTGTCACTTCTCGCCCATTATCTCCTCCAGACAGTGACAAGGCGAAGGAGCTAAATAATTCTCCTTTCGCGACACCGAAGGCGCGACCCCGTCCTACTCACCAATCTTCCACAACATCTCTCCATCGCCGACCAGGAAGCGCTGCTAGCCTTGCATCTAGTGTTCACAGTCCCCCCCCATTACCAGCGGACCACAAGGAAGCTATAATGGCTGCCGAGAAAAAGTCGATGGAGCAACGTCCGATCTCTCCTGGCCTCATGGGCCCTCCTCTTGCTCCCGCTTCAGCCTTTAAGACAAATGCTACACAACGGCCGCGAACTCCGAATGATTCTAGCATTCGTGTGGGCTCTGTGAAGACCACGTCCTCGCGCGTCAAAGGTGGACGTGAGAGTCAGGTATCTCGAAGGTCTTCTATGTCTTCTTTTGCTTCCGAGATTGAAGAAAGATTTAATATGCATCCCAATGCAGCAGGATTCCCTTACGGTTATCCCGCGGGCACAGATGCGCGAATGATCCAGGCAATCACTCAAACAATGATTGGTGAATTCCTTTGGAAATATACACGGAAGGCTGTGTCAGGGGAGATATCGACTACCCGGCACCGCCGGTATTTCTGGGTCCACCCATACACGCGCACGTTGTACTGGAGTGAACATGATCCTCAGACTGCTGGCAAGAATGAGACTAGGACCAAGAGTGTTCCGATTGAAGCTGTCAGGGTTGTTGCGGACGATAATCCTTATCCCCCGGGGCTCCATTGCCGAAGCTTGGAGGTTGTCAGCCCGGGTCGCCGGATCCGGTTCACTGCCACTACCAGTCAGAGACACGAGACTTGGTTTAATGCCCTATCGTACCTTCTACTACGGAACCCAGGAGAGGCTGGTGAAGAGGAAGGTGGTGTTACCTTGGAGGATATCGATGAGTTTAACCCAGGATTTCGCTCACGCTCGCGTCAAACAGCACGCATGTCAATTTCGTCATCACAGAGCCGTAACCTTCGAAATCCACCGAAGCAACGTGCAGCCTCGGCCATGTCTGCACGCAACACCCTAACTCCTGGCCGTGTTTCTCCAGCACTCAGCACACCTTCGCAGTACTCGGATCAAGTTAGGAATAGTTCCACATCTCGCCTGAGTACGATATTCAATGCTACAATCAAAGGATCGATTGGTCGAAGGGGGCCTGGATATGCTACCTCCAGTGTTCACGATGGTAGTATTCACGGTCATGAGAGTGAGGAGGATTTGCGACATATGATGGAGAGACAAGAGCAGACTGATCGACTGGAAAATGTGCGCGCTTGTTGCGATGGTATGTAGATATTTCGATTCAAGGCCTACTAACTACGTTGCTAACGCGGAACACAGGCAAGCATGATGTCAGCTCGCTCTCAAGAATGAGCCGCTATAGCCCTCGTGTCAATCGTATCCACTCTCATCATTAGCCCGATGCTTTAGAATTGATCATGCCATCACAGTCACCAATAAGCGCGAGCTTTTGTTGCGCATTCTGTCCCGTTGTCCGTGCTATGATACATTGCATGTTGCAAGTGCCAAAATTGCCGCTCAGGCCTACTCTTCAGGAACTACATTCATAACCACTTGCCACCATTTTACTAGTCTCTTATACTCCCAGATCCATTTTAATTCTGAAAGTTGAATCCCTTTTTGACATTTGTCGCTGCTCTGGGACCTAGACTTTGCTGCCATTCATTTACCATATATCGAAGCATGATTTAGTGATTTATTTCCTTTGTTGATACGCATAGCCAGCCCAATATAAGCCCGGGTCATTCATTCACTTCAGCTTGGCATTTCACCTTCTACTTCCCCATCTCTTGTGCGATTAATATCGCCTTCTCCATTACCTTGTACTTGTGATTTTTTTTTGTCTTTAGTCGAACTGTAATGAGCGAGATTGACTGACTGATTTCTGAGTTGCATCCATGTCATGTTCGTTGGGTGGTTTTTGGTATGCCAGGTAATTGGTCTAGGCGCCATTAGTGATCGAGGCAATTGAATACCTGAAGACAATTATAAGCACTGCTGTAGTTCTTCGTCGTCAACTGAGACTAGTTATGGGTAGGCAGATATACGATGGCTGTAGCAAAGGATGAGTCACGGTGGCGGATCTACATACGAAGCCGAGGATGGGGCAACTTCGGAAAGTTTTCCATTTCAACTTGATCCTTTGTTGAGGATTACCCTATCCCTTGAATTACATATTACTATTTCTCACATAACATACACATTCTTTAACAATGACTTCCATCAGCGAGCCTACAACACGGGAATGGATCGATTCTCTAGTCGCACCGGGCATGCTCTTAGTTTGGGCTATGTCTTGTAAGCAACACTCACCTTCTGTTTAACCTGCGGAAATGTGCTACCTCTATGTGCTGGTATTTCTTCTAGTAATTCATCAAACCTTGAACTAACTGGTCCGAGAAAGACTACGTCAAAGTCAACCTGGAGGCCGTCTTCAAGCGGGGCCAAGTACTTGCGCCCTTGCTCCAAGCAAGCAGACTTCGAGATGAAGCTTTTGGGAAATTCTGGGTCCAATTCAGCTGTTCGTCCCCAGACCCATGTATTTTCGGGCCCAGATTCACTAATATAGCAGGTAAATCTGTTCAGCCAATCGCCAGGAAGCAGTAAAAAACGCGCAATCTTCACCCGATCAAACCAATATGCAGCCTCAGATTCAAAGCTCCTCAGACCTGATCCCGCCTATTTTAGCGCACACATCAGGCATTGTTCTCGATGTGGGTCCTGGATCAGGTACTCAGATGCCTCTTCTACGCTCTCCTGCTATCAAATCCATCTACGGCGCCGAGCCCTGCCACGGACTCCACGAGGAGTTGCGCGCGCGAGCGGAATCCGAAGGTCTCGGTGCAAAGTACCACATCCTCCCTTGCAGCGTCGTCGGGTCGGAGCTGGGCCCCGCCTTGCGCAAACAAGGTCTCGACGAGGACCACGGTGTTTTCGACACTATCATCTGTGTGCGTGTTCTCTGCTCCGTGCCACACCTGCAACAGACTGTAAATGAACTCTACGCTTTGCTCCGTCCCGGTGGGAAACTGCTTATTGCCGAACATGTTGTCAACCCGTGGCGAACGCCGAAGGGATCTATCGTGGCGAGGGCACTTCAGACCGTGTATGGTGTTCTGGGGTGGAGTTGGGTCATGGGTGATTGTCGCTTGAATCGTGATACGGAGAAGGCATTGCGCGCCGCTGGTGAGTGGGAATCTATCGACTTGGATCATTGGTTTGGTCACTCGCCTTGGCCCTATATCGCGGGGGTTTTGGTGAAGAATAGTAGTGTATATATACCTTGATATGCTTTGGTCTTCGATAGGGTGCATGGTAGCCTAGCTATGTACTTTCTTATGGTAGATCGAATTGCTGCAAGACACGCTGGGTGTTGTGAGGCCAAGTGACCGAATTGGCAGTTGACAGTATGGATGAGAGTTTTGACTCATCTGGTGAGGATATACATTACTTACAGCGAGAAAGGCTGAGAGCCATGCTGAACGATTGAGAATTGACTATTTCTGGTTCGTATTAAGAACCGGGTATGTGCTAATGGTGGAGATAACTTAGTGATGGTTGAAGGTCTGAGGAGTGCTAAGATCTATTTAAGTCTCAATCGCTGCCAACAAAGCTCTGAAGACATTAAAAACAACGACATGGAGAAGGTCCTAATAGCACTGTGGGCATGAAAATATAGAACATTCATCATCTTAGATATTGAGGAATACTGTGCACAAGTGCAGTATCAATACATCGTAGCTGTAACAAAAAAGAGGCTAAAGTACAAATAAGTACACAAATCATCAGGGTATCTCAATGGCTGTGTTAAATGGGTTTTGGCCGTCCTAGAGGCCAAAAATCGAAGAGATCGAGTGCTTCGGAAGTCCATGGGCCTTGGTCATGGGCTGTATCCTCATCTAAGTGGGTGTTTAGTCGGCTCCTTGAGGATGTGGATCGAGGTTGCAGGCCATGAAGGGTTGTCAAAGCGGTTGGGTCAGAATACGACTTGCGGAGCCCGGCTGAAGACCTAGTGGATAGAATGCCCTGTATCCGAGTATTTTGGTCCCCGTGGGACTCAGAAGCACCAGCCGTCTCATCTAAGGCGAACTGTGTGGAAGCGGAGGGAGCGAATTCAAGATTCGGGGGCACATGATAAGCTGTCATGCACACATCCCTAGATAGTCAGTCCAATGTCCCGGCGGTGTTCCAGAGCACATACTAACTGCGGATTTTTCTGCGCAGACCCGTTTGTATTTTCAGACGACGGTACTGTTGTAGATGTATTTGACGATGCTTCGCTAGGTAATAGTGCACTGTACATCAACCTTTTGCGTGGCTTTTCAGCCGAGAGACGAAGAGTGTTTCTCGATATGTTTGTGCTAGTGCGCGATGAAGATTTTATTATATTGCCAGGAGCAGAGTGAGACGTGTTGATGGTTTGGGCATTCGTCTTAGTTTTGGACCTGATGTCTGAAGCTGATGAAGAGTTCGACGTGATGTTCGTACGCTCTAGGCCCTGCTGGGGTCTTTCAACGCGAGCGGAGACCACTTTGGACGATCTGGATTCGTCTACTATGCCACGTTGGTCGGATAAGTCAATAACTATGGGTTGGGTTGGATTCGAACGACTGGAGGAGGGTTCGCGCGCCCTATTTTCCGATGAAGCTGTCTTTTGGCGTTTGGTAGCTGGTTGAGAAATTCCCTGAAAATCACTCCTCTGGCATGGCTGATGCTTCTCTTCGTAAGACGAAACTAGCGGCCTGATTGGAGTCTTTTTGATACCTAGAAGGTCGTTCAAAGACCGAGACGGTTGGGACGGAAGAGACGAGGGTGGAAGAGAGGACCGCAAGGGGGTGGGCGCGCGAAAAGAATGTGCACACGGATCGCCTGAGCGTGATGGTGATCCTTGACAGGTTCTTTTTGTGTAAAGAGCCGACAAGTCGGTCTCCGTTTTTTCCACCGACTCGCAGACCTGAATCAATACGCCTCGGTCTAATTCCAACTCGTCACCGTCCTGTACGCTCTCATCTTGTCGCCAGTGAAGATCCCCAATGAAGTTACCAGTTGTGTCATAAGCCATAACCCGTTTGTTAAACGTGTGGAACCTAAGATAACCATCCTGCCAGCGTTTGGCTTTGCGTCGTAGGTCGTAGGTGTATAGGCATCGGAACTTGATTACAGGCGCTGTGTTTTGCGTTACAGGGACGTTCAGGTTGAGTGGAGGATGAAAAGTTGCTGTAGATGAGAAGGGTGTCGACATGGTCGAATAAATGAGAGCCAGAGATGGCGACCCCCTGGCTGAGCATCATCGTGTCGAGAGCGACGGATATTGAGAGAGCAAGCATGGTTGAAGTAGTGCCTAGTGTATCATGTGGGTATGAGCCTGAGGCCATCGGTCCCGTGCCTGCTCGGAAAATGGAAGCAATATTACGAAATCGACTCTTCTCTTTTTCTCAACTTACACTTGCTCTTCCCTCATATCATCCTCATCAGTTTTATTCATCCACCGCCTAGAGTATGGTCATTCCGAAGACACAACCTCATCCCAGGTTGGTAGGCGAGTCCTGTGGGCAGAGTGTTCTGTCCCTGTCCCTGTACCACCATAAGCAAAGGAAAAGGCTGGACCATGGTAGTAAGCCGCTGCCATGCAGGAACCAATAACTGGCCTGAATAAGGTATCCAGCAAACAACAATGCTTGAGTTAATTTAACTGGTGACGGGCACAATCAGAACCAAACTCCCATCGACTGTTTTCTGTGCCAGGAGCCAATGGGCCTAGTGATCTACACTGTTTCTTGCCTCTGTAGATCGCAATGACAAAAATAGTTCTGGTGGCGGTGGTTTAGGAACCGCCCGAAGCATATTTGAAAGAGGACAGGAAGAGGGCTGCGTCATCAGGGCTTGCATGAGGCTCTTCCTTTTCACGCGTAAACTGCCCCTCTTCCTTTTTACTCTCACCGTTATTTCCATCCAAGGGGCGCCTTTCCAGTTCTTTCAGGACCCAGCTACCACCTGCCTTGACTCTCACTCAGCCCTACGGAGTACAATCTCCTTATTTACCACTGGCTCGGACTGTCCCCACAATTTCCAGAATTCTCCTGACCACTCAGGTCTAAACGACAAGATGCAGACCGTGCAGAGACAGTTCGGAAAATTTATGAAAAGGTCAGCCGACGACAGCCAGGTAGCCATTCTCTTGAAAGATTTTGACGAAGCGGACAACCTTCTGGGCCGGGTAAGGGGACTGTCCCAGCTAATTCTCTGAGAGTTGCGCTGATCGACCGCATGTTTGATAGATTATCGATTCTACCAGCGCCTGGCGTGACGCCTGGTCTTCGCTCTTGACATACCAAAGTCGAATGATTAGCGAATTCGAGAACATCTATGCTCCTATTGTCGGCTCTTCAGACTCTTCCTCCCCTAATAAAGCTGTTTTAACACCTGAGTCAACTTTGGCCAGAACAACCAAACTTCGCGAGGAATATGAAGATCTAAGAAAGGAGCTTCTCAACGAGCTTACTGTGGTGGATCAACGTATGATCCAGCCCGCGTCACAGGCCCGGGACTGTTTCAACCCTGTCAAAAAAACCATCAAGAAGCGTGAGGATCGAAAAGTATGTCATAAAACAGCGGTCATCAGTGAACTGCCGAAGCCTATGTTTTTTGAAGGACACTAATGTTTTACCTTCGTGTCAGTTGGACTACGAGCGCTACCAAAGCCGTGTGGATAGCTACTCCAAAAAGGCAAAACGATCTGACCGTGACAATACAAACCTTTCCAAGGCGGAGATCGATCTTGCAAAAGCGACTGAGGTATAGAGTTCCACTGCGCTCTCTTGAAGGGAGTGGACTAACAAAACCAGGACTACCATGCAGCGGACGAACACTTGCGACAGCGTCTCCCACCGTTAATTACGGCAGCTTTCTCAATGCTCCCTCACCTACTAGCCGCACAGATTGAGATCCAGAATACGATGCTAGCGCACTACTATACTGCTATCTACAACTATAGTCAAGAAGAGAAATTCCCGTCACCACCACTGCCCATGGAACAAATCGTGCTTGATTGGCAGCAGATCCTCCTTCCGGTGCAGGAAGAAGTCGAGGGGTTTGGCTGTCTGGCCAATGGTAAAGCTGTGCAACGACCCCAATCGAAGGACGATTCTCGGAATGGTGGGTATCATTCTAATGGTCATGGGCCAACTGGAATGAACTATCGCCATCCTAGTGGTCAATCCTCGGCTATGCGACAACGTGCAATATCGCCAGCTCGAAGGATATCCCCCCCATCACCGGCAAATGACACGCGACCAACCCCAGTATTCGAGACCAAACCTCGTGTCAATGGCCTTACGTCTCCGCCTCCCTCTTCCGGCCTCACCAGTCCTTCAACCTATCTCTCTTCGGATAGCTCCCTCACACGGAGCTCTGAATACACTCATCCCTCTCCAACTGGGCCTTCTACTGTTTCTGCACGCACCGACTACTTTAGCCACAATCCTTCCTCGGTTGGTAACGGATCAACCACTCCAGGTTACAACGTCCTTGCGACCGCGGTTGGCAAAAAGAAGCCTCCACCACCACCGAAACCTCGCACAGCATCAAATACAGCTTTGTATGTGACCGCTCTGTACGACTTTGGTGGCCAAAGTCCCGGTGATCTTGCATTCCGCGAAGGTGATCGGATCCGCGTTCTCCAGAAGACAGAGAGTACGGACGACTGGTGGGAAGGTGAGCTTCGAGGCGTCAAAGGGAGCTTCCCTGCCAACTATGTGGAATAAAACAACAATCTGTTTATAATGGATGACCCAGAGAAATTAGGAATGAGACATATTGAGGATATTATCGGAATGGGGAGTAGTTTTGTGCACTAGAGGAATGGATAGTTTCTCATCGCCCACATAAATATAGTCTCGGCTCCTGGTGTGCGACGTGCAATACTCCGCATTTTATGTTCTACTCGTTGGTTCAGATCTATCTAAACCCATTTCTGGGCCAATGAAGATATGCAAATGAATACAGAAATTCAAACAAAATGAAATATGTTTATCATTTGCGTTGACTCTGCAGGCCAATAACACTAGATATACCTACAGCATACTAACAGCAGCAGTTATCCACCATCAAGATATTGAGGCCAAAGAGAAAGGTGGAAGAGCCAAGTTAATAATACAGTATTGCTTGAGAGATACAGCGAAACTGCAACATAATCATCGTCTCTCTTAAGCTTTTAGATAAACGCACCCTCGGAAGCACTATCGTCATCCAACCTACCTGGACCCATCTGCTGGCGTCGGCTATTCAAGAACAACTCCACCATACGTTTGCTAGAAATTCCAGAGCCCACGTCCGAGGAATGAGATTCCTTAGGGTCGAGTTGTCCATCTTCGACTTTGAGGTTCTCGTTTGTTGGTCTGACACTATCGTGACGGGCGCGAGTCGATCGGATCTGGAAAGGTTTGCCGTTTTGGGAAATCGGGGACCGCGTCGCCTGGTACCTTTCATGTATTCCGCCGACTGTCATTTTTTGCTGCGTCTCTTTCACCTCTCGCTTCGGAGTTGGTGACACGGAGTATCGAAGCCTGTTACTTGGCCTCAACTGCATTGGCACGGGGTAGCTATCTTTTGTACGACCACGGTCAGGTGAGAAAACCCTCTCAGGAGTACCACCAGATGGCTTTTGGAGAATTGGCATAGAAGATCCCGAGGCAGCTGTGTTGCCTACAATGTCCTTTTGAGTGCCAGCAATCGTGCGTATACTCGAGGAACGGCTGAACGGCCTAGAGAAATTACTGCTTGTCGCAAGTTTGCAAGAAGTGGACGAGCCCCTAGTGAGAGACGGCCGATCTGAGACTTCTTGCATATTTAAGATACCGTCAGGGGTCCATTTCCTTTGGGAGAAGATTTGATCCGGGAAGTCTTCATTGTGGATCTCCGTGTCTTCCCTATAGTGGTCGCATCGGGGCGTTAAGGTGTCGATTCTCTCCATCTGGGACTGCATCCATTGCTGCCATTCAGCGCTTGGCCGTGTGGGACTTTCGGATGCTGAAGATTCGGGGCCTCGCTTTCCCACGGGAGAGCTGTAGGTGGATCGCTGGCTTGAGAATATAGTGGCAACCCCTGGCTCATCATCCGGTCCTGTGGAGCCCGAGTAGGCCCTCTGATCTTCCTTTGTTGGAGTGCTTTCGCCTGTTGTTCGTGAGTAAACGCTGGGAGAATGGAGCCCTGTGTTCAGGCCGCGCAAGCTGGTAACTATGACGCTCGAGCTGTCATCCTCTGTAGCCCTTGTTGTCTGAGGCGTTTCCCTCGCACCAACCGAACTGTAGTTACAGGGGCGCTCACACTCATCCTGTTGTAGATACCGTGCCTTTTGCATGGGAAAGCATTCCCGAGTCTGCTGATGCCACTGGGAATGCGGTGTCGTGGTATCTCCCCAGGCCGTAGCAAACGACTTGGGAGAAACAATGGATTCATCACTGGGCACATGACGGATAGTCTGCCTACTGCGACGTGGATGGAGAGAGGATGCCCGTGTTGGGATGGCACGATGCTCTTTGACCTGCCCAAATACAAGGTCCTCTGCTGAGTCGCGTGTGCTATTTCTGCGGATACGCTTCATCAAAGCCATGTACAAGCGCTGACTATCAACGGAGCCGTCTGGCCTCAAGTGGTTATGATATGGAACTTGCTCTTGAGTAGAGGAAGCACCAGGGTTGATCTGCTCAGCACTTTCATTCGAGACTCCCTTCTCATTTATAATGGACAAGTGACTCCTATCAGCTCCTTTGTACGCGGTGACGGTGTTTGCAGCCGTGGAATCTGCCCAACTCGTAACACGCGATCGCGTAGTAGCGAAACTTTCATAACTTCGAGCACTTCTAATTGTGTCCGGCCGGCTTGGGATATTGAGCCTATGCAGGTTATCCCCACGATAGGGACGTTTGTTCTCGCTTGGAGACTTGGTCTCTTTTCTCGACTTGATGGGAGAGGGGACTGGATGTCGTGCATCACAAGAAGTTGAAGCCTGCACGTCTAGCTGTCCTGTGAGAGGTTTTGAAAAACCTAGGACTCTTTTGATGCCTCTTTTGACGGATGACGAGAATGATCGAGTTCTTCCAAGGGGGAATCCACTCTTGGATGGTCCCTTCGGAGAGGGTGTATTAGCCATATCGCCTCCCGAAGCACTCATGTTGCGAAAGGTCCTTCTGAATGGTTTGTGCTCTCGTTTTGGTCTCTTCATGAAGGAAGACTGTCTATTCTCACCGAGATCGGGGGCAGTTTGTTTCTGAAATTCACGACGGGCCATTTGAATGGCTGCATCATGACTCTTTGCGTGGTGTAGTGTGTTGGATGATCGATGATCGCTCCTGAAAAACGACATAGAGCGCCTTAATGTTCTCGATGAGCGTGGCACGTCGTAGGCCCGTGGTCTATCATCCGCAGCCTGGGGATCAAAGCTGGAAGAAGCTCCGCAAGAATTACGGGAGAAACGTTGTCCAGTCGAGAACATTGATCGTGTCTTGCGAAGCCGGCGATAGGACGAAGGCAGAGAAGCAACTGGGCCTTCGAGACCTCCGAACTCGTTGATCGGGGGCAATACTACGAGTGACATTGGATCGTTCTGAGATGTGCCGTCGGTCAACTGTGGGCGAAATGATGGTACGCTGGTGTTATCTGAATCATCTTCCGGAAATTGTACAGAGTTGTCTGATCTATGTTTTCTTCGAGGCACTGCCATGCTTTCAGGGCCACCTAAGCGATCATACGAACGTTGCGAGTCGGTCGAAGATCTCTCGGTGGAACGTCTCATGGCTAGAGACGCTGCTGCAGTCGCATGTTGTTTTGCCATATCCAAGTCAGAAAATTCTGGAGACACGGACCCTTTTCGGGCTTTGAGGATAGAGCGAGTGGATTGAATCCTCCGAAGATGCGCGGTAGGGGCCATGGTGTGCGAATGAGGATATGGTCTAGATCTGTGAGCTTGTAGATGGACATGCAATGAATATGTGGGATGATGATTTCCGAGACCTGGAATTATTGTCAACATATCTCACTAAAAGGGACCTATCTTGAAGATCCATAATGGAAGGAGCGACTGTGGTGACTTCCAATGGCCTGTTTTCGCCCATTGGACGCGGCTTCCTGAGATGATCACAACCTCTGGATCGTTCACCAACTGTACATATATTTGCTGGACATCACTAATATTCCTGACTCCAACAAAGAGGTTCAGCAAACTCTACATGGTATTGCCCCTTGATACTGACTATGACTTATCTTTTGACTGGCTGGCTAAGTGGCTGAGACCTGCCGTTCATTGACACATAGTGAGTCATCAGGGGCCTTTTCACTCACTGCCATCCATAAGTATGTCGCAAGCATCCACGTAGCTATGCGTATCTATAGATAGACATATACGGATCACATAAAACCGTAGTCTGTTTTGATGTTGAATCTGCCTATTCACAACACCAAGTCACGGACGATGATTCATCTGGACGGTAGGACCCTCGAAGGAGGCGGCCAACTTGTTCGGATTGCAGTCGCCCTCTCAGCCCTCACCGGTAACCCAGTTCATATCGAAAACATTCGAGGCAATCGATCCGGCAAGAAAGGGCTCAAGCAATCCCACTTGGCTGCTATCCAGTTTCTCGCGAGTCTAACAGGAAGTTCGGTATCCGGTGCAGAGGTCGGCTCGTCTTCCTTGAGCTTTTACCCCCCCAAAACACGGTCCAATCCAAGTGCTCAAGGCCAGCGAATAAATGAACTGAGAGTTAAACCAGCGATGAAAATTGAACTTCCAACGGCTGGGTCGATATTCCTTATCTTCCAAGCAATTTATCCGTATCTCCTACATGTCGGAGCGTTCACCGAAGAGCCAATAAGTGTAACTATCACCGGTGGCACCAACGTGTCATTCGCCCCGTCGATTGATTATGTGGCTCAGGTTCTAGTGCCCAACTTCGCGAGGGTCGGCCTTCCCCCCGTTGCAGTGCATCTGGAGAAACGGGGATGGGCCACAGGACCTTTTAACTTAGGACAGGTGACGGCGATCATAGAGCCCCTTAATCTTCGTCGAGAGGGCCATCATACACAACGGCTTCCCCATTTCCCTTTGCTTGACCTCAGTCAATTCAGTCGCGGAATGATTACCTGCATTGATATCACTATCCTTGCTCCGGATGACCCTCTTCCGAGGAGATCTAGTCAAACGATAAAGGGAAAGAGAGGCCGAAATGTGAATCCTACGAGTCATAGAAATCACTTTCCAGGAAGCATTCGTCAGCTAATCGAGAATGAGATGCAATGGGAACTTTGTAGGGAACTCGGGAAATTGCCTTCGTTGATTTTTGAATCCTCAGACCCAGGACCCAAGCTTTCACCTAATTCTAGCGACAGCGTGGTTCCGATCAGAATGCACCACTCGGAAGCCACACGGTGTCCATCACGAGGATATATACTTCTTGTAGCACACACATCAACCGGATTTAGGATTGGATACGATGCGCTGCTAACGGGAGCGAGGACTGAATCTCCCAGGCAGCAGAGAGGGCGAAGAGAGTGCAGTGGATCGGAAGGGGACGTGAGGGCAGCGAAGAACATGGTAAAGACATGCGTTGAGGGATTCGTTCGCGAATTATACGATCCTCATTTGCAGGATTCTTCTGTTCTAGGACGGCACCAGCCTTGCGTCGACAAGAGAATGCGAGATCAGCTGGTTGTATTTGAGGCTTTAGGAGGAAAACTGGAAACAACGCATTCTGAAGATGAGCGATACTGGAGCCTTCATACGCAGACTGCACGGTGGGTGTGCGAGGAAATGCTTGGGGATGGCCGGTCACGGGATGGATGTGTTAAGGGTTCACAAGCCCCTCCTAGTATTATCTCTGAGCTTTGTCTACACTATCCAAGATGAATATAGAATACACACAATATGTTTCAAGTATATCAACTTATCCCAGACCGTTCTACGCACCAGTGAGAGATCAAATCCGTCGCTATATATCTCGTCCCCCTAGTCGAGAGAAAATCGGACATAGTGGGACGGGCATGGCCAAATCTACAGGCATTTAAAAGAGAAACATGCTCCTTGAAAGACTGGAATCACATCAGGAATCATACATGTACCTAGTGCAGAGCAAGTATTGTATGGTCGGGTATTAACTCAGTAAATTCGTAGAAACGGTCCAAAGGGTATGAAAATTGACCGATATTAAAACACAGTGGCGTATACAACACAACAGAAACTAGGAACGGAATGGAATAGCACAAGGGAGACAGCAAGAAAAGAGGGGGAAAGAGAGATACACAGTCGCCACTGCCATCAGCCAGCCAGCCAGCAGATCCAATGACTGCAAACTTAAGTTCCATCAGGGGGTGAACAAGGTCCATCAGAGGCAAGGAAGCATTATGAGGGACCCGCCTTCTCCAGGCTGCCGAGCTTTAAAATCACAGCCAACCTGCCGGTAGCGAATGAGGGAGAGAGGTGAGCAGAATCACACCCGCCATATGTGGAAACTATCCAACATATCCATACAACCAACACAAAACAGGGAAAGGAAAAGTGAACGCAAAGAAGGAAGGTATAATGCCGGGCCGCCGGGACCGGTGAAATCAACAAAAGCCGCCCTCCTATGGTATATACCGATGATCGATCAACTCCCAGCAATGCATCAAGCCAGAGCACCCAAAACAAATGAAAACCGAGAGAGACCGGCACAAAAAGGCCACGAGACCCGGTCCCAACCTGCAGGACCCTTGCAATCCGGTCGAAGTTCTGGAGGTCTATTGTGCCGCCCCCCCATTTAATGCATCGTTGTAGCGTGATCAAAGATCGAGAGCGATCGCCTTGTACGGCGAATCATTTAAGACCTCCGAGGGCAATACCCGCCGATAATCTCTAGGCTGAGCAAAAGGTGACAGGGATGTTGGTCGACGGAGTTTCAATTGCTGGATTAATCGCGAGTTAGCCGAAAATCTTCAACGAAAAAGCCACCGGGAAAGAACCAACCACGCAGTCGGGACATTTGCCTCCCTGGATGTTGACGCGGCCACGGCAGCCGCGAGGATAATTGGCGCAAGAGTACATGATGGTTTTCGCTGGGGCTGATTCTTTTGGTTCTCTTGTCTTTTTTGGCTCTTGTCTTTTTTGGCTCTTGTCTTTTTTTTTTTTTTCCCCTCCGTCGTGCCGTTTACTTTTTTGTTTGATTTGGCTGAGACGGGTCACCGTAAGGAGACAATTGCGGCAAACTTGGCAGATGAGTAAAATCTAGGTCGACGGGGAGAAGTTGCAAAATGTTCCCCTGTCCCGTCAAGGGAGCTTTTCTAGGGCTGGTTTTCTGGGGTGTCTCAAATGAAACAAGAAAAAAAAAAAAAAAAAAAAAAAAAAAAAAGAGGGCCCCAGCGTGGTCAAAAGGCAACGGTAATAATAAAATTAGCCCCAAACGACGGCTATTACGTCAAGATTTTGAGACCGTTGTCTTGCAGCAGGGCAAAAAAAAGGATCGCGAACTAAGGCGCCGGCCGAAGTCCGTCGATGTTCTAGCGCTGACAGACACTGCGCCACCCAAAAAAAGCCGTCAAAGAGGCGGGAGGAGCGAAAGAGAATAGTGGAAGAACGAAAAGAGCAACAAATAAAATTGTGAGCCACGCGAAAATCGGACGATCAACGGTCGCGGCGCAGATGGTAGGTGGGAGAAACAACCACAATGCAAGCCAAATGAGAGTTTCAGCAGAAAAATTCGAGGGCTTTTATGGGATTTATATCAACGAAGATCCAAGCGAGAAGTCAGTTTGATGATCAGGAGAGAAGAGATACAGAGGAGGTTAAAAACAAAAAAAATGAAGAAAAGAAAAGAAAAGAAAAGAAACAGAGACAATAATTGTAATGGTATTTAGTAGTAGTAATAATAATCAATTTAATACTATCGACTAATATTTCAAGAATAATGAATGGATAAAACAAAATTAAATTATAAATAACAGCCCAACTTATAAGAACAAGGCAGGCAGATTAAATTTCCAACGGACACACACGGGACGGGATTCAAATGGAGCCTATCCTATATTCTGATGCAGTCATTGAATAAGAGACTACTAGTACTAAGGCCCCCTCCTGCTGTTAATTATCGCTTTCAGGCGATTTATTCAGATTGATTGTGGGAGAGATCACATATATGGAGTACTACTGCTCAGAATCATACCTTCATCTTCCGATCCACATGGATTTAAAGAGGAGAGGGGGGAAAAAACAAAACAATCACACACACAAGGCAGCCGACCAGATGATATTCTGGGCATCACCGACTGTGTTGCTGACTGCCTTGGCAACCCGAATTATGTTCCTGCAATGATTATTGGTCTCTAAAATGATGATGGTGCTAGATCCTTAACAGTGGAGTCCGTGTTTCCCGGCTGGCTGCTGTGGAAGCTGACCCAGAAGGAAGAAAGCAAAAAAAAAAAAAAAAGAATTCCTGGATTGGTTTCTATTGTCCACTTGCGCTTGTAGTAACAGCCGAGGGATCCAATAGGTCGGAGGCTTGGACTCTCCGGGACTATGGGCTCAAACGAAAGGAGACAAGACTATTAAATCAGGACCAAAAGGGAAGGACATCAAATCGAATCAAATCAAATCTTTCATGTGCCAGAGATAGCATGTAACAAGTTAGGTCTCCCGAATGACTCGCAGTTTTGGCCCCTGCCGTCGGGAGGTATAGGTGGGATTGGAGGGAGACGTGGACCCAGTTAGACAAAATTGATCTCACGGTCACTGCCTCAGAAAGAATATACATTAGTTGCAAGGTGCACTCGCGGTTGTTGAATGCCGGCATTGGACATCAACCACAGAGCAGACGTAGAACAATACTCCGTAACTAGATAGTTGATCCACTGCCAGTGTCGTCCCTTTGCTTTCCATTGGGGGGTTTCGGGTTAATTGAGGTCTGGATCTTGGGCCCCGAACCGTCGCACCAAGAAAGTTTCCACTGTTTCTGGAACATCAGTTGACAGAAAGTTTTGCTTTTTTTTTTTTTTTTTTTCCTCCCCCCCTGTCTGGGGGTTGACATCTCATTCTGGTATCATTTTTCGTGTTAACTTACTTGCCCCAGCCAGGATATCTCTGGGTGAGTTGTGGTGGTCGGAAGGCACGGAATGACCTCCAGTGGAAGACTCATCGTTCTACTGCTCTCTCTGGCACAATTCTAGAGTTCTGAGACGAATAGTTATCATGACCGATGTTGAAAATAATTTTGCCCTTCGCTTAGGATGTCTGTAGATCAACCCTTTAGACCATCTTTCTTACCTTAGCTTGACGTTTTTGATCAAGTTTTGCCTTTGCAAGGATCTCAAGCTTTCTTCTTTCTCTGGTTACGATTCCCTTCTTAACCCCTTCTCTCCGTTCCCTCCTACTTCATTCCCTTTCTTGTTTTTGCTCTCAAGAAAAAGTCTTGAGATAGACCGTATATTGCAGTGCCTCGGTGGGTGAGCTGAATGGTCCCAAATACCCGTCTCGTCTGGCGCACGAAGTGGAGAGACACTACATAGGCGAACTGCATCGAACCGTTGCTTCCTTCTCAAACAAGAGGTTTCCACAGCCACGTTCCCTTCCGCCATATCCATAACTACGATTCTGCCTTGTCATATTCCATCCAGAGTCACAATTGCGGTCTGAGCATGAACTGTCCTACGGCATGTGCTATGCAGCGTTGTCTTCCATCTAGAACTGGAATGAATAGGTCCAGGCTTTCATGTCAGGCTTGATGGCAATGAAATGGTCGTTGTTCACGGCAGCAGACATCCTCGGAAGGTTGCTTTTGGGTTAACTTGCGTGGCTAACATGGGCGCTCTGCCGCCATTGTGAATTATGGCCGGGAATCCTGGCTGGTTGGCTCACCCTTTTGGGATAGGACCAGGTATCAGCACCCTGGGTAGAGATACGCCGTAAAGGTGGTATACTGTAGCGGTTAGTGATGGTGATTGCTGTTGTAGCTGGTTGGTGGTTGGTATTATAATCCTCGAATGAGGGGAAGAAATCCAGAATGCCAATCCAGCGGTCACTTGACCGGTTGATCAGATTGGTCATGTGCCATGCTGCTTGAGTGGCCATTCGAGGGTGATAGGGAGGCAGAGCACGGAAGAGGGGTCTATTCATCCCGGTTGCGTTATTTGCCTTTCTGGCCAGCATGCCTCGAGCATGACTACAATCTACCTACAAGGTAGAAATTCAATGCGAAAGTATTTCTTTACAGCCATAATAATATCCCATTCCGCCTGCACGATTGGCAACGGAAAGAGAGCCGGCTTGTCTGCAGTAAATCATTTTAAGATTAGAATAACTAACTAATCATACTGCTGCATGATGTAATATAGAGCATTCTTAAGGCTAACCCGCCTGCATCTGCCGTCCATGTCGCATGTCGTATGATAGAGTATTGATATCCGCTGGCATGTGAAAATAGTAAGAACTTGTGAGCGGAAAATGGACTGCCTCCTAGTAACTGCTGGGGATTAGGTGCTTGGATAAATTCCAACTAATTAGTCTGATCGCCATTCTATTTAGGGTACCAAAAATATTCTTTGTTTCACTAACCGAACAAAAGCGGGGCCCCAAGTGGAAGAGATGCGAGACACGAGGGTACGAGGGTGTTCCATGGAAGGATGAGAAAGAAGGGTTCCCCACCAAAAAAGAAAAGAAAATAAAAGAAATAGAATGGAGGTATTAAACTGAGTTTGTTACTTCATGGTCCTGTCAAATGGTGTTTTCTAGTGGCTATACCAATCAGAGGATCTCAAATGGCCGACATCACTTCATCTCCACTGCATCTTAGAAGTCTCAAATTATGGTTTCCATATTCCTACCAAATACCGGCAAACTCTGGTAACCACCCAGCCGTGTTAGGCTTCAATATTAGCAAGGGCGGGTCCGTCGGCGCTTCCCGTTTGATTCTTGCTACAACAGGAAAAACTAGGGCAAGATTGGGAGCGAGATGGGATAACACGAAGCCCAGTTCACATTTAACAGCTTGACAGCAACACGCCAAGCGCAAATACCATCCCACTTCGTTGATGTGTGGATGAATCCTTCATAGTTGAGCCGCTTTGCCTAGATCGACAATGCTATTTCGGGGTTTCTTCCGCGGTTGTTTCCAGACCGTTCTAGATCGGTTTTCGATTCTGGTGACCTTGAGGATATCGTATACACTCTTGGTTAGTCCATAACTTGTTGGGCTCTGACCCCCCAACGCGAAAGGTCTCATCGAGTCATCAATACTTTTGAAGCGGGAGGACGGTCTCAACTACCACGATCCCGGCAGCTGGAAAGAAATCATGCAGGTAAGCTTGAATGTTCCAGGCCCATTCCAGGGCTCAGCAAAGGGCAACTCCAGGGGTTAATTGTGAAACCGCTGCGCAGTTGCACCTATCGCTCACGCCTATATTTGGGACGGAGATCCGTATGATCAACATGGAGCAGGCGTTTGGAACAGAATTCTAAATGTATGCAATATGCGTTCAAACATTAAGCAACGATCGAAGCACGAGCCAGGCTGCAAGGAAAGTAATGACTGATGCGACTAACACGCCATTACCCTCCCATGTCAACGTCATATACGCTAAACAACCAACCGCGAGCTCCTTTTTCCGTGCTGTGTCACGTTTACGTTCCCATCCCGGATCGATCGGATACGGGGTGAAGGGCGGCGTCGTATCTTCCGGCTCCTGTAATGCCAAGGTAACTGATGCCCAAAGGGCGACGGCACGATGGTCAGAGGTTGGAAATAGCGGCAAAGAGTCGTATCTCAGGGGTTTGACCCGTGCGCCCTCTCCCATACCTGGTGGCGTTTCCAAATATAAGATGCGGTCACACCAGCTGGGCCATCGGGTGCTGGTCCACAAGCCTTCCTGCAATCCGGCGTCGAGTGTTCCGGCACGCGCAGCCTGTTGCGCAGCATATGTATATTTGTATGTCGGAGAGAAGGTAATAGGGGCCTCTGACAGGCCATGAAAGCTCCGGAACTGTTTCATTTCCCGGGTCAATTGATCCTCTTCCAAGAGGTGCAAGTAATGACGGGGGCTGGTGGGTTCCACATTTGCCTGTGGAAAGCGGGCCTGATCTGCTTCTCGTGGAGAGAAATTGGAGGTACGGTAGTTGAGATCCCCCGCCAGAAAGAGATAGCTCGTAGGGTCAAAGATGCCGCGATTCTCGTTACGCTGAATCGATGTATGACGCTGTAGTAAAGCTGTACTCTCCGTGTCTACTCCAACCTCGTCGTTTTCCTGGAACACGGTAGTTTCGTAGTTGAAAACTAACCTCTCAACCATGCTACGCCAGTCTTTGTTTCTTTGCTCCACTGCGTCCTCTGCAGGTGCTAGGTGAGCAGCAATAAAGGTAAGATGGACCGTGTCACCGGGACTTGTATCTGTCGCGAAGGCCAGTCGTGCGCCAACAGCACCTTTATTGCCCATCTGTTGAACACCAAAGCCAGCGCGGGCAGTGTTGATAGAAGAGATACGTTCTGCTACATCAGACCGGGCAAACACCATAAGGCCCGTCATGCCAACATTATCCGTTGCCACATTGACGTAATTGCATTTCCAACGCTGCGCAACAGCGCGATACACCACCTGATCCAGGGCAGTTATATAAGGTGTCAGAAATGAACCACCGAGAAATGCGTAGGCAATAGGGGCAATCTCCTGAAGGCTAAGAACGATGAGATCAGGCGATGGCGAGGAGCTGGGATTGTCGGTCGGAGGTAGAGCATCGAAGAAATGCCTTGCAAAGCGGTCAACATCGACAAGGTTTCTCGCACAATTGAAGGTGAGGATATAGATGGAAAGAGATTCTATCATCGTGGCTGACATGGTGGTAGAAAAGGCAGCATAGTGGTGGAGAAATGAAATCATTGCCAATGAATAGGATCTGGAGAAGTTAAATTTCATGGCACTTCCATGTGACGATCAGCGGATCGGATCTGGTCGATCCATTTGGCTTGACAGATGGACATCATCCTCGCTACATGTCTAGAATAAACCACTTTTGCGACTTCCAGCTGGTGTTTATTAGATTGCTTCTTATTATATCGGTCTAGCAACCCTACAACTTTCCCTGTTGTTCCTCCAACTCTACCTGTTACATCCACGTCCTCTTACTCCCATTGCCCCCGCCTGCTTGTGGACAGCGGACTTCTAGCTCCATCTTCATTTGCTTGGAGAATGCGACCACCTGGTTCTCAACCACCAATATCCCCGGCTGACGACGGTTTCCACAATCAGGAGAGCCGATTTGAGGTTCTTTCTCCATCTATTATGTGTTGATCCTGCCACTCATGAAGTGATTGTGGGCAACAGTTCCAGGTCAAAGTTGGTCTTCGGGCCAGACGTTCTCGTCTCTGGCAGTACCGTCTTTAGTGACCACTGCCTCACAGCTGGACGCTGTGATGATGATTTTGGACGGAAGGCTATCAAATTGCGCACCGACTATCTATCAAGGGCTTCAATCCCAGCCTGTCCAAATGTGTCTCAAGGCTAACATCTTGGCCACTAGGTATTCACTCTAACTTGGGCGATATTTCCCATTCTCAGGAACAATCCCTTTTGGGAGTCTTCAGTGCACACATTGAGCGAACATTTCCAACCTGGGCAAGCAAACTTCTTTAAGCCAACTGCAAATGTGCCTTCGCCAAGTAAAAGCCTGCTACAACATAAGTAATGGGTACCCCACTCATGAACAGGGATTGATACTGAGAAATTTGGATATATTCTGCTGTTCATGGGCCACAAACTTGACTATTCCCAGTACAGTGATGAATAGCGTTCATCATCCGCAATACTGCGTCGACTAACTGCATCGACTGCCTGCTGCATAAAATTCCGGTTCTGAATTAATGGTGGCGTAATATCAACTACCTTCTGAAACCGCCGCTGTAGGCTACAGTCCTGCTTCCACCGATGGCGCACTACGGTTCCATCTTCGACCACTTGAATCTCAAGAAGTGAAACCCAGTGACGACGCCCTTTTCTACGAACACCTTCAGGAATAGCGATTCGTTGCTTCGCGAACGGCGTTCTGGAGCTCATCCCCCTTGTGTAGTAGTCGAATCCCTCTTCCATCACCCCCATCAATTGCCTTTATTTAGAGGATATTGAATCTGACATGCGAATCCCCGGGTTTCAATAATATCGGCAGTGGTATGCGGTATGAATGGTAACACGGGTACAAAAACAAAGCAGAATGTCATGAACAAATATGTACTGCCCTAGACACCCTCCCCGACTATGGGCGAAAGGCACCGCGAGTGATCGCGAGCGACAACCGCGAGAACCGCAAGCATTAAGGCCTACGACGCATCGTACCCTCTCGGTGGACAAAAATATATAACGCGCGCATCACCAGTATGGTATGGTGGGACTGGGCTCGTCGTTTGAGATTGGACCGCTTTGGGCTCGGACTGTGATATGTGGGTTGGCGCTGGGGGACGCCAATTGGTGTAGTTTTTCTTAAATGCGATGCCAATGGGAGTACATTGGGTGCTGCTGGTAGTCGGAGACTGACATGGCTGTTAAAATTATGTGACGTGATGAAGTCTATTCTGCCGTTTATCGGTATTCGTGAGTTCCCCGATCAAGTGCCAGTCAACGTCTTGCTATTTTGGTATGAATTTCGGTGCTAATCTCTACATTCAGCTGGCAATTCTATTGAACGTGCTGCAATAACCCGCCGCACAGTTGAATTACGCAAAGCATATTGCGATGACCACACCGCTTTTCAACGTGGCCAATTGAGCGGGCCTATGGTGTAGCGAGAGGACTCATGCTGGATGCGCGCGACTCACTCAAGCTACTCACACGACCATTTGGGCGCTGGTGATTTCTTCCAATGGATGGGAGGATTGAGACTGGCCATCGGTATGGATTGCAAGAAGCAGAAAGGGTGGGCCGGAAAGCAGCTCGATGCGAGCAACTTGAGGAAAAGTATCGCCGACTGCCGAATCCCGGTCGCACCTTTAATAATGCGCTTAGAATATTGGAAACCGTCGGCTGCAACGATACCCAGCGGATGTGTTGCTCAAGGGCACCCCAAATGTATTATACGTTTCCAGATCAGTTAGGAGACCGTGCTTCTAGAATACTAAAATATTAAGCCAGTCGTCTCCACATCAGAAACAGCTCCCATACAAGATAAGACGTTCGGTTATACATGAGTCCGTCCCCAGGGCTCCAACGCCTGCATTTCATCTATCAAACAGAACGCGCCTCTTTCTTTTCTACTGTACTTGGTTTTCCACTGCTCAACGCATCTTCTGGCCTCATTCTTTTTCCAATCCACGATACTCCATCGTCGGATTCGATTCGACCACAAATCCAAATCGCCCAGGAGGTTAACTACCACTTGCTGCCCAGATGGACGGCTGCATACACTGGCCCGTGGTATCCCACGCGCACCCTGGGGTTTAGATACACGCCTGATAAATATGTATGAGGGTTATCCGCGTGGATAAGACACCACTCCAAGCCTTCGAGATGCTCCTGAGCAAGGGATTCCGGAATTTCAGGAAACAACGATGTGCGCATAGCAACTAACCTCGTCAGTGTTGAGCGCTTTTTATGAAATATGACCGCAGCAAGTCCAGAGGGTTCCTACCAATACCATTCCAACAGCTGGCCACCGGCACCGAGTTCATGCGCTTCAGGGCCTCGCAGGATGCGGGCGAGCAAAATACGGCTACATTTGAATAATCGTTTCTTCTCCTTGGTTATTCCGGAGGGCCAATGTGTCTTAATAGTGTTAAAGCTTGGGGTAGTTCAGTTCGCAGGCGGCAGCAGCATACTGACAATCGCGGGTCTGCAGCCACTCGAGAACATTCTGTGTCTGATACTTGCTGGGCGGTGCTGTAGTGACAATCATATGTTGCTCTTGACTCACTGTGAAAACGACGTCGTTCAGAAAAAAGTATCTTATCAAAATGGATTCCTTGTCTCTCCAGGTCTACCAGCAGTTGTTCCAGGCTGAGGTTGCATAGCAGAGGAGATATGAAATGCGTTGGAGCTTGTTGCATCCGTACAGTGTCTTGATCCATCCGTCGCCTATGTGGGACTACATTATCTCGTCTTGATGCGTCATATGTGATACTGTGATATTCCGGGGAACACCTGAGGAAGAAGACATTGTCCGGGTCAAAAGTCTAACCAAGTCAGTGACGGCTTAGTTTCAGGAGCTGCGCAGAGTTAATTCACAATTCAATAGAATTCTATTGAATTCCCACGATAAAGACATGTTCGGGTTTCCGGTGGTGCTCCCGTAAGTCGGGTTTTTCATCGTGATCCCGGGCTTCGAGACGCTGCCGAATGGCGTTGACATCAGCTGCGCTCCAGATGGGGAAGAGGATGATCAGCGTGTGGAGGACGAGCCAGCAGATCCTGCGACGAGGAAGGCCCGGTCCAGACCGTTCATCATGCCCATGGATCAAGAGTGTCGAGAAGTGGGCGATCAGGTGGTTGTGGACTTCGAATTCATCGCGAGGACGATCAAACGCAGCGGTGTGCCACCATTACCCACATTGCCAAGCGGGGATAATTATTGGGATGGGTAATTTCATCGAGAACGAGTGTCTGTGTCGATATGAGGGACGCTGATTGTAGAGCTTCTTTAGGACGGCGGCATATGTCACCATCACGCCTGTTGTCGTCAGAGCGGAGGGGAAACGATGCATAATTCGATCGCCAGGGGCACGAGCATAATATACGACGGCGAAATCTCCACCAGTCAGCATCTACATCTAGATGAGTCCAACTGGGCACTCCGATTAGGCTACTGTGTATCCCCATTCGCGGTCTCCCCAAAGTGAAGCAACGCCTGGAAATTATCGTCGTCCGGCACTGCTTGGCAGCTTCATTCAAGGATCTAAATAGGCCGTGAGCTGTATACTCCGCTGGGGGAAGTTCTTCACCTTGCACAGAGTATATAGAGCCTCCCCTCATGCATTGTAGTTTTCCCGCGGTTCACTTCTGCCGGCCCCTCTAAGAATTTTATCATCTCCAATGACACCTCGACCGACTCAGGCGCATATGCCGGTCCTGTATTTACCTGGAACCTTTGCCAACTATCAGATAAGTAACTGGACCTGGCCTGAATGTCCTGTTGGCAACGGCAAGGCCAGCTCTGATTCTGCGTGGGTAGGTTACAGCATCCCCATGCATGAGCCTTCCGCTGGAATGAAACGGACTGTTGGACTGTGTTTGATCGAGAGATATATATCGTTTGCAGGTACTGTCTATTTTCTTCCTTGAGTTTCTTTCCAGGAGCGGATCCCCATTTCAATGGATATAGTTTCTTGAGTCTCCATCGAACCTGATAGTATTTCGCATCGGAATATGTATAATTTTTCTGCACTACTCCAGGATACAATCATACAGGTATGATGGGAGCTAATAGATGAAGTACAGAGTATCAAAGGCTCAATCAAACGGGCCTTACTTTTACATGCATACATAGGTATGGACTTGCTTTCCTCATCTCAGGTTGACGTATGGCTTCTCCTGGTGACCGAGACTTCGAAATCTGTGGGCTTTACAAACCAGATGTTCTTAGTGGTCCATGTTCCGTTCTTGATGCAAAAGTCAAAGTCTCGAACGATCCCGGGGATAAGCTTGGATATCTCAAGAATAGAGATGTGTTTTCCAAGACATGTACGTGACCCGAGGCCAAACTGCTGCGTGTCAGCGCCATTCCCAGGACTGGTAGAGGATGCAGTGTAATGATGGCAAAGCTCACCGGCATATACATGTCATTCATAACCTTCAGCTTTTCTGGGTCACTCTCCGTTTCAATCCATCTTTCCGGTCGAAATGTTGTTGCGTCTGGGAATACTGCCTCGTCGTAATGCGCTACCCAAGTATTCACTCCAACAACTGCGCCTTGGGGGAAAAAATAGCCGTTGATCTCGGCTCCTCCGGCTGGAACTTCCCTCCAAAGGGGCAGGCCTGTGGCGCTGTGCATACGAAGTGCTTCCTTGATGACGGCTTGGAAATACGGCATTCGCTGGCTCTCTTTGAATGTGACGCGAGCACTGCAAAGACCCTGTGCAGTGAAATCATCGATCTCGCGGCGTAGCTTCTCTAGGACAGGAGGATATTGCAGTAGATGATACATAATTGAAGCAAGGCTGATGGCTGTAGTATCCGATCCCGCAATTACATTTGACAGTCCCATCATGAACAGGTGATAGTCGGTGACCTTTTCCGGATCCTTGTCCCGGGCGATCGCCATTTTCTCCAGGAAGTCCTGAGTCTGGAGAGTGTCATTCTCGACATCCCACTTTGGACAGTCTTTATGTTGTCGAATTCTCTGCTCCACATAACGCATGATATACGCGCGTCCGCCCGCTCCGGACCAACTGAACCGGCTCAGCGGTCCAAATAACCGAGGATGCCACTGGGGATAGACACCAACGAGCGTGCTGTATGTCATCAACCTCTGGAGCGCACCTATGGTACCCTCGATATCGTGGCCCCGATCCAGGAATCCTGTACGAGTCACCTCATCAATGAATGCCAACCAACCCGCATCCGAACCCTCACCAGACAGGCAGATCAGAACTTACCAAATCGCTGGCCAAATGTGATTTCTCCAATCACGTCAAAGGCATAGCACTGGAGCCAGTATCCGAGATTAAAACTTTGGCCCCGCTCCGCGAACTCGGTCAGTCGCTGGGAAAAGAGATTTGTGCAGTGATCTACGAATTGCTCATAGTGGACCAACGAGGTCATCGAGTACAGGCTGGAGAATCGCCTTCGTGTCTCCGCTGCAAGTCGTCATTAGTTCACCCCATACATGTATGAATACTCGCCGTAGTATTAGATCTATCGGAGTATTCGGGGCCGGCTCATCCACCTACCATGCCTCCTCACATTCCGATCGGGAAATAGTGTCCATTTATCAGGATCGGGATGTTTCCACCCTTCGTACCATGCTGACTTGGCAAACTTGCTCCCTGTCCCGTATACTGCTCTCACAGCTGCCCGGTCACTAATGCTATAATGATCCGGGGCTATGCGGACGACAGGGCCGTACCGTTGATGAAGACGAATATTGTCCTTTTCGAAGTCGCCTCGACGCACCCGATCAAAGTACCACAGCCGAGTCAAGCGGGTCCAAAACGGACCCGGGACGGAGAGAAGGGAACGGAAGACAAAGGTGACGTAGAGTAGATTAACAATCCAGTAGAGCACGGGGAGAATAAGGGGAATGAGAATGAGATACATGCTAAGCGTGTTGGGCGAAGGAAAATATATATGAGATCAGGCAGAAAAGTATGGAGTAAAGGGAGCTAGCTCTTTTCTTTATATGAACCACGATTGATCGGCGGAACCGCCCCCGCACCGCGACTGCGGAGACTATCCTCGGCATTGTCAAACGAAGGTATTTAATGTTGGGGTACTTTCAGTCTTCTGAAGATTTAAGAGCGAATTTGTCTGGAATAATGATTGAATAAACACACAGAAACAGTATCGACTTCATATGATACACACATGCGCCCCAAGCTGGAAACCTAGACGCTGTGCCTATCCGAGAGTCGCCAATATGCATGGATTTCACACCTATATGAGAAAGAAGCCCCAGACCAGATAGGAAAATCGAAAAAGCAGGGACAGACATTATAAAAGTACAATAGGTTTGGATGTAAAAGACGGAGAAGGGTGTCATAAAGAAAAATCGTAAGAAAAATCGCCAATAAAGGAGTGAAGGAGAGAGAATCCAAAGGAGCATGGGCAATTGCGTAGGTTCCAATCACCTCCTTAGATAGAAAGCAAAAGGGCTTTCGCATGTTCTCCGCATGTCTCATACCCTAAGAGGACCGATCACCCCACAATCCAACGATTCCCATGGCCAGTGCGAGACCCGAGAAGAAGGCCCGGACTCTCTGGAAGCGGCGCTCCGAATCTAGTTCTTTCCGGACACTCTCTCCGTTGATGTTTTCATCGGCTTCCACCACGACGAGATCCTCTTCCTTCCTTGGAGCCGACTCGCACGATATACACAAGAATCTCGTGTCCTGGATGAAGCTCTGGAGCCAGGGCTTGAAGCCGCTCGTCCGGTGGAACCAGTAGTCGACGGCGTAAGTACCCAGGGCGGAGGATACACACATCCAAAGCAAATAGGGGTGTTTGCGATGGCTCGGGGAGATACAGAAGGCAAAAAGGAGACAGCCATTGGCTAGATTGGTCAGTCGCAGGCCATGCTTCCGGTTCAGTCGTTTGACTTCGTGCAGCGACCGCGAGGCATTAGCGGAGGTAGGGAGGACACTCAGGGAAGGGATAGTAATAGTGGCGGCAGAGTAGGAGAGGCCCTAGATTGAAGTTGCCTTTTAGAAAGTAGAACACGGAAGGACAGTCAGTGTTGGAGTGGGACATACTGTCAACAGACCCAGGGACACGGTGCCCACGAATTTGCTAACGGTGATGGGACACGCCATAACGACGAGCAGCTGTGAAAACAGAAGCTTCTATGGGTCGGGAATGCAGAATATCTAGAATCAAGCTCCTGATAGGAGAAGAGAGATCAAGGCAACCCGGCTGGGAGATTAATTGAAAATTCGATGATGGGCGGACGAGCAAAAACCGGAAGTGACGTCGCAGTGCCAAAGCCGCAGCCAATTGCCGTCCGCGTATTGTTGTTCATCAGGAGGTCGGTTGGTGTCCCCAGAGGACTCGAATCATTATACTCATGGCATATGGTTGGATACATCTTACATTCAACTATCAAGTCATTTATTTTTTTTTTTTTTTTAAACAGCACTGGGCTGCTGAGATGGGAATGTGTTTTGTCCTGGTTGTGCTACTGCTGAGTCAGCCGATGTTGCATAACGTACTCGATCACGAGCCGCGCGCCTCTGTATTGCATATAAAATAGGACGTTTTATAGGCCTAATATCTTAACAACATGTCAGGAGGTCTAAAGTCTACAATATATAATTATGCAATAGCACGTATATAGATACTAAGCCTAGATCCTTGTAGGATTTCTGGTTCATTATATTTCAAAAAAAAAAACTCTGTGTTGTTGTTAAGTCAATTATCAAGTTAACTAACTCACATGTCGTACTCGAGCGGCTGCACCTGGCAAGACGCCCAGCTTTTTCAAGTACGCATAAACATTACTATACCAAGACTACTGCTTCCAATGTTCATTATATGTGGTTAAAATCAATGGTGGGGAGTATAATAAGAAGGCAGTAGATCTTGCTCATGCAGATTGCTCGTGCAGATTGCTCGTGCAGATTGCTCGTAGGAGTTCCTTGCATCATTGGAAGCAGTGCGTCACTAAGATGCCTAAACCTGTTCTACCTGACCTTAATGACTGGACCATGGATATAGCCTAGAAGAGTATAAGACTAGCGGCCGGAGAAGGCTGAGATGAGTCGACTTGATTTCTTTCTTGAGCAGATCGCCAGTATATTACCGTTTTTGGATAGAATACTATCTGCAAGTGACTTATCTATGGAGTATAAATGCCGCTCTCGGTCTATCGTATTCGTTAATTATGTACGACAACAACAAAGGTAGCGCAGATCTATCCTCCAAGCAGGATAGTGAGAGCTTATACCGCTGATCTTCCGCTGACTCAGCGGGCGATTCCACGGCCCAGCCCTTTTATGATGCTGTGCATTCATGAATTTGCAGTCCAGCCTCTAGTTCTGAATGCGGCCCACCTTTATTGCATATATTAGGGCCGTCGGAGTAAGTACGTATACCCTCGTGTGCAGACCACTTTATCAGCCATATGTTGGCTGTTTTTGTCCCTGTCCACCTTTCATACTCCTGTTCTACCCTTTCTCTGCTTTCTAGGGCAGAAGAAAGAACAAATAGCATTATCGGAGGGGGAATTCTGAATCTAGCCCACCACCAGGAGCAGATGAAACACAATGTGTGGCAGCTATGTTAGGTGTTGCTGAAGAAGACCACTAGATAGTGTCCAGCTCTCTGTACTGGTGCTGTTAAATAAAATGCCACAATTTGGGCCTTTCATAGATACTGGAATATGATCTATCTAATTAATTTAAAGGTGCTCCGTGTTGTAGTACTTACTCCGTATATTATCGCACCTAGCATCCATGACATTTATTTTGGGAGATCCATACGTGACCTTCCGACTGGGGCGCTGTAGATAAACTGGCTAGACCATATTAGGGCAAGCGCTGACTAGTCGTGCGTCATCTGCTCCAGTGCAACACCGCCTCTGGCGAATCACTGCTTGCCCTTGCCATCCCTACATTCATTACATTACCACTGCACTCTCGATACGCCTCTAGCCCCCCCTCTACTTCTCTAAAGGTTGCCTCCTCTATCATCTTCTTCGTCATCACCATCACCAACTACTATACAGCTATCTGTTGTACACACTGACTTACTCACTACAGTAACCTACTATCGTCTCTCGTTAAATCCTCACTCCAGCAACCGTCTTATGTACCGTTTTTAATTCCTTGCCACCATGATCCTCCGCCCATTCCTTGTAGGGACCGCTGTCGCCCTAGGCGCCAATGCCTTCCTACTTGTCCCTGAAGCCGAAGTCGAGGCCGAGATTATCACTCCTCAGGATGATCTGAGTCTCCGTCCCTTGGAGGCTGTTGCATCCAGCCAGCATGAGGTGATTCTGGGCTGTACAGAATGTCCCTTCCGGGAAGTGGGCGAGAATGGGAAGGTAGGCTGGACTGATGGCTTCGACACTTCTCTGGTGAGCAGTCTCCTCCACGCCTTTCCAATGAAAATAAATCGGCAGCAGGATTGCTAATCCGTATAGTCCTTGAAATTTTCCGTTGAAAATGGATTCCTTTTGGCGAACGGGCGCCCAATTTTCCCTCCTCCTCCCCCAACACACCTGACAGCCATCCAACGTCGACTGTCGGATGGCGCGGAGTCGGGCCCTATCGAGTTAGGCTATGCAGTTGAAATGATGCCGATACCCACTCCTCCCGACGAGCCTATGGATATGGTCTCTGTTCGGTTCACCATCCTAGACCTGGAGAGCCATCCCGTTCCCATTGACACCGTTGCCCTCCACCTGATCCATGACTCTGCCGCCAACCTTTATCTGGCGGGTGTTAACATTGAAGAGACGGCTCCTTCTCGCGTGTCATGGAGGCAGTGCCATGGGAGAGCGAAGTGTTTGAGAAGACTCCTGTTCGCACGGATTCGCTCTATGTTTGCCGCGGCCAAGATGCGCTTGTTGGGACTGCGAGCTGGGTCGGACTGCGGAGCTGGATCCCGTGGACTTGGACATCCTCACCATGGTTCCCACCACGATGGATTCTCTGGTCCGCACTCTACCTGGACTGAGGGTGATATGGAGCGCCCTCCCCGCCCTCCTCATCACCACCATATGCACCTTGGCCACTGGGAGCGCACTCTCTCCCGTGTCGTTCGTTTTATCGTAATTCCAGCCGTTCTGGGCGTCTTGGCCGGACTGGCCGCCAGTGCCTTGGGTATGCTGGTTGGCCAGATCGTTGTGTTCCTATGGCAACGCTTCCGCCGCTCCAGCCCCAAGAAATCTGAAGAACAGGGAACTGGAATCGAAAAGCAAGGTTTGATGACTGATTCCACTGATGATCTTCCGCCTGCCTACACCGACGAGGAGGCCTTGCCTGAGGTTGTGTCTGCGGACAACAACTAAATAAGAGTTTATTTTGTCAGTTTGGGGATAGCCGTATGATATCAATAGAGTGGAATCAATATCGTTTCCCCCCAAACGGATGAGACATGATTTGTGAAGGAGAATGGAAGGATCAAGAGTAATGGCCTTTTATTGTGAAAACATCCAACTGGTCTTCCTGTGTTTTCTCTGTTCTTGTCAAATGCATGTTTTTCGTCTATCTCTGGCACTTTCCTTTGTATAATCTTGCCTTCGGTATGATTTCTCTCCTTGGACCACGGTTTTCTTAGATCTGCTCGTAACTACGGTGCTGTTCTCTTCCTGTAGTCTGTCCTGTGGCTTGTAGAAATGGTCCTAGAGACCTTGCGCCAGCGCGTTTGCTCACTTGGCCGCACGTGACGTCCCCAATGCACCCGACCGCCTTCATCTCGACGGTACGATCCCCTCTCCCGCCGGCCCTACTAAGCAGTCATTAGCCAGTCCTATGGGGGTAGGAGTCCACCCTCCAAGCATGCTGTACCTGTCTTGACGATGATCTCTGACTCCGTTTTCTTCTACCCGTGTGCTTCCGTACATGCTGGTTGTCCAAATCTGATCTGATCTGGACTGCGTGAGCTCCCAGCTCCCCGCCAGGCTGGGCCTTCAGCCTTACAAGCAGCCGCAGCTCCTATTGCTAGGCACCACCACCGACAACTGAGAACCTCTCTGGTAGACCTTTTTCATTCCCTCCTATATTTGGTCCCTCGGTGCACACCTTGTCCCTTTCGACCGCCATCATGCTGCAGTGGTCGTCCTTCGTTCAGAAGGCGCAGTCTTTCATTGACCCGGCTAACTTCAACCTTCCCTCGCTTACGTCCTCGGATCGCAATCCTTCTAAAGCCTCCTTGTTCCGCCAGCAATTTCGTCTCCCAGAGTCCCAGAACCCGCTACAAGAAATTACTGCGGAGCTGATCCTCCCAATCCCGCACACCTCGTCCTCCACATCTGATGCGCCTCGCAATCTAGACCGCGCCGGTAACCGTTACGCTGGCAGACTCCATCTGAGCGAACGATTCATCTGTTTTTCCACCCAACCGACTAGTTTTGCGCCATCCGCTACTCTAGGTGCTTCAACCCACTGGGCTGGTCAGACCAACGGTACTGGACCGTCGGGGAATGGTTTCACCATCCCTCTTTGTTGTATTCGTCGGGTGGAGCGCCTAAATAGCCTTAGCCATGTGTTCTCCCTTGCGCTCACAACGTGGAATGGGGCTCTCGGAAAGCAGCAGAGCTCCGGCTTCATCCCCCAACGATTTACCATCCAGCTGGTAGGGAGCAGGCAGGCCTGTGAACGTTTCTGCGATGGTCTGAAGAAGGGGTTGCGGGAGGGTATGAAAGAAATCGAGAACTTGCGGGTAGTTGTAAACGATTGTTACTCGGAATATCTGCTTTCCGCGGCCAAGCCAAAAGGCCAGGACGGTGATGGTTCGGAGTTGCGTCAGCCCCCAGATGCTGGGCTGGGGATGACTTTCCGCTATCCCGGTGATGCTCGCAAACTACGGGATCGAAGTAAAATGAGATTGTGGGGAGAATATTTCAGAGGTACGACTTGCTTTATCCCTATCTTCGTTAATTTGAGAACGCGTATTAAAACTCCCTCTGTAGAAAACGGCCGCAATGCGACTCTCATCCGGCAACCAACCTTTCACAAACTCATTCGAGTTGGGCTTCCGAATCGCCTCCGGGGTGAGATCTGGGAGGTGAGCTCTGGCTCCTTGTATTTGCGCCTCCGATCACCAAAGCTATACACGGAGACTCTGTCCAAATTTTCCGGCCAGGAGTCTTTAGCCATTGACGAAATTGAAAAAGACCTGAATCGAAGCTTACCGGAATATGCCGGATTCCAGAGCGAGGAAGGCATTGGACGACTTCGGCGAGTCCTTACAGCTTACAGCTGGATCAATGCAGAGATTGGATACTGCCAGGCGATGAATATTGTCGTCGCTGCTTTGTTGATGTATGTGGCATTTTCATCCTGTGCCCGCTGGTCAAGAGCTGATTATTTTCAGATATATGTCGGAGGCGCAGGCCTTCTTCCTTCTTTCCGTGTTATGTGACCGCCTCCTACCGGGTTACTATTCGACGACCATGTATGGCACACTACTTGATCAGAAAGTGTTCGAGTCCCTGGTCGAAAAGACAATGCCAGTTCTGTGGGAACATCTCGCGAAATCCGATGTTCAGCTCTCGGTTGTCTCCCTGCCGTGGTTCCTTTCTCTCTATATCAACTCCATGCCTCTAGTGTTTGCGTTTAGAGTCCTGGACGTGTTTTTCCTTGAAGGGCCTAAGGTGCTTTTTCAGGTTGGCCTAGCTATCCTCCGGATCAATGGCGAAGAGCTATTGGATATACAAGACGATGGGTCATTTATTTCCGTGTTGAAATCTTACTTCTCTCGACTGGACGAGTCCGCTCATCCGCGTTCTGAGAATCCTAAACTCAGAGCAGTCACTCGATTTCAGGAACTGATGGTTGTGGCCTTCAAAGAGTTTTCCGGGATCACACATCAAACTATTACGGAAGAGCGTGATAAGCATAAGGATGCAGTGCTGGAGAACATTGAGAGTTTTGCCAAACGAACATCTATTCGAAACCTAGGACCCGAGAGCAAAAAGCTCAGCATGGACGATCTTGGCGTGATCTACGACCGGTTCTACGAAGTTCTCTATGACCATCAGCAAATGCAAAAGCTCTTGGAGGAGGAGAAAAAGCGCCAGGAGAAGAAAAGAATCGAACGAACTTCGATACTCGGACCCCCGGTGGACCGCGAGGTAGGTCGGGTTGGTCTGGGTCCGAGCCCTACTCACATGGACTATGATGCTTTCCGTGACTTCCTTGCCGCCACAGCCAAGTGGGCAGTGGGTGACTCTCCTGGGTCGTCCCGGAAAGAGTCGTCTGGTGATTTTAGCTTGAACAGCCTCAGAGCACTCGGAAAATCTTCCTCATCATGGAACAATAAACCAGAACCCGCCGATCACGAGTTTATGCGGCGGCTCTTCCGAAAATGGGGTAACATTCCATCGGAAGGGCTCAGTTTACAGAATGTGGTCAATGGGCTTGCGCGCCTCAAGGGATCTCGTGATATCATGAACAATATCAATTACTTTTTTGACCTCTATGATGACTACGGCAATGGCCAGGTAGATCGCGAAGGAATTCTCAGAATCTCCGAGGCATTGCTGTTCCTTTCCAGGCGCGGTTTTGATGGCGCTATCACACCCAGCCAATCGCTCGAGGAGCTTGGTGCAGCAAATGACCGGGATCATATGGATCATGATAGACTGACTACTGATGAAAAGTTTCTGGGAAGTGTCAGTTCATTCATCCGCCGATGTTTCGAGTACGCTGATCCTAGCAAACCTGAGGAGCAAGGCTCGGTAGAATTGAAAGATACAGTGGAAGCAACGGACAAGCTGGGTGCGTTCAGCATCGGGGATGATGAAGAAGATCTGATCGACATTGGCGATGAGGCCAAGTCCATGACGCCCTCGGACACTAAGACTGACACCCAGGAGAAGCAGAGTGGTGGAAAAGCTGAAGCTCGCTTGTCTTATAACCGAAACACATCAGAATCGGCGAATCCTGCTCTTGATCCCAACAACCCTCTTCACATCACATTACCCACTTTCCGGATGGTCATTCTAGCTGATGAGCTACTTGAGCAATTCTTTGATTCCTTCTTTCCCCAGTCTTTCCGTCTTTCCGACCATCCACACCCCGCATCCAAGGCCACTTCCCTTTCTTCGAATCTCACAACCTTCTCGAATATCAACGCCCCCAAGCCTCAAGCCACCGAGGTCTCAGGTGCTCCTGTTGCAGGTGCATCGGGCGGCATCGTACCACCCGGCAAAGGACTCCGTGGAGTTTTGGACAACATTGTCACGGACGGCATCCGGATGGCCGCCGAGGTCAAGAAGAAAATGGACGAAGCGCAGCGGGAGCTGGAACGCAACGCTCTCAGCCGCGAAGAAGACGAAGACGATGAAGACGATGAGTACGATACGCGCACCGGCTCGACCACCCCGGCCATTGTGGGAGGTATCTCTAGCTGGGGAGCTGGCGCCTATGGTGCAGATCCGGAACGGCGCAGCGTCCGAGAGGCTGATCGCGATTTACTCGAAGGAGCAGAAGTTCTCAGTGTCCGCGGAAAAGACGAATCATCCCTCTTGAATGAAAACGACGGACATCAGCAAGCCTCAGAAGCAAGTAACAGTAGTGGCCATCTACAATCCTCCCGGTCGCCACAACCGACATCCGAAGCAAATCATGATGACAACATCGTTAGTAAAGTTGAATTTGAGTCATAAACTATACACATTTTGGCCAATGTCAGTTTTATCACTTACTGCATTAAATTTTTGCGATATTACCGCCTAGCTTTATCATCTTGCACGTCCACCCGTATTTGTTCCATTTCTAGATGACTTCTTTTTCATTTTGTTCCGCTCTTCCTTTTTTGCCCGGAAGACCGATCAATGTATGTATTATGTTAGCTTGAATACAATCAGCGGCTGGCTATGTTAGAACTAGATCGATACCATGAATTCAAATGAATGCACTACTGAGCAGATATAAAGCTGTACATAATGCATTATATGAGGCCAATATAAAAGATCAATCAAAGGCACTGGCCATCGAACAAAATGTATGTACAGGTAGGTATCGATCGCATCCCTAGACAAGATCTATAGTTGGACAAAACCACTCAATATAGGCAAAAGAAAAAGGGGTGGAATGAGAGGGGTATAAGATGTAGGAGAAAAAAGGGAAGGATGAGCAGAATGGTAGGAGCGGAACTATAGGGACAGTATTCTTGGTGTAGATTTCATAGGGGTCAGAGCTTCGGGGGGTAGAGATAAGGTAATCACCCATCGCTTTGCAAGAAGTTGGATAGGATAGAGATTTTGGTCAAGGAACAAGACTGTCACAAAAAAGGCCGGGGTATAGTCGCATAAGAAACAAAAGGGGCAAAAGGGAACGAAAGTTTCACGAAGACAAACCCAGCAAAATCATTCCTTCTGCCCTTCGTTTTCAATCAGCTCAAGGACGATCAGACTCCGTTCGTACTCGGGATGCTGCATGCAAATCTTGACTGTGCGACCGCCATTCGACACGGAGACCCCGTTGGACAATCCACTGGATAGGTTCACCGCATCACCAGCAGAGGTGGGAGTACTGCTGACCCCCGGCCCAGCGGGGCTGCTGCCATCGTCGAGGCAAACGAGATTGTGGCCGGGGATGACCTGGCGTAGACGGCCATTCATTGCATTTCGTACCTCCACAAAGTCTTCGTTGAAAAGAATCAGAAATTTTCCATAGAGGCATGCTGAATGCGCACGTCCAACAAATTCCATAACTACACTGCGGGATACATCGCCATGTTTGTTAACATAGACAGCGCATTCCTCGTAGACCACTAGGAATTCGCTATCACTGAGGCGGAACATCCCCAGCGGGCGGAGAGTGCCAATACGATTGGCTATGCTCGATAGTTGGGCCTGCGCCTCCGGCACCTCCGAGCGGAATTCGGGAACAGACCATGTCTGTTTCTTGTCGAGGGTGAGGATCTCGATGCCTCGATGGGTGGAAATGGCTAAAGAGGAATGGAACATGTTGATGCCATAACTTTCAGCGGGAATATAGAACTCGTCGAATTCACGGAAAAACTCTGTCTGCGAGCGACGAGAAAAGAAACGAGATTTACTTGTTGAGGACTTTTGCAGGACCGGCTCCAAGACCTGTAGACCCCGTTAGAATCGGTTCCAGAAAGAAGGTACCAAGTTACGGAAGGTAGAAGGAACCAACCTTGAAGGTAGATGACAGTCCATCCCGTTTCTTGTACATGACCAATGTGCGATCCTTCATGTGTCCAGCGGCGAAGAAACCAACTTCCCGGTTACCAGATAACTTCTGCGGCGCTCGGCGAGCAGAGTCATTCGCTGTCTGGGTTGCAACGCCACTGGCCGGGCATACCACGTCCAAATGGTAGGCAATCAAGGATTTGTCAGCGATCAGAAGGAATATGTTGAATTCCTCGAAAACGGCAATCTGAGTAACGCGAACGATTGGAATAGCCTAAAGGGTGTCAGTCAGCACGAGTCCCAGAACCACAGGCATCTGTCACTCCAAAGGGGAAGGAAGTGGGGGCAGAACATACTCGGGTCCAACCACGAGGGTCATTGTAATCTGAGATATACACGCCATAGTCGGTGCCAATGGCACACCTCATCCGGCCGGGAGGCTGCTGGAAAACCGTGGCACAGTGGACCGAAGCCCTGCAGGCTGGCGAGGGGCGGGACTTGGACCCGGGATACCGCATCTCGACATCTTTGATGGCTCGGTCGAGAGGTGTGCCCTCGATAGTAACGGGCTTGATGGACGAGAATTCGGAGTTGGCGAAGGCGGCGTCCGCCAGAACCCGAAGTCTGAACGGCTCAGCGTTCTGAGTGTACAAGGCGGCCGCATGTTTCGTCTTCGCTTCGATGATCTTCTCACACCAATCCTGTCGGTTCTGGGCGGAAAAAGCATAGAGCGTGTAGGTTCCAGCCTTCCCCAGATGCCGGATCTTGAAGGGGTATAGGATTTTGTCATCCTTGGGATTCTCCAACACTGTGGCCGGCACCATAGGCGAATTGCCACCGGGGGCATGGTTCGAAGGCGTACCCACAGCACCACGCGCCACGGCCTGTGGGGGGGTCACAGATGCGACACCACGAACGGCAGATTTTACGACAGGGTCATCGTTGGTGCTCTCCAGGACCAGGAGGTCCATGGGGATCGGCAGCTTCGAGACATCGTAACTCTCGTATTTGACGGTGCGGTCCCTGGCTGCGACGGCTTTCGCCAGAACCAAGTAGTGGTCGAGTAGAATGGCGTGGGTGTCCACCAGAAACCGAGTCCTCGTCCCCGGTCGCTGCAAATCGCCTCGGAAAACTATTTGACGACCGAGATGTTCCAGGTTCAGCTCCACCTCCTTCTTCATCTCCGGACGCAGCTGCAGCTTCGATGAAAGCTCCATCAGGTCCACCTTCTTGCTCATCTCGCCGACCTTGTTGTCACATTCTAGCGCCACGAGCTTGATCTCCTCGATTGCCTGGGCCACGTTGACCTTTTCCTCTGTGTCCTTGGGCATATTCTTATGGACCGTGGAGAGGAGCAAGGTGTACCGCTGGATGCGCGTGATGGGGGCCTTGAGATACGTATCCCAACTGAGGCGATTGGAGAGTTTGTGGTCTCGAACCTGGTTCAGAAACTGCCGGAAGTGGACGTTTCGCTCGGCCTCTTTGCGCACCAGGTAGTTGGCATACGGGAAGGTCGCCGCGTAATCGATATAAACAGTTTTTGCCTTGCGAATCCATTCCCGGAAGATATCGCTAAATCCTACGATGAAAGGGCCCTGCTCCTTCTGGCGATACTTGAGCTGTGCTAGGAGATGATCTTCGTTCACCCGCTTCACCGAGTCGACCTTTCCAAACACGTCGGTCAGGAACTTATTTAGGCGCTTGGAGGGGACGATCGGCGGCTGTACGACGAGCAATTGATCTCGGTAGAGCTCACGCAAGACATCGAGCTGCCCGATGAAGGCATCCTCCGTAGTCACCACCTCGTGCAAGTTGTTCTGGCGGTCGATCTCCTTCTTCGGGTATGACTCCCACACCTCCTTCGGCACCTTGTAGAACGTCACCCAGTCTTCGGCCTTCTTCTGCGGCTCCATCATCTGGGCCTTGAGGTTCACCTTCTTCAAGGTCCGCATGCAGTGGTAGGAGTAACACCGGCCAAAGACCTCCCCCTCCCCTTGCTCATGGAGCCTGGACGAGTAGCACCCGGTGCCCGTGATCTGGAAGAGCACTCCCGAGAGCGAGCCTGTGCTAAACTTGACCCATTCTTCCTCCTTCACCAGGGCCTCCTCCTCCAGCATACTCTTGACCACGCGGGCGGCCAGCGTCTCCGCGTCGGCGATGTTCATCGTCGGCACCTTGTGGGTGAACAAGGCCACGATGGCGTCGACCACAGCCTGCTCCTTGAGGTCTGTCTCGTCCTCGCTCAGCTCTCGGACCCACGCCAGCACGGCGCTCAAGGCCCACGGCTCGGAGCAGCGCCGGAATTGCTCGGAGGACAGCTTGGCCGGGTTGAACTTCTTGCGACGCCCGGCAGGGATTGTGGGGAGGTCCAGCGTCATAGCCGCCGCCGCCGTCTCCACATCTAGCTGGAGCGCGCCGGACTGGGGCCGTAGCAGCTCTTGCTGCTGCCTGTACTTGGCCCGGTCCGCATCGGTCTTGGATCTGATGGGGGGGTCAGTACGGGGTCCAATGGGATGACTCGACAGGGAAGTCGACCGTGGGACCTGAGAAGCGCTCGGCACGACCGGCCTGTACGAGTCTTCAGCAACCGGGAAGTAGGAGGGATTATACTGTGTAGCACCCTGCCAGTCATCCTGCTCCTGGTGCCGGTACGTCCCGGCCGGCATCAGATGGGGGATCAGCGTCGCATTGTTCGCGGGTTCCACGGGAGCTGGTGGGAGGGGCCGCATGCCCGGGTGGAAAAAGAGATCCTCGGGCTCGTCACCCCGGTCTGAATCCTCGCTGCCCGAGTGGTGTGAATGGTGCATCGGTGGCGTCTCCGCCTCTTCTCCATAATCAAAGCTCATCCGGCGCCCGTAGGCACTGGGCTCGGACAATCCTCCCGTGCCGCCGGCATCTACGCGCGCGTGGGAGGGCATCGGCTGGAATGAATTTCCGGAGTCCTGCGTGATCGGGGGATGGTCGTAGTCATCTGAGTACTCAGCACGGTCATCTGCGGACACGTTGGAACTCCGGAGCGAGCCAGACGTGGCCATCAGACGGCCATGGTCGGGCACATCGGCGCCCTCCACGGCATAACCTGCTCCGCCGTACTGGGACTGCCCACGATAACTGGTCGCATACGGCGCTGTCTCATCGGGCCGGTGCTCGGCATAGGCGCTGATAATGGAGGCATTCGTCTCACGGCGCGAGCGTTCCTGCAGACGCTCCTCATGGGCCCGTTCTTCCTCCTCCGCCATCTTCAGCATTGCCAGTCCTGCCTCCGCTTCGGCTTCACTATCATCACTGTACGCATCGTAGTTCACATACTGCCCCGTGCCAGTTGCCATATTGCCATTTGTATGGGTGTGCCGCTCGTCGGGGGAGAGACGCAGGTTGGGGGGTATGTTCTGCGAGACATCGTCCGCTGCACGGAAGGGATTGTTCTGCGTATCCAGGTGCAGCTGTCCAACTTCTTGTGGTAATCCAGCCGAGAGTCTGTCATCCACCCCTGTGGCCTCCGTGCCGTCCATTGCATCATAGTCATAGTGCAGTCTCGCGTCAGGTCCACCGTGTAAAACCCCCGTGCCATTTGCAAACGAGGCCGGATCGGCCTCCACGTCGACGGGCGGACCGGGCAAGGGACGAGAGTGAGGATGTCGACTTAGGGCGTCGTTTCGCTGGGGCGACCGGGGTGATTGGGTACGACGGATGGGTGGGGAGGGAAGCGACCGACCCGACACTGGACGGGAAAAGCTGAGTCGTTTTCGATACGGGTCATCGCTAGGGATCGAATGAGCGGGCGGCTCCGGGGGTTGATCTTCCAAGGAGGATGCAATGACGGGCTCAGATCGGCGAGGGGATTGAGGCAGGTAACCAGAAGAGTAGGCTGTCGAGTTCAACCCGCCTGCGCTCATGGAGCCCCCAACGGCATAGGTGGCATTCGAGTTGGAAGAGGATGCCAGAGGGTAGGTGGGCATCAGGGTCGACTGTTGTGTTGGGAAGCCGTACGACGACGCCGGAGCTGGACGACCTCCATAGGGATGATCGGGTGCTCGAGGTGGCGGCGGCGGCGGCGGCAGGTTTGGATGAGGAGGGTAGACGAGGGGAGTGGGAGGAGATTGTTGTGGGTAGGCGGAATTAGGCTGCTGCAGATTATATCCGGCCACGCTTGATGCGGTTGTTTGATACGCCGCGGGATTGTATGGCTGATGGCCAACGGTGGTGGCCGTGGCAGCGCTGGAACCACCGCTGTACGCGCTGTTGGAGCCGGAGTACGCCAGGGTTTGATAGGACAGCTGTGACGAGGGGGTAGGTGGAACGGCATATTGCTGGGGATTATAGGATTGCTGGCTGGGGGATGCGAGCGACGAGGTGTACTGATACTGGTAGGCCGACTGAGACGAGGCGCGGTTGCGGGGGATCTGAGACGGATTGGAGTCGGGGAGGTGGGCGTATCGAGGGTCGGCATGATTGTAGTCCTCGCCTGCACTGGACCAGCTGGTAGTATATCGAGCATTTGTATCTGCTGTTCGCATGTTCTGGGAGAGTGCCGCATCATCCCCCACATCGTAACTCGGCATCCTTCGGAGTGATGGATTATTATTGTTCTGCACAGTCGTGTAGCGGCCAGGACGGGCGTTGGTAGAGGGAGGACTGTTTGGTTGGCCATAGACCGGATGGCCATTTTGATAGTGGGCCATTCTGTCTGTCGGTCGGAAAAGAAGAGATCAGGCAACGAAACACGAGAGATACGTGGACGAGGCTCGGCTGCGGCCAGCGATGAAACGCCCACGTTCGCTCATTCCACGGTGAGGGACAACTGGAGGGGGAGGAAAATCGAGCACGGGGGAGGGAGAAATATAGAGATGAGGAGAGTCATCCGAAGGAGAGAATAGGAGAAGAGGATAAAGAGAGTAGGAAAAGAGTGGAAGAGAAGGAGGCCAAAAGAGAGGGGGGAGAGAGAGAGAGAGAGAAAGACGAAGAGAACCGTGATCAGGAGGGTTAGAGCCGCACTGGAGAAAACAACAGCTACAGATTCGGTGGCGAGCAGTGTCGTTTCCTTTTCTCTTCTTCGTCTTCTCTTTTTTCTCTAATGTCCTCTTCAATCGAGAGAAAGAGAGAGAGAAAAGTACGGAATCCAAAACAAACAGTCAATACCTGCCAGGGACTAGCGGGTAACCTGCTCCGCCATGCGGCTGATTTGGTACTCGACAGGTACTTCCCAGGCCGCTGCCTCGGTCACTAGGTTGCCTGGCTGCCTGATTCTGGTACCCTAGTACCAGAATCAGGCACCCAGGCACCACTCTACATGACATTGATGTAGAAAAACTTGGGATGCTTGGGCGATGTGAATGCATTGCAACGTACAACAAGCCCATTCTAACCCTCACCGACAGAGATTGGGACTGCCACTCCATTCTCAAAGGAATATTGTACTATAATTCCTTCGAAGCAGAATAAATAAGACCCGGGTGCGGATATATATCCATCATCAACTCACAACAACAGCCCAGCCCAAACGGATCTGAGAGAGCAACGGAACAGTCTCCAGACCACGGGTGATGCTTCAGAATCATTTATTCTTTCTTCCAGTAGATAAGGGGTACTGTGAAATGTATTCTTAGAATCATTACGAATACAGCTACAACGAAACAAGAACTAAGTGCCATTGCATTGCCTCTGCATTTGCATTACAGTATAGGAAAACCTAGTAGGAGAAACCTATACCAAGGCTGGTGAAATCATTGTGTGAACCGACTCCTCGCCATCCACTATTTCCTTCTGATGGCCGCCTATCAAGATCAGCGTCAAGAATTTGTATCACATCGCAGATCATATTGACGTACGAACCGATCGACGCGCTGAACTGGTTAGATATGACACAGAGTGGATAGGAGGAAGACCTACTGGCATTTCCGGCCTTGCCTACTGTTCCTGCTTTTCGTGAGGTATATCGCTGACATTCGTGGCATCCGCTGAAGACGTCGTAGACGATGTCGTGGAGGGACTCGGCAGCGACCGATGGCGGCACTATATCGACTCAATTCGCTGCGCAGTTGCATTGGCAATGGCCACTTACACACTATTCCACGTAAACAATCCATAATCATGTCTACTGAATCTAAGGGCCTGACTCACTGACTGGAATTCGAGCATGGTTGGCTCTGAGAATCATCCGTCCCTACGAAGTGGACTTACCATCTACGAACCGACTGAGCTCAGATCAATTGGAGAAGGAAAGGGACTGACTTACTCCCTAGATAATCTCGTCATGATTGTCGTGGCACTGAGAGATTCTTGCAGGCCATGTAGGATGACTTACGGACTGTGATCGGTCAGTCAATAGTTTTTTCATTCCGGGCTCAATTAATACGCACCATCTGCCTCGCCGTTAGTTGACTTTATTAATACGATGCTGGGGACGACTTACTCCCTAGTCCCAGTCCATTGAGTCCGAGCTGATATCTCGAGGTGTACAGGCACTTACACACTAGTATTGTTGGTTAGTTGAAGTACGCTTTTTCACGGGGAACTTACACCCTGTTGGATCATTGCAGACGCAATTAGTGACATGGGTCATATTCTCTCAATATGTGTGGTACATACCCCCTAAAAATAGAGGTTAGCCTGGTATAGTGAGAAGGAAGAGGACTCACTATCTGTGCATTGCAACGGTATCATGGTCAGTCATAAGAGCTCTCCTCGGATCGTATCACTTACAGCCTGCATATTGTTAGAGCTTAAGGAAATCGAAATAGTATTCGATGGGCATAATAACATACCTCCTATTTACTGTTATTACCCTAACTCACTATCACGACGTATCCCTTACCTAGATATCGTTAGCTATACGAAGAATTGCTAGCCCAGTTGAGGGTGGGACTTTACAGAAAACTTGCATTGGAGTTAGTGGCTTGGACTGTTATCATAGGAAAAGAGACAGTACCGGCATCATAGAGCACTTGTTCACGGTTAGCGTGAGTATGGATATTGCCAAGCAAATGGACATACGAGCTACCAGATCAGGTCAACACTAGAAAGTTGAGTATTTCATTTCCAGTCGGTTACTCACTCGCTAAGCTAGATCAGAGTGGTCCCTAGATTCCAGAGATATCTCTTACCTCCTGTTCGCTTTAGCACAAGCCATGACAACATTGGGTAGGTATTATAATTACACACTGTCGAAGTACCTAGTCAGTGGCGCACCGGTTGAATCCAGATAATTTACATACAGTCTGCTCGGTCAGCTCAGTCAAGTGAAACTGTTCGTGGAAGAACTTACTCCCTGGAGTGCATTCGCCGAATCAGAAATACCCGCTGGTTCAGGAGGACGGAATACTCACCCGCTGCTTTCAATGTTAAAACCGTTACAGACATTGTGCAGGCGAGAGTAACTCACTGCCTTTGATTGAATGAGCATACATCATGTACGACCTCATATATGGTGGAGGCCAGAGCTGGATTACTTACCGCCTGTAGATCCATTAGCTCTGCTGTAAACATTAAGGGGTATCACATACCATCTATATGCTTGATTAATCGCATGGTCTTACCTTCCATGCAAGCCATGACTTACACACTGCCAAAGACACCGTCAGAATTGAATCCGCAAGTCGCTTCAGGTCCACTTACTTTCTGCCTGACTTAGTCTGACGTTGTTCATGGTATCCGGACATCTGGAGACTTACTGCCTGTTTCTATATTAGAAATGTCCGGGGGAGTCGTGCGCGGTGGACTTACAACCTAGGGTTGGTTAAGCCGAAGCAATGAATGATATACCGCGGGTCGATTGACTTACCGACTGCTTCTGTTAATGCTGACTATGGGTCATTTCCGGCTACTTACATCCTATGTCTCGTGAGGTTTGCTGGGTCATGTTAGTCTTGGAACCACTTACAATCTATTCACCGGTTAGCATAGATAATAGAATAAAGGGGAGCTACAGACCGGCTCTTTGTACATATCTAGGTGTGGCGCCGGGCTGGCCAAGGCCACGGCGAGGAAGGGGGCGAAGGCAACGAGGCAGTGCATGGTCCTGTGGTTAGTTCTGAGCGAAGGCAGTCTGGAAAAAGAAAACGTCGGCTCAGAGTGTACTCAGGGATTGTGCTCAGAGAGTGTTCAGATTGATGAGATGGATCGTCTACCAGAGGAATGGTTTATATGTCTTTCAGCATGATATAGACGAAGCATCCATTGCAATTGGGGCTGTCTTCGGCATCCGGACTGGATCTACTAGAATAGGATAGTTTATTGAAGTCCTCTGTCACTCTGGTCAGAATTATGCAGCAGAATCGGAGACCGGGCAATGTGAAAGTCAGTTTGAACTTCAAAGTGCGTTGGTTTCCAACGAAATGAGGACAGTCTTTGGCCTGCATATCGCTGGATTCCAAAATTACTATGCAGCCACTACTAGTGATATAACTGATGGCATGCATTCAAAGTACAGTTTTATATAAATATATCGTAGAGCCTATATTAAAGTTTGAGAATTTTTTTTCTTTTTTTTTTTAAAAACAAAAAATACAGTCACTTTTAAAACGTTTGGAAATGGGTTTCCACAGGGACGTTCGGAAATTCAACAATATGCAACCAGGGACTGTACATACTGGCGGCCGACTCGGGCACCAGACTCATCTCTGTTCTACGGGTAATAGGCAGGCAGTTTGTGTTAAACAAATAAATAAAGAAGTACATAAATAAATATGTGTAACCTGTGGCGGTCGGATTGGGAATTGGCGGGCAGTATAGCACTTTGTGGCGAGCTAAAGAGAACGATATCGGCGGGGAATGAAGAGAGTCAACGGCGATGCAAATGGAATCAGGTAAGAAATATTACTCCAGGGTCCCACCTGACTCATCCTGTTCCAAGTGGATCCAATTCCTCCGTTTTCTTCATTCTCCATTCTCCATTTCTCCAAGGGTTGTTCCGGAGAGAGATCCGTGGAAGCCTTCCAAGCCTTCCAAGCCTTCCAAGCCTTCCCCATGACTCGTGGTATACCAATCCTCACATCGGGGCTATTTGGTGAATGTCGGCAGAATCAGTACCAATTTCGATCGGAGGTATCTAGACAAGCACATGTAAGATACACGCTGCGTCTGACGATGGATCGATTTCACGATCCCGATCCGGTCCTCGTGTACGGCGCCAGGCGCGGAAGTGAACGCTAGGAGTCGTCATCGAAGGAATCCAGATAAATCCATCACGATTTATCGGACATGGACACGGACGGATCGCAGGCCGAACATGTGGAGACGGCAAACCATTTCCTTCTTTCCCATTTACCCTGAAGTCTGAATCAAGGAAGTTGTCCGAATTTCCCCCCCGTGACCAGTAGAGATCGTCGGGGTTCCATGGATGCAGTGGAAGTGCCTGACGATCGACCATTGGGCTTCTCGTTTTCCAGATGGTTCTTCCTGTCCCGTAGGACTCAATTACTGGCTGTCTCGCATGGCGCCATTCCCATTGTTCAGCCAGGCTGGAGTACGGAATCCTTTTCTTCTTGTTCCTCGTGTTGGTTTTGCTCCAGAGGTATGGAGCATGCCACCCAGCCGAGGTATGCGTCGAAAGAATGGGGATAAAAGCCGGATATGTTCTCATATGTTCTCCGAACTACCGTCCTGCCATTGTTTCGATCAGGGTTTTTCTTGTCTTATCTCGTCATGTTCGCTTTCCGGTGGTTGACCGTTCTCTGCGCGGTGACGGCAACCGCACAACCGACCAAGTCGGCGGCCACGATTTTGTCGTCGCAGCTGGATGAATTCAGCTTCTGGGTGCAGTACGCCGCGGCGGCCTACTGCCATGACAATTACGCTGGCACGACCGGCGAGAAGATCACTTGCTGGGCGGACAACTGTCCGGCGGTTGAGGCCGCTGGAGCCACGACGCAGCTGCAGTTCTCCAAGTATTCCTCCTTCTGCCCTCCTTCTATCTACGAAGCTAATGAGAATAGTGCTACGATCACCGACACGGCCGGGTTCGTCGCCATCGACCATCAACATCAAAGCTTCATCGTCTCCTTCCGCGGTTCGTATTCGGTGCGCAGCTGGCTCGCCGACATCAGCTTCCCGCATATCGACCCGGGCCTCTGCGACGGGTGTCTGGCGGAGCTGGGGTTCTGGACCTCGTGGGCCGTGGTCAGACAGCAGGTGGTGTCGACGCTGCAGGCGCTAAGGGCACAGAACGAGGGATACCGCGTGGTCGTCGTGGGCCACAGTCTAGGAGCGGCCATCGCCACGCTGGCGGCGGCGGACTTGCGCACGAAAGGGTTTGATACAACGCTGTATGCATACGCGGCGCCCCGGGTGGCAAACCAGGAATTGGCGGACTTCATCACGAAGCAGGGGAAGAACTACCGGTTCACACACACGGTCGACCCAGTGCCCAAGCTGCCGCCGCTGGCCATGGGATACGTGCACGTCAGCCCAGAGTACTGGATCACGACGCCAGATAATACGACGGTGGAGCCGGGAGAGGTGCAGGAACTGGCGGGCACGGTGAATTTCCAGGGCAATACAGGCACGGGGATTCCACTGTTAACGCAGTTCAGCGCGCATCATTGGTATTTTGAGCAGGCAGATGCCTGTAAAGGACCGGGACTACCATGGAAGCGATCTGTATAATACACTGTATAATCAATCCGTACATAGATAGAGTTATTATAGACAAAATAGACTTGGCACGGTCTAGACGAGTCTGTATCTGCATGTGCATCGCAGCGTCACTTCGCCGCTGCAGTCCTGTCTGCCCCCGCCAATCGGCGATTGAGTCCTCGTATCGAATATATAAAGTCGACAGACCCCGAGAGTGAGAAAGTGAGACAGAGACATGGCGTCTTTTCTACTTTTTGGACTTTTGCTGGTGCAAGGCAGCATTGGGAGTACTCTGCGTACTCTGAGTAAGTCTGAAAATTGAGACAATCTGACCTGAACCAACGAACCTAATACTACTAATCATAATAGCCTCCACCAGCAGTCAATGGCTCATCATTGGAAACACCTCCATCTTCTGGCCTACGTCGACCAATTATTTCTACGGCCCAACCGACGGCCCTGAAGCCTCCGCTGTTTCGTGCAACGCCGCCTGGGCTGAATACGGCGAACGGTCCCACGGACTCTGGAGTCTGGGGCCGACGGCCACCACCACGTCGACGGGTTTCTATCCCACCAGCGAAGGCGCCTGTCGCACTTCCACCTCGCTGGAGGAATGGTCGGATACGCACACGGGGCCCGTCACCACCCTGTGCGACGGCCATCCACGTGGCCTGGGCCCCCGCGAGACGGCGACGGGCTACTATCCCGGCACGGGGCCCTGCATCACGTCGACAAAGACGTATAGCAACGTGGAGAGCGTGTATCGACTGCCTTCGCCGTCTCCCACCTGCTCGCTGCACACGACCGACTGCGCGGGCATCTGGGAGACGTATCTCCGACGATCGAGCGAATACGACAGCGCCCATCCCACCAGGTCGTCCGGCGACACCGCCAGTCCCATCCGACCGACGCATTGTCCGCGCGACTACCCCGAGGCGGATCCCTGTGGAAGCTGTCATTTCCTGCCGGGCGAAGCCACACTCTTCTACTGGCCCGTCCAGACAATGGCGGGCGACCTGTGTCGCCAGGACGGTGTCACGGTGCCAGCGACTCCCACAGCACCGCCGGGGCCCAACACGGCGGTCGTGGATGGACGCACGATGGTATCGCCCAGCGTCTACCTCTCTTTCACTTCCATTGGCGCCTGGAGCAATCGCCGGGCACATGCCGGCCATCAGTGCGGCGGCGCATACGAGAATGCGGTCATCTCCGTGCACCCTACGGCCGTGTCGTCGATGCGCGATCACCGCAATGCCAAATACCCTCGCATCGGTACGGCGTATCCCTTCAATTTCGCTGAGTTCATGCCGCAGACGCTGGCGCCGCAGCACACGCAGTCGGTGATCCCCTGGCCGCAGTATCGCGGCGGGTCGCAGTGTCCGCTGGCCGAGGACCGCACATGCACGATGGTGCGCGACGACTACCTGCCCTGGTTACAGATGCCCGAGGCAGTGCTGCAGATCGATGCGAATTGGACCAATTGTGATCGCAGCTGGTATATTCCGCCGGTGACGTTGGTGCCGTTACCAACACCGAGCAGCCTGACCAAGGCCGTGGAAAGGACTAAGGAACCAAAGGAAACGGGAGCAGGAGAAACAGGAGAGGAAGATGAGAAACAGGGCCCTGGTGTCTTATAGGATAGGATATCTAGTCTGCTAGGTAGCACGAATCGGAGACATGTGGAACGTGATTATGTTGTCAGACTACGTATAAATAATCATTCTGCGTAGAAATCTGGAGTAAGAATCCCATCCCAACAATAAATCATGAGTTTGACTCCCCTGTCCTACGAACTGCACAATATCATCTACTTTGCGCCTCATGCGCGCACCTCGCTGTCGGTGTCGGGCGACGCAGGAGCAGCATTCCCTCTGACGGTGATGATGACCAACGACAGCCTCGTCACGGCGAGCGCGCTGGAGACCACATTGGAGCGATATCTGGCGCTCGACGACGTGCTCTGCGAGGGATTTCTGCAGACCCTCTATATCTCCGCCCCCGACGATGCCCGGATCGATGCCTCCGTCGACCAGCTGCATCGTTGGGGCGTGCAGCGCATCTATCTCAATGGCACGGCGTTTGCCCACATCCCCCGGGGATATCTTTCCGCTGTCGATGACGGCATCACACTCTCTCCCGGTCCCTACACGGCCGTCCCAGTTCGAGACACGCTGCAGATCTGGGATACCTACCGCTTGTATCCCGACACCCATAGCGCCTTCGTCACGGGGGGGTATCCAACCGACGACGGTTTCCGTCCGCTCTTAATGCATGAGGAAGACAGTGCAATGCCCGTGCCCAGTCGTATCCCCTTCGACGGCGATCCGCGACCGCTGGCGGGCGTCCGCGTGGCCGTTAAGGACCTATTCGACCTGCACGGGGTGACCACGACCGCGGGCAGTCGCGCCTGGACGCGCATCCACGTGGCTGCGACTCGCAGTGCCCCGGCAGTACAACGACTGCTCGATCAGGGAGCAGTCGTCGTGGGCAAGACGAAACTGGCCCAGTTCGCCGGCGGCGACAACGCCTGGGACTGGACGGACGCCGTCTATCCCTTCAACCCGCGCGGCGACGACGGGCAGCGCCTGTGCCGTTGCAGCGTACGACTGGCTAGACGCAGCGATTGGCAGCGACACGGCTGTCTCAATGCGACGACCCGCGGCCATGACGGGATTGTATGCCAACCGACCCAGTCAGGGGATGATGTGCATGGCCGGGACGGTGGCACAGAACTGGGCACAGGACACGGCGGGCGTCTTTGCACGCGATCCAACGCTGTGGACGCGGTTCCTGCGGGCCTGGCATACCCCAGCACTAGAACAGGACGCGTCCATCACGGGGCTGACAACGCCAATGCTCTCCGGATCACGATATCCCACGCAGCTGCTCTGGCTGGACGAGTACTTCCCCCTGGCGAACCCGGCGCTCAGCGACTGGTGGACGGGTTCGTGCAGCAGCTGTCTCGGATTCTCCCTCTGTCGGTGCATCGCATTAATACCACGGACGTGGTGGCTCATGCAACCATCTTCCCTGCGTCGACACGCACCAACTGGGAGCGCATCCTCAACGCGTCGGCCGTGACCACGCGGTGGTCGCAGCACGTCGCCGTGGCACCGCTCATTGCGACCTGGGCTCCCGGTGCCAGCGCAATGGCGACGCGAATGGCGAGAGCAATTCCAGCCGGATGTCATCACGGCGGACGCATACCAACAGGCATTGCAGGACAAGGGAACGGCAGTACGATGGTTTGAAGAGACGGTCCTGACGACGACAGACGAGTCCTGCTCGACGTCGCTGATGCTGTGCCACGCCGGCACGGGAGGACAGCCCAGCTACCGCGAGAAAGCCCTCAACGAGAGTCCCAACGCGACGTTCCTGGGGATGGCTAGGGATGGCCCCGGACACGGCGGCTGTGCCGTGCGACATTATCTGTGCGCTGTTTGGATGTGCCGAGTTTACGCTGCCGATCAGACAGGTGGAATACGAATCGCCAGTCAGTGCACGGAGAGAGCAGCTGCCGGTGACGATTGACGTGGCGGTGCGACGGGGATGTGATTTTCTATTTATGAATCTCATAGAATCTCATAGACGAACTGGAGAGGAGAGATATCTTGAAGGGAGTGAGAACCGGGAGATCACTAGGATAGACCGTAGTCTCGACACCCGGAGTATTCCGTAATATTAATAGAATACCAATAAATATCGACGTGGCAATGCAACGTCCATTTATAAGCGTCGCTTGGCAAATGCACACTGCATTTTTTATTGGTTTAATCGCGTTACTGTTGGTGACTAGCTGCATTAGTAGAATTTAATATCAGCCCTAATGCAGACGGACCAACACAATCAGCAATAAATACAGACGTAAACACAGAAATAAATACCTTACCACAATCCAGCCTCGCCCAGAAGAAACAATGCTCGACCATGTCCCAACGCCAGCATCTGCTGCCGGACTCGACCTGGAGTCCTCTGGGCGACGTGGGACTGGGCATTTCCGATGCTCACGATCTCGACCATTCTCATTCGGATTCTCGTCTGGACTCTCCGGAACTGCGCTATCCTGAATCCTCTAAACGATCGGATTCTCCCGATCCGAAAGACCCAGATCCAGATCATGATCTCTATCATATTAGGTGCCCCACGCAGCAGAGTGTCCAGCAGCGTCGTCTCTCCTGGGTCCCCCTGACCATCCTCGTCCTGGCGGTCTATGCCACCATCCTCTCTGGTATCTATCTGGTCATTGCCCTGGTGCGACCTCGTTATGGACACGCGATCGGGGAAGACAAGGGTCTGGCACCCTCGACAGCCACGCTGCTGAGTGCGCTGTTCGCCAAAACCATCGAGTTATCCTACGTGACCGTCTGCGTCGCCTTCCTGGGCCAGGTGCTGAGTCGACGGGCTCTGACCCAGGGATCGCGCGGCATCACCATCTCGGACATGAGCATGCGGTCGTGGATCATGCAGCCGGGAGCGCTGATTGTGCATTGGGAGACGCTGCGATACTCCGCAGCCACTGTGCTGGGGGCTATTACGCTGACGGCCACAGTGGTAGCAATGCTCTACACCACCGCTGCCGAAGCATTAGGTATCTGATCGCTTATCCTCCGTTTATATCTATACTAATAGAATAGTATCTCCCAAACTTCGAATGTCCCCCCTGCACTCCCGATCACTGTCGACCGACGTCTACACGTCCTTTGGCAACTCCACCTATCTGGCATACAACTGTCCGGCGATCATCGACCTCGACCGCGACCCCGACAACCGCAACACCACCTGCCTGGATATGCAGCACGTCGGCGAGGCCTACCACAATTACCAGCTCTATCTGAATCTCTGGCGCGAGCGCAGGAATACCTCCTACCCCAACGAACAACAACGACCGCTCCCGATCGGTTCTTTGTACGACAACACCACGCTGACCGGCAGCTGGATCGAGCATTGGGACCTCGCCGACAACTCCAAACACCACGGACGGCTGGTGGACAACGTCACGGCCGTCATGCCGCACGGCTCCATGCTGACGGTGTCGCGATACCCGGCCAACGAGCTGCCGCCGCCGCATTCGGTGTCCGGCGAGGGCAGCTTCGAACTGGAGGCCTCGGTGCTGTCGCCTGCGGTCAACGTGCTCTGCGTCGGCATGACGGCGCACGAACTGGCGCCGCTGGTCTTTAACGAGTGGCCGGAAACGAAGGGCAAGTTCAACGCCTCCCACTGGCCGGGCAAGCCCGAAAACACGCCCAAGGAGGTCCCCGTCTATCCGGACTGGCTGAACCGCACCGTTGTCGACGACTTCTTCTTCTGGGGACCCGACTATGGTCTGGACCAGCGGCCCCCTATCTTCGGCAAATTGCCCAAACCCTACAATACATTGCTGAATGGCACCGGCAACTACCCAACGCAGTCCATCTACCTGCTGGGAGCCACACCGGACGACGTCCACGACCCGCCATACGTGCTCTGCGGACTGCGGGCCAAACTGACACCCCGGTGCTCCACGCGCTACAACGCCACGGCCAACGGGGCGCAGTTGAGCACGCGCTGCGAGGATCCCAACAACCCGCTGCAACTGGACAACGCCTTCCCCGACGCGCCGGACGCCGCCTGGGAGCCCGACTGGAAGAACGTGGCGTCCGAATGGGCCACGTCGCTGAGTCTGGGCACCGGTATCACGGACGGGCAGTCCAGCAACGCGCGTCTGCTGATGCAGCTGGTGCCGGAGAAGCGCAGACGGGATCCACTGCTGCCCTCGCTGGCCGAGGCATTGGCCGTAATGGCGGGCAGCGCGCTGGTGCTCGGTTCGCGCGGATCGCCCGTGCAACCGGGGGACGCTGCCGCCAGTATGGGCCTGCAGTCGTTTGAAGCGCGTGTGCGGTCCATCGGATATGCATCGGGGGGCACGCAGCGCTGGCAGGGCATCTTCTACGTCATCCTGGTATTTGCCTTCCTGACCAGCGCCATCTGCCTGGCGTTTATTCTCTTCGAGGTGCGCGGTCGTCAAGTCACCGACTTTACGGACCCGCAGAATCTGTTCACCCTGGCCATGAACAGTCCGGCCACGCCGCGGCTGCAGGGGGCCTGCGGTGCCGGGCCGCAGGGACGACAGCTGAACGAGCGCTGGGTGGTGGCGATGGAGGAACAGGACGAACATTATTATCTACGCCCGCCGGGCGAGGCACCGCGACGTCGCGTCAAGTCGATGGCGTCGATGGAGGTCGAGGATCCTAAAGTCAGTCCGGCCATTGACGAATATCACAAGTTGTCGACGCAGCGCAGTTTTCTCTCTCGATTTTATTAGGATGAGTTAATAGAGGGTTGAAAAGTTACACAGATGAGAAATAGTAATTATTAATCTTGAATGACAAATAATATATATTCTTCCCCTCTCATTCTCCTGCTTTCTGTATCACCCTCCTCTAGTGTTCTTCTGCTACGCGATTCGATTTAGTATTCATGTCTTTACCATCGACTCTATCATCTATTGCACTACATATTATCCGATTCTAGCATGGCTATCGGTATAGCTCTTATCGGCGCAGGTATGTCCCTCGTGCCCTGTCCTACTGTCCCTAACAGAGCAGGTCTCTTCGCCCGCGAGTTCCATCTGGTACATCCTCCTTCACTTCATCTATCTACAGTATAATCTAACTAGTATATATAGCCCGCCATTCGATCCTCTCCCCATCTCGAACTCAAAGCCGTCTATTCGCGTTCCCTCTCCTCGACCCAGCAGGTGGCCCCTGACGCTCCTATTGATCGCTATGCCGGCGACGATCTGCCAGCTCTCCTGGCGCGGACGGACATCCATGCCGTGATTATTGCGTATGCTCACGTATCTTCTTCTCTGCCCTTGTCTGCCGTCTGATATGTATAGACTGGCCATCGGTACCCAGTCCCCGTACATTCGCGCCGCCCTATCCGCCGGCAAACATGTGTTGTCCGAGAAACCCATCACCGAGCATGTCGCCGATGCCGTGGCCCTGCTGCAGTGGTATCGCGAGACCCCCATGGTGGCCACTTGGGCTGTGGCTGAGAACTGGCGCTACCTGGACAGTCTGGTGCATGCTAGGTCGCTGATGCCGCGTCTAGGACGTCTGTCGCAGTTTCGCACCTTGCTATATGATAACATCGGGCCCAAGTGGCATCTCGCGCGATATTTCGACACCACATGGCGTCAACAACCGAGTCATCAAGGTGGGTACTTACTAGACTATGGCGTGCACTCGCTGGCTGGCACGCGACTGCTCCTGGGTGACGAGCGTATTGCCCGCGTGGCTGCCTTCACGCGTAGCGTCAACCCGGCCCTCCCCCCCTTGGACACGATGGATGCCATCCTGCAGACCGAGTCGGGACTGCAGGGCACGGTGCAGTTTGGCCTCAGTACGTCCCTGCAGGACGCCGGATGGACCGTGGTCGGCGAACACGGCCATCTGCAAGTCACCATGACGCGCGTGGTGTCTGTCATCGATGGAGATGAAGAGATCGTCGACTTCTCAGCGGACGGACTTGTAGTCCCGAATGAGGTGCACGCCTGGGGGGAGGCGTTATCTCGGGGGAGGGTCAACATGCAGCAGTCGCCGGAGCAGGGCTTGGCTGATTTGGAACTGGTAAGTCTATCTGTCTGCTGATCTTACATACTGACTGGTATAGATTGAAGCGATGCTGCAGAGTGCGGTGGAGAAAGGGAAGCCGCACGACTTGTGTCATCAGCATGTCGTGACAGATTTCGAGAAGGAATAAGTCAGAGCCATTGATTCTGTACTTGATTAGTATAGTGTTCAGAATGATTCTGCGAGAGAATATGGACCTATTCTTATACATCGTCTGTTGAAATTTTTTTATTGTTTTATTTTTCTTTTCTTCTATACGCTGTACAATATCAATGTAACTGCAAAGACGTCAACCCCCCATCCAAAACCAACTGTGACCCCGTCGTGAACGTCGCATCGAAAGCAAGAAAAGCAACCGCCCGTGCAATCTCCTCCGGCTCTCCAATGCGACCTAATGGAGTCGTCTCGGCTCCCTGTTTCCCAAAAGCCGAACGATCCGCATCCGACACGTTGCCGACTCCCATCGTCGGCGTCTGCACGAAACCCGGCGACACGGCGTTGACCCGGATACGACGACCGGCCAACTCCGCCGCCAGGGTCTGCGTCAGCGAATGCACGGCGGCCTTGGAGGCAGAGTACAGCGCCATCCCGGGGATGCCGACCTGATTAGCGACGGAGGTGGTGAAGACGATGGCGCCGCCGTCGCGCACGATGGGGGCAAGTTTCTGCGCCACGAAAAAGGCGCCGAAGACGTTGGTGTCCATGGTCTTGCGGAAGGAGGTCTCCGTGACGACGTCGAAGGGTTCCAAAGCGGCGTATCCGGCATTGATAAACACCAGGTCAATGGACGTGTCGCGTCCGAAGTATTCCTCCGCCGTGGGAACTAGCTGCGCGATGGCCTCGCCGGTGGTGATATCGCAGGCGACGACGCGAGCCTTCTCGCCCAGTTGCTGCTGCGCCGTGCGAATGGGATCGGGACTGCGCCCGGTGACCAGCACTTGAGCGCCTTGATCAGTGAGGAGTTGAGCTGTGGATAGGCCGATGCCGTGGCTGCCGCCGATGATGATGGCTTTTTTGCCGGAGTATGCCATTATAGATTTATGGATTGATTAATAGAGAGAATTGATTAATAGAGAGAATTGATTAATAGAGAGAATTGATTAATAGAGAGAATTGATTAATAGAGAGAATTGATTAATAGAGAAGGAGTTCGACTCAGGGTCTGATGAGCTAGAGGTAGACTAATAATTGCGAAGTACATGAAGCAGATATATAGCTTGGATCTCAGTCATTCTCGGAGTCATAGGCATTTCTAAGCAGAGGGTCAATACGAAGTGAAGTCTAGGATCGTGAGCTGACAAATGGTGCTCGAAAATTCCATCGTATTGATTGTTGATTATTGGGACTTTATGGTGGATCGATTCTTGGCTTCGGTGACTAATAGCATCTATATAAAAGTTAACGTGATTCACGGTCGAGCGGATCACATATTCGGGCGGATCACACCTGTATTCTATATAAAAGAGCACTTTTTGTTATCTTAGTATCTTAACCATACTTAGATATAAGAAATAATTTATAGACTATATATTTATATAGTATTGAAAATATTATATATTAATTTTCTATAATTTTAAATAATTTGTCTGGGTATTAATATCAACAACCGAAGCATAGTATATCGCATTAGCCTCATGTGCAAAGCAAGCCAAGTAGATTATATAATTTAACAAATAACTAGTTAACTAGTTAACTATAGGCTGGTTATCCAAAGTATATTAGTAAGAACCAGCGTACTGTCCTAATATACAAAGATAATACCTCTGCAATCACGCTTATTAACCAGCTGTTATTAAATAAACACTTAAAGCATATTAATATCGCATACCACTTCGCGCGTGATCTGAAGGAGCGCAATATTATTATTACTAAGTATATCCAGAGTCGCAAGATGCTTGCAGACGGTATGACAAAGCCGCTACCACAAGAGCTGCTAAAACAACATCGCAGTAAAATGGGATTGGTAGACAGTGGGAGATAATTAAAAGGAGGTAGAGAAAATAATTATGCTAGATAGAGACATGCGAGCTATATTCCAAAGGACTAGTCTAAGTAGGAGTATTGGAAATCAGGATGCCTAAGGCACCTTTGGATATCCTAGTCCCGCAGCTATCTGATATATCACATTTGAACATGCTCACCAAGCGATATTAGATCGCACGATAGTTTCAATATACTATCTAGTCACCGCTATCCTAGCACCTCACGACATAGCTTCTTCCCCGAGATTCTCAACATTAGGTGATATAAAACTTTAATAAATCAAGCCGGACACACCCTGCTTCTCCGAAGTATTTTGGGGTACTTTTTTTGGGGGAGTATTTTTGTGACCCTCGTCGTTGGGCCACGAACTCAAAAGTAGTGTTGGATGTTGGATGCATTTTCTCGATGGTACACCAGACCATACATAATTAAAATGTATGCTTCTCACCAGTCAAGAACATTTGCCGGGACTCTTGGTTAGGAGCTTAACCATCCTCGGACAACATTAGAGAAAACAGTGTTTTGGGGTGGCATTGGTTTCACATCTGAGCGTAAGACCTTGAATGTGTCAGTTGTTGTCTTTTGGCGTGCCTTGAAGGGCTTTTGCTTCCTCTACGACGTACGTTCGGATAGTATTGTTTCGTGTCATCTAAGCACCTTTTCAACATCCGGAGTTTTTAGCCTAGGCGGCTTACTAGCCTCTACTCATATAGGTTCTTTTTACCGACACGCAGATCTAAATTAGTTCAGCGGCTACAACGCCAATCTTTGATCAAAACAACAAATAGAAGCCCTTCCTTCAGATGCTGGAGGGGTCCACCTTCCGAGGCCCGATTGAAAGGCCCTGAGACTACTGTAAGAAGTGCACACACATTGACCCGCTAGAAAGGCCAGACATATTCGCGCCCTCAGCGTCTTCTTCAGCAGACTTTTCATATCTTCTTCTCCCATCCGCGTGCAGCACTGTCGCACCCTTTGCTGCAGTACAATGTCTGAAAGCTTATGCTATGCAATACACGGCTCCTCGCCATCCCAGATATCTGTGGACCTTCCATGTGGAGTCACAAACTCCACCCATCCGCACGTTACATGCTGCGTTAACGGTGATTACTGCTTGAGTAACTCATTTTGCGCACACACTCGACCAGACGGATCCCAAGGCTTTTACAATGCCGACTGTACCGATCCGAAATTAGAAGATCCTATCTGTGGAACTCGATGCGGTAAGTGCATACGCGAGATCACCTGGATTGAAAACAAACTAAGAATTCCTTGCTTTAATCCAGGTGGCCGAGGTCTGTCTGATTTAGTCTACAATGAAACAACCGGCTACTGGGCCTGTTGTTGGAATTCCATCACCAAGGAAAATGACTGCAAACACCCCTCTAATGAGATATATCCTGCGCCCGCTCCTTCCGAGCTCAAAACGATCCAATACCTCCCAAAACTTGGATCAGGCACGCCTACATATGCAACTGTGACAGCGACAGCATCTGAAGCCTCAGGCGAAACATCGTCAGAGGAGTCAGAGGCTGATATTTCATCAGACGGTATCAGTGCTGGTGAGGCTGCCGGAATCGGCGTTGGGGTGGGAATGGGTATAATCCTCATTGCCGCGTTAGCATTCGTATTATTTTTTCGCAAAAGAGCAACTAAAATTGAGCGTCGTATCTCGCCTTTCGACAGCGATAGCCCAGGGCAGCCAGAGTATTCTCAACAAGTTTATGAACTAGATAAAAACCAAGCGCCAACACCAGAACTTGATATTACCCCCTAAAATGCTCCTGAGCATTTTAGGGACACAATAATACAATTAGCATCTATTTTTCAAAGAAGACATGATCACGGGAAACCGAGGGACGAAGTATTAAGTTTAGCACCTCCAGATATCGGCGCATGAAGAGCCAATCTCTGGTTATCACGACTCCGTCTTCGGGAGGGATTGAGTGGGATTGAGGTATTGTCACAATCTAGTTGCTGAGATATAAAATCTCTCTAGGAACGTATTCTGTTGCAAGTCAAACGGTCAAACAAGAAAACTGCCTTGAGTTGCATGCTGTAATAGCTAAACAGATACAAGATATCACCTATTAATCAACATACGTGTGCGTTCCATTATTAGGGTACGAACATAATGCTTCCTTCCCTGGCGGCTTGCCAAGTGTCGAAAATGATGTATCATTGGCGTGTTATATCTATTCTCAAAGCAAGTTGGCTTATAATCTATTATGATACGAGCCCAGGTTGGGGTTGAAGTTGCAACGCTAACTTACCCCGAACGCGACCTCGCACCACTGTCCCATTTCTGAGCCCCGCGTGATTTAAAACTTCAGATTTCTGTTGGAGCAATATACCCCACAGACATTACACTGGACCCCTTCGGCCTTCCAAGACGGGTTGACGTGTTTCCGTAGGAAATGCCTAGTTAGTGAACCGGGCATTGCGTATTTCCTAATCCGATCTACTAGTGGGAGAGCAGGATTTCCGACACAAAGAAAGCAGATCTGGGGTCGCTTGGGGGGTATTTTGGAAGGCTCATCGGGAGACTCATCAGGAGACTCATCGGGAGATTCAACCCGCACGGATTCCATAGCTTGACGTAGAGCAATCTCGGTCTCATCCTCCACTACATGAAGTTTCCGCTTAGCAAGAGGATCACAGCCGCCATCGTCGGATACAGATCGCTGGGAGATTAAGCGATCGACGCGTGGGCCGCCCTTCTTCCACGGCGCAGAACGCAGTTACTGCATTGATCGCGTTGATTCGGCGCGGGTACTCCGCTTCGAGAGTCGCACCCGGCAAGGTCAGCATGGTGTCAATCACCATCAGGTGCTCCGGAGGCATGAACCGTTTATTCTCCAGGGTCCCCGCTACTTTGGTGTCGACCAGATTCCCTGCGAGCTGCCGTTCGAGGTCAATCACGGGCTGCTCGTTCTTATACCGCTCCAGGTTCTCCCGAATTCGCCAGTTCCGCTGTCGCTGTTTCTCATTGCGTAGTTCACGGACGGCTTTGTTATACCTTGCCTTTGCCTCCAACATCCGATCCTCGAAAAGTTCCAGCTTTTCCAGCAATCGATTATGGTGCTTGGAAAGTGCTTTTTCACCGAGCTGGCCAAAAGCGTCTTGAAATGCCAAGTTGGTACGTTCCCATTTCGCATTTCGATCCTCCCACTTCCGCCTGCGTTCGGTGACGGTGTCCTGACGTGCGCGAACCCCCCGGGTGTCATTGAGGGACTTCGATTCTTCGGTGGAGAGCCGATACGGTCGATTTGGGTGAATCGACGCACTTAGCGAGCAAGCGAGTCTCACCAAGTGGCTCTGGGATCCTGTTTTGCGAACGATGCCCTGCACGTCGACATCTACATCCACCTCGTAATGTCGGATGAACTTGCGGATGCCTGCATGTTGGAGCATGGCGTTCTGGAGAGCGTCCGTTACCTCGTCTAACCGCTGGGTTAGCACACTGGCCTACTGGGGAAGTAATGGATACTCGCCACTGCTGTTGAAGGCCTTGGCTCCAGTGTATCGTAGAAGGTACGGCTTGATGACCTGTTCAAAGCCTGTGATCTCGCCCACACGGCGCATCCAGGATCGCACCGTGGACACCGTCAACTGCGTCTCCAAGGCGATTCGATATCCCATAGTTTCCCGAACCGCCTGGCAAAACACAAATTGTTCTGGATTTCGTCCTTTAATTTTAGCTCCTGCTGTCCTTTGCCGTCCAGAACCCCGAGGCTATAGAGTCTCTCTGGGGAGTCCAGCACCGGTCCCATCGTAGAAAGCGTCTTGAAGCCCTTGATATAAAAGAGCATACCCAGGAGGCAAACATGCGGACTGAGGACTAGAGTTGGATCGAAGGTAATTTCCGGAATCTTGAACTCGTTGCTATGCAATTTCATCAGTCGACGAACTCCCAAGGAGCTAGCTAGATCACAAGCACTTACGGAGCTTTCTTTCTAAGGAACTTCTTTGTGAACTCTGACTTTAGGAAAATAAACAGTCGGGGGCGCCCTCCTTCCGGATATTGGATCAGAGTCAGTACCATATCTTTATAACGAAGGTCCAAGAGTGCCTTCGGACGGCTCGCAGTGATGGCACCGAGCTGGGTGAAGAACAGGATTTGAATACGCTGCCAGCCGCAATCAAACGTCATCTCGGTGGTCGTTAAGAGGACGCGAGCGAATTCGGCGACGTCTTCGATGTACATGTTCTTCTTCGGCCTCTGGGTAAGTTCGAGAACTATCCGCTCGGCCACAATAGCAATAACCTGCAGACTATCAGAGAACGTTACTACTTTGGGTTAAAGTAGAAAGGGTTTTGGTCGCTCACATCCTTCACCTTCACAATCGTGTTCTTGCTGAGCCCTGACACTGACTCCTGTTTAAGAACGAGGTGCCACTACTTCCAGAACGACTCGAGCGAGCTCTTGGATCCATACCCGGGCAATACCGACCGTTCTTACCACGCCGAATATCGCGCCGAGAGCCGAAGAAACCATACAGTAGATCCATTTCCAGTGCTGCACTGGGTCAACGCTGATGTGCCGACAATATCTGCCAGACGCGGATTAGATTTTAGCGTGGCCTAGGACTAAGGAGGTCTACCTGTTCCGGTACACGCGGGTCTCGTCCAGTTTTTCCTGGGTACCATCGCTGTACCACTTCTGTCGAAGCTGCGAGACACCCAAGCCCTCTGCTTCAGCCAGGTAGCGTTCCGGAGGCATCTGGCCCTCATCGCCCAAGAGACCCTCGCCTGAACAACCATCATCGTCCAAGGCTTCGCTGTCGAGCTCCAAGTTGCTGTTGGATTCACTGTCAGATCCGGTGTCTGAAAAGATCCCGTTCACATTGGACCTGGCATCGCTCTCGCTCTCGCTCTCATCAGGTTCAACCGACCGGGAACGAGGCGCCATGGTTGAGACAGTCTGCTGTGACTGGGAACGAGGAAAGGCTAGTGAGGACTAAACTGCGTGAAGAGAACGGCCCTTAATCGAGTACGTGATCGAGGTGAATAACAAGTGTTGCGTACGACGATCGTAAGAGGGAATTAGATAGAACATGATGGTCGAGAAGGGAGCCAAAAAGGCTCCCCTCCCTCCTCAGCGAAAGGTGGTGGTTGCGGTTGCGCGACGAAAGAGCCCTGCAGCGGCAGCATCACGAGTTGTGTCAGGAACCAGGCACCGAGACTAGGCCAACTGATAAACTAGTCCAGATTGGGACATCATGTGAAATATATACAAATATATACCCAATATCTCTCATAGAGGGGTTGGGCAGACAATCCTTCTGAATACAATCACTTCAGACCTCCCCCCCCAGAAAACCCAGCACCAACCAGGGTGGTTCGTGGAGGTAAAAAGAGGACCGTGGGGTTTGCTTTGCCGGGCGCCAAGGCTGTCGACGGTTAGCACGACTCGCAAAACGGTGTCAAGTGTAGCCGTTTTTGGCCGCCTACTAACCGTCACATCGTTAAATGGAGTTAAAAATACTAACTCCACCATCCTTTTTAGGCAGTAATCAGTTATTTTACTTGGGGAAAACACCTTATAATCTCTATTAGGTAAATCGACAAAAAGAGCTACTTCTTAAGATTTAAAACCAAGGCTTTTTCCATCGATTGCTGATTCTGTGCTTAAAAAGCCTATAAAAGGTAATAAGATTGCTATGCAGAAAATAACTCTATTAAAGGATGCACTTTATTAACGGGAGGCAGCTAAGGAATACCAGGAAAATAAAAAGGAGGTGCCTAGACAGTTTATTCAAGATAAAGGCAGTCTAACTGCTGATAAGGCCCTACAAATAATACAGGAAAGGAGGCAATTCAGGCGGACGCTCAGGCACCAAGGCTACGGAGGCCCCCTACATGTAGTAATTGCAATATTCAGGGCCATAATCAATTAAAATGCCCTACTAGATAGTTCTACTCTTGTTTTTGAATAATGTATTTCATTTGCATAGAGATAAATAACTTCAAAAAGTATTCGATTAGGAAGGGAAGGGACGGGGGCGGTGAGCGGCGCGACATTCGGTGTCCGATTACGTTAGTTATGGTAATATTGATTATTCAGCACCGTTCTTGTTGATACATCATCGGATCGCTTATATTTCCTATATTAGTTAGTTTACATTCTTCGTTTGTTTACTCCGTACCTCCACTTTATAAAAGCGACATGTTTTAGTAGTTTAGTTAAATCAGAGACCTAATTCAATGAAGGATCGATACTTGCGAATACGCGGTTTTTATGGTCGACAGCTTGTAAGCTTATAGAACATGGAATACTACTTTTTTTGAGAGCTGAACTATACAAAAACTTTTTCAAAAAACCAAATCAAATCTTCGCTAGAGCATTTTAGTATGTTGTAGTTAAGTTCAGTAACACTTCTGTTGGGTTCATAACCGTATTATTTCCCCCTCACTATGGCTTGTGTGATCAGAAAGGCGGCGTGATACATCACACATGGCACATATATTATTGGACACTGTTGCATACCGACTTTGTTCCTTTGTTTTTCAGCTTTATCCAGTTCTCCCAGATAGATTCAGATAGTTAGAGACCTTATACTTTTCAGTGCAGATCCATATTATTATAATCGTGATACTAGCTCATACGCGTATTCAGCTGACAGACAGTTTATATTCACACCCTCGGACCTGACTCTGGAAGGCCAGCGATTAGTTCTGAAATATATGCCATCCCTCCTACCTCTCAATATTGCCCCTTATCCTACTTCATCGCACCTAGCCTAGACCTCCTAAGCAATAGAGCCTCTATCAGTTTGTTACTGACCCCGTACACTAATGCTAATTTTATATTTTAAATAACAGGTCTTCAAGCGTCTGGTTGTTAAGTTATAAATCTCTAAAGAGTCGCGATTTACGCAACTACAGGGTGGCCGACTTGCTTGTGGAATACGTTATTTAGTAATGTTAGCTATATCCAGCAAGCGTCTATATGGAAAATAGATAGATTCAGAACAATGTAATGATATCTATCCCAAGTCCAAACTTGCCCAGGTAAAGAAGAGAGTGCCTGGAATAACTTTATATGCTATGCATGCATAATAAGCTAAATAGACATCCGATTGGCTGTCAGCATATGCAATATAAGCCTTAAATTCACTTAATTTCCCCCCATTTTAACGACATCATGGACACCGAATCGTTTGTGTCTATCGGCTCCCATTCTCTCTTCCTCTCCCTCTCCAGCCAAGATGCACATGCGAGCAGCCTGGTGGTCTTCCTCGCCGGTGCGGGCGACGTCGCAGCCTCGTTTGGCCCCCTTGCTCGTCTCGTGGGCGTCTTTGCACCGGTGATGCGCTACGATCGCTCCGGTTTAGGTCGCAGCGAGCAGGGCCCCCATCGACCGACAGCGACGCGCGCCGCCACGGAGCTGCACCAGCTGCGCGTCGTAGCACATCTAGAGGTCCCGTTTATCCTGGTGGCACACTCGTACGGGGCGATCGTCGCACGGGAATACTTGCATCAGTATCCGAACGAAGTAGCCGGCATGGTGCTGGTGGATGCGTCGACTGAGCGACAGGGCAACTTCGTCCAGGCTATCCATCAAGATGCCATCGCCGCCGTCCTGGGGAATATGAACTTCGCCCAGGTGACTGGGCTACGCGCGCAGGCTCAGCTCTCCCGTGACGAATGGCGCACTCGCGCCGCAGACATCTCCCGGAGTCTGTCTACCTGGCAGGCTGAATCGGCGTTACTCCATGAAGTCTGTGATACCCTCGGCCAGAAGGACCAGTATCGCACGCGGGCCCTCGGCGCGAAGCCCCTGGTCGTGCTGCGGGCACGGCCATCGCAGGACTACGAGCGTATATATGCCGCCGGCGTTGCAGCCGGCCAGGGTACAGAGGCCCAGCGTGCTGCTTTCCGGGACTTGTTGGATCGATGGGACGCGTGGAATCAGGAGACGCAGGCCGCTCAGCTGCAATTATCGTCTATGCATCGGCTCGTAGATGTGCCGGATTGTGGCCATCACGTCCATCTGATCCGTCCAGAGCTTGTCGCGGCAGAAGTGCGGTGGGTATACAACCAAATCTTGGACTCACAGGGGTTATCAAATTTATGATAGTCGGGCTACGGGAACTATGTACTGAAAGTGGAACTTTTTAATATCAAGTGAATGAATTACTCTAGCAAGATGGTCGCCTATTTACCTAATCTCATTTTACCCTACCGTATAGGCTGAACGTTTTCCATAGCTCTCTGCACCGATGGCCGCTCCAACATCCTGTTCAACCAGTCCCTTACATGCGGAAAGTCCTCAACAGTATATCCGTCCTCTGACTGAATGACACGCGTCACGATAATTTGGCACGACAGGCAGGCCAGTTCGGCGTAGAAGTATCGCTGACCCACCAACCACGGACCACCATTGTCAGCGGACTGACCGGCGAGACCTTCCAGCACGCCCATCACCCAATTAATCTCCCGGACCTAGCGGGCTAGGGCACTGGGGATGCGTTCCGGGTGGAATTTCTTGAACCACAACGCCTGTCCAAAGTACGGGGTTTGTCCGCTGGTTTGGAAGAACAGCCATCGTTGTGTGATGGACGCCTTGTTCGATCCCTGAGGGAAGCTCAGTGGGTGTTCCTTATAGTAGCGCTGCATGAGATACTCGACAATGGTGCCCGATTCCCATAGAGTCAGGTCGATGTTGGGATCGTACAGGGCAGGTAATCGACCGTTGGGATTGATAGCCACATATTCGGGGGTTTTGACGTCCAACACGGGGAAAGTCACCTGCTCGTAGGGCAGACCAGTTGTTCCAGGACTATGGCCACTTTGGATGGGTTTGGACTGCCTTTACTCCAGACTTTGATGAGTAGATAGCTGGCTGTAGAGTACACACTATTCTTTCCATTGACCTACTTATATCACTATCCTGTATATTCAGTCCACCATTATCAACTCAAAATACTAGTCCACCAACTGGTTACTATCCCAAGCTGGCCAAGACTGATCCAGTGCCATTTTTAGAGAGAAGCTCGAGCAGGATGCATCCGTATGTCGGAGGTCTCTCTCCGGTCTTTGAGATCCATTACGATTACTATTAGCTATTGGTGATAGGCCACTGTACAAATTTGGTAAGGTTTACATTGGTTGTACAGTTTTATAGACTCAATTCGTGAGCACTCGAATTCCAAACATCAAGCTTACCGTCGGTTAAGCTTGATAAATCCTGTATCCTGCGCTTGAACCAAGCCACAGTTTCGGCGAAGAGCCCCGATTCTGGTGATCCGAATGATAGCTGGAGATGAAGGGGGTTTGGGCCGTGATTGTAGCATAGTGGAATGTCTCCTCGGCTTCGTTTGGAGACAGAATAATGTGCATATATGGTTGTTCAGATGTTCACTGTGCAACATCTAGTTGTACTGCCTGCTTCATATCAATCATCCCGCTGGGCACCACGACTGACATAGATGCATATCTATGCATTTTGTCCTGGTAAATTCCCATCTGAGCTTGACTAATTTCATATGTTTTTTGTAATGAAAGTTCGGTGTACAATATCAGGTGTTATGAGAGTCGAGCTCTGTTCGACAGTTATCTTTAAAGCAGGCAGAGAAGTCAGACGTGAATGTATTTTGTTAGCATGTCCACTCGGCAGATACCAATATTGGCTTTAGGATGCTTCATATCCGACATAGTTGATAGTCCCGAACGTGGCTAATCTCAGTTTGTACTATTCTCTCCGACAGGATTTCTGTGAGGGCCACCTCGGACTACACGATATACTGACTCAGGTAATATTTTGTAAGCATTTCTATACTGTTTGGTTCCGAGATTCTTCTAGAGTCATATTAATGTAGAAAGAGCGAAGACTGCCGACGCTTAGTGGGATGTCAGAGACGTAATTAGACCGTCAGCAAGGAACGTCAGTGACGCAGTTAACAGTTATCTAAAGGAGACTAATTGTACGATCGAAAGAGTGAATTCTTCGGAAGGTGGAGTGTATATGGTCTGACGGTATCTGCCTTGACGTCGATCAAACAACAAGACATCAAAGAAGAGGCAGAGCAAAGTCGCCGCCTTACAGGATCTATCGACCCCTGTCTGCCGCTGTAGGATTGGTCTTGTCCACGATGGACTGCCGCTAGAACCGATGCAGAAAAAAGTATTCAGGGGCTGAGCTGCTATGGAGATGAAGGGCTGGAGATAACGCCTATTTGGGTGAAATTGTCGAGGAGGATCAGATCCCCTTGGCGTGGCTGAGGAATGGATTCCTCCCTAGCCTGCAGGAAGAAAGTGCCCCAAGAGTCAGCCACCAACGGTCAGAATTGCGCCGTTACTGGACGAGGGACCCGCTGGCGTGTGGATACGAGGCAGAATTGGGGTCCAGGAACCACACCGGATGCTGAGATCTGCAGCCTCAGCGACTCAAGCAATTATTCGTTGGGTTTAAAGACAAACCTGACTGGGCTCTTGACTCTTCACACGATTCCTAATTTCCGGTCCAGTGTAATTATCCCTAAGTGACAAAGTAAATTACTATCGTAAGATGGTTTCTGTGGGGGCAGTACAAAGCAGATAGCCCAGGAATTGGCTCCTTATTTGGGGTCTGTCTATGATTCCAACTCTAGGACATTAAGATGACACGCATTGGGTTATTTTAAGAGAGCCCCGCATGCCAGATGCCAGGAAGTAAATCTCGAGAAGGGGGGAAAATCTCAACTTATCATCTTCTACGGTCTGAGATCTGTAGGCAATCATGCTTGCCATTCTACCTCTTTTCCTCCTTACTCTGCTCCCGGCAGTCTCTGCCCAAGAGTCCGACAAGGAGGTATTGGCCCATTTTGCGACCACAGGCAACTGCTTTGTCTATGAAACCACCGGAGATATCAAGAAGGGAGCGTCCCCATGTAAGACGTGGTGCCCGAAAAACAAGGACAGCGAGGGCCTGGGAGTAAGTCAGATGGGAAATTTTATCTTCATGACATGGCTAATTTAGATGTGCAGTGCCGTACACCAGTGACGGATTTTAGTAAAGTCGATCAATCTTTAATCAACAAGGATGACGATGGTAATAGATATCTCGCTGGAGACTGCCTGTGCGGTCACCCTGAGGATTATCTACCTCTGGTCCAGCCCGTGATCGAAGCCCTATCGCAATTGGACAATATAATCTGCGCTGTCTTCCTGCAGAGTCTCGAGACGGTCGTCGAAATTGGCATCGACGCTGTTCCCGGTGGTGCAGCGGTCAACGGAGTCCGAAAGGCTGTCGAGGGCGCCAAAACTTTCACAGAAAATGCCCTCGATGCCTCCTCCTTCTTTGGAAATTGGGTTGGAAAGGCCTGCAAAGTGCCGGATTGGAATTTCGACTACATGGATGCTATCTTCGGTGGATTGAACAAGGCATCAGATTCTTACGGCAAGAGCAAGGGGTGTTTCCAGAAGAAGAAGGGAATTTGCAAGAAGGGTGGCAGTAAGGGTGACGGGAATGATGGTAAAGATGGTAAGGACGGTAAGGACGGTAAGGACGGTAAGGACGGTAAGGACGGTAAAGATGGTAAAGATGGTAAGGATGGAAAGGATGGCAAAGATGATAAGGATGGTAAGGATGGCAAGGATGGCAAGGATGGTAAGGATGGTAAGGATGGCAAGGACGACGACAATAAGGATAAGTGCAAGGGGAAAGAAGGCAAGGGTGAGAGTTCTACTATCTAGCGTTGCGGACTTGGGATGTGTACTAAAAGTTTGAAGGCAAAGAATGCAAGGATGATTCATCGTCCTCGAAGGACAAGAGCGCCACTAAATCTGGCGATAACAAGAAGACTACGACGAAGCCCTCGACCAAGACTGGGGATAGCAGCAGTACTACCTCCTCTAGGAAGAGCAAAAAGAAGTCCAAGACCAAGTCGTCCTCGTCGACCCCTCTTATCCGATCGTCGACTCCATTCACCCCAAGTAGCACGCCAACACCGACTCCAACCCCATCGCCAACTCCGAGTAGCACGCCTGCTTACTACTAGTGGACGTCTGAGGATGGGGTAGAGATTGTATATAGCCTGCACTGGATCGTTTCGTAACTGAATAGAAGGCATAATCTGTATTGTACTTACTGCATAACTTGCTGAATACTATTTTAGCAGTTCAAACTGAAGTCGTACTAGTGTCGGAGCATGTATACTTTTAGTCCTTTAGGGTATGAGCTTTGAAAGAGAATGTGTACCATTGCCATTTCAGCACTTTTAAAGATGATATGCCACTATTCCCAGGAGCATTAAGCAGGAAAATCCCAAGGCTTGACTTTAGGTGGACCTCGCTCGTGGGATTTGGTTCTAAAACTCCATTGATATATATACCACCTGGGATAACCATAGAAGCCGATCGAACAACCTCTGTGGATCTCACCTATGACTCAGCCTGAGTCAATCCCAAGGCGTGTTTTTACTCGAGCTAGTCGATGTTGAATACGAACATACGAGGACATGTGATCACTTGGGAACGTAACATGAGGGTACCGTGCAGGGCATATAAGAGTGCAGGCAGTCCAGGCCTTAAAACAAAAAATTCGTTGGTCACTGAAGGAGCTCCTATTCTGTGCCTGTGTCACTATGAAGCTTCATCCTGAATGGGCCGTATATGAGTCACAACTGCATTCCGCACCAAACGAGAAAGATAGGAACCGCGCCTTTCTCAATTCCGACGCCGGGACTCGACTCCGTGAAGATGTACAGACGTCCGAATCATCATTGGCTGCAAGGGATGGGTATCAGATTCCAATAAGAATCTACCAGAGAGCAAAGAGTAACGACCCCTCGACGGCGTTGGTTATATTTTATCATTCTGGTGGTTTCACAAATGGCTCCCTGGAAACAGAAGACTGTATGTTGAGGACGCATGTCGGCAATATATCCATTCCTATTAGACATGGCTTATTCACACAGCCTAGTAACATGCCGACACCTGGCCCTTGGAGGACCGGTGACTGTTATCAGCGTTGCGTACCGTCTCAGCCCGGAGTATCTGTACCCTATCCCCATGAACGATGGCTGGGACGCGTTTGTTCATATCCTCAATAATGCAGCGCAATATCTAGCGGGTCAGACAAACGCAGCGAGGGTTGTTCTAAGCGGAACGTCCTCAGGCGGACAACTGGCAGCGATTGTTTCCCAGAAGGCCTCGCGATGGTTCGCTGACCAACAGAGTATCCCCAAAAGACCGATATTGACATTTGCCGGTGTTATCCTGAGAAATCCAGTCACCGTGTGTGGCATGAAGCGCGATTATATTCCCCCGCAATTTCAAGACTGTCATCGGTCGTGGGCACCGGAGCTTGAGACCTCTTTGTTGGAGCGGAGTGAAATGGGAGCCAATCATGGTATATCATAAAGCCTCTCTTCCTTTTTTTTTTTTTTTTTTTTGAGCAAATTGAGACTGACAACTATATCTAGATGCACTGGGAGTTCCTGAATCGGAGAGGACGAGTCCTGACGCGTATCCCTTATGGGGTAATCCTGCTGGGGTACCCAAAGCATATGTGCAAATCTGTGACGCAGACATACTTCGTGACGATGCAGTATGCTATGCGCAAGCCCTTAAAAACGCCAGTGTGGATACACGAGTAGCTTTGTATCCAAAGCTGCCTCATATATTTTGGATACACGCGCCCAAGTTGAAAATCTCAAACCAGGTCCAAAGGGAGTGTGTTTCGGGACTGCGATGGATCTTGAATATAGAGGAGACCAAACAACATCTACTTCCTAGTATGGCTGAGGGCCTGTAGCTAATAGAAAAGCTCCATGAGCATCACTTCCCCTAAACAAAGCCGTGAGACAGAAATACGAAGTTACAAAAAAAAAAAAAAAAAAGGGAAAGGAAGAGGCAGACATACAAGAGAAGAGATAAAGAAGATAATGACGAATATAACAATAGTCGCAGACAGCAAAAGAGTAGCACCGTCATCCAGGGATCCTCTAACCTCTGGGCTTACCCTGGTAACTATTAAGGTTGGAATATGGTTGAACTCGCAATAATTAACTTCAACAGGGAATAGAGCTCCGCTCAGACACCAAATCTTGGCTCAATCAAAGGATCGCATCACTACCAAGAAAGTTCGTTTCTGCAGCGATTTGTTCTTGCGAAGGAGTTCTATATATAGCACTTGTGTTCGCTGAATACGAGTTGGACAACGCTGATGACGGATGGTGCGTGCCGATCGAGTCCAAGCTCAAGATTCTTAGGTTTATGTCTTTCCACCTATACACACTTTTCAGTTTGTCCTGGTAAATTATGGAAGCCGCTGAAAATGCTACACCGCGCGAGATAACCGCGTCGGGGCTCGACTTTCTCTCCCTCCATCCGTTTGTTCGCCAAACCGTCCTGGATCGCATTCGAGGGGCGGTTTTCGGCGCCGCTTTAGGCGACGCTGTCGGATTATACACCGGTTCGTCACTGCCAATTCAAACTCCCCTGTAGACGACAACTATCTTACTTGTCAGAGTTCTTGTCGCGGGATATGAGTCTGGCGGCCTATCCTGAAGGCAGATTTCAGCTTGTATATCCGGCCACAGAGCCAAAGAACGATGGCCATCGGGGTAAAAATCACCTTCCCGGGTACACGCCCATACCTAACTATTTCTACTGACAATACGCTCCGAGAAAGGCAAATTTACAAAGGTTCTGAGATGACTACTCTCCCTACTGCTAGCTGGACATGCTGATAATTGACTAGGGGACTTGGACGGATGATACAGATCATGCACTCCTTATTATCCTCTCATATCTCCATTATGATGGAAAGAAGCTGTCCCCTTTAGATTTCGCACATCGTTTGCGCTTCTGGTGCGAGCAGGGTCTACGGTGTCTAGATAGGTTGCCCCTTGGCCTGGGCCGAACCATTGGAAGCGTGAGTCTCTAAACAATCATAAGTTGTAGTCGGATGTGTAAATTGAACATCTGCCCGACAGATTGTAACCGATCGGAATTACCTTAACGATCCCAAAGCCACAGCTTACAACTACTGGGTGAAGGGAAAGTATCATGCTGCTCCGAACGGGTCACTGATGCGGGCGTATCCCCTAGGAATACTTTGTCTCGAGAAGGCTGTTGAGATAACTTTTCACACAGCTGCAGAGTACTCCGTGGTCACCCATGCAGATCCACGGTGTGTTGTCTCGTGCTGTTTGGTGACAGGATTGATTCGTGGCTTGCTTCGCGGGCAGGTCTTTACAGAATCCGATGTGGACGCATTTATTCCTCAATGTCTTTCGTGGGTTGATCAGTGGATAGAGGAAAGGTCCTCGAAGGAAGGGAACGTGGGCGACCCTCGCCTTGACCATGAAGAGTTCTACCGACACCTGAAGGTAAAGCGATTTGATGAGCTCCAGCTAGACGACGCAATGACCATGGGATACGTGTACAAGACGCTTGGAGCAGCGATTCTATGCCTGCGGTTGGCTTTGCGGCATTCAAGTGGTTCGACGACTACCGAGATGAGCCGAAGCGCCGCGAAATTCCCAAATGCGTTCGAGAACTTACTTACCACCTTGATTCTCCAGGGTGGCGATGCAGACACGAATGCATGCGTGGCAGGGGCTCTCCTGGGTGCCCTTATGGGATTCAACAGCTTACCTTCACATTGGAGAGATGGATTGGCTCACTCCCAATGGCTATTAAATAAATGCGATGCGTTGATCTCCGTTACCAAGGTCAATAACGAGACCTTACCTTACAAGGGAAGTGAGGATCCGGACACAAGTTTAGATGGAGGAAAGGGAGTGTTGACCAGAGAGGAATTGGAAGCTCGGGAGAAAGCTTTTGTCCACGCCTATATGGCCAGGTTACATCTTGGCAGGGACCAACCGGAGAAGGGCTGGTTGAAGAAGTTGTTGAAACATGCGCAATGAAGACTGGATTTTATAGCTGCAAGGACCTAAGAATACTCCTGGTATGCTAGCAGGATCATTTCGCCTAAAGTATCTCCTGCAATCTTGCCTCCAGCTCCGCGTTTCTCCAGTCACGCTTGTTGCACATTTCATCCAATGCAACTGCCACTACAGTCCCATCTGAATTTTTTGTGCATAATGGCCACCGTTCTCGGGATAGAAAATTTGCATCCAGGTTCTCCCTGGCCACTTCGTCTGCTTCGTGGAGAGTCGAAAGCACAAAGAGATAACTAATCAGTATGATACACTGGGTAGACTACTGTCTCTAGCATCTCATGCTGCTGTAGATTGGTAAAACATTGTCAGTCCCAGCAGATGTGGCTAGTGGCGGCTTAGTCCACGATCCACCATTCGTCCGTCGCGTGGTATAAAGCGTGGTCACCCTCGCTCTTATTAATCCTCTGTCTCTTGGAAGTCAGCGGGCCCTTCCGTTCTTCCCTCTGGCTCGATGAATATCTTGAATCTCTGGGTGCGCTCGAATCAATCCTGGCTGCTTTGCTCTGCAGCCTCAAATGAGGATATTTTTTTCCAAAATCTGGATTGGTCATGTGCTTTTCTTTGCAGTGCTTGCATTTCTTCGCAGATGTGATCACGGCATTGCTTGAGGTGGCCGACGCTCCGGATGGGGAAATCGCCGGATCCTTTCCTCGCATGATGCGCTCGGGATTTGCGAGGCAGTTTCCCACAGCTGCTGGAGCCCCTGGCTCTATATCATTCTGGATGGCATGAACGATGAAAGCACTCTGCCCGTCAACCGAATTGCAATGTGTGTCTTGTCCCCGATTGATCCGGATGTGATGGATTGCAGGTCGTTTCCCTCAGATGTGCGAATAATTCGCAGTATGTGGCCAGTTCCGTCTGATCGTAACGTTCCTCGAGATCGGTCCACAGCTCTCGAGATGCTTCGATTTCGTCACCTGCACACTGACTCTTGGAACAAATATATGGGAATGGTATGATATGCCTCAACTTCTCTGCACCAGTCCTGCGGCGTTCATAGGCTTGTACTTCACAGTCTGGCCGCATTTGAATCGCCCCTGACCTGACGGGCCGCCTCAATCCGGAATTCTCCGATAAGCGGAATGACGTCAACAGCGATCGGTTTCTGTCAGAATAGGCAGACGTCCCAGTACTACGCACAAATTGAAACAGTGCTACATTTTTCTGGTGTAGTGGTATATCTGACATTTTTTGATACTTGAATTGGCACTTTGGACATTTCAATTCGCCAGATACGACATACCACTCCTGTCTCGCTTTCAGATTGGAAATCATGATTCGTTTCCGGATGGCATAAATGCTGCTCCCCTGAAGGGCTCGATGCCTGCTACCATGCCATCGGAGGAAGAAGTAGACGAAGCATGAGTCTCTAAGCTAGGCAGCCGTGATTGTGAAGGGTGCCCAGTGATAGGTTATAATAGAAATAGAGAAAGCTCAACAATGGTTCTAAGTGACTAGGAACCTTACTTAGAAGACTGCTCCCGGGCTTATCTGTTGTAATTCAGAGGAAGACAAATTTGTTATTATTACTTTCATATGTAAACTTGAGGGTTTATGTACAAGATGACCATCAATTTGATTATATATAGAATAAGTTTCGTATGTGAAGCTCTATGGTTTGCTTGATCGAGCCTCAATTCACAACACGAAGGAACAATGTTTACGGGCGTACAATTTATCCTGTCAGTTATATAAAGCCTTGCATGTCTTATCAATATTGTCAATATTATAATAGCGCAGTACATGGTGCTCCCGGACGACTCAGCCTGTTAGTGGTCACCGTTAATATGGAAATCGAATATCAATATATGAACATCGGAGAAGAGCTGTGTCCTAGCTACCAGAAAGGCCAATACGGTCTTTGGGGCCTTTCAGCGCACTGAAAACTTCTATTCATAATGACTACAAGGTACAAAACTGTCTTGGGCTTGTCATCCATGGATCCCCTCAGGTTGACCAAATAATTAGTCAAGGGGATGTGGGTCAAGAATCCACATGTGCCAAGATGTGTCCAGTGGGTCAGGTTCCGCCATGCTTCTTTGCCGCGCCAAAACCCTACTTTTATTGTCCAATTTCTGCAGTTATGGGATTGTCCCGTTGGTAGAACACGTAGATCCTACATCGCTAAGCTAAAAGTACTAGTAGTGCGCGGGGAATGTACCCACATCTTTCCTTAATAGATCCTGTCTGTTCAAGGTTGTGGCAATCAACTTTGTTATTAGTGCAAACGGGTTGAAACAATTTTTAAAACAATGTCGCCCGAATATTTCAGAAGCTGAGTATAAATAGGATTGGCCAAGTGTCTGCCCACTGCCCTTCCATCTTTATCCCTACAATGAAAAATCGTTGGTGACTTTTGACACCTGCGGACATGCATTCCCCAAGCATCTGCATTCTGCTTATTCTGGCAACCTGTTTCTTAGGTACCAACGCTATAAGGCTTCGTCAAACCAATTCGCAACAAACAATTCAATATGCTGCCAAGCAGCCTCCATTGACTACACCGTGGACTGACAAAGTCGGCACCAATCCATGGCCAGAGTATCCTCGGCCTCAGTTTAAGCGGTCTAAATGGAAGAATCTAAACGGTATTTGGCAGTATCAGAGTGCATCCGGTCTTGATGCGGTCCAAAACCCTCCGTTTGAACAACCATTTACAAACGAGGTCCTTGTTCCTTCCTGTCTGGAGAGTGGTCTATCTGGTGAGCACACCGTGTATCATGTGTTATCATATTAGGAAACAATGTACTGACGAGTTTATACTGCAGGGCTTCAAGAAAAAGACGTCAAGTACTCCTGGCTCAAGACTAACTTCACGGTTCCAAGTTCCTTTAACCGCAGTCATGTTTTGCTGAATTTTGGCGCTGTGGATTATGAAGCAACGGTGTTCATTAACGGCAAGCAGGCCGGCTTCCACCGTGGCGGTTACTTTCATTTTGCTGTTGACATCACGCAGTATTTATCATTTGAAGATGAGAATGAACTGTACGATCAATTATTCATACAAAATAAGATGGTCACTAATCTGTTCCAGTCTTGTATTTACACACGACCCTACAGATAGTGATAACTATGTCATTCCTGTTGGCAAGCAAAGACTTACTCCAGACCATATGTTCTACACTCCTTGCAGTGGTATCTGGCAGAGTGTTTGGATTGAGGCTGTCCCTGAGGAGTACATCACACAGCTGGATCTGGATGCCAATATGCATGGTCAACGTAAGTCCAGTTCCTGCTATGTCCTATTTATCAACGAACACACTCAGCGTACTAAGCCGCTGGACTAGTCAACGTCACTGTTCACACTGCCACAAAGAATGGTACATCAGTTGAGGTCAAGGTATACGACGGCCATGAGGAGATTGGATCTGGCAAACATACTTCAGATCAGCCTTTTCATTTTAACATGTCTAATATTAAGCTCTGGTCCCCAAAATCACCAAAACTGTACAATGTAACCGTGACAATGGGTACAGATACAGTTGAAAGTTACATTGGATTTCGCACTATTTCTAAAGGAACTGTGGATGGTGTAACTCGACCGTTGCTGAATGGCCAGTTTGTCTTTATGTTTGGTACCTTAGACCAGGGATATTGGCCTGATGGATTATACACCCCTCCAACCAAAGATGCCATGGTATATGATTTGAAGTTCTTGAAGGACCTTGGCTTTAATATGGTCCGAAAACATGTAAGTTGGCTTGGTAAGAGATTTCTGTGTGCGGATTTACTGATTATTACATAGATTAAAGTTGAACCAGCACTTTTCTACCGCGCATGTGATGAGATGGGATTGCTTGTAATACAGGATATGCCAAGTTTAACTCCATTACAAACTAAGACCAATACGAATGGTGATACTGTGACTATCCTGCCTGATGAGGCACAGCAGCAGGAATTCACACGACAGCTTGAACTACTAGTGACTCAGCTCAAGAACCATCCTAGTATTGTTATTTGGGTAAGTAGCTTGCTCTTATATTACTGTCGAATAGTGATTAATCTTTGCAGACCATTTATAATGAGGGCTGGGGGCAGATTATAGATGACCATCCTGAGTTTAACTTAACAGAATTGGTCAAACAGTGGGATCCAACCAAACTAGTAGATGCAACGTCGGGCTGGCATGATCACGGGGCTGGAGATTTCAGTGTAAGTAGAGTGAGACTGTATAGGCGCGAACTGGCATTTACTTACGATTCTAGGATAATCATCACTACGCCAGTCCGCAATGTGGAACTCCTTTTTATTCTCAGCCATCCAGCCCTTATGACTCAAGCCGCATTGCTATTCAAGGGGAATTTGGAGGTCTTGGCCATGAAGCCTCCATCGACCAGTGAGTGCCTTGCTGAATACTCTGGGAGTAAGATTGCTTATTGGCCCTAGTCTATGGAATGTCAAGGCGGCACTAGACACCATCAATAACACATATGAAATGGCTGCAACACTTGAGGCATGGAACTATCGCAGCCATATGCTCCTTCAAGAGCTAGAGGACCAAATCCACAGATTTAACTGCAGTGCAGGCGTCTGGACGCAGACAACCGATGTTGAGGGTGAAACCAATGGGTTAATGACGTATGACCGCAGAATGAAGCGAGTGGAAGAAAAGCAGTGGAAGGCTGATATCCGGGCACTTTATGATGCAGCTGCGGCAAGGAGCAATTCTACGCATGACTAGAATGTAGGCCTCAGGACCAACATTTCCGGGACTCGCCAGAGAATCTGTAAATTTAGCACCAGTTGTGCAGGTGGCAAATTAGAGCGACGTGGTAATACGTGTCAGATCATGTCATGAACCAGCAGTCTAGATATATCTTTTCCAATAGCCAATGAAGTGCATAGTCAGTAGAGAGCCTTTTTTCATCCGCCCATATGGGTTGAGGGCAGCAGAGAGTACCGTTCCAGCAATTCAGAGACGACTTGCAATAACCTTATCGAGTAACTTGCTTAATGTGTTCGATTCAAATAAAACAAGCCAAAGGTAACTACGTTCAGAGATATTGAGCGTTGCTATCATGACGTCTTTCCAGTTAAAACGATCTATCATCCTGAAAGGGCAGTTCTCAGTGCGAAAGAAGCAAGCCTCGGTGTGTGCCGCTATCTGCCTCACATTCTCAACACCAAAGACGTCCCTACAACCCGGAATCTAGATCATTGACAGGAAGCACGGCTCGATGTACATTCCGCTATCTAAACTTTGTCCCCCAATGGCCATCATCTTTTACAGAACCTTCATATCAAAGGCCTCCAGTTTGGGCCCGAACGCGATTGGTCAAGGAAATGCAAAGGCTACACAGGCTAGAATAAGAAACCACCGCGGCCTCTGAAGAGGGTAGATGGAAACAACACCATAATGGATACCAGACAAATAATACAATATAATATCTCCAAGTTGCAACCTCTTCTTAGAGAAAGCTAGGCCTATTTTCGTAAAATTAACTGGTCAAAAGATCGTATGTTTCTTAATCAACTTTTCGATCCTTGAAGACACTGGTCGTCTTGTGTACCTTATATTCGGCCTTCTGATGCTCGATACAATATGTGGTTGGTGTCGCTCTTAATAGAGAAAACTCTTCCCTCTTCCAGACATAGCTCGAGCAACTTGTGAGGGCAATCATAAATCCGCGTCAGCGTCAACCCCTCAACTTAATGTGTTGTTCTTCAATTACGCCAGATCAGTTCGTAAACTGTGATTGTGAATTCACTCTGGTTAATATATTTCAATCAAATCTAGACTGACAAAACTTGACCACGCATGTGAATTCAATACTTACTGTAGTTACATCCTTTGTTGTATATACCTTTTCCTCTTCTCATTCCTGTCGTCATCAAAGAGGTAGAAATATTGCCTGAGTTCCTTCTCATTTTCTTGCTGATGCTCACTTTCAGGAAGCCTCCAAGTCTCAGACTCCGTTTGAGCCCCAGTGCTTGTTGCGGTGATATGAAACATGAGAGGGGATGGTAGGTTATCGTAGGCCCTATCATTTGATTCCTTCAATGAGGTATCATCACTCTGACCATGTTCAGAGGCGCATTTTGAACAAAAACGTTCATGCCGTATGTTCTGGTTGCAAGTAAGGCACTTCCTAGATGACGAAGTCATGATTATCTATTTTCGGATGAAAAGTCGACTTAACCAAGCGAGGAGGTTAAAGAGAAAGACTAGTATATATCAGAGGATAACACACTGCAAGGATACCAGGTTTTCTGATATCTCCTTAAATATGAATCCCCCTATTATTTAAGGCTTCCTACTAGGGTAACCAATTTACAGCACCCATGGTTTGGAAACTCTCGGGCACATGATTAAAGTCCTCTATAGACAGATCTTAGAGCAAATGAGGAATGTGTGTTGTGCTAACTTCAAAGTAAATGTGCAGTCTCAAAAAAAGGAAAATAAAACGTGGCGGGAGAGCCAGAGAAAGACGTAACCTAAAAGGAAGGAATAAGTAAAGCAATAAAAATAAGGCGAGGGGACAAACGTCATAGAAAGTCTTATTCTGACATTTGCCATTCAGGGCTTTGAATCTCACATTTGGACCAAACCTAGTGCGGATTTAAACCTTGGTTCTTTGAGAAAAAAGAAAAAAAGTGATATGGAAATATATAAACCCGAGCGCCTAGCGCCTTGGCACTCTGCGGGGTATTTCTCCTGAGGACCTGCCCCTATTCACTATGTGCATGACGTGACCTAGGTACCTGTCAGATTTTATGGAATTCTAATTAGGAGGTCTGAATTGATTGTATTCAGACAGATATTGTACCTAACTCCTCTATGAGGGGTATTGGGTATATATATGATGTTGGAAGCATGAAGGAGTCTGTGATTCGAGGGTACAGGGGCACCAGCGAAAGTAGGGTAAATAATTAGTTAGTTACGTACAGATGCTGACGAAGTCAATGCAGACTGGCACCCGGAGCACCCACCTGTGTAATTACTCGCAGATGGATAACCCGATGTTCCAACACCCATATGGAGCAGTTCACATGATGTCCCAATCAGGATCAACCCATTCTCACAGTGCCCCGCATGCTATCCACCATCATAAAAGAAGGGAGTTGCCACGGCCACACTGCGCTGGCTACCACCACACTGGCTAGGCTACTGCCACACCTATTAACTATACGCAGGACTAGAGACCACCAAATAAGTGTAGTACAAATAGAGATCATGTGACTAAATCACATGATATTTGCCTAAGGCAATACAGCGCACATCTGCGAGCCCTACAACTGGTGCTAGTAGACTGCTAGCCTAAGGCCCTCTGGACAGCGGAGCTCCTCTAAAGAAAGTGTCTGTCTGTTCATTGCAACGCACTTCCCTAGGTGTCTGACGGAAATCGGGGGAATTAAGCAGTGCGCACTTTTACGGTCGCCTGACAGCAGACCTGCTTCCGATGCTCGTCCACATGGTACAAGAAATAAGGGACATCCAGAGCGCAGCGGTGAGCATGTCGTCCGTTGAGACAGGAGACCATCCGGAGAGCAGGTGATCGCAGGATCTTAACTACTCCACTGGACTAAAAGACCACTATATCAGATCCCATTGGGATCAGACATTCTTGAGCACCTTATATAGTAGCGCACTGTAATGTTAGGTGACGCACCACACTTAACATTATGAGCCTTATAGGAGACAGTTTTAGGAGACTTATCAAGTGCCAACTCTACCATTACAACTACAGGTTATATAATGAATCATGTAGGGTAAGTTAGCGGTGAGAAGCGGATTCTCCCAGTTCCATTAAAGAAGGCAGCGGCTGCAGGAATGTCATATGCAAGTGATCGTCTCTAGGGAATCGACTACGTGTAGTGTAGGAGCTATAGGAGGATTGGACCAGGCACCCGTACCCCTTTACTGCGCAGTGAGCATTCTGTTGACACCGCACTGATTATCCTTTCTTTTTTTCTCAGTGACCTAGTTACGAAGCACTGCTAGTATACTAGTTCAGTTTTTCGAACATACCCGGGCTGCTTGTCTGACCATCTTCAGTACGGCCGGTGAACGCATATTATATTGGCTTTTGTCTTCAATGCGAGCAAAGTGATCACAACCGTCTAAACGTCGAAAATTCCCTGGGAAAGGGCAATGTTGATAAGAGTAAGCTATAAGCCTACCTCTTACCGATAATACCTTCCAAGGTACCTACTGATACCTGTTTAGTTATTGATTATAAGACATCGGACACGAAGAGCGCTATCCCTTTGGACTGAGTCGACTTCCTGTTCGACACTGTTGGCATGGATATGGAGTATCACTTTCTGATGAGGCCAAAGCCTAGCCGTATTCTTTCTGTTTCAACATTACCATTTGGAACCTAGCTACAAGATTCTTCGGTAGTGAGGCCTCATCAACCGACTGTTCCTATATATTTCAAGCTTGTGTTGAATGCGATGGATGCTACCTGTAAGCCTTGTGCACGACGGTATGGTGTGGATTGTTCGTACATGTTTCTCGAGCCAAGTGGGACATACTTGGACTTGCTACGACAATATGTGGGCAAGGGCAGATTAAAAACTGTGGTTAGTACCACTGTTAATATGTGGGATTAAACAGTGCGAAATGCCTTCCAGATTGTATACAGCAACCAGGGTAGTCTTGGGAAGGCGGTGATTCGAGTTACTAAGCCAGAGAAGCAGACCCGAGGAAAAATTCCAACAGCGTTTTTGTGTTTTGCAATCATGTAGACTAGGACGGGACAATAAAGTGTCCGACCCGTCAAGATATGGAGTCCAGTCACAGCGATCATCAACTAGTCAAATAGAGACTTACTTGCGAGAGCTCTCGGGATGCGGAGTGTGAATAATGTTGTTAGGTTATTCAGTTACAAATTATATAGATAAAAAAGAAGAAAATAAATAGAATGGTTTGAATTATTCAAGGCCAATGAGTTGCTACCGGTGGTGTTTCGTAGTACTCTCTCCTTTCAGAGTAATCAAACTAGAGGTGTAGAGGACATAAAACAAAAGAGTTTTAAGAGTCTCTTTGACCTGTATAATATACACCCTTATACTAAGATATGATCACATGCTCACATAAACATTTCATTCTAGATAAGCACAAAATGTTGAAGCTATATTAATTTTATTAAAGCCAATACCATTTAACCAAATTTAACTCATAAGCAGAATGCATTAGCCCCGGACCTAAGATTCTAAAAGGCACATGGAATGCATATGTTCACTTACAGTACCTGTGATACTATAAGGAGGGACTGGCAACAGGGTCTCTTTCGCCACTTTGCATCGCCTGATGAACAGACGTAGACGGTAGCCTTGGCATATGTGGGGAGGATTCCACCCTAGTGTTGGGAGCTCCTGTGGCCATTGCTTGCCGGGTGGTCCGGAGTGGCAATTTGGTCACTAATGATGAGACTTGCAATTACTAGTTCAAGCCGGGGCAATAATACACCCGACTCCTGGGACCTTTAGTTTAGTGCCTTTCAGTCAATATAATTGGGCCCAGTGGACACCGATTTATTTAAGGTTGGAGTCACAATAGCGGAATCAGGCTAGACTTGCGAGTCTGTCAGGCTGTACTGGCCACTAACTAGAACACATGCTAAGATATATTTTATATAATAAAAAAAGTAATAAATAAAAGGCACGGAAATTAGAAAGAGAAAGAAAAGAACCGTTGTTAAAGCCCGGTTAAACATCAGCAACTACCTTACTCCGTACAACCGCCCTGATTAGGCTTCGTGGGACCAACTCTAACTTTGCCATAGGCCCCTTTATATACAGTGTGACACGGAAATTTCGGAAGTTGTTTCTCGTCTTCGAATACATATTATCCAGATACCAGGCGCACCCTTAGGTATGTCACTTTCCCACTTTACTTGCCAACGATCCATTGATTTTTTAATACTACGAAAGGGCGAAACGAAGAGAAGATATCCTAACTTAGTGGGGTCTCAGAAAATGGCGTCCTTCCTTGCGGCAAATTTAAACCCTTGTAACTATGTTGGAGGAGTGAGCTTTAATCCCGATCGGGATATTCCAGACCTGTCAGGCAAGGTTGTGCTGGTGACTGGAGGTATGCAGCCTTTGTTTCTTGTTCTCCACGCGTCTTAATATATGATAGGAAATGCTGGACTTGGAAAGGAATCAATTCTCCAGCTGGCCAAACATAACCCGCAAAAGATATTTCTTGCTGCACGCACGGAGACAAAGGCAGAGAAGGCTATCGGCTCCCTAAAAGCTGCGTTATCGAACAAGGTCGATATCACCTGGCTTCCTCTGGACTTGATGTCCATTAAATCAATCCAACGGGCTTCGGAACTCTTTTGCGAACAGTCAGCACGACTCGATATCTTGATCCTCAATGCGGGTGTTATGGCTCTACCATTAGGAGTAACAGAGATGGGGCACGAGATCCAGCTGGGTACGAACCACACCGGGCATTTTCTTCTCACACAGCTTTTGCTTCCTACACTGTTGAAGACGGCAGAGGATCCGAACTCAGATGTGCGCGTTGTCTCTCTCTCATCGATAGGGCATAACTTAGCTCCATCCTTCGAGACGATCCTAGACCAAGAACGGTTGAAGAAAGTCAACACGAATACTCGGTATGGAGCTTCTAAGGCCGCGAATATATTATTCGCTGCCGAGCTTGCGCGGCGGTATCCTTCAATCACGTCTGTTGCTGTTCATCCAGGAGTAATTCTTACTGATCTATATGCCTCCGTAAGCGGGCGCTCTATGCTCGCGGCATTGGGCACGAAGACCTTAAATGTTTTTGGAACATCGGTTCCCGCTGGCGCCTATAACCAGCTTTGGGCTGCTGCTGGAGCTCGAAAAGAAGATCTTGTGAATGGAAGCTACTATATTCCGGTGGGACATGTCAAGCCACAAAACCGTTATGCCAAAAGTAAAGAAATGGGGAGGCGCTTGTGGGACTGGAGCGAGTCGGAGCTACGGAAATTTGGAGCTTTACCTTGAGCTTGTTGTTCTTCGTCTTTCCATATTTGATACTTGATCTTTGGCTCCTTCTCCCCTATTTCACAGTTTTTGAAACAGGCACCGCAAAATATTTATAGCTAACTAATATGGTATCTGGTTCACTGGGAGAGAATATTACTATTTTCTCTAACGCTCTTGGTTATTTGCACCTTACAAATTATTAGCTCTAGGGTGCAATGTCTAATCTCAATCAGCCCTTATATTTAATTTTTATCATTTTTATGGGCCAACTAGAATTCACTTTCCAGATCTTCCAGTTCCAGCATGTTGAGATAATAATAATTCTAAGAAGATTTGCTAATGGTATGCATAGCTTTCTAGTGAGTCACCTAGACTTGGGGAAACCTCAACACAGTATTCGTACCTATCATTGCAAAATCTCCAATTACAGCTATTTGATCCTACAATATATAAGCAGGCAGATCATTTCCCCCCTCCTCCTATCTCATATCTACATACGTGTTTTAAACCATTGTCTTATTATTATTCCTCTCTTCTCCTTCTCATCCTGTTACCACCCTACTAAGAAGGACAGATGCGTGCTCTATAGTGTCATTGTGCGCGGTTACGTTTGAATGTGATACTGGTGGCAACATGCCGACCTCGCAAGAATGTCACTACGGAAGAGTAAACGCGCCACACTTCCGTGGTTGAGACAAGTCAAAGCTTTTTCTTTTCTTTTCTTTTTTTGTTCAGAGAAGGAAAATAAATTGTGGCAATGATTCGCATTCATAGTTCTTTCTTTTCAGCTTGTCGATCCCGGGTGACCAAAGGGAACACTGCCCAGGCAGTCATTTCCGCATCAGAAAGACGTGTCTCATGCCCACACCTGGTTTTCACCTCCCATGACACGTAAAGAGCCTATATCTGCCCACTTTGCTTCACAGTCCTGGTATCCCGTCGGTTTTTGACTCAATCAGTTGAATAATCGTAAATCCAGCTCCTTCATTACACAAGTCTTTCTTTCACAGTATCCTACATTGTATAGTCCCCTATTGTTTGATATCTGAGTGGTACCGAGTCCACGGCTCTGGTTACATTAAATACCACAAACACAGACATAACTGTCCCAGGGTAAATACTTGGATGTGCATGATCCAAAAGTAAACAAGATAATTACTTAAAGGGCAAGATCTTCCTAGTTCACCAAAGGCCCCGTCAAAAGAATGCCCAAATTTCACGCACAAATTCGGATCATTTAAGCCGATAAATGGCTCTATTCTATTCTTAAGCTTCCCAACCCAATTATAAAATGTTATTCCATCCTTTATTTCCCCTTGACAAGGGCCAGGATCTGGGCACCACCCAGACCTATAATCTATTCCCCAACAGATCTGCCAATGGCTTTGGCATGAGTCACTGACTTAACCAATCCGGAACTGTGAGAACAAATCTCAAGACCGCCATCAGGATTTGATAGAGCACCAGTAATATAGAGTTTGCCTTCATACTGGACATGCTTTGTGGTCAAGTCTCCGCCTAAGTGTGTGCTTGTAAATGAGACATAGATACATAGATACTAATAAGTGCACAGCAACGCACTTGAAGGTAGTGCAAAGGGGCCCGTTCGGCCAGGGCACAAACGAACGTGGGCCAATGATATATGTGCGCAACAAGGGCTAGAGTATTTTCATCCCGTCATGTACTTCTATTTCAAGAGCCCTTTGTCCGGCAGAGTAAGTAAGCTCAGGATCTGAGAAACGCGCAGTAATACGGAGTTCCAACTTAAGACAGATCATACCAGCAGAGGCAACCACAATATCCGTGTACGGAGAGTCATTAGTATCTAATTTAGCTACTCGACTGTCCCTAAAAGTTTTTCACTTGTTATTAGTACACGATGGCTGGCCAGAGAAGAATTAGTTACTAATACATATAGATATCTTAATGCGGACAGTCATGCTTCAACTGCGCTGTGCGACGAATAGAGCTCGTTCCTATCCTCAATTCAGGTGGGATTTCATCCAGAGATCAATATGGAAGCCCAGTCTTAACCATTAGACAAGGTTGTAGGATCGTGGCGATGGGGATATGCACTAATAGCAAAACCGCCAGGGAGAGTTGTCGACATGTCCTTCAAGCTGTGGGCAATAAGATCAAGATCACCTGCTAGCTGTGCCTCAATTTCCCAAGGTCCATTGACTCTTCCATGCACTGGCTGATAATATATCTGGTATTCTTTTGGCAAGGTCCCGGAATGGGGGTGGCTTATCCCGATCTCCTTGAACACTCAGAGTTGAGGTTGGAAATGTAAATCAGTAGTGCACCTTGTAAAGCGCAGCTGAAACCGGTGAGGTCTGAATCAGTGCGAACTCTGAATTGCGACTCCCAATGTGGGTAGATTGAAAAAGGTCATGCGGCTCCTCTCCCTTAGTGAGTGTACACTGGAAGCTGGGCTCTTCATTGTGCATGCTGGAATTCCGACGAAGATTTGTTGAGTTGTTTAGTTGAGACATTGTTTTCCTTGTAAAGTGGTCGCAGAATTGGAAGTCTATCGAATAGAGAAGTTGGGACAACTTCTCTTTGCCTACGTGGCGTATTCTGTTGGCAGAGATATATTCTCTCTAACACCCATGTACCACACTACGGTGGATTATGACAGTCATGAGGGACTGAGAGCTGACAATAGTAAGCCACGAAATAGTTTCGTGGTGCATCGAGCCTAGCCAGGCTCTAGGAAATCAGAATACCCCGAATTTTTAGGGGTGCACTAGTGGTGTAACCGAAAGAGGGGCAGAGAATGCTCGGCATGACCGTTAAGCATCCCCCGAGTGGGCCAGTGGCTAAAGACTGACCAGTAGATTCGTCAGAAGGCTATATACGGCCTATGGCGATCTCTCAGAGTGCTGCGATAGGCGCCAGAGTATGGAGATCCTGGCAGGTGCATTCATTAGGGCTGATGGACTATTATTAATCCTCGAACCTCTTCCAGCTATGAATGTAACGATCGTTCTCACGCCGAGGAATCCGGTCGGGCACGCTTTCGCAGCGCATGCTGATCTGTAGTCTTGGTCATGTTATTAGAATTCATTACCTTATTGTTCCCCAGCAGTGGCCGGCGTTTCCTCGGTCCGCCCCAGATACATGTTGGGCTTTCTATCACCAGGAGAGGGGTATATCAGGAGGATATATGCGGCTACTCATCTCTCTACCCTGAGCTCCAAGTCATCAGTAAACGTTTAGACTGTCCTGTTCTGCATCCCAAGTATCGTCTTTCTGTCGAAGAACATGCTTCATTTCTGGCGGCTCTGCAAGACACCATCAGCTCGTATGCACATATCCTGGTACGAGCATGGCATGTGGTTCTCTCTGGAGAGTCAGCCGGGGGTATCTTGTCCAGAGTATACTACACTATCTAAGTAGCAATGCCGATAGTGGTGGGAGGAGTGTATTGCCCCTGCCTCGAGCAGGATTACTTTGGAGACCCTGGTTGGATCTTAGACTCGCAGTGGCGGGTAAACTCGCATCCCATCTACGCCGCAAAATGGTTTGTCCTTATGGTGAACTGACGATATGGGGCATACAACAATTTACTCCTGATGGATGGTCCGGTGAACAGCCATATATCTCTCAATTAAGAAGTGAGTTTTTACTCGCCTACACCGATCTTTATACAAACCGGCATAGCAGAGGTGCTGTATGAGGGCCATATAGAGTTGAACATCAAGGAACAGGGAACAAGGATGAAGACGGTAGAGATTTCCAATGCACCGCATTATACATTTAGCGTGGGGAGGGTATAAGTTATTAGGATTTGCAAAGGCAGAGGAGGCAACAGACTTTGTAAAATGGGCGGAGGATTGATATAAATTTATATCCCACTCTACTTCCTAGTGTCCTGTATATATACCATCAGCCTAAAGAAATTATTTATACACTGCTCATTTTACTCATCCACCCAATCCAGCGCTGTAGTCCTGGTAAGAGAGATAAGCCCTGCTTTAGAATTGCCAGAGGGTAAGGGAAAACTTACAAGAGCCGACATACTGCTGCATGCTAGGGTATTCACGACTGGGGTATTGGGGCGTAAGCCCCGATGCCGGAACGTAGTGGAGGCGTGGGAGTGACACGCTTTCGCTACGCTACAGCACAGGGAGACCTGTAACCTGGAGAGGAGAATGGATTTGTCAGCCTGTATTACTCTTTCCTCCTAGGATAGTCAGAGGATTAATGATTAATCAATTTAATCGGTGCAGGATCTTAATCGTTGCCCACCCTGTACAGTAGTGTTAGTATATCTGCCTATTCTGACAGAATCTGATGTTGGGGTGAAGAGCCTGCGCGGGCTCGAGGTCTACCCGCAGGACTTTGATCGTGCTGGGTGAGATTTAAGGTGCTGCCGTATATGAACCCTGATAGGGTTTATACCTTCAAGCCGCATCATGCTGTTTTAAAAGCGAGGTTAAACGCGGCCACGAGGTCCCGAGTTTCATGTTGTACAACTCAGGTCGTGAGGTCAGTTTTTCTGCGGCGCGCCACAGGAGAGTAAATCGGGGATTTACCGGCCCGCTCCTCCTTGCGGAACTTGCGAGCTATTAGCCGAATGGCAGGAAGGGAGTCTGGAGTTTTTATTAACACATCTGCTGATGCAGTCTGCAGCGGGGTAATGCCACTCTAGTTTCTGATCTGGGAAAATACTTTGTCTGTAAGCAGATGGAGCCCACCAACCACGATTTGGCTGTAAATGCCTGGCTCCACGCGCCCCGAAAGAGTAGCCGAAAGTTCCGTTCCATAAGATATATTAATATTAACCCCTGACCAGTCGCCATCAGCCTGTCGCAACCATTAAGTGGAGAGGGCGGAAACTACCCCAATATTCGGTGGTTGAATGCGACGAGTCGAGTGTGGTGGCAACACCGCGAGCAGAATTCGATTCTGATCTGCATAGTTAATAAATTAATATAACTATTATGACTGTGTAAAATTAGGAGCCGGTAGCCTCGGCTAGCTTTCTACTTAGTATACTATTTAAATACGCGCTAAAGACAGTATAAACCCAGAGCGTCGCAACTCCAGCCGTTTCAGCACTGTCAAAGAATAGTACTTTGCTAGAGTGAGTCAAGTCTTAAAGCCAGGATTCCTGCAAGTCATTTGGCTCCCCTTTGTAGATCAGGGCTAGTGGGAGGTGAGAGTAGTCGGTATAGATCGCAGCAATGGGGGTGTTGAACTTCCGGTTCCATCCTGACTTGCTCCGAGAAGAAGGAAATAACTCGCTTGGGGCAGCGAGAGAGACCGACCTGGAATGCTTTCTCGTCGAAAACTTATAAACGTTTAAGGGGTGGGGGTTGTATTTTTCGATTTTCTCGCGGAACTAGTCGATGAGAATGTGTAAATCAAGTAAACTAACATGTCAACTGCATCCTACTTAACCAACTGCGTCATTACAAATACACTCTTACTAAGCCCCCTAGAGCCTAGCTAACGAGATCATCTGTTGGAATATTCTCCCGGGACGGGAGCGGTTTATGTATATTATCAACGACCCCGAGCGAGGCGTCTTCTTTTTCACAGACCAGGGCGAGAGCAAGCCTGATGTAGGAAGAGCGGCATTTAATGACGCCAATTCACCAGGATCTGCGTCAGCAGCGAGATAAAAACAGATTCAGGTGACAGCTGAAGCCCCAGTTAAGTGTCAGGCAAACCACGTTCAGTCTGACACTCTGACATAAGGTAATATCAATATTGCACTAGGCCCGGTCGATTGAGACAGATCCTTAAGCAGCCTGTGGCATGCACGCCCGCAGATCTTGGACTTGACCACGTTATAGAAGGGGTTCTATAACCACGGATCCTAGATCTAGGACTCTTTTCTCTCCTTCTTGTGTTTTGTTATCAAGCCGCCGACAACGAACCATGGCCAGAAAGTCTGAGTTTCGACGGAGCTGCGCCCTCTGTCGCTCTCGCAAAATTGCCTGCTCTGGCGAACGTATCTGCACCGCCTGTCGCGACCGATCAATTGAATGCGTGTACGATTTGGAGATCGCCAAGGGCCGTCCCCGAACGAACAAGACTTCCTCTTCCTCGCGTGCATCCACGGCTTCTGCAACACTAGAGGAGAGTGAGTCTGGCGACGGCGGACTCCCAGAGAGCATGACCAGCAGCAGCAGCGTGGCCGGGGAGTTGGACGCCATGTTTCGAGAGAATTTCGGGGGCGAGCCCATAGTTGCCCCGTCGAACATCTTCCAGGTGCGCGTGGCGACCTTCAATCAGCATCTGGTGGCGGGCAAGGCATCGCGCGAGTCTCCCACACCTGCCGGTAGCCTGAGCTATTCTGGATTCCTAGCGCTGGTGACGCAAGAATTGATCGAGACAGTCGTCGGCAAGTTGGGGGGACTGGGGTCCCACGCCTTTTTTGGACAAGGAGAACGCTTCTACCGGGCATGCATGCTGCAGGACACCTCCAAGACCATGTTTGGCACACCAGGCCCGACGCCGGCATCGTCGCCATGTGCAGGTCTCGACATCATGGCCGAGTACGGCTCCCATATGATCACGCAGCATCTCGAGGTCTGGTTCAGCCACCACCCGCTGTCGATCCTCGTCTCCAAGGCGCTGCTCCTGCGCGACCTGCGGAACCAAACCGCCCATCGGGTGTTGCTGGCTGTTCTTTTGGCCGATGCCCATCACTTCGCCGACGATCCTCTCAAGGGCGACCGCATGCTGAATTGGGCCGTCTCGCAGCTGCACACAATCCCCGTCGATCAGGCGGACATGACCACGGCACACATCACTCTCCTACTGGGTTGGTACCATGCCTGTCGCGGGCATTCGCGCCGGGCACTGTGCTATATCGGCTATACGGGACGCATCATGGCCAAGCTGAAGGTGAAGCTGCAAAAGTCGCCTCTGACGGGGCAGACACACATCAACGGCATCGACCGGGGCGCGGTGGAGGCAGAGCTCATCCATAATACGTGGTGGGTGATGCTGGCTCTCACTGTTTGGGCCTTCATCCAGATGAACATGCCCGTCACTGACCTCCTACCGGCGAGTCTCATGCAAGTCGACCTCGCCAGTACTGAGACCGAGTCGATGCTGCTGCAGCTCGACCGCGCGACGTACAACCTGTCCACCTTGCGGTCGCAGCTCTCCTCCCTCAAGTCCGTGTGGCTGCTGGCTCATCTGACCTTGCTGGCCGCCCATCTCTATGCCTTGTATCAGCCGCCCACACCGCGGAGTCCGCCGCAAGGGCAACACTCCCGACCCTGGCAGGATCTGGTGCTGCATCGACTGAATTGTCTCCTCAGCCAGGGCCGCAGTCTCGTCCAGGTGTGTGCGGATTCCCGCGCAGCCATCAAGGATGTCATCTCGCTCTTGCAACTCGAGCAGGTCGAGGGCAAAGGGGGTCTCGCCCTCCTCACCGTTTACCACGCCGTCTCCATCCACCTGCTATTCCCCTGTGAAGAGGGCACCCCAGACAGAAACACCCTCGTGCTCACTTACCAAGTCTTCCAAGAACTGGCCCGGTCTATGCATGATCTCCAAGCCATCTTCCAAACCGTCCAAACATGGGCGCGGCCAGACTCCTCGCGGCCCGCCAGCACGGCCGCGGCCTCGCTGCATTTCTTTATCCTGGCCCTAGATGCCACCAGTCGGGCGCTGATGCAGATCCTCACAGTCTTGGATCGGTGCCCGCGAGCCGAGCAGCAACGCTGGATCGAGTGTTTACTGCCGTTATTCGAGGGAGGGTCGACTTTACATGGTTTATTTGACCACGACATACTTTTGCAAGATCATCGATGGAGATTGGTGAAGCGACAACTGAAGATGGCGTGTAAGCGGTTGGAAGGGTTCCTGGGTAGCTCTCGGGACCAGTTCTCTCGCCCCTTGTCGTCCCTGGAGTTGAACGTGGCTCCTTCTCCCCCCGAAGGAGGAATAGGAGGAGTGTTCTTCTCCAATGCCATTCACGACCCTATCCCTTCTTCATCGTCTCTCTCACAAGAGCCCCTACGATGGCCTGACTGGCACCCTGTGACCCAGGGACAATTACGAGATTCACATTCCAAATCAGTATCGGACTTCGACCTCACATACCTAACCCCAACCGGCGGATCGCTGGACTCGTTAGCAAGTGCCGACGAGACCTCCCATCTCATGCAGCAAATGCCCCAGCACCCTACATCATTGACATCGTTCTGGTCTGGGCTGAATCTGAGTCCCTCTAATACGCTGGTGGAGATGGTGCCGTCACCTTCTTCGCTTTCGCCAGCTGGTTTCGTGATGACCGATCACCGTGGTCAGAGTAAACGGTCATTGGATAACCTGTGGTTGTTGGATGGGGTGGATCATTCCGTGTCGACGCCCAATATGAATTTGGCGAAGAGACTGAAGGGGGATTTGACAGACCAGACGACATCGTGAGTAGATTGGCTTAGAAGTAAAGGCGTGGGATTTGATATAGATTTCAGTTGAAATTATCATGATGATGACGAAAGAATAAAAGTGATCAATTGAGCTCAATGAAATATTGCCAGAACAAACGTATCATTTCTACAACACCACCAGTTCCACCACCCCCGAGTCCGAGTTCCTATCCCTCAGGATCCTGCTCACCCTCCAGCCTGCCCGTTCTGCAATCTCCCCAAACATCCGCTCACTCCTGCGCTTCCCCCCAAAGTTCAACATCCATAGATCCAGCGCCGCCACCTCCAAGGTCAGTGGGGCCTGAAGAATCTGCTCCGAAATCAGGACGCGCGAGTCCGGGGCGGCGGCGGCGCGGAGATGGCGGAGGATGGTCACACAGTCGTTGTCGGGCCAGTCGTTCAGGACGCGGCGGATGTGGTAGGCGAGAGCGCCTTAGATTAATGTATATTAGCCTTCTGAGAGTCCAAGATACGGAAAGGATGCTACCTTTGATGAGTTGCTCATCGAAGAAGCTCGACGCTATTTTCTTGACCGGCCGGAATATGACCTGGTCTTCACCATCTTCTTCCTGGGCCTGGCGAATTACTTCCGGAACGTCCTGCAACACGCAGCGTTCTGGCACGATGCTGGGATATTCCTTCAAGATTGCTTTGAGAGCCTGTCCTTTCCCGCCTCCCACGTCCACAATCAGCGGGCGACAAGCATCTGGCCCCTGTGGATGAGAGCGAGCATACTCCCCAATCCACCCAAAATCATACATCCCTAACACCGGCATTGGCGGGAACGAGGCCGCCATCGTCCGATTGAACAGCGCCGCTCTCTCCGGAATCGTCTCTAGTATCTCATAGAGGGTTTTATCCGGATGACCTGCCGCGAGACCGAAGGGTGTCTCTCTGGCACTTTTCGGCTCGACCAAGCCGTGCTGTTTCATATACTTGGGCCAGCTGGTGGATGGCACGAGGAAGAAGTCGAAGATGTGGTTGAAAAAGAGGAACTGCCAGCTGTCTTGATCAACAAATTGGAGGGAAACGGCGGTGTGAGCGAGGTAGCCTGGATGGGGGGCAGAAAGGACCTTTGCCGCCACCAGGAAGTTGGAAAGACGTTCGAGGAGGTTGTAGTCAGCGTTGAGAGTCGTGGATAGCTCGGAGAGGGAGATTCCATCGTCGTTGGTGGGCAGGAAAGCGAAGATTTGATGGTCGACAAATAGTTTCATTATCCCAATTTCGACCATGGAGAAGTAGTAGCGGTGAATGAGAGAATCACCTTTGTTCGATAGGCTGGCAAATGACATGGTTTGTGCGTCCGACATGGTGTTCGGTGTGTTGATCTAGATGGGTCTACTGCTGGGGATGCGTGGTTTGGATCTTGGATGATGTCGGGAAAAGGGACCAGTATAAATACTGAACTATTGAGCTCGATGCATATTTTGAGTTCCCAGAAATCAATATCTTACAGTAATGCTACCATGCCGCATATGTCTAGTCAGCCTGAGCTTAGGAAGAGAGAAAGTGAGAGAGAAGGAATTTCCGGTCCACATCGGACATTTGTACATTTTCTTCCTATCCCGTCCGGACACCAGTTAGATACTTCGTTTACTTCACTGCAGTGGTGGCACAGTGCCTTGTTCGGGGGATCATGATCATTTGGATATTATCCAGATTCTAATGGAGCCTGAATACATAGTATCATGGATCTTGAATACGACATAGGAATTGGCGACGGTTGATCTATACGCCTGCCGCGGCAAGTAATTCCATTGCATTTGATTGATCATAGTCCGTACTACGTTGCAATATAGCTAGTTCTCCGACAATGCATTGAATTCTCCTCCTGGTTGACCCTATTGTAAAGCAAGGGAGCTGGACCAGAATTCCGTGGTTCGACTACAAGCATGTTCAACTATTCAAGTTTTGGGAACTATATTGCCTACCAAACATAAGTAGATATAGGTATCTGGTTCATCTTAGTATCGTACTTCAAGGTTTAACTGTATTAAGGTTGTGCGAAAGAGTTAACTTGTCAACGACACCTTCTCTCCCATCCACCTCTCCCCACCTTCCACCACTACCTCGTTAAACATCCACTCTCCGACATCTGCCCTCAGAACCTTATACCCAACAGCTGGCTTCCCACTCTCCGTCCCAACCTGCACCGTCTTCCATCCATTGCCAGACGTGATCAAATGGTCACCGGTAAGTAGACTACCCGGCCGCACGGTGACGATGCCTCGGAAAAGCGACTTCGAGTCCTCCTGACACAGGATTTCCTCCATCCGCCATTTGTCCGCATGTGGAACATGAAGGAGCGCGTGATAGGGCCAACGTAGCAGGAAAGGGACGTCTTCGCGGCGTTTGTTGGGATCGATGCCCATCCCGGAGATGACGGTGAGTAGTGGCTTTGGCTGGGTGTCGATGAGCGATGGACGCTCCAAGTAGATCTGTCGGAGGGCTGTCAGGAGGGCCTGAGTGCTGTCTTCGCAGATGTGAGGGTTATCAAATTCCAGGCCCCAGTTTCGGAAGGTTCCTGAGCCACCGATTCCACTGATGATCTTGGAGACCACAGTGTAGTTGCCGCCATCATCATCACCGTTACCATCACCATCAATGTCCTGGAGGAGAGTCGATTTGACTGCTCGGGGATCTGTCGCGTCCCCTTGGACAATGCGGAGTTGGGCATCCAGAGTCTCCTGGTCCAGGCTCTGGGTGAGCAGGAGGGACGTCAGCTTCGATGGAGAGCGAGCGAGAGCGACAGCGGGGTAGCCGTTTCGGAGGCTATGGGCCAGGCAGGCATTAACACAGCCCCCAGTGGCGCCTAGAAAGGCCGTGGTGGTGGATTTCGGCATGACGACATCCGTGGTTTGTTTCATAGACACCTCTCCGTACTTTAGTAACAATTGCTTTATACCAGCTGCAATGGCGATTTTCGGAGTCGAAGTTGCTCCAGCTCGGCCTGTTCTGACGTTAGCCTGACGTTAGCCTTGTCGCGATCGGAATCGGCGGAATGAGCGAAAGGTAATTAAGGCTGTAGATCATTTTAGGCATCTTCTATTACTTGTCAGGCGTCCTAGTCGTTCATATATATTGTTGGGAGGCTAGATTTGGTAGTTGCGTAGAAAATTTTCCGCTTGGGAACGGAGACTTAGGGTTTGGTTGAAGGGAGATGTCCCTGGCCACGACTGGTTTCCACGATGCCCTCGTCCGTCATGGGACGGACATTTTCGTTCTGTAGCACTGAGACCAACTAAAAGGCTAGGTCTTTTTACTCTTCATTGGTGGTCTGGTGGTCGATCCTTTTATGACAATGCTCACCAGCTTATGCAAGTATGGTCATCTTATTCTGGCACAAGGCATAAGGTTTGGAAGCGCTATCGGTCTCCCACTAAGACATATGTCTGATACTTTGGGTTTCGATTGTCTGTTAGTCTAGCCTTTCTCCTCCCTTCCTGTTTTCTCATCATCACTCGACCTTCCTAGCCGGGTGGATGTAGAAACATACAGTTCGACTTAGAATACTCCTCTCCAGCTTTCTTCTTTCCGCCTTTATGCGGTGTCCTATTAGTTGTGATCGCATAGGGCTGTTAGTTATCCCTTCCAGTTCTTTATATTTCTTTCTTTCTTCTATCAACCTACAGACTAATTTGCTGCCGCATTATACCGATTATCTTCATGTCCATCCAACCTCGGGGTCCATCATAGCCTTTGCGATATTATACTATGTTTTTTCTAGAGATTTGATCCTCCTACAATCCGCCTGCATCAGTTAAATCACCACCGACTTTAGTATCGTTGTAGTGAATATAGGGCTCATGCTGGGACTGTATTAGTTTGGGTATATAACTCCGTTTAGTGTATTTATTTTCTATGGTCTCTCTCTGACGAGTCTTGTAGATTCCTTCTTTCTAATAATCAATTTTGACTATATACTGCCATTAGTGAGATTACAGCTGCGTATAAAGACAGAGTCACTTGAATTCTTAATCTATGTAGCTTTTGCAGTCAATGTATAAATGGGTAATCTATGTGAACACTTTTCGTATTCATTGTCTCCCTTGGTATCCAAAGAAGGGCATAAAGAGACTGCTCTATCACTTGCTTTATTGCTGGATCTATATGTATTTTGGTTACAAACCAGGATCGGGATGACACCTGCAGGCATAGCATTTAGGAACGGCTTCAAATACTACTATACATATATACCAATTGCAACAATAGAGTATCCAGGACCACAAGAAACTTTCAGAAGCGTCGGATAACAGAATGGGAGCCCGTATTTCTGTACTTAAGATAACTGTGCGTTGTTTCCGAGTTATCTATCTTGTCTAGTAAAGGTAAGCTTATCTGTATATATTGCTACAGTTTTCATAATATTACATTAATGAGTAAGCGAAGAAAACATAACATATATTTCACCTCCAATGAACATAATCATGTTGGTAGTTTATATTTTCACTCTCTGTCACATGCCTAGTTAAAATCAATCAGGTTATCTATTGCTGTACAATGCATATTATCTAGGAAATAAAATAAAACTTGGTTTCAGAAAGTAACATTTCTATCCGGTCTATCGCTCTAGTAAATATAGTTTCACCATCAAACTCCATCAACAGCTATGATATACCATACATATCCTGTTGCCAGGCAAGTATCTATGCACACAAAGTCCAAGAATACGTGACGTAGAACAATATTTTCAGCTACAGCTGACCCCCTCCGGCGTGGTGGGTTGGATGGCCGCCGGATTCGTGAAAAAATTGGTCGGGTCATATTCCTTTTTGATAGCCACAAGGCGACACACATTGTCACCATAGTAGGATTCGAATGGATTAGTGGATATCGATGCGTCCATTTCCCCGGAATATGAGGCCGTACTGTGTTCCTATCTGTTAATGACCATAAACAACAAGAAAAAGAGAGAGGAACAGCCGTACCCCATTTTTGGCCGAAGATAAGTCTCCAAATCCGTAAACCATTTTTTATACCCGGCTTGCTCAGTGGCATTCATCAACGAGCCATGAACTTGGAACTCCATATGCGCATATGCCTGCTCTCTCCACGGGAATGAGATGTCACTATGAGTGTTCGTCGTTATATTCCAGGCGTGCCATTCGCCCCATAGCTGCGAGGCCGGATCCAGCTTATCGATCATGTCAATAACCATCTTCAGGTCGGATGAGGGAAGGATACGGTCTTTCAACATGTAAAAGGACTTGGCGATCCTTGGGAAACGGGCCCAAGGTTCAGCGATCGAGACGTTGGGGTCCTTCGGAACTTCGTCGTATTGGTATTGGGGGTGGTTGTCAAACTGGGAGAATGGATTGGGCACCACATTCAAGATCTGTGGGTTAGTTTCGCTGCCCGGTTTACATTCGTACGTGGTGTATCCAAATACACGGGCGTTGTTGGTGTCACAGTCGCCGGCTATATAGACCGTGGGCTTCCCAATGTCGAGGAGTCCCGATGACTTCATCAGCTCCCGCAGTTCCTGCTCCGCCCCCCCAAGGTACTGTCCAAGGAACGTCACATTAGTCGTGTAGACATTGATCTGTGAGGTGAACTCTGGCGTCTGCTGGGGGGCCCAGTCGAAGAACCGCTGCGCCACATCGTAGCGGACGCTGCTGTCGTTCCACGATATCGCCACCATGGCAGACCGCGGGAACTGTAGTAGCCGAATAGTGAAATCCACGACGATGCCATACGTTCCACCGCCTCCGCCGCGAAGTGCCCAGAACAAGTCCGCGTGTGACGTGGGCGAGGCCGTGACCACACGCCCGTCCGCCAGCACCACTGTGGCGGCCAACACGTACTCAGCGGACATTCCCAGAGCGCGCATCTGCATGCCGAATCCCCCTGAGGAGATCAGGCCGCCCAGGCCGACGGTGGGACAAATGCCCCCCGGTGAAGGTGACGTTGTGTTGGTCCAGTGCCAGATACAGCGCACCCAGACGAATGCCGGCGCCGACTGTGGCGGTTTTACGATCAGATGAGACCGTAACGCGGTTGATATGGCTCAGATCAATCACCAAGGTGCCGTTGAGAGATGAGTAGGCCTCGAAATGATGCCCCCCGGATCGCGGCACAGCTTTGTGTCCCAACTTGCGCGCGCAGCGAACGAGCAGTGGGACTTCGTCCGCCTCCTTGGCATATGCAATCATGGCAGGAAACTCGTCAAACTGGATCTTTTCTCCCAGGCGCGCATCCGTGTACGTATCGTTGCGAGCATCCACGATTCGCGCGTTCGCATCCCCCGAAATAAATGCCCGAGCAACACATTCTCGGAGTGAGTGTGTGTTATTCAAATTCGCGGTGGTCACGGCTGATGCAGCAACTATTGTGGATATTATGGCCCCCCAGGATGGAGAGCCTCGATGACAGTCTCATGCTTCTATATGGGTGGTTTTAGTGAATTAGCTCTGAAGGAATGGGAGGGACAACATCCCTTGGTTCTGTCCATAGCGCTATTTAATAGAATATCCATCCCTTGGCCCCTTTGGCCAACCAAGGGCTAGGTCCGACGAGAGACGGAAAGAAAGAAGTGAAGAGAGCAGAAAGGCTCAACCTGGTTGGGGGCAGTTTCTAATTGACTCCTACTCACACGCTGAGTGGGATCATGCCCTTCAGGCCATGCTTGACTTCGGTCAGCGTCCTGGTCGAAACGTGGCCTGCACATGGCAGGCGTGGGCGACATCGACCAGCCAACGTCAGCCACCTCCGGGCACACACGGACAACACAGCAAATCGAGAGTCTCCGGTTCCTGCATGATACCACGCGGCGAGTGGGGGCTGCCAGGCGCCCGCTTAGTATTACTGTCACTATATATATCACGATCAGCTCAGCCGCATGACTTTCGTGGCGCAGATACGGCAGACCATAGGGCACTCCTTCATGAAGCTGACAGAACCGCTTTCTGCAGTCAGACAAGTATAGTGTAATACCGTAACCAATGGGAGTACGTGGTGGACAAAGCCCTCAAGGTCGTGTGCGAGTTAATAGATACTCGCTTTGTCATGATCGACCACTGGTGCTATGTGAGCAACGCCACGACTCGAGGTAGCCCTAGAATGATATCGCCGGTCCGCAAAATCCGCACCAAAGCAGTTCCAATTACTATAGTATAGATATGCTGCGGCGGAAGGCGGACGGGCGGCTCGAGTCAAATTCTTTTTTGAGCTCCTACAAGGATGCATGGTCTTCGTTTCCAAGCCACTTACGTTGAAAAGAGCGCAACCCTGACAATGCAGGGTAATATGACAAATGTAACCGATAGACTGTTTCCGGAAATAGTTTTCCTTGAAAATATTTTCCTGCACTTGAAGAGAAGTCGTGGGCGAAATTCGACAAGCCTATATTATATCGCAGACCAGAGTTTCTTTCTTGTTCTTCTTCTTCTATTATAATATAACTATATGGCATTAAAGTCCCTGCCAACCATGCTGTTCTCCTAATCGAAGATGCAATAATCACTCCATTACCATTGCAATCTCGAGAAGGTCCTACATAATTCTGATATTTTTCTGGGGTAGCCTCTTGCAGATAATCATGTAAACAAACATCACTAGAAACATGCTCATCACTACACTATGCAGACTATATTGGAGTTCTCAGTAATTTTGTACAGGAAATAGATTTAGAACTTGATTAACTGGAAATTAATCGGATGTTCACCCTTTATATAAACTCTCAAAATCTCAGATGAGAATAATAACAACCAATGTTTCCCTGAAACTACAGCACTACAAAATGACCACCTAGTGTTACTAAAATGCTGTTTTTACAAGTCTGCATCCTCACAATGCTCCAGCGTGGTATCGGGATTCTTCTCTAACTTCTCTGGCAAGCGTTTCCCCTTGCCCTCAAACAAGTGTGCCAACTCCTCCAAGGTAGGACCTGCAGTCTCGACAAAAAAGAAATACACAACAAGGAAAACAACGGTCACCCACACGCAGTAGTAAATATAGAACCTCCAGCCGAGGTTTGCAAGTCCGATGGGGTTTATATACCCACCGAAAATCGATGCCACTTGAATGGTAAGAAGGACAAACGCCCAGGTCTTCGCTCGCATTTGATAGGTAACAATCTCGAGTGGGTAGGTAACAATCAAATTGGTCCACGCGAGAGTGTAAAATCCCTGGAAAATGAAGATGCACGCCAGTAACACTCGACCCGCTCTCAATGAACCGTGCTTGATGTACTGTTGTGAGGCAATCGTCCATGCGATGAACGTTACCAACACACCGGCAGACCTGGTCACAAAGAAGAACCGGCGCTTGAAGCGGCCGATTAACGAAGTGACCATCAGAGCAACAATATACTGCCACAAGGTGACCATGCCATTAACAAGGGTTATTTCGAGTTGCGTTTTCAGTCCCGTGTCTTTCAGGATTTGGGTGAGGTAGTTGGAGACCAAAAGGTTTCCAGAGCTTTGGCTGAATACCGCAGTTGCAAAACAGAGTAAGATGCGCTTGATGTTCGGGATGGAACAGAAAAACTCTTTCCAGGATATATTATTCTCCTTTTCTTCGGTAAGGGCTTGCTGGATTTCAGCGTATTCGACTCCACTGGCCCCGAATTTGGGTTATTCTCTCCATGGTACTTCACCAGGATGTCCTTGGCCTCTTGGAAACGACCCTTAGCAATGAGCCAACGGGGAGATTCAGGGCAGAAGAAGATTAAACATCCCTGGTATGCGGAGGGAATAATCTGGATAAGAGTCGGTAATCGCCAGGACCACTGTCCGCTAATACGGTAACATCAAATGTCGCCCATGCCCCTATAACATAGCCCAGAACCATAGAAGTGTTGTAGAAAGTAGTAACCTGCACACGCTCCTTCGGGTGACTCAATTCGGTGACCAACACGGGCGCCCCCATTTGGATGAGTGAAGAGCCAAATCCAAGGACCAATTTACCACCAATGTACATGTTGAATGAGGTTGCGAAGAATTCGACCAACACGCCGGTGATAATGATGACCGAACCGAGGGCAGTTGGGACTCGTCGACCCCACGCATCGCCGATCCAGCCCAGGAGGAGGAAGGGAATGACTCCTCCGATGGCATTGGAGGCACCAAAGAAACCTAGTGTCGAGCCGGTAGGGTGCCCAAAGCGGTCTTGCCAGGATTCCAACACCTGCATGCCGTTCGTCATAGACTAGAAGCTTGTCAGCTAAATTGTCGCCGTCCCCTCAAGCTAGAAAAGCCTACCCCGTCAATTCCCAATGCGGCACTAGCCAACAAGGAAGATGTCAAGAGAAAATACAAGAAGATTCCATTTTTGCGACGATAGAAGGGACGAATATCTTTCAGACTGATGGGCGATTGAATCTCGTCCATTGCCCCAGCAGCAGCCCGTGCCATAAATGGTAGTGTGACTGGTATGATATCGAATATTGGAATTCGGACTCCTTGAGAGTTGTTGAGCCGATTACAGCGGAGTCTTACGATAGATATACACATACCCCCGTATTGATAGATAGTACAACATCGTCGATGAGCTTCTGGCCCTATAGTACAGAACCACTAGAGGAATTTAACGGAGGAATGACTCGCAGAAGTACGCCGTCGGGAAATCGGTAAAATACTTACTGGCTGGTACCGAGCCCCATCGGGGAAACAGAGATCGGAGGAAAGCCCGATACCAGGTAGCACGGTGGAGAAGGGAATGCTTTTAAGTTAGAGCAATTATAATCCCTCATCGCGAAGGCAATTTCGTCAAGCAAACACTACTTAAACACTACGGATGCAAGAGTCTCGTCGAGACTTGGAAATCTACCCAAGGTCAGAGTCAATTTAAACATGGCACCTGCTAAACTACCGTCCAACTTTGAATGGGGATTTGCGACAGCGGCGTACCAAATTGAAGGGGCTGTGGACGAAGACGGTCGTGGAAAGAGCATCTGGGACACGTTCTGTCATTTGGAACCCTCACGTACCAAGAATGCCACCGGCGACGTTGCCTGTGATCATTACCACCGCTACGAGGAAGACTTCGACCTTCCTTCTAAATACGGATCGAAAGCTTATCGATTCTCTATTTCCTGGTCCAGGATAATTCCTCTTGGAGGGCGTTATGATCCCATCAACGAAGCCGGAGTCGCATTCTACAACCGATTGATCGACTCCCTTCTCGCCAGAGGAATCACTCCCTGGGTCACACTGTACCACTGAGATATACCGCAGGCTTTGCATGATCGCTACGGCGGCTGGCTGGACGTGGAAAAATCGCAGAGGGATTTTGAGAGGTATGCCCGCGTCTGTTTCGAGCGATTTGGAGACCGCGTTCGCAACTGGATTACTCTTAACGAGCCCTGGATCGCGGCCATCTTCGTACGTTAACGATACCTCAGGGGTGAACTAAAGGTTCCCTAACTTGTTTTTGATTCCAGGGATACGCAACGGGCGTCAACGCGCCTGGGCGAGGTAGCATCGCCCCTGGCATAACTGAAGGGCATACTCCAACGGAACCGTGGATTGTTGGCAAGTCTCTTATCATGAGCCATGCTCGTGCTGTTGTAGTCTACAAACGAGACTTTCACCCAGTGCAGAAGGGGCAAATCGGGGTTATTTTGCTATTACGAGCCATGGAATGCCCAGGATGAACGCGACGTTGCAGCAGCTGAGCGCCGAATGGAATTTTGGTTTGCAAATCCGATCCTGTAGGGCAACTGCACAGTCAATTATGAACACCACAGCTAATATGTTGCCATTAGTTTGGCCCAGGTTTACCCGCAGTGTATGCGAGAGCAGCTGCGCAATCGCCTGCCAAAGTTTCTTTCTTCAGAGATGCAACTCCTAAAGAAGCCACTGTTGACTTCTACGGTATGAATTACTATACGGCCCAGTTCTGTCGGCATCGCACTACGCCAGCACCTGAGAATGACTTCTTGGGCAACGTTGACGAGCTGCAAGAGAACTGCGAGGGCGTGTCTATCGGGGAAAAGAGCGGAGTGTCTTGGCTGCGATCTTGCCCAAAACAGTTCCAGAAACATCTGGCTCTCATTTATCACCTGTATCAGAAGCCCATCTATATCACCGAGAATGGGTGTCCCTGTCCTGGGGAAGACCTCATGACCCGTGAAGAGTCGGTACAAGATATCTATCGCATTCAATAATTTGAATTGCATTTGGACGCCATTGCCCAGGCAATTCACGAAGACTCGGCAGTTATCCATGGTTACTTTGCATGGTCTTTACTGGATAATTTAGGTAACGTGCCCACATATGACCAGCAACGGCGGAAAGCTTCATAACTAACAATCTTACAGAATGGTCAGATGGATACGGTGTGCGTTTTGGCGTCACCTTCATGGACTATGACACACTTGAACGTACCCCAAAGATGTCTGCCTTGTCGCTAAAGAAAATGTTCGATAATCGGATACAAAGTGCTGGTCGAGGGAGGCAACAGGCATAGTACTGTTACATATAACGGTATATAGAGCTAGACTTCTTGGTAGGATTGGATTTCATCGGGGCTTCAATAATCTGCTATGCAAGCCTAGTTCACTGTTTCAGGTAGCTTAAAATTCATACCATTTTGCATAGTGTATGCTCTACAAGGTATTAGCCGAATTTCGCAACATATCCGACGCTTTCGAATCCAAGCGTGCCATAATATCCAATAGCACCTGAAAGTCGCGTTGTGCTCGTGTGGATACTGGAGAGGTCTCGTCGCGGTGAATGATGGCCAGCAGGCTCGCTCCAATGAGTCGCATTTTCTCAACCTATATCGTCGGTAATCAACTAGCTCTATAATGCTATTAAGTATGTGGTCCTCTTACGCATGGTTTCCCATTCACTTGGAGAGTCCAGAAAGGAGCTTTTAGCAGCACGCGCAACATATCGCGGGCAATCTCCGTCTTCTGCAGGGATGCGATATCCGTTTGCGCCACCCGGGGGAGAAATAGTCTAGCTCCTCAAATTTCTGCACAATAACAAGGCGAAGGCAATGGAAAGACACGTGAAGGTTTGCAATCTGAATCAAGTCCTGCCTAGTAATGTTATGATCCTCAGCCATGGTGAGATTTTTCACGTCTAAATTCGCAGGTAGCCCGTCCAGGCATGTGGTGAACCGAATATACAGTTGGTCGAGTACACTCCGATCCTGGCTACAGAGCTGTGCAGGACCGAGCTGAGACGAGCGTTGGTCCTGGATTAACCTTATTTGGAGTAGCAAATCTGATGCCGTTTGCCACAGCTGTACGTTCGCATTAAACCCAGTAATATAGTTGGTTATATACGGTGGGTTGATTAGTGTGACTGGGCTTTTTGGCATGAGGAAGGATTGATCTTCCGCTAGAAGGGATGGGAATGCAGTTGTAATCCCTGACATGAATGTATATTTATGAATAGTGATGCGACGGTTATTGAGAATAGCTACTGACTTGTCACCAATATAAACAATCCAAAATACGCTTCGGCGCAGCTCCACTTCTATTGCGCCCAGCCCCCACAGAGAAGACTCGTCGTACAACTGCATTGATTGTGCTAGTCGTGCTGCTTCACCAAAGATATGCCACGAGTATCTCTGCTTCCCCGCTACATGTAGACAATTGGAGTGAAAATATCGAATACTGACAGAGTATGAACTGGGAAGTTCCAGATCCGCTTCCATATAACTGTTTATGGCATTCCTAGAAGCCTCTAGTAATGGAGTTGCGATTATACATCCCTCCGGAAATATTTCCTTTGGTAGTAGAAAAGCTGCTTGTGCACAGAGTGCCGTTATTAGGGTAAAAGTTGATATGTGCCACAACTTCTGGTCTTTCTCATTATTAGAAGAATCCACGACTCCCCATGAACAGAAACATCTTGGTCAAAGGATACCCCCAAGGCTGTGCACTGGAACATTCCAGAAGTTGGTAAAGATGATCTTGTTTCGTCCGCGTCGGCGGTAAAATATTTCAGCCCCTCTCTCAGACTGGGCTCATGCACGATAGGGGTCAAGGGGAACAGATAGTCGAAGAATAAATCCGTAGATTTCCTTGACACTATAGAAAGACTGATTCCAGACCTCTCTAAGATAGATGCTAAATTACTCCATCGGTGCAAAGCTGTGGACTCCTGGGAGGGCGACATTGGGCCAGAGAGGGAACTCTGAGTCCGTACTCCTTCCCAGGGGAAGCCAGTCAAGGTGTTGCTGGAGAGATTCTCATTATGTCTGGTAGATTGAGCAGTTTCAGACGCTGATGATGGTTGCTCTGTTGATGCGGATCTTGTTTGTGCCGGGTCGACGAAAGAATCACGCGACCCCGGTTCGCGTCGTCTCAATTTGGGACCCCGTCGTCCGCAAGGAAGGTCAAAGGTGCATTGCTGTGCTACATACTGGCAGTTGAGACAAGTGGAGGTCCCCCATTCGTACTGCCTCTCCGACCATCGTCAAGCCTTGGTTACCTCTAGATTACTGATGACTCGCGCCGATACATGCAACATGACAACGGCTTACCTTATGTTTCCTTCGTCTGCATCGGTCACAGGCTCTATTCAATGGTCGAGCCAAGATATGTGTCTGTGGGCTGGTTGCAGACATAGTGAAGCTGGCTGGATCGGAAGAATGTGTTTCGATATGCTGCCGTCGGAGATATGAACCCCTCCCACGCGGAGTTTTGCCGACCTCACATCGGATTTCCTCGTTCATCGGAGTTTTATCTGACACTCTTTCAGTTTGATGCGCCATGTGGCTCTTCTGCCCATGGGGAAATTTCCGACGCAATCGGATAATGTGGGGTTCAAACAGAAAATAAACGTGTATGTCCTTTTATTTGGGCATATTAACGGCTCCAGTGAAGGTCCTATAAAGAGACAAATTTGTCCCTATCCATTAAATGACGATATTACAGGCCTGCAAGGGCTGTTGGAGAATTTATGCAATTTTAGCGACAGTGATGCTAGTATACCTCACCACGTTTGCAAGTTTGAGCACAGCCGGTGTCGCAGCTGTCCTGAACTGGCACCAATCCACGACACCCACCTGCCGCTTTGCTTTGAAATACTCGCAGGAAGATATCTTGTGGGATCCCTCGGGGTTTGTCAGCGACTACTTGTACTGGGAGGGCCAATTCCATCAGCACAACGTGGCATACAATGCGGACAATGGGATGGCACTTGATGGGACGCAAATTGATTGGACCTCAGGTTAAGCAACATTGAAGCACGGTTTCGGTGCGGCAAGCAAGGAGGTAAGCCTAGGATTTCTACCTCTCTCCAGGTAACCTGAGGCTGCTGACCTTTATGCGCTACACAGTCCCTCCAGATTATGTTGTATGCGCACGCAATCGCTGGCTCCAAAGGCGCGGTTCCTATCTCCTGCCAACCCAGGTGCTGCACCTGATGTCGCACTGTCCATCCTCAAGGCCAAACTGAACACCTGCTTGCGCTTCAACAACACTTATCCGGGATTCGGTGGCTTTCTACCGTGGTTTACGGCAGACATCAGGGACCCGGCACCTACCAGCGATTGGGTCAATCGGGCTCCCGCTCTGGATAATGGGTATTTGCGCCGTCCCATCATTCAACGCTTACCTTGGTGTATGTGCTAACTGAAACACAGGGAACTTGTTTGGGCCGTCTATGCGGCGATCCAGGCCCTAGATAATAACGGAACACCGGAATATCGAGCCCTAGCCCGCCAGTGGCAAGTGTGGATGGACTACGTCAAGTCCACAGCTTCAAAGGTGAGCTACTGCTACTTCTCCAGAAGGAAGTGTCCTCTAAATCTCCTTGAAATGCCACAGGTTTTCTATGCGCGCAAAGGCCAAGTCTGTGCGGTGACTACATTGACTAATCAATCCTGGCCGGTGGATCATCTTGATCAAAAGTACGCTTGCGAATCAGATGACCGTCTTGATGATCCGTATGAGGGTGAGCTTTTTACCTGGTGGCTTCAGTTATTTGGAACGCTTCGCGAAGACCACAAACAGCGTCTGTGGGACGCCAAAAGGGCCAAGCTGGTGAGTGTGGAATACAAACAAGATAAAATCGGGCCGATTACAATCCAACAAGGCTGCCATTCCCTTTCTTATACACATTTTTCACGGCGCTGACTGTAGCGTCATAGGCTTTTGGTTCTCGAGCCATGAACAATGGAAAATCCTTCAGATGCCCTACTATGATGTCGACATTATTCGGTATATTTCCTTAATAAATGTCCATCTCCTTCTCCAACTAATTGTACTGTGCAGTCGCGTGTCTGACAACGCCGAACGGGTGCGGACCTGTAACTCAGTGGTGACAAACAATCCAGGGATGTTCGCCTCGGTAAATAATTCCACCAATGTTACCAGTGGGGAGATTATGGGTTATATTTCAGACGCTGGAATTCCATCCATCTCAAGTCAACCGGTTCGAAATCTGGATGTAATCACACCCTATAGCGTGTTTCCCGCCTTACTGTCTAATCAAACAGTAGGATTAGCCTGGCTGAGAAACATGCTCGTAGGACAGAAAATGCAAAGTATAAATCTACTGGAAAATTAGCCTACAATAACTCGCTGACAAAGTGTGCAGACCCCTACGGCAGCACTGAGTCGACGCGCATTGATGGCACTTTGGTGTCTGCATTAGTAACCTGGGACTCGAAAGTAACCACCATGGTTGCGCTCCTTGGAGGAGTTGGTGATCTTGTCCGACAAAAGATGCAGGCAGATGGTATCGACCAAGACTTTCTTTTAATTGCTGATCGGGAGTACTCTGCAATTTTCACGGATCTGAAAGGGGAAACTGTGGAGTATTGTCTCCCGCAGGCAAGGGTGCCGCAAGTTGGGCTTGTTGATTTTGCAGGTTGCACTTAAACGGAAGGCAGTTTTTTCCTGTGTCCATTAGAGATTTGGTCTATACAAGTATTGTCCGGGATAGGGACGAGTGTCGTAGCGCCGATAGAATAACAACCTGTCTCATAGAATGTTAGAGAACAGGTGAATCACTAGTACCTACCTAAGTAGTGTTAACTTTCTACATGTAAATATTTAAAGGAACCTATTAAAACCACTTTTTTTTTGAAACAGTTTAATAATTGTCAGATATCCAGCTAGTCCCGAAGAGGAAATAGAGTACGATTAGTAAAAAGCTCTTATTTGAATGAATTCAGCTGGTTAGGCTCTTCTTGATTATTCTCTTGGTTATTCTTTATTATTATCTTGTTGTGTGCTTCGCGGGGGTTTTACCCCGATCTACTCACATGATTCTGGTCCACCAACGCCATATTATTTGACAGAATCGTGCCTCGCGAACATCCACCACCGGCCCCCTCTTTATTCAGCAATATCTAATTATGTTCGCACCCGACTAAGCATCTTAGCTAAGGGTCTGGGTATCGCGCTTCCGAGCGCTCCTAACACAGATCGAGTGTCGGGGTGTAGGCCAGGGTGAACTCACACAAGAGCAGTAAACGGCAGAAAGGCGTTGGATGCATTTCCCGGCTCTCCAGTCCACATCGTCGGCGACCAGCAGGAACCATTTAGAAAGATGCGGTCGTATAGAAACAAGATGGATATTTTTGTGAGCATGACCGTGATCGAGCATGAGATAATCGCTGCGACATATTCCTTCGGGGCTCGGTCAACTTCCTGGCCCGGGGACTATGAATGGCGAATGCGAGACGCCATACCTGTACAAAGAAAGAATTTCTGGTTCTTGACAAAGATGATGTATAGACCATCATTCGCGACACTCAGGAACATCAACGTGGCATACGAGAATGGCCTATCTACCCACAGTTCATTAGCAGCGGTGAACGCCTTTTTCCGTTTACCGTATTTGTCCACCGGGGTAACGAAAATAAGATATCATCCCAGCCAAATAGAGCTCTCGAGCGGTATCGTGTCAAGACTCATGCCGCCACTGCTATGAGGGTCAGCACGATGCCAACAACGTCAGCGGCTCTCTGGTTAGGTTGGATCCGCGTGTGCCTGGTAGTAGGTAATCTCTTTAGGCGTCAGACCGGACATGGTATTCCGAATTCGTCACTGCGAGTCGCTACGAAGACAGCGAGAAGAGCTCGAGAACAGACACCTTTCATGTCTGTGTAAAAATGCAGCACTGTCGCTTATAACATGAAGAGGAGGGCGTGACTTCCCGGGGGGGAGAGTTTTGCGCTCCCGCTGATTGATCTGGTACTGCTTGTCAGATGAGCGATTTGGTTTGGGCGCACCAACCAGGATTAGCTGCGATGCTACCTCGGGGTTGCATATTCTGAATTTCACGGGGGAAAGGGCCTCGCTTGGAGCCAACCAATAGATGATCAGCAGAATAGGATGATTGGACTCAGACATTACCCCTTAACTCGTATAGGTACAGTCCAGTGCAGAGACAAGCATTTCCGGAGCGAGGGGAAATCATCCTTATACACCGAGGCTTTCAGGCGTTCCATGCCAAGCAGCAGCCCCCAGCAGCAGCCCCTCTGTGGCATGCTTTTGGTACCCTTGGCAGCCTCCAGGCCGTCTAGCGCCTCCAACATCCCTAGAGCGAATACTGGCTGACCCTACGATTGGTGGCTCTCTGAAATTAAGAAGAGGAGTCTCATCCATCGTGCTCTGCCTCTACTTGGTTCTTCAAGGTTGGTAGCACAGTCCCACATGAGTCCCAGTCCTTTCTTTGTTTCTTTGTTCTGGTTCGCACATGAGCAGTTATTGAGATATTTTCTTCTACTCATCGAATTTGCACTTACCCCCACACCCTTCTCCCCTCTCGTCTTCTCTGAATTCGCCCCTGCCCCCAAATCCCCGACAACAACTCGTTACTAGAACCATTTCATCACCATGGCCGCCCCCATCGGAGTGCACCTGGTGGGAAGTATCCCCCTTTCCGACACCGAGGAGGTTTTCCGGCAGATTCCAGCAGCGCTGCCGAACCGCCTCTATTCGATCCCTGACGGGGAACCAGGCGTCCGCCAGAACTACATCGCCTGGGAGCTTCCCTGCTTTCCCAAGGAGACATGGCGCCCCTACTTGCCGGGCAGCACCGACTTACCCGCCGACCACCCTGGTTTCACTCCGGATTCCGTGGCACCTTCTCACTACGCTGGCGCTGCGCTCGAATCCTATAAGCGATTCGTGCAACTCCGCGACCAGGGCATTATCTCCCCGGGAGTCCGATTTCAAGTCTCACTCCCCTCACCCCTAGCATGCATCCAAGGCTTCCTGCGTCCCGAATTCCATGCCCAGCTCGAACCGTTCTACGAACGCCGCATACTCGACGCCTTAAACACGATTATAGCCGGCATCCCTGCTCCCGATCTCGCAGTTCAATGGGATCTAGCCTACGAAGTGATGGACCTGGAGTATGAGCGGGGTCGGTTCCCGGACCATTTCTTCAAGCCGCACTTTGCGCCGATCAAGCAGGGGGTGTTGGATCGGATTCGGCGTCTCTGCGTGGGGATACCGGTGGAGGTCCATGTAGGCTTCCATCTATGCTACGGGGATTTTGGAGGCAAGCATTTTATCGAACCTGAGGATCTGGGGGTGTTAGTGGAGTTCGCGAATGACATCGTAAAGACGGTCAGACCGCGGGCGGTGGATTGGGTCCATATGCCAGTGCCGAAGGACCGCCCCGACAGGGCGTACTTTGAGCCGTTGAATAGATTGGCAGTGGACGAGGAGACACGGTTGGTCTTGGGACTGGTGCATTTCGAAGACGAGGAAGGGACTCGACGTCGGATCCAGGCTGCACAGAAGGCTACCAGGAAGAGGTTCAGTGTGGCTACGGAGTGTGGAATGGGGAGAGTGCCGAAAGAACAGCTCGATAGTATCTTGAGAATTTCGAAAGAGGTGACGAAGCCGATTGACTAAGTGGGCACGAGGGGCTCTTGTCTGAGGGATTGATGTTGATAGAGAACATCGCAATTCAGGATCCAATGGCTCTTAGCGCCCTGGCGAGCGCCCAGCGTCGTCCCCCGAATCACCCCCACTCTGTTGTGGAATTCAGGGGAGGTGATGCGCAGGGAGCTATTCTATCAGCTACAGGCCAACTAGCCTAACTAGAAAGTAGATGTCCTTCGGTGGACACACCAGGAATCACAGTATCTCAACCTACTGAGTCTCTTGCATTCCTATCTAGGGGCTCGCCTTTCTAAAGGATTGAGGGGTATAATGGATCGTCGGACGGATTGTAGTGTTTCCGTAGCACATTACATTAGATAGTAGCTAAGGAGAAGAGACAGAGCACGTTGGGTTGATTGTGCAGCCACTACAGTTATTATTGTTATTGATGTGACTCAAGAGAAGGAAGAAGGCAGCAAGTTCATCGAACAGCTGAACGCAACCAGTTGCCCAATATAGGGAACGATATATCATTGATATCCCAGACCACGATAACTACCATACTTCCTCGGATGGTTGAATCGCGCTCATCTAAACTACAGGTGAACCCCGCACATTAGCAAACCACCTAAGATGCAGATCATTACTTTATCACATCCATTCTTCGTTCTCTGGAGATATGAGCGTTATTGACAATATCTCACATTCCTCTAGAAGTTTTGCTTTTTCTATTTCGGTCTCCAAGCAAGCCCAATATAGACCAGGCCAATTACCGTAGGTGATCACCTGACGCCCGGTCCCACCTGCCGCCCGTTTTCGAACTCAGCGACCGCCATAAAGATGAAGCCATATAGCCGCATACAATTAAAATTATATAGGCTTATTTTTCTTTTAGCTGCCTTAGCAAGCTGTGCTGCCTTCTCTTTTTTCCTTGAGAATCTTGTTACGGAAACACTATAATCCGCCCGACTTGGCGGTGCGGAGTATCTGACGATCGATTCAACCCCTGAATCCTTTAGATAGTTGAACACCTCAATGAGAATATAGGGAACCGCTTAGTAGGCTCAGTTGGTTGAGATACTGCGATTCCCGGTGTTTCCACTGAATGACATCTACTTCCTAATTAGGCTAGTTGGCCTGTAGTTGATAGAATAGCTCCCTACGCCCCATTTCCCCTGAGTTCCACAACAAATCTCGAGCGTGTTGGATCTTGTTAGGAGAATAAAATATGGCAGTGCCATCTTCCCGGGCACGCAATTTAAACTGGAGAGGTTTCCCACGCTGGCGCCTTTTATGCTTATTTTGTAGCGCATTTTCAAGGCCTTCTGTTACGGAAACACTATAATCCGTCCGACTCGACGGTGCGGAAATATCTGCCGATCCTTTCTACCCCTCAATCCTTTAGTTGAGCACCCAGATAGGAATGCAAGACACTCAGTTGGTTGAAATACTGTGATTCCTGGTGTGTCCACAGAAGGACATCTACTTCCTAGTTAGGCTAGTTGGCCTGTAGCTGATAGAATAGCTCCCTACGCCCCATTTCCCCTGAGTTCACAACAGGAAGGATTGAAGGCTGCGTCGATAAACAGATACGTTAGCTAGGATCCTGGTGTTCAGGCATAGTCTGGGCAGTGACCAGCCGCGATGGAGCTTACCATGGTGGGAGGTTGGAGATTTATGTCGCTCAGTGATACAATGCGTTTGTGGAGCAGTAAGTGGTAGTGTGGAGAGTATTAATGATAGGTGGTAAGTGGTCAATGTTACAGTAGAATGGTAGAGTGGTATAATCATTTGTACATTTATATTGGAGGCTCTCCGTTGTGGTTCTCCGGTGATATCATACAATGATGGTAAGCAGTTGTCTAACCGTATGATGAGCCCGGAAGGATTAGCTACATACGACGCGTCTCAAGATGAAGCCCTTATTTCCTATGTCTTTTCAGGCTCCTGGGAACCTTCCACTAGCTTCCAGGAGCCGGCAACTGATAGATAAGAGCCGCATAGTAAGTCCTGCGAGAACTTGTGCTCTTAAACCAAGCCAGGCTCTTCCTGTGAGTAATCGGTAAGCCGCCATTAACTTGGATAACTAACAGGTAGGCATGTAGACAACGTTGTTACAGTAATGGCGATGCTTAGATACACATCGTACCGTTGCCTAACGCTTATCCTGTGAATCTATCTAATCCGTGAAAATATAACACATGTGTCCAGGCTTGCTTGTACAGTATCACCTATAATCTACTCTCTGTTTAATTAAGCTTGCTTGTCAAGGCCGCATTTCTTTACCAAGTTCAGCCATAAACAGTTACAGTACGATTTTGCGAACTATTGCACTGCATTGCAGACTGCCTAACCTGAACCCCCCACGTTAGGCAACCACATACCGATAAGATGCAGATCATTACTTTGCCATCTTGGAGGTGCTCATTATGCTTGCTTACGTTGGCGATGGAAAATACATCTGGGTGTTTGTACAGATTATTCTTACTGCTGAATTCAGCATAAGTAAAATTGGGATAGTTCTACCATGCACGTCATATGCATACTAATCGGAAATATTCTCACAAACGTTATCCTCTGTAACCCTCTTCCTTTTGCGCTGTTTGAGCCACTTGCTGGTATCGCTGGCAAGAGATAAAGGCTGGCAGTGGCTAAGAACACAGTCTTCAAGTTCTTTCCACGAAGAAACGAGAGTTTTGCAGAGGGGGCAATATTGGGGAGGAGGCTCTGGTTCTCTAATGATTCGATCTATATCCTGACGACTTAGCCGTCTATTGTGAACGTGGGCATAATGTTGCATAACACTGTCTTCCCTTGACGGAAGTAATATGCGTTGAACGCCATCAGAGCAAGGTGGCTCTGAGCACCAATAACGGAACCGAGGATAGTGACGATTGTATATATGTCGACGGAAATCACCAAGGGCTTTATACCGTACAGTAAGTACTTCATCCTGCTTGCTAAGGCATAGTGGGCACTCTAATCCACGTTCCGTCCAGAATGAACACGAGACGCCAAAATCATTCTGTGCAACGTCTTGCTGAGAAGCGTCTGGCACCACTCCGGGCGCACTGTGAATCACGAGAGCATGTGGGCTTTGATCAGCATGACTCCCATCATTTCGTAAGCCTGGCTGAGCACCTTTGTTAATCAAAAGCCCCATGAGTGCAGAATGGCCGTTCTCAGCGGCCCAGAAGAGTGGAGTCCGGCCGTGCCTATCCTTGGAGTTGGGGTCAACATGTCGTTCAAGAAGGAGTTGCACTATCCCCATCCAGCCGTTAGAGGCTGCCCATGAAAGTGGCGTCATGCCATTCATGTCTTTGGTGTCCGGATTGGCGCCTTTGTCCAGGAGGAGCCGGACGACCTCCTCTTGGCCTCGACATGCTGCCCATGAGAGAGAGGTCTGTCCATCCACGTCGAGGGAGTCTATTTCAATATTATTCTCGAGAAGGATCTCCACTACATTAACCCAACCCATTGAGGCTGCCAGTGATATCGGAGTTCGGCCATCACCATCTCTCTCGCATGCATCAACATTATTTTCTATAAATAGCTTGACAACTGCATCATAGCCAGCATATGCTGCCCACACTAAGGGTGTTCGGCCCATCGAATCCATCGAGCAAGATTGGTTATATCGATGAATCAGAGATTGAATCACACTTGTCAGCCCAAAGTATGCTGCAAGATGTAAACCAGTAAGCCTCAATGGGACTCGTTGACTGTAATCTCCCATGCTTGAAAATGATTTAATGGCAAAAAGTCCCTGTGCAGAAGCATTGACCTTGAGCTTATCTACAAGAAAACCCATCATCAGGTCCTCATTTATGGGTTGTATCCGAGCGTGATGCCCCCAGTTCCTAGCTGCATATGCATAAAGAGGGTATTCCTTGAGCCGCGCTTCAAAATCTCTATCAGAAAAGCAGATGCCTGATAGGAAGAAATCAAAAGACAGATATGTCACACAGGTTGATGCAATGCCCTTATGGGCATCTGGAAACCAGCGGGTCCACGTCCGTTCAAAGTATTCTTGTGCTGTGTAGTGGACTAATCGAATAATGTCACCCGATAAATCAGCAGTAACAGTTACCAAGCCTGCACAAGCAGAGACAATATCATCAAGATCAGGAAGATTTTCCTCATCGAACTCAGATGCACCTATTTCTACGGCAAGAGCATTCCGGAGCTCGACCGTCGTTAGCGGTCTTTTGGCACAGATAATCCATGACAGGCATTGCCAAGCCAGATCCTTTTGGTCCGTGACTTGACCCTCGATTCTTTGTATGGCGTTGTCATAAGCGTAATCGTATGTTCTAGAGCCATTTATCAGATCCTTGAGTTGACACCTAATAGCTCTCGGTGACCTCTTCCCTATCAATGAATCCAGGTAAAGTTGGGCGAGAAGAAACCTAAACTAATGTGAGATCATTTTTTTACAAGGTATCTCAATAGAGCATGAAGGCTTACATTCCATCTACAGCATTCGTGATTCCAATCAAAATCTCTTGCTGTAGCTGTAGATTCCGGGATACAAATGCAGGAAGCTTGTTCAGGTTGGCTCTCAGATATCGCATCACATCCGGCTTGGATCCACGGATCTCTTTTGTTGGCTTACCCAGAAACCTAGTCATAATTTCTGGAATAAATCTTGCGGTCGCCAAAAGATTCACATTATGTGTTGCCTGAAGACAGAAGATGTCATTCAAAACTCGTGACATGGCAGTAAAGCGGCATTCGTCCAAAGCATCAATCACAATGAATAGTCTTGAGAAGTGAATGGCAATCAGCGGTAGGGCTCTGGACATTTCTTCCACTGAGGGCTGTGTTCCTTTCAGTCTATGCTTTTCATACAATGCCTGGATGATATGTGGCACCGGGAAGAGGCCCTGAGCGAGCTGTCGAAGGATGCTTGCAAACAAGCACTCGGGCTTCTGGATTCGATCATCGTTGCGATAAAAGCTGCAGTAAATGTACGCAACACCAATATCGCGGTTGTTCCCATACCGAGATTCAAGTTCGTCAATTACCACTGATGAGAGAATCGTTTTACCGGCACCTGGAATACCTGGACAGAATAGCGTTTGTTGTGGCTTTTCAAGCCAGGTTTGGAACTCGGGGGATTCTAGAAACCACTCTCCGGTTTCCGGTTGGCGCCGACTGATATAGTCACACTGTTGTGTTGCGTAGACAGCTGGCGACAACCAGTCAAGATAAATTTGGTGCTGTTCATTGGTCTTAGCTTTCAACAATGCCGTGACGTTGTCCCGGGTTATTCGGCCGTTAAATGCGTTAAGAATGCTGATATTGCTGCAAATGCGATTTCGGAGATCACGAACATCGTTCGGTTCCCATTTAAGTCGCTTCCATATTCTTCTTATACCATGGGATTCGTCTAATTCGCAATATTGACTAACCGCCTTATCAATTTCATTAAAAACCTCGCGGCAACTATCTGCTATTTTCTGCAGCCTGATCCCTTGCTGACTGCTCAGATCTATGTTGGATAAATCAATTTCAACATCCTGCATCACGATAGAAAGATTCCTGAGCCTGGGAAAATGGTCAGTTTGCGGAATCTGTTCAGTGGATAATCAGGGTTGCAGAGACGCCATACTCATCGGAGAGTGCCTTAAATTGAGCTGGTGCACCACTAAAGTCTTTTCGGAGCCTGTTGGCATGCTCAATGACAGTTATGAAATCTCCAATACTGAAGCCAAAACTCATCATGAAGCCGGAAAAGAGAATACTTTGACTAGAGAAAAGAGAAGGGGGGAAGCTACAGTGATAAACAGTCGTTGACAAGCATTTTCAAAGCGGGGTTCGCCTGGCGCAGCCGCAACACGCGTCGCAGCCCGTCGAATCAGGTGCAAGTAAACACTACGATGTCAGGCACAGATGTCTACCATGGATCTACCGACTCACGTTGTTTTTCGATGTATATGATTTGAAAGGTTTCATGCCCTACGATTAGCTTGAACGCATTTGATCAGTTGTTACTTTCCCAATACTTTAAATCGCAGTGTGCATTTGAGGAAGGTGCATGAAGTATTTTATGTTATTAAATATTCTATGTTTGATGAACAATGCGCCCAAAGCCTTGGTCAGCGTCATTGCTCTTTATTTTTCCTCCAGATGTATCAGCCCCATAACACTGTCCTGGTAACACTGTCCTGGTTACTATTACGTCGGGGTTATAAACGTTCTCCTTCGGCTATTAAACGCAAGGTTAGGCATATTGTTGGCTGCGTTCCTTCACTTCGTCCTTCCCGAGAAAACTGGGATGTGGATGCCGTTGACCAGTGGATCGACGACTATCTGAAAGATCATGAGGCAGTTAATCGCCTAATAGCTTTCACTTTACAAGATGCAGAACTGTGGCACAGGTGGTGCCCCTTTTAGCAAACCAGATACGTTTCACTTAGTGACTACTGATTTACCGTACCAGTTCCAGTCAGTTGACCAAACCTTGTGGGCAATGGAAAATCTTAACTTTCACTCGCTGAAATTTCAATCCCTGCGCTCCCCTCCGGTTAAAAGCCCGAAGCAGGAATCGGACAGTCCTATTATCAAGACTGAATGAACGACTTCAGATGGCTCACTCAGACAGCTCCATTCGGCCGAATTTTTCGAATATATTCAGCCGCAACACAGGTGAATTCAAGGAGTCCTGTCATAACCTTGCCATTTGTGAAGTTGAGCTGCATGACTAGAATTCGCGCCGTGGCCGTGCCGTGTCTCGGATAAAACTGAGGACCATCACGCTATTCCAGATCTCTCAGAGGACCTCTCATACGCTTCTTGTAGATTTCCGAGTCAAGAGCCAGGGTTGTTTTCTTTGGCTGGGTGGGTTGGAGTTCAGCCTGCATTTCTTTCAGACCATCAAAGAGTTTCCCTTGGGTGTCATCAAGTGGCAATCCCGGCCTATTATCAAGCTCTTCCATTGAGTAAAAATATATAGGATAATAGAATAGAATCAAATCAGTGAACAACCTGTAAGCAGTTGGTGAGATGTTGTAAGGGGAAGGGAAAAAGTGATAGAAAGATGCGTATGCAGAATATATATAGTTTTACGAACCATATAAAGGCTGCTGAAACGACCATTGCCTGAACCAGAATGGTAAATCTATACACTCGAGTCTGGGCCATCGTAGTGTATGCATATCCAGAATAGTACCTAAAAGAAGGATTCAGGGTCATAATAAGTGTTGCTCACCCAAAAGCAGACCTATTGCCATGAATACTCTTGTTCCTGTCTTCCCTCTAGCTCCAGAGGGATGTTCTCGTTGCTCCTTGATAGCAAGGTCCAAATCAATTAAGAATACTGACCACGATTATCATCATTTAGAATAGCGTGCCCTGTTGAAATGTCGCCCTGTAAAAATCCAGCTTTTGTATGTAACAATTGGTAGCCTTCGCCGTTAGCTGAGAACTTCGAAAACAGAACAACTACACTCACTTCTTATTCATACAGCAACAAGAGATAGAAGTATAGAGAAAAAGGCTCGTAAATACAGCAGGCCAGAATGATAATGCAACGGATAGCAGGAAAAGGGTGGAAAATATACGGACGAACCTGGAGGGAAAAGGCCACGATAAAGGAGCGGGCGCCATCGCGGCCTGAGCTCCAATACAGTACTGTGAGGCCATTTTCGGCGCCCTCACGGAACAACGGCAGCATCCGTGACGATGAAGCAGAAGGTGAGCGTCGGTCAGCTGAATACGCGTATGAGCTAGTATCACCGATTATATAAGGATATGGATATGCATTGAAGAAAATGAGGTCTCTAACTATCTGAATCTATCTGGGAGAGCTGGATAAAAAAAGGTGAAAAACAAAGGAATAAAGTCGGACCGAGCGGATGCTGAATAATGGGTAATATTGGCCCACTTTGGTCGACAGTGAGCTTTTCCCTTACGGTAAGGGGTACTGGTTGGCTCTCTGGATCAGGAAGATAAATTACTTTGTAGGTACATCCAATAGGTACCCAGCAGGTACGGCAGCCGTCAGATGTTGGAAATTCATTTCTCCATCGGCCTGGTACCTTGGGAAAGAAAAGCAAGGGGATCAAATTGGCTGTACAGACGGTGTTACCAGGACCGGACCCGGACGATCCATGACTCAAACCGTACGGGTAATACGGGATGTATTGAGAGATCTGCGCAGTCTGGGGTCCGATGGTGGGTCTGTCCTGCCCAGTCAGAAGAGCGAGCGAGAGACAGATTCTTCTCTGGACGGAGTACAGGGTGGCACTAAGAGGCTCCACAGTTGCCTATTGACCACCCCATTATCCAAGAATTAGCCCCACCATCACTACCAAGCACCAAAATAACAACTCAAAATATCATTATGGTCACAACTCAGCACGTTGGCAACCATTACTCCTACTCAATATAAATACAATGAAGAATCATCATATATCGATATTTTTCACTCAATCTCCATCTAGATTTTTCGCTGTATTGGAAAATACCTAATATCTGCAACGTACCCTGATGCTGCTTGCTTACTAACTACTAAACGCCCACATTCATCCCAAGTGTCATACATTATTATCCCTTGGCATGGACTTCTCTATCAATAAAATGTCTGATGTCTCTGTCTCTACTCGATCAAGTTCGAAACCCCTTTACGCTGTTGTCTCTGCTGTCTCTGGGGACAATAACATTGGACCAACCTATCGAAATGTCAACATAGAGCCATTACCAGTCAACCCAATAATCATGCCGCACACCTTGTTCAACTATCCCTCATGGCAATCTGGCTCTTCCCCAACTGGCACGCCTATTTCTTACCTTCCGATAGGAGAGAGTTCTAATCTAGGCTCCAACCCAGCTTTGCCGACTAGGTTGCAACATAACCAGGTCGCGATAGGCTCACAGTCTGGGGCTTACAATAACGATCCCGGAAACAACGACTTTATGCCGATGCAAAATGGAACTCTGTCTAACAGCTCTGGCTACTACGGCGAGATTTTAGCGACCAATATTAATAGCAACCCTGGGGACCAACTAGTATCAACATTTCCAACCGAGGGCAGCAGTGAAGGCCGAACCGTACAAGGGCAGATGCATGAAGGGTAAGTTTTCTGCCTCACACATCACACATAACTTGGCATTTTTTAACTTGAGCCTAGGTATATTGACGTCCGTCAAGCTCTAAGGTGCCGGTGGGATGGCTGCACATACCGAAGACACTTCAACCGTGAGGCTGACCTTGTGCGGCATGTCAAAACCAAGCACATCTCACCTCGGTGTCATAAATGCGCAGTGAAAAGCTGTACCAAATCCTTCAATAGGGAGGATAACCTTAGGCATCATATGGCCAGGGTTCATCAGAGGCCACTGGAGTATTAGGGCTATTTTAGCTATTTAGCTAGTTACCATTCTGTTGTATTTTTGTGCGCTATATTGTTTTGTGCGGTTGATGGTGAACTTTGCCCTATACTGTTGTGATTTAGAAGAAGATTGATTGTACTAGTCCTTTAACCAAGGTATCCTCCTGTTAAAGTGCGGATTTATTCCCCTATGCACCCCTATCTGTTCATCGGAAGCAGAGATAGTGAAAAGTCCCATGCTGGCGAGGGTCCTCAATGCCACAGATGGCTAGTGGTTGCCATGTTTGAACACCATTGATTGCAGAACCAGAACTGGAGCAAGTGCCAGGAAGTGGATTCATGTCGCCGACCAATCAGCGGTGAGCAGATCTCGAGAGCTACGAGCGACTAGCGGTGGAAGACCATGTGCGTGACATTATTTTTTCAGAAATATGCAAGATTATTACCTAGGGCTCTAACAACTTTGGATCTCTAGCAGCACTCCAAAAAGTCTTTTTCATCTTTTCTTCACACTCCTCCCGGAAATATCACTCTGCACAATCTGTTGTCCCAAGGAACCAATGGTTAATAGTATAATGTGAATGATTCCTCTGCAGTCTTAAGGAAATCGGCTTCATCGTTAACTATACCCTTCTTTGAATGAGCTAACTTTCTGTCATCCTTATAATTCCAACAGTCGAAATCACTTGGCCCAATTTCCTTGCCTGGGCCGTCGTAGTAAATACATATCCAGAACACCACCCAAAAGAAGGATTCAAGGTCATGTCTAAATGAATGTTGCTTACCCAAGAGCAGACCTATTGCCATGGATACTCTTGTTCCTGTCTTCCCTCTAGCTCCAGAGGGATGTTCTCGTTGCTCCTTGATAGCAAGGTCCAAATCAATTAAGATTGCTGACCATGATGGATTTTCTGTATTATTATTCAGAATAAGGTTCCCTGTTGAAATGTCACCCTGTAAAAATCCAGCTTTTGTATGTAACGATTGGCAGCCTTCGTCGGTTAGCTGCTGTTGTGGAATTCAGGGGAAGTGGTGCGCAGGGAGCTATTCTACCAACTACAGGCCAACTAGCCCAATTAGGAAGTAGATGTCATTCAGTGGAAACACCAGGAATCGCAGTATCTCAACCAACTGAGTCTCTTGCATTCCTATCTGGGTGCTCTACTATCTAAAGGATTCCGGGGTTAAATCGATCGTCAGATACTCCGCACCGCCAAGTCGGGCGGATTATAGTGTTTCCGTAACATGCTGCAAGTCTTCCTTAGGAATCTGAGAATGAGTATATCGAAGCTAGTTGTCCAAAGATGAAGCTCTGATCGTACTGCGTGTCTCCATTCCTGATCATTGTATTTTAGTGCCGCAGCGAAGGTTTCGCGCCGCAGCTGGCTGTGCCAAGTATCAAGAAATGAGGTCTTATTGGCCCGTTATATTTATCGCCGGAGGAACTGGGTCCTCCACCAATCACTGCGGCAGGTACCGCAGTGGCGTCCTATTGGGTGGTCCTTGCTCAAGCCATAGAATTTAGCGTCAATTGAATCATCGGTGGATAAAAATACTTGTGATAACCCATTCTCTTCGTTTGCGAATGGTTCAGAACGCTAATATAGTATCACTGTTCCCACGAGGCGTTAATCTGCTTTCTTGTTGAGTTTCATACACCAGAATACCTGTATTGCGCCTGGACTTCTCCCTGGATATAGCTACAAGAATAACCCTGCCACCTCTGACCAAGGGCGATTCTCGCGTTTCGTCAGCTTTAGAAGAAGGTCCACCTCTTCCGTAGACCATGGCATACCCTTCCTCAAGCCTCCTTCAGGACGAATGTCACAGCTCAGTCACGGGGTTAGAGCCCTGTGTTGTCTTCCGGGCAATATACCTATAAGTCCTATCGTCACCGATAGACTCAATTCCCACGCGCTTGTCTGCCTTCCCTAAGTGCTCCTCGAACATGTCCTTAACACAGTTGGGCTTGCATCGTGAGCTAGGTTCTTTAAATTGATCTGTAACTAGGCCGGCGATGCTAAGCCCAGCCTGCAAATGCGGGATTTTACGCCGGGCCGCCCACACTGCAAGCGCGGTAAGTATTAAGCCATATAGAACATACAGCAGACTAAATACGACCAAAGTGAGCAGCGGAGCCCTAGGAATGCGGGCTGCGAGCACTGTCTCTTGTTCCTGTGCGGCTAATGCTGGCTGCTGGTCGACGCCTCGAGCACCCATGGCAAGAGTCATCTTGCTAAAGGCCATGGCAACCTTGTTGGCGAAATCCTGGCCAGTGGCGCTGAAGATTGCGGTTTGAGTGGCTTGTCTGAAGTTATGAACACAAAAGTCGTTGTTGTACGACACGCTCGTCTGCCAAACATTGCTCACGGAGGTGTTGCTGACACTAGGCACAAATCGGGTTATGGTGTTGTTAAGGCGGTCATAATGTCGTATATCGTGGTGTTGCAGCCAAGAATATACGTTTCCGTTCCATGGAGGCCTTGCACAAACTCGGTCGGATCCGGGACCACGCTATCATTTACATACTCCCCGGAGGCTAACGCGAAGTAGTACGGGTTGCTAACTCCGTAGTTTTCGCGTCCAGCTTGCCCTCGAAGAATGCACTTTCCAGGACTGCTCCGCCAGCGAGCCCATTAAAAGCAGCCGAGCAGTTAAAGACGGCCTGCGAGAGGTAAGGATACTTCTTCGAGATGAGCTGACACTGGGTGTTTGCATTCTGGCCGTGAAATCGCGTCTAAATAGGGCTGCGTGCTCCGGTACTCCCAAATATGTGAAGGGCTTTCCGTGCGGGTCGGTGTATGTATATACCGTGGCATCTGCGGAAATATTACTCATCACCTGGAATGAGATGGTTGAATTTTTCAGGCCCCAATAAGTAATGCTGCATGGTGGAAACTTGGAAGACCACGGATCCTGCGCCGCGGCAGAGTTGTTCGTTTTGAGGCATTCTGGCACAAGCCCGAAACTGTAATCAGGCGGTACGGTGGTGGGAGACACACGATAAAGGGCGCCGTGCTTGTTGTTAGGTGGAGCCAGGTATCAGCAACAGACACGAGTAATCTAGCCCGAAACCAATTAGCGAAAGTCTCGAAGATCAGGGTGAGAAGAATCGGTACCCTAGAATCGTTGCAAGCCCGGCAACACTGGAGGCCACAACGAGAGGAGGTGTCTGCGGCTGACGGTTCTTCCTCCACGAAAAGAGATAGAGAATCCAATTCCATATTCCACCAAGTGCACTCCCATCGATGAGTTTCAAAGTCAATGCCAATTGATATGGGGTGGGTAAGCGATCCACACAACTCCCTTGGAAATCGTAGAACAGTCGGCGTGCAATTGGATACGAAGCCAAGTGTAAAACAAACCCTGACAATAGGGGGCCAGAGAGCTGGCCCACGATGTAACAAAGAGGATAATACCGGAGTTCAGGCTAACATATAACACATCACTTTCATCTTCTACGGATGGCAAGCGCAGGCTTTCGAATGGATAGTCTCCATGATTAAGGCTGTAATGGAACACCATCACCAGCAAGGCGACCATCAGCCCCGTGATAGGAATAGTGACAACAAACCAGCTCCAGGCAATGCCTGCCGTGTGACTCGAGATCCCCTGAGCGGACGTGGTCTTCGACTTCCGTCGCAGCAGTGTAGAATCACACTCCGCGGTAACATATGTGGCCAGTCGAGCCATGGCTGACCGTACAAGATGCTTGAGGTGTAAAAAGATCGGTGAACTCCAGAGCTGTCTTGGTATCGAGGCAATTCTAGCCACCTTTATCCAGGAGAGGCGACATAAATACTAGCATGTCACAACTCGCAAGGCTATGCGTTACTCCTATTTATTCCTAATTAGACCTGAGCCTCCTTTCAGCCTTGCCCTGCTAGTTGCTAATTTATTATGGAATAATGACATTCCACTTGATCCGATACCTACTGCACTAAACGGTCGACTAGGCCTCGGTAAAACCACTAAAACCCTATCTGGAGAAAAAGTGGAAAGAGCGCCCTTGTACGATCACGATGCCCTTCTTGGCTTTTCTGGAGCACCGTCGATACCGACTAACTGACAGAAGCTCGAGAATTCACCTGGTCCCAATGGCTTTGTGAGTCCATCCACAGCCTCTAGTGTAGTTGGAATATATTGAATATCAATCTCTCCGCTATCGAGCACGCTGCGTTGATAATGGAACTTCACGTTTAAATGCTTGGTCCATTTATGAAACAGGATTCCGCGACAGTGCAATGGCGGACTGCTTGTCAGCCATAATCTTTTACCAGGGATTTTCTTGTTGCCCTCGCTTATGTATGTACTAAAATTGATTGGCTCAAGACGTGACAGCCTTGCAGCTACACATAGCTGACTACCCCTCCATTGCTGTAGCTTATTAATCATTCATAGACATTATTCGCAATCTACCAGACATCGAGATTGTTCCAAATCTTGCATTCTTGGGAGGACAGAATACTGGAACTGTACTGGTTCTCAGTGTTATTACGTTCTACGAGACAGGTAAAAATGGCATCCACACACGACGATTACACGGTCGCATGGATCTGCGCTTTGCCGCTGGAAATAGCTGCCGCAAAGATCATGCTAGATGAAGTTCACCCTCCGTTAAGTCAGACACACGCCGACCACAATGTCTACACACTTGGAAGTATTAGCGGTCATAATGTGGTAGTGGCTTGCCTCCCTGCTGGTGTCTACGGGACAATATCCGCTTCAACGGTAGTGTCACACTTGGTCTCTACCTACCCGAATATCCAATTTGGATTGATGGTCGGCATTGGCGGGGGTGTTCCAAGCAAGACTGTTGATATTCGGCTTGGTGATGTAGTGATTAGCAAGCCAACTGCTGCCTCGAACGGCGTTATTAAATACGACTATGGCAAAACAATTCGCAACAGACAGTTTCAGTATACTGGGTTGCTTAATAAACCTCTTCCAGTATTATTAAAGGCGGTGTCTCAAGTGGAGAGCGACAGCCTAACAGGAAAGAAATTATTTAGCAATATCCTGGTTGATGCACAAAGGAATGAAGAGACAAGAAAGCAGTTTTCACGACCAAAATATGACTGGTTGTTTCAACAGATATATAACCATAAAGAAGGGGAGCCCAACTGCTTTGCATGTGATCGGAATCAACTTGTGGAGCGCCCTCCATGAACTACTAATAAACCTTATGTCCACTATGGCTTAATCGCTTCCGGGGATCAGGTCTTGAAAGATGCTGCAACTCGTGATTTAATTGCTGGCGAGATAAACGTACTCTGTTTTGAAATGGAGGCTGCGGGGCTCATAGATAAACTCCCATCGCCTGCTATACGAGGAATTTGTGACTATTGCAACACCCATAAAAATAAATAGTGGCAAGGATACGCGGCTCTTGCTACTGCTGCCTATGCAAAAACTCTTCTTATGGTAGTTCCTATACATGCCAAGACTGCTGATCAGAAAAGACAAAATAATAAAGAGCGCCACTGGACGGTCCCCTTTTGGAAGAATTGGGCATTTATAGGTCGAGAAGAAGAACTTGTTAAAATAAAAGAGATAATCAAACAACAGAATAAGCCCTCCAAAGTTGCAATCTGTGGACTAGGCGGAGTTGGGAAGACTTAAATTGCACTTGAGTTAGCATACCGTATGCAAGACAAATACTTGATTTTCTGGATTCCATATACCAGCCTTGAGAGCGTGGAACAAGCATACATGAGTGTGGCACAGGAAGTTGGCATCCATGGTGTAAAGCCAGCAGAGGCAAAAAACAGAGTAAAAGCTTATCTCAGCCGGAAGGAAGCAGGGCAATGGCTTCTAATTTTTGACAATGCTGATAATATAAACATGTGGGTCCAAGGCAATACTGGTAAACCAGTCTTAACCAACTTTTTGCCCCAGAGCGAGCAAGGCCATATCCTCTTTACCACTTGCAATAGAAAGCTGGCTGTGAAACTGGCATCTACTTTTGTGGTTGACGTCTTCGAGCCAGATGCAGAGACCGGAGTCAAGATTTTTAAAAAAGCACTAATAAAAAAAGACATGCTTTACGATAGTGACAAAACTATTATTCTTCTTAAACAGCTGGCTTTTCTCCCCCTGGCAATTAACCAGGCAGCGGCGTATATAAATAAAAATAATATCAAGCTTTCTAAATACACCACACTCTTATATGAGCAGGAGTCAGATGTGATTAAGCTCCTAAGTGAAGACTTCGGAAATAAAGGGCGATATAAAGATACTCAGAGCCCTGTTACTACCACCTGGTTAATCTTATTTCAACAAATTCAGCGATTAAATTAGCTGGCAGCTAACTATCTGTTATTCATGGCCTGCATAAGTCCACGTGAAATTCCACAGTCTTTGCTTCCCCCAGCCATATCTAAAAAGAAGAAAATTAAAGCAGTTGGTCTTCTCAAGGCCTTTTCCTTTGTTAGTGAGCAAGTTAGAGACCATAGTCTGAGTGTCCATCGACTGGTTTATTTCTTAACTTAAAACTGGCTGAGAAAGCAGCAGCAATTCAGCCTGCATATACAGAAAACAGCAGACCAGTTGGACAGAGTTTTTCCAAATAATAACCATGCCAATTAAAATCTTTGGCGAGGACACCTACCGCATGCTCTTTCACTGATTGGGGAAAGTAACTTCTAAAATAGGCAGGAAAGGTACATACATTTGGTTCAGAATATTGGCAGGTGTCTGTGGGCAGATGGAAGATACAACGAAGCAGCTGTGATACTTGAAAACACTATAAGCATGCAAATAAATGGAAGCAGTGACCCTAACCAGCATGTCCGACCTGGCATTAACATACACAAATCAGGGACGATGGAGAGAAGCAGAGGAGCTCGGAGTGCAGGTGATAGAGATCTGCAAGCGGGTGCTAGGACCAGAGCATCCTGACACTCTGACCAGCATGAACAACTTGGCATCAACGTACAAGAATTAGGGATACTGGAAGGAAGCAGAAGAGCTAGGAGTGCATGTAATTAAGATTCGCAAACAAGTGTTGGGACCAGAGCATCCGGACACTTTAATTAGCATGGGTATCCTGGCATCGACATATTAGAACCAGGGACGATGGAAAGAAGCAGAAGAGCTGGGAGTGCAGGTAATGAAGATTTACAAGCAGGTGCTGGGGCCAGAGCATCCTGATACTTTAACTAGCATGGCAAACCTGGCATCAACATACAGTCACCAAGGACGGTGGAAAGAAGCAGAAGAGCTGCGGGTACAGGAGATGGAAATCTGCAAGAGGGTGCTGGGACCAGAGCATCCCGAGACTTTAACCAGCATGGGCAACCTGGCATTAACATACAGTAGCCAAGGACGATGGAAAGAAGCAGAAGAGCTGCAGGTGCGGGATATGGAAATCTGCAAGCGGGAATTAGGACCAGAGCATCCTGACACTCTGACCAGCATGGCAAACCTGGCATCAACATACAGAAATCAGGGACGATGGAAAGAAGCAGAAGAGCTGGGAGTACAGGTGATAGATATCCGCAAGCGGGTGTTGGGGCCAGAGCATCCTGGCACTCTAACCAGTATAGCCAACCTGGCTCTAACATACGAGAGCCAGGGACGATGGAAAGAAGCAGCGGAGCTAGGAGTGCAGGTAATGGAGATTCGCAAGCGAGTGCTAGGACCAGAGCATCCTGACACTCTGACCAGCATGGCTAACCTTGCCCATACTTGGAAATCCCAAGAAAAGATTCAATATGCCTTGTCTTTGATGGAAAAATGCGTTAAGTTGCACAATAGCGTATTGGGTCCTAATCACCCACACACCATATCCTCATCTCGCTCCCTCAGGAAATGGAAAGAAATGGGCAACCAGTGAACATGTCAAGTTCATTTCCAAGCAGAGTGTGATCTGTCTCAAGAAATCTTATCAGAATTCACCAGCAGTGATAATCACCAAACCAGCTGATGAAGAACACATTGCCCCTAGTCAAAGACAAGAATGACCAACATCTCCTGCGAAGCAGTTCATTGAAAATCATCTCTTCCGAGCCATCTTAGCTTCCAAGAGCATCTGACACCAGAATGCGACTATATTATTAGGGCGTGTCTGGGAACTGTGACGACCGGAGTACGGAGTCAGTTTGCAGCATCGGTTTGCAATATTGATTTGCGATGTTGGTTTGCATAGTTCGTTGTTTGTTCCATCTATTATGTTTGGTCATGGAGAAGCGGTGGATCGTGGTAGTAAAGGGAGATATATACTCCATTGCTCGCCTTCATCCACTTTCTTTCCTCTCCATGCTTCGTATTCTCATGTTCCATTACTCAGCATTAAGCTTCACACAACCATAGACTTTACCTACGTAAGTTATACACACCAGGGCTTGCGGGGTACACAATCGAGAGAAGTCAATTCCCGTTGGCGATACCGACACGTTCCGGATACCTCATCATCTAATTTCTTATCATTTTATATAGACGAGATATAGAACTGCTTTTTAGCATCTAATCTTTCGCACTATATAATCTTTTCCCTTCATAATAATTCCTTGCTGCAAAATAAGGCTATCCTCTTGGGTGCTGCTGAGATTTTAGCGTGCTTTACAAATCGCGTCCGGAATTAAGCCCAGTTTTCCCTTGTCGCAGTTATGCTTTCGTCTAGGTTATATTTCCCACCGTAACAGTGTATTTAGGTGATTCCGCACTTTTCGATTTGTAATGACTTGTTTAAGATGGATTTCTGGCTGAGATGGAAACGAGGAGCGGTCGCGGCACAAAATTGGTTTCACGTGTCGGGGTGCAACACTAGCCCCATTATGTTAGTAATTGTTAGAAAAAATACGAGGAAATTAAATTTAGAGTTCGAGTGAGACTCAAGAGATAAATTTGACTACCGGAGTACTGCTTCAGTCTATCGTCCCAATTGAAATCGTTTAGTTCGATATGCACTTGAAAATCGATCATAAGGTGAACCTCCATGAGGCAGCGCGACTGGGTAATTCACGCGCTGTGGAGATATTGTTGGACGGGGAAAATGTCAATTCCCTTGACAACAATCGTCGGACGCCTTTATCATGGGCAGCAGAGTCGGGACAAACGAATATAGTCGAACTGTTGCTCGCGAGGAATGACGTCGACGTTAATTGCGAAGACAAGGATGGCCGAACAGCGCTATCGTGGGCAGCAGGGCGTGGGCATAAGGATGTAGTCAAACTGTTGCTCGCGAAGGATGGGATTGATGTGAACCGCAAAGACAACCGTGATTACACGCCGCTAGGACACGCGGCATCCAGTGGGCGGAAACTCACGGTCGAGCTATTGCTCACAAGGGATGACATTAATGTGAACTGCAAAGACGACAGGAATCGAACACCCCTATTACAGGCGGCAGTGTTCAGAAGTATCGAGGTGGTAAAGCTATTGCTCGCGAGGAACGACATTGACATGAATATTGAAGACATAGAAGGTCGAACACCGCTCTGGTGGGCAGTCAGGAATGGGCAGAAAAATATGCTAAAACTACTCCTGAAAAAGCAATGTGCTCTCTGCCCCGGTCGAACACCGCTGTCGTGGGCTGCCGAGAATGGCCACCATTATGTTGTGCAGGTGCTGTTGGATGATGCCGATCCGAACTTCAGAGATGGTGACGGTCAGACCGCGCTCTCGCGAGCTGTGCACAACCGACGTGAGACCGTTGTGGAGCTGTTGGCACCCGTTGACACCATCACATTGCATCAACTTGTGAAAGAAGGGGACCGGGCCGCGATCAATCTACTCTTGAGCAATGAGTATGACCTCAATACGAGAGATGACCGTGGTGAGACACCATTGCATTTTGCCGTCTCCTTGGGACATCTGGAGATAGCACTAGATCTGATCTCCTGTGGAGCCGAAATTAATCCCCAAGACTGCGACGGGCTCACGCCGCTCCGCTTGGCAATGCAGAGGAGGAATTGCCATTTGATTCAGGAGCTGCTCAAACGCAAAGCACGCGTGGATCGTATCACTGCGAAGGAATGGCGCGATGCGTATGGAAAACAAGACCGAGATATTGTGCAGTTGTCCGAAGGAGATGATGGCACCAAACGGGTGGACTTTGTATCCGACTTTCATGAATTGTCGAATTCCGGAATTGATCAACGTATCCTGTATGTTATACAGCTTTAAATTCTCCATATCGGTCTACTGATTTTTCAAGCTTACTCGTGGATGACTCAGACGACTTGCTATGGTCGAAAATCCCAATCCCCGGCTCCAAGGAGCCACTAGTACCAAATAAATTGCACGTTTCTCTCCCAAGAAAAGAAGCCGAGGGTGACTTTGCAGTTTCAGTTTCTCTCTTGTTTCCCGCCGAGCAGGGCTCATCCGGGAAATACTTCAGTGTCCCCACTGGCGGCAAGAGCAGAATTGCATGGAAAATAAGACGACCCACGAATCCGAAGAGTGAAGCATGGAGGCCAATTGTATACTTTAGCACGCTCCCATACGGCTGGATACCGAGTGATGGGATGGATTTATTCAAACAATTTATTGTCCACCTAAAAGAAAGGTGGTTGGGACTATGCCAACAAGCCGAGGAGCATCTATCAGAAAGAGTGAGTGGTTCTTATATTTCCACTTCGATTTGGCTTGATCTAATATACCAGCGGTACAGCGCCTGGGTCAATTGAGTTCTAAGGGCAAAAATCCGAAGCTAATCGATTGTCTCGCCAGTGATGCGCAGAAGTGGACTGAGCTTCGGACCATTTTACTAAGCCAAGCCCGTGAGGCTAGGAAATTCGTTAACGACTACTGTCAATACTACAACGTGAACTCGATTCCAAAGGAATTGATGCTATTGATAGATGAGTTTGAACTCAGTATTAACAATCAGATTGGACAGTTGGATCAAACCGTCCGGGATCTTCTACAGATTGTGAGTATAGCATATCTCTCCAGGAAATAATCACCCAAATTCACCTTTAGCAGGAGTTTGCCTGGGTTTCAGTCACAGAGACAAGAATCGCAACCAGACTCGGTCAGAATATGATGCTCCTTACATACGTCAACATCTTCTATTTGCCGCTAGCAGTCTGCGCAGTAAGTACCTCTAGCTTGCTAAATACTTATGCCATCTGGAACATCTGTTCGTACGGACAATGAACTGAGCTCGATATTTAGGCGCTCTGGGCCATTCCAGATATCCAGAATAGTAGCACGAGAAATCCCTTTATTATCACTTCTGTAGTTGTTGGCCTGATTACATTTCTGGTCGCCTTTAACATGGAGAACGTCAAAGGGTTCATGGGAAACGTGTGCCGGCAATGGAAAGAGCATATCGTGAGAAGCCGGGGTGAAGATCGTGGGGACAACAGGGGAGAGAAATTTCAAGATGTTCATCCTACTCAGCAGACACCATCTGAAGTGTGGCTTGTGGGAGACTCCGTACATAGGATAGTGGGATGGTTAACAGGAAGGAAGCAGCTGAGCCAGCAGAAAGAATCGAAGTTGGATGGTGCTAATGCTTGCTGATTATTATGTTTTGCCATTGGAGGATCACATTTGCAAAACTTTACTGATCCTTGGATCGGTAAATCTCTTATTCGCATTCCCCTGCATTCAAGGTTAGTGGAACAACCAGCACAGCCAGCTTTTTTCGTCAACTGCATTTATCACCTTGTATGAGCCGTAATTTTGCATCTGAAGATGCTGGCTCTTTGTATGTTTCAGGCACTCATCAACCTCAGATGATATTGATTGATATTAGAAAGAAAACCAAGCACGAAGAGAGAAAGAGAGAATCCTTCGTGGGATCGAATCCATCCACATGTGTGGTTCTCGTGATCAAGTTCACAAGTTCAGGTCCGTGACGCGTATCTAGTAATTTAAGAGAAAAATTATATTAGCGGATACCTACCTGCAACTATACCTTGCCAAAGCCTGTCCACGGGCGAGGGTATGGCAAGATATATATTGCTACTACAGAATATAGAGCCATCTGGTATAGTAAATTATTAAAGATGGTAAATTCATCTCCTACAGTCGTTTTAGGATAATTAAGTAGCTTATGTAGCTTATTATGATATAATTTATTACTACAAGATCTCTGTTATGGAAAGACTATAATCTGCCTGACCTGGCGGTGCGACGTTTCTGCATGAAGATTCCATTCTACCCCGGACACTAGTAGAGAGATGAGCGCAAAAGAGGTCGAGCAAAGAGACTCAGTTGGTTGAGATACTGTGATTCCTGGTGGTTCCACAAACAACATCTACTTCCTAGTTGGGCTAAGGGTCGGCCTGCAGCTGTTTTATAGCGCCCTGCGTATACCTTGTCCTGAATTCCACAACAATCTCTATATGTCATTTAATATATGTGGCTCTATGGCTTCATTTTGATGCGCTGGTTGGCTTGAAAATCGTGCAGCAAGTGGAAGCGTGCGTCTGGTCGTGACCGATGATAATTCAAGAACTAATACCTCTGACCTAGACACCGAAGCTACCTCCAATACATACTCAGCCGAGGCTCAAAATCTCTCCTTGGTGACCAGGTTTCAGGTCTCACACCTTCGAAAGAAAGCGAAAAAAATAATGGTGAATTCCACACAACTAGATCCCTCTAGACAGAGGCTAAGTAGAAACTAAGAAAATCGCTCATCTGGAACCGAAACAGACCATACACTCGCCCCTCCATCTGATCCCGTCCCACTAGTCACTACGTACAACCCCCCTGACGAGCCAAACGCTGCAGAGCATGGCGCCGGGATATTCCTGACAACCACCTCGGCCGCTTTCGCTGTGGTATTAACTCTGACAACCGTATTCCGTTGAAAGTTCGCCACAAAGGCGTCGTCCGACCAGTGTGCTAGCGTAAAACTATCCGCGCCGACCAACGAGGCCCCTTTGGATACCACCTGTGCTTTACCCGTTGGCTCTGCAGTGATGGGATCGATCGGAATGCGCGCAAAGAGACCCTGAACGGAGTTGGTGTAGTAGAGATATGGCGCACGGTAGCGGACACCGTTAATACCCTTAGCCATAGTTGGGTCTTTGAGGACGACCTTTACGGTGCGTGTCTGGAGGTCTAGTCTGTAGACTACCCCTGCGAGGGTATTCGATGCCAGAACGACGGTGGAAGAAAGGGTAGTGAGACCGTTGAGTGTGCCGCCGTTTCCGATTTTCTCGATGAGTTTGACAGCCTGAGGGGCACTGCCGTTGTTACTCAGCGTCCAGAGGGAGCTTGCGTCGTGGCCGTTCACTTTGGTCCGGGCAAGTATGGCATAACGCTCGTATCCGAGTTCCGTGATACCGGTCAGCCCGATAGAGTCAGGGAAGGTATATAGCGGCTGGGGGGGTCCGTGTTGATGCGCCGTGTCGACTTGGTAGACGATTGGCCGATCGTAGCGGCTGAACTTGACATACCAGGAGGCTCCGTAGCCGGCGATATCTTCGATCCAGGTACCATTGTCGAATTGATGGTATTTTCGTGAGTCATATTCGGCTTGACAGAGGTTTGTGGCTGCTGCGAGCAGCAACGATAGGACGGAAATAACTCGCATCTTGTCTAGTATCCGATGTAGGTATGGGGTAAGAAGGGTTGAGATTCAAGTAGCGAGATACTACACCTAATTAATATACGGGTCGGATCTTCTGACAGCTTTGATATTCCGAGCCAAAAACACCAAAAATAGCAAAAGCTGCACTGTGGCCTCGTGTTCCGGAACGACTAGGCTAGGGATCTCAATCCTGATGGCGAATTTCTGCCTAGACAAATGTCATCGTATTCGCATGGCCGGCCATTGGCCATTTTTAAGCATTGAGCCAAGACTTTGCCAGGAACCTTTGATGAACCCCACATTTCCGGCGCTGATCTTCATTCTCCCAAGGCCGCGATGCGGGACCATTCGTGGGTAACGTCCAGACTTGCTGGAAGCTCATAGGCGGGGTGGGCCTAAACTAGTCAGTGTTACAGTGCAGTCAATGCTTATTCGATAGGGAGATGAATGTGTGAAGAAAGAACAAGATGGGGGGCAATGAAAGAAGTGGGAGCTTGAGATGGGAAACAAGGTCATGAATGGGAAAGGGGCAGGGGAGCAGATAGGGACGAGCGATAATCCAGGTAAATAAAAATGTCAAACCAATATACCTGTAGTGCTTTTCATGGAGGGCTGATATAAGGGAAGGGGAGAACCACGGAGGGCCTATGACACAGTTAAATGTAGTGGCTCGGTCTGTTGGCTGGGATAAGATCGGCTGAGACACGGTGCTGACGACATAGCTGGTAGCGAAGATCAAGTAACCTCGGCTATTGGTATCCGGATATATATATCCTATATTCCTTGATCAATACATGCATGTAATCAAATCGATATTACTTCTCTGTAAATGTAGAGGAACTGAACAGCACAGCAAACTGGACCAACAACCATATGAAATTACGCTCTCGTGGCATGGGTCCTATTTTTCTACTTCCATAAACTCCTGGATTGCTGTACATGACTGTTCTGTTTTCTTAACCAATATGGCCATAAGAGGGGAGGTAGCAACATTAAAAAGAAGACATTTTAGTTTACATAATACCAACCACATAGTTGATTAAACCAACACTACAGGAAGCGTCTCTCATATTTATGAGTTGTTTAGGGCTAATGTAAGTATGCACTGGGCCAACATCCTGTTAATTAGGTCTTTACCATCCGTCGCCCTATATAGTGTATATTTTGACACTAACAAGTGTAAGAGCATATATATCCCCCATGCGCACCGGTGGGCCTATCTCCATAATCGTAGCTACTCTGGATCAGCTTCAACCTTACGTTGGATGCCCTCTAGCAGATCGTCCATCGCGTCATAAACAATAGCAACTAATTCATTTGATTCTCGGTAGTTTGATGCTTCTTTCCCGAGAAAACCGGACAGCCTATGCCACCATATGCTATGAGTCGTGATTATGTCGCAAACAAAAAGCTCTTCAAAATCGAGATGAATTAGACTCACCATACTCATACTCACTACCAAGGTGATAACATAGACACCTACACTTCTTCCACCAGATGTCTCAAATACACTTTCCTGTTGCTGATCACCCGGTAACAATCCGTCTACATATTCAGTCCTCCTTTCACTTCTTGCAAGCACGCAGTGCCTCCAGTCCCCAGCTCTCCGCGTCTATAGCCATAAAATACTGACCGGATGCCATGGCTTCTCCAACACGCCCATCTCCAATGATAGGGGCAATCCACTCATTGAAGTGAGATTCGAAGTCTCTATCCATCAGATAGCGCCAATAAGATGACCAATCGTATCGTCCTATGATAACACATCCTTGTCGATGTGCTTGTTGCCATTGCTTACAGCTCCAGGGCACCAATCACTGTCTGGATTATTGATTGCTCGGACACTGCGTTGAAGCTTCATCGGATTCACTGACTCATAGAGTGCAATCCACCCGGCAAGAGTCTCAGTATTGCTGTGAATATCAGTGACAGAGCTGGAGTAATACAGCCGCACTTTCCACATTGCCGGATGGGCAGCATATTTGTACGTATAGACAAACTGGCGGATTGTGCCGTCGAACTCGGAGAGGCCCCTCGGGATACTATTGGCTCTAGAGGTTAGATTTGACTATGTTGCACCGTAGTAGATTGGAAGGGTCTTGCCCCAGAAGAGTACACCTGAGTCAACATTGGATGTGGAGAAATCCTTAGACAGCATTCCATCTCCATCACGAAAGGACCTTGTAGAAGTAGGATACAAGTATGATGTCATGTCTGTCTCGTTCTCTTCTGACTTTCGCGCAGCACGCTTCTGCTGAAATTCTACTCTCCGCTCTGCCCGCTCTGCAAGCCATTCAGCTTTTTGCTGATCCTCCTTATCAGGGTTATCGCAAAGCGATAGACTTGGTAAGGAGAGATATTCTTCCCGAGAGACTTCCACATATTTGCTTTCCGCTCTGATGTTTTCCATGATTCAACAAGCTCGTTCCTCGATTGCCGGAGATGGTTATCTGGCCTCAATATTCTCACTAGTAATCGCTATCTTTTCTTCCTCGCTTTTCTCTAAAACCATCTCATCCCATTCATCGATCAGCCTCTGAAATGTAGCAATAGCACCTTATTTTATTGTGTATTTTTCTTCCATCTGGGCCTCAATCTTGGCGACCTTCTCATCACTTTGAACTGATTCGCCTGATTCTTGTTTATGTTCTAAGCCTAGCAACTCGTGTCTCTTCCGCAAAAAAACTCAAGCGCATGAAAGGCATGTCTCCAATGATTTAAATGCCAATCACTTCAGGGACACGAAATCTCGACGTGCAGTAGAGACTGTTGTAACTACCCAGTTGGGCCGACTGGCTGAACCCTCACTGCTGGAACATACACTGCCGATGCTTTCCGAGACCATCCTTAATAAATCCTGTATCAGTAATGCGCACGACAGCAGCAGCCTTTGTGAATAGCACTTACTGAACTTTGCCTTCTCTTCTCTCTAGATCCGACACCGTCGATTTTCCGTCCTTGATGTGGGAAATATGGTAAAGTAGGCCTGGAATTTATGTAGATTTTGAATTCATCTTCCATTTCGTGGCAAGTTTCCAAATACAAGTTGAGGTGGATAAGGTTGTGGAACTCAGGGGAAGTGATGCGCAGGGAGCTATTCTATCAGCTACAGGCCAACTAGCCTAATTAGGAAGTAGATGTCATTCAGTGGAAACACCAGGAATCACAGTATCTCAACCAACTGAGTCTCTTGCATTCCTATCTGGGTGCTCAACTATCTAAAGGATTCAGGGTTGAATCGATCGTCAGATACTCCGCACCGCCAAGTCTGGCGGATTATAGTGTTTCCGCAACAGATAACTTCCCAGAAACTAAGTTGATCATGCTTAGCAACGAAGATCTACACCACTGATCGCACTCAAGGATTGACCATTGAGACGAGACGATGCACAATACTGTGATATCACGTGATTATTTGTTTGCATTGTTTGTACTATTTACTTCTCGACATTGCCCCTTCTACCTTCTTCTTTTCCCCACGCTTGAAATTCTTGTTAAGATATTAATAGCATCAATTCAATCAAGTTGTCCGGCAGTCACACATACGGAATGAGATGGCCAGCCAATTTGATCAAATTGGTGCTATCTAACCAAAATTTCAAGCGCGAAGAGGAGGAAGAAAGGGTAAGGGGCAGTGCAGGGAAGTAAACAATAGGGGTGGTGAAATTTTGAAATCGGAAAACCCTTTACGAAATATTGAAATTTCAACTTTTTTTTACATTTCAATTTCATTTCAATATGATTAGTCATAAAAGATAGTAACTGAAGGCTTTAATTAAGTATTAGTACCTTCCTTCCACTGCCCCCCACCGCCTTCGGCTTAGGGGGTTCACACCGTAGGCACAATTTACTCCATAAACCCAAAATTGATGCTATTCCCTTTATACTGCCTTTCACCCTGAGTATTGATAAAGTAATGATCTGCATCTTAGGTGGTTGCCTAATATGCGGGTTCACGCCCCCAAGTACTTAACCCCTTTTCCTGTATTGTAGAGAGAGGGAGCACGAGTCAACCATCCAAGCAGGTTATGGTAGTTATCGTGGTCTAGGATATCAATATATCGTTCCCTATATTAAGCAACTGTTTGTGTGAAGCTGTTCGATGAGCTTCCTGCTTATCTATCCAAAAGGCTTATTTCTCTGCTGCGCTGTATAATTTTGTCCACTGCTTATACAATCTCTTCTTTTGTATAGCTTCTTTCTCTCTCCTGACCTTAATTGGCCGATTGGCATCATTTGTACTGAGTATACCAGAGCCTCCGATTTTTAAAATCCCTCTCTTGGTAATTTATCACCTCCTGGGGCTTGCATCCGTCACATTCTACTAACTGTATCGCTTATTATTGCAAGCTTTTTGCCGTATGTTTATGAAGGTAGAATATATGCTGAAGGCCACGCTGGAGCTTTAGCGTGAGACTCTTGGTGGTAAATATCTTTGAGAGCTTCGGGTTCTTTTCAAAGGCCTTGGGCGACCTTTGGAGGGGTATTTTCTATGCTAGAAGAAGAGAGATTCGGAGAAAGTGTTGATTCGCTGTATTTGCGAAGGTTGGGCGCGGAGAGCTCTGGTATAGGCGGAAGTACATCTTGAAGCTTTTGAATAATAGCAGAGCTATCTGGAGGGTATATACTACGTTATTTAAAAAAATTGCGAATGGTTTGCTGGTTAAAGCTCTTGTTTTGGACGCTAATGATATCCATCAGGAAATCCACCTTCCGCGCGGGTAGGTATCCAACACCTTGCCATTAAGAGGCTGGCAAGTATGAGTCGTATAAGGCCGAAAACAAAAGGGAATAATATAATAATCCTTCCAGAGTTATAGAATTTAACAGTTTTATAGGACATGTAGCTGTTGAATATTAACACACTTTTTTCACCCATTGTCGTCCGATCTTTGTAGCCTCTATAAATTTTTGAAGCCATCTAATAGCAATTAAATTGTGAATATATCTCTTTGGCGAAACAGCGGTCTAAAAGTCCGGTAGATAAGGGTAATTGTACCAGCTTTTTATAAACATTTTACCCTTAAAAAATAAACAGCGACCCCAAAATCCACCCATCGGCAGCAATATACTTAATCACTATGATGCTATTAACATGATTAAGCTCAGCGAGATCAGGGTATTCTTGTGTATTAGGAGACCTTTAAGCATGTTTACAAGCTGATTATAACATTGCTGTAGGTATCTAATATTCTCTGCGACAAGACACTTCTTATTCTTTGTTCTCTGTATTACAGGGCCTAATATAAGATATTCTGGGGGTTTTTTCTCTAACCGATACACCCACATCTTGCTAATTTTATGATCCAAACCATTGCATACGAACGCCCGATTTGCCCACTCTGTAAGCATTTTAGGGGTAACAGGGAGATATAAATTTATGCATACGAACAATCCACTAGATCAGAGCTTTCTCCTGATACTTATTAAGAGCCTTATTTTAAGGTATACGGACGCTGCGAGGCTGTCCCCCTGCGAATGCGACCGCGTAGCGTCTCGTATAAAGTGCCATATTCCCGTATAATCTTCGCTAAATTCGGTTCTTTTTTTTTTTTTTTTTTTTTTTTTTTTTTTTTGGTGCTGAGCGGCTTTACAGGCCTTGAGTAGACGAGATTCATCTATTTTGGGCGCCTTTGGCATGGTGGGTGGATGGGAATAAGGTCAAGAAAATAGATGGATAGAATTTTGGGTTTACAGTATGCACCCCCTAAGCCGAAGGCGGTGGGGGGTACGGGAAGTCTCTAATATAGTTAGCCAATCGTCAAGCATGTGACATCAAGTCTTACCTTTTTGAGTTCGTACAGTACAATTGCACCCCTTGACGGGCGATTTCTTCGACACTGCGGTAAAAGCCAAGCACATGGCTGTCGACATTTAGCTGCGTGTTCCGTTCAATGCGTTCCAGGACCTGTTCGGCTGCTAGTTCTATCTCATCCATGCTGTTGTAGTGGAGACGTGGCCTTTTTGGGACACCTGCGGGAGGCTCCTGCCCCTCTGCTTGAGGCGATATCACGTTCCTCGCCATCACCACTGAAGGGCTCAATCAAACAAGTATCAATCGAAAACGATAGGAGTTACGAGTAATTTATCAAATTCTGATCCGAATCCAGCTTATTTTGGTGGCGTAATGTCAAAAATTTGATACACGCAAAATGAGATGTTTGTTGTGGTCTGCAGCTGAGTTGCTGGTTAGAGTGACGGGATGCGTACATAAAAAAAAGATTCTATACCTAGTGTGGCTGCTGTGACACCTCGCCAGGATTGTTGAGTGGAGATCTACAAACTTCTAATTGGCTGTTTACATCGATCCTCGCAAGGAATGTTCAGCTATCACTGCAGATCTCGATGCCTCTGATTCTCTGTGGTGAATGGCCTAATGTCGAGCTTGCCGATTTTCCACGCCCTTCTCTTTCCCATGGGTAGGACCACCAATAGAGACAACAGAAAAATATTCGTCGGCGAAAAGGCTCTGTATTATGAGCTTCGGATCAACCGAACGGAGGGAGGGCTTGCCATTTTGCGCCCAGACAAACACATCGCATGGACAGGTGCCTTGGAAGATATGGACGGCTCCTAACATTATTTCAAGCGGGTTATTCAACCACAACCTCAGAATTAGAATGACTTACCTCAATAACATAGGTATCCTACACATAGCTAAACTTTGAGTAGATCGCAGTAGAGGAAATTCATCAACAATTCCTTATACTAGGACATGAGCGTGGTGGTTACTGCAAAGCTGCTCGGGGCATACAAAGTAGTTGCGATACTTCACTAGTATTCACCAGCAGTCTTATTTACAATAGTAATAGCAATTCAATTGTTTATAAATTGAAAGGCCAAGTAACTGGCCCACAACTCAAGCAATGTGGCGGGCAAGCCTGCAGGATCTAGCATAACACATTGCTAAAGCTCAAAGCATGCCATTGTCGTCCTATGCGAGCCCTTGCCTAAGGTGGCAAAACATTCCCTGCCAGAACTTGTTTCTCCAGTGGATTACAGCTGACAGACCGGAAGAGAGTCCATCGGCAAACATTCAGCTTCAGATTACGCTGAGAATTAATTATACAATTCAAGCTGGAGACCATATATATGCATGTATTTTCCTTCCTAACGGCATTGTTTCCACCGGTTTCTCATCGTTTATCTTGTATAACACTTTACCTCCATTGGTTGTGAAAGGCTTTAGTTAAGATGTTGTTTTCGTGGTGTTTGTGGTTTCTTGCTGCCCTGAGTCCCAGGTCCCAGGGGCCTCGAGAGGAGTGGCGACCAGGGCCGAGGGAATGTACTCCCGATGTCCGGCCAGTTCGACAAGAATGGTTTGTAGAATGAATCGCCCACTGCAAAAATATGTTTCACTGTGCTTACGGTAGAAAAGGGGCTCTCTTTCAACGGATGAGAGACTCGATTACATTAATGCTATAAAATGTATGCAAGGCAAACCCCCGACCTTGCCTCAAGACAAATATCCTGGTGTTCGTCACCGCATGGACGATTTCTCTGCGTAGGTTTATTTACCATAAGAAGCTGACGCTGGCTAACTTTCAAGAACCCATATTAATTACACCCTTTCCATTCACCTAAGTGGCATTTTCTTCTCCTGGCATCGTCACTTTGTCTGGTTATGGGAGAAGGCGCTACGCGAGGAATGCGGTTACAAGGGATATCAACCGTATGTACTTCTACTATTGTTGGGAATATCCAAATACTAACTGCACCAGGTACTGGAATTGGGCCCTCTCAGCTAACAATCTATCCGCCAGCCCGATCTTTGACGGATCCGCTACCTCTCTATCAGGAAATGGTGACCCAATCAAGCAAGAAACATTACTTCGGCTGGAACCCACTAATATTACTATCCCGATGGGTTCAGGTGGGGGATGTGTGACCAATGGCCCATTTGCTAATATGATGCTTAACCTACCAGAGCTCTCCATGGCAGGGGACGAAGAATTCCCTCCTAATGCCTTTGATTACACCCCGCACTGCTTTACACGGAATCTGAACTCTTACATGTCCAACGCCTTTACCAGCCAGGCGGACGTGGACCGGTTGTTGAACTCACCAACAATTACCGATTTACAGGTTAACATGGACCTCAGTGCCTGGCCTGAGCTGAGAGAAATGGGAATTTTAGGTCCCCACACTGCGGCGCATATGTCCCTTGGACGTACCATGCAGGACTCCTGGTCGTCACCGCAGGACCCGTCATTTATGCTCCATCATGCCCAGGTCGACCGTATCTGGTCCCTGTGGCAGGCTCGAGGTCCAGAGAGTCGCCGGTGGGCCTTGAACGGCACGAGTACCGTCTACAACAAACCGACAACACCGGAAGTCACTTTGGACACGGAATTAACTTGGGGGACGCTCAGCGACAACAAGTCAGTGAGAGAGGTTATGAGCACCGAAGCGTATCATTTTTGCTACGAATATGGTGACTGAGCGTAAAAGATGATAGATCTATAATTTTTGAGATTCCTGGCGCTACACTAGGAGTCTGGCTTCAGCTGGGATTATTACTACAAAATACTAGCCTCCTGCTACTGGATGATGTATAATGCTAATCCTATTCTAGAGCTTGTAAATGCCATTAACCGCGTGGCTTGCATGTGGGCAATGTTGGGCACGATAGGACAGGATAGATTAGAAAAAAAAAAAAAAAAAAAAATCCAGACTAAAACTATCGCCGCCTAGACCGCTACCCCGGATGGCCACGAAGTATATAATACAACTCTTGAAGACCGCCACTTCCGTCTATCCGCAGATATATTCCAGCACCTCCGTAGAAAGCCTATTAATTAGGAATTACTGTTAGGTGTGGGTGCGTCACCTAGACAGTGCGCTACTATATAAGGTGCTCAGGAATATCTGATCCCATTGGGATCGGATATAGTGGTCTTTTCGTCCAGTGGATTAGTTAGGATCCTGAGCTTGGCTGTAACAATTAGATCCGCCTCCAAGGACAATGTCGTCACAGCAGCTCATTGGTTATGTATAAGCAGGTTCCACTTGCATTTAACTACCAAAAAAAACAATTCTATATATACCATACTGCAGATAATTAATGTACGTCGCCGATTCCAACCAGTAATGTTCACCAACTATCTGGGTAACTATTACATTATAGTCAAGGAAACGCCGCCTATAACTAAGTTACGTGGGGATAAAGCACAGCCCAGTATAAAAGAGAATTTTGCATAGTTAATTGGTCAGTGGCCGGCGTGCTAAGGTCAAGTCTAAACTAGATTAATAACGACTATTTTTAAATTACCTGGTGCAATTTACCCACGCCGGCGACTGAGCCTATGCTATAATTTATATACTTAATATTATAATAATAAATCTGCGTGGGCTCCAGTCTATAGGCCAGGGTTCTTGGGCCGTGCTCGGTGGGGTTACAGAGCATAAGGCGCTCCTATATATATCTTGATTGGTTTTGCACTATTGGGCCACGTCGTGTTACTGATTTTTTATGGGAAGTGGGAGTGACCCTGAACAGGGAGGACACAACTTGTTTAAGGAAAGATGCACTGTTTCGGTGGCTGGTGGAGAGGAGTCCTACCTACAGATTTTTAAGCCTGTTTATTAAATAATTTCTTCCTCTCTCTGGACCTCTACTTACCATCTGCGATCTCTTTGTATATCTTTTGTGTAGTCACTGCATATGAGCTGAAAATCAGGTAGTTCACGGCGTAGGGCAGGGTTATTGGGGGGAGCGGAGAATCAAGGATGTCGTATCGAACAGGGTTCTTGTTTTACGCATACATGTTTTATTTTTTCGAGATAGCGATGGTGTCGAAAGAGATCAGATACATTGAGTGCCGGTCTTTCTGGTTGCTAAAATTGTATTTTTTTCTGCTAACTGTATGATCTGCAGGATCCACCACTATTAATACTAGATTATTGGACTCCTATGTTGCCACTTCTGCAGACATAGTGGAGTAAGCTGAACAATACCTGCCTTGTTTTTGTGACACATTCGAGCTAGAATTTTGTAAGAAAATCAAATGCATCCTGCAGACGAGCTCCACAATAGCAATATTTTCATTCGGCGAGAGATAAATCGGTGGCTGGCGGAGTTGACATCCTTGACTGGCTTACCACAATTATTATGCTGGTCTAAGGGGAAATGTGATTGTCAATCACGGTACCCTTACTCACAGGATATAACACAGAATAATTGTCGAACAATAATTCTTAAGAGTATTGACCTTGTCCTATGGCGAGACTTGTAATACAATCGTGACTCTAAAGTGTTATGCCCCACACCGTGATTGAGCATTCGAGTTCGTGTCCGACATTCGGCTAGTCCCAAAGAGGAAATACAGTACGATTGATAAAAATGTCTTATTCGAATGACTCGAGCTAGTTGGCTCTTCCTGATTATCTATGTTGATGCTCTGCTTGTTTCTTTGATCTTTTCAGAGGTGGTTTTTGACCTACACTGATCACGTGATTTGGCCTAAATGGGTTTAGGCCCATACTATCTAACAGTTTGTCATTCACTCCATTGTCTCACAATGAGAGTCTCTCTGTGGTTAGCGAGCTTGAGTACATGTCTCCACATTCTACACCCTCAAATAACTATTCAATTAGTGCAATTAACAAGCTAATTGTTGAAGTGGTATTCGGACCGATTCCTCCCTAGCGCCTTGGCTACGCACAATGGTGTCAACCCCCGAATCCTCTATCCCAGAGAATAGAATGAATAGTGTGGCATCTAGATGAGACGTTGGATATATATCTAGTTGAATATATACGCTCCTTAGTAGGCTACGTGCGTGTGGCTGGTATAGCTTCTCCTGCCCTATTCCCCATTTCCCCTGTGCACCGTGGACCCTGTCAAGGTTTTCACAACACTAATTTATCTTCAGCCTCCTGTATATAGCCTCGTTGGGCAACTTTCCACCCCTCCGGCCGAAATGACATCTTTGCCATCACAAGGCAGCTTATACGAACGAGGCGCTTCTCTTCCAGTTGAAAGCACCAACTACAAAGAATTGGTCGCCATTGCCCTGGGTGATCAATGGCAAGAGCCAATACGTTTCTTGTCTATGCTTTTTCAGCGTTGAATAATGCCATGGTCTCGCCTCGGACGGCAGCGGGCCATGTGCCTCCGTCATATGATACAAACAGGTGCATTAAACTCCTCCCGGGAACTGGAATCAAGGATGGGGTCATGACAGCAAATATTTTTCGTGCTGCGATGTCAACGCGGGGGTCGGTGGCGTCCTACTTGTGACCAGAACCGGCGGAACCGGCACGCCAGACCCTGCCATGCTGTCCAGGAGCAGAATCACTTGCGTTGTCTGGGTTGAATCCTCAATACCAATCGCTTCCATTCTGTTGTAGTTAGGGGAAGTAATGCGCAGGGAGCTATTCTATCAGCTACAGGCCAACTAGCCTAACTAGGAGGTTGATGTCATTCAGTGGAAGCACCGGGAATCGCAGTATCTCGACCTACTGAGCCTACTAAGTGGTTCCCTACGTTCGTGTTGAGGTGTTCTACTGGCTAAAGGATTCAGGGGTTGAATCTATCGTTGGATACTCCGTACCGCCAAGTCGGGCGGATTATAGTGCTTCCGTAACAACGTCCATTGTTAACCAGGAGCGAGGAATAGAGGACGAAACGGTACGAAGTGTTCCCCCTAGCTCGGATGGCAAATGGTTTCGGGCTTCGAGACGGCAAGATCAATAAGTCATGGAGGGTTTGCAGCACTCGGTCGAGCCGCTCAACCAGGGAACGGAGGAGGCTGCCCACTGCGAGGCTAAGGATAGTCACAGTAGTAATAAGAATAGCTCCGTGGGATATCAAGTCGTCGATAACCAGGGATCTGCATCGCGATGTATATTGTATACGCGATGCAGTATGGACCCCTGGAGGAATAGGTCATACAGCAACGTCAACTTCCTACAGCCTGATGATCCAACAAGCCATAAGAATTTCTGTGGCGAGCCTTCGCTGATCCACTTCTGGAAGAACGCAGTGGAGAAAATCCATTTCCCAGTCCCTGAGGTTCGTCGCAACATTGTCTGTTCTAGGCGACTGGGAGGACTGGCTCAAGTCAAGCATGATTTCCCCGCGCCATTTTAGAATGCCTTTGCTTACGGTGCGCTAGGCTAGTACTCGGTTAGGCGCTAAAAGAAATAGATTTATGTTGGCGCCGATCAGGTTGATCGCCATACATGCCTCCATTAGGCTCAGTGCCATATCCTCACACTGGCTTTCCGCAAATGAGTCAGCTCAAGTCAATATGCTTTTTACCATCGTATAATTCAGATGCCTCTGTCTCTGTATCATGATAATATTATGACTTAACATGAATTGAATTACCGCGTCTTTATTTTTAGAAGGCTATTTAAATTTTATTGCAAAAATGGTATAATATTCACTCTTCTACCTAAAATGCCCGTGCCCCCAAGAAGCAGCTCCTACAGATAAATATTGGGCCCCCACAAAGATGAAACCATGCAGATCCAAAGGATATATTCTTACATGCAGATGTCGCATCTAAAATTGGAATACGAACACGATGCAAGCCCCTGATCCGTATAAATGTAACTTCGTATAATTCCGCCCGAATGCTTAATTCATCAAGCTGAGGCATAAGCCCCTCACACAAATATAGTTCAGTCATGTATGTGTCCTTCATATCTATTGGTCAGCGACCGCAATGATCTTCAGGTATTGTCCCATCTTTTCCCGAAGTGGATGCTCTGCCTTGGGGCACGAAAAGATATAAACACCAAATATCACCCTCCTATCCTGAGCCTCTCTCTTATAAGACAGAACAAAACATCATCCTATCCCAAGTTTCTCAATCCCCAGCAGAGATCATGAAATTGCTCACTCCCCTCTTCCTTTCCCTGGCCTGCCTGGGCCTGGCCAACCCCCTCCCTGAAGAAGCCACCGTCGCGAGAGACGCCACAGTCGAGGCTGCCAAATCTGGCCAGGGAATCATCAAAGCTGCCGAAAAAGAAAAGGGCCTTCCCTACGTCTGGGGAGGCGGCGGATGCAACGGCCCGTCAAAGGGTGGATTCGACTGCTCTGGACTGACGCAGTATGCGATCTGCAAGTCGCTTCACAAGACGATTCCGCGAGTCGCACAGGATCAGTACCACTCGAAGCTGGGAAAGCACTACCCTCGCTCCCAAGCCAAACCGGGCGATTTGCTATTCTGGGGCGAGGGAGGGGATTGCAAGAACAAGGTGGTCCACGTTGGGATCTTTATTAAGGATGGACTGATGATCAATGCCGCACATACGGGTACGCCTGTGAGGGAGCAGAAGATTTGGACATCGTATGGAGGGGAGAAAATCTGCCCTGATGTTGTACGGTGAGTACCTAGCTGGTCGTCTCTTTTGCCTTCTAGGTAGGAAACTAATGCGCATAGATTCTGGTAATCGGTACAGGATGGCTCTTGGGATAGGTGAGGGGTCCCGGTAGGCTTGAGGATGCTTAAGAAATTTATTTTTTTGTATTACAGGTGGCTTATTTGAATTAATAGGTCGGGGTCTGTTCACAGGGTAGGAAGACAATATAGTGACAGATATTTGTGCGTCGAGATGAATAGTGAAGGGTTGAATTTCCCACACAATACAATGGCTTCGTTTTATTTCCCCTAGACTGACCCAGCTGCTATATCATTTTTCACGTATAAACTGATTGAATAATCTCATCTGGGACTGCATAGACAAGACCGACCCTTCCCAACCCCGGCATTATTTACAAGCGCCAACGTGGACGTATTCTGAAATCTATTGTTTAGGAATATCACCTCCCGAACGCCCAAAACATTCCTAAATCTTTTCTTAAAAGTATGGTCTAATCATACCGTACTTCACCGCCCAACAATCGGAACCCCCAAACGATCGATTTCGTAGTACTAGAAGAGGCAACAAATGAAGCAATTCAGCCACACACAAATGAAATTATCTAACGAGTGTCTGATGGAGTATAGTGTAGATACAAATAAAGATATCCACCCTTTTTAGAGCTCCCGAAACCTCTGTGGGAGGCAGATTTGCCTGCCTGAGCGTATAGATGTAGTTGGGACCCCCTTAGCAACTTCAGGAGCTGGAGGGCCACCAACTGTAGTATTTTAAGTTGTAGAGGACTTGGAGGCCTTTTTCTTAGTGGTTTTGGTATTTTGGATGTCCTTTTGGAGTTTTTAGCTGCCTCTTTAGCTATGCGATCCTCCTTTTTCTGTTACTTTTTTTGCTCTGCCTCTAGTAGTTTTAATTCCTTCTTTGCAGCCTTCGTTCTTTTTCTTTTTTTAAGTAAGTGCTGCTTGTCTTCCTTCTCCTGTTAACAGCGGATCTTCCTCTCCTCTTTTAAAGCCTTAGCAAGCTGTATAGCTTTCTCCTTCTCGTTGTAAAGCTGGAGAGCTTGCTATATTTTCTTAGGTAAATAAAAGATTGCACCACTATATTCAGGTGCTTGTAATTAGAACTGTAATAACTTTTAACACTGCCTCCTCTTTTTCTTATTAGTAAGAGCTATCTCTAAGCCTTCACAGCATAGTTTAAGCAAAGTATTCTAGGTAGCAAGCTTATAAAAAGTTACACCCAGCTTCTTGGTATTTTAATTATAGATATCAGCAACCACCTTTTTTTAAAGCCTTTCAATCCTTCTCCAGTTATCTGCTTGCAATACTGAAGCTGCGGAGCCACTTAATAAAGGCCTCTGGCTCTCCTCTTTGCTAAAAAGCGCTTTAAAATAATTTCTGGATCCCATAAAGCTATCCCAGTAGCTTTCCATGAAGAATCAATATTCTTCTTTGTTAAAGCCTTCTCCCAGCTCTGCCAGAATAGCCTGAAAAAGTCCCTTTTCGTAATATGGCTTAGGCCTTGGCTATTATAAAAAATTGCTCCAAACTGTTACTATAGGCTGTTAAAAGTGGTGAAAAGATCCCAATATCTAATAGCTGCAGCGAATAAGTTAAATAAGGCAGATAGGTTATTAAATAAATTCTATTTACTATACAGAACTTAATAAAAGTTCTGGTAAGGTGTGAGCCATAGCTATCTAGAATTAAAAGCCTTTAACTCCTTCCAGCCTTCTCCTTTGTCTCCCTGTTAAAGATATCTCGAAGCCATGCAAATCCCACCTTATTATTAGTCCAGCTAGTTGGTAAGGCTCTAAAGAAGCAAGGATATTTAGTTGGATCGAAGTCTTGAAGCCAGGTATTTTGTATCTTGCTGGAGGCAGCTTGGTAGATAAGACCTGGAGATAATAAGGTCCCATCTGCACAAATACAAGCAATTAAGGTTATCTATTCACGATTCCCATCCTAAAGCCGTTGCTGAATGCCATCCTTCTCGAATTACTGCTTGGAGAAGATCCTTTTGGCTTTTAAAAGGATACTAATAAGAAAGCCTTTTTATCCATGTTGTAGATATTCTTCTTCTGGATATTGTATTTATTAATTTTCTAGGCCAGCAACTTAAAATATAAAGTATATTTAAAGGCTAAATTAGCCTTCTTTTATAAAAAGTCCATACCAGTTGTATAGCGAGAGATAAGGTTCTCCCGGTGTCTTTTTATAAAGCGGGTTGCCTAGTTCTTTCCTGGTGGCTTTTTTACCATTTCCTCTGCAAAATTCCTTATTATTAAAGCAGAGACATATAAGCCTTTGCTAGAGAGCCTATTAATCCATCTAACTAGCGATTTTTCTTGTTGGTGGGTGAGTAATTGCTGTTCTTCGTGATAGTCCTTCCTAAAGCCTTGAAGCCCTTTATAATACCTTAACAGGGTTACTCGGTGCACACCATGCTTTTTCGCAAAAAAAGTATAGTTAGGAACTTCTCCTGGCTCCAACGATTTTAAATTTTCTAACACTGATTTAATTGATCCTATATTAACAGAGTTATCATGGTTTAAAATCTACGAAACGAAAAGTCGGTGTATACAAAAATCAATTGTTTGGTGGTTCCAATCGTTGGGCGGTGAAGTACGGTACTGGCCTCAACATCCTTTAAAAATTGGCACACAACCTGCTGCGTGCACGTAGAGGCTTCCACCTCCTGCTTTCTATAACCTTGAATCATCCACTTCATCCATTTTAAATTGTTAGGGTTATATTTTCCTTAACAAACCCTATAAATATATCATCTGGGGCTGTGTGTCAGGGGCTGAACCCGTAGAACCTATGAGATAGGTTATGTACAAAAAGGAATCGTTGAAGAAGGGAAGAAAGGAAGAGGAAAATGAGCAGTAAACAAAAAACGTGGAAAGTCACATGAATTGGACGAGGGCCGATGGGCCAAAGGTGCCAACAGGGCCAAAAGGGACAGTAGGGACAGTAGGGACAGCAGGGACAATAGGGACAATAGGGACATTGGCGCTAGTTCTTAGTATTAGCGGCCACCCGGCCACCCATTCAATAGAATAAGCAATCGCTTCCAACATATACCCAATATCCGGGGTTGGGCAGAACATCCTTCTGAATACAATCAATCCAGACCCCCCCATAAATCGAACAAAACCCAAGTCGAGCCGATCAACCGGCTGATCTGCATCCCCGCAATTCCACCCAACGCAGCACATCGTGGAAAGTGCATGGTGTGATCCCAGTCATATTCCCCCTTTGTAAAAAAAAAAAAAAAGCTTCACCAATCACCATTTGTTTACTGCGCCAAATTTTAAATATCCCACAAGCCTTATGACATGTGGAGATCCACGCCCAAGACTATGCCTCAAGCCAAGGTGCCACCTATTAATAGACTACAGGTCCAGCAGGCTTGTCTCACCTGCAAAGCAGCGAAGAGATGCAGTGGGACATTCCCATGTTTAAAATGTGTTAGGGCTGGTAACGTTGATAGCTGTGTCCCTGGTAAAAAGAAGGACCGTCATTCAGCGCCCCTGCACAGAGATACTGGCTTGAGTTCCCCCAGGGCCTCGGATTCTGTTGCCGAGTCCTTGTCTACGGCAAACTGCAATCCATTAATAGACCCGCTTCGTCATAATTCTTATCCCGAGTCTCATAGATCAACCAGACCAGCAATTCACCCCGGTTCGCCAGAAGCGCCACACAGAACTCGTCCGCGTATGCTACGAAATCTGGTGGGGGGAGCGAAGTAGGAGCATTATCCTGCGTAATGTAATTGATCTTCCAAAGAATTTAAAACCACACCATAGTATTTGTTGGCAGAGCTGCATCATTATCGGTTTCTGCAATTACTTTGTGATATTGTGACCCAGCATATCGGACCATCCCAGTTCTCTCACAATGTTAAGAGCGAGGACATGCTCGAAACAGAGACCCCCCCGTGACACTCCGTTGACTATCGAGGATGATGCAAATATCTGCTCACCCGAAATATTTTATTTCTGCATATCACATCGCTGTGGGTACTTCTCAGAATGCTATGTTTATTTATCCTATCCATCGTTTGCTAGTTGACGCGTTGGCCGGGCCCCGTATGATTGACCGGTTTTTGTCTAGACAAGCGGGTTCGTTCATATACTACCGTACTTCACCGCCCAACGATCGGAACCCCCAAACGATCGATTTCGTAGTACTAGAAGAGGCAACAAATGAAGCAATTCAGCCACACACAAATGAAATTATCTAACGAGTGTCTGATGGAGTATAGTGTAGATACAAATAAAGATATCCACCCTTTTTAGAGCTCCCGAAACCTCTGTGGGAGGCAGATTTGCCTGCCTGAGCGTATAGATGTAGTTGGGACCCCCTCAGCAACTTCAGGAGCTGGAGGGCCACCAACTGTAGTATTTTAAGTTGTAGAGGACTTGGAGGCCTTTTTCTTAGTGGTTTTGGTATTTTGGATGTCCTTTTGGAGTTATTTAGCTGTTTTTTTAGCTATGTAATCCTCCTCCTTCTGTTGCTTTTTTTACTCTGCCTCTAGTAGTTTTAATTCCTTCTTTGCAGCCTTCGTTCTTTTTCTTTTTTTAAGTAAGTGCTGCTTGTCTTCCTTCTCCTGTTAACAGCGGATCTTCCTCTCCTCTTTTAAAGCCTTAGCAAGCTGTATAGCTTTCTCCTTCTTTGTAAAGCTGGAGAGCTTGCTATTTTTAGGCGAATAAAAGATTGCACCACATTTAGGTGCTTGTAATTAGAACTGTATCTTTTAACACTGCCTCCTCTTTTTTATTAGTAAGAGCTTCTCTAAGCCTTCACAGCTAGTTTAAGCAAAGTATTCTAGGTAGCAAGCTTATAAAAAGTTACCTAGCTTCTTGGTATTTTAATTATAGATATCAGCAACCACCTTTTTAAAGCCTTTAATCCTTTCCAGTATCTGCTTGCAATACTGAAGCTGCGGAGCCACTTAATAAAGGCCTCTGCTCTCCTCTTTGCTAAAGCCTTTAAAAAATTTCTGGATCCCATAGCTATCCCAGTAGCTTTCCATAAGAATAATATTCTTCTTTGTTAAGGCCTTCTCCCAGCTCTGCAGAATAGCCTGAAAAAGTCCCTTTTGTAATATGGCTTAGGCCTTGGCTTTATAAAAAATGCTCCAAACTGTTGCTATAGCTTTAAAAGTGGTAAAAGATCCCAAACTAATAGCTAGCAATAATTAAATAAGGGATAGGTTATTAAATAAATCTATTTACTAAAACTTAATAAAAGTTCTGGTAAGGTTAGCCATGCTATCAGAATTAAAAGCCTTAACTCTTCCAGCTTCTCCTTGTCTCCCTGTTAAAATATCTCGAAGCCATGCAATCCCACCTTATTATTAGTCAGCTAGTTGTAGGCTAAAGAAGCAAGGATTTTAGTTGGATCGAAGTCTTAAGCCAGGTATTTTGTATCTTGCTGGAGGCAGCTTGGTAATAAGACCTGGAGATAATAAGGTCCCATCTGCACAAATACAAGCAATTAAGGTTATCATTCACATTCCATCCTAAAGCCGTTGCTAATGCCATCCTTCTCGAATTACTGCTTGGAGAAATCCTTTTGGCTTTTAAAAGGATACTAATAAGAAAGCCTTTTTTATCCATGTTTAGATATTCTCCTTCTGGATATTTATTTATATTTTCTAGGCCAGCAATTAAAATATAAAGATATTTAAAGGCTAAATAGCCTTTTTTGTAAAAGTCATACCGGTTTATAGCAGAGATAAGGTCTCCCGGTGTCTTTTTATAAAGCGGGTTGCCAGTTCTTTCCTGGTGGCTTTTTTACATTTCCTCTGCAAAATTCCTTATTATTAAAGCAGAGAATATAAGCCTTTACTAGAGAGCCTATTAATCATCTAACTAGCAATTTTTCTTGTTGTGGGTGAGTAATTGCTTTCTTTGTAATAGTCCTTCCTAAAGCCTTAAACCCTTTATAATGCCTTACAGGGTTACTCGGTGCACACCATGCTTTTTCGCAAAAAAAGTATAGTTAGGAACTTCTCCTGGCTCCAACAATTTTAAATCTTCTAACGCTGATTCAATTGATCCCATATTAAGAGAGTTATCATGGTTTAAAATCTACAAAACGAAAAGTCGGTGTATACAAAAATCGATCGTTTGGTGGTTCCGATCGTTGGGCGGTGAAGTACGGTATCGGACTCGGAAAATTTTGAGATGATGAGTCACCCGGGAACAGGGCTATGCTAAGGATCAGAAAACTAAAGTGGCATTAAAAGACCTCATAACTGCCATTGGGGCGCAATCTTCAATGAGTGACGTACAAACGGTTCAAGCAGAGGGCTATTGTTTTGCCCGCGGTCAACGCAGTGCCCTTGATAGCATGCTGGAGAACCCGAGCCTTGATATGGTACGACTGTTTCTTTTAATGTTATTGTACATGCTTGGCGCCTGCCGTCGGAACGCAGCGAACATGTACATAGGTGTAGCTGCTCGTGTAGCAGTGGCGTTGGGTCTCCATCTTAATGACTCTAGAGCAGTCTCAGTAAGTGAACAACGCCAGAGGTAGGAGTTTCTTAAAATTTTGGCCCAGTATACTGCTAATGCCACCTCCCATAGGAGTCCTGTGTGGATGAGCCTTTGCATATTGGACCCTTAGGTTAGCTCGATCCTTGGACGACCTCTTGCGACTGCATCATTACGCACGGAAACATCGGGCAATCCTCTGATTGTGAAACCTCAAGAATACAACTTAGAGGAATGCTTTTTTGCTTCTTACTCTATATCACAGATCTTAGATGAGATAATATTCCGGCTATGCGTAGCCATCCGTGGAAACACTAGGAATCACAGTATATCAACTAAACTAGGTAGTTTCAATAGTTAAGCTCTGGCGCTCCTTTCTTACAACCTTATATCTCGAGAACTTTTGGAAGTCATCTACTAGATCTGGTTCCGTCTTAAAAAGCTCACTACTTGCTTGCACATGTCTGGCAGCGACAGCCGCTCGTGTTTGTAGTCATGCAAGAGTAAATAAAACACTTTAACAATCTCGGGGGCATCCACAAAACGATTCTTGTTGAACATTAAAAAGTGCTTGATGAGGGCTACGTACCCAGGGTAATTACTCACGTTAACTTTGTTCATATGGGAAAGAGCAGGAAATAGCATCGTTAAAACCGGAAGAACCATCATTTCTTGAATTTTCTTACGAAGAACCCTCAGTAGTACGTTTCCGCGCACGGATTGGTGCAAACTTATCAGAAGCCTCCTCTTCCTGCTCATTATCTTGGTGGTTATCTGATGAGCTCGAAGTAGAGGTCGACTAAGATGCGGTAAAGTCACTTGGTCAAGATCCACCGTCCTGAATCGTCTTAACACGCCGAATAATCTCCTCAACTCCAGATGCGTTAACGATTTTGCAGACCCTTCAACTGGCTCCAGTTCTGCTTGATCCCCAGTACACCTCATACCAGTTCGTCTTTGCTCTGGGAAGTTTCACTCGCTGTGGTATAGCCGGCGGCCAAGGAAACACATCGTTAATGGCCATTTCGTCTAGCTCTGGATAGCCATTCCTGAGGATACCGGAATATTTATCCCTTAGGCTACATAATGCCTGCATCTCATTGGCGGTGACGGCAGTCCAGAATGAAGATGTATGGGCCGTTTCACTTTCACCGCATGCTTCCCACAACCAGGGCATTTCCTCAGGAGTAAGACGATACCAGACAGAGATTGGAAGTTGTCGGAACGCTCTAGATGCTAGCCTTAGATTTGCAATGTCACTAGACCCAAGATAGCCTATAATAAATATCCACAGTTCCTGTGGTAATAAGAGTAGTAGATCGGTGGCGCGTTTAATTGGTGAGAGTCCTATCGGTCGAGATAGATTAAATGCCCCAACTGACAAGCTAAAATTGCTGTTTTCTTCTTTAATCGAAGACAGAAGAAGAGGAACGAGTTTCGGCACATTGAGTGGGTTTGCAACTAGATATTCTTTCCAAGGATGACGCCAGAATTGCTCCTGGGCAGCTGAGACAGCTGGATCATGAGGGAAACTATTGAAATCCTCCCAGGAATGTTCTCCTATGCGCCGGTTCATAAGGCCGGTAATATTAACATGGCCGAAGTGGAGCTTGGACAGACGGCAGAAAATATCGAAACACCACGGGTGGAAGGGTATCAGGTAGTGGTTTGGGTGTGTGTACGAATCTATTCCATACTATATGCAATGAGATCAGAACATGTTTAAAAAACGGTGTAGAATTCCGAGGGTTGGAATAGGAGAGGATTGTTCGAATACCCATGCAGATAGCAGGAAAAGCTCTATAGCAAGAAGCTACTCACATTAATAATGGTATGATGCGAGTTCGGTTGAACAACGCCGCCTCGTGCTGGGTACACTCTCTTTGGATCAGTGTCCGGCGATGCCATCCCATCAGAGAGCCCGGAGAGAAAATAGTCTCCTACAAGTTCCCAGTCTTGGTCAAGACCATCTGACGCCCAATTGTCAGAGACACTTTTGTGCACTAGGCATTGCGCTGTCCGGCAGCCTCTCATCTCCGCGACAGGGATATTTTGGCCACTATATGTCTGCTCACTGGGGCAGGTAGCACCTGGAATATGTTCTAGGTCTTGATCATTGTATCCACTAGGCCTAGGCTGGGTTCAACATCCTCAGGCACTGGCAGGAAGGCCTGATGCTTTGGGCTTCCATCTGTAATCCACCATGGTTCTCCACGAATCTTCTACTGAGTGACAAATGTCGCAAGCCAATCCTTATACCACTGGGCCTCCGTGTCATCTTCCTCCAACGGCATTTCATCAAGCCCCATGCCGTTGTTAACAGATTCATAATCAGAAGCATACTCATACGGCTCTCGTGCGTCATCCTCTTCGAAGACATATTCTGGGTCATACGCCAGATCATCGTCTTCCTTCGGAAATCCAGCAAACACAAGCAGGCTGCAACCACGATGTGTACCGTCCCTCCAGTTTGCACTGCCAACTTCCACTCCTTCTCCCCAAGGCCAGCCACCGGAACCCCATCCTGCTGAATGCGGCTCACCGGGTTTTGCAGTGCGAGCGATATTAAAGCTCACTCCACAGAAATAGCAGTATACCTGGATCGGTTAGCAACCCTAGATGTTATACTAGACATTGTAACATGGAGCCTAGGGTACTTCAGAATATCCTGCCCCTGGTTAATGAGGTTCCCATGTAACAGAACAAGAGATCTTACCCAATTTTGCCTTCAGTGTTCTACAATGACTCGAACCTCCAGCTCAGATGGGATTTCGGGGCTGATTTACTCTCCATTAACCTTCGCTTCTTAAACGCTATGGACTTATAAGGTGGGGCAGAATGTGTATCAGTCTATCTCTGATTGGCCGACTGTTGCTGCCACCAGGCTACTCTCTCTCAATATGGACTGTTGTTGCCGGTCAGCGTTGCCTGTGAAAGCACCTATAAATGTGTCAATGGAAACTCTATGATGATTCCCTGTAGTGAACGCTACGATATCTATCCACTATCGTGATAATTCCAACATTTACGTTGATGCTATCTGTCTAACAGTCTTTTGTATATCTTAGCGTCTGGGTAGTGTTCATTCACAGCCTGGCCAGACTGTGACTTGATGTCAGGCTGCTGTTTTTAAGGAAATAACTTGCCCATACTCTTTATAGAATCTTAATGGCCTTTCTAGTCCTTTTTATGTAGCTCCTGATGGTGTGTCAGTAGTGCTGGATACATTGGGGCCAAAACCGATCGGGAAACGCGCCATGCCGTATATTCTGGTCCAACTCCTGGAATGAATTGAATTGCGCAACTCTAGATTTAATCCATCCGCCCTGAGTTCAATGTATGTGACAACAACGAAGCTACTGGCCCGAAACCGCAGCGCAGCATGCCCAAAGTCCGATCGGGAAGCGCTACCTGCAAGTTAGTCGTACTGGAGCCCTTTGGGCAGAAAGAGCCCGTCGGGTCAAATTCGACGAGCAGAGACTCCAATGTCTGCGTTGTGTCCGTTCAGGCCGGTCCTGTGGAGGCCCACCACAACCAAGTGTGACACTTCCTCCTAATCTATGCATATTATGCCTACTTATATGTGTGGGAGCCCACTTGAGTGGCTGAATCATCGCCCCACTGATCATTTCCGAAAATGTGTCAAATAAGTTGGTGGTTATAGTGACGTAAACAAGGTCATAAAAGAGGGGTAAAACGAACTCCCCTACACCTAGCAGAAGAAGCAACCTAATGATCCATAATAATCACAAGGATGATCATATGTTGATCAATATAATCAAGAAACCATCTAAAACAATCATTTTAAGCACCTTTCAAGAATAGTGTCTACTTTCCTATTCGGTATTAGCCGAATATCGAATAAAATGTGGAATATCAACGCGGAAATGCGTAATCTTCCACATAGAGGTAGATCCTGTTGTCGTTAAAATGCAGAAACAAATTGCTCAGTTTATACACCCCTGTGCATGGTATCACTTTATAATACTAAAACTATGTAGCTCGCTTGCTATATTAAGTCCTTGTGAAGCACAGAGTCTGTACCATCTCGTAACACGGTACGAGGGGAAAAACCCTTGGATTTGACTCTACTTCCTGTTTCCATCTTTGTCAGACTCATGTGAAAAATGTCTGCTTGTTTAAAAGCATCCTACTAGTCATATTCCTGTGCTTGAAAATTGTGAAGATGCAACTGCTGATGGTTTTTCGCTGCAGTATCGGTACTCTATCTATCTACTTATAGCTAGTATTTTGACTCCGTGCGTTTTTACCAGGGTTAGTTATTATACTCTGAATAGCCTTCTGCTCTACATAACCTGCCGGAAGTATCAAAAAGGAAAGAGCAAGAACTAAACAGAAAACATATGACATGTGTTTTTCGTTTCACCGACTCTACCGAGCCTAATTTATTTAGTTGGCGTACGACCCTATGGAAATGAGATGCGGTATAAAGAGAGGGGCTCAGCTTCAAATACGGATAATATGCTGTGATATCACTGCGCAGTGCTTCTCACAATATACATTATTTTACAGAAATTCATCCGTGATCTCTCTTTTTTCTGTTGCCAGCAAAGAAATGTCAAAGATCCAGGAGTTGGATATTGGCAAATGCTCTATTGTACATACCTCTTGTGCATCCATTCTTTCTTTTTTGCCACCCGTCTGGGTTCCGTACGCGGAACTGACGCGACTGGATCGACCTGGATGTTTCCTTGCTCTCTCTATCTTCCTTGTTTGAACGGTTTGGCAGCTCAGGCTTGGAATTGATTAATCCGTCCATTATAGATTTGATTACAGTGATTTTGTGTAAGATTTGTATTTTAATCTTACCTTATGCTTAGATACAGTAAAAATTTTATGTACTATAGATAACATGAGTATGAAGAAACGGTTCTTATCTCTTGCTGGCAATGCGGCTTACGAATGGATGTGCTAGTGTACGCACAGTGGAGACTGTTAGTAGTACTAGACCCAATGTGGTAATTATAGACAACAACACAGCATGCAATATACTACGGAGATAGTTGTTATGAAGATAACACCGTAAGCTGCAACCTGCTTCCCTCGAAGAGACTGTCTACAAGTTTGCATTATTGTGGTAAATTCAGATTTGCATGAATTACAGGTCTCTACAGTCAAGTTATAAACTATTGCCTAAGAGAAATGCTCTGATATATATCTGAAATTTTTGGGTTGGCAAGCCGAGGATAGATGACGTCATTTCTAATTACCTGGGCTACACACATGTGAGTCGCTCATGGGATTGCATGATAAGCTCTTGGGAGTGGTGGTGAATGTTATGAATTGACTTGTTCCAGGAGCCACAAGATGTTGAAAACCTTCCACATCTCTGGAAGCCACAGTCACAGCTACCAGTAGTGACCAACATAGCCAACACCACCATAGCCACCACCACCGTAGCCACCACTGGAGCCACCATTTGGGGGGGGCTTAGCATTAGCCAGGTTAACAGCAATATTGCGACCATCAAGCCTGATATTACAACCCTATTAGCTGACTCAATTTCTAAATATACAAGTCGGATTGAACACTTACTCCCGATCATGAAGTCCATTTATTGCTGCATTTGCCTCATGCTCACTGCTAAAGGTAATAAAGCCAAATCCTTTACTCCGACCCGTATCGCGATCACGCATAACTATCTAACTTGACTCAGCGCCCAACATTCTTTATAAAAGAGAATAGGGAGTATCAGTGAACTCAGCTTACTGAGTCAAGGATTTGACCAAAATAAGAAAATGCCTGCCGTAAGGTATCATCGGTTGTATTCCAAGAGAGATTTCTTCGTATTTAAATTAAATAAGCTGGAGATTATTTCATATTAATTGGTAAGAGACCTCACCTGACACAGACTTTGGCTGACATCGCGAGTATGATACGTAGAATACACTTTTTATAGTTTGGTGAATAAAATCCTGCTCGCACGGTCAAGACAGAAACTAGATGGGCTAGATTGCCAATCTATGAGAAGCGGGCGTATTTATCCCTTTAGATAGAGATTAATTGTACTCATATCACAGAGGTTGGGCATTCGTGCATCCATGATAGCACACCGGCATTAAGAGTGGGTCGTCACTAAATAGCTTTGACCAATCACAGTGTGATTGTGACGACCTTGTCACATTGGGTTATGTGATCTGCTGGTTTCCCCGCAACTAATATTGTTATAAACCATCCCTTCTTCCTCTCCTCGCCATGTTTGATATTCTCGTTGAAGAGTTACCCAGTTACTAGCGTATTAAGATAAGATCCCGGGTGGTTTTCCCGTAGTCAGCTACATTAGCAATAGCCATTGGACCTATTAAACAAGAAATAATAGATACTGTTGTCTGTTTAAGGTGCAGGCCTACTTGTTAAATACTGCTCAGCCACAAAAAGATGCCATAACGACTAATTGCATGGCCGGCTCGCTTACCGAATAACTACGTTATGTTGTGTGTCGCTAACGTAATACCCAGCCCCCCCATACAATCCCCATAGATTGTTGACCGCGCCGCCCGCCCATTGTCAACCGGCGAACCGAAGCCGTCCCGACACCGCCAAGCCGGTGAACGGAGCCGTCCTGATACCAACAACCCCATGACCCATCGTCTGCCGATAATATTTCTGGATCGGAATTGTTGATTTAGTAATATTTTCGCCCCGGTTTCGGATCCGCTCAGATCATTTCTTTTCAGAACCGGATTATCTCTCGTGACTCCGGTTACCGAACCCCTGCACCTTATATCTCGTGGAGGCGGGAACACAAGGCAGAAGAATTCGCTCTTATTACTCCGTACTCGCAAGTCAAATAACCAACCTCGGGAAACTGCGATAAACTGCCCAGCTGCCTAAGCGACTCACCCCGCCCCACCTAGCACTGCAACCCGATCGGGACTGCACGCAACATTTCCGGTATATACGCAGCTATACGAACGCGGATTTTCTGGATAACGTAAGACACCCGATCCCGGGATGCTCCCCGACTAAGCCGCCAGCGCAGAACAGGCCCACGCTATCAAGAGTAAGCCAAAAGACTGCTCTTGGAGTGGCCCGTCTTAGGGCTGCACAAATAAGTCACTTTTTCAGCTATCGAACTCTGTACAATCTGTGCAGGTTGGAGAGTGGTAGGAAAAGGACGTGGAATCCAAATATGTTTTGCATAAAATTGGGCATACGACAGATACAGATGAAGCGCCTTTAAAAATATATGATAGAGACCGTATAACTGAGAATTTTGACCAGGTGCATGCGTCTACTACAGAAAAAATGTAGTAATTACTATGAAACATTACTGAATATCAATCATCATTAGACTCATTCATTACTAGCATCACTACACTACCACCACTACTACACAAAAACTCCTTCACCACCACGAGATGACTTAGTTGGAAAGCTACGATGAAAAGTGTTACGGAAACAATATAATCCGCCCGACTTGGCGGTGCTGAGTATCTGACGACCGATTTAACCCCTGAATCCTTTAGACAGTAGAACACCTCAACGAGAATATAGGGAACCGCTTAGTAGGCTCAGTAGGTTGAGATACTGCGATTCCTGGTGTTTCCACTGAATGACATCGTTAGGCTAGTTGGCCTGCAGCTGATAGAATAGCTCCCTGCGCATCACTTTCCCTGAATTCCACAACAAAAAGCATCGTGAATATGCGGAAGCTTTGTTGCAGCGAATTAGTCAAAATATTGATCATACCTCATCGCCATCTTCTTCTGACCAGGAAAATGATTCATCTGAAGCTGTGGTTTATAGATTCGCAAGGGGACCGTAATATATCTTCAAACATTCTATAATAGGCAGTTTCCGTTGATTAAATTGAATATTTTGCATTGAACTATGTTTTGCGTTGAACTGTAGCGACCCTACTACAAAAAGTGGGTTGGGGGGGAGGCGGTGAGATGAGTGGGGAAGTAATACCAAATAACCAGAGAGGGGTCAAATACGTATCCATTCCATGACAGTAATATAACGCTCCAAAATAGAAGCTCCAACTCAGGCGATCATTCGCCATGTTTTGTTGAGAATAATCAACGAAGTGTTTAGTTAGGAAATTTCCTCTAGCTGGGGTATATGCGACGTCCGTGTCTTATCACCAGCCCGGCTGTCCTGTTCATCTCAGTTCTCTCTCAAGCACTCTAAAATAGCTATGAGAACAGAATCCGTTATGTAACTGTATCCGTTCTTTAACTAAGCCTTTGAAACTGCTGCCAAGCCATATGTCATATAATTGTTTTGATTCTGTTCTCTTTACACGCTGCACAGCACACAGTTTAGTCTATCTTGTTCCCTATTCTGGAATGAATATTGACATAATTGACTCATTAGAACAAATTCGTATTGGTTCAGCATGGGAGATGGTGAAATCAAAACCGGATGTATATCTGTAGACTCACAAAGCAAGTTCTCTCGGATTATAAATAGGCCTACACGTTAGCCTACTTCCATGAATATTTCCTACTTAAAAACAGGTGTACTTCCAAAGTAGAGATGGCTTGTTGTAAATTTACGTAAATTTACCCGAGTAGCTTACCAGCAAGTTAGCCGTAAATTTTAATGATTTACCGCATAATTTACCAGAGCTCAAAATATATATTTTGACCATGGTTTCTTGAGGGTGACGCTGAGGCGCATTGATGAACAGGAATGACCCTCTCATAGATATATTGCTATACTGAGATTAGTGCATTTCCTAATTAGGAATAACCTTGTTTATCGGTAGTTTACGGATTTTCTTTATTTTCGGTTCGCAAGGCCGTTTTTACGGTGCTTTTTATTATTTACGGTAAATGGCCATCCCTATTCCAAAGTGCTTTACTACTCGAATAAAGAGGATAAGTTGTACAGTACCTACAATATGCGGTTTCTTTGGATTGTGTTACAGTTATTGTGAATCGAGGCTCGATGTAGCTTCATATACGGAACAAATTCTGTGGAGTTGTGATTTGACACTTTCATACAGATAGTACCCAGAAAATTAAGATCTGAGGCCTAGTTCACCTTCTGCGGTCTCTGCCCCCGGTATAAAAATCATGTCCAACGTCAGTCTGGACTCACGAATCCCTGGAAAACGAACGGCTTGTGATCGCTGTCGGATGCAGAAGGTGCGATGCAGCCGTATTGATGGGCATCCGACCGGCTATTGTACCCGATGCGCTCGATCGGGAGTGGAATGTATAACTAGTTCAACCAAGCGCCCTGGTCGTCCGACAGGGAGCTCTACTAAAACATCGCAGCAACGCACCGGCCCAACCCCAGATACATGTAATGAAGTCAACACATTACCGCATACGGGGGATATACCACCACTAACCGACGTCGACAGCTGGTTCAATATCGATTCTTTAGATGTCAACTATGAGATATCCTCAGTCTGCTGGGCTTCAGTCAACTCTGGCGACATGTATCTACATGATGTTCCCATAGAGAGTGGCAGCAGTGCATCCGCCCTCTCTTCTCTACCTACTCTGACCAATAATCCTACGTCTCTCAATGGACCGACAGAAACAACTACAAGTGAATATTCTCCTTCTCTCGACCAACAGTCCAAACAAGGTCACAACAGCATGCTGCAGCGATCTGACTATAAAGTCTCAGAACCGAATTACGACTACGGGCTTCGCTTTTCCGTCCTTCACCGCGACCTCTCGAAACTACTATTTACGTTAAGATCGACGCCTAAAGACATGATCGAGGCCATGCAGTTAACGTGCAGCCATGATGAAAGTGGAGATTCGGCAAAAGTTTCGCAGCCCAACATTGAGTCGAGCCACTTAGCTCGCATAGTTAAAATTTCGAAGGAATTTGCCGAGCTACTACAGTCTTTCCAGGCACCCCGTACGAATAATTATAACAATGACACGCAGAACACATGTCCAATATCGCCCACTCAGCAACGCTTGGGTATTCCGGAACTTCTCACCGCCCTTTCCTGTCATATCCTAATCGTATCCATTTATGATCTGATCTTTTGTCATTTCATAGAGCAGGCTTTGTACAGCTCTGGCAACGTCAACGTCGTTGTGCATTCGCCCACAAAGATCTTTCTAGGAGGCGTTGCCTTCTCTCCTTGGCCGAACACGCTAGGCCACCTCCTCGTCTGTCTGACCGAGAGTCAGCTTCGGCCTATTGAAATGTCAATGGGACTTCCCGATAAGTTCTGCGTCTCGAAAAATTCGCCCGGCAAAGACAAGCATCACGGATTGTTCAGTGGCCAAAGTGGTCAATCGCTTTTCAGAGCTCTGGTTCAGATTGATACAGGGGAAATGGCAGAAGCCAAACAAAACTTGAGAGTGATTGAATCCTTGAAAGAAAATATAAGACGTATCAAATGCCTTCTATAGAGACAACCAGGTAGAAGCAAACGAGGATCACAGTCTGCAAATCTAATCAGTGCCGCGGCATTGGGGGTCAGCAGGTCAGCATTGTGTCCATAGATTTCGTACAAGGAGTCGTGGGCGATTACGGAGCAGTTAATTTTTTTATCGTCCTTTTTGTCCCTTTGCTTTAGGGGATCTATCTTATGGAAGTGACCATATGTCAAGGATATAAGGTATAAGCTGGATACTTCTCATCCAGCTAGTGATCGGGTAGGAGTACTCATGTAATACTTTGTGGTAAAATGATGTATAGTTAACTACGG